CAGGGAGTCAGGGGGAAGGAGGCGGCAAGGTTATGATTATCTTACATCGCGATGCCCACGGCACAGTGCGTGGCGTACCAGAAGCCGAATTCGCCTGCGTACGGTCCTCCCTTTGGCGGCCACCACGGCATGGCAAGGATATAGACTTGGAGCAGGATAAAGAAGATGACCGCAACGTGCCAAGACCGGAACTCGGAGCGGTCCAGTCCTGCTCGTTTGCGACGGTAGCGGATGATGTAGACGCCGACGGCGAGTGCAAAGTTGAACATGGCGTCCGGATACGTCTTGAGGCTGATGACTGGTTTCCAGAAAGAAGGAGGAAATATCATCGTGTCAGCGAAGACTTCCCCGTTTCCTTTCTGCCTATTCGTGGTGAGTATTCTTACCAAACTGAAATGCGTCGCCTGCAGGCGGAGCAGCAATCATAATAAAAGTCATGATCCACTTGAGGAAATAGGGGCCCAGAGGCGTTCCAAAAGGCTTAGTTGTCACCCAGAACCTTGTCCGTGGAAGCACGCCCTGGCGGCCAATCTCGCGGATGATGCGAGACTGGCCGATGAGAACAGCCAGAAGGTTGCCAAAGGCGCTGAGGAGAACGAGGACGTTGAGTGCTTGCTCAGCGCGCCCTCGGCCGAAGACCTTGGTGAAGAAGACGGCAGCAGCGACTTCCTTGGCTGCCTTGAGTTCTCCCTTGGGGACTATGCCGTGAGATGCTCTAGTCAGTCTGGTCCGTTCTGATGGCTGTTTCCAAACTCACCAGCAGCAAAGTATGCAATGTTACACAGCAGGTAGAGCACAGCAACGATCATCACGGATGCCGTGGCATACTTCTTGAGAGTCGGAATGGGGTTCCTGATCTCATTCACCATGCTGAATGCGTTTTGATACCCGCTGTATGAGAATACAATGTTGATGAGGGCAGTGGAGAGGTCATTTCCACTGCTAGTAGTGCCTTCGAAGGCGTTGCGGAAGTTGGCAGTGGGGTCTGGCACGCTCGAGACATTCTTGCCAAGTACAACAAATCCGGTGATGCTAATAAAGATCAGGGTAATGATCTTGACCGCGCCCAGCAGGTTTGTAGCCCAAAGCGAGTACTTGGTATGGATGGCAACACAGAGCACGGCCACAGTGTAGGCAGCCATGGCCACTCCCTTGAGCTGCCACGGGCTAGGATTCTCGCCGCCGAGCCGCCACAGATAACGAGAGAGAACTGCCGATGTAGATGCTATCAGTAGGCAGAACACTTGAATGCAACATTTGTCACTTACCGATAGCGTTGCTGCTGCTGAAGGACAAGGCCACGCTCTGCACGGCAAAGGCGATGGGAAAGAAGTGCTTAGGTCTTGGATAGGCCTGCTCCAGGTACACCACCTCTGATCCGCTTCGGTTCGGGAAGTAGCTCGCCAGCTCGAGATAAACGCTCAAGCCGGCCAGGGCCATAAGAATACCAATTGTCCAATAGATCAGGGCGAGGCCGACGGATCCGGTACCCTTGAGCACAGCAGCCGCTACATGTATCTTCGAATTAGACATGCAGTCCACCACCGAAAGAGGCAAGCTGTTGTAGGCTTACGTGTTGAGAATATCCCAGTTCCAATCAGCATGTTTACATTCAGAAATACCACGCCCGCCCATCCGACGTGGTAGCCCAAGGGCGAGCGGACTTCTACCGGGGCTCCTACAGCCTCTTGATAAGATGGCTCTGAGCCATTCCCTCCCTTGGCGCGAGTATATGCTAGATTGCCGTCGTGTATAATAGAGGTGTCTGAACTGGACACTGGTTCGGGGTCGTCTCCTCGGTTCCCTTTGTCCACCGCACGGGGTTGAGATTGTGCCACGATGCCAGAAAAGAACCGCATGGTAGAGAAGCCGAGGTTGGCATTGAAGAGCTGACGTTGCGGTGAATCTTCTAGTCTCCAAGGAGCCGAACATCAGAGATTCGACCTGTTTGTCAAGATAGGAGAGCATTCGGTGATCGTGATGACCTGAGGGATCACCCTGACTCCCATGGCCGGTGTCATTCCTCCATATTTAGGGTCAGTTGGGGGAAGAAGGGGCCTTGTCGCTGTCAAAGTTCCGCCCAAGGAGCACGCCATGGCAACCTTGCCTGGCATCACGTCGACTGAAAGATAGGCCTTTTGTCTCCTACCGGTAAGGAGGAGACTGGGCCATTGGACAGGAATCTATAATCCGTACATTCAGGGCTTGGCCGGGCTTCCGAGCTGCCTTTTTCGACTCCAGCCAGCCATCCTCGCGTCTCGCGTACAAGTCGCACTCACCTGAACATCTCTCGGCGAAAAGCACGACATCATCGCTACCAATTTTGCAATTCCCCACGTTGCAATCTATGTCGAGCCAACAGGCGACGCTGGTGCAAGACACTCGCTTTGTTCTGACTAGATCCAATGCAGCACTCTTTCCGGGTTAATAAGATCTCTCCAGCATTGGTCTTGTAGGTATTGTTTCACTACACTCCCCTTCGCTCATTTGAAGGCGTGGGCGCCGACTATGTTACATCTGTTCAAAACTTGTTTGTCAGTCTACCTATCAGGTGCAAGGCGATTTACACCGTGAATCAGACACCGTTCAAGAGATGCATGTATGTCGGTCTAAGTTGAACGCCGGGAAGGTGAGTGTTGTGCATACACAGAATACGAATTATTAGTAAAGATAGAGATGATGAGTCTAGTAAAGGAGTCAGAGTATAGCAGCTCCTTATCACGAAAGAGATACTGACTATCTGGTTTGAAGAGGTTAGGCAGGCCTCTTCTTGGCGCCATATCACGTTTCCGGCAGAGGCTGCAACAGAATGAATGACATGGGAGGCTTCATCTAGCCATCACGTCGTTTCGTCTTTGATCTTCTCTTCTTCCTATGCAAGCTCTGTTGAGAAATGCACAAATCTAGTGCATCAAACTAATTACATTGCCGGCCTTCTTCCAAGGTGCATGCTAGATTTCTCCATTGCCTAGATAATTAGTCTACCTTGTAGAGAGGTAGAGGAACATGTTTGTATGCCTACATATGGTTGGATCTTGAATCCTTGCACTTCACGGAACCTGACCTTTGTACCCTACTCATTCACAGAAAAATGACTGAAATGGCTCTTTTCTGCACAATCACCTTGAATGCATACCTAGGTAGGTAGGATCAGCCGTAGCAATATAGGTAGGTAGTTAGGTCCATACAGATGCCAGCCGGAGACTGCCCAAGTCCTGTCCACTCTGGAAGCAAGACTAAAAGCACCTACAATCCATCTGTTGGGGCCTTTCTTCAGCGGCAGGTGGCGCTATAAGCCTTGGCGTTCCCGGGCTGTCACATTACCGCGACTTTCGCCCTGACTAGTGACTAGCGCGTTCAGCCCGCCCACCTCACATCACTGAGATCCATTCGATGGGGGTTTGAGCTCCAGGCCACGTTCAAATCTTTGGAAATTTCCAGGTGCGCGTCTCAACCCCAGCTCAAGCTGCCTTGTCGTCGTCGCATAGCCAGCCGCAATGGCAACCAGAGAGACTCCGGTCTACATGAGGCCCATCAACTTTGCCTTGGACGTTGCCAATGGCCGCAGTCGGTACTCCAGGATCATCCCACCAGTGCTATTGGCGCTGGACGCGGTGCTCTGCGGTCTGGTCATCTGGAAGATTCCCTGTGAGTTTCCCGTCGCCACCCTCGCTACATAGACGCGCTTTGGTGCTCATGGATGGATTCGCCATAGATACCGAGATCGACTGGAAGGCGTACATGGAACAGGTCTCTCAATTTGTCTCTGGCGAATACGACTACACCAAGATCAAGGGTGGCACCGGTCCCCTGGTCTATCCAGCCGCCCATGTCTACACCTACACAGTACTCTACTACCTGACGGACAAGGGCAAGGACATATTTCTAGCACAGCAGCTGTTTGCGGTCTTGTACATTGTCACCCTGGCGGTGGTCATGGCATGCTACTGGAAGGCCAAGGTGGGAGAAGCTCGCACAGGTTCTCGTTCCGGAGTGACCAAAGGCTGATTGACTCCTACTGCTAGGTCCCGCCGTATGTCCTTCCCCTGCTCATCCTCTCGAAGCGCCTCCATAGCATCTTCGTCCTCCGCTGCTTCAACGACTGCTTCGCCGTCCTCTTCCTCTGGCTCGCCATCTACTTCTTCCAGCGCAAGCTGTGGACGTTTGGCGCCCTCGCCTACAGCTGGGGCCTGGGCATCAAGATGTCGCTGCTCCTCGAGCTGCCCGCCGTGGGCCTGATACTCTTCCTGGCGAGGGGCTTCGCTGCAGCCATGCGCGTGAATAGGGTCATGGTGCACCTGCAGATCCTCACGGCCGCCCCCTTCCTGCTGAAGAACTGGCGCGGGTATCTGGGGCGGGCGTTCGAGCTGTCACGGCAGTTCTTCTACAAGTGGACGGTCAACTGGCGCATGGTCGACGAGGAGGTGTTCCTCAGCCGCGAGTTTGCTATTGGACTGCTCGTCTTGCACGTCTCCCTGCTCGCCACCTTCATCGTGACCCGCTGGCTCAAACCGGCCAATAAGTCCATCCCGGAGCTCGTCAAGCCGCTCCTCACGGCAAGGGCCATCCTCAGACCCGAAGCCCAGCCGATCGTTGGCCAGGGCCTGAGCCCCCGCTACGTCATGACCACCATGCTGACGGCCAATGTCATCGGCCTGCTCTGCGCCCGATCCCTACACTACCAGTTCTATGCCTATCTCGCGTGGGCCACGCCCTACCTCCTGTGGAGGAGCGGCGTCCATCCCGTCCTACAGTATGCGCTATGGGCTGTGCAGGAGTACGCATGGAATGTCTTCCCCAGCACGAAAGTGAGCTCGATGCTCGTCGTCGATGTGATGTTTGTGACGGTCGGGCTGGTATGGCTGGGTGCCAAGGAGGAGTTCCAGCCCCAGTCCGAGCGTCGGGCAGCCAAAGAAGAGGCGGCCTCTGAGTAGATGTGTGTTCTAGAGCTGCGTGATAGACAGATCCTCGAGTGTAAATTTGTGCAGGAAAGAGGACTCTTGCTTCGTTCAATCCTCTTCAGAGTCCGACGGGGGCATCTTGCCGACGTTGGAGTCGCTCTCGTCGTCCGAGTCGTCGACGTGTTTGGGGAACTCGGCAGGCCTGTCGAGATGAATGCATTCAGTCCCGGTATCGTAGAATTTTATTCCAAAGAAAGACCAAAAGAAAGACATACCAGTACTTTTGCTTGCGCCACTCCCTCTCGTCCCGCACCACGTTGACAATCTCCCCCTCCACGCGGCCCCCGCCGCCCTGCCTCTGGCGCTCCTCGGCCGGCACCAGGTCGACGAGCACGAAGCCCCCGCGCTTGATCCAGATGGTGTTGCGGAAGCGCTGCGCCAGCTCCACGAGCACCGTCGCCGGGTCCTTGCCGCGGGCCGCGGGCAGCGCGCAGGTGTACAGGTTGTTGCCCTCGGCCTTGACGACGCGCGCGAGCTTCTGCGTCGGCGTCAGGGCGTCGGGAGGGGTCGTGGACTCCTCTGCCGCGGCGAGGACGTTGCGCTTCGGACGGCCCATGGTTTTGCGGTATCACGGCAGGGTTCGTTGCAAAGCGGCGAGGGGGCAGGGAGGGTTTTCTAGGGTTTGGTCGTGCCGTTGTGGTTGTTGATCTTGGGTGTGTCTCCAAATTGAACGGAAAAAAAAATGGTGGGTTTTGGTGTGATAAGTGAAGTGGCTTTGCTTATCGTGGTCCACCTTGAACATGAGGCATCGGCCTGCGATCAAGACAAATTCAGTCCTCAATAAACCAAGAGATTGAGCTATTTGACAGAGATAAATTGGCCTACACATCTCATGCCTGTCCTTGTTACTAATAATACTTCGTGCCTATGGCGGAGTCTTGTTCTTGTATGGAAGGTTGCCTTTGCCATCAAGCAGCTCCTTCACAAAGTCCTCAAAGGATATGCCCTTCAGATCTGGATACAACTCCTTGGCATCGACATACCCGAGATACGTGGCATACTCTGGAACATTATCCCCACGAATCCCCCAAGAGTGGCGGTATTCGAGCGACCAGACTTTGATCTTCGCCCAGGGGCCGGTTTCTTTCTTGGCTGAAGCAATCTGGTCGAGTAGCTGAGCTTCGGATTCCTTGATCATACGCCGTGCAATCATCAGTACACGAGGTCTGCATTGGCCGGCCCAATAGTCTGGTTGATATCACATACATATTGCCGCTCAAGCTTCTCTCCACTGAGCTTCTCGAGCAGATCGTAGATCTGGTTCTGAGACCACAGTTCATTGTATGCAAACACATACTTGTTCAGCGTACGTGGATCCGCGATGATCCGGGCAACGAAGCGCCCGATATCTCTGACGTCCGTCCGTGCCGAAAGGGTGTTACCGTCGCCAATGATCGTGTCCGACGGCATCATCACGGCATAGTCGAGTCGTCCAGACGGTACGCGTGGCACGGAGATCTGGTACCACCAGCCGACATCGATGATAGTGTAAGGCAGCTTGATCTTCTTGATATGGTTGATGACTTCTTCTTTCTGTACACGATTTTAGCCAATCAAAGTTCTGAGCAAGGGGGTCTTCGGGTCTCGTACCGCGTCGCGTAGCTCCATGACGCCCGCAGGCGGCGCAACTGTGGCCCATGAGCAGGGGATGAACCGCCTGACGCCGGCAGCCTTGGCTGCGTTCGCGAGAGGAATCTGCTTCAGCAGAAGTCCGGCATCAATAGCCGAGATCACGACATCCACACCGGCCAAGACCGGGACCAATGCCTCTTCCGGCCCATTGAGATCGACTGGCACCAGCGTAACACCCTTCTTCTGCAGCTCCACGTTGATGGGCTTGGTGAGAGATGACTCTCGGACGAGAGAAATGATCTCCTGGAGGATCAAAAGAAGATGAGCAAGGGAGGACGTCATCTACAGCTATGTGGTTGCTCACAAAGGTTCCCGACTCCAATAGAGCGTTGGCGATCGATCCGCCCGTCTCGCCCGAGGCGCCAATGAGTGCCACTTTCATGCTGGCTTATCTTGATGCAAAACAAATTGGCGTTTTCCTTCAGGCGCAATTGCAAATGAAAGCAATGCATAGTATGTAATGCAAGTTATCAAACAGATATAGAAGCTGCTCCATCATACCGTCGACCCCTCAACCAAGTACCGGCAGACCCGCTCTCGCCAACTGATGACAAAACCATATCCGGCACATTTGTGAATTTGTTTGGCTCGTTTCCCGGAGCTGGCCCCGCTTTGGTAGCATCGGGGTCTTCCAACAAGCCGACGTCAGATATGTATCCGGACTAGACGTTTACAACGGACATAGTTCTTATCTTTTTATTTTGTAGCTTGTTGAGCAATGTTGTTGGAGGCCTCCTCAACACCGGTAACCCTCATGCACGTCGAGACAACTGGTACGGCTAGACGCGTAGTACGACGAATGCATCTTGTGTAGTCACGACGACGGGTGCTTACCATTTTACCAGCATGGGGGTTACAGGCCACATTTGTCTTTCTGCTTCGGGGTCCTCTCAGCTCCGGACCCCGAAGCAGGAGCTCATGATTCACAGATGCCACCCAGCTCCAGCCATGATTGCCCGACTAGGCCGGCTAGTTAAGTAAGCCACATCACTTGCACAATCCCCTCTGTGGATGGACTTGACTCCTGTACCATGACGCATGGGCCATCATTGCGCCGCCGCTGTCAGTGCGCCAGGGACCTACGTTTCGGGCCTCCACAGCTCTCTCCGTATGCTGCAATACGAGACCGGCTAGCCATCCGAAAGCTGAATCTCCAGTTAGCTGAGTGGATGCCTCCGAGTAGAATTAAGCTCATGTCTCATAGTCTAATACGACCAGCACCCTTACATGAGACGTGAGTTGTGACTGTCAAGATGGTAGAGGACATTAATCCTGGGTAGCCAAATGGAGGCAGCCTACAGAAATAAGCTGAAGAAGCAGGGGCTTCCAGAGACACTGCTACCACTCGGCCGATTCGGGAACAGAGAGAACAAGCGGATGATCGGCAAGAGTGACGATCATATGCTCTGAGAGGCTATAGGCGGCTCTCTGGGTCACCCTCTGAGCCAATCGCATGCTTGAGGTGCGAAGTTTCAGGGCGGGTGTTGCTTCGCAGTTTCACGAGGTTATTTCCGGCAAGCTTATTTTCAGCTTTGGGGCTTCCCGAAGGCCAAGGGGGTGATGCGCGACAAGCATTGACACAAACATCTGTGCATTCCGTTGCAACACTACCCCACCTGAAACACCACTCCACCCGGTCACTGAAAACAAAGTTGCGAGTGAACCGAGGGTAGTTGAAAACAAAGTTGCGATTGGTTCGTGAACTGTTGCCCTTTTCCACTCCAGCCAAGAGTCTCAAACCTCTCCAAACACAACCCTTCGTGCAATTGAGGCTGTGCCCGGCCCGGGAACATCGCACCGGTCGCCGTGAAAGCCCAACCCGGTTTGGAGGATTATTTAAAGTATGGAGGAAGACCAGATGGAAACTCTATTTCAGCGATTCCAAAGAGCACCTCTCTACAGTTCTTCACTTCAGCTTCGGTCTTTTTCCATAACATCATTTAATCACCTTCTTGAGTTTGCCCTGGAGGCTATTGTTAGACTACAAACCACAATCACTTATTTTGAGTGCTCCCAAGATGTCGACGTCTACAAAGCTTGCCCTGGCCTACTTGGCTGCCTATGCTTCAGCCCACGGAGTTGTCACCAAGATCACTGGTGCTAATGGGGTTGAAATGCCGGGCCTCTCAGGTGCGTTCGGCTTTGATGTTCTCTCTCTCTCTCCCAGCTCCGGGTTCTAACACGCAACAGTTGCCGATGGCACTCCACGCGACTGTTCCACCAACGGATGCGGTTCCCAAGCGGACACAGCCATCATCCGAGACCGAGAGATCAACAGCGGCAAGTGTGGGCCGCTGGGCCGAACCCAAGGCAACGGCCCTATCGACGCCGCCACCATGATCCAGAACTTCATGGGCGCCGCAACTGCACCGACCAACAACGGCACTGGCGTCGGTATCGAGGACGATCTTGCCGGCACGCCCGTCGCCTCGGGTAGGGCCAACAAGAACAACGCCCGCGACAGCATAGTCTCGCGACAGAACCGCAAGGCCGGCGGTTTCCTCTCCGGCCTCTTCGGCGGAGGCGCTGGTGGCCGTGGCGACAAGAACGCCGGACCTCCCGAGAGCAACGTCGCGGCGACTGCCGGCGAGGGTGCCTCCAAGGGTCTTCCCACCTGTGCGGACGATGGCACGATCACCATGACATATCGCCAGGTAAGCTTCTTCTCCCTTCTATCAGGAGGTAGTCATTCGTTCTGACAGACTCTGCGATCAGATCAACCAAGATGGTGCCGGCCCTCTCGAGGCGATGGTCGACGCTACCTCGGGTGGCACAGACATGTCGGCGTTCAAGACCGCCGAGGTGACACAGGATGTCCCCGGCCTTGGCATTCAGGGGCTTTCTCTCGCCACCACCACCGACTTCCCGCTCAAGGTCCAGATGCCTGCAGGCATGACTTGTGAGGCCAGCGTGGGTGGTGCCACCAACGTCTGCGTTGTCCGTGTCAGGAACGGAGCTGGTGCTGGCCCCTTTGGTGGCAGCGCGGCCTTCACCCAGAGCAATGCTGCGCGCAAGCGTGCCCTGGCTTACCGTATGCGGAAGCGCACGGAGGTCAAGTTTGAGGCATAAACTACTCGACGATCTGCCTTTCTTCAAACCTGAGGCTCCTGGAGGGCCATGGTCCTTATGTATATAGACTTGTCTCATTTGATTACCATGATGGAAGAAAGGGGCATACCTATGGGGAAGTGTAAATAGCATCAATTTACAGGTGTTCAACAACCCTAGTAAAGAATAATGACAAAAGAACAAGTATGTTTTCTTAAGAAGATTCTGCAGACCACGGTTGCCAAGTGTGCACATCTGAAAGCCGAGATGGCTGTGTCTTGGAGAGGTAGATGAAGCACTGAGTCCTAGTATTTGTGAGAAGAGGGTGCTTATCTTTGAACCTCCACAAACAGCACGTAGAATGAATGGATTAATACGCATGATACTTGCACCAAATTGACTCACCATCGGACCTGGCCAATAACAATGGATAGGTGTAACCACCCACCGAAAGACGTATACTATTGGGGAAAAGTTAGAGAAGCATTCTCAAATGACTGCAGCTTGAAGGAGGACAGTTGATAGGCTGTCTTTCCGGATGGTGAGAACGTTCATCTACTTGTACATTCCAAATGAGGCAATCCAGTAAGACCTAACAGGGGTGTGCCTGCGCGCCAGGGGTGCAGCGCTTCCTTATGTCAATCAATCCATGCTAGGTATCTCAACGGGAATGACGACGTTCGGTCCCCGCAGTCAGCACCCAACGTCATTCATTCCTATCGGCAAGAGATCATGCCCCATGACAGAGCTTGTTAAAGGAGCCTCGGGGCGTCTGGATTTCAGAACATTCAAAAGCTGCGTCTCCTGAATAACCTATCCTTTTACTTGGCCGCTATACTTGTGCCATGGCTTTTTTGGTGCTCTGGACCATTGCATTCATTGGGCTGATAGGTTATCTCACGCGTCGATATGTCTTGGCTGCAAAGAAAAGACTCCCTCCCGGGCCGAAACCGCTGCCAGTAGTGGGCAACATCCGTGATGTGCCACCACCCGGAGTGCCAGAGTTCCAGTACTGGCTTAATCACAAAGACCTCTACGGGCCTATCAGCTCCGTGACATCTCTTGGCACCACGCTTGTCATCATACACGATAAAGCTGTCGCCCACGACCTGCTGGACAGAAGTTCCAGTATCACATCAGGAAGACCGTCTATGACTTTTGCAAACAAGATGTGCGGCTACGAGTCCATCGTCGTATGTCAAGGGTACACCAGCACCTTCCGACGTTATCGAAAACTATTGCATCAAGAGCTTGGTACGAGGAAACTGGCGGCACAACTTCAAGATGCCTTTGAGATCGAGGTAAATCGGCAACTTGTGAAGATGCTAGAGGACCCTGACCGATGGCTCGAACATTTCAAGACGTAAGTTCAGCTATAGCCTGGGAAAACATGTCAGGGGGGCTAAAACCACTGCATTTAGTTCTGCCGGCGCGACGACCTTGAAGTTGACGTACGATTATACTATCAAGCGAGACGAGCCTGACCCATTAGTTGAACTGGTGGACAGAATGATGACGGAATTCTCCCTTGCAGCCGCTCCCTTCACCTGGGCAGTGGACTTCATCCCCGCCCTCCAGTATCTCCCGGAGTGGTTTCCCGGAACAAGCTTCAAAAAGACCGCACGGAAATGGAAGAGTTCCATTCATACAGTTGCAGATACTCCCTACCGTTCTGTTCAGCGGCAAATGGAATCCGGGAAGACCCCATCATCCTACGTTTCTCGGCTCATTGAATCGTGCAAGCCTGAGGACGGTGGTCCGCTTGATATCGAGGACGAAAGGGCCATCATGTGGTCGGCTGCCAGCCTTTATGGTGCTGCTGCAGACACTACAATCATTTCTCTCACCGCTTTCATGCTGGCAATGGTACTATTCCCAGAAGTACAGCTTAAAGCACAACGAGAGATAGACTCTGTAGTCGGGACAAGGAGACTACCCGGGTTCGAAGATCGTGAAGGGCTTCCCTACATAGACGCTCTGGTCAAGGAAACTATAAGATGGTGGCCCGTTGCCCCAATGGGCTTCCCACACACGGTCGGCAAGGAGATCAGTTACAACGGCCTCTGCATTCCACAGGGAGCATTGCTTCTCCCTGCAGTATGGTGGTTCTTGCACGATCCAGAAGTGTATCTGGACCCAGGTACATTTGATCCTGGCCGATTCCTCGCTCCACGTAACGAGCCCGATCCCTCTTCCGAGGCTTTCGGATACGGTCGGAGGATATGCCCGGGACGTTTCCTTGCAGATTCGAATCTGTATCTCAACATTGTACAGACGTTAGCCATTTTCAACATTGAGAAAGCGATAAACGAGCACGGGACCGAATTAAAGTACACTGTGGCGCCAAGGCCAGGTATTCTCAGCTATCCTACAGACTTCAAGATCCGGGTCACTCCAAGAAGTGACGAGCATGTCAAGCTTGTGGAAGCACTCAAGAAGAAGCAAAGTTCTGGATGATTTAGCAATTCTGCGTACAAATTCTAAGAATATAATTTTGCTAGGCGCCTAAGCAAGAGAAATCTCGGTTGAAGTTAGCAACAGCAAGAATGCGAATTCTGTTGCCACACAATGTACACGTTTGGATCAGTCTTCTTAATGTACACCGACGGAATGGCACCTAGATCTACTCGACTCTAGCATTTGAGCTGTTGAAAGATACTGCTGGCAGTGCTATCAAAAAAGTCTTCAGATATTCCACTTCATCTCCATAAATCAATTAAATCAATTAACTTTACTAAAAATGGCCCAAACATTGACGAGCATATTATCCGTCTTAGTTTTGTTAAAGTAACCCTTTTACCAAGGGATTCGGGTCATTTGGTAGATGTTCCACGCTGTCAATGCCCTATGCCTACTAAGAGATGTGATACAAACCTGACTGGTATTCATTAGGCCTTGATAAGGGGTAATTGGACCTCATCCTGCTGTTGTCATATGTCTACCATCAATGATCATCTACAAGAGTTCCAGGGAGGCTATGGTACTACAGTAGCAATCTATACATCTATTTTCAGTTTGGTCTAGAGTACAGCCTATCAATGTGGGCAGATAATGGTGATGTGTCCTTTAAGCAGGAAGCTTGAAGCCGGTCTGGCGGAGCGTCTGGAAGATCTGAGCAGGGTCGTACTTGGCGCTCGTGTCCTTCAGGAGCTTGATGTTCTCGGCACCGTACAGGGAGATGGGCTCTTGATCCTTGAAGGCGTAGTTGAGGAATTGCCAGTTCTTCTGGACACCGATCTCCTCAGCGTAGGCGTTGATGGCGTCACGGTACTCAAGGGCCAGGGGGAGGATGTGCTCCTGGTTCGCGGCGGTGTCGACGGTGAGAGCGATCATCCACATCAGGGTCGGGCCATCGGCCACAACGGACTCGAGGCCAAGGACGTTGCCGCCGCGCTCAAGAGACCTCTGGACCATGCCCTGGGTCACAGGCTGGAACTGAACGAGAACCTCGAAGTCGGCGCCAGGAGCAGCAGCCTTCATCTTCTCAACGTACTCGACCTCCTTCTCGTTGACAAAGTCCATGATGCGGCGGTCGTGAGCCGTCTGGCCGACCATCCAGTTGGCACTAGAGAGGGTGTTAGCGCTGGCATGTTAATGTGTAGCATGCGAACTTACAAGAGGCCCAGGGGAGTAGGTCCGGTGAAGTCGGGTACCAGCTTGGCAATGCGGTCAACACGGGCGCTGGTGCTAGCGGGGACGACAGATCGCCACTCCTCGAACGCGGCGGCCTGGGGGTCCGAGTCGCTGTTGCTCAGGACCGACACGAGGAACATGCCATTCTTGTTGTAGATGCAGGAGATGATGTTTTGGCTGGCATCATCGTTGTTGTTCACGACAAAGTTGTCGTAGGCATCAAAGACGGCCTGCTTCTTGGCCGGGAACTCGTAGGTCTGCAGACCACCCCAGACAGTGTTGGAGGGGAAGGTACCTGGATGCTCTGATGTCAGAAGAGTTCAAGTTATAATTAAATTCCAGATGCAAGTCAACTTACGCTGGTCAATTCGAGTAACAAAGCCAAAGTTACCAGATCCACCCTTCAGGGACTTCCAGAGGTCAGAGTTTTCTTGGGCGTTGGCATTCACGACGCTACCATCAGCGAGGACAACCTCAAAATTCTCGACATTGTCGCAAGCGAAGCCACGCTGACCGGTGTGGAAGGAGTACTGGACGGAGACGGACTATGTTAGACTTGGGCTGACAGCATGCGTTGCTGTTCTGATAAACTTACACCACCACCAGTAGTGAAGCCTCCAACACCGACGACGGACGCACGTCCACCCACAGCGGTGACGTTGTGCGGATCGAGCGTGTTGAAGACGAGCTCCCAGGTGGATCCAGGCTGGATGGAGGCCAGCTGAGTTGAGGCATCGTAGGTGGTCGTGTTCATGTTAGCTATCATATCAGGTTAGTCATTGTCCAGAACGTCAATAGTCCGACTTTGGCCACAAACAGAAGTCAACAGTGACGCCATCCTTGATACCATTGGACCCGGCCCAGGCCGAGTGAGCACCACTCCGCATGCCAAAGGGACACTGTTTGGCGGAGAGGATCTTCACGAGGTCGGAGACCTCCTGGGTGCTGGTGGGCATGACCATACACCATGGGGCCTGCGCAGCGTTGGCAGAGTAGTAAGACGCGAGACGAGCGTCATACGCCGCACTGTTGGGGGCAAAGACCTTCCCTTGGAGGCTAGGCTCTTTGGCCAGTGCGGTACACTTGGGGCGGGATCAGCATTGCATTCAGTTGCATATGAAGATCGCAATAGGAGAGACGAACGCATACACACTCGGGGTGCTTGGGAGCAGCAGCAGCAGAGGCACCCTGCAGGGCCAATGCCAAGACGGTAGCAGCCGCGGCGGACTTCATGGCGAGGGGCAAGCAATCAGTGTTGTAAAAGAATGACTGGGGTGAGAGACCTCAAAAAGAGAGACGAGGCCTAAGAGCAAGAAAGAATTGAAAGGTGGAAATAGCTACTCAGTGTCCTTCGAGGGCTTGCTTGAATGTCAATCCCAATACTTGATACATCGTGCGTGGGTAACGCCTTTTATGTCTTGGAGCCAGGAGCTTGTTGATATCCGAATGTTCCATGCATGATGGAGACGCCAATGTCCAATCTAGGAGGAACAGACGACTCTTGCCCATTGTTATCCCTATTCAGGGATATACTACGCCGTTATAGGACGGACTCTTTTCGATCTAAACCGTGAATGGACGACAAGACCGGCTTTAGGAGGTGCAATGTTATCATGGTGAACATGCAGGAGAAGGTTTAGGGCTATGCACCTCGTAACGAGCATATGGCGTTTGACAGACTTGACTTCAATGCAAAGTGCCTAGGGTTCGTCTCGCTACGAGTCATTAGGTTACATGGAAATCTTCTGGAGGTAGGAAGCAAGTGTCAGGGAGTGGGGATGAGTGTTCGGAGCCGAAGGCCGATGAATCCAGTCAAGCAGCGACACTGACCGCCAAGAACTCAGAGTTTCTAAGAGCCGGGGTAGCAGATACCCCTATCTATACCTGCCACAAAAAAAAAGGGTCCGGCAGCCGGCAAGGTTGAAGAGTCAAGCAAGTCCAGAATACCGGTAAGTGTAGCCTACGAACAACGACCTCCAACCGAGGAGTCAATGGCCTCCCACCACAACATCCCAAATTCAAGGAGAAGATGGAAGTATTGGTCGATCATGATACCTCAACCGTGGCTGCCCCGATCGGACAATATCGATGATCGGCATGCGATAAACCATTTGCAACTTTCAGCTGCTGGGGCACAGCAGCTGCCAAGCTGCCCGAACTCCCAAATCCGGGTGGCAACATGTCCGAGCTCCAGATAGGTGGTTTTATTGGAGCTGGTCCTTGAAGAAATTCTTGAAGGGGATGCACTGCGCTCCGCCTGTAGTCCCTCTGGAGCTTTCACAACCTCGTCGCTCCCTCATAGTAACAATAGTGTCCTGTAGGGTTCTGTAAATAAGAACATGGTGGCCGAAAAGACATGTTGAGGCTGTTCGCGTAGCGTGTCAACCATGAGATTTGGGCCATGGCAAAAGCGCCAAGCGGGCCAAGACAGTTAAGCTTGTTTTCTCCCCCCGGTCTGACATGGGGATGCATGCAAGAGGAGACGTTTATGGGGTTAGAAGATACGGACCTTGTCATTCTCCTGACGCATTGGCAGTCGACCCCGTACGGAGCATTTTCTCGTTCTGTTCCACCCCCTGTTGGCATTATGTGGCTTCAAGGCGGGGATCCCGGGGAAGAGGTGGAAATAAGTCAAGAACCTCCCTACAGAGTTTGTAGAGAAATTAGCTAAATATTAGATAATATAGAGTTAGATCATGGCGTGCGGTACTTTGAGGATAATTATCTTTGGCTGGTTGTGGAGGAAATCTGGTGGGGCGCCGGAGTTTTCCTTCTCGTGTGCCAAGCACTTCAGGTTGGAGTGCAGAACTGAAGGGAAAGAGAATGCTCAGGGGCCTGCCTTGCATTCGTCTGGTTGCATATCCAGGTACCATGCATTGTCCTGCCATTCTGAGCGGACCTAGGCTGCATCGATGTGACCGTCCTGCTCTCGGACTTGCAAGCTGCCAGGGCAATTCGAGAGAAAGACACCCAATCCTCGGGTCTATATCCGCCAGCGGAATGGTATCATATAGTAGGCACGAGATAATTGTCGAGTGCTGTTAGACCGGTTGGGATATATATCTGTCTGGTGTCAGCATTTTTCATCCAACTCGAGCAGGCGCTGCCTCTAACCTATTCACCACCCTGGATTTGTCATGTCTGGATTTCCCGAAACCTACGGCATACCAACACTGGTACCGCCGCCAGAAGGTTATATCGTTGATTTCGAAAACCCGCAACGACAGGCGGTCCTCGAACACTATTTGATCTTTGGCATCGGCGGCCCCTTGGCGTTTATTGCGTTGATGCAGCGCTTCTACACCAAGATCTTCCTTTCCAAAGGATTGCAGATTGATGACGGTAAGATATGGACAAAAGAAAGGAGAAGATTACATTAAAAAATACGGGATTGGTCTGGCTAATATTCTATTCAAATAGCTTTCATGGCCTTGGCTTGGGTAAGTGACAGGATCGCGAAACGGCTGATCATCATCAACACCCTGGCGGTGAAGCCGGGGCACTTGAGATCACCATAGCATCCACTGACAAGGTTCATACAGGTATCCTCTATCCTGACCCAAGCACTTCTCACCCGTGAGTATTTCCCTTGTTCAGACTTTAAAACCCAGGAAGCTGACAGCTACGTATGTAGATGCCGTCTCCATCAAGACCCTCACGGCCCATGCCTGGGAGATCCCTTTGGACAACTTCCGGAAATATCAACTTGTGCGTTCCCTATGTGCACACATGTGAGCGCCGCTCCAGGACAATCCTACTGACTCTTCCTCGAAACAGCTTACCTATGCCGCTGGTGGGATTTTCATGCTGTGCAATGGCTTCACAAAGCTTTCTCTCTTGACATTCTATCTGCACATCTCGCCGGAGAAGCCTTTCAGGATCGCCGTCTGGACTAGCATTGGCATCGTTGGCGTCTACACATCTGTGATTACTACCATGCTGTTTGTCAACTGCAGCCCACCTCGCAAAGCCTTCGACGTCACTATTACCGAGGGACACTGCATCGATGTTGCGATTCTGTACATCGCGACCGCCGCATCCAACATATTTACAGACTTGATCCTGTTTATCTTGCCTATTCCTACCGTGCTGAAACTTCGAATGAGCAACGTACAGAAGATTGGTGCGATGTGCGTCTTTGGCATCGGATCTGTGTACGTTACCACCAGACACATGAATCAAACCGTCGCTGACCTAGTGCAGGACTGTCGCCACGTCAATAGTCCGTCTAGTTCTGCTCTTTCCTGCTCTGGCCAGCACGGACATTACCTGGGATGCCGCTCCGGCAAACATCTGGTCGTAAGTCTTGACAGTGCCTACGCTCTCGAAACACGCATACCTAACCCTACAACAGCTTCCTCGAAGCGAACTTGTTCATTATATGCGGCTCCTTCCCTACCCTGCGCAAGTTCTTCAAGCACTTTGCGCCCAAGCTCATGGGCTCCTCGAACCTCTCCTACGGACGATCCCACTCCTACGGGCCTTCCGCCTACGCGAACGCACAGTCAGGTGTCGGTCGGCAACGGAAAGATCGAAGCCAATACGAGCAGTTTCCCGACGAGAACGAGATGCGCACGTTTACGTCCAAGACCCGCGAAGGCGACAAGGAGCGGGGTGTCACGATGGCTACGGTGGATGCTGGAAGCATGGTTGACCAGGACACGGACGGGCACAGCGACAAGGCAATTCTTCACGGCGACAAGGCGATCATGCAGACGACCTCTTTTACCGTTCGCTACGATTAGATAGCGGTAACGCCTTTGTGTGTTCAAGTGATGGGTGGATCAGATCGGTACGATACACCTAGGTAGCTCGGCAGCAGTCTTCACAATCTCAAATAGACAAGGCGTATCGCATAATTCCCATCACAACTGCCCCTGGGCAACGGAGCTCCCGCTGTGTGCTAGCTTTTGTTTCCGCGGCTCACGAACTTGTAATCATCGGTGAGACTCCGACTGGTTGGACTCGAGTTCGCAAACTGATTAGCACTGGCCAATACCATAAAAGCCTAACCAGGTTTTGACAAGCATGTTGTCGTAATCTTCCTTGCCAAGCAGTGATTGCGGAACTCGGCGTCAGTGCCGGACAAGGTCATTCAAGGTGACATCGTCACTATGAGGAACCCGCTGGGAGGGTCCTGCCAAGCCCTACGAACCTTGCGGAGATGCTGTTACGTACAAGAAAAGCCAGTTTCATATTGTGGCACTGCCTGTCTCGCTTGTTATTTGGATTGCATCTTGTGTTGTTTCAAGATAGATGTTGTTCTGGATAAACTCGTCCCACAAGTCTTGCCACATTGTAGCCCGGAATTGGAAACTAATTCGATATCGGAAAATTCATTCATCGCCCACCTTAAAGACTTAATGTTATGTATGGTCTTAGACAGTACTGGACCGGGCCTTGCTAACAGTGATCTCCGACTCTCGCCCAGAGTGGCCTAGCTTTCAAATTTCCGCACCCGTAATGAATGCCCAAGACTAAAAGTCCACAGTCCATCGCCCTGGACTGCTGTGCCTCTTTTCGCATGGTGCTGTGCCTCTTTTGCACGGCGCAAGCGATGTTGCATAGCTTGATAGTCCATCAGGTCTCCCTCGCATCAAAATAACTCGCCTGTACATAATCCCGAGAAGTTACCCCGGTCAAACCTTGCCTAGCCAGCTGGCTAGATGAGACCCTTACTGTGAAATGACCTCCCTGTGAAAGGCTTCAGCGCCGAAGGATTGGGTTCTGATTAGGTACGCGAGATGTAACATGTATGGTAAATAGCTGGTGGCCAATTTTCCGACCGCGAACGCTACCTTGGGCGAGGGGGGTGGCATATCAATACCAACAACTGAGTGGAGATAATATTAATCTCCAATTCTAAGTGCCTTCAGCCTCTCCTTCATCTCAGCGTGTGCCTGCAACCATTCTTCAGTGTATGGGGGCATCCTCTCATCCACAAGCTCGTCAGCGGACCGGTTCACCCATGCCCTCAAGCTGTCTGCATATCCAAGCTCCGCTCCGTCGTCTTTGAGGCTGTGAAATGACCGCCCAACCCCTTTCTTGGTCTTCTTTTGCTCGTACGCCGCCCGCCTTTCCGCCACGTCGGGAAACGAGACCCGACCGGCAAAGGCACGGGCCACGGCTTGCGCTTGCACGTCGAACAGGGCAAACGTGGCGACATGGAACGGCACTCCGACAAAGGCGAGTGTCGGATCTGGGATATAGAAGATGTCGGCGTAGAGGTTATGCACCATGTCACCGTCTGCAGTGACTAGGATGTCGTCGCTCGCTTGCTCGGCAGTGAGGCTATCTTCATGCAGGTGTGCCAAGAAGGGGTACGACGTGATGTAGCCCGTCGACACAATGACTCGATGGAATCCTTCCAGTTGTGTTCCATCGCTTAGCAGAATACGCCCAGGTATGGTATCCGATTTGTTCAACGTAGCCGAGCTCGGGACCGGACTGTTCTCAAAGGCGGCTACTTCGCCTACACGCATGGCCGAAGGCGGCAGCAAGGTCTCAGGAATATCGAAAATCCCTCCCCTACAGCTCTGGATGGTTGTGCCACCGACACGATCCAACTCTCTCGCGATATCCCAGGAGGACACACCAGCCCCAATAAGGAACACCTTCTCGCTTGCAAAAGGTTCTGGTGTTCGATATCGCTTGGAGTGCATCACCCTGTCTGGCCACGTTGCTTTCCACTCTGCCAGGCCAGGGATCGCTGGGATCCTGGGCATGTTGTAGTGACCAGAGGCGACAACAACGGCGTCGAACACCCATGACTGCTCTCGAAACCGCGGTCTGTGGGAACTGTGCTCCAATACCAAGGTCCGTACTGTCCAGGTGTCCGAGCCAGTGTCCTTATTGATTTCCTCCACCCTGGTGTTGTACAAGGTGACTTGTTCGACTCCTGTATCGCGGGACAAGTTCTGAATATACTCTTCAAGAAGCTTCTGACTGACAAAGTCTTCTGTGCCTTCAGGATAATCTCCGAGGATGCTTTTCATCAGCCTTGTTGGCACATTGTTCTTCAGCCCGAAGTAGGCAGGCCCGGGTGGCGCATGTTCTATCTCCGCGGCTGACATCCTCTTTGTGTCGTCCACGGCCATAGATAAATCTGTCTCTGACTCGTCATATCCGGGGGGCGGCGTCGCATATGCGTGCCGACCGGCAGGGCTTATCTTGTAGTCTCCCTTGGATGGCGACTCGTTTGGGTACGACGGATCTGGCGCCGGCCGAGGATCGTAATGCCATACGCCGCCCGCGATGCCGGAACGCTCGAAGACAGTCACTTCGAGACCTTGCCGAAGTAAATGAGCTGCAGAGCAGACGCCACTGATGCCTGCCCCTACGACAGCCACACGTTTAATATTGTTGAGGGCGTCGGGGAGTGGTGCCTGCATGGAGCCCATTTTGTTCAGTGACCTGGTACAAGTCTGGAACGCGGCCTACTCTGTTCGCGAAGGGCAAGAGGACCAAGTGCCAATCAATCAAGCGTCGGTCAACAGTAATCTAAGAATAGGGTGTCCGTGTGGTGCAAAGTTGCAGAGCAAAATAAGATTTGTCTAGCCGTTTGACTGAGTCGCAGCAAGCTCTTGAGAGTCATGCTATCGAGCTATGCCACTATGAGACTTAAAGCCACACGCCATGTGAAGAGACCGCGGCTTGACGGTCAGGTAAGTGGCAAACTGGGATAAATATCTCTGTCAGTAGTTCTACATAGAGTTGTTATTCTTATCTCATACGAACAGGAATCGATGCATCTAGTGGACTGTCGATCGGATAGGTCGGACGATTGGTATGGCGCAATTGAGGGGTTGAAATTGGCAATGGGACGCACGATGGCCGAAAGACAATCAAGTCAAAAGCACCCTGTTATACGAGTTGTCCGAAAATGGCACTAAATCTTTCGTTATTGGTTCTGAGACTGCTTTATAGATAGGACATTGGATGGTACTCTATCGTCCGCAGAATCGAATCAGTCTGCTTGAGTCTTGCAGGCTGTCGGACACAGAGGTAGGGTGATACTAGGCTGAGTATGCATCAACTGAGCTGTGTGTTTGCTTAGGCACGCATCAGTATCGGCGACCTAATGCCTTATACTACGACAGAATCTGAGTCTTCGGCCTGTTCCCTTATCTCCTGCTTGTGAAGATATCGCACGACAAAAGACACTATGATCAGCCCGAGCCCGACAAAAACCATTGTAATGTAGCCTTTGGGATACCGCGGCGCCTCTACTTGCTGCCAGATGACGAGTGGCAGCCAGGCCTGAAAGACATAAGCCATCTCGTTCATGGTGGCCGTCACAAGAGCGCGCTCCTCGTTATCCGCGCTGCATATTTCATGCGCCCACGCAAAGGTAAGACCGCTGATTCCGGAAGTCAGCCCCGCGAGCATGAAGCACGCCCATTTCCATCTGTCCGGCACCTTCCACGCCGCCAAGCTCGAGTTTACAACGATACTGGCTACTCCCGAGAACACAATCGGTGGCCACCGTGCCCCTCTAAATACGGTGTCAGAAGTCCACGCGTATATGAGCGTCGAGATGACCACGATGACTGAGGTGATAGTCGGCCAGACGTTGATAGCAGTGACGCCGTAGCCCTCGGACTTGAGCCACAACGCAAAGACCGGTTGACCGCCAAAGCCTCCGTTATTGAAGAGGATATAGAGCAGTGGCAGTAAGTAGATGTGCCATGACGAGAAGATCTTCTTCACCTTGGCCCGCGTGTACGGACCACGATTCGCGCGCCCTTCGAGCTCCATTCGTCGCTTTGCAAGAGCAATCTCGTCGGCCGTCAAGTACCAGGCGCGTGTGATCTCTGGAACGTCGGGCATTACAAAGAAGCCGGCGATGGCAATTGGCAACGAGATGACGGTGTTGATTATGAAAAGCCACTGCCAGCCCTTGAAGCCGTTGCGCCCATCCAGGTGGTAAACGGCGGCCATGAGATAGCCGCTGAACATGGTGCCTAACGCGGAGCTAGTGTGAAAGATGCATGAGCGTTTGGCGAGCTCATCTTTGCGATACCATGAGCCGATAATGTACTGCATTCCAGGATAGAATGTGCTTTCCGCAAGACCGACGAAGAAGCGAAGAACATAAATCTGGTTGACTGAAGAGCACTTGGCCATCACAATTGTCAGGACGGACCAGACAACCTCGCAAGCAGGGATCCAGTACGATGGGCGAACTCTGGTCAGGATGAGGTTGCTGACTGGGGTTAGTCATGAAATTACTAGAAGGTCACTGAGATTCTCACCTGGGTATTTCGCCCAAAACGTAACCGACGGTCCAGCACGTCGTCATGTAGTTCAATTGGTTCCCATACAAGCCCAAATCCTCCTTCATACCTGAGACAAAGGCATTGTTGACATTGATCTGGTCAAGATACTTGATAAAGTATCCAAGGCTCGCAAACGTCAATAGCACAGCATCAAGCTTTGCCAAGAAACGCCGCTCCTCGGGAGACTTGTCAAATGCATCCCATATGTATGACCGCCAAGTCAGCTTCGGCTTCTTTTGCACAATCTCAGCGGCCGTTTGCTCGTCCTCGATATTTTGTTGCTGTGAGCTTGATGTCGAGGACACCCCCCTTTTCGACTCGTACTTGTTCTTGGCGATCCCAGGAGGCATTGTTTCAACATACCGGGAAAAAAGTGTGCTTGTCCCTGGGAAGCCACAAGATGATGGCTTCCCGGCGGGGGATTTATGTCTATTGATGGAACATTTCGTCTTGCGGCAAATGCCACAAGCCTGGGAAGCTTCGCAGATTCTTACCAGGGTATCACTCCGGCCGCACCATCAGTCTGGCTTGAGGATAACCCCCACGGTCTGATCAGATGTCGCCATCATGACGATGATCCCGTTATGGTTCGTGATTGGCAAGTCAAGCGGGCCATCGCGCCAGTTCCCGAGCAATTGCCGACACAGCAGCTGCATGAGACGCGACGTTATCAATGGCGTGCTCTGCGGAGTAGTTTTGATGTTGTCAGGAGCGGATCTGGTTGGATGCTAGGGTAGCACATCTGCTCGCTTTGCAATTCTTACCCCAACTTTCATCATAGATAGCTTGGAGTTCATCACACCTTGAGATGTAACAACATTGGTAATCAAGTGTTGTATTGTTTGCCAAGGGAGAACAGCGTATATACTGTCTTCTGAGGCGATAAGTTTGAGTCTGCCATCGCGTATAAGCCCAAGCGGAACATATCCTCGACTTGCAAATATCTTTAGTCCAGCAAGTTAGATTCGTAGGAAAGCTTGGCAGCAATCATGGCACCAGCTCCCATTGACCCTGCTATCCGAGATGTAGTGGAACCGAAGAAGGACAGGCTCGGTCTCCCGGATGCCGCCTTTCAAAGGCTCACCAAGGCCGGGATTGACCTGAGCGAGGGCTACCCGTACCGTCCTTCGCGCCCTCTCTACTTACAGGACGTGTACAACATCCGCAATCAGCCCTGGGAGCACAATGAGCGCGGCGCCGCAGCAGACAAGTCTAAGAGCTCGCTATTCGCTGCTGCCACCAAAGTCACTGACCTGACGGCACACATCGGCACCGAGATCGAGGGTCTTCAGCTGCGAGACTTGACGGATCAACAGCGTGATGAGCTCGCATTGCTGATCGCCGAGCGAAGCGTGGTTTTCTTCCGCGACCAGGACATCTCTCCACAGGAGCAGAAGGCCCTTGGCGAGTACTACGGCAAGGTTGAGATCCACGTGTGTGGCCTTTGGACTCACCCCTCATAGCATCATTGAGCTAACCCTCTCCCCAAAACCACAGCCCCAGGTGCCTCAGGTTCCTGGCGTGCCCGGTGTGACAGTCATCTGGCCGGCCCTGCAGGCGACGGAGCGACCGGCCAACTTCCGCAACCCGGGAGGAGCGTCACGGTGGCACACGGACCTCGTGCACGAGCTTCAACCGGCCGGGATCACGCACCTACACAACGACACCGTCCCGCCCGTCGGCGGGGACACTCTGTGGGCAAGTGGCTACGCGGCTTACGAGAAGCTCTCGCCGGCGTTCCGCAAGATCATCGGTGGCCGGTACGCCGTCTACCGGTCGGCCCATCCGTATCTCGACCGTGAGAACCCCCATGCTGGACCTAAATACATTGAGCGCACGCACCCTCTCGTCCGGGTCCACCCGGCCACCGGGTGGAAGGCCCTGTGGGTCAACCGAGCCATGACAGACCGCATCGTCGGCTTCGACAAGGCCGAGAGTGATGCCATTCTGAATTACCTTTATGAGGTCTATGAGACAAATGTGGACATCCAGGTGCGCTTCAAGTGGACACCGAAGACGAGTGCGCTCTGGGACAACAGGCAAGTGGCGCTTCGAGTTCTCGCTGATATCTTATTCCTTTCTAATCTTATCAAAGAATCACCATTCATAATGCAAGCTGGGATTATGGAGGACTGCACCCCCGACACGGAACGAGAGTGACGTCGTTGGCTGAGAAGCCATTCTTAGAACCGGATGCACCAACACGTCGACAAGCTTTGGGTCTGCTTGGGGATGACGAGAAGGAAGATGAGCCTAAGATCGTGGGCTAGCTGGCGAAGTTTCGCAGCGCTTTAACATTGGTACCAATCTCGAATTAGTTTGATTTTGAGGAATGCAAACCCTCGATGGGAAGTTCCATAAAATTGCAATGAACTCGTGCTTAATCTCAAAAGTTAAACCTCTTCATAGCGGGTTGACACCGCATACAACTTCATGAAATACCGGTGACAAATGTGTATTGCTATGGAAAAAGGCTGTCCAGCACCGGCTTAGCTCCAGTGAAGGATGTTCGCAGAGCAGAACCATGTTAGTCCTCTGATAAAGGGAGTAAATCATCATCAAAGATTTCCATTTCGTCCAGGAATGAAAAGTCAACACAGTAGCACTGTTCCAAATGGTTCCCACACCCTTCACAGTGCCGCTTGCTTATGTCCCCTGAGCCTGAAGCTACAGTTTCCGAAAAGGGAAGAACCAACCTACTATGTGAAGCGTCCTGCACCCCCTGGCCGGCCATGACGTCGCCGTTGACGGAGAATGAGAGATCTGCTCCAAAGACCAAGTCTGAAGCGAATGTGTCATGGCCGGGATTTTGACCGAGGAGCATGTTGAGGGGTGGTGAGCCGAAAAAGGGCATAGGTGATGAAACAAACTGGCTTCCAAATATTGTCCCTCCTAATTTACCCACATCATTGCTTTCCAGGCCACAGACCCACGCCATAGTATCTTTCGGGGTGGATTGTTGAGACTGATCGACTGCTTGGTGTCCCAGCTCTTGGGTGTTGGGGTGAGGTGCTTTTGAAATGCTTTCTTCGGACTCAGTGGTTATGCCCTCTTCTCGGTCTCGTTTGCCATCATCAAGGAGACAGTCCCAAAGCTGCCAGTCTTCGTCCATCCATGGGCGATGAGCTCTCAGAATCATCTCAATAACAGTGTGGCCTTCAGCAGCCGCAAACTTGATCGCTCGGATATATTGGCGTCGCTCTTCGTCCGTGGTAGACACCCCCAAGTGCAGGAGAAATTGGACCATTGTCAACCGTCCATGTTCAGCGGCCGCTTCCAGCGCTGTTCTTCCATGTGTGCGACCAGCAGGAGCATTGCAGTCTGCCCCAAGCTCGATCAACCTCCTGGCCAGAGCAATTCGGCCCCGGCCTGCTGCAAGCTGGAGTGCAGTTCCGCCTCGCCATTCTCCTGCTGGCTCATTGACATCGGCGCCTTGCTCAATCAAGGCTTCGATCATGTCGATACTCCCATTTTCTACCACAACCTGGAATGTTGTCCGCTGATAGTGATCCCCAGTCCTATGTATAGGAACTTCCCACATTTTGCTTTCTACCTTGACCCCTAGATCGAGCAACTTCATGATCATTGGCAGGTCTTTTCGAGAGCATGCTTTGCCGAGGTGTGACTCGCATATGCTTCCGCCATTTTGGAGCAAAATCTCAAGAATATCTCCCCTCCCATATTCCACCGCCACCATCGTGTGCCTTTCGGTTACTTCGAAGCCTTGATCTAACATGGATCGAACTACCTTAGGCAGAGCAAAGGCAACAAGGAATTCAAAAGCGCCCTGGGATTCAACCATACTGCAGTCACCCCCCAGTTTAGATGTCAGCAAGAACGCCGCTCTTCTGAATCGAGCCCGTTTCGGAAAACCGGAGGGAAGACTGTGGGTCCTCAACGTTGGACTGAGTTGAATACCGGCATCGGACAAGAGACTTATCAACTGTTCTGATCGACCACAGATGGCGAACACCATAGCGGTACCCTCATTGGCACAGGGCTCAGCGCTAGTCTGGCGTCGACGAAGCAAGTTCTCGATGAAGTGAGCCCCACCATTGAACCGGAACGAGTAAGGCTTACTGACATAAACCGTAACAGCCACCCTCAGTGCTTGACAGTCGTACGCCATGGGATCGTGTTGAAGTATCGCCTCTAGATATATATATCGTTCTTCTTGGATGATCCAACTCAGCAATGAACCGGACCCATGTGCTTGAGCGCAACTCCGCCTGTAGCCATCATCATGGCACAGCATCTGCCGAACATGGCTGGGGTCCAAATCGTGGCGTATGGCATCCTTGACAGTCACCCCCTCCGGCTGGCAGATTTTCTGTAATAGGGAAAGGGGGATCTTCGATTTTCCTGGTCTCTTTGACCTAATGTAGTCCAGTGCCTGTCTGTGCGTGGTCGAACCGCCGTAGTCGAGAAGAAATTCGACGATTTTCCATTGTTTTCTCTCCATTGCCCATCTCATGGGGCTTCTGTATCCATATACAGTGTCTAGAGTGGCGCCTCTGGACAACATGTTTCTGATGACATGGAGAATCTGGTCCTCCAAATTCCAATGGTCTTCTTTCTCCGTACTCCTCCAATACTCTTCGTCTTGCTCTATCGCTAATAAGAGAGCTGATCCTTTGAGACATTCCTCATAGTCCTTCAGCGTGGTAGTATTATCAATCGTAGGGAAGTCTGTCGTATTTTCAGCCAACAATGCCGAGAATAGAATGGCTGACTGCCAATACTTCGAATAGGTTAAGCCGGGGAAAAGTGGGAGTAATTTTTGGATGACCATCCAGTTGTTGTAAAGGTGGGTTGGCTTGCTTTGAATGAATTCGTAAGCTTCACTTCGGTACTGTGGGTATGATTGAGTAATGAACTCCCAGACGTCGTCTTTCACCAGCCAGCGACCTCCACGTGTTGAGAGGAGATACATGATGGGCTTCTGTTGGGAACAAAATGGTACTGTCCAAGGTGCGGCATGCCGGTGTAGACATTTAGCGAGCTGGAGATTCTTTCGCTCTAAGGAAGCTACCAGCATGGATGTCTTGATGGGCCAATACGATATCACAGACCACACAGCCCTGCTGGTGTCAGCCCCCGCCTGGAGGCAACGCTCAATTGCTGCCATATCGCCTTTCTCGAAAGCACTAGTAAAAATCGCCCTGGACAGGCATCTAGCGACTGGATCTTTCGAGTTGAATAGGAGTTCCAGCCACGACTTCTCGTGTTTTACTTGGTGAAATAGATCGCATAGGATGTCGCTGCTTGGCTCCGTAGCTTCGATGTGGTTCGCTATCGCAAAAACCATAACATGGAGAAGTGATAACAGATCTTGACGGGTAGGGAAGGAAACCATACGCAGGCTTTTCTTGTCTTTAATTAAGCCTCCTAAATCTGGCTGTGGCATTGCGAGAAGAAGCGTCTCGGCTAAACCTCGGGGCGACGCATCTTCGATGCACTTTTCTCGGTAGACCATGAGAGTCTGTGCCAGGCCTATCTCACGGTTATCAGTTAGTGTGTTCCTATAATTAGACTTGTACTGGTATTCCATGCTTACGATCAAGCATCCGAGGTACCGGTATAGAAAGAATTAAGCCGCTCGGCCAGGGGGCATCATATTTCCCATGAAGGGCGCGGTGTAAGTCTCGTAAAGGCATACAGAGCTTAGCATTCCGTTGTGTATGAAGTACTATTACGGTGTGAGGAGTCTCGGGAGACACGCCTCCTGGCAAAGACGACGTGTTAGCAACTGGGTGATGTATTGTAAAGATGGGAGACCTTCTCTTACTCTGCTGGCTGAGATTAAATTTGTCGGCGAGCCTCGGGGTATCGTGGCGTCGTAAGACCCCTTGGACTTGTTGCATCGAGTAGATTCTTCCATCATACATTACCGCGCTCTCGTGGTCAACGTGTTTGGTCTCGCGAAGTTCTTGTCCGGCCCGTTTCCAGGCTGACAGATCTGAGCGCCGAACATTCTTTTTCACACGCCACTTCTCCAGACGCTTTCGATATTGTGATTTGCTAACAATCGTCAGCTGCCATAATTGCGTCAATGTCGGTAGGTAGTATACCAACCTGGCGTGCAGTTTGTATTTGTCGTTGATCTTCTTCATGACCTCGCCGAGCGTTTCTGCCTTGTAGAGTTCAAGAATCTCCTCGGCAAGTTCATCGAGCTTGTTTCCCTCCTCCCTCGGGGTGGTCTTTCGCTGCGAGATGGTAGAGTGTGACATGCTGCCGTTCTTGTCCTACGTATCAGTAAGATCTTCGAAGATTGTTGTTTAGGTATTCTTTGGCTTGACAAGGGCTTGACAAGGGCTTGAAATCCCAGGAGGCTTGGGGGATGCTGGGTGAAGAATACGAAAGAGGTTTGGAGTAAATCGCGCGAGACCATAAAACGAGGCGGATGTGCAGGATTTTATGAGCTCACGAGATGTACACTTCTGGCCGCACATCATTGGTTCATCACCAAATGCGTTTTGCGAACCTGACACATTCTTGATTGGCCGATGCCACAATGTTCTTTTTAAAAAAGTGGGTGTTCTCTCACCAGCGTCTTGTCCTCAGCCTCAAACTTGGTCAGCGGAGTGCATTTATCTGGTTATGACCGGAGAGTGTTTGAATGCATTTTTCAATATTTCCGCTGTACGAAGTATAGTCGTGCGCGGTTAGATTCATGACCAAGTGTCTTTTCCGACGTTCTGGACAAGGACTAGATCGCGAGGGCAGTAGGAGGTTTTTAAGGTAATGATCGACAAAAGATTGCTCACAGTTATCGATGCCACGATGGCACTATTCTAGCCCTTAGTAGGGAAAGCTCGTACGTTCTCACAGTAAATGATGCTTTGGAGCTTACTGAGGTAAGAGGCGGGTTTGTAAAGGAAAACAAACCTGCCAAGAGCAGTCGCAGTTCAAACAAGGACACTCGAGACTTTCTTCGTATCTTAGAAATAAAGGAAAGATTTTTAATTATCAGTATCAATGCTTTGGAGATGACAGCTTAGTGCAAGAAATTGGTATCTACGAAGGTACTATATGATACAAAAAGTAGTAGAAGTTGCTGAAAAGAAAACCTCATTCTCAAGCAGTCACGCCAGTAGAGGACTCCTCCAGTGCTCCGCCAGCTACCTCAGCCTCGGCCTTCCCTGCATTGTCTTGCTTTTCGGTACTAACCGCATTAGAAGCCCCAGCCTTGGGCAGCACCTGATCGTATGCCTTGGGAGAAACCTTGAGGAGGACAGCCTTGGTCTCCTGCCACACAACCTTCTGCAGCCTCACGCCTGACTCGTCTGCCATGAAGTCCGGAAGCCTGTTGCCCAAGTCAGCTACGCGTCACTTCGAGCGGCGTTCAAAATCTAGCACATACCCAATCGCATCATAGTCGACGTAGAACGACTGTTTAGCGCCCTCGTGAGCGATGCACGAGTTGACCACCACGTTGGCACACATCTCCGGCTCCCGGCCGAGGAGATACATCATGGGCAGGGCAGACTTGAAGGTCTCGTTGACCCCCTTCTGGACCTTGCACACGCCAAAGTCGGCGCTGTGGAACTGGACGTTGGGGGCCTGCAGCTGGGCGGCCAGCTCGTGGAGAAAGTGGCAGAAGAGCAGCTTGGTAATGCCATACATCTGGTGGCGCGAGACCCAATCGCCCTTGGCGTTGACTGCGCTGAGGTAGGCCGTCGTGCCGTCGGTGGCGGGCGTGGCTGGGGGGGTGGGCATGGCTGAGCGGGACATCCTGCTGCCCAGGGAAGCGATCTCGGCCGCGACGGTGGTGGTGTTGTGCTCGTCTGCCGTCTTTTTGAGCAGCGGCAGGAGGAGCAGAGTCAGCAAGGCGGGTGCGAGGTGGTTGACCATCACGCCTTGGTGGTGAACTGTTGTCAGCCTAGGTCTCACATGGGCGGCGGCGCACCAGATGGAGAAAGTACTTACCGTACTCCCAACCCTCCTTGGTCAGTTGCCTATCGCGCGAAGAGCGAGCGGCGCCGTTTAGTACGACGTCAAGGCGCGGTAATTCCTTGGTCGCGCGGGCGGCGAGCGCCTTGACACTGTCAAAGGAGAGCAGGTCGAGCGGCCAGACGAGGACACGCGTGCCGGACCGGTCGGCGGAGGGTCCAAGAAGCGCCTCCAGCGCCGGCTCTCCTTCGGGGCCCTCCGGGATGCCGCGCACGGCGAGGACGAGCGTCCCGACGCCGAGCCGGATGAGGATGCGGGCGACCTCGCTGCAGACGACGCCCTTGGCGCCGGTGATGAGGACGGTCTTGCCGGCGAAGGACTCGGTCGGCGGCGGGAGCTGGGCTTTGGCTTGGGCCCGCCAGGCGCCCCAGGTCAGCATCGGTGCCATGCTGCTGTTTCCTCCTCAGCGCAGCAGTGATGAGACTATTTGGAGGGAGTCTGTTTCTAGCGTTGCATGCGGTCTTTGTATCGGTGGCGAGCACGTTAGAAGATAGAGCTTCACCCTAAGGATGCCTGGATTTGTCGTTGGAATTCATATGTGACCGATTGAGAACAACATTGCCAAGTTCATGACAGCCATAGGATCATGTTGAAATTACTTTCCAAGGGGCCCTGACCCCCAGTAAAGGAGGACGTGCGGCAGGTAGGATAGTAGCCTAAGGTAGTTTAGTGACTATGTACTCCGTAGCATTGGATGACACAGTCAAGTCCAAAGCCCAAGTAGTGGTGTGGGCCTTGTGAGTCGCTTAGACAGGTTTATCGTTCATACTTAATGTGCCCCAGAAAGCTAGCTGCCAATTCCTTGCCTCGAATCGGTGGGATGACGGCGGGTTAAGACGAGAGGAAAAGAGATCCAAGTGGGGAGAAGCTGGGTATTGGCAGCTCGAATCGAAAGGAGGTTAATGAGTGGTCACGTCAGCCCTAGCAACAAGCCAATCTCTGTCAGAAGAGCTCTCGGTCTGGACGGACGGACTCCTTCTAAGTAAGGTAGCTTCTGGCGATCCCCGCTCGGTGGCAGAGCTAGAATGATGAGCGGTCGATATAAGAAAGTCATAAAGACAGTGTTGTTTCCAGAAAGTGTAGTCAAGGAATTGAAACCAACCATGATCAGGTCTATCCTCGGCTGAAAAGTTCTCTTTCCTCAACAGATGAAGGCGACGATCACTGCTGACGGATCGCGCCTCGGCACGCAGCCCCTGCAACACTGGTACCGAATCCTTGGGAGCCACATGCAGGGTCGCATGCGAAGACCGCGTGTCGTTGCCCGTATCACCGCCATGCATTGCCCGGAGCTTGCTCGAATTTATTGAAACAAAACAGGCACGGCAGTCCCGCAAACAAGTTGCCAGCTCGATGCATTTCCCCTCGAGAAGCCCGACCCGAATGTGTCCTGTGACTGTTGACGTGTCAATCAAGAAAGACATGCTTCTCCAAAGGGAAAACCGAAACAGGGTGTCCGGCGTGGAGCCAATCAGATCATGGGAGATTATGCAAGGGTTTCGGCGCGGTGCATCAATTCATCCTATTCCTGAAGAGAACCAGTCTCTCGGGATGACCCCGCCGCCGAGCTGAATGGACTGCGCCGCTCGCTGGCGGTCGAGCTCATTTGCTTCTGATTGATCACTCGAGCTTCTTCAGTCCCGTTTGAACCCAGGTCCTGCCTTCTTACGGAGCAAGCAGCAAGCAGCACAGCACCAAGATCTCTAGTCACGACCATGGGGATCCTAGTCCTCGCCATCGCCGCGGCCCTCCTGTACTACGTCGCGGCCACGGCCCGCGCCTGGCTCCGCCTCCGCAGCTTCCCGGGCCCTCCGCTCGCCGGCCTCTCGTACGCGTGGATCGCGCGCGCCGACTGGAGCGGCCGCGGCTGGAAGTACTGGCGGGACGCCAGCGCGCGGTACGGCCCGCTCGTGCGCGTCGGCCCCAACGAGCTCATCACCGACGACGTGGAGCTGCTGCGGCGCATGTCGGGCGCCCGCTCCCGGTACACGCGCTCGCAGTGGTACGCGCTCAACCGGCTCGACCCCTACGAGGACAGCATGTTCAGCCACCGCGACACGGCGACGCACGACAGGCTCAAGGCGCAGACGGCGGCCGCGTACAGCGGCAAGGAGAACCCGGCGCTCGAGATGGAGATCGACGACGTCATGGGCCAGGTCAAGGCCCTCATCAGGCGGAAGTACCTATCGCAGGGCCGGACGCTGAAGCCGCTCGATCTCGGGAGCTTGTGTCAGCATTTCACGCTGGACTCGATCACGCGGATCGCCTTTGGCGAGGAGTTTGGCTTTGTTAGAGAAGACGGTGACGTGCACAATTACATGAAAATTGTGGAGGACATAGCTCCATTTATGCAAGTGGCCGCCGACGTACCGATTCTTGCGAGCATCATGTCTTCGCCAATTGTCCTGAAGCTGGCTGGGCCGAGCACCAAGGATAAGATGGGCATTGGGAAATTGATGGGGTGCGTATGCAAGACGCTGATATGATGTGTGATCTCAAATTGAACTCCCCGCCTATACAGAGTCGCCCAAGCCGTCGTTGGAAAGCGTTTCCAACCGGATGCACCCGACCAACGGGATATGCTGGTAAGCAACCGGTCAACATCGAGAGCCAAGACCTGAATATGCGGGTGTGTTAACCAGACTCTCCAGGGTGCTTTTATCCGTCACGGGCTGACCCGGCGTCAGTGCGAGACCGAAGCATTGTTCCAGGTCATGGCTGGCTCCGACACGACAGCCACGGCCATTCGCACGACTATGCTCTATATCATGACCACACCTCACATTTACACCAAGTTGCTGCAGGAGATCAGTAATGCTATCCGGGATGGCAAGGCCTCCAAGCCCATCACGTCAGCCGAAGCAGAGAACCTGCCGTATATACAAGTAAGTATCATATGCTGACATTGTAGCATGAATCTCCTGTTGACGCCTCATCTCAGGCCATCGTATTTGAGGGCCTCCGCATCCATCCTCCCTTCGCAGGCTTGGCCATGAAGCAGGTGCCGCCAGAAGGAGACACGTTCAATGGCAAATTCATCCCTGGAGGAACGAGGATCGCAGCGAGTATCTGGTCTCTTACACATTCGAAAGCCATCTTTGGAGCCGATGCTGAGCTGTTCCGTCCCGAGCGCTGGATTGAAGCGGACGAGGCCACGCGGAACGAGATGCGGAGGGCGACCGAGATGGTCTTTGGATACGGCCGTTGGGGCTGTGCTGGGAAGAGCATTGCTTTTATGGAACTGAACAAGATCTTCTTTGAGGTATGTCGTGGCTGCTACCCTGCACTTCTTCATTCTCACATGCTGTGATCACGATCTGACATGTTACTCGCTATGAAGCTCTGGCGAGAATTTGACTTTCAGCTTGTCTACCCTACAAAGCCGATGGAAGTTGTAAACCACAATCTCTTCCTCCAGAAGGAGATGTGGGTAAAGGTCACAGAAAGAGATGCTATTTAGGGTGTAAATTGCATCATTTCAGCTGGAGAGCTGCAAGACAATATGATCCCTCTATACATAATGTAATCATTTCCGGGTCCGTCCCAAACGCCGACATTTGATATGGTCTAAACCTTAGGAAGTACCATGATAAAGATGGACCCGCGATCCGCCCAGTCTCACCTCACTCGGTCCTTTCACTTGATAACTATCCCCGCTGGTTACTCCGGTAAGGCTCGTAAGATTCCAAATTCCTCCCGTGTTCTCGGTTGTCCGCCATACTCCCCATCGGAATATACTCCGGCCGACCTCCCACGTGTCTAGGCTCACTCTGGTCGCTAGCCCAGCGATCGTGACGCTCCATCTCGCGCTCGAACCGCCGCTCCCGCCCGACGTCGAGCTGCTTCTCGACCTGCACGTACTTGTGCTGGCCCCAGGTCGACACGCGGTTGAGCAGCTGGCCCACCGGCGACTGGGCCGTCCTGTCGGCGCCGGCTCCCTCGTACGCGTCGCGGCCGGTCACAAGGATGTTGCCCGCCTTGCCGCCGCCAGATTTGCCCGCGTTGTGCCGCAGGACGACCCACTCCCGCGGTGCCGGCCCGGAGGAGGACGCTGACCATCTGTATAGTCTGACTGCGAGGATGATCGTCGAGACGAGGGAGAGGGCGAACGCGGTCCACGTGATGGGGATACCGCCTCCGGCGATCTTCGCGTTGACGCCAGCATCTGAGAAGTTGGCGTTGATGGCTTTCACGATCCGCTGGGCGTTGATGGTGGCCGCGACGTTGGCGCCGAGCAAGAAGCCGGTGCCCAGACCAGAGAGGGCCAGGGTGACGAAGGCAGTGCCCTTGCTGCGGTTTCCCGCTAGGCCCAGGGTAGCGGCTAGTAAGGTCGCTACGGCGGCGATGATGTACTCTGGCGCGATGAAGCGATGGCTGTTGCGGTATCGAATCAGGCTGCGCGAGTACGAGTTTGCATCCGAGACTCGATAACCGGTGCCGTCAAGGTGCAGGTCGCTGCCTGGGCTAAAGTTGAGCTTGAGGTTGGGCGTAGAACAAACAGTCTTGGATGGAAAATCTGCGCAAGAGTTGAGGATGTTGACTGTGTATGTCTGGGCCAGCCCGAGGGACGAAGCAGTCGCTTCCTGCCCGACGAGGTCGATGCCGCTCACGGCTGTGAGATCCTGGAGAAACCCTGAGCCTGCCAGGCTCGAAGGGACGCTGAGTTGAGATACGTCAACCTATTTCGCGTTAGAAACGGGTTTTCTGGCCAGATGCGTTCAAGATATCTTACCTTGAAGTAGTACAGCGCTGTGAGAGAATTGTTCACTCCAGCAAGTAGTGCCAACAAGATGAGGAGCACTGTCGTCAGTCCGAGGAGCGTCGGGACAAGACTCGTCACACTCGGCTTCAGTCTTTCGTGTCTATTCGCCCACTGCGCCATCTTGAAAGTGGTTGTCGACGACGTGATGGTTAAACCTTTTCCTTGTGCGCTTGTCCGACAATGTTAGCAGATCGCGAGTGTGTTGATGTTGAATGTGGATCGGCCAGGCCAGACGAGTGCCAATTCTTGTATTCACTTCTACTTCGCATTAAGCGAAGACGTGTCCCAATTATGTTAGTCGTATTCCAGAAGGCACCTCTTGAACGTCAGGTATGATGTGGCAAAGATGCTGAGGTTGTTTTATTCATAAAGTGAGGCCTGCCCGCATGCAGACTTGGCTGCATGGCACTGCATGGCAGAAGATGCAGGGTTCTTAAAATAGGACTGCAGCGCTTACACGACCAATCCATGCCAGTCCCAAGTCCAATGATGGCTAATTGTAACTCTTTGTGGGTTGTTATACCACACCCATTAATCCTTATTTCTATCCGACCGGCCGCGGGCCAAGCGTTTCAGATTTGGACAGTCTAATCCGAGCCCGCACCTTGCAATCTTTTTCCCTTTCCCGTTCCGAACAGTTGGCAGCCACCAAGAATAACGTCAGCCTCATTCGTTGCCCTGAATCTCACCGGCAACCAAAATGGCCGGCCGGGATGGATGGCATCCGACTCTGTTCCGGACCACAGCCACTTACTAGCCGCGTAGCCGCTGCCAGTCCCCCAAAATAGCAAACCCCTGTATTTTAATATTAGCGTCCCTTATTCAATATCTGTAAGTAAGACTTAGTTTGTCTTGGCACGTTGCTGTTATGGCCGGATGTGGATGGAATACAAATGGCAGTGTGTATAACACTCGATTTTTTTCGACTGCTGAACAATTTGGAGTTCAAGACTTCTTACACCTCACTCTCCTGTCTCACAAGCACCAATCATGTTGGCCAACTCGATAACAGCATTTGCGCAGCTCGCTGTTCTGGCCGCCGTCGCCAGAGCTGGCCACCATGAAGTTGCAGTCGGTAAGGACAAGCAGCTCAAGTTTGTCCCAGAGACGTTGAACGCGGCCATCGGCGATACAATCACATATTCGTTCTTCGCAAAGGTAATAGGGAATCTTCGTTGAGGGCCGAAGAGTTCACTAACGTACGTCCCTGGCTTGTAGAATCACTCCGTGACACAATCATCCTTTCAGGATCCATGTCATCCCTTGGAAGGCGGCTTTTTCTCAGGCTTTGTCCCGACTGCATCAGAAACTGAAGCCTCCCCGACGACCTGGACCATCACAGTCAAGGACTCGAAGCCCATTTGGATCTACTGCGGCCAAACAACTGGCAACCACTGCCAGTCCGGCATGGTGCATGCCGTCAACGCGTGCGTGGCCTGGCCTGAACAAATTAATGGATGTAATTACTTGTCGTTACTGACCCCGTGCGCAGGCCGGCTACTGGAAACACTTTTGACGCCTACAAGTCGAAAGCCGCTACGGCATCGACAAGCACGTCTCCCGCAGATGGTCTTCCTGCAGGAGGTTCGCGTGTTGTGCACATCACCGTAGCTCTAGACAAGTCATTGACTTTCTCTCCAAACGACATTACGGAACCAGTCGGGACCGTGGTCGAGTTTGCCTTCAACCCAGCGGTAAGTACTAGAAGCTGCCTCATCTCGCAACCTCTGTCTAACTTCATCCAGAATCACACCGTCACACAATCGTCATTCGATGATCCATGCCACCCGCTCGCCAACGGCTTCAGCAGCGGCTTCATTCCGACCTCAGTATCTCCCTCCGGAGTTCTCTTTGACATTGTCGTCAAGGACACCAAGCCGATATGGTTTTACTGCGGGCAGCCTAACAAGAATCACTGCCAGTCTGGAATGGTCGGGAGCGTCAATGCGTATGTGTTCCCCGTTTTCCAGATGTTGAAACACTGCTGACAAACTCCAGTCCTGCCAGCGGAAACACTCTCCAAGCCTTCACAGACAAGGCCAAGGGTGCTGCCGCAAGCACCATCCCACCCCAGGCACCTCTCGGGGGCACTCTTATCGTCAACGGAACGGTTATCCCCACCCTGAACGGCAACGTCCTCAATGTCACCGCTCTAGACAGCGGCATGCTCAAGGACATCCCACCGCCCGGCCAGGCCCTCCCTCCCCTCGTCGGCGGCATGGCCGGTGGAGGCCCACCCAATAGCTACAACTGGGCACCGCAGATCTCCGACAACTCCACCGCGGCCCTGCAGCTGCTGCAGTTCCTCGACAACGTCCTCCTCGAAGTCCTGTTCGAGGGCTTCCTCAAGGTGCGCGCCGGCGGCGAGTGGGCGGGCGTGTACCCGCGCTCCATCGTCGACACGCTCGGCGCCCTCGCCGCGCAGGCCCTCGTCCACCGCTCCACGGCCACCGACTCCCTGCAGCACTACAAGCGCGACCTCATGGGCGCCTGCACGCACCGCCTGCCGAGCGGCAACGGCACCACGACCAGCACCGGGGCCGAGGCCTTCATCGACGCCGCGCTGGCCCTCGTCCTGGTCGAGATCGGCGCGCTGACCGACGCCGTCACCGTGGCGGCCGTCTCGGGCGACCAGTGGCTCGTCCCGGCCCTGGCGACGCAGATCGGCGCCAAGAGCCGCATGGCCGGCGTCCTGGAGATGATGCGCGGCCGGGCCCCCGGCGCGGCGCCCCGCGAGGCCCTGCTGCCGGCGGGCCTGGCGTACAGCTTCGTCGCGAGCAACTACGTGTCCAAGTGCCCCGACGGCGACGCGGCGGAGAAGAAGTGGGGCAAGGCCCTGCCCGCGCTGCAGGTCTCCGGGTCGCGGCGGACGATGCCCGGCGGGCGCAAGGCGAGCATCACCGTCGCCGTGCCCGAGGGCGCCAAAGGCGACATGTGGGTTGCCTGGGTCGGCGCCTGGGGGTCCCTGCGGTTCACGAGCGTACAGGTTGACGGCGGCCAGGGCACGGCCGATGTGCCGGCGGATCTGGGCGGTCATGTGTGGAGTGTGCTCGTGACGAAGAAGGACGTCAAGGCGCAGGAGCTTGCTGGCGTGGCAGTCGCAGGACCCTCTTTAGTCTGGGTCTCTGAATCGCGAGAGATGTGAGTGATAATGAGCATGCGGTGAGGCGTTTGTGGAGTTTTATTTTCTGGAGATCATCATTCTCTTTGGTGCACCGACGAGATACCCGTGTGTATGAGTTATCCTCAATATCATTTTGTACTATCTTTATGACTCTTACTTTTCCTTGAACGAGATTATCGTAAACTCTGACTCATGGGTCGTTCACTAAGAAATGCTTCAGAGAAGGCAAGTTGTCAATGCTCAACCCTCACTCGCTAGGCTCAGGGACAAGCCTTCGATACGCGGAAGCTTAGCTACTCAGGCCCGGTCCGAAGTTCGATTGTGACCGATCTAGATGCCACATCGGGAACCATGCTTGGCGAATCATTTATGGTGGCGGCCATTAAAGGTCCGTGATATGGGGCTATGGTGAAGAGTCTCAGCCCGGCTAAATGTGTTTATTGATCTAGGCGGGGATGGATCTCTTGTAAGTACAAGCCGATACCATCCCCTTATCATACACAATCTCCCACAGAAGTTCATTACCAGGTACAGGTGGCACTATTTAAGCCAAGTCCTCGCCATCCCAACCTCCAGTCCTCTGACCCTGTTCCTCCGTGGCAGTTACTGGAAAACGTCAAGCCGTCGCCAACATGGTCCGCAACTCCATGCTCCCCCTGCTTCTGCTGGCAGCCATCGGCACAGCTGCACCCGCCGACACGCTCTCTCCGCGCGGCCCGACCCCAACGACCCTGCAAACCGGCCAGCTCTGGATCCGCGCCGTCGCCGCGCCCAATTACCACAAGTACCTGCAGACCAAGCCCGCCAACGAGCCCGGCGTCGCGATCATGGACTCGTCCAGGACGGCGGGCCAGTTCAACATCGTGGACGGGCAGCTCGTCGAGGCCACCGGCGGCGAGCCGCTCTACATGCACGTCGAGAAGCCCGCGGACCTGACGCAGCGGAAGCTGTCGACGTGGTTCAACACGACCAAGAACGACTTTGGCACGTTTGTCTTCTCCGGCGACGCCGTGACGTGGTCGACGCCCGAGATCAAGCGGCAGAACCTGGCGGCGTGGCTGGTGTGCCAGAAGCAGGCCTTGTTCATCAACACGGGGGCGTATTCCTACCAGACCCCGGCTGGGTGTGCGGACCAGACGGTGAGTATTCCTGTAATCTGGTGGCTGATGGTCTATACTAATCTTGTTTCGAGATTCATTTCTACAATGGCGCTACCGCCAATGATTGAAGTTTCTAGGTCGAGTTTTGGAGGAACAGGACAGCGCGAATGAAAAGGCTACAGACCTCAAAACAACGAAGAACAATTGGGGCAGGTTGACAGGTATGGGCTGAGAAGGGCACTAAGTAGATCAGTAAGCACGCCTTAAAGCACTACTAGGATAGCTTAGACTTTACAGCCGCTATGCAGGAGCATATATTGTAGGCGCTTTCCAGTGAGTTGATCACGCACTTGATATAAGAGTTTGGCAACTATATACTGCCCTTCAAGCCCGGGCTCGGGCAGGATGTCTCGGCCGGTAGGGCTGTATATATATGTGACCAAAAGATGCTCAACAACCGTCAACTTCTCTGCTCCTAAAAGCTCCTAAAATGATTAATGCTTTTGGAGCTTCTTCTTCCCTCTCATTGAACATTAGAGCCCTCTTGTGGCTGTGGCTGACTGCGCTTGCTAAAGTCTGCCATGTCCTATTTCAGAGTCGACTTGGCTAGCTGGTACACTCTAGCCGGATGGCCATGGTGGCTACCAAGTAGTAACTGATCAGAATAGCAGCGCCCTATTCGCCAAATAGAATCTCGACTTCCTTTCAGTGATTGAGCTTAAGGCAGATAACTTCCGCATCGCGAGAACAGGAGATATAGAGAAGCTATGGCTGGAATCGAGCCTTTGGAGCCGGCACTACCAGTGTTTGGTGCGAAGCCCATCTTCTTCAAGGACGGCTGTGCGCTCGTGATACACATGCATCCCTCGGCCATTGACGAGGCGGCTTGTCCAGTCTTGCCAACCGCCTTGCCTCCCATGCCCGCGATACCCTTCGTGGCACAACCCCTGGAGTTATTGAACCGGCTGGGAAGTGTCTGTCTGCCCTACTTACAGGCAACACAGTTATGCTCATCAGAGTCAATTGCGGGTCGAAACTCCACGACAACACGTCGGAGAGCCAGAAGCGGACACCTAAGGTCCCGGCATAGTTTCGTCTCCGGCGGCAGAACTCAAAGAATTCACCCAGCCATGCGAAGGAATGTCGGTATCGACTTATGAAGCTTTCTCAGCTCTATGGCGGAGTTTAATCATCATGTATAGCCTGAGGGTGTACACATCGATTCTCTCTGGGCATGTTTGTATGGAGGGACAGGGACATCTTTGTGCGGGAATCTGTTATGGAATCACAGGATTAATGACGTCCCTTGTTTTGCGGTGACTGGCGGTATCGATGCAGACGAAAAGTATATTTGCTACTTCTATTCCAGTCTGATGGCAAGTCCTGCACCTAACGGGGTCATCCTATTGGATACTGACAGTCGGCCTGGTCACGTACCTGGGTAGCATTACGGCCTGCACATGCAATGGCGATCACCATTTCAAAAGCCGAATGCCTGGACACGCCCCAAGACCGCACGGATTTAGGCTGCCGCACCCACCTGCAAACCCAATTTCTGGCCGTTGCAATGAGCTGACCGTTCGGGCAGGTCCTTCGACCTGCAATTTAATTGACGCGAGATCCCGTGGCCCACGGCGCGTTAAGAGCTGCAGTATTGCACCGAAATGCTGTCACACGCATAGCCAGTCCAGTATTGAGCTAGCTTACCAGATAGATTGATCACAAGCTCGTGAAAAGCAGACCAGGTGACACTGTTCAAAAGGTAACGTCCTTCCCAGGGTATCATTCGTGAGATATGTCTCGCGTCCAGCTTGCGGAGATGATGACGTCTCTCCAATCCCACCTCGCCAACTTGATAAGGAAGCTCCCAGAACTGTCCGATGCAGTCCCGTATCTCGTGCCTAGAGGCGCGTCCGTACTCCCGTCCCGGAGCTAGCTCACTGCATGAGCTCCGGTGCACCCGCATGTGCAGATTCCCGGTTCACAGATGATCGACGGACCAGGCTTATAAAAGCTGGGAGATTGACCACACAAGCCTCCAACGACATCTTGGCATCCTAGACCTCCCAGTCAGGTTATTACGATGAAAGACATCACCTTTAAGCTCCTTGCCAGCTCATGGCTTTCCGGTGCCGCCGGCCTCGCAGCAGCCGAGCAAGCCTTCGACCCCTTGATCTTTGTCGACCCCTTAATCGGCGCGACCAACGGCGGTAATGTATTTCCCGGCGCCTCCCTACCCTACGGCATGGCCAAGGCCGTCGCCGACACCAACAGCGGCTCCAACCAGGGCGGCTTCGCCCTCGACGGCTCCAACGTTACGGGCTTCTCTACCATGCACGACTCGGGCACCGGGGGCAGCCCCTCGCTGGGCAATTTCCCTCTGTTCGCGTACGCGTCCTGCGACGGCTGGGACGTCGACCGCTGCGCCTTCCCCAAGAAGGAGCGCGCGAGGTACGGCGCCTTCGGCAACGGCACCGTCAGGGCGAGCCCGGGCTTCTTCGGGCTCACGCTCAACAGCGGCCTGCGGGCCGAGATGACGACCAGCATGCACGCGTCGCTCTTCCGTTTCACCTTCCCGACGACGGGGGTCGACGGCCGGCCCTCGCAGCCGCTCATCCTGCAGGACCTGACGGACCTGTCCGACTCGCGGCAGGACAACGGCAGCGTGAGCGTGGACGCGGCGACAGGGCGGGTGACGGGCAGCGCGAGGTTCCTGCCCAGCTTCGGCAGCGGCAACTACGTGCTGCACTTCTGCACCGACTTCTCGGGCGCCGACGTGCTGGACAACGGCATCTTCGCCAACAGCCGGGCCAGCGCGGCCGTCAAGAACCTGACCATATCGAGGTCCATCAACGGCTACCCCCTGCCGGGCGGCGCCTTCACGCGCTTCTCCTCGGGCGCGAGGCCCATCCTCGCGCGCGTGGCGACGAGCTTCATCAGCGCCGAGCGGGCGTGCGAGCACGCAGAGTCGGAGATCCCGGACTTTGACTTTGACCGCGTGCACGCCGCGGCCGTCGACGCCTGGCGCGCCAAGCTGAGCCCCATCGCCGTCTCGACCGAGGGCGTCGACCAGGGCCTCGTGACCAACTTCTACAGCGGCATCTACCGCACCATGATCAACCCGCAGAACTACACGGGGGAGAACCCGCTCTGGCCGACCGGCGGCGGCGCGGGCGAGCCCTACTTCGACTCGTTCTACTGCCTCTGGGACTCGTTCCGCAGCCAGATCCCCTTCCTGACGGTGCTCGACCCGGCCGCCGTGGCGCAGATGGTGCGCAGCCTGATCGACACCTTCCGGCACACGGGCTGGCTGCCGGACTGCCGCATGAGCCTGTGCAAGGGCTTCACGCAGGGCGGGTCCAACGCCGACAACGTGCTGGCCGACGCGCTGCTCAAGGGCATCAAGGACGGGATCGACTGGGAGGCCGGCTTTGCGGCCGTCGTGAAGGACGCGGAGGAGGAGCCGTACGACTGGTCCAACGAAGGGCGGGGCGGGCTGGACAGCTGGAAGGCGCTGAGTTACATCCCCGTGCAGGATTTCGACTACAAGGGGTTCGGGACCATGACGCGGAGCATCTCGCGGACGCTCGAGTACAGCTACAACGACTTTTGCATCTCGCAGATGGCTGAGAAGCTGGGGAAGAAGGCGGAGAAGGAGAAGTACCTGGAACGCAGCGGCAACTGGGAGAACCTGTACAAGGCGGACCAGGTCTCGCGGTTCTGGAACGGCACCGACACGGGCTTCACGGGGTTCTTCCAGCCGAAGTTTCTGAACGGGACGTGGGCGTACCAAGACCCGCTGAACTGCAGCAACCTCGACAATTTCAGTGTGTGCAGCTTGCAGAACACGGGGAGGGAGACGTTTGAGAGCAGTATCTGGGAGTACGGATTGTGAGTCTTCCAGCCCCCTGACAACGCCAGGAAGTGTTTGTATGTGTGTATCTCGAATACAGTCCAGAGCTAACCTACCAAACACCCGAAACACAGCTTCGTCCCCCACAACCAAGCAGACCTCATGACCCTCTACGGCGGGCCAGACGCCTTCGTCCGCCGCCTGGACTACCTCCACGACCAGGGGATCACCTACATCGGCAACGAGCCGGCCTTCCTGACCGTCTTCCAGTACCACTACGCGGGGCGGCCGGGCCTCTCGGCGCGGCGCTCCCACGCCTACATCCCGGCCTTCTTCTCGCCCACCCCGGAGGGCCTGCCGGGCAACGACGACAGCGGCGCCATGGGCAGCTTCGTCGCCTTCGCCATGATGGGCCTGTTCCCGAACCCGGGCCAGGACGTCTACCTCGTCACGCCGCCCTTCTTCGCGGCCGTCAACGTGACGAGCCCCCTGACGGGCAGGACGGCGCGCGTCAAGACGGTGGGGTTCGACGGCGGCGCGTACGAGAACATCTACGTGCAGAGCGCGACGCTGGACGGGGAGCCGTACACGAAGAGCTGGGTGGACCACAGCTTCTTCACCGAGGGCAGGGAGCTGGTGCTCACGCTGGGCCGCAACGAGAGCAGCTGGGGCACGGCGGTCGGGGACCTGCCGCCGAGCGTCGGGAGGTATGCCGGGTTCAACGGGACGTTCTCGGCGCGGAGGATGGTGGGCACCGGGGGAGCGAGGAGGTACCGGGGAACGTTTGGGGGGACGGAGGGTGGGAGGTTTGGATGAGAGCCCAGATCATTCATTCACAGGCACTTGGTCACTGGACACAGATAATACAAAGCAACATTTCAAGATCTAAATCATTCACCTGAATTTAGATACTAGATACCCTCTGAACCTGCTTCCACGAGCTGAAACAGCTCGGCAAGCAATACTTCACCAGACGGTATGGGAGAGAACCCTAGGTCCCTGCCTTCCCGTCAACCAAGTCCATGAATCTGCTCTCGAGACCTGGCTCAGAGTTGACCACGACTCAAAACCACCGTTTCCTCCCTCCGTAGCTGCCGCCTCCGCCAGCTGCCCACCTGAGGCAACAGTTATGTGCAATGACTAGACATTGACAAACCAAAGCTCGAATGACTTTAGATTTGAGGCCTCAAGAGGCAAAACTTTATGCACCCACGAGGCTGCAAAAGACCGAAACAAGCTTGCACAAGCCAGTGTAAATGGTCCAAAAGAGAATATAAAGTATCATAAGCGAGTGACATGAATCGAAAATATTGAAGAAAAAAGGAGTTTCGCTGATGTGTGGTGGTTTTGGTAACCGAACGCCCGCCGCCTCCCGAAAACGACTTCCGAGAGATCTGTTGGTGTCTCTCCTTTCTCTCCTCTCTTCGCTGTGATGAACCAGTCCCCCAGCACGACGAAATTAACGCAAAGCGCCTGTGTAAAATGGATCCGTGTCGCAAGAAAGCTGCGGCGCTGCTTAATACGCCTGCCCAGGCACCGGCCGCCGCTCAATGGGACTCCCTGACGCGGCGGGCGGACCGGGCCGGTACTCCTGGTTCATCGGGCTGGGCCCGTGGTGGGAAGGCGGGCTGTGCCGCCGGTTGCCCATGGGGCTCTGCGGCCGGCCCTGCTGCTGCTGCTGGTACCGCGGGCCGGGGCTCTGCGCCCTGGGGCCGGGGCTCTGGGGCCGCCCTTGCTGCTGGTGGTGGTACCTGGGGCCGGGAGACTGCGCGCGGGGGCCGGGGCTCTGCGAGCGAGGGCCGCCGGGCCCGGGCCCGTAGGGAGACTGCGGGGGCGGGTGCTGCGGCGGCTGGTGGCCTGGGCGACCGGCGGGGGACTGGGGACGCGGGTAGCCGGGACCACCGCCCTGGGGCGTCATGGGCCGCTGGCCGGGGGGAGGGTAGTTGGGGCCCGGGCCGCGCTGGGGGTTGACGGGCGGGCCGGGGCGGGGGCCGGGACCGTGCGGGCGCGGCTTGACGGGGCGGGTGGACAGGCACGTCCTGGGGACGACGCCCTGCTGGGAGCGGTCGAGGCGGATGCACAGCGCCTGCGACACACACATGGACACGTTAGTACAAAAAAAAAATCACTTCACCAAAAGATGTTTCTTCTTCAGACACAAAAAAAAAAAATAAGACTTACCCATCCATCGTCGTACTCGTGCAGCAGGCGAATCAGCTGGCCGGCCTTGAGGTCCATCTCGTCCTCGAGCGTGGCCTTGAAGTCGAGCTGCACGCGGTGCACCGTCGAGGAGGGCGGGCCGCCCGCGGCGGCGATGGCGGCGGCACTGGCCGAGGGCGCGGCGGGCTGGTCGGGCGAGACCATGGTCATGCTGAACTCGGTGCCGGCGGGCGACGGCGGCACGGCGGACAGGGTGGGCGGCAGCGTGAGGTCGAGCGCCTTGGGCGCGTCCTTGCGGATCGAGGCCTTGCGCTTCATGCCGCCCGCCGCGGCTCCCGCAGCCGCGCCGGCCACGACGCCGGCCATGGCGGTGCCGATGGGCGACGTGGGCGAGGCGGCGGTGGTCGACTCGGTGGGCACGGGCGGCAGCGCCGCGTTCTGGCGGGCCGCGGTCGGCGTGTGGAGGCGCTCGGCGCTGTCGCCGAAGGGGTTGGCCGGGTCGGCCGACTCGGAGGGGCGGCGCTCCCACGCGCTCGCGCCGCCGCCGCGGTTGCTCATGCCGGGGCTCTGCACCATGGCGATGTTGGCGCCGCGGCTGGCGCGCCGGTCCGGGTACGACCCCCCTGCGGCGGCGGCGGCGGCGCCGTCCGGGATCGCGTGCTGGTCGCCAAAGGGCCCGTGGCCGCCGTTGAGCTTCTCGTCGTCGGCGGCGCGCCTCTTGTCCATGCTCGAGCGGCGCTTCTTGAAGACGAAGAAGACGGCGAGGATGATGAAGGCGATGCCGCCGAGGACCCCGAGCGCGATGCCCGCTTTCGCGGCCGTGCTGTCGCTACCGCCCGACGATGCGGCCGCGGACGGTGTGGCCGTGGCGGGCAGGTTGAGCGGCGTGCCGGCCTGCTGCCTCTGCGTCTGCGTGGGGGCGTTGGTGTCGACGGCGAGCTGGCCGCTGACGTTGGTCGGGCTCTGCGTGGGGACGATGGACTGCGGCAGCGGGCCGTCGGTGGCGAGGGTGTCGCCCGCCCTGCTCGAGGACTGGGCGACGGCCTTGGCGGCGATGTTGGTCGTTGGCTTGGCGTCGGACGCGGAGCTCGTGCCGACCTGGGCCTGGGCTTGGGCCTTGGGCGTCTCTTTGGCTGGCGGCACCGTCGTCAGCTGGCCCTTGAAGCCCTCGGGGGTCTTGGTCATGTAGACGGTCTTCGTCGAGGGCGCCTGGGGCTGCGGGGGCTGGGGCGGGTTCTTTGGGTGGAAGGCGTCGCCGACGGCCTTGGTCATCGAGTCCCAGCCGTCCCTCCACGGGTTCTGTCGTGCGCCGTGCAGGTGCACGTGTTGATGGCGATGCATTTTTGAAACCTGTGTGTGTCGTGTCCCGACTCTGTGGTATTTATTTCGTAATCCTGGTTTGTCGTCGTGATTCGAGTTTTGCCCGAAGCTGAGCTTCTTTCTAACCCCCGGTGGACGCAAGTCGAGGCGCGGTTCACACTTGTCGAAACGCTAGAATTAAAAGAAAGAATTAAACTTCGTGGCCCGGCGTTTGAGATGTTGTGCCTGTGCCTCTTCCGGCAAATGACGCTGAGCCGGCAGAGCGAAGACGTGTCGTCAGTGTGTGTTCGTGGCGTGGCGGACTGGAATGCTGGCAGTCGCGCGACTAAGAATGCGGTGGTGTGTCTGGGTTCAAGGAATGAATGGGCTTCCAAAACAAGGTGTGGCACCGATGGATGGCAGCAGGCTTGGGCGTCTTGACTCCTTGGCTGTCGTCGATTATTCTGGATTCTAAAGAAGGGAACGGAACAGTAGTTGGGGTTGTTCTCTACACCGATTGCTGGTGGTGTTGTTGGTGGTGGTCAAAAGAATGGAAGTGGGAGAAACGATGTCTCACGAGCTCTGCAGAGTCATCGGCGGGATGAAGAGGGGAGTAAAGATCGCAGACCTGCAAGAGGGAGAACGAGATCTCACCAGGGAATAAAGGAACGAAGTGACGTTGGAAGGGAGAGAGGCGAGGGAAGGGAAGGGGAGAGAGGTGCGTGCCGGAGCGAGAGAAGAGAGAGAGAGATACACATCCCAAGATCGACAGACCGTTGCAGCGGAGGATGGACTGGTGGGCGGATGAGATTGACAAGAAAAGCGGGCAGTGGGAAGCAGGTCGGGCCACCAGAAAGGCCCTCTTGGGAACCTTTGGGAACCCTTGGGAATCCTTGGGAACGAGTTCAAGGCTTTCCCGGCTTGCATTGCGGGCTGTGTTAGATCACATCGGTGATAGAGGCACAGCGGCCAGGGGAGACCCTTGCGCCCTCATGGAGCCACGCGGTCCTGGAGGGGACCAGGGTGCGTCGACGAGGCTATTCCAGTCCACTACCTTATCCAAAGGGGTGCGATGAGCACAAATCGAGCACAAAAAGGACAGCCAGGGGTGTCGTTGCAAAAACCCCATTGGCTTGCCGCTGTTCCTGGACAGCTAGTGACGATACCCTCCTCTGCACAACTATATGCATGACCAGCGACACATCCATCATCCCCTGAGAAGACGAAGTCGATCCACGGGTCGATGGTTGGGTGATTGGGTGAGAACAGGGATGATGTTCAGTCAGTGTTGGTGTTTCTTCAAGCCCGGCGCCACTCTTCAGGTACGAAGCTCCTGTGATTGGCGCCTTTTTTGGACGAGGGAGACTTTGTGCAGACCAAGCCGGCCAATAAGCGAGATGTGCAGGCTACTCCGTAAGGAAATCCAGGTACAGATCCAGGGGGTGCTCGGGTGGAGGACGTGAGGAGCAACCGGAGGGGGGGAGACCGGCCGGATGGTGTGGAGGTGATGGGCATGACGGACTGCCGCTTTGGTCAGCCCTGCCCCCTGGCCCTGCATATCTAGCTGCATCCGTCTATTGGCAAAAATGGGGTCGTCCCAAGCCCTTCCCATCAGGTTAGTGAGCAGGTGGTGAGTTACGGAGTACCAGAGACCAGAGCGTCATTGTCATTGTCGTCGACAACTTGGATGCCATTCATAAACCCGCATGTCCCGTCGAGTTTTCCCGGTGCGGCAGGCCAGCGACGACGACATTTACCTGGGTAGCATCGCGGTTAGGGTTCGCTTGCCAAACAGCCGGACTACTGCCAAATGATGTACAGGAAGGCAGTGAGAGACGGGCGGGAGAGAGAGAGAGACGAGAGTGTACTCCCGTACGTGGTGCCGCCGCAAATAGAGTGCTTCTGCCTCGTTTCGATACCACCTCGGCAGTACTGGAACGAAGCCAGAAGAGATGAATGCACTCTGCACTGATGAGAACAGGCAGGGCCAGGTGAAGCAGAGAAGGCATGCCCTCAGGCGGGCGCCTGCTCTCTGCTTTCCTGGGCGACCTTCCGGGGCTCCAAATTACTGCGCTGATCATCACCCGACGAGGGAACAAGAGACGATCGCGCCGAGAACTGCTGAGCGCGTGGCCGTTCTCATCACAGCCAGGGGGGACGAGCAACAGCCAGAAGCGCCGAGGATGCTTCTTCTCCCTGCATCAGTCATCAGATCCTCTCTCCTCCCTCGACAAATCCCTCGTTTCCGGTTTCCGGGGGCAGACAGATACTCGAGCTGTTGTGCTCTTGCGATGTATGCATTGCCATGAACATCCATCTCGCGATTTGTTTCGTTTCAACCGACCTGCCTTAGCTCGTGAAACCAATCCGTTCTCCAACGCCGCTTGGAGGTCAATCAACAAGCACTTGACAGCGGGAAGAGAGACCATCTGTGCTGTGTCCACGGGTGCCCTTCGTCTCTTGTCCCAGGACCCCCGGTCAAGCTTGAAACACTGGCCTGCAAACAGCTCCCCACACGGCGCAAAAAAAAAAACTACTTGTAGCGTTGACCAGGGGAGGGTGGGTGGAAATAATGGAAATGAATGATCCTAGGCAACTCTCACTCCCGCCAAGGTCACCAAACTCCACCCCCCTTCGTGATCACACTTCATCTTGCGAGGTTTATGCCCAGCACCGAAAAGCAAGCTCCACGCATTTCCATCTCTCATCACATCGCGCGACGACACAGGACCTTGTGCAAATCTTGGGTCCCGACCCGACTGTCAAAATAAGACCAATGCTACTCAATGACGCCAGAGGCACGGCCGTCTCGGCTAACAGGCTCACAGGCAGCCCCAGGCTCCTCGCCCACTTGGTGCGCCGCCCTCGCAACCCTTGTGCTGCTCCTCCGTCACGATGATGCTTGGTTCTTTTCCTCGATCACGTTTGATCAATCGCAGTCATCTTCGCTTGCTACTACTACAGAAGTACATGTTCTTCCATGTGCGACAGACAGAGATGTCCGATATTGCCACCCAACGCCAAAAACCACTTGCTCACTCCCGTACCAAATTCTAGCCGTCGAGGAGGTGAATGAACATGCAAATGCTGCCGCTCCCTCCGTTCCGAGATCCCCTTTCATCTATCTGCCCTGTCCGTATGGCTGCTGCGGAGGTTGTTGTCCCCATGCGCCGCCGCCGCCTTGGCTCTGGCCCTGTCCCTGATTCTGGCCCTGGTTCTGCGCATGCGCCTGAGCAGCAGCAGCAGCAAAGAACGCCGGGTTGATGAACGCGCCGGCCGACGGAGCCCCCGGGGACGAAGCCTGTCCCGGCCAGGCAGGCGGCGCTTGGCCAAAGTTTGGCGGCACCGGCGGCTGGCCGTACGGGAAAGAAGGCGCTCCGGCGCCCTGCGCCTGTGGCGGCGCCGGCGGCCAGGGGAATGGAAAGTTGAACTGTCCCGCCGCCGGGGGAGCGGGCGGCGATTGACCCTGGTAAGAGCCCGTCGGCGGCGGCGGCGGTACCGGAAACGGCCATTGTGGAGCGGGCGCGGGCGCGTTGCTCTGCGGCGGCGCAGACTGCTGGGAGTTCTGAGGTCGGCCTTGCTGCGGCAGGGAGTAGCCGTCTGTCCTCCCGCCGCGCCCACCGCCCCGTCCTCCGAACCCACCGCGGCCACGGTTCCCCCGCCCACCCCGGAAGTCACCCCTGCGGCCCCGGGACGAGCCGCCGTGGTGGCCGTAGCCAGTCTCCTGCGAGGCCGTCGTGGGCGGACCCTGGCCAAAGTTGGCGGGCCTCGTCAGCGGCTTGTAGGGCCCGTCATCCTCCTCGTCGTAGTTCAGCCCACCATCGGCGTTTGGTGTGGCCACCTCATTGCGCAACGGGTGCGGCTTGCGTCCGCCGTCGCCGTCCCTCTGCTGGCCCTTGCCACCTCTCCTCTTGGCCTTGAGCTCCTTTTTGTACGCCTGCTCCTTCTCGTCGTCGGAGAACTCCATCTCGTCGGCCCCGACCTCCTCGTCGTGTAGGTTGCTTGCGTCAGAACCCTTCAGGTTCCTGAGCGCTTCCGTAAAGACAAACTTGGCGTGTTGGATCGAGTAGTACACATCCTTGCCCGGCTCCAGACCTTCCTTGGTGATCTCCTCAGGGTCCGCGAACCGGACCAGATACATGGGAACCCGGACGTTGCCAATGACATCGGCCACAGCTCCAATGACCTTGCGCTCTGCCGTGCAAAGAACCGACTCCTCGTCCAGTACCCTGTACTCGCCGTCCGTGTTCCCCTTGATGACAATCGAGTCTTCTACAACGTGAAGCACCGGCCCCAGCAGCTGAATTGGCATCTCCGGTGTTATTGTGACCTCTGGTCGGGGAGGCGCAGGCTCGGCCACCTCGTTCTTGCTCCGAACCTGCGCGCCCGAGCCGCCTTTGCCCTTCTTGCCGTCTTCTTCATCATCCGACCCGTCCGCCGCCGCCTCCATGAGCATGCGCGCGGCCTCGCGGACGTCGAGGATCTCTGCATCCGACTCCTCGTCGTCGGATGAGTCTGAGCTGTCGGTGTCCGAAGAGGATGACTCGTACGGCGAGGAATCCGCCTCCCATTCTGCGCCCTGCACTCCTTCGCCGGCCGCCTCCGCTGTGTTCTGTCCATTGGGTATCATCTCGCGGAGAGCTTCCTCGGCATCGGTGGCCATGGGCTCGGGACCCCCCAGAGCGGCTTCCAGCGCGTCGGTAAGGCGTAAAGAGTCGTCTTGGGCGCCGTGACCTGACTGGGATTGGGCCGGTGCGTTAAGAGGCTTGTCGACGGCCATTATGCTGCTGTCCGTACTCTGTGCGGGAACAATGACACCCGCGTTCAGAGTGCCCACCTGTTCAGTATCCATCTTGTCCGCATGGCTTTCCTGAGACGGAGCTGAGGTCTGGGCTACACTGGCCGGGTCGTCGCCGCCGCTGGGAGGAGTGGGTGAGAGGGTGTTGAGGAAGTTGTTGGCAGGTAGCTTCTCGTTCGGCTTGGCATTGCCAAGCCCAGGGATTGAGAAACCCCCAGACATACTGAGTTTCTTTGAAGCTATTCAGAAATTCGGCGAAGATGGCGACTAGGTAGCGTCGAGATTGAATGGAGGAAATGGTGGGATCGAAGTCCAAGGCCTGTCTGAAAGAGGATAACCGACTGGATTGCAAGTAGTAACTGGGATATAGTCAGGAGGACTGCATCGGGGGCTGCAATCTCAGAGAAGCTGTGGTTGTTTGGTGGAGAGAAAGAAAAGTCTTGTTCGGAGACTCGATGCGACAAAAGGAAGGGTCTCGACTCTCGTGGTCGGTCTGGTATTCGCCGATAACGATAAGAAAAAAAAATATCGATGCAGGATTTATCGCGGATCATGGATCTTAGCCGCCCACCGCCCGCCTATCTCCACCTGGGCTAGTTAGTGTTTCTGGCGATTCAGGCCACGTCTTCAGGGTCCCCGCTCTGACGCCCTCGCCTGAAAGCTGCCCGAACCGCAAGAATATTAGCGCCTTTGAGCTGTGAATCCAGCAGCTCCAAATGGCGTGAAAGCTGTCTCAACCAATTCCAGACAGCTTCAGCACATCCTCCCTTTTTTCTTGTCGCATTCATCCCCGCCAGCACCCAAGGGCACGTCGACAAGATGCCTCCCAAAGCTGCTAGAAGCAGGGAGGAGTTCGTCCATCCCGACGCCTCCCATGCGAAGAAAAAGTGCGCACTCCTATGTTCCCATTACTATCAGCTGTTCGCAAACTGACATCATCTCCAACCGAACCGCAGAGCCCCGCCGAGCCCGTACGGCATTGAACCCATCACCGCCTTCTACATCTTCTTCGCCGCCAATCTGATCTCGGCCGTCCTTGCGCCGATACAGGACTGCGACGAGACGTTCAATTACTGGGAGCCGACGCACTATCTCAGCCATGGCTACGGAATGCAGACCTGGGAGTACTCCCCGGAATATGCCATCCGGAGCTGGGTCTACATCGGACTGCACGCCATCTTTGGCAACATCCGACGGGTTCTCCCGCAGGCCACCAAGGTAGGCATACATCACGCCTAGCTAGCTCTACTCGTTGTCTCCTTTACCCAAGTGTGCTGACAGACTGCCCAGGTCGGCGAGTTCTACTTCATCCGCTACGTCCTCGCCTTCTTCTGCGCCCTCTGCCAGACCAACCTGTTCAAGGTCATCTGCACGACCCTCAACGCGCGGATCGGCCTCATCTTCATCATGGCTACCGTGACCAGCCCCGGGAACTTCCACGCCAGCACCGCCTACCTCCCCTCGAGCTTTGCCATGTACATGGCCATGATCGGCACGGCGGCCTTCATGCACTGGCGCGGTGGCCTCAAGACCTCGCAGGGCATGTTCTGGTTCGCAGTCGGAGGCGTCGTCGGCTGGCCCTTTGCTGCTGCCTTGTGCGCTCCCTTCCTCGTCGAGGAAGGCATCTTCGCGCTGTTCAGCGACAAGACTCGCTTCTTTGAGGCTTGCATTCGAGTTGCCCGGGGCGTGGTTGCCGCTGTGGTCCTCATCGTATGCTTTCCCCCATCTCAGTTTCATAACCTATCCCCGGGATACTAATATCCTCACAGGTTGTTGACGGTAGCATCAATACTTTCTTCTACAGAAAGATAGAGATCGTTCCCTGGAATATTGTCAAGTACAACATCTTTTCATCGACCGGAGGACCGAACTTGTATGGAACCGAGCCGTGGACGTTCTACTTCAAGAACCTTCTCCTCAACTTCAACCTGTGGTTCATCCTTGCACTCATGTCATTGCCGCTATTCTTCCTCCAGAAGATCTTCGCACCATCCGGCCAAGGCTTCCAATCCGGGCTCAGAAGCATTGTCTTCATGGCTCCTTTCTACATGTGGCTAGGCATTTTCACGCTGCAGCCTCACAAAGAGGAGCGATTCATGTACCCTGCCTACCCCTTCCTCGCCCTCAATGCCGCCATGGCTCTGCATATCCTGCTCTCGGCCCTCGGTCACTCCGATCCCAAGTCCCTCATCGGGAAGATTCCGGCTCGGTTAAAGCTCTTTGCCGTGACGTGCGTCCTGTTCTTGTCCGTCGATCTAGGCATCGCCCGCATATACGGCATCTACTCGGCCTACTCGGCCCCCCTCTCGCTGTTCAAGCCCCTGGGCACCGGCGTCTGGGGCGAGAACGGCATCGGCGGGTCCGGCGACTTTGTGTGCTACGGCAAGGAGTGGTACCGCTTCCCCTCGTCCTACTTCTTGCCGCGCGACATGCGGCCCAAGTTCGTCCGGTCCGAGTTCCGCGGCCTGCTGCCGGGCGAGTTCGCCGAGGCGCGCACGGGCTTCGGCTTCTGGAGCGGCACCTGGCTGCCGGCCAAGGGCATGAACGACCGCAACGAGGAGGACATGGGCAAGTACGTCGACCTCCGCAGCTGCGCCTTCCTCGTCGACACCCAGTACCCGGAGCGCCGCGGCGGCGGCGGCGAGCCCCTGCCGCCCAACGAGCCGGACTACGTCGCCGACGCGGAGCACTGGGACGTGGTCAAGTGCGTGCCGTTCCTCGACGCCGCGAGCACGGGCTTCCTGGCGCGGGCGCTGTGGCTGCCGGACCTCGAGGTCGTGCCGGAGAGGTTCAGGAGGAAGTGGGGGCGGCACTGTCTGCTTCAGCGGAAGGGGGACTAGAGCGGGGTGATGTGTACAAAGGGGGGTTAAAAAGGTTTCGAGCGTGTCTTGTGAAGAAGATAGAATGGTGATATGACACTCCGTGTATGATATTGGTATGACACTGAGCAAATATGATTGACATCAAGAACACCATCTTTAGGTTGGTAGCTTAAGTCATTATATCATCGCTGCAAACGATCGATCTTCTAAAACGCCTTTCTGCCAATAGCGATCCTAAGACTACAACCCTCGACAGTTTTCAGAATATCCTGAGGAACCAACACTGCCCGTTGTGGATCATCGTTGCAATTGCCAGTTATTCAAGTGGAATCTCTTGTATTGGTCTCTGAGATACCACATGTCAGCCGCACCAGCCGTTCTAGACTTTGAAAGACATTCTTCTGCCTAGTAACTACTTAAAAATCACTGGATCAGCCCAGCATACTCGATTCTCAAAGGGCCAAAACCCACACGGGGATGGAAAGATTCAAGAAAGACGCCTTGTTGAACCAATAAAGTTGAATCGCAATGAGACGCTTCTCAGACATCATCTGTCAAGCCGTGTTCAAGCCATCTCTGGAGATAGTCATCGTCTTCCATCTTCTGTAGTAGCAACTCGTTCCTCTTCCCTCTTAGACGCCCTTCCTCGAGCGACATTGGTATGTCTTCGCACTCCGCGACATCACAATAGAATCTAGCGCCAAAATACTTTAGAGTCTCGCACCTCTCATCCTCTGTGAGCGCCAGATTGATTCGTCCGTACCAACCATCCGGCATGCGCCTTAAGGAAGGCTTGATTGGCTCATCCTCGGCGAGTTCCATCTTGTCCTTGGAAAACTTGAACACCCAGACCCCATTGCCGGAAGACGGGTACCCCACATTGATACGTGGTGGGAAATGAAAGTCATATGGGATGAGTTTGTCGCTCAGGCGGTCATAGTGGCGCTGGTAGAGACCCAGATCCGGCCACCAGTGCGCTCCCTGTCGCATCATGGAGAGGGCAAGCTTGTCTTCCTCGGCGTCGTCGTGCGAACGCGGCGCCTCCTCGGCGTTGGACAGGCCGAGTTGCTTGAGCTGGACCGCGGTGAAGAAGCCGAGGACGACCCCGCCCATGGACGGGTAGGCTTTGATCTGGCAGTACTGGGGGAAGAACTGGGTTCGCTTCTCTGCATCCATGCTGCTTGGCACGAGACGGCAAATGTCGCCGGGTTGCTGTTCCCGGACCATCACTGTTTGTCGGTGATGTAGTGATATGGCGGAGCAGGCCGTTGTCGAGGCTATGGGGTTCTCTTGCTTGCCCAGTCAGAATGTGGGCAGGTAGGAGAGGAGAAAGCGCATTCGTGCTATTGGTACTGCGACGAACAAGAAATAGAACGTGGCGGTAGTAAGGGAGGGTCAACCCGACTAAGAAAGGGTTATCCTTGGTCTGGGGTTTGTGCAATAGTTGTGACTACTAAGTAGGCTGTTGGTTTGGGCGATACGAAGTGGCTTTTTCAATGCCTTGATGCTCAGGTATCCCGCAGTCATTCAGTGTTGGTAGAGATTAATTAATGCTACCTACTCCCAAAGCGCCGCCTTAGGGATTAAAGTAACCCATAGGCCAGTGAGTACCCAACTTCTCATGGAATAAACTACTACCTATAGTACTGCAGGGCCATGCCCCCAACACTGCCTACCCTCAGACAGTTCACTACTCTCCGCCTTCTTCTTACTGTGGACATCCCGAAAACAGTGAGCATGCCTACCCTATCAGAAGAGAATTTTGTCCCTTCTAATCGGCTACCTCGACAACATCGGCGATAGCGTCTCTTCTCCTCGTTATCGTAGCATGACAAGCCGCTGTTGCCATCATCCTCTTCCTGAAAAATTGCGATTGGCCACGCCTTGAAGGTCATTCCGAGGTGAAAGCACCCTACCATTGCCAGCAACTGACGAAGTTGTTGAAGCTCTGCATTGTAAGCTGCCTCTGCTCGACCTCTTGGAGACAGGATCCCGTGTGCTCTGCGTAGAGTTGCAAAGCCTTGGCGCGAGGAATAGACGCGTCGCCGCCGGGAACCCTCTCAAGCAGCTCAGCTTTCAGAAAAAGAGATGGCGCATGAGCTGCCTTGTAGTGCGGGTTGTCGCCCAGTATGGTGATGGCTTGGCTAAGCATATCACTGTCCACAAATAGAAGCGTTAGTCAACCTCTCCAGCTTACCCACGGAAGGCTCGGCTATGGTGGCGGATATCTGACGTACACTGCATCTTTCACACTTCCTTCCTCCGCTAGTATGTTCGCGTAGCGATGCAAGGCGAGCGCAGTGGTGTAATGTGCGCCATACTTGTCCGTATAGATGCTCAAGGCCTTGAGATGCAGCTGCTTCGCCTCCTCCATGAACTTCTGGCTCTTTCGAATATTTCCGAGCACAACATAGCAACTGGCTTGATATTAGCCTTCGAGGAGCGTTTTCGAGACGTATGATGAGACTTCATAAACACTTACCCAGCAAGTACGATATTGTCCTTGTCATATATCTGCTCGCAGAGCTCAGTGGAATAATTCGCGTACTACCAAGCGAGGTCGAAATCTCCCCGCAGCCAGAGGCACCCTGCAAGTGTCCCCCAGTCTCTGGCTAGCTGGTCTTTGAACTTGTCAGGATCCGGAACCGACTGCAGAAGCTGCTGTCGCATGTCGAAGGCCTTCTTTAACCAGGCAAAGCTTTCGTCAAGCATGCCCATGTTGGCATAAGCATTGCCAACATTGCTGGTTAGCAAGCACAGCTCGTTTTCTGACGGCGAATCCATGGACTTTTTGAGGTCGAGACACTTGGAGTAGAGTTCCCTTGCTTCGGCAAAGTGGCACTCAGCAAACTTGATACATGCTCGATCGTTCATGATATCAAAAAGGAGGGACTTGAGAGCTTGATCAACGGAAGGCTCTAGGGAATCGTGGGAGAGCGCTTCTTCAGCCACTCCTTCAGCTCTGTCTAACAGACTGAGTGATTCATCGAGCTGTCTACGCTCGTACAGATACCTAGTAGCAACGGGGGGTCAGCAAAACAGAACAGGTCTGCATGTGTTAGACAGAAGTAGTGAGTAATTACCAGGCAGCGCGTTCCAATACGTCTCCGAGTTTATGAGCCAGGGCCGGTTCCGGGACGATTCCGAGTTCGCCACGGACAGCTTCCAAACGATTGACATGCGGTAGAGCTCGACTGTATTCACTCCAATGGCCTGTTTGTTGTTCCCAGTCCTCTTGGGTGGGGAATGCTTGGTTGATCAGTTCTAGTGCGACTTGGAAGGTCTTGAGCCTATCATCCAGATTCATCTCGTTGAGTATCGTAGCCTGGACAAGTCTGTGCATTCCAAACACGCCGCTGTCTGTGCTTTTGACTAATAAACCAAGAGAAAGGAGGGACTTAATGCTCAGGAAATACCTGGGAGAAGTCAGTTCCCAATAGGCTCTCTAGGTTTAGAGGAGAGCCTCACTCTGCTTCGTTGGTGATGTATTTGTCAAGTCCGCTCCGAATCTTCCCTTGTTCTTTCATCAGCGTCTCTGGAATCGAGTCTGGGTCGAACCATGCAAGGAGCTTGGACATGAAGCCAGAAGAACCGGAAAGTGCATGTAGAGGCCGGCGCCAGACCGTCGAAAGGTTGCCTGCGTAGTAGTAGCTCTGCTCGGGGACTGTGTTTAGAAGGGATTCAGGCCGAACGAAGGACGCTGACTTCGCGCAGAGTCGAGTCAGCTCCGCCACTGACATGTGAGTTAGATTGAGGAAGTTAGCACACTGGTACAAAGCTAAAGGCAAGCCGCCACAAGCCGTGCTGATGCGTTGAGCGTCATCCTCAGCCCCGGGCTCCTGCCTAGCGATCTCCGGGAGGAAGGACAGAAAAGCATGCCCGCCGTCGCGGATCTTGAACGGCTCGATGAACTTGCTTGCCGTAACAGGGGGTTCCATGGCGTTCACATTCTGGCTTGTGATGATGATCCTCCCCTTGCCTCCGATGGGCCAATAGTTGCGCATGATGTGTATATCCTCGAGGTTGTCCAGGATAAGAAGCCAGCTGCGGGCTGAAGTCTTGGTTAGAAGGGGTTTAGAGTAAGGCTCTTTCAGAACTGGGTACTCAACTTGTTGTCTTGAACCAGTTCACCACTGTCTGCCGTACTGTATCTTCCGATGCGCTACTAGCATCATCTGTCAACCCTGCCTCTTTCGCTATGTCGGCGTAGCCCTGGGCAAGCTTTGTGGGCTCGTCTGCGGGTATCCAGAACACGCCATCAAACTCGTCCCGGTGGAGGTATGCAAAGCGCAATGCGATCTGCGATTTGCCGACGCCCGCCATCCCGATGAGGCTGAATATTCGCAGTTGTTGATCTGTCAAGTCGAGCAGCTCCCGCGCCATTGCCTCGAGCTCGTCCTGGCGCCCGTAGAACGAAGGGTTCTCGAGCCATCCAAGAAGACGGTAGGTCGTTTTCCGACTTGCCGTATCCGGAGGCTGTTGGCGGGCCCTAGCATCATCCGAGAGAGCGGCAAGAATCTCCTCATGCTGCCTCGCGCTCGTGTCCATGGCTCTCTGATGAAACACAACGAATGCTTCGACATCGATCCAGTGCGTGTGTTCTCGAATGCTTTCCAGAGTCTTGTTGAACTTGACTTGGGTCGACTTCAGCGGGAAGGTCAAATGCAAGAGGTTAACTGCATAGAAACGCACGGGTCAGCTCCACACCGCTAAAAAGATAAGACAATAGCAATGCCGGTCGCCAGCAAGACATAGGAGGGAGCACAACCAATGGGATTGCGGCTAAGAAATTGAATAGCATCCAGGCAGAAAGTGATCAGGTCTTGGTAGAGACCGACAACGCCTCTTTCCACATTTTTGGCGTTTGTGAAAAGCTCGGCGTAAGTGCGAATTCGCGGCATGTGCTTCTGCATCACGTCGAACATGTCGGCGATGTTCTGAAGGTAGCTGGCGTGGCGGGAGGCTATCTACAAACAGCCAAAACACACATCATGGTGAGTGAGTTCTGCTGGAAATGGATCCGATAGTCAGGTCAGGGAGCGGGAAGTCGACATGGGCCTACCTCTATGATCAGACATATTGACCCCCAGACCAATGCACTCACGGTGGGGTCGGACTGGGTGAAGATGGAGATAACTTTTTCGAAGCGCCGTAGCTCGACAACGAATGGGTCAAGCTTGATGAGGAGCGTGGCGACCCTTCTTTTTCTATACCTCTTACTTAATTGCTCGACGCTAGCCAGGAGGTCTTCCATGGACGTAACAGCTTGCAGCCGCGCGTACTTCTCGGTGTCGAGGCTCATCTTGAGCTGTGCGATTGCGTCACGCCAGAGCCGGTGGAGCTCTGGACACGGACCTAGCGGCGGCGGCGACGGCGGCGACGATGCTGCCGGCACCTGAGCAGACGACATGCTCCTTCCAGCTGCTTGCGCAGTCTAGCTATGTGTTTGGCGGGTAGTCCTATTCATTGCGTTTCCGCTAAAGTGACCACCTCACTTGTTATAAAGCAGTCTATCTGCTACAAGGCTCCAGCTCTGCTGTTCAACAGAGGCAAGTGCCTAAGTGCCTACCTAGGTGCCTAACCTTAGGCAAGGTACTGTAGATAAGGTAGGTAGGTACCTAGGTAGGTATACAGCGGATCACTGGGGCAGTCCCTGGCGTGACGACCCCAACTTTGCTGGAGTAGAGTACCTAGCTTCCAACTCCCAGGCTGTGGTTACATGTAGGTGCGGATTTCCCTTCTGGGTGAACATGCACGCCCTGACATGCGCTGCAGCCCCATCTACGGAGTACCTTACCGGGCAAGGGTGTTTTTAAACAGGCATCCAAACAGTTCAGGTAAGGACTTCTTTTGCTACAACAGTCTGTTCTGTCCACCGTGTTCGTACTACTTCTAAACTTTAACAGATGCTCCTTCAGACAAGATTTTTGACGCGGTGAACAGGACTTTTGACTTGCTGAACAGCCTGTTATTTTCATACCATGTTGGTGTGAGCGTGTTCAAAAACACCCTTCACCCGGTAAGGTATTGCCATGGAATAATAAGCGCATGATAACGGGGACGCGTAGCCCGTTTGGAGAACGCTAGATTCTTGGCCTCTGATTGGCCCAAAAACAGGTACTGCTAGGAGCATCATGGGCCCGTGCGCTTTCAAGTTATTGGGTTAAGAGGCAAAAAGTACCGTAAAAAAACCAGCAACGGTACTCTATTAGGAACCGTTCTCCGCCCCCTTCAATTCCCGCTTCTGAAGTCTATGCCAACCATCTCCCTACGGAGTACATGTACGGAGTAAGTCACCTGCACGACTTCTGTTGTGCTACGCGCCTGGGGGGGGGCTTCATTGTGCTGAATGGGCCAAACAACTGGATGTGACTGTCTGCCCGGAGTCCGACAAACGATCTCACACCGGTCCGGTCAGGCAAGCACATTCGTGGCCCCTTCCACCAAATTCGTTGAAGGGTCGGTCGGCCCTTCCCCCATTTCTCACTTTAGTGTTCTCCATCACTCACCTTTCCTTCACCCCATCTCTATATACCCTTCAGAAAATAACTGGAAGGTAGGTAGTGCTCAGCAGCCCCCCCACCGCCACCTCCTTCCCTCTGTCACGTTAGCTAATCTGACGGTCGCGCACTTTGAAGCGCGAATCTATCCGAATTAACTTGGTTGTGACAGCTCTGTTGCAACGCAGCCCAGAGGCAACCTACGAGAGTTCACCACGTTACTGCAAGAGTCTACAACCTACAAGAGTTTACCAACGTTACTGCAAGAGTCTACAACCTACAAGAGTTTACCAACGTTACTGCAAGAGTCTACAACCTACAAGAGTTTACCAACGTTACTGCAAGAGTCTACAACCTACAGGAGTTCACCAACGATACCACAAGAGTCAACAACTTACACGAGTTCACCAACGATACCACAAGAGTCAACAACCTACTTTGGATGATGGAAAATAGTGACAGGAAACTTCTTGCTAACCCGGCTCGGCCTATTGAGTACAGGCTACGCCTGGAGCCTAGCTTCGACGACGATACATTCAACGGTTCAGTCAACATACTGTAGGTACTGTTATAGCCAACAGGCTTTCACGGACGAAGCTGATGCAGAACTTGGCTCTTAGCATAGAGACCTTCAAGCGAATCGAGAAAATCAAGTTGAACAGCTCCAAGCTTCATCTTGAATCGGTTTGTTACTCCTTGGCCTTTCTAGGAAAGACAGAAAAGATAGGAGAGGAAGATTGGTCACCGGCCCAGTACAGGTTGGTAGTAGCACCGCCATAGCAAGGGTCCTTGACTCACCCGCTACACAGTTGTGATCCTGAAGAGCAGACTCTTACTCTCCAGTTCCCCGAGACGATTGAAGCCCAGACAGTCTTCAGCATCCGTATCGTGTTTTCCGGAATACTCGAAGAGAACCTGGCTGGTCTATATAGATCAACGTACACCGATGATGAGGGAGTCAAACATGTCCTGGCAACTACTCATTTGCAGCCAAACTATGCACGCCAAGTAAGAAGACCTCTCTATCATACCTCACCACTTAGCTGACGCCCAAAAGGTCTTTCCTTGCTTTGACGAGCCTGCACTGAAGGCATCCTTTGCTGTCGAAGCCGTTGTGCCAGCCGACCTCGACTGTGTATCGAATATGCCCTCCGAGACGAACGTCAAGTTGCCGTCGGGCAAGCACCTGGTCACCTTCGCTAGGACCCCGAAAATGTCAACATATGTAAGTCTGTCTGGGTGTGAAGTTGGCCACAAGTACCAAAAGCTAATCAGTTTCAGCTCGTTGCTCTAGTCATTGGCAAACTGGAGTCAATCGGCTCACGAGCAAGTTGGGTTCCAATCAATCTCTACACCCCGGTTGGACTGAGCTCTCAGGGCAGTTTCGCCTTGGACATCGCCGTCAAAGGCCTTCAGTTCTTTGAAGAGGCATTCGGCTGCGAGTATCCTCTGCCTAAGCTCGATCTGGTTGCTGTGCCTGACCTAGCCGCTGGCGCGATGGAGAATTGGGGCCTGGTCATCTACAGAACAGCGGAACTGCTCTTGGACCCAGACGATAGCAGCGTCTCTCGCAAGAAACGCATCGCAGAAACCACTCTTCACGAAATATCCCACTCTTGGTTCGGAAACCTTGTCACCATGGACTTCTGGGATGGATTATGGCTGAACGAGGGATTTGCAACCTGGATGTCTTGGTTTGCTGTCGACAAATTCTTCCCCCAATGGCATGTTTGGCAGGATTATGTTGCCGATACACTTCAATCGGCCATGGAGCTCGACGCTCTGCGTACCACACACCCCGTTCAAGTCAAGATCAATGACGTTGCCGATGTCGGGCAGGTCTTCGACCACATCTCTTACAAAAAGGGGTCGAGCGTGCTTCGGATGATCTCCAAAGAGCTGGGCGAAGAGACCTTCTTGGAAGGCGTCCAGCACTACCTTCAGAGACACAGCTTCGCCAATGCTACAACCGAGGATTTGTGGGATGCACTGGAGCATGCCAGCGGGGCTCAAGTCAGAAGATCCATGTCTATCTGGACCAAGGAGGTGGGGTTTCCTGTGGTGGAAGTCACCGAGCATGAACGTGACGGCAAGCTTGCTCTCACCCTCAAACAGAGGCGTTATCTGTCGAATCAAGACGACGCTGGCGATGATCTTCCGTTCTCATACCCACTTCGTATCGTTGTTCGAACAACTAGCGGGCTGAGGTCACTGAATCTTGAATCTGAGCAATCGACTTTGACATTGGACGATCCAGTGTTTTACAAGCTTAATGTCGATCAGAACGGATTCTACAGAACCGCCTACCCGCTCGACAGACTTCAAAAGTTTGGTGCAGCCTCCAAAGAAGGATTACTGAGCGTGGAAGATAGGGTCGGTATCGTGGCCGATACCTCTGCTCTCTGCGCATCCGGGCATCAATGCACTACGGGTCTCCTCGACCTGCTTCTTGGCATGAAAGACGAGCCAGACTATGTGGTATGGGTGCAAATCACGAGAAGTCTGAAGAACGTCAGATCAGCGTGGATTTTCCAACCCCCTGAAGTGACTACGGCTTTAAAGACGCTCTCTACAGACATCCTCCTCCCAAAACTTACCGAGCTGGGATGGGCCATTGACAGCGACGACGATGAAATTCTGCAACAGTTCAAACCCCTTCTCTTTGATGCCGCTGGGCTTGCCGGGGAGCCGACGTGAGTTTCCTAACCAGAGTCTTATGTGCAAGGAGGCATAGCTAATGGTTGAACAGCGTCATCTCCGCCGCCCAGGAAATGTTCGGCAAGTATGCCAGTGGTGACAAGGACGCACTTCATCCGGCGCTGAGAGACTGTACCTATGGTCTCGTCCTTGCGAATGGCGGCGACGAGGAATTTGATGCTGTTTGGAACCTCTATGTAAAAGCTACAAGTGAGGATGAGAAATGGTATGCCCTTGGGAACCTGGGGTGTGTCTCGACACCGCATCTTGTCCAGAGGTTAGTGGATCGTCTTCTCGCGCCCGAGATAAAAGATCAAGACGTAAGTAACCCCTGAGCTCATTTGATCAAATATTAATCCTCCATAGCTGTTCCTCCCACTGTGGTGCTTGAACACCAGTGTTGCCGGGGTCGAAGGCATCTAGGGATGGGCCCGGAAGAACTGGGGTACGATTGCTGAAGCTCAGACTCCTGATCTACTGCGACTCATTGTGCCTCTGATTCTCGGAGGATTCTCGACCGAGGAGCAGCTAGCCGAGGCGGAAGCTTTCTTCAGCCAGCAGGACACGAAAACCTTTAACCAGGTACTCGAACAAGAACTGGAGAAGATTCGCGCGAGGATTTCGTGGACCAAACGGGACTCAGCCAATGTCAGAACTTGGTTAGAGGACCACGGCTACCTTGCGAATCGATCCGATAGCTGATGTTCTGATCACGGTCATGGGCTTGAGGGGACATCACACAAAACAAGGGCTTGTTCAGATTTTGTCCTTCGAGCTGCAAGTGAAATAGCAAATAGCGCAAATTATTGAATTTGCTCAGTGTACCATTCCTAAGTGACCGTAACGAATGTTGCAAATGTTGCGAGGATGACATCATAAGAAACATCACACAAGGCCAAACAACCAACATCTCCAAACCTTCTCTTCACAAGACGGCCCCTATTTGTATTTCCTTATTTCCCGAGTCTGCTCAAGATGTAGCAGGAGCTGCCGATATTGCTACACCGGATCGCGATATAGAGCATGACGGGCTAGTCGACGACGACGTCGCTGAGCCGCCGCCGCCGCCGCCGCTGCCGCTGCCGCCTCCTTCGCCTGATTCGGCCTTGGCGCTTTGTGGAATGGTAGGCTTAGCCATGTTTGCGTTGTTCTGATGGCAGTCAGAAGCCGAGCGTTTAACTAACAACCGGCAAGTTGAACCTTGGGGGTTTTCTGCAGGACCTGAACTTACCGTGCGATTTGAGAAGAATGTGGGTTTCTTTCTCAGTACTCTGTACTAGGTGAAAGTAATGTGTTGATGATAGTGCTTTTGAGGCTTTCCGGCGATGTTCGATGTGTTTACGGAGCATCGAAAAGGGGATCTGGCAGTGGCAAGGACGCAAAGATATGGTTCAATTCAATTGCTATGGCTGCCAAATTCTCACGTTTCAGTGCCGCTCTGGTTCGTTCCGGTTCGCCCTTGGGCCGCCAAGTACTCTGGTTGCCTTACCACTCTGCACCACCATCGGTAGACCGCACCCCAATCAGAGATCGCAAGACATATGCAAAAGGATAGCATGACCTTTGTTCTACTGGCTCTCGATTCAGTCTGTGTGGCATTGTTCGCCCTGCAGCCAGGATTTGAGGCAGTACTGATCTGCATATCTGCTGCCGGTTTTCTCCGTCGGTCAAGAGTAATGACCACTGAGACTTCCGCTCGAAATGATTAATGATCAAGACTCGTGTGGCAGATCGGCACTGGCTTCAACTCCCAACTACCCTACCAAAACCCCTCTGGATGATTAAAGTTTGTAGAAATTCATTCCCTCTTGCAATCATCTACAGTTGTGCCAGGTTGTGCCTGGTTGGCCTTTGTTAAGTGATCGTTGTCACCGCCGAACGGATCCCGTGCACCAATGTAAACACGGGACCCACGAACTCTACTCCGCCGGAGCCAAGGCAAGCAGACTAAAACCCACGCCGCGCGAAATACCTCCAATGAACTCGCGGATGACACCAAGGCCTTTCTCGGAAAGAACATCATCCTCCGAATCCAACCTTCCCCAGTCCACGGGACCTTTCCGGTCGCCGTCAAGCTCGTACAGGTGGCCGTTCTTGTGAGACTTGACGAAACAGACATAGTGAAAGTCGACCTCGTCCTCCGGGTTGCCTGGAACTTCCGAGTCCCCTTGTAAAGCGACTGCTTTATAAGCTGACTCAAGCTGCTCGTCGTCTTCTAGAAGGGTGGCACGGTCTAGAGGTTTTAGGGGCGTACAAGAAGCCAGGAGATGGGACAGGTGCGAGTCAGGGACTGGAGGTCGAAGCAGAGCGATCAGTATAAAGCCTAACAGAGGAAATTCTTCTTCAGGAGCACTGCTTACGAATGAAGTCCCGCACGACGCCATTACTGACGGCGTGTAGTATGCCGTAAAGTCCGCACGCGTTGTTGATGGTTTGCTTGTACCAAATCACATCCTCTTCCTCTCCACTCTTTGCGTATTCGGCGGCATCCTTGTCCTTGTCGGTGATTTCCGTCTCGTAGTCGGGGGAGGTTGGGAACACGAGAACGAGGGCGAGGGTTGGGCGCGGGACGAGGGCGAGGAGGTCGACGTCGTCCAGTGACAGGACGTCGTAGAACTCCAGGTCGCTGGAGAGACCGAGTGTATGGATCAGCTCGGTGAAGAGGGCTGGGTTGGATTCGAGAGGCGTGTAGTGCTTTCGGTACGGCATCTTGCGCACCTCAGCTTGCTTGTGACGCAAGCGCTGAACAGGACCACGGCGGCTGCGCAAGTTGTTACGTTTCTGAGTAATTAATGCTCCCAAGACTGGCTGGGCAAGGTGTGGTCGATTATGCGAGCTACCTTGTCGGCTGACGACAGATGAGTCTCTTCACGTCCGAGCAAAGATGTCCCCGTGCGCAATACCAGCCATGCTCGAGCAGCGACGGTCGGGCAGCAGATTAGAGCGAGTTCAGGTTGTCGCTAGACTGGAGGATTGGATAAAAAAAAAACTCGTCCAATAATTCAAATTGACCGGCGGATTGCTCGTCGGTCTCGGTGGGCGAAGCTCAAACTGGTATGCCTCCGGGGCTGCGCTGCTGCTTCCGTCCTTGTGACGTTGCTTTCGGCTTGTTCTGTGGATTTCTGCTGCAGACCTCGCAACATTGAAGTAGGGAAATTAGATCCGAGCGCGGAACGCCGTAGTACGCCGCACTAACTGCTTTCCACGTGGCGTCCTAGCCGGCATGCTGGTGCTCGAGGTGCACGTACTCGACCGTATCGATGATCATCTCCGCGGTGACGACCAGCCGCTGCTCAGTATCTTTCGCTTTCGGTTTCGCGAAAAGCTGATGTGTAGATTCGTCCCACCGAAATGCCTTCTGCATGTAGTTTCGGCGACTGACCTCGGTCTGCGCCTGGAAGAATCCAATAGCCACCCCATGTTCTCTTTTTCCTCAGTCGGAGATATGTGCGACTTGTTTGGATGTTTAGCCATGTAGTGAAGAAATATGTTTCGGGTGGATGATGTGAACACAGAATTGCCGTTAGGGACAGCCATGATCAATGACCAGATCAAGGTCGTCCTCGTATCCCTACGGGGATAAACTCGCAGAACGGCCTTTGATTCGAGACGTCACTTTCAAGGCGTCGGGCACCCATATCATCTTCTATTGAGAGTGTACCTCGACTGCAGGCGTACCCCGACTGTAGGCGTGGCGCTAGCCGGGCGCACAATGATATCCAAGGTTTAGTAGCATGGCGACAAGCCCTCACTTCTTCATTCTCGTCTTCTTTTCAGCATATCTTCCTCTACTTCATATGGCGGAGTTTGCGAGTGCGCTACTTGCGCTCGCCGGCGCAGGTGCCAAGGTTGGCTATAGCCTTTACACACTCATCCATACCATCAAAGATGCTCCAAGTGAGTTCCTCGCGTCGTCGGACGAGATCACCGACTTTCGGTGCATACTTTCCAGGTTATTGGATACCACAGCAACCGGGGACTTGGTTCCATTTAGCGATCGACAAGCCGAGGACCTGCTCATGGTGAAACTGAGAGGAGAACAAATTGTGACAGAGATCGAGGCACTGGTCGCTAAGGTCCGCAAGGAAGGTCAAGGGACAGCAAGGGAAATGAGCCGTAGAAAGTTTGCAAACCAGACATACTTCCGCCCACGGCAGAGACTCTCGTCTTCCTGCGCTGGTCAACTCAGCCCGCGTCAACAAGTTGAGTCGGCTATTATTTTTATCTCATGGAGGTCTTTACTTCATAGGAAACTCAGACTAGTATGATGGTCTTCATCTGTTGACGCGCCTTATCCCAAGCATCAACATGCATCTGTCCGATGGCCACCCGCTCAGCTACATCTCCTTCCCATCTGATCCACATGATATTGAGTGCCCACCATCTCTGACAGGCATATTCGGTTATATCAAAGGTCTCTGCATAGTATTCATCCGCCGAGAGCCACTGTAACGGCAGGCCAGTCTGGGTGACTCGATCTTGTCCGCTGGACGATAAGAGAACGAGCTCATGTGCGTCCACATCAGGGCTGGCATTCCATGACTCCAAACACCTCAAGGCACCGCATTGATGTCCCGATACATTATAGTTCCACATGTGCATGTGACACCTTGAGTTTTGGAAGTGATCGGACATGGATCCGCTTAGCAGGCCTGACCACTCGAGCCGAGGAGATGAGATCGTATACGTGCCCAATTCAAGGACGGCAGCTTCAAAAACAGGACATGATCAGGCAGGTCCCCCCTCACAAATACTGTCTGTAGTGCCGCAGTCAACCCAGTGGAGTTGAGATGTTGGCTTTCTGTTCCCTGATCACAGTCGCCACGAGAGATTCTGCGTAAGCCCAGCCCGATTTGGACTATAAATTCTCGAATCTCCGATTTAATCGTAACTTGCTTGCGACCATACGAGTATAACCGCCATGGATCCCAATGGATATGGCCAGCCCATGCTATCCAACACCAAGTCGGGGACTTGCAGTCATTACAAATCGTATCGTCGTGTGTACTGCTTCTAAGTTTGATGTTTACTTATTCTTGTCTGAGGGCAACCTTCCCCTTAAGAAGAAAGAGAGGTGTCCTCTATACATATCTATACATTAAAGCATCTCTGTTCAATATTCTATCCACTTTTAGCAACAGAAGAGAAAGTGTTCCATTGTCGCTTGTATCGCTTCGCAACTGCACATATCGTTTTCTGTCGCTCCTATTCAATAAAGATGGGAATCTAGTCTTGCAAGAGTTGTGCCAATGTGCTTTGCTCTCTCCATGATAGCTGCTTGTAAAGCAGCTCTGTATGCTTGCCCGGAAGAGCCATGTATGTGCAAAAGGCGCTTCCTCATACCACCCTCACATAACATAATGGCGGCACAATCACGTCGCTGCCTAGTGGGTCGGGGTGTGGCGGCCACGGCATGTTGGCCACGCAAACGGCAGCCATTGGATGCCTGGCAAAAGCCCATACCGCTGCAGCTGAAAACAAATCTCGACCTGAGTTTCTCTGTCTCACGGCCATCACAATACACCTTATCAAAAGCCCGACCGCCTCTCCTATCCACCAGATTGCCATCGCTACGTGGAGAACATAGCATTCGGTAGCCCCGGCGGAAGCTCGTGCGCGAAAATCCAGCCCATGCCATATCCCGCTTCGTACACCAGACAGCGCCGGCAGCTAAGATGAGGGGCTCGTTCGGCCTAGTCCTGCCCGTCCTCGTGGCCGCGGTGACGATTTGCCTTTCCCTTTGGCTCCACAGGAGCTTCGCTCATCCACCTCCGACATCACGTCGGCCGGTGCCACAGCCCGAACTGGAGCTTCCTCAAGACGAGTCAGTGCAATCATCGGAAGAGAGGCAGGATGTCCGGCCTGATCACGCTAACCCTCCCAGCGAGAGCAAACTTCAATCCGAAGGCCCCCCGCATGGACCGGACACTCCATCACAGGGCCCTGACGCGACACCACCCCTCCCTCCCGCGAAGAGAGGATTGACATTGCGAGTGCGTGGGGTGCCCCTCGACTGGGATATCCACCGATTACAATCCTTCCTAGCTGGCCAAGACCCCTCCATTGGCCCAACTATTCGGTCCCTGGCCCTCGAAGTCCATGGCCGTTCGCAGACAGCCACCGCCACCCTTCAGAATAGCCCGGCCGAACACTTCCGATTGATCCCTCTCCCTGAGTCTCCCAACCAATCCGCTCAACCGCAAAGTCTCTGGCTTGATGATGAATTCATCGACGTCACCACGCTCTACGCTCCTCCCTCGCAGAACCACAAGGTCGAGTAAGGAACCTGCCAGCCGAACACACTTCACCCTGCGCTAACCTCTCCAGCATTATCGCCATTTCTGGCCTCGGCGGACACGCATTTGGATCGTTCAAGGAACGAAACGGGGACCACATGTGGTTACGAGATGCCCTCCCGCACCACATCGACCAAGGAGACAGCAAGCCGTGTACCCGTGTCATCATCTATGGCTACAAGTCGAGTCTTCCGCAGAGCCAAAGCTTTCAGAACCTGCAAGATCTCGCAACTTCTTTTCGTGCTAGCCTTTTGCAGTTGGTCTCCGCCGCCACGCCCAAGCCCATCATTTTCATCGCCCATAGCTTAGGAGGACTCATCGTCAAGCAGGTATGGCCCCCCCCCCCTCCCCCGAGGCATCTGTTCTTCAGCATTCTCATCATACACTAGACACTCATAGCACTATCGAAATCAACCAAGGATGATGACCAGAAGCTCCTTCGAGCTGTGTATGGAATCGTCTTTTTTGGCGTCCCACATGATGGAATGGATATCAGCTCACTCATCCCGATCGTGGAGGATGGCCCCAATCGCTTCCTGCTCGAGTCCATCGGAAACATCAATTCAGCGATTCTTAGTACCCAGCAACAAGAATTTCACAAGGCCCTAGGCAGGGAAGGCGAGTCTGAGATTATTTGTTTCTACGAGACACGCAAGTCACCAACGGCCGTGCAAGTATGTCTCTCCGCCTATTCTTGTAGACTACCTTTGCTGACATTTGTTGTAGATCGATGGAAAATGGAAAATGGAAGGACCCCCCGCCGTCCTCGTGACCAAGTCGTCCGCTACTCATTGTCGCCCATGGGAGGATGGGCTAGAGCATATCTGCGCCGTCGACCGGACCCACTCTGACATGGTCAAATTCAGATCCCAGGACAGCGAATACGAGAAGGCTCGTATACTAATCAGCGGCCTTGCTCGACGGGCACTAAGCGTACAACTCCCAACCCTATCGAAATCGGCCCGGGATTGTTTACGATCATTAGACTTCCCAGAAATAGACAAACGGTCCCTTGATATCGACCGTAACACCAAAGGGACATGCCAATGGTTGCTTAAACACAAGACATACAATGACTGGGCCGCTTGCCATCGAGGCCTGCTCTGGATCAGGGGCAAGCCTGGGTCTGGCAAATCGACCCTACTCAAGTACGCCTTAAAAAAGGTCACAGAAACACCCAAAGTCGAAAGTAGAACTCTTGTTCTCTCGTTCTTCTTCCATGGTCGTGGAACGGAGCTCCAGCGCACGTCATTTGGCTTCTTCCGGTCTCTCCTTTGTCAAATCCTTAGACAAGTCCCCGATGTACTCTCGGATCTCGTCGACAAATTCGAGAGCCGGGTCAGAGAGAAGGGCGAGCCTGGAGAAAAGTGGCAGTGGCATGCAAACGAACTGTGGGAGTTCTTTGAATCATCGCTGCCTGCAATTTTGCAGACCCGCTCCATCTGGCTCTTTGTTGACGCATTGGACGAAGCTGGTGAGCATACTGCACGCGATCTAGTTCAGAGATTTAAGTCACTGCTCGAGCAACTCCCATCAACTCGCCTACTATTTCGCATCTGCTTCGCTTGTCGTGAATATCCTATTCTCGAAGGGAACTGCAAAATGACCATAAATCCTGGGAACGAAAATCGGGAGGATATTTCCACGTATGTACAAGCCCGGCTTTCTTCATCCAAACGACTGGGGGCATCCACGATTCCGGTTTTGATTACAAACCGCGCCGACGGTGTTTTCATGTGGGCACGTCTCGTCGTGGATGAAATTCTACGCCTAGACAGCTGCGGAGAGACACTGAAGAAGATCGAAAAGAAGATCAGCTCTACTCTACCAGACTTAGATGATGTGTACCGTGGATTCCTCCAAGACCTGGAAGACAAACCAGCCTCCCTGAAACTGATCCAATGGATTTGTTTTGCCATACGTCCGCTCTCACTAGATGAACTACGATGGGCCATGGTCATCGATCCGAAGTGTCCCCACAGATCATTGCAACAATGCCGAGATGATGACGATTACCAAGTCGACAATGACAGTATGGAAAGGAAACTCAATCATCTCAGTCATGGCCTTGTTGAGGTTGTGTCATCTTCAGATATGCATTTCATCCAGTTCATCCACCAATCTGTCAGAGATTATTTTGTCAACAAGGGTCTAGCAACTCTGACAGCCAGCCTCAACCCCGCTGAGACCAAGCTCTCTGTGAGTGATATGGTCGGAACTGCCCATCATGAGCTGTCTCGGACATGCATATGCTACTTGGACATGGAGGAAATCAGTCGCTCACCTATCAACGACCACGAGGTATTGATATCCGAATTTCCTCTGCTACATTATGCCACAACCTCATGGATAGGACACGCGGTGGAAAGCGATGCCAAGGGCATCTCTCAAGACTATCTTCTGGACTATTTTGCCTGGCCATCGAGCACTCTTCTGCAATTATGGGCGTCGATTTACAACGTGTTAGAGGGATACTCTTGGGATTGTCCCAAAGAGAAGACATTGCTAATACACGTGGTATCACGATATCAATTACTGGGACCGTTGCAGGTAATCCTGCAAAAGAGCCAGGATGACATCAACATCGATGCAGAAGATGCCTCTGGCCGGACGCCGCTGTCGTGGGCTGCCGAGAACGGCCACGAGGCTGTCATCAAGCTGCTGCTCGAGAAGGATGCCGCTGTCGATATTGCTGATGAATATGGCCGGACGCCGCTGTCGTGGGCTGTCCGGAATGGCCATGAGGCTGTTGTTAATCTGCTGCTTGAGAAGGATGCCGTTGTTAATATTACTGATCCTATTGGCCGGACGCCGCTATCGTGGGCTGCTCGGAATGGCCATGAGGCTGTTGTTAATCTGCTGCTTGAGAAGGATGCCGTTGTTAATATTACTGATCCTATTGGCCGGACGCCGCTATCGTGGGCTGCCGAGAAAGGCCATAAGGCTGTCGTTAATCTGCTGCTCGAGAAGGATGCTGTTGTCAATATTACTGATCTTATTGGCCGGACGCCGCTGTCGTGGGCTGCCGAGAACGGCCACGAGGCTGTCGTCAAGCTGTTAGAAAGCCATATCGGTGGCAGGATCCCGTCCACCTCTATGATGCCTCACTCCGATTCGACTAACTTGATGGCCGAGTGATTCCTATTATTTTCTATTCAGATTTGTCTTCCACGGGAAGGGTCTGGGAGGCCGTGTCAATATATAGCCCACGGGAAGGGTCTGGGAGGCCGTGTCAATATATAGCTATGGACTGTATTCTAGCACCTTCTAGTAGATTCTCATGATTTGCCGAAAATTTGTTACTTATCTATTAGGCTTAGGATCGGAAATATTCTATAACTTAGATAATGATAATAATAATATTATTACGTGGCCCTCGCTCAAAGGCATGCCAGTCTATCGAAGGTTCTAAACACAGGGAAAAACTCTGGGCACTTGGCCCTGAACTAGAAACCCGTGTTCCACCAGGTTCCTGCACTTCGCGTCTCGTCGTACACCGAGCTTGGTCTCACCACCAAGCGCTTGTCTAGTATTTATTGCCTAGACGCTATTGCGTCGCGCTTTGGAGTCGGAGAGTGCGTGGTGGTTTCGAGTCGAAGAATCGATCGCTATTAGTCGGTCAGAGGTCAGGCTATCGCCGAATAAGCCAGGCAGGGGTGAAAGGTGTACGAGTAGGAAATCCCGAGGGGAAAAAAAAGAGAAAAGAAGAAAGGAAAGGGCAAGGGTAAGAAAATAAGAGGAGAAAAGCATAGAGTAAGGCGGAACCCACGTCTCAGACTTTATAGACAAAATTCCAGATCGATAGGTGGGCCCTTGGGCAAGATGTGGCATCCAAAAATGCCCTTCATCAAACATCGGCAAGACTCGACTCTTTTCAAGGGACGGCATAACTAAGCTAAATTCAGTCAAATGTCGGATCTCTGCTGGCCAGCTCCTAAGCCGTGCTTGAGCCGTGCCTGAACCGAGCCTGAGCAGACTGAGCAAGCGACAGGGATGTGTAAAGGGAATTTTGGGGACATACAACAGGCTGAACTTCGCTTAGGAGGGACATGAAGCATCCCATCACTCAAATTTATAAATTAAATTGACCCCCAAGATTCAAGCAAGTTTTCTATTTATCACAGGGTTGTTCAGCTTTTAATTTGAGGACGAGCGAGTTATTTCATGAAGCCGAGTTATCATATCCGACACCGCACTGTTGACACGACTTCAACTCTGCTGTCCTTCACCTTGAACCAGCGACGCGACGAGCATATCCCTATACCACACATCCACTCCAACGACCATGGAGAAACCTACGTCGTATCCCCATCGACTCGAAGGTCGTCACATCAGAGTCCTGGAACTGAAGCCAGGCTCAGCAGCAGATCCGCTCCAAGCGCGGCTGGTGGAGGTTGATCTCGACGCAGCAGGGCCCTTTGAAGCATTATCATATGTTTGGGGCGACCCAAGTAGCAGGGACGAGGTCTGCTGCGGCGGCTGCAAGGTTGCCATCACGGTCAACCTGCACAGGGCGCTCACTGCGCCTTCGCAGAGGCGCAGAGACGCGGCTCATCTGGGCAGACGCGATCTGCATCAACCAGGAAGATCTCGACGAGTGCCCTCAGCAGGTGCAGTTGATGCGCGATGTCTACTCCTGCGCAGAACGAGTTGTAGTCTGGCTCGGCGAGGGCGGCGATCAGAGTGTAGATCTGGCGGTATCTTTGATGGGTGCCATCTATGCGGCCTGCGAAGGATCGGCGAAGACTGCCGGCGTCGACTTGCACGCCCACGCCGTCTCGTCTAGGCCATTTGAGGATGTCGCACTGTCGACCCTGCAAGGAGACGTAGTAGCGGAGTCCAAGGACGCTTGGCAGGCACTGCGGCTCTTTTTCGATCGGCCGTGGTTCAGGCGAGTCTGGTGCAAGAGACCGTCTTGGCCAGGTCGTCCAAAGTATACGTCGGCTCGCTCTCGCTGCCTTGGCTGACTGTGGGCGTCGTGGCATCGTGGCTCAACACCATGGACATTTTGGCTGACTTCAACACCACGCCCGAGCTGAAGGACATCCCGTACTATGAGGCCTACTGCATGTTTGACACGGAAGACGTGGACGAGGCGAACCTGACCCAGACGCTCAAGAAATACCGTGATCTCAAGGCGACTGATCCGCGTGATAAGGTTTACGGCGTGCTGGGGCTCGTGAACCCGGCGGCTGACCCCCATGTCCGGATGATCGAGGTGGACTACCGCCGTGAACTATGGGAGGTCTACGGGGATGTTGTCAAGAGCACGATTGCGAGGACAGGGGATCTGAGCGTGCTGTCACTTGTGAAGCATGTTATCGAATTTGATGATAATGATCTATTCCCCTCGTGGATCCCGAGGTGGGATAGCGCCACGCACGTTACGGTCATGTATGACGAGTGGCTCGAAGGCGTGTGGAAGGCCAACGGGGACGAGCACCCTTTGGGGAGGTTTAATATCACTCCTTCTGGCGAGGTGACGCTGAAAGGCTTAGAGTTTGACACTGTAGAGTGGGTGACAGGTCCCATGGATGTCGATGAATTCGGGGATCTTCCACCAGCAACAGAGCATCCCTTCGTCAAGATATGGGACAAATGCTCCCAGGGCTCCGAGGATCCAATACTTCTTATCATCACCCTAGCTGATGTGCTTACCGCAAACTTGTCAGAGAACTGGGTCCTGCTGGATTCTCTTGAGGATGATGAACGGCAGCAAATCCACGGGGACTTCGTCGCCTATCTCAACCACCTTCTTGCTTCATCTGGCAGGCAAGATCTTCTGGTGCAGCCGTCTCCCGGTGAGGACGACTGGAAGAGGTATAAGCTGATAGCGTCTCGCGTCTGTGATCAGCGACGGTTCTTCGTTACAAAGAGAGGTTATCATGGCCTTGGATCTGGCTCTGCGAGAGAAGGGGATGTGCTGTCTGTGTTGGCTGGGGGTCCGATGCTATACATCCTACGACGAATAGAAGGCCGTTTTCGATTCCTAGGTGAAGCGTATGTCGACAACCTAATGCAGGGGGAAGCTTGGCAGGAGAAAGACATTCAACATACATGGACGGGTATCACCCTCTTTTGAGCAGTGCTTCAACTAGCTTGAAGCACAACTTGATGCATAACAAGTACCTCAACACCGCAGCGTCTGCTTCTTCTACATACAAATGAACTTGTTTTCTGACAATAATGTGTAAGAAAAGAGCTTTGCGGTTTACAGCATATAATTTAACAGCTCAATCGACTTATGTAGGGCTTCCATGATGATAGAAGCTTCAAAAATTATCTCATGTAGGATTAAACACATCTACCAGTCTTTGGAGAAATTCACACCGTAAGTCTAGACCGATCCTCAATAAGCGATATGAGGATGTTCCTCTAGTGCGTAGTCAGCTAGCCGCTGAAATCGGTTAGACTGTGTACCATGGGACACCAAGGATTGAGCGATGATGGCTGACTCATGACATGGAGCCTCTCAAGTGTAGCCCACGGAGAACTCCGGACTCGTTAAAGTATTATTTGTGTTGATCTTCATCCGCTTGATTCCACATTCCTGCTCCAGAAGCACAGCCCAACCGTACTTCACATAACTTTGTTCCAGCCGCGCTGCGGAGATGAGCCTCCAGAGCTTGATTCAGACTTGATTTCGTCAATGCGCCATATCCATCTAGCACGAAGCTGCTCTAGGCACGCCAATCCTGCTTGAACTACATTTCTATCTCAAACCTGCCCAATAGCGCCACACCCCACAGGCCACAATGCGTGCCATATCCATTTCCACTCTCGCAGTCCTCCTCGCCTCGACGGCAGCTGCAGCGCCGCCGTGCACCACCCCGTCGTCGGGCTGCCACTTCGTGCCGTCAAGCAACGCCACCGCCAGCAACTTCCCCGGCGCCAGCCCGAAACCCGGCGGCAACCTCTACGACCTGAACAAGCTCTCCGAGGTGCCCGTCGCGAGCGTTTGCAACAGCGGCAACACGACCGAGGAGCTGGCCTGCGCGCGGCGCTACATCGACGCCATCGACGAGCAGCTGGCGTACCTGTACGCCCGGCGCCTCGGGTACGCCGCCGTGGCAGGGTCGGCAAAGTTCAGCGGCGGCGCCCCGCTGAACGACCCTTCGAGGAACTCGGTCGTTGCGGAGGGGATGGCGCAGCGCGTTCTCAAGTACGGCGGCAGCGCGGATGTAGGGCGGGTCATGGGCGGCGAGGGCTGCATGATCTACGGCAGCTTGATCTATGAGGTTGAGAAGATCAAGGCTGATTGTGACCCGGCTTTCGATGAGACCATCACGAGATCATGCACCTAATCAGACACACTACAAGACCGTGGGGTTCGGCCTCGAGACCTCGTCCACCGTCAAATCCAATAGTCGTAATACTTGATCAAAAGATATCCGCTTTTCAGCGTCTAGCTATATGTATTATGCTTCCTAGTAATTATCAGAGTCATATTGGCACAGGAGCTGTAATATGAAGCTCAACCATTGCCAATCCGCTGAGGTATTATCATAACGTCATTATAATGCAACTTTCTCCCCCCTTTTCACCATTTGATGATCTTCTGAGGGAAGAACTCATCAATCAGGTCCATGTAATATGGCTACCAAGACCAGTTAGTAAACATAAGCAATGTGAGATCCCACGAGTAGTATTCATAAAACATACCTTCAGCTCTTCGGCGCTCGGCACGCCATCGCTCTTGCTGTACAGGTCGTAGGGGTTGAAAGCCTGGACCGCCTTGAGCATCTCGTGGTCCTTGTCCGTCATGAACTGCCGGTACGCGCCCTCCTTGTGCCAGGAGTAGAAGCTGTGATAGCGGATCATGGCCAGCGCCTCGGGGGGCAGCGTCGACTGGTCCTTGACGACGTGGTACAGGTACTCGTCGTGGCCCCACGAGAGCATGACGTTGTCGAGGCCGCAGCCGGGCTCGTAGATGCCGTTCTCGGTGCTGTAGACCGGGTCCCGCGCGTCCGGGTTGCCCGCGAAGCTCTCCGGGTAGATGATGCGCGCGTCGAAGGCGCAGCCGACGGGGAAGGTGTCGCCGACGACGTCCCACTGGCCGCGGGCGTCGTAGAAGAAGAGCAGCTTGCCGAGGTCGTGGATCAGGCCCGTGAGCTGCATCCAGCGCGGCTTGCCGTCGCGGCGGATGGCCTCGGCGCTCTGCAGCAGGTGCTGGATCTGGCTGAGCGACGTGTCCGGGTCGCTCTCGTCGATGAGTGTGTTGAGCTTCTCCATGGCCTCCCAGACCGTCATCTCGTCGCGCGCGCGGGCGGCCGAGCGGAAGCGGTTGCGCGCGGCGAGGTTGTAGGCGACCGTCTGCTTCTCGTGCTGCTCGCGGTAGAACGACTTGACCCGGTCGCAGGCCTGGTCGTACTGGCGGAACTGGGTCTTGTCCTTCTCCGAGTCGAAGTTTGACTTGTCGTCGTAGAGGGCGGCCTTCTTGCCCTTGATGTAGTTGACCTCGTCGACGGCGTCTGAGATGGCCTCGAGGGCTTGGCCGTCTCTGTCATTGTAGTCGTAGATGGCTGAGGGAGCCATACTGGCTGCGGGGTTGTGTTGTGATGGTTAGGTCTGGCAGTTGGAGACCAAGCAGCCAATGAAGAATGTATGGAGGGCAAAATCCAGCGTGAGTTGTCCAAGTTGCTAGAATGTGATGTGATAATGAAGTACTCGGGAGAGGAACTTCGAGTCACAAAGGCCGATCCAGCTCGAATAAATACTTTGGTGCAATCGCGGGATATTTCATATTTTCCAATCAAAGATGGCAATTTTCTGCCAACTCGATATCCAGCAATGCGGGTTTTGCAAACCAACTTTGCCCTTCTGCTCCACCAAATCTTCTCCACGATGACTTCAATTTGCTTTTGTTTCTGTGGTCGAAAAATAGATGTAAGTGCCCGGTATGGTTAAAATCGGCGATACGGACTGTTCCAGGAGTGGTCAGAATCCACATTTATGGGGTCATTCCAGCAGAACATTTCCTGTTTCGAATTGGTAAAAGTCTCCGAGTTAGCTTCATCGGAAATGCAGCTTGAGAACCAGACTTCACCCGACTCGAGGTCACACAACACAACCAAGTCGAAAAAAAGACCCGCCGAAAAGGGCCAGGTGTCTCTGGGAAAACGAGGTTGTGCGTGGAGTTCGTGCATGGAGAACGGATCGGTCCTCTGACCATTGGCTCGTCAGTCGTTGGATGCTCAAGAAGTGGTCCAGTCCCATGACTTGATCATCTCTGCCTGCACCCTCTCGGTTGGTCGGGCGTGGTCGCTTTCTGTTCTCTTCAGGATGTCTAGGAACGCTTCTTGGTCTGTCCTGTCGGTAAATCTGTCTCCAACTGCCCGATGCTGTGAGTAAAGCTGGGCACACCCGCCTGTGGTCGTGCAGACGTGGAAGACCTACATGCTGCGATGGCCATGCAGGCAGTGAACATGCTCGGCGGCGTCCACTGGTTGCATAGCCCGATCCCACACACCCTCCTGACAATGGACTGAACGCGGTCCTTTTGTTTCCATCCACCTCTCGGTCAGTCAATGCTCGGTACCACCGCCATCGAGATAGGACTCACATCTATCCGTTTGGCAGCTTCCTTGCGATGGCTCCCGATGCGGGGAAGCTTGGGATCAAACGAGACGAGGAATAGCTCGGCGAGGAGGTGGTGTTGTACGCCAATGGCTAAGAAGAGCATAGCATAGCATCAGCGGCGTACCCTCGCGACATTGACCTCTCAAAACGTACCGTGGCAGCTGCTCTGGTACCAGACCTCGGGGAATGCATCTCCCTCGCCCCGCTCCTTGGAGAAAATAGGGGTGAAGGACGGCGGCCGGCGGCGGTTCCATTGGCCGTTCCACCTTTCAAGCTCGGCCCACCACTTGACGGGCTGTCGGCCGGGGTCCCCGAAACAAAAGTTCAGCACGTCGGCGCAATGCACCACGGCCCGGTTGGCCCAGGCGTAGTCGTCTGCCTCTCCAAGCGTGCGGTCCACCAGCGAGTGGACAAGGTTGATGCGGACTGGCTGCTGGTTCATGACGGCACTGTAGATTTCTTGCCGCAGGCCTACCCAGAATGACGCGGCGCTCAGGCTTCCCGGCTTGAGATATCTGGCTCCTCCGTGAACAAAAGCGTGGATGCCTAGCAAGTAGCTATGCGCGTCGATTCCCGAGTGCTTGACTGCCATCCTGTCAGGAGATTGTTCGTCGACAATTTTCTCTAGTCACTTCCGATACTTTCTTACCTTCCATTTCCTCCCACACCCTTAGGATGATGGTCGCCGCAAATAGATTCTCATCCGACACTGTCGCGTCGTGGCTCAGCATGGGAATTAGTGCATTGAGGCACACCTTGTGATACCGATCGGACGCGTAGGGGTCAAACCCTTCGACATGATTCAGGTGCTTCGCTGAGAGGGCGAGGATGGCATTCAGCAGGATGGTGCATGTGGCGGCCCGCTGCGGTACAACAGTCTCGAAGGACTGCGCAGCATCACACAGGTCGAGCTGCGTTGTTGGATATTAGCCTCTCGAGTCTCAGATCTGTAGCTGTCCAGGTTGTTTTATTACTTGCCCATATTGCTAGCTTTTGTACAAAGTGTCGAAATAGGATCGCTTCTTGTCTGTCGCGCAAGAGCAATGCAGGCCTGTCGACATAAGTGCGTGCTGCGGCTTCATGGATATGACCGCCTCGAATGTTCTCACCAACAGACCGGACCGCGGGTGCTAGGAGCTCCTCATGCAAAATGAAACGGTCAGTGGGCGAGCCTGGTTCTGCAGAGGCAGCCGGTTGCGGGCCATCCGGGAAGGTATCACTAGCAAAATGTAACATGCGCGGTGGTTCTTGTGGCCTAATGGCAGAGTCATCCCGTTGAGTGTCAACGGAAAGATGTGCCTCTGACGATACTGCGCCTACGTCAGGCCCGACAGCATCGATGCCCGACTCGCTGATGAACCTCACTGAATCGCGGTTGTTAGTGTTTGATGAGAGACCGAGAAACATTCATAGGCAGGCAGCCTCACATCGTTTCGGCGTTTTGATCCACTTCTGGCGCGCCGGGAAGAGTCCTTGCGAGGAGGTCAGTGTCGGTATCTTCTTGTACGTCTACCTGAGGTCCGAGCTCACCCTTTTCGACGCGGAATTTGTATCCCCTAGTGCATTCGCGGCCAGTCGAGGCGCACCGGCTGCATGTAGGAGTCAGACGGTCACCTGGTCTTCTGTGAGCTAGACATACTCGTTCATGGCCGGCTGCAGTGACGCGGCCTCGGCGCCGGTCCGGTTCGCAGCCAACGACACCGCGCTTCTATTAAGATCTCTCTACTCACACTTTAGATGCTGTTCTCGGCAATTCTGGCTATTGAAGAGTGGGATATCAGCATGGCCCCCCTGACAAAGGCAGCGCTGTCTGGGGCTCACCATCCAACGGTGGCTACTGCCACGGCATCACGCTGATCCGAGGCCGGACGGGGACTCGGACCGGGTGCTGGGGACGGCATCGGGAACGGGCACTAACAATGCCGGATATTCCCATCGATAACAATTATTACCAACGGGAGATGGACGGATGGCGCCCTGATGCAGCAGGTGATGGGGACAAAGACGGCGAAAATGGACGTTTCTGGTGCGGAGTGGAGACAGAAGAACCACGAGAAAGGAATAAAATCCCGAAGGATGGAAATCAGGAAGTGCGGTTCGGAGCGAGTGGGGAAATGGACGGAGCAACATCTTTTTCTTGCGCACCCGACTAGAGCTAGACCCACCTTCTCCTTTCTACAGAGACCACGAGGACCAACTTACGGACAGCAGTGAAATACGAAGCTACTTGACCTTGACTTGGGCACGTGGCTGGATCCAAGTTGAGTCGGCACTCATTTGCAACAGGCTTCGCTCCCTTTCCGACCTCGAATGCTGCCTCGAGACAGTATCATTTCAAGATAGCGCTCGGCCCAAGCACCAAAAGCACCAACATCATGATGTACTTCCAGAAGCATTGGTAATTGATCGTAAATCGAGGTTGTGTACAATATAGAACATAGATCCCCAGCCAGAGCAGACCAGAGCAACCATGATAGTACAGAGAAATGAAGAGCCCGTCCTCCTGCAACGTTTCTGACAAAGGTCCTCAGCGCCGTCCTGGCGCAGGCCTCTGGTCGGGCATTGTGGACGTCTCCACGTCGAACGTGATGTCCCTTCGGATACCGCGAATCGGAACGGTACTCTCCTTGTCTGAGTTGGTGTCCTCGTCGAGACGCGTCCAGTCGCCCTGCTCGGCATCCTCGATGTCAAACTTGGACTTCAAGCCCTTGCGGTCCTTGCTCTTCATCTCCCCGCCGGAACCGCCGATGGTGACAAGCCCCATAGATCCCGGGTGGAGTCCATGGGAGAGATCGGTGCGCTCGTCCCGGGACGTGGCCTTGCGCGACTCGCGGTGGACAAAGTATTGGCGCAGAGCAGGGAGAGAACCGCAGATCAGGCCGATGGCGGTCTCGACGTTGGACCAGAGAGGGATGTTACCGATGTGGACTATGGACCGAGTTTGCGTTAGTGGGCAGATCTAGTCACCGGGTAACATGAAGAATCAGAAATTTTCGACATACAGGCAAGGTCGTCAAGAGGGTGGTTGTAGTAGTCGATGTACGGAGTACGGATCATAGTTGAGACGGAAGCACTGGTTTGTTAGACGCACGTTAGTCAAGGTCTCTTTGTTCAACAAGACTCTGGAGACGACATCAAGAATCAAGATCTGATGTAAGCACTTACAAGGAACCGAAAGAAAGGACAATGGCGACCATAATCTTCGTGGACAACTTCATCTGTGTCTGCCAGAGGATGAAAGCCGGAAGCACAGCACAAGCGAGATCCGTAGCAATGGTGCTGGCGGTCGACGTGTAGGACAAGCCCAGCATGGCGCTGATCGGGGAGCACTCGCCACGGCCTTCTTTGATGATGCTTTGGTCCCAGTTCGCGGCGACGGGGCGACACAGGAGCAGGATGCCGATAAAGGTCGTGCAAAAGGTGGCGAGGGTGAGGCCCAGCAGGGCGAAACAGGCTATGCGCAGCTTGGGCATGGTGGCCGCGATCCGCAGAATAGTCAGGCAAATGGACGTCTTGACCAGGCACAGTGCCTGCACGTAGAGCAGCATCCAAAGCATCAGGTACTTGATCGACTCGACCATCATCGTGGCGTTGAGGTTCGCATTGCGCGTTCCAAGGCCGCTCAGGGCCCCTATGCAGGCGAGAACGACATCGACTAGATAAATGACCTGGGTTCGAATGTTAAACTGTATTCGGCAAAGGAAGTAGACGCTGTCGAGTCCAGGGCATAGTTGCTCCGGGTGCTGCTTACCAGACCGGCGAGCATCAGACCATCGTCCCAGCCGAAGGTCCTTGCCTTGAGTCGAACCAGTGTCCTGCCGCCGACGGCGAGTAGCGACAGTATGCCGCCTGCAATCGACGTCACAAACAGGCTGAGGCTTGTGCCCTCGAGCTGGACAAAACGCTGATTGGGATCCACTGTTGCCGACATGATTCTTACAAAGAACACAACGAAATGAATGGAGTTGAACAGACTGAGGCTCGCAAGTCTGCTGACGGATCTAGAACGGGTCGTAGTAGTACTTTAAATGGTTTGCGGGTACAGCACAGTGCAGGTCAGGCAATGCGTGTACAGCAATCCTTCTCGAGCTTCTCCTTCACGAGTGGTGGACCAAGACAGCTTCGCCAGACTCAACGGCAATTGTGTGAATGATCAGCCCTAGCAGGACGGCTAGGTCCACTCATCCTTACCAGGCTCACGAGTTCTTGGGAGGCGACAAGACATGGAAGAAGATGGGATCGGCATTCGCAATGCTGCCAATCCTCCTAAAAAGAAAAATAGCCCTTGGAAGGGAAAGTACAGTCTGTTTCAAACCGCCTCGGACTGGCCCGCTGGCAGTCAGATTGTGGACCACAGAGGTGGCGCGCCAAATGAACCTGACATGGGTTCCTGTTCCGAACCTGCACGGCCGTTGGTCGGAAGTTCACCCGCAAGCCGCCAACCAGGCCAGGGCATCAAAGTTCTGACGTTTCCATAAAATCTCCGGCCATCCTTACCTGAAAGGGCGAAGCCGTTGACGATTTGCACATCTGCCAAGCCCCTGGGTGGTACGTACATACCGGCACCCAGGATAGGTATCTAAGATGGCATGATTTGGATTTAGATGCAAGGCTACCTTGGGGTCTGCTTGGGTTGTCTCTGTGCGTAGGACTTGTCGAACTGGACATATGAAGCAGGCCTTTCCAGTATCCTGATAAGAGGTACATAGCCCATCTCTGTGACCTATCAGTTGACGTTATCGTATCCCCATCGACTGAATTAGGTTCATTCCCCGGGTTTTCTTGCCAATGGTCATCTTGGAGTCTGAGATTGAGTTGCGTCTCTTACGCCTCCTGATAATCCACTTGATGGCACCACGATCAAGAAGGGCTCGCCAAATCAAATCCCGTTGTCTGGGGTGTTGCATCTAACTTGTACGAAAACAACCAGGATCAAGGCTTTTGATCCCCTCAGAACTGTGCAATACCAAATTGAATTGATGGTATGGTTTGTGGCCGCTCCCGTCGGGTATAAAAATCAACATACTGCGTCCTGGAGGATTGCAGTTGATGGTGAGACATCTAGTCAGAACCTTAACAATCCCTTTCTTTCTTTGACTCGGGTATTTCCAGTAGAGACCCTGGTCATTTGAGGTATTTATTTCTTGGCAAAATTCCCGAATCTTCGGACATCTCAGCACCCATACAAGTAGCCATTCCTTGTTCTGGGACACAGTGATGCAGCGTGCTTGAGGTTCAGTGGTCTATCATCGTTGCGAAAAGCCGAGCTAAGCTGTGCTTGCTGATACAAAATCACGCTTTTCTTTTATGGAGTTAATGGATGCTCAAAAACCAATATCGAGATGATCCACTCAATGTGTATGCAGCCTCATAAGAACTCCATACGAAAGGAGCAACCCAATGTATACGAAACACCGGGGTCTCGTCGAACAGAGATTTTCCCACGCTACTCTGCCAAGCTCGACAGCCTCAGGCGGTGAAGAGAGAAACAGAGAGCAGGCGGAAGGGCTAACTCTAGTTACAATACAAGTAGAAGTGCCGTCGGGGGCCAGGGGTAAGCCGTTTTCGAGCCACAAATCCAAGCCCCTGAAGCAAGGATCATTAGGTACGATGTTACCTCAGTACGCAACCATGGCCATGCCGCGTCTGCTAATATGTATCGGCCGAAAAACCAATCACCCTATCAAAACAATGCCCTGGACCATTGGATAACTACTTAATGATCATTGCCGCACCAGAGCACGAGGACAGCACAAGCTGACTGGCTTCTTTGTGCATTTTGGAGTTCTCCGACCAATCCGACCAACTGATGCTGGCAGAGTCGCAGATCGCCGATACAGGAAAGCTCCCTAGTTACCTGTTCGTCAGTTTCGAAGCTGCACAAGTTGTTATTGCATTGTCTCTTCAGGCGGCGGGGAGGTCGGGTAACTATGGGCTGTAGATCTTCTCCTAAGATGAGGTCGCGCGACAATGTGGATGTCCGACAGGGGTTCATGCAATTGCTAACCATCCTCTTAGCCCGGCCAACGGTTGGAAACGACCCATCAAGCATTTCATGGCAGGGGGATCTCCCGTCGGCCCCGCTCCGAGCTCTTGAAAGAGGGGATACGAGAGTGGGCGAGCGATGTACCGGGAGCGATGGTAACAATACGACTTAGGTAACCAGATCATTGTGAAGGCCACTTGCGGCCTTATCTCTCGAGCCAACCCAGTCGGCACCAGAGTGAACCGGGATGTGCTTTCTCAATGGCTCATTAAAGCCCAGGGCTCCATGATTATGCAGAAGCATCCCAAACCCAGGGAAACGTTAGGCGAACAGTCTAACAGAATGGTCCTCAAGATGAAGCTGGGGTCGGCCGCTGTTCTCACCGCTTGCGGCGGCAACTCACGACTCCTGGCTCCCATGCCCATGTATTTGAGTTTGCTCTCACCGTATCCTACCAAACTCTAACATTCGACCAATTCCAATTGACTGGGCCCCTTTGTTGCTGCAGAACCAGAATACCACCTTTTGCTGACCACCCGACAAGATGGCTGGAGAAACGGTGGTTCCCATCACGCAAGCCCCTCCGTACAGGGTCCACGAGGGCAAGACGGCCGTCATCACGGGTGGCTCGAGGAGTAAGCCTTTCCCCCTTGTCCTCTCCCACCTGCTGATCAGGAGGAAAACATAATCGCTAAAAGGAGGGACCACCGCCGCCACCGATCCTCAGGCATCGGCGCCGCCATAGCCCAGAACCTCGCCTCCAAGGGCGCCAATGTCATCCTCATCTACCTGAACGAGTCGTCCGACGGGCCCGCCGCCGCGGTCGCGGAGCAGCTCTCCAAGGCGCACGGCGTCAAGGCCGTGCCGGTGCGCGCCGACTTCAGCACGCCCGAGGGCTGCGCCAAGGTCGTCGCGGCCGTGCGCAGCGACATGCCGCCCAGCGCCAAGACGGGCCGGCCGCAGGTCGACATCCTCGTCAACTGCGCGGCGCTCTTCCACGCCGTGCCGCTCGAGGCCGTCACCGCCGACGACTTCCACCGCGTCTACAGCGTCAACGTGCTGGGGCCCATCCTGCTGACGCAGGCCGTCCGCCCCCTGCTGCCGACCGACCGCTCGGGCCGCATCGTCAACGTCTCGAGCGTGGGCTCCAAGGTCGGGCTCGAGTACCTGACGCTCTACGGCGGCAGCAAGGGCGCGCTCGAGGCCATGACGCGCACCTGGGCCCGCGAGCTCAAGGAGAGCTGCACCGTCAACGCGTGCAACCCGAGCTCCACCATGACCGACATGCTCCGCGGCGCCTCCGAGGACGCCAAGAAGGCCATCTCCATGTGGTACCCTCTGACGCCGCTGTGCGGCATCCGCGAGTGGGACTCGGACGAGCAGAAGGAGATGGCGGAGAAATATGGCGGCCGCGCGGGATACGCCGAGGAGATCGCCGGGATTGTCGGCATGATCTGCTCGCCGGAGAGCGGATGGATGACGGGATGCCTCGTCAGTGCTAATGGAGGCCAGTGGATGGCCAGCTAAGAAGATTGTAGGTATAATCTTGGACAGGCGACATCCATGTGGTGCTCAAGAAACCCCAATTGGGCCAGGTTATGAACGTGCCGCTTTGAGTAGTAACACCTACCTAACTCGCTCCTGTATTGCCGAGTCGCGAGTTGTCACAAGCCGATACTCGCCGGCTGCATGGAATACTTAGATTATTAGATCTATTACGCTGTAGATGGAATCCACGATTCGCTCGTCATTTCCAGTGGCCGCCCCTCACCCATCGGCAGACGCAGAACCCGTCCTCTCAAGGGCAGGAGTATTGCCGCTCCGCCGCCGGCGCGGCGCACTCCGCTCCCGCGCCAGGCGCGACGCTTCCCGGTGCAGGCCCCGGCGCCAGTCGCACTGCTCGGCGAACTCGCAGAAGCCGCACTTGTAGAACTCCTCGATGTCGACGCCCCGGGCTTCGCGCTCCCCGCGCCACCACTGCATGTAGCTGCCGAGGTACTCGTCCAGCACCGCGTTGTCGACCTGCATGACGTTGGTGCCGATGAGGCGGCCGCCGGTCTCGCCCGCGTCCTCGCCACCGTCTTGTGGGGACTCGCGGGCCCGGGCGCGGTATTCCACCGCCACGAGCTTGCCCAGCGAATCCTCGCCCTGGGGGAAGGTCAAGCGTAGTTCTTCTGCCACGAGAGGTATGAGAGCGCGTAGACTCTGGTAGCGAAGCGCGCCGGCCGAGGGATCTTCAGAGAGTTCCACATCCGTGGCGGGGGGCGATGGTGCATCGTAGAATATCTCATCATGAAGCTCGCCGACCTGGGCGAGAAAGGAGTCCGAAAATTGCTCGTCCGGGTCGAGTCCGTAGCGACGGATGACCCGCAGAAAATCAAGCTGTCCGCAAGCCATCGCTGCCAAGAATCGGTGGTACATGAACAGCTGGACTTTTGTCGGCCTCACGGCAGCACCTTTCGGCAAAGTATTTGAAGCCCTGGTTTTGACATCGGTCAGATAAATCTTGGGCGGGGGCCGAGCCTTGTCCCCGGCGGGCTGCGATGAAGGGAAGAACTCGGTGATGGTCTGCTGGTCTGGGGCCACCTCTGGCGCAGCTTTGCCACCAGCACCCTCTTCATCTTCGAACTGCGGATCGGGGTTGTCGTAGCTCAGTCCGTCGATGATGCCGTTAACAACATTGCCATCAATGACCCCCCAGACCTCGAGTTCTCTTGTCAGGCCGGTCTGTCTCAAGGTCCGTAGCCCTTGTATTATGTTCCACAGTTTGAGGCCAAAGGCGTCCTCCCGCTTGGTGACTTCGATCTGCACGGTGACATGCACCTCGTCCTCGAGCTCTTTGTGCACCTTGGACCCGCCCTTCATGGCGGCCGTCCTAGTCCGCTTCCCACCAGGCAGCAGCGTGAGGGTGTAGGCATACTGCAGCTCGCACCATGCGCCGGCTGTCAAGTCGGACACGGACAGAGGTTTCTTTGGATACGTCCGAAAGCGAACAAGAGGCGGTAGCTGGGAAGATGTCGAGAGTGCCGACGGTTCGGCGGTTTCTTCAGTTGGAGGCTCGACGACGGAGAGGTCATTGCTCACTAATCGCCACTTGGGGGTCAGTCAGACCTTTTGACACCTTCAAGACAGAGAATGTAGCACGCTTACAGTCCGGATAGCTGACTTTGACCTCCTCGTTTGATAATCCCAACACGGTCTGCCGGTAAGTCTCGCCAGCAGAGCCTGCGACCCTCGCGAAAGCCTTGATGGAGTGTGTAGCAGCTTCATAGCGCCCTGCAAGCGACGGATCTGGCTCGGAGATATCGCGATGGCTTTTCTGATCGTAGAGGGAGGCGGCCACGGGATCTGCTGCAAAGTCGACAGCCGCCGCAGCAGCAAAAGAGGGAATAAGCTCGGTCCTCTGGGCAGGGGATTCGCGAGCTTTGGCTCCGAGGGAAGGGGGTGTTGGATTGCTGGCGGCGGCGAAGTTGAGCGAGACGAGCAGCTCCTCTTCGTCAAGCGACAAGTCCCAGCCGTAGTCGCTGTCGTTATCTGTGGGTTGGGCAATCGCCATCGCGGCCCAGAGGTCGGTGATGAATCATTTCCGGGCGAGCGGGGCGGCGTGGTGGTGATGTCCTTTGGTGGTGATGGTTACTTCGCGTCCGGATCCAATCGTCATCGAGAATTTAGGCGGCGGTCGCGCATGAAACCCCGCCAAACGCGCTAACATGAAGCGCTGGATCGCGCCCTCACGTGCTGTATTCAGTGAGCATTGCGCGCAGACATCCACGGATACATCCACGGATATGATTCAAGTTCAAAAGTGGAGGGTTTCCCAACCCTTTTACAGATTGGAGGACCGCATCTCTCGTTGTCATTGCCATCTGCTAAAGCATATGTTTGGCTCTTCAACTGACTGTAACTTTTGTACAGGTCTTCAACCGGAACCCCCAGACCTCAGATCTCGAGACGCCATTGAATTGGAGATTCGACCGTGATGGCGAGAGTCCATGGTTTATTTGTCTGCCTTGGGACGTTGAGCAGTCTCTTGCCAGTCTATCATATCCCCTGCTAGGACTTTCCGTCCAAACAGCCCTCGGAATGGCTCGAAGGCTTCACATCTGCCAAGGGCTCCAGTGTTGAACCTGGCTGCCTGTACACTGTACAGGCTGCCCTGATTATCCAGCTGGTGATTGGCCCCCTTCACCTCGGGCTGCTCCACCGCGAACAAGCATCAGCCAGCCAGCTCGACGCCACGCCACGATGGATGACCAGAGTGAACGCCGCCGACCGAGACCTCGTGTTTCAGACAGCAATGTGTCCCTTTCGACCAAGGCAGCAACACCATTCAAATGATTGCATTCCTGGACGATATGGGGACGGGAAATCGTCTCCTGTTGCTGCTCATTCATACCTATCGGAATCTGCTGCTTTCATACACTTGTACTGTATATGAATCATGGGTCGCACGGATCTCGCTGCTTTCGCCACGTCGTATGCAGCCTCCAAGATCGGTGACATTGACGACTTGCAGCGTGCGAAGAGAGATGGTGATGATCGCCCTGGCGATTGGACGGGTCCGAGACTAGGGCCAACTTTCATGAGCCTCCCAACCGAGATCCATCTTCTCGTCAGCCAACAGCTTCTCTACCCAGATGCCTTGTCACTGAAGCACACCAACCGGTACTTCCACGAGCTGGTCTATACCGGGGTCAACCTCAAGGTCGAATGGCTCGTGCAGAGGCGCAGTCTGCATCTCGACTGCCCCAACAATGTCCGGTGCGATCTCGGGAGTGATTTGAGGTTCTGCCGGGGCAGTGTGGCGTAAGTTGACACAGTCGACGTTGAGGTTGAGGGACCACCCATGATTAATGTGACTGATCAAACAGGCTCCTCATGAAACGTCGAAGAGAGCATATCGAGTGCGAAAGCAAGCCCGGCATCGGCTGCATCGTCTTTGGCACTGCCACCTGCTCCCACAAGCGAAAATGGTCTGTAAGGATGAGACGGTGGTTACGCTCCAAGTTGACCGTCGAGCTATGGTGGCTGATTCTTGCTCTTGTTCCGCTTGTCTTTGGCTGGATATGGATGTCTGAGCTTGCTCGGTGGAGGTGATAGGTCGTGAACATAGATTGGCTCATCTGCACTGCTCTGGAAGAGTGCATCAGGAGATTGACGGACAGGACTGTACGATATGTGTATGTTTATGGGCCTATACCAGAATGCATAGTTGGGGACGAGTCTAGAGGCTCAACCCATCTCTTTGAGACTTGAACTAATTACTCTCACTTCATAAAGTAGTCTAGGTAAGTGGTTGGACAAGTCAGAAGCAAGTTAATACTGGCTGACTAGGTGCTTACCTGTCTTCTACCCCACACCTGTGACCCCAACTTTCCAATCCCCACAAGAATGAGCCCAGTCACAACTCTCCGCCTCCGCCATCGGCATCGATGATGGAGCTGGCGACTGTCCGGAGAAGGTCACGTACAGGTTCGAACCCAAATTCCAATCCAGCTAATGACTGCTGATCAACGCTAATGGAACGCAGGTTGTACGGCCTGTCGCCGGCAGCACAGGAAATGCGATGAGCAACGACCCGTGTGCTCCTCATGCCAGGCCCGTGGCGTCCAGTGTGTCTATCAAAGGCAACTGAGATGGACTAGGCTACACATCTCTGCCCCTGTCCATCAGCCGCAGCCTAATCCTGCAGTTGAAAACGACTCATCTTCATGGTCTGGAACACCCCTTACATTTGCACAGCAGCAGAACCCTGCCGGGACATCCGCCCATGGCCCGGAGGCAATGCACACAAGGCAGGCAGAGGATCGAGCCGACAGTCACTCAAGGGATGAGCATTCCTATCATATGGAGACGACACCATATAGCCCGACCCCATGGTCTATCAACAACGATCCAACACAGATCTTATCCCGGGCCATCCGCCACCCTAGTGATGAGAACGCTTTCAAGTATTGTGAGTGTTTCATGGACCATTCTTGGATGGACATGTTACTTACTCCTTAGACCTGAAACGGGTTTGTTGGTGCACGCCAGCATACGATAGCAACCTGAACCCGTACCGGAAGCTGGGATTCATGGCCCTTTCGCACCCGGTCCTTCTGCGCGGAGTCTTGTCGGTCTCCGCAGCTCACATGGAGATGTACGGGCAAACAAACACCGGTGTGTCTTGTGTCCGGCAATTACATGCCCTGGGAGCATTGCGGTCAGCTTTGCATCTGCTCGAAAGAAACGAACTCAGTCAGTCGAGGGACGACTCGACGGCAAAAGTGGATGATCCTCCCTCAAGCCTCTCCGACAAGGAGGTCACGCTAGCCGCTGTGGTGATGCAAACATCGTCTGTGCTCATGGCAGGTCTCTGGACCATAGAGATGCACATCAAATGTGCCCTATATCTCATCCAACACCTGGGTTACTTTGACAGAGCCCCGAGCTCAGTCTTGACAAGAACCGTCATCAACCGGCTCGCCATGGTGGACGTGATGCTCGCTTTCGTCCGGACCCACCGCCCTCAAGCCCCCTTGGACTTCTACATGTACCAGATCCACGAGGAGCTCGATCGCGAGGAGCCGTCCTTCCGAGAGATGCACGGCTGCCACCAGCCCGTTCTCTCGTTTCTGGCTCGGATCGCCGTGCTGAGTGCAGACTTGGCAAGTGGGACGAGCCCGCAGCCGGAGATTCGAGCGAAAGGCCATCAGCTGGAGACAGAGATGCGGCTCTGGGGTCATCGCTACTACGGCATACTGAACACGGAGGCAGCATCGACAAGTTCCGCGAGTCAGGGCCCCCCTCAAATAGTTCCAGCCTGCACTGCATTGGACACTGTCTGTGAGTGCTTCTACTGGACAGCCCACATAGTCTTGCTGAGGAGAGTTCTGTTGGAGCCGACCAAGTCTGTAAGGGTCCAATCCATCCGTCGGCGGGTGTTCGACCTGATCAACGGTCTTGTTCCCGGCTGTGGTCCAGATTCATCCTTGGCGTTCCCGTTTTACATGAGTGCGTGTGAGGCTATAAGCCTTGAAGATCGAGAGTGGGTTTGCCGAAGGCATATGGAGACGTTTGCCGTGTATCGTGACGACTGGAGGGTACTGCTAATGGCCGCTGTTGAAAAGGTCTGGTCCAAAGCTGAGGCTGAAGCAGCTGATCACCGATAGTGTGGGTTGGTGGTAAAGACTCTCGAAGGAATATATTTGGCAGATGACAGCTTTGCGTATCCCAAGTTGAGCCGCAGCAGGGCGGATCAGATCAGGTAGAAGTCTAAATGCACCCAACAGCTGCACCGTTACCAAATACCAGGAGATGAAATTTGAAAAAGCCTGATCTAAAAAGCTCACTGCGACCTTTATGTTCACGAAAGAATGCCACTACCCATGTGGTCAAACCACATCTTCACTCCTGACTGCCTCGCTAGCAAGAGATTTGATCGCCATCTCAACAAGTGCCACGAATCGATCTTCCTCCATGCGGACATCCGAGTTCTGCCAGTCGTTGTCACGCCTTAACCGGCTCGACTGTCCCCTACTCGAGTATTCGGTGTCGCCCTCGCCGGGTCCATCATCTTCTTTATCTGCCCTCTTCTCAGTCCTCCCTCCAGGCGCAACCATCTCGGCATGGGCACTAAAGTACCGCTGCCCCGTCATACCCGCCAGGTTCTGGAACCCCTTGTGAAAGAGCCCATCGGGCTGTATCTCCACCACCGCGCCCGCACCCTCGCGCATAAACATGGTGTGTGTCAGCCCGGCGCCGTGCACACCGACGAGTACGTCTGTCTCCTGCACAACGCGGAGCTGCTCCGCGAACGGGATGCTGCCAAAGTCGACGGACTGGACGTGTACGTCGGGAAAGCGAGTTCGCAAGCCATCGATCAGCTCCTCGTGGTGGAGGAGCTGGCGGGTGCCACGCCGGTCGATGAATGTCAGGGTGACGTCTTGCTGATTCTTCACTGGAGCATGCGGGCCGGGCTTGTGGGGGATGTGGAGGTGTTGGAATACTCTTTGCACGAAGAGCCTGAGCAACGGGGACTCGGTGCAGTCGCGGACGACCCAGTCGTTCTGCCAGAGGGAATTGCTGGCGCCGGGGAGAGGGGCGATGATGTCGAGACGTTTGCCTTCGTATTGCGCCAAGGCCTTTGGTTCCGCCTTATTTCCTGTCAGACGGAGAGGCTTCCGTTTCGAGAGTAGCTCCCATAGGCCAAAGTAGGGGCCGTTCGGCTTGTCGTCCAAGATGAAGACTTGGGTGTTGGCGATGTCCTCGGGAAAGCTGAAGAACGGCTTGTCTTCAGAGTCACGGCTGATGCGCAGAGTGTCCATGGTGATCGTCATCGCCCATATCTCCATAAGGCAGTGCCAAAGATTTCCTTCTCCCTCTCGCTTGATCAATATCGCGAACTCATTCTTGTGCTTGTTCTGAGGTAGTTCTGAAGAAGGTTCGGCGGAGCCTTCGCTGAACTCCACATACTTGTCGAAGACAACCTTTGGCCCAGTCTGATACCAGTAAGTTTTGAGACTGCTGAACGCGAGCAGTCCCTTTTCCCTTTCGTCGGCATCCGGATCCCTGACCTCGCAGTCGAGCACGAACTTCGCTTGCGGTAGATCTAACAAAGCTCCCTGCCCTATACAAAATGAATCATGGTTGTTGTCGTTGTGAACATGGCTATGCAGGCAAGAGAGTCGAGCGGCAGATGAGTCGGGTTTGCAGTATTGGATCGTGTGATCTCGTAGCTGCTCCAGGTATCGGGGACCGAAACGATCTTCGCAGAAGGCTGACTCGCCGGGTTTCAGGGGTGGGATCTCTTCTAGCTCCGGGATCGATAGTGAACCATTTTTGCTGTTTGTTGTTAGACTAGCTTTTGTAAAGCCTGACCAGCTATGGGAAGGATGCGTTCGACTTGAACTTCGTGACAGGCCATAGGTAGTCACAAGAAAAAGAAGAAGGCTCCCGATGATGATGAAGAGGCGAAGACGCCCGAACGTGTAGGGCGCCAGCATGTTGAAGCAGCAGTGTTGGATTCAGAGCATTGAGGAGAAGGTGAAGTTGACCGGCTTGTAAGAATGGATGTGTACTGAACAGTGAGTTGAGCGAGTGGTGACACTGAACACATGGACCTTGGGGCATAGACAGCACCACGTCGCTAAGCTGCACCAACTGGCAGTGGGGGCCTCTTCGTCTCTGCCTGCCATTGATTCTGTGAATGGAACGTAAGCCCCAGCCCAGTTATTATTGATGCTGACAGCGGAACAGGTCAACCTGTCAAGCTCCGACGAAGGAAACGCTGCCCTTGGAAGTCAGGCAGGTTTCCATTCGTGTACATGCGCACTTTACAGTGGTGAGAACAGTCCAGGTGTCTGTTTTCTAACGTCTCATTGCCTCTGGGTATGGCACCGTGCTCCGCTCAGACAAGCATTGCTTGGCTCGCGGATATGCACGTACCTGAGTAACTACCGCGCATCAAGGATGGCTTGTAAGAATATGGCGTTGGCTCAGTGTCTGACAGCCCCCTCCAGCGGATTACTGTAAGACACAAGAGGTATCTGTGCAAAGACATCCAATCGGGTCCTCCCCATCCAAGATTACTCTTCACACCATTTCTTGGACATTTCAACACTTTGAACAGGGTTAAAGCCCCTGAACCCCAGTAATTGCACAAAAGATCATCGCGGGTGCTTCAACGGCATCTCAAGTTTGGAGCTACTGTGGCGACTTGATATTCCGCTTCCGCCCGGAATTGTCCGTCCGTAATTATCCCAAACGACTCAAAACTGTACGCCATCCTGCCACATGCAAAGATTCACATGGACACACTCGGGGTCATTGTTGACAACACCGACTCGGAGCTCGCCCACCGGCTCGCTATGTAACGTAGAAGCGAACGAAGTATGGAATTGGTGCGATTTACTATGAACAGTACCTCCACGGGACCTCCGAAGACGGAACCGGGGCCGGAGCCGGCAGCCCCACCCAGCGCCGATGTCTGGAGGGGCCATCGCTGGCATTGCGGTGGGTTCACTAGCCGGTGTCGGTGTTGTCCTTGCCTTCGCCTGCATAGATGGCAAAAGCAAAACCGAGTGCCAACCCGGACATGGCAGACCCAGACCAAGCCTAAGGTTGCATACACATGCCTCCTCCGGGCCATGTGAAGTCGGGCATGGGGGCGTCTAAGGGTACAATTTCCAATTACGAAGTGCAGGGTAGTAGATAATACGTTGCAACAGTCTCTGGCTTTCGAGGTTTGGATAAGTTAAGGGCAGGATAGCCTGGCCGCCCATATGATATACAAGCACTCGTTCGTTCTCAATACTGGTCATGCACATTGCCCCGGATGCAATGTGGATATCACGATCTGCATTAGCCCTGTGTTGTGTTGCCAATTCGCAACGCTAGCGTTATTTTAACCTAATCGGGTCTGAAGTGTTTCCTGACCGAAGCCTATGGGATGGCTTCATTTGTAAATTCACCGCTTGCGGGACTGCCCCATTATGCCTAGTCTCGCCGCTGTGGTCTTCATGTCCGGCCTCGCATGTAGGTCCGGAATCGGGGTCGATGGGCCATGGGGCACGGCAGGCAAGGTTTTGCAGGTGTTCGTGCCCAAGAGTTGCCAAAGGGTCCTGCCGTTCTTGTGTCATGGTCCATTCAGTTGTCCGCCTACACGAGTCCAAATCATAACAGATCCGCTGGTTGCTTATATACAGCACGTATTCTCTCTGTCTTGTTGACCAGAACCTGTTCCATAGCATGAGACAAGTTGATCCAATGCATAGACACCTGTCACTGAACTATTCTGTCTTACAACAACGCCCTCGAGCCTTTCCGACCATTCACGATGCTCAAAAGGACTGAGACCGGGACATGGCTCCCTGCGTTCGTTCCCGATTCTTCTATCGTGGTTGTAGTCCTCCTTATGGCCTGTTCGATGGCCGTTTCTACTGTACGTTGTCTCCTCGCTGTATCTTGTCAATAATATCAATCCACTGACATACAACCTTAACAGTCCCATGGAGCCTGCCGCTCCATGATGAACGGCCTTAACATCCTCACCGAGTACACCGACTACTTCCACCTTGACGAATCGACCTTGGGCGTGAGCACAGCCGCCATCTTTGTCGGCGGCTGCTTGGCTCCGCTCTGCGCCGGCTATCTCTGCGACCGGATGGGACGACGGCCCGGCATATTCTGGGGCTGCGTCATCGCCCTCGCGGGCATGGCACTCCAGAGCGCTGCTCAGAACCTTGCCATGTTCATCGTCGCTCGAGTCATGATCGGCCTCGGCGGCTCGACTGCAAATATCGCGAGCGGCACGTACCTCTCCGAGACGTTTCCCAGCGCCTGGAGGTCATGGGGTGTCAGCATGCTCAACAACTTTTTCTAGTCAGTTGCCCCTTTTGGGCAGCTGAGTGATGGCCCCAATGCTGATCAGATCCAGTGTCGGTGCCCTCATCATGGCTCTTGTAACTCTCGCGACGAGCTCTTGGCCATCAGCCTGGGCTTGGAGAGTTCCATCAATCACCCAGGGTCTCTTTCCCGTCCTCTGTATCATGCTTCTGCCATTTGTGTAGGTCCACCTTTCCGTTGAAGCATCGTCATTCGCTAACAAGACCCCTAATAGCCCCGAATCTCCCCGGTGGCTGGTGTATCAGGATCACCATGAGGCTGCACGTTGCTCGGTTGCTCTCGTTGCAGCTGACGGTGATGTCGACAGTTCAGTAACCACTGCGATTTACGAGGCAATAGTCGAGGGGTCCGGATGGGAATACTCACAGAAGCTGGACGTCTCCCTTTGGGGTGTAATTAAGAATCCCGTGACGAGGAGGCGACTTCTCATCGGCGGTGCATCTATTGGTGTCTTCTCTTCGATCTCTGGTAATATCATCGCAACCTACTACATCGGGGCCGAGCTCAAGACCGCAGGCATAACAGACATCACATCACAACTCAAAGCGGTACGTGACCTCTATCCTGACAAGACCACAACGTTCAACCAACGTTAACAAACTACAGAATATTGCTCTCAATGCATTTTGTTTGCCTTGCGCTCTGGTCGGCACCGCAGTATTATCCCGGTGGGGCCGCAAGTCGACTGCCGCTTTGACAGAGATCTTTCTCGTCCTCTGTCTCGTGATTATCGGAGTGTTGTCCAAAGTGTATACTGATGACCCGAGTAATGTTTCGACGGCCTTGATCTACGCCAATGTAGCCATCATGTTTCTCTTCCAAGGCGTCTACTCGGTCGCGTGGACGCCTTTGATGACTCTCTATCCGCCAGAGATTGCCAACTATTCGATACGCGCACATACTGTTGGGTTGGCTCAATTCACACAGAACCTCCTCTGGTAAGTTATCTCAACCCAATATCTTGGGACAGGAGTTGAGTTCTAACTTGTGTATAAGCATCATCTTTGTGCTTATTCTGCCTATCGCATTCAAGAACATTGGATGGAAAGTGTATGTGATCAACGCATCGTGGGACGTTGTGATTGTTGTTTTGATTGTAAGTGATGTGAGAATCTTACACTCGAGCAGCATTACTTATCGCTTGTCATTCTAGTGGCTCTTCTGGGTTGAAACCAAAGGCAAGACTTTGGAAGAAATCAATATTTTATTCGAGAACAAGACGAGTCGGAACGATACACACATCGAAGATAATATGAGGGTTGGCATCTACCAATGCAACAACGATACCGGTGAAGCGAAATCGCAATCCTAAGCATGAAGTGTGGCACTTGAGCTTGGAAATGACTAATTAATGAAAGGCTTGCATTGGATTGAAGATGGGAAATTCTTGGTTATTTCAAATCATCACAACAGCGATCTGAATGCCTGCGGCGTGTTTACTGTCTGTTGGTGAGGTTGTCTGAAAGTTCGTTTCGACTGTGGCAACGGGAACAAGGCAGCATGAGACAGAAAGGGTCGCAATGTCGCTTACCTGTTCAAGCCCCTATGGGCTGCTGATCACATCCGCAACCACATGTCTGATTATGCTTTTCTCGCGCATTGAGTTTAGTTGTGCCGCAGGCTCAATTGCTATCTTAGATGCAGCCCTTGATCTATCTTTCGTGCCCTCTCAATCATGGCCTCCAGAATGCTTCTCTCGTCCCCTGATAGCCTCCTCGGCTCTCCCTTCGCCATACAGCTCATATCCTGTTTTGTAGCCCCTTTCCGCCACTCCCCATCCACCATCCAATACACCGGAACCTCATACTCATGTTTCATCTCCTCCCTACCCTTGTTCTTCAGTAAGCTCCCATTATACCACAACAGCCGATCCTGCTCATCCACGTGGGCAATGACAAAGCTGCACACCTCCTCGCCCTCCAACCAGCCCACAACAGCAGCATAGTGCTCTTCGAACTCGTACCGCGCGCCCGCCAGCTCTAACCCGAACCACCAGCTCTCCTTGTCGCCGTACGTCATCCTGTACGTGGCCTCCTCGCGCACGGCCCTGGTGTTCTGCCAGCAGACGTGCAGCAGCCCGACGAGGACGTCCGCGCGCGACTTGTCGACGACGACGGCGCCCGAGTCACCCTCCTCGGCGTAGTCCTCCGTCCAGACCCTGGACCTGTTGAGCGCCGCGCTCGGCGGCCGCCGGACCTGGCTCCTCCACCACTCGTGGCGCTCCGCGAAGGCGTGCTGCCACAGCAGACGGTCGTGGAAGAGCAGGGCTCCCGCGCCGGCGGCGCGGAAGGCGCCGTGCTCGAACAGGACCTCGGGCGGCTGCAGGAACACGGCGTCTGCGTCGAGGAGGATGACGCGCTCGAAGCGCGAGGCCAGGGCCGCGAAGGGCTTGATGGCCCAGGAGCCGTGCTGGAGGTCCAGGGAGGCGTCGTCGAAGACGGTGGTGATGTCGAGGAACTCGAGTGGCGGGCCGGACTCGACTAGAGACTGGAGGTAGGATCTGCTCTGCGCGGAGAGATCATTGTCGCTGGCGTAGGTGATTTGGATTGGTAGGTTCGAGTGGAGGACTGATCGGAGGGAAACGACCAGGTGAGCCGCGAAGCGCAGCGTGCCTTCGCTCGTTGGGATGACGATGCCGGCTGAGCCCGGTGTGAAGGACCTGCGTAGTTCCGATAGGGGAGCCTTGCTCGTCAGGTGTCCCGGGTTCTTCAGGAAGGGGAAGTGCTGCGCTGCCGTCTTCTCGATAGCAGCTGACAACATGTTCCTTCTCGAGGCGTCATTAGTTGTGTCTGCCAGGACGATCCAGTCGTCCAATATTCGACATCTTTCGCCCAACTCGCCGAAGACATCCTTATATGGCGGCCCGAGAGGATGACTGGTAAAGTAGTGTACAATGTCCGCTGTGACAGATGCCGTGTCGCTGGTGTCTATCGTTGCTGGTCTTTCATGTACAGGGCGTAGTATATGTGTAGAGGACCCAAGATCAGGGTGATAGAGCAGCCATAATGACAGCGCTATTGCCAGAAGGAAGGCAGTGGCTAGAACTTTGGATGTCCTCTGTTTTCCTATTGCCGAAAGCATTATCATATTGCAATGAGATTCATCTGGGAGAAGTCCTACGTAGCGGCTCAAAACAACGTAGACATGAACGCGCTAGGCATGAATGAAGCAGAGCAACTGATCGTGTGCCCCTTTTCCAAGGGAAAACAGGTTTGCCCCCTGAGCTGATATCTGTTGGTTCTTTGTACAACAAGGATTCTAACATGCGCGACTCTGACTGGTTGTAGCCTCAAACGCTCTTTGGGGGTTGTATGCAACCTGAGTGCTGTTGGTTCTATCAGGCGAATCAGAGTTGAGCAGGGAAGCGCTCAGGAGAATGATGAGGCCAAGCGACCCCCATTATTTTCCGGATTCGGCGCCAAAGCCTCCCGCTACCAGACTGCCGTGCCGGATCATTGCATGCCATTTGAAAAGTTCAGGAGGGCGCGCGGGCAGGACAATCTGATGTGACCAGTTTGATTGCGGCTAGTAAGGAGTTTCATGTCGGTGTAGGCTCTTATTAACCTAATGAGTTTCTCGACTTAAGGGTTAGTTGACTTCCCTTCGTCTCGAGCCTCTCCTCGCTGTGCCATGAATACGCCCAAAAGTCCGTCAACCTTCGGTGGTCAACTAAAGCGTGCAAGACACGATAACTTGGCTCGTCATGTGTCATTTAACTATGCAATTACTCGTCGCTTTTGCGTTCACACTCACGTCACGGGTTGTCGCCCTCAACTGCTTTGGGATGAACGGCCTCTCGTATCCGGACAACAAAATTTGTCCCGGTACAAACGCCTGCTGTAATGTCATAGCGACATGTCTACCGAACAAACTCTGTCACAATCCTGGAGATCCGGAAAGCCGCTTCGTTCGAGGGCCATGCGCTGTGAAGGGCTGGGACGACTCATGTGCCCAGATGTGCCTCTACAGTGAGAAACCAGCAGACTTGCGAGATATCGAAAGCACGGAGACTAACATGGACCCAAATCACAGATGAAACAGACACTCAGAATCCATCTAAGAGCAACGTGCTTCCGCGTGTCGATCGCTGTTCGGACGGCACGTACTGCTGCGCTGCGGACACTCAATGCTGCCAGTCCGGCAGAGGAGTATTCCTGGACGACCACGGCAACATCACGACCGCCCGTCCAGAGTCATCCAGCTCTAGTTCCTCATCCAAGCCAACGGAAACCCAATCATTATCAATCGCACCATCACCAAGCATGCCATCCTTGACAACGACACAAACAAGGGCTCCCGACACTACGACATCCCCTGTGGGAGCGATCACAACATCGAGCAACTCGAGCTCCTCTACGGGCTCGGATGATTCCACAGCGCTGAAGGTTGGACTTGGGGTGGGCATACCGATGGCAGCCTTGATGACGGGCTGTGTTGTCACATTCTTCATGAGAAGAAGGCAAAGATCTGCGGCTACTGCTTCAACGGCGCATGTTGCAGGCACTATGTCATACCACGATCAGCAGGATGCGAAACCCCTTTATGCCCACCACTACCAACAAGGCTATGGCCAGTCTGCACCAGTCGAAATGATGGCAAGATCTCCAAAGCGGACTCGCGTCTTTGAGCTGGGGACATAGGGATTGCGGAGGATCTTAGGCTGTGTAAATGCAGAACTCGAGGTTACGATACGGCGCTAAGTCTTGTAAAGTGGTCTTGTAATACTTCTTATGACTGCAAATATGTTGCGAATAATTGTTCTAGCCCCTTTTATTCCTGTTGATGCCACAACGAGCTGATCATATTGTCCAATGCCGTGTCAAGTCAGGGTCATGGCCGCCAGGACTTAACAAACTGTTTCTCATTTCACTCTCCTGTAACACTACACTGCATACCATCAGAGCCTTGGACAGGGGCGCTCAGGCATGCGGCCGTCTGTATGGGCTTGTTAGAAACGACACCTCCAAAGCCAAGCCAGTCCAGTGGAAATCTTTGAAGATATTATGCAAAGCCCTTGGTAATACGGGCCATACACAGTTATAAACAGTGACATGTGTCTAATGATAGCAAGACAAATGTGGCACAGATCCTGCCAAGGTTGTCGATCCACCTCTTGGCACAGTTGCATCGCCACGACGATCCGTTGGCGGTAACCAGCCTCAGAGAATTGTTCAAACGACCACCAAACTTGGGAAAGCACGAAGTTTTCCTTTCCAAAGAGCCAGATACCCGCATGCAGAGAATCAGTTCAAGGACACAACATCGAATAACATGAGCAGCAGCAAAGACAAGTTTCCCGCCGACGAGGTGGTCGCCGCCCACATGCAAGAAGCCGCCCCACCGGCCTACGACGACCACCCGGACTTTACCCCGGAGGCCGGCCAGCCGGCAGCACCTGAGTACACCGAGTCAGCCGAGGCCAGCTCCAGTTCCGCCCAGCCAGGGGCCGTCGCGGCTGTTCCGTACCGGCCCTTCCCGGCCCTCATGACGGCACACTACCGCATTCATCTCCTAGGCGTGAAGTACTTCGACCTCTGCGGCGCGACCAGGGCCGACAAGCTGTACATCGTCGAGGTGACGCTGGGCTGGCACACCAACGGGCCTCTTGGCAAGCGCACCGGCATGCTGCTACACAACGGCATGCAAAAGAGCGACACGGTCATCGCGGCCGCCGGGGCGGATACCAGCTCCGCCGGATCGGACCTCGGCTGTGCGGTCAACACTATCATCAAGATCCCTGCCCTTCCTGGTAAGGGGGCTTCTGACGCACACGGCCTGGTGACGGAGATGATGCGCGCCGGGACGGTCAGGGAGGGCGAGAACACGATCGTTATGTTCCGCTTTGGGATCGAGGTCGGCAGCGAGGAGAAGATGCGGCGGGAGACGTTCGAGTGGCGGAGGGTGTCCAAGGCCGGGGCAGGGGGTGACTTCCCCGCTGGCGGGTACAAGTTGCTTCGGCTTGGCATGACTGATAGCTCCAATGGCAGCGCCTACGAGGGCGAGTCGTCAATGTCTGCAACTTTCGTCCCGGGGGTGACGGCGCCATTGCCAGATACCGAGGGTGCAGACGTCGTTGCCACGCTTGCCTGGCCTGGGGTGCCCGTGAACATGCGGGACGCATTTACGTTACGGCTTGTGGGTAGCGGAGAGTCAGGGGTATTGGGTCAGCGGTGGTCGCTGATGACAGTGATCACGGCACTACGTCTTTGGGAGCACCACTCCATTGGCAACGAGACCAAGTTTGCTGCACGGATGGGAGAGAAGATACGAAGCTGAAGTGCATGCGTCGAGGGACAGTATGAGTTGACAACGACCGTTCACTTGAGCCTCCTTTGGATAGCGTGACGGCAGATTCCGAGCCTTGGGGGTGATCCACGATCCTACACGTACGCTGCATGCATCTCAAGAGCCGTATTCCCTCCAACGTTCCGAAAACAGTGCAGGGAGTCGGAGGGTACGAAAAATTGCAAAGCAGACAACAAGGAGCATCGTTTCATGGTAATTGCAACATACACTACTGGGAGAAGGACGCGAGTAACTTTGCCGAATCCTTCGAATCATCTCTCATCCCGAGAACGCTTTTCTCACTCGTTATGTTAGGGTGAGGTATCATGCGGAACCTACGGAGCAGGCCTCAAATCCATGCCATCGAGCATGGCAGCGAAGGAAGGACTCCCTGGCTGGTGCTTCTCCGAGCATACAACACAACGAACAACCTTGCTTTTCCGAGATGTGATAAAAATCGTGCATCTAGACCGCAAACTATGCCATCCTCAGACGACGATGGCCGGGCACTTCTTTAGACGATGACTACAAGTACGTAACTAGGTAGTGCTAAGAGAAATTTCAAGTTTATATTCAGCGTGTTCTATGCCTCGACTCGCGCCCCCTGATGCCATTGTTGTGCCAGCTTCTCGGCCACATCGAGAAAACCTGGTTTGCCATCAAGTGCCCGTCAAGAAACCTTGGCAATCCTCCAGGGTCCGCCTCGCCAGGGGGGCCAGAACCTCGTGGCGTCTGACAAGTGCAGGACTACCGATAGCGCGCAACCGCGCGACGAGCCTAGCAGGACTCGTCTTCCTTAGCCCTACAACAAGTCCTGAAGTAATCTCGTTCTGGCCTCGCCACGCCACACCTTGAGAAAGCGTGAAACGTCCGCATTACGAGTCATCCCCTTTTCCACCAAGGTAAGGCACTACGGAGAAACTAGCATCGGACGTTGAAGGTTGAGAGGAATGCGCACGGCCATGACCTTCCCGTTCCCTTTCCCGCCCGCCCCGGCGGTTGCCCCCGCCGCCCCTAAAGCCCATCCGCACCGTTCCGGGGCGCGATGCTTGGCACATGGCAGGCAGGTGAGCCGGCTTTGCAAACTATCGATGGGCGGATCGTACCCTGAGTCGGGATGGTGTAGGGCATGGAGATGCGAGAGGCTGGCGAGTAGACGACCTCACATGTCTAGACGAGCCTGTTTACCCACGTTTTTGACAGGGCTATGTTTAGGGCCTGTCATATGTCAACCAGACTGCAAGAAGCAAGGGGAGATCATGCCAGAACCACGGTCTCGAGTCAACGACACGTGCGTGTGTCGGGTCTTTCGAGCAGTGCCGACGCCTTGCTCTCATCACGGCTGCCACGGAGCGGCACACGTCGACTTGAGCTCCTGGCTCTCCTATTCTCGCTTGCATGCAAACAGGGCAGTCGCAGACGCCACAAGGGAGCTAGTGAGGATTTTCTCAGACGGGGTACGGCACATTCAAATTGCCAACGACCGGGATACCTACCAGCAACCAGTCCTTCCTACATCGCAATATGTACCAGATAGATTGGCAGACTCCATGAGCCACTCCGTCCAGTTCTGAAACCAAAGCTCAATACCTTCAATTCATCATCCTACAAAGTACGGAGCGAGTACGAAGTAGTAGACACACACGAACTCGGCAGCACAGCCATGCTCGTGGCTAGATACGGAGATTTGCACTAGGTTGAAAGAGGTAGGCCATTCATACAGGTACTTTACCTACATGGCAGCTGCAGAGCTACAGTAGCATTCAGCTCCGATGGCCCTGAAGGAGAAAAACCATCTGCACTGATTTGCCAATCCGTAAAGACAGCGGCTGTTTAGCCCCCTTAGCAAGGGCTTTGCACTAACCCAGCCCGGAACAACCGACTCCTTTGGACTTGTCTAGAGAGACCGTATGAACATCTTAGTATATACACTGTATCATCCCGACCCGACCTGGCCCCGGCCATGTACCTTGCATGGCGAGATCAGGAAGAAGGACCCAACCACCAGGGTCCCCGGTCGAACGAGAGGCCCACCGGGTCAGCATGGGGCTTCCAGGCCGGGAACACAGCCAGGCAAAGGTGAATCCTCACTGTGCACTTTCTTAGGGGTCTGTACACCATGCTCCGTGTCGGTGTCAGGGGGATCTGACAGCGATGTGTGTGTCGCTGATGATGGATTGCGTGTGGTTGGTGCCCTCTCTCAATCTCAGTTCCCGTTATTCAGGTTTGGACCCCGGTTCGATTCATCTTGACACCCTTCAGCTCAGCCTCACAAACATGAGACGGGGAACGGCACGGGCGCACAGACGCTATATCACGTCGTTTATGCATTGTCCTATTGTTTTCTTTTGTCAGGACCATGTTCTCCAGGAGGAGAGGGTACCTTTGTGTTGCAGTGAACAGAACAAGAGCGGAGAAGATATCTCAACATCAGGGGCTGCGTGGTAGGCCTGTAATATGGACACAGCAGAGTTAGGACCAGTGCGAAGGATTGACTGATGGGCAGATGGGCACAGGCCGGGTGCCTCCCGAAAAGCTTGTCGTGGGTGGGTTTTTCAGTGGAGGAGGACGCCCCAACGCAGCATCCAGTGCAACGCAGATCTTACGGAGTACGTACTGGGGAGCAGAATAGGTCCGGAGGTAGATACAAGTACAAGAAACGCAACGTGACATATGTGGCTTCGACAGTGCCATCAAACAAGAGAGATGTAGTAGGGGATAGTTGCTTGATTGGGCATCATTGTGTATTTTCTGACCATCAGGTCTAGAGAAAGATGGAAAGACGTGCGAGTGCTAATTGTACACGCTATGGCTTTGTTCGCTGTGTGTAAAAAAACCAATCGACTGAAAAGTGCAATCGACGTTCAAATGGTAAACAAGAATATTCCTAGCCATTTTTTTGGTTGTAGATGATTGACCAGTGCTCAATCCATCATCAAGGTATCACAATCGCTGTCCCGGAGCGCGGCTCCCCCAAGAGTGGAAATGAAGAAAAGAGAATCGAGACTCTAGTACGAGTCGCCCGTGCTCGACCGCTTCGCGCTGTCGGCGTACGCGCTGTCGGGTAACCTCCGCCCGTGGGCGTCGCGCCTCGAGTCGTCGTCCCTCGTCACCGTGTACTCGGTGCTGCGCATGATGCCGCCCGCCGTCAGGACCTCCTCGTCCGAGTCGTGCGGCTCGGACCGGATCTCGACGCGGCCCTTGACCCGGTCGCCCCGGATGTCCTTGAGCCCGATGCCCTCGTGCTTGGAGCTGTGGCTCAGGATGATGCCCGCGCCGCCGCCGCTGGTGCCGTTGGTGCCGCCGCCGGGCGCCCCGCCCATGGTGCGCCGGCGGTTCGTGCCGTTGGGCGTCCACTCGACGTCGTAGTTGTTCTGCTGGTAGCCGTTGGTGATGCCCAGCTTGCTGAAGATGCGCGGGGTCCAGCCGCGCACGAGCGGCCACAGGGCCGGCCCGGAGGCCGTGATGATGGCCAGGTTGACCTCGATGGCCGAGACGCAGAAGCCGAGCGAGTAGTTGGCGTCCGGATACGTTTTCGGGTCGGCAGCCTGCTGGAGATGCTGCCACAGGTAGTAGAGGCGGACGACGCTGATCGCCGTGACACTGTATTGGTGGGGTGGCGGACCCTGGTCAGCTAAGAAACCTTTTTAATCATATTTGACTTGCGTTCCCACGAGCCCACCCTAGCCAATGATCGTCGTGGTCACATTGGTGCTGAGCTAGATCGGAATCTGGCCCGAAAATGGGGTTCGATGGGATGGAGAAAACAAAGGGAAACTTACACAAGACCCAGAGCGAAAACAAACAAGAGAGCAATCTTGGTCCTCTTTGCAATCTTGAGGTCCAGGAAAATATAAAAGGGCAGCGCCAGCGCGATGAGGTCGGTCAAAATCGTGAGGCAGGCCGTCGAGACGCCAAACTCGGTCTGCTTGATGCAGGTACCCGGCTCGTACAGCTTCCAGTTGTGGTTGATCGGGTTGCACTGGAAAATGACGACGAGGAAGACGGCGACCATGAGGGCGGCGTTGAAGACGGCCGTGATCCAGACGACGGTGCGGACGCCGGGCTTGGTGCCTCCCAGGCGCAGCAGGAAGATGAGAATCGACTGCTTGACAATGGCGAGAATCGGGTTGTAGATGGCGCCCACGGCGTACGTCCAGATCAGGCCGGGCTCCAGCGCGCGGAGCATCTCCGCCGGCGAGGCGTACTTGGGCGTTTCCCAGTAATGGATGCCGATATACAGCTTCTTCATGCACATGATGGAGCCCACGCACATGGCGATGGACAAGACCATCGAAATCACGATGCACGTATCATCTACAGAGGGGAAATTTCCCCCAAAGTCAGCACACGAAGAACAACCCGGATTCGTTGCAACTCACCCCAGCCGTAATTCTTGATCTTGATGCGGGTGTACACGCGGAGGATCGTGACAATCAGAGCCAGCGCCGGACACACGACCTCAATGGCGATTCCCAGGTTCTGCAGCCAGTCGTGAGGGTCCGGGTTCGGCGCGGGCAGCGCTGCCGGCGGCGGCGGGCTACCGTCCGACATCGTGTGTTGTTCGCAGCGTGGTCAGGGCTCTCGATCTGACAAGAGAGAGCGGCAGCAGTCCACCGCGTGCAAGAGAGCGATGATCTTTGCCTGGAACGAGTGTGCCTGGAGGAGGAGGAATGCAGCGAAGCAGCAGGGGGATGGGGGGCCCTCGTCCCATATATGGAGAAAGATCTGACAAGATCAACACTCGAGAAGGCGAGATGTGAAAGAGTCGACTTGCAAGGGGACTGGTACTCGGTGTTCAAGGCCTGCAGGCCTCGAAGGATGCAGGGGCAAGAAATCACCTTGTTTCTTTGGTAGGAAAAACCTGCCCAAGCAGCGCACTAGATCGGTGTACGGCCTGCGAGCTGAGAAGGTCAAGACCAGCAGATCCAGGTCGGGCCAGGGTAGCATCGTCCTGCGAAACAAGCCGCACTGTGGTGTCATGCTAGTCTGGCGGCGCCCTAGTGCTACCAGGTGTTCGTCTCATCCACATCATCAGCTTTTTTCACAGACTTGACTAGGTACTCCGTAGCTAGTACTCTCGAGGCGTCGCAACGGCGCCGCGGGAAGGAGAACAGACTGCCGCTGTTCAGCACAGCCTGTGCCCGAACTTCATGCCCCAGAAAGGTCACAGGTGTGGGCGGCCAAGAGGACCGAGCGCACGCAGTAGCGAGGGCCAGAGTTCATGGATCTGCGGTGCCAGTTCCTATCTCAGGCGACACACAGGCCACACTGTACATGTAGCAAATGGCGTGCAGATGTCCATCGAGACAGTGCACCAAAAACAGAGCCAGCCCAAACCCCGGCCAGGCCTTTCTCGACCGGGGACCCCTCCTCTCCAGGCACCCAGTTTTTCTCGCACCGTCCACTGCGGGAGGGAAGCGTTTGGCTGGCCGGGGCCGTGCGGAAACTACCCTTTGGGTCAAACGTCAAGCTCGTCCAGGCGCCCCGTCTCTCACAATTGGTGAGGGAAAGAGGCCGGTGGCACCTGGATGAGCGACATAGCGCCGGCGGGTCACGCCAGACGCAGGCTAGGGTGCGGCGTAGACAAGCCATGGCTGACGGGCTCGAGGCGGACTATTCCTCGAGCTTCACACTAAGAAACTAGAACGAAACCAAAGTTAGCCACACTCACCAGGTCCAGCACGACGCCTTTCCTTTGCTGGTGTCTAGGTACGCCTTGGACGGATGCCGCTACAGCACCCGGCAGCTCATTCTACTGCACGAGGCCCTCTTGGTCTCGTTTTGCCCCTTTTCCCTAGCTGCTCGGCGCGAATATCGCCTCGATTGGGTGGGTAGGAACAACAGCCGCATTGCTTTTTCTTCGTAGCAAGGCCATTGATGTGCCTAACAGGTCCGGCAATCTGCTTCACGCGATCGCCCTCCAAGTCGTCCATCATTCATGCCGCCATCTTCCCTTTCTTTGCTTTTTGAATCTGGCCTTTCCCCTCAGCCACAACTTTCTCATCGGCTCGAATACCAAGACCTGATTTCTGACAAGATATGGCTTCCAGAACATCCTGCCGGATGGGCGCGTGGCGAGTTGTATGAGTCGATCCAAAATCAGACAAGCTTGGGCGAGAGTGCGATGTTACCTATCCACTGGACTGGGGGAGCAACTCCGCTCTCCCTTGCGTTGATTGCAGGATTCTGCCACGGTCTTGCTCCTTATTCTGTTGTCCGGCAACGAGATGTTCGAGCGGGTTCCCTTTTGTCACAATAGCTTCTTTTGCATGACCCTTCTCATCTCGTCTGGCCCCAGTGCCAGTAACGAGACCGTAGCTCATGCGAGATGCTCTGGAGAGCCCTCGTCAAACCTCCTTCGAAAATGACCCCAACAGGGCCCCAGAGGTTCTGAACATCCTGCCCGTGTGTGGCCCAAGGCCCTCTGTAGATGTTTCACTTGAGCTGTTTTCTGCTGGAGATGTCTCACTTGCCCCACTTGGAGAAGTATAAGTCGGAGGGTGTTCGCCTCTCACGCCCACCAGCCTCTTGTTCCTTAATCACGGAACCTGCGCGTCGCGGACTACTACTAATCACCAGAGTCGTTGACCGTTGTTCGATGAAATAGGCACGGGGCCATGGATCAGACGAAGAAAACCCTTCATCTGCCGTCAATCTACTTGCGTCGAAGAACGAAGAGGGGCTGTCATGAAGTGGACCAGTTTGGCGTAGATTAGAAGGACGGTCTCGCAGTCTAGCCTCCAAATCCCTGGTGCGATCACAGGTCGTGGTGGGCGACAGAGGACCCCGATCAAAAGTGGCTCGCTGCGGGCCGCGCTGTGCTAAAACTGGCTTGTAGCGTCGAACCCGGCGAAGACTCGAGGACTCCATTGTGGCTGGCCTAGTTGGGGTTGCACTGGAAAATTTGGAAGAGCGTGCCCATTGTCGCCGAATGTCACCGAAGGTGTGTAGCAATGTCGTCCGGTTCGATAGAGAGAAAATTCTAGGGCCGTATTAGAGTCGTAGCGTAGTCGTTGGGACGATAACGCCTTCGTTCGCTATGGAGATATCTACGACCTGGCGCCAGGTCGCTGTCCCAATATCGGCAAGGCGGGTGGGGTGGCTTGGCCCAGCGTTGACACTCCGTACATGGTACGAATATCAGGTTGAGAGCCGATGTTATCAGTATGAGAAGAAGACTTCTGCTGATATTGAAGCCAGGGGTTTCGACAAATTTCGGCAAGGCAAAATGACCCCAGAAGTCCCAGCAAGTCTGGCAAGGATTGCTGGCTCTTGGAGTTGAGTGCCCCAACTTCACTGTGTCTGTCACGCTGGAGGACACCCGCAAGAACCGGAGGACGGCATCGATAAGGGTAGCTACCGGCTCGGGGAAATGCCGCTTCACACCCTCTCCCAGCCACTCCGAGATGCCGGCCCGACAATGTGGTGGGTGGCTGGAAGGTTGTTCAGCTTGGCAGGCGAGTCGAGCCGGCTGTCAAAAGCGCCGACTATTGTATGCACGACCTGCAGAGGCGCGGGGACTGGGCCGGTCCAGGTGCGAATGGACTGTACGCCAGATCTTTTTCTTTTTCTTTTTTCTTTCCTTAGTTCTTCTCCGGCTTCTAGTCGAGGTGTGTAGGTGTGCAAGGTCTGCAAGAGGCTTGCAGGAAATGCTTGCCATGCCACGTTGTGAGGGCCCCTCTCTCAAGTAGCGGGGTGCTGTTGCATCGTGCCCGAGACTATCGTGGCCTGCGTGCATGGCCCTCTCCCTAGCATGTGGTAATGAGACATGTCAGACCAGGCACCATGCATAGGTATCTCCGTACGATGTACGGAGTACGCAGCCATCATGATCCGTTCGGGTGCTGCAACCATCTTCACCTCGTGGCTGGCCATCCGGTCTTCCGGGTCCCCTGTCACTCGGACTAGTGCGGTGTCCGGACGTGCTTAGGAAACCCACTCATTCTGTTTCTGGGTAGCCAGGTTTGGCAAATCCCCGGCAAGCCCTTGCATGTCGAGAGATTCCTGCTGGTAGAGGAAGGAAAAAATCCGGCGTCACTCTGGAAGTGGACTAGGGTCATCATCGTCGTCAGTTATGCGAGCATGCATGGAAAGAACACGAGATGTTGCTGATTTGGCAAGGGGCCAAGCCCATAAGGCAATAGACATGCAGCTTGCGTGTCAGTCGTTTCTAGAATGCTTCTGTCCGTGCCGCATCCGTGATCCCCCGCCAAGCTTTGACCTGACGTTTTGTCCCACAGGCTGCTAAGAGTAAAAGAGGTAATTCGATCGTCGATTGATGATCTACGCACGCACAGGAACGAGCAGGAGCTGTCCTTTCAGCTTCTCGAGAACGGGATAGGGCACTTATGACAGGCATGGACATGCCTGACAGATGACAGACCACCAGGGTAGGTAAGCAGGGCAGCCCATCGGATGATGACGAGGCCATTTTTGGACAAACCCGTTTCTGGCTTTTTGACAGGGTGGTCTTGGCGGAGATGTCCCTCAATCTGGCTGTTGGTAATTTCATTTGGTGCCCATTTCGAGCCGTGACAATTTCTCCAGTGCTGTTGGCAATTAGCATGGCAGCGCACTGGAACCTCCAAAATAAGTCCCCCGCAACGGGAACGTTGGAGAAGGGTCGCTGCTAAAATTCCCGCCCAACGAAACCAAAAGAAAAATAAAAGAAAATTAAAAACGGCCCTACAACGGCTGTCACTTGTCATTGGCATTCTTCAAGACCAGACGTTGATGTTGGTCGGGACACTCACAAAAGAAACGCCTGAGACATATTTCTCCAACCCTGTGAAGTGTCCGGAGCAATTGACGCAAGGAGAAGTTCGCCGTCTCTGTCTATCATGCGGAGAACGAACGTTGCTGCCCCTGGCGATATGTCTCCAACTCATCTGTTGTTGCCCTCTTTCTCGGTAGCATGTTGCCGATGACCCCGGCGAAGAGACATGGGCAAGTGGCAGCCTCCCTTGCAGGCGGTGCAGTCAATAGTTTCAATAGCAGTGCTGCACTAGAGATCCAGGAACGAGCCAAGCTCCTCACATATCACATTTGACGCCGGACTCTTCGCCACGGCCCAGAACCGTGGAAGACGCTTGCGCAGTCCAGAAGACGGGTCTGCGGAATCCGGGATTGCAGAGAGTCGGGGTGAACTGCAGCGCTTCCCCGAGTCGGCCACAGTCGCACGCAAAAGCTGTCACTCGGTAGGTAGTCAGCGATTGCTAAGTGCACTCGGGTGCTCCGTTACTCCCATTAGGCGGCCTTTTGCAGTCTAAGATCGCGATGGATCTTTGTAGAGGAGGCGGATTCTCAGCCTAGCCAGGTCTCGTCGTCGCTATCCCGGCGAGCGAGGTGAGCCAGCCTACCAGAGGCGTTGTGCGAGCACCCCGGTCGACCTGTGATGCCCACTCGAGCCCACCGGCGGCCCCGCTTGCAAAGGTATCCATAGCGGTCCCCAAGTCCCTAATCGATCATGCTAATGGCGCATATTGCTTTGTTTGGGGGCACCCATCTCGCATATTCTTGCACCGTCGATGCAAGATACAGCCGGCATGAAGAGAGAAGCAGCCTAACGAGGACCATGATGGGTCGCTGTCCCCTCTTTCCCATGAGGCGATGAGCGAGAATTCTCTCATCAGCTTCGCCAGACATCGACAGACCGGATCTAGAGGCTTGTCGGTGCGTGGCGACCACGTGGGAAAGTGGGTGTGCTGCTGCTTCTCGTGGTCTCCATCCAAGGTCGTAGTCTGGAGAAAGGCCTCCTGGGCGGTCCCCGGTAAGATCACCATGTCGTTGGGGGTCCCTTGGTGCACTCGCGAACCACATATAAGTAGACTCTCGCCAGTCGTCACCTCTGCTTCCCGGTCGTCTCTCTTCCCAGACCGCAGCAGCAGGATCTCGTTCGAGGGTTGTCTGAAAAATTCCTCGCGGCCCCCAAGGCAATAACTTCCTCTGCCGTCTCGCTCTTTGACCCTTGTGGTTCACCTTCCTTTCCCCCCCTCCCCTTCCAATCCTTGGAGCCCCCGCGCCGGATCTGCCGCCATGTCTCCCAGATCGCTGCTGGCCACCGCGGCTATTGCCGCCACTGCTGTGCTGCCGCACTTGGCATACAGCCAGACCATCCAGGACAAAGGTCAAACAGTCCGTAAGTAACCTGCTGCTGCAGATCTGCAATTGAAACATTGGAATCGGGGCAAAGGACGCGAACGAGTGGTGGTGAGGCGTGCCGTTGATGAAGAAGCTTGGAGAGCAAATTAGCAAAGGAAGGAAGGGCCGATGCGCCGCCAGCCATTGGGTGCAGATTGGAAAGAGCCGGCTGGCTAGCTGCAGCTGTCGTGCCTTCCCAATTGAAGCATCCCTCCTTTTTCTCCAAGCTTCGAATTCTTGATGCCGGGCTCCGATTCTCCGCAGGCGTGTTTTGCGCAGTCGCCGGTGTTTTGCCCCCCCGCACCGTCAGCCTCAATCTCATGGCTCAATCTCATGGCGCAGACAAGCTCTGTTCTTGTCTGCGCGTGTGTCCGTTCAATCGCTGACCATGGTTCTGCATCGCAACAGCCGCCACCAACGCAACCGTTGCCCCGGCCGTTCAAGCGGTCGATCCAGCCTCGACTGACCTGGAGGCCGACTACTTCAACTTCGAGGCTGCTCAGCTGACGCCCGATGTCATCAGCAACCTGACCAACCTCGACCTGACCAACATCACTCTCTTTGATTTTGCCAACTCGACTGTTGCCGCTCGCTCGCTCGGCGCCCGCTCCGGCTGGTGCAAGCAGCTGCCCGGCGACTTTTTCTGGCCCGGCGATTGGATCTGGGGTCTGCTGGATCTCTTGACCGGCGGTGCCCTGATCGAGGGTACGCCCTCTGCTGCCGTCTGCTACCAGGACTGGCCGCAGTATGATGCCGCCAAGTGTCAGCAGGTCACTGCTAAGTGGACCACCGCGCCGTACCAGTAAGTCCAAGAGCTTTTCTTTGGCAAAACCACATGCACTTCCAGACGTCGTCCGGTTTTTCTATCTGCCCAAAAATGACCCCAGGAGTGATCGACAAGGGGCCTTCTTGAGCCTCCAAACTCGAGTGGTTTGGTACTGTTCGCTCAGCTTGCATGTGTGTGGACTTTGGTCCACACACATCGCCAGTCCTGTCCTAGTCTTCCTCAGCCTAACCCCCTTCCTCCGTCTGTGCGCTGCTTTATATGCACCTGCCAACTCCACAGCCCATGACTTGGCGTCTCTCGTCTGTTTGGCACCGACTGACCGTGTTATTCTGCACACAGATCCAGCGAGCCTACTGGCCTTGACTGGCCCCTGTATGAGGGTGTCAGCTGCCTGCCTCCCAGTCTCACTCGGGAGGGTGCCAAGTGCACCCAGGGTGCCTACCCTTCGTATGTGCTCAAGGTTACCAACGTTGCTCAGATCCAGCTGGCTCTGAACTTCGCCCGTAACCTGAACCTGCGTCTTATTGTCAAGAACAAGGGCCACGACTTCAACGGCAAGTCTTCGGGCGCCGGTTCTCTGTCCATCTGGACCAACTCCCTCAACGACATCCGCTACCTGCCCAGCTACAAGAGCAAGTTCTACACCGGCCCTGCCCTCAAGATCGGCTCGGGTGTCGCCGCCCAGGATGTCTTTAGCTTTGCCGACTCCAAGGGCCTCGACGTTGTTGGCGGCATTGCCCGCACTGTCGGACTCGGTGGTGGTTACATCGCCGGTGGTGGTCACTCTCCTCTCATGGGTGTCTACGGCATGGCTGCCGACCAGGTGCTCGCCATGGAGGTCGTCCTGCCCGACGGACGCTACGTTTCTGCCGACAGCGAGCGCAACTCGGACCTGTTCTGGGCTCTCCGTGGTGGCGGTGGTAGCACCTTTGGTGTTGTCACTTCGCTCGTGATCCGTGCCTACCCCAAGAAGCCCGTCACCATCCTGACGTACAGCTTTGGATCCTCGGCCACTATCAGCAAGGATCTCTTCTGGAAGGGCGTCCGGGCTGTCTTCGACACCTTCCCCCAGATTGCCGATGCCGGTCACTACCGCTACTATACCCTGATGTGCCAGGCCGAGTGCAGCTTCTCCATGGGCCCCCACTGGGCGAACAACGCCAAGACGGCCGATGTCAAGGCCATCAACGACGCTCTGTTTGCCAACCTGACGGCGATGGGCATCAATATCACCAATGCAGCTTACAAGGAGTACGACGGCGCCAGAGCCGCCTTTGAGGGTACCTTCCCTGCTTCCACTGAGGTGGTCGGCAGCTGGAACTATCACACTGGTTCCCGCCTGTTCCCCCGCTCCAACTGGGAGGATCAGACCAAGGCCACCGCCCAATTTGCCGCCATCCAGAAGGCTGTCGAGGATGCCGGCATGGTCATTGGCTACAACTTCAGGCCCGCCGTCAACAGCGGCGTCGACCAGAACAATGCCGTCACCCCTGCCTGGCGCAACACCCTTGCCCACGTCATGCTGGGTGCCCTCTGGGGCCCCAACGCCACCCCGCAGGATATTGCCGATGCTAGCAAGACCCTCACCGCCCGCCTCCAGACCTGGCGTGACGTCTCGCCCGGCGCCGGTGCCTACATGAACGAGGCCGACGCCAACGAGCCTGACTTCCAACAGAGCTTCTACGGCTCCAACTACCAGCGCCTCTACGCCCTCAAGCAGCAGTACGACCCCTGGGGGCTGTTCTACGCCCCGACTGCCGTCGGCTCCGAGGACTGGTACGTCTCAGACCAGATCGACTTCTACCCCACGCAGAACGGTCGTCTGTGCAAGAAATAGTTTGGAGTGTTCTTTTGCGGAGGTGCGTAAGAGAAAAAGTTGGGCGGTTATCTGTTTACATGCATCAAACACGGTCGATTTAGCGTTATAGAGTCCATTGTAATTGCTCATTTTTGTGATAACCAGCTCTCACACGAGCCTCACATTCTCCTTGGTGCGTTATATCTTCATACCCATATATGTGCGTGTGTGCCTGGTAGCGGTCTTGGGCCCCATGTCCTCGATCCTTACCTGGACACACACCAGCTTAGCCTTGTCACATCACTCATCGTCCAGTCCACATATATTCATACAACTGTCTCATGTAGATGTATTCCGCGACAAACTTGAACGAGTTTGTAATCTCATTCTACTGCCCCCATATTGTCACAACATAGTTACGGCCCCCTCAAAGCCCTGCATGTATTACTTAGTTCTTGTCCACCGACATAAAACCCTAAATACCCAAATTTACTTTCTTGAGGGCACAACATGCAATTTCACAAGTGACATGTTCCGCGTGTACAACGTCCTTTGCCCCAAAACATCCGCTGTGGACTGTGGTATATATGAGTGCGCGATATATGCACCTCCAAATAGCGTACGTCAATGAATAACGGGATCTATATAGGGGTGTCCTCTTCGAGATAGGTCGCGGCTCAATGAATCCGCGACAGATATTAACCATACCGGAAACCTGGGGGGAACTCAGCCGCAAAGGACCCCTGGCCGCGCAGACCTTTTTGGACGACCCAGGTGCCTGGAAGCCAATACACCGGCTGTCACCGTAAGAAAAGAAAGGGAGATGCAGGGGGTAAGGAGGTTCTCCAGAGCTGCTGGCGGCTAATGACGGAGAAGGGACAGGTTCGCTGGTTGGCTTAGCTACTGACAGTAATTCCCGCTGTAGTAGGCGATGGATGAGATTGTGCTCTTAAGTGTCACAAATGTGAACAAGAAACGTGGAAAAGCCATTCGCAAAACAAAATATGTAACTTTTTCAAGCCAGTATGCTGCTAGGCGACGGTCCAAGCCGAGGACATCAGTGCTATGATCGTTCGATGACGACATAGCAGCCAATAGATCGGCAACGCCGTCTGCTGGCAAAAAGGAATAACGAGACCAATCCAGGACGAGGTCCCGATCAGGGATGCGGCTCTTTGCTTCCCCCGCCCAATAGTTCGACTCTGTAGCTTGGGCAGGCCTTTGATTCGACCCAGCTGAGTTGTCAGACGCGGGATCCGGGAAAGCTAATACTTGTCCTGCTCCCTCAGCAACCCTGAATTGATGTCAATTGATCGTCATCTTAACTGTACGCTATCCCGCCAGCTGCCTAGCCCCAGACCCTGAAACCACATGTGTCGGGTCAAACGCCGCAGGATCGGCAGTAGCTCCAGGGCTGGCCAACGTCAGGTTTGGATCACTCGCCAAGCACACACGGAGGTTTTGCTCCTGGACAGTGACAGAGACTTTGACACCGAAAGACCAAAGAAATGCACTGTTTGAATGTAGAAATAAGGAGGCAAATGACCATCAAAAACTTCTGTCAGAGGAAGATCCGATACGAAATAGTGGTACTGTAGGTAGGTTATTAGACCTGCAATCACAGCTACATCTCACTTCACACACGACACCCATTCAAGCCCATCGTGCTTTGCGACTTCCGAGCAAATATGGAAGACAGATCACAAGAATCACGATCGGCCATTTCAAACATCGAAGCTGCCAAGACCAGCACCGTCACGAAATCGAACCCTGTCTGCGACGGGGGGGATGACGAGGCCCAGTCACCACACAACACAGTCGGCATCCACTCCAACATCTCCGGACACATCGTCAGAACACTCAACGACACCTCCCAGAACACCGTCCCAGACCCGGCCAGCGACCCGAATTCGGCTAGGCTCTACCTCCCCACCGCTCGATATTCCGTCCGCATACCACTTCTCTGCGTCGGCGCGGCCGGCTGGGGGAGCACGTCCCGGGAGAACACTGATGAGGAGAAGGCCGAGCTCGACTCCCTCCGCCCGGCGCTGGCCGCGGTGCAGAAAGCCACCGGCGGCCTCTGCTTCATCGACGCACACCCCGGACGAAGCGAGGACATCGCGGGCAAGCTCATCGCGAGCCTACCCTCTCGTGAAAGCTTCGTCATCCAGGCCCGCTTCAGTCCCAACGGCGGCGGTGGCGGCGGCGAGGACACGGCCGAAAATACCCCGCGCGACGACCGGCGCGGCGCGTCCACAGACCCCGTCCTGAGCCTCAAAGACAGCCTCGCGCGCCTCGGCGGCCTCGAGTACGTCGACATCTACCTGCTCCAGATCCAAAAAGAAGTCGGCGACGCAGCAGTAGCGACGGACAAAGCCATAAAGCAGATGGCAGAGTGCGTCGAGCAAGGGCTCGCGCGCGTCGTCGGCATAGCCGGGCCCGCGGACTGCCTCGGCGCCGACGCCGTGCGCCACCTCGACAACGAGCTGGCCAAGTACAACATCCCGCTCGCGGCGGCCGTGCCCGAGTGGAACCCCGCGCGGCCCGATGCCGTGGCCGGCGACCTCGTCGCCGCGTGCCGCGAGGTCGGCGCCGTGCTGCAGGCCGGGACCATGGTCAGCGGCGGGCCGCGCGTCGCCCTCACGGGCGGGGACGTCCGGTCCGTGAGCGGGCTGCTCGGCAAGGCGGCTGAGGTCGCGGGCAGGCGCGCCGACGGCGAGGGCAAGGGCGCGAGGAGCGCCATGGCGACCGCGCTCAACTACGTGCTCTGCAAGGGCGCGGTGCCGACGCTGGAATTCGCGGACGAGGCAGGGGCGAGGGATCTCATCCGGGCGCTGGGGTGGAAATTGGATGATGAGGAGGTGCGGGAGATTGACGAGGTGTATGCGTGAAGTACTGGCGTTTGGGTATGATGCTTTGAGAGAATTTCTACGACTGATGTCCCCTTGACGTGATGGATGAGCTTATGGCTTATGTCTATTTCTCACTTCCCTTTCCTCTTATTCGTTAGTCAGAAAGAGATATACTTTCCTGCTGACCCTCAAATTCTGCAATGTTTTGATATGCGATATGCTCTTATTAAACTAGTCTCTAGGTTCCAATACCCAAGCGTCCTCCCCTGAATCCAAGTGGTCGAGGCATACGAGGCAATGTCGACCATACCTCTCGATAGAGAGCAGCCAGACAAGTCTTTAATGCGCATGACGTGGCGGGTATCTGCCCCATGGAACACCGCTACTCCGTCCTCTTCCTCTCCCTCGGTAGGACCCGCCTCCCGGGCTGTAGGCTTCAGAGTACGCTTTCTCATTAGGCGGCTCGTTGCTCTGCTCAAAATAAAGTCTACCGAGATCGACATGCCCGAACTTATCAGTGGGGCGGAGCTCGTCGGGAACAACCGCGTACAACTCTGCCTCGCTCACGTCGACCCTATAGCCGTCGTATATGCCGGGACGGGTGTCAAATGCTTCAAAGTCGGCCACTGACAGAGAACCGTGGAATAGCGTCGTTGTATCATCAGCAAAGTCATGCACCGAGACATCCTCCAGACTTGCAGGCCCGGCGCCTTCCAGCTTGTCGATCGACAGGCCCATCTTGTGACATCGCTGTTCTAGATCCTGTTCGTAGTAAGGGTTAGGGCTTGCCCGGGCCTCGACGAGGAGACCGTGGTACGGTTTAAAGTCAAGAGAGTCCCAAGCGGATTGGTAGTCGGCTACAAGAAGGGCTCGTGCCACAGCAGGCTTCATCGACGGCTTGCGGCGCGCAAGCTCCAGATACGTTTCTGGCTTGGCCCTCTGAGGCCACCAGATCTGGAAGGGGAGATCGTGGTCGTCTGTCTGTTCAGTAACTCGCGACAAGTCATTGGTCATGATGAAGCGAGCGGTAATAGCGGACTCGTAGCGGCGACTCAGATGCACCGGTTGCAAAGACCACCATTTTGCGAAAAGGGGGTTGTGATAGATACCACGGATGACGCAGCGCTCCTCCATGAGTCCGACCGGCACCGGGCGCCTAAGCCGATTGTATCTGTCGACATCGCCGTGATATGCTGCCAGTAAGATGAGAACGTCTTTGTCGCCTGGAGGTAAGTCGAATGGGAGCGGCTGCCACAATAGCTCCAGCATTTGGCTGTTATCTGGCATGGTTTGACGAGACCCAGACTCGACGGCGACTTCTTCCACCGATGAAAATTCATCAATATGCCAATCCTCCGTGATATTGAAATAACGGGGCGCGAGCTCATCGACACTGGACTCTGATGGATGGAATAGGCCGACCTCCCAGTCTCCATGATGGTAACTCGGCCCATCGAACTTGCGCCGTAGCTCCAGCATCGACCGAATGGCAGTGTCACCATTAAGTCCATATTCGGAACGGGTTGGATTATCCAGCGCCACAGAACGAGTGTAATCGTTCATGACCTGCCATCTCACCGGCTCACTGACGATCGAGTTGTAGATCTCTTCGCTGCCTTTGCAGTTCCTTACTCGCATGGCATCGCGAGCCTCCTCAGCGACACCCAGGTCTGGCAACAGGTCCAATTCTTGATAAAGCTCAATGTAGCCAGCTACCGCGCACGCCCGGCCGACCTGGTATCGCATTTGGGGGTACATCATCGCCACAGAGCGGTAGGTTTCCTCCGAGGCGGTCTCGGGGTACCAGATGCAATAGGGGACATGGGCAGGATCTTGAATGAGGGGAATCTCATTGGACATGATGGCGCGAGCGTTGAGAGCGCGAGCGTACTCTGGGCATTGTCCCACGCCTCGGAGATCCTCTGCAAAACCCGGGTGGTGACGGATGCCGCGCAGTACTGCGATCCGGCCAACCTCCGGTAGATGTTTGCTTTGAGAGGGTGATGGTGCTTTCTCGCCATGTATGGCTCCCAAGCAATCCGCTTTGCTGTACTCTACCAGTCCGGCCCCCCTGATAGTCAGTGAGCCTGGGTCGAAAGGGTCCCAACAGGCTGGATCCCATGAGACCACATCATCCCAAGCCGCGCCTCCTCTCGCGGACTCCATGTTGAGTTGGGCAGGCGGCATGCCGGTCAAGTGCGCGGTCGAAAAGGCATCTTATTGTGCTAGCGGAATAGGAGACCCATCAGGCATATCGAGGCCTATGCTCGTCCTGTCATGCGATGTGCCTTAAGTGAAAGCGGATGGAACAAAACGAATCCTTATGTGCAGTTCTGGACAAAAGACTTGCAAGTTCAATCCCTCCAGTCGCGCTTCTCCCGTCAGCGATTCTCCCGTCAGCGACTCTAGGGCTGATGCTGAACCCCTGCTGGCTGTCAGCGGGTATACACCGGCGTATGACTGTTCGCCGAGCAGGGCAAGCTCCACTCGGAGAGACATGGACAAGGAGATCGACCCAGCAATAGCATCACAGGGTTCCGAAGTCGAATTCCTTTTATACTATCATAGATATCTAGCAAAGTCGCCATATACCCTCGTTCCAAAATTTATGCATCGGGCCTTGCTGAGGTTGGAGTCTTTCAAAGTGGGCGAGAATCAAGCGCCGAAAAGAAGTTATCCCAAACACCAGAATCCTGATTGATGTCATCCTGAACTGCAAACTGCCAAAACTCGTCAAAAGACGGCTCCATCAAAACATCAGAGGCCGGGAAGTCAAAATCTGGCTGAACGATCTGCATGCGGATGTCGGCCGACTCCTCATTTGCGCTATCCGGCTGTTGAGGGTGGTGATCAATCTGACTCGAGGCTCCCAGATCAATGTTGTGCTTTCGAAGCATTCCTTGAAGAGCATTTAGCGATTGGCTGATCAGTGAAGAGACATCCCTGGCCTCTTCTAGCAATGAGAGAGCTGCCTTGACTTCCGCCTTCCTCTCCTCCTCTCCCGGCAGACCCCTGTTGAAGCACAAGTCCATGACCAAGACTACAAGTCCTAGATGTGTGAAATGGACGGCCATAGCCATCCGGGCGGATGCAAAAGCTGGGGATGCATAGCCAAACTTCGAATCATCGTAGGCACGGACAACAGCACGAGCCGACTCTAGACATGCTTGCCTCGAGTATGCATAGCGGGGATCGGACGAGTGCCGGAGGAGAAACTTTTGATGGAGTCTGCAGCGTCTGCTATGGGCAGCTGTGATGATGCAGTACCGCATGCCCGGGATTCTTGGGTAGGCAGTCTCAATGGCTCTGCTCTTCTCGCGGCTGTCACCGTCCTGACGGAGATAGAACGGCAAACCTGAGAAGAAGTCCAGGAATCTCTTGTCGAGATCTATGACATGATCGTACGGGAGTTGAACGAGCTCGGAGATGCCTAGGGGCAAGGTATCGGTGACTTGACGACAAAGCTGAGCGAGCTGGACCCTTGTGAGATACCAGGTCATGCTTGTGAGACGAGATCCATCAGCTGGGTGGTTCTCACCGTCCATCAGAATGCTATCATCGTCGCAGTCCTTGGGGAGGCCGGTTTGAATGTGATTTGGGTGTAGGAGATACATGCCTTCCTGGGGTCCAGAAAGGGTCGACTGGAGCCTGGTCGAAAGAAAGTTAGCATGGCTCGATATGACATGTAAGCGGCGTTTCATATATACCAGTCTGTTGATACTATATGCCAGAAAACTCTTCTCTTGACCTCCTGGTCGATGGTGTCGCGAGGACTGGCTCCGCGCCTCATACGAGGACCCGTTCCGGCGGCGTCGACCCGGTGCAGGCCGATATCCACAGCTACAGAGACCGCCGCAGATCGTAGGTGGCGTCCTTTGGCGGTGAAGCCATCGAGGTGGTAGGTTACATAAGATAATATTATGTAAGCCTGGATAGTCTCGACTCCTTCCGAAGCCGTTGCTTTGACATGATCCAACACCTCCAGAGCAGCCTTGCTCCAAATAATCGCCAGACGTACTGCATCGCTACCGGATGTCACAACTTCAGAGTTCTCGGTCGGTAGGTAGAAATATGCACTCAGAGCAAAAATAGACAGAAACAAGGCACCATGGCCGGGCTGCACGGGGGCTTGCCGGCCTAGGCCGGTGTAGACAGTCTTCATGAGGACCCGAAGCGTTGGGACGTGTAATATTCGGCATACATCGTCGATATTGTCTTCGTAGTTTGCAAGAAGCAGAACAGCCGCGCTATAATCTGGGAGGGTAGCAGTAACGGAGTGTAGTATGGTCGGCTCGTGAGAATAACTGGCTTGGAGAATGTCTCGAGTGCAATTGACAGCAAAACTGGTGGGTCTCGAAACGATCGTAGACTGAGTTCGTCAGTGAACATGGCTTATGGAAGTGGATGGTATGCCTTCTGACCAGAGAATCTTGCTTCGAGCCCACTTCTTGAAGTCTCTGTAATTCAACGTCAGGCTCTTGACAAGGCTCCAAGTGGACGGTTCCGGAATAGGGTGTCAGCATATGCAGTCTCGTAGGACCACCAACATCATGGTGAGGGCTCCTCGACTGAAGAAGCGACTCCAACTTTTCGATGCGTTCCAAAAGCTCGGCATGACCGGGGCCTGAACCTGGTGGCTCGGGCTGATTGTTCTGAGGCGGAACCAGAAAAGTGCAAGTGATGCCTCGCGCAGCACAGTTTGAGCAGGGTTGAACTCTATTGCATCGGAGCTTCTTTGACCGGCACGACTGGCATGACACCGGATCCGGGCGTGCCCTGTGTCTTTGCATTGTTTTCATTTGCGGTAGTGGCCCGCGGCGGTGCGGCGGTGCATGGATGAACAGAACAGCAGAGAGAGCCGGGACGGCCGTGGATGCCCGTAAGCTTGCCTCCGCGGCGGTCCGATTAGTGTTTGTCAGCACCACGAAAGCCGGAAAGGCGGGTGCATAAGCCCTTTACCTACATTATGACCTAAACTCGATTGGGACTTACATGAAAACGGACGTCCGTGGACTTGAAGGAAGTGATGCAACAGCCCTTGAGATATTTTGTAGAGATAAATACGAGCTCTGCAAAAGGAATGGCCCGATATATGAAAATGTCTTAGCATATGTCAGAAGTCCAGTACCATTCCACAATCATCACAAAGGGGTCACTCAAATTGCTCAATATGCCCAAAGAAGCCATAGTTCAACCGTCCATCGAGGCGGTCGAGATCATCGACAGTCCCATCCCTGTGCCAACAGACAAGCAGGTGGTCATCAAAGTCGTGGTTTCGGGCTCCAATCCAAAAGACTGGAAGATCCCGCTATGGTATGAACCACCACAATGATGACCAAGCTTAATATCGGACAGTATGCGAGATCGGCGGACATGCGGCTAACGTCACAACCCAGGAAGGACTTGCCCCATAATCCCGGCGACGACATTGCCGGCACCGTTTACTCCGTCGGCAAAGGCGTATACGAATTCAAGCCTGGCGATCGCGTCGCAGCGCTCCACGAGACCGGCGCGCCAAACGGCAGCTACGCCGAGTACGCCGTTGCGCCGGACTGGACCACGTTCCGCCTGCCCGAGCACGTATCCTTCGAAGAAGCGGCCACCGTGCCCGTGGCAGCGCTCACCTCTGCTCTGGCCCTCTTTGGCGACATGAAGCTCCCCGCACAGTGGGACCAGAGAGCGCCCATCGCGAGCGCCGCCGGCGATCCCGACATGCCGAAGCAGCCTCTTCTAATCTACGGCGCCACATCGGCCGTCGGCGCTTTTGCCGCTAAGCTTGCACGGCTGTCTGGGCTCAGCCCCATCATCGGTGTTGCCGGGCGAGGCGGTAGATATGCATAGACGCTGGTCGACCATGTCGTCGAGTACCGCGGCAGGTCGGAGGACGAGCTTGTCGCAGCAGTCCAGCAGGTGCTTGGGCAGGAGGGGCTCGGCACCCACCTCAGCCATATATTTGACGCCATCAGTTCCGATGGGTCGTTCGAGGTGGTTGCTCGTTTGGTCGATCCCAACGGAGGCATCGTCAACGGAGTGCTCCCTCCACTTTTGTTTGCCAGGGATGGCAAGAACTTCAAGTTCCCCGAGGGCGTTACATTCATCAACACCGCGGTACCATTCGTCCACTGGCACCACCAGGACTTTGGGTATGTGTGGTCGCGTTTCCTGGGGAGGCTGCTGGCGGAAGGCCGACTGAAAGGGCACCCTTACGAGGTCATCCCCGGAGGTCTCCATGGTGTCGTTGCTGGACTTCAGAACCTCAAGAATGGGAAGAACAGCGCATGCAAGTATATATTCAGGATGGAGGAGACCAAGAACTTCCTTGGTATGGTGGGGATCGACGGGCAGCCTTCAGGTGTTGGTGCTGATCTGGCAGATCGCAAGAACACACATCCATTGAGGAACTTTCCATTCCTTCCGGAGGACTAAAGTGCTCATGGCTTCAAAGCACGAGGCGGATTTGGAATGGGAATGTCTTCTCCAAGCCACGTATAGGGAGCAGCAAGTAGCCATTTCGGAAAGAGAAGCTCGTCTACTATTCTGTCGAGCACCTTGCTCCACAACCATGTACCACCACAGATCACAGATACAACGGACTGTAGCTCAGAAACAACCGCTGATCGCCTGAGGGATTTTCGATCGCGCCGATTTGTGGTCACGGCTGCTTCCTTTGGCAAAGGACGCAGATAGAGAGCACCATCAAGTCATTGCAGCATGGCCTTTGCCTCGTGTGGCATGCGGTGTGTGTGCATACCATGTCTTTAAAAGATCGAGATGTATGAACTCTTCAATGCCCGGGATTTGATGAGGCATATTGCCATGAAAAATCGTCTGCTGTTTCACAGAGGTCGGCGCTACCTTACTCTCGCATGCCAGTTTTCGCCGAGAAGACATGTGGTGCCACGTTGTGAACAGCAGTCGAGTAGTCTACGAGACAAGGTGCCACAACCAGGGTTGCTTTTCAGCTGTACTGCAACACAGAATGCAGTTCGCCATCCGTGCCACCTCGCCACGTAATACGCAAGGGCCAGGTCGGGGACCAGTCCAATATTAAATAAAGGGTGTTTTTGAGTAATATTCTTGTGCTGGTGCGCGGGAAGTAAGGGGTAAGACGAAGAGTCGCCACGCCAGCTTGGCCAAGGAATTAACCTTGAAATTAGTCCACGAAACTCTCGACCGTCGACACGCTACGAGCCGTCCGGTGCCACTCTTGCGTTTCTAGATCTTTTCTCCCGCTGAGGTTGCCGGCCGCAACTGACTCGCAACCGTCTGGGACGCCTCCTTAGGCGCAGCGTTGAGTGCAGTAATATTTGCACATGTAGAGCACTAATTAGCGGTAGCGTGTGTTCCCCGCGGGGTCGATCAACCGTTGGTCTAGATGGGCAGTGTGGCCTCGAGATATCGTCCATGGCTTTGCCATCCTCGCCGCCCTTGGCATAGTCACACCCACCACACGCTTGAGTTTTCGCCTTGCCTCGATTTCAAGACCGAGCTGTGTTGATTCAGCATCGGGTATGCACATTTCAATATAAAACATTCAACTAGCTCCCGGTGTAACTCGTAGCCACCAGGTGATGACATAGGAATCGGCCGCTCCCTTGACTCGCACTTTGGGGCTTCCACCGGAACTTTCCTATCCAAAACCTTTTCCTTTTTTAAATGTATTACTTCGAGATATTATCGTCTTGGGTAATCCCATTTCCGCTGTAGACGTCTCTGTGATGTTCAAATTCGGGCTGTGAACGCGGCCCACAGAGATTAATGATGCTTCTCAACTCAGGCATCGTCGTTGACAATGCAGAAGCAGTAAGAAAAGAGACCTTCCAAGTTACGGTCCTTTCAATGGAAGTCCTTTCAATGGAAGCGAACGACACCGAATTATTCGATATGACCGAAGAGGAGGAATCCCGGATGCTGCGCAAGCTCGACCTGCACATTTTCCCAGTCGTCATGGCACTGTACATTCTGTCATTCCTCGACAGGGTTAATATAGGTATGACTTCAGTCTTCACTCACTCACTTAAACAGCAATCAGACACCAAACTGACACTCTTCCCCTCCTCTCCAGGCAACGCCCGGCTGTACCGCATGGAAGCCGACCTCGGCCTCAAGGGCAACGACTTCCAGCTCTGCGTCAGCATGCTCTTCATCACCTACGTCGCCTTCGAGGTCCCCGCGACGCTGACCCTCAAGATCATCCAGCCCAGGCGGCTGATCCCGCTCCTGGCCGTGTCCTGGGGCACCGTCGCGCTGTGCACGGGCTTCGTGCAGACCAAGGCCCAGCTCGTCGCGCTGCGGCTGCTGCTGGGCGCCTGCGAGGCCGGCTTCTTCCCCTCGGTGTGCCTGTACCTGACCTTCTTCTACCGCCGGCGCGAGCTCGCCCGGCGCACCTTCTACCTCTTCGCCGCGTCGGCCATCGCCGGCTCGTGCGGCGGGCTCGTGGCCTTCGGCGTGGGCCACATGGACGGCGTGGCCGGGCTGGGCGCCTGGCGCTGGCTCATGATCATCGAGGGCATCCCCACCGTGCTCATCGGCGCCGCGTCGTACTTTGTCCTCGCCAACGACCCCTGCAGCGCGCCCTACCTGACCGAGCGGGAGAAGGCCCTGGTCGCCGTGCGGCGCAAGCTCGACGGCGGCGACGTCTTTAGCGGCATGGAAGACGATGTCAGCAGCAGCAGCAGCAGCAACAGCAGCAACAGCGACCTGCACCACGGCCGCATCGACTGGCAGCAGTGCCGCGAGGCCTGGCGCGACTGGAAGGTGTGGACGCTGGCCCTCGGCGAGCTCGGCGTGCTCGTCATGCTCTACAGCTACAGCGTCTTCCTGCCGACCATCATCAACGCGCTCGGCTACGGCGGCATCCACACGCAGCTGCTCACGATCCCGTGCTACGCGCTCGGCGCGCTGGCGTACCTGGCCGTGGCCACCGCGTCGGACCGGACGGGCCGCCGCGGCGCGTTCGTCGTGGGCGGGTGCCTGGCGGCGTGCGCGGGGTACGCGGTGCTGCTGGGCACGGGGCGCGGCGGTGCGGCGCCGGCGGCGCGGTACGCGGGCTGCGTGGTCGTCGCGGCGGGTCTGTATGTCGCCACGGGCCTGCCGGTGGCGTGGATCGCGAACAACCTGCCGAGCCACTACAAGCGGGCGGCGGGCCAGGGCACGCTCCTGGCGCTGGGCAACTGCGCCGGCGTGTTTGCGCCCTTCATCTACCGCACGCAGGACAAGCCGGGGTACGTCCTGGGCCACAGCGTGACGCTGGGGTTCGTCTTCTGCTCCGGATGCCTGTTCGGCGTCACGGCCGTCCTGCTGCGGCGGGAGAACAGGAAGCGGGAGAGCGGGGAGCGGGACCATGTGCTCGAGGGGAAGACGGCGGAGGAGATCTTGAGGCTCGGGGACAAGCATCCCGAGTACAGATACATATATTGATGGGAGGAGGTCAGCTGTCCGCATTAGCAAAGGTATTCATGTAACCCGGGTATCCAGACTCTTCGATGGCCGGCTGGATCCGGTTCTTCATCGTCATCATAAGAGCCTCGGTGGCCTGAATAGACCAACAATGAATATATCACTTGTTCCCTTTCTCGTGAGCATCTCAGTCACCCCCACGTTCCGGAAATACGGCTCCCAAGATCCACATCCCAGACGGGATCTCAGTGGACCAATGGATTCTGTCTAGTGAGACCGTCTGGGCCTCTCACAGCAGGGCTGACTCGGCCGCCAAGGGGACCGGAGCACGCTGCTGCGGCTTTTTCCCAGCTACGTAATGCCATGCCGCAAACACCCCTGACAAGACTTTGCCCAGGTGAAATTTCAATCTGGCAGCGGGGTCTAGCGTTGGTCTCTTCTCAGCGTGTATGCCCCGCCATCCGGGCGCCGGCTCTGACGCGGGTTTGTTTGCAAATCTCGTAGAGGAGAGGACAACGACGATCTTGAAAATCTCGAAGGCACGCTTTTTCTCTCACCTTCACTCGTTAGCCATCCACAAGTAGACTGTACCCCGGCCCTGGAACACGAAGGACAAGAGCAACACTTTGAGAAATAGAGAGAAATCCAGAGTCTGAATCACTTTCAAGATGGGATCCGCAGCGCCCCTCGACGCCGGCGCCCTGCCGGCGCTGGCCACCGACCCCAAGTTCATCTTCTTCACCGACTTTGACGGCACCATCACGCTGCAGGACAGCAACGACTACATGACGGACAACCTGGGCTACGGCCCGGAGAAGCGCAAGCAGGGCAACAAGGACGTGCTCTTCGGCAAGCGCGACTTCCGCTCCAGCTTCCGGGAGATGCTCGACAGCGTGCCCACGCCGTTCGACGAGTGCGTGCGCACGCTGCTGGCCAACGTCAAGCTCGACCCGGGCTTCAAGCAGTTCTTCGAGTGGTCGCGCGCCGCCAACGTGCCCGTCGTCGTGCTGAGCGGCGGCATGCAGCCCATCATCCGCGCCCTGCTGGCGCACCTCGTCGGCCACGACTGCGTCGACCACATCCAGATCGTCAGCAACGACGTCGCGCCCCGGCCGGGAAGCAAGGGCATCAACGAGCCCAACGGCTGGCACATCGTCTTCCACGACGACAGCGGCTTCGGCCACGACAAGTCCATCGAGATCCGGAAGTACTCCCAGCTGCCCAAGGAGCGGCGCCCCACGCTCTTCTACGCCGGCGACGGCGTCTCGGACCTGTCTGCGGCTCGCGAGACCGACCTCATGTTTGCCAAAGAGGGCCGTGGTACGTTGCGACCTCATCGAACTGACTTGCGTATATATATAGTCGCTTTGCTAACATGCCACTCCTCCAAGACCTGGTCACCTACTGCAAGAATGAGAAGATCCCCTACGAGGAGTTCTCCGACTTCACCAGCATCCTGGCGACGGTCAAGGCCATTGTGGAGGGCAAGACGACTATCGAGGAGGCTGCCAAGCGTGCCCAGCAATGAAAGTGCTTCGGGTCTGCACACCTTGGCTGTTTTTTTAGATTTTGATCTCTCTAGACTTTCTCATATAGACTTAGAGACGTGACTTCCTTTTGGGTACGCTTCCATTTTTATACCATGGTAGTAAAGCTATTGCGTGCTTTCTGTGACTCGGATAATCTATCTCTCGGATTTTTTTAAACTCGGGTCCCAGGACTTTTGCAGACTCGCATCATCCTGGGGGGATGTGAATGAATAATCTTTATGACAAGGGAATAACCACGGCACTATGTAGCTTGGTGATTAAAGTCCCTGGGAAGATTGACTTAAGGCCACCCCCTCGCAGCCATCGGTAGCAGCATGTCAAGAGAATGGAAAGGGGATACTCAGCTGTGAGGCCGTTCCGGGGAAGGTGCTCGAGGCGTGTCCGCAGAGGTCAGTACAAGAGAAGACGGTCATGGTGAAGTTACCAGTTGCCCTCAAGTATAAAAAGTTGACAGGGATGCAGTGCAGTTTCGAGTCCTTCCGCAGGGTGATACCACCGGAACAGCCGAATTTCCTACAATATACCTCGTCGAAGTCAGCCCTGCGATGCGATTGTATATAGTTGTCACGTTGAGGCCAACGCATTGGGCCACACGGCGAGACAATCAAAATCCTAGTGGAATTAGGGCGTAAGACTTGGGAATGAAGAAGTCGTATCATGAGTGACGATGATGAAGAGGAGACGTCAGAAGTAAATCTGCCACACATCTTCATACTCTGAACTGGACTTCTCAATTTGCTTGTTTCATTCTTTCAGACTGGAGCCCATGACATATACCATTGTCAAAAGCCTGTTAACTCCACAGCTGACCATATCTGTATAGAATCGTCATGACATTTCGAAAAAGATCGCTTACTTGCCCGAACTCCCAACATCCAAATCAACCCAACATCCTTTCTCCTCTTTAGCCGCTTTCCCCCCTCCGAGCACTTCAGAAGCCTTGCTATTACTCCCTCGCCCCTTTTCCTCTTTCTCCTTCTCTCCCACCTCCCCACCTTACTCGTCCCTCTTCTCCGGCTCCGGCAACATGAACCAGCACAGTATCATGACGGCAAACAGCGCGACGGCGATGGGGTGCAGCACCCACGTGCCGACCGCCTGCGCGAGCATGCCCGTCGTGAAGGGCGCCGCGGCGCCGCCGGAGCTGCCAAACGCCGCGATGACGCCGAGCCCGCTCATCTTCTCGCGGCGGCTCATGCTGCGGATGAAGATGGCCGTGGCGCAGGGGTACACGGGCCCCAGCAGCAGGCCGACGACGGCGACGGCCACGGCGTCGCCGACGACGTTGGGCACCCACCACACCAGCAGCTCCAAGACGGCGGCGCCCAGCGTAACGCCGTAGACGAAGCGCTTCTCGCCGACGCGCTGGGCGGGCGTCGTCAGCGCCAGCCGGCCGATGGCGATGCCCGCCCAGAAGCCGGCCGTCACGTAGCCGACCGAGGACGGGGCGCCGCCGCGGAAGGTGATGAGGAAGGAGATGACCCAGCCCGAGATGCTGACCTCGGCGCCCTGGTAGGCGAAGATGAAGAGCGAGCCCAGGAAGACGAGGCGCGAGGTGAAGGCCGAGAGCATGTTGAAGAGCTGCGAGGTCGCCGGCGGCGGAGGCGCGGGGGCGTTGCGTTGTCTGATGCTGCTGGTGCTGCTGCTACCACCAGACGACGCCGCCGCCGCCCCGTCGAGGAGCTGCGGCGGCGGGGCGACCTCCTTCTCGTGGCTCCAGAACGCCCAGCCCGCGAGGAAGAAGTTGAGCACGGTGAGCCCCAGCGTGATGAGGTAGTACCGGCTCCAGGGGACTCGCGCCTGCGTGACGAGCGCCGTGGCGATGAGCGGGCCGACGGTGCCGCCCAGGCCGTAGGAGCCGTGGACGAAGCCGAGCATGGTGGTGCCGTTGGTCAGGCCGCCGGCGAAGGTGTTGGAGTTGGCGATGGAGATGGACATGCCGAAGCCGAGCAAGAAGAAGGCGACGACGACGGCCGGAAAGGGGGCCGCGGCGGAGAGCACGACGTAGCCGCTGGCGATGATGACCTGGGACAGGGCCAGGACCTTGCCGCTGCCGAGGCGGGCCTTGAGGGCGTCGAGGAAGACGGCGGCGAAGATGAAGCCGAAGGCGTTGCCGACGAAGATGAGCGAGACTATGCCGTAGCCGATGTTGTAGTATCTATAATAGGCGTTGGACTTAATATGAGGAATAGGAAGAATGGAGTATGGTAGAAGCAAAACTCACTTCTCCATGTAGGGGATCAAGGCGCCAGCAGCACTATCGTTCATGCCATTGACAAATATCATCAGGCACGCCGCCAGGAGCCTGTACCTGTTCATGTGCGGATCCCACATGCTCTGCACGGGCTCGGAGACGTCCATCTCGATCGGCGTGCCCGGGCAGCTCATCTCGAGATCGATCTCGGCGCTGGGCGTGGTCGGTCCGGAGTTGTTTCCCACGGAACCGGAGTGGGTGGCGGGCCTGGTGATGCGGTCCAGGTCGATGGACATGCCTCGCTGGGGATTGTCTGCGTGGCAGATCCTGGAGTGAGCCTTTGCGGGCGCCGTGGGGACCTTTATCAATGTGTCTGGTCCAGAAGACTCGACGGTCACAAGGGAACGGAGCAGAGCAGACTCCATGTTGGAGGTGCGGCGGAGCGGCGGCGTATAATAACAACTAATAAGCCCGGTAGTAATCCAAGTGGGAATAGAAGAAGCGAGATTCTAAATGGAACTCGGAGTCGAGAGGTCTAGGGTGTCCAGAGCCAGGATGTGGTCTCTTGAAATACTCTAACGAACAATACCGCCGAGAATTACCCGTGCTGAGAAGCAGAGTGCATGACCAAAAGCAGATTTCAAAGCAGCCAGACAAGAACCCACGATGCACACAGATTGGCTAGAAGTGGAGATTCCGCTATGGCAAGGATAGAGAGGGAGGAGAGGAACAGAGGAACAGCCTCGACAGTGGATGGCGGGCACCGGCACTCCACCGAGCTGGCATCTCATGCATCGAGTGCCGTGCACCATTAGCTAATGGTTGAGTCACATTGGATACCTTTGAGAGCCTAATCTGCGCGCGTGGCAGTGGTTCGCGGGAGAGGACTTCATGATCTGTGTGGTTGTGGGCGGGATTACCCGTTTCGGCCATTCCGCAATCTTGGGGCTTGCATCTCTCAGCAAAAGCATATGTGTCTCCCGCCATCGGCCCCCGACTATCGGATCGTCACTCGCGAATAAAAGCCAAAGGGTTTATCAGACCGTTGTAAGTGAGGAAGTAGTCCATATTTGAGGTGTCGCTCGTGATCCATTGCAGCCACAGCCATTGGCCCGGTGACTCATGCAATGGGAGTGTTGAGGACCCTCACCATAGCTCACCGGTCCGGGACTTTGTTCATGTTGTCCAATGCCAGGGAGGGATCCGACAGGACGCTTTCAAACCATGCAGGTTACTCTCCCAAGGTTGTGAGGTGGATAGGATCCGTCCAGATAGGCCTGGAACTGGACCGGCACGGCTCCTTGCTGTGAACAGCGGCGGAGTAGCAGTGTCGGAGGTGGAGACCACCAAGCCTCTACCGATCGTAGGATCCCAGATAACTGGCATAGAAGCTGGGTCTCGTATCCCGTGGGAGAAAAAGCAAACATGGCATTGTGTAGTATGGCGGTTCAGACTTGCACGCCCCCCGTCTTGTATGGAGTAGTTTGCTGAGGCTCCAGCCCCAATTCATCAGGGCGGTGAACAGCAGGAGTCCCGAGCACGCGGCAGAATGGAGCCCGTGCTGTTTAGTGTCCGTCCCGCCGCCCTAAACCGCGGGCCGGCTCCCAGCTCGAATAATTGCGCGCAAACAGCCGAGAGCATTTGAACGACTCCCGCCTGCACCGACAAACCACCTGCACGCCCTCGATCGCACACCGGCCGACAAGTCCGAACCCCCTTTCGACCGCTCGCACATAGAAAAGGGGGGTGCTTCCGGAACCATGTCCGCAGCGGAGGCATTGCGGCCTCTGCTACGGCCAGGGATCAGGTTGCTCGCACAGCAGCACCCCTACAGGCCGATTGGTCTCTCCAGAGCTAGAGCTGCTGCTGCTGCTGCTGTTGTTGTCCCTGCAGCTCGGCCGGCATCGCAGTGTCTGAGCTGCAGCACGGTCCGGGCGTGCATCCGCTCCTACTCGACATCCCCTCCTGCTCCTCCAGGGGGCGGTAAACCCCCGCCGCCGCCGTCGAGCCGCGAGGATGAGCTGTCGTCCATCCTGTCCTCGGTCAGCAAACCGCCCAAGTCGACCACCATACCCGACGACCCCACGACGACGCAACCAGGCACATCACCAGAGTCTTCCCCCTTCTCGCCTTCAACAACAGCTCCCACCACCGACTCCTCGTCAAAACCCACCGCCCCCGATGGCCACTCCTCCTCTTCCTCCCCCACCGCCTCGCCATCCTCCTCCTCCCCCCCAGCAGCAGCCGACCTCCCCTCCGCCGCCGAGTCCCGCCGCGCGCCCCTCTCGGCCCGCTTCTCCACCCTCATGGACAACCTGCAGTCCCGCGTCTTCGTCGCCTCGCAGGCCCTCAACGACCTGACGGGCTACTCGGCCATCGAGGCCATCAAGCAGCGCAACAACGACCTGGAGCGCGCCCTCGCGCACGCGCAGTCGCGCCTGCGCGCCGCCCGCCGCGCCTACCAGGACGTCAACGAGCGCCGCGCCTCGACCCAGCGCGAGGTGACCACCCTGCTCGCCCGCAAGGACGCCTGGTCCCCGGCCGACCTCGAGCGCTTCACCTCGCTCTACCGCCTCGACCACGAGCTCGAGGCCGGGGTGGCCCGCGCGGGCGCCGACCTGACCGAGGCCGAGGCCGACGAGTCCCGCCTCGGCGCCGAGCTCAACGCCGGCATCCTCAAGCGCTACCACGAGGAGCAGGTCTGGAGCGACCGGATCCGCCGGCAGAGCACGTGGGGCACGTGGGGCCTCATGGGCGTCAACGTCCTGCTCTTTATCGTCTTGCAGTTCTTCGCCGAGCCCTGGAAGCGCCGCCGGCTCATGCGCGGGATGGCCGAGCGCGAGCAGGCCGTGCTCGACGAGGTCCGGCGCGAGCTGGGCGAGGTCAAGGGCGCGCTCGAGGCCTCCGCCGCCGCTACTACTGCTGCTGCAGCGGTGCACACGCAGGCGCAGCCTCTGGCGGAGACGAAGAAGGCGGATCCGGCCGCGGCGGCAGGGAAGCCCTCCGCGCAGGCGACGGACCAAGCGGCCTCGTCGCCCTGGCCCGACAAGACGGTCGGAGGCGCGCTGTCGTGGCGAGAGTTCCTGACCGACGCGGCTCGGTGGAAGCCCGCGGTGGGAGACCTCTTCAGCGAGAGGCTCGTCGCCCTCAAGATGCGCGACGCCTCGCTGCTAGCCCTCGAGGGCGCGGTAGCGGGCGCCACGATGGCCGCGGGGGTCGCGTTTCTTTTGCTCCGCCGGACGTGATAACACGGCGAATGTCTCGTTTTTTTTTTAAAAAAAAAAAACCAACAATAGAAAGCCGCCAGTGACAGGCATGTACCTCTAGATCTTCTGGGATGGCGGGCAGTTTGTGTGTGGAAAGGAGCTTCATCGCCCATACTTCACTCCGCCCCAGCCCATTTATTGCTGCTGTATTAAAAGAAAAAAGATTTCAGAACTAGATACCACAAGAAACTAAAGATAGATAGTGGTATAATAAACCTTGCCACGTTGCAAATCACATCAAAGCCCGAGCATCTCCTTCACTTCTCGGGCCTATTACTGCGTTCCAAACAGTCATCGTCAACCCATCCTGTCACCGTGCAAGTCAGTCCAAGCAACAGGAGTTTCTCGAGCAAAGTCGCCATACGTGTATATATGTATATACTCCATGAATAACAAGAAAGCTTCTAATTAAATAATACTTTCCCTCATAGACTCTACTCGACCGCCCATAGTGCAACACAGCGCTTCGATCGATCGAACCATCATCGTCGATACGACATTCCTCAGAAAAGAATCAATAAAATTCATGAAAAGAAGAAAGACAGAAAAAAGAACACCCTTTTGCTTCGCTGCTTTTTTTGTTCTCTCCCGTCTCCCGTATACCCGCTCACTTCATTTCAACATCAACGCGTTTCACACATCAACATGGACGTTCGGCTCCGGAGCCGACCTCTCCCTCCCACACACACCATAGGCTGCGAGGAGCTACCCGCTGCAGCCTTCGAAAGACCGGGAGCTGGTCCACACAGAGACCCGACCGCTAGCTCATGAATGACACTGCAGTAGCATGTGCTGTGTGTCAAGCCTTCCCAACAATCAAACAATCTAATCCCAGCGTCCTCGCGTCTGCCCTCATACAAAGTCGGCAGTGTACGAGAAGCCGCGGAACTCCTCCTGCATGGCTTGCGACAGCACTGTAAAACACAACACACGTCAGTTTCCATCGAGCGATAACGTACGAATACCACAGATCCTCAACAAGGGGTGTTTCAAACATACCAGACTGCACAGGCGTGAGCACAGGCGTAACGCTCGTAAACTCAGAGTCAAAGTTGGACGTGTCCGTCTCGCTCTTGATAGTAGGCAAGAACGGCGGCTGCACGCGCTTGTGGTAGATGTCGTCCCAGTTGATGTTGCGGAAGAAGGGCTGCGACATGATCTCCTGCGCGTCCGTGGGCCCGCTGCCCAGGCGCTGGTCCGGCTCGCGCGTCAGCAGCTTCTGCAGGATCGAGACCGAGTCGCGCGGCATGTGGATCGGGTACAGCGGCTCGTCCGCCAGGATCGCGTCGTAGATCTCGTCCTCGTCCTCGCCGCGGAACGGCGACTGCTGCAGGAGCATCTGGTAGATCAGCACGCCAAAGGCCCACCAGTCGACGGCTCGGCCGTACTTCTTGTCGAGAAGAATCTGGGCACATCAGTCAGCATCTCTGCAGGATGGGGGCTATGACGCATCAAGTTGAAATCTTACCTCGGGAGCCATGAACTCGGGAGTGCCGCAGAAAGTGCTCGTGGTCGAAGCATACCACATGTCTTCCTTGCAAAGACCGTAGTCAGCAATCTTGATGTGACCATCCAGCGTCAGCAGGATGTTGTCGAGCTTCAGGTCACGGTAGATGACGCCGTTCTCGTGGAAGTACTTGAGCGCCAGGCAGACCTCGGCAGCGTAGAACTGCGCCCGCTTGGTGCCAAACTGGCCCCGCTGAATGTGCAGCATCAAGTCACCGCCGCTAACGTACTCCATGACAAAGTAGACGCGAGTCTCGGTCTGGAAGCAGGCATGCAGGTTGGTCAGGAAGGGATGGCGCTCCTGGTTGGCGATGAGGAACACCCTCTTCTCAGACCGGATGCTCTCGACTTCGTCGTTCTCAATGATAAACTCCTTCTTCAGGACCTTGATGGCGTACAGCTTCCTCGTCCTCTTCGTCTCAGCCAGCATGACCTTGCCAAAGTTGCCCTTACCAAGCACAGCAAGGAAGTTGAAGTGGTCGAGACCAATTCTCTGACCTGTGCCGGCATCGGTAGCCGAGGGCAGGGGCTTCTTCTGGGGAATGACAGCGCCCGTGGCTGACACGGGTGAAGGAGCCAGCCCTTGGTCGGCAGGCGGCTGCGGCTTGATCTGGGGCGGCTGCTGTGGCTGCTGCTGGTACGGCGGCTGCTGTTGTGCTTGTGGTGGGCGAGCCTGTTGCTGCTGGGCAGGAGGCTGCTGGGGGTAAGACCCGATGTTGGCGTAGTCTGCCGGGTTGTATTTCCTTTGTTGCGGTCCGCCATATTGTTGCTGCTGAGGGGCATAAGGGTCCTGTTCCGGCCCGGCGTTGTAGCCCATGTCGTACCGGCCGCCATAATCCGGGGCTTGTCCCATGTGGCCAGGCTTATGACTCGTTGGTGACATGGAGCCGGTCATGGCCGCCGAAGCGGCGGCGGCGGCAGCAGCAGCCGTGGAGCTGGACGTGGAGGTCCTGTCGGGATGGTGAGGGCGCTGTGGTGACGTCTGGCTGGCATACATGGCCTTGGCAGCCTCAGTGGCCTCAGGCGAAGCAGCCGACTGGCCGTAGCCTGGTATCGTGCCCTGCGAGCCGTACGAACTATGTCCCGAGACGGGCGTCATCTTGCCAGTCCGGAACGTCTTATCACTCAGCGAAGAAGTCTTCTCCTGGCGACGCTGCTTCTGCGTCCGAATGCCCTCCAAGATCTGGTTCGCAACGGCCATGGACATGCCGCAGAAGTCCGGCACCAAGTGCACACAACCAGCATGAGCCGTAAGGCCACATTCTAGAGACAGTCAGTGGCAAGTCAAACCAGGGAACGACGTCAAAAAAACACCTATACTGACCTGAGCATTTTCGACAATTCTTCTTTCCAAACGGCAGCAGATAACCACAGTGGCAGCACCAGTTGGCCGTGATGTTCGAAAACGGCTGGAAACGATGCGGAATGCGGTGGTTGATCTTCTCTTCGTCCGGGTCCGTCTCGGCATTGGACTTGCTGATACACTTGGTGACGACGCTCGAGTAGCACTTGATGTGACATGTGTACTTGCAGTCCTCGCACTGCATGCCGGCGCCGCCCTTGAGGAAATCGCCGCAGAGGGCACAGCGCATAATGTTGTAGAACTGCCTCTGGACAAACTTGTGGCCGTACATCTCGTGCACCTCCTCCTTGCGCTGCCTGATGGCACCTTTTCGGCCCAGTCCAAGATCGACGGGGCGGCGATCCGTGTTCTGCTTGAGGAAGCTCAGGCTCAGCTGGATCTGCCCGGTCGGCTCGAGGTTGAACCAGGCCGTGATGGGCTCCTGGGCAACCTGGGGCTGGGGCTGCAGCTGCGGAGCGCCGTACATTGAGCCCTGCTGCTGCTGATAACCCGGGGATGTTGGCGGGGGGCCGAATTGAGGCTGCTGCGGCTGTTGGGGGTTCATGGGGAACTGCGCCGGGGGAGCCTTGGTGTTGCCCATCCGGTCTGCAGACACCCAACCAGAGTTGTTGATCTCGGCCTCGATCCTCTTCCTACGGAGCTCCTCCGCGATGTCGGAAATCCTGACCCACAGCATACCGATGGGGATCGCGTGCTCGGCGGGCTTATCGTACACGGTAAGTTCGATCTCGTTCGCCTTGTCGACATCGATGTTGTGGTACTCGGCTTCCCACCGGTCGGTCCGCGACGTCCTTGTCCTCGCAGCCACGTTGTCTTCCACCTTGACGGCAACGAAGGTATCCGGGCCGCGGCTGAACCGACCAGTCGGAGCGTGGTCCACATCCTTGACAGCAATCACGCGTATCGAGAGCTGACCAGAGAGCGGCTTGCGCAGGTTTGGCATATTGATGCTGTCGTCTGCATGAATTGAGTTAGCCAGAATATTCAGGACCAGGTCGAATGTAGGGCGGGCACTGTACCATCCGGAGAGTCCGACGAGTCGATGTCGATATGCAGCTCTTCATATCTCTTGAGCGCCTGCTTCAATAGCACAATCTTCTGCTTGCTCTCGACGCGCTTAGATGCCGCGTCGGCCTTGCTCTTCTTGTCTCCTTCCATCTGATATAGTTGCACCATCTTCTCGATACCCCTGAGGTATTGCTCCTCGACATTGAGCTTGAACTGAATCTGGGAGAGCATGAGCTGGATGCGGGGGCCGAGGTAAGGTGTATCATATTTGATCAGATCTGTCCGGCGAGATCGGTTAGCAAGGCCAAGTCAGTGTACATAGAGAGGGGGTGGTCGCGTGTACTCACCGAGCTTGGTAAAGTTGGGCCTCGCCTTGGGTATCGACTGGTTGGGGCCGGGTGCGGGGAAGGGATGTCGCGGGGGCATCATCTCGCCGTGCTGGCCGACCTGGCTGTACTGTACAGAGCCGTAGGAAGCACGGTCGCCGGCGTAGGCGCCGGAGGCGTCCTTGGGAGGGGGAGGGGGAGGACCCTCGCCGTCGGAACGCATGTCGGCGCTCATGGGGCGGCCAGAGGAGCTGTCGGGACCGAGGTTCATCTTGCGCATCTGAAGCTCGTTGAGCTTCTCCTCGAAGAACTCGAGGTTCCTCCTGCCCTCGCGCATCTGGGTGTCGAGCTTGGACCGAACGGTGTCATTGTTGGTCTGCTGCCGCATGAGGTTGGCAGCTTGGATCAGCGACTTCTCCCGCTCGATCTTCTTGTAAATATCCATGAGCCTCTCATCTTCGTTCATGGTTGCTTTGTTTCCTCCGCGCGGTCGGACGCGCGGGGAAACAAGACCGATGGGGCGAAGAGTGGAAAGAGGGCGTCGCTTTCTGTCCCGAACCCGCGCAGAGGGGTCGCACGGTTGGGTTCAGGGTATCGTATCGACTTCTGCTGGAAGAGCAGGAGGTCCAAGAATGATACTGCAGCTCGGGTAGCGAGGGCCGAGTTGTTTTGGCCGGGATGGTGAGAGGGCTGTAGGATTGGGTCGCTGGACCTGACGGGTGGCGAGGTGCGAGACTGGAGGCACGCGCGCACAAGGTCGTGTTTGGGCGTGAAGGGGATTCAACGCTATGGCGGCCTCACCTCACGGGGGCGTGGCTTTTTGGTGTTGTGATAGTTGTCAGATGTCGTCAGTAACGAATTATGGCGGGGTTTTTGTGTTTCGCATCCGGCAGCTCAGTCTGCCGACCCTTGCTGATCTGATAGGGCCGGGGGGGCCAGGGTGTGGCTCGCCTGGGCTGGACTTTGGGGCCTTGTTGTCGCCGCCTGTGGAATTGCTTTTAGGACTGGAACTGGGACTGTGGACTGGCACGACTGGCTGGGTAGGTGGGTGTAATACCGAGGAGGGGGACAGACAGACAGACAGACGAGCTGGCAGGCAAGCAGGCAAGCAGGCAAACGGGTACAAGGCACGAGCAGGACTTGAGAGGGAAGACAACCTGGAAGGAGATCGATCAATCGGCGTGGTGGTAGGCAGAGGGCGGGGATGAGGGGCGGGCTGCGGCGTTGGCCGTTGGTGTGTGTGTGGGTTGAGGATCAAGCAGCCTGGTGGGTGTGATGCATGCGTTTGTGCGTGTGGGTGTGTGGGTGTGTAGTGTATGTAACTCTGTGTACGCTGAGATGAGAGAGCGACAAAGTCTTGTCTTGTGTCTTGTCGAGTGTGGTTGGTAGGTGTGGTGGGCAACGGCTGTGGGCGGGCGCGCGGCTTGATTTCTGAAGAGGGGCGATGGCTGCGTTTTCCCCTCTTACCAGCTCCAGAAATTGTAGGTACGCGGAGGCTCAAGGTTGTTACCTACCTAGGTACCTACCTAGGTACCTTAGGTTCAGGTTGTTTAGGTGGTTTGGTCTGCTGGAGAATGCTCTCTCTCCAGCGCATTCTAAGCCGAGATGGGCTATCCAGATCCAGGGAGCATATCCAGCTTGCTCAACAAAGTGCCCAACTCCCGCAGAATTACTGTTGGGTAGAATTGGATGCTCGAGTTATTCCATGCCAATGCCAGTAGATAACTACCTACCTAGGTAGGTACCTGTGCAAATACACACAGACACAACGCACGTCTGTCTGCGCGCAATGCCTGCTCGGGCGCAGCAGCGTCGAGAGCCACCACAGAACCTAGAACCTTGAAGGTATGACGACAGAGCCCGCCCAACTTGGATTAGGTGCCTACCTCCAAAGGTACCTTGCCTGTTGCTGGCCCTCCCGGTTTGGAGGGGCTACCTGGCTACCTATCTAAATTGCTCCCAGGCCGTGCTACAGTACGGTACGACATCCATCCTAGCCAGGCCAGCCGACGCTTTGGGACGTTTCTTTCCTCGAAACAATCGGCCTAAAACAGCCAACAGAGCTGGAGGACGAGTCCTACGGAGTAAATCCGGTAGTGGGCCACGCCTCGAATTTCTTCCAAAACGGCAGTCAGTGTTCCAATTGGCATTCCTCTGCCAGGTCTTCCACTTCAATTCGCTTCATTTCAGAGACCTAGGTACTAACGAGCTCAATCACACATCCACTGGTGTCCCTTTGTAAGCCGTCGACCGCATGCTCTCATGCAAACGCTGATTCAAGACTCGGCGAGAGCGAAACCACTCCCCATATTTGTCGTGAACCTCCGTACGTACCGGCCTATGGTCGGGCAGAGAGTGGATATCTCTCATGTAGGCCTTTTGCCTGTCGACCATCTAGGACTTTTCCCAGGACAGAGACATGCCATAGGCCGGTTTCAGGTCTGGCGTAAAGAAAAATCACACAAAACACGGGGATCTGGGCCGCAGTACAGGAGCTGCTGCACCTCATCGACGGAAAGAAGGTTCAATTGAAACGGCATGCTGGTCCGCTTGCATTCTGCAATATGGGAATTTCATGTATGTACCTCTCATATATCGCGCAGATCTTATTATTCTGAGGCGGAAAATCCTAGATTCTGGACTTCCGTCAGCCGTTGCCCATTTCATCGTCAACATGGAGTCATAGTAGAACCATCTCATGCCTGCATCGATTTGACAGGCCGTCGACCTGGTGTAGACAGCGTTTGTAAGGGATTCCAAGCTCGCCTTGAATTATCATCCTGTGTAACTCAACAGTCTTGTTTTTTCATCATTGACGTTATGTCCCATGTATGACAACCCTCGTGTCCTAATGTCGTGCCCAAACCGCCCGGCCACGGCTTACAACACAAGGCTGCAAGGGCCCAGCGATATGACGTCCGACACTGGAAACCTGTGATCACGGAACTGAGGAGGAGATCTAAATTCTTTTTGTTTGTTCCGTTCTACTTGTAACAAAAGACTAGATAGCCCAGATTACTCCATACACCAGCCGGACTACACAGAACAGCCGCCCAGTCCAGCCCTGCCCAACTCGGCCGTTTGGGTCCTACCGACCTCCATCCAAGGGCAGCAAATATAAAAAAAAAAAAAAAAAGAGAGACACAACAAAAAAGACCCCTTTTTAGGAAGTGTAGTCCTTCTGCAGAGACTTGGCAATGGTGTTGAGCTGGATGTTGCTCGTGCCCTCGTAGATGGCGCCGATCTTGCTGTCGCGGAAGAACTTCTCGGCCAGCCCCTCGCGCACGAAGCCCATGCCGCCCATCCACTCGACCGCCAGGCCGCTGACCCGGCCGGCCACCTGCGACGCGTACAGCTTGGCCATGGCCGCGTCCCGGACAAAGTCCTCGCCGGCCTCCTTCTTGCGCGCCGCGTTGAAGACGAGGGCGCGCGCGGCCTCGATCTCGACGTACGACTGCGCGATCTGGTGCTGCATGCCCTGGAACTCGCCGATGTACTGGCCGAACTGCTTGCGGTCGTTCCAGCAGTACCTAGTGGGAAGGGTTAGCTAAAAGAAGAAGAAGAAAAAAAGAGAGAAAAAAAAGAAGGAAAAAAAGAAGAAAGAAAAAGAAGGAAAAAAAAAGAGGAAAACTCACTTGACGGCGTTCTCCCACGCGCCGAGGGCCAGACCGGTCATCTGCGCCGCGATGCCTATCCTGCCCTCGTTGAGCAGGCTGATGGCGTACTTGTAGCCCTGCCCGCGCTCGCCCAGCAGGTTCTCCTTGGGGATCTCGACGTCGTCAAAGGTGATGACGCAGGTGCTGCTGGCGCGGATGCCCAGCTTCTTCTCCTTCTTGGCGATCTCGAACCCCTTGGTGCCCTTCTCGACCACGAACGCCGTGATGCCCTTGTAGCCCTTGCTCGGGTCGAGGTTGGCAAAGACGATGAAGAAGTTGGCCTCCATCGAGTTGGTGATCCACATCTTGCCGCCGTTGAGCTTGAACCCGCCCTCGGTCTCGGTGGCCTTGGTGGCCATGGCGAAGGCGTCCGAGCCGGACACGGGCTCGGACAGGCAGAAGGAGCCGACGGTGTCGGTGGCGAGGCGCGGCAGCCACTTCTTCTTGAGGGCCTCGCTGCCGTACTTGAGCACGGCCGTGTTGACGAGCGTGTTGTGCACGTCGACCATGACGCTGACCGACGGGTCGATGCGGGCCAGCTCCTCGATGCCGATGATGGCCGAGGTGAAGTTCATGCCGGCGCCGCCGAACTCCTCGGGGATCTCGATGCCCATGAGCCCTTGCTCAAAGAGCTGCTCCACGACGGCCGGGTCCATGGCCTCGGCCTCGTCCATGTCGCGCGTCTTGGGCAGGATCACGTCGTTGGCGAACTTCCCGACGGCCTCCTTCATGGCCGCCTCGGTCTCGGAGAGGTGCGAGAGCGGCGTGGGCACAAAGTCGGAGCGGCGGGCCGGCGTGGTGGACAGAGCCCGGGCGCTGCTGTTGCGGGCTGTCAGCATGCTAATGCACATGGATTTTCTACAGACGGAGCTACAAGTCCAATCAAACAAATCGTTCTCACCATTGCAATCGAGAGGCCGTCCGTGCAGGCCGGCACGTCCGTGACACTGCTGACAGCCCAGAGGCAGACACCGCCTGCTGGCCCCTCTTCAGCGCCGGACGCAGCGCTCTGGCAATGGACGACGACATGGTGCTTTTAGTTCTTGTGAGAATTGGCAAAAGGGTAGAACCGCCAGAAGAAAAAGCCTGGAGCAAAGAGGAGCAAGGGAGAGGAAAAGACACACAAGGGCATAAAAAGTCTACAAAGAGGAAGAAAGGGAAGTAAAATCAATGACATGACGCTCATAACATTTAGAACGGGTATTCGATACCTTGCCTCGGCGTGGGCCCAAGGCCGAGGCCTGCCGAGGATAACCTCACCTTAGAGGGCTCCCTAGAAGAGCACACCTTGCCTGTAGCCTGTACTTGTAGGCTTGGCGTGGGAAAACATGGGGGAAGCTAACGCTGGAACTTGAACATTGAAGCTACCGCTGCGGGGCATGTGATTGTTTTTGGAGGAGGTGACTCGACACTAACTCCAAGTCTGCTGTTGGCAAGTGCACGCAACTTTCGCCGGGCCGACACGGCCGCCAGATCGAACCTGGCCCCTGCGTCGGAAATTTCCAGCACTACCAGACACTCGCGATTGAGCGAACTGCTGATGCAGTGACCATTTTCAAAGCTCAGCAGCAGCAGCACCAACACAACCACACACGTCGCCGTCAAGATGAAGGTGGCCATGCCGCTCCTGCGGCACCTCCTCGCCCCGTCAATACGGCAGCCCGTCGCCCTCCGCCGCCCAGCCCTGCCCAAGGCAGCCTCCTCCTCCTCCCCGTCCATCATCGCCGCCGCCGCCGCCGCATCGAAGCGCCCCTTCTCCTCCTCCCCCGTCCGCAGCGCAACCCTCATGCAAGTCAAGCGAGTACGTTGTCCCAAGACATACACACACACACACACACACATTCTTCTGCAAGACGCGCATCAAGAACTAACCCACAACCCTCCCCAACGATATAGGGCTGCCGCAAGCCCCAGCGCGCGCGCCACGCCGTCTCCCCGGCCCTCTCGGAGATCGGCGCCCCCGAGCTCAAGGGCGTGTGCCTCAAGGTCGGCATCACGCGGCCCAAGAAGCCCAACTCGGGCGAGCGCAAGACGGCCCGCGTGCGCCTCTCGAGCGGCCGCGTCGTCACGGCCTACATCCCCGGCGAGGGCCACAACATCCAGCAGCACAGCGTCGTCCTCGTCCGCGGCGGCCGCAGCCAGGACTGCCCCGGCGTGCGGTACCACCTGGTCAGGGGGGCTCTGGACCTGGTGAGTTTTCTGGTTCTTTCGGTTCGCTTTTTGAGTCTATCTCGCACAGAGGAGAAGAGAAGACTACGTTGTAAAATGGAGGCATGTGTGTGCTAATCTCGAACTTGCAGGGAGGCGTCGGCGCTCGCGTGAGCAGCAGGAGTAAATACGGAACCAAGAAGCCCAAGACGGCGTCTGTAGGTTAAAAGACGGGCTGTAGAAGCGGTGCAGTGTGGCATGTGTGTGGAGAGAGGAAGAGAGGATAATAGACACGGGGCTTTTGGATCATCAGGCACAATCAAGAGCACCTCTGTATCACTAGTAACATAAATCAACATATCCGCTGTACAATGACACAAAACAAAACAGAAGCAAAAGTCTTTTCCGAACTTTGACGAATTCAAATTTGCAGCAGCTACTTAGGACTATTTGTCTATAACGCGCGCGCAAAGAACTGCTCTGAATATTTCCTTTGCTCATCTCGTTCTCGTCAAGGTACCGTGCGCCGAAACCCTTTTGCGGCCTTGCCGCCCCAAGGACCGTGGTTCTGTATGTGTACATCATGTCATGAAGAAAAGCCAAGAGTTCCAAAAGAGAAAAGAAGAAGAGAAAAAAAAGATGGGGTGTTTCTGATAAAGTACACTGAAAATTGGACCAGACTCGGCTTTACGCCTTGCCTCTTTTTTTTTCTTCTTCTAATCTTGCTGGTTCTCCCAGCCCTCGGGCTTGTCCATCCCGGTGACCTCGAAGAATCTTGACGTGCCTGCATAAATTACAGAGATTAGGCTTGGTGTTGCGCGTCAAACGGTTGTGGATCTGTGAGCAAAAAAACTTACAAGAGTACCCCTTCCAGTCAAAGTTGTTCTTGGGGTCGCAGTGGCACCGCAGCTGCGTCCGGACCTTCTCGCCGGTCGGGCAGTGCGTGAAGGGAACGTGGTAGTAGCCAATGTCGTTGAAGAAGTGGATCTCGTCCTTCCTCAGCAGCAGGCCGGCGGCGATGGAGTGGACGGGGGCATCGCCCCACCGCTCGTAGAAGAAGCCGCCGTCCTGGTCGAGGGACTCGAAGAAGTCGGTGTAGGCCTTGGACCGGAGCCAGTTCAGGTCGCCGACCTCGAAGTTGGACCAGAAGTGGCAGTGGTTGTAGGTCTCGCCGCCGTCGTCGGAGAGGAAGCCCATGGCGTTGTCCTGGACGATGTGCTCGGGGAAGTTCTTGATGAACTTCTTGGTGCTGTCCCAGAGAGTGGGGATGGTCTCGACGTACTCGTACAGGCTGAGGACGAAGCTGTACTTCTTCTTCTGCTCCTTCATGAGGCGGAAGGGGTCGTAGTGGATGTCGCAGAACAGCTCGACGCTGGGCTCGACGCGCCAGTAGTAGTCGTAGTTCATCATGAGGGGCTGGCGGAAGAAGAAGCCCGACTCGAAGCGGCACATGTGGCGGTAGCTGACCGAGTCGCCGTAGATGATCTTCTTCTGCTTCATGTCCTCGCGCACCTTCTGGGCCTTCTCCTGGTCGATGTGGTCGGGGAAGGACCAGTGCTCGTGGGGGATCTCGCCGTAGTGGGTCTTGCCCGAGACGAGGGACGAGGTGACCTTCTTGAAGGTGGCGTCGAAGGGCTTGTCGTTGAGGAAGACCCAGTCGTAGTTGTACCGGCGGTTGAACCGGTCCTCGACCTGGCGGATGGAGCGGGCGATCTCCCAGACGTCCGAGTTGCGGGCGAGCGTGACGAAGGTCGCGTTCATGCGAGGGCCGGGGGCGATGCTCACGAGGTCCTCCCACTCGGGCTCCCCGGGGGTCAAAGCCATGGGGTGCTCGGCGGCATCCTTGTTGGAGAAGGCGGGCGGCTTGGTGTTGCTGTTCGCATTGGTGTTGGTGTTGGTGTTGGTATTCGCGGCTGGACCGGCGGGCGGCTGCTGGGCAGTGGGCTTGTTCGCAGCACCCTGGGCACCGCCGCTCAGAATGTCGGGCCGGAGGGGAACGCCATCATACGAAGATCGCGAGACGAAAAAGAAGAGGGCGACAACCTGTGGTTTGAAAGTGAAGTGTCAGCTCGTGTGCCACTACTCATTCACGAGCAAATCGATAGGATTTGCAGCAGCACGGAGGAGGTTTCGCCAGACAAGCAATTGCAGGCAGAGGAGAGGCAAGACTTACGAAAGAAGCGATGAGAAGGTATCGCACGATGCGGGCGCTGCCGGCCATCTTTGCTATGCTCATGAGGCGTCAAAGAAGCGAAACGGGGAAAAAAAGAAGGTGAATCCAGAGAAAAGGGTTAAAGCTCTGGACTCGTGGCCCGTTGCGCAGGGAGATGGATGGTGGTGGTGGTGGCGGCGGTCCAAGAATGGTAGGGAGGCCAGAGTGGATCGCCTAAAGGGGCAATTCAGACCACTGAAAAGCAGCTCGGGCCGCGCATACACGATTTCCTGGGTTCTATAATTGGTGCGACGCTAGGTACCCTAGGGATACGATGCTCCCATTGTGTCCAACGACGAACCGGGGAAATGAAAGATGAGGGAGCAGCCGGACGTATTTGATGCAAAAGAAGGGTGGCTGGCGGGAGAGAAGTGTGGTGACGAGAGAGATTCAAGTGGAAGACAAGAGGAAGAAGAAAAGCTTTGCCAAACGGAACGGAAGGGAGGCGGTTTGTATTGTACTCGATCTGGTCCGTCCCGATGCAATGCTGCATACAGTACCAGTACTTTACATCACATGTACATATGCAGGTCTAAGTACTCCGTATAGGACGACCCTGGGAAGAGGTGGTCGCCCGCGTGCGTGTCTTCGTGTCTGAGAAATACCCGAGTGAGGACAGCAACGCAACGCAGCGCCCTGATCTTTTGCAACCCAAACGCAACACCCAGCTACCTACCTAGGTACTCCGTAAGAAAGAGCTTTGAAATGTTCCACAAATCTTTTGATTGGAGACGGCATGGTCTCAGCTGTGGCGCCTCTTTTTGCGCCTCGGGGTAGTCTGGGCCCTGCTGGATTGCGCGTTAGGCCTGCTGGCGAGTCTTGCAAACACATTTTGTCTTTCTTGCTACGGGAGTCTATTACAAGTCTATCGAGTCCGCCAAGCCCAGCACTAACTCAAAACTCTTCATCTGAAGGCCGCTGTAGGCTGTGTCTCGGAGGAGCGACAGTAGCGACAGGAGCGACAGAAAACGGCGGACTGGCCTGACTGACAATCACATTCCTTATGATCTGTCCATTCTACTCAACGTACCAGAGTATCCGTGGATTCGTCTTCGGCTTTCCGGCGACGCTACTTGTACTTTCCCATGTACGGGACCCAACCGAGACCCAAGATTCGCATCTCCCAGGGATCTCCAGGCGGCCTAGCGCCAAAACGGCAAGCCCACAGGCCAGAGACAGGGGGCCCACAGCCCCCCGGAAGCGGACTAGAGTCAATCTTGGGCCTTCGTATCATGCAAAGAGCCCCTGTTGACCCCTGGCCGCCCTGCCTTGATACGGGGTCTTTGACTCTTGGGTGCTTTTGTGCCAAGAGCGCGATGGGTTGACTGTTGTGTACAGACAGAGCTGATCAGAGACGGACAGGTTGCAACCAGAATCGTCTATCTTGCGCGTGGAGAAAACGGCAGGGCTTTTTTTGACAGCGTGCACAGGGTGCAACAAGGTTGGTAGCTCTCCCGCAACCGCCATCCCCGATACCCGGGGTAAGTAAACTGCAACCTGTGTTGATCGGCACTGATGGCCACTTCTTCCATCAATGGTATCCAGCGCAGTGGCTGCCATGCGATCGTCATTCTCCATGCGATTGTTCTCCTTTCCTCGTCCTGATCGACCACATGCCCATTATTCTGCTTCAGCTCACCTCGAGAATCTCGAGAGCTTAGGCCAGGGATCCTCATCGCGAGAAATGCATCCATTGAACGTGTCGCTCTACGCAACATCGAACCCACAGTGTCTCTGTCTACTGCTCAGCTTCAGCTCAACACAATGCCGTAGTCCGATTACTCCTTGGCTCGAGCCACGTATCATCTAGCAGCAGCATTGTCCTTTTCGCTCTTGTTTTCTCCAGGAATGTTGATCGCTGACAATGTCGTCACTCGATACACATGCCCGCATACCATGCCTAAAACGGCCGCACACCCACAAGGCTGGAGATCTGTCCATGCAGTCGGTTTGTCGCAGACCAATACAACACCTTGATTCTTTGAGAGGTAAACTGAGGGTACGTGCCACGTAGCATGGAAAGTAGCAGCAAAAGTTGGAACTGAATTCCAGAAGAAAGCACAAGTAGGAAGGCGGAAAGAAGAGGAGTGAGAAAAGGCCAACATGCAACAACACAAGGAATTCCGGTCAAATGCAGAGAGAGGCGGGCTCCCAGATACTCCTACTTCACAACCAGGCACGAACTGTCGCTTCTAGCCACCTCGCAAAGCCATGGAACCGGCCGATCTTCGCCGGAAACAGCTGGCTACCCACAACCCCCACGACCGCTATCACAAGGGCGAGCTTGACCGGCGCTGATGGGCCTCTCTGCCCGACAACTTGGTCCTGCAGCGTCTCACCCCGCCGGAACCGACGGCCGCGCGGCAGCTTCACGAGCTGGCTCATCGGGTTCTTGTCCGCCGCGAGAGAGTAGCGCGACGAGAGGAGAGGCTCCAGCCACAGAGGTATCTCGACCACCGCGCGCTGGTAGGTGAACTCGCGGACGCCGTGCTTGCCGTGGTAGTAGCCGTGGCCCGAGCCGCCAACGCCGCCGAACGGGGCGCCCTCGACAAGGCCGTGGAAGAAGGTGTCGTTGATGGTCACGCCGCCGGAGCTGGTATTGTCCAGGACTATCAAAAAAAAAAAAAAGGGGGCGGCGCTGGTTAGCGGAGGGAGAACAAGGGGGTGAAGTGAAATGTCAGCACTGGACGGTAACCTACTGTAGTTGATCTCAGCGCGGTCCTTGCTATGGATGTAAAGCGCGAGGGGGTGAGGTTGGCTGAGAGAGGGAGGAGGGGCACTCTTAGCGAGACTTTGACTAGTCATTCAAGGGGACAGAGACTCACGAGTTGATCTTGGCGACAGCCTCCTGACAAGTCGCCTTCAGGACGGCGCAGACCGGAGCAAAGAGTTCCTCGCTCATGATCGGGTCGTCGGGGCCGATGTCCGACACAGTCGTCGGCGCAATCAGGTTCCGCTTCGAGTCCGGCTCGTGCGCCCTATGGACTGTACCCTTGGTGCTCTCCAACAGCCTCGTGACCCGTTCGTAATGTCGCTCGCTGACGGTCTGGGACACCTCTTGCAGCCTGCCCTCGTCGTCCTTGCACAGCTCCCTCGTCCAGTATGCCAGCCTCTCGACGAGCTCGTCGTGCACCGCCGGGTCCGCGAAGATGTGGTTCACCGTGGTGCAGATCTGGCCGGCCAGCGCGCGCTTCGCAAAGGCGATGCGCTTGGCCGCCAGGTCGACGTCGGCCGACGCCGTCACGACCGCCGGGTTCGTGCCGCCGAGCTCCATGACCGTCGGGGTCAGGTGCCGCGCCGCCGCCGCCGCCACGAGCCGGCCGACCCTGCCGCTGCCGGTGTAGAAGACGTGGTCGAACGGCAGCTCCAGGATGCCGCCCGTCTCCGCGGCGCCGCCGGTCACGACGCGGACGGCCTCCGGGTCGAGGTACCGCGCCGCGAGGTCGGCCATGATGTTCTGCGACGCGACCGCCAGCTCCGACGGCTTGACCACGGCGCAGCAGCCCGCGCTGACGGCGGCGACGAGCGGCGCCAGCGTCACCTTGAACGGCATGTTCCAGGCGCCGATCAGCAGCGCCACGCCCCGCGGCTCCCGGCGCACGCGCGCCCCGCCGAGCGTCCCGAGGAGGAATCCGGCCTCGCGCACGGGCTCGTCGGCGGCCCACTCCTCGAGGTGGTCGAGGTGCAGCAGGATCTCGGCCTTGACCTGGGCCACCTCGACGCGGGCCTCGAGCTCGGGCCGGCCCATGTCCAGGGCCAGCGCCTGCGCGATCGCGCGCTCGTTGTCGTCGAACATCCACCACAGCTGCTTCAGCTGCCACTTGCGCCAGCGCAGGTCCTTGGTCCTGCCCGCGGCGAAGGTCCTGACCAGGGCGGCGTGGGCGGCGGCCACTTCGTCGGCGGAGGTGTAGGGCCGCGTAGCTGCGTCCGCTATGATAGGGGAAGGCATCTTTTTTTTGGGTTCGAAAGAGGAGGAGTGAGCGTCTTGGAAGGAATGAGCATGACAATTCGGAGAGTTGGGACGAGCAAGGTAGAGCACACCTTGGGATTGGTCGGGGTGTCACATCATTTTTAATGTTCACCCAGAATGATTCATTGTACATAATAGGGCAGCAACGTGGTTGATCTAACTTCAAGCGAGATTCCGATGCCATCTCTACGTCAAGGGTGGGTAATGGTCAGCATCTAGCTGAATCCTTCGCAAAGTCAGCACTAAAAACCAGATTGTATGATGTACCTTCATATTGTCGTCGATGACCACACTGAGAGATGGGTTGGTTTACTGTGAAAATAGACAGTGGTTGGGACTAGAAGTGTAGAGTTTATAGAGTGGTGGGTTTGGCTGAACATAATGATGACGGAGAAGACCTTCACTTCAAAGACTCATTGTTCAAGTGAGATGCTCTAAGGTTAGGGAGGTATCTAGAGCAGGGATATTAAGGTAGGCTTGCGTTCGTATAGAGGTATAGAACTTGAATCGCAGGCAACTTTGAACCAGGCTTGACTCGGGTCAAGACCACATCAGACTTCATTTTCTGCACACAGTAGGTCGCTAAGAGGCAGTTTCGAGCGTGAAATTGATTTGGATTCAATTTTGCAATTGCGTTTCTGCAGGGACTGAATCTCCTGTAAAGTGTTGACTTTGGTCAGTCATTCATTAATGAATCTTGTTTATCTCATAGTCTCTGCTATAGATTCAATGACAGACTTATGGTGTGTGCATATGTCCTACAACTAGTTCCAGTAAGAGAAAGCTATTGCGATTCCACATCAGGCTATTCTAATCCAAGTCAAGGAAGCACCAATTCAACAAGTTAAATAAGAATAATAATAAGGAGAAGCTAAAGACCTTAGGTCTTTGAAGAATGGACACATTGCCAAACCTGCGCACATCAACTATTATTCGCTTGTTTCATGAGCACAGGCACCAGACTCCAGATGTCATGAGGGTTGTCTTCTTATCGATAACCTCAGAGAAAGGACACTGGGTGGATACTTCCTCGCAGGTAGCAAGTAACGTGACTGCCACAGTCCTCAGGACCAAGACGATGATTCGTGCACGGCCCTCTGATTGGCTTGTCACAGCTTCGAGACCCCCCCCACATCCCAAGCAATTGTGTGGCTCACTCGCCGAATTTCGACATCGACTTGACCTGACACTCGTCCTCCCCTCAAGACACGCACGCTTGGCTTGCAAGGCGATCGCCAGGATAAGCATTTTGGTTTCCGCACAGCAGTGACAAAAGTGCCTGACTTTGTCCTTCCATCGCTTGTCCTTCTTTACCCTGCATCTGCGTTTTCTCCGACCCTTTCCCTCCAGACGGCCCCCGACTTTTGTTTCCGACGCCCGCTCTGCCTGCTGGAAGCTTTCGGGATCCAACCACCTGCTTGTCTCCGACCCTGTCTCTCAACCATGATACACAGGCGGACCCAAGTGCACAATATATCAATATCAGTATAATTGTGAGTCTGCCAACCTGCTTTCTCTGCGTCCAGGACACTGCGCGCTGCTGCGAGAGAATGGTTTGCGATATTGTGAGGGTCGCTGATTCCCTTGCCCCACCTCCTCCCTCCGATTTCATCGATGTCATCTTCCCTCATTCAAGTCGCACTCACCTTTTCCTTCGACGCTACAAACCATTCAGACTCGAACCACGCTAACTCGGATGCCCAGTAACTCTAATTCAACACGCCTCGCCACCGAACTGGACCCGGATCATCATGGCTTTCTTCGGCTTCGACACAAGCCACAATAAGGGCGCCCCTGGCTTCTCCCAGGCCCACGACCCTTTCGCCAGCTTTGCAAACCGAAACGCCGACGACGACGAAGGACTCGACTTCGAGGATACCTACGATGGGCTTGGCGACCAGCTAGACGAGACCGACGATGCGTTCAACGACGACACTTTTGGCGGAGATGCTGGCCCTGGAGCTTCGACCTCTGCCGCCGTGGGCAAGGACTTCGACTTCTTTGGACAGACTGCCAAAGTCGCTGACGCCATCGAGGAGGAGCATCTCCGTTACAACCGGCACCAACCCGCCCCCCAGCGCGCCCCTCAGCAGTATGAGCAGCCCCAGGCTTCGCACTCCTACTACTACGGCTCGCAGCAGAGCGCACGCCCTGCTCGCACGGGATACGAGAAGTACAAGGAGCCTGAGCCTGAGCTGCAGGTCGATGCTGCCCTGTGGGGTGTTGCGCCCAAGAAGGCCGCTGCTCCGGCACCGGCCCCCTCTCACGCACCCTCGGCTTCCTCAAGCCGAAAGATGATGAGCCTGGAGGAGGTCGAGGCCGCCATGCGCGCAGGATCAAAGAAGCCGGCTGCCGCTCCTCCTGTTCAGCCTCAGCAGCAGCACCCCGGTGCGCACCCAGCCCAGTACGGCTATGGTCCTCCTGAACAGGCCCCTCCCCAGTTCCAACAGCAGATAGAGCACCAGCTGCAGAACCAAGGTCACGGCCAACCTGTCACTATCCTCCAACGGCCTCAGTCAAAGCACACCCCAACCTCGGGTCAGCACATCCCCAGTCCCGCTCCTGCTCAACCGCACCACCTACAGCAGCACCAGCAGCCGCAGCAGCACCAGCAGCCGCAGCAGCTCCAGCACCAGCAGCCGCAGCCGCACCAGCATGAGCACCAGCACCAGCAACAGCATGCTCCCATTCAGCCAACGCAGATCTTGCAGAACCCGAATAGGTTATCTGGAGATGCTGCCCGTCTAGGGGCTGGCGGACACCCTACTCAGCCTTCTCACAAGCATCAGAGCTCGTTGTCTCGCCAGCAGATCATTACCCACCCTTCGCAGCTGGCCAATCTCTCCGAGGAAGAAAAGGCTGCGTATCTTCAGCAGGAAGCGAAGCGCGCCAAGCGTAACCACAAGATCTTCCTCCTCTCCAAGGACAACGGCGTCATGACCCCGCAGGACAAGAATTTCATAACACGAATTCAGCTCCAGCAGTTGGTGTCCGCGACCGGCAACCCCAACGACCATGGTACCGACGAGTCTCTGAATGAGGACTTCTACTACCAGGTCCATGCCCAGATCCGTGGCAGCCAGCGGCAGCACCCTGGTCAGCCTCTGAACAACTTCGCCCAGACCTATCTGTACCAGACTGGAAGCCGCCAGGCAGGCATGAGGCGTCACAACCGAGGCCCGGAGAACCACATGCAGCGAATGGAGCAGCAGGTCCAGCGCGCTGTCGAGGCAGCCAAGAACAAGCCCAAGAACAAGCAGCTGGTCATCGAAGGAAGCTTGGGCAAGATCTCGTTTAGCAACGCCAAGACGCCAAAGCCCCTGCTCAACATCAAGCGCACGGAGAGCTCTGGCGACGCGGCCCGTCCGGCTACTGGCAACAAGAACGGCGTTCCACATGGTGTCGACCGGAAGAGCGTCCTGCGGGACATCGAGCAGGTGTACAACACGCTCATGAAGATGGAGGATCACGATCGCAAGATGCCCCCGCCCCTCAACAACGAGACTGATCTCGACCTTATGCAAGCGCATGTCGAATGGAGGGACACGGCACAGCAGCTGAACGCCAACCTGTGGCGCGATCTCAAGGTCCACGAACCCATTGGCGCGACTCCTGTCCACCCCTTCATCGCCTTTCTCTCTTTTCCCAAGGGCAAGAAGGCCATCCCCCGTGTGTTCAGGCACACCACCCACGAGCAGAGGACCACCATTCTCACCATGATCGTCGTCCACCTCGACCAGCTCGACATTGTTCGTGGGGCACAGGTCGACAGCGGCGAGATGAGACTGAATGCTGCTATGCGCGAGAACATTGAGCTGTTCCAGCTGGCTGTCATGAGCACTCTGTTCACGTTCATGAACGACCTCGACCTTGATATTGTGACTGGCGTTCTGGGATTGATTTCCGGGCTCAATGTCGACCTGATCGCCAAGACTCGGATTGGTGCCTCGATGCTGACCATGATCCTGAGCCGCGCCGAGATCATCAAGCAAGCCGGAGGTGGCAACCCTCAGGCCTGGCAGACATGGTAAGCACACTCCCGACCCATGAGGTCGTCTCATAAAGTTACTAACTCTGAATTCCCAGGGAAAACACCTATACCAACTTCTTCAACACCATCGAGCCGACGCTGCCGCACATCTTCCCTGGCTCGGTCAACTCGGGCGAGGATGTCTACGTCTGGCAGCTGCTGGCAGCTTTCGGCATGAACGCCAACCAAGAGCAACAACAGCGACTTGTGTTGGCGGTCAAGGATCGTGTCATGGATACCGTCGCGCTCGCCAAGACCCTCCCGCTGGACATGTCAGCTGCACGCCTGCAGAATGTCAACCTGTTTATGCGCTCCATCGGTCTGGATGTTGAGCTGTTGCAGTAATTGTACGATGTCGGATGAGAACATTGCAGCCATCTGAGCGGGCAGGTCGATGGTATTTGGGCGCCGCGGAAAGTGGGAAACGCTTACAGCTATGGTCTTTTGACCTGGAGAAGAGCTGTAGGTGTGCCCCGTGGCGAGTTTCCCCCTAGAGTCGTTTTGTTACTTGTTTTGTCTGGGAAGAAGCCAATCCCCCTCCTGTTTGGCCGCGTGTGACGGCCGTTGCTAGCAAAACACTTCTGCTAGTTGTTACAAGCTGAGGTGCCCATGCTGATGCCTTGCAAGCGAGAGGCGTTGTTGAGCGATGAGATGGTATTATATCTGGACAGTCATCTTGGGGGGCTCACCGTAGCGAGCATTTGTGTACAGATCGAAGTGGATGTCTTGTTAGTAGTCTTTGGTCGATGAACCTGCATTAGCAAAAAAATACATTATCCGCCTTGCTTTGACAAACACTGTCTTCATAACACCTTCCGAGCTACTTGTTGTGTCATTGATTGGATCATACAAAGCATCAAAACCCCTGTCTATACCATGCGGTGATGGAACCTAACGGTTACGATATAATTACAGAGCAACCACGGATGGGCCGATCCCTCCAAGAAACGCCTTGCAATGCTAATGCTTGAATGAGCACACCGTGTGCTCACGGGTGGGTGCATATCCATATCCACCCTCTTTTCTCCAACTCCATCAAAAGATACCCTCAATCAATCTCCATAGCCGTAGACGCTTTGCCCCTGGCGGTCTTCCTGCCCGCGGCCCGCCCTCCCTTGCCCTTCTTCGTCTCTGCTGCTTTGGCATCCGCCTTGCTCTCCGCCGGCGGCTCCACCTTGACGACGACGCCGTCCTTATCCTTGCGCAGTCCACTGATGGCCCGCAGCGTCTCCTCCTCGCCCCAGTCCGTCCTGAGGCCGCCGAACCGGCGGGACAGGCCCTCGGCCGAGGGGCCGGGCACGTCTGTGCTGGCGGCGGGCTCCTTGCCTTTGCCCTTGTCCTTGCTATTGCTGCTGCTGTTGTTGTTGTCTTCCTGCTCCGGCTGGGCCGTGTTGTCGCCGCTGGTGCTGGTGTGGTCGCGCAGGACGAGCGTCTCGTCGTACATGGCCCAGGCGGCGTCGGTGTCCTCGCCGTGGTAGGTCATGCGCCGCCAGCCCTCGGTCTGCACGGCGCGCAGGCGGTCGGCCATGGTCTCGGTCGTGACCTCGTCGCCGTCGCCGCCGGCCGACTTGATGGTCATGTGGATGGCGCGGGCGGGGGCTTCCTTGCCTCCTGCTCCTGCTCCTCCTCCTCCTCCTCCGGGCCCGCCGGCCCCTGCCGCGCCGCTGCCCGGGGCCCCGCCTTCGCGGGGCTTGGTGCGCTCCGCCTCGGCGGTGGCGTCGATGTGGTGGAGCTGCGGGCGCAGGTGGACTGATGCGGTGGCTGGGGTGAGGTGGAGGGTGTCTGTTTTGTGGGAAGAAACAAGGGTTAGTTAGTCATTTGCACTGGCTGGGTTTATATGTATGGGTGGGAGGGAAGGAGCATGGACGGGAGGGGGGAAGAGGCAGGCAGAGAAGAAAAAAGACGTACTGCCTTGGAACACGCCGACCATGTACCTCGCCTCGCGCTGCTCGGGCCCCGTGGCCATACCGCCGAGGGTCTGCGTCCGCAGCACGCGGTCCGTCCTCACGGCCTCGTTCCAGTCCACGGCGAGGTCCTCGTCGCCGAGGGCGGCGAGCCGACTTCCTCCTCCTCCTCCTGCTCCACCTCGCCCGCCGCCCGCCCTCTGCGGCGGCGCGCCGATGCCGAAGCCGCCGGCCAGCCCGAGGCTGCCGCCGGCCTTGGCCTGCACGGAGCGGGCGAGCACGCCGCCCCAGCGCTGGCCCTTGTCCTTGTCGTAGGCGGCGGAGAGGTCGATGGGCAGGTCGAGCTCGACCATTCCCGTCCTGGGCTTGATGCGCAGCTCGGTCGGCGGCGGCGGGGTGCGGGAGCCGCCGTCCTGGACGTTGGGGTGCTGGAGGACGAGCAGGCGCTGGTTCTGGGGCAGGTCGGGCTTGAGGAAGACGGAGTAGGAGGCGACGATGGGGTCCGGGTCGTCCTGCGGCGGTTGGGGTTGCGGGTCGGCCATTGTGGGCGAGGGTAGTCGCTTGGCTGCCTTGTCACTGGTTGAGAAGGATGGAGGATGGATGCCAGAGGTGGGAGAGGAGAGGCCGGGCGCAAGAGATCCTGAATATTGGAGGATAGATGTCCTTCCCTCGTAGTGAAGTCAAATGGTCGAGCTGTGACTGTGACTGTGACAATAATTTTTGGTTCTCGTCCCCCACCATGATCTTATCGCGATAAGTCTGCCTGCTGTAATTCTGGGTTCAGGGCATCAGTCCAGCGGGTAAAATTGGGGCTGCCGAGAGCAATTGACAAGCATGGATTCATCCAATGGTTCTTTTTCACAGTCGATGTCAATCCCTCCCCAGCAAGCATTCTTTTTGATGGCATTGCCACCCTCTGTTTTAAAGGCTGCATTGCCATGCATTGAGGGCTTGAACAAGAGAGAGAGAGGGAGTGTGTGTGAGAGACAGACAGACAGACGCATCAGTTCACCAGGGAGGGCTCACGCGATACGAGGAACTACCAGGCCCAGTTGTGCTGGTCGAGTTGACAACCATGGTCAGGCAAGGCATGCTCAAGGCACACTCTGATGACAATCCTCTGATGCGTCACGGATCGGACCGGGTCGAGAAAGAGCACTCTGGACATGGCATGGAGTGCGCAAGACGGACGGCCACCAGAGCTAGTGCTGCATGGCGTCTCAATGTGCTCTGGCGAGCCAATGCACAGCCCCGATGGCCGGCTTGATTGAGCTGCCCGGCAGATTGACGACATGATCACTCCAGCACTCCAGCACTCAGCAAGGCTGCCTCTGCTTTTCCAGCTGATTGACAGACCCCTGCTGCCATTCCGCCACTCCTGCAGCGAGGTCAGAGGCTTGTGCCTCCGATATACATAGCGCAATGTTTCCCGTCCCGGGTCACAGCGAGCATCAATTGGTTTTGGATTTCCATCAACCGCCGTGCTGTACGACACCTTGAGTCGGTCTGCTCCGATCCTGACGAGCAGGGCTGACCACTACCAACGATGGGCTCGCTCAAGACTGCCAGCTCGTTGATGTCGTTGCTCAGCTTCTCCTCCACCACCAGCAACCTAGACAATGCCTCTGTCAACAAGATCCCCACAAAGGTCCCACGTGGAACCTACGAGTATGATGCTCTCCCGGGCGCCCGCATGATCCGCCTGCTCCGGGTCCATCGAGACGAGACCAGGACCGATGGCCTCACCGTGTCGCTCACACCCGTCGAGCTGGGAGCTGCCCCGCCCTTCTACGCCGTGTCCTACACTTGGGGGCCCCCTCGCCTGAGTTCCCACTCCGAGTCCGCCCATCCTCCTGCCGAGCAATTCAGCCCTCTTGTTGTCCGCGCCCCGGCTGTGGACAAGGCTAGGAAGCGAGACAGCCTGGTAAGACCTCTCTGGGCCAAGGTGACTCGGAGGAAGCAGCCCTACATATGGGTGGGCGAGAACTTGCGCAATTTCCTCGTACATGTCTGCAAGACGCCGGAATGGACCGGCCGCTACTTTTGGGCCGATGCCATCTGCATCGACCAGAACGACCAGGTGCACCGCGCCAAGCAGGTCGCCATGATGGGCGACATCTACACGGCCGCCCAAAAGGTGCTCGTGTGGCTGGGCAAGGAAGAACCCCACGCCGACGTGAGCTGGGTCTTTCAAGAATTCATCCCTCGTATCGTCGAGGTCGAGACGGCGCACGGCACCGAATACCTCGAGTCCATCGATCCCGAGTGCACCCCGCCAGATTCCAAAGGGATCATCGGCGAGCGGATGTGCGAGCGCTGGCAGCGGACCTGGCTCGCGTGGACCGACTTCATCGCTGACCTGGCCTGGTTCACCCGCGGCTGGGTCATCCAGGAGACCACGCTCAAGGCCGAGGACGACGTCGTCATGCTCTGCGGCTCGCAGACCTACAGCTGGCGCGACCTCCAGTGGTTCATCGCCATCTCCAGCGAGTGCAAGTGGCGCCTCATCCTCGACAACCGCGCCAACAAGGTCCACGGCCGCGGGCCCGGCACCATCTGGCGCACCCACAAGCGCGTGCGCCGCTCCCAGCGCGCCCGCAACGTCCTGACCGAGTCGGTCGAGAACATCGGCAAGGCCGTCGCCTACGACGAGATCACCTTTGCGCCTACCACGCCCGAGGAGATCTGGCTCTCGCGCGTGCACAACATGCTCGCCGTCTCGCGGGGGATGAGCTTCGGCGACGATCGCGACCACATCTTTGGCTACGTCGGGCTCTTTGCCAAGTTCCTCCCCGAGGGCATGGAGAACCTCATCGTGCCCGACTACGAGATCACCGTCGAGGAGGCGTACAAGCGCGCCAGTGTGCTCTTCCTCACGCGCCTGCCTCTCCTGAGCCACCTGTCCCGCGTGTCGGGCTCCATGAAGCGCCGCCGCTACCCCAATCTCCCGACCTGGGTGCAGGACTACTCCGTGTCGCCGGGCATCAACCACTTCCAGACCTACAACTCCAAGTTCCGCAGCCGCCGCAACCCCTCGGGCATCTCGGGCGCCCTCTTCGACGCCTCGCTCACAAAGTCGACCCGCGACCCCCCGCGGCCCGTCGTCGACGGCGACGCCCTCATCCTCCACGGGGCCATGGTCGACACCATCGCCGAGCCATTGATCTGCTACAGCCAGTCCAGCTTCCTCGAGCGCGTGCTCAACCTCTGCGCCCGGTGGGACACGTACGCGGGCAGCAGCGCCCGCGAGCCGCAGGCCGAGGCCGTCCTGCGCACCATCATCGCCGACGCGGCCTTCCTCGAGGCCGACACGGACGCCTTCCTGACCATCGGCCGCGAGTGGCTGGCGCTGTCGGTCGCCGACGGCCTGCAGCGCTTCCAGGCCGCCACGACCACGGCCACGGCGGCCGGGACAGGCAGGCGCCGCCGGGGGGACCCTTTACTCGCCAGGCTGCTCGCCCTGCAGGACTCGCACGCGGGGGCGCGCTTCCTGCCCACGCTGGCCGAGGTGGACGCGCTGCGGCGCGGGCCGGCGCCGCTGTCGAACCAGCGCCTCAAGAACAGGTACCACGAGGAGTACCTCAGCAACAGGGCCGGCCGGGGCCTCTTCACCACGGCCAGGGGGTACGTCGGGTTGGGCCCCGGGATCGCGAGGCCCGGGGACGAGGCGTGGATCCTGCAGGGTGGCAAGGTGTTGTTTGTGCTGCGGCCTGTGGTGGAGGAGGAGGCTGAGGGGGAGGAGGAGGCAAAGGATGGTGATGAAGGGCAGCAGCAGAAGACGGAGAAGAAGCAGAAGAGGTACAACTTTGTCGGAGACTGCTACTTGCACGGGGCCATGTATGGGGAGATGATGACGGATGAGTTTCGGGAACGGATGGGGCCCGTGGTGCTGGTGTGAATGGGCTGTGTTTCGAGGAGTCTTGGTTCAGCCTGCGTGTCATTTTGCTTTTCTTTTCTAGATGGATACGTCTTCCTGGAGTCTGAAGCTGGTTTTTCTTCTCTCATTTGATGATACCCGGGCGGTGTTTTTGGCCACATTCACACACACACACACATACAAAGAAATGTTTGGCAAATATATGTCTTCTCCTGCTTCTGCGAGCATTTTGTATTCCAAGACTGCTCTGGGTATCTCCATCACCTGACTCTTCCGTGTGTATAGTCTTCCTCGTCCCGTCCTGACCTGGATGAAAAGTCGTCGGTGACAAGACTTTCCATCCCATCCCGTCATGACTCATAATGTGCTCAAGATCCGATGAAATAAACCTTTCATCCCTGCAATCCGAAATAACATCAGATGAAAAGAAAAAAGCCTAGTTGAAAGAGATAGATCCTACACGTCACCACCTCCCTCCCCCCTCCTGGTCAAACCGCCTTCTCAGGCGCCCCCTTGGCCACATACCCGCCCTCCGCCAGCGCCGCCTCGTCCGACCCGTTGCTGTACGCCCTGCCCGCGCCGTGCCCCTCGACGGGCGAACCGCCGGCGCCGTACGCGACGTGCACGTCGTCGATCTCGTCGCCGACCTCCATCCAGCGGTCCGCGCAGGCCGGGACCGGCGACGCGCGGCACAGCGCCCAGTAGACGAGCGCGCTGACGAGGAAGCCCGCAAAGTAGTTGCAGTTGTAGATGTAGGTCGCCCCGGCGGGGATGTCGGCCGCGCCGACGGCGCCCGCGAAGCCGACGACGTTGATCAGGATGCCGGCCACGTAGGCCGCGTAGGCGCGCCAGTGGAAGCCGTAGGTGAAGAAGTAGGGCCCCCCGCGGCGCGCGTCGTACAGCTCTTGCACTTCGAGGTAGCCCCTGCGCACGAGGTAGTAGTCCGCGACCATGGGCCCCGCGATGGAGGAGAGGAAGACGGAGTAGGCGGACAGGTAGGTCGTGAACTGGTTGCTGCTGGTGAGGAGGGTGTAGGGGCACATGGCGAGGCCGACGGCGGCGCAGATGTAGCCCCCGCGGCGGATGTTGAGGTAGCGCGGCAGCAGGGCGGTCAGGTCGGTGCCGGCGGAGACGGTGTTGGCGGCGATGTTGGTGCCGAGCTGGGCGAGGGCGAAGGCGGCGGCGATGACGAAGACGCCGAAGCGCTGGGCCGAGCCGCCGTCGTCGACGAAGCGCTCGAGCAGCGCGAGCGGGTCCCAGATGGGCTCGCCGCCGTAGATGACGGTCGACGAGGAGGAGACGATGATGCCGATGAAGGAGGTCACGGCGAAGCCGAGGGGCAGGGCCGCGAGCTGCGGCCACAGGGCGTCGCGGGGCTTCTGCGCGAAGCGGCTGAAGTCTGCATTGTTCAAAATGAGAGCGGCGAAGTTCCCAATCGATGACATCACTCCTTTGACAAACGCCCAGGCGAGCGCGGATCCCTGCGCCTTGGAGCCCTGGTGGACGATGGGGCCGACGCCGCCGGCGCGGACGATGGCCCAGATGAAGAAGGCGACGCCGGCGGTGGGCACGAAGTAGGACTTGACGGTGAACAGGTGGCGGATCTTGTGGACGGGGAACCAGATGGCGGGCAGGGAGCAGAGCCAGAAGATGAAGAAGGAGGCGTAGTCGGCGGTGGTGGTGCCCGAGGCGGCGGAGAAGGTGTTGGGGACGGTGTCGCGGTCCCAGCTCTTCCAGACGGAGCGGATCATGATGTAGACGCAGTGGCCGCCGATGTAGCTCTGGACGCCGTACCAGATGCAGGCCATGACGGCGCGGTTGAAGACGGGCCACAGGCTGCCCCAGATGCCGAAGGAGGCCCTCCCGGCGACGGGGAAGCCGACGTGGTAGACGGCGCCGAGGCGGCCCGTGGCGACGACGAAGCAGGCGGCGATGGCGTAGCCGATCCAGACGCAGAGCCAGGACTGCCACCAGGACAGGCCGTCGACGATCATGGCGCCCGAGATCATCCAGGTGTTGATGTTGAACGAGTCGGCGATCCAGAAGCCGACAAAGTTCCAGGGCCCCCACTGGCGGCGGGCGGGCTCGACCGGCTTGAGGTCGTGGTTCGTCAACTGGAGAAGAAAGAGGGCGGGAATTGTTAGTTATATGACGGCTCCTCGTTTTCTTCCTATTTCTGTCTTTTTTTCTTTTCTTTGTTGGAAGGGGGGCTGCTGGTAGCTCACCATCAATTGGGCGTTTGTGAGGCCCGGCTCCGACTCGGTCGTGAGCTTGTCGGCGAAGCGCCGCAGCCTTGCGCCCCGTGCCGACATCGTGCCTGGTACCAGGAGATGCTTTACTTAAAAGAGAGAGAGGGAGGTCGGCGGCGGGCTTATACAAAGTGGTGAAGCCGATTGGATTGGGGATGGGAAGCCCCTTGCCGCGTGTCTGGCAATTCCTCTCGAGTAATAGAAAAGCAGAGGTAGGGATGTATGTATGTAGGAACACGGTGCCTGGGACGTTTGACAGGGCCTCGGGCCGTTATATTTCTGCGTTCAAAGAACAACGGCGGCGCATGCGAATGACGACACTGCTTGCGTGCGGGCATGCGGGTGTAAGTTGGCGATACCTGGAGATGATGGTGTGGAGACTGGATGGCCGGTTGTGATGTCAGGCCCTCCGCTGGATGGCCCACCTGCTCCTGCTTGGCGGTTGAGAGCTCACAGTGTTGCACACGATGTGCAGAGGTATCAATTCTGGTGTATGTGTGTGTGTATATGAGCCTGAATGGGGGTGCGATCGAGAGAAGAGGGGAAGGGGGAAGGGGGAAGGGTAATGGGATTCGAAATGGGGATGAGTGAATAGGTGCAAATCCCTTCAAGGAACAGACCAGTCAAAGGCCCAGACGGTCGAGCTGAGCGCGTCGAGGTATGCCTAGGTACGATAGAAGATGCATCGATGCAAGGGGACCAGCAGATATTTAAGTATTGTGCAGACCAGGCTGCCAGCTCAGCTCGTCCGCCTCTCCATGCTGTCGCAAGACGAACCATTTAATTGCGGTTCCTCGGCAGGAGATACGGAACAGGAGATGGACATCGCGCCCTCGCGCCAAGCTGCTGGATACCTACCTATCTCGACCTGAGCCAAAGAAGATAATGACAATGCAGCGTGTGCAGGCTTCTCGAGTGTCTTTCGGTTTCCTTATCTCTGACCCCAGTTGGCCCGCCGGCCAGTACTTGTACAAGGTATGTAGGTACTCGTAAACCCCCGCGCGCTCGACCCAAGATCCATCCAGGGATCCGTCCGTCGTCGTCGATCCACCACACCTAGTTACCAGGGACGGACAAGAAGCATGCATGGATGGTGAGAGAGTGGCCCATGGCACACTGCCCGCAGTACTTGTACTTGTGCACTGCAGACAGGGCTTGGCTGAGTACTTACTACCTCACCCCAGATCTGGTCGCGCTCGCACTGGTTGGAGAAGAGAGCAAACACTGGATCGGTGACGCCGACGGCGGGCTGGCTGGCTGGCTGGCTGGATGCAAGAGAAACCTGCAAGGCCTGCCACCTAGAGGCAGCTATCTTATCTCGAGGAGGAGCAATCAATCAATGCGCGCCGTGATCGGGGAGACACTCCGTACATACACAGACGTCGTCGTAATGGCGAGCCCATCACCACGCACTTTTGACACGAGACATTCCCGGCCGAGGTCGTCTAACGGCCAGGGCCGCCCCACTGGTTCTCTAAAGGACTTGATAGAGGCATTTAAGGTATGTAATAGATCCGGCATATGGGCATGGCCTCGTCCGAAAAGGAACTGGCCCGGCCTGCTCAAGTGGGCGCCCGGGGCCTTTGCGCAAGCATGATTGGCCTTTCGTTTTCCGTTTTATCAGTGGACGCATCTCCGCCCCCCGCATACGCAGATACCGGGAATTCTGTTACTCGATCTCATCGAGTCAACCACAAGCTTTTGACGATTTAGCGTCGTCGGTACCTTGATTTAGGTACCTCCGCCGTCAGATCTGGAGATGTGAACCTTGTCACGATGACCTGGCTGCTCGGGCCAACTGCTATCGGATTGCAGATAATACAAGCAGAATAAGGCCACCGCAATGGCGGTTGACTTTTTGCAGTGTAGTCATGAACTGCCCTGAGTGGTGTACAAGTAATTAGGTTGCAGGCTGATCAATGGCTGCCTCGAATCACTTGTACCTACCTAGGCTTCCAGGGCTGACTGGACTCGATGCTTAGTCATCAAGACGTCCGGGCAAGTTGAGGCTGCATGGTTGAGCCTGAGACTTTGACTACATGCAAAAAAAGATAATCGATTCAACAATCGAACTAACTTCTCTGGAAGTTATCCGTAAGACTTGACTTCATTCTGCTGGTTTGTTATTCTCTGGACGAACACCCTCTACTTGCACGTTTGGCAACTTCCGAGATATACATGGCAGTGCTGAGATTCTGAAAGAGTTGCGAGTTTTTTTTTTCTCTCTTCTTCCTTGTGTCTTCTTCTTTTCCTTGAAGTATCGGACAAGCCGACATGCAGCCTGTTCAAATACCGACCGGGAGACACAAATCGAGGGCCGAACGAAGGAGAGGCGGAGATACAGTCCTGAGCATACTCAACTCAAAGCCCAAGATCTTTTTTACGTTAGCACCGACATCACGTTGCAGGCTGAAACATGGCGATTTGCCATATGATCAACAGATACGACCATGTCCATAGGAAAGCTGGCTTGCATGGTTCAGCCACTGGCCGCCTTTCCTTTCTGACATGTGTAGAATCAGGGGGTTCGTGTGCATTGTGTCTCTTCAACCGTGTCCAGGAAACAAAGTGTTACTCGGTTTGTACCTGACAGAGATTGACCCGAGGATCAAGATATTGTTGACCAGACCAAACAGAATGAATAAACACCGACTTGCATCTCTAGCCTCAGGCCTCAGGCCTCAGGAACCAACTTGAACCCACGTGTCATTCCCTCCTGGCCCTGGCTTCACCTTCGTCCAAGCAAAAGAGAAGGAATAAAAGACGAAAAGGGCCAAAAAAAATAAAAAAAATAGCAACCGTGGCATCATCGGGAATCCCCGAAAAAAGACTAATTGCACCAGGATATACTCACTGAAATGCCGCCGTTTCTACAGTCCGAATCCCTAACCACTATGGCATATTGCCACCAGTTGCTATTGCTATGGGTACGGTTATTCATTATTATAAAGCCTTTGGCCCTCCCATTTTCAAAAATCTCTCCTGAACAATTCCGACCACGCCTTGCGTATGTAGGCAGTGCCCGTCTTCAGATTTCAGCCCGAGGTGTGCGCCCGCAGCCTTGAGGTTCCCTTCTCACAACCCGAGTCCAATGCTCTTCCAATGGAAACACCCCCGCGAGTTGAACACTTTAGATCTTAGTATTCGTCATCTGAGCCTTTACTGCCGACCGTGGCAAGGGGAAACCGGCTACTCGCAGCGAACCTTTTGTTCCATGGGAATCACTCGAGGGACTTGGCCAGTGTAATCATCCAAACCAAGACGCTTAGGGAGGAGCAGATTTTCCAGCATGGCCTTTTCTCTCTTAGCCGGTCCGGCATACAAAATACATAATACAGGCACCAGGGCACTCCAACCATGACCTTTGGCAATGTCATGCTGCAGTAGAGCATATGGGCATGGCAACAGTCAAGTCGCAATGAGGAGAGCGACGAGCCCATGGGGGGGGGGGGGGGGGGGGAAAGGAAACGTCCTCCCAGCATCCTGCTGACCACGCTTCTTGCGTTTGTGCAGGGCGGAGTGCCGGAAATGCTTTCCAGAAGGATTTCGCCTGCATGAACCTTCATTTCTCTATTGGGACTTAGTTTGGGTGGTTGGTCTGGTTGCTGCCTTGTCAGCAACAATGTTCCAGATGCAGACGGATGGGTGGATGAGTGGCCTGATATCTCTAAAGGAACGAGCTGGCGCCCACCAGCCCATCACATCACCGCGCCCGAGTGAAGGGGTGGTGTCAACGGCATGGAACGGCTGCGCTAGACCGGAGTGTGTGTTGGTGATGGAGGGCGGGGACGATACCGTAGTGGCCCGCATCGCTTTGATCGTTGCATTTGGAGGAAAGGCCTGCCCTGCTGGGACTCCAGGACGAGGTGCCTCTGTGCTCTCTGCTGCCCATGGCCTCATGACCCAATACCCAATTCAGTACCTAGCACACAGCCTCGACACATGGCATAGAGTGCCCCGACATCTCGCGGGTTACCCGTCTGGGGGGCTGGGGAGCGCTGCAGAAGAAGGTATCAGATCATGTTCAGCTCCAAGCTGCATGAAAGGGTCGCAGTCTGGCTCAAACCTGGGGTAAGGATCAACAGCGCCTAGCGTGGCGTCTCGCGTCGGGTCAGGTTGGCCAAGGATAACCACCTAGCACTGATGGGAGGGTTTCCAGGTTCCCCTCCTCCACACGCCCGAGTCAGGTCGGTGCAGCAGCGCTATTCGACTACTTGCACCTATTTTAGGCTTGGCACCGGGAGGAGGCGTGGGCAATGGAGAGGTGCGAACCCGGCAAGATATCTCAATTGAAGCTCTATGAATACCTGAGTGAACATCCCTGGATACCAGGTAGGGATAGTTACAAGTACATGTCGAATCGCGGGGTACACTGCTCCTCCACTGGGACAGACACGACTGCAAAGCCCACTGAGTGCGATCAAATGTGACGCTGGATCCAGCCTGCTAACTACCTAATTGTACCTAAAAAGTCAGCAGCAAAAGGCCGCCGGTTAGTGGGCACGGCCTGCGGCGCCGTGAAAAAGAGAGACTGGTAGTGATGCTTGATTGATGTGTAGAGAGAGAGACAATCAAGCTAAGACTTTGGCCCTTTTTATGTCCATCAGGCCTACAGGTGGCTCCTGCCCCTTACAGCCGGCCCCCGTCGAGGCCTGCTGTCGAGCCTATCGCAGGCCGCCCATTACAGAGGGCAGAACCACCTGCACGCACCTCCAGCGCTGGGTTAAGGTTACTTCTGGGCGAGCTGGAGGTGTGGAGGAGGACCCGCAGCCCGCAACAGCCACCACTGACTGGCTCCCCCGTCTCCCGGTATTGGCCGAGGCGTGACTGGTCCCAGATGCCCCGATGGCGCCCCCCCCCCCCCCCTTCGACGTCAGGATTTCGCATCTTGACTCTGTCGTCGCCGTTGCCGACGCCGCCGCTCCAGTCCATGATTTATTCACGCTACTTGCTCTTTAGACCACCACCACCCGGCTTTCAAACCCCCTCCTCATCTTTTCTTGTTTTCTATCTCCTCCTTCTAACGATACCAGCTTCTAACGCCCGGATCTACTGCGACGGCGCTGGTTCCTTTCTCTCCGCAGGCGATTCCAGACTCCTTCCTGTCTGTATCCACTCATCGTGATTCGAGCGAGCGAAGGGCTTTCGCCGACGACACCCGACAACTACTCTCTACTCTCTCCCACAAGTAGCGGCGGGGTTGCCATCAGAAAGCATCTGACTGGGCTATATCGCTACCTACCGTGCGGCCCTCAACATCACCCCCCGGGCCAACTCTTGAGCAGGATCTCGAGCGAAGCCGGCCACTCCGCGATAGACATCCAAGGCTCTAGATATCTACCATTCTCCTCAACACCCTTTTTGATTCGAGGAATAACCCTCCAACCCCCTCACACATGTCGACGATGCCATCCCAACGACCGGCCTTCCTGTCCACATTCTTCGCCGCCTTCCGGCAACAGTCGCCCTCCCTCTCCACCGCCACCCCGCAGCAGCAGGCCGCCAACAAGCACACCTCTTCCTCGTCTCCCTCCGCCGCCGGCGCCGGCCCCTCTTCCTCATCGTCTCCGCACCACCACCAAGCAGCAGGCCCCGCCGGCAGCATAGCAAGCCAGCTGCAGTCCCAGTCCCAGTCCCAGTCGCGGCCGCACTACCAGGCGGGCGGCGGCGGCACCGCAACCACCGGCGGCGGCGGCGGCGGTGCCACCACCACCACCTCGTCGAGCATACCGATACCGCACGGCGGCCGGCGGCGCGGCAGCGACAGCAGCAGCGAGGGGTTCCGCGACGTGCTGGGCGCCGACAAGTGGTACATCGGCGGGCGCACGGCCGCCGGCGAGGAGAAGTTCTTCAAGCTCGGCGTCGTCAGGCGCGTCAAGAGCGGCGACCGGCTCAGCCTCGACCGCCTGAGCCTATAAGAGAGAACAAACACACTGGAACGTGTGTATGTATTCACGGCGGGGGGGGGGATGCGTCATCTGTGGATGATGATGTACTAGGGTCCAAAGGGAGGAAAATTGGGGCGGGCGAAGAAAAATCAGCGCAAGCGATGATGTTGGGTTCGAGGACGGTCGAACAGGGGAAAAAAGCACTTGCTTTCATGGCGGGGGGTATATCTAGAGAATCGTGGATGATGAGAGCACCTGGCATGGGCTGTCCAGGACAAAGCTCCTCTCGACTTTCTCTGCTGGACTGGATGGACATCACGGGAACCACGGGATCGGCGTTATCTGTTAGGCATGGATTTGGCGTTTATGGCAAAGGGTCTGTCTTTTTTTTGGGGGGGTTGCATGGGCATTCCGCTTGACTGACATGTTGAGAGAAAATTTATGATAAATGAGGCTGAGAGGGCTGAGATTGCGCCCACTCATATACCGAGGAGAGACGAACAAGAGTTTCTCTAGAAAACCCAATTTTGAGCACACGCCAACAATATACGTGCAAAAAGCTTTCATTTTCTCTTGTACTTCTTCTTTGGCGGCTGAACTCGAGGTGGCCACGACTATTTTACAACAGGCTACGGAAAGCCTGGACTAACAACCTCGCATATTCCCTAACTCGTTCAAGACATAGACAGCGATACTTATTACAACTGCCTTTCCTTCTTTTTTGGTTCACCACATGAACCTCTGCAGCCGACCCCCGTCCATCACGCTGCCGTCCGGGTTCTTCCACAGGAAAGGCCTGGCCAGGAAGACGTACATGGTCGCGCCGTTGATCGCCAGGAACCACAGCGTCTCCAGGACGGGCCGCGGGTCGAGACCCCGCCACGCCCGGGGCAGCACGCCCTCCGGCGCCGGCACCGACCACGCCGGCACGAGGAGGCGCCAGAAGACCCAGGGCAGGATGAAGTAGCGCGGCTCGACCAGCGGCGCCGTCACGAGCGACAGGGCCGCGGCGAGCAGCCAGAGCAGGGCCGTCGAGGTCTGCGGCGGCGGGTTGAGCGCGACGTCGGACGTGTCGAACTCGGGGGCCGTCGCTGCCGGCGCGGCAGCGGTGGTTTCGTCGTTGGTCTTCTTGGCTGCACCGGTGGTGGTGGTGGTGGGACTAGATGATGCCGCCGCAGGAAGCGGAGGCACTTCGAGAAAGGGGCTGTTGACGAACGGCGTGCTCCCCTCCCGCTGCTGCCCGCGCGCGCCGATGCTGCCCGGCGGCGGCGGCGAGCCCGCCAGGACGAGCCAGCAGGCGGCGCAGCAGGCGACGTAGGGCGCCACGAGCGCGAGGCGGACCGCGCGGCCCCGCAGGACGGTGTGCCGGAACACGTAGAACATGTAGTGCCGGTTGTCGGCCAGGGTGAACGGGTGCACGACGGTGTTGAAGTGCACGACGCCGAGGAAGGCGCCCGCGCAGGCGGCCAGCAGGGCGAGGCTGTAGCCGAGCTTGTGGGCGGCGAAGAGGGAGGTGGCGAGGCGGAGGGCGGCGGACTGCTGCTGCTGCTGCTGCTTCTCGGGGTTGTCCTCCTCCCGGCGGCGTGCTGCTGGGCCGCTGCCGCCGGGCGGCGGTGAGAACACGGTGCGGATCGTCTGGAGGGCGGAGAAGAAGACCGGGAGGAGGAGCGGGGCCGAGAAGAAGGCGAACAGGGGCCAGATGTAGAGCATCTGCGCGAGGTGCAGGGTGGCGACGTGGTTTGACTTGTCGCCTGATGTGGAAAAGCGTCAGAAGATCCGGGGGGGATGTCTCTTATGAAGCCCACGCTTTAGGAGGTTTGATTGTACATACCGAGGACGACACCGCCGTTCCAGACCACGAAGGCGGCGAACAGGGCCACTACCAAGACGTACGGCCAGATCCGGCACATGACCTTCTTCGGGTTGCATGCCGCCGCGATGCCGATGCTGAGGAGCGACAGAGCCCAGTCTGCAACACGCGTGTCAATGGCGATGATCTGGGTTCGCTATCACGCTGGAGAGCAACTCACCATGAGGCCACGCGATGCTCAAAGGCGGATCGTGGACGTCTCCGACCGAGTACCTCCAACCGTAGAACTTGACCATCTCGACGAGCGTCTCGAGCTCTGGCTTCTCCACCGGCTGCGGCTCGAGGTTCCGGACCACATGCACCGCCTCCATGCCGCCCATGTAGACGACCACCCAAAAGACATTGGTCTGCCTCATGGCCAGGGCAGCCACGCCGAGGACGACGGCCACGAGGTCGCTAAAGACGGACGGCCTCCGCCGCCCGGACAGGAGGCCCGCGGTCCGGGACTGGCACCACGTGTAGCAGAGCAGCACCGCCGTCGTCGAGAGGACGTCGGTGTAGTACAGCTCCGAGAAGAAGAAGAGCACGGGGAAGAGGGCGACGTTGAAGGCCGTGAGGCGCGAGTAGAGCGACAGCGGCAGGGGCAGCTCGGCCCTCCGCCACGGCAGGCGGCCCTCGCTCTGCTGCCGCGAGAAGAGCGCCAGGCCCGCCGCGAAGAAGAGGGCGCAGCCGTTGAAGGCGCGCAGGGAGGAGACGGTGCACTGGGCCTGCTGGGTGAGCCTGTGGTAGGCGACTGTGACGGCGTACAGGCCCGGCGGGGTGGTGATCTTGTCGTCCCACTCGTGCCACTTCCCATCGCAGTACCTTTGCGCCTGCGGTATATGGAACACCTCATCCTAAAAAGCGACAGATGATGAGCCCTCGGGCATTCTTGTCTCCTTGTTCAGGGGGGAAGAGCTTACAAGGTAGGGCTCCGGGACAAAGTGTGTTACGAGCCGGAGCCACGTCCTCGAAGCCAGGAACAGCAGGAAGCAGAGGCCCGCTATCGTAGCGAGTGCAATCCAATGAGCCCTTGGCGAAGGGCCGTACTGTGCGCCAGAATGGAAGTTGATGGTGAAGATGACCGAGATCAGGGCGCCGACAATAAGGGTCGAGCCCAAATCCAGCTTGATGGTCTCCGATTCCATGTTGCTGCCCCAGGCTCCTCCGCGCCGAAGATCTGTTTGAATTTACCTTGGCGAAGACGATCTCATCGAAGCTGAAGATAGAGACTGTCTTCACGCCCTTCTGATTGTTTGATGTTGTTCACGTTGAACATTTGCTGCTTCAGATCGAGCTTTTGTTCAGTGTTCATTTCATGCTTGCGCACGGACCAAGTCATGTATCCATAAGCGCAGAACGAATGAGAGCATGTCCATTTCATCTGACCCACGATGGGATGTGATTAAACTCAAGAAGACGAGCTGCTGAAAGGATTATTGCTTTGGCGCTGGGAGCCGGCACTGGCCAGTCGGGCAAACAGAAGTCTCGCTTTCCACAATGCACAAGGGGACCACTCTGTTAGTTTCCGGGCACAATGTCTCACTCAAGAAGTCGCAGTGTATGTATGTTGTGTGAAGGTCTATTGGATGTCTTTTTGTTTGTACAGCTGCCATCAATACAACGCCCGTGCGCTCTTGTGCTACGAATTGCCTTGGTCTATCAACGAACAAACCGAGCTCACCATTGCCCAACCATCATGCTCGCGAACGCTTTAGAAGGGCTAGGGGAAATGTTAGATCAACAGCCGACGCCAGACCCGAGGGAAGGGATTTGAACTCACGTTGTCCGAGGCAGGGATCTCATGGACGAAGTGGCTGCCGATGAAGGGGATTTTCTGATTGTCATGTTAGCTATGAGTGGATGGAGGGGAGAGTATTGGTCTGTCGTTGCTGCCGTACCTGAAGAAGGTCCCTTTGAACCCTGGGCAGACCAGAGGCGTAGAAGATGACGGTGAAGAGAGCAACTCCGCCGAAGGCAGCGGACTTGAAGCCACTATTGTCCAACAAATTAGTATATCGGCTCTTCTATAAGTGTGTCCATCGTGCAGCCATGCGATCTCCTGGCATTCCACCAGACTTCCAGCCCGAGCAGCCAAGACCATCCGTATTCCCTTCTTCCCAGGTAATCCATGATCGATAGGTGGACTTACAAACGAGTGACTTGGCTGGCAGTGATGCCCTTGAAGTTGGGCTGGTAGTGGTACCTGCGAGTCGCATCGTCAGTCATCTGCTGCTTTCTCCGTCGGCCCGCGATCCGCGACCATCCACGAATACGTAGCGATTGGTTCTTCGTGGTCGATGCGTTCGAATCGATCGGTGGAGAAATCGGTCTGGCTTACTTGGGGCCGTAAGGGCTCTTGTACTCGGGGAACGCTGCCCGCAGGATGGGAGACTGCAGTCGGGGTCAACAGGTCAGTTCATATTTTGCAGATGGGCGAGAGCATTTCTTCTCGAGGAAAGCAAGCCAAAGGGCACGCTTGGGGTGGACGGGAAGCATACAGGAGAAGGCATGATGTCGGTCGCGGAGAGCTGGTGCGAGATGCGGGCTCAATTGACTCTTGGGGTTGGTTGGGTGAAGCTCGACGTGCTCGTGGTTTCTCTGCTGCGCGAGAATCTCACGGACAAGGCCGGCCGGGAATTCGTCGGTTGTCTGCCTGAGGCTAAAAAAAACCTCCAGATCAGGCCTGGACGGATTTGGGTGGGGCCTCGACCAAGGAGGTATCTAGGTACATAGGTACTTAGGAACGGTACCTAAGACAAGTTCCTATCACAAGCATTGGCAAGCAAACTCACCCTCAGACCTTTCTTTCGCTCCAGCCTCCAGCTCCCACAAGCCGATTGCAAGGAGCTGCGCGAGCAGCAAAGAGCCGGCACACTCCTTCTGGTCACTCTCCAGCTTCCTCGCGATCGTCACCCCCGGATATCTACACCGATCCCCCTCCAGCCATGGACCAGGCCATCGACGCCCGCTTCGAGCGGGTGGAAAGGGCCCTCACGACCCTCATCGACTCGATCGCCAAGTACAATCCGTCTATGGCCATGGCAAACGACCTCGCCGTCGCCGACCGCGAGCTCAGTAAGGGCCTAGCAGAGCGTACGAGCTTAGCCCTTCCCCCTTCCTTCCCCGTGCGTTCTCACCCCTGCTGACACACAGCAGTCCAGGTCCACCAGAACAACCACCTCCGCATCCAGGCCATGCGCGCCGAGATCGCCGCCGCCGACGCGCGCATCAGGGCCGCCGTGTCGGGACTCGCCTCCACCCGTCGCGACATCACCTCCACGCCCGTGAGCTCCACCTCCTCTGCCGCCACCCAGCTACCTGGCGGCAGCGGCAGCGACGCGACCGCGGGCAACGAGGTCCAGTACCGCGAGCTGCTCAGCTACGCCCGCCGCATCAGCAAGACCACCCTGCCCGCCTCGGGCATCACCAACGGCGTCGACGTGGACGCGGCAAACAACACCACCACCGTGGACACGGCCCCCGCCTCGACATCCTCCGTCACCCACACGCCCCCCACCACCGAGACAGCGGCCCAAACGCCCGTGCCCGCCGCCGCCGCCAACGGCGTCCAGACGCCCACCGCGACGACCGCCGGGCCCACCGGCCCCAGCGGCGCCACCCACCTCCAGCCGCCAGACCTGTACGCCCAGCCCTCCTCCGGGCCGCCCAGCGCCGCCCCAGCCCTGCCCGAGGGCATGGCGGGCTACCTCAACCCCAACGCGGGCGCCCTCTTCGTCCCCTGGCCCAGCGAGACGCAGGTGCGCGTCGGCGCCCTCGCCGCGAACCAGGACCTCTCGGACCGCGGCGTCGACGCCCGCGACTACGACCCGGGCGAGGAGGCCCGCCGCCGCGAGGCCGAGCGCGCCGCCGAGGAGGAGCGCCAGGAGGCCGAGCGGCTGGCCCGCGAGGAAGAGGCCCGCCGCATGCGCGACGAGCACGAGCGCAGGCGCAAGGCCGCCGACGAGGCCCGCGAGAGGGAGATCGAGACCTGGAGGCGGGACAGCATCGCCGAGGGCGCCGCGGGGGCCCCCAAGCCCCCTGCCGCCGGCGAGAAGAAGCAGTTTCAGTTCTTTGGGGATATGGACGACGACGACGAGGATTAGAGCCCGGGAGGTGGGGTGGCTCGGTAGCTCTAGCTTGTTTGCATGGGTTACGCATAATAAGGAAGCATCGATATTGGAGTCTGAAGGCGAGGTAGTCCATGCATCACGGAGCGATCGTGAGCATGCTGTATCAAGTTGCAAAAGTCTCAAATCTTTTGCAAAAGCCTACAAAGAGCCATTCTGGACTTCTTACTCGTTGCAAGCCCCAATGCGCTGGTCATAAATGCACATGCGATTCTATAATACATGGTATCGTCATTCTTCTTTTTTGCTCCGCCGCACACACACACACATCTCTTCAAAACAAATCCCATTTTTAGTCAATCTTGATCGATGAGTAGATCTTCCTAGTGAACCACCAACTGGCGAAGAAACCAATGGAGCCTATCACAGTACTTGTCAGTCGTAGCTTCTCGCAACGGGCGGCAACTCTGCGAGGAGGGGTTAGACTCACCAGTTAGGATAAAGAACAGGAAGCTGATCAGCGCGCTGTAGCCAATGTACAGCACACTGCCGGACAGGCCGCCAAGGCTCAGCTTGCTGACCCAGTAGATCATGGCGTTGGCAAAGATGTACGCGGCGCTCGTGCCCGCGGCGAGGAAGGCCCGCCACTGCCAGTGGTAGTTCTCGGCGCAGAGCAGGAAGTACACCATGAGCACCGTCACGGCGGCGCAGGTGATGATCATGAGGCCGTAACAGAGGAAGAGGAAGCCGAACATGTAGTAGATCTTGCTGAACCAGATGGAGCTCATGATGAAGTAGAGCTCGACAAAGATGGCGCCGAAGGGAAGGATGCCCACAAGGAGCATGCTCGGGATAGGACGCAGATAGGCGGTGGTGGGCGGGATCTGGCGAGGGATCTGGTTGGTGTGGACGGGCGCCTCGATGGCAGGGGCGCGGAATCCGAAATAGGAGCCGGCGACAGAAAGAGGCACCGAGAAGACAAACCAAATGCCGACAATAACAATCATGGTGGTGAGGGGAACAGCTCCGCTGGACTGCTTGGCCCAGAGGAAGAGGTTGAGGAAGAAGAAGGTAGAGAAGACAATGCCAGGAACCAGAAGCGGCGTGAGGGCAATGTTCAACTTCCACTTCTCGCCGTTGAAGCTCTTGTACACGCGAGCCGATGCGTATCCACCAACAAAGCCCAGGACAGTGTACAGAAGCACCATGATAGTACCGAGCGACCCGCGGTTGGACGGAGAGAGGAAGCCTAGGAGCGCAAATGCGATGGTGAATCCGGTCATGACGAAGATCTGTGCACCGTTGCCGAGGAAAATAGACAGCAGGAGCGGATGCGAGGGCGTGCGGAAGACATCGCCGTGGACGAGTTTCCAGCCCGAATCCTCCTGCACACCATCCTCAAGCGCGGATGTGCCGGAGAGGTCATCCAGGTTGATCTGGTCGAGGCGGTTGTATCGCGCAATATCCTTCTTGAGTGTGCGGACCAGGACGGACATGACGGTCAGGACGAGGAAGACAACAATGATGGCCGAGTTGATCAGGGAGAACCAGTGGATCTTGGGGTCGAAGACATGCAGGTACTTATCCCATCTCGTCGCCCACGCCGTCTTGGAAGGGACCCAGTAGACACTGTAAGTGAACTGCACGTTCGTCTTTTCCTTGCTGCTGAGGCTGAGCGTCGGGTGCTTCACACTGCAGTCAACCTTGCCGTCGTACTTGACAGACTCGGGCTGGACCAGAACCCCGACAACCCGGAGCTGCTCCGAGTTCTTGCTGACCTCGTGGTACTCGACAATGATGTCGTAGTGGTTGTTGAAAATGATGTTGTTGTTCTCGTCGTCCTGCCCGATGAGGAAGCCGGGACTGTAGAACTCGGTGTCTGTCAGCTCGTCAATGATTTGCTGGCCAGCAGGGAGCCCATCGACCAGCCAATTCAGGCTATAGCCATTCTCTATCTGATTGTTGATGAAGTCGGCTTGAGCCTCGTCATAGTCGACCGCGCACAGCTGCTTGCAGGTCTCGTTCTGGGCCATCTTGAGCTCGAAGGGCGAGGTCTTGATCCTGTCGCCGAACAAGATGCTACCCAGGCTCTCGCCAACATTCTGCGGGCCGCCGGGAGGCTGACAGAACCCAAACAACGGGTGGTAGTAGTCGTATGAGACCACGGAGTGTAGCAGGGTATCTGAGGGAGATGCTATGGGTTTTATCGTGTTGACATTGAGAGGGACGATATCGCCGGGTTTGTAGGTGGTTGGCGCGACGCCGGGCAGGTAGAAGGCCGAGGCGAGCTGTGGCAGGGCGAAGAGGGAGGCGAGCAGCGCCGAAGATGCCGGCGTCTGTTTCCTTGGCATCTTGAAGCGATATCGATGCTTGTGAGGGCGTAGTGCCAGGGCGATCAGGGCGGATCAAGATGGGCTTCGTGGATACTGTGAGAATACAGTGACGGAAGCCCTTTTGCTGGGAGAGGAGCTACTGTGTGCAATTGCTTTCTTGACCAATCCTGTGCAAAGGTCAAGAAACAAAGAAATCTCTGTACTAGAAGCCTCAAGGTGTTTCGGGTCACCGGGCGATGAGAGAGGGTGCTGGTAAGAGTGCAGACAATATTGTCCGAGTGTGAAAATGACGAGGGTAGCTTTTGGAGCTTGGACAGGTTGTCCAGAGAAGCCAGCACGGACGGCGCGTGAGATGTGGCGCCGCAGGCCAGGCAGTCGTAATTGTTCTGAAATCGGCTTAGTCACACAGCCCAGCTTGGCCACTTCTAGGTAGCCCGCCCCTGAATCCTGGGCGTCTCAAAGGGCACCTTTGGCGGTTTGGATGCGCTGTAAGCCTGTAACTACCCCCTGATGCGCTAGCCAACGGGCCTCTTCTGCATCATAAATTGCACTAAATCCCGAAACAGTCAGTCACAGCTCCAGCGTCAGCCAGGGATCCGAACCACCACCCCTGCGTTATCAATAGTGGGACTGAGCCTTATCGATACGGCGCCCCAGAAAAAAAAGTTGAGGTAGAAAATCTTCCGTGCAGTCTTCACATCTGGTCTACCAGTCCCAAGAGGGGTTGTCTGCTTTCTCCATCTGCCATAACTTTTATTCACGATTATGGCTGCACCCGCAAGCCTTCCAGCTCTGCTGGACTCTTTGATCCAGTCATTGACTTCCGCTTCGGAGGCTGCACCCAAGTTGTCCGGGCTGGCGCCTCCCAAGGACGGTCTGTCGCTTCTTGATGTCAAGAACGACCTGCTTCTTTCGTACCTGCAGAACCTCGTCTTTCTCATCCTCCTCAAGTTACGCAACTCACGAGATAGCACCTCTGACAACGAAGATGCAGCCTCGGACTTGAACGATACCGTTGTCAAGAAGCTGGTGGAATTGAGGTTATACATAGAGAAGGGCGTTCGCCCTCTCGAAGACAAACTACGATACCAGATCGAGAAGGCGCTCCGAGCCGCTGATGATGCAGAGAGAAACGCCGAGGCCGCTCAAGCTTCTCAGAAGGAAGAAGAAGAGTCGGACGAGGACGAGTCGGGCTCGGGATCTGAGGACGACTCAGAGGCGGAAGAGGATGGCGAGCGACTCGCTGATCTGAAGAAGTCTCTGCCGAACCGTGCCGCCTTCGTCAAGCCATCTACCGGCGTATCAGAGGAAACATCAGAGAACACGGATGGCATCTACCGCCCGCCCAAGATTGCACCTACCGTCATGCCCACGACAGAGCGAAGAGAGAGGGCAGAGCGACGTCCGCTCAAGTCTGCGACCATGGACGAGTTCATTGCCGATGAGCTCTCCACGGCGCCCTCCGCCGAGCCCAGCATCGGCACCAACATCGGAGGCTTCGGCCGGCACATGAAGACCGCCTCGCAGCGCAAGGAGGAGGATGAGCGCCGCGACTACGAAGAGCGCAACTTTGTCCGTCTGCCCAAGGCCAGCAAGGAGGAACGGGCCAAGAAGGCTAAGGCCGAGGGCCGCAGCAAACGCATGAACTTCGGTGGCGAAGAGTGGCGCGAGCTGGGCGAGGGCGTGGACAGAATTCACCGTCTTACCAAGACCAAGGGCTCGGGTGGAGGTACCAGGGCGCTCCTCGACAAGTCCAGGAAGCGCGGCATCGAGACGGTCGACGGACCCAGAGGCAGCGGCATTAGCGGTGCCGAGATTGGCGACCGGTACAACAAGCGCTTGAAGGTGCAGGAGATGGGCAGGCGAGACAGAGGCAAGAAGCGTTAGAATCGGCATATAATATGATACCCACGACCAGAACAAATCAAAATTTCACATTCGCTGTTCTATATCCAGGTCTGATTGTTCGCCCGGTTGTCTTCCAGGTAGCGATAAATCTGACCGTAGTCCTTGCATATGTGCTTTGCATCCCAACCATCACTGCCCATGACCCCGTCCGGGAAGGTCGTCGCTTGGCCCTCGAGCGCAGTGTCACCGCAGCACATTATGCTTTGTCGGAGGTACTCGAAGCAGTGGCCCATATGCCAGACCCTGTCCTCCGGCACCTTGCTCGGGTCGGTGCTGTACCCCGCAAAGACCTCGATCATTGCATGCTGTCACAGAGTCTTAGCAATGGAGAAACATCAGGGGGGCAAGACGGTCAGCTCTTACAAGGCAATGCAACTGATGGGTCACCGACGTTGTGAAAACCGTGGTGTCGTTCCAGCCCTCGAGCGGCGTCGGCAGGTTGTCGTGCTTTTCGGGATTCTCAACCTTGACGTAGCCGAGACCCTCTGTGAGGGGGATGTCAGCTGTCTGCAGTCACTGCCGACATTTACTTTGCGGTGGTTTCTTACTGGGCACAAGATCGAGCCACTTTTGCTTCACGGCATCTGTGAAGAACTCGGACGCATTCTGCGGTGCGTACGAGAAGTCGGGAACGAAGGTCTTGATCTGCTGCGCCACTGTGGAGAGAATAACGGTCAATGGATGTCCCCAATATCTCGGGCCTGTTTAACTTTTCGTACTTGTCGGGGCGAAGCCCGTGATGTCGCCCGCGCCTTCGAATGGCTGGCATCGCTGCGATGCGGCCCCTTGGCGCTCGAGGAGCAGGCCGAGGATCACCAGCAGGAGCGCTGTGTCCAACAGCCAGCGCCATCTCCTCATGGCCGCGCATAAGCCTGACCTGGAAGTTACGTTTGCATCGCGTTCCCCCCACGGTATGCCATGCCGGCCCATCAATGATTCGTCCGCCTCATCGCCGTATCGCTCATGGCCACTGAGCTCCTTGTAAGTCTGCGCTGGACGTGACTGCGCCATTTCATATGCGACAAAGGAGCAGAATATCTGCAGCTAAATCAAATGCAACGCCTTTTCTTTTTCGGTTTCTTGATGTGTCTGGCGGTCTTCGTCTTATCATCTGACGACCTTTTCGGCGTTCCATGTATGGGGTCATCGCACGGCCCCTGAGATGTGAAACAGATTGGGATGGAGACACGAGAAACATGAAACAACAATTGAAGGAAGAATCCGTCGAGGATTCTCTTCGTACTCTATTCATTGTTGTATATCGTACGAATATTGTAGATGTGATACATGTCATGATCTGTCTTGACTGTCAAGCCCCAATCGTTCCCCGGTCTGCGTAGTAGTATGCCTGATTCGCCGCAGCCTCACTTTGTATGATTCCACGAACCGCTTCTCCAGTACAGAACATGCCCACATCACCCATGAGCGAACTTCCTGCAGACTCAACAGCATAAGCAACGGGATCAGCAGTCCAAGCAGTATAGCCCACGCAAGATCAAGATTTTTATAGCTGCTACTCTTGAACTTGAACAGTCCACAGAGATTCCCAGCCTCGTCCGGGGTCATGTCGATATACCCTTCCTGATCACTATCTTCGCCGCTGGCAATAGCCAGTGCGTCAAATTGAATACGCGCGAGTGAAGTCGCAAATAGGCGTGCAGCTTCCGACTTCCAGTGGCCATCACCTAATGCGCGTGATAGAGACTGGGAGACTCTCTCCTGAGCGATCAGTGCGGTGCCGAGGCGCCTCACGATAGCATTGTATATGTTTGATGATCCCAGAGCCAGCTTCATGAGCCAATAGCCCGGGGGCAAATTGTTGCGAGTGTCTGTCATTGACCAGCAGGACTTTTCGTCAGGCGTGCAGAGCTCATGGCTATCGATACAGGCCAGGACGCGGGACTTTGGATCCGATTTATAGTACCAAGGGTTGGCCTCGCCATCCAAGTAATATTTCTCATCCGCGGGGAAGATAGGGTCTGCGCTTGAATCGAGGTACAGGATGTGTAATGCAGAAACGAACACGATTGTTATCGTGCTTCCCGGCGGAGGAGTCAGCGGTGGAATCGGGTCCCAGTAATCAAGCTCGGGATACCACGACGTTGTATAGGCACTGACGTTGTATGCGGGTGCCAGAACATCGAAAGGATCGCCTGCACTCGAAAATGTGTACTCAGTATTAGCGTCTCCATGGACGATTTTCCCGTAATAATAGAAGCTCGTGGTGCCATCGCTTTGCTCCCGCCGAACAAACTTGTCACCCGTATTCAGAGGGACACACGTTGTATTTCGGCGAAACTTGTACGGGCCAGCATCATTTACACCAATTGCACCAGTTTGACCGGCATGGACAAGCCCCGTGTTGAAAGAGATGGATGGTACCCCAAGGGCGCAGACGCGGTCATCCTGAAAGGGACATTGATAGGAGCCTTTAAGATGTCAAAGGAAAACCATATCCCCAACGCCAGCCATGCCGCTATCAGAGAGGTCCAAAAGGAGGCCCTTTCTTCGCTTATCAGTATTTGGGTTCCTAAATGTGTCGCAGATTAGTAGGCTATCTCTTCAGCAGCGACCATGGCACAAACTTTGAGCGCCGTCATCTCTCTATATTCCGCGGTGGGCACTCTCCTGAATATATGGAGGAGCGAGCTGGAGAATGATGAGCACAACATGCTGCTCATTCCGAGATAGTTGCGGCTTTAAAGGGGCTGTGTAAGGCATTCTTAGGAGAGACGGCTAACATCTAGACAAGGCATATGGTGGTTGCCAGTGTGACACACCATTTAAAGACCCATTGGCCGCTCATTTGCCTCAAGAGTAACACAACACACGCCCATATGCAGGGCAGGTTATCGCAGCCTCTGAAAGGTCGCGATTTGAGAATCCACTTAGATGATTCGATCAGGAATCGACACGTTTGTCGCCCGACACTTGACACATATTCAGCCTTGTTTGCATTAATGTCGTCAACAATTGGACAATTTCTGCATGACCCCTCTTTCAATACAAGAATCCCATACATGTTAGCTTTGCTTGGACTCACCCCCCACCGCTCTACTCGCTTCTCAGGGTGAAGGGGCAGGGTCATCAGTGCTCATGCGTCTATCTCGACGCTCGTCCTTACTGAAGAGGTTAACATATAATTACTACTGAAAATAAATTCTTTCATTCGTGGGCCTCCATTGTATTTCACCTCTACGGCTCTACTGGCACCTGCTGATAACATCGATCAAAGGCTACACCACGCAAGTTGATCTCAAGGTTCGAACTTTGTGGTCATATCAGCCCAATATACAAGATTAGGCCCCAAGTGAGAGACAATTTCAGAGGTGAGATGCACTCCATCTCTACGAGGCCCGCCTAACATGGAACAGGCTTTCCCTCCCCAGCCAACATCCCTTCCAATATGTGCTTCAAAGCCGCACCCGCAAATCTCTATCGAAAATGTGGCCACAAGACGGATGGGGTAGAGAAAGTTTTCAAGTGCAGTGCCTTTCCTAACGGCCCAAATTGTGCAAAACCACCATATAATCACTCACTCACAGACAACAAGATCAACAAGTGGTGCGATGATTGTGTTGCGGCAGGGAAAGGTCAAAACTGAGGCACACCAGTGACATCAATGTCTGGTGTGACGGAACGAGCTTGCTCTCGGAGAATTATGTTTCCGGGGCGGGGGGGCTTTGAACCGATCAAATAAATACATATACCATCAACTCGCACCTGACACCAATTATCAATCATAAATATGCTTCAAAGATCAACCATAATGTCCTCCCTCATCATACCGTTTGAGAGCCCTCTAGGGGAGTGTCTTAGCATCATGCCATCCGAGGGCCTTGTTTATGCCATTGATCACGAGATTGTCCTCAAGGTTCCGTTCCAACACCTTGTCCGTGACGCCGATACCGGTTCCTTGGACCAATCTCTGAAAAGCTTTGTTTGTCAGGAAAGAGAATTAGCTGTCTACCAAAGTTTGGAGAGAAATCCTCATGCGAACTTAGTTCGACGACTTAAGACCAGTCAAGTCGACTGCTTGTTTCTGGAACGATTGACGCCATTAGAAAATGCTTGGCAACTATCTAGTCAACAAGATCAACGGAGATGGGCCTTGGAGTTACTTGATGCAGTGAGCTGGTTGGAGAGGAATGGCTGGGTTCATGGCGATCTTGCCATACGGAATCTTGGTGTTGACGGTACGAACCGTCTGAAAGTCTTTGACTTCGGCTCTGCAATTCCGCGGTCACACCCTGATTACAGCAACGAGATGGCGAGAGATCACTTTGGTTTAGCGACCTGTTTACATTTCATCCTCTCAGGCGATGATCCATTTTCAAGGGCACAATCCTATTCTGAAGTCCGAGAGATCCAGAGGATTCTAGCGACCGGTCATGGACTTATCAAACCTGGCGCCGAGATCCTTACTGACATGATCCAAGATGGTTGGACCGGGCATGCATCTTCTTTGACATTCGGTCAAACACTTCAACGAGCTATCAGTAAAATTAAAGTTCTAGACCAAAGCATCCCACTAGAACAATCGGATAGTCATTATCGACAACTGGAAGCTCGATGCAGGGATTGGTTGGACCAGGCAGTGCGAAACCCGGATTGGAAGAATATCAAAGATTATTCTCTAGCTTGTGAAGCTGCTGGGCACGAGGTAGATCTGGACGTTTGGCGTTGATCACGGTCCAGTTTAAGCACAAGGTCAAACAGTTTCGGCAGTAACTCTAACCGCAAGGCAGGCTTAAAAGCGCAATGTTGGCTTTATATCGAAGGCTTCTGGAGACATGTATGGTGGCAATTGCGGGCGGATTTGCAGTGAAGGTCAATGATAATGCTTCAATAGGGTTAAATTGGACCAATTCTCCTTACTTGTCTTTGCTCTGTCATTCAGCCTCCAAAAGTAATCATAATTTATCACTCGCTCTTTATTTCACTCCCGATTGCTGTAGCCAGGCTGGAGCGTACCCAAGCCTAAGCCACACGTAGTTATCTAGCTGACTTGAATGGGATTGATTGATCTGACACTTTCAATTCCTAACTCTTTCGGGCTCTAGTCCAATCCCTGCTGGTAATCGCTCCATACTATTGTCTCCCCTCTCTCCTCACAGGCTTGATCAATTGATGTACTTGATTAGCGGAATGACGCTATATTTTCGGCCGGACGATCTATCTTCCGGCGGGCTGCTGTCGCCCAATTGATGTACCCCAGTCAATCCGGTCAATTGATGTGACTAACAACTTCGCGATCTCGGAGGGGCAGAACTTTTCCCACCTTCCAAGGCCAATCGCAACAATGGCGGACAACACGACAGAGCAGACTCACACCGAGTCGCAGATCTTTCTCTCTACTCGGGGTGGTGACTATGGCGTACGTTGTACCCGGATCTCTCTCAGTTTCTCGTACTAACGTCCCCCCCGACAGCTGTCCTTCGAGACCGTTGTTCTGAAGGGACTCGCTGCCGATGGCGGTCTCTTCCTCCCCCACCGAATCCCTACCGCAAACGACTGGGTACGTACCTAGAACCTACTCTCGGCCGACGTCTCCTGAGCGCTTGTTGCCGAATCTACACCTTCTCTGGTTCTTGAGACCTTCAGTGTGGACGCAAGACTCACCATGAGCACAGCAAAGCTGGAAAGATCTGTCCTACCCGGACCTGGCCTTCCAGATCCTGAGCCTGTATATCGCGAGGTCCGAGATTCCTGCAGAGGACCTAAAAGGCATCATCGACCGCAGCTATTCCACTTTCCGCGCGGAGGAGGTCACACCTTTGGCGCACCTCCACGATAACCTCTACCTCCTCGAGCTCTTCCACGGCCCCAGCTACTCCTTCAAAGACTGTGCGTCGCATTGGCACCTCGATTGTCGCCCACCTGAGCTGACTAGTCTCCAGGCGCTTTGCAATTCCTGGGGAACCTCTTCGAGTATTTCCTCGTCCGGAAGAACGAAGGCAAGGAGGGCAAAGGTATGCGCCATTAATGGCAATTGGAACATTACACGTTGAGGTCGAGGGCAGTTGGCTGACAGGCCAGCAGACAGGCATCACCTTGCGGTTGTCGGTGCGACTAGTGGTGACGTAGGTCTACCAATACGGTATTTTCTTTTCGGGGCGCTACTGACATGCTCTACAGACCGGCTCAGCTGCCATCGAGGGCCTCAGAGGCAAGAAGGATGTTACAGTCGTCATCTTGCACCCCAAGGGCCGCATCAGTCCCATCCAGGAGGCTCAGATGACCTCCTGCCCCGACGCCAACGTGCTTAATCTTGCAGTTACTGGCACCTTCGATGATTGCCAGGACATTGTCAAGGCTCTCTTCAACGACCCCGAGACGAACAAGAAACTCAAGCTGGGCGCGGTCAACTCGATCAACTTTGCTAGGATATTGGCCCAAATAGTGTACTACTTCTACTCATACTTCTCTCTCGCCAAGAAGTCTAGCACTTTCAAGGTCGGAGACAAGGTCCGATTCGTCGTGCCGACTGGTAACTTTGTATGTTTCCCCCTCCTCAGTCGACCCTCAGACAATCAAGCTGACCAGCCTGCGACAGGGCGATATCTTGGCAGGTTACTTTGCCTACCGTATGGGTCTCCCCGTCGATAAGCTCGTTATTGCCACCAACGAGAACGACATCCTCGATCGATTCTTCAAGACCGGACGATACGAGAAGAAGCCTGCCCACGGCCATGAGGCCGAGGGTGGCCTCAAGAAGGACGGTGTTGAGGCTCACGAAGATGGGGCCAAGGAGACTCTCAGCCCAGCTATGGACATTCTCGTCTCCAGTAACTTTGAGCGTCTCCTTTGGTTCCTCGCCTCCGAGTTCGTTGCTACGGCGGGCATGGACGACGAGTGGAACAACAAGCAGGCTGGCCAGGAGGTTGCGGCATGGCTCAAGGATCTCAAGACCAAGGGCGGTTTCGGTCCCGTGTACAAGGACGTCCTTGACAACGCCCGCAAGTCTTTTGAAAGTGAGAGGGTGAGCGATCCGCAGACTCTCGAAACCATCAAGGCGACGTACCAGAAGATCGGATACGTGCTCGACCCTCACACCTCTGTTGGCGTTACCGCTGCCCTCCGGTCCATTAACAGCGTCGGGCAGAGCGTCCCGCACATTTCGCTCTCGACCGCCCACCCGGCCAAATTTGCTGGTGCCGTTGAGCTGGCTCTCAAGGGCGAGCAGGGCTTTGACTTTGCAAAGGTGTTGCCCCAGGAGTTTGTGGAGCTCGAGAAGAAGGAGAAGCGCGTTTCTACTGTGAACAACGACTGGCAGACGGTGAGGGACGTTGTGATCAAGCAGGTCGAGAAGGAAGTCGGTGCTTAGATGATGAATGCTTTGCCAACTTCATGTTGATTTTAGCTTGGTTGCATTAGTGCCTTTCGCAGGGCTCCTCACTTTCTAGGAGAGAAAATCATTAGAAATGGTGGCTGGGTATAGAGTTGAAGACAAAAATGCATAGAGTCATCCCTTCGTTGGCCTTTCTCTTTGACTCTTCCAAAAAGCTGTCAGATCTATATTGTAATGTTATATTCTTCAACAAGGTCATGACTCTTCATGTATGTCATGATGATACTACGTTCGACGAAGCATCTAAGGGCGAATGGGGGTAGCTGGCCGCACACCTGATGTCTATACTTTTATTGTCCTGTCAACCGTATATCCCTTAATTTTGCCTGGCCGGGTCCGGCTCAATCTTCCCAACAATGTCGTCAATTTCAGCCATAATCTCAGGAGTGAGCTTGTCAATGATTTTTAGGGACTGGACATTCTCTACAATCTGCTCGGGCCGTGATGCGCCTGTGATGACAGAAGAGACGTTCTGGTTCTTCAAGCACCATGCTAGTGCGAACTGTGACTGTGTGACGCCGAGCTTCTCGGCGATGGGCTGCAAAATAGTGTTAGATATGATAATCACATTGAAGTACGACCATAGGGCCAAGACTTGCCTTGAGCTTGATGACCTTGTCGATCGACGACCTCCACTCGTCGTTGCCGTACCACGAGTCCCGGACCATGTTGCTGAACCCGTCCTTGCTCTCGGCGAACCGCGACCCGGCTGGCGGCGCATTGGGCGAGTCGTTGTACTTGCCGCTCAGCAGGCCCATCTTGATGGGGCTGAAGACGGTCAGGCCGAGCCCGAAGCGCGCGTACAGGCGCTGGAAGTCGCCCTCGACGCGCCGCCGCTCGAGCAGGTTGTACTGCGGCTGCTCGACGACGGGCGCCACGAGCCCGAGCTGCCGCGCGACGCCGCAGGCCTCGGCGACCTCGTCGGCCGACCACTCGGACGTGCCCCAGTAGAAGGCCCAGCCGCGCTCGATGACGTGGTTGAAGGCGCGCACCGTCTCCTCCATGGGCGTCAGGCGGTCCGGGCGGTGCGCGTAGACGATGTCGACGTACTCGAGGCCCAGGCGGTCGAGCGAGGCGCGCAGGCCCTCGACGATGTGCTTGCGCGACAGGCCGTGGTTGTTGACGAGGACCTCGCCGTTGGCGCCGCCCCAGTTGAGCTTCGTGCTGACGACGATGTCGTTGCGCTTCCAGCCTAGCTTGGCGATGGCCTTGCCCATGACGATCTCGGACTGGCCGTCGGCGTAGCTGGTGCGGTCATGGCTGTCAGTATTGCTGCAGGTGCTGGATGCGAAGAGGCCTGAGCCTGGGTGGAATACCTTTCTGCGGTGTCGAAGAAGTTGATGCCGCAGTCGTATGCTTGCTTGAGGCATGCGATTGTCTTCTCTGCAAGAGGTGTGTGTGTAAGTCTCAAGACTGGTGGAACAACTCTGGGTTCTGCTCGCTAACCATCGTCGACATGTCCTCCAAATCTGCAAAATGTCAGCAATTTGGACTTGATGATACCCAGCTATCGTCGCTGATACATACGTCAGCCAGCCTCCCAGCCCCAGCACTGAGACATGAAGGCCAGAGTTGCCGACTCTGCGGTAGAGCATTCCTGTTTTCCTAGGTTCTGGCCACGCCATCTTGTGAATTGTGAGGGGGTGAGAGATGTTGAAACACTGAAAATGCTGTCCTAATGGATTGATATCTTGGGCGCACACCGAGTTCGATTTCTTGTCCAATAAATGTCAATCAAGCAAGGTTCGAAGGAGACGCGACGCGATCTTGCAATGACGATGACATGTGATGAACACTCTGTATATGGAATTGACCACGAGAGAACTAGTTGGAGACTACGGAGGTGTGTGTCCTCTGTAAGTTGGAGAAGGACTAGCTGGCGAATTTCTCGGCAACGCAACTTTCTCCAGGTTGATGTCTCAGCATGCCGCCTTCCAAGGATGCTCACTAACGAGAGGAATGGATCTATTCCCTTCATTCAGAGCCGATTGGCGGAGTTGTGCCGGGGTGGCTTGTAAGTCCCGGAGACACCGGTGGACACCGGGAGGTTTCTCGGAGAAAATATCGGGAAGCTAGTCCGGGCGCGGCATGACACCATCTGCAAGCTCCGCTCGAGTCCCACCCAAGCAGGGCACTCCATAACTCCAATTCCCCGCAGACGCCGCAACCATGCGCCGCTGATGGACATTGAACCCCAATACCGTCAAGCGTAGGATAAGCCTGCTGCCCATGACCCAAATTTCTGATTCTCTGGGTCTCCTGACTCCTCGACTTGCACTGGTGGCCTCCCTTCGCATGGAGACACCTCCTTCATCTGGTGGATCGACGTGGATCTTTGATGCAGTTGAGATTGACAAGTGTGTAACTACAGTGTAGACTGACTGTATTCGTGTTCCCCTATTACTGTGCTACCGATAGCTACCCCTCCCCCACTGTAGATCCTATCGTGCAAGTCGTACGTTCGGTCGACTTTCACTCCTGCAACATACACGAGCGCTGCTGCATCCGTATAGCACAAGCGGCACAAGATGGCACCTCACGCAGATGACTCGCAGCAGACTGTCACCCGTCAACAGCGGGCGTGGTGGAAGGAAGACTCGGTCTACCAGATCTATCCCGCATCCTTCAAGGACTCGACCGGATCTGGCACGGGCGACCTCAAGGGCATTATCTCCAAGGTCGACTATTTGAAGACTCTGGGTGTCGACATTGTCTGGCTGTCTCCCATCTTCGAGAGTCCCCAAGTGGACATGGTGAGCGGAACTACTTGACATTATCTGCTAGCATCAGTCTCTGACTTTCATGGGCTTCGCCAACAGGGCTATGACTGCAGTGACTATCGAAAGATCGACCCGATATATGGCTCCATTGAGGACGTCGACGTCCTCAAGGACGAGCTGCATAAGCGCAGCATGAAGCTCGTGCTGGACCTCGTGGTGAACCACACGAGCGATCAGCACGAGTGGTTCAAGAAGTCGCGGAGCTCCAAGGACAACGAGTACCGGGACTGGTACATCTGGAGGAAGCCCAGGTTCGACGCCAACGGCAACCGACAGCCGCCGAACAACTGGACCGCTCACTTCCAGGGAAGCGCCTGGGAGTTTGACGAGGCGACAGGGGAGTACTATCTGCACCTGTTCTGCAAGGAGCAACCCGATCTGAACTGGGAGAACCCGGCAGTCCGCCGCGCCGTCCATGACATCATGCGATTCTGGCTCGGCCGTGGCATCGATGGCTTTCGCATGGATGTGATTAACTTTATCAGCAAGGACCAGAGCTACCCAGATTCCAACTCAGCAGTACACGCTGGAGCTGAGTTCTACGCAGCTGGTCCCAGACTTCACGAGTATTTGAAGGAGCTCGGCGCGATCCTCAAGGAATATGACGCCTTCAGCGTCGGCGAGATGCCCTGCGTGCACGACACCAAGGAGATCATCAAGAGTGTAAGGAGTGACCGTGGGGAGCTGAGCATGATCTTCCATTTTGAGCTGTGAGCTGTCTCCCGACTTCAAGGACAATTTTTCACCGTCTCAGATGTCTAATCATTATAACCAGTATGGACCTCGACCACGGCCCAGAGGGCAAGTTCTCGCCTAGAGAATGGAAGTTGTCTGAGCTAAAGAGCACTGTCAACAAGTGGCAGCAGTTCATGTACAAAAATGATGGCTGGAACGCTCTGTACCTCGAGAACCACGACCAGCCGCGCTCCGTGAGCCGCTTCGGTAACGACAGTCCGGCACACCGTGTGCAAAGCGCGAAGGCCCTGGCCGTCTTCCTCGGCTTCCAGGCCGGTACTCCTTTCGTGTACCAGGGCCAGGAGCTCGGCATGCACAACGTGCCAGCCGAATGGCCTATGGAGGAGTACAAGGATGTGGACTGTCTCAGCCACTGGAAGTACGTCCTCCAGTCCCACTCTCCAGTCCGTATCACCAAGAAAGCATTTGCTAACATGGCTTCTACAGCCTACACAAGGACACCCCGGGCCCAGAGAAGCTCGCTGCGCTCAAGCGCGAATACCAAAAGAAGTCGCGGGACAACGCTCGTACGCCCATGCAGTGGGACGCGTCACCGCACGCAGGGTTCACTACCCCAGAGGCTGAGCCCTGGATGGCGGTACACCCCAACCATGTTGAGATCAACGCAGAGAGGCAGGTGGCCGACCAGAGCTCGGTGTTCCACTGCTGGCAGAGCGTGCTCGCAGCGCGCAAGCTACACAAGGACATCCTTGTCTACGGCGACTTTGAGCTTGTGGATAAGGCGAACGATAAGATCTTTGCCTACTCGCGGCGGGCCGAGGATGGCAGGGTTGCTGTGGTCGCGTGCAACTTCTCCGCCGAGGAGGTTGAGTGGACCGGACTGCCGGGCAAGGCTCAAGAGGTCTTGATTTCGACTACTGGTCGGCCCCGGGAGGATTTCCAGTCGGGATCAGTGAAACTTGAGCCTTATGAGGCTGTTGCTCTGGCTTTATAGGATACAGTTGCACCATGACGCTCGATATTTGAGGTATTGTGAATCAATAGACTTTCAAGACTGATGCGAAGCCGTCACCCTACGGGGTCTGAGCCCGAAAAGGCTGAACGATCAAGTATAAGACTCCATTGGTACATGATCTGGATATTAATACAGGTGCTCTGTTGTCCAAACAATTTGTACAGAGTCGAAACGCTTTTCATGCTGCACACACGTAGTCATACACAAACCCATCAATAAATCCTTCCCAAACGCGATGCTATAGCGATTGGCTATATCCCATCCCAAGAGATCCTCCACCTGACCAGTCCCAGTTCCCAGCGACCTCCGAAGTTGAACCGTTGACTGAAAGCAAATCCAGAATTCCTGCAGATTCGACATCCGTCAATGAGCCTCCAAAGGCTTGCAGCTCGTTGAATAGATCGTATGTAGATGGCACAGTATTGGGCGACATGCCCTGATTCCATGGTGTCATGTCAGAGAGTCCAGCTTGGTAAGGATTCTGACTGTCATATCCCTGTTGATCCATTGGCAGGGACATTGCAGAAGGGTTTGAGGGCTGACAACTCCTATCCATGCCTTCTTCCATGTGCATGGATGGCTGCACGGATGTCTGCACATCATTATCGTCAACAATCTCCTCGACGCGGGAGCCAGGGCGCGTGTTCATTGGCATCCCTTCACCGTCCTGGATCTGCGCGATGCGGCTTCGCAGCAGGGACAAGAGCGCCTTGTTGCCACCTCGGCACGAGGCAAGCTTGAGCTGTAACTGCGTGAGTATCTCTCTTGGCCTGTCAAGTGTGTCACGCGGGACCAAAATGTTGCAGAGAACCGAGTCGCTGACGGCCCTCGCAATTTCGTAGATCTTGTACTCCTACAAAAGCGTTAGCCCGACCAAGCAGAAGACTGCATTACATGGGATAAACGAGGGGAACTTACCATTGCTGGCCCGTGAGCCTCTACAGCTGTACTGGGAACTCTGGATATAGTCTCGAGGAACTCTCTCGCGATGTGGATCGGATGAGACAGTGAAGTGGACTGCTCGGAAGCAGGGGGCCGACGGCCACGATTTATCGATGCCCTCCAGAGGATGGCCTGCATCCATTGGCGGGTCACATATATGTCTGCGGTCTGGACCTCGTTCTTGAACTCGGAAGCTAGTGGGACCTCGCGTAGTTGTCGTTGTAATAGATCGAGGATGTTGCGGTTGAGAGGGTCCGGTGTTCCATCCGGCTCACGGATCATGTCGTCCATGTCTTGGAGATTGAACACCCCAGACTGATCGAATAGCCAGAACAGATTGACGAGGCGTCGGAAAGCAGGTAGCACATGAGCCTCGTCATCAGCATCATCGAGATTAAGAAACTTGATGTTGCATCGTAATATGACAGGTAGCTGATGCAGCATTGCCACGCCCCTATTCTACGTCGTTAATTTTCAGGCCGAGAAATATCAGCGCCTAAAAGGGCATACCTTTCTGTGACAAAAAGCAACCACAATATCCTCTGCATCATTTGTTGCTCCCTAGGTGGTAGCGGGAGGTACGTTGCTTGTTTATGAAGGCCGAGGAGCTGTGCTATAGTAATGGCCTCCCTGAGATACAGCAAAGACCTCGGGCCGCCGGGGGCGTTGTTCTCGTGGTAGACATGTAAGAAGAACGATATCCTCAATGCGTTGAGGTTCATGGGCGGCACCTGGCCGTGCCGGATCTGTAGCAGTCTCTGCGTCCGCCGGCACTCCGACTCCATCGAGGCCGCCGTCGCGCTGTCTCCGTCCTGGACGCGGTCCAATTTTAACTGAGCCATGGTAGCCGCCCCAACGGCATTCGCCAGAGCGTACGATTCCAAATCGTCAGAGTCGCGGTGCAGCGCTGCCATGATCTCCTCGACGGCGATGATGGGCCAGACGGGGAAGAGGCGGAGGCGGTATATGCACAGGCTCAGCACCAGTGAGTGGGTTGGCGTCGGCTTGCGCTCGATGCTCGGAGGCGACGGCTGGCTGGCGGGGGGCGGACTGTCGGGGACAGCGGTGATGGCCGGCGGTGCTGGATCGACCGCCAGCGGCACGTCCTCCGAACGCCCTGGGTCCATGGGAGCCCACCCGGATGTGTCGCTGCTCTCGTTCGGATCGACGGCAGTCCTGTCATCCGACGCATGGCTTTCCACTTCCTGTACATCTCTGCCCTGGACTTGCGCTATCTGCCGCGTCGTCTTGGCCCGCAGACTCCTCGGTCCGCGTGTGAGCGGGTGCTTGTGAAATGTGCAGGGGATGCGGACGGCAACACAGGCAGCGCACGGCGGTACGCCAGCGCACCTAATCTTGCGCACCTTGCATCCGTCGCATGCTCTCTTGCCGATCTTGCGGCCTGTGGAGGCCATGGTCAAGTAGAGTGCTTGAGGGACTGCGCTCATGCAATGTCCTGGCCAGAGGTTGCCATAAACGGATGGGATCTCAAGTGAGATGTGAGATGTAGGGAGAGAGGTGAGAGAGCTATGCTGAACGTAATGTCTGGGGTTATGAATGCGGGGAAACAATTGGGGATTTACTGGGCTTTTAACATGTTACTAAACCATCGACGGCTCCCTACTCCGTACTGGCGTGACCACCTGAAAACCCTAGCTTCAAGGCTAGTCAAGGTTGGAAAGGGGCCCTAGTCTTCCAGTTGTACGAACCTTGATTCATAATACTCAGAGTGCGTCTGGCCTTGCACAGTCCTCATGAAACTGGTACTCAGGAGCCAATTCACCTCTATCCTTGCATGTTCAGACAAGTTTTCTTTTCAACTTTGGGCTCTTGTTTTCATGTCGAACTATTGCCAGCTGTTAAATTTAAGCATCCCTTGATTTCATGATGGCTGTTATGCCATGAATCCTGCTACTACATATGTGCTTTTGTCTGTCTCTTGCTGAACTAACTACAACTGGCTGTTGCACGACATGCAAGAGTTTTCAAGTTGCAAGCAGTGAGTCAATCGCCTAGTACGAGAACCTAAAGTCATACCGTTTATTTCCATCCTTCTCGCGGGCCTCTTTGTCATCCTGGTAGGCTGCCCGTTCCTCCGAAGTCATCGCCTCCCACGCCGCATCCTTCTTCTTGTTCAAGTGCACCAGGACCTGGCGCTGGATAACGAAAGTGATGAGGCTAAGGCCGCAGATGGACACCAGGACCGCGTTTCCACGCTTGTAGTACGGGGCGTCGTAGGCGCGATAGATCTGGGAGCCGATGAGCGAGCCGACCTGCACAATGACGTTGTACGTGGCCGCGGTGATGGCTCGCTTCTTGACGTCGAATGTGTTTTCAGAGATCCATGAGGATACAATAGGGTGGAAATACGGGTCTTAAGAGAAAACGTGGTTGTTAGTAATGTCTCTTCACCTTCCCTGCAAGAAAGAGCACTCACAGCCGGAGATCATGGTGACAAGGGTGAAGCGGGACCAGTCTCGCCCACCATCAGGGATAGTCAACATGGCAATAAGTAGAGGCATGATCCACGCCTCGCCAAAGATGCAGTGGAAAGCACGCTCGTTGAAGTAGTTGCTGCTGTACGCCAGTGCCAGCATGGTGATGATCTGGAGAACGGCGGAGGGCACAGTGAGCATGTTGGAGTCGAATGTCGAGAAGCCGATGCGCTTCAGCGTGAGGGTCAAGTAGGCCTGGACCGGCGTGGCTGGGATGTATGCCACGAGGCCGATGAAGTACAGACCCCACATCGACTTGTCCGTCCAGGCGCTCTTGATGTCGGCCCAGGTTGCCGGCTCTTTGAGGGCGGTGATACCCTTTGCTGGGTCGTCGCGGAGAATGCGCTGGTTGTACCAAGTTCAGTTGACGATTCCATCAGTAAATTGGACAGGTGTTTCTTACGTTGGTCATGATGAATTCTTCGCGCTCCGTATACCATGGCTTTCGCCAGAGAATGGTCCTCGTCGATGTCGGCGAGGTAGGGAGGTAGATAAAGGACTGCAGGGAGGGAAACCTATGAGCCAGCCAGTCACTTAGAAATTTGCTGCGTTACTTACAATGAAGGCCAGGACGCAAGTCAGTGCACCCTCCAAAACGAAAAGCCAAAACCAACCGGAGTGCCCGTGAATGCCACGCATCTGGAGAATACCTGCAGCTAAAAGCGCAGATATGACCCGAGCAACATTCAGAGTCGACCAGAACGCTGCCAGGCGCACGGAAAGTTCTTTCGATGTATAGAAATAAGTTGCAAAGAGGATAGTTCCTGGACAAAGTCCTCTTGTTAGTGAAAGACTCAACCATATTGACGGACCTGCTTGAGCTTACCAGGGATAAATCCGCCCTCAAACATACCAATCAAGGCACGAGTGATGTAGAACCCGGTGCGGTTGACCATCCAGGCTTGCATCAGGGCTGGCGGTTTGTTGTCAGAGGCAATACCGATGCATTCCAATGGGCTGTCATTGAATTCACTTACAAACCAGGCCCCAGCACATCATGAGCGTGGGGAGGACAAGCCTGAAACCATAGCGCTTGGTGACCATTTGAACAGGGAACTCAGCCGCCAGAAAGAACAAGAGTTGAATGGTTGTGCCCTGCATAATAGTTAGCTCATATGCCGTACTCCTCGGTGCGGAACTTGGTCTTACGTTATTGTAATCATCACTGGTGAGGTGAAGGTCCTGGAGCAGATTATCCGCAAGGGCGTTTGACAAGTTTCCACGATCGAGTTGCAGGCCGAAGAACTTGGACAATCGTAAGTATTCAAGTAATTATATGTTGGAAAGGGACTGTGCACTTACCATCACGCAGAGCCATGTGAGAAGATAAAGGTCGGTCTTGCGCACCAACTTTCTCTCTTCAGCGGGCTCCCAACTGAAAGTCGGATCCCACCTGTGTCTGCCTTCGTAAGACTCGTGAGGCGGTAGAGCCTCGGCGAGGTTCTCTCGGCCGACGGGGACCACAGACAGACGACAGACAGAGATGTCATCGTGGTGGGTGTTGGTGTTCACCGCTTTGGCCTCAATGTCGGTAGTCATCTCGTTTGAAGAGTTCGTATGAGGCAATGATCTTCAATTGAAAAGAACAAAGGGCCTTGAGGATGATACGGGGGCAGTATTGATCTGTAGATGCAGCATAATATGCATGTGCCGGCGGGAGAGCCCGAAGGTTATATGGTGGTCCTGGAGCCTCTAGACGCGATTGCGCCTTCGACACGTCCGATGACAGCAATCGCAAATCACAAAGCCCCTGTTGGTCTCTTTGCTAAACTCGACCACCCCGGACAGGGGCTGGTGTCTGGGGAGGGAATCTGGGGTTGGATGCTCGGCGACATTGACCACTCGGTGCTGCCCCGTCCGTATACTACATAGGTAGTCTGCAGGACTCTGGTGGATCACGCGCCGAGGCTCCAACTCCGAGATTTTCTCCGTGGTGGTGTGCGCCAATGGCGCCATTGACTAACACCGGCTCTTGGCCCAATTCGTGGGGTCGCCGAGGACTGGCGTCGGCTTTTCCCCAGCACCCAGTCGGCGGCTGGGATTAATTGGAGAATCGTCAAGCATGCGGAGTTACTTCCCATGTGTGAGCCCACCCACAGACGAAGGAACCTTGACCAAGTCTCAACGCTCTCCCTCCATGCCATCGCCCTCCGGCCGGGCGCGGATCGGCCGTCAACTCTGATCTCACCTGACTTCATAGCAAGGGACGCTCTATATAAGCACAAGTTGATAGACACACAACTAACCCTTCGAGCACGGAGTTGTGATGTGGACAACGTCTGGTCACTAATCATACCAACTCCAAGGTCAGACACCTCAAAGAGCACAGACACTACCCATCAACAATCTTCTAAGCTTTGTCTCTTCCCTTGTCCATCACCATGCCTTCTGCCATTGCACCCAGCGATGACAAGAACGCTGTCTTTGGCGGCAACCCCGCCTCTCGACCACGCCTCCTCAAGCCCCTGACCTACTCTGGCACCTTGGACAACTTCAAGCATGCCGACGTCACTCCGATTATTGGAACGGAGTACGAGGGCCTGCAGGTCACAGACCTACTCAAGGCGGACGATCAGATGATGAGGGACCTTGCTGTCACGAGTATGTCGATCGTGCCATATCTCTGACCGGCCTATTACGCTCACTAACGTATCTATATGTAGTCTCCCAACGCGGCGTTGTCTTCCTCCGTGATCAGGTTCTCACTCCTGAGCAGATGAAGCAATTCTGCCTGCGCCTGACTGAGGTTGCCGGTTGTGTAAGTATTCCATATGATGTGAGTAGTCACTCAGCGTTCAAACGAGTCTAACCCCGTTCTAGCCCGAGTCTTCCGGCTTGCACGTCCACCCCCTGACCGAAGAGGGCAGCGAACTAGGCGACCAGGTCAGCGTCATCAGCAGCGAGAAGCAGAAGAAGGGCGGCGGCTTGACCCATCAGCTCAGCGACGTCAGCCGCTTCGCCAGTGCCGGATGGCACACCGACATCTCCTTCGAGCCTGTGCCGTCCGACTATGCCATGCTCAAGATCCACACTCTACCTGAGACTGGTGGTGATACCGTATGTGATCTCACTTTGCCTCTCTGCAAGCTTCGTGTGAGATGAGGGCTAAATGTGTGCATGCAGCTGTGGGCATCGGGCTACGAGATCTACGATCGGCTCTCCCCGAGCATGCGTGTCTTCCTCGAGGGACTGACGGCAACTCACGACGCAACTTTCTTCCACGACGAAGCCAGGCGGTTGGGCAACCCCATCCGCCAAGGCATTCGAGGGTCGCCGCTGAATAAGGGCGACGCCCTCCAGGCTGTGCACCCCGTCATTCGCACCAACCGTAAGTCTATCGAATGAAAAGTTCACACTCTACCGTCGTAAAATTAACAAGACTTTCTCTTAGCCGTTACCGGGTGGAAGTCCGTCTACGTCAACAAGGGCTTCACAAAGCGGATCAACGGTGTGACCAAGGACGAGTCGGATCTACTGCTGGGTTACCTCTTCAACCTGGTCACCCAGAACCACGATGCACAGGTGCGCTTCAAGTGGAGGAAGAACGACCTCGCCATCTGGGACAATCGCAGCATGTGGCACTGTGCCACCTATGACTACGCCGAGGCGAGAGCCGGAGACCGCGTCTGCTCCCTGGGCGAGGCACCATACCTAGATCCGGCGAGCAAGAGCCGGAGGGAAGCCTTGGGACTATGAGCAATCAATGTGCACCTACATATGACTTCTTTTTGCTATCAAGCCACCAAATTTTATTTATTCATTAGTCTAATATAGCCCAGTTTATCGTTGGTACTTATGGCTCCGATATATTGATCAGTGATGCAGTCTTTGCTCCCCTAGATCTCAATTATGTTGCTTCTGAATCTGGAAGAAACTGCAACGTAGGTCCCTTTTAATGGCCATAAACGGAGCTCCCGGGTTTGGCATGGGTCGTTGCATCCAAGCAGTGACATGGGAGTTGCCGAGGCAGCCATTGCGCTCTCGATTCGAGCCAAGAGGTAGCATAGGACAGGAACGCTTTTGGAAATGGTTGACATTCCCATAGCAGCTGTCTCTTCATGGGATACTCAGGGTACGACTATTGAAGCGGTGATTCTTTTCATAGATACTCAAGTTTGGCCTCTCACCAATACCACATCTCAAAGTGCGAGTGGGGAAGCAATGCTGGGGTAAACATGGGGTCACCATCCATCCAGAGTGCCAACCTCCACATAACCTGGAGCCTGGATCTTGATGTGTGGGGTTCCAGTGGGAACTCTTGATTGGGGCGACTCTGGGGTGGCTGGTCAATATAGGTAAATTCATGATTTTGGCAAACCGATACAGTTTCTACTTAACAAAGCTCGACCCCAAGATGCTGCGATAAAAGTCTACGAGTGGAAATGCGGTAGATAGTTTTTCGATATCTGGCCTGCATATCTGTGGATGCCCTGAGTGCACAACAAGTGGCCGTCTTCTCTTTTCATCAGCACACAAGACCTGCTAGGCCCTTTCGAATGCCCATGGAGTCTTCGACTACCATTCACAAAGATGAACCATCTTTTTCAAAGCCCCCCCAGGTCGAGTATCATGAGACTGTCCTAGTCTGACTCCGCAATAGCTGCTACAACCGAAGCTTGAAGCTCAATGTCTCTGCTTTTCTCTCTCAGCCTGACACTATCAAAATTCATCGCACAGAACTGCTCTAGCGCGTAATGGAAGAGGAAAGACAGTGGGAACACAACTAAATATACAGATTTGTGATAGGAGCGCACAGGATCAGCCGCTCCATCTGTACGGGGTTGGACCCGAACCTTCTGTATTACTATTTGTGTGATTTGTTTGGGGGCGATGCACGGGACACCGCTATCTTCGCCCCAGCGCAAATGGAGGCGTTTCGTACACTTGAGCGAGGAGATTATGCGGTGTGCCGAGCTTCATGACTGGCCATGCGTGATCACACTGCGGCAGACTGTCACCGAGGAAGGCGGCATGAATTATTTGATTGGCTACTCCTCTGGATGAGGGGTAACGACTCGATGAAAGTCACTAGCAGGTGGTTATAATTAGCATCCATCGCCTGGCTGTGTCCAGGCTGTGTACGCTGCCTACCATTTGATGGGGATATATGAACGGAGAGAATTCCCAACACAGATGGCAGGAAGCTCCTTTTCAAACCGACTTCTAGGATAGATATATGTCGATGCTTTGGTCTTTTACAATGGCCCCGAACGCGTTAAAACCATCCTTTTGAAATCCTGCGAACCCTTTGGAAAGCCATCAGGCAGTCCTAGAGCAAATATGGTCACCGATGCATATCGACACGACATCCCACGGCCGCAGGGCACCAGGGACTTGCTCTAAATGTTGACCGCCGTGCAACGCGTGTCCCCGGCCGCAGGCACTCAGAGCAATCTAATTGAATGCTCACATTTCTCAGCTTGGAGCACTGTCCTTGGCCAGTCATGCCTCGTATCGCTTGCGACCTAGTTGCCTTCTTTCTGCCTTGCGCTTGGCAACTCTGAAATTCGGCAGCTCACCACGGCACAATTGGTACCATCCTCGCCGATAAAGGAGCGGATGAGTTACCTGTCTCTTCCGATCGACGCAATGACCTCGATCTTTCCTTGATCCGACTGGTCTCCCTTCCGGGCCACGCCGCCCGACTTCTATGATGCGCCAGGTCAACCCACCCACTCGGCGGCAAGATACCTGAATACCAAGCGCCGGAAGGGATCAAGGATTTCGATTGGCGGTATGAATCTCCGTGTGACGTGTCGCGGAGGAAAATTGGCCCTTTGGAAGGGCTCGGAAGGGCGTATGCGGCTCGCAGGGACAGTGCTGTGGGAGCTCTCGTGGAACGTCTGGATGATCAAAACCGCGGCTCTGAGAGCTGCTCCTGGCAGTTCTTTCTGCCTCAGCGTTTATTCAATCTGAACTGGAATCACAGCTGAACATTCTTTGCCGCAAAACACTATGAGCACAATGGAGAGTGATCACGGCCTGCGGTTCCCGCTCCAGCCTGATACCGCCCACGATCAGACAGTCCGGCATTATGCTACGACTGAGCCCGGACATTCCGACTGCGAGTATGTCATGGGCAGCCTAATCTCCCTGGGGGCCAGTCACTTACATGAAGCAGTTTTCTGGGCAAATTCTCCTTTGACAGTTGCCGCCGAGGCAATCTCGTTGGGATGGTCCTCATGGGCATCTTGAAAGGGCAAGCAGAGGGCCAACTCAGGTCCGCGTCGCCTCCGAGAACTTGGAAATGCCCATTAGTCCGATGCTCTTTCAGGTCCAAGTCCGACGACTTCATGGAGATGATCGACCATCTGCGCGTCTGCGAACGGTTTCCGGACAAGATACACGAGTTCTGGTGCCCTGAATGCATCACGTCCGACCACGCACAGAGGCCCACACCGCTCAAGATTCCCTGTATGGAGAAGTGCCGGTGCTTCGAGAAGAAGTCCTTTACGGGAAAGGCCGTCAAAGTCATCCGCCGAGCATGCTCCATCAATAGCAGCAAGTCAACGCCAAACTCCCCTGTGTCTTATGTCTCATCAGACATGGCGACGACGAGGAGTGTCTTCGGTGATGCTTACTACCCAGACACGGTGATCCGTCCCAGAAGCTGCGAGCCAAGAGCCATTGATCCCCCCCGGGAGCATCCTAAGCAACCAGGAGCCCCGGAGTATCCTAAGCAGCAGGGACTCGCGACAGCTATCACAACCTCTCCGTGCACATACGTGGGATCGGAGCTGGACGCCAAACAAACCCGTGCAGAACTACCCGATAGTCAAGTTGCAGAGATGTATGGCGACCCAATCGAGGTTTCGCCAGTGCATGAGATGGGTTTTGACAGTTCTTCAGCAACCATAATTGGTGCTTGGAACTCGCTCCAGTCCCCATCAGGATTATCGGAAGTCGGGGCATGGTCGACAGATCCTCTCGTGGGCAGCACGCACACCTCCTATGGCTTCCCTCTGGTCCTTGAGAATCAACAAGAATGGGGCTCTGCCCCAGCTGCCCAATTTCTTTCTGACCAACCTCTCGTCGAAGACCCTCTCGAGATGGATGTCTACAGCCCCATTCACCTCCCAAATTCATCGCAGATACTTCCATGGACGTTTGGACACGATAAGGATGTGCTGAGCCACTTTGACACCGCCAATGGCAGCCTTCCCGGCCGACCCATCATTCCACAAGGGGTACTCCAGCCTCAGAATTCCAACACGGAGGAAGACTCGAAAACAAGGCATTCTTCATTCTCTTCCATGTCCACTTTGGCAGGTTCTATTTTTGACAGAGACGCTATCCAGCCTACTTCATCAAGGACGACAAGTCTAGACAGCAATGAGTTTCCCCCACAACTGCAACATAATAGTCGCACCGAGATTGCACAAATCCAGGCGACGTCTCCTATTGCACATGACTCGCAGAGCGAGTTCCATCGGTGTGATATCTGCGGGAAGAATTTTGAAGGTGACATTCACAAGTTCAAAAAGCACCGGAGAAGGCACACTCCGGCCACTTGTCCATATTGCCTACAGAGGTTGAACTACAGGTACAACATTCCAAATCATGTCAATCGTTACCACCCAACAAAGTCTGAAGAGTATGCTTCGATGTCGGGTAGCCGAAGGGGCCGGCGGCTGGGGCATTTGACGTAGAGGGACATGGAGACTGAAGAAGCAACGAGCTGAGTCAGGATTCTCTGCACGTTTCTCATTGAAAAGGTTTCGCTTTTTAGTTTATATGATAGATAACAATCTATTTCACTCTTCATTTAATTTAAGATATCAATCACATAATGCAAAACGTGCACTAAAGCTCAGGACCTGCCACGAGAATGATGCTCAAGAGTATGAAACATTGATCAAGAAGAGATGGCTGTTATGGATAATGCATGTATCTCTTCAGTGGACCAGAGAATTTCAAGTTACACAGCTACTTAATAGGTAACTGCGCTTTTCATATGTCTTGGCCTGAGCAGGGGGAATCTGTCAATTACACTGTGATCCTCAAGCTCTGTTGGAGTAGGTGCCAGAAGTTAACATCAGGGTCCCTGCCAAGAGAAGGGCTTCTGAGAGGGAAGGCCAGTTGAGCCTCGCATAACCCTCATCCTCTCTGTCACACATGACATGCAGGCAAGCCCTTTCCGGCAGGGCCGCAGGACGTGCAGGTACAAAGGCGCTGTAACCTGGCATGACTATGTTACCACAAGTATCATTCGTATTTCCTCATAGCATATTTACCTAGAAGTACTAGCAGATTCAACATCGCGCGGTATAGATATAACGGGCCCTGTCGAGTCTCGAGGAGGGTGCCACTCTTGCCCTTCAAAGCATTGTGCCATTGTATATAAGTTGGCGTGCTGGTTGATGCTTTGACCTGGAGGGAACCTCACTTGCAACATTCATCACCCTAGACATCCAAGCTTTTATCTCGCAGTCTGCTCCAACCTTCATATCGACGGTCCCAGCCTGTTTTGTTCCGGTAGCCAGGTTCTTCGGATTAATACGTCAACATGAACACAGGGTGAGGCCCGTCCCATCTGGTCAATTCAGGAATAGGAGGCAACTAACCTTGTTTATTAAGACACCACGGCAAATCAACCAAACGTGACAAGGCCAAGTTGACAGCCGATGCACTGGCACAGCTCCCAACCACTACCAACCTAGATTATTATCTGTCAAACGAGAAATCCCATGAACAGATTGCCTGCGGTGTGAAGACAAAGAGAAAGTCGGGCCAAAAGCAGTGTGAGGAATTCGAGAAGCGTTGGAAGGATGCTAGTCCATGAGCTACGTAGGTGGTAAATGCAGCCGAAGGGATGAATTGAAAAGTGTGTATTGGGATTTGGATCAACATGAAGGTTTGGCAATGAAGAGAAAAATGAGGATATTGATTGGAGGATTTAAAGAATTTAATCTTTGCTCTTTGAGTAGTCGGCATATCTTGGGATTGATCTGCTTGATGAAGTTTGTCAGACAGACTAGGAGAGTGTGCGGAGTCAGTATTAATGGATTCACTCTAGACCATCGGAAATACAGTTTATTCTTCATAGTCAACACTAAGAGATGTCTTCTCATGTTTCTTCAACGTCGATGTAAGCTCCTCAACCCTGCCCTGAATCAAAGCAACCGCCTCGGAGCCAAGCGGGATCCTGAACCCAAGCTCCTCAACCCCCTCCATCATCCCGGTTCCATCCACAGCCTCCACGATCCTAAGCGCGCACTTCTCGGGGTCGATCCTCTCGGAACCGGCACCTTTGGTGAGCGCGTCGAGCACGTACTCGGCCGGCGTCCCCTTGTATGCCTCGCTCATCTCCGTCTTGCTGCTGTTGCCCACGAACCCCGTCCGGATGCCGCCCGGCTGCGCCATGAGCACGCGGATGCCGAACGGCGCGACCTCGTTCCTCAAGCTCTCGGTGAAGACGTCGACGGCGGCCTTGCTCGAGTGGTAGGCCCAGACCATGGGCACGCAGAAGAAGGCGCCCGCGCTGGAGACGTTGACGATGGTGCCGCCGCCGCCACTCGGTAGCTGCGCGCGCATCAGCGGCACGGCGAGCTGGCACATGCGCATGAGGCCGAAGACGTTGGTCTCGTAGACGCGCCGCACGCCGTCCAGGTCCGCGTCCTCGATGGTCGCGGCCATGGCGATGCCGGCGTTGTTGACGAGGACGTCGACGCGGCCGTAGATCTTGACTGCGTCGGCGAACTGCTGGGACACGGAAGGCGAGGTGACGTCCAGCTGGGCCCATTTGCCGCCCAGAGACTCGATCTCGGCCACCTTCTCCGGAGTTTTGGAGGGGCTCCGAGACGTGGCGATGAGTCCGTGGCCGGCGGCCAGGATTGCTTTGCAGAGACAGTAGCCCAGCCCGGCCGAACAGCCGGTTACGAGGTAGATCTTTCTCTCTGGAGACATCCTCCTGGCTGTCAGACTGGCTACAATCTTTCGGTTTGATTTATGTTATATTTAAGCCGGATCTATTGTTATCTTTGGCTCAATCAGACAACTGCATATATAGCCACACTTATGCTTGTCTCGGGCAGGCCATACTGTCCGCTCCGGGACGGAGTGGTGGTGTTTACGGAGATAACATTGACTTCTCGGTCCACTAACACGAGCTGAAACCCGGTGTGTTCCCGAATCCCCTGGGAATTCATGAACTGGTAACCCGCCATTTTTCCAATCCCTAAGGGATTCAGCATATCTCCCCCCTTAACCGGGCGGGTCTCGACGTCATGCTCACCAGGCAAATCTCAGACCTGCTGTGTCTTTACAAGTTGAGACATACAAGGCGGATGCACATCATTAAACTAACGAGAACATTGATCAGCCAGACTAAATCTCATCACAATTTACTTTCCACCTCGAATCTTCTCAATAAAAGGTCTGGATCCAACACATGGCAGACCAACAAGTGATCTAAAGTGTACAGACACTTTACGTTATCTTCTTTCATTCCATGACTTTATTCCTGCTGGACCACGCATTTGACCATCCCCTTCCTCACCCCGCAACAAATCTCAATCATGTCCATGTCCATGTCTACCTACATCTACATCTCAACCTTGCCCCTTTCCTCATCAACACTCTCATCAGGATCAAAGTCGAGAAGATCCTCGTTGTCGTCCACGGCCTTCTCCAACCCATCACCCAACAGGCCCTCCTCCTCCTCTTCCCCTTGCTTGACCCCTTGCTCCCTCTGCAGCCCATCCTCCAACCGGTCCCCAACAACGCCGCACAACAGCGCAACCAGACTCGCCACACAGGCGCCCCACGCAAGCGGCACCAAGCCGCCTCCCAGCCGCACCTCCATCCCCGCCGGCACCCCCTCGGCACCCAGCAGCGCCACGAGCCTCGCGCCCGAGACCGTCAGCCCCGCCGCCGCAAGGCCCAGGAACCACGCGGCCCCGACCGCGGCCGCCCGCCGGCAGGCCGGCACGACCGCCGCGCACAGCAGGAGCACCGACGCGGCGTAGTAGCTGTACAGGACCCAGGCCGTCTCGAGCGTCACGCCCCGCGCCGGCAGCGCGTCCGCCAGGGTCTGCAGGAAGGGGTCGAGGCACCAGTTCTCCGCGTCGCCGACGCACGCCCAGGTCTGCGGGTCGAGGCCCAGGCGGCGCGCGGCGGGGACGAGCGAGTACGGCAGCGTGAGCTCGCCGCCCGGGAAGAGGCCGTCGACGTCGTAGACGTAGCCCAGGCGGCGCCAGTCGTCCTGCGCCGCGGGATACTTGAAGCCCAGGGCGTTGAGGAACCAGAAGAACTGCACGCCGTAGGCCGGTGGCGCCGGCTCGGATGACGTGGGAACTAGGCCGTTGAACTGTGTGTGGCGCTGTTGCGTGAGCAAGAGGCGTCTCTCATTCCGCGCGCGTCACAAGGCCGGGAGTGACAGGACTCACCGTTGCGATAGACAGGCTCGGCCAGAGGAAGCCGCCTACCTCGTCGTTGTCGTCGCCGTCGACCATGAGCGTGCCCGACATGCAGATGAGGAAGGCCGAGATGAAGGCCAGGGCGCCGAGGGCGAAGCGCAGGAAGCGCAGGGCGACCACGGCACGCCTCTTTGCTTGCGCTTCGCTGACGGCCATAATCTTTATCGATACTCCCAAGACCGGGATGGACAAGTACTGCGGTGCTCAAGTTCCGGAGAGGATAGTCTTGTTGCGACGTGACTTGCATGTATAGTCGAAGATTTCAGGCACAGGCGGCGTGGTCGTTCTGGATTGTGGCAGTGCAAACCTCGTATTCTTACATCCACGCCACCAACACACGGATCCACCACCGTATACTATTAATACAAGTACGGAGTAGAAACGAAACTACAACTAAAGTCGTCAAGTCAACACTGTAGCATGTTTTTAGAAAAAGACAAGTCTCTGTAGAAGCTAGAGTAGAAGGCTCTGGGTATAACATGTTCATTGCTCATTATGCAATCTAAGGCTACACATCTTCATCTCAAAGTAACCTGAAAATAGCAAAGACGCCTATATAACTTTCCCAAACGCCGACTATGCATTACCAAAACTTTTTGATATATACCTTGCTCTCATCTTTTTTCTACGCCTCAGGAGAAGGTTCAACGTCGTACTCGACGTCAGTCCTAATCACATACTTGGCCCCCTTCCTCACCCCCGTCCCTTCGTGAAGCAAGGCGCCTCTGGTCTCGCCGTGAGGGAAGATGGCGACAGCACCCATGACGGGCTTGACAGGGTAGGCGTTGAGGGTGCCCTCCTTGGCCGCCGGCACGAAGAAGGTGGTCTCGCCGCCCTCGAACTCGTCGTTGAGATAGACGAGGAAGGTGAACAGCGAGCTCTGCTTCTTCCCGGCGGGCGAGGCGTCGTAGACGTATGTGTCGTCGGGGAGGATGCCCGACGGCGGCCAGGCCCCGTCGATGTGGCAGCGGTACTCGGCGCCGGGGACGTAGCGGTAGACGCGGAAGCGGCGGTTGATGCCCCTCGCCTTGCGGCCGCCGACGGAGGCCGGGACGTAAGGGGAGATGCGCGACCAGAGGGCGTCGTGGAACGCGGTGTCGACCACCCAGTAGAAATTGTGCGCGAGGATGCTGATGTCGCCGTCTTCCCGCAGCGGGGCGTCGGGGATGAAGTTGACCGTCTCGCCGGCGGCAATGATGGCTTTGCATTCGCTCGGCGAAAGCACGTTGAGCGCCAGGCCGAGACCGGGAACGACGGGGTGGGGTTGGAAGGAGATGGACGGTCCTTGCGAGGCGAGAGGGACAGCATCGGGCGTGGATGTGTAGAGGATGGCTGGGTGATGGTTCGGTGGCTTCCGGTCGACACCTTCCGTTGTCTCGATGATGCGGAGAGAGTCGCCGAGGGTCACGGACTGCGATTGAAGGAGGGTCTTGTCGAGAACGGATGCGTAGACCTCTTCCCTGTCTGTCGACGAGCGAAGATTCCAGACCTCCTGCACAGCAATGGGATCTGAATGGTTTGGCAAAGCCCTTATGTTGCTGTCGGTAGGCCCAACGACACGCAGAATCGCGTCCACCACGGCGAGGCGGTCGAGGTCTTCTGCCGATCGCTTGACAGTGATGTGCCCGTCGCCGCTAGGTTTCGTCGAGAGGCCGCTGATGATGTCGAGGTCGCGGACCCAGCGACACAGAGCTCCCAGCTTGGGCTGCTCGCCCCGGATCCTCATCTCCGCGAGCAGGATCCTCGCCTCGGTGTATTTGCCATCGACTAGGGCTCCCGAGATCCTCGAGGTAAGATTTGCGCCTTCTGTGGGCCAATTGACGTTAGCAACATGTTGGCGCGAGGTGAGTGCGGGGAGGATGAGGGTGCATGCCGGCATTGTTGACGCCTGTGGTGCAAGCCTGGCGGAATTCATGGACGGCTGCTCGTAAGGGCTTGCACGCTTTCGACTTGATCAGGCTTGGAAATTGTGCGAGCTCTGTCAGGGTCACAATGGTGATGTCGAGTTCCTCGTCAGAGACGATGGTCTGGAGGTTCTTGGGCTCAGGTGATGCGCCATCGGAGGGCGGAGGAGTGATGACTGCGCTGGTCTTGAGCTGCTTGTTGGGCAGCTCGGCCTGGGCCTTTCTCTTGCGCTTGGCAGCCTTGGACTTGGACATGGTGCTGGATTATGCGTCTGTCCACTGGTGTTGCCGTGGAAGAAAGCGACATCGAGTGATTGAGAGTTTGGAAATTCTTGGTGAGGCGACAGAAGTGCGGGGCGCATCTAATCTGACTACGCTAAGCCCTGAGATAAGGTACCTAGGTACCTAGGTAGCTTATCAATCTCCATACTACTCCGTACAAGAACCTTTTAAAGGTGAAGCAGCCCTTTTGGCGGCGGGGACCGTCGCTTTGGCTCGGCTGTAGCCACGGCAAAGGCGACCCGACACCACCTGTAGGGTTTGCCAGCCGAGCCAGCGTACCTGACTGAGATTTCCCCGGGAATTTTTCAAGCTGGAGGCCCTGAAGACAGCCCTGGAAAGAGTGGGTTCCAGCCAGTGATGCAATCCAGTCACACCGCATCTCCCGAGATAACCACACTAAACGAATAGGCTACTGTTCCTAGATCTATTCCCGATGTAGGGGCGACCAAGTATTACTCATTCCTCCCTTTTGCCTTCCTTCTTTCGTTGTTTCAAAGAAGAAAGCAGTCTTTGCCTTAGAGTGCTTTGTTGCTGCTCTTTACTCTTAGACTATGACCAGAGGATAGACGGAGAGACAGACACATGGCGGCGGCGACGCCCTTGTATCGCGCCCTCGTGCGGCGCAAGATCCAGTTCTTTCGCTGGCAGCGCTCCCGCAACAACCCGACAAACCAGCAGCAGCAGAAGCGATCGCAGTCCTCCCACAACCATAACAGCAACAGCAACAGCAGCAGCAGCAGCAACAGCAACAAGCCCGGCCATGCCCGCGAGGAGGACCCCGTGCCCGTGCCCAGCACCGTCGCCGCGCTCCCGCTGTGGCAGAGGCTGGGCCCGCTGACCCGCGCCGCGCAGGCCTACGCCCGGTCGCAGCGCAAGCGGCCCTACGTGACCCAGGTCTGCACCTCGCTCGTCATCTACCTGTGCGCCGACATCTCGGCCCAGCGCATGAACGGCAAGGGCTACGACCCCCACCGGACCGTCCGCTCTCTGATCATCGGCGGCCTGTCCTCCATCCCGAGCTATAAATGGTAAGCAGAACCGGAGAGGGAGAACCGGAGAAGAAGAACCGGGTCTCGCCGACGATCGACTGACACTGACCCGTGCTCACGCTTGTTGCCGGCAAAACAGGTTCGTGTACCTGTCGCACAACTTCAACTACTCGTCGCGCATCCTGTCGCTCCTTGTCAAGATCGGCATCAACCAGGCCTGCTTCACGCCCCTCTTCAACACCTACTTCTTCGCCATGCAGGCCCTGCTGGTCGGCGACACCCTGCCCGAGGTCTGGGACCGCGTCCGCCGCACCGTGCCCGTGAGCGTCGTCAACTCGCTCAAGCTGTGGCCCGCCGTCACCGCCTTCAGCTTCACCTTCATCCCGCTCGAATACCGCAGCGTCTTTGCCGGCACCATCGCCGTCGGCTGGCAGACGTACCTGGCATACCTCAACCGGCAGGCCGAGGAGGAAGAGGCCAGGGAGAAGATGGCGCACCTGTCCTCTCATGCTCAGGCTCAGGCTCAGGCTCATGCTCAGGATCAGGCTCATCAGGCTCTCCCCGAGACCATATCCGACAAGATACCCAAGAAGGCCACCGCCTGATCTGAGGCGGGCTTTTCTTTTGCTAAATCAAGTTGCATATGCATTTGCGCACATGGCGTTTAGGGTTGCCTGCATAGACCTTTAGATCATTAAAACATGAGGACAACACATCTGATGAATATTTCGAGAGGAAAAAGATCATGTGGAAAACTTTTCTCATCGTTGCGCAGGGAGCGAATGAGTTCCAAGGTTCTTCTTGGCTGTTGGCTGTACAGTGAGCACATGCCGTAACTGCACTGTGGGGCACCCGAAACGCGCAGCCGAGAATTCTCCGCCAGAATTTGGAGCGAGACCTCTCAGATGATGCCGCTCCGCCTGTGACGACCGCTCGCTATCCGTCCATTCATTATCAACCACGCAAGCCATTGAGTCCTGGCCTGGGTCCAGGCTCCATCCTCGACCATGGCCCTTCCCTATGTGCAAGCGAGGACCGCCCTCTACTCGGCCCTGCGCCCGCTGAGAGCTCCCCGGCTGGCCCCGTCCCTCCGCCGACCACACCACCGGCAGCAGCAGCGCCGCCCCGCGTCCACCTCGTCCTCGTCCTCTTCGTCCCAGGGCAGCACCGACTCCCTCCTCCTCGCGCGCGCAAAGACGGTCCTCTTCGGCACCGCCGCCGCCGCCTCCCTCTACGTGGCCTGGCTCTACGCCACCGACACGCGCGCCTCCTTCCACCGCTTCCTCGTGCCCCGGCTGCTGCGCCTCGCCTTCCCCGACGCCGAGGACGCCCACCACGCCGGCACGAGGTCCCTCAAGACCCTCTACGCCCTGAACCTGCACCCGCGCGAGCGCAAGGCCGACCCCCGCGAGCTGGCCGTCTCCGTCTACGGCGCCCGCCTGGCCAACCCCGTCGGCATCTCGGCCGGGCTCGACAAGGACGCCGACATCCCCGACGTGCTCTTCGACCTCGGCGCCGGCGTCGTCGAGGTCGGCGGCTGCACGCCCCGCCCGCAGGCCGGCAACCCGCGCCCGCGCGTCTTCCGCGTGCCCTCGGTCGACGGCATGGTCAACCGCTACGGCCTCAACAGCCGCGGCGCCGACGCCATGGCCGCCCGGCTGCGCCACCGGCTGCGCACCTACGCCCGCTCCGCCGGCTTCACCGAGCAGGAGGTCCTCGACGGCGCCGCGGGCGTGCACCCGGGCTCCCTGCGCGCCGACCGCCTGCTCTGCGTCCAGGTCGCCAAGAACAAGGACACGGACGGGCGCGACGTCGCCGCCGTCGCCGCCGACTACGCCTACTGCGTGCGCCGCCTGGCGCCCTACGCCGACGTCCTCGTCGTCAACGTCAGCAGCCCCAACACGCCCGGCCTGCGCGACCTGCAGGCCGCCGAGCCGCTGGCGCGCATCCTCGAGGCCGTCGTCGGCGAGGCCGCGCGCTCCTCGGCCCGCGCCGTCCGCCCCCGCGTCATGGTCAAGGTCTCGCCCGACGAGGACGAGGACGCGCAGATGGAGGGCATCTGCCAGGCCGTGTGGCGCAGCGGCGTCGACGGCGTCATCGTCGGCAACACGACCAACCGCCGCGCGGGGCTCGTGCCCGAGGGCGTGAGGCTGAGCGCCCGCGAGCAAAAGGCGCTGGCCGAGACGGGCGGCTTCTCGGGCCCGGCCATGTTCGAGCGCACGCTCGACCTGGTCGGCCGGTACCGCAAGATGCTCGACGGGCAGTCGCTGGCCGGCGAGGAGCAGCAGAAGGTCATCTTTGCGACGGGCGGCATCACCAACGGCGAGCAGGCGCTCAAGATCCTGAACGCGGGCGCGAGCGTGGCCATGGTGTACACGGGCATGACGTACGGTGGCGCGGGCACGGTCACCAGGATAAAGGGCGAGATGAGGCAGCAGCTGGCGTCATAGAAGTGTAAAAAGTGTGCAATTAGCCGCAATCATAGAATCGATTTTGTTTTGTTGTCTGGTCACCCCTGACTGACCTAACCTAGTGCTGTTGCTCCTGACGGCAAGCTTATTCTATCCTAAGTTGAATCTTTTTAAAACCAGTTGTTGTCAATCTGAAAAAAGACACTATGCTCACTTCTGATCTGATCCTGTATCCCAGGTCTATCTTAATGCGAAGAAAACAAACCCAACAAGCACCCAAAGTCTCCTCCAAATCGCCAGCCTCCCAGCAAGTTCCAGGAGACCTCACCTACCTACCTACACGGCCGACTCCATTTGCCCTCCTCGTACCTCCTGACCGAGTTCCCCTTGCACACGAGGCAGTGCATCACGTGGACCCCCTCCCACGGGTGCTCGTAGTGGAACTTGACCGGCACGAAGCTCCCGCAGTCGACCCAGCCGCAGAACCCGCCGACCCAGTCCAACGAGTTGCTGCGCAGGTACTCCATGTCGCGCCACAGCGCCCGCGCCGCGCGCTCCTCCAGGCACTCGAGGTGGTCCCGCAGGTCGAACCTGCGGCCGCAGCAGGTCGAGCCCGCGACGCGGAACGCCACGTCGTTCGCCTCGTCGAAGACGCGGTCCAGGGCCCGCCCGTCCGCCACTTGCTGCGGCTGCGGCATCATCGGGCCGCCCGCGACCGCCGCCGCGGCGTCCAGCGCCGGGACGGAGTCCGGTTTCGCGAGGCCCGCGGCCTCGCGCAGCCGGATCCAGCGCCCGATCTCCTGCTTGCAGGCGCGGACCGTCGTGCTCACGGCCCGCGCCGCCGCCACCAGGCACGCCCGGCACAGCACGTGGCCGCAGGGCAGCACGTGGACCCCGCCCTGCGGCAGCGGCGCGCGGCAGTCCCGGCAGGGCCAGTGCGGTGCTCGATAGACGTCGACGGCGGCGGCGGGGCCGCGGTCCAGGATCTCGCGGTCTCTCCCGGACAGCTCGTGCGAGCAGGACATGTTCGCGCCGCACGAGGTGAAGACGGGGAGCTTCTCCGCGACGTCGAAGGGCGGGGGCAAGGGGTCTTGGTTCGGCAGGACCGTGGCCGCTGCGCCGCTGATGCGCGAGCGGAGGAAGGCGCGGAGGGTATGGACAGAGTCAGCCCTGGCAGCAACAGCAGGGGCTTGTTGCGCGGCCAGAGCATGGGCTGGTGACGCAGCCGCGTCAGGGACCGGTTGCGCCGCCGCGTCGGGGACCGGTTGCGCTGCGTTAGGGTCAGGCTGCGCGGCAGCAGGGGCTGCTTGCGCCTCGAGAGGAGCAGGCTGCGCCTCGGGAGGGACTGGCCCTGGCGAGGCTCTATTAGCTTCATCCATGGCGGGCGATATCGGGGTGGGAAATGAGAATCAAGCACAAACGGCCTGTTTTGACGTCTTCCAGAAGACTGCTGCGGCCGCTTTGCACTTCGCGTGGAATGCTATAAGTGGCCGCCGGTTACCTTTGGCAAGTCAATCCAATTGGTAACTTCAAGGATCAGCCTCCTCTTACTGATGCCCCTTGGCAAGACTTTGCTTGAGTTCAATGAATTTCTTCCAATTGTGAAGGTGGCATTGCTCTTATAAGTTGTTGGTCCAAGATTGAAAGCAACAAGGTTCATGTGGGCGGACGAGACAATGAGGATAAAGAAATTGTTTGCACACAAAGCTGGCCCTTGTTTTCTGTTGTCTTATATCGAGGACAAAGATGTTGAGCAGACAGATCTTTGTTGTCCAGTGATTCATCTCGCGGGTACCAAGCTTTTGTTCCACTATGAACACTCGACACACACCCTTCTACACCGACACAGAGTTGGTAGTGCTATTGCAAAACGTCCGTGAATCGTCTAAGCTGACCAATAGATCCGTTATAGACTTGCATTACAGAGAGCATTGTTTCGGATTTCTTGTTCGGATATCACGTCGTCAACGAGGCTGCACCTTGTAGTGCCAGCCTTTTGCAGATATCAAGCTACATTGAAACATTTTAGTAACATGACTTCAACCACTATTCGTATATTTACGCATCGCCAGCTATAGTTAAGACATGCCGACTTGATAATAGAATAATAATGTCGTGTCGACACAGAGGCCGGGAGCAACATCGAGGCATAAGGCATCCTCTCTGAGGGAAAGTAGTGCTTGCCGGAGTAATGACTTGGGGAATTATGAACCAGACCAAACCTCGATCTGTAATTGTGTGACCCGACAAGTTTGTCCCCAGGGTTGCCATCTCATTTCAAGGCCAAGGCACTGAAGAGTTTCTTAGCTGGTTTCATGTTTAGTAACACTGGAAGCTTTCATATTTAGTATCACTGAAAGATGTTCAGTCACGTTGTCGTTCTCACCGATTTTCCATCTACCTGGCACGAGGTCGGTATCCTGGTCATGGAGTGGACTGGACTGTGGCCAAGACCGTGCCGAATTGCCCGTGCCGTTGGTAACGCCCACCACCAACCAGTCACAACGCGAAAACGAGACAACCAACGTCACCCCTGAGTGGCATGATTCCCCAGCACTTTAACCGGTACCGAAATGAGTGAGGCTCAGGCATTTTGGTTCAAGTACGCACTATACATAGCCCCAGCCATCTCACCATCATGCCGGGCGTTTCTCCTTTGATCTTCGGTCCGCCGAGCAGTTGTGATGCTTTTCAAATCTGCCACAATTCTGCGCAGTGTCGCGGCGCTCTTGCTCCTCATAGGTGAGTGGCGCAACCTTCTTCCACGATCTGAACCCGACCTTTGACCAGGTAGCGACAGGGGTCGCGCAGGCTGCTCAATGCGGCAACGTCACAATCAGCAGCGCTTCTGACGCCGATGAGGTGCGGAAGCAATGTACGGCGCTCGAGTCTCTGCGCTTCTCGAACAATCTGACCGAAAGTGTGAACTTGGACGGCATCGAGACGGTTGGCTTCGTCTACCAGCACGATGACTGCTGGGGTGGAGATGGAGAGCAGGGAGACTGTCGCACGGTGCCTCCCTTTTCAATATCGTCGTCCACCCTCACCAACATCACTCGCGGCCTGGAATTCGGCCGCTTCGTCGGCTTGCGGGAGCTGTCGTTGCCCAACCTCGCGTCGGTCGAGGGCGACTTCCGCATGGGCCGGATGCACCAGCTTGAGGTGATTGACATCACGAAACTCGTGAGGGTGGGATCGCTCATGATCGAGGCTTACAAGCTCAAGACCATCCGACACGAGAGGTTGGATGAGTTGACCAGCACTTTCGGGGTAGGCGGTGTGAGCCTCTGGGACGTTGGCTCTGTCGACTCAGTCGACAGCTTCTTCAAGAACCCTATCCGCTCGAACGAGACAGACCTGCCTCCAACTATATCGCTCAGATCCGCTACGATGCCTAAAGTCAGAGCCGTCACTATCGGATGGTCTAGATTGGCATCGCTCAGCATCATAGGCGACGATGTCTCCGTCACATTGGGCGGTGGCAGCACCGACTCTATCGAGATTGACGAGATCAAGCTAATGGGCAACTTTTCCGCGTTTCGACGGCATCCCTCGGTCAAGAATCTTACTGTTGGCTCGTTCAAGCTCGAAGCATCGAAGACAATGCCTACGGAAATCGACCTGCCCTTCGACCAGGTCTCCAACATAAGCCTGTACAATAATGAGAAACTGCAGACGATCAACTCCACGCCCAAAGCAGTCGGGTGGAACCTCTCGCAACTCAGCATCTACTACAACCCCAGCCTTTCTCTCGATTCCGAGAACCGCCCAGGCTTGCAGTGGTACTGGCCACGAGATCATGACCTTTGGTGGCTCGCTATTTCGGATACCAATATCTCGAATGCGTTCTTGTGAGTACGGCTCGAGTCGAATCTGGCATGGCTAGCAAGCTGATGTGCCGTATAGTACTTCCTTTCTCGGCTACCACGCAGCAAGCGATGGCCGAGGGCCCAAGGTTCTTGGAAGCTTCGACGTAGAACCGCGATATAAGCAGCCATTGCCTTTCAACTGCACGCCGTTTTCGGACTTGAAGGCTCGCGGCGTGTTTCCTGGACATTTCCGCTGCCTTGATCAGAAAGCCAACGGCGCTGCTCTGACTACAATTCACAGTTACCTGGCCATGGCCACGATGCTGCTTACTGCGTTGCTTGCTCTCATTTGATACCCAGTCTTAGACGGATGGTTGGCTATGAACAAAGAGAATAGCTGGGAATCCACTTCTCGTCGTCCATACTTCTCTAACGAGCCTATTCCGTGTGATGCTAAGAGTACTTGCCATTATTACCCCTGGCAATCATGCGAGACCTAACACCACGGGCGGCCCTAAGGGTCAGCAGAGAATCATGTGCCAACTAGGATGGACCTATTCATTTTCTTAACGAAGCTGGAACTCCTGGACAGATGCTGAAGTCCTTTACCAGGGGTCAATTTATAAGGCATCGTGTGGTAACATACGCTGCCCTATCGCAGCGTACCGAGACTACATGTAATCCTGACAAGGTCGAATTGGATTTGACATATCTCCTTGAAGCTCAAAACCAGCCGCCTTCGTTTCAACAGGGGTCAAAGCCAGTAGAACCTCTTGAGCACTTCTCGAAGGAACGGAAAATAATCAAAATACAAATCGAACTTGCCTTGTTGATCATATCAGGATCCAGGAATATCGATGTTCAAGTTGATAACGAAAGTTCAGCTTTCTATTAAAATTGCATCCTTTACGACCTGATCTCAACGTCCTAACAGGTGAAGTAGAGAAATACGCTTGCAAAGACTTGGAAAAAAAATACAACTCCAATCCCATTCCCATTCCTAATTCCTTCATAAGTTTCACGTCGATATACGTTTGCCAGAAACACGCTCCATCTCGTTTGCAAAGAAGCTAGCATTACCTGACTTCACAGAACCATCACAACATCCACTGGCTCGCACATCTCAAGGCCGACTACCCGCGGCTGTCCTTCCAGCCCTCCTTATATCAAGATCCTCCCTAGAATAGTCACAACTGAAACCATCTGGCCCACACCCACGAACTCGGACTCAGGGTTATTACCAGTGTCCGAAGGTCTGAGCCATCCCGATTTGTCGACCCAGTTCCGAAGACTGAAGACGTGGTAACACGAATACGTCGTGACAGCGAAGCAGAAACACCACACAAAGACCCAGATGAGTATAGTAAAATTTGCACAGCAACGAGGACGTTTCTGTTTTCGAGGTTTGTTCGCTATTGAGTCGTTGATGCCCACCTCCCACTTTCTGTTGAGCCACCAGTATGCCCCCTGCCAGACCAGGGCGAACAGGAAGCACACGGTCAGCGCGCAAGCCAAGCGGAATTCCAGCATTTGCGAGGGCGAATTGGCATTTTCGTAGGGTTCGATGCCACGCAAGATTTCTGTGCGATTTTCTAGTAGAGCGTATGGCCTCACGTGTCTGTCGAGAAAACAAGCCGTGGGGAGCAGCATCATGCTGCTCGTTGTGTTGCCTCGCGGGTCGCGAGCGGGGAACCGGCCATCCTTTACGTTGGCTTGGGCCAGCAAGTTGACGATGCAGAGGATGAACACGGCAGCCATGAAGAGGGTCCGAAGGATTGTGCTGAGCATCTGGCGCGCGCCGCTACGGCCCCAGAACTCCGGGAGCCACAGCGCAATCACGACAAAAGTGGCACAACAGGTTAGGTTCATATACAGGACGACGCGGAAATGATACAGCAGGATGATGCATCGCGAGCGTAGCCAGAAGTTGATACTGTAGGCAAGCATGAGCAACATCTGTGCATCCGCAAACGCTACCATGGACGTCAGGAGGACCTCGTTGCTCTCGAAGCGTTTGGATCTGCGGTGTGAGACAAATTATTAGTAAAGCCGCCCTGGTCGCCTCCGTCACTGCGTGCGTTGGGAGAATATTCTCTTACGGGCGGCCGTCTGATACGTCTATTGCAGGTTTCGAGGCTTGGCCCCGAAGGCTGAGACCATAAATACGGAAGGGCAAGCCCGACCTGTCATGTAGGTGCTTCAGACGGAAGCTGCTCTTGAACATAGCGATGAGTCCAAAGATGATAGTCAAGAAGCAAGGGGCGAAGAACCCGACCAAGACCTGATTACAAAGTGCCAGTCAATGAGAAAGCAACATCAGACATAACAAGAAAGGCATGATGTATCTTGTTGACCTACGCCGATACCTGCGATGTCAGGGTCGCCAGGCAACTGACTCCGTTTGTAGTCACCAAATGCAGAGATAGTTCCGTTAGGGAAGGATTCAACGTCGCATTTAATCGTTTTCCCTGTTATCCGTAGACAATCTTCCCCCAGTTCGATGGAGAACATGGACCCCATGGTGGCGAAACTAATGCTCCTGCCAAGCTATTGACGAAAGTGAAATTGGAAGTAGAGGTGCGGTGCGAGTGTAGGAAGAGGATAGTGAGAAGAACTGGAGACTGGTCCTTGTCATCAAGGATTTTCTGGGATTTAAATACTCGGGCACCACCAGAATGCCGTTCTTGTGCAACCTCAAGTCTACACTTCAAGGCCAGAGTGTGATGAGACGGCCCAGGGGTACGGTTTGGAAACATGGTTGTTCAGCTCTCGACTTGGCATGAACTATTTATGTCACTTCTGCAGTGGAGGAAGGATCACTGGGGACAATGTTATGCGCGCGTTGCGTACAACCTCTCGTTGATTGGGAGCCTTGTGCGAGGACGGCCATACTTCGGGCCAGGCTGTAACGGCACAGCCCCTTGCAGATGTTGAGCTACCCAAACCCAACCAACTAGCCGGCCACCCAGACTCGTCATTGCTGAGCTAAGATGCAAGTGCATACTTCAACATCGCTACGGCGAGTGCTAACTTCAAGGCTGGCCACTCTCGAATAAGCATGATTTGCTTCCTTTTTTGGACTACAGGACCGAGAATTGGCAAGCGATTGAATCAGTATTCCGTCAGTCCTTCTATCCTAATGATACCCGTCAAGAACTACGAAGTAACTTATCTAATCCCCTTGAGCTATGAATTCCCTACAAAACAGAGTTGCATGTCATGTCATGTTAAAGAGCAAAACCTCCTGCAGAACAATGAGTGAATCCGGACCATTTTCCAATAACCCAACTGCGAGATAATAGACCCAAAAATTCGCGCCAGTCCAATCAAACGAAATATCTTTTTTTAAACATTCTGGTTGTGTGTGCTATCCATTTGCTCTTCATCATCATCACATGGCACATTCGCGTCTACACTCGACAGCGCAGGTTCAGTGTGCACAATGGTGAATTCCTGGCTCGTGAACCCGCCAACCTGTACAAATCCAATGGCCTGATATGGGTCTTCAGACATTCCCTGAGCAAGCCATCTATCAAGAGGCGTCACACCGTCAGGCAATGAAGCAGTAGCGAAACACTGAGGCTCGGTGTCGTGAACTCTGTTGTTCTTGTTGTCGTCGGTTCGGTTACGAGGGATAGCCATCATCCCGACTGAGGTAGGGGTCGTATCCGAGTCGGTATTGAGTGGCTTGAGTCCCTGTTCGGATGTTGTATGATCTCGTGAACTTTTCGGGCTGCTGTCCTGGGCCTTGTCTCTCGCCCGGGCCTTTTTCGGACCATGGGACGGGAACTGGCTATCAGGGTCCTTCTGCAGCAAACCGATCAGTAACCATGCATGGCTAAATGTCAAAGGAGAGCTATGCCTACGGATTTGGAGGACATCAGTCCACGGCGAGCAATGAGGGTTTGGTCAATAAAGAATAACCTGTGTCCCAGGATAGGGGCGCGGTGGTTCAAAAACGATTACCTACTCGACGAAATGAACAGCCAGCTCACTTGAAATGACACTAGACTACGTCTCTTCTTATACAGATATTCTCTCTCGGTCCCGCTCCCAACGATCCTCTCACAAGCAAACGAACTTTGAGGCAGATTCTACAAATTACTATGCGTGAAAAGACATTTTGTAAGTAGTCCAATCAGGTCCCTCGATGTCCGGGACCGAGAAGATCTAGAAAGGGGGTTTGGAGATTGTCCAATCAAGTCTCGAGCGCTAGGCGGGATGATGCTGTCGAATCTGGCCCCTTCAGCGTCACTGTCAGCCATCTAAGCAACCTATGTTTCGGGACCGACGGGTGGCCCCGCACATTCCGTGCTCGGCCAATGAATGGCGGCAAACTCGGCACTGGGCTGGAGACGGGGCCGGCCGGTGGTCAGCCTGGATGAGGCGAAGGGTTACTTCGGAGGCTCTGTTTTGAACGCCATCAGACATTTGGCCCCGAGCCAATAGAATCTTCGACAAAGATCATGGCAAAGAATACACACTCAGGGGCTGATAAAAAGGGTCGTCATGCCCCGTCTGATTCATCTCGTCGAGCAATTCGATTCAGTCATCCATACACAATGATCCAACTATCCGTCTAACTTGCATTGACTCTTACATATTATTGAGGAAAACCTGGCTACTCTTCCATAATAAAATAGTATCTGTCCAACAACTCTTGTGGTACAGTACACCATGCCGCGGAAAAACACATCGAGGGACGAAGGGAGCAAGCTTGACGAACTTATGGAGGAAGTCGTCGAGCTCTATAAGACCAAACCCCTTGATAAGGTGGTGGAGGAGATAAACAGAACTCATAACTTGCGCGCTAGGTAATTCCGACATGCATTCCGAAACACCGTCAAGTTGACTCTAAACGAGAACTATTAGCAAGGCACAATACCGAAAACGTTTGGACCGGCTGCGTGTGACGAAAAACGTGTCCCAGAGGGATGCGCTCGCCTGGATACATGCCGGACGAGTGATTCGCGATCGTTCCAGAAGGAAAAAAACAGTCAATGTCCTGTATAATGGCCGATCATATTCCAAGGACCAAGCACAACGGGTTCTGCGACGACTAGATGCCCCTACGCTGGCCGAGAAGTATGCACTCAACCAACATGGTAAGTTCCGTCTAGCCCAAACCATTGGCCTTTCGCTAACGATGCATTAGTGTCAGTCCATAAGAAGAGCATAGGGCCGTCTCCTGAGAGGTCCCATATCGTTCTTGTAAACACCTCACCGCGACATTCCATGCCTCCCTCGCTTTCACCTGAGCTATGTGAATATTTTCGCGAGATCTACTATGCGTCCTGGCCAAGCGGACTCACTTTATCAATGCCCTTGCCGCGAACGATGGATTGTAAGGGAGAAAGAGGGGCATATAAATGAAAGCAATATGTGCTGACAGGTGATCATCAGGTTTGACACAAACTCTTGCTTACTACCGAGCGAGCGGGTTCTTTGACCCGCGCCATCTGGCTCGCGAACTGTTTCTATCAATGCCACAGCAGGACGCAAGAGAACCCGTCGATGCTGTACAGAACTTACTGAGAAAGGTTACTTGCAGTGACCAAGAGGCCATCTCAATTCTCAAGATCATGGCATTCGCAATAGCCAATAATATTCATATTGGGATGCCGAGCCATGAGGTTCTGTGTGATTTATTTCACCGAATCAGACATCAAAAGTCGTGGCTTAGAGGTTTATTCCAGTCTCGAGTGGCAGTCACCAACGCTTTAGCCCATGCCTTGTTTGCTAGTGTCTTCCGGCAACTTGACGTGGCTGTGATCGAGGATTTTCTCGATGCAGGTGCTGATTATACCTACGGAATGACCTCGAAAGTCTCAAGCCTCTTTCACGCCAAGGATTCGATGTTAGTCTATTCTCTATTGAACAAGTCTCTGCTGGTGGCCAAATGCTTGTACAAGCGCGGAGCGCCTTGGGTCATAGCGCAGTCTCCGACGGCGAACCCTATTCGAGATCTTCTTGGCTCTGAAGCAGCCCCTTGGATTGTGGAGGATGATGTTTGGGATTTTATTGTCCAGGCATATCCATCATACTACGAGGAAACTCAAGCATTTCTAAACGAGGATCTCCCATATGTGACTAATTGGGCCGTTGTGCAGAGGCTCCTTGGCCATGTCTGTGGCCCGACCTCTCCGGAAGGCTGGAGACGACTGATACTATATTCGACGATACTTCAAGGAAGTTCAATTTGTATCCCAAACCGTGATAACCCAGTGACCTTAACCCACCTTGAGGAGTCCTTTGGGGTGTCAGCTATCGCCGGGGCGCTGAGAGATGCAAGCACGAATGGGAAATCGGAAACCGAGACTCTTCAAATCGTCAAAAGATTGCTCTCCATGGGGGCCGACCCGAACTATCAGGACGTCATAGGACAGCATTGCAAGAATCCCGTGGAACTGGCAGCTACATGCAATCAATGGAGCATCGTTGAACTACTATTAGACAATGGTGCTTCTATGGCAGATGCTTGGGCTGCAATCACAACGATGCAAGTATCTCTGTCAGAAGTTCCCAGGGGCCTCTTGGATAGAGCACATGATCTTCAGCTGTGGGACTTTCGTATGGCGGTCAAGAACGGAGAAGATCCAGAAAGCGTGAGGCGATCTCTCGCTTGGGACAAGAGTCTCGAACTGAGCTGCCCTTTAGAAGGGGACTTCGATTCGCATCTCGTGTATGTTGTCGACGAGGGCTACTTGAACTACGTTGACGTAATATTTCGGGCCTGCCCTGCTCTGTACGACTGCCGAGCACTGATGTGGACCGTTCTGCTGTTCTTCGGAGAACATGGAGGTCCGCAACACTTTGAGATCATTGAGAACATTCTGCGCCGTCGGCAACCCGGCAAGGAGCCCTGTGCCAACGAGGGAACCGCTTTGGTCCTGGCTATTTGCGGGGGGTCACAGCAGTTGATACGTCGCTTTTCTGAGTCTGGCGTCCAGCTGCACGAGACACTAAAGACGCACGATATACTATCTGAACCCGGCTCAATGGAAGGCTATCACACTATCCAAATGGTAGCGGACTTCAGCGGCATGATGTATAACCATCTCGCCAGACGGGGCTGTAAAGGGGCTGATCTCCACTTTGCGCTTGACTGGGCCATTTTCCTCCACGGGACTGAAGGAGTCAAGTACATGCTCGACCTTGGCCTTAAACCAGCCGAAAGGCATATGGTGAGGGCCGCTGGATCTGGAAAGGTGGATCTGCTTGAGACCCTGATCCAATATGGGGGGAGTGTCTCGGAACCGACTACATATACCGAGTCGTGTCTACAGCGGGCATGCAGATTTGGATGTCTGGAGATGGTACACAAGCTGCTTGATTTAGGGGTTGCAGTGAATGACCAAGTGGGAACCGTCAAGATCGGTGGTCAGTGGTATCATAGAACGACATTTCAGTCCGCTGTGGAGAGCAGCAATATCGCTCTGTACGAGGCATTGATTGACCGTGGCGCCAACGTCAACGAGCCAGCAGGGAGAGTTCGGGGGGCAACTGCACTGCAGCTTGCAGCAGGGAAAGGCTGGCTTATCATTGCTAGGCGATTGATTAACCTAGGGGCTGATATCAACGCTCCAGCTGGTGAAATACACGGAAGAACAGCTCTGGAGGTAGCTGCTGAACATGGGCGCCTGACAATGGTGCAGTTTCTTCTGCACACAGGGGTGTCAACGACTGGCAATGAGCGAAGGCAGTATATTCGGGCAGTACAACTGGCTGCCAAAAATGCATACCACACGATTGAGAAGGTTTTGAGAGACCATCGTGAGTGGGAAAAGCGAGACTGGCAGATTCACGAGGCTCAAACTCTCGAATACGACAGTGGCGAGGAAGATGAAGAATATGACGATGAGAACGACTTCAGTGACGAGGATTCAATAAGTTCGATGGGGGAGGAGCCTGATTTGGAGACAGGATCTGGCTCTCACTCTCTCCATGAGAATTTCATACTGCCGATTGAGCAAGTTTCCTCAGTCGGACCACACGGAGGAGACGGGGGGATGGACTGGGTCCTTGTGGAGGGCGAGAGCAACGGGACTACAGAGGATTCGACTGCCAACAACACTTCAGGCTCTGGCCGTACGCAGCCTCAGGCTCCAGCCTTCGAGGACGCGGTGGTCTTATATAACGACCCCCATTGGAGCAGTGACTGGGCCAGTTCGTCCTGGGATGACCCTGAAAGCGTTCTTGCACCATCTACTTCTAATTTGTCTGAGGTTGATACTTTAGGTTTCTATATGCACCTGGTACAGGACGGCTCGATAGAGTCGGTCCACGAGCTTCCTAACGGTCTTGGCGGCGATACAGGTCCTCTTTTCGATCGCGAGGACGCTCATATATTCGGCACGGACGCCTATTTGGAGGTGGATTACGGACCGTGGTCCCAAACATTTGATCCGACTGCTGAAGCTTCAGGGTCAGGAAGCACAGATATGTTTTCTTGTGGGGAATGTGGGAATGTATTGGAACTGTGTCATTGTATCGACTTCTCATTCCTGGATGAGTTGTGACTGAGCACATGTTCAAGATTGACATTAGTGAATAAAATGAGAAGCCTGTCGCTTTGCTCGTTCCGTCTGCACTTGAGCAGGCTGGTCTATGATGATGTGATGTTACATGATTAGGTCCGGTCTCCCTCTCTTTTAAGTGTGCACCCACTTCATCGTGAGAATTCTTACACATTCGCGAGCATGCAGCTTGCGCAAATTTACAGAGCTTGGCGATTCGCGGAGCTGCGCTGCAAGAGCCTCAGCCTTAGGATCAGCAACCCTGATACACTCCTTGATCGCGTCCATAACAGTGCCCACAGGAGGCACAGGCGGTTCCTCTTTGAGCATCTCCTCGAAACAGTCCCGCAACGCATTCAGGCAGCGCACCTCGTGGTTGGTGCTCGCGAGCCGTCGGTACATGTACTCGTACATGGCAGGCGATCGAGGCTTGCGGTATCGGGGCGGCATGCGCCAAACCTCCCAGAACCTGTCCCAGTTGTCCTGCGCCGCGTACGCATCGAGCAGCCGGAGGAGCTGTTTCTCGTCCGGACAAGGCAGTTCAACTTGCTTCATGAAATTCTCGAGGACCTGCTGGAGGCTCTCCGCCTCTGCATACTCGGCCGTGACGAGGCTTTCCACCATGCTCACGATGACATCGTTGGCAATGAGCGGCTCTCCGCGTTCAAACATTGTATTCAACACTTCCAGGGCGAGGGCAGACCGCTCCTGTACGTGCAGCTCGTTGTCCACCTCGGGGGAGTATATGGCACGCAGAAGCTGCAAGTACTGCTCGCGGGTCACCGCGACTCCCGACGACTGCATCTCTGCGATCAGCTGTTTGAGCCCAGCAAATGTGAACTCGGGTCGGCCCAGGATGCGCGCAGTAGAGTGTAGCCACGCCCTGAAGCTCCAAGTGTCGGCTGCTGGTATATTGCTCATGGCCAGGCGGCAGATCTTGAGGAAGCTCGATTCCGGGGTCGGCTGCAGATTCTCAACAGCGGCGGCAGGCGGAAGACTGGCGAGATACGCCTTGGCATTCTCCAGCAACTGTACTTTCTGATCAACATCGTGCGATAGGGCCCTGGAGAGGCGTGACATACTGTCCTGGTCTAGATTCGGCTGCGACACAAGAGACGCGATATCCTCCGAGATCGCAACCTCGGTCGAACGGTGAGCTGAGGTAGAGAGGAAGCGACGCAGCGAGGGCTGAGATAGTTGCCTGTTGCCCGCTCCGTAGTCAGGTAGACGCGTCTCGAGTCGAGCTAATGACCAAGGGTTCTCGTCATCGACATCAGCGACTTCGGCAGCTGCGTACTCAAGCTCTCCTCCATCAACCGCGGCAGCCTTTTGGCTGCGTTTAAGCATGCGCGTCCAGAGGGTCTCGAGATCCAGGTCCTTTCTCTTTGCCTCTGTGAACATTTGGATAACAATGGTCGTGCCTAATTGGGGGGTGCCGAACCCGGAATGTCTGCCCTCTTCGTCGACAACCTCCTGTTCTTCGGCTGCCCAGCCAATAGTGCCAAGATTGACGCAGATCCACCGTGTAGAGATACCATCATCCTCGCCGGGTGCGCGGCCCCTATTTCCCAGCAGGGCTGCCTTGCGAGCCTTCCTCCGCAGTTTGATCTTCAGCTCGTTCCTCCCCAACAGGCCATCTGCGCTGGCATGGATGCCATAACCTCTAAGCCATCGTACGAGGCGATCCGCCGAAACGTGAAGGTGGCGCTCGCTGCGCGCGGATCCAAATAGCATGAGAAGCTTTGGTCCTAGGGCGGGTGGAGGGTCGAGCGATCGCAAATCGAGGAGATTGAGCTCGTCAAGGCCCAGATCATCGCCAACAAACTTGATGAGAGGCTCCACTACGGGAGGAGCATTGGGCGGGACATCAGGCAAGGGAGCCTGTGGCTGCGCGACAGTCGGATGCCTTGGGGGTTCGACTTCTAGATACCAGGGTACTTCAGACGCATCCTCGGCCTTCTGTGCCTGCTCAGACTCGATGATGCTGGGCCGGGGTTGGGCCAGCGCCGAGGCGTCTCCGTTCAAGGTTTGTGTGGCCGAGTTGGGTATGGTCGACGAAGAGAACCTCGAGGAGATGGGCGGTATTTGCCGGACAGGCTGGCGCAGATGTCGAGGTGCAATGGCTGGCATCTGCCTGCCCACGAGGGAGCCGAGGAGGCTCGAACGGCAAGCTGGGCAGCCAGCTGCCTTGAGGGCAGACGGTATCATTGCTGGATGTCCGATCCTGACACTGAATCTTCCGCTAAGCTAGTGATGAGCTTTTTTGAAAACGACGTGGAATTTGCGTGACTCCAGCAGTTCCGAGGAAATTGCTTGTGCCGGAAGTTGAGCTCTTGAAAGCTGTCTCGTCCCATGAAAATTATCAAGCCAATCGATGAATCCATCCAATGTATGGGATGTCTGGGAAAGTGGTGGCTCGTGCTTGTTCCACTGTATTCTGAGACCAGAAGCATCGAACAGGGAGCGCCCGGAACTAAGATTGCCACCAAATCAGCGTCCCCGCTAGCAGACTTTGCGTCGCGACGGCGCTACGACACTCCAGATTTCAGGGATTTTAGGGGGATGAATGCTGCACGTGATGGCGATCCGCAGGAATCCCTTCTCAGCCAATGGCGTGACAGGAAATAGACAGAGTGTGGACCACTGCCGGACCTGCAAATGGCAAATTTTCGAAAGCTCTAATCTCCTTATCTGAATCTCTAGAGAGGTCCCCTTCCTCTGCAAATTATCACATCACTCAAATCGACTGACTTTGTTGTTTTTACTTGTACCAAAGTACGATTCCTTTCAACCTTTAATACCCATTGTTCTTTTAATGTTTTGATCTGTCCCTCGTCCATCCCCAGACCTCACGGTTCTGTCGGGATTCTCTCCACACTCCTTTTTCCACCTCTGCCGGTCGCGTGAGCATCAAGATGCTCGTCCGATCAAACAGCTTCCGGCACTCGCTGGCTGTTCGCAGGTTACACTCCTTTGCATCCACTCCGGCGATCGCGGGATGCTTGACAAGACCGTCATTATCCGCTGGACCTAGTCTGCATGCATCCTCTACAGAAGACCTGCGACCATGGAGGCCAAGGTTATCACGAGCTGGTACAAGCTTGCAATCCCTGCGCACCTTGGCCACAGCCATAGACGATTACAAGACGATCGATGACATACCATTCGAGCACCTTCCCGAATCCAGATACCCACTGCACACTTCACAATCCTCACCCCGCGTCTACGACTTGCGACCATTCGATGTTTCGTCGCCTCTCATGGTACGAGAGCGAAGCACCCAGATCGCACGGCAAAGGATCAACACCAATGGCATACCTGGCGACCCCGACGAGATGCTGTCGCTCTTCGACGCATGTCTGCAGGTCGGCAAATTGCATCGGGCGTCGCTCATTCTGAAGCGTATGGGCGGCATGGGCGACTCTCCTGAGGTCGATCTCATCAGTCTCCATAATCGATATCTTCGGGCATCGCTGGAGAGGCTCTTGACGCAACCAAATCTAGGGAAAGCGGAGGAGCTTCACAAATGGTATGAGCTGCAAATCCGGAACAAAAATATACCGCACACACCCGAGACGGTCGCTTGCATGCTCAAGGCATCTCTTCTCTCGTCCCGTGGATCTCGCCTTCAACGCCTTATAGATCGGTATATGAGCATGGCACCTGGGGACGCTGGCCTAGAGGTCTTGTACATGACCGATATCCTGACCGACCAAGATCGAGCCACCATTACCGAAGTCTGCCAAAGATACAACCTTTCTCCGGGAGAGGAGCAGCTGGCTGCAGAACTAGCCAATTCTCCCGTAGCCGAGAGCGCCAACTCTGTCGAAGCAGAAAGGGTTGACTCTGCCGTGATCCCCCCGGTTCTCAGCACTCCGCAGAAGGGTATGGGTCTCCGCATGATCAAGCAGACCCTCTCCCTGTTTTCCGAGATTCCCCAGGGACGAGACATCGCGACCCTCAGCCTTGAGGAGAGGAAGGAAATCCAGTCTCGGCTGGAACGTGACTGCGTTGATGCTGCTGTCGATCGTTGGCGCGAGGAGAACCAAGCCTTGCTAAAGATGGGACTCAACACTTCATTGTCCAGCGCCTCTCTGAACTCGAGGTTGTATGAATGGCAGCGCGACCTTGAAAACCGCCTGACCCGCGAGATGGAAATGGTTGACGCCGCCGAGGCAGCCGAAAGCAAGAACAAGGAAGACATGGATCGTTGTCTTTATGGTCCATTCTTGAAACAGTCCAGTCCAAGCCGACTCGCAGCCGTGACGATATTAAGCACCCTGAGTTCCCTGGCAATGCACGGGGCAGACAAAGGCGTCCCACTGGGTGTCGTCATCAATCAGCTATCCAAGATTGCCGAGGAAGACATCCGCGCTCAGATTCGAAGCAAAGAATCGACCTCAAAGAAGTTCAAACAGTCGAAAGTTTCGGCACGGTCTGCTCTGCGCAAAGCCAACTCACCCTTGCCAGAACAGGCACCTGTGGACGACGTTCAGACCAATGTTATCAACCCAGAAGCGTACACTGACAAATCATGGCCATTGGCGATCAAGACCAAGGTTGGCGCCGCGCTGCTCTCAGCTCTGATCGAGAGCGCCAAGGTCACAGTCGTGAAGGAGGATCAGGTCACAAGCACACTGCTTTCACAGGTCCAGCCAGCGTTTACCCATGCAACCCAATTCAAGCGGGGAAAGAAGGTCGGCATGCTTCTCCCCAACCAGACGCTGGTCGAACTCATGAAGCGTGAGCCAAGGGGTGATTTCCTGGCCCGACACTTGCCCATGGTGGTCGAGCCGGCCCCCTGGTCCAAGTTCGATAAAGGGGGTTTCCTCGAGTATCCGACTCCGCTCGTGCGCATCAAACATGGCGAGAAGGATCAGAAAATTTACACGCAAGCCGCCATCGCCCGCGGTGATATGGACCAAGTGCTGAAGGGCTTGGACGTTCTCGGCCGGACCGCCTGGAACATCAACAAACCCGTCTTCGATGTCATGCTGGAAGCTTGGAACACTGGCGAACCTATTGCCGACATCCCAGCTCTACATCCCGATATCCCTACTCCACCCGAGCCCGATTCATCAGATGATCCCATGCAAAGGAGGCTATGGATCAAGGCAGTCAAGGCGGCGGAGAACCACCGATCCGGACTTCATTCAGTTCGATGCTTTATGAACTTCCAGCTGGAAATCGCTCGTGCCTTCCGGGACCAGACCTTCTATTTTCCTCACAACATAGACTTCCGCGGACGTGCCTATCCCATCCCGACTTACCTGAATCATATGGGTGCGGACCATGTCCGAGGTCTTATGTGCTTCGCCAAGGGCAAGGAATTGGGTGAGGAGGGCCTTCGATGGCTGAAGGTGCACCTTGCCAACGTCTACGGGTTTGACAAAGCGAGTCTGAAGGAGAGAGAGGCTTTTGCAATGGATAACGTGGAGAACATCATTGATTCCGCCACCAATCCTCTCAAGGGCAAGCGCTGGTGGTTGAAGGCTGAGGATCCCTGGCAATGTCTCGCAACTTGTTACGAACTCAAGGCGGCTTTGGACTGTGCGGATCCTACCCAATACATTTCACACTTGCCCGTGCACCAGGACGGCACCTGCAACGGCCTGCAACACTATGCTGCATTGGGCGGCGATACCTGGGGTGCGCAGCAGGTCAATCTTGTGCCAGGTGATCGGCCCGCCGATGTGTACTCGGCAGTCGCAGACCTGGTGAAGGAGAATATCGCTGCGGATCTCGAGCAGGGCAACCCCTTCGCGGTAGCTCTCACCGGCAAGATCACAAGAAAGGTTGTCAAGCAAACGGTCATGACCAACGTGTACGGTGTCACCTTCTCCGGTGCCAAGAAGCAGGTTCTTAAGCAGCTTGACGCACTGTACCCGGATCTTCAGTCGCAGACGGGGCTCGATCCTCTCATCTTGGCCTCTTACATCGCCACCAAGATCTTCAAGGCCCTCTCGACGATGTTCCGCGGCGCTCACGATATCCAGTACTGGCTTGGCGAGATCGGTGGCCGTGTCTGCCGTGCTCTTACCCCCGATCAGCTGGCAAGACTCGAGAATCAACCAACTCCTGCGAAGAAGGGCATCAGGGCCAAGGCTGCCAAAACCTCGACCGAGGAGATCTTGAGCCAGTTTAGGTCCACACTGGTGTGGACAACACCGCTGCGCATGCCCGTCGCTCAGCCCTATCGCAAGAGCGGAACGCGGACGATCTCAACCTGTCTTCAGGATCTGATTCTCGTTTCGCCAGAGTCTTCTGATCCCGTTCACCGACGCAAACAGCTGCAAGCCTTCCCGCCAAACTTCATCCACTCCCTCGACGCCAGTCACATGATTCTCTCAGCGCTAGAATGCGACGCCATGGGCTTGTCATTCGCAGCCGTTCACGACTCTTTCTGGACGCACGCCGCCGATGTCAACAAGATGAACGGTGTCATTCGCGATGCCTTCATTCGGATCCATAGCGAAGACGTCATCGGGCGCCTGGCGTCTGAGTTCGAGGCTAGATACAAGGGCTCGATCTACCTGGCCAAGGTGAACCAGAACACCCCTGTCGCCAAGAAAATCATAGCTTTCAGGAAGAAGGCCCGCATGTCTTTGCGGGACGAACTTCTGTTGGAGAAGACCCGCCTCCAGCTTCTTAAGTCGACCGACCCCGAAGAGGTGGCTGAAGGCAAGAAGATGGTTACAGCCGCCAGCATCTTCGAGGAGATGTCTGCTTCCGAGGACATCATTGAGCCCGAGGACATGGACGAGATCGGCTTGGGCTCCATCCCCGCCAACGAGAAGAAGTCTGCAGAGGCATTGGAGGCGACGACTGCCGAAGACATCAAGCACGAGGATGGCGATATGGAAGCCTCCACGGATGAGCCCGAGGACCGGCTCCAGTCACTGCTCGGCACCGACCACTTTGAGCTCAGAGTGACGAAGCCGCGGCCCCAACAGAGGGCGGCCGAAAAGACGATCCAGATTTGGCTCCCCCTCACTTTCCCTGCTATTCCTGAGAAGGGCGACTTCGACGTGCAGCGCCTCAAGGCGAGCGAATATTTCTTCTCATGATCACATCACGAGACACACGCACAGCCCAGTCTACGTGACTGTTGGCATGCCGAAAAGAACACTGCATTACTAGACACATTTCCTGATGGCGTTCACGATGGGCCCGGCGGCTTTCCGATTGGCGTTTTGGAGAGAGAAGGGAAAACTATAGGAGAGGCTCGAGGCGAGCTCTGGCACGGCGAGTGTAAAATATGACACTATCACTACTGTACATCTTGTATAATATGCCCCTGCAAGAAAAGGAGTAGACTCATCTATTCAGCATCACACAGCATAGCGACAAAATCAAGCATTCAAGATCATATTGTTTCTCTTCTAATCGTCGGAATGGCCCTTGGTTGTTGGTGATCTCAGAAGTAGACGGCCATGCCACATACGAACCCGGTCCTGATCTGTGTGAAAAAATGTGAGGTCGTACGAGATAGAGCTGACATGAGTCGGGTCTGGCGTTGCACAGGCGTTCTGGAGGAACAGGGCGGCACGGCCATGCCGGGAGGGGTGAGTGGTCCGGCCGGTGGGAGGCCATTGAGTCGTGTTGTCTGCTGCTTTTATCTCCTCTGGAGGATCTTTTGCGGGAGTCTGATCCCAACGGAGGTGTTCCCCCGGATCTCACAAAAGCTAAACAGGCTCCCTCGGCCCAATGGGCGGGTTCCGTTTGGCATCGACATCTCCAAGTCACCCTAGCGAGAAGTCTAGCAACAGGCCATCTTTGGTAGATAATGCAAGAGAGGATGCTCTCCCGCAATGGTTCGACAAGCTCTCGTGTTTTTGCCAATCCAGCCGGTCTTACAGAGGAATCCTTCCGGGTTGCTGAGTGCCAACCCGCGTACCCTTCGGCTGAAGCTCGAGGTGGCATTGGACGCAAGGGATTGCGGAGGTAGCTATTTTCGTCAAACTTCATCCAGCCGCATGCCTTCCCCCCGGATCTTGCTGCATATACACGTTTAGCCAAGGAAAAGCCAAGATTCTTCCCGAAGTTGCACGACAGCGCCTTCCAGCTGTATGGGCTGACATGGATTGTACGCAACGGTATGGAATCCTCGCTTCCCTTGTATTATTCTGTGAAACCAGAGGCGAAGAGCGAAAGGGAGTGACCACCTATTTATTCCAAGGGATGTGCATCATGTAACGTAATCAGAGACAGTTCCCGTGTAAGACACCAACCGACGATCACACCCCGTTCTGTCTACCTCAACCATTCCTCCCATTTCTTGAATATCAACAAAAGAAGCTCAAGACTACAGCGCCTACCATGCCGGCCGGGTCGCCGTTAAGTATGTCGCGAACCGTTGACACTGGGGGTCTCAGGTGACGTTGAGGTCTTGGCGCACGCTCTTGCCACAGGCTGGGCTGCGATCGAAGGGATCCTAGAATTGAGACATGACTTAAGTTCCCGTCTCGGAAATAAATAGGTGAACTGTGATCAGGACAGGCCCGAAAAGGAGAAGGACCGTTAGAAGGCCGCTCCCTAGTGAGCTGCCGGCCCCGGGTCTGAATTCTTTTCCGTCTCCCATGGTCGCATCGCTCGCATCGCGGAATGTGGCGTGCCTTGTCTTGGAGTTCAGAGTCGCCTTGTCCTGTCTTTACAAGGAGTAGAAAGTGCTTCGGCCGAGTTGCCTGTGTTCTGGATATGGAGTAAGTACAAATATCCCGGCCTTGTCGTCTCTTTGCCAAGCAATTCTCGCGGGTCACAACTCTCTCGATCAACTCAGCCAGAGCCCAATACGATCTTGTACGATTGAACACAGACATACGATTCACTATGAAGATCTTCCTGTCAACTTCTCTTCTTGCCCTGCTCAGCGCCTGGGTTTGGTAAGCATCTCCGCCCACCCCCAAGTCCCCATCCCATGCACACGACTAACGCGCCTCTTTCAGCGCCGCTGAGGACATCCTCCCTGTCCCTACGAGCTGCAATGCCTACTTCAGGTTCAGGAAATGCTACACTGAGACAGTCACAGCCCTGCCCAGTGAGTCGCCCTTCTCTTCCTCTTCATGGCCAGCCGTTTTACAGATCTAACATTGCTTATGCGCATTAGCCTGCATCAGACACTGCCCCATGATCCCAGATATGGTGTGTCCACAGATGGTCAAGCTCAAGACCAAGCATGTGCCGTGCCAGTAAGTATTACGCTAAAAGCCCTACCATCCTTCTGCATCTTGCAGATCAAGGCATAGAGGCACAAGATGCTGACGTCGTATGTTCTCCAGCACCGACTGCTGTCCCAGCACGCCCACGATCACCAAGTCGGCTCCTTGCCCACCTTGCCCTACCGGCTGTGTCATTCCCACGTCTACCATTACTTCAACCCGCAGCTGCCGGCCAAAGAAGCATCACGAGTCCGAGCCGCCGGAGACGAAACATCACAAGTCTGAAGAGCCGAAGACGAAGCATCACGAATCGGAGGCGCCAGAGTCAAAGCATCACAAGTCCGAGGAGCCGAAGACAAAGCATCACCACAAGTCAGAGGCTCCAACTCCGGCCCCAACCTCCGCGTGAGGAATTTGTGTGAAGGGGATCTTGCGAATGTGGAATCAGACATGGCAATGCCGACATTGAGCAATGCATCTCCGGGCCTGGGAAATTTCAAAAGTGACCGTCCAAAGTGCGATAAAACTGATCAGAACGGCATTAGATAGTCTTGACAATGCTTTTTTCTTTCATTCTTTGTCTAACAAGGAATATCTACCATGCTTCATATGTGTGACACCTGTAAATCAGGCCCGTCCATCTACCTCACGACGGCGTTGGTCAGAGTCTTGACGGTGCAAGGCTTGCCGCTGGCAGTAAGCAGCTTGCCAAAGCCCTGCTTGCCCAGCTCCGTGACGACGCCGGCGTCGAAGCCGACCTCGAGGTCGCTCGTCGTCGTGAAGCCGGGCTGGAAGACGTCCCACACGCTCTTCTTCTTGGAGGAGCTGGGGTTGATCTGCTTCTCGGGCTCGGCCTGCCAGCCCTCGAAGTAGACGCGCTCGCCGGCGGGCGCGTCGGCGGGCGGGCTGACGAGTTCAACGGGGCCCTTGTGGTCGTCGGCCTCGCCCTCCTTGAGGCGCGGCGAGGCGGCGAGCACCATGGCGCACGACTTGATGCCGCGCATCTTGACGGGCTTGAGGTTGCACACGGCGACGATCTTGCGGCCCTGCATCTCCTCAAGCGGGATCAGGCCGTTGAGCCCGGAGCACACGGTGCGGCATACCTGGCCCTCGTACTCCTCCGTGTCCGGGCTGCCGGGCTTGTCGCCCATGGCGATGGTCGAGACGTAGAGCGAGTCGGCGTCCGGGTGCTTGATGGCCTTCAGGATGTGGCCGACGCGCAGGTCGATGAGGCCCGGGGACAGGGGCTTCTCGGCCGCCGGCGCGGGCTTCTGCTGCTTGGGCTGCTTCTCCTTCTTCTCCTTCTTCTTGCCCTCGCCGCCGGCGACGGCCGCGACGGCGGCGTCCTTGGCCTGGGCGGCCTTGTCGCCGACAGCGGCGACTGCCTCCTTGGTGCGGTCGACCAGGGTCTTCTTGTCGCCGGCGCCGGCAGCAGCAGCAGGCGTGCCGGCAGCAGCGGCGGCGGCGGCCTTCTCCTTCTTCAGCCTCTCCTTCTCGGCCTTGGCGTCGACGGGCGGCTTGACGTAGAGGACCTCGTCGGCGTTGACGTCGATCTTCTCCTCGTCCTTGACCTCGAGGCCGAAGACGGGGCTGTTCTGGACAAAGTCGAGGTGGCGGACGATGTTGGGGTGGCCGTCCTTGCCGGTGCGCTGCTCGGCGGACCAGCTCTTGACGGCCGGGGCGAGGACCTGGTAGATGGCGACGTCGGCCTTGGAGGGCTTGGCGCCGAGCAGGGTGGTGCGGGAGGCGAGGTGGGCGTTGAGGGTGGCGAGGATGGAGGCGGCGTCGTCCGAGGTCTTGAGGCGCTCCGAGGTGGTGAGCCACTGTTGGATCTCGGCCTCCTCGGTGGGCGTGTAGGTCTGCGATGCGAGGGCTGCCATTGTGTAGAACCGGAGGGGGGAGACGCTGCGGAGGGTGGAAGGGCGGAGGGCGCGTAGGGAGAACAGTTTGAAGTTTTAGGGTATCTCACCGGGTGCCGGGCCCTGTGATTCTTGTCTGCGATGTCTGTGTTGTAGAGAGAGGTTATACGGTCCTGTCTTTTCTGCGCGTGTCGTCTGAAGCTATTGAAAAATAATTCGCTGGTTGCCCCGCGATGCAAGCTACGACTCACAAATTTTGGCGGGGCATTACTCCGTAGCATGCATGCTCGATGGCCTGGCAGGGGCTCAATCTGTCGGCTGGCGGACAGGTGGCGGCCTTCCCCAGACAGACCACTTAACGCGTGACCGCGCGATACTGCGCGCGTCGAAAGTCGATCCCGTCATCGCTCGAGTCTACGCGTGCATCGCGCCCTTCGCAAATCGATGACTTCAGCTCCCAGCCTTCGCTTTGACCAGCCCTAGCTGATCAATTCGCCGCGCCACAGCTCTCAGAGATCAGATCCGTCCTCATCTTTACTTTACCATGCAATAATACATCATTCTCACCTCTTCCTTGCCTCTTGTTTGCTGTTTCAAGACCACCTGATTTGTCTTTTGGTGGCGTTTGACTGGCAACTGGCCTTCAAGCTGGTGTTGAGCAATCAATCACTTCCCTGGCCACTTTATTGTACACCTCGATTGCATTGCTGTGTACAAATCTTCCGAGATGGCCGATTCATCTTCAGATTTGGGAAGTCGTCGATCAAGTCCCCTCGCTACCAGCCCTCCTTCCTCTCCGCCCTCTGCTGGCGACAGCAGCTCGCCCAAGATGGCCTCGGATACCGTGGACGAGCAACGATTGCTTGCCGAAGAAGAGAAGGCCAAGTCTCAGAATGATAAAGACGAAGCCAAACGTCTCGCTGCCTCTCGCAGGAAGAGGAAGAAGAAGGCCGAGACCAAGGCCGAGAGAGAGGCCAAGGCGCGTGAGCTGGACGAATTACTCCGCCAGAGCGCGGCGTTCAGCGATATCCTTACCAAGAAGACCGAGGTCCTCGGCCGCGTAGGAAGTGGCTTCGACGGCAAGACGCTCGGCGAGCACGACCTCAAAATGGCTACCCAGCCGAAGTGTCTTGTGGGAGGCCAGATGCGCGACTATCAGCTCGAAGGCCTTACTTGGATGTATGAGATTTGCCAACAGGGCATGTCTGGCATCCTGGCTGACGAGATGGGCCTTGGTAGGTTGACCACGTTGAAGACAGCAGTGTATTTACTTACAGCCGATGTTAGGCAAAACCGTGCAAACGATCTCGCTGATTGCTCTCTTGCGAGAGCAGGAAAATTATCTAGGGCCACATCTGATTATTGCACCTCTCAGTACACTCTCCAATTGGATCAATGAATTCCATCACTGGACACCATCAATCCCAGTCGTGATGTACCACGGCGATCCCTCACAGCGAGAACAGATCCGCAACACTAAGATCATGCCGCATATTCCGAACGGCAGACCCACGAAACGATTCCCTGTTGTATGCACGTCATACGAGATTATCCTTCGTGATCGGATTCATCTTGCAAAGATTAATTGGGAGTTTATAATTATCGTAAGGCACCTTGTCGGCTGCGACGTGCGTATCATACTAAGAATAGACAGGATGAGGGTCACCGCATGAAAAACTTCGACTCGAAGCTCTTTCGCGAACTCCAACAGTTCCGCTCGGCTACCCGGTTGCTCATTACTGGCACGCCTCTGCAAAACAACCTCAAAGAGCTGTGGTCGCTCCTGAACTTCCTGATGCCCAATATTTTTACCAACTGGGAGGCGTTCGAACATTGGTTCGACTTCAGCGGTTTGGAAGACGAAGAAGGTACCGAGGAGTTCATCGCTGATCGGATGAAGCAAGACCTGGTCAAGAAGATCCATCTCATCCTGCAGCCGTTGCTACTACGTCGCGTCAAAGCGGACGTAGCCAGCCATTTGCCAAAAAAGAGAGAGTACGTGCTGTTTGCCCCAATGACCAAGGAGCAGACAGACCTGTACAATGTGATCAACGACAAAAACATTGACACGAGGGCCTACCTTGAGGACAAGGTTGTCGAGCGTCTTACTGGAACGACGAACAGCCCAGCCCTGTCGCGAAAAGCCACTCCGAAGACGTCTCGGTCAAGCAGCATAAACCCTAAGGTAGAGCCTGAGGCCGATGCGGCACCAGTCAGGTCCAGCCCACGGGGTAAGGCGTCGAAGGGAGGGCCTCCTGCCAAAGCCAATGCATTCACGCTCATGATGGGCCAGCCTCGTGGACGTGGGAGACCGCAAAAGAGTGACGGACCCGCGCAACCCGCTGCCACACCTGCCAAGACGGCGGGTAAGCGAAAAGCTGCCGAGCCCGTGGCGCAGCCGCCGGAGCCAAAGAGCAACAAGTCTAGCAGGCACTCTACTCCGGCGAGTTCTCGCGGCCGCCCGCGCAAGGGGCGCAAGTCCTACAAAGAAGAGGATGCCTCCGACGAAGATCTCTTGTCAGACGACGAGTTCGAGGCCAAACTGGCCGAGGAGTTCGCTTCGGAAGATATCGAGGAAGTGGCTATCACAATGCCAGCTGAGGATTTTGAGCGCTCTCAGACGCTTGACCTGGCCAAGAAGGAGATCGCGAACAAGAAACTGGGCAATCCATTGGTCCAGCTACGGCTGGTGTGCAACTCACCACACAACTTCTACAACCCGTGGGCATCAAGTACGGACGTGCCGGTGGACGAGAGCATCGTTACGGCATCCGGAAAGATGTTGCTGCTCGACCGGCTTTTGCCTGCGCTGTTCGAGCAGGACCACAAAGTGTTGATCTTTTCGCAGTTCAAAACCCAGTTGGACATTCTAGAAGATTACTGCAAGGAATTGCGTGGCTGGAACACATGCCGAATCGATGGGTCGGTAGCGCAGGAGGATCGGAAAACCCAGATCGAGGAGTTCAACTCCAATCCGGAGTTCAAAATCTTCTTGCTGTCGACACGGGCTGGAGGCCAGGGGATCAACCTTGCGAGTGCCGACACGGTCATCCTGTTTGATTCTGATTGGAATCCCCAACAAGACTTGCAGGCGCAAGATCGCTGCCACAGGATTGGTCAGACTCGCCCGGTTATCGTGTACCGTCTCGCAACGAAGGGCACGGTCGAGGAAGAACTTCTGCTCAGCGCCGATGCCAAGCGTCGCCTGGAGAAGTTGGTCATCCGTAAGGGTGGCTTCAAAACCATGGGCCAAAAGATGGACATGAGGGAGGACCTCGACAAGGAGACCCTCCGGGCACTGCTTCTCCGAGACGGAGAGGTCTACAAGTTCTCCGGAGACAAGGAGATCCTCAGCGACCAGGACCTCAGCGTTCTTTGTGACAGGTAAGTTGGTCGTCGTCTGAGCTACCATGTTGCATGGCGCTTGCTAATACGTTTTGCAGAAGCGAGGAGGCCTACGTGCGCGCTGCTAGAGGTGATGGCGATGCCGATGCATTCAAGGTCGTCGAGACCGGCGTGGACGGCATCAAGCAGACCGCCAAGTCTAGTTGATCATGGAGCATGGTTTGCAAATCGAATTGTTTTGTTTATGAATGAAAAAAGGGGCTGTGGTCTATGAGAAGTATTTTTGCGGATCCATGGCTCTGGTGTTACGAAAGAGGCGCATCTAGGGGCGGGCACGGTCATATGGTCTGGTATTTGCATTGGTTGTTCAACAGTTGGCTTGGCACCCTTAAGAGAGAGCATCACTGCTTTTCTAGCTATGTATTGTCATGCCACATTAAAACTACGCCGTTTTACATCGTCCAGGGCCCGTGGAGGTTGCTGACTTCGCATGAGCGGTGCCCATAGCCCTCCCGTGTTTTTGTTCTAACCCCTTGTCCCCGAGAAATCTGCAGCTCTCGAACATCATCCCATCCTCCCCACGAGCCTGGGAGCACTCAAGCTTTCCGACTGGAGGGGCGGGAGCGTCCTTCCGATATTTTAGTGTTTAACGACGCGATCCTCCATGTCCTCTATTCGCCAGATCCTCGAGTCGCATCTCCGTTATGTGGCCAGATTCCATTGGGTCTTGGATCCATGGCTAATGCCGTTTGGTGGCTCGTAAGACCGGATCGGATCGTATACACGTCGGGAAGGAAGACATGTGCGTCGTCGCGATATAGTCCTTCATTTCCATCCCACTCAAAGTAGGGTGTCGTTCATATCCCCATGTCCTCGTCGCTCTCCTCCTCCGCCGCCAGCGCCATCTCCTCTTCCTCCTCCCTCCTCGTCGCCTCAGCACTGGCACCGAGCTTCCTCACGCCGTCGACGACGCCCAGCACGAACCCCCTGTTCTCCGCGAGCTCCATGGCGCCCACGCCGCGCAGGTTCGTGACGGGGTCGCCGCCGAAGCCCCGCTCCTCCTTGGGGCGGCCCGCCGGCGCCGACGCGGATGCAGACGTGGACGTGGTGCTCGTCGTCGTGGTAGTGCGCGCGCGCATCTTGGCGGCGCGCACCTCGGCCAGGTCGCGCAGCAGGCCGCGCACCTCCCCCGCAGGGGCGGGCATGTCGTCGGGCGCGTGCGCGAGCAGCGCCTCGGCCATCTCGAGCCAGTGGTAGGGCAGGAAGCCGGCGGGCGCGGCGGCCGTGCACGAGGGCAGGAAGGGCGCCGAGAGGGCCTCGTCGCGCTCGAGGTCGCGCACGCGGCGGGCGTTGCCCCTCGCGTCGGCGCGCACGGGCGGCGGCGGCGGCGGGCTGAAGTCGAGCGGGTCGGTGTGCGTCTCGTAGTGGATGAGCTCCTGCAGGGAGGCGGGCGCGAGCCAGGGCGGGGGCACGATGTTGGCGCGGCGCTGCTTCTTGAGGAGCAGGGCGAGCCAGAGGGGGAGGTCGGCGCGGTGCGGGGGCCGGAGGGCTGGGGTCTCGCCCTGTTTTTGTGTGAATGGGGTGTGTGTGAGTAAATGCCCCCCCCCCCCCCGGTGGGATCTTCGGCGGGATAGGGGAAGACTTACGCCGAGGAGGCTGATGCTGTCGAGGCGCTGGCGGGGCACGACGGTGACGAGCTCCATCTCGCAGACGAAGGCGACCTCGGCGGGGGTCAGCCCCGCGGGCAGGGGCAGAGCCATGGCTTTTGGGTGGCGAGGTCGAGGGCTGGCTACCTGGCTGGTGGCATTGGGTGATCAGTTTGCAAGACGCTGCCTTGGTTTGGGGTTTTGCGCAAGAGTCGTGGGCGGGCCAACGCGTGAGGAGCTGAGCGAGGGTCTTGCGATGTCGAAAGTTGACGCGTGCGCCAAGCACGATTAAATTGATAGGGGAGGGAAGATAACTAAGGTTATTAGTGGGGGACTGAACCACTGAGCTGGATCCAGTCCAGTCCAATTGTTAATCATCGTCGACTAATCAAGTTTGGCTCTTCAACCCTTTTTTTTTTGTTTTTTTTTTGTTCTATTTCAGCTTCACGAGTATGATGTCCTCGGTCTTTACATGTATAGAACATCTTGCAACTCTCTAGTGTTATTTTCAGGGAGAGACTCTCAAGAGGGCAGTCATGGCAAGACTGCATGTCTCGACATGCTAAACAGGAGGAGCAACAAAAGGCTGCAGTGACCAACAGCAGATGTGTGCCATTCTTCATTCACTCGCATTGCTCTCCAACATCTAGCCGGGTGAAAGTGACAAAGATAGGTATCTACATTTATATACACAGCGCATACGGCTGGTCAAAGCACTCATCCCACCCGCGTCCTCCCGAGTCCCAGAACCGCTGCAGCACCATCTTGGCCTGCAGGGGCGACGCCGAGCCCTGCTCCCGGCTCAGCCTCTCCAAGCCGTCCGCAATCGCCGCCCGCAGCGCGCCGTCCGCCTCGGCCGACACGCCGTCCACGACCATCGGCCAGACCATGCCGCGCCTCGCCCGCGGGCGCGGCCTGGACTCGCCCAGCAGGCGCCGGACGGCCTGCCTGTGGTGCGCGAACTGCGGGTGCAGCTCGCGCCGGCGAGGGGCCGGGAAGACGGCCTGGAGCGTGTGGAGCAGGAAGAGCACCGCCGAGGACTGGAAGGCGCGGCCGACGAGGAGCCAGTCCTGCAGGTGCGAGGTGCCGGGCTTGATCCAGTCCCAGTCCTCCGCCCGGAAGGCGAGCAAGGAGCCGAGGACTTCCTCGGCGGAGTTCTGGAGGGCTGCCAGCTGCGACGCGGTGCTGCCCAGTTGGCAGATCTGATATCGAAGGTGGTTGATTCGGACGATGCATGTAAAGATATCAGCCGGACAGGGACAGTTTGGATACAAGGCTTTGCTGTATAGCTCTCGAATAGTATCGATAGATTCGAGGTGCTCCTGCGGCATTGTTTGTTGCCCTGCGGGACTGGTAGCATTGCTGAAAACGGTGAGTCTTGCGTCATGAACAGGTCAGCGTCTATGCATGAATGCCGTCATGAGAGAAACGGAAAAGCATGGGCCAGTTTCTAGCCGGTACTGACATGAAGAAGGACACCATCGTCACCTTGGTGTCCTGGGACGTGCGGATGTACTCCATCAGGCCACCCCGGAGATCGAAAAGCGCCAACAGCCCGTGCAGATGCTCGCGCCAGCTGGGCAGCGTGCACTGCCCCAGCTCCTGCAGCAGGAACATGAGGACCGCTTTGATGGTCATGTCGCTCCGGCACCTGCTCGCGTCGCTGATATCTGCATTGAGAGACTGGATGGCCGAGAGGCGATGCTTGTGCAGGGCTCTGACGTCCTCGTTGGAGAAGCTCATGTCCGGTGGGCAGGGCCGATGCAGGATGTGGTGGCCGAACACCATGGCGATGAGGGTATGGCGGATGGACGGCGGCAGGACCTCGATGTATAGGTGGATGGATGGGAGGACGAACCATGTTGGCGCCAGCTCTGTGGCAACCAATTCGGGGTAGATGGCCTCATTGTCTGGGCCCCCCAAAAGTAGTCAGGGAATGATATAACACGACTAACCTGACGAATGGCCCAGGAGAGCGAGTTGGAAATAGGTACTTACAGTAGTGAGCAGCACTATAGATGTCACACCTCTCCGTCTTCAGGACAAGCTTAGGAATCTTCACTCTGTCTTGCACTGCAGCCTGCGTCAAGGGAGCAACAGCTAGGTCCTGTGTCTGCTTTTCATTGGTCTTTGCCCTGCCGGACTTGGACACCTCGAGTTTGCTCGGAGCAGCAGCACCCTTGCGCGGCCGTCGTCGAGTCCTGGACGTGACCCGGCCCGGAGCTAGCCAAACAAGTGGTCTCTTGTCTTCGTACCCAGGACAGGTGATGCGCGTCGTCCGACACTGGATGCAGACGGGATAGGTCGAGTCGCAAACAAGGCGGCGCCGCTGGCACTCCCAACACTGGCGTCGCGAGTCCGTCGACATGTCCGTGGCCCCAAGTGTGTCAGGAGAGTCTAGATTGGGTGGTGTCATACGCCGAACTGTTTTCTTTCTTTAATAGTGAAGTGTATGCTGGTTGGAACTCGGCTCACCGCATCACCGTACGTCATTTTGCGACAAAGCACTGTCCAAGGAAGGGGTGGGGGCTATGACGGGCTGAGCCGACTCCACGGCTGACATGGCCAACTATGTATGTGTCTTGGCGAGTGCAACGAGTGATGGAGTTTCGTTATGTACCTAGGTAGCTCTTAGCTGCTCTAGAATGCAATTCATTTGGTCCGTAAATGTTGGGCTGAATTGTTGTGCATATAGGTACTTGTCCAAGTCCATGATCGGTGCTTGGTTATGGTGCAATCCATACGTGACAGCTGTGTTGCTATTAGGCTTCTTTCTGTTATAGAACATCAAACCGTAACCGTACATATCAAAGTTGTACATGTACTTTGTAAATAGGGGATAAAGTCAAAGCTCTGCTCAACCTGGAGATCGGTAAAGCGAAAATCCGAAATGGGCAAAAAAGAGGGACAAAAAAAAGTGACCACAGCCAGGATCGAACGAACCTTCGCACCAATTATATACTAAATCCAGCGGGTGAGCAGGTAGACTACTCTGCATGGAAGCATATTCTATCGATTTCCTGGTCCGTGTGCTTTCAACTACACCAAAGCACCCAACTCCTGGCTGTGTTGAAAGGACTTGATCTAAACTTACTTATAAGGGATTCTGCAGTATCACGTTCTTTGACCCCTACTCCGTGTGTCTACATAAACTAATTGTTAGATGATATAAGGGCTGATCAAGTACAACGAGACACCTGGGACTAGGGATTTCTCTCTTGTCAGTGTGCCTCAGGCGGATACAATCCGACCCTCCTACATAGAGTTCTTGAGTCCCTTCAACGCTGTCCAGGAAGGTGGGAAAGTTTCACCACAAAGGAACATCAACCTAGTAATCACCAGGTCATACCAATAAAGACACTTGATCTAGGCTGAAAAGAGAGAGTTATAGACCATGAGTCTAAAGGTTGTTTCGATGGTTTGTATACATAGAAACTAGCTTGGCTGGACGGTATCTCCTTTGCCTGGCCTGACTATCGCCCGAAGCGATCTACTCAGGCTATGAATCTTGATCTAACGTCACACCCTCCCTCCATAGGCTTCCTCCTTCTTACAATACACAGGTTAGGCCCAACTGTGTGTATTCTTTTCTTTGACCTGATTCCTTCATCCATAGATGCACCAACCCAGCCTGTAGTGGAATGACCTCGAGCACCCTGCCCAGACCGCTACCAAGCTTGACTGAATCAGGCTCAGATACGAGAGACAAGGTTGTTGAGCGCACCTGTGGTTCTAGCTCTCATGTGAGGGACGGATTGCAATATGGCCCTGATGGACCTCTGCACTGGCACTCCTCAGGGATTCTTCGGCCGCCGGGCCACCTTGGCCACCATGCCGTCCTTGGACTGCGAGCTCTCGGCCGCCTCTCCAGACGCGGACGCAGGCTTGCCGGTCGTCATCGACCGCGTCACTCTCCGCGCTCCGCCGGGGGTCTGCGACGACGGCAGCGACGACGACGAGCCCGGGTTCTCTTGGCTGGCGCCGGCCTGGGACCTGGCCGCGGCCTGGGCCTTTGCGCGCGCCCTCCTGCTCTCGCGCTGGGCCTTGCGGTCGGGGAACTTCCTGCCGTCGTTGCGCGGGGGCCTCTCGATGGCGGCCATCCTGCCCCTGAGCTCGCCGGCCTGCTTGCGCTTGTCGGCCGCCGAGAGGTCCTTCTCCGAGGCGAGGGCCTCCATGGCGCGGCGGATCTTCCTCGCCTCGAGCTTGGCCTTCCAGGACCAGCGGTTCTTCCTCACGGTCGCGGCGGCCTGGGCGGGGGGCTCGGCGGCCTGGGGCTGTGGTGGCGCGTCGGAAGACATGGTGGGCGGTTGGCCGAGTGAATGTCGTGCCTACAGATGGATGTATGGTGGTGGTTTGGAGTATGCGGGGATGGCGCTTGAAGCGACTGAAGCGATGCCAAGAGGGGCGGCCAATGAAAGGATGCGAAATACAACCACGGGCAGGGGCTGGAAAGAGCGTTACCGTATTGGATAGTGCACGTGGATAGGTATATCTGATCGATGAGTCTGACAAGCTCTTGCTTGGTGAGCTGCGTGTGTGTGAATGAATCGCGAAATAATTTTCAGTGGGGCCTCTGTGAAGGTCGCCATGCATGGACCAGCGACTTGTACATTAATATCCCATCCACGATTGGCGGGGGGTTCTAGCGGATCGTTAGGTACTGTTCCAAGGGCCAAGATGCGGTGTTACAGAGCCCTAGAGAGGTACTTTTGGGCTGCAAAGAACACCTGCCATGAACCCCGAACCCAGCTCCCAGGAACGGAATCTCGCTTCGGATGGAATTTCCATCCATTTAGGGAACCTTAGCAGCAACCTTGTTCGAACACCGGGTCATCCACTCTCGCTGAATTGAACACATGTCGACCAGAATTGGCCAGTCTGGTGGACTTGGCAAAGACACCAAAGCCCTGGGCGCAAAGTATCACCACCAAACGAGCTAGGCGGCCCATGAGGTCATCCACCCACCAACCCTCAGAAGGGCTAGAGCCAGGCCCGGACCTGGGCGGCCTGAGTCGTCGGCGGTCGGGGGATATCAAGAAGCGACTCGCCATCGTCCATCGGGGTTCGGCCTCGATCGTTGCATGAAATTGGCCAGCTTGGCGCAAGTTTGAGCATGGCTGGCGGACGTGGCCAGAATGGAAAATTAATTTAATCAATCATGTCGCACTCGCCCTCGCCGTGCCGAGGCAGTCAGACTATAATAATGGATGTACTTGTACTGTTGGCACCAGACTGTTGCATCAATCGGGCAGTTTCATGGTGGGGGCTCCGGAGCTGCCAACCACGATCCACAGATTACGCGGATGGGGACAAAGGGACCCGTGGACCCTCTATTTCAGCTCCCGCCTCCCCTGCAAGTCGCTGTAACAGCCTCTCCCGACCCCTGTACTTGCTGGAGCTCTTTGGTGCCTCCTCGAGGCGTGCCGAGGCAGGCTGCCGACTTTTATCTACCTCTCTACCAATCTATTTACCTGTAGGTAAGATACGGGTGCTTACTCCGTCCCCCAGACACGGAACCCTCATCGAAGTGATCTCCCCAACGGACCACGCCGTTCGTCCGTCCCACGCCGCAAAAGGTCGCTCCCGCCGGTGTCTTACGAACCCCGTCAACACGCCAGCACGCGTGTTGGTTCCCTGTTCCTTGGCACCCTTGTCTTGCAAGGCCTGACCTGACCGGAGCGGGCATTGCCATGTGTTGCCTGCCACCTTCGCAAAGTGGAATATACTTCACACCATCGCACGCCCCGACTCGTAGGCACAAGCGAGCGCCAAGCAGCCGGACATCTAGGTTACGCCATGTTTGACCACCGGCCGCTAAGGCCAGCTCCCGTACCCACGATGTGGAGAACTGGGCGTGGACAGGCACACAGCATTGAGGTTCAGGTCGTTGGGACGGGCCTACTTCGTACGGAGTACCTATCCTTCCACGTTCCTTGCCTTCCTCGCATGACTAGGTATTATGCTGCTTTGCTCCATACTCCTACTTAAATAAAACAAATGCTCTCCGCACCTTCTGGAACCCCTCCTCAGCTGCTGTTCCTGATCTGCATGCCACCCCCTCCCAGAGAGCTTCACCCAGAGAGCTTCACCTATCATCATCATCATCGTGAGCCACCATGGCAGACGGCACAGAACCCATCCCCGAGCCTCCAGGCTATCCCTTGGTGGGCAATATCGGCGACATTGACCCAGAGAACCCCGTCCAGTCCTTCGTCCACCTGTCGGACAAATACGGTGAGCTCGATTGGTCGCCGGCGGCACGCAACTGTATGATCTGACAAATGACGTCCCAGGTCCCATCTACCGCCTCCACTTTCCCGGCGGGCGCACAGCTGTCGCTCTCGCATCACGGGAGCTGATCAATGAAGCCTGCGACGAGACTCGCTTCGAGAAGAACATCGGAGGCGTTCTGGGCGTACGTTGTCGCATCAATCCCCCGCCATGGCGTAGGCCTGTCGTGCCGCAGAGCAAGAGAGACTAACAAGCAGCAGGAAGTCAGAAATGGCGTCCACGATGGCCTCTTTACGGTCAGTCTGCATGAGGATACCCAGAACCTGCCTTGCCCAACGCACCCCTTCGCTGACCTGGATCCCACCTTTAGGCCCAGAACGAAGAGCCGAACTGGGCTCTTGCCCACAGGGTGCTCATGCCTGCCTTCGGACCCATGTCCATCAAGGGCATGTTCGACGAGATGCACGACATCGCTACGCAGCTGGCCATGAAGTGGGCTCGCCACGGCCCCGCGACGCCCATCATGGTCACAGACGACTTCACCCGGTTGACGCTCGACACGCTGGCCCTGTGCGCCATGGGCTACCGCTTCAACTCGTACTACCACGACGAGATGCACCCCTTCATCCAGGCCATGGGCGAGTTCCTCCACGAGTCGGGCTCCCGCAGCCGCCGGCCCCCCTTCATGTCCGTCTTCTATCGCTCCGTCGACCAGAAGTACTGGGACGACATTGCGCTCCTGCGCAAGACGGCCGATGAGGTGCTCCAGGCACGCAAGGAGACCCCGACCGACCGCAGGGACCTGCTCACGGCCATGCTGGAGGGCAAGGACCCCAAGACCGGCCAGACAATGAGCGACGCCAGTATCACAGACAACCTGATTACCTTCTTGATTGCTGGCCACGAGACTACCTCGGGTCTCCTCTCCTTTGCCTTTCACCACCTCCTTAAGCATCCGGATGCATATCTCAAAGCCCAGAGGGAAGTCGACGAGGTCGTCGGCACTGGGCCCATAAGGGTCGAGCATTTGGCCAAGCTTCCCTACATCAATGCTGTGAGTTTGGTTGTCGGTGGCGTCCCGGACTGACTTGTGCTTGCTGCTAACTCTGCTTTGTCAGGTTCTCAGAGAGACGCTGCGAGTCACGTCGACCATCCCCGTCTTTGGCGTGACGGCCAAGAAGGACGAGATCATCGGCGGCAAGTACAAGGTCTTCAAGGGTGAGAACCTGGCTATGCTTCTGGCCAAGTCGCACGTCGACCCCGCCGTCTTCGGCCCGGACGCCAACGAGTTCAAGCCCGAGCGCATGCTGGACGAGAACTTTGAGCGGCTCAACAAGGAATTCCCCAACTGCTGGAAGCCCTTTGGCAACGGCGTGCGGGCCTGCATCGGCCGGCCGTTTGCCTGGCAAGAGGCCCTGCTCGTCATGGCCATGCTGCTGCAGAACTTCAACTTCAGAGCCCACGACACGAGCTACCAGCTGGCCATCAAGGAGACTCTGACGTGGAAGCCCAAGGACTTTTACATGCGGGCCACGCTGAGAGATGGCCTGACCGCGACGACGCTCGAGCAGAGGTTGTCTGGTTCTTCGCCCGCCACTGCCAACAGCAGCAAGTCCAACGGAAGCCAAGCCAGGGCTCCTGCGAAGCCGGCGAAAGGGGGCAAGCCTCTCAGCGTCTACTACGGATCTAACAGCGGTACCTGCGAGGCTCTGGCGCACAGGCTGGCGGCGGACGCGTCCGCCCACGGCTTCGCGGCCAAGGTGGTCGATCCCTTGGATGCCGCCAACCAGAACCTGCCCAAGGACCACCCCGTGGTGATCATCACGGCGTCGTACGAGGGGCAGCCTCCTGACAATGCTGGCATCTTTGTCAAGTGGATCGAAGGACTGTCGGGCAAGGAACTGGAGAATGTGACATACGCAGTGTTTGGTTGCGGTATGTTCATTCCATCCAATCCAATTCATGAGGCTCAACACTAACGTCGCTTAGGTCACCACGACTGGAACCAGACGTACCACCGCATCCCCAAACTCGTCGATTCTACTCTTGAGAAGCTCGGCGCCGGCCGCGTCGCGTCCATCGGGCTGACAGACGCTGCCCAGGGCGACATGTTCACCGACTTCGAGACCTGGGAGGACGAGGTGCTCTGGCCCGCCCTCGAGGACAAGTACGGCATCTCGTCGTCTGCCGACGACGGCGCCGTGCCGGGGCTCGACGTCCAGGTCTCGGCGCCCAGGTCGTCGACGCTGCGCCAAGACGTCAAGGAGGCGTTCGTGGTCGCCACCGAGACGCTGACCTCGCCGGGCACGCCGCCCAAGAAGCACATGGAGATCCAGCTGCCCAGCGACCTGACCTACACCTCTGGCGACTACCTCGCCATCCTGCCGCTGAACCCCAAGGAGAACATCCAGCGTGCCATGCGCCTCTTCCACCTGCCGTGGGATGCGCACATCACCATCTCGGCCGAGGGCAGGACGTCGCTCCCGACCAACGTGTCGATCGCGGCGGTGGATGTCCTGGGGGCTTATGTCGAGCTGGCTCAGCCGGCGACTAAGAGGGTAAGTTCTTTTTGTCCTTTTTGTATAGGTGACTGAGTTTGAACGCGGTATTAACATTGGAATCCAGGGCATCCTGGCTCTCGCCGAGGCCACCAAGGACGAGAGCATCAAGAAGACTCTTCAAGGTCTTGCCGGCGACGAGTACGCCAGCGAGATCAGCGCGAAGCGTGTCTCGCTCCTTGACCTGCTCGACCGGTTCAAGGATATCAACTTGCCTCTAGGAAACTTCCTCAGTTTGGTCCCGCCCATGCGCGTCAGGCAATAGTACGTGTCAACCAGAAACCACTCCTTTTCACAGCCCCCCTCCCCCCCCCCTCATGGCTCCCTTCTCGGCGTCTCTTTTCTAACAGCCCCACAGCAGCATCTCGTCCTCGCCGCTCTGGAACCCGGGCCACGTCACCCTGACCTACTCGCTGCTCAGCGCGCCCTCGCTGTCGGGCCAGGGCACCTACATCGGCGTGGCGTCCAACTACCTGGCCTCGCTGGCCGAGGGCGACAAGCTGCACGTCGCGGTGCGGCCCTCGCACGCGGCCTTCCACCTGCCCGCCGACGCCGAGCGCACGCCCGTCATCTGCATCGCCGCCGGGTCCGGCTTGGCCCCCTTCCGCGGCTTCGTGCAGGAGCGCGCGGCCATGCTGGGCGCGGGCCGGCGGCTGGCGCCCGCGCTGCTGTTCTACGGCTGCCGCGACCCGGAGGCGGACGACCTGTACCGCGACGAGTTCGACCGGTGGGAGCGGATGGGCGCCGTGGACGTGCGCAGGGCGTACTCGCGCAGGACCGGGGCGGAGGAGGGCAGGGGTTGCAGGCACGTGCAGGACCGGCTCTGGGAGGACAGGGCCGAGGTCATGGAGCTGTGGGACCGCGGGGCCAAGATCTTTGTCTGCGGGTCGAGGGGCGTGGGCGAGGGCGTCAAGAAGGCGGCGCTCAAGATCCGGCGGGAGATGGTCGAGCGGGACGGCGGGGAGGCGGTCTCGGACAAGGAGATCGCGTCGTGGTTTGAGAGCATGCGGAACGAGAGGTATGCTACTGATGTGTTTGACTAGATTAGGAGGGAGTTTCTTTTTTGTGGAAGCTCTGGTTGGGGATAGTACAAAGTAAAATAGCAGTATGGACTGGACTCGAGTTGTAGAGGTTGATCAATGGAAGGTTGTTTGTTTGTTTCTGAGTGTTCTCTCTGCTCATTGGTCTAGGACTGTGTTAGTTTGCTGATTTGCTATTGGAGCCTTGATGTCTGCTTCTATTATATTTCCTTGGTGATGGACATGGCTTGTAAGTCAGTGTATACTTCTATTCAGTGGTACTGGTCGGTACCTTTGGCGCAGCTGGTTTCTTTAGCAGCCAAGTATCGTCAATATGATTTGGCTATATTAGTTTCTTTCTTGGGTGATCGCACCAGTCGGTGAAGGGTCTGGCACAGACTCTTGTCTGCTCAACAGGCTCCTTCCATCCGTCATTGCCAGGTTCTCTCCCATGGTGACTTCGGGGGTGGCATAGAGAGACAGGATGAGATCCTCCTCGCACGTAGTAATGTACCTGATGTCTGGTAGGTCCCTTGGGCTCAGTGATTGCGATCTCAATATCAGAATCCGCGTCATCGCTGGTCGAGACTGGAAAGAGTACACGGGGAGTGGCATCGGAGATACCTCTCAGGAAAAACACAGACAAAGAACACGCTCATCAAGTCAGAAGAGAAAGAGAGAGAGAGAGAGAGAAGGCAATCGAGTAAGATGAATCATTTGCAGACCTTGTATTGCCCCGTATGGAAATGACGCCATGCCCAATCAAACGCCAGATCTACATGCTCACGCCTACAACTCCGATGACTTTTTTCGTCCTTGAATCCCATGCAAACTCGTCATCCATCAGTGACTGGTTTTCCTCTGGAAGCGCACCAGTCCCGCTGCCCATCATCAGCCCAGCAAGTTGATATATGGCTCCGGCCATCTGCCCCAGACCAGAGGCCTGTCGCCGAGTCTTCCGCTGACGGGCGCCAGGATCTTTAACCTGCGGCGCTCGGCGTCGACGTCGGCCACATAGACGAACCCCATGACTGTTGCGTTCTGAATGGTCTCTGTGGAATCGTGGGGTGATGCGTTCATGATTGCTAGGGTCCAGTGGGATAGAGATGATGGGTTGTCGACTTTCTCCAGGCCGCCGTGGTGAGATGACGCCGCTTCATGAAAGAGTCAGCCACTGTTCCAACCGGGGAGTGGAAAGCTTGCACACTTACGTTCTGGCGTCTTGTAGACAGTAAGACCATCAAAGTCGGCCTGTTGCGTCAGGGGACTCAGCGTCCTCTTGGCATCCCCAAAGAAGTACTCCTTGATCGTCGCCTCCCGGATGTGTTGCAGGAAGGCCTCGTCCCTCTCCACCGCGCCCGACGACTGCTCGAGCTTGACCACGCTGATTGGCTCGCCGAGGCTCGTCTTCTCCGCGGCGAGGCGCTGGAGGAGCGCCTGGTTCAGCTCGTCCGAGCCAAGGACAACGACAATGTTCACCGAGAACTCCTCGACCAGGTGCGCCAGCACCTCGATGCCGTCCGGCCTGTCGAGGTTCACCACCGGCGCGTCGATGATGAGCCCGGCGCTGCGCACGTCCGGGTCCTCCAGCATCCGGCCCGTCACGGCGCCGGCCAGCCGCGTCGCCAGCACATTGAACCTCTCGGCGTCGTCCTGCGCCCGCTGGTAGCCGTGGTAGTACACGAGGGGCAGCTTGACGGGCACGGCGCTGGGCCCGCTGCTCGGCGTGCCGCCCCAGCCGGACCCCTCGCCCTCGAGGTCGACGACCGTCGCGTAGACGGCCGCGCTCAGCGTGCCCGGCAGGCTCAGCATGCCCTCGCGCGGCTCCGCGTTGACCATGCACGTCTGGTGGCCCATCTTGACCCCCCATGCCGCCAGCGTCCGGCACAGCGCCGTCTGCCCGCAGTCCCGGGGCCCGCAGACCATGACCCGGGGCCCCTGGGCGCCGTGGCCGCCGCGCGCCGCGGCCTTGCGCTGCGCCGCGAGCAGCAGGTGCAGGTTCATGTAGCTGACCATGGGCGAGCCGTCGCCGTCGCCGTCGCCGCCGCCGAGCTGCGCGACGTGCTCGTCGCAGGCGCCGTCGACCTCGACCTCGCACCCCTGCCACGTGAAGAGCTTGGACTTTGTGTGGGAGAAGACGTAGGGTTGGTTGAGGGCGAGCTCGGTGCCGTCGCGCTCGGCGGTGCCCGAGAGCAGGCGCACGGTGATGGGCGGCGAAGAGACCTGGAAGCGCCACTCCCAGAAGCGCTGGAGCCTGATCGTGCGGGTGGCCGACGGCGCGGGCTGTTCACTCGCTTTGTTAGCGACGATAGCTTGCCACCAGTGAGTGCCTTTGGGGGAGGTATCTTGGGCTTACCTGCGTGGGGATCTGTCCCAAGCCCGGAATCGACATGGCCTCGGACTCGGCTTCTTCCAGCGCGGGAAGGGGTTATGGTTGTGGGTTGTGTGAGGCGTGCTTCCTTCTTTGGAGCCAAAAAAGATCAAAATGTGCTGGAGCTTGCGGCTCGCAGCTCAGCTCTCGCAAGGTTGCGGTTTTCAGTGGATTAACCCAGCGTTCCTACTGACGCAATGTGCTATTTAGCGGGGCAAGCTCGCCTAATTAAAGTGTAAGGAGGGCCGGGGGCTTTATGGTGTGGGCGTGTCAAGGAATCATTGGCCACTCGAGGTGCTGGATGAGATTTCGATATGCATCATGCAGGCAATCCAGCACCTCAATGGCATTGTGCAAATTGACTTTGGGCTATGCATGGATGGACCAGTTCAGCAGGGTGCAGGGGCCTACCCGCAATTAAGGACGGGACGACTATCAAGTCTAGCTCATCATCGTCACTTCAGCAGGCACTTGAAGGTGGAGGAGGAATTCATCTTTGAGTCTTCTCTCGATCCTTTGCGAATCAGAGTGAGCGATGAAATATGACTGTGAGCTGTCTCTGTAGCTTAAAAAAAAATAAGGTAAAATCGTGTTATCATCATAAAAATGCCATCAAATGCTAATGTACAGTCCTTTTCCCGACACAGTTGCTTTTATCTAGAAATAGGGGAGGGGAAAAAAGAAAATGAAAAAGAGAAAAACACCTTAAGAAACGCCATGGTATCAGCCCTCTGCCCTCCGTCATGCTACCTTTGCTGCTCACAATGCTGTTTCCTTTGCAAATGCCAGACGGTATGCAAGCCCTTGATGGTGTCGCAGGAGTTTCCCATCTCTGCGGTCTATTTGCAGGGCGAAGGGGCGCCCGCCCGTCCATCTCCCTCACTGTGACAATTCATCGAAAATCTTGATCAAACTCCGGACGCCCTTGAGCACGTTTTCATCGGGTCCCTCTCCGGGTGCCCATGCTGCATGGGCAAAGTCGATGAGCTTCAGTCCGTAAATCCGTGGCAGGTTGACCAGATCGCTCTCATCGTCTTCGTCCACGTCGGCCGCAAGGACCATCTGGCCGCTCATGACAGCGCCGGTAACCATCTCGCCATCCGGGCCGAGATCAATACCGCTGTCCACCCGGATATTGGCGCGGGTCTCGTCCTCTTTCTCCTTTTGAGTAACGGTCTCGTTGGACTCCTCGACGGCGACCTTCAAGGCTTCGCCATCTCCCTCAAAAACAAACAACAAGGAGGCAGAGTACATGCGGCTCTCCTCCTGCTCCAGCACGTCGCGGACGTGCTCCAAGTCCCGCTTGAATGCTTGCGCCACGGCCTTGCCGTGTTCCAGGTCCACCTTGGCAGCCTCGTTGAAGATGAACTTTCGCAAGGAATCCACGACGTTCTCGGCATTGACGGTAAAGCGGCCCCAGTCCTTGTCGTAGATCCTGTAGTCCTCTTGGTCGAGCTCGGCCTTGTCGTGCGAGCCCCTGAAAACCCGCATGCCAGCTATCCGGAAACCCAGGTCCTTGTGGGTGGTCTCGGCAGCGATCTTATCGAACCGGTTCTTCTTTTCCTGCGGTGCATCGTCGGCCCAGAGGCGAGTCCCCAGCTTGATATCCATAATGTTGGGCTGCTTGTATCCGTAGGCCGCATTCTCCAAGACGAGCGCCGTGTCCGTGGCAATTTTCCGATCCTTATTGGGTTTCCATGTGACGTTGTCAGGCGTCGTTTCTGGTTCTGACGGGGGTTCGGGGTGAAGGCTATGGGCCATCTTGACGACTTCTTCTTTGAGATGTTGCGGGATGTGATCTGCGACGACGGGCAATTGCTCATTGATATCCGCAATGTCGGTCGCATCGTTCAGGGTTAGAGTACCCATGAAAACAGGCATGATGTCCGCAAAGTCGGGGTGTTCGTCGGCTGCAGAATTGTAAAAGTCCACCTCCTGCTGGGTACAAGGCTTGATGAACAACTCTCCATCCGGGTCGCAGAGCGTGCCAGCACTACACGGGCGCAGCAGATTAGCATAGCACTTCGTATGATTCAAGATCTTGGGGGAAACTTACTGCCCTGCGACGGCATAGTTGTAGTCGACGAGGTCCCCGCGCTTCGGTATCTCTCTTGCGCCCATCATCTTTGCGGCGCGCCTTCGGTGGTAGGTCGAGAGGTCAACGGTCTCGGGGATACGGCTCAAGGCAAAAGCATAACCGAGAGGCTCTGCAGCTGCTGTGGGAGGATGATGGTGTACGCTCAGAAATGCAGGGGCAAGAAGGGAGAGGATCAGCGATCGCATGGGCGACCGTTGTATGTGCAGCCTGGGCCAGGAGATGTGTGCCAAACTGTAATGCGGAATCGAGGAGGAAGACGGACGTTGGCGTGCCACGAGGTATGCGCCGAGCTAATAAGGGTCGCTGGCTGTGCGCTGACAGTCGAGAGGCGCACAAGACAGCGGCAAAGAAAGAGGGAGTGTCTGGCTTTGTGTTGGCAATGGCGGTCAAAGGAATGTTGGGCGTGGTCGTGAATGTTGCTGCACAAAGGGCTCACGATATGGTATGTGCTGCAGTACAGTAAGGTACAGTAGTGGGCGGCGCAACAAGATGGATTGGGGCAGTGAAAGGGCCGCATACTTTACGCCACGAGTTGGGCAAAAAGTTCACTTTCCCATTTTTCCAGGCGCTGCATGGAGGGAACGGGTTGAACGGCCTGGCGGCACAGAGCGCTCTGACAGGGGTGGACCAGGCAGCTGACGGGCGCAAATCATAGCCCTTCTCAGTGATTCGCTCAGCTTGTCAAGCGAGTTCAGGCGGGATGATTAAGAGTCATTGGACCCCTGGCAGCTTTGTATGCGGAGTTTGATCCGCCCTGGTGGCTCAACTTGGGGCGCTTCAGAGACCTCTAGTGGGAGACTAGGCACGCTAAGGGCGGTATCAATCTGATACGTTTGGGCGGGCTGTCAAGTTCGGTGGGTCTGATTGTTTCAATAAAGTGCCTGGACTCAATACCAGTACAATACAAATCGTCAGCGGGTGGCGGAGAACTGGGGTCTACTGCGCTTCCGCTCCTTCGGTTCGCCAGTGCCGGACTGTCACTATTGAGGAGTGGCCAAAAGGCAGAATGGCAGCCCACAGCCACACTGGGCCCTCGAGGGCAAGAGAAATGCCTCGCGCTTTTGGTTGGCCTGCAAAGTAACGGCAGCATGTGTCGCCATGGCGCAGCATGCATATGTGCGTGTGCGCGAGTGTGTGCGAGTGTCTGCGAGTGTGTGCGCGTGTGTGCTGCACAAAAGACCACTGCATGGCGACGAGTAGGTGCCTTAGGAGGCCATGCTGTTTGCCGTCTCCGGGCTGGCTACCTGTCGTCCGTATCCCAGATCCAACCTGGCTGAATGGATCCGAGACAATGGGCCTTTCCCACATACACGAGACGAGACGGCATGTCAAGACGATGACAACTCCGAGGGCACGCCGGGCCTGAGGGATGCATATATACAGCTGTCAGCTCTCACCTTTGTGTTTCTTACGAACAGCTCTGGCAGAAGACTGATTTCTGACACTCTCTCGCCTGAGCTGAGTCAGTCGACCTTCCATCCGAAACACACGGACATGCCCGCAAATCGCAAGATCAGCCGCCAAGTTCTGGCTGTACTAGGAGTGGACCAAACTTCCTTATCGCGATGGAAACATGCCCTTCTTTCAAGTATTATCACAGCAGGTGCTTTATGTTCTGGCGAGGTTTGCCCGCAAGTCAAGGCCAAGACATTGGAGGAAGGTGCCACTTGCAAAAATAGCACATTCAAGGAGAGAACATCATGGCAAATAATCCTCAAGTAAACATGACTGGCAAGGCAGCAAGGTAGGCCATCTGTAGAAGGGACACAGCTTTCTCCTTGTGGCATCAATCTCTCCCAAGTTTGTTGCTTGCTTGAAAGACCATTCAGTGGGGTGTTGGTGTCCAAGCATTGAGGTTTGCTCCTCTGTACGAGCTGCTCATTGCCGTCTCAAAGATTCCATCACGCTCTCCTCACTTCGAGGCCACTCTGGTGTGAGATTGAGATACGACTCACCCCTTGCCTCTTTCTCTTGACTTTGAGAGCCCTCAATCATTCAACCAAGCAATCACTCCACAAGTGACGCTCTCTTTTTCACTTCTTGACCAGCAAGGTCTTCCTTTCTCATCCATCCCTCGTGATCACCAGCCCTTCAATTTTCGGACAGCCTCAGATCACCATTAATCCTTCAGCATTTCTTCATCCCGTGTCAACGAAGCAGCCCCCAGATCCAGCACCATGTCATCTGTCCAGGACCAAGAGATGGACCGAGAGACCTTCCTGGCTGCTATTGATGCTGCCATGGCTCCTCTCAAGGCCCCCGACCCGGCTGAGGCCGCGAAGGATGCCGAGAGCGCCGGCAAGGTCAAGTCCAAGAAGAAAAAGGGCAAGCGCAAGGGCAAGAGCGCTGCTGCTCGCGGCGAGACTGCCCTTCACAAGTCTCGCGGAACCGGATTCGAAGGTCTGTCTCTCTTTGGCAAGCTTGTTGTACCGATCGCCGAGTCTAATATTGATCAGAGTACTACGCCGACCCTCCCATCACCCCCCAAGAGCACGTCGACGAGCAGAAGCTCTATTCTGCGTAAGTGTCTCCTGTCCTGACCATACTCGCGTTGCCTTGCAAGTCAAATACTAATCTTTCATAGCGTCAATCCGTTCCATGAGTGAGTTTGCAAGGAACACCGCAAATCTGTCGTGTGGCTAACCGGCTCTGATAGGCGCATCGAAGAGTGTATCCAGCGCTTTCGCGCACGTCGTAGGCTGGATAATCTACGAACCATGCTCTTCACGAACTACCTGATGATAGGCGGTATCAACTCGAGTCCGCGCCAGTTCACTGGCGTCGCCGACATGAACGACCAGGAGCTCGAGGATGTCACCAGCAGTGATATGCGGGCCTACACTGCCACTGATGTTATTGATCGATCGGGCACCAGCTCGTTCAGCCGCTTCTACCGCGTTGACGAACCGGACAACTGGGATGTTGATTTCAGCGGCGTTGCTGCCGGCTTCTTGTAAGCGGCCACCCCGACTCTCTGTTTTGGGCACAATGCTAAAGATGAAACCAGCTCCGACAGTCTCCCCAAGCTATGCAGCTATGATCTTCGTGAGTATGCGTCTGGTCTCGAGGTCGTCCACAACTTCCTCACATACGTCCTCGCCCACGATGTCTGCCCGGAATTCAACGACGACGTCGAGAAAGCTCGCCAGCTTTGCCATCAGGCAGCCGCCGAGTATCCGCAGGTTTGTGCGGCACGCACTTTCCTCCCGGGCCTGTTCAACAAGGCTTGCGGAAAGCTGTTTTCCAAGACGAGCGACAATCAGGCCGTATCTTCCATCTATAGACACCAAGAGTGGCTGGACGACGACGATCTTGACGCAGAGCGCATCTTCAAGGCTACGATTGCCCTGCTGGACGAGTTCAAGGACTCCAAGATCCTCAAGAAGGCGAGGGATGTCAATGATATCCACATCACCGAGACTGTTTCCATGGACCTGGAGATCACGGAGATCCGCATGCCCTCTGTCGAGCTCGACAATCTCTTCGTCGGCGTCAAAGATCGCGACGGCAAGACTGGCAATATGCCCTCCATGGGCTTCGCCACGATGCGTCAGTGCGTCATCGAGACCGCGTGGGACAATCCCAAGCCCACAGAGGAGGAGTTGCGCGGCCGGCCCTCCGAGACGTTCATCTTTGATGCCGACACTCTGTCTGCACTCCAGGTTGGCTTCAAGCTGGAGGCTCTGGTGTGCCGGCTCGATGATGGCGAGCTCAGCTTCATTGCCAGCTTGGGTGACGTCCTGCCTTCTTTCTACACCTTTCTGCCGCAGACACTCATGCTTCACTTCAAGGAGCCCCTTCCCAACGAGCGGCCGGCGCCTTCAGTCGAGGATCCCGAAGTTGAGGAGGATGGTGGTGAGATGGAGGACCTCGAAAAGGAGTTTGGAGAAGCTGGTGTTGGCGAGGTCGAGGCCAAGAAGCCTGTCCCTGGATTGAAGGACATTCTTTGAGCTAGTCTGTAGGCCACGGCGATGTATCTTGAAGTCTAGTAACGTTGTAGCTTCAACCTGAATTCTTTTGGCAGAAATATCCGATAACAAGCCTTGTGGGTAGCATCGGCATGTCCCATGCTAAAGGTACATTCGGCCCTGATCACTGGGAACCTTTATAGTGTCTCTGGAGTACGGGTATTATTTTCGCTGTGTCTGTTCAACTGTGTCTAATTTCCAGTCTGATTTGGCTTGTACCTGAGACCGAGAAAGAAGTTGTTGAATAGACATTGGCACCACTTGTGCAACTGTCATCATCTCGAGAGACTGGGTTATCAAGGCCGAAGTAGTCACATGTAGGCTAGTAGCCTTGTGTGCTGCCCAGGGCCCGTTGTAGACAGCTCGGTAGCTTTCCAGCCCGAGGTGGCTCTGGCATCGAGCGGGCTGTGGGCACCACATCCTGACGATGAGCGAGTTGGCCCAGCTGAAGGAGAGTGCCGTCGAGCCGGACGAGGACCCAGAAGAAGCTGGGAAAACAGGAGGTAGGCCGGGCGGTCTACAAGATGACAGCTTGTTCCGAGGTGTCCAGCAAGGCCTGGTCGTCAGAGCTGCGGGCCAGTTGATATGCATCACCCTTTCCTCTGCGAGAGGAAGTAGAGCACTGGCGACCAGATAGAGAGATAAGAATACAGTAAGAAATAAATAAAAAGATAACCAAATGAGAAATATCATTCAGCCACCAACAGATAAGAATCGACAACCCATAGGCGAAGCAACCTATAAGTGCAGCCAACCCATAAGCACAGCAACCCATAAGTGCAGCCAACTCATGAGCGCAGCAACCCGTGAGCGCAGCAACCCGTTAGCGAAGCCAACCCATGGGCGAAGCAACCCATCATGGCCGAGTTTGTTAGAGTGATGACATCGTCCTCCTATATAGTTGACGTGTAGTCTGCCTCCACCGAGCCCGAGGTTCGAAAGCAGACGGGCAAGGGTGCCAGGAGAGATATGCGGTTTGCTAATGAGGGATGCGAGAGACCAGATGTCCAGTCGACCTCGGGCACAAACTCCCACGCAAATATCGACTAGTCGACGGAGCTCTGGGGATGGAAGAGGCCCAGCGATTATTGATATGACTCTTGCGTGATGCCAACTTGGATGATGAGAGGAAGGCTTGGTGCCGAGAAGCGAACGTAGGCGACAGAACGACATCTTGGAGCAGCTGTGTTGTGGTATGAGAGCGAAGGAAAGGGCCTGATCATGCAGAGTTTTGTCTATAACGCTTGCTCTTGGCGTGCCCATGCAACACACGCTCGACTCGAGGGTGCATGTTCCGGACCTTGCCTAAGTTGAAGCGCGATGGAGCCGCGCCCTAAAGTGAACATACCCAAGTAATTTTGACAACTCCTGATACTACTGCGATCAAGTGCACGCTAGAATGCGAGGCACCTGGTGATAAGAAGTTCTCAGTCCTCCTTGGCGCTTGATCTCGCGAGCCCAGGCGGACCCATATATTTCCCTGTTATGCTGGAAGAAAAGGTGGGTCCAGCCTGAGGATAGAGCAAAGATATATTAGGGTTACCATCCCAATCCTAACCTCAACCTCTGACATATAGGTGAGGAATCGTCCAGGAAGTGGATAAGAGATTTCCAGTAAGAGATGAGGAGAAGGAGATTTTTCGCCAGGATGCAGGCAGCCAGAATTTCGCCCGGTATGTGGACAGAAATTCCCGACCATTTAGATTCACACTTCAATAGAGGACCTTGGGTGCCCAAGACATAGTTAGTACATACAATAAAGTGATGATAATTGTCAACTTCCAAGATGATTTAGTGCAATTGTGTCCTTGGCACTGGGAACAACCATAGTGCCTTGGGATACAGGTCTTGTGTTCACTATGGCTCTTTGACTAAATACTATAGTAACTTAACGTTCAACGGACAAAGGTTGGTCCCAGAATTAGTTTATTTTTGAAAAGATTAGGTAACAGACTTCATTCTCAAGATATGATATGACTCGAGCATGCGGGAGGTTTGCCCCTCCTAAGAGCCTTAAGAAGAAGCTCTGAAAGTTGACAGTCCAGATAGTCTCGCAAGTGGACTGGATATGGAGTGAAGGATATTTCAAGGTAACTAAGTAGCATTCGACTCTGAAGGGATTGAAAGCAAACAAAATTGCCTCCAAGGCAATTTGAGACTGACTGGCGTTACTTCCACTCAAGCTTTAAGCCCTATACGAGCCCATTTAGCACAGGCTCGCAACCCACCAAATCACGGAGGAACTCGGGCTCGTGGGAGCGACACGATTGTTTACCTGTCAAACTGTGACTTGCTGTTCGGCCCCGCCTCTCCGACGGATATCTTGAGCGGGATCTCTTCCCAGCAGTCGACTGACTGCAGTGCTGAACCCCTGCTGCCGCGGCTCTCCAGCATCTCCGGCCCTACGGTGTCGCGTGAAGAAGCGCCCTCTCGCATTCCGGGCACGCTCGCTGTACGTGTTCAGAAGCATCAGGATCTGCCTGGCGAGGGGCTTCACAATCCATATGATGAGCCCGAAGAACAGCGTCATGGTGACGAATATGAGCCGCGGTTGAAAGGTGACGAATCCCGTCTGCTGTATAGTCCCAGCCATGATGAGGGGAGTGCACACCCCAAACTGTCAACAGGTAAGTAAGTTTTCCGCGACATGGACGAAAATGACCCGCGCCATTTACCAGTACTGAGCTTTCTTTCTGAATGTGGATGGATTGAATGCCCTGAAGTTGCAGGTAAAGCTCGAACTTTATAGAGCGTGGTCAGCATTCCTGGCTGGTCTCGATCAATACCTTGGGTGAACTGCCTATGCATACCTGGCTTCTCGATATATCGCACAGCCGAACCAGTTTAGCAACCATCGTGTGCGATTGCCGAAGCTCGCGGTAGACTTCTCCAATACTGGCAATACATCGATGGCAGCCCTCCAATGTTCTTCTGACGCCTGCCTCGTTTCGAGAATTTTGACCAGTCAAGGCGTGTGGTGGCGGTCTGGGATAGGTAGCTTCGAAGGCATCTTCAGGAGTCACGACGCCCTGAAGAACCGGCTCAGGATTCTGAAGAAATTTGTCCAAAGCCTCCAGTGTTGGGGTCAATGCTGACTCAAGCTGTGTCAGTAGTCGGGTTACATTGCAAGTCCACCTGTAGTCCTCGGTGATGGTTGCAATGTGCTCTTGCTCGCTGCCGAGTGAGTAATCAAGAGGGTTTGCCAGGCCCCTCTTCTCTATCTATATTTTGTTGAAGACATGTTTAGTCTGAGCTCACTGGAATCGGGCCTTTGGGGTCTTTCAGAAAGGGACGGTGATAGTTGGTTGGAAGATTTCATCGTACCTGTCGGTTTATAATTGGCTCGATGATCTCGACCAGGTTCTCCCACTCCTCTTTGACGTGAGAGCTCCACGCCTGCAGGCAGTCCAGGAAGTAGAGCCGTGGGTCCAGAACAGGCAGTCTAGTGGTTTTTTTGAATCGAGTCAGCGGGTCACATTCGTACTCGGCCCTCCGGGTTTGTTGACAGTGTTTCACTCCGTCCAAGCTATCGACTCCGTCGAAGAATGTATCCACGAAGCAGAATGCACACCAGATATCGTGGCTCTGCCCTGTTACTAGAAGGGATACCTGGGCCTTGTAAATGGATTCTTCTCCAGTGTGAGGCTTTGTGGCTGCGTTGAACAGATATGTGACGGACTGGCGCATTCGAAGGGGCAAGTCGTCCTGGCATCTCCTCATGTCTTCGGGGACTAATTCATCCGGACCATGTGTCCTCCAGGTGTAGTATGGCAAGTGGAACTCGAAAACGAAAGGTAAGAATCGACGCTCCTATTCGCGAGCTTGTTAGCACCCTCTGCAATCATCGTTTCAGACTTTTTCTATGCTTACTGTAGTGAGACACCTGATGGTACTGCCTGATCTCAGGTGTCGCCTGATGCAATCTCGAAGCAGGGGAGTCTGGATATATGTCGCTGTGAGAGCCACTGCCGGCACTGTCCAATAATCGAGATCCGTGATATATCTTTGTACTGTGAGCCATGTTCATTCTGCAGCAAATACGTCACCTACGCAATATGCCTCCGATCGTCCGGTTGGTGCTCCTGTGATCAAGTGTGAGTTATTATTGAAAGACGAGGGAAGGGAGGAAATCAAAGGATGGCCTGCCACCATGGTGCGGTCCAACCACTCACCCAACGTTTAAGTCCATTGTAGAGTTCCTGAGCCGAGAGTGGTCCTCTGCAAGGTCGGGGTTCCCCAAAGTAGTCTGATTCCATCAGCCACGCTACCTTAGTTTCTGGAACGGGAACCGGCCTTCTTCCCTGTAAGGCGTCCATGTGTTCTTCAGGGCAAAAGGCTTGAAACTCTCGGACAATGTGTGCATATTCCGGCGCGTTGAACCGTTCGCGCAAGAACACAGCCGCTCTGGATACTTGACGGTTCAAAAGGACTGGAGCAGTGCCCCCAGATGCTTGAGCTTGAGCCTCGTGAGCAGAGGCTTGTTCTTCCTCAAAGACATCGAGATATGGTCGGACCTCAGTCACGTCGAACATTTTGAAGAGATCAAACACCTGCCTGGCGGTATCTTGAACACAGTATAGGATGCAACAGTGACCGGATAATCAAGAGCTGTGCGGATGAAGGGAGGCAAGAGTCGTGCGGATGTAGGAAGGGTGGTCTCTTTTTTATAAACATCGAGGAAGGTAACACGAAACAGTCACATTGCCCATGGCGTGCTTTTGGTGCGTCCAAAAAAGTCTATTCCCGTGTGTCAATAAAGCTCTGCTCTTCTATCACCATTCATTGCTACACATTGGCAGCGATGTAACCTGATGATATGGTGGCCCTCCCACACGAGACGGCGAATAAAGTTGTACAAGTTGCAAGAGCGTAGTACGAGTGCGCCTCCAGAATCTGCCTGGCTCGAATGTCGATGGTTACTTGCCACAACTATCCGGTTGCACTTCTGTCGGGGCCATGCTGAGCAGTTGAGTTCTCTTGGCTTCAGATGGTTAGCTCCGTATCTCCATTCGCCAGTTGGGGAGGCCAGTACGTACGTAGAGTTGGTCGCGGTGTTAGAGTTGGTCGCGTTGTTAGAGTTGGTCGCGTTGTTAGAGTTGGTCGCGTTGTTAGAGTTGGTCGCGTTGTTGGAATTGGTCGCGTTGGTAGCATTGGGGTTGTTGAGATGTGGATTGATTATATCACACCGTTCACAACGTGGAGCTTTGCATCTCAGGCATGGAGCAGCAATGGCACCAGCCTGGTTATGCAGCTCGTAGCGGCACTATTATCCATCAATAATCATGCAACTGATGCGGCTGTGTTGAAACTTACACAGGCCCAGGCTTCTTCCTTTGTCATTATGCAATCCATGACTTGTTGACTTTGTTGTTGTGTGAGTGACATTACTCGCAAGTCTTCCTCACTCATTCGCAGTGCTTAAACAATATTCCTGAGCTAACCTGTGATGCAAGTCTGTAGTTGATTCATGAAGGCCAAAACCAAGACATTACTTCATCTCATGCTCCTGCATACGTATACACTAGCCTACCGTGCTCACTCCCTCATTCGCTGCCTCTCCAGCTTGGCAGTGACCTCACTGGCTTCAGTACCCTTGGGGCTAGTGGAAATGATGAGGAGAGTTAGACTGTACGGCTGGAATTTGAACATCCTCGGCCCTTCCCTCCTCGACCTCCCCAGCGCCACCGTCCGCAACCAGATGCTTAACCCGGACGGGCCGGGCTACAAGCTGCTGGCCTTCGAGGGCGACGCCTTCACCAGCAACCGCCAGGCCGTCGCCAATCTCGCCACGGCCAGGAAGATCCGCGAGTTCGCCACCGCCGGCCTGCCGATCCTCGTCGTGGGGAACTGGTCCTCAGTCTCGGCCTACGGCCGCGGCGAGGCCGCGCACAGCGCCGAGATCACGTCGCTCTTCGCCGACATCCTCGGCCGGCCCAACGTCGCCAATGTCGCCGCGCGCGACGACATCGGCGCCGGCGGCGCGCAGCAGCAGCAACAGCAGCTCGTCAGCCACCACCGCGCCGACGGCGACCTCGACCACTTCCTGCTCGTCGCGGCGCACCCGGCCACCTACGCCGTGTCGGCAAAGGCTAGGGTCCACGCCGTCGAGGCCGACGTCGTGCTGCCCCGGCGGTCGAGGCGCGGGGTGCCCCTGCTCACGGACCTCTGGACGGGGCAGATGACGCCCCTGGGCCAGTACACCGAGGTCGACGACGCGCACGTCCGCGTGCGCGTCCGCCTCAAGAAGTAACAGGCCGCCGTCATCACCGTCGCGCCCCTGGCCGAGGTGCCGGTGCACGCCGTCGCCTCGGACGCGCAGCTCGTGCGACGCCGCGACGGCGGCGGAGGCTGCGGGCTGTACATGCGCGCCAACGCGACGGGCACGTACACGGCCGAGCTCAGCGACGGCAGGACGGTCATCGAGACGATCCGCCACGTGCCGAGGGGTTTCGAGATCAAGGGTTGGACGCTGGCGGTGCAGAGCTGGGAGCCCACGGAGGATATGTCCTCGCACGAGCCGGGGTTCGTCGCACACGAGCTCGGCCCGCTCGACGCGCTGCGGCCCTGGACGAGCTACCCGGAGCCGGGCGACGTGTCGGGCGTGGGCACGTACAACGCGAGCTTCACGCTCGGCGGGGAGGAGGGCGGCGGCGGCTGGGCTTGGTCGGCCCAGGCCGGCGCGACGCACCTTCACGGGCTCGTTCCGCGTGGTGGTCAACGGTCGGCGGCTGCCGGCTGTGGACCAGCTGGACACCGAGTTCGACATCGGCGGGTACGTGCACAAGGGCCGCAACACGATCAGCATCGAGGTCGCGACGCCGCTGCTCAACCGGATGCGGGTGGCGGACCCGGACGTCAACGGGGTGGCCAAGACGCAGGACTACGGGCTGGTGTCACAAGGAGGTCAAGATTGCGGGGTAGGACGGGGACATAACGGGACTGTCTCCTACAGGAGTACCTTCAGGAGGGGAGGATTGCCCCTGGAGAACATTCTCTACGACTCGGCATTTGGTACGTTCAGAACTGCCATGAAGTAATGTGTGTCATGATCACGAAACCAGTGCCAAGATGACCGTGCCAAGTATAATTACGAAGTACGTGATTTGTTTGGACAGTACGAGACTGGCGCGTTTCGAAGACGCGAAACCTTACAAGAAAGGCAAGGCAAACCGAGCAAGACTGTTTGTGAACAGTGTCAAGGTTCCGTTAACTCCCGGACGAAAGCAGACTACACAGTTGATGGCGTTCGAGATGGTGTGCACCAACTTGTTTAGTCGGCTTTGGCTCCTTATTAGGTTGGGGGTCTCATCACGAACTTGGTCCGTGCAAAATCTGGGGAAAGGACCTGGGGAAAGAAGGTTGTTGAGACCATGATGCTGACCACTCGAAAATGGTCACATTTGTGACTGTTGATACCTCTGTCATTTGATCATTTGGAGCATATTGGTGGCAGACAAATGTTTCAATGGACCTCGAGATGGGACCCTGCAGCGAACCAAAGTTCATCAGCTGGGAGCCAGTCACGCGGGCTGTATTTGGGCAGATCGGGAAAACAGTCCAGCCCAGATGTTTGTCTTGCCAGCTTGGAGTAAGAGCCGAGACATGCGCACAATCAGGCGATGAGGTGTACCTATCAGGAGGGGGATCAGGCCTGGTGGTTTGCTTGGCACTGATGCGGTCAGTGGGAAAACAGCGCAAAAGCGCAAGGGGCCGAGCTAATAGAGATGTTGGGGCACTAAACAGCCTCGGACGTCGGATATTGTGATGGGCACTGGGCTGTTCTGTTGCTGGATCTGGGTCCGAGTCTAGGCACGTTGGGATGGGAGCTGATGGCGGCCCCGTCTGCCCTGTTAGCCGCTGTTCGGAGCTGGTCTCACCGCCTCTGTGAGATCCGGGGAGACTATTTCCTCCTTGCTCCCTAATTGCAGGCCCAGCTCGGAGGCATGATTCCAGTCCCCCCTCGCGAGGGATTAGGCGACAGAGACAGAGAATCCGGTGGCACAGCAGCTTGTTGATGATCCTTTTCATCATCAGGAACTGTCAACTAAGGGTCGGATCAATCGAATTCTATTCGTTGAGGTGTCTAATTCTAAGGGAGAAAAGGGGAAGGCTGCTAGAGGGCCGCCGGCCCTTAGGGGTGGCCCTAAAGGGCGGTGTGGTTAGGCAGAGACAGCTCTATATATTAAATTTGCCCTAGGGTTATTCTTAGTAGACTAGCTTCTTCTGATATATCTCTCTAGATCTTTAGAATCTAGAATTCTAGGAGATCTAAAGTTATTTCTATATCTTAAATAGGAAATTAATAATTTTATTTAATATTAAAGATTAATTAATTACTTTTAGTCTTATTAACTATATATTAAATATTAATATAGATATATATTAAATTAAAGGTCTTATAAAGATTATTTTTTTATTATTAATTTTTATATCTTTCTTATATATCTTAATATATTTTATATAGTTTTAAATAATTTCTATTCTTTTTAATAATTAATTTAATAATTTAATAATTATAATATTTATTTTTTAAGATAAAAGATTTAAATTTAAATTTTAATTAGATTTTTAAATTAGATTTTAAATATCTTTAAGCTTTAAGATATAATTTTAAATAATTTTAATTAAAATATTTTTTAAATTTATTAATTTCTTATTTAGATTAATTAAATTAAAAGATTCTATAGATTTAATCTTTATAAAGAATATTAATCTTTTTATCCTTCTTTTAAATAATAATAGAAAGAGATATATAAAAAATAATAATATAATACTTTCTATAAGTAATTTTAATAGTTTAATAATAAGATATCTATTTTCTTTAATAAAAGATCTAGATTTAATTTCTAATTAGATTTCTAAACTTCTTAATATCTTTAGATCTTAAGAAGTTCTTTTTATTTAATATAATTAGAAATTACTATTCTTTTTACTAATTTTAATTATCTCTTAAGATAATAATAAAATAGAAATAAAGATCTAACTACTTAATAAACTTTTAATACTTATTAATTAAAAAAATCTTAATTAGTCTATTAATTAATATTTAATTAATAGTTAGATATTCTATCTTTATTATCTTCTTTTAAATCTTTTATTAAGCTTAATAATAATAAATATTAATATATCTTAAAGTTATTTTAAGTTATAAGTTTTTATTTTTAATTAAGTAAATAATTTAATAATTATTATAATAAATAATAAATTAGTTTAATAATTATAATATTATCTTCTTAAAAAACTATATAATAATAATAATTTCTTAAAAAAAGTTTATAAAGATAAATAACTCTATTTTAATAAATAAGATAATAATAATATTTTATTTAATTATTTTTTAATTAATAATACTTTTAAATAATATTATAAGATATTTTTAGAAGAACTTTTAATTCTTTAAATTATCTTTAAATAAAGTATTAATATAGACTTTAAGTAAGAGATTTAAATTATTTCTATTAAATAAAATATCTAGCTTTTTTATTTTTAAAAGATAATAGATAACTTTATTTATCTTCCTTATTACTTTAAATAGAGGATTTATAAGAAAGTAGATAAGACTAATAATTACTTTAATAATATTTAGTCTTATAATAATATTAAGATAGATTAAAGATCTTATCTTTTATTAATAGATATAAATCTCTAATAAGATTATTTACTTATCTAGCTTTATAATCTTCTTAATTAATATAAGAATAGCTAGCTCTTTAATTATATTATTAAGCTTATATTTAATAATAAGATTAATAATCTTATCTTCTTATAAGATTTAAATCTAGCTTTAATTAATACTTTAAATAACTCTTATTTCTAAGAACTACTTAATATCTTTTAAATTTCTTATTTTAAATTAATAGATTAAGATCTTTTTAAAGACTTCTTCTTTAGCTTTATTCTTCTTATAATAAAGATAAATAATATTATTAATATAAAAGAATATTAAAATAAAGTTATTATAGAAGAGATATAACTCTTTAATTAATTAAATAAATTCTATTTTAATAAGAATTATTAAGAGAAGCTTCTACTAAAGTAATAGTAATATCTATAGGCTATATAGTACTTTAATTAAATAAGTAATCTTATTAGTCTATTTAAAATATAATAAAAGTTCTATAAATATCTTCTTATTAAGATAGATATTAATAAAGATATTAATTATATCTAATTACTTTATCTTAAGTTTAAATCTTATAGTAATAACTATAAGAATTTAAAAAGATCTTTCTATTAATATAGTAATATAGATATTCTAATTATTTAATAGTTATTAATCTTTTTAAATATAGATTCTAGCCTTAAATCTCTTAATATACTCTTTATTATTAAACTTATAAATAAATATCTACTTTAATAATATAACTATCTAGCTCTTAACTTTATAATAGTTTATTATCTTTAATATCTTATTATCTTAAATATTTTTAACCTTCTTTTATATAGCTTTAAGCTAGTATTAATTATAGAGATTATTAATAGCCTTCTTAATATTTCTTAACTTTAATAATAGATTATTTTAATATAATTAAAGTAATTATTAAGGCTCTTATTTAATAAAGACTACTTTAACTTAGAAGCTAATATAAATTATATTAATATTATAATAATCTCTTAGAATTATCCTATTAACTACTTATTATTATCTTTTAAAGAGCTTCTCTTACTCTCTTAATTATTATATATAGTCTATTAGCTTATAATTTTAAGTTAATTATCTAATTAATATAAAACTTAAGAAATCTTTCTAAAAATTTTCTAATATCTTTAAAATACTATTCTCTTTTTTTAATAAAGTTTCTAAAGTTATTAAACTAAAGATTATAAATTTAAAGCTTTTTATTAGTCTTATTATAACTAGTTCTTAAATTAGCTCTTTACTTTAATAAGAAGTTAAGTAGATAATAATTATCTTTTTAAGCCTCTCTTATATTAAACTAGCCTTTTTAATTACTTTAGCCTATTAAGACTAATTTCTCTTTCTAATAGCTTTAAATAGTTTATCTATTAAATTAAAGAGATTAATAATCTTATTATTAGTCTCTTTAAACTCTAGCTCTCTCTTTACTAATTTTAATAACTTATAGACCTCTATTAATAATATAAATATAGTTATTCTCTCTCTAGATTTATTATAATTCTTCTTTTTAAAGAAGAACTCTTATTTAAAGATTATATCTCTTAATAGAATAATCTTTCTCTTCTTAAGAATCTAGATCTATTAAATATTTATATCTTTATAGCTAATAAGATATTTAATCTTAATATAGAGTTAATATTTAGTTTTAATTAATATTATAATATTATAATATTTATCTTTAAGATAATATATCTTTAAATTATACTCTTTAATATAGTTAAGATCTAATTAGTTTAAATTATTTAGAATTTAGTATTTATTCTTTTAATATTATTATTTAATAATCTCTTTTAATAACTTCTAGTTATTAGCTTAATAAGAGGATTTATTATAAAGATAGATTACTACTTTATAAATCTTATTAATTAGATTAATTAGTAGATTAATATTAAATAATATTATATTAGCCTTTATTTATATTATTTTCTTAAATTACTTAGTATAGTTATTAGATTAATATATATATATTAATAATAGTTTCTATATAATCTCTTTATATTATTTCTACTTCTTAATAATATTAATATTAAGAGTTAGTTTATTATTATTATAATCTTATTAAACCTAAAGACTTTATTATTAGTTTATTAGGCTATAATAGTTATAAAGAGTTTTAAGAAGAATATACTTCTTCTTATTTAATAAAGAATATATAACTTTTAAGTCTAAGAATTTATCTTTAATAATTAGAACTATTATTAAACTATTAAGATAGTCTAATATTATAAAGAGATTTAAATAGATTTAATTAAATAGATATTCTATTAGTTAATTATTTAGCCTTCTTAAGACTTATTACTTTATCTTAGCTTTAATATATATTTAATAAGGCTGATTAAACTTACTAGTAATTATAACTTCTTTAATATTAATAGATAAGTAGCCTAGAGCTTTATTATTAAGATATCTTATTCTTTTATACTAGATATTATATCTTATCTTACTTTTTAAGCTAGGCTTTTATAATAAGACTATATTAATAGCTTTATCTAATTATTATTTATTAGCTTATTCTTAACTTTAATAAAAGTTAATTATAATATAGCTCTTAATTTATTTAGTTAAAAAGACTATTAGTTTTAATATAAAATTCTTAATAATATTATAGTTATTATTATTCTATTAATATTCTACCTCTCTTATTACTTTATAAAAGATTAGATTAATATAGAAGTCTTTAATAATAATAATATTCTTTAGCTTAAAGAGAGCTAGATTAATAAGAATATTAATCTCTATTATTACCTCTTCTATATTATAATATAATATTATAATATTATCTATATTAATAATATTAGTTATTAATTAATATATATCTCTAATAAGCTTTTTCTTTAAGTTAATAATATAATAAATAATATTAATATTATAAATAAAGTTATTCTTTAATAGATATATTATAATAATAAAGAAGTTTATTATAATATTTAAGAAGACTCTTTAAAAGATCTTCTTAATTAAAATTATTTAAATATAAATACTTCTAATTTATCTAGTCTTATTAAATCTTTAATTAACTAATAATAACTTTACTAATAACTTCTTAATTACTTTAATTAAGTTATAGTATTACTTTTATAGCTAATCTATCTTTATAATCTTCTATAATATCCTCTCTAACTTTCTCTATAAGAAGAGTAATATATAGACTAGCTTCTTCTTTAAATAAAGAATCTAATACTAATTCTTATTATACTTTATTCTATAAGAATAAGTAAATCTTTTATTATTTAAAGTCTTATCTTAAAGTATTAATTACTCTATTAATCTTTAAATAAGCTTTATTATTATATTAAATAATCTTTTAATTAATCTCTTAATTATTATTATTATTATAAGTTATTATTAAAGTTAGTAAGTAAATATATAATTATTTAAAATTAATTCTTCTTAATTAAGAGTATTTATATAAGTTTAAATAAAGATATTATTAACTTTATTAATATTATTAATAATAATAAGAAAGTTCTCTATAGATTAATTATCTTAAATATTATTAATATTAATATTCTTAATATATTATAAAGTTTATTTTTATTATTTAATCTATATTAATAGATTAATAGATCTAGATAGTTATCTAGCTTATTAATATTAAGCTTAAGCTTATATTCTTATTTTAAAGCTTAATAACTTAAGATATTTCTTTAATATTATTAATCTTATCTATAGTAATTTAACTCTTAATAATTATCTAATTACTTCTATCTTATTAAGAATCTATATAATTACTTATTATTATTCTTTTAATAATTTATTAAATAAAGTTATATATTACTTAATTATTTAATAGATAAGCTTATTTATCTTAATTAGCTTTTTATTCTTCTTTTTATATATTAAGTTTAAAGTCTTTTATTTATCTAACTTTATATTAAAGAAGTTCTTTCTTATCTTAAACTTTTAATATATTATTATTAATTCTTTCTCTTATAATATTATTAAAAGAATAAAAGAATATTTTAAATAATCTTTAAAAGACTTTAAATTTTAATCTTTATTTAAATTAATATACTCTTAAATCTTATTATTATTAATCTTAAGATAAATATATAAATACTATATATTTTAATCTATTTTATTAATAAGAATTATTATTTAATTATTATTTAAATTCTTTTTAATTATAATATTATAATTAAATAATTAAGAGAATTAATTAAATAATACTTTAATTTAAATAAAAGATTAATTAAATTATTATTATATTTTAAAAGATTCTAATTACTTCTTATTAAATTTAGCTATAGAAATCTATAACTCTATAATCTAAATCTTATAATAATTACTTTAAGTAAATAGATCTACTCTAATTTACTTAATTAAATATTAATCAGACTTATAACTATTAACTAAAAATTAGATTAATTAAATTCTATTTATTAAGATATCTAATTTTAAGAGAGAAAAGGAGAAGGCTGCTAGAGGGCCGCCAGCCCTTAGAGATGGCCCTAAAGGGCGATGTGATTGGGCAGAGACAGCTCCACATACTAAATTTACCCTGGGGTTGTCCTTAGTGGACCAGCCCCTTCTGACAGGAACAAATGCTGTCTGAGAGGGCCGTTGATCTCGGAAGCCACGTCGACCTGCAACCTGGTTTTGCTGGCTGCCAACAACTCGCATAGGAGAGGAGGGTGGATCAAGGTCCAATCTTTTGCCTTCGTCTAGCAAGCCCCCGAGCTGGACCCGTCGGAAAGGATGCGTCGTCGGGTACTACCTACTTGTACGTACAGTACTTAAGTTTGTGTGGATTCGTAAGGCCTCTCTGGGGCTGTTGGCGTTGGTGGGATGTCGCGGGGGCTTTCCTCTTTTCACCTAGGCCCGGTCCTGGTCTTTTGAGAATCACCAAATTGACTAACTAGTCAGTAGTGAGGCAGAGACGAGGAAATTCGTACGATTACGGCGTCATGAAAAGAACACAAGTCTCAACCTGAGCGAGGGTACTTGTCTCGTCATGCGCAGTCATCCTCCTGCTCCTCCTCCTTGCTCCGCGCTGGTCTCGTTTGCTGCAATGGCATTGGCCACTGGCCCGGCCTCTCAGCACGCGGCTCCTTGCCTGGTGAGGCGGTCACAGGTCGCAGGGGGGATGTGGACGGAGCAATGGAGTGCCGTACAGCGCACATGCTGCGCCCGAACCCTGTTCGTTTTTGCTTTCCAGTCACCCGGGACTGGTTTGCCTGTGGTCTGTGCCAAAAATAATGGGTGGGATGATGAGCATGATCTGCCGCCGATCTGCGGGATCCTTGAAGCGGGATTTCCTCGAGGTGTTTCCACTAGTCGAAGTCTCGACAGCATTGACACCCTGCAACTAGCCCTCAAGTGCTAACTCATCCGCCGTTGAAATCCCAAGTGTCGATTCGCTCCCGCTCCCCTCTCCTGGGGCGAGCAATCCCTAGTCTCCAGTAGCCTCCCCCCCGATCTCCGCTTGCTGTCAATGTCGAGCATGTCGTATGCGCTCCACGAGTGGGGGGAGAGAGAGGAGAGGGAGGCAGACAACAACAGTCCAGCTCGGCTTGGCTGGCGGCTAGCCCTCGAGCGTGTGCCGACTTGCTTTTTCGTAAAACCCCAGACACATCCCAGCCATGCCCTCTCTTTGGCCCTAGGAGGCAATAAGGATTGTTTTTGGCTTACCTGGCTTCAGCCATCTTTCCCGTCGTGCTTCTCGACCCTGGTTTCCGCTTCTATTGACCTCGACCACGCCCGGACTTCCTTGTAGATCTGGCACAGTTGTGAACTTGACCACCACTACTCGGAACCAACAAAGGTGTCACTGGCGTTTGCGGTAGCACTTCAGGGCGCAGAGTTGCAGTCGTCATCGACCGTGTTTGGGTGTTATTTGTCGTCGTGCAGTTGGACTCGGAGAGCGCCGACGCCCACATGCAGCAGTAGCGGCTTTGAAGCAGCAACGACGCCTGCTTTGTCGCTTCCCCCTTCGACACACAGAACCAGCAACCACGACAATTTGGGCAGGCACAGTCGAAGGCGGTCTTTTGTCCTCGATCAACATCGCCTTCTACTCCCACAAATTCCAGGTCGCTTAGAAAGATACGCGGTGGTCTGCGACAGACCATTCCCTCGGCCGGCCAAGCCATCCCAAAGTCGATCATGTCAACATGTTGAAGGACGAAACACTACCCTTGTGAGCAATGGTTTGGCAATGGGCCGTGTTGATGGATACAACATACGCTACCTAACCGCCGTCGCTGTTCAATTCCACCACGAACAACACGGACACGGACACGGACGACGACAACAAGAATCATGTCGGCAGGGCTGGGCATCTTGTTGACCCGGCCCTTGCTTGGGCTGCAAGCCGAGCTTCTCCGTCGCCAACTCCAAGATGACACCTCTCTAGAGTATACCTGGCGGCATCAGATCTTCATCCTTCGGTGTCTTTCCCTCTCCCTGGCAACAGTCAGTCTTCTTTCGGCCATTGTTGCTTTCTACTGGTTTCTCCGGATGCGACGCAGCTTCAGGCATGAGTAAGCCCTATCCACACCTTTTCCCTTCTCTGCTAGGTCTTGTACTGAATCTCAACAGTCTTATTATGCTTTTGATACAGAGTGACTTCCTGAAGGCGTTGTTCTTCCTCCTCTTCCCGATCGTCGACTTTGTCAGTGGACCGATCAAGTCCGATTCGACCTTCTGTCAAGCCAGCGGATTCTTCCTCACGATTGGTATCGAAGCATGTGATGTGGCTATCTTTCTCATCACATTACATGGCGCTCTCTACATCTTTCGACCGAAGAGGTCTGGAGGTGAAAGTGGTCTCTACCCCTATAGGCGCATCGCTTATGCCGTCTATATCGTCTTTCCGGTCCTCCTGGCCTGCCTGGCGTTCGTCAAAGGCACCCCCGCTTACGAGAATACGGGAGAGTATTGTTATCTCTCAGTCCGAGACCCGTGGTACCGCATGGCACTCAGCTGGGTACCACGGTATGTTGTCTTCATCTCCATTCTGGTGCTCAGCTGTGTGGTGTACTTTTATGTTACGACACTGCTTGGCCGCTATGGTAGACGTAGCTCTTTCAGGCCTTCGCAGAACAGGGTCCCGCCGCCGCCGACCCCGCCGTTGGCATATCATGGCCTGATCCCTTCGGGGCCCGAATCGCGACGGCCATCCGCCCAAACCGAACGCGGGGGTACGCGGGACCGGCCTACATCGGTCGGTTCGCTGTGGACGGCCCCGCTCATCCAGGGCCGCCGTCCCTCCAGGTTGCCCGACAGCAAGCAGGCCTCGTGGCGATCAGACCAACGCCAAATTCCGAATTGGGATGATTGGAACTTCAAGTCGAGCAGCAAGAGACTGAATCTGGAATGCGAAACACCGTCGACCGGTGTAAGCACGCCGGTCATACAGCCACTATCGGCACAGATCAAGCCACCCGCCCCGGTACACGGAGTGCCCTCTGCACGCCGCGACTCGGCGCTGAAGCATGTTACTCGGGCCGGCGACGACACGGAAAGCTCGCGTGAAACCACCCCGCAGACTGCTACCCCGAATGGTACCACCATGTTGCCCGCTCCGATCCTCGGTGAGACTATTACCAGTGCCTCTATCATGGATCTCATTGCTGTCCTGCGCCGGGGTCCCAGCGACTTCGATTCTTCTCACGACTCGTCCGAGGTGTATCTCTCTTCGGCGGGTGCCGACGCTAATGACGGTCTGGCACGCTCACGGCACCGCACTCGTCGGCAACTTAAACTACTATTCGTCTATCCTGTCGTCTACATCCTGACATGGATCTTTCCTTTTGTTTCACACATCTTGCAGTACGACGACGCGTTTACTCCCGACGGCTCGGACGGACCGTTTTGGCTTCTAGCTCTCAGCCTGGCCTCTCTATGCACCCAGGGAACGGTTGACTGCGTCTTGTTCATGGTCCGGGAGAAGCCTTGGCGCCACGTCAAAGGCGGCTTCTGGGAGAGCCTACGCAAGCGAATGACCTTCACTCTGAAAGGGAGGATTGCCGGAAGCGGCAGAACTGCAGAGGAGATGGTCAATGACGGCCGGACCGCACGAGCCCGGCGGAACCATGAGATGGCGCAGGAGGATCTTAAGAGGACAGAGAGGGCGCAGATGACGAGAGACTCACTGAGCTCCCGGCAAGCGCCCAGAAAAGGCGGTGCTCATTGGTGGGATGCAGAGGCGGGCGTATCGGGTGGTGAGGATGACTGATGAATCGGCGCGCGTTTGACATTTTGCATTGCCTCCGGGCCGGACTGCTTGGGATTCTCATGCCTGCATACACGGGAGGCTTTTTGTCTTTGTTTTTTTTTGGCGTTGGATAGACACACTTTATACCCATGGGAACGGAATCTGGGCTGGGAGGCGAGAGGCATATAGCGATCATTCTTGTCCCAGAGGGCTGGCTCGAGGGACAATAGGAGTTAGACGGCTGGTTTCTTGGATAACCAGACCTTGATTAGAGCACTTCGATACTGTCCGTCAATAGACACTTTGCAAAGCTAAGGGCATTCTCATTCATTGAAGTATTATCTCTTAGAAGTGATGGCAGTGGGCATGTCTCTGTGCCATGAGATGCGAGAGCTTTAAAACGTGTTGGGATTAACTTCATTCGCGCATAAATTTGAGAAAGGCTCTTGCTATCGTGAGGCCGTCGTGCTCGTTAGCAACCCGATCTATGCCCGACTTGTACAGCTCGTCGCTGATGATCTTGGAGTCATGCCTCGACTCGAGAATCTCCCGGACAATGCCCTCTGTGAACTCGGGGTGGCCCTGCACCGTGATGACCTTGCCCGGGACGAGCATGCCCTGGACGGGGCATATGTCTGTATCTGCCAGCGGCACCGCGCCGGCCGGATATGAGAAGACGGCGTCTCGGTGCATCTGGTGTATCCTCTGTTTGCGGGAGGTTAGTTAGTTCTTTGATTCAGTTCTTGTTGTGTTTGCTGTTCTGTCAAGGGACTCACCATCTTGTCCAGGCCAAACAGCTTCCTGCCCTCGGCCGACAGCCGCACCTCGGTCACGGCCAGCTCCCACCCGCCCGGGTTGCGGTCGACCCGCGCGCCCAGGGCGCGGGCGACGATCTGGTGCCCGAAGCAGACGCCCACGACGCGCACGCGGGACGGCCCCTCGGCGGCGAGGGCCGCGCGGGTCCAGTCGACGAGCCTCAGGATCCAGGGGTCGTCGGCGAAGGAGTCGTGCCGGCTGCCCGTGATGAGCACGGCGTCGACGTCCTCGGGCCGCGGGTAGGACGCGCCGGCGCCGTCCGCGACGACGTCGTGCTTGGTGACGGTCAGGAAGTCGGAGAGGGGCGCGGGCGCGACGGCGCGGGCGAACATGTCGGTGAAGACGCCGGCGTAGTCGGTGTACCGGGCGCACGTGCCGGGCAGCGGGACGTCGGTCATGAGGATGGCCAGGCGGATGGGGCCTGGGGTGCCTTGGGAGCCCATGCCTGCCTGGTCGATGAGAGGGTGTCGTCGGCTGGGGATGTTGGCGTGATGGAGATCGTGGATGATGATGATGGATCACGTTTTGCGTCTCGGGCTTCTGCTACGACTATTACGAGGAGGACAGGGACGGGGACGGGGGCACGAGGGAGGACACGGATGCAGATATAACTTGTCTAGCAACAGCAGAACTATCAATGTGAGCCAAGTCCGCGGCACGCCTTGCTCGACCGACGACCGCGGCACGCCCTTCCCCCACAATTGGCATTAGTCGGTATCGTGGCCACGGACGGGGTGGAGGGGCCGATGAACCACGGCCGTTGTCGGAGGCTAGGCAAGACAGTCCGACCGAGTCCGACTGTGCTGTCGAGCTTTTGATCCAAACGGTTTGAACGCACATCATCATCAGATGGATTGCGTCGGCAGATAACAGGGCGGGCAATCAGAACTCTGGGTTCCCGGGCTGAGATTGCCTTTTTGGGGTAAAACAAAAAGAAGAGTGAGTGGTGGGGTCCGGATTTGCTATCGACATTACCTATCGTTCGTTCGTCGATGTGCGGTACCCGCCAATCGTGGTGGTTGCAACTGAGTTGCACCCCCCGATGGACTCATGCCCGCCGCTGCACATGAATCAATCTGTATCCCGGCACAGCAGACATTTTGCACGTTCTGTAGGCAAGAAAGCACTCGCAAGCTTCATATATGACTGACGGAAGTCGACATACGGCCATGCCGCCGCCAAGACCGTCCCTCAGCGCGTTTCTGAGCACCGCGCGCAAGGCGTTGCTCACCCCGGCGGCCCAGCGGCCTACGCCACTGACTTTTGTCGTCGGCAACGAGTCCGCAGGTAGGCCCGCACTCCCCCGTCTCGCCTCTTCCGCGTGAAGGGGTCTTCCAACCCCCACACCCCTTCCCTGCTGACACCCCGGGACTGCCGCCCCCCCAGACCTCGACAGCCTCTGCTCCGCCGTGCTCCTCGCCTACTTCCGCACCCACGCCCCTCCGCACCGCACGCTGCACATCCCGCTGTCCAACCTGCCGCGCGCCGACCTCGCCCTGCGGCCGGAGCTCGAGGCCGTGCTGGCGCCCGCGGGCCTGCAGCCGAGCGACCTGCTCACGCTGACGGAGCTGCCGGGCCCCGAGGACCTGCGCGCCGCGGACACGCGCTGGGTGCTCGTCGACCACAACGCGCTGACGGGCGGCCTCGCCGCGCGGTTCCGGGACCGCGTCGTCGGCTGCGTGGACCACCACGACGAGGAGGGCCAGGTGCCCGAGGACTGCGGCGACGAGCCGCGCGTCGTGCGCAGGGCCGGCTCGTGCATGAGCCTCGTCGTCGAGCACGTGCGGCACACGTGGCGGCGGATGGCCGACGACGCGGCCGGTAGTGGTAGCGGTGACTGCAAGCCCGGGGAGGAGGAGGAGGAGGAGCTGGACGCGCAGCTCGCGCGCGTGGCGCTGGGGCCCATCCTCATCGACACCGTCTGCCTGCGCGACGGGGGCAAGACGACCGGCACGGACGTGCGGTCCGCCGAGTTCGCCGAGGGGTTCCTCCTCCCCGCCGCGGGGACGGCGGCCGGGTACGACCGCGGGCTGTACTTTGACGAGATCGTGCGGCTCAAGGAGGACATCTCCGGGCTGGGGTACCGCGACGTGCTGCGCAAGGACTACAAGCGGTGGGACGAGGGTGAGCTGCGGCTGGGCATGTCGAGCGTCCTCAGGGGGTTCGCATACCTCGCCGAGCAGACGGGCACGAAGCAGGAGTTCCTGGACGCCATGCGCAGCTGGGCCCGGGAGCAAGGGCTGGACATCCTGGCGCTCATGACGGTTGAGCACCCTGGGGGCCAGCTGAAGCGGGAGCTCTTGGTCTGGGCGCTCAGCGAGAAGGCCAAGGGCGCGGCGGAGGTGTTTGCGCAACAGAACCGCGAGCAGCTCCAGCTCGACCAGTGGCAGGGCGGCAAGTTGGACGATACCGACGGCCAGGATGGATGGCGGAAGTGCTGGGTCCAGGGCCGGGCGGATCACAGCAGGAAGCAGGTCGGGCCGATGTTGAGGAGGGCTATGAAGGACTCGTCCAAGTTATGATGCGTGTTATGATTAAGTGAAGTAGGAGGAGATGATGGAGCGGAGTGACATAGCATCAATTACATAAGAGCTGAGAATGCCCGAGGAAGAATGACTAGCAATGTCAAGCTCTCATCACCTTTGCATTGCATGGTGATACAGAATGAAGCCTGGGACTGTGTATGCTTCAGCACGACAACATCCAGTTTCATGATTGCTAATTCAAATTGTATGATAGTGCGGCTATGAGCTGCATAACGAGGCTCCGAATAAGGGGCCTTGTCTAATCCACGCCGTGAGCTTTGTCAAGACATGGATCCAGAACCCCAATAAGCCCAATCCTAGGTACGCGATGGCTCGTACGGCTGCCGAATGGAGAACTAATTAGGGAGTCTCTTGACGAACACTCAAGTTCCCATCATCCTTTCCTCTAGCCCCAAGGTGCACGACTTACACGAGACTGCGATTGGTGGCCTCGGTCTCGGTGGACAGGACATCACAAGCCTCCTCCCCCGAGCCGGACTCGCAGATCTACCTAAGCACTACGCAGAATACAGCTAGCTAGCTCACGAAGGATTCCACCATGAAGAAGCATCGTTCACCAATCCGTGATTTGCGACCACGACATGACACTCAAGTTCCACAAGGTGGGAGTGGCTTGATGCTAATTTCTTACTATTACGCAACAAACACAGACAGATATTGGGATACTGGGACAAGGCTGTGCCAAGCAAGTCCGAGCTTGCAGCCAAAGTGTACCAACATGTATAAGAAAGGGGTCTACAAGCCACCTGGAATGGCCGTCTGTGTCCCGGGTCCTGTCCACCAAAGATCTCAAACCAGCCATGCGTGTCTCCCGAATCGCTTTCTCCCTCTTCGCCGCAACGGCGTCCGCCCTGCCCGCAACCGCCAGGCAGGACACCGCCACCACCTCTCCGCCGCCCTTCGCAGTCCACCTCGTCTCCGGGCCCCTAACCCCAGCGGCCCCGACGACCTTCGAGCTCGCCTCGGCCCACACGGCCCTCAACAAGCTCAAGGACCGGCTCGGCGCCCGCGCCATCCGCGCCCTGCTCAGGCCGGACATCGACGCCGCCGACCGCGCCTGGCACGCCATCCTCGCCCGCGCCTCCTCCTCCTCGGGGGGAGGAAACAACAACAACAACGAGACCGGCGCGCCCGCCGCCCCGATCCTGTCCGAGGCCCGCGTGCGGGCCTACAACACGGCCTACGACGCGGGCGCCTTCGTCGCCTGGTTCGCCGCCGACACGGGCGACCCGCACAAGATGAGCGGCGCGCACCCGGAGCACTACGTCGAGAGCATGGCCGGCCAGGCCGTGGACATCGTCGAGGCGTGGGGCCCGCTCGTGACGCGGTACCGGATCCCGGCGTACGTCGGGGGCGGGCCCAAGAGGGCCTTCATGCGGGCGCTGCCGGGCTTCCCGCACCAGGCGACGGGGCAGGCGGTGCTGCAGGACGGGAGCCTCGCCGTCGTGGGCGACATCCACAACTCGTTCCGCGACCTGCGCCCGGGGGAGGAGGTCGAGGCCGGGACGAGGGGCGTCGAGGCCGTGCTGGCCGTCTGGCTGCCGGCTGGGACGCCGGCGGACGTCGTGGAGGGGCTGAGGGAGCACCAGGCTGTCGAGTTTTCCAACTGGTTCGCCTTTGCGCAGAGGGATGTCATTGAGGGCAGGTTTGCTGCGTGAACCTACCTGGAAGTAATCCGCGAAGGGGGACTGGCAGGTTGGTAAATAAAAGTCTATGGAATCTCATCTCATAGACGCAGTTGCAAAGTGAGATCGCGCCTTGCGCGCGTGTGTGTAACTAATGAACTTCTTGCGATCCGCACATAACAAGATTCCTACTCGTACAGCACCACCCCTAATGACTCCATATACCATAAAACACCATGGAAAACGAGTGTATCCCAACCAGAGCCAGATCCCAGCCCCTATTCGTATGTTCAAACCCTGCCTCCGCTATTACTCCCGTCTCCGCCGCGTCTACTGCCAGCCGCAGTGAGGACAGTAATGAATTTGTCGCTTGACTGGATTCCAGCGCCCTGATATATCATAGCGCACGGCCTCCGGGCAGTCACAGCCGTTCTACTCCTGGGTCTGCACCTTATGATCGCCAGAGACGACCTGGGCGTAGCTCGGCGGCGGCGCGCCGTTGCTGCCGCCCTCGCCGGCATTCTGGGTCTGCGACGAGGGGCCGCCGCTGGCGTTGTCGGTCGTGCCGTAGGTCATGTGGCCCTGGGGCTTGGGCGGCTGGTGCTGGTGGTGGTGGCGACCGTCCGGCTGGACGATGACGTAGGTGACGCGGCCGCCGCCGGCCTCGCTGTCCTGCGAGACGGTCTGGTACTCGTAGCTCGGCTCGGGATACTTGGCGATGATATACCACGAATGGAGGAGGCCGGGGATCTGCATCGCAAGGCTCGAGATTAGCATGGAAGGGTGCGACGGCCACAGGAGGGGGGGTTTGCGACTTACAAAGCCTAGCACGCAGAGGAGGATGTTGATGAGGGAATCGGCGGAGCAGATGCCGGTCTTGACCCAGACTGCGATGAGATAGACAATGTTAGCTATCGTTGATGCTCCAGAGCTTCAGGATGATGCAACTCCAGGCAGACTCGAATCGCAAAGCGGGGCGGCGCATCGAGTGACTTACCGGGTAGAGGAGGGAAGAGGATGGCCAGCAGGCCGAGGAAAATATCTGCGGAGCACATTGTGTATGTTGAGGATACACTGTATCGAGATCTTGGGTGGGAAATAAAAGCAGAGTGCGAAAATAGAGGATGTTAAGGAGAGAAGGTCAGGATAGATGGATCAATGTCTCGAGATGCCTAAGAATGTGGGAGAGACGATGCGGTGATGCAAGAGGTCACGCCGGCACCTCGAATTAGCAGGTGGTGGAGCGGGCAGTGCGTGCAGGGGTCGTCCCCCCATACAAGAAGCCCGTGCTTGCGTAATGGCCGTCGCAGCTGGTGCCATTTGTGCATAATTTTGACATGCATAACTCGCACCTGTCAGGCCTGTCTGTGGGGTGTGGAACTGTCATTTCAGTTCAGCTGGTGCTCTCTCGCTATTTGGAGCTTCTTGCAAACGACCACTTAATAGCCAATTTTGATGGGGAAATACCTCGGATTTTAGTTTTGGGCAGTAGAGTTATCCAGAGTGATCATGCAATACCGACCTAGGTAGGTAGATTGGATCTAACTACAATCCGAGTCTGTAGACAGCTGTATAATTCTTCTCTGGCTTATGCTATGAGTTCCCATGTATTGTACAAGAGGTGGCGCCTCTGATAACGATAAGCGGTGGACCCACCACGGATCTTGTCCCAGGCTTCGAAGGGCAACCAAACTTCGGGCTGGCGGTTTCTTGCAGACATCAATCACCACCCCAGGAACTTTGCGCCCTCGCCATCAAGGCAGGTCAACCTGCCGAATACGCCGCCATGGATGACCTCGAGAACCTCGAGCTGCTCTCCCTGGTGTCCAAGGTCACCTCGGAACTGCAAAACCATCTGGGCATCTCCGAAAAGACCCTCGCCGAATTCGTGATCGCGCAACGGCTAGAATGTGGCGGCTTGGCCGAGTTCAAGAAGAAGCTGGCCGGGGTGGGCGCTGACTTCCCACCCAGCTTGGTGGAGAGTGTCGATCGGCTGGTCCTTGCGATGCATCCCAAGTTCCGGGGCCAGGCCCAACAGAATGGCAATAGCGACCAACGCGCTGGGAGGTCGGTCGAGGAGAAAACCCAGGTCTTCCGTGGCCTGGCAGTACCCGACAAGGAGGTCGAATACGAGGACGGCATGATGGATGGCAAGGAAACGGACGCGATCGACGATACTCTGGCCATGCTGGAGAACCTCGAGGGCAAGGCCAGGACCGAGAAAGCATCGCGCAAGCGCAGCCGCAGCCCGCTCGACGACCAGGACGAATTCGGTCGCCGACGCAAGGACCGGTACAGGTCAAGATCCCGATCCCTCTCGAGGGGAAGGCGCAATGATCGATATGGCGACGATGATTACGAGTCATCTCGCAACCCGCGTAAGGAGCGGCGACGGCGCAAGGACAGGGACGACGACAACTATGACGACAGGTTCTCGAGGCGGCCGGACCCCGAGTTGGATGACGAACCAAAGCTTTACAAGGTCTACGAGGGTCATGTCACTGGAATCAAGGACTTTGGCGCCTTTGTCAATCTCCATGGAGTCAAAGGCAAAGTCGACGGTCTGGTGCACGTGTCTGCGCTCGTTGACGGCCAGCGCGTCAATCATCCCTCGGATCTGCTCTCCAGAGGCCAGGAAGTCAAGGTCAAGGTCACCAAAATTGAAGGGAACAGGATAGGTCTATCCATGAAGGAGGTGGACCAAGAGACCGGTATGGATCTTGCGCCCCAGGCCAGGATACAGTCTGGCGCAAATATGGAGGCTCTAGGCGGTGGCCGAAATGGCCATGGTAACCTGGTCGAGGACAAGCCCGTCGCCTTTACCAACACCTTACCCCCCAAACGGCACCAGAAGAAAAGGATGACATCTCCGGAACGGTGGGAGATTCGGCAGCTGATCGCCTCTGGAGTCGCCAAGGCCTCCGACTATCCCGACCTCGAAGACGAGTACAACTCGACCTTGACGGGCGAGGGACAGATGGAGCTTGAGGAGGATGTCGATATCGAGATCAGAGAGGAGGAACCGCCTTTCCTGGCAGGTCAGACCAAGCAGTCCCTCGAACTATCCCCCATCAGGGTAGTCAAGGCCCCCGACGGATCGTTGAACAGGGCCGCCATGTCTGGCACTTCGCTAGCGAAAGAGAGGAGGGAAATAAGGCAACAAGAGGCTGAGGCCGAGGCGAAGGAGAGGGAGGACCAGAACAAGGTGAACCTGTCGGCGCAGTGGAATGATCCCATGGCGGACCCCGAAAAACGCAAGTTCGCAAGCGAGTTCAGGAACGCCCAGGCACACGCCAAGACTGACGCCGTACCCGAGTGGAAGAAAGTCATCCAGTCCAAGGATCAGTCCTTCGGAAAACGCACCAACATGACCATCAAGCAGCAGCGGGAGTCGCTCCCAGTGTATGCCTTCAGAAGCCAGCTCATCAGCGCTGTCAAGGATAATCAGATTCTGATCGTGGTCGGTGAGACGGGCTCCGGCAAAACCACACAGCTCACCCAATATCTGGCCGAGGCCGGCTTTGCCAACGACGGCATCATCGGCTGCACCCAGCCCCGTCGTGTGGCAGCCATGTCGGTGGCCAAGCGTGTCGCGGAAGAGGTCGGCTGCCAACTGGGCCAAGAAGTCGGATACACGATTCGTTTCGAGGACTGTACTAGCCCGGCTACCAAAATCAAGTACATGACGGATGGTATGCTTCAGCGTGAGATTCTCATGGACGCAGACATGCGGCGGTACTCTGTCATTATGCTCGACGAGGCCCACGAACGCACCATCGCCACCGATGTTCTCTTCGCCCTTCTTAAAAAGGCCCTGAAACGTCGCCCTGACCTCAAGGTCATTGTCACCTCAGCAACACTGGATGCTGACAAGTTTTCGGCATACTTCAACGAATGTCCTATCTTTACCATTCCCGGCCGAACTTTCCCGGTTGAGATTCTTTACTCTCGAGAGCCCGAGTCCGATTACCTGGATGCTGCTCTTGTTACCGTCATGCAGATCCATCTTACGGAACCCATGGGCGACATTCTGCTCTTCCTCACAGGCCAGGAAGAGATTGACACAGCCTGCGAAATCCTGTTTGAGCGGATGAAAGCCTTGGGTCCCAACGTTCCCGAGCTGCTCATTCTCCCCGTCTACTCTGCGCTACCCAACGAGATGCAGAGCAGGATCTTCGAGCCCGCACCTCCCGGCAGTCGCAAGGTCGTCATTGCCACCAACATTGCCGAGACCTCCATTACCATTGATCACATTTACTACGTCGTCGACCCGGGGTTCGTGAAGCAAAACGCCTACGACCCGAAGCTGGGCATGGACTCTCTGGTTGTTACGCCCATCTCGCAAGCTCAAGCAAACCAAAGAGCTGGTCGAGCAGGGCGTACCGGTCCTGGCAAGTGCTTCAGGCTTTACACCGAGGCAGCTTATCAGTCCGAGATGCTGCCAACCACCATCCCCGAAATCCAACGCCAGAACTTGTCCAACACCATTCTCATGCTGAAGGCGATGGGCATCAACGACCTTCTGCACTTCGACTTCATGGACCCACCTCCCATCAACACCATGCTTACAGCATTGGAAGAGCTCTATGCCCTGTCCGCTCTGGATGACGAGGGCCTCCTTACGCGCCTGGGCCGCAAGATGGCCGACTTCCCCATGGAGCCCTCTCTCGCAAAGGTGCTCATCGCCGCCGTCGACATTGGTTGTTCAGACGAGATGCTGAGCATCGTCGCCATGCTCAACCTGCCCAACGTCTTCTACCGCCCGAAGGAGAAGCAGTCGCAGGCGGACCAGAAGAAGGCCAAGTTCCACGACCCCTCGGGCGACCACCTGACGATGCTCAACGTGTACAACTCGTGGAAGCAGTCGCGCTACTCGAAGCCGTGGTGCGCCGAGAACTTTATCCAGTTCCGCTCCATGACCCGGGCCAAGGACGTGCGGCAGCAGCTCGAGAAGATCATGCAGCGGTACAAGCACCCCGTCGTGTCGTGCGGCAGCAACACCAACAAGGTGCGGCAGGCGCTCTGCTCGGGCTTCTTCCGCAACTCGGCGCGCAAGGACCCGCAGGAGGGGTACAAGACGCTCATCGAGGGCACGCCCGTCTACCTGCACCCGAGCTCGGCGCTGTTCGGCAAGCAGGCCGAGTGGGTCATCTACCACACGCTCGTGCTGACGACCAAGGAGTACATGCACTGCACGACCAACATCGAGCCCAAGTGGCTCGTCGAGGCGGCGCCGACCTTCTTCAAGGTGGCCGCCTCGGACAAGCTGAGCAAGCGCAAGAAGGCCGAGCGGATACAGCCGCTGTACAACAAGTTCCAGGGCCCGGACGACTGGAGGCTCAGCGCCCAGAGGAGGGCGGGCAGGTCCGGGGGCGGCGGTGGTACATGGGGTTGATGATGGTTTCACCAGGGCAGAGCTTGGGCTTTTTTTTTTTTTTTTTTTGCTGTCAGTTATTTGGTACGATACAGACCTGGGTGGTGGATATAGATAGAGCCGAGCAATTTGATGATAATTTGAGTGTCATGATTCATTGCTTCTGTTTCTTTGGGTATCTATGCTATCTGTTTTGCGGGCGGTAGGGCAGTCTATCCCTAGACACTTAAGAGGTACGAAATACAAGTACTTGAGGATATTCCCAATATCATACAAAGTAGTCCAATCCCACTCCCACAGGGGGGGCATCTTCAAGCTCTCCCGCGCGTTCTCAACCCTCCATCCTCAGGCTTCCATCACTTCCTCAGACGGGTCGATCTCTTGCGTCAGGTTGCCCTTGTCATCCACCTGAATCAGTCGTAGCTGGAGACGAAGCCTGACGCCAATTTCGTGGAAACACTTGGCGTAGTCCTCCGCGCAGCTCGAATCGACCCAGTGCCTGCTGTTGTCATACAGGAGCTCGCCCGTCCCCGCCACGACGGCGCACAGCCCGACCATGGTGAGCTGCTTCAGGCGCGGGTGCGTCCGGCCCAGGATGTGCGGCGCGCAGCAGAGGAAGTCGGCCATCATGGCGTCGACGTGGTACCGCTCGTAGACGCCCGGGAGCTCGAGCCTCGGCCAGCGCGGCACGTGCATGCTCCACCACTCGACGATGGTCAGGATCTCGAGCGAGGCCGGCAGGCGGCGCGCGAGGAAGGCGTCGGCGGCGTCGGCGTCGTCGTCGACCGGGTCGTCGAACTGGTTCATCTGGTCCGACATGTCCCACGGGTCGCCGAAGGCCGCCTCGGTCGTGATCGTCAGCTCCCTGAGGTGGGACATGGCCGCGATGCTGTAGAGCGCGGGCGGGAGGGCCGGGTTGCCGTAGACGGTGTCGCAGAGGGGCTGGGAGAACATGCAGTCCAGGTGGAGCGTGCGGAGAGAGTGCGTCCAGCGCGAGAGCGCGGCGTCCATCGGGGTCAGCACGCCGGGGGACTGCTCGATGAGGCGGGAGGTGGCGGCTGGGTCGTGGAGGTACGCGACTGTCGGCGTCATGACGGACAGCGTCCTCAGATTGGTGTTCTGCGCTGTCGATAGCCAGAGGGCCTGGATGCCGCGCCAGTCGGAGACGCTGGCCGTCAGCCTCACCGGCAGCTCGCGGAGTGAGGCGTCCGCTTTGCCGCGTAAGGGGTAGTCGAACTTGTACTCGGTCCAGTCGACGACGGGGAACTGAACGTTGGCGCCCTTCCAGTGGTGCGAGAGGAACATGTAGCGGAGACTGGAGAGGATCTTGCCCGCCCACGGTGCCGGCGCCGCCAGAGCGTTGTCCAACGAGTAGGAATAGGAATCACTATCCCACGCGCGTTTCGCCGAGATGACCTTGGGGGCTGTCTGTACAGTGGCGGCCGTAGTCTCGACGTAGGCTGGGGCCATGCGCCTTGCTTCTTTGGAGAGACTCGCGAAGCTCGTGCGCGACCAGAGCCGGCCCCAGAACCAGTTGACATCCTGTAAAGAGTCGAAGAGCGGAGGGATAGGCAGATGGAGAACCAGGTACCCTACCCGTGGCATGCAGTGCAGGAGGATGTATGTGACACCGAGAAGCACGTCAAAGCAGGGCATCGACCTCATGAGCTCGGCATGCATCTTGTGGATCCTCTGCATGTTCGCCGTCTTCGCCAGGTCTCTGCTGCAGGTGACTGCCGTCAAAGATGTCTGGACCAGCTTGCTGTGTATCAGCTGGGTGTGCCCCATGGACCCGCAATGTATCGAGGTATCGGGAGTCAAGTCCGAGACGCACATAAAGTTGCGAATCAGCGAGTGGGCTGCTTCGTCCCGCATGAGCTGCCGATACAGCAAGAAGAGCTGTTTGTCCGTCACGACTACCGTTCTATACAAGAACTCGCGTGCCACTGGGTAGATCCGCCTCGACACAAGACAGAGTCTGTGGAAAGTTGTGCTGCCTATTTCGGCAAGCTTTGGCCTAGACACGCGCTCTATCTCGTCGTGAATGTATCCAAAGATCTTTCGCAGTAGCTCATTTGGTAGGCTCTCGAATGATGAACGGATTGCGATCTTTCCGAAGGGCTCTGCCAAGTTGTCCACGACCTCTCGGGATCCATTCGTCAGTTGGTCTCTGCTCAGCCCAGGGTATCCATCAGTCCTGGATTTGGAGTCCGGGATGCTTGTGTACTGGACCTTCTCGTTGTTGAATTGCTTGTACTGATGCATGGCGAGCGGGTTGACTGTGCGATGTGTGGTTCGAATGGTCCAATATATTGGCTGTGATGAAGTTCCCTCTTGATCTACGGTATGTAGAAGAGAATTTGGGATAAGGAGGATGACTGTGGGAAAAGATATGAGGTATTGGTGCCCTTTGAGATCCTTCACTGTTGTTTTATGCACCGCCGCGTATGAAAGAGGGATTTACGCGTTTGTTGTTGAACATCCCAGCTCTAATTCACTTTGATAGCTCTTGCTCACTCTGAGAGCTCTAATTCCCTCTGATAGCTCTGACTCACCTGAGAGCTCAAATTCACTCTTATTCCCTCCACCAACGTTGCAATATCGGTCTGTATCCACTCTATAATATTCTGTGAAGATCTAATCAACCTTTGCAACATCAGTGCCGTGGTGTCTTCAGACTCTTGCAGTCATCTCAAAATCCCCCGAACCACCAAAAGTGAATGACTAACTGCAGTCTCTGGAAACTTGGACAACCTAGATATCATAGTATACAAGGCTCGGGGCAAATAATCAAAATTGTGAAACATTGTAATGTTGACTTGGTTTGATCCCAGTCAGTTACATGTCAATCAATAGGTAGTTCGTAGCCTGGATGAGTGTGACATGGAGTCATGACATCATGATTGCTGGCGCCAAAGACACTTGATGAATGCGATTTATGACTATTACAGCCAAACAATTGTTTCAAACCCCGAGGACAAACCAAGCCTGCCCGATTACTTAAACCCATTGTTGCCAATAATACCATTGTCTCCATCTGCAAAACAGAGGGCAAGCCGTGCCTCGATGGCTGTCCCACCCTCTAGCAAGGCCTCCGAGTCTAAGCCGGAGATGCCCCCGCTCGCCCCCCGGATGTCCTACCGCATCGGCCGCGGCGAGCAGGGCGTCCTGACCTTTGAGCCCTACAAGTCGGCCCTCCTGCCGCTGTGGCGCTTCCGCACGCCGGCCATCGCCCGGCGCAGCGCCGACGACCTCTGGGGGCGCTTCGAGGCCTACGACGCCGCGGGGGACTTTGTGGGCATGGACATGGCGCGCAAGTTCATCCAGATGGGCATGACGCGGGCCAAGCGCTACGCCAACCACGCCGGAGGGCGCAAGTACAGGCCCGGGTCGCGGGAGGAGCTGCCCAAGAGCGCGGCGCACGCAGACAAGGCGGAGAAAGAGGAGGCGAGCCGCACCTTCCGGGCCGTGTGGGAGCGGTGCCGTGCACACGAGGGGTACCAGAAGCGGAAGGAGGAGTTTCTGAAGGAGCAGAAGGAGTGGATGAAGGTCAAGAAAGAAGGTGAACAGGATGATGCGTAGCTGCAGCGCCACCACCGGAATGGAATGGTCTGGAGGCATTGGCAGAGTCACAGCATCCAGGTTCTTGGCGCCATCATTGCTACATCAGACCCCCAATGGCTTTCATTCCGACTTTGCTCTACAAGAGACTTATTAACTTCGAGCACACTGTCAACGCATATGCAGAGGCATTGGCTCGTGGGACAGGACATCGGGTTCGGCGGTTCTTGACGGCTCTTACTCGGCCCCTCCCGGATCGCCGGTCCGTGCTTCAACATCCGACGGATCGACGATGGCCGATCCAAGAGATGTCCAGCATACGCGCACGTTTGCGAAGTGCAACGCGGCGGTTTAAAGCTGAGGGACATGTGGGTACGAGTTGTGCTCATGACACCAATTACTGTTCGACGAGACCAGCCCCAACCCGGAAGCCAGGCTGTGGACGAATCCATGCCGGGAGTCAAGACGGCTGCTATTGGTGGGGAAACCGCCCGGGGATGTGTCTACTTGCGGAGTTGCATCCTCAAAAACGTTTGCGGATCGATGCGGTCCGCGGTAACTGTACGCTCCGGAATCTTGGCGATTTCCTGTTTCATCAGAACGGTCCGGGGTATGGAAATTGGTGGATTTCTTTTCCCACGATATGGCGCTCTCATCCGGCCACTTTTCTTCGCACAAAGGGACAATACATAGAGAACAAGGATCAATCGAAATACAAGGGGAGGGAGAAGACTTATATAAGAAGGGACAGAAGCTCAACACTTTTTCCAGCAACGAGACATAAACTCATAGCACTACGACAATTCAACTAAACTTACCTCTTCAAACTTTCTTGTGGACAACGGTTTCGGCACCATGAAGTCTCTTGCTGTTGTTCTCGGTGCGGTAGGGCTGGTTGCTGCCCATGGCTATGTCGACAATGCAACCATCGGAGGCAACTATTACCAGGCAAGCCCGCCCTCCACATCCAAACACTGTTTGATCATTACTAACGATCTTGACAATATAGTTCTATCAGGTAAATCTACTGCCACCTATGGTAACCCGCCACCATCGAGCACTTACTGTAGCTGACACCAAATCCATAGCCATATTCTGACCCCTATATGAACCCGGCAGTACGTATTGCCAGATTACGTTGTCAAATTCTCCGTCGAGAACACTGACTAAACACTCCTCTGATTAGCCTCAACGTGTTGAACGACCGATCCCTGGCAATGGCCCCGTCCAAGACGTCACCTTGATCGACATTCAGTGTAACGGATGGTCGGCGGGCGGCACGGTCGGCTCTAAGCCGGCGCCCCTACACGCCCCTGCCGCAGCTGGCTCGGCTGTGACTCTGCATTGGACACTTTGGCCCGACTCGCACGTCGGTCCGGTCATCACGTACATGGCTCGATGTCCTGATTCTGGATGCCAGAGTTGGCAGCCTGGAACCTCGTATGCAATGATATTATGTCTATCGGGAGATGCAATTGCTAACTACGCTGAACACTCAGAGCTGTTTGGTTCAAGATCAAGGAGGGTGGTCGCGATGGCACATCGAACAACTGGGCAACCGTAAGTGTTCTCTCTCCAGTGCCCGATATCACTAGTATACTGATGGCCTTTGCAGACCCCGTTCATGAGACCAGGCTCGAGTTACGTGTACAATATTCCTTCATGCCTCAAGAGCGGCTACTACCTCGTGCGCCACGAGATCATCGCTCTACACGCCTCGTCTCAGTACCCCGGTGCGCAGTTTTACCCAGGATGCCACCAGCTTCAGGTCACCGGTGGCGGTTCGACCGTGCCTTCGTCAAACCTCGTCGCCTTCCCTGGAGCCTACAAGGGAAGCGACCCTGGCATTACCTATGATGCATACAAACGTGAGCTTTCGATCGTAACATTGGATGGGGGAGTTAAAACTAACCCAAATGTTTTGTTTCCAGCCCAGACATACATCATTCCAGGGCCCAAGGTCTTTAGTTGCTAAGGAGCCGTTATTGGCTGGCTTTTTGGCAGGGAGATTGAGAGAAGTCAATAGTATCGCTGGAAAAGAAGTCATTCTGAATTGTGCGTGCAACCAGGCAGGAGCAATTATTCCAGTTGATTCTCGAGGGACCGAGCTTTCGCTATTCAATGCAATTCTGAATTGTTGCTAGCGCTTGAAGTGTTGAGTCTGTCAATTAACTTCTCTGTGAATTGTCTGATGTCTGGATTTGGTGAATCACTTGTCCTTCAATTTCTCTTTTCAAAACAAATTCACGTCCTCTTGTCTATATAAATCAGACCTGACAATCAACAACCAACTCCTGCTTCCTACCACACACGCACACCCTTCTTCAACTGTCAACTTTTCCACCACCCTCTTCACTCACTCTTCACTCACTTTTCCCTCACCATTCCCGCAACCTCTCTTTCCCTTCAACCTCTCTTTTCCCTTCAGCATCTCTTTTCCCTTCAACCTCTCCACAACCCTTTTACCCATTTCATTCTTCAGACTCTCTGCCCCTTTCAACCTTCTCTATTAGCATCAAGCAGCTGATACACACTCTTTTTCTGTTATCCCAAACACCTGAGCACCAGTGTTCGCAGAAGAATGGAGCCAACCAAGCGACGACTCTTGGGTGACGGCAGCTTTATCGAGATCGCGCAGGCGGAGAAACAAGAGATTCGCCCATCCAGAGCCAACCCGAACAATGTCACCTGGCAACTGGTCAACTCGAGGAATGGCGACGAGGAGATGCAGACTGTTATCAACAAGTTTGGTGACATGAGACTGATCACGCCGCCATCTCAGCTTGAGTCGCTGCCGACAGAGATCTTGCACAAGATCCTGTCGCATATTATCCCCGTGGACAAAGACGACTCAACAGACCTGAGCTGCCCAGAGAGCCGCGAGGCCTTTTATCGCCTGTGCCTAGTGTCGAGACGCATTTCTTCGGTGGCATACCCGTTCATGTACAAGAACGTGGCTATCAAGAACCAGCATAGCCTGACCCGCCTGGCCAGACAGGTCATCCAGAACCCAGGCCTGCGGCCCCTGATCCGAAGCCTCGTTGTTCGCTACGTGCTGTGCGAGACACCAGGAAATACCGATCAGTACTACCACCTGAAACAGGTTCTTAGCACCACGCACAGCTTCTCCCGACCTCCCGAGAGTTTTCGCGAGGCCAGGCTGCGGCGCTTTGTACAGGAGCTCTCCAACGACCGGAGACCTTGCTTAGACTATCACCATGCAGTCGTCTTTCTCCTGCTGCATTACCTGCCGCAACTGGAGTGCATCCGCCTTCAAACGCGGCCGCCCACTTGGCCGGCCGGCCTGCCCTGGCTGAGGTGGTTCTGGAGGCGTTTCTGGCAACAGATGACCTGCGAGACTGTGGGACCGGACCGATATGTCCAGCTCCCTTCTGCCATGATCGCTGCCCACCAGGGGATCATGGCACTGGCACAGAATCGGACCAGGGGCACCAAGCGGCGGGCTGTTGGTGACGATAGTGGGTCTTCAGAGAACGCCGCCGTTCTGATGCCCATTATCAAGAAGCTCATCTTCGACTGGGACTGGCCGGCACACTCGGCCTGGAGGCAGAATGACACCGCAGTATTCGACCTGAGTCCATCCCTCTCCAGCCAGCCTGCAGAGCCCCTCGGAAACCGGGTAACCTCGCTAGACATCTTGATGGAGCACCCAAACACCTTCACGAGACTGTCCGAAGTCCTCGTCGACAACGAGGTCATGAAGCACCTGCGCCTCCGCACTGACGGCATCGCCTGCTTCCATCTCCAGCCGTATTTCTGGCAAGTCAAGATCCCCATGGACGGGACAAAGCCCAACGAGCTGCTGAAGAAGTGGACAAGATCGCTCCGCACTCTGCGCCTGGACCTGTTGCTCGACCAGCGGGCCTCCATCTACATGTTCGGTTCACCCCGGGACGCCCACCTGACCAGCGTGCGGCTGTTGGACAACCTCACCGACCTGACGATAACCCTGCAGCAGTTATTCCGCCGGCCGCAGGCAATGGAGGAACTACTCCAGTCCGCCGCCGAGGCCGACCAATCCTCGGAAGGGTCGTCCTCGGGCGACCTGGTCGATCCTCCTGGGGGCGGGCCCCCGTCGCACGACCTGGTCAATCCTCTCGTGGTCCGGTTCCCCAAGTCCCTCGTCAACCTCACCCTGATCGACTGGTGGAGCTGCCGCATCCTGCCCGACCGCCGCCGCTGGGGCCGATTTCGGAGCAGCAGGCAGGACAAGGAGCTCATGGGCGACCTGCTCCGCTGCATGGCGCGCCGGCTGAGCAAGACGACGACGCACCCGCACCCGCGCCTGCGCACCGTCACCGCGGTCGCCGTGTGGCCCTACCGCGTCAAGGCCTGGGGCAACGAGATGCACTGGGCGTACGGCGTGTCGCCCGAGGAGTACGCCTGCGCGCTGCACCTTGGTGCCGACGTCAAGTTCACGCTGCTGATGCGCAAGATCAACGTAGGCAGGGATTTCGGGCTGCGGGACGACGGCCGCGACCGGGAGGACGATGACGTCCGGGATGTGGACATGGGTTGAAACTCATGCGACGAGGAGGAGCGCGCATCAGAGGTGTGACGACACGGTTGGGCGAAGGAGGGGTTTGGCTTGGGTGATGGAATGGGATGATGCATCTACCATGGGCGGATTATGTTGATCGTGCATAGCGAGTATCGGAGCATGGGAAGGATTGGAATATGGGACATGGGACTAGACATGGTAATGAATTGAATGGTATCTGGCAACAGATTTTCCCATAAATGCGACGGTTGGAGGCCTCTCACAATTAATGACACGCCCAATGTATGAGGGCTTGATGTGTGATGAAATGCACACGTATGAAACTCATCGAGACATCTGAGCTCTATGCTTTATTGATTTCTATGTGAACAGCTCATTTGTCCTTGCGGTACTTGTTCTTGATAGACTTCACCAGATCCGTCGCATCATCTGCTTTTGTAGCCTTGGCTTTCTTGGCCTTTTGGCTCCGCCGATCGGGAACCTCATCATCATCTACCGCTTTCCTCTTCTTCCTGCCCTCCTCAAGCAGCTTCTTCATGCTGGGAGTGGAAGTGAACTTGGGATTGGAGGGATCGACTGCGTACTCGTGCTCTTCAAAGAGAGCCTCGAAACGCTTGTCGCCTCCAACATCCATGACAAAGTCCTCTTGTAGGCCGCCGCGGTCCTCGATGCCCTTCTTGCCCTTCTTTCCCTTCTTGTTCTTCTTCTTCTCGGCCTTGATGATCTCATTCATGTCGAAGTGGCCAAGGCGCGGGGCACCGTCGTTGCCGTCATCGGCCATGATGAGTTCCAGCTGCGCCTTCTCAGCAGCCTTCTCCGCCTCCTCGGCCTCCCTAGCCTCACGCTTCTTGAGGCGCTCCTCCTTCCGTATCGAGGACTTGGTTGTCTTGGACGCCGGCTCGGACGTGAAGAATGGGTCGTCGAAGCCAAGATCCTCCTCCTCCGCTGCTTCCTCCTCGGCCTCGCCATCCCCTCGGGCTGCCTTGGCCTTCTGCCTACGCTTCTCTTTCCTCTCCTTCTCCTTTCTGATGTACTTCTCGCGGGTAGTCTCCTCCTCGTCATCCTTCTTCTTGCCGTCGGCTTTCTCAGTGAGGGCTGAGGTAAAAGTGATCTGCATATCGCCGACCGGACCAGACTTGCTGGATTTCGGTGCAGGGTCGTCGCTGAGACCGAGAGCCTCCCGCATCTTCCTGCGAGCAAGCTCTTTCTTGCTCAGCTTTGGCTCGTCCTCCGCTGCGGCTTCCGGCTCAAACACCTCCTCTTCATCCTCCCCATCGCTGTCGCTGGCCAGATAAGCGTTGAGGTCATTCTCGGCGATGTCAGCTCGGCTGCCGGTGAATGCCTTCTTGATGGTCTCTTGCCGCGCCGCCTCCTCGGGATGCATGTCCCAGGTGAGCTTCACCTTGGAGTGCTGTAGGGCATCTGTGACAAACTCGATGGGCTTGTAGCCGGCGGGGACGACGTCACACTCGTCTCTGGGTTCATCGTCGAAAGTGACGTCGTCGGGAACGAATCGCAGGTCGAGGAAGTTTGACGAGGTTTGGTATTCTCTGCCATCTGTGGCTTCATAGATGGCCTGCGCTGTCGACTTGTCTGAGCAGACCATGACGGCGTAGTAGTATCTCAACCTGTCCAGCTGGTAGGACCTAAGCGCATCGCTGTCAAAATCCTGGTCGTTGCCCTCCTCGATCAGGTCCTTCTTGACCTCCTCATCGTCGCTTTCGTCATCACTATCTTCCTCGTCGCTGCTATCGTCGGACGAGTCGTCATCGTCATCCTTGGCATCGTTCTTGAAGATCTCCTTTGGCGGCCCCTCGAGCTCCTCCCGCTGCATGCGCTCCTTGCCAAACTCGCTTGGGTAGATGGAGACCCTTTCTATCCGACCTCCCGAGGGAGCGAAACTCGAGAACATTGCAAATAGATCGACTGATTTGATGTAGTCCCAATCGAGGTTGACAATGGCTATGCGATTCGTGACATCGCCCAGAGGCACCTCGGCCTGTTCGTTCCGGAAGCGCTGCATGTCGGCCGCCTCCTCGACCTCGGGCTCGGGCTCCTCTTCGCTTTCCTCTCCGCTGTCCGAGTCCGAGTCGGACTCTGAAGCAGAGAAGCCACCTCCTCGTGCAGGATCTTTGACCTCTGCCTTCCGCAGCTCCTCGCGCACCACATCATCGTCCTCGCCCTCCTCATCGTCCTCGTCCTCCTCTTCAGCTTGGTAGAGTTGTTTCAGAGCTTTCTTCTTATTGTCGGACTTGAGTTTGCGTCCGTAACGGTCGACCTTGGCCGACTCTGTGAAGTCTTTCGATGTGAACATGTGCTGGAAGCGCTTGTCGACCTTGGTCTTGGTCTTGCTCTTGGAGGGCAAGCGGAATCGAGGGTCGGACTCGAAGTTGGCAAACCTCGAGTCGGTGATCTTGTCCGAAGACGAAGCATCACGCTTTGAACTCTGTTTACGCGCCATTTTGATCGGCTTTACGGTGTAAGGTGGTAAGAGAAGATCACCTTCTTACGCAATGGTGGTGGTGGTGGTGGTGGTGGCTGTTGAGGCGCAGGTGCTACTTGGCGGCGTTCAATTCTACATGAAATTTTAGTGGAGACCTCAGAATTTTGTGTTTTCTGCCGGGTTGTCAAAGGCGGTCAGCCTCTACCCCACGTTTTTCTGGCAGACCGCTAAAACCTGCACTAATCCCCCTGCAGCTGTCTGCGGGCGGTGATCGTTGATCCGGCTGATCGCCGGATCTGGGCCTGGGCACCCAGACTTTGACACAGTTATGCAAAATCCAGACTACTTCAATTCCACGCTTCAGGTTGCTGGAGATCAATCAGTACCTGGTGTACATGCTCCGCCTCCCCAAGACAAGATCAATTCTCCGATCAATCAGCTTCTACCGCTCTCCAGATACGGCCAGCCTTTTGTGCTGCTCTTCTCCTTCATCCAATCCTTCCAGCTCCGCGGAGAATCGCCACTTATCCAGAAAGAGCACCGCTTGGAGCTGCATTCCACGACAATCAATATGCTGTTGCCTTCGTACAATCGCACTTCTGCTGACTCGTGCTGACGGACGGCACGCGCTACCACGGAGCTACGAAACACAAAGCTTGTTGCCCTAATAAATACCACCCTGCGCTCCCTCTCTACAAATCCCAGGTGCCATGTGTTTCAGTGCCAAGCATCCGTGCGGGCGATCTGTGTTGCCGTGTGGGAACGGTTTCCGGATAGTTTCATGGCATGATTTGCCGACCCTCCCAGCCAATCTCGAGCCGATGTGACGGCACAAACTCCACATTCAGCAGTTCCTCGGCGACCATGACACTCATGCTCCTGGCGTAGCCTCTGCTAGTCTGGCAAGATGGAGCGTACCGAGCTTCCAACTGCCCGGCCTGGCTCCGTGTCGAGGCCTGGCGCATCCTCTACCACAAGGCAGCAGTTTAAGGAGGCTCGAAACATACGGACCACCGTTTCCAAATTGTCCCAGCCAGACCTGATGTAGCTTTGCATCGTGCAACCGCGGCCGCAAACGTTGGCCTTGGATGACTTTTGATTGCCTGGCTCGTATATTCCATTCCTCCCTTGATGGTATGGGAGCTTCGCCCGGGCGGGAATAGTCAAGGGGCACGATTCTATATTCAGATCCTTTGGGTCTGGAACCTATCGAAGACAGGGATACGGGTCTCGGGGCTTTCCCCAACTAATCTGATCGGATGTTCTCTGTCCTGTAAGCGCGGGTGTCGGCCCCCCGGGACGGGACAAAGAGCTATGATCCCTGATGACAAGTCCGAAACATCGGACAGTGGCGGCGGGGGAAGCTGCTGCCGGAACAGGAACAAAGACATCCTCATCAGATATATAAAGAGTGCCTCTCATCACCCAATGCAAATGAGAACCCGAACCAATTGCTCCAGAACATCAGACAAACAAAGATAGACAAGATCCTCGATCCACTTCTCGACCATCCAATACTCTTAGCCATCCACAATGCACTCTTTCATCAAGCTCGCTATTACTGCTGCCCTGGCCGTCCAGGCACAGGCCAAGACCATCCAGATCAAGGTTGGCAGCGGCGGCCTCAGCTTCACGCCCAACAGCGTCACCGCAGCCAAGGGTGATGTCTTGGAGTTTGAGTTCTACCCGATGAACCACTCGGTTGCTATGGGTAACTTGTGAGTACATGGCCGTTCCTTCGTGCTCCTGCTGGGCCTTTGCGAGCTTCAGTGGCCACTCGACCAAGGTAACCAATGTCTGACTTGATATTTGCAGTGACAAGCCCTGTGCCCCTGCCACCACGGGCGGCTTCTTCTCTGGCTATGTCCCCGTTGCCAAGGGACAGACCGGTGTAAGTCTCCTCCGATGACCAGACCCTATACCTATAGATCATGATCGGACAGCAAGCTGAACTATCGGGCGACACAGAACACCTTCAGCGTGACGGTCAACAGCACCGACCCCATGGTCTTCTACTGCACCACCGGGAAGCACTGCCAGAGCGGCATGTACGGAGTTGTCAACGGCGCCGGGACCAAGAGCTTGCAGACCTACGGCAGTGCCGCCAACAAGACCCAGAGCTCCAGCGCTCCCGCGTCCGTCTTCGGCGGCAGCCTCAAGGCCGGTGCGTCCGGCACCAACAAGCCCCCTGCGACCACCGCAACTGGCACTCCCAAGTCCGGCAGCGACCGTGTTAAGGCCGGGTTCGGAAGCCTCGCTGGTGCCTTGGTCATGGCTGCTTTCCTGGCCTAAAATTGTGGCGTCAATATGATCTTGCCGAACTGGACAAAAAAGGTGTTATGAAAAAAGGTGGAAATCATGACTGTATTGTATTGTAGCGTTGTCATTCATTCAAGCGAAAATGTCTCTCACATAGTTTTGGAGTCATCATTACTGCAAGTGATTTTTGCCTTTTTCTTTGCGCTTTGTCGTTCGTGCAAAGAAACGCATTTAAAGGCTGCTGCCAATGCTGCATGAGTTCACCTAGGCTGACCCCGGATTCCCGAGCCAACGCCGCGAGAAGCACAGGCAAATGACGTTGTGTCCTTTCGAGGGTTTTACTGGGGACGAGTCTTTATCTTAGCGGCTCTGGGGTGATCTCGCAAGACAAGGAAAAGGCTCAGATCCCGCTTCTCGGCTAACCTAATCTCTAGTCCATGGCCTGGCGGATACCAGATCTAATGCCGTCAATTCTTCAACTTTTTCTCTTTCTAATCTTTTTGCCTAGTATTTCTGGAACAGGCGGATCGCATCCTGCATATAGTCTAGAACATTGCATAGCACGGTATATCTTGCGGATGTAATGCGGGCAAGAATGGTCGCGTGTCCGAGGCCAACCCCTCTCCTCCGGCCTCATCCCCTCTTACGATCGCGCCACAGTCTTTGCAGACACCCGAGGCGCCACGCGCTGATACAGGCGAGGGGTCTGCAGACAACGAGAAGTGTGCCGCGTGCGATTGCGATACCCAATGCCTCTTTCACAAATCACAGAGCATCGCGCCTGGCCCTGCCGGCTGCCTTTGTCGCGGGCCAGCGGAGGCGCGCATCGGTAGCCGCCAGCACGGTCGAGAATGGTACGATGCGAACTGGACTGCGCGAGGGCCCAAGGTCGGGCCAACATGCTGACAATTGGCTGTAGTAAATCACGAAGATAGAAGCCCCATTCAAGAGTATGATCGCCGAGTCGCCGAGGGCAGATTGCGCAATGACGAACATCAGCGAGGTTGGTCCGCCATTGTCAATTGGACGCTGAACGCGCTTCGCGCTGACACTATTGTGACAGGCATCATCCAGAACCTCGAGAACCTCCACAACGAGCTACGGCACTACAAAGCCAGGCCGATTGTCCACCCGAGCTTAGAAACCCTCAAGCCGAAGAAGTCGCTCTTCGGCTCCCTGTTCGGAGGGAAGGGCGGCGATAATAGCAAGCTGCAAGACATTCCTAGCGACCTTCCCCGAGGGCTGTACCTGTACGGCGACGTGGGCAGCGGCAAGACCATGTTGATGGACCTCTTCTACGATACCCTCCCCAGCAGCGTGCGCTCCAAGACGAGAATACACTTCCACAACTTTATGCAGGATGTGCACCGACGGTTACACCGCATGAAGATGGAGTACGGCAACGACATCGACGCCGTGCCGTTTGTTGCGGCTGATATCGCGGAGCACGGCAATGTACTATGTTTTGACGAGTTTCAATGTACAGACGTGGCAGATGCCATGATTCTGCGGAGGTAAGACCTTCGAATCATTAGATGTACTTGTCACAGCCGGCCAGGCGAAACTAATGGTCGTCACCAGACTGCTCGAGGCCCTCATGTCGCACGGCGTCGTCCTCGTCACCACATCCAACAGACACCCGGACGAGCTGTACAAGAACGGCATCCAGCGCGAGTCCTTCATCCCGGCCATCCACCTCCTCAAGAAGCGCCTGCACGTCATCAACCTCGACTCCCCGACCGACTACCGCAAGATCCCGCGCCCGCCCTCGGGCGTCTACCACACCCCGCTCGACTCGCACGCCGCCTCCCACGCCGAGAAGTGGTTCCGCTTCCTCGGCGACCCGGAGAGCCCCGAGCCGCACTCCGAGACCCAGCGCGTCTGGGGCCGCGACATCATCGTGCCGCGCGTCTCGGGCCGCTGCGCCTGGTTCACCTTTGACGAGCTCATCGGCCGGCCCACCTCGGCCGCCGACTACATCGAGCTCATGCGCTCCTACGACGCCTTCGTCGTCACCGACATCCCCGGCATGACGTACCGCCAGCGCGACCTGGCGCGCCGCTTCATCACCTTCATCGACGCCGTGTACGAGTCGCACGCCAAGCTCGTGCTGACGACGGCCGTGCCGCTGTCGGAGCTCTTCGTCTCGCGCGAGGAGCTGCGCGAGTCGCTGCGGCAAAAGGCGAAAGCCGAGGGCAAGGACCAGGAGGCCGCCGCGGCCGAGCTCGACCGGGGCTCGTCCGAGGACGTCGAGGAGGTCATGAGCCACATGATGGAGGGGCTCGAGCACAACGCCGCGTCGCTCAAGAACACGAACCTGTTCACGGGCGAGGAGGAGGCCTTTGCGTTCGGCAGGGCGCTGTCGCGCCTCACCGAGATGGGCAGCAAGGAGTGGGTCGAGCGCGGCATGGGCCTGGAGGAGCGCGGCGGCAAGGCCGAGCACGACAACTGGACGAGGGTCAGGAGTAAGCGGGCCGAGGACAGTATGTGAGAGGCATGTTTTTCTGGGAAGTAGTGGTGCATGACGACAATACACTCGACTGTGCCTGTCCCATATGATACCGGCATATAGAACATTAGACAGCATATGTTAGCGTTGAAGCTCGAAGTCAGGAATAACGAATCACAGGACTGTATATATGCCAGTCGTTACAATCTCTGATCATACACATACACAGCACAAGAATCTTTTGGTTGGACGACCGCCCACGACGACATGCGCACTCCATTACCACAACCCCGGAATCAGCCTGTACGGCACATCCCTCTTGTACTGCGCCCAACGCTCGCCGTACCTCCCCGTCATGTACTCGTCCATCGTGGGGATCGCCCGCGTCGAAAAGTCGACAAAGGGCTGCATGCCGACGGTGAAGAGGGCCGCCAACCCGCCGCTGGCGAGGCAGTAGCCCGCGCGCCAGACGGCGTAGCCGGCGTAGTTGGCGTGGCGCACCAGGCCCCACAGGCCCCGGTCGCAGATGCGGCCCCTGTTGGCCGGGTCGTCCTTGAACCGCTTACGCTGCAGCTCGGCGGCCGTCTCGGCGGTGACGCCGGCGGCGTACAGGGCGGCGCCGGCGGCGACGGGCAGCGGCAGGAAGCCGAGGCCGGGAATGCGGACGCCACCGGCACCGGCGTACAGGGCGGCCGAGGTGGCGGCCGCCGTGAGCATGAGCGAGTTGGCCGAGTTGAAGAGCGCGTTGTACACGGTGACGACGGCGGCGGGGCCCGGCCCGAAGACCTCGTTGTTCAGGTACGCGACCCAGAAGACCTGCTTGGCGACGGAGCCGACCGCCATGGCCAGGACAACGAGCTGCGGCAGGGACAGGCCGAGGCCGTCGATCAGCGACACGCCCGTGCGCGCGGCGGGCTGGCCGGCGACGACGGCGAGGCCGAGCCTGGAGAGGACCGCGGCGCCCCACCCCCCGGCGAGGATCTTGTACTGCAGGAAGGGGTCGAGGGCGCGCAGGCCGACGAAGGTGAGGAGGCCCGCGGCGCTGGTGCCCTTTTCGCTACGGTTGATGAGGTCATAGCGCGACATCTTGGAGCTGCTGCCGGTGCCGCCTGGGCTACCGCCGGTGGCAGCGGTGGGTGGCGGGGATGCCATTGTGAGGTTTGGGATGCACTGGGCGATTCTGCTTGGGAAGAGAGATGTTGGTTGGTAGTTGGAGGATGAAGTTTGATATCACCGTTTCCGAATGATGAATGACGAAAGGAGGGGAGGATCCACAGGGTTGTCCGGGAGCCTTAAAGCTCAAAGGTCGTCGGGGAAGGAAATCTTGGGTCGATTGGGCTGGCCCGTGAAGCTAGCTGTTTACAAGACGTCACGAACACGGACCGAAAAGGCGATTCCGCAAAATGACCATGCCACTTGCTTGAACTCAGCGTCTGTCTTCGCCGAAACCTGAACCTATCTTCGAAGGGCCAACTCTTGATTTCCATTACATCGGAAGTCAAATCTCTTGATTGCTCGGTATCTGACCCCGTGCATGCTCCAACCATTCCAGATTCATCAACCGATCCGGATCGTCTAGTTCGAGCGTCTTTGCATCCACCATCGCGACGTGCTCGAATAATCCGATAGCCATGTCCAACTGGCCAAGCCCAAGATATGTCTGTGCAAGGCGAAACTCTGACTTCAGCCTGGTCTCATCCTCTTCATCCAAGATCTTCGCATATGTCGCGGCAACATGCTCCAATAGCTGGCAAGCCTTTTCCAGCTCTCTGAGTTCAAGATATGTCCGCGCAAGGTAATACTCTGACCATAGCCGGGACTTACTCTCTTCATCTAAGATCCTCGTAAACGTCGCGACAACATGTTCCAAGAGCTGGCAAGCCTTTCCCAACTGGCCAAGCTTGCGATATGTCTGCGCAAGGTAACACTCTGACTCTAGCCGGAACTTGTCCTCTTCGTCTGAGATCCTCGTATGCGTCGCGACAACATGTTCCAATAGGTTGCAAGCCTTCCCCATCTCGCCAAGCTTGACATATGTGCGCGCAAGGAAATACTCTGAACTTAGCCGGTACGTATCCTCTGCCGCACACGTCCTCGCATGCACATCGACAACATGCTCGAATAGCTCACGCGCCCTTGCCACCTGGCCGTCCTCTAGATACGCCGTTGCAAGGCAGTGTTCCAAAATCAGCCTCAATATATGCTCCTCCCCAATTGTCCTGGCCGAAATTTTGACCACAGGTTCCAATACATCAATGGCTTGCTCGTAATCTTTGACTGCAACGTATGCTTTCCCAAGCCAATATTGTGAGTGCAGCTTTGTAAAAGCATCTTCTGGGAGCAAAATTGCGTCATCGTCCATGACATACTTCAACAGCCGCACGGCTCGATCTGGCTGGTTGTTATTGATATAAATCTCAGCAAGGCTCCTCTCTGCAGACAAGATATCGCTTTCTAGCCCGTCCCTCCTTGCGGTTGGTTTTAAAACTCCCAGGATATGCTGCAGAGTGTCGGTGGCATTGGTGGCTTGTCCAGCACGTCCATGTGCTCTTACGAGTAAAGCGTGCGAACGCAAGAGCAGAGTAGGGCTAGCTTTCAATATATCTGTCGAATTGGCCAGGATATTTTCGATAATCGCAATGGCGTTGCTGTAGTTCCGGGCGCCTATGTGTACTTCGGCAAGGTCCAACTCTGCAGCCAAGAGTTCGACATCGTCTTCCCCTCGTTGTCTTCTGTAAGCAAGCACTGCCGTTTCCAGATAGGAGATGGCCTTCGTATGCTGTCCAATTCCCGAATAAACCCGTCCAAGGGATCGATCAAGAGAGTGGTGCGGATGTGCTTCTCCTGCTGGCAGACCCTGTCGGGATGTTGTAAAGCCCTCAAACAAATGGACGACATCAAGCCACCTTCCATCTAAGGTAAGGCAGCGGATCACAAAGTCAAGTAAGTCAAGGCGTTCTTCCACTTCGATGTTTTCGCTTCTGCGAAGCAGGCTGATGGCGTGGGGAAGAAAGCCTAGCCACTGTTCTCTTTGTCTGCTCCACCGACGAGGAAAATTATCCACAACACATCGAATAGCGTCGACTCGTGTCCCGTCCGTTTTGGCCTGGTCCTGGATCCAGACCCTAGTTGCTGTGTGGACAAGACTGTGCATGTCATACAAGTCAGTGTCCCCTCTCCTGGTGAGAAACGCATATCCACAGAGCAGCCCGAGGGCGGAGGCCAGCTGCTCCTGCGTCTCGGATCTGGGTAAGATGGACTGCGGTATAGCCTTGGGTTCGATGCACGAGATGAATGATAGCAGACTTGCGGCAAATTCGTTAGCCTTGCGAATGTGCTCGAAAGATACAATCCATGTCGTGGCCACCGCGTTCTGCGAGTTGGCATATCGTGTGCTGTCGCGGAACTCCTTGCTCATCAGGCTGACTAGGTCTTGTTCCGTACCCCGCAGAAGGGCGAGATACTCGGGTATTGACACGTTAATGTTCTTGTTCAAGTATGCCGCCGCTTGGGAAATTGCCAGTGGAAGATATGTGAGCTCCTTGAGGAGCTCCAAGGCAGGCTCAGTCTTGCCCAAGTCATGTTGCACAAGGAGTCGAGCAAAAAGACCAGCCGCTTCGTCTTCCTCCATCTCGCAGAGATCAACGATTTCGCCTTGGGCCGCGTCTACCGCTACCTCGCGGGACCTAGTTGTAAACAAGGTGACACCAGCTTCACTAGTTGGGAGGTATTGGCTTATTCCACCTTGGCTGTCTGAAGGACCAAACACCAGATCTCGATCATCTGCGTTGTCCACGATGAGAAACCAAGGTTGGACCGCCGACGAACTCAGATGCTGCTGGACGATGACCTTCACATCTTCCTTTTCATCACCGCAAATACGTTGCGTGATCAGCAACTTCTTTGCTATCCCGCTGTATGACTGCTCAAAGGTAGCGTCGCTTAGTGCTGATACCCAGAAGACGCAGTGGTCAGGGTGGTTCTCCTTCACCCAATACGCAAGCTCCAATGCGACCTGGGTTTTCCCCACGCCCCCGAGTCCCACCAGCGAGACACACGGAGTGTGCAATGCAAACAATCTGTCTTGGAGTTCAGCTAGCACCTGTTCACGCCCAACGAAACGCCTGTTCCGAGGGAAGGGGAAGTGATATGCAGAACTGGTGGGGCGTGATTGTTTTGTACTCTCTGGCGTACTCGGGACAGGTGGAATAGAAGTTTGGTCCAGCTTGTCGACAAATTCCTGTAAAGCCCTGTCCTGAGACCGGATATAGCTTTTGGTATGCGATGAGATTGCGCTGGCCTTTTTCCAATCGGACAAGACGACATCCTCCATACCACTGTCGACATTGAATCTATGGTACTGGTTGCTGCCACTGTATCGGTTGGCCAGGCTTGAAGCGACCCTTTGAGACGACGTGGCCATCTTCTTGAGGGCTTTGACGATGGAAACGCGGCTATTGTCGAGCTTGACGGCATTTCCTAGCCCGGTACCTATACTGAGGATGCGTAGTTCTTGGGCCCCAGGCCACTGACGTTGGGCTTCCTCGATCAGGATTTCGCAAGGGTTATTGTATCCGAACGCGGCATCGATGTATTCTATCTTGTCACGACCGATAGTGATGGGCTTGAAGAAGGTTGTAGCGGCTGATGTGGCTCGTGCCACTTGCCAGATTGCACAGCTATCGAGGTCCATGGATGTGCCGTAAGTCGTGAAGAGTGTTGGTGATGTGTCAACGTCGTCCTTCGTGATGGCCAAGACAACGCTATAACATGTCAGTCACAGAATGGAACCAGATACCCTTGTAAGAAAATCGCAACATACGTCTTTGTGCACGACTTATCACGGAACTTCATCTCGCTGTGGGGACATGTCTTCTCCGTCGAGTCACCCCGCGTCCGTTGAGCAACGCATTCTGCTTCAACACAAGACTCTCTGATCGCTTGCTTGATGGCATCCTCCAGGGCCGTGGCCGAGAAGGCGCCATGAGACGAGTAAGGGATCCTCCCCTTCTTGGGGGTGAACGCCTGCTCTGCCAGCTTTCGGTATGCCTGAATGCACTCGTTGACGGTCATCTTCAGCCTTCCGAGCATGATAGCAATGATTCTGTTGGCTTCGTGTGAGATGCCTGGTAATCATTGAGGGAATAGAGGACACAAAGCCTACGTACCCTCCAGTGCTTGTGCCGCCGATCAAGTCGAAGACTTCACAGGGTCGTGGCATGTCGCTCAGTCCCTTGGACTCTCGCATCTTCTCCATGATACACTCCAAAATCAAGAGGCTTGAGAGCCCGCGGATGCCTCCGCCATCTGGTCCAGGTTAGTGAGCTTGTGGCGAAAGGTGTCTCGGAGCCTGATGCTTACCCAAGGACAGAATCTTCAATGGCGCTGAAGTCGCCATGGTGCCGGCTACGAGTCCTTCGCCGTATCACATGCGGCAGGCGATGTCGTCTTTCAACAAGAGCAAAATAGGTTCTAGCACGAGAGAAGAATGAGGGGAAAAGTTGGGAAGATTCGAGCACATTGCAGGTAGAAGTCGATGGGTGGGAGAGCCTAGGAATGATTGGATTGCTGCAAAAGCGCCAGCTCAGCTGCTTCGACCAGCAGTCCGAATCCAATCAATCCACGGGCCCCTCCCTCCCCGACAACTCATCAGGCATACAAGGCATTTTTCTCCAGCATCACACTGCAAACCTGTGAGGCTGTGCGAGCCCGTTCATCGCGTTATCTTGATCAACGAATGTTGGCCGTCAATTACATGCGGAGTGCAAGTCGTCCCAGTACAAATAGAGGTAGGTCTACTAACAGATCCAGGGCTAGTCGTCACGGTCTCGGCGGAGACACTGCGCTACCCGACGCTTTAACTAGTGGACCCGTACCTGAGAGACTTGCCTTTCCAGGCTTAGTCACCCCCAAATGACGCTCATTCTTCTGCCTGAAGCTTATCAATGTGTGCGGGGAGAGCTCGGGCTCGTGCTCGATTGCGTGTGTTCCCGTGTGACTCGTGTACCTGAAACCATCAACAAACCGCCTCCTCATACCATCCCATCTTCGCCTTCATCCTTACAACTATCGATTTTGTTGTCCTACCGTTTCCACCAGAGTCATCATGAGAGTATCATCCGCTTCAGTCCTTGCCATTCTGGCGCCCACGATCGGCGCGCGCTTCGTCGAGAAGCACGAGACCGATGCCCACATTCAGCTGCATCCCGAGCTCGCAGATGCAGAGAAGTACCACATCGAGCTGAGCCCCGGCAACACGAGATGGGTGACCGAGGAGGAGAAGTGGGAGCTTCGGCGAGTGAGTCTTGCATCGTGCTGCCCCAGCCCACTGCTGCTCTAACCAAGTGCGTCATCAATAGAACGGTCAGCGTTTCATGGACATCACCGAGCACGCGGACCTCGGCGCATCGCGAGCCGGCGCCTACTCGACGAGCGTCTTCCCCAAGAAGCTGAAGCTGCAGGACGAGGTCAACCCGCTTCTCAAGAACCTGTCCAAGACGGAGATGAAGGACCACCTGGAGAAGCTGACGAGCTTCCACACACGCTACTACAAGTCCGACTACGGCCGGCAGTCGTCGGAGTGGCTCCTGAAGCAGGTGCGCGCCACCATCAAGGACGCCGGCGCCGACGAGTACGGCGTCGCGGCGGAGCACTTCCCGCACGCCTGGGGCCAGAACTCGATCATCGCGCAGATCCCGGGCAAGACCAACTCGACCGTCGTCATCGGCGCCCACCAGGACTCCATCAACCTGTGGCTGCCGTCCGTGCTGGCGGCGCCCGGCGCGGACGACGACGGCAGCGGGACCGTGACCATCCTCGAGGCGTTCCGCGTCCTCCTTAGCTCCGAGGACGTGATCAAGGGCAAGATGGAGAACACGATCGAGTTCCACTGGTACAGCGCCGAGGAGGGGGGCCTGCTCGGATCGCAGGCGATCTTCTCTACCTACGAGAAGTCGAAGCGCGATGTCAAGGCTATGCTGCAGCAGGATATGACTGGTTTCGTCCAGAAGACGCTGGATGCCGGCAAGCCCGAGAGTGTCGGCGTCATTGTCGACTTTGTGGACCCCAACCTGACCGACTTTATCAAGAAGGTGGTCGTCGAGGTATGCTTGTTTCGTCCCAAATTACAACCAGTGCATGTCTAACAAGAATGATAGTACTGCGAAATTCCCTATGTCGAGACCAAGTGCGGATACGCCTGCTCCGACCACGCCTCGGCCACCAAAGCTGGCTACCCTTCCGCGTTTGTCATCGAGTCCGCCTTTGAGGACTCTGACAACCACATCCACACCACCGACGACAAGATCTCATATCTCTCCTTCGACCACATGATCCAACACGCGCGCATGACTCTTGCCTTTGCCTACGAGCTCGGGTTTACTGACTTTACCAAGCTCAAGAGTGAGGATGTCGAGATGGGTGAGCTGTAGAGGGATGGAATTCGTTAGGACTTGGTCGGAAGCCGCCCTTTTTCTTGGCTATAGATATTTGTTCGTTCGTCGACTGGCATAAGCAACAATACAGGAACATGACTCTGAGCTATTGATTGAGACGAGCCACCAGTAACAGTAGTGGTAATGCTGTTCACCCAGTTTGGAGCCCCAGCAGCTGAAATGCATATTCATCTACGACTGACGCCGAGCAATTTGTCTTTTTATCTCATGAAACCTTGAGGTCGTCGGAAATGAACGAAGGCAAAAAAAGAAACAGCAGAAGCAAAACTTACAGCACCGAGGATTCCCCAGTCGTCACCGACCTGAGTACTGATTCGGCGATGGGCAGTTTGTCTAGGGGAGAGCGGACGGGATCCCGAATTTTCTACCCTCTATGGCCGTAAGTGACAGGATCCATTGGTGATTGTGCTTATGGCATCCATCCCATGGCTTGGTAAAAAAAAAAACTGGCACTTTTTGCAGGCAGGCCGAGATAACCGGCCACGCCGGCATACATGGCAATTATGAAGTGGGCCAAGAGCTGAAGAGAGTAGATGTGCAGTGCAGGCACCCAAAATTGCATGCCGACAGCCCGGATTTCCTTCTGTGGAGCGCATGTTTTGCCATCTTTGCCATCTTTTCCGGGTCAGATGTGGCGGTGGTGCTGTCCCAGGTCTCCGCACAAGTGTGGCCGTGTGTGCTGGGCAAGCCTCTTGACGTCATCCGGCCCTCCGCAAACCTGGCTGGGATCGCTCCAAGTTGGATGCGTGAGATACTTGGCGCGATGGATGGCGAGGGTGTTTAAAGTTCCAACGAGTGGTCCAATTGCGAGAATTAAATTGTGTTCGAGACTACTTGGTATGACATCGTTGGATCAAACACCCAGTCAGCTGGGTCATATCGAGAGGAGAGCGTTCGATGATCATCGCGTCTGGCATGCTTCTCGAATCAAATTCATCTCGAGTGGCCCCCCTGTAGTGCGCCCGTCACTTCGGCAGCCGCAAATCTTGGCAAAGCTTGGCACGGAGTGCCCCCGGATCTGCCACACCGGGTCGCAATGTGGATTCGATAACATCATCTCCTCAAGATTTATTACCTCTGGTGCGAAATAGCCTTTCCCCCTCCCCTCCTTTTTTTGTTCTGTTCGATCGTGGTCGAGACTTTGACTGCTTGCCTGGACCCTCTGACGGACCGCTCACACCATGGCAGATTGACTCTCAGGAACTTGCCTGCCGGAGTAAACAAGCTTCTCGCGCTTCCCCCGCAAAAGTCCCGGCTTGCGTGGCCTTTTCCCCCCTAGTAGGCCGCTCTAGTCTTGCCCACCGTCTCTGCCTCTTACACTACTTAGAGGCATCCATCATAAACGGGTTCCCCGCACCCCATCATGACCGTTTGGCAAGACATACAGAGCCTGGGTGACGTGCTGTATCAGATAGCCTTTATATTCCCCTACACTGCCTACACCACGCCGTACCGGCGCACTATCCCTCTGCCGTCAGACGAGTCATCCTCGTCACAATCACCAACACCTGCGACATCCTCCCCGAATCAGGAAAGTATGGGTCCTGACAAGGACGCGGCCGTCAACGGCGCCGCCGAGACTTTCTCCGACAAGACCTTTTCGTATTGCACCTCGAAGGAATCGGTGTCCGCGCTGCTTGCCGCGGATCCCACCTTGGCGCCCGGCGATGCTTGGCGCAGGCTCTACGGGCACCATGTGCCCAAGCTGTCGAGCTCCAAGTCGATGAAAGACTGCGGCAAGGGTGAGGTGTCACAGGAGAACCTCGGGAGGGCAGAGCAGTGCGGCAAATTCGGTCCGACGCAGCCAAGTGATCTGTTCTTACGGGTTTGTCCCTCCAATATAGCCATGCCGTTTTTGTTCAAATGCGTAGACCGCTAACGAGCGCGTTCAGCTGTACCACGACGCACTGTGCACTCTTCACGACAACCCGCAGCGGGCCATGGTGAGCCCTTCGCTCATGGGCAGCTGTGGCGTTGTGCCGCTGACCATCATCTCTGTGTAAGCCGTGTCTCTGCTTTAGTTGGAACAGCTGAAGGAAGGCTGACCACCATACAAGAATCCCCGACATTGTGCGACACATGGGTAATGTCATTGTCCGAGCTGAGAAGGAGGTCTTCTTGGCTACCAACTACTGGCAGAACAGCCACGCCTCCAAGTTCATCACCAACGCCATGCGTGAGCTCTCACGCCGTGCCGGCGAGCGGGGCGAGAAGGTCGTGATGAAGATCATCTATGACCGCGGCAGTGTCAAGCAGCTCATAGAGCCGCACTACATCGTTCCAGAGAAGGAATACACTGGTAAGGAAGTCGGCCTTCCCCATCCGCACGAGATCCCAAACATCGATCTCGAGGTCATGAACTACCATCACCCCATGCTGGGCACCTTCCATGCCAAGTATATGGTCGTCGACCGCAAGGTGGGCATCCTCCAGAGCAACAACATCCAAGATAACGATAATGTCGAAATGATGATTCATCTGGAGGGCCCCATTGTCGACTCGCTGTACGACATGGCCTTACTTTCCTGGAACAAGAAGCTGACCCCGCCCCTGCCGAGCTACAACTCTCCAGCCGCGCAGGGGGGTATCGGCAGCTTTGGGGACAAACACGACGGCATCTTTGGTCCGGACGGTACGATCAAGGGCCATAAGGCCATCATCGACCCCACAAAGATGCGCCAGAGACAGGCATTCGGTGCTCAGCAGACCAAAGAAGTTCAGGAGCCCGGTGCCGTAGACGCGGCAGACGGCGACCAGCATAGCACCAACCCCGACCGTGCTGACCCCCTGACGGGACCGACCACCACAACAAGCACACTGCATCCTCATGAGCCTAGCGCTGCTAGCGGAGCGTCAACTGATGTTAAATTTGCGACCAGCTCATCCGTCCGTGCAACCCAGGGACCCAGCAATCCGCCACTGTCGCAGAACAATGCAACGGGGCCCGATGCCGAGACACAAGACTTCCTGGCGGGCGGCACCCAGCCTCTCTCGCAGTTGCAGATCAAAGATCCGGTCGGGATCGACACCCCGTTCCCGGAGGACACGGCAGACGACCCACAGTTCGACAACGACATCGCCGACGAGGTGGCGCGGGTGCAGGCCCTCGTCTCGGCCAAGCCGGGCGAGACGCAGATGGAGGCCATCTCGCGGCACCTCAACCACACGACCAACGTCGGCTTCCGCGGCGACGCGCCGGACTTCGCGGCCGAGGACGAGATGACGCCCTGCATCCCGCACAGGACGCACGAGCCCTTCCCCATCGCCATGGTCTGCCGCTCGCCGTACGGCCCGCCCAACCACATGTCGGTCGAGATGCCGCAGAACGCGGCCTGGCTGTCGGCGCTGCGCAACGCGCGCAAGAACGTGTTTATCCAGTCGCCGACGCTCAACGCCGAGCCGCTGCTGCCCGCCATCGTGGAGGCGTGCGAGAGGGGGGTCGATGTCTACTGCTACATCTGCCTGGGCTACAACGACATGGTACGTCTCACCCCGAAGAATGCCTACAAAATCCACACAAACAGACTCCAAATGCAGCATTACTAACATCATACTGTAGGGAGAACTCCTCCCCATGCAGGGCGGCCACAACGAGCTCATCGCGCACACGCTGTACAAGACGCTCTCGGAGGAGGGCAGGCAGCGCCTGCACTACTTCTGGTACGTGGGCAAGGACCAGACGCGGCCCATCGTGCAGGAGAAGCGCCGGCGCTCGTGCCACATCAAGCTCATGATCGTCGACGAGCGCGTCGCCATCCAGGGCAACGGCAACCAGGACACGCAGTCGTGGTTCCACTCGCAGGAGGTCAACGTCATGCTCGAGAGCGCCGACGTCTGCGCCGCGTGGATCGACGGCCTGCGCCGCAACCAGAACACGCACCTCTACGGCCAGCTCAGCCGGACGGACGGCGTGTGGCGCGACGCGGCGGGCAAGGAGGCCGACGGCGCGACGGGCGTCGACCCGGGCAGGTTCAGCTGGGCCAGGGGCATCCTCGGGGCGGTCAAGAGGGTGCAGGGCACGGGAGGGTTCTGAGGAGAAATGGGTGGGGAAAACAGCGTTGTTACATCGAACATGCGTGGCTTGTTTTCTTTTTTTTCTTTAACAGGCGTTGTTCACGGTCGTCGTTTCACCTTGGGAGAACATGAGGAACAACCCTATTTTTGTAGACAATTTCGTCAAAGGTGTTGGAAATATACGAAGGCCACGGTGCGATTACGAAATACCAAAAACAGAGTTTCGAAAGTTCGGAGTTCAGACAATAGGAGTTGTGAGGATATGCTAATGTATGCCCAGTAATTTCTTCTGCGTGGAAGATCTGCCACTTCCAGCGGATTCCTCTTTGGGAAAGGGTCTCTCATTGGCTGCAACTGAGCCATTGGCAACGACCGTTCGAAACACCGTTAAGTTGACGTTTCAGATGGTCCTTGAGCCGGCTCTCCGTGTTTTGCCAAAGTATGACCGACAGTGGCTATTCGAATAACGTATCTTGTGACAACGTAACAGTGACGACTCTCAAAATGCGACCTTTCCACAGCAAGAAGGACTTAGACCTGCTGGGAGCTTCCCTACATTTGTGCCGTTTACTGGTTTGCTTCGGGTTGGATGATCGCTGATGTTGAGCGATGGCTGTCAAGTGTTTAAGCAAGATAGTTAGATTTTTAAGCAAGATATAGAATGCTTTATTTTGTAAGCGCTGTTGCGTAAAACTCGACCAACTTTGGCGCTGATTTCCTTAAATCGTCATAAAGTTCAAAATGATTCTTTCCGTCAATGACAAACAACTCCTTCGGCTCCTTCGCACACTCCACAGCAGCCTTGCTATAATGTAGTGTCTCCGCATTCGAACCAACGATCATGAGCAGCGGTCGAGGAGAGATTAGGTGCTGGAAAGTGAAGGAGTCGTAACCAATCATCAAGTCATAGCTTGACAAGGGCACACGTTGGTCTGATCTCGGATGGTTGCCGCGCTCAGTGCCGTAGTACGCAGCAGCCGACTTGAAAAACGATGGCGCATCACCTGGCACCTCGGAGGCTTCCGTTTGAAACATTTTGGGTGCTTCAGATTTGGTGTTGCCGGCATGAGACGTTCCCCAATCACCCGCAGCTTTGAGAGCACCGATAATGGCATCAGGCGATTCCTTCTTGTTGCTTTCGTAAAGACCACCGTTGCGTGTCATTCGGCCGACACAAGCAGCACTGACAGTGCCAAGGGCTTTGATGCGGGTATCAGATTGCGCAGCATAAGAAGTATAGCCGCCTGATGCGCAAATACCCAGCATACCGATGCGCTCAGGGTCAACTTTCCCCTTCAAGGTGGTTAAGAAGGTGACGGCAGCTTTATTGTCCTCAACTCGCTGGTGCGGGTCCTCTAGTCCTCGAGGCTCACCAGTGCTTTCACCTTGATAGCCAGCATCAAATGTCAGGGCATAGAACCCTGCCGCAGACAGGGCGCGAGCGTAGGTAGCAGATGTTTGTTCTTTTACACCATGCCCAACATATTGTTCAGATATTGGGCAATGCTGAGTTGAGACTAGAACCAACTCAGGTGGTTCCCGAGTGTAATCCGCATTTACAAGACAGTCAGATGCCTGCTAGGCTCGTTGAACAACATTAAAGGGCCGCTCTCAGTACCCTAGCCAATGCATGTAGAAGTGTGTCATGCCAAGCTCTAGAGGCCTCTCGCAAACTTGCCTACACAATACATCATTTCATTCATCCGATGGGCTCAGGGTTGCATCAAGGAAACATGGCGGCCGTAACGCGGCAATGATGTTTGACACTAATGCAATTCTGTACACAGCCCCGTAACTATATCTGTGTACGGCGGCGGCCCGCTGCCTTGCATTTCTTAAGACGATCTGTGGATCTTCAATATACTATGTTTGCCGCGAGTCTCTCCGGCATCATCGAGCAAGCCTGGCCTCGACTATGATGCTCATCACGGCAAGAGGATCATGGCAGGAATGCCAAGGATGACAGTCATCTTTTCGGTCGGTGGCTTCAACTCGACCGCCACGCTCCTCAAACCTTGGCACCGGGAGGCATGGATACCAGTGGTTGTCTCAGGTTTACTGCTACCGAGATCCGTTATCCCCGTGTCCAACAGAGATCCAGATGTGGCTCAACCAAGACAGGCAATGGCTAGAGTATCAATGAGGGATTACATTGCCTGCGAACTTGGCATCGCCAAGACCAGAAATCTTCCGATAATACTGTGCTGGCACATGTGGAGCACATAGAGAGGCAGAGTCCTGCCTGGTGAGCTGGCTCGCTAACGTGAGATCTCAGGCCCAATCACCTCGCACATTGTCTCTCCGCACCACGATGCAGCGTTGCAATACCGTAGGCAATCTTTGATATCGACTGTGTAAGCGCGTCAATTTCCCGTTTGGAGTCATGAGGTGGGGCCCGTGCCGCAAGTCCTAGGCATGTATGAGATATAGAACCGTTGCGATGGTGGGCTTGTCCCGTCGAAGGATTGAGTACTTGTAGTCTTTGCCCCCCACACACCCATTACCCGTCCCTGGAGCGTGACGGGGATCCTGGTTGGTGGAGGCGTTTGGGCGACTGAAACGACGAGCCAGATGGGCTAGAGAAGATCGAGTTACCTACCCTCCACCGAAGGCCTACTGAGAACCTTCTCGTTGGTTCAATGTCTCCTCCGCAAGCCCAGACCGCAGCCCCAGTCCGGTGGCGAGGGATGCGGTTCGCTACGGCTTCCTGCACGACGAGAGCGAGATGAAGCAGTTCGATGTAAGAGGTACGGAAGACCGATAGCGCCATAAGCGCGGCGATGAGCTGGGATGGCGAAGAGGCTGGCTGGCACGCTGGTCATGGTGCAGATTTGGCCGGACTAAGCACGCATACGCTGTTCTAGAATACGCATTGAGGGAGCCCTACCTGTATCGTCATTCACCCCAAGATATATGCTCGGCTTATAAACACAGTATGGGGTTATCTAGTTGTGGTCAGACTACTGATAAGAGCCGACCGTTTGTGGCTTATTCATGTTTGGACTCTAGAGCGACCACATGCATTCCCCCACAATATCACTAATAGAAAATGTCTGGCCTATGAGATCTGGATAGCTTCAGAGCGACGATGGACGGTTCAAGAATGACAAGGACTAATCCTGTGGCTTAGGTGCTTCCTGATGAGTCCGGCAGGAGGTGAAGACCCAGAGACCATCACTGACACATCGGACACCGACGAACCAGTCAAATTCGTGATCTCGCTGGAACTGAGTAAATAATCGAAAGGATCAATGTCACCACAACAAAAAAGACGCGTAAGAGGCTCACTTCCATCGTATGTTAGGCTGTGTACCCTGGAGGTACCAGGGCCATGGACATCGGACTTCCAGTCCGGAAATAGCTTTGTAGTCATCCTGCAGCTGGTCAGACAGCCCGTGTACAGCTTGTCAGACAGACAGCTCTGGTGTGCCCGGTATTGGGGGCGTCCTGCAATCAGCATTCTTTGGCTGCAAGTCCCCTGTACTACAACAGGTATGTCGCACAGCACATTCGGGACTTTCCATTCAGCTCCAGAAGTTCTTCTGGCCAGTGAGTTCGTCTAGCCAGTTAACGCCGTTACCGTTGCTGCAGGTGTGTGGCGCGAAAATGGGGGATTGGTAACAATCACGGCATACACGACATATATCTCATACATGGGAGTAGCATAAAGTCAACACTATCACCGCTGTCTTCTTGTCGAAGGTCTCTAGTCGTGTACAACCGACCTGTCTTGTCTTCTCGTGCGTCTTTACTATCTGGCCCGTTGTCGAGTCAAGCATGCCACGTTCAGACTCTTCTAGCTGCTTCTCGGGATTCAAGTCAGGGTACGGTATGGTAAAGCCGCCGAGAAGAGAACGACCCCAGCAGCTAGCGTGCGACAGATGCCGAGGCCAAAAGCTACGGTGCATACGAACGCAAAATCCCAATGATCCGTGCGAGAGGTGTCAGAAGGCCGGTGCAACATGCATCATCGATTCATCTGTGCGCATGGGCAGGCCCAGACGTACAGACAAAGAGCAGCGAGAGAGCACAGGCAACTCGCACAACCCTCCCCAACATACCAACATACGCTCGCCAGCTTTGCCCACTACTTCATCCCAACCGGCCTCCTCGAGAGGTTTCACCCCGAATGGCGACACTTGGTCAGGGCATGACCTCGATGACGCGGTTGACCCGCTGTTAAGAGGTGTCACGGTTCAGTACTTGGAGGCATTTGATTTTGCTCTTTCTGGCGAGGGCACACTCGAGGATCAGAACTCGTTGGATATACCACCAGACCACTATCTCAATTCGGCCCTGGATCTATCCTTGGACCCGCCCATCTCAGCACTCACTAGAGATGAAGGTGCCGCGATCGAATCGGCCACAACGGCCAATGGTCCGGGCCGTCACCGGCCCATGCGCCAAGAAACGATGCAGGAGCTGTCAGACCTGAACATGCAAGTGTACCAACAGTTGGGCATTGTGGGCCCAATGGCAAGCAAGTACACGAACATCCACCCGGGCCTGGGCTTGACTGCCTTGGCTACGCCACCGGACGGGAGCCATACACTCTCCGATGCCGTAGTATTCATGATGCACGGCCTGCAGACATACCACAGGCTGCTGGTCGAGATCCTCGGGTCTGGTCCGGGGCCGAACCACTCCGCCATATACGATGCACACGAGCATCCGAAGCCTAGTACCGTCAGTGCCAGCCTACTACTGAGCCCGGCCGAAGGGATAGACGCCGAGGATTCGACGGACCGTCGCCGCATGTCCGAGGCAACAGGCCAGCCGCCGCGGAAAAAGATCCGATCAAGCAGCAACGGTACCGAGCTCACTGTGCTGCACGACTCGGACTCATCCCACAGTGCTCTGCTTGACATGCCCTCGAGCCTCCTGGTGCTTTCCTGTCACACCAACCTGATGCACCTCTCTCGGGATGCCTTTGCCGCCATCCGAGCCGCATTGCTCGCCACACATCGCCAGATCACTCTGTTCACAATCTCGCTTCTCCACATCGACGAGGTATCGATTCCTCCAGATCCAGATTTGCAGATCATCGTTCTCACACAGGCTGTACTACGGCTGATAGATAGAATCGGACGCTTGCTGGGCTGTCAGGATGACTGCGAGGTCGATTCTGGCGGCGAGAGATATGAGGCCAAGCCTTGCAGTATTGTAATCGCGCCTCAGCTCGTTGATCTCGTGTTGAAAGGAGAAGCAGGTGGTGAGGGCCTGACAGGTAGAGTAGGAATTGAAGCACTGAGGGAAGAGATTCGCAGGCTTCATGAGATTGTTTATCAGCCAGCCTAATGGGAATTGTTGTGTGACATTATCAACCAGCCTTACCGGCGAGCGGCTTCTCCAATGTGCAGTATGATCACCTTGATATACTGTGCAATGCATCATCTTTTCCCGTTAGCAGTCCAAAGACCAAAGTTGCTCCCAAACGAACCCACCGATCAGGTATGGCCCATGGCGTTACTAGCCGTCCAAGACGTCGAGCCATCAACTCGAGACACTTCTAATCACTGTATCGGAAATATTTCACGAGTACTGTACAAACTATCGACCCCCGGCTGTCAAGGACATGGTGAGAGCCAGGCTGCGAGGGCTAAGAGACACTCTCTCGGGATATTGTGACGGTGGAGGATATCAGCGCCCGAGTCGTGGCCTCGTATGATGTATCACACTGCATCTTCAGACGCGCGGCTGACGATGTAACACACACAACGGTCTGGCAAGGGTTGTATTGGAGATGCAGATGCCAGGAGGATTTTCGGGGGATTCTTCCGGTGGAGAGAATCGGGCCCCGAGCCGCTACCGCCGAGCATCTTACTGAATCAGCAAGCGCGCGGCCGACCACGGCCCCCTGGTCCAACACACAGCACGAGGACTTGGGCGCCACCCGATAGATCCACCCTTGCTTACCTTGCAGTCGGGCGTTGCAGTCGGGACTTTTCGAAGGCTGGACCCTGATCTTCACGAAATACGTACGCCTCATGGAGTCAGACCCTCCCAATCACTCAGCTGAGCCTTTCCGAGAGGGTGTGCACACCCTCGGGAGGACGAAGGGATCCGGGTACCACGGATCCTGTTGATAATTACCTCTAGAGCCCGTTTGCCGCCACAAGATCACTTCCCCTCAAAGACTGTCAACCTGGTAGACTCGGGCCGATCCTGCCTCCCTACCTACCTTACCCAACCATGGCCCTCGCTACAAGTTCTATCCGGCTTCTGCGCCTAAGCCCCGCACTCTGTTCCTCAATGACCCTCATGTTCGCTCTTGACGAGCACCTCATCTTCGGAACCTGGGTCCAACCCCCTGTCCGCACACTGGCAAACTCTGCCCTGCCTGCTTGGTGGACCAGGGGTGGCCTGCGCTGGGGCTGGGTTCTGATCATATTCTATCCTGCCAACTACATCCTAGGCACTCTTAATCTGCTTGTCCCTGGCGACGATCCTGCTGGCTCGACGAAGTGGTACTGGTTGGGTCTACTTTTCAGCATTGCCCACATGCTCTATCTGCCAATGGCTCTACGCCGCATAGCAGCCATTGAAAAGGGGGTTCCAAAAGGCAATGTTGCCCACTCCATGGAGGCTTGGCTCAAGATGAACTGGGTTCGGGCGTTGATTACGGACTTGCCGGCGTGGTTGTGCTTCATCGTCGCCGCGCTGAAGGCACTGTAAGACTGATGATGATGGCTATGAGTTCAAAGGACAATGCCGACTATGTATGGAAAAAAGGACAGCGAGGATAACGAGGAGGAGGCCGAAACAGAAGCGATTAAGGTAAAGAAGTTGGTATAGTTGATGACAATTTCGATTCTATAGATGGTTTGACTTATGATAATAAAGGGAGAGCATAGACGAGATCTGCCAACCTCCCTTTGAATCTAGGATTTTAGTAAGATAAAGAGAAGGGGGAAAAGCCAAGTTTCTTTGAAGGTCGGTGTATGAAGCTACGACAACCTCGGAGGCCACCATCATCAAGGGATCCAACGAGAGAAAATACCACATGAGCGCGGCCATAATTTACCGGGTACGATCATCTCACAGCAGACGCTCAAGTGCTTTCGCTTATTGACCTTGTCAATAACTCAGCCACAGTGCACCACCGACCAACGCGAATAGAGTGAGGTGCGGAATCGGACTCTCCCTCAACCTCATGTCGGAATAAAACCCCACACAGCACAGGCCGAATCCGATCTTAAGACCAAGAGTCCGAAGGCTCGGCACCAAAAGCATGCCCGCGAGCACGGTGTTGATGCTGATGAAGAAGGCCCTCAGCGTGGAGTCCGAGACGCCTGCCCACCAGAAGAGGACCCTATTGTGCTCCGGCAGCTTCTCCGCAAGATTTCGAGAGAAGCCTGGGGTGAACCTGGAGGTCAGATGGGCTTGTATTGAGAGTAGATTGAAGCCGATCAGCACCACGCTTAAGATGTCGGCTGTACGAGAAGACATGATTTCGAATAGACAGTGCGCTCTTGATGAGAGATGGTTAGTACTATAAACGCACTTACATGAAGACTTGGTGTCATTGCCTGATAAGACTTACCGTAGCTGAACTAGGCCTCTCTGTTTATATTGGCAGGTAGAGATGGTAAGTCTTGCTCAAAAGAGATGGCCTGGTTGAATTGGCCAGGTTGGTTCGCGCTGGTTTCTGAAAGCTAAGATTCCGGGAACTATAGACAAAAGAGGCTCTTGGGAGAATGGGTGAAATCATTCAGTATAGATGTGCATTTCAAGGTACTGTTATTACATTGATTGGGGGTTTTAGACGAACGCTCAGTCAAGTTGACCACCCGATTCTACTTACTTATGCTCACGACTTCGGTTCTTTCCGTCTCTCTCCAAATATGGTTGATGTGTTCTGGCCACCATAAGTACCGAGAAAGCAGTGAAGCATCGCCGTCGGGAGTTCGGCTCCTAAGTTCAATAGAGAAAGTCCCGAGATTACGTACTCGATCCTGTAGCGATGTGTAGGGCGCATTCAGAGTCCCGAATCTAACTGGCTGCCTGGTCTTACCCGAGTCTGGCTGCCGAGCCCGAAGCTACCAAGCCTGGCAAGATGTTGACTCCGAATCGAGCCTCTTGTATACTGAAACTCGACTGGTGCTGGTAGCCGAAACCAGACAGCAAGAGGAGGCTAGGTAATATTGTTAGCGAAGGATGGAAAGCATTTGGAAGTTAATATTAGCAATGCATTGTCTTGCCCTTTTGGACGGTTATGTCTTCTCTCCCAAGTTAGGGCCGCGACCATCAACGAGTTTCAACACCAAGTTCCACACTGTGCCACCATCTATCATTCACGATGACTGCCCATCACACCGCTGAGCCTATCGCCGTCGTCGGGAGCGGGATGCGATTCCCCGGCTCTTCGAGTAGCCGGTCCAAGCTCTGGGAGCTTCTGCTCAAGCCTCGCGATCTGCTCAAGAGAATCCCGGAAGAACGCTTCAACATCGACAATTTCTACCATCCGGAACCCACCCATCACTCAACCACACATGTCCAGGAGTCGTATTTCCTCGATGAGGACCACCGCCACTTCGATGCGGGCTTCTTCAATATCAAGCCTGTCGAGGTGGCTGCCATCGACCCCCAGCAGCGTTTGCTGATGGAGGTGGTCTACGAATCTCTTGAGTCGGCGGGAATCCCGCTCGAATCTCTAGTGGGTTCTCGCACAGGAGTCTACGTCGGCCTCATGTGTGCGGACTACTTTGAGCATCTGCATAATGATATCGATACTCTGCCAACCTATGTTCCGACGGGAACCGCCCGGAGCATCATGTCAAACCGCATTTCTTATTTCTTTGACTGGCATGGTCCCTGCATGACCATCGATACTGCGTGCTCCTCCAGCCTAGTGGCTGTTCACCAGGCAGTCCAGCTGCTGAGAAGCGGCGACTCGGACATGGCTGTCGCAGCAGGAGCCAACATGATCTTGGGGCCCGGGCAGTACATTGCCGAGAGCTCGCTGCACATGTTGTCAGCCGACAGTCGGTCCCGCATGTGGGATGCTGACGGCACCGGATATGCACGCGGTGAGGGAGTAGCCGCAGTTGTGTTGAAGCGCCTCAGCACTGCCATCGCTGATGGAGACAAGATTGAGTGTATCATCCGAGAGACTGGTGTCAACCAGGATGGTCGGACCAAGGGCATCACCATGCCGAATGCTTCTGCGCAAATCGATCTTATCGAGCAGACGTACGCAAAGGCCGGGCTGGACCCCAGAGACCCCTCTCAGCGCTGTCAGTATTTTGAAGCGCACGGAACCGGAACTGCGGCAGGTGATCCCAAAGAGGCCGAGGCTATCAGCAAGGCCTTCTTCCGACCTGACAATACCTCCCATAACGGCGATCCGCTCTATGTTGGCTCCATCAAGACCGTGGTTGGTCATACTGAGGGCACAGCGGGACTGGCCGGTCTTCTCAAGGCCTCACTTGCAGTTCAACATGGAGTTATACCGCCCAACCTGCTTTTCAACAAGCTTCACCCCGATATAGAGCCATTCTACACCAATCTGGAGATAGCAACAAGCCCCAAGCCATGGCCAGCGATCGCAGATGGAGCTCCGCGCCGTGCCAGCGTTAATAGCTTTGGCTTTGGCGGCACGAACTCGCACGTAAGTGTCTTAAATGCCTTACTAGTACCGTGGAAGCCGTACGCATTATGTGTAAGAGATGTGTTAACAACATACTATTCTTAGTGCATCATCGAGAACTTTGTGCCACCCTCTACTGGGGTTCCTTCTCCGGACATCAACGCTCTTGCTCTTTCCGTTCCGCAGTTCGCGCCGTTCAACTTTTCAGCTGCTTCTGGAACTGCACTGAGAGGTGTCTTGTCTGGCTACTCGGAGTACCTTCAGTCTCATCCCAATACTGACCTCGGTGATCTTGCCTACACGCTGCATGCTCGGAGATCTCACCACGCAGTTCGAGCCAGCATGTCAGCAAGGTCGATCTCGGACCTTCAGGCCAAGATTGACGAGCTCCTAGCCGCACCTTTAGAGGGCAATGGTGCCTCCAATTTCGGTACCCGTTCAAAGGCGCTGTCACGCCCAATCCGCGTCCTGGGTGTATTCACTGGCCAGGGCGCACAGTGGCCCACTATGGGGAGGGAGTTGCTAAAGAGCCCGTATGTGAGAAAGCTAGTCGAAGACCTAGACCGGGAGCTCCAGAGCCTTCCTTTGCCGGAACGGCCTAGTTGGACACTTGTGGGACAGCTTACCTGCGATGCTTCCGAGTCTCGCGTCGCCGAAGCTGCGTATGCCCAGCCTCTGTCTACCGCGATTCAGATCATCCTATACGACCTCCTCCACAGCGCAGGTGTCACTTTCCAGGCCATCGTCGGCCACTCGTCCGGTGAGGTTGCGGTAGCTTACGCTAAAGGCTATATCACCCGTGTTGAGGCAATCAAGATCGCGTACTACCGGGGTTACTATTCAACCATCTGCACGTCCGATAAGCCAGGAGCCATGATGGCCGCTGGCGCATCTGCAGAGGACGCGAATGAGCTCTGCAACTTGCCCATGTTTGAGGGTCGTACCTTGTGTGTCGCCGCGTACAACTCACCCGCCGGCGTGACGCTTTCGGGTGACAGCGACGCCATCGAGCAGGCGAGGGAGATTCTTCAAGACGAGGGGAAGTTTGCAAGGATCGTGAAAGTTGACAAAGCCTATCACTCGCCGCACATGAAGAAAGTGGCTCCCGGATTTCTCGAGGCTCTCAGGGGTTGCAAAATTCAGCCTCGGCACGCGACGACAGCAGATTTCCCGTGGTTCTCCAGCACCTACAAGGACACGGAGATGCGCGGCGACATGCAAGGTGATCGCGATCTCTCCGGGCCGTACTGGGTCAACAACTTGCTCCGGCCAGTGCTTTTTGCTCAAGCTGTCCAGACTGCCGCTTCTGCACAAGGCCCATTCGACTTCGCTATCGAGGTTGGTCCCCATGCAGCACTGAAAGGACCGGCCCAAGCGACCCTTCGCGAGAGTGGCGATGCCGCGGAAGCGGTGCCATATGCGGGCCTGTTGCATCGTGGAAAAGATGATATCGACGCCTTCTGTGATGCTCTTGGCGCCCTCTGGTCCCGGTTTTCTCCCTCGCCAGTTGACTTCCGGACTGTGGACTCCACTGCATCTGGCACGCATAGCCGGAGCCTCTTGAAAGACCTCCCCACGTACCACTGGGACCATGATCGGTTCTACTGGCACGAGTCTCGCTCGTCCAGAACTCAAGCTAGAGCCAAGAATCCCCCGCATCCACTGCTCGGGGTGCGAACGCCAGACAACTCGGAGGATGAGCTCCGCTGGAGGAACCTACTCAAGCTGAGCGAGATGCCATGGGTCCGGGGTCACCAACTTCAGGGGCAAGCCATCTATCCGGCAACAGCCTACATCGCTACCGCAGTAGAAGCTGCCAGATTCATGGCACCCGACAAGAACATTGCCCTGATTGAGATCCAGGATTTCAGCCTCGGCAAACCCCTCGTCTTTGGAGAGAACGATACTGGCATTGAAACCGTCTTCACGCTGCATGGCATAACCAAGGAAGAAGGTGACAACAGCTACATCGCCTCCTTTTCCTATCACGCATCGTCCAATGTTGAGACGGAACTATTGTCTGCCCATGCGACCGGTAGAGTCCGAGTCACGACGGGCGAAACGCATGCGCACTGGCTACCGTCCCGGAAAGGCGAGCCCCCAAACCTCACCAGTGTCCCAGAGGATCAGTTCTACTCCTTCCTGGAACCCCTTGGCTATAGCTATACCGGTCACTTCCGAGCGCTCTCTTCGATCCAGAGAAAGCTCGACTACTCGTCTTCCGTCATTGCGGTACCTTCACAAGACGACGAGCCGACGCCGATGCTACTCCACCCCGCCATGCTGGACACGGCGCTGCAGGGCATATTCTTGGCCTACTGCTTCCCAGGCGATGGCAGCTTCGACCAGCTACACGTCCCCACCGGAATCAAGAGCTTCCGCGTCAATGTCGGGCTCTGCGAGAAACATCTCGGACCGAACAGCAGCAGCGTGACGTCCTGCGCGCACCTGACGGATAACCCTGTCACCACGAGGCGACTCCGCGGCGATGCCGACATCTACACTCACGAGGGAGCCGGTCTGGTTCAGATGGAGGGCATCCAGGTCGTCGCCTTTGCCGAGCCCACGGCGGATGCAGACAAGAAGATGTTTACCGAGTACAAGTGGGCTCCTCTCAACCCGAACTGCGATCTAGCCATGGGTGGCTACCGAGCCACCGCAGAGGACTACGAGTTCGCCGAGGCTCTTGAGAGGGTCAGTCTCTATTATATGCAGCGCATCACCTCTCTCTTCCCAGAGAGCGTCCGACGGACCATGAACCTCGAGTGGCACTTTGAGTGTGCCTTTGCATTCTACGAAGACGTCATTGCCACCACCAGGGCTGGTACGAGACAATTCGCCCAGAGCAAGTGGGCGGATGACACCGAGGCTGACATCGCAGCTCTAAAGGCCAGGTAAGTCCCGTCGTTTACCTCTCCCTTCCCCCCTTCCATTCTTTAATTTTCTCTTATCCTCTCACTTTTCTCCTTCGCCTGAGATGCTGACTTTTGGGCGTCTCACAGATGGGGACACAGGACAGAGTTGAAGCTCGCCTGCGTCGTAGGCGAGAATCTGCCGGCTGTTCTGAGAGGCGAGGCCACGATTCTCGAGCACATGACCAAGGACGGTCTGCTAGATCGCTTCTACGAAGTCGCCATGGGCATCCGAGAGCTTACCAGCGCCCTCGGCCGGACCGTGAAACAGCTCGTGCATCGGCATCCCCGCATGAAGATTCTCGAGATCGGCGCTGGCACTGGCGGAGCCACCAAAGCCATCATGAGCGAGATCGGCCGCTCGTTCGCCTCGTACACATTCACCGACATCTCTACCGGCTTCTTCGAGACCGCCCAGGAGGTCTTCGACGAACTTGGCAGCAAGATGGTCTTCAAGTTGCTGGACTGTGAGAAGGACATCGTGGCTCAGGGATACGAAGAACACTCGTACGACCTGGTGGTCGCTTCGCTGGTCCTCCACGCCACTGCAGACCTCCGTCGGACCCTGAGCAATGCACGCAGGCTCCTGAAGCCAGGCGGCTACCTGGTCTTCTTGGAAATTCCCAACAACGAAGTGACCCGTGCCGGATTCGTGTTCTCTGCCACACCCGGCTGGTGGCTCGGCCAGGCTGAAGGGAGGAAGCTGTCGCCATGCGTGTCCCCGCTCGAGTGGCACCGGCTGCTCCTCGACAGCGGCTTCTCTGGCGTCGACACGGCCACGCCTGAGGATGACGTCTTCCCATTTACACTTACTGTCATGGTCTCTCAGGCTGTTGACGACCGTGTCTCGTTGCTCCGAGAACCGCTCTCTTCATTCCGCACCCCTCAGGTGGACAGCGAGGTGGACTGGGACCTGGTGATCATCGGTGGGCAGACTCTGGGAACGAGCCAACTCATCGACCAGATCGTTCGACTAGTGCAGCCTTTCGGCGTGAAGAATACCGTCTTCAGGACGCTCGGAGATATGGTGGGCTCTGCCATGACGTCGCCCAACAGCGCGATCCTGTGCCTGACGGAACTGGATGAGCCCGTCTTCCGCGCGCTGTCAGAACGGACACTCAAGGGAATGCAGCGGCTATTCGAGACGCAGGGCGCGATCCTCTGGGCCACGCAGGGAGGCAGGTCTGAGGAACCGTACATGAATATGTCGGTCGGCCTCATCCGGACGGTAATGCTGGAGAACCCAGACCTGGTGGTACAAGTCCTTGATCTAGATACCCGCGCGAAGCCCGACCCGCGACTTCTTCTGGAGTCACTTCTTCGCCTGCGCTACGCCGCTACTTGGGAGAAGGATGGTATCATCGACAAGATGTTGTGGACACAGGAGCAGGAGCTAGCCCTCGAGAATGGGGAGCTTATGGTTTCTCGTGTCTACCATGATACTCCCGCCAACGACCGGTACAACGCATCCAAGCGAACCATACACAAGGCCACCGACCCGCAGACTGTCCCAGTCATTCTCTCGCCCAATTCCTCCAAGCCGATTCTCCTTCATGATAACTTGCTTCAGGATAGGATCACCAGGTTGAGTACTCAAGCCACGGACGAAGACTCGTCATATGTGCTCATCAAGGTCGAACACTCGCTCTTGGTACCAGTGCTTGCAATGCCTCTCCAGCCAACCTACCTAGTCCTAGGCACGAGCATGGCAACAGCCAAGTCCGTGTTCGCTATTGCCCCCAACAACGCCTCGCATGCGTGGATTCCAAGAGAGGATGCGATCGAAGTCCAAGTGCCAGCGGGTAGCGAGCCCCAGTTCCTGTCTCGGCTGGACAATCTGCTGCGTGTCGAGAATGTGCTGTCGGTCTGCCGGAGAGACTCGACACTGCTCATTCATGAGCCGTCTCCGGAGCTGGCGTCTGGCATTGTCACGGCTGCGTCTCTCTTTAATGTGGCCGTATTCTTCACCACTTCATCTGCTCCAGCCACGGATGGCCCATGGATTACATTGGACTCCTACGCTCAAAGCAGAGAGATCCGGTCTTTGCTTCCCCTGGAAGTCGCGGTATTCATCGACGCTTCTAAGCATGCCCACGAGAAGCGACTGGGAGCATTGATCGCCTCCTCTTTGCCCGGCTCGTGCCTTCGGACGACAATCGCGGGAATACAGGCGCTGCAGCACGCTCGGGGCTTCAACATCGCCGATCTACGCCCGATGCTTAACAGCGCGGTGCAGAGGGCATTGAATATCATGGCCCTTTCCAGGGATTCGGACCCCAAGCTGCCGACCATCACACTGGACCAGCTCCTCGGTGGAGCCGACGTCGATGCAACCACACCGGCGATCTTGAACTGGAGCAGCGCCTCTACGGCAAGAGTTCCGGTAGAGATCTCCACCGTCGAGAGCCTCGTCCGCTTCCAGAACGACAAGACATATGTCATGTTTGGGCTTACAAGCGACTTGGCGCAGTCCACCTGCAACTGGATGGCGACGAACGGCGCGCGAAACATCGTGCTTACGAGCCGGAACCCAAAGGTCGACCCGAGGTGGTTAGAACACATGACACAGGCTGGAGTGAGAGTGGAAGTCTTTGCAAGGTGAGTTCTCCAGCCCGAAGCATAATCAACAAAAAGTTATCCGTCTACAGGAGACTAACTGGTTATGTTATAAATCAGTGATATCACCGACAAGGCCGCTCTTTCTGGCCTCGTGGACCACATTCGCCAGAACTTCCCGCCCATTGCGGGTATCGCCCACGGCGCCATGGTCCTCGACGACGTCGCGTTTTCCGAGATGCCGCTCGAGAAGATGACCAAAGTCTTGAGGCCCAAGGTCAACGGAGCTATTTACCTGGACGAGATCTTCCGTGCAGGCCCAGAGACGTTGGACTTCTTTGTCTTCTTCGGCTCGGCTGCGACAATCGCCGGCAACAGAGGACAGGCCGCGTACAGCGCCGCCAACTCGTTCATGACGGCGCTGGCAAGCAAGCGGCGTAGCCAGGGGTTGGCCGCGTCGATTCTTCACATTGGCGCCGTCATGGGTGTGGGATACGTCAACCGCAACAAGATGTTCTTGGAGGCTGTTCACGATGTCCTCCGCAAGGCTGGTTTCCTGGCGTACTCCGAGAGAGAGTTCCACCTTTGCTTTGGCGAGGCAATTCTGGCATCCCATCCGCTCTCTGGGCGGAATCCTGAGGTCATGACCGCGCTGAAGACGTATGGGCTGGAAGATGTCATAATCCGTTGGCCACAGTTCCCCCGGTTCCAGCACTGTATCCAGAGCGATTCAGAAGGTGACAGGAAACCGACCAAGAAAGCGGCCGACGCGTCTGTGAAGATAAGACTGGCTGAGGCCACCTCGGAGGAAGAGATCCACGAGATTGTGCAAGGTGAGCTTCCTGTCCTGGAGACCGCTACAGCGCAGAACTGACATTTGATTATAGACGGCTTTGTCCGCAAGCTGCGAGCCATGCTTCATATTCCGGACGAGAAGGAGGCGTCGCAGATTCTTGGATCGACGATCGACGATCTCGGCGTCGACTCCTTGGTCGCTGTGGACATTCGCTCCTGGTTCCTGAAAGAGCTCGAGATCGAAATCCCCGTATTCAAGATCCTGTCCGGTGGCGTGGTCCGAGAACTACTCGAGCACGCTGTGGCAAGCATGCCCACCCGCGAGATATTTGACCAAAACAGTTCCCAGCCAAAACCCGAAGCAGAGAAGCCCAAGTCAACCCTGCTTGCAGCTCCTGATGTCGCTCCGTCGTTGGGAACCCCACAGCCCAGCGCGGATTCGTCTACGCCAAGTCACTCAGACGACGATCAAGATAAGCAGGAGGCTTCGTCGGCCACCTCTACTTCCGTGGCAGACTCCAGCGAGATTTCCAAACCAAGCTGTGACAAGATTCTGCCGATATCCCCGGGTCAGTCGCGTTTCTGGTTCCAGAAGTACCTGATGCAGGACCAGACAACGGCAAACAGCACCATATGTCTACAGATCAACGGTACCGTCCGGCTCGGCAGTCTTGAGAGTGCTGTACAGAAAGTTGGGGAGCGCCACGAGTCTTTCCGGACCTCGTTCTTCGTGGACGAAAACCAAAAGGCTGTGCAGGCCATCTCGGGAACGTCTCGTCTGCGCCTTGAAACGGTCCGTCATGCGGACGAGTCGCGCGTGGCACTTGAGTTTGAAAACCTCAAGAACCACGTCTTTGATATCGAGCATGGTGACTGCATGCGCATCATCCACCTCAGCCTGACGCCGACTAAGAGTTATCTCCTTGTCGGAGCCCATCACATCATTGTCGATGGCATCAGTCTGGAGATCCTCCTAGACGATCTGGAGAAAGCCTATAACGGCCAAAATCTTGCTGCTGAGCCGGCATACCAGTACTCGACCTATTCTGAGAAGGTGCGCAATGAATTGGCATCGGGCGCCATGCAGCGGGAGATAGAGTACTGGCGCACGGAATTCGCAGATACGCCATCACCTCTCCCTCTGCTCCCCTTCTCAGCGGCAAGGAAACGCACCCCTCTCACGGCGCATGCGCACAATTCTGTGAGCCGGACCATCGGCGCTCAGCTTGAGAGGCAGGTCCAGAAGGCGTGTCGCGAGCGGAAGGCGAACCCATTCCACTTCCATCTGGGCGTACTCGAGGTGCTCCTTTTCAAGCTCTTCGGCAATAGCGATGTCTGCATCGGCATGGCTGACGCCAGCCGCTGGGACGACCGAGTCTCCAGAAGCATTGGCATGTATCTGAACCTGCTCCCGCTCAGGTTCCGTCTGGAAAACCAGCAATCGTTCGACGACGTGCTAAAGCACACACGAAAGAAGGCATATCTTGCAATGTCCAACTCGAGGCTGCCGTTTGATACCCTGCTCGAGAACGTGAGCTGCGAGAGGTCGACGGCCATCAGTCCCCTTTTCCAGGCATTCATCAACTACCGCCAAGGCGTCAGCGAGAAGCGGCGGTTTGATAATGCCGAATTGGAAGTCAAGGAGATGGACCTTCCGAAATCTGGCTATGATATTTCCCTGGATATCATCGAGAATCCCGGCGGCGAAACTCGCGTCACCTTCATTGTGCAGCAGAGTCTGTACTCTAACAGCGATGCCTCTAGGTTGATGGACATGTACTTCACCCTGCTGAACGACCTGTCTCGGTCTTGCCAGCAGCCGCTCCAGCAGGTGTCGTTGTTCTCAAGCCAGGATGTCAGCAATGCAATTCAGCTTGGGAAGGGTAAGTCCGCCCCCCAGCCACATCCAGCCACATATACAGGGCATTATCTGCTCTAGAACATAGGACTATTATATGGTGAAGTATTCACTGTGCTCACTCCGTTCGTTACAGGTCCCATAATGCCTTCAAAATGGCCGGAGACTCTAGTGCACCGTGTCAACGAGATTATCGCCAAGCACCCGAAGGAAATCGCTCTGAAAGACTGTAACGGCAAATCATGGACATACCAACAGCTCGACACACAGGTCGAGAAGGTCTCGTCCGCCCTCATCGGGACGATCGCGAAGCCAGGATCTGTCGTGGCCATCTTCCAGGAGCCATCTCTCTATTTTGTGGCTTCCCTGCTTGCCATCCTACGTGTCGGCGCTGTCGCCGCGCCCCTCGACTGCAATATCCCACCAGCGAGGCTCCGCGCCATGATCGAAGAGTCAAGGTGCTCTACGATACTTGTCAACACCACGACAGCCGCTCATACAGGTGATCTGGGGCTCTCATCTTCTGTCGCCGTTCTGGATGTTCTCCAAGTCCAGGACAAAACGCCAGTCCGCCGTCCTATTTCCGCCCGAGCCGGCGATCCGGCGATCATTCTCTTTACCAGTGGTACCTCTGGAACACCAAAGGGCGTGATCTTATCTCACGGCAGCCTTCGCAATCACGTAGAGGCATTGGTGCACACGCATGGATTTGGATGCGAGACGGTCTTGCAGCAGAGTTCGGTGGGCTTCGACATGTCACTGAACCAGACCTTCATGGCTCTGGCCAATGGGGGCTCTCTCGTCATCGTTCCCGAGGCTCTCCGCAAAGACCCAGTTGCGGTGGCCAAGATGGTTCAGGAAGAGAACATCACATACACCAGCGCAACCCCATCTGAGTATCTCGCCTGGCTCCGACACGGCACAACCAGCCTCTTCCAGAGCACCCATTGGAAATATGCCACAGCCGGCGGTGAGAAGTTCCCAACTGAGCTGCTTCAGGGCTTCCGTCAGCTCTGCGACCGTTTCGGACGTGAGTTTCACTTCATCAACGCCTATGGTCCAACCGAGTGTACATTGTCTTCGAGTGAGCTGGATCTTAGCCCAGGCAACCATCGCGAGGACCCGCACATCCCGGCTGGCAAGACCCTCCCGAACTACGGTGTCTACATCATGGACCAAGATCTCAGCGTCTTGCCTGTCGGGTGGTCCGGGGAAGTCTGCATTGCGGGCGCAGGTGTGGCTGTGGACTATATCAACAATGCCGAGGAGTCGCGAAAGAAATTCCTGACGGACCCTCTGCCGTCGTCATTGGCTATTCAGAACGGATGGACCAGAATGTACCGAACTGGAGATAAGGGCGTCCTCCGTCCGGACGGCACTTTGGAGATTATCGGCCGCATCGAAGGTGACACGCAGATCAAGCTCAGAGGTCTGCGCATCGAACTTCAGGATGTCGAGCAGTCCATCCTAGACGCAGCCAAGGGACGGGTCAAGATGGCGGTGGTCGCTCCTCGTGGAGATCCGGCTCTCCTTATTGCGCATGCGGTGCTGTCGCCCTCCGACGCCTCGGCAGAAGACGAGTCCAGTTTTCTTCGCCAGCTCGCTGCCTCGCTTCCCCTGCCGCAGTATATGCGCCCCGCGGCCATCATTCCCATCTCCTCCATGCCACTGAATGCATCCGGTAAGATTGACAGGAGAGCTCTGCAGAAACTTGCGGCTCCAATCATGGCGCGTGGATCAGAGTCGGCAGGCGAGGAGCTGACAGAGATGGAATCCCAACTGGCTCAGGTCTGGCGGGATACGCTGCCTCGACAGATGCAGGAACTGCATCGCATCGACGCCGCCTCGGACTTCTTCCATGTCGGTGGCAATTCTATGCTGCTCATTGAGCTACGACAGCTCATCAACGAGAGATTCCAAGCCAGTCTCCCACTGATAAAGCTGTTTGAGAACAGCACTCTGGGTGGCATGGCAGCAATGATCCAGGACCTCTCGTCAGGTACCGATGCTGCGATCGACTGGGAGGCTGAAACAGCGATCCCAGATGACCTTCTCCAAGCCCGTACAGCGCAGTTACCGGTAGTGGCGGTGCAAAACCACACATCTCCCAAAACCGTGGTAATCAGTGGCGCAACAGGCCTCCTGGGGAGCTCCCTTCTCCGAATGCTAGTCGAATCCCCCGACGTCGGGAAGGTCCACTGCATCGCCATACGCGACACCAGCAAACTGGCAGAGTTTGGGAGCTCCCCCAAGGTTGTCCTGCACAAAGGAGACCTTTCTCTCCCCCGGTGTGGACTGTCTGAAGCCGAGATGGAGGCGATCTCCTGCTCGGCAGATGCCATCATCCACAACGGCGCCGACGTCTCCTTCCTCAAGACTTACCGCTCCCTCAAGGCTCCCAACCTCTCATCTACCAAAGAGCTCGTGCGGCTCGCGTGCGTCCGCCGCATTCCGTTCCACTTCGTGTCGACCGCCACGGCGGGCAAGTTCAACAAGTCGGACACGCTGGCGCCAGAGTCGCTCGCGCGCTTCCCACCCGACCAAGGCGGAGCCGGGCTCGCTGATGGCTACGCCGCGTCCAAGTGGGCCAGCGAGCTGTTCCTGGAGAAGGCGAGCCGGGAGCTCGGCTTGCCCGTCTTTATTCACCGGCCGTCGGCAATCATGGGCGCGGAGGCGGGCGACGACATCCTTTCCAACGTCCTGGAGTATGGGTCCTTGACCAAATCTCTTCCTGACTCGGGCCGCTGGAACGGCTACGTGGATCTCGTGTCTCTCGAGAACGCTGCCGGAGGTGTTAGTCGTTCGGTTCTATCACCGGGAGTTACCGACGCCCGAGTCGAGTACCTGCACCATGCGGGCGACCAGGTCATCCCCGTGCAGAGCATCCGGGACTTGCTGAACAGCGAGGGCGGTATCGACCTGGAGTCACTGCCCATGCCTCAATGGGTGGACGGTGCCGTGCGGAGTGGCATGAACCCGCTGGTGGGCGAGTTTCTGCGCAACGCGGACGAGAGTGGTGGCCTGCTGATCGGACAGAAACTGTTGCACAAGAGGGACTAGATTCGTTAGGAAAAGATCGGTTTGGACGGAGTCCGGAGTAAAAATGTCTTGTATTTCCTATGGCAGAGGGTATAAAAGATAGATTCCATTACCTTGATATTTTATACATGCAGGAAACATTATGTGTTAGACAGTTAGACTGAGCACAGGGGCTTGTGATCCCGGTATGTTGGCAGAGTCGGGCTTACTGCAGCCACCGCTTATACCGGTACTTGAGGCTAATCTATTGAGATGCGGCAGTTCTCACCTGGTCTTACGATATTTGTAGCTAAGAAACTTGAGTAGTATCACAACAGAGACCTGCACCTACATGACGAACTATGTGATTCAAAGGGGTGTGTTCTTGATAGGTGATGGACACTATTGAGCAAGTCTATTTGCTTTCCATCGTGTATGTAGTCTTCCGATCAATGCCCAAATGCTTGTCTAGAAATTGGAAACTCCTCTGCGCCAACAGGGGCCAGGCTCCTATGCTGGCTGACAATCCGCCGTCTGCTTCCTCCACCGGGACCCAGAGTTCCTTGTTTCGCTCCGGCACCATGGTGAGCAACTTGTGGATCTTGACCGCCCCAGTCTCTGCCGAAGAATACATCTCGCGACCGCCTCCCGGACCTGTGAGAAGCACGGGGCACGTAACCCTGTCTAAGACCTTGCCGTCCTTCTCATTGTCTAGAGAGAAGTCTTTGAATCGCCGCAGCGTGGCGGCGGGCGAGTCGACACCCATGCTGGTCCTGCCCAAGGCCAGCTCCCACCGCGCCTGGAAGCTTGTCCAGCTCTGCAGACTCGCCATCCGGTTGACCATGCCGTCGGTGATCCAGCCACTCTCCCACAGGCTGATGAAGGCCTGCGGGGCACGGGTCATGGCCAGCTCGAACATGCTGAAGAACGGGTCGATGGACACGCAAGCCTTGACTCGGGGGTCGGTGGCGGCGCGGAGGGCAAAGTAACCCCCGGTGACGGCGCCCGCCACGGCAATCTTGTCCAGATCCAGCTGCAGCTCTGGCCGTGACCGAGCCAGATTCTCGAGAAATGCTAGCACCTTGTCCGCGCAGACCTCGAAATCCGGTCGCAGAGGGAGTCCCGACTTCTTCAATAGCAGGCCCTGACCGGGGCCCTCCAGACAAAGGACAGCGTAACCCAGATGCGGGCCCGAGTAACCGAATAAGAAGTACAGCTCCTCCCTTGTCGAGTCGGCTCCTCCAAAGTATAATAGAAGAGGTATCTTTCCGGGTAGCCGTGCCTCCTGGGGAGGAAGATACAGGTACGCAGGCATGCTGATGCCATTCTCGTACGGGATATCCACCAATAGTACCACGCCATCCATAAAGGACGTCGCGCGCACAAAGGCAGCTACTGATCTCTCGGACATGGGCACGACTCTTGGGTCGTCATTGAAGAACAGATAGGACGCGGCCCGGTAATAATTTGCCGCACGAAGGTATCCGTTCTTCGCCATCGCCTTCAAACCATCCCTGGCGGCGTCCTCAGCGATCTCCTCGGCCCGCTCTCCCTGTTCTCTCCAGGCATGGTACCATGACTCAGCATCGTTATTCTTGATCTTTCCCACGGCGGTCAGGAACTCGCAGACATCGCAGCCACCGGCCGGCGTGCTGCCGAGGAGCCGGGTCAGCTCGAAATCGAACATAAACGAGTTGAAGAATTTGAACATGATGATGGTCGCCGGATCAATGCCCACGATGCTCGAGGATCGTTACTTTGTGATTCTAACTTGTGTAGGGGAAGTGAGTTAGTGGCCTATGTGTTTTGCTCAACTTCCTAGAGCAAGGATCAAGAATGTCCCGCACTGGTTGCCCGTCCGTAATTCGGGGTGCATTGACCGATACTGTGCCCCAGGCGAAGCAACTTGTGAGTATCGAATCGATCACGTACCGAGTCGATGCGATCGAACTGTCACTCCAGCGATTATGTCCCGATTCGGTCCCGAGTTCGCCGTACGTGGGTTGCAGAGTCGGATGCACTGTAAGCGCCTGTTGCGTGAGACCGAACTCGGGACTTTTTAGCCGGCATCTCTCCATCTCTAGTGAAGCTCTTCAGTTTGTTTTCCAGATTCTGAGCAGGTTGGGTTTTCTTTCTTCGAGTCTATTCTAGTCCTGTCTGGCTGTTATTAGAATTCTTCTTTCTCACCCATCGCGCCGGGTCGGTCTGAGTCCACAGACTAGATACCAACCTTGTGCTTTACATTGTCCCATAGACTTGGATCGATTCGGACCCACTACAAGATGGCTGCCCCTTCAGAGGTTTCGATGCAAAATCTTACGGGCTATTGGACTTTGGTAACATGCTCTAACCGCCAATACAGGCTTTTCTCCCAGCTCTTTGACAGGCAGTAACAGTTTACTTAGAGCAAACCTCTTTCCGGTGCTTTTGACCCAGTTTTCGCCATCCAGGGCATCCCGTGGGTTCTTCGCAAGGTCATCAGCCTGGCCACGTTGTCGTTGAAGGCCAGCCACGAGGTTGACGAGTCCGGAGCAAAGGCTTTGGTTCTCACCCAGATTGTGTCCGTTGCCATTGCCGGGCTCAGCGAGGAGAAGGAAGTCCGCGTGTTGGATGGGCGAGAGAAGTTCCACTCTTCGGCCTTATTCGGTACCTCCTCTGCCCAGTCCCGCATGATAAGCCTATCGACGGCTACCGGTCACGACGGGAAGCCCTTTGATCCGTTGTTGATCCAAGACTTTGTGAACGAAGGAGAATCCGGGGAGGAGAACCTCTTGTATGATTTAATCATCCATCAGACCAACGGCTGGGTCATGGAGCAGATCTGGGGGTTTGGTATGGTGAATAATGAGAGGCGGCTTATAAGGACACTGGGCATCAAGAAAGGTGACAAGGTAGCCTATACTCGAGCCATTTATGATTGGATGGGAGAGGACGGAAAGGATGGGAAATAGAAGGATTTCGCTTTTCAAAGACCGTACACTCTTGGCAACTATTGACCAGCGTACTTAGTATGGTTAATCCTAGAGACTTGACCCATCTATCTCGGTTACCACAGTCCATGGCTCCTTATTATTCGCAAAGTTTATCCAAGGATGTATAGATCACTCAACGCAGAAGCAAAGAGCACCACCCCAGACGGCAGAGTCTCGACAAGATCCAATACTGCAGCAGAAGAGACAACAACGTCACATTTAAAGACTCTTGATCTATACCTTTGTGCCACCCAAGAGATGAAAATGCCCATATTCTTAGTGACAACTCTTCATCGGTCGCGGTGCTCACCCCCGCTACCACGAGCATCTCTCCTCTATGTTACCAGAACAAGTAGCTGACAAGATCCATAGCATAGTCTTTGCCGGTGCCCAAGAACCCGACGCCATATAACAACCAGACGGCCCACTGGGGCACGTATGCAGGAAACGCAGCCTGCTCCGTCAGGCCGCGACCCTCGTACTGATGGTCGGCGCCCACCTCGCCGCCAAAGACGCGGTTGGCAAAGTCGCTCATGCCGAGCCCGCCGCCGACACCCAGCTCGTACTGCTTCATGATGTGCTGCAGCTCGAAGCGCCATATCTTGCCTCGGCCCGGGGAGCCAAACTCCAGGAAGTGGCCCGTGTTCTTGTCGTCGAAACTGCCCGCAATCTCGCCGTCGTAGTTGTGCGTGATGCGGACGTAGTCGTCGGCGGCTGCGCCTGACGTGTTGCCCACGCGCGTGCCGACTAGAAGCTCGTCGTTGTAGAATAGGTGGCCCGAGACGAACGTCTTGCCCGTGTCCGCACCCACGCGGGAGACCACCTCCCAGTAGGTGAAGGTGTAGGGGCCCGCCCAGGCCCGGATAGCTATCCAGCTCTCGCTGAGGCCGAGCCACCCTTGCTGGGCCCAGAGGCGGGTTGAGCCACCCCTGCCGCTGAAGGACAGCTTTTTGCCCGAACCCAACATGGCATCCACCTCCATCTCGCCGCCAGCTACCGGCACGCTGTAGTAGAAGTCGGGGGAGATCTGGGCCGCGTCGGCGGCACTGTTGCCGCCCTCCGGGGGGAAGGCTGAGCCGTCGGCGTGGTGGGGAGGTGTGGTGGACGACAGCTTATAGGTGCCGCGGATCCTCGGTGAGTCGAACTCAAGCTTTGTATACTTCAGGTCCTTGGAAGTATAGAACGAGTACGATTTACCGGAGCTATTCCAGATGCCGACAGTATAACCCGGACAGTCGATGACGGCAGACTCCTTGACATAGTCGAGCTCTTGAATGCGCGAGCCGTCTGGTAGAGTCATGAAGAGCTCCACTCGCAAATTCCCCTTGCCGAAGAAGTAGTACGAGTAGTCCCGGGAGAAGAGGGCCATGATGAATGACAGGCCAGAGTGGGAAAGCCCGTCGAACTCCCACTGCTCCCAGTTGGTCTTGTTGATCGCGGGCGTGATCTTGACCGAGTTGATGGGCTCAGAGGGCTCTGTAGAGAAGGTATTGGGGCCGTCGAGCACTTCGAAGGCCGTGCTCCGGCTGATCGTACACGACTCATCGTCCCATCTCGTCGTAAAGTCGTAATCGGTGGGGATCTTCGAGGCGCCGAGGGGAACCTGATACAGGTTCGCAGCAGCAAAGGCAGCCAAGAGCGCCGCCGCTAAGGCAAGCGTTTTGGATATGGTTCCGCCAAACAGTCTCGACATGGTTCCGGACGGGTTTGAGTTACCAGTCATTGTCCAGACGACTGATCAGAGAACTAGAAAACTTGCTTCCGATTCTTTATACAGTACAAAACTCGAAATGCCATGTATTTCACTCCTCTACCGGGGTCGGTTACAGAAAGTCCCGACGTCTCCCGCGAAGCACCGAGCTCAAGGGGAAAGTCCCGATTGCAACGCCTTTCAAGCCCCGAATTCGCAAAATCAGCAATTGCCACTCTGAGACCATATACGCCGATATGACAGAGAGAGGCGTGGCAAGCTTTCTAGGGGAATCAAAAGTAGAGAGCAGGAGCTTGGCTACGGTACAAATCCAAAGATTGTTGTCAATGTAAGGAGTGTGTCCTCTTGCCGAGCATCACTAGACCATGGCGACAGCGACTCTCCCAATGCTTCCGCCGTCGCGGCAGGCCATAGTGCAGTCGGCCAAAAGCCCCGGGACGTTTGAGCTATGCTCCAACCTACCCATGCCGGACGTGCCGCCCGACCATGTTCTCATCAAGGTGAATGCAGTGGCAGTGAACCACTGCGACTACAAGATGCCGGCCAGGGTGCCGTGTCCCGGCGCGGTTGACGGTTCTGACTTCTCCGGCGTCGTGGTGCGCCTCGGCGAGTCCGTGGCTCGCACGCCCGGCGGCCTGCGGATCGGCGATCGCGTTGCCGGGGCCCAGATGGGAAACCAGCGCCGCCGGCCCTGGTCGGGCGCCTTTGCCGAATACATTTCCGAGAAGGCCGACAACATCTGGCGCGTGCCCGAGCGCCTCTCCTGGGAACAAGCGGCCTCGATCGGCTGCGCCGTGACCACCAGCGTGGGCATGGCGCTCTGGTGGGTGATGAAGCTGCGCGGGACGCCCGAGAAACCAACCCCTGATCCCAAGTTCATTCTTGTCTACGGGGGTTCTACTGCCAGCGGCACTTTTGCCATCCAACTGCTGAAGCTGTGAGTCCTCCGTTTCCATTTCTACATACCACGAGTGGCATGATGATTGATCTAGTGCGTTCCCGCTCAGCTCGGGCTACCGCGTCGTAACAACCTGCTCTCCCAAGAACTTCCAGCTGGTGGAGGAGTACGGTGCGGAGAAGGCCTTTGATTACCACTCGCCGACGTGCGGGGAGGACATACGGGCATACACCAAGAACTCGCTGGAATACGCGCTGGACATCATCACGGAGGCGCGGACCATCCGCCAGTGCTACGCGGCCATTGGCCGTGGTGGCGGCAGATACATTGGCTTTGAGCTCCTGCCGGAGGACCTGATGGCCACGATGCGGAAGACGGTCAAGCCGACATGGGTGCTGGGGCTGGAGGTAGTCGGGGAGGAGTTGGACCTCCCCGGAGGGTATTATCGCAAGGAGAACCCTGAACTGCATGCCTGGATTCATGTGTGGATCAAGGAGTTTGTCGCCTTGTATGAGGCCGGGAAGCTAAAGCCACATCCCATGCAGGTGAATCCGGGTGGACTGCCAAAAGTGATGGATGGCATCGGGTCTTTGCAGCGCAAGGAGGTCTCAGCCCAGAAGCTGGTGTACCCGCTGTATGATTCGACACAAAGCACAGCAGCATAGAGTAGTCTACATGGCAGCATAAGTTTATCATACCTGTTTTAGTCCGGCAGTGGAATGTTAACATAATTGACTGGCTCGACTCGAGTTTAGAGCAGTGCAAAATCTGGCAGTATTAGGTCAAATTGCTGCTAACCGATGCAGGAGAGTCGACTGAGAGATGTTTTGAGTTTGCTTACGTCGGGGGTTTATTGGTGAGATGTAAGAGCGGCTCGTTATTTTCGCTGATTGGCTGCGTGGCGCCAAAACCCTCCGAGGAAGGTTTTCTGTGTGTCTGAGCTGCGCACCAACAAAGAACCATCATGAGCTGTTCATCGACACACCAGATCCAAGTGCCGCAGTATCGGTCTGGTCACTACGAAGTCGCCTTCTCCTATCTCCATCCCTGGACAGGACGCCAATATGCTCAAGACGGCGGTCAAGCGCTCTGCCTGCGACCAGTGCAGAGCGAAGCGAATACGGTGCCTCCGCGCCGAGAACAGCACGGCCGCGTGCGCCCGCTGCTCCCACATCGGTGCGCGATGCGTGACAGGCGCGCCTGGTCATCCCGGGAGACCGCCCAAGCGGCGCCTCGTCGATGACAACGGCACGCCCAGAGGCAGCCCCGCGGCGAGCCCGGCCGACGTCTCCTCGCCCGGCACGGGGCGGCGGCACCGCGCGTCGGCTTTGCGAGACATGAACCATGTCGAGGCCTATGCCCCTGCGATGGTAGCGGATCCCGCACCGTTCGGCGGCACGACTGCAAGAGCGTCGCGGTGCAAGGTAGACATGCCCGCGCCGTGGGACGGGCGGCTAGACGGCATCGCGGGATCGGACCTCGCAGGTTCCAAGTCCGCCGTACATCCACAGCCGCCATTACCTCACGGTGGACCCCAGCCGAACTTCTGGGGAGCGCCAGGCGACGGCCCTGCTTTCTTTGACTCCCCCTCGACCGAGGATAGCCTTGCGTCCGGTGAGGATATCCTCGCCATGGTGGATCAGCTCAGCACTCCACCGCAACTTCAGGGACTACTCGGTACAAACGATGAACTCGACGCGATGCTCCATATGGACCAAGACTCTGGCGGCACCGGTCTCAACATGGATATTATTGATCCTCTTCTGGGGCCATGGGACAGGGCCGTTCTTCCCTCGAGTCCCCCACCACAATCCCCAAGCCCAGCAAGCTCGCTGATGCGGTTCCGAGAGGAGATGGAGCAACGCAATGCCGTGGTGGACGCATACTTCTCAGACCCCCTCAAAGTCGTGCAGGGCTGCAAAGAGGAGGGTGCGGGTGAGGAGGGGGCCGAGAATCCAGCTGCGTTACTCCTTACGTGCAGCAAAGAGTTCATCGACATCATCCAGAGCCTGACGCCGGTGGCGGCGCCGGGCCAGATGCACATGCAGAGCGAGGATGCGCTCAGCACAGAGATCGTGCTCCTCGCTCTGTCGAGCTACCTTGCATTGATAAGACTCTTCGACTCGCTGTTCTACACCATCTACAAGCTCATCTGCGAGATGCCGCCAGACTCGTTCAAGTCGGTCAAGGTCAAGTCGGTGCTCCGCATTGGAGGCATCTCCTCGCTTCAGGACATGCCGCTCAAGACGTATGCCACAGGCATCCTCGATGCCATCCAGGGCCAGATGCGGACCCTGGAGCGCTGCATGGGGATTCCGACCGAGTGCTGTCTCTCAGGCGAGGCGACTGCACCGCCGACGCAGGGGATATTCTCCCGTGCAGATCGAGCGCAGCTGTTTTGGGCGGTTATGTCACAGGAGGATGTCAAGTCACGGCGGGGAGGCAAGTCGTACGCAGAGTCGATACGGGCCAGTATCCAGGGTTCAATGAGGTTTCTCGAGGACTAGATAGACCCTTTTAAAAATATCTCTGACAAATACATGCTATGGTAACATGTCCAGAAGCAAGAGAGAGACTTCATGAATTGAACTTGCTCCTACTGCACACTATCCCTTTTGATTTGGAAAAGAGCCACTGCGTTTCTGAGAGCAACACTACGACGATGCCTTTCGGCCCTCCTCCTCGGTAGGCTTGTCCTCCTTCTCCGCCATGCCAAACTCGGTGTCGTTCTCCTTTCTGAGCGCTATCTGCTTCATCACGGCCGCAGCGATGAACCCGGCCGCGCCGAAGCCGATGGCAACCTGCCAGGACCGCTCGAGAGCGGTGCTCTGCACAGCGATCACCTCGGCCCGCGTCCGCGACGAGAGCGACTCGAGAAAGTGATGCTCGGCCGCCGCGTACGCCCCGCCGTGCCTGAAGCGGTCGGCCACGCCCGCGTCGCTGCTGATGGCGCCCGAGCCGGCCAGCTGCGAGGCGCGGTTGCTGTAGACGGTGCCGGCGATGGCGACGCCCCACATGACGCCGAAGCTGCGCATGAAGGCCCACGCGCTCGTCGCCAGCGCCGTGTCCTTGTCCGTCAGCGGGGCGAGGAGGGCCGGGAGCAGGGCCGCCAGGGCGAGGCCCGCGCCGAAGGATTCGACGACCTGGAAGCCCGCCCAGGCGCCGGTGCTCGAGTTCTCGTCCAGGATCGAGAAGAGGCCGAAGCCGACGGTGATCAGCGCGAAGGAGGCGGCGAGGATGGGCTTGTAGCGGCCGAACTTGCTGAGCAGCACGCCGCCGAGGATGGCAGCTGGGAGGAGCGCGAGGATGGTCGGGAGGAGCATGATACCAGATCGGTAAGGGGTGGCGTCGAGAACGCCCTGGAAGTAGACCGGGAGGAAGAAGTAGGCCCACATGGTGACGACGCCGTGAAGAAAGGTGAGGAGGAAGACAATGGCAGTGATGGAATGGCCAAAGAGGTGGAGCGGCATGATGGGGTTTGGCGTGATGCGCGAGTTGCCCTGGAGCACGATGAAGACTCCCATCGCGGCCAGGCCGACGATGAGCGGCACGAGTACGTGCCAAGAAGACCACGGGTATTTGCCGCCCGCCCAGCTGAGGGCAATCAGCACCGGGGTGGTGCCGCCGATGAAGACGGCGTTGCCTAGCCAGTCGAGGCTCGACAGCTTGGTGGCCAACGTCTTCGACTTGTCATACTTGACGTGCAAGAAGGCATACAGCAGCACCAGCGAGAGACCGCCAATGGGAAGACTGAGGTAAAAGGCCCAGCGCCAGGTGCTGTAGGTGACGAAGAGTCCGCCAAAAAGGGGGCCGAGAGCGGCTCCCAAACCGACCATGCCAAGCACCATGCCCAAGTAGGTGCCTCTCTCGCGGAGCGGCACCAGGTCGCAGATGATCATCTCGCAAAGGACGCCGATGCCCGAACCTCCAACCCCCTGGACCGCTCGGCCACCGATCATGGCGGCCATGTTTTTAGCTCTGTGTATTTGCCCATCTCGTCAGCAAAGCACTCTGAGAAAGAATGAGTAAAACAGGAACTCACCCGCCACAGACACCGCTCCCAATCATGAAGAAGGCCACAGATATGATCATAGGCCACCGGCGGCCAAATACGTTTGCCAGCTGACCAAACATGGGCAGAAGCGCAGTCCTGCACGAGTTAGGACCCAGAACTGGCTCAATGCCTAGGTGACTGGAGAGGTGGGTACTGGAGACTTACATGGTCAAGAAGTAGGCGTTAGAAATCCAGATGTAATCTTCGCCTCCGACCAAATCGGCCACGATGGATGGCATGACGGTCGAAGTAACCGTGGCTTCCAAGGACGTGAGGAGGCTGGCGAGGGCGAGGACGAACAGGATGGCAAAGAACCTGGGGCCCTTCTTGAACTGTGGCGGGCTCTTTTCCGTGGGCGCATCCGGGGCATCGACCGAAGAAGCCTCTTTAGACTCCGGGGCCGAAACAGCTGCATCTCGCTGTGTCGCCATTGCGTCAGACAAGACTAGTCGTGGCAGTTTTAGCTGTCACTGTTATTCTGGGAGGGTAGATGAAATGTCGGGAGTAAGCGAGGTAAGAAATAAAAGGAGGCACGCGATCGACTATCATGAGTTCCTTCTTGCCAAAAGAATTATGCGAACGTAGATGCGGACGACTTCTTACAACAAACTACCTTCTCATCTTTGATCCCGTGCGACGATTAGCAGCTAAGCAACTACCTTTGTGGTCATTTAAATGCCGAATGAATGCGGCACAGTACGTCCGCGGAGGGTTTTGCTGCACCTCGCAGGGTTTTCCCCTTTGCGCAGCTGAGCTGACGAGCTCTTTGTCACTCATGAATGAGCTCGGCGCGCACTAGCTAGGCCGTATCACAAATATTCAATCCTTTCGGTCAGACTCTTTGGCCATCTTCTTTTACCATTTCCCTTCGTCTATCTCGTCCTTGTCGTCCCTCTCATCCTTCTCATCCGTCTGATCCTTCATATCCTTCTTGTCCTTCTCATCCTCCTCGTCCTCCTCATCCTTCTCGTCCTTAGGTAGTGGGATAACCCATATACTACCTAACCTTGGGGATAGCAGTTGGCAAGTGTAATAGGTTTTGATTATTGAACTTAGGCAGTGGGATAACCCATGCAAGCCAGACCCATCGATGCTCTTCTTCTCATAATCTCTGACTGTACATGTTCCCATGCAGCGGAGGGATCTAGCGTACCATTTTCCACTCTTCACTTCGAAGAGGGGTGTCACCTCCTCACGTATGAACCCTGGATCACGACATTCACTGCAGATCATCATGATCTTTGATGGATCCCCGGGTATACGACGCCGTCGCTTTTCTTTGTTGCCAATCGAGTTGAAAACACTGGTGGCCAACGTAGAATATTGATCAGCTTGATGCGTGATATACGCTTGTTCGTTCCCCAATCGGCATATTCCCTTCATGTGGGCCAGCGCCATCTCACGTAGCTCGGGGTCGGACGAGAGAAACAGACTATTGAAGCCCCTTTCTGAGGCAGACAGGTCGCCTTGGCGAGCTTGGAATAACGGAAGCGCCACGTTGAGGCCAGTATGAGGTAGAGCGACTCGGTGACCTGTCTCGGTGACCTGTCTCGGCCAACCAGGTTCGTAGAGCGTCTTCCTGGAGTGTTTGAAAGGCCAGGCAGTAGAACATCTCGACCAACGAGATCCAGTTGGTTTGATCGTCTTTGTCTTCGTCGCAGTCTGACAATTTTTTGAGGACCACCCAACGGCATTCACGCCCCAGTGATGACTTGTCCTAAACATGGTAGAATGCCTTGGTTTGGTTGACTTTCCTCTCCTGATTATGTTTGTTCAGGCGATCTCGAATCGATATCTGTGCTTGCCCAACATATCTCTTGAAGAAGTTAACATCGACAGACGAGAAGACTTCTCCCATGTACCAGCCTGGATATCGTGCGTTGACCATGGTTCTCGTTCGTGCGATCGTGCTGAATGCAGCTCGATCGGTCCATCACATAGCTTTCTTTACAAAGTCTGTCCCACATGGTGTCGGGGTTGTTGCGTTGAAAGTATTCAGCGTATCTTTGTCCAGTAACATTTTAAAGCCCGGTGGTCTTCAATACCATCTTTCGGAAGAGTCGCAACCACCGACAGCCAACCACAGTGCTGAGTTGATGTTGGTACTCTGGTAAACATGTCTTTAAGGACTCCATAGTGTAGGAAGAACGAGGCTCTGACAGGCCTGAACTGTGGTGCTGCAATATGGAGAATCTCATCGTTCGCTGCTTGTCGTTCTTGATCATCCTCATAGTTGAGGGCGGAGGCGTCAACGTGTCCCGTACTAAGTGTAGTTGGACCAGTGCCTTCCTGTGGCAGCCGCTCGAACTCCTCGAGCAAAAGGCCCAGAAGAAAAAAAGGCGAAATGAAGTTGTCATCGTACCACTCGTGAGAAGGGTAGGCTAAGGTGATCAGTAAATGATCACCAGATCGGTGGTGATTGATTTGGCCACACTTACTCTGGCCCTTGGCCACACAGTGGTCACAGGAAATCCTTAAGCTGTGCGGCGCAGGTACGCATCGCCTCGAGGTCAAACTGTATCTCGTCGAGTTCTTGAAGGAGAGGGGATTCGCCCAGATCCGTAGAACGGAATGGTCGCAGGGTCGACTTTTATCAAGTTCCTGTGAGCTTTCGTATCCGGTGTGACTCAGCTGTTTTCTCGAGATTGGCTGGTGATTTGCGAGGCCAAGGTGCCTTCTTCGACCAGCGCTGGAGAAGCCTATGAGTTGGGGCTGAGTCGAAAGTGAGGTTGTTGGTGATGTGATGATGAGGTAGACAGCAGGTGGGCGGTCCCTCAGCACCGGAAGTTGCGTTGAGACCACTAGAATTTTGCGCTTCTAGTTGTTCTTTTGGTGGGGAAAGAGAGACTTGGTAAGGATATCCGAAAGACTATCCTCCTTCCAATTGATATACGTCATCACATTATGGGTTGGATCCCATCAGGCCGTTTTGCAAGGTGGCTGGTTGTTTCAGAGGGCAGTGAGCCTTTTGGTGCTGGAATCACTGTCCCTTGGTTTGCTGCAGGACTTGCCATATTTGTCTTGACCTCAGCTACCATGAATCGACAACAGCAGATGATCTCCCCCAGGATGGCGTGAGAATGGCTTCAGCCCTTGATAGCATAACACTTGTCGAACTGGCCTTGACCTACACTGTCTGATTCAGCAGTGCGGAATGTACATGTATCCTCTCCGGGGTCGAATCTGGTATCGAGACCAATTGTCTCAAACCAGTACTGTTTTCTAACGGAAATAGAGATATATACATTGAGCTACTCTTGTATTACCACAGCTGTGACCTCGAATGTGGAGAGATGGAGCGTGAGAGCGAAGAAAGGAATAGCGAGGAAAGGGTCGAGGAGTGGCACCGTATTTCAATTCTTCAAAGAAAATCAGAAAGAAGGAAAATTAGAAAGGAGAAGAAAAAAGTACAACAATGAGAGAAGATACAAACATACAAGTTCACATTACCCAGTCCCGAATCCACACAACAAAAGCAGAGCAAGATTTGCACACACACACACACAGACACTCCCAGCCATTCCCGGAAATCTAGGCTGGATAGTACGAAATTATGGAGTTGGTTCTCATCGGGTGAGATGGCCGAGTTGGTTATGGCGTAGGATTAAGGATGTCCTTTAATCCACTTCCTATGGAGCAATCCGCGTGGGTTCGAATCCCACTCTCATCAAGATTTTTTTTTTCCCAATCAGAACGATTTTTTCCCCTAGTCTTTCTCCTTGGATATACAGATGCCTCTAGCTGTATTGCAGCGCAATAGCGCTGTCACAACTAAGATAGTGGGTGCACTTTATGATAGGTCTTTGGTTTAATAGTAGTTGATTCTTCCAAGTCTCTCTAATATGGAGTAGAGAGCGCTGAGTGTATGCTACCTGTTAGTAGATGTGTGACAGCTGTCATCAACTGCCAGCAGTGCTTTACAGTGCGCTACAGCGCCTAAAGGCGCCCAACAATTGCCTACCCACCACAAAAGATCGATCACTGTCCTCAGTGATCTAAGGTAGCTACCTAGTCATATTTCCTCTCCGTCTCGTGCCAGAATTCTCGTGCCAGTTTAACTCTCTTCTTCTTCTTGTGCCAGACGCAAAAACAAACAAACAAATAGAGCAAGGCATCCTTCAGATCTCGTCATCCTCCTTGTTCTCGTCTCCAGCTGCATCTCCACCAAGCTGCTGTTGTCGCCTGGTCGTGATGATTGACTTGGTGTCGGCCTTCTTCTTTCCTTTTGGCTGCTTCTTGACAGGTGGCTTGTTCACCTTCACGACCTGTTGGGCTTTGACAGGATCTCCAATTGCAGGTAGGTCGTCAGTCTTCGCTGGGCCATTGTCGGCCGGTTTGGGTGCGGGAGCCGGCTCTTCAATCTCTTGAAAAACCGCGGGAATAGTCTTTGTCGGCAGTGGGGGTCCCGCACTCCTCTTCTGGTACTGTTGTTCCTCTTCTTCGACTTCGATTTCATCGTCGTCGGTGCTGCCTCCATTCTCGTCGTCGTTGTCATCCTCATCGCCTTCTTCCTGCTCTTCCTGCTGGCTTTCTTCCTCGAACTCCCGTTCCAATAGGTTCCGCAGGCTCTCTAGTTCCAGAAACACTGGGTTTATGTCTGTAAGAGGAGTGTCGGGGAAGGTTGGCACGACCATGATTGCGCCTGTATTGAGGGGCATCTTAGAAGACTGGCTGGGAGTGTGGTAAGATTCGTAAGGCCGGACAGGGTGAGCAGGAGGCAGGTGCGAGGAGAGGTGTTGCATGGAGGAGAGGGCAGGCTTGGTGAGAATATTCTCTTCAAGTCGGCGAGGTGAAGTGCGTTGTCTGGTCAGAGGGAGGGGCTGGTAGTGGCTTGGAGAGAATACTACTTTGAGGTTGGCGATACAAGATGCAGAAGCAGATGGGTGTTGGGGAGGGGGAGAAAGGGAGATGGGAGCTGTGCGGTGTTTCTTTTTTATATAGTCTGTCGTGGGCGCGTCAGGGGCTGATCTGATGGCTTTACTGATTTGCAGACTTGGGTCTTGGATGAAGGTGATCGAGGGGGCGGTGGAATAAATGCCGACTTGGAGCAGGTGGGAATGCCACGGTTGGCTTTTGGCGGAGGTCTTTGATGTTCTCCGCACCATTTTTGACGAATGTGTCTTCTTCACCGTCAGACATCTGGCCGTAGAATTGCAACATGGCCTCATTGTCAACAAGCCCCTCCTCCAGCTGGGGATCTCCCTGGTATTCCGGCACAACAATCCCCGTCTCCGTCAAGAGATTGCCCTTGAGCATGCGCGTTGCCGGTGTGCAGCGCTTTGGGTTGGCGAACAGTCGCCGTTCGTCCACAAACGCCTGCCAGTGATGGGACACAAGCACCTTTGTCGTGCCATGGATCATCGTCAGCCTGTCCGCCCATTCCATCGTGTCTTGCATTGTCAGATGTGGGCTGGCGAGGGCCGATCCCGCCCATATGAGGAATTTCTCCGTTAACCATCCGCGAAAGTTATAGAAGGTCACCAGTCGGGTTGTATCGATCCGACGTCGGAATTGTTTGTTGTGCTCGAATGTATTTCCAGCAATACCCTTGACCGAGATCCAAAGTTCAACAGCATGTCCGACCTCTCTTGTGGCGTAACCACGCACGGCTGACTGTTTCCAATCCGGCTTGTCGAACATGTTGCGGGCATAATGGATGTCTACGAACAGCTTCGGACACTTGACTCCTGGGTAGCCAATAATGATATCCTTTGTGGTCCACAGCTTTCCTTGAATGGGGAAGGTGAACGTCGGAAATGGTTGTCCTGTTGGCCACAGCAAAGCGTCATCGTCGCCTGCCTGGTCAATAGGGATGCGCTCATCAGAGCTCTCCAACCACTGAGGAAAAATGCGCTCAGACAGGTATGCCACCATGTTGTCTGCACACTTTTTGACAGCACGCTGTAAGGTGGTCTGTTTGTCCTGTGTTTCCTCAACTTCATCCGACTCTTGTGATGACTCTTGGGCAGGGGCTGAAGTCGTCTGCTTCTGGAGCTCGGTTTCCTTCTGGTCTCGTGCGCGTTGGAGGGCCATCTGCAGTGCCTGGTTGTGTCTAAATCCGTCTTGAAGGAGCTTTTGGTAGTAGGGAAAATCAACACCAAGCTGCACGATGAACCACAATAACAAGATAACAAGGCTCCAGAAAAGTACTTGACGAGTTATCTGGGCTTTTGGTCGAAGAATTAGCCCTTCCAAACTATAAACTGGTTTGAACAAGTCGTACTGAAGTGTCATGAATTGAAATAGTTTTGGCTTGCATGATGATACATCGCTCCATAATTCTTCACCCTTGACTTGATTTTATAGAAAGTAGTTCGAATCTCAAATGCTTTCCTTGACCCGCCATACTTCCGATGTTTATCCCGATAGCACTATGAGGCTTGTTTGGTGTGGCTCCAGTACCGCTGAGCACCGGCAAGGGTGCGGTCTTTTTACCGTAGTTGTCCTTTTCGACTTGGACAGTGCAATGACCTATATACTGTCTGGGAGTCGAAGTATATTCAACCTGTCTAACTTAGGTAGGGGGAGAATCCCGTCAGAGCTAGAATTCTCGATGCCAAAATGATAGTCCCCTCAACAGGTATATTCCCCGGCAATGGAGGGGTCTCACGACTCCGAAGAGAGGCGTAACATCCTCATGTCCAGACCTCGAATGCCGATATTCAGAGGGATCATCATAATTCTGGCCGAGTCTCCAGTATACGAGGTCATCGCTTTTCTTTGTTCTCAACCGAGTTGAAAACCCTTGTGGCTAATGTGGACTATTAATCGGCTTGATGTGTCATATGCTCTGCTCCTGTTCGTTTCCCATTCAAATAGGCCGTTACCCCAATTCTGACGGGTCCAAGTCGCCTTGACGAGCTTCATAGATCAGTAGTGACACATGGACCCCAACATGTGTTCTCTGTAGTACCTGTTGCATGTTGAGTCAGACTGGATCGCATCCGCAACAGTGTCATCTTACCTGGCAACAGATAGCTCCGTACCGCACACAAGCCGAACACATGACAGGACGATTGTCCATGTTATCAGCATATAATTAAAGGAGGAAGAAAAAGGGGTTAACACGTGCCAGTACTCACCGGTACACCTCTGGCAATAAAAGTTCTTGTCTTGATGCCTCGCCATCTTGTCGGTGCATTGAAGACAAAGTCAACTGCATCGTCCCTGCACATCGTGGCATTAGCCGATAGAGCGACTTCTACAGGTGTATGTATGGCTGTACAAGGTGTCACTGATCTTTTAGGAATAAAGGTGCTGCTATCTGAAGTGTCTAGAGTAGGTAATGTACTTAATTGCAGTGCTTTACAAAGAGTGCCACTCGCTCCTTCCTTTCCTGGTGCAAACCAGCCATGACCAACATAAATGATTTCTACACTTACTAATCTATCATGCCGTATGATCAGTGTACGCAACCCCTCCAGACAGACATAAACAGGGATTGAAGTCATCTGGTCTTTGGATTGGCAGCATTCATCATTGATCGTTGATAACCTACACTGATACCCGCTGTTTGACGCCTTTGGTCGTATCATACACCACAGTCCTGTGACTATGGCCAACATTGAAGAACGACCGATGTTGTAGCTGAACGTTGACGAACCAGGCTTGACAGACATGGACATAGATGTCTTGCAGCCGACAACCTCTGTGATGGTTGAGATGTTTCAGAATGCAAAGGAGCACTATTTAAAGGCATGGAATGTCTTTATTGATATTGTTCTGGATATTCTCTTCTTCCTGGCTGTGTGTCCACCCCATTTAATGCAGGTGACGCCGACCAACAAGCAGTGATTGATGAGATTCTCTATATTACAGCACTGCAGTTTAAGCCTGTCAGAGCCTTGTTCTTCCTATACTATAAAGCCCTTTGAGATATATTTTATGTTGTCTATATTAAAGAGAATTAAGCGATATCAGAGTACTAATATTAACTTAATACTATAGTTGGCTGTCAGTGGTTGTGACTCTTCTGAAAGATGATATTAAAGACCGTCAGACTTCAAAACATTACTGGACAAAGATACACTGAATAGAGGTCTTCTTTGGCATGTTCAGGTGTCTTCTTGAGTAGATACTCATTTATGGTGGCTCTAGCGCCGCTGAGCACCGGCAAGACTGCGGTCTTTTTGATGTTGATGTAGTTGTTGTTGGTGCCATTTGTCAATGCTTCATCAGTCCGATAGTTATGGGCCTGAGCCGGTTGAAGTCCGTCTGTAATAAGACCATATCTGATCTAGCATGTCTCTAGGTGAACTCAAATGCTCCTCATCTGTGTTCGACCTTTAGGCTAAGTCCTGTTCTTGTAAAAGATAACTTCCTCCAAATCCTCTTAACACACTTCAACCATCCTTGAGCAAAGGCGCCCTTCTTCTTCTCGTGCTCTCTTACTAGGCATGTTCCCATACAGTAGAGGGATCTAGCACACCACTTCCCCAGGTTCAAATCCCACTCTCATCTTTTGTTGCGTCTTCTTTTTTTTTTCATTTCTCCTTCCTTTTTTCTTCTTCTTCTTTTTTCTTTTTTCTTTCTTTCTTTTTTTTCTTTCTCTTCTTCTTTTCTTTTTTTTTTCTTCTTCTTTCTCTTTTTTTATCTCTTTAAGAAAGAATTTTAAAAAGAATTTTTTCAATCTTATCTCTCTTTTTTTTCCTTATAGAAAATCTTGCGGTGCTCGACGAACCTATAACGTTTTCCAGCCAGCAATCCCTGTTATGGTCGAGATGTACCAGAACGTGAAGGATCACTATGTAAAGACACAGAATTCCGTCACTTATATCATTCTGTTCTTCCCAGCTGCATATTTTTCCCATTGTTTCTATTCAATACAAAGTTGATTCTCGGTGCACCTGATCAGGTACAACTCAAGGTACACTGTAATTTCGACACAGTTGAAGAGACACAGAAAAAGTCTCACTACCTAATTTGAAAAGAACGAGTCTGATACCATTGTGTTGCTACAACAGAGTTTGGTAGGTTGTTCTGCATCAAGCATATCCTCACTTGTCTGGGCAGACAAGAAAACCAACGTGGATCAAACCAAAGCTCTGGGTTAGCTGAGGAGCCAGGCAAGATGAAGCGTATAAAACTTTGACAAAGCCGGGTTCCTTTCGGCCAGTCTCGGGCCAAATATACTCGAGCGGACGCTCTTCCCTATCTTTGTGTTGCTCGCCTTGCCACAGTGTTTTATCCAAGGCATATTAACTGCCTAATTTCTAAGCATACTTTGGATCTGGCTCTTGTCAGGCCTTCACCACACAAGTACTGATGGACAAAGCATCCCTGCATTGCAAGAAGAATGGCTTGTGGTGTCCATGTAAAATTTTGACGTCGACGATGTTGAGAAAAGGATCAAACCTGGCAGACATCGCACACCACAGTCCTGACTATGGGAGGTCGTCCTCGACTGCCATGGCCAACACCTACAACACCAACCTGAAAGGCCACGCGTTGCAGGAAGGGCTCGACTAAAGCAAGTGGCTGGGATATTGAATAGTGCCATAATTGGGCCCGATGACCGACCTCCGGTACTTCCACAGCCGTAAATGGCGTATAAGGACTGCAGAAGCAACTCAAGCGTTGCTCATGGGGCCGCGATTTGACTCGCGGCAGTAGACATCACTCGGCACCGGGGGTGGCCTCAACAACGTGTAGCATCAGCCAAGGGCTGCCATTGTGACTTTCAATTTGCCAATGATTCGCCCTCTAGGTATATGTACACACGGCCGATCGGTCGGCCATGACCACTCTGACTTTTTCCACCGCGCCCAGCGTCACTTCATCGTCGGATCGCTTAGTGCTTCTCTTTCGAGTTGTCCGCCTCCTCCATGAACTTCCTGCGGCGGGCCGTTAGTATCAGATCACAAACGGAGCGAAGCCCTATTAGGGTAGAGGGCCAATGGCGGGCTGCGTACTTGATGAAATCGGCCTCGTCGGAGCTGGATGCGTTGATGGGGGGAGTCTGGACGGTCTTCTTGCTGCCGCCGACGGAGGCGTAGGTGGCGCCGAAGAGGGAGGCGAGGACGCCCATGGCCAGCTGCAAATCGAATGTCAGTCAATATCGCGGTCCAGCGCCGGTCAATGGCGAGGCGTCGCGGTGCTGTCGAGCCGCGGGCGCTATCGGCCTTTGGCTACAGTCTCGCAGACGACCAGACGAAACGTGCAGGGTGGACTAACGTAGTGAGAGCCGACCTGGCGGCCGAAGATGGTGTAGTAGGCAACCATTGTGACGGGTGTTCTGGGGACCGAGCTCGGGGGGTGACGGGGTCGGTGGTGTTGTGATGGGCGAATGCGTGTAGACAATCAATCGGAGAGGTCCTTCTCAAAGATCCGTGAAAACGACGCAAAGCAAATCTGGAGCTACCCGCGGCCGAGACTTGGGGTGCCTCAGGCCGCTAGAAATCATCCATGCGCTAAACGGGAAAACGCCAGGCTCAATTGTCGGCACACGGGAAACGGGAAGGCCGGAAACCCCCGGATCTGGCCTAGGCCCTCGCTAATTGCATGCTGGCGATAAGTCGCCCAGGCACACCAACTCTACCACACTGAACTCTGCCATGCCGCGATAGGCCAATATCGGGGTTCGGGCCATTCAATGGAGCTACGACGTCACGGAAGCCATGGAACTCTGAAGCTCCTCGGCTTTTGTTAACAACTTCAAACAGCCTTACCACCTGCACCTGCGCTTCACCCGAGTCCCGAACCTGGATCTAACCTTTTGTCTGTGACTTCACCACACCGTCCTGGATTCGAAACCGATAATTTCCCATCAGTAACTCGTCTGGACAGCAAAGATATCAAACGGCATGTGGTGGGGCAAAGGTTCAGACAAGCCGAAGGACTCGGTCCCGGAGCAGGCAAAGGAGGTTGCCAAGGAAGTCAAGGAAGCCGCCAAGGACTTTGACAAAGACAAACTGCCGGACCGGCGACAGCTCCCCAAGAAGCTGCAGCAGATCGTCGACAAGGAGGACAAGCAGGAGAACTTCTACAATGAGATCGTGGAGGGCTAGTACGTGTTTCTCCTTCCTCCAGCCGAACCACCCTCCTGGCCTGGACCGCCACCTCCCCCATTCTACGTACGCCCTATGTACTAACAGAAAGGGAACCAAAAAAAAGCGCCCCGCCGTCCACCGACTCCAACGTCCGCTATGCCGCCTACGCCTCGCGGCTGCGCACCATCCTCCTCTCCGCCCACCGCTACGTGGCCTACACCTCGGACATCGGCGAGTCCTTCCGCCCCGTCGCGCACCCGTACCTCGTCCGCGGCGCCTACGGCATCTCGTGGGCCTACATCCTCGGCGACGTCTCGTACGAGGGCTACAAGGCCTACTGGAGCAACAGGCGCAAGCTCGACCCGTCCCTGCAGCTGACGCCCCTGCAGCAGAGGGCCGTCGGCCTCGAGGCGGCCGACCCCCTGCCCGCCCCCGGCCCCGGCGACGCCGCGCAGGCCCTGCAGCAGCAGCCGGGCGTCGTGGCGCCGCTCGAGGACTGGCGCACCGTGGTGGTGCAGCGCGCCATCTTCCAGAGCGTGGCGAGCATGGGCCTGCCCGCGCTCACCATCCACAGCGTCGTGCGCTACTCTGGCCGGGCCATGAAGAACCTCAAGAACAAGACGGTGCGGACGTGGGGCCCCATCGGCCTGGGCCTGGCCGTCGTGCCCCTCTTGCCCTCTCTCTTCGATAAGCCCGTCGAGAACACGGTCGAGTGGGTGTTCCACAAGGGCTTCGAGACGTTCGGCGGCCACTCTGCCGTGGGCGACAACCCCAAGACTGGCAGGGAGAAGGAGCTGGGCAAGAAGCCGCCCAAGGAGAAGGAGTTGTAAATGGGCTCAAATCAGGAACGGGTCAATCTTGTTTGATACTGGAAATCATGGCGTCGAGGTGTTTCTCTGCATTTGTCTACCGATTATCCCGAGGTTGGCATTACCTCGCTCCTCATTATGTATCATACGAATCCCAGAAATTCGTGCTCTATGCCCCCTCCCGATGACCGTCTAGTCTAGCATGCCCATCTATACCGTGTATGTGGTGATTGGAGCCCCCCCCCCCCCCTTTGCCGATGGTATCGTTGAAGCAAATCCGCGTAATAGCAACAACAAAAATAACGCCATTCCGCATGCATCAAATGTACAGAAGCAAGAAAAACGAAGAGAAGATCAAAACCAGGATACGCGAAATTCCTCCCAACAATCGTCATCATCTTCTGCGTCAAAGGGGAGGAGGGCCATGCATCCTGCACATAAAGCAGGCAATACACTCAGACCAGCCTCTCCATGAGGTTGAGGCGCACCTTGTTGTTGACCACGCCGCCGACGCCAAAGGCCGGCATGATCCTGCACATCCTCGCCGCCGTGCTGATGGCGGTGTTCTTGCCCACGATCACGAGCCTCTCTCGCCAGCTAGGCCCCCTCTCGCGCTCCGTCCACGGCCGGTTGTACAGGTCCAGGCCGAGGAGGTGCAGCGGCGTGGTGATGAACTGCATCAGGGCGGGGGCGGCGAACTGGGCCGCCGTCGCGCCCGACACCAGCGACTGGACGCCGGGCGCCATGTGCTGCGACAGCCAGGGCCCCAGGATGGGAGGCACGTTGAAGCTGGCAAACACCGTCAGGCAGTCGCGGGCCGTGAAGAGCGCGTAGCTGGGCAGCGGGACGGGGCGCGCGGCCGCGGCGGCCTGGCCAAAGATCTTCATGTACGCCTGGTCCTTGAACATGGTGAAGCCGACGTTGGCGGCCGACGAGGCGGCGAACTTGGCCGTGCCCGAGGTGACGTGCGTGGCGGGCCTGTTGCGCAGCGTCGACTCGGCCGTGTCCAGCGTGTTGGCCGTCAGGTAGGTGCCGCCGTAGACCATGATGATGAGCGCGATGGGCTTGGAGAAGAGGAGCCGGTGCGGTCGGAAGAGGAGCGTCTTGAACGAGTTGGCCAGGGACTGGCCGACTGTCGCGCGGCCGGAGGCGTTCTCCATGATCGATCTGTTTGGGCGAGAGAAGGTCCTGTTAGTCATGGAACCCAAGTGCGGTATATCTGGGAGACAAAGGGGCGAGAGTTTAAGCCTACCGGTCAATGATGGAGATGACGGGAGCAATGATGGCTCCCGCCGAAGCTGCACTGACAAGGTCAGTTGCGAGCCTGCCTCCGAGGTTCTTGGTGTTCCATTTCCGCTGAGGTTTGACGGCTGCGTCGAGCTTGGGCTTCGGCGCAGGCAGCTGAGGTGTGCCGCTCATCTTGAGCTCCGGGAGAGGTTTTACTGCGAGGATATCGCCAGTGGGCTCCTTCATCGTGCCCCCTGAGCGTGTCGGAGGGGAATTGAGACCACGAGAGGAGCTCACTCTGCGTTGAATGCGCTCCAAACAGCGTACACCGATGCCGGGAACGGCGGTGCAGGAGTGACGGATTGATAAGGAAGTTGACGATCCGATCACCGGTGTTTCTGCATTGCAACCAGAGAAAACCGGTCTACTGCACTTTAATGGCCTTCAATGACCAAGACTCTATTCACTACCGCGACGAAGTGAATTGGTCCATCCCCGGTGCTGTTCGCGCGTCCGAGAAAAAAAAAGGGAAAAGCTGCCAAAGCTGGGGAAGCACAAAAAGTGAAATTTCCAGCCCAGTCATCGTGCAGGCATTTCAACTTATACCGAAATCGGAGGCGCCAGCCCTGGAGCTCCCGCGATACGCAGTGGTGCCATTCCTCAGCACTAGGCCCGCTAAAACCGGGGGGCCATGCGCGCCCAGCAGATTGCTCCGTGGGCGGGTGGACCGCCTGTTCCTTGCGACGTGGGGACGCTGTACGGGGGGTCTCGCAACTTCGGCCCCGGAGACAGTCCGACCATCGGGGCATTCACTTCGTCAGGACGACGATATGGTGAATGGCGGACACAAAGACTAGCTGTGTCCGCCTTTGTCGGCGCTGCCATCCTGCGGCATAACCTCCGACCAAATTGGTGAGAGCCATTGTCCGAAGCCTGGGATAGCACGTCACTCCCAGATCTTACAATCCGAACAATGATGCTTCGGAGGCATGATCATCCATAAAGAGGTATTGTCTTCTTCGCATTGGGCCGCCTCTTTCCTTGTTCCAGTATGAGTCATAACCAAAGGCAAGTTACACCTGCATAGAATATACCGCCAAGGAGTGGCCAACGACATGCCAATGGCTGCCATTATACGCCAAGAATGAGAGAGTTGAGTATATGTCTTGGCATACGTTTGAAGCTCGTGAACATTTCCTCGAAGAGACAGCCAGTGATGTCTTTGAAACGACAGGTTGAGTGGCCACAAAGATTCACTCATCAGCCTCTGCTCTTTCTCGTTCGTAAATGGGAAGGCTCATGCTTCATAATGGAGAGCTTGCACCAGCTTTAAACATCCGCCGGAAGGGTCGAAAGACCAAGTATGATGTCTCTCACCTTTACGGTGAAGAGCAACCGACCACGGAGCAGCAGGAAGCAAGGTCTCGACCAAAGGCTGGGCAGTAGCAGCCTGCTCTGTGACGTACAAGCCAGTTGAAGTCTCTCTGCAAACATCTTGCACTTTGTCCCCAACGCTCCTCGACCTTGGCTTACAGGATCAATTCCGTTGTTCTCGAACCACATCAAGTTGGATATCCCACAGTTTGGATGCCTCTCCTTGCATAGAAATCTTCAGGCCGACCCTCTCTACATAGTCCCAACCACGCAACTCCGCCATGAGTCCCTTCTTCAGTTCAAAGAGGCCCGATATCGATCGGCAGAAACAGGCCTGCATTGCCACAAAAGCCATGACAAATGCACCAGCATTGATACCAACCCAAGCAACTGCCGAGAAGCTAGTCAGGACCGGAGAGCCTGGAGTAGCCGTCATCGAGTATGACGACCTTGGTGAGCGGCCCCCCCTCGTGTGCTGTTGTTTTCTTCATCTGGCACCGTGCAGCTCTGACCCTGGCGCGAAGTCGTCGTGTACAAGTGCGCCCCCGGCGTGATCGACCCGCCGTACATCATCGTCCGGAACCGCGAGGACGACGAGTTTGTCATGGTGGAGGACGAATCCTACCCAAAGGCGTTTCCGTCGAACAAAGGAGCATGTCATGATTGATGCGGCACGAGATTGCTTGGGGCGTGGACACCTACCTATGACCTTATGGAACAGAATTTGACGGCGGAAGTTGGGTGATGCTGGGCAGTTACGACAGAACCATATCAGGATATCGAGGGTGTAATATTGATAGTGGCACGAGCTGGCCGACGGGTTAATGTACTTTATGTGTTTCATTAAAGCTCAGCAAGGCTATCGTGAGGATGCGACTAGCTTGTCCTGTTCTCCTTCATCCCCGCTCTCCTCCTCTTCCTCGTCATCTTCCTCATCCTCTTCTGATTCCTCCTCCTCGTCCTCGTCATCCTCCTCTTCCTCACTGCTCTCTTCCTCCTCCTCCGTCTCACCACTCTCGTTCTCTTCGTCGCCGTCGTCTCCCTCAGCAAGCCAGTCATCGAGCGTCTTGCCTCCCACCTTCTCGCCCAGCCCGTTCGTCCTCCCCGGCTTGGCCTGAACGGCGCTGTCGAGGCTCTCAGCCGCCGGGACAGCTCTCCTGACGCCGTATTCGGCAGTGGGAATGTCGCTTGCCCTCAGCGACGGGTCCGGCTCATGGCCTGCTTCCACCCACTCCGGCAGCGGTTCGTAGCCGCGCAGACCATGGACGCCGCCTCCGCCGGCGAGGACAAGGGCCGCGGACCCCAAGGTGAATCCCTTTCTCGTCTCGGAGGGACTCGGCGCCTGCGGTGCCGGCTTCGGTGCCAACAACATCAGCGTTGCCAGCTGCGGGACGTTCAGCAGCGCTTTGTAGAGGCGTGCCCGGTCACGCAGGTCGTATGAAGTGTCGTATCTGACCAAGAGGAGCACGTAATCCCATAGCCGCACGACTGGGTGATCTGTATCAAGAGGCGGCGGCTGTGTTGCTTGTTCACTATCACCCTCCTTGGCAATCTCTGCCTGTCTATTGAGGTGGTGCAGGTATACCTTGGCACCGAGCAGGACGATCTGGTGCTTCGCAACCTCGGACTCGCTGGCAAAGTCCTTGAGCAGAATCCGGAGCACATCGGCGGCGATGTTGTCCTCCCCATTCAAGCCCGAAAACTCGCCCACGAGCCAGATGATTGTGGCCCTCGCTTGCGCATCTGTCGCAGAGTCCAGGTTCTTGGCTAGCCTGATGACGGTGGCGGTGTGAGCCGTGGGTTCTTGCTGGATCAGTTGCCTGATGACCGTCAGGCTCTCTGCGGCGAGTGTCCCATCCAGGCTCGATATCTGCGAGAGGAGGAGGCGTAGGCACCGAGCTGACGCCGAAGGGTCTGCCTGCGCGCACCTTCCGATAGCTCGCACGGCCTCGCGCACCAGTGTCTTGTCTGAGCCTTGCGAAAAGTGCTCGAGCTCGTTGAGGATCAGAGACTTGACGTGGGGCGGGCTGTGGGGAAAGATGAGTGTGAGGAGCTCGAGCTTCAACTCCCACACCGGAGGTGAATCCGTGGCCCGGATGAGGAAATGCGAGGCATACTTGACAAACTCTGCCGGCCTCGGTAGACATATGGAAACGATGTTATACAGGGCAATCTGCTGCGTGTCCTGGGGCCCTCGGAGAAGAGCTATGAGAGGACCGATCGCCAGCTTGATGTAGTCTGCCGTGCCCAGATTCGCATAACACCTCGTGACTGCTACCACCACAGCCGAGTTGCGGCTTTGTAGTAGAGGCTTGATGCTGCTCAGGAAAAGCTCCAGGTCCGGGTCCAGGACTACCACCTGCTCGCCTTCGTTCTCCTGCCTTTCGCCTTCCCCGTAGAATTCTTGCAGGTCTGCCGGGGCGTCTTGATTCCTGAGAGTCCTCGTCCTCCGCGGGAAACATTTCCTTGCGTATACGGTCAACATCCTGAGCGTCGCTAGTTGACTCCATTCGTCCATGTCCACAATCTTCTTGACCAGGCCGCGGTAATGCTTGTGAATCAGGTCTATCCTTTCGGGGCAGATTTCGAGGAATGCCATCACGGCCGCTCCAGCAACATAGTACTGCTTGTCGCCAAGAAGAGTCGTAAGATAATCGAGCAGCTGGGGCAGCTGACTAGGGTCGAGGCGGTAGCATTTGGGTATCGCCAGGGCAGCAGCTCGGCGCACATACGGGCTCATATCGCCAGCGCCCTTCTTGATGGCGAGGGAGACAATCTGGCTGATGACGGGAACCCGGATGCCGGACATTGTACGCAGTGCCAGAGCCCGCACCTGTGGGTTGGTGTCGGAGAGGGACTTCTGGATCGTGTTGATCGACAGCAGCGCCAGGTCGGGTTCCTGCTCGGCATGGTGCAACAGGTATATATACACGAGCTTCTTGATTTCGAGGTTTGCAGAGGCGACGTTCTTGACGACGGACGAGAAGAAGGGGAGCGTCTTTTGCGAGCGGTACATCATCTACGGACACCAGCGGTCAGTGGGGGAGGGAAGGATGCAAGGTGGCGGCATGCGAACCGAGATGACCCTCCGCAATCCGTCCAAGACTTCCCTCTCATTGCGGCTGTCGAGGAGCTTCTTCACCTGTGTCCGGTCGAGGGGCCTGGAGGTGGAGCTCCGGAAGCTTCGTGCTGCTGACGAGGCATCGAGAGTCAGGTCCCGAGCTGTGATGCGCAAGACAGTCAGCTGTGTCCACAGAATTGTTCGTTCTACTCAAGGGTAGGCTTACCACTCTCCAGAAATGTCGATAGTCGTGATATCGTCTCCATCTTGTGACAGTGGTCTAGAATGAGGGCGGCTCTAGCCTCGTGTGGCCGCAACCTCTGATGTGGTGGTAGTAGCCAGTAGCTTGATTAGCGACCACTCTCCAGTGACGCGATGAGGTGTTGGCGGGGTTAGAGAGCTTGGACCATCCGCAAGCTTCCTTGGCTCTCCGGAGCGGGCCTCGGCGGACCACCGACGGGACAAAACCAGCGGAAGAATGCTGTAGTTTCGTGTACTCGACACAGCTGACAATGGTTTTCTTCATCTGAAATTGAAGAAGAATTGTGAGAGCGGCGCAGACTAAAAATTCAAGACGAGATATCTCAGGGAGACGATTTCTCCCGACTCGACATCGATGCTGCTCAACACAACGAATCGCTGCTTTCATGCAATCCCAGAATACAGATGAACGCGATGCGGACAGGAGATCAAGGATAGTTCTATCTGATTAAGGGCTATAAGTGGCCTCACTTGTAATGGCGTCACGACCGGTCTTCCTCCCACCGGCCCGGCCGTCAGAGCTACTCTCATACATCATCAGCAGAGAGTCCTTCCCCACCACACTCATCATATGCTCGCCGAAAGCAGAGTTCCTCGCATCCCTGATCTCAGATGCTCGCCCTCAGCAAGAACAAGAGGACCATGAACGCGGGCAGGAGAATGCCGAACAGCTGGACCAGCAAGCAGCAGCAAGCCCGCAGCAACCTCCAGAAGCCGCTCAGCAACTCCTCCAGGCTCCCTTGTCCCAGGTCGCGATAGCTCGCCACATCCGCATGGTGTTCATCCCCACGGTCTCCCACCTGCGCGCCTTCCTGTCCGTCTTCGCGCCCGCCGACTCAAAGGTACCGCCGCCGCCGGCGCAGACAGACGTCCAGGGAGAGGCATCGCGGCCGCGGGGACAATCGCCCCTGCTGCTCGTCTACGGTTTCCTGGAGCTGCACCGGCACACGAGCGAGTGGAGCGCCCAGGGCCTCGGCCACACTGCCGCCGGGCTGGTCGAGGCCGCGAGACTGCACTCCTTCCAGCCGGTCATTGTCGAGCCAAAGACCGAAGGGAGTCTGGCCTCGGACACGGTCCTGGGCGAACAGGTGCCGCTCCTAAGCGGCACGACATTGCGAATAGGCCCCGATGTCGAAGGCGGAGGCTGGAGCGGGCGGACAGTAGAGGCGAAGCGTGTGCTGGGCCGCTGGTTTCGTTTTGAGGACAGGCAATGGGCCAAGGATCAAGATAAAGCCTCAAACGATGTAGAGTGAATTGTTGTGATTCACGAACATCAGCACGATGTGCCTCTCAAAACGCATTACACATATACAAGTGACAAAATCCAAGAATACCCCGAATCATGCTGTCTGCAAGCGCAGTCCGAAACGCCGTCCCATGGTATCTTCCTCTCATAACCAAGCATTACGACGTAACAAAATCAAGTGGAAAAAACCCTCCGGCAGCCATATCATATTGTCTGCTCCATCTCGGTGATGTACAGTTTGATGTGGGCTTCGAGCTTCAGGTATTCATCGTGGGCATTGTGGACTTCGTTCTCAATCTTCTCTTTGAGATCGAGCATCTATAGGTCCTGTCAGCGTCGCAGTCATGCAATTCAATTGCAGTTCCTCTTACCTTGCGCTCCGTCTGCTCTATCCTGACACGCCTCTTCTCAATGTCTTGGCCTTTCTCTGTCCGCTCCTCGGTGATTCTTCGATGGATAGCTCTGAGCTCTTCCATCTTCTCCTTGGCTTCCTTGGCCTTGGCAGCACTCTGTTCTCGTAGCTTCTCTGTTCGCTCATTCCACTTGGCCAGTTGCTTCTGCAGCATCAGCTCCGCACGCTCCACTTCCTTGACATCAGCACCTCGCTCGGTAAGTGCGTCGCGCTGCTTGGTCTTCTTCGCATTCTCCTCCTCCTCCTTGGACAGCTCCGACGCAATCTCGTCCAGGAGCTTGATGCACGAAGCGACATCCGTCGACACCACGGCGAATGAGTCTGCTGAAGTCTGCAAAGCGCGGGACCGCCTCTCCAGGGAGTCTATGTGAAGCTTGTCGTTGTTGAGGGTGTTGGAGAGGTCAGTAAGGTTGGCCTGGAGGGATGTCGGGCTCTGCAGCACGTATGGCTTGAGCTTGTTGCTTTCTTGCTTGAGAGCAATCTTGGCCGCAGTCTTGTCCTCAAGTCGTTGCGCGAGGTCGCCCTTCTTCGCCTTGGCCTCCTCCAACCGCGCCGCAACTTTCTCCTGGTTTCTGCGCAGGTCAAGAAGCTGCTTTTTCAGTTCTTCGTTCCGGCTCGTCTTCTCTTGCACCAGGGCCTGCATTGCCTGTCGGTTGCTCTGCATCTCGTCTAGCCGTGCTTCCAGGTCCTGGTTTTCGCCGTACAGGCTGTCGATACGCGACTTGGTCGCCTCGGCCTTGTTGAAATGCTCGTCGATCACACTGGTTTGGCTCTCTCGGAATCGCACAAAGTTGATGAGGTTGCTAAAAATCTTGACGAGGCGATCATGCGTCGGGCGGTAGAGGTCGGCGAAGCTGAAGTCGTTGATCTTGCACACGAGCAGCAGCTGGCGCAGCGTGGCGAAGAAACCCATGAGGTTGCGCGCGTCGGCCGGCATCAGGTTCTCGGAGTACTCGCCGCAGATCTCTTCGGAAGCGGCGCGCATTGCGGGCTGCACAGACTCGCGCGTCGCGTTGAGGAGGACCTCGGCGAACCACTCGAAAATCATCTGGACCTGTACCGGGTTGGGCTTTTGGAGGTCCGCGATGGTGAAGGATATGCCGATGTCGTTGATGCAGTCGACGATCTCCTTGTCCTGCAGGCGCATGAACGAGTCTTCTTCCTCCTTCTTGCGCGCATTGCGCGACGACTGCTGCCCCGGGGGGATGATTGACATGCGCGGGTTGAACGACATGTTGACTGGCCGATGCCGAGTCTATGATCAAATGCTGTTTATTCCACGAACAGGCCTGTGTCGGTCGAAGAAAGAAGCATGCGCTCTCGCATTTGGCGACTGAATTAATTATTTCGGCGCAATTAGGTGGTGGTGGTGGTGGTCATGCGCGTGCGCGTGTGTTGCCCAACATCGCAATGGATAGCAGGCCGTTGCCTGGGTGACCAAAGATGGCGGTTGTCACGTGATGGTCATGAGCGCTCACTTCTTTGCCGAGACGGGCGAGCCATCATGATGAGACAAGATGTCTGATTCTTCCCCAAAGATCAAAATTTGCAAAAAGCATTCCATTTATCTTTCAATATGATCCATCATTCTCCATTAGATATGCAAGTACGGTGGCTTGTGTTGGCGTCGATGCGCAAAGCCCAGGTTCTGCCCTCCCAAGCCCGGCACATGAAGAGAGTAGCCCGAACAAGCTTTACATCCACGCCTCGGCCGTTCGGATTATCAAGGAATGGCGTGTCTGGAGGCGATACACAAGACAGTATTCGAAGTTGGAAGTCGGCCGCTATCTTTACGAATCAACCCGGGCCGTCATGGCCTCATACAACTAATGCAGTCCAATGCACAAACATCCACGCGACTCAAAGACAGACGTTTTGGTTCAAACACTCGATAATTTTAGCGAATGCCCAGGTCTGTGTTTTAGAAGCCCCAGCCCGAAGTAATGGAAAGGGCCGCCCCTTTGCCCAAGGCCCCCTTTCCTTCTCGTTAGGCGAAGTTGGTCTGGCCATGACTCGTGGCTCCCGGCGTGGGAGTGTTTCAGGACAGCTCTTAAGCTCTTGCAAGACTGAATGGCCTCGTGGGGCTACCACACGAGGGACCCCGCAAGTCCCATTTTGCCAACGACCACCTGCACAGCTGTTGTCGTCAGTTTGCCACAGAAGGAGGGGGAGGACAAGAAGGGTCAGGGTCCTTGCATGACGCTGTTGAACGCTGCGCAAGCCTGGAAAGCAGTGCGGCCGTACCCAGGGACGGGAGAGATAATCACAGATCCCTGTGGTTAAGAGCTGTTGATAATGGTGATGATTCCGTCCCGAGGGATGGCAAAATAGGGTGGGAAAGGCCTGTTCCCTGCCTTTATCATCTTACTTGTATGACTTGCGTCCAGTCCCTCAGTAAGCTTGAGACTTAGGCTCTATCCACGGATAGTAGTTTGGGTCCCATAGGCTGGGCCACCGGAGCATCTTGTGAGGATCGACGGCAAACACCGTCACCACTGAAAGTGCTCGGACAAGCCGAGCTGGATGGCGGCTCTGTAGGAGAAAGGCTGTGCTATTTTCCTATTTTCTGACAGTCTACAGCTTCTCGTGCCATTGAGTAGAGAGGCTCAAGCAATGAAACCAAACGTCAGGAATGTCGATCATGGACGAACTGGCACGATGACGCCACGTTCTTGCGAGACATCGATTACGGGCAAATTCCCGATCAGCCACAAACCACTGCGTGCAGAGCTGTAAGGCTTAAAGCTCCGGGGGTGTTGCGAGCCAGGAATGCCAGGCCGTTGGCGATTCCAGTGCGATCGGCAACTGCCAGGCGGTTTCCCACACATGACATCCAATCAAGGCCTTCTTCTAGAGCTTTTCTTGGTGGCGGCGGACTGCACCTCCGTCACTGGCGTCTAGCTACTAATTTGATGTCTATAATGATCACGATCATTCTTTGTCCAGAGCAACTGGCTAGCGAAGTTGTTAGGTAGGTACCACTTGAAAAGGGTAAAGCAATAGGTCGACGTCACATTTCGCGCCTGGAGCACCAGAAGCAGGACCTTGGGGGTCTGGCCAGAAAACAACCCTGGCAGTCTATCTTGCAAGTCACTTACTGGGACTGAATCTGTGGCGGTGATAAGATTTCAATTCGTCTTTCAATGCCATCACACGTGTCATACTCGCAGGGGCTCGTTGGAATGCACGACTGTTGGAGATCCTGGCCCTGCATAGCGAACACTGAAACTGTTTGCTGTCTGCACGGCGGGAGAAGCCATCCCCCCGCTGCTCGAAATTTGCAGCTCCTACCAGAGCGTCTCGACAGATAAAACTACAAGTACAAGTACGTGATGAATGTTCAATCTGCCATCCAGAGTCGTATCAATGCCCCGTTGCAGGGGTGTAATGGACTTGGTGAGCCTAAAATGGCTCGCCATGACGCCAACACGCACAGGCGGACAGGGGGAAACGGGCGAATGTCTGCGTCGCAGGTCCCCCATCGCCTTGGAGCAGGACCATGACATAATTGTCGTCCCTCTTCCACGTCCCAGATCTTCATAGTAACATTCGCCTGCCTCATTGAGTTGTAATAGCGCCCCAGCCACACACCGTTGAACTGGGAGCTTTGTCTCCGAGATCATTCAACTCTGAGGAGAACAATTCTCGTTGAACAGGCATTCCGGGCTCCTCGATGAATGCATAACGACAAAGACGGGTGCCAAAAACCCCTCGTCTTCGGTTGGCTGCTCCGATACGATGTGCTCCAGTTATTCATGTCATGGCCGCCAAGGATCGTAACGGCGGGGCCGAAATGCCACTGCAGGCAGGAGGAGCACATCGGACAGCTCGACAGGCCACCGGGAACAGGCACGTACCTGACTTTGTACGTGTACGTACGTATTGTACCTTGCGTACAATACAAGTACGTACATACCAATGTTCAGTGGGCCTCCGCGGACGGAAAGCTGCATCGGATGAGATTGGGGGTACCTGAAGTCGATAAACAGACTCTCGTCGTCTCAGGCGCTGTGGATCTGGGGATATGGGCAGTGAGAAACGGTAAATGGAGGGGCTGGTACCTGCTCCTGTCAAGCTGGAGGCTCTTGGTAGTGGAGCGTCATTCTTGATAGGTATCAAGGCCATTCTTCAGCTTGGTTCTCCTGCGTCTAGTGCCGCCTTGCGTAGTGTTGTACTCCGTAGTGTTTGAGCAGATGGAGTGAGTTTGTAGTGGCGGTGACGAGGCTTGCATCCGCTTTGGAGTCTCAAGTCTAGACTCTTCCTCCAAGGTTTCAACATCTCGGATGCAAGCGAAAGAGCAACACGATCAGGACATTGTCAGGTGTTTTCCTCTTAACGAAGGATTTCACGCCGCTTGAAATTCACCTGAACCAACTGCCTACTTAGTACTTAGCATTAACGCTGGGGCGGATAGAAATACAATTTCCAATAGCGCAAACGATCTCACTCTCCAGTCTGGTCTGGGATCTAAGTTCAGTCTTGAGCATGCTTTCGAGTTTCTTCAGCATCTAGAGGCACTCCCTTGGCCTGCCACCTCGAATAACGCTCCCTTGCAACAAATAATCAGTTGTGGCGGCCATTCTTCCCCAAGGGAGGGGCGTACCAGGCCGTGTGAGCACTGCAGTGCCGTTCTACGGTTCTCATCGAGGAAAGGAGGCATGGGAAGCTCAGGGACGAGATCGGTAGATGGACGGGCTCGTGGGAGATGCCCGCACCGCCCACTCACACCACTTCATCTGGTTTCTCTTGCTTGTACTTCTCTGCGCGCGCCCAAGAGATCCGTCCATGGACAGCTACCGCCAGGCTAGCCCAGTGGGCACCCGCAATCTCGAGGTCGCACTCTGGGTGGACAGGGGCTGGAAGAGCTTGAGGTACCTGTGTCGATCCCTAACCAAGGGAGCATCGGCCCAGCCCATTAGTGCCCCTAGCCCGGGTGGGGTGGTGTGCGGTGCGTGTGGTCCAGTCCGCTGGCTGCTCGTCCGGGAACCTTGCTTTGTTTGATCCAGTCAAATCCAATCTCAATGTGGATGCGGATGCGGATGCGGACGAGGACGAGGAGATGTGGGTGTGTGTCTCCTTGGTCTCTTGGTGTCCTTGGTGTCCATCCACCCCCCGGTCCTCCCTGACGTTTTCTGCCTCTGCCCTCGCCATCTGTGGTCTAACCCACAAGGAGCGCTTCTTGGGTCATCCGGTCCACCCTCGATGTTGCGCTAATGGCCCTGCAGACAGCGAACGGCAGCAGGGAAGGAAAGTGTCGTGCGTTCCATGTCCGCAACGCTGGTCTGGGGGGTTATTCGAGTGCCCATCTTCAAATACGTAACGGCTCCCAGCCAACACGGACCACGAAGCCCGCCACCAAGCCAAACCCAACTCTCTTTATCAAACTATCCCCCGCCCCCGAATCTGACGGACAGACTGGACTCTACTTGCACAGTCATCTGCTGTGCCCAGCCTGTCGTCAAATCGCTGCGTTGCTGCGCCGTGTAACTCGTCTCGGCAAAGCAGGCAAAACCCGAACGGTTCAGCAGGTCATTAAAACCCACATTCCCCTGCCTCGCGCCGGCGCGTTCTGCAGTACGCGGCCTCTCGCCTGGATCCATTCCACACAGAGATTCTGGAGCCTTTTAATGGGCACAGTCAGCGGCGAATGTCCGCGGCCACCCACAGGGACCAGAGCCAGCAGCAGCCTTTTCAAGGCCGCCTGATCCACCACCCGTTGTCGATCAACCTACCTTGCTCATTAGAATACCCGACCGACATCTATTACCGAGCCCCCCCAGCTCTACAGCTTCAATCGCCACTCTGCCCTACCTGCTTTCCTTTTAACACACACTCAGTCGCACAAGGACATTTGTAGTCGCTACGGAGGACTTGAACCCAATTCAACTGTGCAAGTGAAAGTGGCCTCCTCATCACTGCCAATAGCACTGTCTCGTCTCGACGCCCGACCATTCAGCGATTCGACCCAATGCACGGCGCCCCGACCAGTTGAACGACCCGACTTTCTCACGCCGTTGACCTGAGAAGCACCTTCATGATGAGACCAGCTTTTTCTGCGCAGACCGACACAATCTCTTCGCCTGCGTGGTCAACCACCTCGACACAATTAACCTAGGCCCGGACACCCGGTTCTAAACCCATCCACGAGCGGGCTGGCCAAGACCGACCTATCACACATCATGGCACTTTGGCTTTTCCGGCGAAAGAGCCGCAGGAAACGCTCCCATACCGGCATGGAGCCCACCGATAAGGCCGTGGGCCCGGCACCGAGAAGCTTCACTGCCCCCAACGGCGTCCCTCCCTCGGCGGTTGATCGGAAGCAGAGTGTGCGGAGGGAGCGAAGCCAAGCCAAGAAGCTGCATCGACGAGCGCGCACATACAGCTTCGAGGAGGGCCGCCGCGACTCCATCTATATCAACGCAAGGAAATCCCGTCCAGGAAAGCACGATCCGGTGCCGGCCTTACCGCCACACCTGAAGACGGACCCGACAACTTCGGCGAGCCATTACACCGAGACAGATGGCAGCACGGCCGATGCGTTGGCGGACCTGGACAGGATTCCCACCCTTCACGCTACGAAGCGCGACGGTCAGCATCTCATGCCGCGCAAGAGCAGCAAGAGGCGCAAGAATGCGCACGACCGAGAAAGGGAGGCGGAACTCAAAGCACTAAGCAATTTTGTTCCCGTCCGTCCCGCGACAGATGCCTGGACGGCGGGAAGACCAATGAAGAAGGACACGAGGCGGGTGCGGACCGGATTGGGTTTAGGGATCGGTGGTAGTGCCCGATGGGACAACCCCTCTAGCGATGTCTCACTCCCTATCGCCGAATCACTTCACTCTACCCTATCATCCGACTCGGAGCAGTTTTCCTACAAGGTGTCTGCTCTCGATGCCCTCGCGCCCAAGCCGACGTTGCGATACGCCATCAACCCCCGGTATGCCCATCCCAATGGTGCAGCTCCGCCCCAGCGAATACCCTCACAGAGGAGGAGATTGACCGAGAAGGGTGCAATCCCCGAATCTACACTGCGTGCACATAAGCGCATCGATGATTTGGCGGACGACCTGAGCGCAAGCGACCTGCGAGAATTGATGGAGCGGGACCAGCGCCGGAGGGAGAGGCAACACCAGAAAGAGCAGGATAGGATCGAGCGGAGGCTTGCGAGGCGGGCAGAGAAAGAGAGGTTGGCTGCCGAAAATGGCAGTCAAGCACCTCAGAATCTGGAACGTGGTGTGCTGGGCCGTGAAGCCGTTGGTCTTGGAATAGACACCACCTCTGCGGTGGTGACATCTTCCAAGAGACGGCTGTCGGATGGCGATGACCAGACCGGCGAGGCTCCTCGCAGCGAAGAAAAGCCTGGGGACCAACTACCAGACCCTCTCGAGACTTTCCATCGGACGACGAGCATCCCCCTCGATCCTGAGCCATCCTCTCGTGAGGTTCAACAGCCTACGCCGCCACCTGCCGTAGTCAACGTTAGGAGGAGCTTCCTGAGGACACAGAAGTCAGCGTCCAAGTCTTCGTTCTCGGAACAGGAGAAGCTGTCCCTTAATGAGGACCCCCGACGGGGCTCCGAGAGCAGTCCGGCCAGAGGTGCCATCTCTTGGTCGTCCATCTTCAAATGGGGCAACAAGAACAAGCGTCACTCTGGGCCTTCGTCTTTCTCAAACACGTCGAGAGACTCCATGGCGACGCAACCTCCGGTGGCGCCTTCTGCCGGGGCCAACACGCATGCGCGGGCCGTAAGCAGCGGTGTCCCCAAGCGGACCGGCTCAAGGTTCCGCGAAGATCTTCCCGATTTCTTGATGTCACCTCCAGACTCGCGCGTCCAGTCGCCCGAGACGGAACCGGTACCTCCAGCCATCATGGAGCAGGAATCTCCACGGATGCACGACGCTGCCAGTCCTGCTTTGATGACGCCCCAAGACACTCGTGTCAAGGGTCCGTCGGTGCAAGAAGATCCGAGCCCGTCGCATCAGAACGCAGTCGACCCTTCACCTGAGCCACAGTCATTATCCCTCGCCTCGATCGACTCGGAGGCGTCTTGGCTCTCTGGCCGTGTGGGCAGTCGCCGACAGTCGTCACAGATGGCTCGTCACCGCGACAGCGTGCCCCAGTCTATGCGCACCTACGGCTCCAACGAGGCGTCGGACAAGACCGCGGGCTCGCAGGAGCACGAATCGCCAGGAGAAGACGCCGCCGGGATCGCAGACGACGAGTACATGAACCGCGTTGCTCGCCATTCCGGGAACCGGCTCTCCGTCGGCGAAGCTCGCCCGTCGAGCGACGAGGAGGACGATCCCCGCTGGGGCGCCGTGGGCGGGCAAGTCCCCACGGTCGTCCACGCGCACAAGGCGAACCGCATCAAGAGCCGCGAGGGCCTGCTGCACACGTACGGCGAGGAAGACGAGAGCGACTCGCCGGGCTCGCCGAACGTCGACAGTCCCGTCAGCCCCACCAGCCCTACCAGCGACCTGAAGGAGGAGGGGCCCGGCGTGCAGCGAGCGACCAGTGTCAACCTCGGCAAGGGTCATGCGCGGCACATCAGCGCCGGGAGTGCGAAGCTGCTCGAGATCACGCCGCGCTCGTCGGTAGATGTCAAGAGGCGAAGCTGGGAGACGAGGCAGGGAGGGCAATGATCTAATCTATGAGCAGGAGTGACAGCAAGCAAGCACGACGGCACGACTGGAGACACGACGAACAGACATCCGATTACTTCGCTACGCTCGTTTATCGATTTCCTTATATTCTTTCATCATCCATACCGACCACCATTCACTCGTTCACGGCTTATTTTCCTTTCGATATCTTAACCAGCAAAACATTGACAAACAGGAAAAAAAAAAACTTGAAACTTTCAAAAAGCAACAACTCTCGGATTCTTTCGTCTGTCCTGACCGGTCGACTCTTGCTTGTTGTCACCTCCACGGTTATTGCTGGCTCGAAGGCTATTCGAGCTGCCTCTGGCTTTCGTTCTGTGCTTTAGAAGGGACATGGCCATTTTCATGATCAGTAGGGCATGTTGGGTTCTTCTTCACCATACTTGATGGCGAGCGGTGTCCCCTCCATGGGCACACACGCATATTTTTTCTTTTCTTTTCGGTATACTGTGATACCCCTGAGGCGTTGGATTAGTCTTCTGGCAGGCCGATGAGATTCAGAGAGACAAGGCGCCCCTTGGTACGCATTGGTGCAACGGGGCAGGTAGCGCCCAATACTGGATTGCAACAACAAAACACATTTCTCGGATTAGAATCATTCCCTTTGCTGCCACGGAGGATCGCAGATGGTCGGGACTCGTATGTGGCTGTATTTTGATACCAAATACCACGGAAACTACTCTTTTGCTCTTTCAAGATGAATGGTGTTTCTCTATTTCAGTAGTATCTCGTGTGTTGTGTGTTGCTCATCCATTCGTATTCGTAGGCATATCACTTGAAGTGGGCGCGTTGCATCTGAGATGCTTCAGGCTTCCTCTGGCATCTGACAAATGTCGCCAACGTACGGATTGACTTGTGCCAGGAAAGGAGCTACGCCGCTATTAATAGCAGGTCGTTGATAAGGAAAGACTCGTCAACCGTGCCGAGAATGACCTGCTTGGGATGCTCGCTGCGCCTGAGGATATTGATTATTCCAAATCTTTGGGATCAATATGGCAATGGGCCGACTTGGCCCTGGCAGCAGTCGCTCAGCATTTCTAAGCCAGGGCCAGATCAGATGGTGCTTGCTGTTACAGGCCCGCGGCCTTCACTCGGAGAATGGAGACCTACCTCAGTGCGCCCCTGCTTTGATTACCTCAACAAGCAGACGCCGAAGCCGTAACCCCCCCTCCACTAGCTCGGGTCGCGTCATCGAACCAGAGCGACATGGAGTGAACCTGTCCAGACACTAGAGAAATGCCTGCACCGAGAGGTACCTGTGCTGTACCTGCTGTCCAAGCTGAGTTAAGCAGCTGCGAGTCACAGGCTGAAGACTGCAATCCTTTTTGTCATTCTTTGGCAGGAGCTTGCTGCGTAAACACCACCGATTGCCGCCGCATTGATTACTTGCAGTTCCATTGCGCCTGCCTGCATTTTAGCTTGTATTTAATCCGGTCCGCCCCTCCCCATTCCGCGCATCTGATCCGCCCCTCGCGAGGAGAAAAAGAGAATGTCGTCAACAACATCGAGACTCTTCAGACCTTTCCAGACAGCTTTTCGATACCGAGCCACTCCTATCACCACCTCTGCATTCAGAAAACCCTTTGCATCCAGGCAATTCCACGCTACCAGAGCCAACATGACTGTCCACAACGTTGAGAAGTAAGTCTTGCCATCTCGTTCCGCCCCTCACTGCCCTGCCCGTTCAGTGTTTCTGCCATGTCGATTTGGCATATGCATCTCCAAAGCAGAGCTGCCTGTGTCACCACCGCCATCACCGCCGTGCCCGGCAGCTCTACCCGTATCGCCCGCGATGATGGCAGAGTAAGGGCGCATTCGCCTTTGCAATGCCCATATTCCGCAGGTGCCAGCAAGACAGAGACAACCAAGCATCATCTTGCCTCGACTTCAAACAATCCCACAAACTCGGCGTGCATTTGCTAACTCTCACTCCGCGACACAGCGTCCAGCAGTTCAAGGACATCCTCAAGGCCAACCCTGTTGTCCTTGTCGACTTCTTCGCCACGTGGTGCGCTCCCTGCAAGGCCATCGCCCCCAAGCTCGCCGAGTAAGTCGTCCTCCTTTTAGCAATGCGATCTTCCCTCCCCTCCAGCATCCCTTGTGATGGCAAAGGCAAAGCGCTAAACTCTCCTGCCTCCAACAGGTGGTCCAACCAGTTCCCCAACATCTACTACGTCAAGGTCGACGTCGACGCCATCCCCGACCTGGCCCAGGAGTACGGCGTCCGCGCCATGCCCACCTTCATGCTCTTCAAGAACGGCGAGAAGGACGCCGACCTGATGGGTGCCATGCCTGGTCCTCTGCAGAAGCTCATCACCGACAACCACCCTGCTGAGGCAGCCACCTCGGCTTGAACTCGGGATGGATGACGGAAGTAGTTTTGGGAGGGAGGATTGTACGATTCAAGTTCTCGTTGCAGGATCCGTCTCCGCAATGGCAGGAACTGGACAAAAAGCACCAGTTTCTTACTGGACTGAATGATGAAGCTGGGGAGCTCTTGCCTGAATGGATGGACCCCAACTAGCTTATAGACAGCATCAACAAAACAAAGCATTCTTGATCAGTTTGCCCCTCGTTTCTGATTTGTTTGTCAAGGCCCGGATGTGTCTCTTTCTTGGCTCGATTCCAGACTCGGATTCACATGCGTACCGGTCTTTGATGCTGAGATCGCTGGTTGACGTACAGAAGTCGCGTGGGTGAAGAGTTGGTGTATATCATGAACCATGCACTCGCACTGTGGGAGAGACCGCTGGTTTCCGTCTTTCTAGATGGCCATGTCTGATGATGGAGAGAGTCCTCGACGACTGAGGCGATGTAAGTAAAACCGTATCCTAGATCTCAGCTCTTCCCAGTCAGTTTTCTTTGACTGAATTCATAGATATCTTGCCTTCCTGTTTGCGGCTTTCAGATCGTACTTGACTTATTGGCCATATCACATATGCAGGTCTGAGCGAAACCGGTCTACCGTGAGTTGACCCCTCTCACATCCGTAATTTTAAAGATAGCTCCTCCAGGGCCATGCACAAAGGACCTATTCGCTTTCTACACCGAAACCCAGTCTTGCAGTCGGATGAATGGATATAATCCGGATTTTGAGAACAGGGGTGCAAGCGCTGACGGGGTAGGTGGCTGATATTCGCCGCACCTAGCTCAGCTGAGGTGGGGAGTAGCATCGTAAGTTAAATGACATCGAAAGATCGGGGATATACAAGACCTTGGCAGCATATATACTCTGTATAAGCACATCTGTGCTCGACGCTTGTAGATATCGTGGTACACCGGGGTCACTTTGCCTTGCTTTCTGTCACTTTCACATAGTATTTGCAAGTTATATCACGTGCGAATTGGAGTTATGACCGGCTCAGTGTGAGTAGACCCCTGCATAGTCGAGATGTTTGGATTCATACTGACTCAAGTTTATGATAAGACAATACGTTCTAGTCACAGGGGCGACGGGATTCATTGGCGCTCATGTCGTTGATGAGTTGCTTTGCCGCGGCATCAAAGTCCGGGGTACTACTCGCTCCACGGCAAAGGCGGAAGCCATGCTGAGGGACCGGCCACAGTATGCCTCGCAGCTCGACTTTGTCAGGATAGATGACTTTGAAAAGGGTGAAGGTATCTTTGATGATGCTATACGGGGTATAGATGCCGTGGTTCACGTGGCAAGTGTAAGTGATATCCTATATACATGACCTCCATCTGCCGTGATCCATGGCTGAAGTATATGCCCTTCGCGAAAAAAAATACAGCCATTCACCTACGATGTCAAGGATAACGAGAAGGAACTCATCATCCCGGCGATCAACGGAACTCGTGCCATCCTGGAAGCAGCAGCGGCCAAGACGTCGACGGTCAAGCGCATAGTCATCACCTCGTCCTTCGCCGCCGTCATGACCGACGGCCGCAAGGGCCCGCCGTACTTCACCTACACGGCCGCCGACTGGAACCCGCTGTCCTACGAGGAGGCCGCGGACCCGGCCACGAGCGCCGTCGTCGCCTACCGCGGGGCCAAGAAGTTCGCCGAGAAGGCGGCCTGGGACTTTGTGCGCGACCGGCGCCCGCCCTTCGACGTCGTGGCGCTCTGCCCGCCCATGACGTTCGGCCCCGTGGCGCACCCCGTGGCCGACGTCGCGGGCCTCAACGAGTCCAACGCGGCGCTGTGGAGGGCGGCCGCGGGGCCGCTGCCGGCGCCGGTGGCGCGCGTGCCGTTCTGGGTCGACGTGCGGGACCTGGCCGTCGCGCACGCCGAGGCGCTGCTGCGGCCCGGGGCCGGCGGGAAGAGGTTCCTGCCCGCGTCGCCGGAGCGGTTCTCGTACGCGCTCGCCGCGCGGATCGTCGACGAGGAGTTCGACTGGGCCCGGGGCAGGGTGGCGGCGGCGGACGAGGAGCAGGAGATCGACGACTCGCACGGGGTCGACGGGGAGACGGCCGCGCGGGAGCTGGGGCTGAGCTACAGGTCTTTCCGGGAGACGGTGACGGACCTGGTGTTTCAGGCCAAGATTATCGAGGCTGGCGCTCAGCTTCTGAGTGGGTGAGATGGATGTATGTCGCGAGTGAGGTTGTATAAGTGGCGATGTGGTATATTCTTCAGCATATTGGTCTTATTAGAGACCCCTGCTTGCACTGTATATAGATTTTGTTCATACAACAATGTACATCCTCTAAGATACTTTGGAGATCGACAGAGGTGCTTGTTATTCATTTTGTTGATTTAATTCCTCTGCTGGACTGGATGATGGGATATAAAAGCACCTTTTCCCCACAAGCAAATTTATACACTACCTGTTCTTCTCCTACGATTTGGTGTTACAAGTTCTCACTTCAAGAAGCTTTATACTCGGATTATAAAAAGGCCAATCTTTAAAGATGGATGTGAAGTTCTCGCTAACTCTGCGGCTCAGTGTCAGGGGGAGAAGCGGCATGCTCAGATGAGTTAGGAAATTGGTCCAGAAATGACCGGTTTTGAAGGTTAGGCCCATATATATAAAACCTCGAGGAAGGACCTCAATTGACAGCAACATTGACATATTCGTCAAAAAGGCTCTGTTGATATCTTTGGTTGTTTAGTTGGAGCTACCTAAAAGGATGGTGTTTCTCCCATTTGGAGCGGTCCTACAGCTAGCACGAACGCGCTGTGGGGCCGCAGAGGTACCCCAAGCTTTGGCAGCTCCAGCTATCGGCAGTGCGTCTCGCCTTATCTCCGTCCTTGCATCATCAATCTACTGGGGTCGCCGGCGGGGGATATTCGACATTCCTGGACTTTCTTCGAACGCGCGGACCAAACCGAGGCCTTGTTCGAGAGCTCGCCATGGCGTATATTGCTCCCATACATCGGCCCAGCAGCGTCAGGCATGCGCTGCAGCTCAGACTGCTCTCGCCAGACGAGGAGAGCTTGGTGCTCGCGTAAGCATCTGGGTCTGTCTTGCTCGCTCATTCGTAGTACTGACGTGCCATTTGACCTTTAGCAAAGCGAATCGCATCGAGATATGGCGACTTTCGGACGGCGCCCTGACGATGGTGCACTCGAGGGTCATCCATGGGACCATCTCGATGCTCCAACGGCTACGACCTAAAGACAACCCTACCGATCTCCTCTTTGTCGGCACCGACCGGTTCCAGTACTTCTCCCTGGGATGGGACGCGGAGAGGAAACAGTTCACAACGATAGACAGCTTCTTGGATGTCGGAGAGAAGCACCTGCGCGATTCTCAGAGCCAGGACAAATGTATGGTGGACCCGTCGGGCAGATACATGGCGATGCTGCTGTGGGAAGGCGTGTTGAATGTGCTACGGTTACGGTCACGCAAGGGCCTTCACTTGAAGCTCGATTGGATGGATCAGGTACGGCTGTCGGAGCTGTTCATCAAAGCCAGCACCTTTCTCTACTCGGAGACTGGCCATCCCAAGATCGCGTTCCTCTACCAGAGCAGGGCAGATGCCGCCGACTCCAAGCTCGCCACATACCGCCTCACATCCGACGACAAGGACTCCTCCGCCTCGAAATTCGACCCAACGAAGGACAGAGAGATATCTATGGACATCGAAGACCCTGGTGCGGCAATGCTGATCCCAGTCGAGAAGGTCGAGGAAGAGAAGCGGCACAACGTGCGCAACCCTGCTGGAGCAAGGCCTCACCTCGGCGGTCTTATTGTTGTCGGAGAGACACGACTTCTTTACATCGACGATTTTACAAAGCTCAAGGTGGAAGCAGCTTTGAAATCGGCCGCCATATTCGTCGCTTGGGCCAAATACGACGCGACACACTACTTGCTTGCCGATGACTATGGCAATCTACACCTGCTCACCATCCTGACTGAAGGCGTAGCAGTTACAGGCCTTGATGTCAGTATGATAGGGAAGACATCTAGAGCCAGCTGCTTGGAATACCTCGGTGATAACATTCTGTTTGTTGGTTCTCATTACGGAGACTCGCAGCTGCACAAACTCAACCTGGCTGCTCCTGATGGTTCCGATTTCCTGGAACTCATGCAAGTCTTGCCCAATATCGCGCCAATCCTCGACTTCGAAATCATGGACATGGGCAACCGGGAAGAGGACAGCCAGTTGGCGAATGAGTATTCCTCAGGACAAGCCAGGATAGTCGCAGGCAGTGGCGTGCACAAGGATGGCTCACTCCGAAGTGTCCGCAGTGGCGTTGGCCTCGAGGACATTGGCATCCTCGCAGACATGGATGACGTCCGCGGCCTGTTTTCGATACAATCGCATGGGTCGCCAAAGACTGATACGTTACTCGCGTCGTTCCTAACCGAGACCCGAATCTTCACATTCGACAGTGCGGGAGGCATTGAGGAGGTTCAGTCCTTCCAGGGTCTCTCGCTAGACTCATGCACATTGCTCGCACGGAATTTGCCCAATGACCGCCTTCTTCAGGTCACGCCAGAGAGTGTTGTCCTCATCGATGGCGACAGCGGCGTCGCGATAGCATCGTGGAAGCCACCAGAAGGCAAGAAGATCACGAATGTCTCTGCGAACACGAGATGGGTACTCGTTTCTATCGAAGGCACCCACCTTGTCTCGTTGAACCTGGAGGCGGATTTGCGGTTATCGGGGCAACAAGAAGTCAGCACAAGCGAGCAGGTTGCATGCCTTCACGTGGCTCCCCATCTGTTGGACGTTGGTGTCGTTGGCTTCTGGACATCTGGTTCAATATCGATCATTGACCTTGCTACGCTACAACCCCATCAAGGAGAATCCTTGCGGAAGAAAGAAGACCACACCTCTATCCCGCGCGACATTGTCCTGGCACAGGTTTTACCACCCCATATTGGTGGCCCGACCCTCTTCGTGGCGATGGACGACGGAAATGTTGTCACGTTCAATGTAGCAAAGGAAAGCCTTGCACTGTCGGGCAGGAAGAGCGTTATTCTGGGAACCAGAGAGGCGCGCTTCCACATCCTCCCACAGGCCAACGGCGTATACAACATCTTTGCTACAACTGAACACCCCAGTCTTATCTATGGTTCGGAGGGAAGGATAGTCTACTCCGCTGTGACCGCGGAAGACGCTACTTATGTCTGCCAGTTCGACAGTGAAGCGTTCCCTGACGCTATCGCGGTATCGACAGACTCGCAACTGAAGCTTGCTCAGATTGACACGGAGCGCCGGACACACGTGCGATCTCTCGACATGGGCGAGACCATGAGGAGGATAGCCTATTCGCCAAACGAGAAGCTCTTTGGTCTGGGTTGCATCAAGCGAGAACTAGTCGGTGGGGAAGAGATCGTCACGAGCTCCTTCAGGCTCGTTGACGAGGTGGTCTTTGACAAATTGGGCAAGCCTTTTGAGTTGGAGACCGTCGGCGCGACGGAAATTATCGAGACCGTCGTTCGTGCGGAGCTACCTGACTGTAACGGGCACGCGGCCGAGAGGTTCATCGTCGGCACCAGCTTCTTGGCAGATAACGACGTGGGAGCTGCTGGCGGCGAGGAAACCCATGGACGTATCCTGGTCCTAGGAGTGGACAGCGAGAGGAATCCGTACCTTATCATGAGCCATCGCCTGAAAGGTGCCTGCCGCTGCCTGGGTGTGATGGGCGACAAGATTGTCGCTTTGCTCACAAAGTCGGTCGTGTTGAGCAAGTACGAAGAGTCGTCCTCGACCTCGGCTAAGCTCACAAAGATCGCGTCATATCGGCCGTCGACTTATCCGGTGGATCTTTTCATCGACGGCAACATCATTGCAGTTGCCGATCTGATGAAGTCGGTTTCGCTAGTCAAGTACGTCACAGGGGAGGAGGGACAGTCAGACCAAACCGATACGAACATGTCTGGCGTCTCATGCACCACCAAACCGCAGCTGGTCGAGATAGCGAGGCACACGCAGTCGGCTTGGACGACGGCGGTAGCTCATTTGGAGGGCCAGTCGTGGCTGGAAGCGGACGCTCAAGGGAACTTGCTGGTGCTCGCCCAAAACGTCAAGGGTGTCACTGCGGAGGACAGGTATCAGTTAGAGGTCACGAGCGAGATGAACCTGGGGGAGATGGTCAACAGAATCCGCAAGATCGAGGTGGAGACCAGCCCGAATGCCATGATCATTCCCAGGGCATTCCTAGGCACGGTAAGCCTGGCACCCCGGTACCCGAGTTGATACCCGGAGTGGCGTTTTACTGATATCATGCTTCTTTAGGTCGAAGGATCGATCTACATGTTTGGCACCATCGCACCGCAGGCACAAAACCTTCTCATCAGCTTCCAGGCCAGGCTAGAGAGCATGATCCAGACCCCTGGCAACATTGACTTCAAATCATATCGGGCATTCCGCAACGCGGAACGGGAGGGCGAGGCCCCCTTCCGCTTTCTGGACGGCGAGCTGCTGGAGAGGTTCCTGGACGTGGACGAGGATCTGCAGAAGGAGATCTGTCAGGGTCTCGGTCCCAGCGTGGAGGACATGCGAAACATGGTGGAGGAATTGAAGCGCATGCACTGAATGGAGCTGCAGCGGATCAGTCGAGTCAAGGGGGGGGAAAGCTCCTGTCAAGAGTCTGGATGATCCTTGGCATGTTGTATTAGATCTCTAGAGAAAAGAGTGTTCGAATGCGAAAGAAAGATGCGTCGATTTCAACTTTGGAATGTGGATGACAGACCTTGCGCCGTCTGTGTTGTAAATTGCCAAGTTGAAATCCTTGGGTTGTGGTTAATAAAGCGTAAAACGGAGTTCCGTGACGTAATTCTGGGTACATGGTCTAGAGGTATGATATTCCCTTCGCATATTACTACATGCTTATGGGAATGGCCCGGGGTTCGATTCCCCGTGTATCCAAACGTTTTCTTTTTGCCTTTTTGCCACCCCATCCTTTGCCTCTCTTTTTAGCCTTTCCCACAAGAGGCTTCATATCAAAATGTATTCGAATGAAATTGTGCATTGTTTCTCGTGTTATGAATGATGCATCGAATGATTGATTTCGAGCTGGACGCCATTCGCCCGGGCAGTCTCGGAAGGCCACGTGATTGGCAAGCTCCAAACATGGCACGGGCCAATCATGTCAGCCCAATTTCAAGCTGGCGCACTGGCCTCAGGCACCCAGGAATTTTTTAGCTGCCAATGCCGGCAACTCCAAACAAGCTTAGGAAAAAGACCTCAGGTCATGATCCCACGCTGCCTCAATTGAACCAACCTCGCACCCCCTCCGCTCTTCCACCACCGTCGTCTCGTCATGGCGCCCCTCACGATTGCCTCCCGCACCCTCGCGCGGTCCGCCGCCCGCTGCGCCAGCAGGACTGTCCCGGCCTGCGCCATGAGCACCACGGCCGTCGCCCGCAGCGATGCCTCGGCTAGCTACTCGAGCCCCTTCAAGGGCAACGAGTCCAAGGGCAACAAGATCCCCAACTTTGGCCACTACATCTCCAAGACCGCCGGCAACACGAACCAGCTCATCTCCTACTTCATGGTCGGCACCATGGGCGCCCTGTCAGCAGCGGGCGCCAAGTCCACCATCCATGGTGAGTAGTGACGGCACCATTTGGAGGAGCAGAGCTGGGATTGCACGAATGCATTGGCATTGGGTCGAAAATAGACGCTCAATGGCACATACTACGCGCGACTTGATACGATGGGAGGGGTATCTCGATGGTAAACGATTGTGCTAACGGCTGGCGCCCACAGAGTTCCTCGTCAACATGTCCGCATCAGCTGATGTCTTGGCCATGGCCAAGGTTGAGGTCGACCTCGCCGCCATCCCCGAGGGCAAGAACGTGAGTGCTCTCCGACTTGAAGAGTTTATCGCCCGAGACGAGACGACAATCTAACCAGGTGTCCCCCGAACAGGTCATCATCAAGTGGCGTGGCAAGCCCGTCTTCATCCGTCACCGAACCCAGAGCGAGATCGACGAGGCCAACAAGGTCAACGTGCAGTCATTAAGAGACCCCCAGGCCGATGCCGACCGTGTCCAGAAGCCCGAGTGGCTCGTCATGCTGGGTAAGTTCTCTCCAAGCTTTCCCGATACCCCAGAAACAAACAACTTGTCCTCGGACGCGTGTGCTGCGAAGGTACCGGCGCCATCTATGGCCAGTATAGCTGACGTTTTCATTTCTTCTGCAGGTGTCTGCACTCACCTGGGTTGTGTCCCCATTGGCGAGGCTGGCGACTTCGGAGGCTGGTTCTGCCCTTGCCACGGTTCTCACTACGACATCTCCGGACGTATAAGGAAAGGCCCTGCTCCCCTCAACCTGGAGATCCCCGCCTACGACTTCCCCGAGGAGGACAAGCTGGTTATCGGTTAAGCGTTGGAGATGTATGAGTAGGGGGGTTAATAGGGTGTGAGGATCAATTTTGCTCAGCCGAGCCACGGACTTCCCTTTTAGACGTCATTGGATGCAGAGTTGTTGTTTGGTTGGCATTTCTTAGACGTGTTCTTGGCAGTGCCTTGTACAAAAGACCCGAGCATTAAAATCATTCGAGACATTGTCTTTTTTACAAGGCCCCTCTCGCCCCTGGTGACGCTTATGCTGATCTCGTTTCCGTCTCTCCTAGGCTCTCCTACGTGGTGGCCGGTGCGCTGATAAGTGAATCTTCAGGACGCCAATGGCCAAGAGCCAAGATAGCCAGCGAGTGCCCAATCATCAGAGACCAATACGTCTTTTTCCTTTCGCTGTTCTTGCAGTTCCCGGTTCGATTGGGCATAGATCTTCGTGATGGACTTCATGATGGTAGCTTGGCACCTGATGTCGACCGTACCAAGGGCGACGCTGCAGGCGGATTGGCAAAACTTGGACGAAACTCAATGCGGCGACACACATGAGCCCGGATAAAGGGTTTAAAACCTTGCCGACCCCCCGTAACCAAAGAATGGACTTGTGAGGATGGCGGCGGTGACAGCAACCTATGACTGGCTGAAGTAGCAGTGATCGCTTGGCCGCGACCAATGCACTGGCCACCAAGCAGTCCTGCAGGAGGCCAATGTGTCACGAACGGTTCATGCAGCCCAGAGGCGTCTACGACTGTCATGCCGTCCATCTTTACAATGGGCGGTAAATGATTCATGACTAGGGGTACCAATGGTCTGCCTGGTCTGTGCTCCTTGCCACTGATGCGCATTTGGGCAATGGACGTTATGCGAATCCCATGATCTCATTGATGAGGGCATCGCCTCGCGGCCATGATCGTCTGTGAAACGGCCCATATCCTGGCCTTGATCGTGAGGTTCCATGATCTCGACGACTGTGGCCGAGTAAACAACGACCCGCTGAAGAGAGTTGTGCACGATGCTGCAATGCGTGGATGTGCTACCGAGTGTGATCGCGGTGCGCTGCCCATCACGAAATCCCAGCTGGTTGCCATCGTATCTTCCTACACATGCAGAGGATGTTGAGACATATGCTGGGCCGTCGTCTGCGCACAACCTTGCTAAACTTAGATGACCTAGAATACATATCGGACTCGGTATGCCTGGACCGAGTACGCCTGGGTGCTGCCTCTGAGTTCGTCTCGTCTACGATGTGACCGGAACCCTCCGACCCCAGGTTTTCCTGTCGGACAGTGTCACCTCAACTGGCCAAACTCCAGATGACTGGAATGGCGAGGCAAGAACAGACGAAAGCGCATCGATGCTTGGCATAGGGTAGCACGACTGTCTGGCGATGCTGTTGGGGCCGCCGAATCCTTTTCGCAACGGAGACGTTGGCTGTCTGGAGATATCCCCGAACAAGGTACCGCTACCTAGCGTGTGGGAAAAGGGCCCGCAATTTAACCCTTTGTTTTGGGTTTGGCCCAAGTAGCGCTACCAAGTCGAGCATGTAATCGGATTCTGATGTCCGTGCCCCTGTCTCCAACCCTGTACCATCTGACCTCTCACAACGCTTGCTTCGTGCGGCTCCGCGTGGACGAGACGCGAAGCGTACCATCGCCCGTCTGATCTATTCCCACCTCTGACACGACCGCATCAAGCCTTGGCTTTCCTCTCCCGCTCCAGCCCGAGATTAGCGCCTCCGGAAGACGTCTCCGGAAGAGGCAAGATGAGCCTCGTCCTGCGCTGTTTGCTCAGGCGCCCAAGCCCTTGGGACGAATGAGGCGGGATGCTTCCCAAAGGTGCTGCTGGCCTTGGGCGGCACTGTATCTGTCCCTCTCGATACCTACCCCATTATGAGATGGCAATCCACTGGCTCGTTGCAAGTGCAAGTTTAGGTCAAGAGATGCTAGAGATAGATCTCATGAACCTTCGCCGGTCGTCATTCATAGATGGCGTCAGGATCGATGTCATGGTGGCGGTCCCAAGTGGAATATCGTCCCGACAGCCCTGGCTGATCTATCGTTCGTGTCATGGCCCAACACTTGCAATGATGGCACGGATGACATGCCCTTCAGACGAGCGCGGGCATTTCTTGCTACTTTACGCACTTGGGGCAGGGGTATCGAACAAGACTGCCACACCAACGACAGGTCCAGGCGCCCCTTGTACCCTGACACATGCCCCTAGATCTCCAGCCCCTTCGACCTAGTCTACTCCTCCCGCACCGACATTGTTTACAGCTCGCCGCGCGTGGTGCTTTAATTCCGGCTGGGGGGCGAGCCGATGCCGCCTCACCCTGGGAAGCGGCCCAAAGCGGCCAGGCGCTACTGTCGCATCACTGGATGCTGGCCGCCCGCGATCTGCGGAATGGAGCCCTTAGCGAAGTTGCCAGGGGTCTATGCTCAAAGCAGGACTGATGACGATGATCTGAGTGGACGTGCCAGTCGTGATCATGCCTCATATAAGACGGGACACACCTCGCCCAGACATTGCCATTTCTTGTAGTACTTCACTCACTTCAGTCTGCACACTTAGGGTTACGTTCTTTCTCTTTCGTCTAGTTCTGTGAACTTACTTTCTCGACACTCTTTTTCCATCTTGTAAGACTTCGATTCCACCAACCGCTAGGCCGGCCCTCTTTTTTGAATTACAACAGCTTTCGTTTTCTAAGGTGTACCAGTCGTTACGAGTTTCGTGTTCTCTCTTTTCACCTACGACATCATGAAGTACCAGACTACGGCCGCCATAGTCGCCCTGATGGGCATGACCTCTGCTCGCGAGCTCAACCTTGGCGGGAAGATGGCCAAGCGCGAGGTCCCCCAGGAGCACGCTCACCAGGACATCATCGACATTGTCAACACCAACCTGAAGCTCAACAACCCCCTCGAGATTCAGGATGCCATCTTCTCCCTTCTCGGCAACAAGGCTGCCGCCGAGGGTGCCCCCAACGTCCAGAACCTGGACTGCCTCCAACAGATCGTCGCCGACCAGGCCTTCACCAACGCCAAGGCCGCCAACGACCTGGCTGGTCAGGTTGCCGCCATCCAGTTCCGCGCTCTCGAGCGTAACACCGGCAGCGTCGGCCTGGCCAGCGTTCTCTGCAACGAGACCGCCACCAACCCCGAGATTGCTGCCATCACCCAGCACCAGGATCCCGCTTCCGCCGAGGCCTCGGGCAACAAGCAGATCGCGCTTGATGTCGCCGCTCAGCTCGCCAAGATCGGCGCTGACCCCAACCTGGCCATTGCCACTGGCACCTTTGCTCCCGGCCAGGTGAGTCTTCCTCCGACTGCTGCCACCCGACACTGCCAATGTGATGGTCACTAACATGAACTCTTTTGTCAGATCGGCGACCCCACCGGCGCCGGTAACACCTGCGACGATGCTAATGATCCTAACGGATGCATCAACACCCAGAAACTGCTGGTCCCTGATGTCACCGAGGCCGAGATCGCTCAGGCTGTCGGCGGTGCTGCCGGAGGCGCGGCTGGTGGTGCGGCCGGAGGTAACGCCAACGCCGGCAAGGGCAAGGGTAAGGGCAAGGGCAACGCCGCCGGCAATGCGGGCAACGCTGCTGGTAAGTTGCCATCTCATCTGAATTCCCAGAGCGTGGACCCCTCGACTGACTTGAAAGAATGCGGAGCAGCTGCCGGAGGTGCCGCAGCGAACAAGGGTAACGGAAACGCAAACAACAATGCCAACGCTGGTGCAGCCAACGGCAATGCCAACGCTGGTGCTGCCAACGGTAACGCGAACGCTGGCAACGCGAACGCTGGCGCCAGTGCCAGTGTCAACGTCCAGACCTTCACCGGGACCCTCGGCGGTGCTCCCCCGGCGGTCATCAGCTCGGCCGCCGACGCCAAGCGCCCCTTCTCCGTCGACGGGTCGACCTTTGTCAACGCCGGCGCCGCCCTCCAGCGCTCCTGCTCCGTCCAGCACAACAAGTGCGCCAACGCCGCCAACTCGGGCCAGCTCGCCGGCGGCGCCGCCCAGTGCGAGGCCCAGCAGAAGCAGTGCGACGCCGCCGCCGCGGGCGGTGCCGCCAAGCGCGCCAAGAAACTCCGCCAGGCCGGCCTCGACTTTGGCGACTGCTCCGACCCCGCGATCCAGTTCGCCGCCGGCCTGGACGGCCGCAAGGAGAACTCGTTTGGGCCCGTCAACAGCGCCGACTTCAACCACGGCTCCGCGCTCAACATCAAGGTCATCTCGAGCTTCATCTGCGGCCAGCTCGGCTCCAAGTGCAAGGCCGGCAAGGCGACCGTCGACGCCTGCAACGCAGCCGACAAGGCTGCCCAGGCCGCGACCGGCAAGGCTGCCGCCGATGCGTTCAACAGTGCTCTTGGCGTTTAAGGGTCTCTGGGGGTTTTGATGAGGTTACGGCTCCCACGATTTAGGATAGCATATAAGCAAGCCTCTTTCTTCTATATCTTACTCTATCTATCTAACGTCATTTTTTTCTTTCATGGGATATCCTGGATTACGTGTGGGGATTGTGAGGCTTGACACTCATGCCCACGATCTGTGTATGTTAGCATAACGGCTTATGTGCTTTTGGGAAACTGGCGGGCATGAATTTGGGACCAATTTATCTTTAAAAAACAACTGGCGAAATTGAAATGGTGATGAAGACTTTGACTTGTGTGTATTGTGTAGACATGCCATGCCATGCCTGCGAAAGCGGTCTTTGTCCCTTGGATGGTGCCTCGACTTGCTCAGAGGGTGGGCCGTGGTTTCCCTCGCGATGATATGGTTCCTTCCGCAGCCGAAAGCAGTAGAGAGAATGATTTGTACCCGGTTTTCTTTTTCAATTCTCATTAACTCATTTTTCGCTGCCTGGAGTCAAGAAGGGAGAACAAGAGATAGCATCTTGAAGTCTGCTGGTTCTCCTCGCCAGCAAATATTCAATTATCCAACGTCTTCCTCCATCATTGTTAGAAGTACACTCATTTGAAGCCATACAACTCAATACATTTCCATATGTCACATTTAGAAATGGACTTCAACATCCCTGAGAGTCTCGAACGCATGGAGGCTCAGATTGATGGCCGCCAGTGTGAACTCCCACGCAAGTACCGCATCGCATTGGAGGAAGCATGCCAGTATGCCCGGGACAATGGCCTCACCTGCGACTACGAGACAATCCCTCGCCCTGATGTGGAACGACTTGCTGCCAAACTCGTGTCTCCTTCGCCAGATGTCGGTCCTGATGGCCAGATCAAACTTCTCCCGGGCTTTGAGATTCCATCCTCGATCAGCGTCGACGAGATCTGGGATCTGACTGAGCAATCGCTTAGGCTGATCGAGGCAGCATGCCAGAGACCCAGCGCCGAACAGATCGACATGCTGAAGCACCGAGTTCTTGGCCTCGGTGCTTCCAAGGGCCTCAAAGTTGAAATGCCGCTTCTTCAAAGCGATCCAAGCAGGGACTTGCGAGATCTACTACGCAGCATCGAGGTCGCATTCAGCACACCTCTGAAAAGTCACCATTTCCCGCTCGAGCCTGTCAATACAGAGCGCGACGAGGGCCTCGAGTTTCCGAGCTCATCTCGAAAGTTCGCACAGAGTATGATGCAGTCCATCAAGGAAGAAACATTGGATGTTTCGAAAGAACTCTTGGTTTACATATCGGAGACTTTGAAGGATGATTGGTCCGCAGAGAAGCAACTCTCGTACATCCATGGCCAGATTAATTTCAACAAGGTGAGACCAGAAGAGACGGGACACTTCTAAGCTGGACGACAATTAATACAAATTCTAGAACCCCGGAACTGAACCTGTTACTCCTCCACTAAGCCCAATGCCTGAGGAGCCTTCTCATTTCATACCAGAGGGAGATGTATACAATGTGCCCATACTATCAGATCCCAGTTCGACATTGAGCAGCGAATTGCAGGAGGCTGAGAATGCCCTGGCCGTTCTTCAAGGCGATGCAGATATCTTCGGTCCTGATCAACTGATAACCTCGCCGAGTCAGTTATTCTCGGACAGCCAGTCATCTCTACAGCTGTTGACAAGCACGCTACCGGAACGCAATAAGTCCCAAGACCTGCGTGTCGAAGTCCCTCTGCTCCCCGAATTCGAGATTGATGAGGAAACTGACCCTGCCGGCATTCTGGATCCTACTCGTGCTATTGCCGCCGTTGCGAAGCAACACGCAGGAGATGGTTTCGAGGAGGAAATACGACGTACCATGGGGGAAGACGGCACCAAAGATGCATTCGAGAACTTGATCCGAGAATCAGCAACCACGGTGAACAGAAGAGTTGAACAGGAGCAGCTCGAGCCCCTTGACTCGATATTACAAGTCAAAATACCACTGGCGGACTTTTCGATCGAGGAGCCAGCATGGAAAGAACACGAAAATGACCCTGAGGCCATGTTCAAGTCCCTCCGTGCATCCAACCCGGAGATGTTCAGTGTTCGGGAGTGGCTAGACAAGAGGTCGGGCGAAATGAACATGGTGTGGAAGCCAATGAAGGATGTGAAGATTACAGAGTTGTTTGATGGCGCTCCAGAGAGCGCCATTGACCAGTTTCTTGCGACTCGCGCCGAATCCGAAGTGCCAACAAGTGCGAATTACGTCTGGAAACGAGAGGGATTGGCCATATTGCGTGATGATCGGTACGACGATGACGAGGAGATTCTTCCCGCCTTTTCGATGAAGAAACCTAAGCGGGACTTGACGGAGCTTATTCAGACCAAGAAGAGAATGATGGATGAGGAAGGCTCAGCACATCCGAGACACAGAGAGCAGCCTGACAGCAGCCAGAATGGACCAGTCAACGGCCACAATCATGGAATGCTGCTCGATGAGGGTCTTCCGGCCGTGGGGCGACTCCTGGACAATTATCTTGATCTACATGCACCCAACAGACGCAAGAAAGCCAAGTTGGACCACCCGAACGTCGTTCGTCCGTCTATCGAAGGCAGCTCGAGAGAGCCCCAGCAGAAGAACAAGGCCATGGCGCGAGAGTGCTCCTCGAACGAGGTAATTGCAGCTTGGATACCGCCTCTCCAGCTCCCAGAACAGCCGCCCAAGGTCATCGTCTCCCTCAATCTCTCACGAGCAACTATGCGACACATAGAGAAAGTTATTCCAGGAATCGACATTGTTGACCGCGACTACGACGCTTACAATACGTCCCGATGGATTCCAGGATCGACCTGCCGTTCAGAAGTCATCTCCCCACTTGCCGCAGAGGCAGACGTAACCATTTCCTCCATAACCGGAGTTCTCCTGACCACAATGGTCAAGGTCCGCCAGAAACCGGTGCCGGGCGCAAACGGGCAGTCGGTAATTCGGAACCGAATTGAGCGCGTGAGCGCCCGGTACGAGCGCCTCATCGTGCTTGTTTCTGAGAACAGCAGAGACGAGAGCATGAGCGAGATGGCATCTGCTGACGCCACCACCTTTGCCGAGTTTCAGGGCTACTTGGCAACTCTGGAAACGAGCGTGACTTCGTTCTATGTTGGGGGCGGCGAGAAGGCGCTTGCAGGCTGGGTGGCTTGGTGCATTTGCAGACACGAAGCAGAAGGCCGGCAAACCAAGAACTCCATTCTTGAGGTCGAGTCCTTCTGGGAGCTCTTCCTTCGCAGGGCAGGGATGAACGTCTACGCGTCTCAGGCAGTCTTGGCGACTTTGAGAGACCCCGGGCAGGCGTGCGAAGGGGATGCTCCGACTCAATCTGCGTTGGCTGCGTTTGTCAGGATGACCCCGGCAGAGCGGTCACTGCGATTCTCGATGATGATGGGAGGTACAAGAGTACTAAAGAGGGTTAGCGAGGCTATTGATCCTAGCTGGCAGTGATGGAATGGGGCTGAATCTCGACAAACTGTCGGCCATGTAGCATCGGTGTTGCTTTTTGAAGATGGGTTTGCTTGGGTATCATACTGTGGCTAGATCTGCTTCGCCATCATGGGATTTTGTCCTAGTGTCTTGGGCTCCGGGACTGATCTGCCTTGAGAATAAAGCAATTTTCTGGAACCAATCTTAGGCAGGTGTGTCTGGTTCCGGCAAGCCGATGCTCCAAACATTGAGCTCCGAGGTGCCCATGATTCTCTTGTAGGGTCGGTCGTCCTCGTCTAAGTAAGTCCATGACCCTGAGCACGTCGCGACGACCGAGCCGCTGGGATGCATCGCCGTGCTCCCAGTCGCAGAGTCGTAGGCTTTCCAATCCCACGACGGCTCGTGAGCGCCCTCGCGACTCCCCACGCCCTCCCACACCTTTGCAGTGCCGTCGCGCGTACCGGCCCAGACCTCGAAGCCTCCTCCGTCGCCGGAGCCGGGGTAGACGTCGCAGGTCAGCCGCTGCGTGCTCTCCGCGTCGCGCCCGGCCAGCCAGCCGAGCATCTTGCCCGTGACGCGGACGTCGTAGACCAGCATGCCCGTGGACCTGCGCTCGTTGACGACCAGGTAGCGGCCGCACGGGCTCCATATCGTCTGCATGATGCCGGTGCCGCCGATCGGTGCCGACTTGTCGGTCGCCGTCTCGTCGACAGACCGCTCTACGCCCCAGGTGGCCACGCACTCGCCGGCCTTGGCAAAGTCGTACAGCCCGACCCACCGCGTCCAGGTCCCGGCGGCGACGAGGCTCCCGCCGTTCCCGTCTGGCGTCTGAGCTGATAGTGCCGACACGGTGCCGCGCATGCCTACGCCCCCGCCCTTGAGGATGTGGCGGGTGGACGGGATGGTGGGGATGCGCAGGACGGGGCCTTCTCCGGTGCGAGTGATGTCGAAGTAGGAGATGAGGTTGGCGGTGCCGGTGAGGAAGTGGGTGCCGGGCGCGGGCCAGAGCATGGAGAGAGGGGCCAGATACTCTTCCGTCTGGGGCTTGATGAGGGGGTAAGATGCGACGATGGGCTGGGGGAACGCTGAACCTTCGGGCTGGGTCGGGTCGGGCAGTGCATGGTAGAGCTGGATCGGGATGTCGCGGCTTCCGACGAGGACGGTCTGCGTGTAGGGTGTGCCGAGAGAGAAGTAAGGGGCTGGCGCGATGGTGTTGCTAGGCTCTGGTAAGGCGAGCTTGCCCTGGGGATCTAGATGCAGCGGCTCGTCCTTGGGCGCCAGTAGATCCTCCGGAAGAACATAGCTGCTGATGATGAGATCCGAAGAGGAGGTGATCAGGGTGGTGCCATCCGCGGTCCTGAACAGCTTTGTTAGTAGGAGGCACATGAGGCAACTTAGGGGCGAGGGATCTGACCACTGAGCGCTCTTGAGGTATGCGAAATCGTTGTTAAGCGGAAGGTCTGTATCAGCTCTCGCATCCCGGGAGGATGTGGACGCGACCAGCTTGATATCAGGCTTTTTCTTGGCCGGGGTTGGGATTTCATCCGATGTCATGATTGGGCCTGAGGGCGATGACTGGGTTGGGATGAAAGGGGCCAACGACGTCAACTCATGTCTATGAGTTCGGACCCGATGTCAACGCGGTATTGTTGATTCATCGAGTCAAGAGCTGTTTGTGAGTTGAGCTGGAGTCGGTTAGCATGAGCTGCAGATCCAGAGTGCCAGGCATGCAAGGTAAAGTGGAGAAGTGCCTGCAAGAACCCGGCAGTGCTAGCAGACCAGTCGAGAATAGGAACTCCAACAAGGCGTTAGCGCCTCAGGAACAGTGCTAGACCCAGGTGACTTGGGTAGGAATCGCCGTAGGATACGGTAGGATGCAGGCGGTCAGGGCGGTGAAGAAGGGCGGCAAGACCGCCATGTCGTCACTGTGGGCTACTTCTTTAGGTAGTATTCTGGGGGATGGAGGATCAGGCACCTACCACCACTACCACCACCACCACACCACCACCTGCCCCAATATTTCCCCAATCACCTTCGTCGCATCCACCTCGTGGTCAACTACCGCTTCCGGAACGAACAAACTTTACTCAGATAGCGCGTGTCTCTTCCTCCTGTTGACTCTCTCTCTCTCTCTCTCTCCCTCTCTTCTCTTGTCTAGCGCTTCACGGAACCACAGACAATAGCATGGGAGATGTACCAGTGCTTGCCGACTCCCTCTCTTCGACCCTACCTTCGAGAAGCAACCGGGCTAGTGCATATGCGCGCGCCGCCATCCAGCCGATCCGGGGTTGACAGCCTCTGCCAAGCCTGACCCAAATCCCCAGAACCCGAACGGCTGCACGCCTCCTAGCCCTCGCGGAGCTGCGGATCACGACTGCCTAGCTCGTCATACTACACCATTGAAATAACACCAGGATGGACTTCGTGTTCGACGACAGGACGCGCTGCGACGAGCTGCGCGAGCCTGGTGTCGTCAGTATCATCCTCTCCCTGTACGTCCCACCCCGTCTCTGCTCTCTCCCTCCACCTGCTAACTCTATTCTCCAGTATCATTCTTATCGGTCTCCTGATCTCCTACCTTCCGCAACACTACCGCATCATTTCCCGCGGCACCTCCGAGGGCATCTCCCCATACTTTGTGCTGCTCGGCGTAACCTCTGCGACCTCTGGCTTCGCCAACATCCTCACCCTCCCCCAGTCGCGCCAAGATGTCGGCTGTTGCAAGGAGCTCGATACCTTCCACTGCATGGCAGGCCTCCTAGGCATCGCGCAGTTGGGAGTGCAGTGGATATGCTTCTCCTTCATGTTGGTTCTCCCCCCTCCAACACTGGCTGTTGTACATATGTCTAACCCCATCGCAGCTTGATACTCTTCCTGGTCTTCTTTCGCCATGACGACACCGCCGTCCCCGAGGTGGAGCTGCAAGACGACCAGCCGCAGTGGCAGACCGCTCTCACCGTCGGGTCGCTCTGCATAGTCCATGGACTTGTGGTCATCATCATATCTGCCATCTTCGCGACTATCTTCCCTCAACACTTGTCTATCTGGGCCAACGCGCTAGGACTCATGGCTGCTATCCTCGCAGCTATTCAGTACTTGCCCCAGATATACACCACCTACCACCTTAAGCACGTCGGCAGTCTCAGCATACCCATGATGTGCATCCAGACGCCCGGAGGGTTCCTCTTTGCCTTCAGCCTCTGGACTCGGCTGGGATGGTCTGGCTGGAGCTCGTGGGGCATATTCCTGCTAACTGCCTTGATGCAAGGCATTCTGCTGTCCATGGCAATCTGGTACGAGCTGAAGCGCAGAGCGCCGGAGGCTCCTGTGCCCGCGTCGCCCAAGCCCGACAGCCTTCCGTCCCGCCGTAGGCCCATTGTGCTGCCCAGCCGCTTGGACGATAACACCCCGAGTCGGTACAGTGCTCACCCGGAACACTACGGCACCACGCCGGACGAGATATCGGACATTATCGAGCGACAGGACGGAGATGCCGCTACCGAGACACAGCCATTGCTCCGACCTGGAGGAATCGGGGACCCGCGGAGGAATCGCAAACAGCGACGGGGCTAGAGTAGTCACCGCTTACCATGTCATTTATCAAACAGGCGTTCTCCTACTTCTTTGCTGGCATTGTCTCTCGTTTTCTGTCTCTATTTTGTCGTGCTGGAAAAGGCGTCTTATCTTGGCTGCTCAGCCTCCCCGGCCCTGCAGCTACATCTCTGGCATGCTTGGCTCTTTTCATATATGAGTTGAAATAGACAGATCTGTCACACGGCCCCATCCTCCTTATGCTGTCTGCGAACGCGCCCATCTTATCGGCGATCCCGTACATGCACGTAAGTGGCTTTCCTCTTGAACGGCACCGTCCGAGCGCAGCGCATAACTGCATAACCTGGACGATACCTGCGCTTCCAATAACCCACTCACCTTGCCAGCCATCAGGTCCGTCATTTGAAGGTTTATCTGACAGTCTGCGCCGTGATCTGTACTCACGCACGATTGCTAGGATTTTGTTATCCTCAGACTGGCTGACTACCACTGTTTCCCTCTGGGCCCCTTCAAGGGGTGTCATTTGTTCCGGCTGTTTACTCCAGACGCGCGGGTTTGGGTAGCTCAAACCATTATCCCGAGCCTAAAGGAGCGAAATGTTTCCAGCAAGACCCCTTGCCTTCGGCATTCTGGGCCCGCTTGGTACCCGCACGTTCTTCTTGTCAGCGCTGCCCCGCGATATGGCTGGTCTTGGGATGAAGTCTGTGTGGCACTACCGATCGCCGACCCGAAACATGACAGTCGACGTCCCTGCGTCTCATGTGGAAACTTACCCGCTACACCTTTTGCTAGCGAGGCGACGAGCTCGACCGCATTGAACTGCCTGTCACATAGCTCGCGACTGTGCAGAAGATCAGATGTGCCAAGACGCAGCGTCGCATATGCGATGCGCGCGCTCTGGGAGGTTCCGCTCGTCGACCTGGGCGCATTGCCGTGGGAGAGCTTCAGACGTCGCGAGAGCTCAGGCGTGTGTCTCCTATAAGGTAGGTGACGGCTGCTAGTTCCCGTGAATCTTTTCTCGTTTCCTTCTTTCTCGATTGATGCTGTTTTTCCGTTCGTTTCTCGAGTTATGTCTTTGTGTTTTTGTCGTTCTCTACCGCATTCATTCGCATTGGTAATCACTCATTACAATACGTCAAGGTAGCTTGTTTTTCTATCTCTGCTACTGTCAGCCGTTGACCAACGGCTGCTTATGACCGACCATGTCGGACCTGTGGACAGATCCGTTGTGGAGGAGAGACAATGACCCGTGTCCGGGAGCGAACGGGACGACGATAGGGACGACGCAGAAGTTCACGCTGCTGTGTGGGCTGAACGTGGTGGGCGATGTGATCAACACGCCAGACGTAGACACTTTCGAGCAGTGCGCGGACTTGTGCGCTTCGTTCCACCCAAAGTGCGAGGCTGTCTCGTTCAGCAGACGGAAGTGCGAGTTCAAGGCGAACGTCAAGGAGAGCAAGACGCACAACTCCCGGTTTACCGACGCCGCCATGGCCATTTTCCCCTCGGCGTCGTCGAACTGCGGCAGGCTCGGGAGGACGACGAGGTCAAACGGGATGCAGTTCAACCTCTTCTGCGACAACGTCATCAACGGGGACGACATTGTGCAGAACTTTGCGCCCACCTTCCAAGACTGCCTGGACCAGTGCTCGCAAAACGACGCCTGCAAGGCCGTGTCGTACGACGCGAAGATGACGCTGGGGTTCAAGAACTGCTACCTCAAGACCGCGAACGGCAGCAACGCTCCCCTGAGCAGCTCCGGAGTGGACACAGCCGTCTTCAACGCAGCCGCGGCGGAAAACCCTTCCCCCTCGGGCTCGGCCTCGCCATCCGCGCAGCCCGCACCATCCTCGACTTCTGTCGCGCCAGCCAACCCGGCCGTCTCCGACACCACCCAGGCCGCAGCCCAGCCCAGCACCACGGCCGCCGCCGTCGCGACTTCACAGCCCGTCGCGGCCACGACCTCTCCGCCGGCCGCCGCCCCCGCGGCAAGCACCAGCACATCTTCCTCCTCCGCCGCCGCCGCAGCCGGCGGCGGCAGCTTCTTCACGCCGCCCGTGCCCGTCGTGCTGCCCCAGAGCGTCAGCACGCAGACCATCGTCTCCATCATCACCAGCATGCAGGACTCGGTGCCCACGGTCGTCTCGACGACGCAGATCCTCACCGTGCCCGTGACGCAGACCGCCGAGGTCGCCGCGCCGCCGCCGGCGGGGGGCATCCCGGAGACGGGGGGACCCGCGGGCGGCGCAGCGCCCACGTCGACGGCGGCGGCCGACGCCGCCGCGACAGACAGCAGCAGGGCCTGGATCGCGGCGCCGGTCGTGGGCTCCGTCGCGGCCGTCATGGTCATCGCCGTCGCGTTCGTCATGTGGGGCCGCCGGCGCAGCGCGGCGCGGTCGTCGTCCCTCTTCAGCCGGCTGCCCTTCACGCGCGCCGGCGGCGGCGGGGGCAGCAGGGGCGGCGGGGAGAAGGGCGCCTTCGGCGGCAGCCAGCGCGGGTTCGGCAACTACTGGCGGACGGGCCAGCGCCTGGCCGACGAGGAGTCGCGGGCCGGCGTCAGCAGCCAGCGGAGCACGCGGCCGCCGACGCGGCTGAGCACGCCGCAGTTTGAGGTGCACCAGGGCAAGATCCGCGAGAGCGGCGGCGGCGGCGGGCAGTCTGGGCCGGCATCGAATGGGCTGGGGCTGAACAAGCCCAATCTGGATGGCATTCCTAGTTTTTTGAGGGAGTGAGTGAACTCGGGCTGGTTGTTTGCTACATATTGCCGGGTTCCTGGCTGGCTGAGGGCCCTCCTGGTGACGCCATCGGCATGCATCAGTTCAAAGAGGGTAGGGCTACGAGTAGGTATGGGTCAAGAGGATGTGGTCTCCTGGGAAGGAGTCTAATTGGTTTTGGCGTTGCTGCGCTCGTTTATATCCCCGGTGTTAGGTAGAGAGCATGCCCTGGCTTGTTGGCACCTGGTCACAATCAAATCACACTTAGAGCACGAGGCCGTCTTCTTGAAGGAGAGGTGTTAACAGTGACTCGGTACTCGGGGAGCAGCCGCAAGTGCTTCTAGAAAAGCTTCCCCAGATTATAACACTCGGGACTAGTCTTTGGTAGACCGGGATGCCCTGTCTTGCATGCATCTCCAGGTGACTGAGCGGAGATTTTGGAGGGTCTCTTTGGGAAACAGAGATATATCCCCGGGTGTTTAAGGCCCCACGCGCTTGTGGCGGTATTACAATAATGAATGGGCTCAGGGTGCAAGTGTACTGTCCCGCATCGGCCCATGCATGAGGGAGTGATGTTTCGCCGTGCAGCAAATCGTGGTGTAGATCAGTCCGGGAGCAGGCCAGGGGCCCCAGGGACGGGATGTAAGGTTTCATGGCTCTCGCCTCTCGAGGTACTTCGTTCTAGACTGGATTGCTCTCGTATATCTCATCCTTTTCTATCTAGGGGCGCACGTTATTTCGGTCCAGCTTGTTCTCCAATTGGTTCATGTCAAAGGTCAAGCTTTGTGGTCGTTTGAAGTCGCCGGCTACAGAACAGATTCGAAGGTTTGTCCACCTAAGTGGAGCTACTATGTTTGAGTAAGTGAACATCCCATGTACTTCAGCTTGTACGTAAGCAGTACTTTTAGCAATGATTATGTTAAACACTGTTTGACAGGGTATAAGAGCTTCTCAGTAACTAATACTCCGACTTGCAGGTAGCATAAGGGCCACTATCAGGAGTGACAGCAAGTGCAACGACGTCCAACAGCCACCATCGACCACCAACTATCATTAGCAGTCACTAATAACGACCGATAACCACGAATGACCGCGGATGACCACCAATCACCGTCTACAGTCATCAATATCTGTGGCGTCAGTTTGAACATCTATGGTATTCCTGTATAGGTTATATGTTTCTTCTGAGAAGTCAGGCGGCCTTGGGTTTGCTTGGAGTCGGTTGAAGTATAACTGCCATACATAATGCAGAACACTTCCTAAATGGCTGACATCAAAAGAAAGTACATCTCAACACTAAAAGCTTGTTGTAGGGGTGTGATTCATATAGAAATAATGTTATTAATTATAAAATGTTTATTAAAGGTACCATCTATATATAATCCTAGGCAACTGTACATATTAAAGTTCTATATAGTATTATTAGACAAGATATTCTAGATCTCAAAGAACAACTAGAGAAGCTTACTAAAGAGATTCTATAGAATAGAAGCTGGTAACAATGTTATTGTAGTACAGGCTCTCTAACATAACAATCTCTATTAATATAGGTTGGTCGTCCTCCAGCAATAGGTATTGGTCGACCTCCATTGAAGGCAATTGAGAGGCGATGACCAGGGACTACAGATAATACAGAAGCAACAGAGTGCCTATCAAAATAAGTAGAAGAGGAGAAGAAACGATCTTAGGCTAGAGACGCTTGAGATATTGTTCTTACAAGCCTGGATCTGCTTAGGCCAGTGTGATCCTACATTATAGATCATTGAGAGAATTCAAGAAACAAGACAGAGAGACAAGAGTCAGTAATAAAATAGGTGCTTTGAGGGAGGATGAGCTTCTTGCTACTTGAAATACTCTAACTGGTGGAAATATATATGACAGTTGTTGATGATGCTGGATTGGATGAGGGCAGACAAGCTCCCAGCATTACAGAGCAGCGATGGATTTCATAGCTTGATAGGAGGTAATACTATTCAAGGAAGACAGGGTTCTGACGCCGACAGACTTAGATCAAGACCAATCGCACTTTTTGCACTGCTTGTTGCGGGATGAGGTCCCCTCAATAAAGCACTACTTGCTTCCTTTACTTGTGGCCGAGGTCTAAAGACTGTGGCAATAGCGCAACTTTAGCCCACCATTTACGTTATTCGCTCGTTGCTAACCATGCTTCGTCAATCCAAATCACTCGTGGTCAGCAGGTTTTTTCTTTTGTCTTTTCTTCTAATCTTCCTAATTCCCTTCGTAAAGAATTGAGGGCCCCACCCCCCACCTACTCGCACCCACACGAGAACGGGGGAAAAAAATGAAAAAGAGCAAAAAAAGAACGACAACTGCAGGATTCGAACCTACGCACGCGAACGTAAGAGATTTCGAGTCTCTCGCCTTAACCACTCGGCCAAGTTGCCTGTTGTTGAGGAAAAAGCCAGTAAATTAGTATTATATAGCCTAGCCACCACACACTGTATTTTTCGTTTAATTCCCTCCATTGTCTCACAGTTGTTTCCCACTGATGCTTTGTTTTAACAACAGTCTGACTTAATACTTTGGCACATCCTTGTATCATGAACATATCGTGTAGAAAGAGTATAGTTTGTCTCTGGTAGCTTGATCGACGTCAATTAAAATCCAACAGAACAGTTCATAGGCTGGACAGGGTACAGACAACGACCAGCACATGTAAATGGTGTAAGTATTTATCAGGCTCAAAAGCAATTCATTGTGACGCTCTACTAGTACAGTCAATTATCGTCTCGATGGACCTGAGCGGAGCATCCTCCTAGAGGCACAGTGATGTTTTCTTCCAGGTGACATGCTGAGGCTGAGTGCGTTCTCTTCTTTTCTCTAGATACACTGATCTGTAAACATTTCATGGACCCCGTGATTAGACACAGTTATCAACATGGTCACGACTATACATCAGCCTGATAAAGAAGCATGCTCACACTGAGAAACATCATTCAAATATGACCTGGTGACCACTTTCCAATCAGAATCTGATTCGTCACATGTACTTGTTGATCTCACACGGTCTGCTCCCTCCTAAGGGAAGACGCTTGTGAGAACGTCGCCGTACGCCTTGTAGGAGAGCTTCATCTTCTCGATGTCATAATCGTTCCAGTAGCCTCCGCCGGCGAGGGTGCTGCGGCTAGCCCACGCAGTAAACTTGGACTTGGCCTGCGCGACGGTCGTGCCCTGGGACGGCTTCGAGTCGTTGGTCACCCAGACGAGCGGCACGACCTTGAGCCCGAGGGCGCCCTGCCAGTCGCCGGGGTCGTTGAACGCGCCGCCGTCGTAGCACTGCAGGTAGACCCTGTCGAGCAAAGGGGAAGCGGCGCCGGCGTTGAGCCGCGACCCGACGCTGGCCCAGAAGGGCTGGTTCGTGTACGGCGCGATGGTGTACTTGTACCCGATGGCGCCGAGCATGCGGGCAAAGGCGACGGTGCTGTCCGCGTCGTAGACGGACTCGTCGTCGTTGTTGACGGCGTCGAGGCCCCAGGCCGCCCTGAGCGCCTCAAAGCTGCGGTACAGCGGCGTGGAGGCGCCCGGGCCGGGGCTGCGCATCAGGTCGCGGACGTGCTGGGCGTTCATGGAGACCTCGACGCGGTCCACGCCCGTGCCGGCGCGCTCCTTGAAGGAGCGGACCTTGTCGGCCAGGGCGGCGCCGCCGACGTAGGCGCCCTGCGAGGTGAGGAGGACGTCCTTGCTGCCGGGAGTGTTGGAGTAGTACATGATGTCGCCGTTGGCGAGGATGCCGACGCCAAAGATGATGAGCGAGTTGAAGCCCGAGGTCGTGATGGCGGCGGTGTCGGACTTCATGACGTCCTTGAAGAGGAAGATGCTCCGTATGTTGGCCGAGGCCGATGCCGATGCGTCGAGGGGGGCGGCCGAGACGAACAGCGAGAAGACTGCCAAGAGCAGAGCTCGTGATAGTGCGTAGTGCTTCATCTTGACTATCCGGGGTGGTTGGACAGGGGATCAAACTTCAGGTCATCTGTTGTTGAGCCCCATTGAGAATAGAAAGACATACTCGGCCGTGCGCGGTCACTGTGGCCTAGAATATATACAACCACATCTCGATACATCTCGTATCCTTCCGGCAGAGAAGAGGACACGAGCCGGCCCAGTTTCCTTTCCTGGTAGTATTCAATACTACCTACCTCATTTGCAAGACGGCTAAAGGAAACGGCATTCTTTTTCCTTGATTTGGAGGCGAGGACTACTACTCTACGTCTTGAATAGCAGGGCCTATAAGTAGGACACATTGTTTGTTGTAAAATCATTCAAGAAGGACGGACACAGGAAACAGGGTGAGGTGTAAGACAGACGAAAGCAGTCAGAGAGTGGCACCTCCACAGGTGTTACTCATCCGGCGTGCCGAGACCAGCATGTCAGATCGGGGCATCTCCGCACTCGTCCTGAGATGTAGTTACCTTAGAGCCCAAGGCATTAGCGGGTTTAAACATATTGTACTGCTCATATAGACCGGTGTTCTGGCTCGAGCAATGCCCGGATCTGTTTGGATATCGCAAGGACAGAATCTGGAAGAGCGAGGTCAATTGCGCACGAAACCTCCCCATCCAAACCCTGGCTCCTCGTGTTTGCGCACAATCTCCCATTGGCAGTTTCGTCAGGGTGGATGCCCGCTAGTTAGTGCTGCAACCGGGCGATAATCGGGGGGGGGCGCCGCCGCCAGGGCTTCTGAATCATCCTGAATCGAAGGGTCATCACGAACACACCCGTGGTCAAACCGGGCCGGATTAGTCTGTCCTGGAGGGCAGGCCTTGCTTTTGACCTTAAATTCAGCCAAAGGGCCGGGCAAAGACCTCAATTGAAACCTCGCCCAACAGTCCCTGTGCCTGTCGGATTCCAACATCATCCATCAAACCGCGACCATGGCGATCTACAGCGCCGTCCCTCCGCCGCCAGACCTGGCCTCAGCAGGCACCGCCAGCGCGACGACAACCGCGCAGCAGCAACAGCAGGGCCCCTCGACGCCGCAGCATCACGACCAGCAACAGCAATCGCAACCGCCGTACCCCCACCACGGCCACACGCAGAGCGGCTCCCTCGACATCGAGGCCTGGACCGTCTCGGCCCTCGAGGCCCTGAGCGTCTCGCCCATCGCCCGGGGCACCGGCACCCCGCTGTCCATCAACATCGACCAGCACCACCACCATCACCGGCACAAGAAGACCAGGAAGAACGGCGACGATGGAGAAGAGGTCGTGCAGACCACCACCATGACCACCTCGGCCGGCCGCGTCGCCCTCGCCATCGACCCGGACCACCCGGCCGCGGGTATGACACCGCCGCGCCGCCCGCCCTCGCGCCGCGACAGCCAGCGCAAGCGCGACATGCTGCTCAAGGGCAAGGAGGGCAGCCGGCAGCGCCGCCGGTGGGAGAACGGTGCGGCCTCTCCTCATCCCCATACCTCTCTCTCCCCCTTTCTCTCTCTCTCTCCCTCTATCCACACGTTCTTTGACAGCCAGGTTAAGCTAACTCCTCTTCTTCGCCGCTCCTGCGCGCAAGACCGCCTCATGCACGTCCCCAACGCGCAGCCGCCCCTGCCGACAGACTGGCACGTCCGCCCCACGCACCCGGTCCGCAACCACCTGCCCTACCACGTCGCCGCCCACTGGGAGCAGCGCGGCCTGCGCCAGCGCGCCGAGGAGGACAGGGCCGCCGCCGCGGCTCGCAGGAAGCGCGCGGCCGGGATCGTGCCCGGCCACGCGGCCGAGGCGGGCAGGGTGCCGCGGGACCTGCGGGCCACGGCCAAGAAGACGCCCGCCGTGCGGGCCTGGGTGCGCGTCCTCGAGGAGCCCGTGCGGAGGCTGCTCGAGGAGAGCAACGCCGCCGCCGCCGCCGCCGCCGCCGCCGCCGCAGAGGCGGAGAGCAAGAAGAAAAAGAGAGACGAGGCCAGCTCCGACGACGAAGAGGAGATCGTCTTCTCCGGGAGGAAGAGCAAGAAGGCGGTGGCGGCGGTGGCGGCGGCCGGGGTCAAGCGGGCGCACCGCGAGGTGCGCGACCGCCCCGTCGACCAGGGCATGGTCTTTGATGCGCTCGGGGACGACGAGACTAGCGCTTTCAAGTATGCCATCCTTATGTCCCTGTCTAATTTGTCAATGTGACTAACATGATCCTCCCTACAGGCGCTGGCTGACCCATTCCATCTCGGACTACTACGGCCTTGTGTCCCGGTCTGCGACTGTGGGTTCACCCCCTCGGAGAGTGGTCTACGTGACTATCAAGGACGTGCGGTCCAGCGGCGCAGCTCGGGCGAGGGCGGACCTGCCCCCGCCAATGTGGGAGCTCATGTAGACTGTCGCAACTGACATGGTGACATATTGTGAGATTCTGTAACGTATCCATATAGATGCAACATCATCACCCGGAGACATTTAGAGATGCTATTCTGGGTACAACTGATACTTGGTCACATACACCGTGGAAGGATGCATGTAGAGGGCAAACAAAGACGTTGATATGCTCGCTAATCTGGCCTGAACCCATCCCTGTGTACGACTGTGGGATGCAACTGTCGGCCGGCCACTTCCTTCTAGATGGGATATACATCATGCAACCATGCCTCTGATCAATCTCGTTGGTCAAGGGGGCAGTCTGACCATAACTTCTTTTTTTTTCATAACCTTTGAGACGAAGATGCGCCAAACTCCTGAAAAGACCCAACCCAGTGGTGGCGTTAAAAGTCCAAGGTCTGAGCCATAGCAGTCTTCTCCAGCTCGAGCTCGCGCTCGCGTTCGCGACGGGCGTTCTTCTTGGCCTTGACGCGGACGACACGGCCCCTCTTGCGCTTGTCGCCGGCCTTCTTCTTGGTCTGCTCCTCGCTGTCCGTCTCCTCCTCGGTCGAGTCCTCCTCGTCGCCAGACTCCTCGCTGTCGAGCCAGTCCTCGATGTCCTCGAGGTCGTCCTCGCTCTCGTCAAAGTCGCTGACGTACTCGACGAGGGCCTCGCCGTTGACGTCGTCCTCCTGCTCGTACTCGGCCTCGGCCTCCTCCTCGTCTTCCTCCTCCTCGATGCCCTTGTCCATGTCCTGGTCGCGCTGGCCGGTGCCCTCGCGCTCCATGGCGTTCAGCACCTTCTTCCAGATGGTCTCGCTGACGTTGAGGGGCTGGTCGCCGTAGGCGCCGGACCTGAGACGCTCCAGCAGCTCCCTCTCGATCGTCCGCTCCAGCTTGGCGGCCGCCTCGGCCTTGCGCTCCCTCGTCTCCTCGCGGCGGCGGATCTTGGGCGCCATCTTGGGCACCAGCTGCTCTCCCAGGCGGGCGTCCTCCTTGGCTATCCGCCGCATGCGGATGGCGACCTGGGTGAGGCGGGTCAGGCGCTGCTTGCACTTGTGGACGAGGAACTTGGGCCAGTAGATGAGGCGGGAGTCGATCTGCTCGAGAGCTTTGGCGTAGTTTTGGTCCAGCTTTATCCTCTCCCACATCTTGGAGGGGAGATGCGCACGCTCGATGGTCTTCATGTACAGGTACAGGGTGCCGGCTGCGGGACCCAATTAGCATTCTGCAGACGGGCTTTGCTGAGGAAGAATAAACATACTCTGAGGGTTGGCTCTGACGGTGGCATAGCGAGAGTTTGCCAAGGGGCACGACTGCCTATTGCAGAGGCCAGTGACATCTAGAAGGGCCCGTTAGTATAGAGCAACAATTGAAGGACTCGTTGAGGCGGCATACTGTATTCGTTGTGGCAGAAGTTCTTCTCCTTGGTGGTCTTGAGTTTGTAGGAGCAGAATTGCTGGTTGATGATTTGCCACACAATCTCGTCAGATGCCATGGCGACTGACTATAGGATCTGCTTTGGCAGCAGAAGGTTGTGGTGGTAGTGGTGCCGGGAAAGGACGTCAAGAAAAGAGAGGTGAGGAGGAGAAGTTGCTACTGCATGAACTGAAGCTGGGCGAGCGCTGCCCTCCAAAAATTTGCCCGACTTTCCTGCCTCTTTCTCTGCCAAATTATTTTTTTCTGCCAGGCGGTGTGGGAGTCTGGGAGCGGTTTAGTGGCAACGTGGGAGCAACGGGGCCTCTTTTAGCATTTACCCCGCTGTTCATTGGCCCAAGGAGCCCCCCACGGCCGTCTAAGAACAGCAGCTAAGGTAACTAACGCTCACTTACAGCCCTGAAGGGCCATCACGCAACACGATTGCATTGCGATTGTGCTTCAGAGATGGAGAGATTGCTGTGTGTTGACTATGTAGGTAACTATTACCATTCCCATTGCCCACCTACCATCATCATGGATGCCCGTCTCTGCAGAATGACCATCTTTAGATGCCAATCTAGTCTAACCCAGACATGAGGTTGGAAAAAAACTAAAAACTCCCCTTCCCCCCCCTCCTCAGCACCACCCATACTTCTCATTGAGCACCCAGTCCAGCTCCTCCGTCCTCCCCTGCTTGCCATACCACATCAGGCTCGCGATGCTGTCCTTGTCCCTCTCCACGACCTCGTGCTCGAGCCCCGCCAGGTCCACCGCCCGCCGCAGCGCCGGCGGAGGGTTCCACATCTGCACGTCCGCCGACCGCCACTCGGCCGCCTCGGCCTGCGCCAGCCGGACGATGGCCCGCATCCCCGCCGCCAGGTACTCGTAGTCTCCTCCCTCGCCGCGGCAGCTCTCGTGATCGTGATCATCATCATCATCATCATCATCATCGATCGCCGGGTCTCCCCCCTCCTCGCGCCACCCCTCCACGGCGAACCGCAGCACGTGCAGCGTGTTGCCCTCGACCCGCTCCAGGCCGCCGTAGTACCCGCGCGTCCAGACCGCCCACAGCCGCCGGCCGGGTGCGCCGTACACGGCGCCGCGCACCGCCGGCGTCCGGCCAAAGACGTGCTTGGTGACAAAGTCCTCGCGCATCAGGTGCCAGAGCATCTGGTCCAGGTTCGGCACGAGCGCCACGTGCGTCGTCTTCCCGCTCCCGCGGCGCGCGGCCCGGCGGGCGAGCGAGGCCCGCAGCTGCCTCTCGTCGACGGCGCAGAGCTCCGCCAGCTCGTGGTAGCCGATGGGCCGGGCCCTGAGCTCGGTCGTGCCGTTGCTGGAAGATCCGTTCGTTGCGGCGGCAGCCTGCGAATCCGCTGCGGCGTTGTCCTTTGCGGTTGCTGCTGCTGCTGCCGCCGGCGGAAAGGACAGGTGCGTGCTCGCGAAGGGCGCCCAGCCCCTCGAGGCGTAAAACTTCTTGCCAATGTCCGAGTACAGGATCGAGAACAGGCACCTCGTCCCCTCCGGCGCCTCCTCCTCCTCCTCCTCCTCCTCTTTCCCGTCCGACACGGCAACGACGCCTCCGTTGCCGCTGCCACAGCCGCAACCGTGAGGCCCGCTCGCCCCGGCCCTGGTCCCGGCCTGCCACGTCCGCAGCGCCCGGCCCATCTCCTGCATCATGCGGCCCGCGTACCCCCTCCCGCGGTACTTCTCGTCCGTAAACACGGACCCGACGCCGTGCGCCAGCCCGTCCTCGACCTTGACGGCCTCGCCCCCGCCTTCACCTTGCTTCTTCACGCGGTAGGCCGCCAGCGCCGGCTTGCGCAGGGACTCGCAGCTCGAGTAGATGGGGCGGGCGTCGGGCGGGGCCCGGGCGTCGGTCAGGATCCAGTGCGTGATGCCGCCGTCCTTGGCCAGCGGCACCGTCGTCAGGTAGGCCTCGCGCGCGAGGTAGTCCTCCCGGGACAGCGCGGGCCCCCAGAGCGGGTGCGTCTTGGACCAGGTCCGCAGGCGCTCCGCCTCGGTGGCCTTGGCGAGGACCAGGGACGGCGAGTCCGCCGGGGGCAGCTCGAGGTCTGTCGCCGAGGAACCCATCCTTTTTGTTTTCCCCCGTAGCGTCTCTAGAAGAAGACAAAGGAGATCTGTCTGTAGCGCACTCGAGGTATGACTGGAGGAGGTATGGACACGTAATGAAATGACACAAATGCTAGAAAAATTGGCAAGTTCAAGGCGAGAGAAGCATCATCAAGGAGATGCCAATGGCAGATGTGATCCGGCAGAGCTGATTCTTCGTCGAGATACAGTTCACCTTTGGAAGACGAGGTTCACCGCATGACAGTTTTGTTGAGACACTGCAGAGGAGGAGATGGTCACAAAGGAGGAAAAGTATAAAAGAAGACGGGTGAGCTCCGCATTTTGAACCACATGCCAGCAGCCTCAGTGTCGTACCTACGGTACCCAGATAAGCAACGTCAAGGGAACGACGGGGGGAGAGAGGATGGAGAGAGAGAGAGATCGATCTCGCGTCTCCACAAATTCTCCCATTTGACCCCTTCTTTGGGACTAAACCAGCCCAAAGAAACCACTGGTTTCGTGGCGCCGCACCGCGCATTTCCCACGCCCCCCGCATGACCACTCCGAGACGTGCCCGTCTGGCCCGGGCCTGCTGGATGATTGGAGCCCGCACAGCGCCCCCGGACTGGGGCTCACCAGGTCAAAGGGTCAGGAGGTACGTCGGGGCATTTCACGTAATTTTACGTCACCGACGTTTCCGTACACGCAACAAGGTTCCAAGACTAAGCGTACAGCCTTAAAAACCCAGCCTAGGAATAATGACAAAAGAGTCAGGTCCTCGCGAGCGCGGAATACGGGCGGCTTGTGTTGGTGGTGTGGAGTCTGTAAGCCGACAATAGGCGGCCCCACCGCGCAGCTCCCGAGCCCGTGAGCGGCGGACCGGCTTTCATCTTGTGGGAAACATGCAGGTCTGCGGAGGTCGGTTGCAGAGAGAGGAAGGTCGATAATTCTCGATTCGAGGTCATACGGGTCAACAAGGCATCTCGAAGTTCTTCTCCGGAGGTACCATTTAGCACAGGTCCAGCAAGCGCGAGAGTACAACGTCTATTATTTGATACACGGGGGTCCGCCCGGCCGCGAATGTTCACCTATCAAGATCATTCATTAGAACATCACATCTAGTAGACCAGACCAGACCAGACCAGAACAACGCCTTGCAATCCCCCGCTCTTTAGTGCCCGTGACCATCGTCCTCCGCCTGCGGCTCCGGATCCAACTTGATCAGGGTGTCTATCCGCATGATGCTGATGCAAGCCTCGACAGCGCTCTTGAGCTGGCGGATCTTGCTGATACTCGGCTCCATAACACCAGCCTTGATCTCGTCGATGACCTTGCCCCGCATCAGGTCCAGACCGTAGTTCCTGTAGCCCTTCTTCTTGGCGACCGTCTTCTCGTCCTCGCTTGCATCGCCCTCCTGCGTCCGTTGTGACAGAGCATGCCTTGACCGCAGCTGAGCGACGAGCTCCGAGGCGTCCTTGGCGGCGTTGACAGCCAGGGTCTTGGGAATGACCAGCAGGGACTGTGCAAACTCGCCAATGGCAAGCTGTTCCCGCGAGCCCACCGTACCGGCGAACTCCTCGAGGTAGATGTGCAGCGCAGTCTCGACGGCACCGCCGCCAGGCACGATGCTGCCGCTCTCCAGAGTCCGCTTTACCGCACACAGGGAGTCGTGCACCGACCGCTCCATCTCATCCAGCTGGAAGTCGTTGGGGCCCCGGAGGATGATGGAGGCTGATGAGTGGACCTTGGTGCCCTTGACCAGAATGCACTCGTCATCCGAGATGCGCTCCTGGACAACCTCGTCGGCGTGACCGAGATAAGAGGGCTCGAAACGGTCGTCGCCGTTCAGGTCAGAGAGTGTGCTCAGCAGAGTAGCGCCAGTGGCCTTGGCGATACGGCGCAGATCCTCCTTCTTGCATCTCCTCACCGCCATGGCTCCCCGCTCGACGAACAGCTTCAGGCACATGTCGTCGATGCCCTTGGTCGTCAGGATGACATTGGCGCCAGACTTGAGGATCATCTCGACCCTCTCAATCACCATCCCAGACTCGCGAGCACGGATCTGCTCCAGCTGCTGCGGGTCGTCAACCGTGATCTGGACACCCAGCTTCATGCGCTCCTTTTGCAGGTTCATGTCGAGGACGGCAATCTTGGCGTCGGTGATGCGGGTGGTCATGGCCTGGGATGCGACGGTGCAGTTGAGGGCGTAGCCCTTGACGAGCATCGACTCGAGCGACGACTTGCCGTGGGCCTTGAGGATGTTGACGGCCTTGACGGGGTACTTTGTCTCGTTGCGGTTGTTGGTCGTCTTGACGGCCTGGATGCCGTCGACGACCATGTTGGCGAAGAAGTCCGAGTCGGCGCCGATAATCTTGCTCGACATGGACGTCTTGGCGATGTTGATGAGGGACTCACGGCCCAGCTGGTCCACTTTGATGCTGACGTTCTCGTTCATGTACTTGACGGCCTCGCGGAGTGCTAGTCGGTAGCCGGTGATGATGGTGGTGGGGTGTATGCGGTTCTTCATGAGCTCGTTTCCCCTCCGGAGAAGCTCTGCGGCGATCAGGACGACCGAGGTCGTGCCGTCGCCCACCTCCTTATCTTGCTGCTGTGCCAGGTCCACCAAGATCTTCCCTGCGGGGTGCTCGACGTCGAGTAAACTGAGAATCGTCGCGCCGTCGTTTGTGACCGTAACATCCTGCCGTTTGTCAGCACGCGGGAACTCAGGAGGAGGGGGTTCGTTAGAGTGATTGCCTACTCCAATGTCGTCCACCATCATCTTGTCCAGGCCGCTGGGGCCGAAAGAGCTCCTCACGACGTTCGCAATAGCCTGGGTTGCCTGGACTGTGTGGTTGTCAGCTGATGAGATTTGCAAGCCCGAAATGGACCATCATCCTCACCGTTCTGGTCCCTGATATCAGCACCAGAGATCTTCTGCCCACCCAGGAACAGAGTCCCGTTCCGGGGCTGCTCGAACATGGAGGCCATAGTAGTGGTCGACTGGAGCTCCTGCACGATGTCGAACGATCGAGATGTTGTTCTGGTGGGTAGAGGTGTCGTCAGGAGGGGCGTCGAGATTGAAAAGATGCAGGCAGGCAGACCGATTTTGGAGCTTCAGGAGCTTGTTAGGTCCTGCGCGAGGTGGGCTGGCTCAGTTGAGGTGCGGGACTGGAACTTTTTCGCGGAGCTTCAGTTAATCCTGCGACCGTCTACCACCGCTCCAGCACAGTCCAGTCTGGCCGTCACATCATTGGCTCGACCGGCCTGCAGTGTACAGAGTCAGCCCCGCCACTCCCCCAAACACATTGATCCATCAATTAATTGCTCTCGCATGTAAGTCCGTCATTGTAAAATCGTCGACCTACAGAGCGAGAGCGTTTCCCATACAGCGCGCGCCGTTGAATTGATGAACAGGCCGAACGTATGTATCTGACGAAGCCGACATACAATATCGCCGTCGCCGTGCAGGAAGCAGTCGGAATCCTCAAGAATATGGCATACCTGCGTCTGTTCATGCCCATCTCGCTCCAGGCTAGATGACTGCGCTGCGAACAGAAGTCCTTGACCATCCGTCAATCCCATCCAGTTTTAGGTAACAGGATAGCCCTTCCGAATCCCAGGTCAAATACATGCACTGCTGATATATCTGCATAGCAGTAGGCCCCAATATTGGTCCAATCTCCGCCGTGGAAGGCAGCATGGTTACAATCCAGTTTAGCCCCTGTAATAACTTCATTTACTCAAGATTTTCGATCACAATCGTTTCCTGTCTATTCATGATGGCAATAAGAGGTCAGTCGACTTGTGACACTGGCAAGAGTAAACGGCATCCAACCCTTGTAAACCTATCCGTAGAATGTACAATTGTCACGAAAGAGTGTCCATGATGCCCTGCCAGAAACAGTTGCTTGTATCAAATATGCACCAATCCCGAGTTGCCCTCCCAAGCATCTGGAGTGAAGACCCACATAAATTCGCTACAACGATTCCCCTCTCCGCGCGCTCGCCTTCGCATCCCACTTTCCACCCCGTCAATTCAATCACCCACCAGCGCTAGCCGTTCGCATTTGTGAATATCCTCACTTACTTGGCGACTTTTTGAAAAAAAGTCCCCGTTACCTCCATACAAGGATCCACCATCAAACCAAGGGGGACCCGCCCCTCCGTCCGCCCTCGGCGTTTTGCATGGCGGACTCGGCCCAGTCGCCCACCTCGTCGGCGGCGTCCGAGGCCGGCGACGCCGCCGCCATGGCGGCACGCTGCAAGAAAGAGAAGCAGCACCCGGAGGAGGACGAGCAGGAGGACGAGCAAGACGAGGAGCAGGGCTCATCGTCGTCGCCGCCGGCCGCGGCTCCCTCCGCCGGCCGGCCCATCAAGGAGCGCCACTCCCTGAGCCTCGAGCAGCGCCGCGCCCTGCGCCGCTGGGCCTCGTCGCAGGCCGTGCGGCCCTCGCACCGCGCCTGCATCGACTGGTTCCGCAGCCAGTACAGCCACACCATCTCGCAGTCGACCGTCTCGCACTCGCTGTCGCCCAAGTACGCGCGCCTCGACGGCGACCCGCCGCAGCTGTCGGGCTCGCGCCTGCGCTTCGGCAACTGGCCCGACGTCGAGCGCCTCGTCCTGCTGTGGCACGGCCAGGCCGTCGCCTCCTCGGGCCGCCACCCGACCAACGACGAGCTCGCCGAAAAGGCCAGGGACATCTTCGCCCAGCTGCCCAAGTACAAGGGCGAGGCGGCGCCCGAGTTCAGCCCGGGCTGGATCCACCGCTTCAAGAAGCGCTACGGCCTGCTCATGCGCCGCCAGCGCCGCCACCACGCCGCCCACCCGGACCCGGCCACCGACGTGCCCTACCTCGTCGGTGCCGTGCCGCGCTTCCTCAACGTCGGCCCGGACACCAGCCCCGCCGCCATCCGCGACGCCGTCCAGCGCGTCGTCGGCGTCGAGCCCACCCTCGTCACCTGCGCCCGCGTCCGCGACGACATCGTCCGCAACTCTGGCGGTGGCACCCCCCTGGCGGGCGGTCACCACCACCACCACCACCAGAGTCAACCGCCAGACCTCCTCCTGCAGCAGCAGGAGGGGGAGCACCATCCGCCCGCGCCCAGACCCGCCATCGGCGGCGGCGACGGCTTCACCGACGAGGACGCAGAGGTCGTCCTGCAGAACGCCCTGCGCGCCCTGCAGCAGGAGGAGGCCGAGGCCGAGGCCGCCGCCGCCGCGGTCAGGGAGGCCCGGGACCGCGCCGAGCGCGCCGACCGCGGCCTGCCGCCCCCGGGCAGCAACAGCAGCGCCACGACGCAGCAGCAGACGTACGCGCAGCACGCGCTCGCCACCACCACCACCACTACTACTTCCGCCGCCGCGGCATCATCATCATCATCGTCGTCGGGAGCGCCGACCACACCGCCGCCGCCGCCCCGACAGGAGCCCGGCAGTCTCAGCATCGGCGGCAGTGCGCCGCCGTCGTCGGTGGGCGCCAAGTTCGCCTCTCTGCTGGGGGCGGGCAACCCGCTGACGCTGACGCCGATCCCGGCCGACGGCCCCGCCACTGCGGCGACGACGACGACCACCGAGAGACCCATACGGTGCCCGTTCTGCGTCAACCAGCGGATGCTGCGGTCCATCAAGGAGGCCGTGGAGCACATGTCCACGCATGTCGTCGTGTGAGCTGTTCAACGGGAGGGGCGGTACATCATCTACCATTATTGAGTGGGTGGCGGCGGTTGTATATTCCTTGTTGTGTAATTATTATGGACGGATGGAGGGGAGAGGTCAATCTTTGGCAGGGTTTGCGATTCGGCGTTATTACAGCGGAAGGGCTTGCGGCACGGGCATTCGATCGAATGTGGATGGGCGCTGGCATGTTCGTCGTTTTATGATCGGGTAGCTTCGAGAGGGCACAGAAGGAGTTATATATGGATGGGATGGCATGGTCTGGATGTGTGAGCCGGAAACATCCCCATTATCGAGCATGCAGGCGTACAAGGAAAACTGAACATTTCAAAAAGAAGTCATCGAAACAAAGATCGCTTGATTAAAATCATGTCTAGGCTGCCAAAGGTTCCATAATTATCGTCCAAACCTTGTGTGTGCAGCAAGGGACCTTCCGCCATACCAGTCCCCATGCCGGCCAACATCATCCTATGTCCGGGTACTTTCACTCCACGCCGCTCTCTCATCAACACACCCTGAGTGATGTCCTTCACGACGGAACCGGTCCCCATGTGCCCACCAAAAGACCAACCTTCCCCCAACTCATAGTGGTATCTGGCTGCTCGCAACCCTCCCCCATCGTCTCAAGAGATACTTTCCCATCATCATCGAAATCATATTGTGCTTTTTCATCCCAAACCGTCATACATCATTCCATCAACACATCCTTGAACAGTGCGAGTCTGGAATCGTAAACAAGAAAGCAGAAGAAAAAAAAAGGGCGGAGAATGAGGTGAACAAGCCAACCCCATCTGCCACAAAAGAAGAAGAAGAAAAAAGAAGCATAAAACACTGAATGCTGCTCACAACAAGCAACAGACCGAGTCAGAGAGAACCCTAGAATCAGAGTGAGCCACTCATGCTCATGCGTCATCTATCCCAGACGCTATGCGCCGGGAGTCCGAATGCTCATCGGATGTCATAGGGGGGCTCTGGCATCTTGCACCCCACCCCTGCCTCACGGCAGAGACAAGTCTTGGATGCTGAAAAGTTTGTGAAAAAAAAGTCGGGAGCATCCCGGCTTCAAGTATGTACCGAAAAGGCGACCGCTAAATGCAGCATCGCGGATGAAGAACGGCGAATTGGGAAGGATATCGGAGCAACGAGATAGCGACTGCAAAGGTAGGCCGCACACAGATTGCGGTCACCATAGTAGCCATAAATGCTGCTGCTGCTGCTGCCACAGCAAAATGCGGGTATGAAGATGCAAAAGTATGTGAAGAAAGGTGGCCAGTGTCCGCCATGCTGCAGAAAGCGCGAGGAAATGCCCATCAAGAATCAAGAAACGCCCATACGTCCCGGCAATGCTGTAGTCAGTCCTACTCGACGTAGAGCAGCAGCTTCTCGTTCCGAGTCAAGGCAGTGTCGAGATCCGCATCGCTGAGCATGCTCGGCTTGTCCCCGGTGGCATCGTCCTTGTAAAACAGCTGGATCTGGTCCCCGGCCGAGATCCGGAGTCGTTCTCGGACCTTGTCTGACAGCTCCTTAAACTGGATGTTTTCAGGGACACGGATGGCGATGAGCTCGCCGTTGTAGCTCAGCTTGACCTTCATGGCTTGTACCCCTTGTGTGATCCCGGGAGACAGCGAAGCCTGCGATGGTTGTGACAATGACGACGTTTGGCGGTTCATCGGCGGCTGTCCGTTGGGACCCCGGGCTGGCGCTGCCGAAAGGCCCTGTGAGTACCCGCCACCGTTCAGGTTGTTTCTAGACGATTGCCGAGAGGCGCCGTCCCGGGGAGAGTCTGCGGAAGACGGCTGGGAGCCGTTTGAGAGGCGGTACTCTTCACCGGCGTTGTTAGGGTCAATCTCGTAGTCGCCCTCTCGCGGAGCGAAGAACTGCTTGACCAGGTTGCATCTGGAGATGTATGGCGGCTGGGCCAGAAGGTTTTTCACGTAGGCGTCCAGGTTGTGCAGCCGACCCTCGGTAATGGCATCGGTCACGTAATTAACGGGACCGGGCATGTACGGCAGCGTGCGCTTCTGTGTGCCGGTGTTGCCGGCCTCGGCAGGGAACTCGGTGAGCAGGGCGATCTGGAAATCGTAAAAGTCTTCGTAGTATCTTGAGAGCTCCCAATGGCGGCCATCCTCCAGCACAGCCTCGATGACGAACCAGTACTTGTCTTCGGCGAAGCAGTAGCGAGGTATCCGCGCGGACGTGGGAGCGAAGAGCTGAGAGGTGGATTTGTTCGAGTATGGATTGGCTGGGAACTGCTGCTGTGTGTTTCGCTGCGAGTTGTAGCCGGCAGGCTGCTGCGCCTGTTGTTGTTGTTGCTGCTGCTGCTGCTGCTGTTGCTGTGACTTATCAGTGAATGAACGAACGCATACACTCAGACCAAGCAAAAGAAACACATACAAAACCAGCTCCATTAGACTGGCTCATACGTCCACCAGCACCTTGCTGAAGACTCATTCGCTCCATACCCTGCTCCATGGACTGCGGCGCGCCGCCGACCTCAAACTTGCCCAGAGTGATGCTGCTGTTCTTGTACTCGGCGGCCATCTTCTTCCACTCCTCCACCCTCGGGATTCCGGCACGGCGCACGGCCTCCTGTGGGTTAGGCACGGGTGTGTTGGACGCCATGTCCCGAATCTCGATAAAGGACACCGGGATGAGGCCGGGGCCTCCCAGCCTGCCAATAGGCTTGGCTACAAACCATTCCGGGTTGGACTGCGCAATGACGATGATCGCCTCGCCCGCCTTGGCCTCGAGCTCGTCCGCTCTCTCCGCCTCAAAGTCGTACATGACAATGCCGTACACCATGGCGCCGTTCTTGCCGGACGACCGTGAGAGGCGCTGGCCCATCATGGGGTTCGCCGCTGCGGGAGAGGGAGCAGAAGCCGAATTCTCGGCATAGCCGGAGTCGTGGTCGGGGTTCTTGGAGGCGGCGGGCGGCACGACGGGCGGCTTGCCCGAGTCTGACTGGGCGCTGTCCCGCTCGGTGCGGCCCAGGGCCTGGAAGAATGCGACTGGCACAAGGCCTCTGGCGTCGGGCAAGGCGGGGTTGCATGCCTCATACCAGTCGGGGTCGTTCTCGCGCCCAATGACATGGAAGAAGTCCCCTCGGGAGAAACTCAATTCCTGGCTGTTTTGAGCCTCATAGTCGTAGAGCGCACGAATGACCTGCAAACAAGTCGGCGATCAGCAGGTGCTAGGAACGAGACAACAGTGTCGCCGCATGTGGTGTTGCAAACGGGAGTAGAGGGAGCCCCTCGCGCGCATGCAGGACAAAGAAAACGCAAAAAGAAAAACGTACCTTCTTAGGAGGGACGATGGCGACGGCGGACTTGGGCGCGATTGAGATCTGCGGGGGCTTGGTGTCTTTGTCCCCTTTGATGGACCTCCGGAGGGCCTTGAGAGAGAGCATAGTAGTCAGCATCGAGATCGATATGGGAGGCGGAGGGTATTGACAAGCCATGCGGCGCGTGTCCTGCAAGCAAACATCCGAGACCAGAAATAACCTGCAGCCTGCGAGGGAGGGCTGTCGCAAAACGAACAAAGGCTACCCCACGCGCGGTGCGGTACGACTGGGGAGCAGAGTATTGCGGGAAAAGGACCAGATGCAGCAAATGCTGTCTCGACGCACCTTCATTTCGCTGTTTCGATCTGCTCGTCGGCAGAGGCTGGGAATGGGAGAAAAAGGAGTAGGCCAGGAACAGCAGATCCTGTGGAAGCTGGGGTTACGCCGACTCAGGCGTTTTGTCTTCGGTAGCAGCGCAGATGGCGATAAGTGGTCCGGGGCACAATGGTGTGTCTATTGCGGATGAATGGGCGTCGGAGGAAGGAGATGGCGGCGGCAGGTTCTCGCGGTGCGATGGTATGACTCCTCTCGCCCTGGTAGTCCCAAGATGATTTCCCTTTGCGCTCGTGTACCCGGCGGTGGCCTCCAGCTCGGTTATCTGCCTTGTGTGCCCGTGCGACGGAGGTGGTTTCTGGAGACGGGCGATGGCGACGGGACGGATTCCAGCGATGCTGCTACGGCGCGGCTTATAAGTGTCGTTCGGTTATCGACGCTGCCTTCAGGATTGGGCAAGGTGCAAGAGAGGTCGTCGCGTGTGGCTGTTCTTGTGCGCCAGGAAGAGTGAGTTTTGTACGTTTGAGGAAGAGCAAAGGAGAGATTGGCGGGACCTTTCTTGCGTCTGTGGTGTATGGATGAGCGACTTGGAGAGGAGGGGGGGGGGGGGAGCAAGAGCAGGAGCAGGGTGCCTCTTGAGTGGAACTGAGTGGCGGCGGGAGGGAAAAAAGGTGGGAGGATGGAGGAGTCAAATGGGGGGGGACACAGTGAGGTACCACGGTACCCAGTGGTGCAGGTGGCCTGTGAGCTGGGGGTCTGTCGAGAATCAGTGTGCCCACTACTTGAGTTAGGTCGAATCGCAGCTTAGGCCCGTGGGTTGGCGCAACGCTTTGAGGCCCGTTGGACGGTCTGGATTGGGTGTGGTGTGTCTTTTGGATAAGTGTATTATTTTTTCCCTTCGAGGTGGAGTGGTTCACTGCAAGTACTGGGAGCTCGAGCGGGAGGGAGGGAGTCGAGCAAAATACCAGCCAGAGAGGGAGGGTGTGGATAGAGTCGTCCAGGATGATCCAGTGTTGCAGGGGGGGCCAAACGGGGGGAGAAATCCAATTTGACGGACGGGCATCCACCAACAACCAGCCAGTGACAGGGTATCTACTTGTACAGAGCCTGGGAGAGAATACAAAAGATCAAATGGATCGACTGGGCTGTGGCCCTGTGGGTTTATCAGGCTGGCTTGGGTTCATGTGTTCATGTGGTTCGTTGATGTCTTTTGTGCTTTGGCCTGGCTGATGCCGGACCCGAGTCTTCTTCTTTGCTTTGTTCCCTTTTCTTCTCTGTTTCCCTGTTGCCATGGAGGTTTCTATTCAATTCGGTGTACATGTCGCCTTTACTCGACATGTACGTAACTACATTCATGCTCATGCCTACAGACCTTACTCGAAGGATGCAGCGCCGCCTCTCGCATGCATCAGTTGACAGCTTTCGAGTCGTACATGACCTGCTCGATGCCCTGCCCTTGCGTGCCTAGTGCCTGCATGCCTTAGTTACCCTCCCTCCTGCCTGTACCCAAAGTATTCTCTGGCCCTGCCCCAGCCGGCGGCAGCGTTTGCCTCCGACGCGCAGCTGAGATGCGAGATGACTTGAGATGGAGATGGGATGGGATGAATGACCTTGGCCAAGAGCCGTGTCCAGCACAACGCATAATCTGGTGTTGAACGGGAGCCGGGTTGCCCCTCTATCCCTCAATATTCCCGGTTAGAGTCGCTGGGATGCTTCATGCTGCTGAACATCAAATGTCACTCGGTCGGCACCAGAGCCGTCGGCCAAGTTGGGCAAAGTCGCGGTTTATCCGCTGTATGGCCGTGAATCAGTGCATACCCTCCTCGGGAAGCCCTAGATCTAACTACATTACTTGACCTAATGCCCACTTACGGGTTGACAACTTGTGTGTGTGTGTGTCTGGCGATAGGGACGAATTGTGCGACGATAGCACGGATGGATGCGGCCTTGCAAGCGTGTGTTAGTGGCATGTGCGGGTTTGGGTACAAGTAGAGCGGCGGCGGCGTGCGCGCTACCAGTGCCTTAGCGACTCCACTGAACACCCACCCACAGCTCTAAAAGCCACGATCGACGTGCTAAATCGACTTCTTCCCGCTGCTCTGTTCGTGCCAGCTGGAGCCGAGAGAGGACCAGAAGAGAGGCACACAAACGACCAAGGGCCCGTCGCCTTTGGATACCCCCGCAGTGACAGCGTCGATCTGCTTCGATGAACATCACAACCGCCGCTGCCTGAAAACCAACCTGGGCACAGAGGGGTTCCTCCTAGCGCCAACACACACAGAGAGAGAGAGAGAGAGAGAGAGAGCATCAAGGGCCGAGATCCAGCTTCAAGTGCCCTGGATGCATACTGTCAAAGCTTGTCGGTGCCTCGTCCGACCCAAGGGTGGGGTCCTGGCCCAGGGTCTTCTACCCCTCCATTGCGCTTGAAACAGTCGAATTTCTTGTTCGTCTGCGACTGACAAGCTAGCTCGGCCAGCTTGACCAGAGGTGCGATCCTTCCAACGTCATTGGGAGAGGGAGCCTACCCAATATGCGCGAGCATTAATTCTTGGGTCTCGAGGTTCATGCGAGGTGCCCAGTGGTCTGTACCTTGCAAATACTGGTAGTTCAGGGCCTCGTACTCGAAAGTAGCAAACCTGGGGTTGGCTCTTCCACAATAGCACGGCCCTTCGGATCTTACCTTACCACAAAGTATCTGATATTGATATTCATCCTCTCCTCCTGTGTGTTATAGTATCTGCCCACCCTCTGCGCGGCTAGAGAGTCGTGAGAGTCATGTCTCCCTCCCTGTCAACCAAAGGGATCGCCCGTCTGTTCCTTCTTGGGCGTGGCCGAGAGCTCGCTAGGTAGTCCCCGCCGCAAGCTCCCGGGGCTTCGGGGCTTACCCGTGCCGCAAGTCACTGCCCAGGTGGTCCAGGCCCTTCCAAACCGGCCTGGTGGCCCCCCTTGGTCGAGTTTTTTTTCCTCTTTCCAGGGAAAAAACAATGCCATTGTCAACGCCACAGGGCAGATGACTCTTCGTGGATCGTCGATGCTCGGATCCTGATCGTTCTAGAGCAAAAAGTACCCTTGTCCCATGTTGGTCTGTGGGAGGCAGCCTTCTGATATCTTTGCGTCTGGGGAACAGAGAGCTCTCTGGCACTTCTTCTGGCAAGTGAGCCTCAACGAATGTAATGTATCTCTGGGTGGCGCGCTGTTGAGTGCATTACGCAGCAGGGCTTGCTTGCATGTGTGATCCCAGTCGCTGTGGGTTATAAGCCGATTCCTAAAAGTTGCCCAAGAACCATCCCAGACATCGGATCATCACCCGTCCTCTCACCCCCTTCCCACTACTGCGCCTGGGCGTGGATGGAGCAGCAACCTGTACTTCGTACGTACATGTAAAATGCTGCAGGGGCTGGGGGCCTGCCCATCCATCACTGTCGTCTCATGGCCGTTGAGACCCAGCAAAGCAGCACAGCGCCCTGCCTTGCAGAGCCTTACTGCAGGTCCATCCATGCGCAGTGCCGCCTCTGGGGTAAACCACTGGGAACCACTTGCAGCTGTGATATGCACCTCGAGGAGTCACCTCTCTGTGATGTAGCTACAGTGCAACCAAGAGCGAGAATAGCTTCCCGTGATACAAGCATCGTATCTCATGCCTTCTTGCGTCCCGACGACCCCTGCTGCAGAGAGAGAGGGTCGTTTAGAAAAAAGAAGAAAAATCCCCGGCTACCAGCATTCATGGAATATTCTTCGGCGTCGCATGCGGTGCATTCTCCCGTCTCGAATATAGTGCAGGTGCCGAACCCGTTCCCAAGGGTTAGGTGGATAGGAATCTCTTCTGCCCACACTCGACATGTCTGGGTCTTGGCCTGAACATCATCATGCCTATGCGATTGGGTCGACGCCCTCTTTTCTGGAACGCCCATCCCCCGCATTGAGAGGGGGCTTGTGCGCGACTCTCGCCCGCAAGCGATTTGCTGAACCGCCTGTCGGTACCCTTGCTCACCGGACGTGCCGCCTTCGAGGCCTTCGGGAAGCAAGATGCGACGAGGATGACGAAAGCTCCACGGGATCTCAATTTAGCAGCGGGAGGGGGGCCAGGGTCTGCCTCTGTTTGACAAGTGCATGCATTGCATGGCCTAGAGATGGCCACGATGGAAATCTTGGTCGAGGCTGTCTTGTCAATGATGCTTGGCGTTTTGTCTGGACGTTCTAGAAGATGGCAGATAGATACCGCCGAGAATAGGTACATACCTAGGTACTCTTGACCCGCCGCAGCATCTCAAGGAAGGCACAGCTATTCGGATGCCTCAAATGACGTAGGGCTGGCTGACGGAACCACCTAGCTACTCTACCCCTTCGACTTGTAGAGAAGACCGGCGACAGCGATGTAATCTCGGGCCGGAGCGTGCGAGTATCACCAGCCAAGCCGACATGCTTCCAGAAGCATCTCTGCTTGCGAATCACAACACATATTCCAAATAGAATAGCCCGCGCCACCAAGATTCATGCGAGTTGGTGATGCACCTTGGGAGCACCGCAGTCCGGATGCAGCGCGTCCCGATCGTTAATGCAACCACTTTGTGTCATGAAACAAGCACACCAACGCACCTCGTGCTCGACATGACCGTGTGGTGGGCAAGGTTCTTCCGCGCCGACATTCTGAAACAACAACCATTAATTCAATCGAGGGTCTGGAAACGGACGCCCAGACTCGGCCACATGAAAAGGGTGAGAGCAGCTCGTAGCCTTCCAACTGAGAATAGGCCTTTGCCTATCTCATGATCACGAGTGCGTAGCATGCTCTGGAGCCGCCGAGGTGAATCACGATGCATTTTGAATTGATCAACTAGGACTAATGACGTCTCGAGCCTACTTACAAGGCTTTTTCCAGACCCCATCCGTTAGACAAGCCCTCAATCAGCCGTGAAAGGCCACAATGCCCTGGGCCGAAACTCCTTGAAATGTCCACCAACGCCGCCCAATGCCATACTGTATGCATGCGTCGTCTAGCCGAATAACAGAAGAAAGAATCCCGTGTTCATGCCATTATCAGTGCTGGCCAACTATCGTGGCTTGCCGATGCTGTGATGGCTCATCGATCCGAGCAGCATGCGTCGCCCAAGATGACTGTTTAGTTATAATAATAAAGAAGGGTGTTTTGGAGATCACGGGGGTATCGAATCAAGAAAACACCATGACCAGTTGCAAATATCGTCATTCGTAGGACCTCGGGAAAGGTCTGTTGTGTCAGTGGGATGTTGCGTGTCGGAAACTCAAGGTCTTCGCGTGAGGACTGGAAAAAAGAAGACTGAAAGATTGCCAAATGGCAACCGAGCAAGACCATGGGATGCCGGAGAGGAGAAAGAGAAAGGGGCGTAAACAACTAGCCCGCACGTCGTATCTTCGTACCGTGAACGGGAGAGAAGATAGTCGGGGTCAGTCGCGAGGAAGACAAATCATATCTGACCCTTGATATCAACGCGGCTGAAGGCCTGCTGCTTGGCGGCCTCGAAGATGGCGCCCGCCTTACTGGTCAGGAAGACAATGTACTCGGGGCGTTCTTCGAGTAGATGGCCGCCGTTCTGGTCAATGATGAACTGGGCGGCATCGGCGTCTGATTCGAAGCCGAGTTCCTCGGTGATGAACCGTAACCGGACTTCGGGTTTGTACCTATCATGCCAAGTTAGCTATTGTAGAGGGTGGTGGATTAAATCGGGAATACTTACGCTTTGCAAATATTACTAAGAGCAGCGAGGCGTTCACGGGCAACAAACATGTCCATCAAGTAGGCACCCATGTTAGGAGTGTCGAGATAGAGCTGGAAGAAGCGGTGGTAGTTGCCGAGGGCCAGCGACGAACGGACGTCCAAGGCGTGCTTGATAGGGCGTTCCGATTTCTCTGCTGTGGTTAGATCCTTGATAGCGTCGTTCAACGCTGCACGGTTGGCAGTGTGAATGAAATACAATATGCGATATGCCTTGAACTCTGAGGGGTTTCCCTTCAGACCCAACTGGTACAGAGCCTTGAGCTGGGTCTGGCACTGGTTATACTCACCCAAGTCCCCCTTCTCCAAGGCTATGCGGGCGTGGATCTCGTAGACCGAGACGGTGAACTCGTTCTTGATGCGCTGCACGGTGAGATCCTGGCGCATCGACTTGAACTGGTCACAGATATACGAGTAGTTGCTCTCCTTCCTCCACTTCTTCTTAAGAAGTTCCAGTGTCTGGCGTAGGATGTACTCGGGGCGGACCTGAGATGGCTTGGGGGCTGCCGTCAGCCGGAGGTAGCGTTTCTCCAGAGTCTGGCAGGTGCCAACCACGGGACCAGTCGAGGGTTCCGGGGTGGGCGAGCGGCGAGGTGTCTTGTACTCGCGGTCAAAGCGACGTTGTCGCTTCTCCAACTTACTCTTCGCGAGAGCATCATCCATCGCCTGGCGCTTGTCGGGTGACGAATATGTGATGCGGCCTTCCAGCGCACCGCCCTTGCGCCACGGCGCGCCAGTCGAGGAAGAATCCTCGGAAATATCTGTCGACTTGCGCTTCTTGGAGCTCGGCGGGGTGCCGTTTGCCCACGGCTTCGACGAGGCTTGGGTCTGGCTCTGGCTCATCACAGCCGGGGACATCAGAGATCGGATCCGCTCATCCTTGATGAGTTGCTGCGGTAGGCGCATGTTGTCCCAGTCGATGGTGTACATAACTCCAGACTCCTTTGCCTGGGAGATGATCTCTTTGAGTTTCTTCTCCATCTCTTCTCGCGAGACGGTGGAATCCATGTTGCTGGGGTTGAAGGATCGCTGGACGTAAAACCTCACAGAATCAGGCCAGTCAATCTTTGCCTTGGCGGCTTCCGGGGCAGGGGCAGGAGCCGAGGTCTCGGGCACGGGAGGATTAGCTGGGGGTGGTGTGGAGTTGTACGTGGCGCCGTAGCCATTCTGGCTCGGATACGCAGTCTGGGCGGTAGTCATGTTGGGTTGAGATTGAGAATAAGTACCAAAGCTCTGGCGCGCTGTGACTGCTGTATAAGCAGGATCTAGAATTTGAAGAAGAGACAAGGTCAGAAATTTTTGATCAAGTAAATCGAGCGAGGAGAGAAGCAAGAGGGGCGATGAATTTGGGGGACTCACGATTGTAGTAGACTGGCGGTGGAGGTTGGGTGCCAGGCGCGGGCGCTGGCGGAGAAGTCCAGGCGGGCATCATGGCTGCCTGCAATATCTACGCAAGAAGCTGATCAGGACTGACGTTGGAATGATCTGAGTTAGTAGAAAAGCCCTCGGGCACTGAGATGTTTGACAGTGATGAGAGCGAGCTCGAGTTGATGCCTGTCCGAGGGGGAAAGTGTGTGTCTGGAGCGTTGAAGGAGTGGAAATAATCGAGGTGGTGAGGAGTCGAGTGGGAGGGCATTTACTGGTGGACAAAGGCAATAATGACTAGCGCGAGTCGCTTATGGCGGGTTTGGCGGTAAAAAAAGCTGCGCCACGTGACCTAACCTTTTCCAAGGTGCACTGGCAGCGACGGGAGCAAACTTGGCAGGATTTGGTACAAGATAATTGTGAGCTTATATAGATTTAAGGACGAAGACAATAGTGAAGTGACTATTGGTGTCTTGTTAAGCATGGATAGAGACACTTGTTGCGAACCTAGGGTTTATTGTGCGGCGTTGCATGTGCAACCCATTCTGAAGTGGTCTTCTCGTTCCCACAGCCTGGAAAACCTGAGCTTCACATCCGCCAGTCAGTCAACCTGAAGTGAACAACGACGGTGGTCTAAATCACTAATTATTAGACATGTGTCACTTGGTAAAACCCCTTTGCACCTATCGCCTGGTGACTGTCACCTACAAGTAGAGAGGCCTGACAAATCCAGTGGGCCGATGCTACTGTGCACAGTTCTTGAGAGAAACCCTTTTGGACCTGAACTTTCCTCACCTCCCGAGCACCAATGCCACAGGCTTCCAATCACCATCATAAACCCACAGGCCCATCAGAAACAAAAAGAAACCAGTCCCAGAGCCTTCCCAGGCTCGCCGGACACCAAAAAATGATGAGAGTGGGATTCGAACCCACGCGGATTGCTCCATAGGAAGTGGATTAAAGGACATCCTTAATCCTACGCCATAACCAACTCGGCCATCCCACCGCGGGTTGGGAGGAGGCGTGGCTATTTCGGCTTGTGCAGCTTAGATTGCCGGAATGGCTCGGAGTGTGTGTGTGTGCAAATCTTGCTCTGCTTTTGTTGTGTGGATTCGGGACTGAGTAATGTGAACTTGTACCTTGGTAAAGTACCTACCTATTTACATTAGTTGTACCCATCTTTTTCTTTTCCGGCACATGTGGGGCCCACTTTAAACCTAGCGCTGGGTTTACCACCCGTACCTGCCTCCCTGGCTCAGTAACTACTTGTACGGAGTAGCTGTCCAGAAGCCTTAGAAGCACGGAGCGCCTGCTGAATGCTTGCGTCAACATCCAGGCATATCAACTCAACCTTTTTCCATCTCCACGGCTCGCAATCCAAGATCGTTTTGCGGCTGTGGGGGACCACGATATGACTTATGTTTCTCAAGCAGATCGACCTTACAACAGCCCTTCGGCCCTCTTATCTCCCAGACGAGGTTCTGCTCTTCGTGCAGGACAATGTAGGCCTTTATGAGGGGTAAGCAAAGCCCTGGCGCAGATACGCTCGTCATTTGGAGTCGCAGTACTGATCCCGGCTCCCTGCAGCAAATACAAGCTTCCAGACCAGCAAGATGGCCAGGTATATCTTACGTCTCATCGCATCTGCTATGTCGACAAGGCAGATGCAAGAAAACACTCGGTCGCAATAGACCTCAAAGATGTTGAGCGCTATGAGTTTTATGTAAGAGGTGCCCGCACCCGCTCGTTTCAGCAGCAACACCACTGACCCGATGGGCAACTTCCCAGGCTGGCTTTTTCAAGTCGTCTCCAAAGATTACTCTGATTCCAAAGCCAATTAAGCGTTCGTCTTTGCAGCCTCGCCTCCCGGCTAGTCCTACGGCCCAGCATGGAGGGTCCTCGCCGCACGCGAGGTCAGATAGCCCGCTGAGGCAGCCCGCAGTCCAGGCGCCTTCGATGAGCTCGGCGACCTGGGTCTGCACCATCTGCAGCTTCTCCAACCCCGTCCCTTCGAACTTTGACCCTGCTATTGCAAATGCTCACACGCCACTACCCCCATGCTTGGCATGCGGCATCAAGCCGACCTTGACACATGTGCTCAAGGCGGCCATCTCAAACGCCAGCACCCGGCAGCCCGTGTCAGGCTTGCGCCCGGGCTTGCCTTCAGACCTGTCCACAGCAGCAACGGATGAGGGACAGCCTCCCGCCTACACGGCGAGTCCCGTATCTGGGCCGCCTGTCTACACAGGGGCGTCCTTCCAGTGCCCTCGCTGCACCTTCTTCAACCACCCGTCACTACTTTCGTGTGAGATGTGTGGAGCGCCGCTCATCTCACAGGATGTTCCAGCAGAACTGGCTGCTAGCCAAGAAAGGACGGACTCCCCAGGGCCGATGATGGCTGCGTCGAGCGGGAAGCTCCCTGGCGTCGAGAACCCCGAGAACGTGAAGCTGTCCTTCCGTAACGGCGGTGTCCAGATCTTCTACGAACGCCTGAAGGGAGCCATGACGCAACGGAAGTGGCTACTGCAGGGAGCACCGCCTGTCCCGAAGTCCAACCAAGCCTTGGAAGAAAACAGTGGCCGGTCTACCCCTGCCGGACCCAGTGGTGAACGAGTCAAGAATGTCGGCATCGCAGGCTTGGAGAAACGGGGTCTTGAGATGCGCAAGAACAACGAACTGGTCATCGGCAGCGCCTTTGAAGATCTAGAGGCCCTCATGGCATCCGCCAAGGAGATTGTGGAACTGGCTGAATCCTTTGCGAGACAGACCAATGGGGCAACCGGCGCCGGCTCCACAGAGGCCAACGCCGTGCTGGCCGAGTCAGCAGCTCAGCTTGGACTCGTCACGACCAAAGACATCGTGGGCGGGAGCAGTAGTGAATCCCTCTACATCTCCGAGCTGGCGCGTAACCTCGCGGAGTTCTTGACCGATGATGCGAGAGGGGTCTTGCGAAAAGCCGGAGGCATCATCAGCTTGGTCGATCTCTGGGCCATCTTCAACCGCGCACGCGGTGGTGTGGAGCTCGTGAGCCCTATGGATTTTGAGAAGGCCGCGCGGATGTGGGAAAAGCTGAAACTCCCCGTCCGGCTGCGTACCTTTAAGAGCGGGGTCATGGTAGTTCAGAGCAAAGATCGCACCGACGACACGACCATAAGGGCGTTGCTGGCGTGGCTCCAGGACCTGCATGTGTTCCCTCCAGAACGAGAAGTGACCTGGGACTGGGTCGAATTCGGGAGGGGAGTCACCGCGCAGGATGCCGCTGAGCGATTCGGGTGGAGCATAGGTGTGGCCGAAGAAGAGCTGGAAATGGCCGAGGAGCGCGGTGTACTGTGTCGAGAGGAAGACATCGAGGGGCTCACGTTCTGGGAGAACTTCATCGACACTGGAGAAGGCAGATCCAAGTCACGGAGGCATAAGAGGTCAGAGAGTGAGGAAAAGCATGAACAGCTTGTCAAGGCTCTCAAGGATAGCGGCTTTATGTAGCATGGTCAGCGTTGTTTTAGACATCATACATATCATATCACTATGTGCGATTCCCTTCCCGTAAGTATGTGAGATGAAGACGCTGTGATCAAGAACGTGCGAATCATTTGCATAAGTAAATGGGCCCGCTGCCCTGCTATAGTGCTGGTATCGTACAAATCAAACCCTCAACTCCTTATTATGCTATGCAGATCCCATCATTGAAGCTCTAATCATTACCAGCGCCATTCTCATGGCTCAATGAGATTCGGGATCGCAGGTCCAATCCCCCTCAGCAGCACTATGGTATTGCCGCTGACAAGTGAGGACCCGACCTTCTCGTTGAACTCCAAAACTCTGCCGCCCTCTACATGGAACACTCGAAGCTTGTCTTCTTCCTTTGATGATTGATTGTTGACGTTCTCGACTTGGAGACTCCGGGCCGCGGCGTCGAGAACCCTGCCTATGACCCAATCCTTCGAGTAGAAGAATTGGCCCTTGGGAAGCTTTGCCGTCGTCGTCGCCGCCTCGGCCTCGACGTATAGGTAGACTCTCTTTTCGGGCGCGAGCTTGTCGTCGCCCTTGGCCGTCTTCTTGAGGTTGTTCACGGCCACCATGCGCGCGGCCGCCGTGCTCGGCTTCGGCTTGGGCAGCACGCGGCCGGCGGCCTGGTTCGCGGCCTCCTTCTTGGCGGATCCCCACGCCCTCAGCTTGTCCAGGGCGGACCTGGCCCTCTTGGCGGCGTCGTTGGTCTGCGGCCGGGCGCCGAGGGGGACGAGGTTCTTGCAGTCGTGGTCCTCTTTCAGGCGGTGCTTGAGGCAGTAGTCGCGGTTGCAGCTCGTGCAGTGCACGCCGGTGATGAGGCTCGTGCCGATGACGGTCTTGCAGTCGGGCGTGGCGCAGGGCTTCTGGGAGACGTAGTCGCGCAGCTGCCTGCCCTCGCCGGCGTACGACTTGGCCTGCTGGGCCGCCCGCCGGCGCTCGGCCCAGGCCCCGGCGTTGGCGCACTTGTGGGCCGACTCGGTGCGGTGGTCGAGGCAGAAGGTCTTGCGGCAGGACTGGCAGTAGAAAGGGAGGAAGTCGAGCTGGTTGCAGTACTCGAGCTGGCAGTGGGTGCCGACGAGGCTGACGTCGGGGAGGCTCTGCTGTACGTCGGTCATCTTGACGTACGAGGTTTCGTCGCTTGGTGGGGTGGATGAGCCAGCCATGGTGACGGTGGGGAGGCGAGGTAGTCCTATTTATTCCGGTATTGGGGAAGGAAAGAATGTAATGGCGGCAGAGGGCAGGCAGGCGGCTGCTTCGTCATCAGGGTCCTGGACAAGGCTGAGCTGAGAATGAGGGCGTTGTTTCACACGGGAGTGTACGCTCTAGGCTAGGCTGCTGACGAACAGTACACAGAAGGGTCTGGAAGCTCCGAGGTGAGGTGCCAGCGGTCAGTTCGCCTGAGACTAGTGGCGATCGTTGCGGCTCCGTAACCTAAAATTTAGCCCTGGAAGGGGGGTAGTCACGGGGAGTGTACAGCACAGACCAGCCTGGTCAAAGGGGCTCCAGGCTGTCATTGACCCCGGGACGACCTCCAGCTGCGCTTTGGTCCCGCTTTAGTCATCCATCCGGCAGGCTGCAGGACCCCCTTCATGCACAGTGGACCCTGATTCCATTCAACCCCAACCCCAAGACGTTTGTGAAAGTGCCCAAACTTTCCGATGAGCTCGGATTATCGGGACAATTGCCAGTCATCTCACCCATTCCTTCATTAATGGGTGTGAACGGACCCCTGTCGATCCCTAGCGCGTGGTTTCGCAGGCGCATGCCGAGGTGCGCCCCACAGGGTCCATGACGGCATGATTCAACCGCGACCAGCCTCACTTTCAGCCTTGCAGTTTCATCTCACAATGATCTCGGAATAATCTCACTTTTCCAAGATGCCGCCGCTCGTTCCTCGCAAGAGGCTGCGCCAAGAGTCCCCCACAGGCGAGCCGAGACCCGCCAAAGCCGTGAAAGGGAGCAAAGGGAAGGCTCCTGCTGCGGCTCCTCGTAAGGCGACCCTCTACGATGATCTGGACCAGACTGAAAGCAACGGCGCTCTGAAGCGTGAGAATTCGAATCTGAAGCATCTTGAAGCGCTCGATGAGGAGGAGGATAGCGATCTCACGTCCTTGTCTGACGCTGATTTTGAGGATGCCGCCATTGACAAGCGGCAGAGGCAAGAGCTCTCCGAGGAGGAAGATGATGAAGATGACGACATTGAGTTCGAAGATGTCGAGGCACCTCGCACCTCAATCTTGGACGTCCAAACTCCCACGGGAGATCTCGAACTGACCCTCATTAAGGACCCGAGAGTGCCTTTGACCAAAGCGTTTGGCGACAAGAAAGGACCATCCAAACGTGATCGTCAGACTCGAAACGCCAGTCATTGTCTGCATGTTCAACTTTTGTTATGGCACAATGCAGTTCGGAATGCATGGACGTGCGATCCCGAGGTCCAAGGCATACTTCTCTCCCATCTTCCCCCGAGCATGTGGGATGAGGTTGACCGGTGGCGCCGCACTTCTGGATTGGAAGTTGCCAAGGAGGAGACGCCGAAGAAAGCGCCAGCGAGAAAGTCGAAAGCTAGAGGAAGGCCCAGTAGACAGTCTGGGAAGCGGGGAGGAGATTGGGATACGGCCGCGACACGGCTAGAACAGGGCACGCCAGACTTGAGCCACGGAGATCCTCTGTTCCGTCTTATGAAGGCGTTAACAATGTGGTGGAAGAAAAGATTCACAATCTCGGCACCAGGAATTCGAAAGCAGGGGTATATGTCCCTCGAGCGCCTCGATCGTCTCGTCAAGGGCTATCAAAATGAGGAACACGATGCTGAGCGTTTCGGAGAGCGAATCCGGGGTGTACAAGAGTTCAGGACTCTTGCCCAACATTGTACGGGTAGTCGGGATGTCGGTGCTCAGCTTTTTACTGCCCTGCTTCGTGGCCTTGGGCTTGAGGCGCGGCTAATTGCCAGTCTCCAACCAGTCGGTTTTGGTTGGAACAAATATGAAGATGCTGACGAGGAAGAAGAGGAAAAACCAAAGGCATCATCTTCAAAACAGGACGGTGCGTCCAACAAGATAAAGGGGCCAGATCCCAACACGACATCTCCGTCAACAGCACAGTCGAAGCAGTCGAAGCGGCCACCCCGGAAGCCGACGGCCAAGGACTCTGATGAATCTGAGGCTTTCGAGCTTCATGCGATCGATAGCGATGATGATTCGGTCATCATGCTGCCCCCTGTCAAACAGAATAAGAAGACAAAGTCATACGACAAAGACCTGGAATATCCACATTACTGGACCGAGGTGCTTTCGCCAGTGACCAACAAGTACCTCCCCGTCGACGCGATTGTCAAGGCTGTAGTCGCGACCAATCGAGAACATGTCGAGTCACTCGAGCCGAGAGGCGGGAAAGCTGACAAGGCAAGACAGGTGATGGCCTACATCGTTGGGTATTCACAGGACGGAACTGCCAAGGACGTGACTGTCAGATACTTGAAGCGACAGATGCTACCAGGCCGCACCAAAGGAGTGCGCTACCCTATTGCAAAGATCCCGGTCTACAACAAGCACGGCAAAGTAAAGCGATACGATCCCTTTGACTGGTTTCGGTTCGCTATGCGAGGCTATGGACGAGGTGGGAAGAACCAGCCGATCACCGACGTGGATGAGGACGAGGACTCAACCGACCTCAAGCCAGCCAAGCCGGAGAAGAAGGAGGTCAAAGAGGGTGAGGAGACACTGCAGTACTATAAGCAATCGCAAGAGTTTGTTCTCGAACGCCATCTGAGACGTGAAGAGGCACTGCTGCCCAGGGCGAAGCCGGTCAAGGTCTTCAAGAGCAAAGGCAAAGGTGGCGAGGTCAACGAGGAGGACGTGTTTCTGCGAAAGGATGTCGTCAATGTCAAGAGCGCAGAGACCTGGCACAAACAAGGTCGAGCACCGATCCCAGGGCAACGTTCGCTCAAGAAAGTACCCTACCGAGCAGCGACGACGAACAGGCGTCGCGAAATCGCGGAGGCCGAGGCAGCGACCGGAGAAAAGGTGCTGCAAGGACTGTACAGCTTCGACCAGACGGATTGGATCATCCCCCCACCCATTGAAAACGGTGTCATCCCGAAGAACGAGTACGGAAATATCGACCTGTTTGCCGAGCACATGTGCCCAGAAGGCGCAGTCCATGTCCCGTATCGGGGTGCGGTGAAGGTCTGCAAGCGGCTCCAGATCGACTTTGCGGAGGCGGTTGTCGACTTTGAATTCGGACATCGCATGGCTGTGCCAGTGATACAAGGCGTGGTCGTCGCCGCAGAATACCACGACCAGGTCATGGAAGAACTAGCCAAGGACGAAGCGGAGAGATCGAGGAAAGAGGACGAGAAGCGCCGAAAGGCAGCAATGGGCATGTGGAGAAAGATGCTCATGGGGATGCGGATTGCGAGACGAATAGAGCAAGACTATGGCAAGATTGGCGAAAACGAGCACATTTTCGGCCACGACCACTCAGCATCGAGAATACACGACCTCACGGGTAGCGGCGACAGAGGTCTGGACGACGAGGAGATGGCTGGTGGCTTTCTACCAGAAGGGTTTGAGGACGATGCAGATCATTTGGCGCCTCAAACCTCGAGCTTCTTTCCCGTTGCTCACGACGAGGAGGACGGAGAAGAAGGTGACGGAGGATTGATTGTCGAGGACCATCGCAATCATGAGCCAAGCCTAGCTCTAGAACCGGCTGCTGACCCGGATGAGCCAGAATCGGAACCAGAGGTATCTAAATCTCGCGCAAAGCCGCGGCGGGCCCAGCCTGGAAAGCGACCCCCACGGGGCCGGCGGCAGAGATCGCCTCCGCCCGATGAAGATGAAGATGAGGATGAATCCGAGCTGACGGAGCTTGATCTCGACTCGGATGCGGATTATGTAGATTAGCTGTTGGGCTCTGTCTGTATTCTCCCCCATGCATCTCCCCTGCAACATGTTCCACCGGGGAAAGAAAAATTGACTTTGACTACTTACTGTGACTAAGTCGTAGCCCGTCAATGAGACCTGCGTCGTGACATTGTTTTTTTTATGCAGTGTTAAATGATGCAAGTACATCAGTTAGACCATCCATCCCACCAGACAGAATACAGAATCCCGTCCCCAGTAATGCAGGCCTTAGGTATTGTTAGGTAGTTACCTACACGTTCCAGATCCAGTAATCGTGCATCAAAGGATGGATCGGACCTTTTGCAGCACCGACAAGCTTCGGTGCGGGCGTGCCTGCTGTTGGCCGCATTTGATCACCCACTCTCACCCAGGCTCTCTGACTGCAGTTCCGCCTCATCACCTGTTCTTCCCAACACTCGTTTTAGCGAGGGGCTCGGTGGGCAGAAACCAGTCACCACTTCTTCGCCGGTTGCCCCATGGATGTCTGAATCCAGTCAGTCAGTCAGTCGCAAGGAGGTACAGTCGACGGAGCGCCCACTCATATGACTCTGACTTGCACGACAACTGCAGCTCACCGCATCACTTGCCCTTGTCAGGCTGCAAGCCGCCAACAGCCAGTGAGCACTGCGTCGCCATGAGCACGACCCAAGCTTCACCTGCGACTCACTTCGATGACCTTGACTGAGCCGCCCCCTGCTAGGTTATTTTCTTTTGCTCTCGGGCACTTCGATAAGCCATCCTTGACGTCTCTTCCATCTCTGACAATTGTTATCAATCAACCGAAACAAGACCTGCGACCCGTTTGTCCTTTGTTCCCTCGCACCCACCGACATCCGGGCCAACAAAGGCCAGCTGTTTGCCCTACGACTTGGATGCCTCTCATTTCCAATGTAAAAACCCTTCATTCTGTCAACCAAGTCGCAGCCTAGTCGGTGAGTTGTACCCTCGTTCCATTCATTTCGGGTTCCCGCCACTGTCTACCACATTTTATGGTCTCTGGAACCTGAGCGACTTCGCCTCCGCGCCATTCACTTGCGAGTGGGAGAGTCGGTTATTCTACGGCGCTCGGGAAGATTTTCCCTCTTCAATATTCATTCCAGACTTCCGTTTGCAATGAGTTCAGGACTGCCTTCTTTGCGCTATTGACCGTTCCTGTCGCGAACTTCGGTTCTGATATGGGCAACGTCGCTTCCTCCAAAATCAAGACCGTGAGACGGTTTCATCGACGAGGTCATCAAGGCCTGACAAGACTGCAGGAAAGCGGTGCTGGCGCTCGTTCGGCTTCGAACATCCCAGAAGAGTCAAAGCTCGGCTCGCCAGCAGACCAAGCCAACATGGATACGATAGATCCTCGAGACCTCATTTGGGTGTCGGACGACGACACTCCTCCATCTACCCCCGAGAGCAAGACAGAGCCTGAATCGACGGCTTCAGGACCCGCGCTCGACGACCGGGACGCATGCTTTCAATCTGTCCAGCGTCTCTTTCCAGATATATGTGACGACTATCTTAGAAAGACCTCTCAGGACAAAGGCCACGAACACGATGCAGTCATTGCTCACATACTAGATTCCATCGACAACGGCGAGGACTATCCTCGACGTCCAAGGAAGCGAAAGCGGTCTGAAGAAGATGACGATGTTGATGCCGACGATGAGGTCACCATAGCGACCAAGAAGTTCAACCATCCCGGCCGCCAGATTGAGATTCACGACTTCACTCGCATCAGATTCACCAAGACTCTGTTAGTGCAGAACTTCCCCAGAATCCCTTGCAAAGACCTGTATGCCCTCTTGGACATCCACAATTGCCTTCTATTCCCTACAGTCCTGGCTATAGGAAAGATCGTGGACGAATGGAATGAGGCAGAACCTCCCTTTCAGTACAAGAGGCGGCCGACGAGAGAGGAGCCACTTTACTCTATGAACAACCTTCCCCAAGCTATCAAGGACGCAGAGAACGCCATGGAGAGGGAACTGCTCGAAGAATTCCGAGCGGCCAAGATCGTTCTTCAGGCGCAGCGCCAGCAGAGAGCAGCGGAGAGACAGCAAGAGCTGGAGGAACAGGCCAATTTCGAGAGGGCCAAGGCTGCAGGCCAAATCCGGGAATGCGGTTGCTGCTTCGGGGATGCAGCCGAAAACCGCATGGTGCACTGCAACGGGGACTATTCGGGAGGCGATCGCCATGTAAGACCAACACAGAGCGCTTGCGGGGGATAGATTACTGACGAATCGGTAGTGGTTCTGCCGGGACTGTGCCCGACGAGCCGCCGAGACGGAGATCGGGCTCTCCAAATACCATCTCGCTTGTCTCTCGATGGACGGGTGCCCGGCCGGATTCTCGCCCGCTCAGCGAGAGCTCTTCCTCGATACGGGCATGCAAACTGCACTGGAGCGAATCGAGCAGGAAGCTCTGCTACGAATGGCGGGTATCGAGAACCTGGAGACTTGCCCATTCTGTCCATATGCCGCAGAGTATCCGTCGGTCGAAGTAAATAAGGAGTTCCGTTGTGACAGGGCAGATTGCGGAATCGTGAGCTGTCGGCTCTGCCGGAAGGAGACGCACATACCGAAGACATGCGCTGAGATGGAACTGGACAAAGAGGATGGTGAATCCGCAAGGCGCACCATCGAGGAGGCCATGACTGCTGCCTTGGTTCGGAATTGCAACAAATGTAAGAGTCCTTCGACCCTCGGAATTGACTGCGTGAAGCTAACTCACAGTGATAGGCGGGACGCCATTCATCAAGGAAGACGGGTGCAACAAGATGACTTGCACTCGTTCCGGCTGTAGAAACGTCCAGTGCTACGTCTGCCACAAGTCTTGCGACTACTCCCACTTTGACGATAGTACCCGCGGAGGGAAGAAGGGCAACTGTCCCTTGTTTGAGAACGTCGCAGAGCGCCATGAACGGGAAGTACGCGAGGCAGAGGAACGCACTCGCCAGGAAGTCGTGGATGCAAACCCCGGGGTGGCCCTTGAGAATCTACAGATCAACGTGTCTGAGAGGGTCAAGGAGGATGAGAAGAAGCGCAAGGCCCGCGATCCACGGCATGTGGTTCACATCCCCGTACCAGCGCGCGCCCGGCATCTAGGTTAGTGATCGATTTCTTGAGCAAATCGCGAGAGTGTGTTTAGAGTCTACCAAAGAGGTGCTCTTGAGCGAATAAAAAAGTTCTCGCCATTAACTATTGCTGTAGGCCACAACATAGCAATGGGTAGACATGCCAATGAAGCTGTCGCCGCAGTCGGAGTTCCGCCGCGGGAACCGTATGAACCATTATTCGGACCAGTAGGGATGAACGCCATGCCATTTGTGCCGCCTGTCGCCTTACCACGGGCCCCCGAGCTTGGTAGGGTCGCAGATGCTATCAGGAACATAACTCGCGGACACGATGTCTTACCACGGTACGTGCCACCGCGGCCACCAGCACCACCAGCACCACCAGCACCAGCTGCGAAGCCGCCAAGCAAGGACTCTCCGGAGAGAGTGGGCGAAGGTCCGCTATCTCACATACGGGGAATCATCAGACAAGGACAAATGGTCGCGAACCAGTCCCTAGCCAACCTTGGAGGTCTTCTGCCGCCTTCGCGGGAAGACCGGGAGTTCCGCGACAAGGTCCGGACATCACTTGCTCGATATCGAGAAGGTCAAATGCGGTTCGCTTTCGAGGATGAGTACCCGGATAGCCCGGCGCAGCCAGGCCGCCGTGTCGAAGATCCTCGTCCGCCCCGTCCACCCAGAGAAGCTCCCGCTCCGCAGAGAGGACCTCCTCCGCCGAGAGGACCTGCTCCGCCGAGAGAAGCCCCTCGCCTTCGTCACGCTAATCAGCAGCCGCCTGACAATAACATGCCGGCCAGGATTTCTCGGTTTCGGCATCAGGCTCCTCCACCCCCGGCAGGACCGGTGCCGGCGCAGAACAACCCGCCTCAAGCCGGGGGAGGCGCAGCGCCTCGAGCTCAGCATCGGCAGAGCGCGAGGTCCAGCTTCGAAGGGCAGGCACCGCCTCGGCAGCCGTTTTTCGTCGCGATTCCCGCGAGGTCCATGTTCCGGAGAGAACATTTCGGCCATCAAGGTGGCCAGTAGGTGGCAAATGGAGGTACATATTACGCAGGAGTAGGTATGTGGTATCCACGTCGGCGGACGTACACCCAGCCAGGAACTCGGGCATAATACATGATGATTGGTTTTGCATTTACAGCGCACTGGATGTCATTTCTTCTTTTCTTCTCCTTTGTCAGATCTTGCTGCGCCGAGTTCGATACGTTTTACGAGACGGCGTGCCTGTATTCTCATGCGTATCTTCACTAATGACCGCCCTGGACTTTGGCTCAGTCGAGGGTTTTCGAGTTTAAGCATATGGTACATTTTTCCTTGTTACGCTCTCCAAGAATAGCATTCAGACCTAGGCAGCGAATTGACCTCGGTTACTGTTTGAAGGGTAGCGGTCGCAGTGCAGTTTAGTCAACATTGTGAACCATGTCGCGCCGGCTCTCACCTGCTCCTCCCAAACCTCTCGTGCCATTTCCCTTTCGGTGCTGGGACTGGCGCGGAGTCACTAGACTCGGGCACGAGCTCGATCGTCTCGTGGATGGTAGCAATGGCATTGATGCCGGGTTGTGAGATCTCGGCGGACGCCTGACTGGCAGTAGACGGCCTGAGGATGATCAATGCATTGGACGTGTTCTTTTGCCGTAGCGACCACGTCTTGTCTGCCGTCTTGAGAAGGGCGGCAGCCGGTGAAGACTCGATTCTCAGTCTGGATGGTATCATATTAGGTACCGCCGGAAGAGATACGAGAACCGGAAGTCAGACAACTCACGTGGGGGGCTCATTGCTCTCGAGAAGGGCCTGGAGCTCCGGGGGGATCTCGAGCAGTTTGTAGCCCACTCCGTCCGGCGCGTAGTGAAGGGGTATTCCCTGATTCTCTTGACTGGACATGATGCGGGCCAGGCGCAGGGTGTGTGAAAGGCGCTCGTAAACCCAAAGGCAGGGCGATGATGGAAACACTAACTAGCAAGTAAAGTAGTCGAAACAAGGTGCCGATCTAAACAGATCGCAGGTCTCAGTGCCGCCCGCTGCCGGACTGGTGTAAACGCTGAAAATAGAAGGTGGGGGGGGGGGGGGGTTCTTGTCTGCCCGCCCGGAGATCTGCTGGGATCTAGACCAGTCCGGGCGTCCACTGGGCGTGGTAAAACTTCCGGCCCGTGTGTTTACTTTCGTGCAGAGTCCAAGTGGGGTGCAACAACATTAAAAAACATCACACACAGTCTCTCTACGCCCAAAACGCGTTCGCGTCTCTGCGAAAGGAAAAAACCCCTGCCAGGTCCCCCAATCAGCCCCATGCAATTGTACAGGGCCCCCAGACCGACAATCTTCTCTGTCTCCGTAAACCGGTTTCTCATTCCTCGCTGACCGCCTGCGCCGACCGCCTTTTTCCCGCATTGGCAATTTGAGGCTTATCGACGTCGGCAAACGAGAAACCAGGCGCTCTCCAGCATTCCAGTCCCTCCAGATTGGTCCACTTGTTTTGCGGCTTCTACCGACGACACACCGTCTTGGGAAAATATCTTTGCGCCAGCTTCTACGCCCACGGTCTCATCCATCAATCCGGGGCTGCTGTTGCAGGTCTGCTTGTACCTACTAGAGGAGGGGCCCTGCAGCGACGGACCGCGCACGCGCGCACGATTTGACGCACGAACACAACAGTGGTGTTGCTACACACCAACCCAACCCGCACCAAAGGCGCACCGATCACGGCTCGTGTGTTTACTCGAGGCATTGGGCTGTTGCTCTGCGCCTGCGACCCCGCCCGATCACTGCCCTTTATTCCCTCCAACCCCGCCTGACGTCTGTCGCCCATTCTCGACTGTTGCTGTTCGTCTGGTCTTGGATCAGCCATGAGCGAGGCCCATTGAGCGACCATGGTCCGTGTCACCGAGGAGCTGGCACTCTCGCCAGAGCAGAACACCCTCTACTACGCCAATGATCCTCTCCTAGGACATCTGCCCGTCTTGGTCTTCCACGGCCCGTCGACGACAGCAAACTACACTCTCAACAGCTCGCGGGTGCAGATCCACGTGTACAGCCCGGCCGGCTTTGCTTCTTTCCCCCGAATCACCACCTCACCAACGTCTCCGTTCTACAGTGTTGTCGGTCATCTGCCACGAGAATTCCAAGGCGACGAGATATGCCGAGGGTTGGCCTTTGGCTTGTTCAAATACTTCACAGAGCTACCTGAGGCCGTCAAGAACCATGTGAGGAATCAGTATCCCACGACTCGTGGGCGGCGGCCTGGCTCCGCGCCGGCGCTCTTTGGCGAACAACATGCGGCGGACCTCGCGAAATCGATGACAAAGTCTGATCTCACGGTCCAGACCGTCCAGGTGCTGCAGGCAGCACTCCAAACGCAGCACATCAGCAATGTTGACATCGACTTGGTTCTGCCTCCGGGTGCTATCATCCCCTTGCAGCCGGAGGATCTTGAAGAGGTCCCCGAGGATGAGGATGACATTCTTGACCCGACCTTGCGCCAGTACGGCATGTACACGCCCCTGGTCAAGCTCTTTGGGGAGCCGATATTCCTTCCGACGTCAAAGCTCCGCAGAGCGCCCTCGCGGCCTACTTCGATCAACCGGAGCAAATCCTTCACCCGAGACCAGAAAGTGGAGCTCCGGATGAAGATGGGAGAGTTGGTGGACACCGAAGAGCGTTATGTACTCAAGCTCAACGAGCTCGTGAAGCACATCGCGGACGACTTCCGTCAAAAGGCCAAGAGCCGCTCGGCAGGAAGCATAAGCCCTACCGAGGATGAAATCGAACGGCTGTTTCCGCAGTCTGCTGATCGAATCCTCCAGATCAACTCGGCATTCGTCCGGGAGCTGCGCAAGGTCATGGACGAGACCGAGCAAGACGCGGTCAAGGATTGGGACAGCTCAGTCCCGTCATCACGCCTGGGAGGTTCTGCCAAAGTCAAGGACCCTAGTGGGGCCCTTGCCATGGCCAGAGTCTTCCTCGACTGGTTTCCCAGATTCACTGATTGCTACCAAGACTACATCCGAGCGAGTCAGAACTTCCCACAGCTGCTGAACCAGTTCCTGGACAAGCAGTCAAGCTTCCGAGCGCGCGTGGTACAGACAGGCGAGCAAGCTCTCCGTTCCATCCTGATTGAGCCTGTTCAGCGTCTTCCTCGATACAGTCTATTCATCGACCAGATCGTCGGGTGTCTGCCTATTACCCACCCCGCCCTCCAGCTTATGCTCAAGGCCCGCGATATCATCACCAACATTTGCTCCATGGATGAGCCTCTGCAAGATAAGCCACATGTCGCAAGCCGCCTGCGCAATATGATTGAATGCTGGCCAGTCGATCTTGAGCCGCGAGGAAGGCTGGTCTTTGCTGTTGATTACGTCGAGCTTGCAGCACTCTATGATTCCTCGCCGCACAACCTCGATATGCAGGACAGGGCAGGGATGTTCCTGGTCTTCAGCGACTGTATCATCATGGTCAAGAAGAAGGGAGGTACCACGCTGACAAGCCGGGACCTGCTTCGAGAAGTAGACAAGCCTTCGCCGGCTGGATTGCTCGCTTCAATGACCAACGCAGCAGGCGGGCAAGGTACTTACGAATTTGCCTTCACAGGATGGCACGATCTCGCTGATGTCCGTTTCACCGAATCTGTTAATGGCAGACTTGTTTGGATGACATCTACCAAAGAATTGCGAGGCTCGCATGCAAGCGAGTATGCCACGAGCAAGGCGGTGACCTCTAGATGTTTTGTACTTCAAGAGTCATTCGATTCGAAGGCTTCCAAGTACACAGAAGAAATCGTCAAGGCTCGCATCGAAGGCCGGTTTTCAGAAACCGAGCGAGAGGACCCGACCTGGACTCTCCGATCGGTGAGGATGCCTGATAACAACTTTGGTCTCCACGCCGCCATCTTCCAAGAAGCCGCGGAGCAGCTCGTCGAAGGGCGTAAGGAGCCCGCTGCTATTCGCGTGGTCTTGGACAACGAGAAGGGGACCAAGGGCGCGCCCGTTGGGCATTATGGTGTCGAGATCGTCGTCGAGGTGCGGACTCGGGATATGAAGCGACTCACTATGAACACACTGGGTCTGAATGGGAAGAAATATACCGATGACGTAGCACTGGAGGACTTCCTGCCGACACTGTCTCGACGTGGTAAGTATAAAAATTCCTCTTCTTTAACATCTCTGTCCTAACGTGAGACTAGTCGTCCAACTCCTCAGCCATCAGTGTAACTGCTCAAATTACCAGCTGGCCCCGGCTTTGGTGTCTTATTATACGAAGGTACTTCGGGGACTGAGCTTCACTGCGACTAGGCCAGAGCGAGCCAGATCATTCCTGTCCACCTCGCCTGTGAAGCTTCTGTCCAGTTTCCTTGGTGGCACTTCAACGCCAATCGAGAGCACCAGCCCACAGAGGCAGAAGGCATCGGTCGCAAACGCCCCACCGCTGCCACCGAAGCCGCCGTCACGTTCAAGCAGCCGGCAGGATGTTGTCTCACTGAATGGCTCGGTCCGGGATCGAAACCAAGGTCAAGTGGGGGGGGATGACGAGAGACCCGAGAATCCGCTTGTTCGACTCGAGCAAACATTCACAGGATATGTGGCAGCGCTGCAGTCGCGCAAAGGGCAATTTGTCGGTAGAATCCTGATGAACCGGTCGGTGGTCGATGAATTGTCAGTCAATGATCTCTACAACAAGTTGATCGAGAGTCCTTTTGATTGGGAGACTTCGGCTGAGCTGGGTGCCGAGGTCATATTCGCAGCCTTTGAGAAGTTTGCGCGCATTGCTTGGAGGGAGCAGATGGGTCCCATCATGACCATACAGGCACTGGATGCGCTCCAGGAAAGGTCCTCGCGGCGGGTTCCTGGCGACTTTGCCGACTTTGTCAACTATCTCTTCGGGGATATGGCACCTCAGAACCGGCGGGCCTTCACGGCGCTGATCAAGCTACTTGCTGATCTCCTGGACGGCTGTGGTAACGACGGTGATCGAGGCGCCCTGACCATCGCATTTGCCGAATTGCTCGTGGTGGACGGGAATGCCCACGACTACATCAACTTGCTAGATCGTCTAGTCGAGGACTGCGATCGCATTTTTGACGACGTCGGAGGATTTGGTGCTAGCTTCACCCTGCGTGGCTCAGCGTACGAGTCTCTCAACTCGACCACGCGCAGTCACAAGTCCAATACGGGATCGATAACATCGAACACGTCTTCTCTAAGGCGGAAGCTCGGCTTTGATACCCTTTTGCGGCAGAACACCAAGACTGACCCGGAACGGCCTTCAATGTGGCGTACTCTGAGCAAACACCACCGGCACCCTGCAACGGGTGAGAGCAGTAGTCTCTCGAAGGCGTCTGTCAATAGGTCGAGGTCCATTGACATGGGAGTGCAGCCACAAAGCCCCAGCAGGCTCAGACGACCAGGTTCTCGAGATCGCCCACCTATCGCTGGTGCATTTGAAGACAGCCGTCCGCCGAGCTCACACCGGCCGAACAGTTCTCACCGTCTCGAGACCATTGGGGAGCCCGAGGTTGAACCGCCACCTGAGAAGTCGCTGAAAAAGAAACGGCGCTCTTCGCTGTCGGACCTTAAGTCGCTCATGGCTGCGGTGAGCATCGATGACGGAGAGGAGACACCAATGCCTCTCCGCATTACCAAGGGAACATCCGAGAAGTTCAATTCCAGCCCCCGCATTCCAGTGCCAGTGTCCAAAATTCCTATCAGCCCCCAACAACAGAGCATTCGGTCTCCTCGGCAGAACGAAAATGCCACCTCAGCGACATCACCGCAGAAGACGCTCGCCTCTCCGCCCACGTTTGAGAAGCCGCGACACGGTAAGACGCTGTCTACTTCCCAAATCCCGACACTACGGATCGCGCGCAACCCGACGTCCCAAAGCGGCCCAGACTCTCCGATACGGCCTTCCACAAGCCCGACAAAGTCGACCAATCCAAAGCTTCGTCTCCAATCACCGCAGAAGCTGAGGGAGCGGCTTCAAACCGAGAAGAAGGCTGTCGAAGACGTTGACGCGACCCTCAAGTCGGAACTCTCCCGTATTGCGGAGGACATGGCCAAGGTCAACGGCGCGATGCCGCGGTCCGGAACTACGGAGATCACCAAGTTGACGGCCAGCGTCAAGGCGCTCGAGGACCGGATCCCGCAGATGATGGCCGAGCTCACGGAGCGGCACGCGGCGATCCAGCGGGACCTCGAGAGCACGCTCAAGGCCAACGAGGCCAAGGTCAAGGCCATCGACCAGCTGTTCAAGGAGTCGACGGCGGAGAACGAGCTGCTGTACGAGAAGTTCAACTCGGAGCTGGGCAAGATCGTCAAGGCGCTCAAGGGCAAGGGCAGGGATGACAAGGAGGAGCTGGTCAGCAAGCTCAGGGAGCAGTCTGAGGAGACGGCCAAGGCGAAGAAGGAGAACGCCCGGCTGAGGAGGGAGATGGTTAGTCTGCGGACGATCTTGAAAGGTGGTGGCGAGTCGGCGGCTTCTTGAGGGGGGTGTGGGGGTTCATGTAGATAGATAGATGAGCATGGATGGCTTGATGATGGAGGAATGGCAGGTGGGACTTTGGGGGGCGTCGGTTTGACTATTGTTCTCTGGACCTTTGTGTTCTAGGGAGGCGTGGACGTTGGATGTAAAGGGCATGGATTGGCTGGCGGCGTTGAAATTGTCACTGTGACACGCGTTGGGTCACGATCGTTGTACTTTTATGATGTAGCACTTTGATGTATGGCCAGGGCCCAGTCAAGGGGGCCAGGGGAGCGGCCAGCTCGACTTGCGGGCCAAGAACATGATTACGATTTTACGACCATCTCAGATTCAGATTGCCCTTATATTTCAGTTCAAGCACCCCATCTGAACAGGAGCAGGGGGATATAGTGTAGCGGCTTGAGTCTTTACTCTGGCGGACACAAAACATCCATTAACCTTGCCCCTCAGACACGACACTCGGCCCCTGCCACGACCGGAGTTCGAACCTGGGTTGCTACCGGGATCTTTCTGGGAAGGCGTGACGAGGCCGGGCAATTCAGTCGCAAACAAATACCGCGGTATCCACGATACCAACAGAACCCACGAAAGAGGCTTGCGGGGTGCAGTAGCCGTCAGGGCTGGACCTAGAGGACGATTTCCTTTTTGACGATTTTCCCCTTTTATTTCTTGTTCTTTTGCTTCAGAGGATGAAGCTGTCAGAGAAGATAACTACTTTCTTCATTTCTTCACAAAAGCATCGACGCTTGTTTGTCTTATATATTATCATTATTATTCATGCCACGGCGGGCGTTGCTGAGGAGCGCAAAAGCGCGCTTTTCGCAGCTCCCTCCTCTACCCAACACTCTAATGACAACGGACCGGCTTCGATGGACCGAATCGGCGTGGTGTTGACACCGCCGACATCCCTACCTGCGGTCCGCCGTACCCGTGACGGCGTCTGTAGGTTAGGAGAAGACGGAATCCACGGCTGGGGATGCTATTCAGAAGATATTAGCATGCTTGAGCAACACCAGAGTAATTTTTGCCAGATTTATCATTACCCCAATGGGCGCTTTGGCCTCATCCCGCAGTTCGACTGCAACGGTAAACGTGCACCCATCTGGCAACGGACCCATCTTTTCTCCAGTATGAGATAGACGCCGTAGCGCTCCACGCAGCTGCTCTTCGACATCGGCCCAGTTGACGGCGTCATCGATGAGAGCAGCTCGATCCTCGTCATCGTCGCTATCGTCTTCGTCCTCGTCCTCATCCTCGACCTCGACCTCGTCCTCGTCCTCGACCTCGACCTCGACCTCGACCTCGCCGCCCTCGCCGCCCTCGCCGCCCTCGCCGACAAGCTCCTCGTCCTCGGCTATCCGCTTGTCGCCCTCGAACCCGCGCATGGCCTCCGCGCCGCCGGGCCAGGCCGGGAAGCTGCTCACGTCAAAGACCCACCGCTCGAGCACGGCGCCCGGCGGCACGGCGGCACTGAGGGTAGCCGTCTTGCTGCTAGTGGCCCCGCTGCCTGTGCTGCGGCCGCCGTTTGATGGGGATTTTGATTTTGCTCCGCCGCCGCCAGCGGCTTTCTTTGGTGTTGGTGGTGGTGGCGGCGGCCGGGGCGCGTGGATGACGACGACGACGCGGCTGACGGTTCCCGAGGACAGCTGCGCGGCCACGGCGTCGACGGCGTCGCGGACCCAGGCGCAGACCTTGGGGTGGCGGTTCTGGTGGACGGGGAGGCTGTAGGCCCGGGCGGAGAGGAAGGTGCGCTTCGGGTAGACGTTGCGGTAGTAGAGGATGGTGTGGATGGAGGCGGTGAGGAAGGAGTTGAAGGTAGTGAGAAGGGCGTGGGCTGCGAGGAGGGGGAGAGAGGGCGATGATGATGATGATGATGACGAGGCTCCGGTTGAGGTTGAGGATGGGTCGGGAGGAGGCATGATTTTGTGGAAGGGGAAGCAGCTTTAGATATATGTCGTCAAGAGGGGATCATTGTAGATGTTTCGGATCCGGATTCTGGATAGAGTTTGTGGGAAGTGATTGTTTTTGCTATTTCATCAGGAAACACATATATACAACAGACAAGGCTTGAAGTTCAGACGCGTGCCGGTGCGGTGACGCCATCACTGCCGAGGCGGGAAGTTGACGCCAAGTCAGGTGTCTAGAGTGGGGGGGTATGAGCACTGCTAAAGTGGTTGCGGCAGGTTGCCGCTTGTGGTGGGCTTCAGGGCGCACAGGCCGCTGCCAAGGCCTCGCAAATGCGAGAGACAGACGGCCGAGGCGCCTCTCCATTGGCCTGTTTATGCCGGCTGGCACAGGGGTCCCTTTGTCGTCACGGCGCATGTCTCTGCTATCAAACTCCACTAAATTTCTCCTTCCTTGGTTGAAGCCTGAACGCCAGGCCCCTCCAAACCCCACACCCACCCAGAAAGCTATCCTGCTTTCCCCATCTCGCCATTGTCGACCGCTCTTTTTTTCGCCAACAGGAAACAAACTTGCTGTTCGCTTGTGTTCCTGGCCAGAGCAGAAAAGAGAACATAATCGTCATTTGCTCAATTCACCATCCAAGGAATTGGTTCGCTAACCAGAGAGCACTCCCCTCCCAACCTTCCTTCCCCCCCCACCAACAGACGCAGACACGCACGCGCACGCGCGGGTTCAAACAAACATGGATGAGCTGGCGCAGGTGTTGGCCAACACCCAAGAGGCCGACACAAACGTCCGCGTCCAGGCCGAGCTTGCTATCAAGCAGGCGGAGAACAACCCGGCCTACCCCGGCCTGCTGACCGACATCGCCTGCTCCTCTTCTATCTCCACTCAGATCCGGCAGTCTGCGCTCTCGGCCCTGCGCCGGTTCATTGTTCACAACTGGAGCCAGGATGACTTTGACGACGACACTCCGCGCATCCCCATCTCGGACGAAGTCAAGATCTCGACGCGCCAGAAGCTGCTGGAGCTCGCCACGGGCAACGATGCTGATCGCCTAGTTAAGGCCGGTGTCAGGTTGGTCTTTCACGCGCCGTTCATTTCGTTTTCACTTTCTCTGCACTCAACTGTGGCTTGAGATCCCCTGTGCTGCACAATGGACTGACACGTGGGATCTTCACAGCTATGTTGTTGGTAAGATTGCCAGCGTCGACTATCCCGAACAATGGCCCGATCTGCTTCCCAACCTGCTCGCTGTGATCCCGACCGGCACCGACGTCCAGCTCCATGGCGCTCTGCGCGTGCTGTCCGAGATGGTTGATGGCAGCCTCAGCGAGGACCAATTCTTCCTCATGGCACGGCAGATTGTTGAGGTTCTTTACGGCGTCGCTCTGAACAACGACCGCAAGCCCCAGCTCCGGGCCCTCGCTATCTCTATCTTCCGATCGAGTTTCGACCTGATGGACATGGTCAAGGAGGACCACCTGAAGGAGGTCAAGGGCTTTGCCGAGGAGGCTCTCAAGGGCTGGCTGCCCTTCTTCCACGACGTCATGAAGATGCCGATTCCGAGCCGATCCCCGGAGACGCAAGATCAGTTCAACGGAGTGGTCGCGCTGAAGCTCCAGGTCGTCAAGGCGCTCATCAAGATCCGTAGCGTCTTCCCGTCTCTCCTGCTACCGCAGAGCCTTGCCTTCTTCGAGGAGACGTGGGCTGAGCTCAATCAGCTCTCTGGTCCCTACGCCGAGCTATACATCGAGAACGACAACCAGGGACGGCTTGAGAATGCCGACGGCCTCCCCTATACTCTCGACTTCCTTGCTCTGGAGGAGCTCGACTTGCTCAACCAGTGCATGCGCGCCTCGCCAGTGCAGAAGCAGCTGGAGGCTCAGTTGCAAGCACATAGTGCGGCCCACGAGACCCCTTGGATGATTGATCTTATGAAGCTCACTGCGGCCTATGCTCGCATCATCCGTGAAGAGGAGGATCTCTGGGACATTGACGTCTCCCTTTATCTCGCCGAGGAGACTTCTGTCACTGCCAACTACACGGCCCGTACCGCCTGTGGCGACATGCTTATCAAGTTGGGCGAGTGGATTGGCTCACAGGCGCTCGAGGGCCTCTTTGCTTACACCAAGACCCTCTTCGCCGACGGCGGTGACTGGCGGAACCAAGAGGCTGCTCTGTACCTGTTCACAATGATTATTAACGATTTCCTGGACTGCGAGAAGCAAGTGCCCCCTCAGATCGCCCAGGCCTACATGGAGCTTGTCACCTTTGCCATTGGCCGCAACGAGCCGCTTTTGCAAGCCCGAGGCTTCCTCGTTGCTGGTATCTTGGGTCAATGTTACCCCGAGGCGAATGTGCTCCTTGACCGCACCATCTTGGCGATCACGCAGGCAGAGTCGGAGCTTGTCCAGGTCGCCTGCGTCAAGGCTGTCGAGGGCTTCACCAAGTCGCCCAACGTGCCCGTTGATCGCCAGGTGCAGATCCTGCAGGCAGTCGACGCCTTCCTCAGCTCGAACGATCTGTCCGAACTCGACGATGCGGATGACCTTCTCGTCACCCTCGCCGAGAGTCTGCGTGCTGCTATCAGGATGAACGCTTCCATCGTCATCACCTCGGACGTCAAGGCCCTTGACCTCCTCTTCCTCGTCGCGAAGCACGGCGCAACCAACTTCCAGATCACGATGCTCGTCAACGAGGCCTTCGAGGAGATTGTTCAGGTTCTGAGTAGCGGAGATGCCTACGCTGCTCTTTGCTCACGAGTTGTTCCCACCCTTACTGGTGCGTTCAACGTGGCTGATCTCACGCAAGACGAGCCACTTGTGACTGTAAGTCGATTGCTACAGATCCGACACCAGTGAGAGATTGCTAACATCAGCCGGCCAGTTTGCTACCGAGCTCATTTCTGTTCTCATTGAATATGGCCCTGAGCCACTGCCCGCGGGTCTAGTCGCACAGCTGGGCCCTAAGCTCAAACGCCTCCTTATGGAATCGAACGAGGGCGAGATTCTTCGGCCCGGTGCGAGCGCGCTCAAGTTCATGCTCATGCATGACCACCAACAGGTCTTTAGCTGGCAGGACGAGCAGGGCCACAGCGGTCTCGAGGTCTGCCTCCACATCATCGCTCGGCTGCTGAACCCTGCTATCGAGGATAACTCTGCCTCTGAAGTTGGCGGACTGGCCGCCGAGCTGGTCGAGAAGGCTGGACACGAGCGTCTGGGCAACAACCTGAGAGACCTGCTGCAAGCGGTCGCAACACGCCTGGCTAGTGCCGAGGCGGCACCTTTCATCCAGTCTCTCATCTTGGTTTTCGCCCGTCTCTGCCTTAATGCTGCCAGCGACGTGGTCGAGTTCCTTGGCCAGATCGACATTGGTGGCCACAACGGTCTGCAGATCGTGCTCAGCAAGTGGCTGGAAAACTCTATCAACTTTACCGGCTACGATGAGATTCGGCAAAAGTAGGTATCTGCAGCTGCCTTTTGATAACCTCCTGCACATGTCGCTAATACGGAAACCCACACAGTGTCATCGCCCTCTCGAAACTCTACTCCCTCAACGACCCGCGCATCGCCCAGACCCAGGTCAAGGGCGACCTGATCGTCCCCGCCAGCGACCGGATCGTGACGCGGTCGCGGTCCAAGCAGAGTACGAAGGCCGTCTCTCCCCTCGCGATGAACCCCATCACTGACTTCTTCACCCCGCCACCCAAAGACCCAGACCAGTACACGATCGTGGCCGCCCCGCTCAAGATCCTCAAGGTGCTCATCGAGGAGCTGCTCTCGGCCCAGGGCCACATGGGCGCCGCCTCGAGCGCCGCGGCGGGCCTCGCCGCGGCGGCCGAGTTTGACGACGAGGCCGGCGAGGAGGGCGCGGGCGACGACGACGGCTGGGAGGACGAGCCCGACACGCTGGACCTGGCGCTGGGCGGCAGCAAGAGGGACTGGCTGTCGCAGTTTGAGAGCGGCACGCTGCGGACGCGCGACGACGAGACGCAGGCGTACCTGACCGAGTTCTTCCTGCGGGCGGCGCGCGAGAACGAGGCCGGCTTCCAGGACTGGTACGCCCAGCTGTCCGAGGAGGAGAAGGGCAAGCTTAACGAGCTGGCCGGGCAGTAGGAGCGCCAGTGGCTGCTCGCGCAGGAGGCCAGGGGGATGGGAATGCTGGTTTGAATAAAACGTGCGCGCGCGCGCGTGTGTGTGTGTGTTATATACCGCCGCGAGTGGAACGGGTTGTTTTACATGTGACCCGATGAATGGGTGGGATGGGATGGATTTCATGACTGATATTCCCGTGGGCACAAAAGAATTTGCGTCAAGGGGCTTTTTTCTTGTGTCTTCTTGAACACTGTTCTTTTAGACTATGGACCACGTCGCAAGAAAGGAAATGAAGTCAAGAAAAAGAAGGAATGAACGAATAGATACCTCTAAAATGAAAGATGCTGAACGAGATGCTTGAAACACAGTCATGAATAGCTTTCTATTTGCTACTGCCCAAGTCGTGTCTCGACTGCCAGTCAACGATTGCTATTGCCAATGAACCTATCCGGCCTTCCCAGTAAGAATACATTCTACCGCTCATCAAAGAGTGTGCCACTTCGTCCAGCCATCCATCCCTTTTCGTCAAGTCATACTACACGTCCGGGGTGTTTGTTAAAACACAGCTCAGATGATGTCACCGCCACCAAAGCCTCCAAATCCTACACCACCCGGGCCACCGCCGCCGAACGGGCCCCTACCCCGACCGCCGCCGAACCGAGGGCCGGCCCCGGGGGGACCCAGGGGGTCAAACCTGGCGCCAGGCGGCACCTGCGGATCAAAGCCATCGCCATCGCCAGAACCTCCGCGTCCGCCAAACAAGGGGTCGTGAGGCGTGGGGTGCATGCCACTGGGCCCTCCGGGCCGGGGTAGCCCGCCGCCGCCTAGTGTAGGCCTCAGAGGATCATGGGGCCCGAGCCCGGGGGGGTAGAGATCGTCGTGTCCGAGCCCCGGCATGAAGCCCGGGAGGGGACCGCCTCGGGGCGGGCGGTTGATCTCGTACTCGTCCTCAAAGTCCGGCGGTGGGAAGTCTCCGGCCGGGACGGGACGGCGGGGTGGGGCGGCCAGGGGGTCGTCGTGTGGGTACGGGCGGGCCGGGTCCGGGGGCTCGCCGGGGGCCCTGGGAGGCTGCCTGGGTCCGACGCGGCCCGCGCGGTCGGCGTCTCGGCGCGCCTCGCGGTCATCCGGGTCTTCTGACTCCTGGTACCCCTCCTTTTGCAGACCAGGGACGAGCTTCTGGATGATGTTGATCTTGATGAGGGTGGCGAGGTCGGCGACGCGCTCGTCCGAGATGAAGACGCGGCGGAGCTTGTCGGGGAGATCTGTGCGGTCCTCTTGTGCGTTGCCTCCTCCTTCTCCTCCTCCTTCTCCTTGCGACTCCTCTGTCGTAGAGATGCGTACCGGCAGTGCGGCAGACGAGATGTAGTCGCGCGCGGCGACCTCGAGCCGGTTGATCCGCTCGTCGCCTACCCCGAGACCCCTGATCTCGGCCTTTCCGCCGAGGCGGTCTACCTTGATGACGAAGTTCATGGATGATTGCCCGTGGGCGTATAGGAAGGAGTGTGAGTTGAAGGATGCGTTCCATTTTGAGGGCAGGCGCGGCGCGCATGACTGGCATTCTGATTCTATGGCAGAGAAGAGGAAGAGAGGTTAGCAAGATGCGGGGGGGAAGGGGGAGCGCTCGAGAAGTAAAGCATACCCATCTTCTGGTCCTCGTTGAAGCCTAGTAACCTGAAGCCGAGAGAGGTCATGCAGGCGTGTGTGAAGAGGGCGAGGGCTTCGTAGGAGCTGCTCATGGCAGAGGTGCCGTCTCCCGGGTTGGGCAGGGCGTCGGCCATGGCTTGGAGGAGGGCCTCTGGCCGGAGAGGATTGCTCGTCATGGTCTGGTTGCGAGGGACAGGTTTGCTTGGTGTTTAGGTCAAAGATATGAAAGGTTTCGAGCTTGAATTCGATATGGTTTGTGGTACCGAGGTGCAAAGGTATGTCAGAGAGAATGAGATGATGATGTTGAAGAAGGGTGGCGTCTCGAATGGTATGCGACACGGGCTGGTGGCGTAATGGGAGGTTGCCTGAGCCTGGGAAAATGCGGGGGAATTCAGACATGGATGGATGTACCTATGGATGGGGCGTGATTAGTTCACGTAGCGGGAGCTTCGATGGTGCCGTGGTGCTAAACGCACCCCCTGAGCTTTATCTTATCAGGGCATTCAACCAGACGTTACTGGTAGTGCTAGGACCTCGAACTAGGTAGCTACCTAACATCTTAGGATTGACAAAGATGGAATTACAAGTAAGTTGTCATTGATCTGGGTCGTCACACATCGTGATCACAAAAAGAGAAAGATCTCTTCCTGGTCCTCAATGCTGCTCCCAATTCTATATCGTACGCCTGAGTTACAAGTCTGAAGTAGAAGTGGGAGGGCGATGTTTGAGTTGAACTGATAAAAAGGGGGGGTTCTGATCGTGGAAGAGAGATGCTTGAGCTGACAGATGAAGGAGAGGATTCTAGGAGCAGAACACCCCTCAACGTTTTTGGTTTTGTTTGATGTTTTCTTTTGAAAATTAAAAGTCGCAGAAATCAACCCGATGACGACCTATCTAACTAGCCATCCTACTCCCGTCCCCTTCGGCGCTCCTCCTTTTCTCTCCGGCGCTCTTCCTTCTTTCGCCGGCGCTCCTCCGCCCTTCTCTCACGGGCCTCTTCTCTTGCGCAGAACTCGGGGTCGAACATCGGGTGCGCAGCCCTGTCGTACGGGTCCACGCAGCAAAAGATCTGCAGGAACCGGTCGTTCCACCCCAGGGGCCGGCTCCGGAAGTGCCCGTCCATGAAGCGCTCGCTCTCCTCCTGCAGCCGCTTGCTCCTCTCGACCTCCTCCGGCGACAGGAACCGGTCGTCCCAATCGCATAGCTTCCTGAGAAAGGCAACACGCTCGAGCTCGCGCTCTAGCGATGGTGCGTAATCGATCTGCTCACCGGCTCTGTGGCGGGCCGGGGTGCTACCGAGAAACTTGAAGGACGCGGAGCCCCCGAGCTTCGGGCTCTCGGGGAGGTGCTCTACGAAGCGGGGCGGGTCGCCCAGCTCTATCGTGGAGTAGCTGTTGGCATACTCCGCTTCCTCAACCGCAGTAAGGGCGGTCTCGCCAGACCAGCTGGAACCAGCCCTGCTGGAAGACCCGCCATCGGCCGGCATGCAGCCACTCGAGTTTGCCGCTTCCCTCCGTGCCCCAGCCATGGCACTCATCTCCACCTGCTCAGGGCCGTTCTCGCTGCTGCTCCTCGAAGTCCGAGACGGGCTCTGGGCCATCTCAGACTCATTCAGACTGACTGATAGACAGGATCCCATCTTTGCAATCTTTTTTATGTGGTAGGATTTAATGAGGCGTGCTGTGACGATCGAGAGAGTCGAAGTTATAAGTTTACGGTCTGTAGAGGCGCTTTGTGGCTTGGGGAAGTCTCTTGGAGGCAGCTTAGAAATATCTGGAGAGACAAGTTTGGAAGAGAAGGAGGAAAAGGTTGGATCGAAAGGCAGCTTTATATATGAATTTCTGCCATAAACTATTCTGAATGTTGTTCATGATATTGACCAAGTACGTTGATCCTTTTGAGAACTCTCCAAGGTTGGGATTTGACAGCACTTCTATTTATCATGGATAGCTGACAATACTCCTTTGATGTAGATTGGTGCTGATACAGTCGCTTTGTATCATAACACCCCATAGGATCATAAGCTATTCCTAAGACAGCCTTCTAAGGGAAGAGCAAAGGTACATTGCATCTTTAAGTTCTTCACCTGGCACAACATGCATATTCTCTTGTTTGACTGACAAGGTGAGAGTTGGAAAAGGCTTCAGTGGCTGGTTTGAGAGAGGGTTTTACTTTCTGAGAAGCATGTCGTATCATAATACAGTATAATATCTTGAACAAAATCTCTTGCAGCTCTAGTCACAATAACATGTCATTGGAAATATCACAACGATCTTGTTCAACAAAGGTTTTCTTCGAGGACACCAAAGTGTCTTTGATCCAATTTGATGTCCTAATCTAATGTATCCATGCGCTAGGCGCTCACCCCTTATATCCTACCCACCATCCTAGCAACCTGCGAGTGGTGGCCTGAAAAGGCATGAGAATGAAAAGCTCTGCAGTTAGCTGCACTTGATCTCACAGTCGATGCAGATATCCTGTACGGATACTTGCCTAGTGCAGCCGCAGGAGCATTTGCACTTAACGTAGCCCGGCGCCATCTGGCACGTAGTCGTCGGCTGCTTACCCTGTGCCATTGCGGTGGACCTGAAGTCTTTGTCCTTGGGAGTATGCTTTTGGGCTGTGTTGTGACAATACAGGGTGAAAGGGGCTTGCTTGGTAGTGCGGTAAAAGGTAATGATGCTGGAGCTTTGTTCTTGTTCTTCACTTGAACTTCTTGAAGAGCTGTTGCGAATATGTAGTTGTGTCCATAACGACAAGACTACAACAAGCGGAGGCACCTTTTATAGGATTTTATAAAGGGCTTCCTCCCAGAAGGCAGACCAAAGGAGACAATGCCTGCTGCGCAGAACAATTTCGCCATCACAATGGCATTTGGCAGGGCACAAAGCCTTTGTTGATCTCAAAGACATGCTGTTTTTGTTCGTAACTCAGAACAAATCGAGACGAGTTCTTGCCATGAGATGTAAAGAAATTATTCTTTTGAATTTGACCATATGAGATAGCACAGTCCACAACTACCTATGCAATTCATCACTCATAGTGTGTGACCTGAAACTCCTTGTACCATGCCCTTTTGGGAGAAGGATGACGCCAAAAACATCGCACCATTGTGAGGAGGTGTCATAAATGCTGCTGTTCTTACAGGATCTGAGGACTTCCTCCAAATCCGAATGGAAAAAATCCACGCAATGTATTAGGGAGACAAAGCCACCAAAGAAAGTGAAACCAGACAACCAACCCGAATGCTGCGAAAATTAAACAGACAAGGAATCATCACTTCTATAGACGAATAATCGGAGTTCCGGAGAAGAAGGAAAGCCTCGGAAATTACCACCGGCGACTGGATAGTAGTTCGTTAGTCATGCTTACGATACGTTCCAGAGGCGAAGAATCTACTAACCTGAACGCATCGGCAACTTTGGCTCGACGAGGCTTCGTGCTCTGTGTTGTTGGCGCCGCCTTCTTCTTGGGAACTTCTTCTTCGGCTGGGCGCGACATGCCCAGCATTTCGTACTCCAAGTCGTCTAACGGGGAGCTGCTTCGGCTGCTATTACTAGACGCCGTTGCCGGACGATCTCGAGAGGCTGCACGACGAGTTTGAGAATTATTGGCTCGTTGCCTACGCTCAGAACTGGGCGACCTTGATGAAGGCCGCCGGCTGTCTGAGAAGGGGCGCCTTTTCCCAGGTGTTGAAGCTGGGTGACTCGAATCTGGCGGTAAGCCTGGCGCGTCTGGTCGCCGCGGTAAATGAGGCGGAGGGGGCTTGCTGGGAAGACCAGCAATGCCAGGAAGGCGACGCGGGTCTTGCTCTGAAACTGAACGTGCCCCTGAATGCCTTGGTCGTTTGTCATCTCGAGGGTGAGGCACAGAAACGTCGTCGTGCAAGCGTTTGCCAAGTCTACGCGTCGTTGCACTTGGATCTAGTGGATGGGGAGGACTAGTAGTTTGTGAGGCTCGACCCCCGGCTTCCACCCTCTTATGTGTGGCATGAGACGAAGCGAGCCGGGCACGATTTGCCCGTGGAGACCAGGGATCCGTCGGTGAACCTGCCCAATCTCGCTCAGGGGAATCGTGTGCAGATATCTGAGATGCATCTCCAACAGGACTGGGCCGTTGGTATGTAGGGTATCGGTGGCTGTCATTTGGGAAGTCTCGCAGGACCATGCCCTTGCGGAACTTGAACGATGGGTCCAGCTTGGCGGCAGTCCAGTGGGCATCATCGCGAATGGATTTGCAGAACTCGTCAACGTTATCATCTTTGAAGAACTCGGACACGACGACCTTTGCATTGAAGGCAGGAGGTATCGTTGGATCGTCGTTCCATACACTTGGAAGAGGTTTGCCAACTGGATCAGCAGGTGCCGTCTTGTGCTCGTTGAATACTGTCGTAAGCTCCCATTCAAATTCGTCCTCCTCCTCACGCGCAACTGGCGGGTCGGCATTTCGAGACCTAGATCTTTCATGATGACCAGAGCCAGGCGTGGATGTAGCGGATTCTGCTGTCGAGGAAGGCTGACGCTCTCTCTGACTGCTACTGGCTCTCTGAGGACTTTGGTGTCGATGCCCACGTCCCTGTGGGCCATTATTACGACCACGATTGTGACGATCATGTTTTCTCCCGTGCGCAGGAGGAGGACCCCTAGACCGCGGAAAGGGAGGGGAAATTGCTGGAGGGGGACTGTACGAGTAGGTCGGCGGCGGAGGATAGGGTACCGGCGTTGCGTAAGGAGGTGGGGCCGGGAGCGGGTGATGTAGAGGGCCGTTATGTACAGGCGGATACGCAGGCGGCCCGGAAGGCGGCCCATGGGGTTGAGGCGGGAAATAACTGGGCTGAGGATAAGGCTGGGGGTATGGGGATGTCACAGGCGGCGTCATTGGAGGTGGCCCCGGCGCGCCATATGGAGGATAGCCCGGCGGCGAGCTCAAGGAAGGATATGGAGGTCCATACCCGGGGGGTCCATGATTCCAAGGAACCGGAGGAGGCGAATACTGTGCTGGCACGGGATGTGCAGGCACTGGATGCGCAGGGAACGAGGGCGGTGGTGGAGGGGGCACGGACTGTGGCGGAGGCGGAGGAGGGTAGTGGGTGATCTGAGGGCCAGCACTTGGTGGAGGAGGATATCTGGTCACCACCATGCCATTGGAGTGCTTGCTGTGGGAGGCGGTGGAGTTGGAACTGGCATTCTGGCCTGCGGCTTGTCGTTGACGAAAAGCCTCGAGACCGCTGTGAGCATTGTCAGCGTCTGTGATGGGAAGATGGGAGAAGCATATTGAGTCCTATAACCTACGCAGGAACAGCCCGGGTCGGTTCAGGACATGCCACGGTGATATGGCCCTTGGCTCCGCAGTTGTAGCATGCAGGCTCCGCCGACGCAGAGTCTTGCCCGGGAGCACGCTGTGACATGCTTTTATCTGTGCGGGCGATGCCGGAAACCAGCTCCTGATGACCAATGGGAAGTTGAGAGGATAGCTCGATGCCGCTCCAGCCCAAACATCGAGACTACCTTTGTCGAAGAAAGTTGCGTATAGGACGGTTAAGAACGAGAATCATCAAAGGCGGCCAGAAAGGATGACCTTTGCAGAGCCACGCCTTGCTCTGAGATCAGCGCTTGCCGGTGGATGGCTTGAGAGGAAGAGGTCAGACGGGAAAGCCGCTATGTCTCCAATTGCCACCGGATATGCCAAACCTCTCGTTGACAGAGGGTAGAAAAGTTGTCATCAGATACGAAGCTCTGCAACTCAGACTTTCCGGCGCGAAGATGCCATGCGGCTTCGGTAGATTGCGGAGCCCGTACGCCCTGAGACAAGAAAGCCGTGCGCAGCGATCCAGATCAGACGCGCCGCCCGTGACGGGGGAACGTCGAGAGCAAGATCAATCAATTGGATCTTCGCCCTCTTACAACTGGGCGCTACTTCCCAACCCGGTCCGGATCCGAAGGTTGAGGCTGAAGTAGAAAGTTGGGGTTGCGGAGGCTTACTATCAGCCGCTTGCGCTCGCGCTTGCGGCTCGTGACTCGACACACAGTGAAGGGGAAGCAGCACTCGGACATGGGAAAAACTTAGGGCCGAGCTGGGCATGTGCGGTATGACGACCGCGCCCAGAACCGCACGTCAACTCTGGTTGGTGCTCAGTCGTCTCAGATGAGCTCTATGGCTAGTCTACGAGAGTGCAGGTGGAAAGACAGAGATGGGTGTGAGATACTGAGCCAGCTTCCGGCATAGAAAGAAACTCCCAAGTGAGGGCCAGGTTGGTTGACGGGCTGCTAACAGGAGTACTTGACTATCCATCAAGCCCATCAGTCTTAGGTAGTGGGATAGCCCTTCCGAGTTCCTGGGCAAGGACATGTCTGACAAGGATACTGATTGTGGCCATCGAGGTAGCTCCTGATGAACTTCCGTCAACTATTCTGACAACCCACTGTCCCGGGGCACGATCAGAGAATAGCTGCATCTCCCAAGGCAGCAAAACAGGGCGAGGGTCTTCAAAGCAAGGAGGAAACAATGCTCATGGAGCTTGGAAGGAAACAGACGAAACGACAGCGAACACGGAAACGATTTCAAACATTTACTTTGATACAGAAAAAGGAAGACAGGAGCCAGGTATCTTGAATAGAGATGTCTCGCAGGATGGCAGCAGCACAGGCCCGAGGCTGATCCAAAGTGATTTCATATCAGGCAGATGAGAGTGAAGGATCGAGTCAGTCAAAGCCTCGAGAATCTTTGGCCAAGGCGGCCCTGATATTGAACAGCAGATTGGGCTGTGTTTGGGATGCTGAAAAGAGGGAAAGGTGCGAAGAAAGCGGGAAAGAGATGCCAGCTCAATTCGAGACACAATTTACAGACTTGAAGGTTCCAGTGCACGTGCCACAGGCTCTAAGATAACCCCTACCCCCCCCGGTTAGTGCAATGGGCAGACGCAAAGGTCTTCAGCTCGGCTCCGGTAGTATACAGTCTGAGATCGCGCATTCAAGCCGTGCTCGAAGTCTAATTCCACTGCCACTTTTCTGGTGATCTGTGGTGTAGAGAGTTTATTAAAACCTTCTCGACCCTAGAGCATTAAGCCCGGGGGAGTGCTAAGATATAAAGTCTCTCTACTCCAGAGCCAGAGCTCTGCTTACAGGCTTGCTTCCCATTTCGCAAGGAGAGGTGGTGGACGTCTCCCATCTGGGAAAGTAACTTCCCAGGCGGACATCACTTCAAATATCTTTTCCTCGTCCCCATTGCGAGCCATTATTTCCATACCTGACGGTCTTCCATTCAGAGTTGAGAACCCCAGAGGAACGCTGGCAATAGGATAGCCAGCAACTGCTGCAATGCTCGTCAAAAGGGACTCTCCAGACGCCATGATCACATCTGCCTTGGACTCGGCTAGACACTTTTCAATACTGTCCCGCATACTTTGGCGAAGATGCCTCAATCCTTGCTCGTACTTTGCATCAGTTATGTTATCGCTCAGACCATTCTCCAACACTTGTTGGCTGGGTTGCTCTGAGATAGCCAGTCAGCTGGAAAAAAAAAAAGTGATTTAGGGATAATCACCTGGCGGTAATTCTTGGGATGCATGCTGTTTGTTGAACTCGACAAGATCCTCCAGCTTTCGAAGTTTGGGGTCGTCAAACAAGGCAAGGAACCTCTCCAAAGTGGGCCGAAGCTGATGTCCTGCCGAGATGTTAGACTCGCCTTGAGATCAGTCTGAACTCACCTACTAGCAATCTGTCCCATCTGGACAGTGTCATATTTTCCCACTACTTCCTGCATTGACATAAGTGGTGCGTTGAAGGTGACCTTGGCCCCCAAACTCTCGGCCTTTGTCAGGGCCTCACTCATTTCCATTTTCTTTGTAAAGTTAGTAGATTGTTGAGAAAAGGACAGGACATAAGCTCACATGTTGCTCGTCGAAAGCAGGGGTCTTGTCGCAAACAGCATCTGGAAATTGCCACTCCTCGTAGTCTAAGTAGGCAATGGAGACACCATCCCAGGATTTCTTCAAGTGCGAACGGAAATCTCGCCCAGGAAGAAGGATTTCCAACACATCGGCACAGTCTTCCACCTACTTGGCCAGAGGTCCTGCGCTATCGAATGCAGCGCCTCCTGACTGTGTAGCGACCATGTTCACATCCCCAACTGTCGCCTTTATAGCGTACAGCGCAGCGCGAATTGCTGGCTGAACGATGGAGCCGTCTGCCTCGGTACCGATACCGAGGGGTGCAAATCCGGCTGCAGTCCCGACGGCGGAACCTGAGGATGAGCCTCCAGGGGTCTTGTGGTTCGTGTCAGTTGGGCTCATGGAAAGGGCAGCTGTTGCCTTACACTATGTCCCATCCATTTGTCCTTATGGTCGACGCCACCTTCAACGTACGGCGACTGGGTCTGGCCTCCGATGGCGGACCATCCACTTGTTACTCCAGAACCCTTCGAGTTTCCCCATTCCTATCAATCTGTTAGATGCTGGCAAGATTCCAATAGCAGCGCAGCTTACCGAAAGGTTCGACTTCCGGATGAGAACGCAACCGGCATTTTTGAGCATGGTGGCAATGGGGGCGTCGATACTTGCATTCAGGCCCTGCAGTGCCAGGGAGCCTGATGTTGTCCCCATACCAAAAGAAGGTGTGCATATAAGGTCTTTGACGATGATGGGAATGCCATGAAGCCGAGACCTAGCACCCGACTTGAGTCGCTCCACGTCCATTTCGTGAGCCTCTGCGAGAGCAGCGTCAGTAGCGCGTGTCGAGATCATTGCATTGAGCTTCATGCCCTGGTGGTTATGTCGCGCTATCTGCTTCAGATACTGCTCGACAAGCTGGACACTCGTATACTCTCCGACCTCCAAGAGATTGCGCAGGTCACCGGCTGTGGCAGTCAGCAGATCAAGCGCCTGTCGACTTTGCATCTTTATTGATGGTGGTTTTGCGATGGGGGTACTTAATCGTGAAAGTTTTCCGACCTGACCTAACTGTCATGGAGAGCAAATCGGAAAAGTCTGCTTGCTCAGTGAGAAGCAGTATGAGAGAAATGTGAGAAGAACCTGGTACGTACTTACCTTGGGAAGGTGCTGCGATTCCAAAAACCGAAGGCGCTACAGGAAGACCTGGACAAGATGGAAAGTACCTTCCTTATCCTCCTTGCTGCCTCTCCTCCACTGGAAGTAGAAGAGGCACTTTCTTCAAAATTCCTTATTTGATCTTGACTGTCAGTTGTTCCACATTTGGAGGTTGACAATGGTTACCGAACAAGACAGAAAGCAATACAATCCGCCGAAAACCTCGACAAACTTGTGAACATGCTCTGTTAGATTCGGACCGGCCTTGCTCTTGCAATTGAGTAGATCACGGCTTTCATCTCTTACAAACAAATATCTGTAGGGACTTTCATTCGTCAATTTTAGAAGGCGTATCGACGTATCTCTTCCAACAATGAGGCGTCTTCTGCCGAGAATAGTCTTTCTACGCTTCGGGAGGTCCAGTTCAGGCAGCCCCAGTTCTGAACATACTATCCTTAATGTCTCCAGATAAAATTTCTCTCAACCTATTCGTCTCCGGTGATGAAAAGGAGACCGAAGAGCTTGCAGGAATTCTCGTCCTGTTAGAGGATGAGTGAGTTACCCTGAAATTGAGAGAGATTCCTAATTAACCTTAAGGCAGAATAGAGGAAGCACTTGACTATCTCGACCATAAGGCCCTCATAAAATGGTTCAAAACTTCAAAGTCAATTCATCTACTGAACACTTAATCAAACGATATATAGTTCTGACGATATTTAATGAGCACTTCAATTAATCAGTTCTGGTTGCCGTTTGCCGATAGATTGAGGGCGAATAAGCTCGATCGCTTAGAATGAAAGCCATTACAATAAAGGGGGGAGATGACACCAAATGAACAGGAGGTTGCTGGTTTAGCTATCGCAAGGGGCTGAACAGATATTGCAGGATTATGTAAAACTCAGAAATATCGATATCAGCAGTCTGAAGATGAACAACACTCCATCCAATACTACCTGAAAGTCCAGGCCAGTATGATAATGCCATCTTCTGCTTGGAGGCACCCGGCTAGATATTCAACAAGATGATAGAATATACTTGAGTTCAAGAATAGCAAGTACCTAAACGTTGAGCTTCGTTGTACTGGTATTATGGTCGTAGAGAATTGCTGTTGGGGATGGAGGGGGTTATGTAGTGTTTGGAATATTCAAGGTTGATTGGTGTGTGAGTTTGCATCTCAAGTGACCTGCGTAGGTCAGGCCTACCCACTAATACGCCAGTAAGAATTTCATGACGTGATTGGTTATGGTCGTGGTACTACTCGGGTTTGTGTGTAATGGGAAAATATAGAATCAACATAATCCAGAACACTGTGGCCCCAAAAAGAATGGCACGAAGCATGCGCAACTTCGTGATCATGCTGAGGCACAATCTTGGGACACGATACTTGGGGCAAGAATGAGCAGAACGGGTTTGGTTCGTCAGCAATGGCCAAGGGACCGACCTACGAGAGTACGATGAGTGAGTGTGAAGCAATGAGGGAATAAGGGAATGAGGAGGGAATGAGGAGGGGTACTCTAGGATACTTCTGCTGAATGCACCTACCTGTTATCACCGTGCTGTTTCACCCTTGACCTCGCTCTGGTGTGACCGCCGACGATATCTAAATCTGCATATGCAGATGTCCCAAGAGCCCATCTACGCCCGACTTGTGTGGTAGACACGAGAGAAAATGCGGCTCCAACCGAAGGCGACGGCTCGCCGGTCCGTTTGTATTGTCGCACCTGTGACCTGATTGGTAATTCACGCAGCCATCAGAAACAACCTACATTTGAGTTCTACCACTAACAAATGAAGTATGCATTTGAGCCATCCACGAGCCTCGGCTGAGACTGGTGGTGTCCAACAGGCATCAGCTTCGTTGTTGGAAGACAAAATTCAGCTCTGACAGCAAACATCCTGTCGTATTTCACACAACACCCCTCATTTGCAATGGGCATATTTGGGCACATGAACTTGGACACCACAAAGGTACGTAACGTCACTCAGTGATACATTGGCAGGTACTACCCTGTTTCTTCTGATTGCAACTACCTATCGCATCTCCTCCAGCACCAAATGGAAAGATCCTCGTGTTGTATGGTTGCGCAACGATTCGCAGATTGCAGGCAATCTTCAATAATGCAGTGAGTTCACCAGTGCCATGGCTGTCTCTGACTTCATCGACTTACCGGAACCCGGCCTTGTTCAGGTGCTGCCAACCCCGTACATTATAGCACCAAGAGGCACAAAAACCTTCCCTGTTCTGATCGCCACCTCGGTGGATTCTCGAGGGAATTGTTTCCAAGGCTGTGTAGCCGGCGGCAGGTCTGGAAAGCCGCTGCGGTCAACGGTACTGAAGACATCGAGCTGGTCAGAAGTGGATTCGGTCGGGCCGCGAAGTTGGGTCGTTGGGTGCCCGCGGGCAGCTTCAGAGGTGGCAGTGCACTGGATGGTCATACTGATGTTGAGCGTGTGCGCCGTTTAATGTTCCGTGTGTGCTTGTGGGAGAAGAGAACTGCTTTGTTGGATGGCTAGCTTCTATCGTGTTGGAAACGATCTTTATATCCTTTTTCACCCCACCACCTAGAGTCACACGGATATGGCCATGGCATGATCATGTTTCGTACTGGGCTCAGATGACCGGAACGGGGGGAGGAAGGCATCCAATAGAAACGGAAGGTTCTCTGATCTTATATCTTACTATCTTGCAGGCCATTCGGCAGTCATGTTATTGGTTGTTGTTTCGGTGAAGATAAAGCACTCTGCATATGCATATGCTAGTCGCCGAAATGTGAAGTTATCCGGAAAGAAACTTGGCAATGGGTGGCATTGGCGTGGGGACCCGGCCCATCCATCACAGTTCTCGTATCAGTGACTGGCAAATGAGCAGAACTCCATTACGTGTATCGTGCTCGGGGCATCCTCTCTGTGTCTGTCTCGGATATAACCTGCCCATCTCCATGAACATCGACGGACGGTGCAGGCTCCTTGAGGCAACCCGCCTAACACTGCCATCTTTTTACTTCTCGGTGCTAGTGTGCAGTTCAAACAGATGTCCCAAGCAACTACTTTGCCGAATTCTCACCTCTTTTTGTAAAGACACCATGCTTGATGTACAATCAAAACTCGAATTTTTAGCGGATCTTGATCTGTACAAGACCCAGCGACCATTTATCTTCACTCCTGGACAAGACTCTGAGAAACAGATCGATACAGGCGAGCACAATCTCAACACCGTGGAGCTTCAGTATGAAACTGTGACTTTGCTTGATATCAGACACGAGCCTGGCTATAAAATGCAGGAATGCGGCTTTGAACTAGTCGCGAATGAAATGCAGAACACCGGGCTCAATTTCCTGGAAGAGAGCGCTCGAAATCAATACGCATGTGAGACTGAGGAATTCTGGGTCAAACACCTCAATGCAGAATACGCCCTATGCTACGATGTCAAGGTAGGGATCCCCTTGAACTATCTGTCATTGGAGCTTTGGATCGTCTGACAGCGAAAAGCTTCGTAGAAACGGATTCTGGGACCCTGATGAGCCTGTTGACTTATTGAAACGAGGTTGGCTCGAGCCACCGGCGAGAGGGATTCATGGTATGCCAAAGCCCGTGACTTGGCTAGGATTTCACTGACCAGGCGGCAGTTGGTATGAAGTATCTCAGCCGAGCTGCCTGGGACCAATTTTGACCTTTCTAGATCTTACCTTCGAACAAGCACCTGTGCTCATAACCAAACATCTCACTGGTCGAGGTCAACAGCAGTACCTCAAGCCAGGCTTCAGAATTCGGATTGTCAAGTAAGTCTGCCGTATGACGAACAGGATCATCGGATGTATCTAAAACTGTGCAGTACTTGGCGGCCGCTGCTGCCTGTGATCGAAGATAATCCACTTGCCTTCTGCGATTCCAGGTCTGTGGCTCCGTCTGATCTTGTTCTTGCGGACCGGGTTTTCCCAAACTATATCTATACGCTCTACTTCTTGAAGCACAATCCTGCCCAGAGATGGCATTGGGTTTCGGAACAAACACCATCTGAAATTATGTTGATGTTGATGTACGATACCGAACCAGGAGCCGCAAGATGTAAGATGCCACCGAGCTTGCAGCTTCATCATTTGCTAATACTAGGACAGTCTGTGCTCATGGGTCCTTCCAGAACCCTCTTGCGCCAGTAAATGCTCCTCCGAGGGAGAGTATTGAAACCCGGACTATCGTCATCAGCAGGGAGTGATTAGTATTTCGTTGAGACGAGGGGGTGCTTCATTGATGGGCCTGGCGGTCTACTTAGGAGTTGAATGTAGTATTACAGCGTATAACCAAACACTGGGAGTGTATCCAATCATTTTCGCTTAGAGCAATGTGAGGTCCTCTATGTACAACTGCTGGTAGTATATGTACCGCGGTTGCTTCGCGGCAAACTAGCAAAGGCGTATGATGGACGAAATTCCGTACACCATGCTAGCACTCGCTTGAACGTGGTTCCCAGCGGCTCGGTGCATAATGTGTTCGACGCTGATTTGTGAGTTAGAAGGGGTGGTGTGGATCGGATGGGGTGCTCAGTTCTTTTGAGAGACGCATCGTGCTTTACCCTGTCCCTACTGATTTGTTCCTTTTCCCCTCCAACCCTGGAATCATGTTTGGGGTTAAAATCATTTTTGGAGGGGCGAGGGTAAGCCCCCAGAGAGGCTTCGATGATGAACAAGCAGTGAGGGATGCCTTGGGAGTTCTCGATCATTATGGAATTGATACCATCGATACATCTCCAGTCTACGGCAATAGCGAGCTGATCTTAGGAAAGGCTGAGGCGGCAGCCCATTTTCACCTGGATACAAAGTCACCTGGAGGGATCATACCTGGTTCCTTAAGAAGTGATGCAATACTGAGAGACTTTCAGTCAAGCCTGGAAGCTCTGGGAGCCAGCAAGGTCTCAAAACCATGACGTCCCCTGTTCTCACAAGATGCTGATGTTGCCTCTAGGTTCACACTTTCTATTTTCATGCTCCTGATAGCACTGTCCCTCTCGATGAATCTTTGTCGACAGTCAATACCATCTATCAAAATGGGCTGTTCTCAAATTTTGGTCTTTCAAACTACCTAGCCGATGATGTTGAGAAAATATATCAGCATTGCAAGACCCATGGCTATATGCTGCCTACCATATACCAGGGCAACTACAACCCATTTGCGCGTCGTCAGGAGGAAATGTTACTCCCAACGCTTCGGCGCCTTCAAATCTCGTTCTGTGCCTACAGTCCGATAGCTGGCGGGTTCCTAGCAAAGTCGAGAGATGAGATCATGAGAGGGACAGGGCGCTTCATACAGGGGTCGCCGTACTGGAATCTCTACGTCAAAGAGCCACTGCTCCAAGCTCTAGAGAGGTGGGCCGCTATCGCCACTGAGGCTGGCTGTACCCCATCCGAATTGGCGTACCGTTGGATGGCTTTCAATTCTGCCTTGAGCAGTGACAAAGGAGACGCGATGATCATTGGCGCGAATGGAATATCTCAACTGAAACAGACTCTCGAGTGGCTCACAAAGGGCCCATTAGACAGATTGACATGTGATAACGTGGAAAGTCTCTGGCACGATGTGGTGCATCATCATGCACCTCTGGATAACATTCATGGGTAAGAAAGAATCATTCAATAAAGAGTTACTTGAAATTAATGTCAAAGAAAGCCTGATGAAGAAATGACCCCAATCTGACCAGCAAACTAAGTCCTGGCAAGCCTTTCAGCTTACCTAGGTAACTTACCACCTCAAGCTGCGCTGTGCTCTGTCCTATACATAAACTAGTGCGGCCTACCTGGCAACCGTTTTGCTACTCATCCCCTGGACACGTAAAGCCTCGATTTGTACTTGCCCTGATCGAACAGTGTGGGTTGTCTTCCGATCCCCTTTGCTTTCCCCGGATTTGGTCATCGGCCTGTTCTACCTCCCCACGAGTCGTTTGACCTGGAGGAAGTTGATAGAGGTATGTGACCTAGAGTTCGTATCAATTTCGTCCGCTTATGCTCACTTTCAAAGATGTATTGGCCGCACTCTACCCTGGTGCAGGGAACCTGAAAAGTTCCCCCCGGGGGGGGGGGGGGGGGGGGGTTGGTTGCAGAGCACTATTCCTGGTATCACAGGGTGCTGCAATTCCAGTTCGACAATCTACCGGACCAGCTCAAGGGTGTAGGAGACGGAGACAGTCCAATTACGTTTACGACCTACAAGAAGGTCGTCGTATCGCTCGGTCAAGAGCTCTCGAAAAGTGAGCCAATCAGCCTAGGAGAGCTCGCAGGTACCTTAGCGAGCAAGAACCTATCCCTGCATGACTTGGATTGCGATGGTAGGGTCAGCCAACTAGTTTTTGTAACCTTGGGAAAGTTGTCAATGCTGTACTCACCTTCAAATGTGTACGAGAGGGGTATACTCCAGATCAATATCCCGCCATCGAGACAAAACCGCTCACGGCTTTCCAACACGTGGCTTGTCAACCAACAATGACTGGAAGATGCCGACGGGTCACTAAGTGATCTTCTTCTGGGCTTCAACAGCGTTAGGGGCTCGATTTCGAGCATCGAGGAGTCGACAACTCACCTGAATGAAGTGAACACTTTGGTTGCTTCGAATCTGAACCACTATACCTTCGTTCGCCTGGGTGGACTCACTGTGCGATGGGTCGACTCCATTTGCATGCATTTGGAGTTCAGTCGCAAAGACAAGACGTTGATGCTTTTTCGATATCCTTCTCTGTGCGCCATGCTTTCTCAGGGCGGCGACCAGAAGCTTTTTCTCGATGGGCGAGTGCCACAACGACCCATTCATGTGCAAGGATTATGCTAAGGCGATGTAGCGTGTTTGAAGAATATCTCGAGGGCCAGAAGAAGCGCAGCAGCCGGACTTCTCCAGCCGGGGACTTTTACAAAGAGGTCCTATTGACATTCCGGTTACTTTTTGGATAAGACAAGCGGTCCTGGGGACTCTGCAAGAAAATAACAGATGTAACATCACAGCAAGATATCGGGAGCCAGATGGCCGATCCTTTGCTATATGGGCTTTGTTGTGGGGACTGGGAGGACATGTTGCTGTATGACAACATGGATGCCCCAGATGTGCGGACTTTATACCCTGCTCAGCAGGATTTCCCTTTCTTTGGTGAGCGGCTGATGGCCTTGCAAGAGTCCATAAGGATGATCGAGTGATCGTCGGAATCTAAACAGATTCTGCACTATATGGGCAGTGATACTGTTCGGCATTCTCACCCTCATTCTATCTTTTCTCGCTGTTTTCCTTGCCGCTGCTCAAATGGGGCTTTCATTTAGGAATCCGCCTGGGTAATACAAAAGTGATAAGCAGGCTCTATCTTGGTATGTACTATTAGCCGTCTTGCAGAGCTTATGTTTTTCATACTGGGATGAACTAAAACGTTTGAACAATGACTAAGTGCAAGATTATGCGCCCTTTCTCCAGAAGGCATATATTACAGTTAAGGAAGCCTCGTGGTGGCGGTGATGGTCGTTGTTGTTGTTGTCGTCGTCGTCGTCCTCCTCCTGGCAAACTAAGAGTCAGTATCAGCATCCAAGCAATTGCTTCCTGCTGCTCTCTTCTAGAAGACAGTCTAATAAGACCTTGGCAAGCACGCATCCCTGACATTCACTATAATCCACAAGAACACACAAGGCCAAATCAAGTTGCATCTCCAGGCGTGCATCCCGACCGCAACATAATCTCGCACTTGGCTGTCATCGGCTGGATCGTAAAGAGGTCCGCTGCTATTCGTGAGAGATAGAGCTAACGACGTATAACTACACTAGGCTAGTATGATATCGGAATCTCTAATATCGTCATGTAGGGCTTCAGGCTACCTAGATATTGAAGGCATACAAGTCTCTTTTGGGCAAGGCTGGTTTCGAAGCAATTGATGGCCCTCAAACAGGGATCGGCAGTACCGTGGCCGCCTCCAGCCGGAAGATATTTAGAATTGTTGGCTATCTTAGCTAAACAATTCGTCTATGATTCGATATGCTCTTCACAGTCGCTTTGCAGATCCCAATAATTAGACCGTGAACAGTTTAGTGCAGTGCACAGCGCCAAGAGGGGGGGGAAGTTATAGAATCCTCCGGGAGGCGGAAGTTAAAGGCTCCGCGGGACAAGACTTTCGCAACTGCCCGGAGCGACTTGGAGACTGACATTTAAGAGACATTAGACAGCGATAAACAGAAAGATGGGAAAGACGGGTCGTAGAGTGATGGAATACGAAGAAAAACACAGAATTATCGGGAGAGAACGAATAAAGACAACAACAGCAAATCATCATCATCATCATGAGCAAGAATTCCGTGGAGCAGCGGGAATCAACCTCGCAAAAGCCCGCCGCCAACACATGGGCCGGCCGAATCGAAGGATGGATCACGGCCTCCAACTTCATCAAGTTCGCGGCCCTGGGCGGGCCCCTGACCATCCTGTTCTTCTTCCTCTGGATGCCCGCGACCAACAACCTGCCCCCGATGGCGCCGAGCCTCAGCCCCGAGCGCGTGCGGGCGCACTACATGTACCACGAGAAGGGCTACAAGGGCGGGCTCGTGCTCATGACGCTGGCCTCCTTCTTCCAGCCGCTGTACACGGCCGCCGTGGCGGGCCAGATGAGCCGCATCCCGGGCGTGCCCAAGACGGCCGTCTACGCGCAGATGCTCGGCGGCGCCATGGGCGGGCTCTTCCTCTGCCTGCCGCCCTACCTCTTCGCGGCGACCATGTACCGGGCCGCGGACCGCGCGCCCGAGCTCACGCAGCTGCTCAACGACCTCAGCTGGATCGTCTTCGCCATGCCCTTCCCGGCGCTGCTGTGCCAGGAGTTCGCCTTCTCGTACGCCATCCTGCTCGACAAGCGGCCGAACCCGCTGTTCCCTAGGTGGGTGGCCTACACGAGCTCGGCGCTGACGCTCGGGTTCTGGCCGGCGACGGGGGTGCACTGCGTCCACAGCGGCGCCGTGGCGTGGAACGGCGGGCTGGCGTTCTGGGTCGCCGGCGTCACGGGCGGAGCGCAGTTCTGCCTGATCTCGTGGGCTGTCTTCAGAGCGGCCATGAGGACGGACCTGCCGGGGGAGAACGAGCCGCACCCTGACGACCTCTCGACAACGATATCTTAGCCCTGAGCTGATAGGGGTTTTGCGATTATTTCTCGAGGATGAGGTCGGAGGTACTGTCCGTTGATGTCTTGAATCCCGGCTCGTTACACTTTCTTCTACAGCCCAGCGCTTGGCGAACTCTTATATCATAGCAACCCAGCTGTATTGTGAAGGCTGAGCACACATCGCGGCTTTCTCACAGCTGCAAGGGTAGATTGGCTCATACAGATCCAATATCAAAAAGGACTAACCATAGAGGTTAGATCTAAACAGCCATGTTGGATGTAACAATACCATCGCAGTGTCTTTGAGTATGAGTGCATGTGAACTCGGGTTGACTGCCTTCTCCTTGGGCCTTTACGGCCGGTCTGAACCACTTTGTACTGCATAAAAGAGTACCATACCACCTGTGATCGACTGCCACATGTGTGGCAGTGGCTTGCACCTAAATGTGACAATGGACTGGGTCTTAGATTGTTGAGTAAATCGTGAACTAGTCCACCGTATATAGTTGCCCTGATATTATATAGCAATATAATTAGATGTTCTATATAATATAGAGAAATTTCCTACTTACAATCAATTACTAACTGATTATCCCTTTAGCGGCTGGAACAACACCTGTTGCCCTCTTAGGTCATCTAATCCCTGTATCGTGGATGTCGTTGGATGGCTCGGATGGCTATCTAACTGTGTTGTTCCGGCCGCTAAAGGGATCCACTGTCTTGGATAACGCACTCTCATCTCTTATCTGTTATCTCTTGATAAGAGCTCATCTGACCTGGTCGGAAGAAAAATCAAAAATGGGGATGAGGGCAGATGAACTCAGAAATTCTCCACTTTTACCCCTGTTGCGGTCGGATGAGGTTTTAGCGCTGGTCAGATGAGGTACACACTCATGGTGCTGATGAGGAAGCATGATCAGATCTCATCCCTAGAGCAGCTGTGCAGGCATCTGGTTCGCGCAGGGTCTTCCTCTTCCTGGACTGAGGTGCTGCACGACAGAGGGCAACAGAATCGGAGCCAGCACTCGTGCGGAAGAGCACAATTGATCTGAGGAAAAGTCTCTCAAAGAATTCCTGCACATGCCGCGGTGGGGGAACGACGCCGAAAACACGAGGTGTTTTGCTGCATACAAGTTTCGAACCTGGGTGGTTTCCGTTGCAACTCCCAGCAATGCCATTTCAACCTCGGAGCTCATCTGCCCTGGTCGAGGAGGTCAGATCAACTTCTTGGACAGGTCAGATGAACTCGGAAACACGCCGTAACGCGCTGTAACTCGCTGGAGCCACCCAAAAGTCTCCACTTTGACCGCCTTGAGGGCAGATGAGCTTTTAGCGCTGGTCAGATGAACTTTTAGCGCTGGTCAGGTCAGGTCAACTCCAACATTCCAATGCTTGAAGTTTAATGTGGGGCCAGACCAACCTCCAGTCTTCGACATTGAAATTTTTCTGCTACCAAAATCATCACCGCCTACCCAAAACCCCACCAAAAATCCGTGATAGCTCGAAGGATCCCGATAACAGGACAGAGGCCATCAGCGACACAGTCTCATCCCAACACCTTCAACCTACCCACGGCACTTTGAACTCGACCGACCCCTTCTATTCTGGGCACGCCCCCATTTCCAGTCCAGCAATGGGTGTCGCAAAGAAGACGCGCAAGTTCGCGCAGGTCAGTAACTGTCCCCCTGCCTATCGCACCTTATCGCGATAAGAAAAAAAAGTTTGGGAAACGCGCATCCAAGGCATGGTAATACTGACAAAGACGGCGGGCACGCTGGTTGACAGGTCAAGAGAGTCATCGGCAAGCGCGACGAGAGGTTGAAGCAGAACAAGGACAAGGCCGACCTGGGCAACAAGAAGAAGGCCGCCGAGGCCGCCCCGGAGCTCATCCGCGAAGTGTACGTCGCCCCATCCCATCCCCATCCCGGACCTCCCTCCCTCTCTCTCCCCCGTGCGATGGATATACCGAAAGATAGCTGACACTCTCTCTTCTTGTCTTCCCCAGGCCGCAAGTATCCTCCGCGCTCTTCTTCCAGGCCAACACGGCCCTGGTCCCTCCCTACAATGTCCTCGTCGATACCGTACGTTTCCCCCTCCCTACCCAGGGTCCCTCGCCTCCGTACCACAAACCAGAGATTCTGACCGGGCAACTTGGCAACAACAACAGAACTTCCTCTCCCACACCATCCAGCGCAAACTGCCCCTCCTAGAGACAATGATGGACTGCCTGTACGCAAAGTGCAACCCCATCATCACGGACTGCGTGTAAGTCCCTCCCCTCCCCACCTCTTCCTTCCTTGCCCTTCAAGCCGCCCAGCCCAGAAAGGACTGACAAGCCTGGACCCTCCCCGCCCTTCCAAAAGTATGGCCGAGATGGAGCGCCTGGGCCCCAAGTACCGCCTCGCCCTGCGCATCGCCCGCGACGAGCGCTGGGAGCGCGTCAAGTGCACGCACAAGGGCATCTACGCCGACGACTGCATCGTCGACCGCGTCAACCGCCACCGCATCTACATCGTCGCCACCAACGACCTCGACCTCAAGCGCCGCATCCGCAAGGTCGTCGGCGTGCCCATCATGAGCGTCGCCCGCGGCAAGTACGTCATCGAGCGCCTGCCCGGCGCGCCCGAGACGTAAAGGAAGGGAGGGGGGAGGAGGAACAGAGAGGGAAAAGAGAAAGGACGACAGGAGGCTTTCATCCGGGGGGGTGCGGCGACGGTGTTGCGATCTGTGGATGGTATATGTCTGGCTGGCGAAGGGATAACAAGTTTGTTCTGTGTTGGTGCGTTGCCGAGGGTACGACACAGTGAGACCCGTGATAAAAAAGGGGGAGTCATAGCATTGCTGGCGTTCAGGGGGACAGGCATCTTTCTTTTGACAATACAATTATTACCACACACATATCATACCGATTGCTCCTGAGTATCGGCAATTTGTAGTAGTACTCTTTCCTGCTGACTCGGATGTTGTTGGCAACATGTCATCACGAGGTATGGTATGCTCATTAGAAGGATATCCGGGGACGAACCCATAGATATCAAAATTGTTGCCGCAGAAAAGCACGAGAGCAAGCCAACAACTCGAGTAGACCGACCCTTGGTCAAAATGCCCAAAATACCTCGAAGTTTCGAGCCCATCCATCCCAAAACACCTGGTAATCTATGCAGGACAGCCATAACCCCACTGTACAATGACAACATGACACATTCAGTAACCATATCTCCTCCAGTATCCATATGCAGGGCAAGTAATGATAGACTCCATATCATATGATGTTTTATTTCACGTCCCAAGACACATCTCTGTTAAGATCTGTTTTCTTTCCCCCCCTTTTTTGGAAATCCCTTCGTTCCATTTGCCCGCTTTTCTTTACTTTCTTTACCACGTCCTTTCCCTCCTTTTTACCTTGGCCATACAAGAGTAACAGAAAATCCACTTTTTAGATATCACTTAGAACGCCGTGCGGGAAACAGGATAGGTATATATGTACGACGAATAGTGTCAGAACGTGACTTGTGTGAAAATCGACAACAAGGGCCCCCCTATTCGCGGGCAGAAATTCCAATTTGCGCCTCATGATGCAGGGTGTTTGCGACAATTGCAACTCGTGTGATGACGGCGAGAGAACGTATGCGTTAAGGAAGGATGTAGTAGGCGACGAGCTTTTGCTGCAGGTACAAAAATGTCGACTAGGCGTGAAAAGGACGGACATCATTGCTGACAACGAGAGCAGGGCTCCTTATGACAATGGTGACAGAAAAAGTTCGCTCTCAAGATTTGTTGCGAGTAGAAACGTTCAACTCCTACGCCGGCCGCAATACGCTGCGCTGCTGCATTGCGAAGGCTAAATCATAGCTGATGTATGAGGACACACGCGCAGGGTAGGTTCATAGAAAGAATGGTGCGATAGAAGATCGAATCCGGGCATGCCGTTCGCGCTCTAGGCGAGCCAGTCCTCGTCGTCTCTCTTGGGGCCGCGCATGACCAGACCCTCGTCCTCGTCATCTTCGTCTTCGTCGTCCTCGTCCTCAGGCTGCACGTGAGCTTCGCCATCTTCGTGGTGGTGGCCATTGCTGGCCTGCGACGACGGTAGACCGCCCTCGTCGTCCTCCAGCATCCAGGTCATCCCGTTCGCCTGCTCCTCGAGCGGGAAAACCTCTCGCGCATACTCCTCGAGTCCTCGGGGGCCTTCCCATAGCTCCAGCGCAATCTTGGGGTAGTCGTCCTCGAGACCCTGGTCGCCAAAATAGGGAGGCTGCTTCTTCGGGTCGTCCTTGCCCATGCCGAACAGGGACTCTAGCGCCTGGAGCTGCGTCCTGTAACCCTCGGGAATGGGCACCTTGATCTCGATGTCGCCCATCACATACCGCACTGGTCGGCCGACGCCTCTCGCGAAGACTTCGCAGGCCTCCTTGGGTGTCAAAGACTCGTAGGCGAGGGCGATTCGCCGGTCGTTGCCCCACTTGCCCACTCCGTCTTTGAAGATCTGCAGAACTGCCGGACCAACATCGTTGTCGGCATCCAGCCAGGGCAACTTGACGTCAGGGTGGAACGGCGCCTGCCAGACGAACGATCCATCCTCCTGCAGATCCATGCAGAACAGGGGGTACTTCAGAGACGTGAAGTTGTTGTTGTAAATTCCAGTGTAAAGGAAGGTCGCCGGCAGCCCGAGTTCCTTCACATAATCCTCGACCTTGTGCTTTGTCGCCCACAGCGGTAATGACGGCCACTCCTTGTGATAAGCGCCGTGGTCGGGCATGGAGGAATAGACATAGTGCTGTATTTTCGCCTTCTTGGCTGCATCCGCGAGGGCTTTGCCGATGAGGACCTCGTCGCCGTAGAAGGTGGTGTTGATGAATGCGAGCTGGCAGCCGCGGAAGAGCTCTGTGATCAGGTCGTAGTTGACACCGATGCCCGACAGAGGACCGTCCGAAGTCAAATCGACCTGTGCCTTCTCGGCAGGCTGTTGTCGCGTGTAGAGCTCGCCTTCCAGAACGGTGACATTGGGGTTCGTGGAGACCTCCGTGGCGATCACTCCCAGGCGGTTGCGCATTTGGGCGCGGACGTGGTATCCGACGGCGGTGGCATAGCGAATCAGCGACGCCGCTTGACGGCCACTTGCATTGATAACGGCAATCGTCTTGCCGGGGGTCGGCATGGAGCGCTTAGCCGGGCGAAACGTCAGGGAATTGTTCCTCGACGTCAGGGGCGAGGCGTCTGTGTAGGATGACCGCGAGTGCTTGTGTCGCCTTTCTTCTTCTTGCCTGGCACTTATACCGTTGATGCTCTGAGGAGCCGGCCGGATAGCCAAGTCGGCGCGAACTTCGCCGGGCATGGTAGCAATCATACGAGCTCAAACTGGATGCCCCCAAGAACCACGGCTTCAAACCCTTCTCCTCCGACAGATCGTTGCGGGCGCGAGTGTTGGGCCCTGGGTGTGCGCGCAGTCGAAGTTGCCGATGCTCGGGTGTCCGCTTTGGGATAATTTGGTGCAAGCCGATGCGCCACCACGGTCACCTGGACGGAGTAGAACGGCAATTTTCTCCGCGAATTATCCTACTCTTGGAGAAAGGCAAGACGCGGAGTATTCGACGCGAATGCGCGCAAGAAACCCCGAGTCTCCTTCTCTTCCGTTTTTCTTGTCCCAGGATTTCTGGCCCCTTCACGTCTGGTGAGAACCCTGGAGGTTTGCCAGCGTCAATAGCAAGCCTATCCAGTGTGGGCTGGTATCGTTATCTGTTAGCGGGGTGTCACTGTCTGCAGCGGGGCGCACGGCTTGGAAGTGCAGGTGAATATCATGCAGAGTGCTGGACGACGAGTGAGGGAAATGGGTGAAAAAGAAGCCAAACGCGGTAGGAAGCCCGCGACGACAACATTGCAAAATTGACGACCGACTTGTGCCATGCAAAAAATTGGGCAATTGAGCTAATATATGAACGATAAGGTGAAAGGCCGGATGCGAGTACGTAACAGAAGCCACGATGAGCAAATAGAATTCGGATGGGTCCTGTCCAACTAGAAAGGCTAGGCGGGTAATGGGGTGGTTTTTTTTCGCCCTCTCTTTCTCCTCTCATGGGGACGGAAGAGAGAGTGTGCGCGCGCACGCTGGTGCGATGGAGCCCCCCCGGCCTCGCAGGGTGTCTGGTTCGGCCAGACTGGGGCGGAGGAGTTCGTGGTGTGTGGTGGTGTGCGGTAGCTCGCCATGTACTGGGTACGGTGGATGCAATGGGTGGGTGCTGTACAATGGAGATTGAGAAGGTAAAAAAAAAAAAAACAAGAAGTGTCGGTAGCGGATGGGAGTGAGAGTGGATGCGACCCGGCCGACGGTGGATTCCTCTCTCTACCCACTCCCTCCTCCGTTTCCTTCTGTGGGTGTGCGTGCGGATATGTGTGTGCGTGCGAGAGAGAGGGAGAACGTGTGCATCGGGGAACGGTGTGAGGATTGCGAAATGGTGATGGATGGGTGCTAATGCACCCGAGCCGATGAACTTACCTCGTTGGTTTTGGTGTATCTCTGGAGAAATTCCAAGGGATGATGATAGCTCCTGCAGGACAGTGCATACACTGGCTGGTATCCAGCTCGGATCGGCCAATGCGCAACAAGCCTGGAGGGCCCGTTGGGACGAATAAGCAACTGGGCTTGGGTGCTTGATAGGCAGCGAGGCTCCCAATTAACTACCGGTACCTGGCCCTCAGAGGGGAAGGACAGGACGGAGTGTCGCTGTGGCTGTTTGCGGCGGCAGAGGAGTGGATGTGGGTGCAGTGCGATGCGTGGTCGGCGTGCTCAGCGCGCTGCTGGTATGTTCTGCGGGCGGGAGCGTTTCTGTCGGGAAAGGCTTGGCCTTCTGGGACTGGAACCCTAGATCGGCCAATCGGAGAGGGGTGGTTGGCGTCGTGATGAGTCCGTCTTTCTGCTGGGGTTTGGTCGATCCTGGTTCGTCGAGGTTTTTCTTCCCTTCGCTGCGCCTGAACTGCAGATTTGAACCCTAGGCTCTAGTGCCACTTTGATTTCCTGGAGTGCAGTTCTGGGGGAGGAGAAAGATGCGTGGAGTGTCAAAGAAGGAGGTCGGTCGGCAGATAAGAAGGTCGAGATCCGAGAAAGAGGAAGAAGAGGGCAAGCGTGGTGATTTTGATGGGTCTGGATGGGTGGTGGCCCAGAGATAAGTCCCAGATTGCTGTCCAACAAGTCCACTCCAGTCTCTGCCCTGTTCACCAGAATGGGGAAGGGGAAGGGGAAGGAGGAGGCCAGGAACACTAATAGACAGACAGTCGGGTCCCAGAACGGTGGAACAGACACCGTAAATGACAGGCTCATGAGTCAATAAGGGTATGACCATCACACTATGCAATTTGCTCGAGCGGTGGAAATCCGACGCTGTAGTTGGCCGATAACGATCCGGTCGCTGAGTCGTGTCTCGACGGGCCTCGCCCGTTCAAAGGAACCCCCGGGAGCTCTTGTTCCTTAGTGAGAATGTCTTGGTCGCCGCTATCGCGTCAGATGACATTGGATAGTGTCCTTTCTCTAAGTGGAAAAAAAGTAGGCCCTGAGGAGCGAGCTTCGGGCGGGCTTTCGCTGCTGCAACGGGAGCTGCAACAACCCGACCCTATGTAAGTGCTAAGATAAAGTAGGTCCGCTGGCCGGCGCACTCCAGAGGGAGGAAACCTGGGGGCTCGGCAGTCAGGAAACAGAGCTAGGAAGATCATCTACGGGATCTTGTACTGTTTTATTATTCCAAAAGCTACCTAGCTAGCCCGCCTTGGTATGATAAAGGCGGGGAAGCGAGTTGGCACCCAAAGCATGAGACCAAGGTAGGAGGGGAGGAGAGGAGAGGGATGTGATGCCGGTGATATCGAGAACGAGACGGAATGCGGTCGTATGAGAATGAGGTATGCAAAGTGAGTACTGTATGTACAAAGTACATGTACATGTCGACAATTCAGGTACCTGGCTGGGCAGGTTGTGCCGGAAGAGACATACCAACTTCTGACAGGGTGACAAGTTCTCAGGGGAACAATTCAGCTTACAAGCAGACCGGATTATTCAGGATCCTTCCTTGGTGATGAGGTGCATGGGCAAATGGGCTTCAATGTTCCCTGAGGCGCGTCTGCCAAGGCCCATCTTCCATGCTGATCACAACGGTGTCTCCCTGTTGTTGGGGAAGCAGGACTGTTCCTGAGGGGTCATGATGGCACCAATGCACAAACGTCATCTCGAGTCCATTGACCACTTTGAGCGAGACACGCAGATGGAGGGTTTGCTCCCTCTCGTGTGGACGGGACGGGCTCGTCTGGTTTCTGATGCGTTGTGCACGACCGCGTGACCCGGGCAGTTGTGGTACCTCTTCTGCTTTGAAGGGACGGGGTTCTCTCCTCTTGACACTCTGACATTAACCCCTCCTCCAACGCTGGGCCAGAGGAGGGACTGGCCGAACGCACGCGCAGAGGGTTGTGGTCCCGGATCAACGCCGGCAAGGCCATGCCCTTGCGAGATCAAGCATTTCGCCTCCAAAGTCGAGGTTGGGATTAGGTAAGAGATTCCAGCAAGGTTGGGGGCTTCCGCAAGGGGCCATGCCAGGTTTGGTCATGTTTCCATAATATCCATTATCAACTCGGACGAGCGCTTTGCATCACATCGAATCGCATGGAGGGGTTCGGGGAGGCGAAAGGTCAAGCAGTCTCTATTGCCCATCGTGCATTCTCAACCTGCTTGGACTTGTGCTCTCCCCGCCCCTCTCCTGGGCATAGGTACGGAGTACATCGCTCGGTACAGCTGGTGTAGCTTGTCCATGGGTGCTCCAATTCCATGACAGTCTGGATTTGCCGCTGTTATCAGTGCCATGGTTGCGTCGTAGTCAGGCTGTGATTTTTTACTTTTGCCTGGTCGAGGTGTTCCTTATCTCTATCTTTACATCCTCCCTCTTATCTGGCTGGATAACCAGGCATGGTAGGTCATTACTCGCCTCGCGCTGTCGAACCAGAAGCTCTACAGGCATGCCCGCGAAACAACACTTCAGGCCGATCAGGTTCTCACGCAGCAGAGCATTGCATGTTTTTTTTTCCCTATTCCTCTGCTCCTGACCGAGGCCGAGCTTCAACCGCTGCAAAAGTGGAACGTCATAATGGAAGGCCTTTTTTTTATGGTTGCAGCGCCCAATCCCCTGGATCGGCTGGGTTTCGTGCTGCAATGCATATGTGTAAGATGCACCTATCTCGGTGGTTTGCCTGTCTGTGATTGGTGCGTCGTCAACAGGGCCTAAAAGGGAATGGCAGACGACGGGGACTCTTGGCTGGTGCGCCTCCACAGACGCCTACCTACCTAGCAAACATGCTGTCAACCGGGAGCGCGATGGCCAGCCCTGGCGGCGGAAAGCTGCAGCACGCACAGCACACAACACCCCTGAAAATGTGACGGATCATTCACCACCGACGTTTTTATCAGATCCCTGGCTGCTGGAGGGGTCTGACGATGTCAAGGTGCGGCGCCCGAGGCGGCTGAGGTACATTTCCCCAGGTACGTACATGCTCCGTACCGACTACCACCATGCTCCGTCAGTCTTGGGCCATGTGGTCTTCTGTCCATTCTCACCGCTGTCCTCGGCCACGATGCGCGCGCTGTTGGCTCCCGACAGTCTTGGAGGATCGTGAGTTTGCCCTCGTGCTGCATCAGAAAAAGACCTTGTTCTAGGCTCGTGGAACCTGGCATGCGGGCGGGCCGCGGTGATCTACTCCGTAGCTCGGCCATCGGCTGGTCCAGTAAGAAGAGTTGAGCAGCTGTCGCGACAGAGACCCTGGCGTCCTCTTGGGCAGCTATTACGAGATAGGTTGCCGTCGAGCGCAGCAGTCGGACCCCTAGTTTGCGCGAGTCTGCTGGTCCCGCCATGCCACGGTGAGCTTTGATCCCTTCTAGTGCTGTTCCAGGAGGTCATGTGCAGGCTAGGAGAGATTGCCCTGCGACTCTGCAAGGTGAGAGAGTCGAGACTATTTGCTTGGCCCCATCTATTCAAGCATTTTGGGCCACGCGGAAGTGCCTTAGCGAAGGATTGATGCCCATGGAATGGAGAAGAGGTTGATTTGAGATTGTTTGAGGGGAAAGGAAGCAGGATCTGGAATAATACCAAAGCAGGTACTTGGTACTCGGTGCAGAGAACCCCTTTGGAGCCAGCGAGCCACCTATCACGATAGCCGTGGTTTCCTTATCTCCCAAAAACCCAAATCAACCACCAAGCCCAGCCAGGTGCTTGCCAAATCAGAACCGGTCGCCTATTCTGGCAGTTACAAGAGCCGCTACGGCATGCCTTCCCGATCCAGCGGCGCGCTGCTCTTTCCTCCTCCATTGCGCGAACAGAACGCCACCACAAATCACAGTCCTTCGCTAGGCCATGTCGTCAGACAAGCCGCCCACAACGGGGAAACGCAGGCACACCACCGTTATCGGCTCTCCGTTTTTGCGCATGCACACGCCCGCAGACACGCACAAACACACACCGGAAGCCCTTACGTTTTTGGCCTTCCTCCTTCTTCCTGCTTACCTAGGTACTGTGAGGTGACGTAAATTGACTGGGCGAGACACACTGCGTCTTCCCTGGTTCCACGTCTGTGCCGCCTCCGAGAAAGCAGCATCTCCGCGGAGCTGGCAAACCTCCCGTCATAGCATGGTGACAACGAATGCCTTCTGCCCAGTTGCAAAGAAACATAGCCTACAAGTTAGACTCAGGCCTCTACCTCGAGTGGAGCACTTCTTTATTCTTGAGGCTATCTTCAACCTATCAGGCCTTGTTCTCCGTCCGCCCCTCCCCCGACCGCCTCGCCTTGCAAATCTGGGGTGCCGTCGGGGAGAGTGTCCAGTGTGGCTTTTGAGCTGGGGAAGCTCTTGATAAGAGGAAAAGGAGACAGATATGAAAGACTTGCCCGTCAGAATTACCATCCAACGTTACGTTGGGTCTAGTGCATTGTCACTAACCGCTATTCCCAGCGCATTCCCAGTTTTCTCCCGTCCCCGATTCAGCTGGAGAGGTCTCTGCCGTCCGCCGCAACCTACTTTTCAGGGGCCGTTGCTCAGATGAAACCCGGCAATGTGAAGCAACGCTGAACCATGCAGCACGGATGCAAGATATCTGCTCACTTACGCAGTGATGATGCTTTAAAAAGCTTGTCAGGACAGCTGTCATCCATCCTCTTAGGTAAATGATTCTCACCATGATTCCCTCAATGGCGACGGCCTCATCACGACCCGTATTCTGTACACGGCGTGTATCCTTGATGGAAGTCATGGAGACTTCTGAAGACCAAGTCGGCAGATGTCGACACCTCCTGCCGCCATTTCCTTGATGTCGTCGAGGCAACCTTCTCCAAGAAGCCGATGCCGGCGCAGGAATATCAAGAAAGTCGGAGTACGGCATGGCTGCTCGACTGAGGTATTTGATTACAACCACGGATTCCCTCTTTCGACTCTTCAGTCTCTCCGATTCTGACACGGAACGGGGAACCCGATGGCGGCTACTAAGTTGCTGCACGCATGGATTCTGCTGACAATATCCTGAGCTCACATCGATGACGGCTTCAGGGTCCCCTGGCTGAACAACACCGGCTCGAGAGCATCCACCGCGAATAGCGCGGGCATTGACTGTCTCCAGTCGGCCAGCTTCGTCCTGTTCATCGCCGCTGTCTTCCTTCCTCCATCCAGGCAAGCTTCGCGACAACTCGTACTTGGCGAAGAAGCTTCAAGCCCCCCTGTCCGCTTGTGGCTATTCATCGAGGGTAATTGCAAAGCTCCGGCACCAATTCCATGATCAACTCTCGTCATATCAGGCCTTCTCGTATGGTTTGTCCTTGCTAGCAACATAGCAAGCAAGACCAACGCTCTGCCTCCTTTCTCGTAAAAGCACTTCTTCTCGACGACGGATCAATCATGTCCGTCCGAAGGAAGGGCATCGAACCACTCATCTCGGTCATTTTTCGGCCGGGTTTTCGTATTGCTTTTCTTTCCCGGATCCTGTGTGTGTTTGCTTCATGTCACAGAGACGGCACGGAGCATCGTTGCCGGGTAGTGGTAGTATCTGTTAGCAAATGTTTCTTCTCCCATTCCAAAAGAGACCACGTAAGAGGCAGGAGACGCCGCCATAAATATTCGACTTCATGTCGTCCACTGAGCTGCAGATGCAATCATGCAGTCGAGGTCTATCGAGTCCGCCCCACCACCCTCCAAGATCTCCTCTGCATACGCGGGTGACGGACGGGAGAACACCCCTGAGGCCCGGGACCGGACCTCCTCTCGCCCCTGCCGCCCTCCACAACGCCAAAAGCTTGTCTTGACAGAACCGATGTGCTAATGCGGAATACCGCTCTGGGCGGCGGATGACCCCATGTGTGCCCTGCTGCAACTGCTCTCACTGTGTCACAGTGCAGGCTTTGTGCATTGGGGTATGAGTGGAACTCAGTCTCTTGGGGGGGGGGGGAGGAAACTAAGATCTCAGGCCTGCAACCTCCGACACTTCTCCCGGATCGGACTGTTGGCAACGCCCGAGACCGCGACTTGGTGAGACAAGTGAGCAAAAGTCGGGGAGCTAGTCTACGATGCATCTTTGCAGTATCACAGTAACTCAGCGCGCTCGGGAATTGCTTTTTGCTTTGCCCCTCAGCCACGGCCACCAGCCCGGATGGCGTTGGTAGTACACTGCGGGTGCAAGCCATCATGCTCATAGACCGTTGGAGCCCGACTGCTGGAAGCAATGAAGACGTGACCCTGCCGTTGACGGACAAATTTTCTAGTGCCGGAGAGCAGCGGAAATGCCAGGCAGGGCATTAAACTATGAAGAGTTGTAGTCCGTCATGAGAGCTTCTTTTTCCACATCAATTGAGGACCAACCGTCCCCTCGAAGCCGGCTGCCCTCTCCTCATTGATGCTGCCCGGCAGACTGGTTCCAAAAGCTAGCATTCGTGAAGTCAAAGAAGTCGGCAGACCCGGCGTCGCCCTCGGGCCAGCCCTGTTGCGGTCGCGGCCGCGTATCGGCCCCCATCGCGCCGACGTGCACGCCCTCGCCAAGGCCCTTGTCGAGGAAGTCCTGCAGATATGATACACGGGAATCAGCGGGCGTAATGTCAAAGCTTCATGATGAACAGATAAGGGAAAAGGCTTACTTACCCAGTCGAACGACGCCGAGGTCATGGGGATCCAGCTGTCGTCGGCGCTGTAGTCCATGTTCTCAAAGCCGGTGGCGACGAGGTCGGCGCGGGAGAAGTTGATTTGGGGCGGAGTGGCGAGCGAAGCTAGAGGGGCGTTGCCAAATGTGTCTGCCGGCAGTCAGATCAGTCAATACATACACAAGAAGCTCTCTTCGAAGCTACCACTTACTGCCATGTGACAGCTCCGCCGCCATGGACCCCGTTCCAGTCCCCGTCCCATCTGACGTGGGAAATGTCGGCCCCGTAGAAGGATAGGATACCTTGTCCTGGTCGGTCTGAGGCGTCAAGCCCATCTTGTTGTTCACATCGTCTGCCACGGCTGTGGCAGCTGCGGCACTGCTCCCTGGGTTACTGATCTTGTTGACCATCATCTGCAGGATATCCGCCGCCTTCTTCACGTCGCTGCTCTCCCGCGATATCGCTTCCCAGATGGCATGCGAACGATACAGCAGCGCGATCAGCTCCCCGCGACCAGGAAGCGCCGGCTCCTCCGTCATCCACGCGTGGCGATCTGTCCCCTCCTCGCCGTCGCCAGGGGATACGTCGTCGTCATCCCCGATGTTCTGCACGACGAGGTACACGACCATCGCCGCCAGCAGGAAATCGTGCATGGCGATCCCCGTCGCGAACCACCCGTGCTCGCTGAGCGCGCAGCCCGGCCGCGTCGCCTCGAAGATGGCGCCCTGGTAGCCCAGCAGCGCGAGCGCGGCCCCGAGGCACGCCCGCCGCGAGTAGTCGTGCTCCCCGCTGCTGCTGCTGCTGTCGCGCCGCGGGGCCGGCGCCTCGACGAGGTACCGCCTGTGCAGCACGCACCGGCTCTTCTGGTACAGCGACGCGATGCCGTACCGGTGCACGCTCTGCAGCGGCGGGTCGGCGAGGCACTGCTCCGGCGGGCGGACGCGCATGAACTCGGGCACCGAGGCGTACGCCGCGTCGAGCTCGGCGTCGAGCCGCAGGACCTCGGCGTAGGGCGGCGGCGGGGACAGGCGGTGCGCGAGGCGCGCGACGGGGCCGAACGCGCGGAAGACGCGCGCCTTGCAGATGGCGTACGTCATGTGCGTGTACTCGGTGTCCGGGCGCGCGGGCGGCAGCTCGGTTGTGTGCTCGTCAAAGTCCTCGTCCGCGAGGTTGCGCGGCAGGGCCGCGTCGGCGTCGACGCCGTCGACCATGCAGGGCAGCCCCGTGTGGAAGGACACGAGGCGCTCGAGCTGCACGGCCAGGGCCCACATGCGCCGGCGCAGCTCGCCCTCGTACGGAGAGAGGGCGGGCAGCCGGTCCGGGTCGCGGTGCAGGCCCATCTTGAGCATGAGGCGGATGAGGCAGCCCGAGAGCAGGTAGCAGTTCGTCTGCGCGGCGCGGCTGATGAGGAACTCAGACTCGACGTAGAGAAGGAAGGGGGCCAGGACGGCCGGGCTGGGCGAGGTGTAGCGGCTGAGCACGAGGGCCCAGCGGGCCGAGGCCCGGAAGTGCGAGAAGCGGTCCGTGGGCGGGACGGGGGAGTCGGCCTTGAGCTCGTGGGGGGAGGACCACGTGGAGAAGAAGATGGACAGGGCGAGGATGATGAAGAGCAGGGCCAGCCACTCGGTCTCGACCTGGGAAGGATCTTCCCAGAATTTGCTGTACTGTGTACAGTGAGGAAGAGTCAGTAGAAGTTCTAGCGACGTAGGACAAGGGGCACGTTTCTTACCTTTCGCAGAAATGTCGGCTTGTGTACAGCATCTATATAAAACTAGTCAGACATCTTGATTACCATACTCCTGGACATACCACGAGACTCACACTTCGATACACTGAACGACTGGAAATACCGCGTCACCAGCCGGTCCACGACGTGCCGCTCCGGCAGCCGCGCCACCAGGTCCAACTTGGTCGGCGCCGTGGCCGGGTCCTTGGCCGACGTGAACAGCAGGTCCGGCGACCCCGCCTCGGACGGCTCCTCGGGCCATTCGCCGTGCGCCTGGAGGTGCATCTTCTGGTCCTCGTCGGCGTCCGCGTCAAAGTAGCTCTTCAGATCCTCAATCTGCAAATGGGTTCGCATCAGCACGCGGAAACGCTCTCCCTCTTGAGCATTCGTCCGAAAAGACTCACATCATCAAGCATGGCCATAAAGTGCGTAGCCCCGACATACGTAGCCTGCCTCCTCCCCTTCCCCACGACCATCGTCCCACCCTCCGTCCCATCCCCGCCGCGCGGATCCCTCTCCCGGCCCGCCAGCTCCGGCCGCTGCTGCTCCCCCTCCCTCGTGCCGCCATCATCTCCCCGGCCACCACCGGCATCAACCTCATCCGGCTCCTGCTTCTGCTGCCCGACCACATCTCCATGGCCGCCCTCGCCCCCTTCGTCATTGTCCATCATCTCCCGCACCATCCCCTCCAGCCTCTTGAGCCGCGCCGCCACGCCGCCCCGGCTGCGCGGCTTCTTGACCGGCGGCGGCGCGTACGCGCAGTCCGCGGCCCGCCCACGGCGGGCGCAGTTGGCGCAGGGCGTGGCGCGGTCGCACTTGAGCTTGGACGCGCGGCAGGGGTGGCAGGAGAGCAGGATGCGCGTGCGCTTCTGCTGCTGCTGCTGCTGGCGGGACTGGGATGGCCCTCCTCCCGCCGAGGGCGGAGATACGGATGACGGCGCCATTTCAAGCCCCTCTCTTTCCCTCGGACAGACCAGCCCTCGAATAAGGTGTAGGTAGGTGTCAAAACGTGTGTGGGTGTGAGAGGGAGGATACGATGTGCCGGCAAAGAAGAAGAAGGATCGTGCTGAATTTTATCTACCCTCGCTCGCCCGCTGGATTGGCGTTAAGTCCGAGAGCCTCACACACCGTGGCTATGGCCACTGAAGGAATGCTCTCTGCTACGCTGGCGCCGTTCACTTCGTGAATCAAAATATCCCGCGGAAATCTTGGTGTTGTCTTTATTTGATTGTAGCAAGTTTTTCCAGTCGAGAGAGACAACATGCAGCTTTAGTGGCTGTTAGGTCTGACGCATTGCTAAACCATGTCGTCAAAGGAGGATCCGGCTAACATCCGGGCCCGACCGGCCGGGGCCCGGGACCACAACCTTTTAGACTCGGCCTTGGCCCGATTACTCACCCTGCCTCAAGCATTAATCGAAAAGCCCAATAATTGCACGGTACTGAATACCAGAAAAGAAAGTGGTATATTCGTTCTAGATAATCAAGAACTATTCTTCGATGGAAACCCCACCCTCCATGCAACAACTCCCCTCCCAGATTTGCAAACACCATAGCTCAATCGTAACACGGTAGCATTCCAAATCGAACCAGGTGTTCCCATCCCCTTCCTCTCCTATACACCCCCAATCAACCCCAAGTCCTCACTTCTCCGTCCCCGTCGCCGCAGCAGCCCCGGCAGCAGCCCCCGTCGCCCTGGGCGCGGGTGCTGCAGCGCCAGCATTATCGCCCGTGGTGTTCGGCACCTCGGCGCCCCGCAGGCTCTCCTCGTCCTGGTCGGCGAACAGCTTGCCCTCGGGCAGCTCGTTGAGCTCGTCCTCCTCGTAGTCGAGGTGGCGGAAGTGCAGCCAGAAGAGGCAGCCGGCGGCAAAGGCCAGCACGGCCATGGACCCGTAGTTCCAGACCAGCAGCGGGTCCTCGGACAGCGAGACGAAGGCCTCGGCGATGGCCGACGAGATGGCGTTCTGGCACAGCATGACGGCCTGCACGATGGACCGCATGTTCTTGGGCGCCTTGCTGTACGCGTACTCGAACGACGTGATGATGGTCATGATCTCGGACAGCGCGATGAGCACGTACGAGCCCGTCTGCGCCCAGACGTTGATCCCCACGGGCGCGCACCGCTCGCCGCTGGGCAGCTTGCCCGAGGCGTGCGTGCCGCACTCCGAGTCCCGGTAGATGTAGTACTGGACCACGGCGGCCCAGACCATGGCGAAGGAGCCCGTGATGAAGCCGGCGCTGATGCGCCGGATGGGCGTGAAGCGCACCTTCATCCTGCGCAGCGCCGGGTAGAGGAGGAAGTCGCAGATCGGGATGAAGATGATCAGGGCGATAGGGTCCAGGTTGGTAAAGATGTCGTTGGGCAGGCCGTTGAGCTTCATGACCGCCGCCTGCGAGATGAGATTGTTGTTGATCTGGCCATAGGTTAACCAGAAGATGGGCAAGTAAAAGAACACGGCGCACGCGGAAAAGCCGCGTCGACTAGGCGATCCAGTCAGCTGGGGATGCTCTATCTAGGTCTCGACAATGGGTGGAGTGAAAGCGACTTACAGTTCGTCCACCCAGGCATCGTCAAAGGTCATCCACTTGGGCTTGGTGCCGGGAGCAAACCTGGAAGGCTTGACGCTCTCCCAGAAGGTGCCGTCGCGCAGGTGCCTGACGGTGCGGACGGGGTTGAGGTGCCAGCGCCCCTTGTTCGCCAGGCCAAACGTCTTGAAGGCCTTGGGGATGGCCGAGCCAGCAGGGGGGCGCCTTGCGTACCTTTTCCGTGCCCACCACATGACGAGGGGGCAGATGGCAAGCATGCTGGTGGGCAGGAGGAAGGCGAGGTAGAACCCCCTGTACTTCTCGGCGTAGACCATGGTCAGCTGGCCCACGAGGGCGCCGACGTTGGTGAAGAGGTAGAACCAGTTGTAGACGCGGTTGACGGTGATGGCCGGGTCGACAATAACGCGCTCGCCTGACTTGAGGGTCCGGACCTTCATGTGCTCGATCTTGAGCTGCTCGATGACCAGCGGGTTGATGTTGGGCTTGAAACCGCCCGTACCGAGACCAATGACCGTAATGGCCATAATGAGCGCAGCCAGGCTGTTGTGCGGCTTGGTGATAACCGGCGGAATGGACGAGATAATGAGGATAATATGGCCGATGATATCTACGGCCAGCGCAACACAGATAGTTTTATACCGGCCCCAGTAAGTATCAGCTATGTAAGCACCGGCCAATGGTAAACAGTAGTTCCAGAATTGGTTATAAGTCGTGAGTCCTGTTCCTGCGCGTTGTCCCATGCCGAGGGCACCAGATTGGCCGTCTGGACCTCCTGCGCCGGTGTTGGAGCCCTTGGGAAGTGGCCATTGAATATAGTTTTGGTCTGTGAAGAAGCTATCGTGAGATTTTGGCACTAGCCTGAAAAGGTAAGGGAATCGGTGACTTACACTAGAATGCGGTGTTAGCGATGAGCGTTTGGGCGACATGTGCTGAAGGGGGGACGGGGTGGAAGAGATGGACATACGACAATGGTTGTCCCGTAGTATGAGAAGCGCTCGCACAGCTCAATGAAAGCAATGGTGAAGACCTTCAAGGGGATGTGGTCGGCCACACGGCGCAGCGTCCGCAACTCCTCCTCTGTCGGGAAGTCCTCGAGGAAGACGCCCTTCTCGGCCTGCTTCTCGATGATGGCGGTGGCCAGGTCCGCCTCAGCGCGCTGGATCTGGCTATCATCGGCGGCATGGTGCTCCTCCTCCTTCTTGATCTCTTTCTTGCTCTCTTCTTGCGGGCGGGTTTCGGAAGCCTCAGGGCGGACTTCGTCCTTGGCTACTGATGCAGCCATCTTTGTAAGAGAGGCTCCGCTTGGAACGTATCGCTCGACTTAGACAGACGGTGGAGAATAGGAATACGCCAAATTCGGAACACCACAGACCCTGCCTCTGCGCTTGTCGTCAATCGTCAGAGTGAAGACAAAGAAAGAAGAATGGGAAAAAGAGAGACGAGTCAGGGTTTTGAGGATGCAATGTACATATGCAAAAAGTGCAGATCCGGAGGACGGGCTGGGGTCGTGTGCAACCCCCGTCGAAGCCTCCATGGAGCGTGCGGGCGTCAAAGCCAGGCTCGTATCACCATGACAATTGCAGAAGGACATCATCTAGCATGTCTGCAGCCCACGCGCCGAGGCCTTCCCCAAATCAAGCAATGCACTGCACACATATTGCCCTCCCATCCCCACGAGGCGGATTGGTGGGTAAGACAGGCCATGCCGAGTTCGGCAGGTCGTTAGACAGAGCACCCAGTCATTCGGTGAGCCAAGACAGACACTCGCCGTGGGATATACCACTCCATGTCGCAAGAGCGGCACAGGTCGTTCCACTCGTATAACACAGGGCGCAGAGCCAAGAGAAGGGCTCAAAGCTTGTCCAGGATGTCCAAGAAGATTGCGGCTAATAACGGATATGTGCGCCAAGCAGATCCCTTCTGATCATGACCGCAAAAGGCTGCAAGCTCTTGGTCGGAGAAGAACCATATCGAGCAGGTAGGCACATCTGTCTGCCTATCTGTCTGTCTGTCTGTCATAGCTGTTGTCGTCCACTGACAGCGGTCGGACCATCTCCAGGGTCCCAAGAGGAGAGCAGAACCCAGGCTGCTGGACGCAATTGTTTCCAGAAGCAAGACGGGCCGATGGCGAGCGGGTCAATGGGCTTCTGCTTGCTCCGGAGTAAGCAGTGACAGGCCAATCTCGGCTTCGGCAACTTGTTTGGGCAGTTCTGCTCAGGCCCGCGGTCTTGGCGGAAGAATCAAGGATGTCACAGGGCATTTTTTGCGATTCCATCGATGATCATTCCTGGAATTTAGTCTCCTCAGCTGGCGATTTCAGCCATAGCTTTGACGCTCAAGGAGAGAAACAACAGTGGGTGCACCATCCAGGCTTCCTCTTGCATGTTTCAGAAGAAGAAGAAGAATGGCATTAAAGCAGGTCGTGCAAGTCAACGTTGGAGGCTGAAATTAGCACCACGGCTACGGCAGTGGCACGCGGTGGTGGCGCTTTCGGCAAGTCTAGTGCGCGCTCTGGCTCGCCTGCCGCTCGACGAAAGACGAAAGACGAAAGACGTTATCATATGGCATGTAACTAAGATCGTAACACAGTCTACAAGCATACCAATGTTGATTGTATCGTTCTGTTTGCGAGCATCCCTGAGCAATATATGCAGATACAGTGGCTCTATGAAGATCCTAAGCCTCGCCCAGAATCCCAAGACAAGCTTGTTTATTTAGCGGCGCTCGGCGCTGCATGCTTGGTGAAAGCCGCACCCGACCGTCAGCACGCTCGGCTTGGGACCCGAGCCATCTCGGAGTCTCATTCTACCGCGCAGATTCAAGAGCAGAGAATTCGCCTTGACTAATAGTTTCCCAGTCATCCTTCCTTACCTGCCCTTCTAGGCTAGGATTTTCCAGGTAGGCTTCTAGTCTGTTTAAGATTGGCAGACTAGAGTTGGCGGCTCGGAATGCCAAGAATTTGATTTGTATCTCACCCACGACGGCATGGACAAATAGAGCAGTCATCGGGGTAACTGGGAACGAAGCAGATGCAGAGCTGACGGGGTACTTGTAGAAATGGCTCAGGCTTGCGTTACATCTCAGCCGAGACCGAGGATCCCGTGGTGGTGCGTCCCAGCTGCAAGGTCTTGGCACTCCACTGAGAATGATACCTGGTTTATGGCTGCTTCTCGGGGCCACGAAATCAGGTGAGTTTTATCTCTTTCACTCTCGCTGTTTGGTAAACCAGAAAGGGCGATTTGGCAAGACCATGGAGTGGTGGGCAGTTATGTGACTGGTGAATTGGGCAACGATATCACATTCGGCCATCCATCCATCCCTCCCTGTCTGAAGCCCGAGTGATATCAGATCATGGTGTTGGAAGCCCTCGTCCAAGGACATTCTCGACATGGTTTGCCATCTTTGCTACTGTGATCCCTAAAAAGATAAGCAGCCCAACTTGCAAAGATGCATTGGTTGTGTTCCGGGTTCCGTGGTCATTGGCCCAGTCATTGTAGAACACTGTGACAGTGGTCTCCTTTACTGTCCAACCAGAGCCCTACAGAATGTCGAGCGACGAGACCATTAATACCAATATCACATGTGAAAGGTTGAGCAGGTTTGAGAAGCTGCATGTTTCTTCGAAATAGACTTGCCAACCTCAAGGCCCGCTATCACGGCGAATCCTAGTACTCAGCCGATCTCTTCTTTTCGAAGTGGAAAAATGAGACGACCTAGAGAGAATATGCAGCAAAAGAGAGAGAGCGAGAGGAGAAACGAAAGGGAAGATCGCTCAAGAACCAACAGCACAGAACACACAGATACCAGGGACCCCAAGAGGTCGTCCCGAACCAGACCCGCGTTCACGGAGGCAAAAAGTCGGCCTCGAGACGGGGCACACCTGCCCCGGACGCCGGCCCCGATCCCGGCTCCGCCTCCCGCGCAACGGACCACTTTCCGCAGCGAGCCGCAGTAGGGACCTTCCGGCACCGAGATCTTCGCCCCCCCCCCCCCCCCCCCCCCATGTGCCGCCAACGCCCTCTGTGGCCTGCCCGTCTGGCCGCATATTGACCCTCACACCCCAAATCTTGCTTGCTTGCTTGCCTGTGCCTGTGCCTTTTCTGTGATCTCGTTCTAGCATCGTCTGCGCTGCATCTCGTATGAGCTGCGTCTTTGTCTATCACAAGCCTCTGCCTCTTCCGTCTTTGTGTGTTGAAAGCCATCGATCGAGTGACGCAGCCACCCATCCATCCATCTTAGCCAAAAATCCCCAAGCCTTCGCCCCGCGTCTCCCCGCCGTGGGAAACAAAAGGGCAGCTGTCTGCTCTACCGGCAGCCTCTCGAGCTCCAAGCTCCTATAAATAACTTTGGTTCCTGGCCCCCTACTGTGCGTCATCCTGCGCGCGCGCATCCATCCACCAGACGGCATTGTTCTCGCGTCGAGACGGCCAGCACACCTCAGCCTAGTCCAGCAACATGGATACTCGGTCGAGGGGCATATCTGACGAGGAGCTCTTTATGAGCCGCCCCAACGAGGGTGGCGATAGCCCTACCGTCGAGCCCCTGAGGATATTCAAACCCCAGAGCCCCAAGCCGGCCGCAGACAAGGCCTCCGATCGTTTCAGATACCCCACGCCTACATCTTCTTCCACCTCTTCGCGCCCGACCTTCCCTCTCCCACCAGGCGCCTCCAGCTCGGCCAACCCGCTGCCCTACCCCGACGACGAAGATCACCGCTTCTCTCAGCCCTCTAAACAGACTCGGCCTCCGTATTCCGAGGAAGGCCGGAAGACGTCCTCCTCGAGCTACAACTACGCTAGCCCTACAGGCTCCCAGGGCTCTGGTGGCCACAACGAGACGTCTCCGCGCCTCAACCTCAGCCCGGTCGACAAGAAGCCCGGCCTTGCAGAGCGACGCGGCAACGTTCCCGCAGCTCTCTCGCCGACCAGTCCCAGCGAGGACAAGGAGGATCTCTTTGCGAAGCCACTCAGCCAACAACCGGCCCCTAAGATCTCTACCAGCTACCAACAGAAGCCATACTACCCTCCCCCAGGAGGAGCATCCTCCTCCGGTCCTGGCAATGCAGGCCGTCAGAACGCGGGATCGGATACTCTCAAGATGCCGCAGGACAGCGGTATGAACCGCTTCGCCTCTACGGCGTCGAACTCGACCACGCGGGCAAGCCGCGGCTCACCCCCGCCTCCCGAGACCCCTATTGTCGAGCCCGGCAACATCCCCGGCGGCGGAATCGAAGCCCGGTATGCGGCAGCTGGCATCTCGGGAACGGCGACGCTCAACAGCTTCCAGCCTCAGAGCTCTGCCGCGGCGCAACGGCTGGCGCAGTATGGTGGCCAGCCGCCTGCGGCGCCCCAGCCGGCGCGGCCTTGGACTCCCACCGAGTCCCCCGACCAACAACCCCACGGCCCTCCGACCGTCTACCAGGGTGCGAACCCCGTCTCAAGTCCGCCGCAACACCCCGCCGAGCTGCCTGCTCAGCACTCCGGCTCCTCCTCCTCGCAGCCCGGCAGCCTGCAGGTGAGCGTTCTGGAACAAGACTTCCAGCGCATGCAGGCGTCCACGCCGCCACCGGCTTACACGAGCGTGAACCCCAACGGAGGCTCGTCATATCCCAACGAGAAGCAGCGGCCGCAGGCGCAAGCCAGCTCCAGCTCACAGTCTGTGCCCACGACGTCAACGGCGACGTCGAGCGCCGCAGCCCCGGCCCCGGCCCCGGCCCCGCAAGACAGCAAGCAGAGCATACCCAACCCGCTCGCGTCTCCTGCGCTGCAGCATCCTGGGCACCCGGCCTTTGCCAATGATCCCAAGCCAGAGGCCGGGCCTAATGGACACCCGGCCCTGTCCCACACGCCCTCCGTGATGGCCGGGCAAGGGCCTGCGTCTCCGCCTCCACTGCCGGAGGGCTGGATCGCCCACCTCGACCAGAACTCGGGCCAGTACTACTACATCCACCTCGCCACGCAGGCAACGCAATGGGAGTTCCCCAAGGGCCCCAACCCCATCCACCACGATGCCGCGCCCCTATCTCCCACCGCCTCGACATATGGCAACCCGCTGGGATCTCCATTCCTAGGGGGGAAGCAATCGTTGGCATCGCCGCTCTACCCACCGCAGACCCCGGGCTATGCTGAGAGCATCATGAGCGTGGCCGCATCCCAGACACCGAGTGCCGCCGGCTTCATGGGCCCACCGCCAAGCGCCGGTGTGGACATGTACAAGATTGCGCCGACGAACGGAGTCTACTTTGGCCCCTATCTGCGATACGTCAACATGGACGTCGAGAAGGGCATCTGGCTGGGCAGCATCCTGATCGTCACGGACGCGCCCCAGCCTCCCACGATCCACATCCACCTGAGCGTCGACCTGTCGCCGAACCCGCGGCAGCTCGTCCCGCACAGCATCTACACGCACCAGAGGTGGTCCTTCTACAAGTACGACCTCGACCTGCAGATGGGCGAGGGCGGCAGCGAGAGGTGGACCTACGCCGTCACGTCGCACATGGGCTGCACGAGGTACGAGTTCGTCGTCGCGGGCCGGCACGAGCCCGGCTGGCGGCTGGTCGCGCACTCGGGCAACGACTTCACGCCCGCGACGTCGCAGGCCGAGCGGGGCCGGCTCGGCGGCGTCGGCTTCATGTGGAAGGACGTGCTGCAGAAGAACGTCGACTGCGGCGGCTTCCACGTGCAGCTCGGCCTCGGCGGGCAGATCTACGGCGACCGGCTGTGGAAGGAGGTGCCGCTGCTCAAGCAGTGGCTGGCCATGCAAGGTAGGGAGAACCGCAAGAACGCGCAGTGGACGGCGCGGCACGAGGAGGACGTCACGCACGCCTACTTCCACTACTACACCTCGCACTTTGACCAGCCCTTCCTCCGGGAGGCCTTTGCGCAGATCCCGCACATCCTGCAGCTCGACGACCACGACATCTTCGACGGCTTCGGCTCCTACCCGGAGTACATGCAGCAGTCGGCCATCTTCAAGAACATCGGCCGCGTCGCCATCGAGATGTACCTGCTCTTCCAGCACCACACCACGGTCGAGATCCTGCGCAACGTCAGCTCCGACCTCGACCTCTTCACCATCACGGGCAACGGCTGGCACTTTGTCAAGTACCTCGGCCCCGCCGTCGTCGTCGTGGGGCCGGACTGCCGCTCCGAGCGCACGCAGGCGCGCGTCATGGCGGGCCCCACCTACCAGGGCATCTTCCCCAAGGTGGCGGTGCTGCCGCCGAGCGTGCAGCACTGCATCTGGATGGTGTCGGTGCCGCTCGTGTACCCGCGCCTCGACACGGTCGAGACGCTGGCCAACACGTTCGCCACGGGCAAGAAGGCCGTCAACACGACGTACAACCTGCTGGGCAAGGTGACGAGCTCCGTCGCCGGCGTCGTGGGCGGCAAGGAGGTCGTCGCGCAGGGCTTCAGCCAGGTCAAGAAGGCCGTCGGCAAGGGCGGGCTCATGGGCAACGTCTTCAACCAGTTTGGCGACCTCGACATCGCCGAGGAGCTCAAGGACCTGTGGACGCACGAGTCCAAGGACCTCGAGCGGACGTACCTGATCCGCACGCTGCAGGGCATCGCGCAGCAGAAGGGCATCCGCATGACGTTCTTGTCCGGTGGTAAGTTTCTGTTTTTTTTTTTTTTTTTTCCCTTGGTAGTGATGTAAAGCATCCATTACATCACCTCTACTCTACCTACCCGAGAGAGAAAAAAAGTACCCCTTGCTAATAGTGACAAAACGGCAGACGTCAACTCGTGCGGCGCCGGCCTCGTGCACGACCCGGCCCACCCCTCGGACCACAAGACCATGTACCAGGTCATCACGAGCCCCATCGTCGCCTCCCCCGCGGGCAACTACATGCTCAAGATGCTGCACAACAACAGACTACTATACGTGCCGCAGAACGGCCACCGGTCCTCCAGCCACCACACGGGCTCCTCCTCCTCGTCGTCCCAGCAGGAGTCCTCGGACACCAAGGAGGACATGATGGAGATCTTCCAGGTCGACGCGTCGGGCGCGCCGCGGGAGATGAAGAAGCTCATGGGCCGGCGCAACTACGTCGCGATCGTGGCGTACGACCCCGAGGCCGTGGCGGGCACGGGCTACGCCGCGGCGTCGGTGAGCGGGCAGCAGGGGCTGCAGAGCAAGTTGAGCCTCGCGGTCGACTTTGTCGTGCAGGGCGACGGGGCGTTCAACGGGCCGACCAAGTACGGGCCCGTCATCGTGCCGCATCTCGAGTACGGGCACTGATTTCTTGCCAAGGGGGCTTTGGGGGGTGTGATGATACGGAGGTCTGGAAATGACCATGAATGACCGAACGAGACACGTTGTTGTTGATATTGCCCCTTTTTTTGTGTTGAAATTCTTGGCGAGCAGAGTTTCTTGAGCGCACCAGGGATGGATGGTGTGATGGTTTCTTCTTCCGTCTTATGTCCCCGATTTTCAAGCAAATATATACATTTTTGATAAGATATCACGGCCTCTGGGTTGTTTTGTGCTCTGGGATATCTCTGACGAGGGCTTTTTGATTTTGATATACTTGATAGCGAATGAAGAAGAATGGTAGTCGAATTAAGTGTTTAGGTAGTTCACAAGACCCTTCCTCTACAGTGACCTCACTTCTTGATAGATGTTGACACACGAGTATGCTGACATGCATCGACGATGCAGCTTTGACGTCCAATCGTATTTACCATTTGATTCATTCATTACTTGTGCTCTGCTATATAGCATTCATGCATGCCATAGTCTGGCGATGTATTTTTGGTGTCCCACCACAAGAACTCCACCAGAGAGATCGCTTTTTTCCCCCCCTTCCTCGTCAAGAAAGTCTATAAAGCTCACGAGAAATAACTCCCACCTCTTGATTTTCTCTTCTCTGTCGATCTTCTCCCCCAACATTCTTTTTCCCTTTCAACGGAGACCTGGTGCTCGAGCCCGTCAGGCTCAAAAGCTCGGGGCTCAGATCCTCAGCCCGCGCGGCGCGACGCCCAACCCGCTCCTACAGGTTGAAGATCTCCTTGAGCTGAGCCATGGTGTCGTCGGGGTTCCGGACGGTGTGGCCGATGGTGCGCGGGTCCGAGAAGATCTCGTAGTCGTTGCCGCCCTCGAAGGTCTTGTCGCCGAAGAAGTGGATGGTGGTGTAGGCGATGCCGCCCTGCTTCTTGGCCTCGCTCTCGAGGTGGTTGAGGCAGTACGTCTTGTCCCAGCCCTGGGGGAAGACGTCGAAGGAGATCTGGCCGCCGATGGAGAAGCTGCGCCGGGTGGTCAGTATATATATATATATATGTGTGTGTGTGTGTGTGTGTGTGTATATTATTCTCTCTGATTTGCTCCCCAATGTGGCGTGGCGGTTGCTTGTTTGAGAAGAGAGAAGAGAAAAAGAGAGGAAGATAGAAAGACTCACGTCAGGCCGAGGTGTCCGAAGCGCTCCTTGAGCTTGCTCACAAAGGCGGCGCGGACCTTGTGGACCTTGTCGTAGGCCTCGAACTCGTCGCGCTCGGCGAGGGAGGCGTTGCGGCCGATGGGGCTGATGTTGATCATGCCGGTGCGGAACTCGACAAAGGTGCCGCGCTTGACGGGGATGTCGAGGTCGGCGACGTAGTGCAGCACAAAGTTGACGAGCTCCTTGTACTGGTCCTCGCCGACCCACTTGATGAACGAGTTGGAGGGCAGGGGCTCGCCGTTCTTGAACGCCGTCAGCCCGTTCTCCGAGAAGCAGTAGTCGAAGAGGGTCGTGACGTTGACGTCCGGCGCGCCGAGCTGCTCCTGCTGCTTGCTCAGGTCGGAGCCGCCGACGAAGCCGATGGCGCACTGCTGGCGCAGGCGGACGAGCAGGTTGGCCAGCTCCGGGGTGATGTGCTGTTTTGGTAAAAAAGGGGGGGAGGTGGTCAGCGGGTTGCAGCCTTGTCGAGGCACACATTGCTCCTTGTGGGTGACGAATACGTACCTGTCTGGCCAGGGTCAGAGGCCCGTCGACATCAAAGAGGCAGATGGTGTTCTTGAGGGGCCGGTCGGCCAGGGGAGGGTACGCAGCAGCCATCTTTGCGGTCTGGTCTGGGGATCTGGAAGACGGGGAAGGGTGTGAGATAAGGGGACAGACAGTGTAGAGCAACTGTCTTTCTTTCAAGAGTATCTGCGTCAGGCTTGCTAAGGGACGGCAGGCAAAGTTGGCAACCAGAAAGAAAAAGAAATCTACAGGAATCAAAGGCGGTCAGAGGACGGAGAGAGTGCACCAGCACCAACACGACTTCAAGACACGTTTAAGAGATGCTAGGCACTGGACTAGCGCACAAGTCGGTGAAGGCCCGTCTCGTCTCGTTGCGACACGATCAGTAGGTACCTACCTAGGTAGTCAAGCAATAACTAGCAGGGCGGCGGGCACCTTTTTTCCCTGGTGGAGATGCTTGATGGGGCAGCTCCGATCTGCTTCAACCCCGCCATCACAGCACTAAAACACACAGCGGTTGGTGAGGGGTTCGCATATCGCTTCAGGGGTCATGGCCCTGACGATGACTTACCCCTCTCTCACTGCGAATTGGCGAATCGACATGAGCTCTCGTTAGGCTGCCACCTCGGTCCCTATTCAGCTCAGGGTGTTATCAGTGAATTAGCGGGGGTTTGTCTACCAGCGAAGTAGCTCAACTGTGTCGTCCAAGTACGGCTTTGATTTGAATTCAAAGATTGACCTGGCTTGCCAGGACTTCGCTTTTTGCAACCTGAGTATCTGGCAAGCTCCTTTTTTTTTTTTTTTTTTTTTTTTAACCCCCCCCCCCCCCCCCCCAACCCTCTGTCAGCGACTGGCCGGTCGGTTTATGTTGCACTGCAGAGCTCAAACATGAAATTCTTTGCTCAGTGATTAGTTAGCAGCTGGGTAGGGGTCCTTTTGTGTGTTAGTGCCCGCGCGTACATTGCGTATGAAGGCGGTCGGTCTTGGTCCCATCACAAGCTTCCAATTCATCATCATTTCCGGGCGGGTGCCAATGTGACATGAGACAGCAGATGTCTTTTTGAACAGGTGTATTGAATTCCCAAAATTACATCAATCGGCTTTGATATCGCTCAAATTCCACTTCATACTTCCGTCCCTTTCCCACACAGGCCACTCATACACTCATAGCCAGCACACACACTCTTTCTCCTTCTCTACTGCTGCTGCTGCTGCTGCTGCTGCTGGTCGCCGCCGCTGAAGCCCCTGGCCACCATGCGCCCGATGCTCTGCACGTCGCGGTTGCCGGCGTCGGTGTCGCTGTACGCGCTCGCCGCCTGCTTGGCCACGTTGCCGAGCTCCTGGTAGTCGACCGACTCGCCCTTGGCCTGCCGGTCCTTGAAGTCCTCGGCCGCCTTCTTGGCCATCTGGCCGACGCCGGCCCACTGCTGCTCGGCATTGTTGTTGTTGTTACCCCCGCCGTTGTTGTTATCGCCGCCCTGGATGTTCTGCTGCGCCTCGCCGCTGTTGTTGTTGTTGCTGCCGCCAAAGTTGGAGGCCGCGTCCTGGGCCATCTTGCCAAGCTTGCCGAAGTCCATGGTTGTGGAGGTGTGTGTGTGTGTGTGTGTGTTTGTTGGTGATGAGAAGAGAAGGGTAGTGGTTGGAGATGTGGTGAGGATTGTTTCTCGGATGAGAGTGAGAGAGAAGGTAGGTAAGAGGACTGGTAGAGCTTTGTATAGACTGCAGCTTATGATGAAATGAGCTCTATCCCCCTCGCCCTCCGGGGCTTGACGACTTCTTATACGTCCTTCCCCCCCTTCCCTCGGCCTCTCGCCGACACCATCTGGCCACAAATGCCCCTCCGTCCCACAAGGCAGTCCTCGCCAGTCAAGCTCCATTCCCAATGTGAGCTATTATCACCAGAAAGAGGGAGAGAGCAAGATGGGGGTGGGGTGGGCAACCGTAGCTGGAGGGGCCAGACATGACGAAGCTGCCCCGAGATAGGTATGGCGAAGTGCTCACTTCGCACGTCTCGCGTCCGCCGGTGGCTTCAAGGACAAGCCCGCGTCCTGCAAGACATGACAACTGTCACAACTCACCCACGCGTTGGTAGGGGGCGTCCCTGCAGGCTTAGGGTACATTTCAGCTGGGCCAGGAGGGGGGGAAGTCGGATGTCTCAACGCAAGTCCAGTACGTGCCGTGGAAACGCCTCGCAGTGGGAGCTGAACCCGTGGGGCGCCCAATTTCCTCCATGTGCCACTTCGGGAATCACTCCACGGCGAAGCCCGGATAGTGCGCACCGCCGACGCTAGGGAAGGGCCAAGTTGGGAAGAGACATATCACCAAGCTGTGCCGGATCCGTCCAGCCGGGAACGATCATCTCGACGGAAAAAGAAATGGTTAAAAATGGAACATACGTATTCGTTGGGAACATGACAGCCGTTCGTAAATGCGCTCTGGGGTATGTACACTAGGGAAAAAGGATACAGCTCTATCTCATGTACAACGGCATTTGAGTCCGGAGGGAGCCCGCTTAGTCCACGGCTGCCCAAAGACCAGTCATCTCCACTACAACGTTGATGATGGTGCTGACTGTCCATATGACGATCAAGCTCAGACCGATCTTGCGTGTCATGATCCACTTGTTGGTCGGCACGATCACCAACAGAAAAACGAGCGTGACGAGCACCGTGACGGCAGAGATCATCAGCGTGCCGCCGACCTGGATATGGTACGGCTTGTAATGCAGAGGCTTCTTGGGATGCTTCTCGTGCTTGTGGTTAGCAGACTGCAGCGTCATCCACGCGCCGCCGAGACCGACACCCAGAAGGATGTTTAACAAAGGACCGCCGAAGCAGGCAGATCTGGAGAGCCCAGTTAGCGAATACTGCACCGTGTAGAGAAAGTCGTGTCCTCATTACTTACAATGCCATAACTGGGTAACCCAACCGCGCCACCGTTATGTCGGCGACCAAGTCTCCCACAGAGTTACCCACGGCAAAGATGGTCAAGCCGAGGATGGCTTCTGAGATGCCCAGAATGACGCCAAATGCCTTGAGGACACCAACCACCTCTCCTGCCACGGTAGAGATCCATGCAATGCTGATAATGAAGCCCAAGAAGCAAAGCAGAAAATGGTACTTTGGCTTCCGATCGGGACTTGTAGCGGCAAGCAAGAATGCCAAGACCACCAGTGAACCTACAAGAGAGCACAGGACCAATTTAAAGAGTGTCATCTTGGGGTGCTCAAGGTTTTCCATCATGTTGGCCCATACGATGAAAACAGTGAAGAGCGGGCCCGTGAAAACTTGTAACACGACGAGCCATCTGTTCCATCCAGGCTCGGCTTCGCCTGTTCCAATATCAGATGGGGCTGTAGGGGTTGGCTTAGACGGTTGCTCAACGAGTAGTGGTTGTCTTTCGCTGCTACCACCGGCCAGACTGACACGCACGCCGTCCGTGGCTGCATGCGGCGACGAAGATCGCAAGCTGGCAGCGGTTGATGCGGAACGTGTGCTCCGCCGATAGCGCTGCCACTCCGTCTCCGGCTGCAAAGAAGCGTCTTCCTCGATAGAGATCGGAGGGGCCATGGCGCCAGGTTCCCCTCGCTCTGGAGGGTCAACGATGGCGTCCTCGCTAGATTCATCGTCATCGTCGGCTTCTGCCTCGACTACAGGAAGAGTTGTAACGAGCAGGAAGATACTGGGTACCGAGACAATACTGATAAATTTGTCCCAGATACTTTTCTCCTTCCAGCCTTGCAGCGTCGGGAAGATGGTACTCATGAGCACATGCGGTGGAGGCAGAATATTGTACGGCCACCATCGCACGGGCTTGTGCACAGCGGCATCCCCAAAGAATGGCGCTTGATTCCCCACGTCGGGAGTGGGCAGCATGAAGCTCTGGGTGCGTCCATGGGGGTGGACAGATGGTGTTATAGGCAACGGAGACTCTGACAAACCAGGGAATGGCGATAAGGATGGTGATGAGTGCGGTGACTGTGTAGCAGGACTAGGGATCTGAAGCGAAAGGGGTGAAGGGGATGGCGCAATGTCCTTGGGATGCTGGAAAGGAGCACCCGGAAGTAAATGAGATCCTTGCTGGTGGTCATGACCTGCGATCTGGGACGTATCTCTGGGCGACAGTGCGGCCGGGCTAAGGCCAGATGCTGTGCTATCACCTATCCCGAGGTTGTAGGTGGCAAGAGTCGGAGGTGCGCGACCATCGTGAGGAAGGTTCAAAGGCATATCGCCCGAAGACAGTGCCCGATCGCGGCCTGTATGGGTGTCGGTTGGCGGATATAGCTCGCCTTCAGCGACCGAGCCAAGCGAGAGCGCGGACCGATCCAGGGGAGCCGCAGGGTCGACTCGATATTCCGAGTGGCTCCGGCTATGAACAGGACCGAGATGCACATTGCCTGACTTTTGGAGCGAAGACAAGATCGACCGGAATTCGAGCACTCCGACGAGGCTTGGCCTAATAGGCGTGATCGTGGTATTGCTTCGCCGACCACGCGGCCGGTTGACGCGCATGCTACTCGTCATCTCAGCCGCGACATGTCGTTCACGTTCGTCTTCTTCCTCTTCGTCCTGAGCTCCGTCGCCATCGTTGATCTCGATCCTCGGCCCCCGCTCCAAGGCACTAATATCCTCAGCAGCGGCACTCTGCCTGCGACCCATTGGCGTGGTGTCGTCCTCGTCGGGCTCGTCCTGATACGGCTCCAGAGCATCGGCACCTTCGCCATCTACATTGTAGAAATGGCTCCGAGAGGCAGCTTCCTTCTCGCGGCGCCTTCGCCGTCTTGTCGCAAGCCAGTGCCAGCCGACGACCACCACAACATAGAAGACGTAGAAGCCGATCATGACGCAGCACTCCCACAGGTGCAGCTCGCCGTCGGCAAGAAAGACCATGGCGAAGCTGACCGAGACGATGAAGAAGCAGATGTCGCGAACAAACGTCTTCTTACTGACCTTGAACTCGCGCACCAAGGCCATAGAGCCAGCGACAACCGACGTGATGAAGCCGGCAGCACCGATGAGCTCGCCCACGGCCATGCTGCCGCTGTTAGAGCCCATGGCAGCGAACGTGCTGAACACATCGGGAGAGCCATTGCCAAAGGCCAGAAAAGTGACACCGGCCAAGCTCTCACTCAGGCCGAGAATGCTGGCAATGGTGCTCAGGTTGACGCTGAAGAAGTCGCTGGCAGCTATGCCAATGGTGGTGAAGAGCAGGCCGAGCCAGGAGACGAGGAAAACGAAAGCGACAGGCCGCGCCTTGCCAAGGGTGCAGTAGTAGAAGGTGAGGTAAGACAGCAGCCCTGCCTCTTCATCTCCACAGTTCTCTCTGACAAAGGCGCACTTGTCCTGTGCTTGATGTACGAGGCGACACTCCTCGTTGGTCGACCTCGGCCGCAGAAGCGGAGGCGCAGTGTCAACGGCGGCTGACAGATGTGGCCTCAGAAAGATGGAGTATGCTGCCAGCAGGGTGATGATACATGTGGATATAAGGAAAGGGCGAGAGCTGTATCTCGCCCTCCTTGACGACTTGGGGGCCGGCATGGTGAGGCTGCAGCTCTTACCGGTGCTCCATGGTCTTGATGTGTCTAGGTGATGTGATTGATTGATTGATTGTATCAGAGCTTTGGGTCGACGGCGGCTTGAGCTATGGATCACGCAACCCGGGGCCAGGTCTCGGAGAGTGTCAACCGGACCTGTCGGAAAAGAATGCGATAAATATGCTCAAGAGGGCACTAGGCGGTGACTAGAACTACAAGTAACAATGTGTCCCGGGTCCTTGAAAGAGGATATCCAAGCTGCCCAGATCATGATTGCACGGCAGGCCTCCCATTCTGCGACGATATGGCAAATCTCCCCCACCAGAGCTGTCTTGGCAGTTGCGAAGTTGCGTAGAGTTGGCACGGATCAGGTTTAGCGCCAGAGTGCTTCGACCCGGTACAGGTACATTCTTCCAAGACCAGTTGGCGAGATGCAAATACAACATGACACAAAGCATGGCATTTTCATAGAGAGAACTGTATCAAGGCTTAGGTATGCTCTGCAAATAGTACCATCAATGACTGAGAAAGCACTTTGTTCACCTCTCTGCTTTAGTCAGGGAGAGCTGGAGACATTCCATCCTGCAACATGGATGCATGTACCTACTTGATGCTCTCAGGTACACACACGCCAATTTGCCAGCGCACGATGCCGCCACCACACCAGCTTCAGCGCACGGGCCCCACACCTTCAAGCTTCCCTAACAAACCTCTGCAGCGCCTCGAGACTAACAAGTGCTGAAGTCACGTGCATTTGTTTACTCTCCTACCCCTTTGGGTCGCAACACGCAAAACATCGCGATCCACTCAAAGATAATCCCCCACGATAAAGATCGCGACGAAGCGCAACCACCCATATCGACCAGGACGACAGAGAAAACACGGCCAAAATGCCTCGCGTCGCTCAGATCCAGCGTGTCAGCAGCAGCAGGAGTAATAGCAGGGTGCCCTCTGGCACGCAGTCGCCCTTCAAATCGCCCATCAAGTAAGTTTGTTATCGCCGCGACGAGGCGAGGGGACGGAAATCTGCACCTAGCAACGAGATGTATCACTGACAAGACGACACAATTGCGCGCAGGATCCCGCTCAACGACGATGCGCAGGAGAAAGCACAGCGTCTGCACTCGCGGCAGGCGCTGCACGAGGCCCAGATCAACCAGCTAAAGGCGGCCGCGACGCCCACCGCACGCAAAGTCAGCTCCCGCTTCGAAGACGTCGAGAATGCGTCGCCCGGCTCCAACCCGCGGACGCCTCGCTCCGGCAGGCCGAGCGCCCGCGACCTCGCCAGAGTCGCCGCGGAAGAGGACGACCTCGTCGTCGGTGGCAGCGCTGTCACGCCGATGAAGCGCGTCCCCATCCTCGCCAACTTTGAGGAGTGGATGAAGATGGCCACCGACAACAAGATCAATGCGACCAACTCGTGGAACTTTGCGCTCATCGACTACTTCCACGACATGTCACTGCTCAAGGAGGGCGACGGCGTCAACTTCCAAAAGGCCAGCTGCACCCTCGACGGCTGCGTCAAGATTTACACCAGCAGAGTCGACAGTGTGGCCACCGAGACTGGTAAGCTGCTGAGCGGCTTGGCCGACAGCCGGGACAGCAAAAAGAAAGGGCAAGAGGGCGAGGAGGGCGAGGACAGCGAGGAAGAGCTGGACGAGGATGGCAATGTCAAGAAGAAGCCCAAGAAGAAGGCAAGTTGATAGTAGATGTCCACCCTCTCCCACGACACAATAGACACAATACTGACAATGTCCTGTAGCAACGATCATCAGAAGCCACTCTGGCGCCATCCTTTGCCTCATTACAGCTGAAGAAGTTTGAGCTCGAGTTTGCCGTCGACCCGCTCTTCAAGAAGGCTTCGGCCGACTTTGACGAGGGCGGCGCAAAAGGCCTGCTTCTGAACCACCTCATGATTGACAACCAGGGGCGCATCGTCTTTGACAGCAGCGACGACTCGGCAGATGTGGCTAAGCCGAGGAAAAGTGAAATCGCCGAGTTGGACGAGGATGCCGAGGACGAGGAAGAGAAGGACGAGTCCACAGTACTCGAAGAGAAGCCAGAGGAGCCAGAGGAAGAGGACGTGCCGATCGACATCGTCTCATTAGGCGCTCGCTTCTTCCCCGACCTCTCCCGCCTAGAGGAGCTCGACGTCTGCCCGTCACTCAAGACCTTTGACCTCGGCGACCCGTCCGGGTCCATGGACATCCCCTTCCTGCGCGCTCCCGAGGACTGGCGCCAGGATGACAAGGACAAGGAGGGCGGCCCCAGCGACAAGTCGGGCATGTACATCGACGAGGACAACCCGCTCGGCTTCGACGACACGGACGGTCTCGGCGCCTTTGATCTGGGCCCCGGCGACGTCAATTTTGGCGAGGGCGGCGAGGCGTGGGCTCGCGAGGCCGCATTGGAGCCGCAGATGCGCGTCTTTGACGCCGGCGAGGGCGGCGTCGACGACGTCGACATGCTCGACAACGTCAACAACGGCACCGAATTCATGGTGTCGATGACGCACGCCCAAAAGGCCGACAAGATGCACGAGGATATCCTCAGCTATTTCGACCAGGCGCTGCAGAAGAACTGGACCAGCGCCGAGCACTGGCGCATCCGCAAGATCAAGGACGTCAACGCCAAGGGGGCTGTGGCGGGCACGCGGACGCGCAAGGAGAAGGAGCCCTTCGAGATCGACTTTGCCTCGCCGCTCGACCCGGCGCTCGCCGAGGCCCTCTACACGCAGGCCTCGAGCAACTCGGCCATCTCGCTGCCCAAGAAGGACTGGAAGGCCAAGTCGCGCAACCTGCTGCCCGACGACAAGCACTTCAACTCGAAGCAGCTGCTGTCCCTCTTCCTCAAGCCCAAGGCCCGCCTCAACCGCCGCCGCCTGGGAGGCGGTGGCGGGGGCATCCGCGGCTTCAACGGCGGCGCCGACGGCGGCCAGGCCGACGTGCCGGCCGGCGAGATGGACGAGGCCTTCTGGGCCTCGCAGAAGGCCCCGCTGGTCCAGTCCACCGAGGGCGGCAGCGGCGCGGGCGCGGGCGCGGGCGGCGACGACACGGCCATGCCGGGCGGCGGCGGCGACTACGACGCCAACTTCTTCGCCGACGACGGCCTGCCCTTCGCGGCGGGCGGCGGCATGGACGACGACGACGACATGGACGAGTTTGCCGACGCGCGGGAGCACTTCTCCCCCGGCGCCATGGGCGGGCCGGACGGCCTCGGCCTCGGCATGGGAGGCGGCCTGCTCCCGGACCTCGGCGGCGGCGCGACGACCATGGGCGCCTTTGGCGGCCTCACCGTGACCAACCCGGCCGACCTCGCGTTCGGGACCATGCTCGTCACCCAGAGCCGGCGCGTGCGGCCCGAGTACGTGCAGTACGCGCGCGTGGCCAAGAAGGTCGACGTGCGCCGGCTCAAGGAGGAGATGTGGAAGGGTATGGGCTTTGAGCAGCTCGAGAGCGTGGGTTCTCTTTTCTCTGTTTCGTTCTTTCTTTCTTTCTTTCCCTCCGTTCCCTGAAGGCGGGGATAGCAACTGATATATCTGAGACACACAGGACTCGCAGCGGTCAAGACTGCCCACGCCGCCCGAGGCGTCCGAGTCGGCGTCCAAGGACAACCCGACGCTGCGCTTCACCGAGGTCATGAACAACCTGCAGACCGTCTACTCGCGGCCGGCCATGGACGACCTGTCGACGAGCTACTGCTTCATCTCGCTGCTGCACCTGGCCAACGAGAAGGGCCTCGTCATCGAAAAGACGCCCGAGCTCACCGAGCTGTCCATCCGCAAGGACTGGACGGCCGAGATCGCCGTGGGCGGCGAGTGAGGTGAGTGAGGAGCAACCAGCCTGTTACAAAAGGGAAGAGGGGGCAAGAACACAGGACAGGGCCTGGCTTGGGGAGGGTTCTCTGCAGAGCGTGATGTATGTCCAGATGCTACGAGTTTACGAGTGCTGGGTGTCTGTTCATTTCTTTTTCTCTCTTCCGAATGAGTGTTTCTTGTCGTGTTGTGGGATATCAAAGTCTTCCATCGCTTTGGGAGGGTCTGGTCGCATCCGCATATATAAAGCGGACGAGTTCTATAATGCATTCTCTATGAACATTCTTCTTGCTCCCTAAGCATCACAGAAAACGCCCTGTTCATGGCTTGAGCATGAGCATCAGCATCGTAATTGCCGACCGAGCAACTCTGGCCGGTATACAACCTCAGACGTCACCTCAGCAGTCGAGATACACTGCCAAACGAGCGGCGTTGACACCTCCGTCGCGCGAAGGATCTGATTACTTCGCTATTGGACTACCACAACCACAAGGTCACTCAGCTCTTCCTCTCCGTCTGGGAGCTATCAGCCTGGTCCGACTTGGGTTCGCCCCCATCATCCTCGTCGAGAGCCAAGGCATCGACGCCCAAAGCCTCCAGCATGCTGTCGAGCTTGCTCTCGAGCTTTGCCAGGTCCGCCTCGAGGGCGTCTGCGGTCTGCTCGCCCCTGCTCGTTCAACGGTAGTCAGCTTCGTGGCGATATTATCAGGCGATAAAACGGCCACAAGGACGCAGGTTTGGGAATGGACCGGTCAACGGCGCAGGCGTGATAGAGTCACCCGTTTCAGTCTAGAGGCCGTTGGTCGCTCTGCCACTATTTGCCTAGCTCGCTCTAATGCAGGAGGGGAGATTGAAAAAAGGACATGGGACAGCCGTTTCGTGCAACAGCTCTGTTGCTTTCCTGGATGAACCGGAGCCCCGTCACCTCCCGTATCGGGGCAAGTCAGGCTCGGGGCGTGCATCTATGGGTGTGTGCGTGTACGTGTGTGTGTTTGTGCGCGAGCAGGTCGGTCTGATTCGTCCAATACCGCCTCAGGACAGAGACTCATGCTGCAGCTTCCGGCTCGCAACAACACACATAGGTAACATTCATGCAAGACTATGCATTCGAATGGCCGTTCGCTAGACGAACTGACTAGCGTTTTGGGCAAAGCAATCCTGCCTGAAAGGCAGAGAGGAGATTTGAGGGGAAGGGAAGGGGGAGGGGAACCTTGCTCGCAGGGCTCACAGGGTGGTGCCAGTGGGGGGTTCTAGGATCAAGGGTAATACTTGGGCGACCAGAGTAAACGAGCAGAAACAAACCAGGATGGTCCGTGTCTCGTCGCGCGACAAATGCTCCGATGGAAATCTCATGTTCCCGGAGCTTATCTGGTCGCATATGCAAGGCGAAATGAATCGGATTCTGGACAAACGAGCGACGTGCGGGGAGTGCAAGACGGGTGCATGCATCAACAGACGAATGGCCGTTCTCGGGCCAGCCATGAGGGGGTGGACAGGGCAGACAGGGCGGTACCACTTGGAGGGGTGCAGGGCGTGCAGGTGTGTTTTGGGGGGAGATCTTCAGGGTCTCGGGTGGGGCTAACGCCGCTGGGCGGAACCCATTGGGATTTGCGAAATCGCATGCCGAAAAAGCCATGGGCTTGTTGAGCAGGGGAAATCCAAATAGTCAGGTCATACCTAGCGAGGTCTTTCAGGGCCTAGACCGGAAAACGGCAACGAAAAGCCAATGAGTTAGCCAACCGCACAATCAAGAAGAGGAGAGCGAATCCTTGCCAAACGTTTTATCGCTTGATGTGTGAATGTGCTATTGGATAGGACAAGGCAATACATTGGGGGTCTAAGAGGTTCTTGCATGTCCCCAGTATCGCAACCCAGGGCGGAGATAGGTACCCTCTGCTGTGGGATGCAGAAGCAGCCGCCACCGCCCGAGGAGAGAGAGGTGAAGTGCCGTCCCAGAAGCAGCGATCCAAAGCCGCACGTTCGACGTCGCTTGCATCGGAAGAGAGGGGGAAATCATGGAAAGTGGCGACCAACCTGCGCAAGTTCGGAGCCGACTGACGTCGAGGACGGCGGCGATTGCGATGCTGACGATGCCGCGTTGTTGTTGGCCGAGTCCGTTGTGGGCTCATCGGATTGTGGCGCCATTCTGATTCAAGCCCAGACTCTGCGAGGCTCAGGGTTTGCTCCGGAGGGGGCAGCTGACAGCCGTGCGCGCCCCCAAGAGAATAGACCCAGCGAGGCGGTATAGCGCCGGAGAGGTGAGTCGCGGCCGAGACGAAAAGCCGGACCTATCACGAAGATTGTCTGAGCCCGCAAAGGTTCACTCTAAGGCCAGGGCCCTTCGCTGCTGACAGTATCAGCAGATCGGACTGGCTGGCTGCTGGCTAGCCGTGCTCTTTCTTGTTCCGTGGTCTGGTGCCCGCAAGGCTGGTTCGGGGTGGGGAAAAGCAGCCGTGCTTCCGTGGCAGATCAAAAGTTTCAAGACGACAGATCTCGTATGATTTCTGCAACTCGCGTAGTGAAATCCAATGGCTGGGTAGCAATATAAGCTCACGCTGCTTCCAGGATGGTGTGAGCAAGAGGGACACGCGCAAAGCCCATCCGTCGCACAGGATCAGGGAGATGGTGCTCGGTGGTCGAGCAAGCAGGTAGAGGACGTAGTTAGGTACTCTGTAGAATGCCAGGATGGACGGTCTCTGAGGGGGTGGTGGTGCAGGCGGACAGAGCAGAAACAGGAGGAGGCCGCTCGCTCCTCTGGTGGGTGAGGGGTAAAAAATGGCTGAATCGGGCATGGCCTCGAACACTCCAACTGCCCGCTAGTTGTGTGAGGCTTGCCAATATGATGGTGGCAGTTGAAATCTGATAGTCCGTCCAGTCTCGACATTTAGCACAACCGATCTCGATCTCATTCTTCACCACCTCGTATATGCCGAGTGTCGAAGAGAATCTACGGCGAGGCCGTTACTTTCGTATGCACCTCACGGACGAGCATTCACCGTCGTGAACCAGGGGTGCTGGCCGAAGATTACGCCCGCGCTCGCTTCCAGCGTCCAATAAGGCTCATGCATGCTTTTCTCTCGAGGCGGTATGTATCTCGGAGAGTAATCCCTGGTCAAGACTCTACCCATTCGTCGGTCCGCCAGCTTTGTCAGTACAAGTAGGTAAATGCCGGTTAAAGACCAGGCTTAGCCAGGCACTAGGCAAGGACTGTCCACACTCTGCCGTCTGTTCTCTCTCTCCTGAGCAGCTTCATGTATGTTATCGCCTCTGCCGACTTTGTCAGCTCCAGTGAGATGCCCAGCCCGTCTTTATCCAGTCGCTTCCTCTTGACCTTGAAACAATGACGACCGTTGTAACGATGTCATCCGTCGGGTCTGGAGAGAAGGGAAGCCAGGCGTCGCCCGCGCCACGTGTTACGGCAGCCGTTTCCGCTGCCACTAACTGTTCGGCATGCCCACTTTGGTCTCAACAGTAAGGTGGAAGCGCGTGCAAGTTGTTAAGCTCAAAGCATGCCCAGCCGCCCACCCCCTTCCCAGTGTCAATCGCAGTATGCTTCGGGCAAGCTTGAAGGACTAGTGCCTGAGCCCTCGATACGGGGCCGCCCACTAGCCATTTGTCGACGACGGCAGAAGGACATGATGGCCCGTCATGGTTTTGTAATTTGTATCAGTCGAAGTATCGGTGCGAAACTCCTGATGATGCAATCGGCGCGCGAAGTGTCTTCAACACGCCACTTTCACAGGCCAAGCGCGAATGCTGTTCGGGTAGACCGCAGACTTGACTCGCCGCCCAAAACTAAGGCCACCGGCCCGGCTTGCGCGAGCATTGAGCCCTGCTGCTGGGGAGACACGACCAGCATCCGAGGTCACGAGTGTGTGGGACACTCTAACAAGGCCCAATCTGCTTGTAAGTACTTGTAGGAAGGGCGGCTTCTCTGATTGGCTTCGGTGAGAATCTGGGTGTCGGAGCGTGTTCCTCACGCGCTGTTTGGTGGACGCTGAGAAAAGACACACAAGGATCAATCCAATAAGAAACCCACTCGCACCACCAAAGGGCACTTGCCAAGGCATGCCATTTCACGGAAGAACACCTTGTTACGTACCACGGAGGAGCAGTCGGCGGTTGCAAGAGAGATTCCCATCATGATAAAGGTCTAAACATGGACTGTACGCAATGGGAAGGGCATACGACCAGACCCGACCCGGCTGAGAAGCTATCTAGGTACCTAGGTATGCTCTTTGCTGACGGCACACACCTGGCAGCACGATTTCTCGATCTCGAGCTGGTAATCAGGACTTCGAGATTATCACGCCGCCAGGAGCGGTATGCCAGATGAAGGGAGAGTTTCACGCGCACCAGTAGAGAACTTGACTACTCGATAGGCATGGCCTTGTATCGGTGACATCTGTCTCGAGGCGCACGCTTTTTATGCAAGATGGGATGACGACGACACAGTGACGACCGTTTTGAACGCTGCTATTATTGTTGTTGTTGTCGTGTCGTAAAGTACGTTAGGGTCCTGTCGACGGTACCTTTAGCGTCGCTGCCGCCCTAGGTAATTAGCGGCGGCGCAGAACCCTGTCGAATTTGCGAATTCCACAAGGGTAGACCGCCCTACTGGAACAGGAAGCGCGATTTGTGATGGGCACCTGGTCTTTTGCAGGGTGCAGGCATGCAAAATGTCGAATTTGGAAGTCTCTTTCTGAGACAGAGAGGCCCCGCGGGGGACATGCAGGTGTGGGCGCTTCTTCGGTGTAGCTTCGAGTGCAAATCCCATCAGTCAGGAGCTTGGGTCCCCGTTCCGGAGTCATGGCGCTGGTTGCGGCTCCTCCTGTCTGCTGTCGTCGCGCACGGGGGGGGTGTGTCGCAGGTTGGATGTGCCAAGTAAACTATGGTACCTACCTAGGTAGACAGGAAGATCCCTGGACTGTCTAAAATGACAAAGAGTGGGGGAGAGAAGCAACTTGAGAGACACATACCGGTATAAGCGTGGAAGGCTTGTGAAGGGTCCGATCCCATGCAAATTGGTCGATGTGGGTGCGCAGAAATGCAAGCCCCAGATCGGAATTTCACCCTATTTTGGCCCGTTTCGTGACAGCAATCGAACCCTCCCTTCCCCCCGCACTTCAGGCTTGAGAGATTCAAGAGATGGCTCGACGATGGTGGCTGGCGGGTCCTTCTCTAGCTCTAGCAACGCTCGGCAGCTTGTTCGGAGTCGGAGTGCAAGAAGGTAGTCGGAGAGGTGAGGAGACTGTGTGAATGAGTGAGTGTGTTTGTGACTTTGTGTGTATGGTGGAAAAAGGAGGAAAAGAAGTGAGTATCGAGTCAACTGCATTGGGTCGTACATGCGACAGACGACTATGACTTGGAAGGGACATCGGACCCCAAGTGTACCTGCCACTTTCGGTGCATAGATTTCCCACTCGTCTCTTCCTCTCTTCAATTTTTCTCCCCAGTCCAGTCTCTTCCCTCGAGGATTAGGTAGCCATCTCATCTCTGCATCTCTGGTCAGTGAACTCGCGAGCTTCCTGTCCCTTTTGGAAGCTACTACTCCGTAAAACTGAGCGGGTTGGGCGAATAAGAGAATGAGTCGCCCTTTCCCTCCCTGGCGACCCTGTGCGGATCCAGCAAATATTTGTGCGCCTCTCTCAAGTGGTGGCCCTTTTTGGATTTTGCCCACCACGGCTTGCCGGGCGCTCTGATTGGCTCCACGATCCTAGTCGACACCACCTGCTATCATACGTTTTTTGTCGACCCCTAATAAGCGCTATCCATCGACGGGATCGAGATCTTCGACCATTGTCCCATCTCCCATCTCACTCCCTCGCCTGCCGGAGTCGCTCCCAGGTACTGGCAACATCCCGACTGTTTCCGGTCCCTGTCCATCTTGGCTTAATCAAGAACACCGTCCAAGAACAGACTGCCAACTCAGAGCTGAACACTGGAGTTCACTGGTCTGGTCGCGAACGATGCTACGGCGCCATCCCTTCCTACCTGTGCCCCGGACACACACTGTCAGAGGAGGCGGACACGACGTCTTTCTTCCTCGAAGACACCCCCATTTGGCAGATATGCATGCGTCCCCTGGCCTCACGCAAGCGAGATCCAAATAAGCAACGAGCATCAGCATCAAAACACAGATGCATTTCTCCCCTTGCTCCTCTCCGAATTCCGTCTCCGCCGTCAGAATGGCATTTGCTCGCAGCCCTCCACGGACCACGCCAAGGACACGCACTGGAGCCGGCTGTGGCGATGAACACTTGTCCTGCATCCGGTTGATGTGGGTTGCTGCGCCGATTCAACGGCCTCCATCCCCAAACTCGCTGCCTTGCTCCTGTATAACGACGATCAGTCTGATAGTGGACGTCATCTCTGCCCTCTTGCCAGGAGACCTTCCCAGCGAGCCAGCCCATTTCACCCCGAGGATCATGGCCACAAGGTAGGCCCAAACGAACGTCGTTCTGATGCAGACCCCGAGATGCCCGGCTCATGGCATTCCAACACATGGCGTGCCCCGAGTCCATGGCGTTTCGTCTAGCTGGCACTCTGACCCCTTCTCGCCCCATTGACCAGGAACATGGTAGTTTGGGCCCGTATTCAACCTCGTTCTTCGTGAGCCCTGCCTTTCTTGATCATGATATTACATTGGCGCTAGAACGCTAGGAAAGCTGGGCCATGGTTGGCTTTCTTTTTCCTTTCAAGAGCGTCTAATGACTGAATGTCAATCGCGCGACGTCTATATGTATAATGTGCGGGAGAGGGCAGGTTGTCTCTATTCCTGGCCTCCTGGCCTCCCCCAAGAAATGCTTTGGAGCCGGTACCCGGTACATCGGGATACCTCATCACCAGCCCAAGTCCCTGAATTTTGCACCGACATTGACAGACCCAAAAGTTCTAAAATCAGATGGGCCCCCGTTACGGAACCCGCCTAAAACATCCTTTCCCATCCCATCACTTGACACCGCTTCCTTACTAACGGGACTGAGGGCACTCGTTCCTTTGGGACTGTGTGTCGTGCACGCCACTACCTACCTTGCCTACGTGCCGGTTGAGCATCGTGATGTGATGAAGGGATCTGTGCCAAGACCAGTGGCACGGCATTTTCCACAAAGTGCCTTGGTCGCTTGCTCAGTGCTTGGATGTCGACCTTGTCTGTCTGTCTACGACTGGCCAAGCTGGCCTACCCATCTAGTTGTGGAACAGTGTTGCTTTGCTGCGTGTCTTTGGTTATCATGCGTAGGTGCGCATGTATTCGAACTTCTTTGGCCCTGGACTGCCTACTGAGTGGATATGTAGGCAGGCATGAATGCACCTAGGTGATGCAGGCAGGGCTTTGGCGTCTTTGGCCCATCCTGGCATCTCGACTGGGGCAGCCCCTTCATCCACATTCCGGGAACCCCAACAAGCTCCAATGCACGGTACATTAAAGACGAAGCAAGGTGCGCCAACTCGACATGGAATGCCTGCGAGCTCGCATGTATCAAAGCGTGCTGTTTCTCCTTCCGCGTACAGAGAAGCTGTATGGCAGTGATTGTTTGGGGGTGAGGTTCGAGTCAAACTGACAAGCGCCGACGCCCACCCTGGTGTACAATAAAAATCTACAGCTTTGGTGTCCGACGCTAGGTAGGCAGTCAAGTACTTGTAGAACATCGAAGCACTTTCTACGGAGTAGAGGCATACTACTAGTACTGCTGCCAGGTAAGGAGGTAGGTGTCGCCGCCCCAAGATCCACTGCTCTGGATAGGTTGAATGCATGCTTGTGACTTGGTGGAGATCACGACATTTGCCCTCGTCGCCGTTGCGGGCTCGTGGCCCTTTTCGTGCGAAAGAAATCGCCATGGCAAATCTTGCGATCGATCTGGAGGCAACAAGAAACAAGACTCGGACGTTCGCCGCTAGCCTCGCCGGCCGATTCCCCCTTGGCCTTGGCTTGATTGGGCGTAGCCACCAGGCACAGTGCATCTGCTGATCGTCATCCAGAGGCGAATGGACAAGGAAAAGGCGGCCTTTCTTCACCATTGCTTGATCGATGCCGGTGCCCTTGCAGCCTTTCCTCAATACCTTGCCGAACCGTACCGTCCTGTCGACCATACATTGGAACGAGGCTCGAAGGGGTTTATACATTGCTGATCTCTTCTCCAACCGCGCCTGATCGACAACCCATCTGCAAGGAATCCCGAACTAGAGATTCTGGATTGTTTCCTGGATCAAACCAAGCGTAGACCGCACGCATTCTATCCAGGAACCGGACGAGGCGCGATGCGGCGCAGATGGTGACTGCTGTCTTGTTGCTCCTCCAAGTCGAGTCGTTGCGAATGGGCGAGCTGCCTATCAGACTTCTATTAGAAAATTAGTAAGAAACCGTTGCCTCCCTCGTTGGCACGCCGGCGACCTCGATTCAAGTGAAGCCCGGCCGTGGTAGTTGCTCTGCCTGCCTGCGCTTCTATCCACCAGATCTTGATTCTGCTGCTTGTCACTGGTCAAGAGCTCCAATAAAAAAAATGCTGTTCAAGTGTAAGTCCGCCTCGAAGTACTGTTTTGGTACGGAGGTACCTGTCATGTCATGGCCTTCCTCCCCCATCCGCCCTCCAGTCGCCCTCTCCTCCACACGCACACCGTGACCCAAGCACCCATCCAGCACGCGCTACTTCAGGTAGCTCCAGCGACTACCAGCCGACTACAAGCACCCGGTAGTGTCAGCCATGGACGGTACATGTCGACGCACCAGCTTCCCTACCGTGGCTAATACAGCCCGTAGCGCCGCCGTAAACCCGCTACAACCACCACCTCCTTCGCCGGTCGCACCCCCAGTTAGCAGGCGCATTTCCCGTTTTGTCCCACCTTTTGCAGTCTCGTCTGGGTTCCAGACCCATGCGACATGTCATCGAGATCTTGCTGCCGTCGCTTCCCTCCCAAGCAGGCACGAGCACCGCCGACCGGCACCACAGAAAGCAAAAGAGTAGACCACCGAGACCACCACCATTGCCATTACCACCACCACTACCTGCTGCTGCTTGTCTGCTGTCTGCTGTCTGCTGTCTGCTGTCTGCTGTCTGCTGTTGTTTCTGCTGCTGCTGCCGCCGCTGCTGCTGCACCCGGGACTGTCATCCCCCAATTCCCATTTACATAGCTTTTGCCCATGCATTGCGAAGTGGTCATACTTTACCTATATCCTTCTTAGTCCTGTGCCCTTCGCATTCTGTCATATTGCTCTTGTTTCCCATATACCTTTCGCTTTCCCACAACGTTTCCCATTCCACTTCTCTACTACATCACTCTTCATATTCGGACACTTTCCCTCCTCGACCTCTTCTCGACCATCGCACTCCTCCTCCACCTGCTTGCCTTTCCTTTACCAACCCGCAGCAACGCGCGCGCCAGAGTGTCGACTAGCGATCGATCGCCCTCCCAACTTACACAACATCTCTACACAGCACCCTCCCGTTCCACTGCTACGGCGCCAAATCCGCATTGGCCAGCCCCAGAATCGCTGCCTGTCTTCCTGGATAAGACTTTGGCTCCGACCCAGAGGCACAGGAAAGGACAATTGAAAGAGCAGAGGAACAGAGGCAGACTCGACTTGCGAGGTCGCACTACCGCCGCCACAGCACCACACGGCACCAGCCCACCAGCCGCAAGCCAGACTCCAATCGCTGGAAAGCCGGTAGAACACCTTGAGAGAGTCGGGCCTGTCGCAAGGACGACACGGCTTCCCTACCTCGCCGTCTCTCGTCTGTACAAAGTGGCTGCGCCGCGCGAACCTTGCCATCTTGAACAGTTTTGTGTGGAGAGAAACCGGACTGCACGCCAACCCCATGATCCCAGCGAGTCGACCACTTTGCACAAGGTGATGACCGGCTGCATGACGCAACAACTGGACGAGATCTTTGGAGAGCTGGGTATCTCCCAATACCTGGATACCTTCATTGATCAAGGGTTCGACTCGTGGGAGACGATTTTGGACATCACCGAGTCCGACCTGTACGTATCAACCCGGCCGGGCGTGTTACCCAAGCCATGGACTGGGGATTTGCCCACCTCAGACCTGACAAATGTTGACCAGCGGTCGCTAACGCAAAATTCTAGCGATGCATTGGGGGTGAAGCTAGGACACAGGAGGGTAAGTTCTTCCCCGTGGGCGCAGAGAAAGGCAGCCCTCTGCTCCAACCAAAACGCCAAGAACGGAAACTGATCGTCTCCCTTCTCGCCGCAGAAATTACAGAGGCGAATTGCCAATTTTCGTGGCGTCGCCCCAGATGCTGCATTGGTCTCACCTGCCCGGCCAAGCATAGAGGATCCCCGATTAGATACGCACAGACCAGATGCACTGGCCAAGGTCCCCGAGGCTCGTGATGCGCCCGCTGCGGTCGTCACAAAGCGCAAGTACCGGCGCCACCCCAAGGTGAGTCTTCCTGATGTTTTCGTTGCTGGAAGTGGCAAGCGTCTCTGCCCATTTGGCGCCGCTTCTTGGGCTGGGTTCGCCCGCTGCGTCTGAACTCGTATACGTGCTAACAGTGACTTAGCCGGACGAGAACGCACCAGAACGGCCTCCATCGGCTTATGTCTTGTTTTCCAACAGTGAGTCTTGTGATAATATTCCATCTGTCTGGGCGTCATAGAGGACAGCATGCCTCGGGTAGTACCTTGGCGGCATTCGGATGGCACTTGGAAGAGGAGACGTTTGAGAGCTACATCACGTTTATGGACTCGTATGCTGACTGAACCTTTTCCGTCTAGAAATGCGAGATGATCTCAAAGGTCAAAACCTGACATTCACAGAGATCGCCAAGCTTGTCGGAGAGAATTGGCAGAATCTCTCTCAGTCTGAAAAGGAGCCTTTTGAGACACAAGCCCAGGTCGCAAAGGAAAAGTATAATCAGGATTTGACCGAATACAAGAAGACTCCCGAGTACAAAAAGTACATGGTCTACTTGCAAGAGTTCAAGGCCAAGCACGCAGGTTCGTCACAAGATTTGCATATGACCGCACCTTCTGGTCTTCCCCCTCCGCCGAATACCCAGCTCACATTTCCCTTAGAGAAAGATGCGTCCAAACGGGTAAAGCTCTCAGAAGCGAACGGGACAGCCTTGAACGGGACAGCGTTGCGTGCGGCCCTTAGCTCTGCGGCGAGTGAAGCCACACCTCCTACACGACAACAGAGGGTTGGGTCCATGGCCGAGTCGGTTTATTCGACATCAGAGGCTCACAATTCTCGTCAAGCCTCGGTTGATGACCTCGTAACCTCGCCACAGCCCCATCCATCAGAACGATCCCCTACCTTCAGCGCCAGCCCTCGTGCGATACCGCCACGGCAACCCTCCCGCCGGAGTACGTGGGACGAAGTCCATCGGGGAGAACCTTCTGGAACCCACCGGCACCTACCATCCTTCTCGGATATCTTCGACTCTCGCAGTCCAGTCGGCGGGCTGAGTCAGTCTCATGAGCTCAATGGGGCGAGTCCTTTGTCACACCAGAACAGCAACGGCAGCCCCGGCCCGCCCCCTGGCTTGGTGGGGGGCCTATCTCGCCCGCCTTCTCTTAGGAAGGAGTACTCGTCTGCTGGGAGTGTCTCGTCTGGCGGGTCTCATAGCTATCCGCGGACGCCAATCGATGGCTCGCTGCCCATCCACACCTTGCTCCAAGGCAAGCCTGGGCTGCCGTATGACGCGGCGCATACCCCGTATAGCCAGGCAAGCCTCCCATCAGGTGACTCCAAGTATCCCTTCCCCCACATCCGGCAGGACGGGACTCCGAGCGATGTATCATCCAGCGGTTCCTCCAGTCTCAACCCGACTGGCACTGGTGAGTATTCTCAACGTCGACACAAACCATGCCAACCTCTCTGCGTCCTGACTGACTGGAAAGAAAGGCTATTTTTCACCGCCGCCCCCTTCCAGCAACCACACTCCTGGGCCACACCTCCCATCTCCGGAAGAGGTCAAAATTATGCCGCCCCGCTCATCTCTGAACGGTAGTAAGGAAGGCTTTCCTAATCTAGACGGCATGAGCGCCCTTTTGAGGGCGGGCGAAATGGTGAACCGTCGACCGCGCTGAGCGCTTCTTAAAAGGGTCCCATTGAAACACCGGTCTCTGGGGCCCATCGAAACCAAAAACAATTTTCGGATCTTTACGAATGGCAGGGATCTTGTTTCCTCAGGGCAGATACGATTAATGATCATGGCAGACACAACACGCATATGGGCGGGCCATTGACGACAGGATCTCCTTTCACCGATCTGTCGGGTGTGCTTCCTTATATTTTTTCCCCTTCTTTTTCATTTTAACTATGCATTGGGATACCCATATAACTTCACTTCGACCCAAAGCAACAATATCTTTCTATTTGCATTTCCACTTCAAACAAAACAGCAATGGACCCAAGGGAGTTTCTTGGAAGAATCTGCAGACACAAAACAATTTCGAGTTGGACAGGGGATACGGATATTGGCGTTATCTCTCCTCCATATTTCTGGGTTGGACAGGGAGGAAATCTCATGACATCTCGCGCACCCCTTTTCCTCGAGTCATACTTGTGTCACATCATCGTCAATTTCCTTGTTCTATTTCATCGTGGGCAGGTACAGGGCAATGGGAGGCGCGGCTTTACCATCGGATATAGATTGTGTCTGCTGCTCCACGGGCGAACGGACATGGTCAGGGAGGGAGACTATATAGCCCTGTGCTTTTTCTTTCTTGGCTTTTTCATATACCTATACTCGTTGGCTTCACGTCAGACGGACGAGAGAAGCCAGCCAACCAACCCCAGGGCAAACAGCCCTGCAATCAATGAGGGACACAGCTAGACATGGGGGTGGTCGATCTACCCTTCGAATGAATAAGACTATTCGCATGCTGGTCCAGTAGAGCGTCTCCCATGTGTGGAGCTTCTCTGGACCTGTTTGAGGACTTTGTTTTCCTTGCCATTCACTACTGCGCCGTCTTCCTTCTGTGATCCAGTGTACTCAAGGGCCTGAACGGGGAAGCTAGGAGACAACTGGGCTTGCTGTCAAGGAGGTGGATGTCAGCAGGCGTCTAGACCGAGACCACTCTGTGTTATGCCAAGATTCCATGCCGGGTCTCGGTCTTGATACCTATCCCTCTCGAGCTGGCATTCCTGGTCACGCAGTCGCCACGGTCTAAGGCTTCTGGATGTTCCAGATGCCCAGGTCCAGGGGTGACGGAAACTAGTCAGTGGCCTGGGAATGAGAGCGAGACTAGAATCGCTTTCGAAGTGTCAACTACACGGCAGTATAGAACCGACCGGCGCTACTGAGTATGAATTCCGCAATTCGTCTCTACGCTGCCACTTGGATCTGACTAAGGAGTCTGGACGGGGAAATGCTAGAACCCTGAGATTTGCCTTGATTGTGTCTTGATCACTCCCTTCCTCCCTGCCCCTTGCACAAGATGGGAAAGGGTCTTTTTCCTTTTCTTTTTCCCCAGCATGTCAAGAATCCATTCTGATGGCTTGCTTCGAGTCAAGTCAAGGGTCGTGTAGTCTCTCCCTCTCAGGCCCACTACTAACTAATGCTACGGCCTAGAGAGGGGGGGGGGCGTGTGTGTTATGTTATGTTGGGGAGGGCTAGAAGGTTAGAACGCCACATGGTATTTGCTTCTTTTCCAGGTAATCATTCTTATTCTTCCTTCTTTCTGCTTTGACTGGCCGCCCTACGGCCGCGCCGCGCCGCCCGATCTGCACAACAAAGGAATGGGCGGGGCTGCCGTCACTGGCGGCTGCCCCGGGGTTCTAGACCGATTCGGCTGGGCCTTTCTGGGCGGCTGACTTGAGTTCCAAGTCACAGCAACTATATCCAAGGGCGGGTTATATAGGTAGGAGCAGGTGCTCCGGGCCACAAAGCTACCTAGGTAGGTAGGTAAACACATTATGCACCTCGAGAGAAGAAAGGCTTTGGACCGCAGGAATGCCATGCATGCAATGCATCGCATAGGAACCATGCAAGCGGCCATCCGATGGACGGGACGGACAACTGAATCCGTCCCCCTTTCTTGTCTTGTCTTGCCTACCTAGTCGTTGCGTCTGAAACTACTACTTGATTCGCAGGCACTTCTTTCTGATCGAACGATTCTGCCCCATGTCCTTCCTGATCGTGTCGAACATGACATCCGCAACCATGGGACAATCAACCCGTGTCTTTTGGCCCAGCGTCAAGAAACTGGGGTTCGAAGAGAGGAGAAAGGCAAGGCTATGGGCGGTTCAGACCATGGCCGTTGCCTTTGAACCTCTGGTATCGGGCACTACTGCAAAGGGTCGCCTCCAGCAAAATTGACGTGACAGAGGTCAAGGTTCCTTCAGGTTACTTGTTTATTTTCATAGAGGAGAAATATTGCCCCAAGATAACGCTTCTTCTTTGCAGTACCACGCGTGTATATATATGCCCAGATGTAGAGACCCCAACACAGTCTCCTGTTCCCGCTCAAACGCATTGCACGCAGTCACACGGAGCAAGGAAACCAAGGTTGAACGGGAAAAGCGCATAAAACCAGGTAAACCGGGGGACCGAACACACGGACAGATATGGACCAAGAAGATGGACAGACAGACAGACAGACAGACAGCATTGGAACAGGGAAAATGGGGTTCTCATTCGTCGAATCGGGGAACCAAGAAGTACATCCCCTTAATGAAATCAAAAACTTGAGAGACAAGGGCGGGTTTCCCAGCCTAAGAGCTTCCCCCAGATGCCACCACTGAAACAGTGACTGCGTACGATGTCGAAACAAGGCTTCAACCCACAACCCCCCCAGGCCCTTCGCCAGCGTCCCATGCAAGAAAAAATAAAAACAACATTATATAGAAACGACAGTAAGAAAGGCAAACAGGACTTTGCTACTCCCATTCCAGTCCCGTAATCCTGATCCATTCAATGGCAAGAAAATCCGAAGGTGTGACAGCGAACGAACAGCAGCCATGGAAAAAGAGACAGGAATCAGCAGACTTGATGCATCCGATCCAACCCAGAGCGTGAGGAAAACAGTGGAAATAAAGAAGCCATGTCAAAACGCCAAAGTTGAAAATGCCCCCAAGAAACTGCAAGCTGAAGACCGTCTCTCTTTATGCACCATATCTCGAAGTGCACTCATGTCCCCATCGTTTGTAGGTGTTCGATCGATGCAAAAGTCGTCATCGTTGAATGAACTCCTCTGGCTAGTTTAATGGTAGAGTCATGACTCTAAAAAGGAGGTAGGGTATCTTGTTGTGATATGTATCAACTGCTGTGAGCTCGAAGAAGCTACAAAAGGCCCGCGAGAGGGCCCCAAGGTCAGTGATTTTATTGCGAGGGTTCGGAAAGGCTGCTACGTGCCCTCTGGATCGGGTCCTCCTCATCAGCCGTGACAAGGGCAGGACTCTCCATCCCACCAGACAAAGACTCGGCGGTGGTAGTAGCACGGCCAATAGGCGGACGCAGAGTCGTGACGTGTCCGTCGGGCGACTTAGGCCCGCCCTTTTGTTCAACCTGTCTCTGCAGCTCGCGCTCGCGATTCTTCTCAAGTAGGGTGCCGCCCAGAGTAGCGCATTTGAGGATAGTCTGGATGAGGTGGTTCTGCTGCAGGGGCTTCGACAGATACTCGTCCATCTGGCCCTGGAGACACCTCTCGCGGTCACCCATCATGGCGTGTGCCGTGAGCGCGATGATTGGCGTCCTCTGGGTACCCAAGCTTCGCTCGTATTCGCGGATCTTGGCTGTAGCCTCGAAGCCTCCCTTTAACATAGTTAGCAATCGTATTTGAGGCATGGAGAGAATGGTAGGGGAGAAACATACCATGATGGGCATCTGCACGTCCATCAAAATAACATCAAACTTCCTCTTCTTGATAGCCTCAACGGCCTCTAGGCCATTCCCGACAACCGTCACCACATGGTGGTATTTCTCAAGAATCTTGACAGCTAGTCGTTGGTTGACCGTGTTGTCTTCGGCAAGGAGGATGTCGAATGACTTGGTGTTATCGGCTAATGAGGGGGTAGCCCGGTTCTCCAGAGCAGGGACCATGCCGTTGCCAAGATCGATAAGCTTGCAGGGAGTTGTCATGTAAGACGTGATGCCCAGATCGAGACAGGACTTCAGGTTGACGTGTACGACGGGTGCCAACAGAACGATAGGGAGATACTTAAAGTCATCGATCGACCTGAGCCTCCGCGCGGTGTCGATCGAATCCACAATGATCACATCGTAAGGAGGCGAGCCCTTGGCGCGCTCCCGAGCCAGAGTCGGGTTGTGCTCAGAATCGACAACGAAGGGCACCAGTCCCAAGCCACGCAGCATCGACTGAATCTCAACACCGTGGCCGGTCTTGCCCTTGTCGATGAACAGGACTTGGTGACCCTTATAGGGAGTGAGCTGCTTCGAGATCAGACTGATCTCTCCATCTGCCAGCCGGACAATGCAGGTGAAGAAGAAGCTGCTGCCTTTGCCGTACTCGCTCTTAACCCAGACGTCACCACCCATCAGGTTGACGAGGCGCTTCGAGATGGACAGACCAAGACCCGTGCCGCCAAACTTGCGCGTCATCGAGCCGTCGGCCTGCTGGAATGTGTCGAAAATCAGGTCGAGCTTGTCGGCCGGAATGCCTATACCCGTGTCGGAAACGACAAACTCGATGGCGTACTCGTCCTTACGGCACTGCCTTTGGTTGGCCTTCTGAATGGTAAGGCTGACGACTCCGTGCTCAGTGAACTTGATAGCATTGCCGACGAGGTTGAGGATAATCTGGCGCAGCCTGAAGGAATCACCAATGACATGATCGGGAACCGAGCTGTCAACGCGGTACGTAAGATCCAGGAACTTCTCGTTGGCCTTTACCGCCAGCGTCTTGAGGGCATTGAAGACGGTTCCTCGCAGCGTGTACGGGATCTCTTCGATAACCATTCTCCTAGCCTCAATCTTGGAAAGATCCAGAATGTCGTCGATGATGGTGAGCAGACTGTTGGCGAGGTTGTTGACAATGTTGAGCATCTCGCGTTGGTACTGGGTAAGGTCGGTATCCAGCGTCAACTGCGTCATACCGATGATACCGTTCATAGGAGTACGAATCTCGTGAGACATGTTGGCCAGGAATTCAGACTTTGTCTTGTTGGCCAGCTCGGCAGCCTCCCTCGCCTGGGTATTCCTTTGGATACTGTCTCGGAGGTTGTACACCATGAGATTGATCTTCTTTTTCAGCTCGTCCATCTCGCCAGAAGCCTCGACCTCGACGAGTTTGGTAAAGTCACCGTCCGTAGCGGCATTGGTGATGTCTCCGAAAGCGCGCACTTGGGCAGTGAGATTGTTCGCCATGGTGTTGACGTCTGTCGTAATCTCCTTCCAGCGCCCCTTCAGTCCAGCGACATCTGCCTGGCCGCCCATGATGCCGTCGACACCGACGTCCTTGGCGACTCTTTGCACTTCGTTGCAGAAGATAGACAGACGGTCCACCATGTTGTTGATGGTCTCCTTGAGAATGAGTATCTCGCCCTTGGCTTCAACGTCGATTTTCCGACTCATGTCACCGTTGGCGATGGCTTGGGTGACATTAGATATACCGCGCACTTGAGATGTGAGATTGCCGGCCATCGTGTTGACGTTTTCTGTGAGGTCCTTCCACTTGCCCTCCACGTTGTCGACTTGCGCTTGGCCTCCAAGCGTACCGTCAGTGCCGACCTCCCGAGCAACCTTGCTGACCTCGAAAGCGAAGGTTCCAAGGCGATCCACCATGGTGTTGATAGTATTCTTCAAGTCCAGAATCTCGCCTCTGACCTCGGCCCCGATCTTCTTGGTGAGGTCACCTCTGGCGACAGCCGTCGTGACCTCGGCGATTTCACGCACTTGGGTGGTCAAGTTCATGGCCATACCGTTGACGTTCTCGGTGAGATCTCGCCAGGTGCCTTGAACATCGTGTACAGTGGCCTGGCCACCAAGGCGACCCTCGGTTCCGACCTCCCTGGCAATCTTGGTGACTTCGCGGGCAAACTGCTGCAGCTGATCCACCATGGAATTTATCGTGTTCTTGAGCTCAAAGATTTCGCCGCGGCAGTCTGCTTGGACTTTTTGCGTCAGGTCACCTTTGGCGACAGCTGTAGTGACTGTGATGATGTCTCGCACTTGTGTCGTCAAATTGTTCGCCATGGCGTTGACGTTCACTGTGAGCTCGTTCCACATTCCTTTGACACCCTCGACATCGGCTTGTCCACCGAGGATACCTTTGGTGCCGACATCTCTGGCGACACGGGTGACTTCAGAAGCAAATGTGCGCAACTGGTCCACCATGGTATTGATGGTCTGCTGTAATTGGAGAATCTCACCCCTCGCAGGGCGCTCGATCTTCTTGGTAAGATCGCCGTGGGCGACGGCGGTTGTGACGGAAGCAATCTCTCGCACTACAAAACATGGATCCGTTAGTTCTAGTTATCAAGACCTGGAGAAAACCAGAGTGGGGGTCTGCATACCTTGATCCGTAAGATTCTGTGCCATCACGTTGACTGTTCAGACTTGTCAGCATACAGACTATGTTGAGAGATCCAACGATAACTTGCCGTTGTCAGTCAATTCCTTCCAGGTTCCATCGACACCTTCGATGCGAGCCTGCCCACCAAGCATACCCTCGGTACCGACTTCACGAGCGACGCGGGACACCTCACTGGAGAAGACCTGGAGCTGGTCCATCATGGTGTTGATGGTGCGCTTGAAAGTGGTGATCTCCGGGTCCATCTCTACTGAGTTCATCCGCACCTTCTTGGAAAGGTCACCGCGAGCGACAGCCGTGATAATTTCGCCGATTTCTCGGAGGGCTTTTTGGAAGGCCTCATTTGCCTTTTGGTGCTTCCACAACTCGCGCTCCAGCGTCGCAACGCGCTCTTGCTCCATTATAGCGAGAGCTCTTTCTTGCAATTGTTTCTGCTCGAGTAGCTGCGCGTTAACACCAGCAAGCTCTTGGCGCTGGCTATCCAGAAGTTTGGATTGGTCGTCGACATGCTCACGAAGTCCCTCGAGAGCCTCGTCAGTCAACGGGTGGATCTTGAGGGCCCTCTCGTCGATGAGGCCGTTCTTGATGGGGATCACGGAAGCCCTGGATTTGGTAGAAGCCCGTCCAGTACTGGAGGGAGAAGAAGCAGTGTCGTCGCCAAAGAGGGAATCGGCCGTCTCATTGGGCGTATCTGGGAAGTTGGCGCCATTGGCAGCATTCGCCCGCGTCTCTAGGTGCTGCACTCTTACGAACAGAGCGGCGAGCTCGCGCTCCAATGCCTGTTTCTCGGCGGTCTCGGTGCCTGGAAGCTTGATGTGCTGGCTTCGCGCGGCGGCATTGGGCTCAGCCGCCAGGGATTTGACGACAGCAGCGACGGCTGCGTAAGTGGAAGCGTCGGCCATTGTCGACTCGAGAACTCGTGAGTTCTCTGCCGTCCAATGCGGCGTTCGCAAGCAAGGATCGTGAGATGGGACAAAAAATGGCCAATCTATTCAAAAAGGTTGCATCGGCGGTAAGTTCAGTCGGAGCTGTCGTCGAACTGTTTTGTCACAAGGTCAGAGGACATGTATTGCAGCAAGAGGCGGCTGTGTTCATCTGGTGACGGTGCGATACATCGGCAAGGGTAAGGCAAGGCAGAACGGCTATGTCGAGGGGCACAAAGCCAGAGGGCGAGCAAGTATGAACGAGATAAAGGGTTCGGTATTGTCTCGCTAAAGGAGAGACGTCGTGTGTCGGCTGTCGAGGGCAGATGGAAGCCGAATCTCCTTTTGGTGGAGCGCGTCGACGAGCAATAATACAGAACGGAAAGCAGTGGTGAACGGGTAGGTAGTGTCGAAAGGCAGACGAGGAGGGTGCGAAGGGCAGGGAGAGGGAGGCAAGTACCGTACCAGCTGTGTCCTCGTAGTGACGGAGTTGAGCCTCTCTTTCTACAAGGCAAGGCGAGCAAAAAACCACGGCCCGTTCGCAAGGAGACCTTTGGGTGGTAAACGGTGATGATGTGTCTCGAGGCAGACGGTCTGCGAATATGCGGCAATAGGAGAGGAAAGGGAAATAAGGCAAGTAGGGCAAATATGGTAGTAGACTGACGAGACAAGGGACACCCGGTGCGAGGGTGGGGAAGGTTGATTGCAGATGGATGGGTGGATGGGATGGGATGGAGATGGATCAAAATGGAGATGGGGGAGAGCGAGCGAGACTGGCTTCACTGGACAGCTGCTCCCTCGCATTGCTTGTCTGGCTGGGTGTCACTGGCAGCAGACTGGGTGTCCCCCGGTCCGTCATGTCTCTCCTTTCGAGAGGCGCGGGAGTACGCAGCGAGGGAGAGAAGGTACAGTACATCCCGCACATGCCTAGCTCGAGGGCGAGCCAATCCATCCATACGGAGAGAGAGACCGCAGCAGAGACCACAGCGCGCACCGCATGCAGCACTGGAGCCAATCCATACCCTGCCTACCCACATGGGTCACCACTCCCCACCAGCGGCTTCAAGTGCTACCACCCTCTCCGGATAGCAGGCAGCGAAACATAGCACTAGATCGCTCGCCACCTTCGATACTACCATCGCCCGCCCGGCCGCCATACTGGCAAGCCCTAGAGCGCTCCATCAATCAAAAAAACGAGCCTGTTCACGACACCATCAGTTCATCAGGGCGGACTAGACCGTACACACGCACCCTCAGTTATTTCTTTTTTCTGCAGTATGTTCATTTGAGCCACGGGCTAGCCTCTTCGCGCGCTGCCCAACGAAGCAAAGTTCGCGAGGTCGGCTGGCTCCTAATCCCGCAATGGCAACACGACAGGTGCCTGGTTTTGGAGCTAAATTGCAGCCGCCATGCCCTATTGAGTGTCTGATACAGCAGTGGCTTGAGGAAACATGCATTTCAGAATGGCATCCTCCTCATCTCCCTCGTCTCCCTCGCTGTTCTAGATGGGCTGCGTGGCAAATATTTCGATACCGCGGAGTCGTCGCCGCCTACACGTGGGTCATTGATGTGCTACGCGACTGGACTCTCCTCGCTCCTGAAGAAGTACCTGCTGCCGGCTAGGACGGCCTCTCCGTTACGGCAAGGAGAGAGAGAGAAGGGAAAAAATAGTTATCGGTCCAACCCCATCGATCGTGGGTCGCCCGACAAAAGCGTCCTCTCGCAATGCGGCGACCTACTGGCCAAATGCGATTTAGGCGTGCCACACATGAACCGACAGACCACAATTACGAGGATTTGGCTTCCCGCTTGCAGTGCTTGGCTCGCTGCCACGATCCAATCTTGGGCCAGTCAGATGGGGATGGGGTGCAGGCTACGAATGTGATTACAGTAGCCCGCCCCGTTCTGTTGAGGAGGTACGCAAGTACGAGCGTTTTGTCGTTTGTGGGGCCGATGCCACCTCAGATCAGGAGCACGGTGTGAGTACTGCTACTTTTGACTCTCCCCGAATCGGGGCAATTGAAGGCTCTGCCTTTGAGATGCCACGAGGAGACCGAACTGCTGGACGTTTCTGGCGATGTGGGCAGCAGCAACGCAAAGGACTGTTGATGCTGATGCTAATCCAAGATGCACAGAGCATCAAGCGTGCCGCCGACGGAAGTGGCGCGCACTACTGCTCCTTTGGTACGCATTATTACCAAACTGCCCTTTTCCGCCTTTGTCGCCGTGGACCAGTCACGACGTGTTCTTACCAGGCCCTGCAAACGTCAGGATATGATTCAGGAGGCAGAGCCATCACGATTCACCAGTCCTGCGCTCTGGTGAACCGCCGCTAGACCCTAGAGCGTCCCGCGAATCGAGCCCCGGTTCCAGTGCGACCATGATGGCACATGGCGTTGCAAGTGGTCCCTTACAAGCACTGGAGGGAGCCAAAGCCCCAGCACTGTCGCCTCATCCGTAGGGCGGAAAGGTGCCTCGGTGCCAGACGATCGGCACGGTCGAATCTCGTTTCTTCGAACTCGGTCCGCAAAGCAAGACTGTGTGATGCCGGGTGCTGTCCCAAAGCGTGATCCTTTTGACGCTATTCTCAACTCTCGTCACTGAGATCGACAAGAGGACGAAATCCAGGAACATCAACAATGCGTTCGGCGGGTCGCCAGGCGCACACTTCGTTTCCTCCCCCCTTTTGACTCCCGTCTCATGTTTCGAGTTTCCTCACTGGCGGGAACAGGCACGCCTCCATTCCACACCACGGGTCCCCTTCCTGTCAGTTGCCGACCCACCCGTACGCCACTGACGTCAGTCCCTATGGAGTGTCTAGGGCGGGTCCCAATTTCGAGATTTGCTTTGGATGCTGTGCGCTGTATGGCTCTTGTGCTCCCCACCATACCACAGACGAGCCACTAGCAGCCGAATGGCTCCACCGCTAGAAAGTACCGGTACCTCTGGCCTCCCTCCTCCTCACATGAAGGGAGGCAGCGCATCTTGGAATCTTGGAGGCTGTCACTTGTCACCTCGCTGAGCGCGCGAACTCGATCAATGCGGCCAGCAGCTTGGCCAGCGCACAGATGGGAGCAAGGCGTGTCTGCATTTGAACTTTCTCAGCTTACTACTCTGTCGGCTTGGTTGAATCTTCTTCAGCCCTCCAAGCATGACAAGGTCGTTCTTTGTACGGAGTAACTAACAGCGCGGGGAGCCCATCTCAAGGCATGTGTTTGTGTATTTTTGCGCCTGATACCATTCCATCCCCCTCATTCCACGGGCAAAATCGTCCTGCAGATGCGATGTGTACTTGTCGAGCTTGGTCAGGTCAAGCATTGTGGCTCTTGGACTAACTTGGGCAAATCAGGTAGGTCAAAGGGTCGATATGCCCTCTTAACGACAGATCTGCGTCAATGGGGTTCAGCGAGGATCACGTATCAGCTGGCTGAGCCGCCCTTTCCAAGCCTTCCTGCCAGGCGAGCCAGGTCAGCCTTTGTGGATTTCCTGGTTCTCACGTTTCAAATCGCCTAAAAGAGAAAGCCAAGCACCAGATCTCAGACCCGCGTACCGAGGAGAATACCACCTAACGGTAGTCTTATGGGGCGCTGTCAGGTTGATCAGTGGTTCTCTCTTCTCGGTTCTGCCGATGTCTCGCCTGGCTTGTACGGGACAGAAGCGCGAACGGCGTGGGCGCGCTCAGACGCACAAAGACACACGTCCCCTGTTGCTAGGGAGTCGTGGTAGTTTATCCGCTTTTCAGTTCTTTTCACATGGCTTTGCCTTTCCTTTCGCTTTGGAAATGGAGATGTGGAAACGGCGGCCTTTTCGGAGAAAACTAGCCTTACTAGCTCCCAGATCGGAGCTGACAACGTCTCCATAGCGCCAAAGGAGGTGCGTTTTAGTACAGCATCTCGAGATGAAGCAAGATGAAGATGCCTCCCTCCTCTACTTGTACGACTCCTGGCCCACTTGGCTCGGGTTTACAGAGGACCCTGAATTCGTTACTCTTTTTAGAAAGGGATTGGGGTCCTGGAAAAAGGCTCAGCCAAGGGGGTCGTCACCGTTCCTTGCTGCGAATCCCTCGGGGACTCTTGATTGAAGGGTCTCCGGGCTGTCTATCGCTCGTCTCAAACGTGTTCATCATGGGTGGCCTCTCCATGAGGATCGTCCTCGGGACCAGGTCGCTTACCATCCATCATGGGGATCCAGCATCTTGGGTGCGCTTGTTGTCCCTTGGCTGCTCCGCTTCCCCCCCCCAGCACCGACGCGATAAGATATCTCGTGTGATCCAGTCAATTGCTTAGCCCGCGCCTCCTGTGTCCCGTGTCGCGGAATTCAGCCGGCCGATGTTTCCTCGAGAGAGAATCCGCATGAGGTGGGCTGTTAGCTGTTTCAACCGATCTGTGAATCAAGGCGTTTGCCGTTGCTCTTTAGTTGGCCTCGCAAAGATGAGTGGTCGATTTGTCCTGCCGCTCTAGGGTTGCATTGGAATCTGCATCGTCTTCCGCTTGCGATTTTGTCCGCTGCACCGTTGCTTTGTATGATTGGAGGAGAACCTGGCCATGTACAAGTGCTTAATTGCTTTGTTATTGAACGTGTGCATTGTCCCTTCAATGTTCTCCGGGAGACCTCCGAACCCCTCCGCCCGAGAATTGAGGGCGCCGACGCTGATCAGGAGTCCCCTTGACATCTGGTTGAACAACCATGAATGAGGGACAATGAATCTTAGTGATGCAAGGCTCTACAGTCAGATTCACTGTGACAAAACTCTAGTTGCATAGATATGTTCTGCAAATCATTCTCCGGGGAATATGTTCCCTTCCAACTCGGCGAGGAAATTACTCACATCAATAACATGTAAAATGTTTGGTCCTTATCTTATCGATAAGCGATAAGACCCCCGGTGATTGATGCATAGAGCCAAATTCAATATCTTCAAGAAACTTGCCATGAGTTGACTCAGCCAGCCTCGAGTGTATTATCCCCACGGTCAGGCAACGCATCTCACTACTTTCACAAATGACATGCTTGGTCGCCTCTTCAGGTCCATCATGACGTCGGAGACGGTCAAGAAGGTTCCTATCCCCCCTCGCGGGGTTGACTACCGGGGCAAGATCGTGCTTGCGCCCATGGTTCGGTCTGGCGAACTGCCCTCGCGCCTCCTCGCCCTGCACTACGGCGCCGACCTTGTATGGGGTATGTGACTCTGTCAAAACATCCGAAAGAGGACAAGTAAAGCTCACGAAAAACCGCGCAATCATTACAGGCCCGGAAACAGTCGATCGGGCCATGATCGGGACCACCCGCCGCGTCAACCCCCTTACACAATGCATCGAGTGGACGCGGCCCGCGACGCCCAACCCGGCGCCCGACGCCAAGGAGAACGTCATATACCGCATGGACCCCCGGCGCGAGGCCGGCCGCCTCATCTTCCAGCTCGGCACCTCGGACCCGGAGCGCGCCGTCGCGGCCGCGCGCATCGTGGCCGCGGACGTCGCGGGCATCGACGTCAACGCGGGCTGCCCCAAGCCCTTCAGCACGCACGCGGGCATGGGCGCCGCGCTGCTCCGCGAGCCGGACCGCCTCGTCTCCATCCTCGACGCCCTCGTCGCCGAGCGGTTCGACGTCGGCGTCAGCGTCAAGATCCGCCTGCTCGAGACCGCCGCCGAGACCGAGGCGCTCGTGCGCCGGCTCGTGGCCACGGGCATCGCGGGGCTCACGGTGCACTGCCGCACCACGCCCATGCGGCCCCGCCAGCGCGCGATCCGCGGCCAGCTGCGCATGGTCGCCGGCGTGTGCCGCGAGGCCGGCGTCGCGTGCCTCATGAACGGCGACGTCGAGGACCGGGACCAGGCGCTGCGGCTCGTTGACGAGTACGGCGTCGACGGCGCCATGATCGCCACGGCCGCCGAGACCAACTCGAGCTGCTTCCGCCCCCGGGAGCTCGGCGGCCTGGCCCCCTGGGCCGAGGTCGTCGAGCACTACCTCCGCTTCGCCATGGAGGTCGGCAACCGCTTCGGCAACACAAAGTACCTGCTGGCGCAGATGGTGCCCGGCAAGGCGCCCGAGTACAGGCTGGTCAACAAGAGCCGCAGCTTCACGCGCATGTGCGACATCTTTGGGCTCGAGGGCGCGATCCGCGAGCAGGCGATCGAGGCGGATCTCCGGCAGGGGATCGAGCCCGGGCAGGTCACCAAAGATACTACTCCCGTCAGCAAGAAGAGGAGTGCCAAGGACGCTGCGCTGAATGCGGAGGAGCCGAGTCAGAAGCAGAAAGTATCGAGTGTCGCCGCTGCCGTGGAGAAGGCGGCTGCGCAGGCGCAGTCTCAGAGTGTGCCAGAAGTGGCGCTGTCCATGTAAGACACTGTTGGCCACGTCTGTGGCATGGTGATGCATTTGCTGGCGTTATAAATAAAAGGGATCTTACAAAAGGGATCATGCATCTCGGGAGGGCAAAAGCGGTTGAAATTCATACTATTAGAACATTGAAGAACAGGGGGTAAGGGGAAACATCATGAGTCCATGTTTCCTTAATCTGTAGAATATCATTTGCCTCGTCGCTCGTGCTCTGACACGTCTGAAGGTTATATTATACCTCTACGCGAAAGCTTTCATAGGCTTGCTCATAAATAATCACTTCTCTGCATAAGCAAAGGTCATCAAACTATACCCTCTCTGCTTTTTTCTCGTGCCACTCGGCTCCGCATCAGATCTTCTTGCCCTGCGCCAGCATCTCCGACACCTTGGGGGGCAGGACCAACGCGCTGCGGTCGTTGCGGCGGTAGAAGTCGACGAGCGTCATGGCCGTCTTCTCCGGCAGGTCCTCGTGGATGAAGTGGCCCGCCTCAGGGAAGACCTGCAGCGCATATTTGCCTGTTTTGTCTCTCGCGACAATGCAATCATGTCAGTCTTTGAAACCTCTTTTGAATCGAGACTCCTGATTTTCTCGCCCCCAACGAAGAAACGCACCTTGCATCTGCCCGATCGTCAGCTCTGTGTCGAGCCTGTCCGTCCCCGCGAGCAGCAGCAGCTTCCCGCCCCGGGCCCCGAGAAACTTCTTGCTCAGGCCGACGAACCAGCCCTCCCAGAAGGGCTGCGTGGCCGCGAGGTCCGTCCGCCACTTCCACCTGCGGTTCGCGGCGACGGCCGCTGCTCCGCCGGCAGCAGTACTGCTGGTGGTGGTGGTAGTGGTAGTGGTAGTCCCATCCATCGTCCCGCCGCCGTCCTGCGCGACCTCCGCCGCCGCCGCCGCGGCATCCACCAGCAGGCCCGGCACGCTGGTGCGCGCTGACAGCGAGTTGCGGATGGTGCGCGAGCGCACGTGCCAGTCGATGCCGGCCTGGAGGGTGGCGAACCCGGCGGGGCGGGTGGACAGGTAGGTGTGCATGCTCTGCAGGGCGTCGATGGCCGAGCCCTCGACAACGTCGAGCACGGCGTAGCCGAGCAGGGCGCCGCCCAACAGGCCCGAGCTGGCGAGGTCGGTGACGACGGCGCCGCCGAGGGAGTGGCCCACGAGGATGATGGGGGGCAGCTTGGGCCAGCGCATCTCGGCCTGGGTGAGCCTGATGACGGCGAGGAGGTCGGCGGAGAGGGTGGCGAGGCTGAGGTCCGGGGAGGAGGAGGAGGAGGTCCCGCCGGGGTGGCTGTCGTCCGGGGTGGTGGTGGAGCCGTGGCCGCGGGCGTCGGGGGAGAGGATGCCGGCGGAGGGCAGGCGCTTGCGGAGCTCGGTGCTCAGGACGGCGAAGGTGAGGCCCGAGGACCCGGCGCCGTGGTGCATGACGAACAGGGGGCCCTTGTCGACCGGGGAGGTCAGGTATGCGTGGTAGGTGGTGCCGGGTTTGTCCTCTGGCTTGAGAAACAATTCTCTTTCAAAGTATGTCGTCCAGGGTATGGGCTCTAATGTCCGGCCCCTTGGCGCTCTTCAAGAAATGGGTGTTAGTGTTGGCCAGTCCTGCTCCGGGTGAGAGGCGCCTGTGTAGGTGAAGAAGAGCGTTCTACTTACCCCTGCGGTCTCGCAAACAGGTTACGACTGGGTGAAGGAACGACGGTCCCTGTAGATGACGCCGACGACGCCGATGAAGAGTCATCGTCTGTAAACTCAGGCAGCTCTGGGAGCGTGCCGTTCTCCTCAACCTCGTCGAGCTCGTTGAAGCTCTCGTTAGCCATGGCGCTCATTCTTGCCTTGGCCCACTTCCTTTGGAGATCGCTCATGTTTGTGTGATACGATCTAGCTGAGGAAGTGAAGTGTCCCCCCAAGTGCCTTTTCGTATCCCGGGGTGCCGTCCGACAATTTCAGTCCAAGCAACACATGCAGAACCCCATTCCTACCCAAGGGCGAGCGATGGCCAACACCCACCCGCTTGTCCGGTGTCGCTGCGTGAACAACGGTAGACAGCTGGGAACAAATGAGCTGGTGATTATCCCTCAATGGTCTTAGGATGAATATCGTGCGGAAGATGCCGGTCGAGGTCACCACAATCTATCATGAAACAATGCTTATCACGAATGGCAGGTTCAGTGTGTGAGGTCATGCACGGTGTAGTGGGCCGGGGTTTCGCACAGTGGTTTCTCGACTGTTCTCCACTGCAGAGCGGCACTGAGCCACGTGTGAGCTTGAGAACTTGGGGGTGAGGGCACAGTGCGTCCCATCAACACTAGACTCAAGGCTTGGATGCAGACTCGAAACCAGCATTGTTAGCGCCAACTGCCAAAAGAAAGTGACAACCATCCATCCAACCATCCAGCCAAACCTTAAAAGTTAACATGCGTACATCACACGATGTCCGGTCCAAGCGGTTCGTAAGATAATCCGACAAAGCACGGCAATCTCGATATACAATTGATGTTCAAACAATATATGCGATCCTCACCAGATTGTCGATGAGTAGACTCCGGCGACCGGCGGTATTCTCTCAGTTCAGCCGCCTCACCACAACAGCTGACTCGCGGAGCACATGGCCCAGCGCCGTGGCTGTTTTGCAAACTCCCACATGGGGCTTGACTAAGTTGACATCGCTAGCATTCCTCTCATCTTTCTGACCCTGTTCCGGATCCCTATGTGCTGCCTCACTACAGCCCTGCCCTCCGGCACCGCCGGGCCGGAGCCATAGTTGAACGAGATCCGTCGCAGGGGGGATCTACACATGTCCATGCTCGAGTTCTTTGTTCGACCCAAGCTTATACGTACGTTGGAATGTGTACATGACTCCGAACGCCGAGCCGGGCTCTAGTGTCGCTCTATGGCCTCTGCACACGCTTGACTAGGGTGGCTTCTGTCAAGCGTAGGTACTATGTAGCCTGTCAGAACTTGTCATTCCACGATGTTCGGGAACACCTAGCGCCAAACTTCAGCCGCGAGGGCTCGGGAGATCGACTCTAGACGCCACGCCTCTCTGTACTACGCAAGCCACGCCTGTCATGGCATCCCGTTCACAATATCGAGAGGCGCAGTTGGTAGCGGCAGTGAAAACCTTGCAGAGCTTAATGAGAGCCGCTGGCGTCTTAGCCGCGAGCGTGGCTGTTGTCAATATCCACAACAGTTGAGGCAGCTTAGATCCCACAAGCCTCATGATCTTGCAGCTTTTGATGAATCAGAGCGCTGGTGATCCGGGCAACCTTCAGTGATAACCTTGATTCCTAGAGCCCTCCCTGATAATGTGATATATGACGAGGTTTAGCAAGACATAGTCAGGCAGACGGAACGTTTTGCCAGTTCCAGAATATTCGAGGTAGTCTCGCTTAGAGGTCGAGGCTGTTAGCCTCAGTATCAGCATGACTCGGCAAAGGGGTCGCCGCGGGAAGACGAGGAGAATAAAGTTTAGGCGATCTAGATGGCGGGACGTCCCTGAGATAAGACATCTCAAATGCCGATGTCTGTGAAACAGGTATAAAGGAGGACGTTGCTGGTTCAGGGGTTTAGTTCAGCTCGAAGGAATGAGACCTAAGTGCACCTTCGCTCTCGCCTAACATCTTTCACTAGGCCGCCCGATTTGTGCTGGCATAATCGTTCTCACCCTGGTTTCGACAAGATGTATCTTGCTATTATTTGTTTGTACTTGGCAGCCAGCGTGCTGGGCCAACGCCCCGGGAACGTCATTGCTGAGAACGCCGTGTCGATGCCCATGCAGACCTGCACCAAGGGCGGCTGCACTCTGGAGAACACCAAGGTCGTGCTAGATGCCAACTGGCGCTGGATCCATACAAACTCCGGCTACACCAATTGTTACAACGGCAACCAGTGGGATCCCAAGTACTGCCCGGATGGCAAGAAGTGCGTTCAAAATTGTGTGTTGGAAGGTGCCGACTACCAGAAGACGTACGGCATCTCGTCGCCATCCAGTGGCTCTCTGAAACTCAACTTTGTGACAAACACTCCCAACGGCAAGACCGTTGGTTCGCGAGTCTACTTGTTGGCGCCAAACAACAACTACCGCACGTTCAACTTGCTCAATAGGGAGTTCTCTTTTGATGTCGATGTTAGCAATCTACCGTGAGTCTGAGCCTCCCACTCCACATATCTGGCTTTCTCAGTGTGCTGACTAGGCTCCCAGTTGTGGTCTCAATGGCGCTCTCTACTTCAGTCAGATGGACGCCGATGGCGGGATGTCAAAGCATTCCGGCAACAAAGCTGGTGCAAAGTACGGCACTGGGTACTGTGATGCTCAGTGTCCGCAAGACATCAAGTTCATCAACGGCGAGGTCAGTCATCGCCAATGATGTCAATTTTGCACGAACGTCACTAACAGTGCTTCCCAGGCCAACGTGAACAACTGGAACAGGAATTCTGGATTTGGGAACTACGGCTCCTGTTGCCCCGAGATGGATATCTGGGAGGCGAACTCGGACTCGACGGCCTACACTCCTCATCCGTGCAGGACGCTAGGTCAATCACGCTGCTCGGGAAACTCGCAGTGCGGTGCCGGTAACAGCCGTTACAACAACGTCTGCGACAGAGACGGCTGTGACTTCAACCCTTATCGCCTGGGCAACCAGAACTTCTTCGGACCCGGCAAGCAGGTCGACACCCGCAGGCCCTTCACCGTTGTGACGCAGTTCGTCACGAGCAACGGCCAGGACAACGGCCAGCTGAAGGAGATCAGGCGTCTCTACGTCCAGAACGGCAAGGTCGTTCAAAATGTCAAGACCAACATCAAGGGTGTCAGTGCTACCAACGTCATCAGTGACGCCTACTGCAAGAATGTCAAGTCTGCGTTTGGTGACAGGAATTACTTCGGCGAGGTCGGCGGCATGGGCCGCATGGGCCAGGCGCTCAAGAGTATGGTGCTGGTCCTGAGTGTTTGGGATGACCAGTAAGTCCTCGCATATACCTTACCTATACTTGCCATGAACTCCGTAGCCTAACGTTTTTTTCACCACAGTGTTGCTGGCATGAAGTGGCTTGACAGCCGATACCCCGACAATGGATTGCCCTCCAAGGCCGGCGTCATGCGCGGCCGTTGCAGTCCTTCCTCTGGGGATCCAAACACTCTCGAGTCGCAGAGTCCCGGATCCTCTGTAACATATTCAAACATCAAGGTCGGTGCTCTTTTCTTTCATCATCTTCTGGACCTCCACTCTAACGGTGTAGCAGTTTGGAACCATGGGCTCGACTTACAAATCGTAAGGAGCTTGTTTGCTCACTCACGGCTTGACATAATCTTTGCCCATATACCCTCAAGAGAAATACTCTCTTAGCTATCTAAAATTTAATGTCCTCGTGCCTTTTGGCATGGAATAGCATCATAGGCGTTCTCATTTCAATAGATTTATGGCAACTAGACTTGAAACTGCTAGGTTCCCTACTGTGTCCTTCATATTGTGGCTCTTTGCAGAATCCTAGTGGAACTGAATGAAGGGCGATATCCCCATATCAGCTCTGTATTCCTAAAGATGAATACCCGATATGCGGCTCCTGATTTCTGGTGATGTAGGGAGTCAGCTTGGCCCGCACACGGCAACGGCTAAGAAGACGCAAAAGAAGGAGGCAGCATCAACCGCAAGGTTATTGACTCCATTGACTAGCCTATGCGTCACAGTCATTGTAATTGAGTTTCCTACCACAGGTGTTAACGATCAATAGAATGGTGACAGTGGCCTCTTCAGAACGGTGTGTTCCAAGCTATCAATTTGTTTCCCTGCATTTTCTTTTCACACCATTGCAAATGCTCTGCTTTTCTCGAGCATAACAAATACAACACAAGTATCCGAAAATGAAAGTACCAGTTCTCGGTTTTCTTCTCTTCTCTTGCTATTATACTTCGCCTTCTTTCCCCGTCTTTTCTTTCTCCTTTTCCCGGTCTGTCTTATCAAAGAGATAGCAGCATGTCGAAGTTGATATCTCTGGTGGCTGAACATTAGCCTCATGACAACATACATGCCACACAATTATCTGACAACTCCATGGGCAGATTAAGCAAAGGACGTCATTATTATTCCATTCACAAACCACGCCCGAGCAATAGACCTATCCTTCAGTGTTCAGTTCGCGGCCTCAAAGCCTACCAGCAGCAAAGTCCAGGCTGAGAGTTAGCGTGCCGCCATTCTGGTGAGCGGCTGTTCCCGAGACTTGTCCACACTCTTCGTGCCGTTCCCGGTGTTGGCCCCATTTGTTCTAGTCGCTGGGCGACCAGACCTCAGCAACCCCACTGAAGAATTGATCATGGACATCAATCTGCAAGGGCTTGTTTGCGCTGATCGAGGTTCGCAGAGGCCAGCCCACCGGTAAATAACCCCCGTAGGCCATCTCCTTCAAGTACCTACCAAGCACGTACACAAACAGGGCTCGGACATCGTGAGACCCGGACTGCCCCGTTAGAGCTGGCTTCGCGCGGGAAATGAGGCGGTGAAATCCAACGGGAGGCCTGCAATCTTGTCTCGCTTTCTCGATCTCGCGCGAGGAGACCTCTGTCCCATTCGTTCGTGGCAATCCGTGCAGCCCATTGGGCCACAACATCGAGGCCAGAGAGAGGCCGAGTTTGCTGTATGACACACGTGTTTTGCCATGTGACGGTGCCCGACCTTTTTGCCTCTGCCAGCTCATCGCGGGCTCCTCTTCTCCCCCATTCGAGCTCAGCTTATTCGACCGCTCGAAGCCGTGGTCCCCCAGCCACCCCGTTTTCCCACCCAGAGGAGAAGCTCGCCCCACTGCCCAGTGGTAGTAAAAGACCAGGGTCCAGGATTCACACCTCTTTTGTGCGGCTGATGCGCTGCTAAACTCGACCCGGTCATAAACAACAATAACACCGGTCGCTTAAAGCTGTGTGCTCCGACTCTCTGCGCACATACGCACACACGACATCATCGTGTCTTTTGCCTTCCCTTTCTTGAACGTAAAACCCTCTAGTGACTGCGACACGTAGATCGCAAATGATAGCGACAGCACCCCCTACCCAGCTGTCAAGATGATGAGAGATCATCGCCGGCGGAGCCCTGAGAGCTCCCGCCGCCGGCGAAAGGACCGGTACTCACAGCAGCATTCCAGTGACGCACCCGCACCAGCGCCCGCCATGGCTCCCACCGCCGGTCCTCTACCTTCCTATGCCGAACCCATTCCAATGCGGACCCGTGCCGGATCTAGCTCCGGCGCCTCCTCGTCCTCCTCCACTTCCGACTCCCTCCTAAACATCTCCGCGCCCAGGACCAGCGGCGGCTTCTTTTCCTTTTTCAAGGCCCCGCCACCACGCCGCCGTCGGAGCAGTCGCAAGAAGAAGAAACGCTTCCTGCGCTTCGGCAACTCGAGCTCCTCCTCCGTCGACGACGCCCTAGTGTATGGCAAGGGCTACATCCCGCGTGTGCGCGGCGCAGAGCCCTATGGACGCGACCATGCGGCTCCTATTGACCCGACGCGGCCGGTCGGTACCACGAAGCGAGCGCAGACAGATGAGGAGATCTTGGAGATTGGCAGAAAGCTGGCCAAGATGGCCCGGGAGGAGAACCGCGCCGACCTCGAACGCGCCGGCCGACGACCGCACTCAGGCCTCGTCGCCACGGCTGCTGCCATCAGCAGCTTCCGCCGCACAGGCACCAATGACTCTGTGGGCCGCGGACTAGGATCTTCAAGGCCACAGCGGCACGACGGCTCGTCTGCTGGCGACTCTGACTGGGAGACCTCGGCCTCTGACGACGAGGACGACAGCTCGTTCAGCGACGACGTAGACAGCGGTTTGGCCTACGGCTCCAATGTTGCTCTGCCGAGCAAGCCTGCGGTTAGCAAGCCAGCTCCAGAGATTCGGCATGCGCACCGGAAGAGCACCATTGTCGATCCCAACATGTTCGGCCCTTACAACTCTCTGCGCGGCTATGTCAATACGCCTTGCGGGTTCGATGATAACCGGCCGAGCAGCTCGCGTCCCTCTGACTCTCGTGTGTTTGACCCGATACCGCCGATCGAAAGTGCTTCGATCGAGGGCCGACCCATGCAGACGGTGTATCCTGTCCCGACGTCTGATCCTGGACGGTTCGACGCTGGACGAGGCTCGACTATCTCACTCCAGAATGACAACCGATCCTCAGCTCGGCCTGATCCGGTTCCTATCCAAGCGCCTAAGCCTATCACGCCGATACGGAAAAAGGTGTTTGAGGACTCGCGCATTCTGAACGAGACCCGTGACTCTCATGACTCCCGCCGCCGATCGGACGGTCCGTCCTTCTCCGAAGCTGCTGTGGCTGGAGCTGCGGGAGTGGCCGCCGGGGTCGTTGCCGCCAAACTGAAGGAGAGTCATGACAAGGAAAAGGACCGAAAGAGGGACGAGGACCGCCGCCAACGTGCGAGCCGTGACGATGTCAAGGCCAACGATGTGCGTGATGATAAGCGCTCAAAGCGGAGCAGCAAGTATGACGACAAGACCCCTGAGGAGCTCGAGCGCGAGTACCAACGCCTCATGGAAAAGCAGAAGGAGTTAGAGCGGCGGCAGAAAGAGAAGCGACGCCGGGATGTTGTCATTGAATACGACGGCCCCGAAAAAGGGCAGTCCAAGCCCAAGGAGAAAAACGGTGAGGATTATCGCCGAATCGAAACGTCCCAGTCGTCGGGCTCCAAAGCTCCCATAGACCCCTTCCAATTCCAGGTCGACGAAGACGCTTTTGAGACACCCAAATACGGCACAACTCCGCAACGGCCACTGACGCCCATGGTCGTCACGGTCGAGCGCGAGCCGGATTTCACCCGCTTCGATAAGCTTCCGGTTGACGAGCCAGATGAGCGTATGAGCCGCAAGGACTCTTATGAGCAGGAATTGCGCAACGCTCGGCAGATCTACGAGGAGGCCAAGCACACCACTGCTCCCGTCGCGGAGGGCGCTGCTGCCGCTGCGGCGGCCGCCATGGTCGTGGAGGGTGTCCAGATGGCGCGAGGCCGTGAGGCGGAACAGAAGCCGGCCCGCGAACATGAGCCCGCGCCCAAGGATGCCGTCCAGGCGGCGGCAGACCAGTACTACCGCGAGACCAAGCTTGCGAAGCGGCTCAAAGAAGAGGAGATCCGGTCGCGCAGCGCCTCTCCCGACCCTTCTGTGGTCGAGAAGTATCGGGATGAGTCGCAGGAGCCGGTCATCCGTATCGTCACTCCCCCGGCCATGGAGCACCATCCGGAAAAGAGCAAGTATGACGGGCCTAATGCTGATGTTCGCATCGACAATGTCATCCAGCCCAAGGATCTCGTCAAGTACGCTACTCCCAAGCTCGCCCCTCTTTCCCGCAACGAGCCTCTCGCTCCGATCTTCAGATCAAGGGATCCTTCTTGCGAGCGAGACCGCCCACTGCTCAATCTGGTCATACCCACTCCAGTCCCGTCCCCCTTGCCAGAAAAACAGGACAGCAGATCTGCTCCTGTTGAGAAGGAGCCTGTCAAGGAGGCGCCCAAGGAATCAGAGGAGCCAAGATCTGCTCCCAGTGTCATCATCGGCCCCAAGGGAGAGATCATTGAAACGACAGAGACTCCTTCGACCCCAAAGTCTGTTACTTGGGGCGAGAACGAGACCAAGAGTTTCGTGGCGGAAAGCCCCGAGAAGTCCCAGCAACCAGTTCAAGACAGCAAGCCCGCGACCAAAGCAGGTAAGAAAGGTAAGAAGTCCGGCAAGTCCAGTGGCTGGGGCATCATCGCGGCCGCCGTCGCCGGTGCCGGCACGGCAGCAGCGGCATCGGCTGCCGCCAGCGAGGACAAGACGTTCAATGATCCGTTTGACGAGGCCAAGTCGGAGCGCAAGTCCGACCACACTGACAGCCGCTCCATGTCTCCCAAATCTGTGTCCTCGCGGGCGATGCCGATTGAAGGTGACGATGTCCCCCCCGCGCCTGGGCCGAAGCCGACTAGTCCTCACGCGGTGCCCGGCACGTTTGCTGATGACATAGACTTTGCGGCCACTCTGGCGGCTGGCCTGCAGGAGTCTGGCTTCGATCCTAACATCGTGATCGACGACCCCACCTACCACCGGCGGGACTCCCCCCCAGGCTCAAATCTCCCGCCAGAGACAGCCTACCAGCGGCCCTTTGCCGAGACTGTCACGGACCTCGGTGTGTATGACGAAGCTCCCAGGGGCGTCGCCGGCCCAGACACTGGCTTCGTCATCGGCGAGATCCCAGAGACGCCTGCTGAGGACCGGGACCTCCCTGCGGAGGAGACCGAGACCTTTTCCAAGCTCAGCAAGAAAGACAAGAAGAAGAAGCAAAAGGCCAACAAGCGCGCCAGCGTCGATGCCAAGGAGTTTGACAGCCTGGCGGATGAGCCATCACCAGTTCCGGAACCTGTCTCTGAGCCTGTTTCAGAGCCCGTTGCCGAGCCCCAGGAAGAGACCTTTGAGCCGGCAAAGCTATCCAAGAAAGAGAAGAAGAAGCGTGCCAAGGCTGCTGAACTTGCCTCCTTTGAGGAAGAAACGCCCTCAGGCCCAGAGACTACTACACCCTCAGAGCCGGCCGAGGTTGTCGACGAGTGGGCGGAGACTCCCTCTTCCAAAAAGAAGAAGAACAAGAAGGGCAAGAACGCAGCTTCTGCCTGGGAAGAGTCCGAACCCAATACCCCGACTGCAGAGGTGCTTGACCGCTCCTTTGACGAGCCACCGGGTTCTCAGCCCGCGGACACCGGCGAGGCTGACTGGGCCGAGACCACTTCTTCCAAGAAGAAGAAGAAAGGCAAGAAGGGCAAGGCGAATGCGGCCGCCTGGGAGGATTCTGAGCCTGCCACGCCCACAGAAGTCTTTGAGCCGGCTGTCGAAGAGCAACCCGAGGCGGAGCCTGAGACGTGGGCTGAGACGCCTTCATCATCAAAGAAGAAGGGAAAGAAGGGCAAGAAATCTGCTTTCTCCTGGGACGACGAGGTTGCCGAGGCGGCCGACCCGGTTACTGGTCTGGTCGAGTCCCCTATCACTGCTGAGCCCGAGCCGGTTGAGCCTGCCGCGGAAGCCGGCGCCGATGAGTGGGCCGAGTCTTCGTCCAGCAAGAAGAAGAAGAAGGGCAAGAAGGGCAAACGTGCCAGCGGCGCTTGGGACGACAGTGGTACTGCAACCCCTGTCGATGACAACCGAGTGTCGGTTCCTGTCGATGCCTTTGACGACCTGAGCCGTGAGAAGGACGCGCAGCCAGAAGACGACTGGAACATGCCCAAGAAGTCAAAGAAGAAGTCGAAGCGCGACTCGGCTGTCTTTGACTCGCCGTCCCAGTCCGGGCCGCCTTCCGAAGTCGAGAGCACCACGAGCCGGAAGAGCAAGAAGGGCAAGCGCAAGAGCGGGCAGGTGAACGACTTTGACGTCGGCGATACAGACGACCCGCCTGATAAGTGGAAGGAAAGATTCGAGCCCCTGGAGCGCGACGTGAGCTCCGTCGTCTCCGAGCCCATGCGCTACAACGACGAGACGGACGAGACCAAGTCCATCGTCTCCGTCCCCGGCACGGGCAAGGACCGCATCAAGACGGCCAGCAAGCAGGAGAAGCGCAGCAGTGGCGGCTTCTTCGGCTTGTTCGGCGGCAAAGGGGCCTCAGACAAGACCAACGGCAGCGCCGAGGCGAACGATGATCAAGATGGCAGCAAGCAGTCTTTTTTAGATAATGCCGGCACCCTTGGCGCGGGTGTCGGCTTGGCGGGTGTAGCTGCTGCTGCTCTCATGGGCAGCAGCCAGCTCTCCCGTTCCAATGCCACCGCCGCCTCCTCGGAAAAGGAGGTCCCCCCATCATCGTCGTCGTCGTCGACGCTCGAGTCCGACCCGTTCCGCCAGGAGCGGGATCTTGTCATTCTAGACCCGATCGTCGACCCGGAAATCGTGCAGAGGGCCATCAAGCCCGCCATAGATCCGCAGTACGGCGACCTGCTCCCTCTGCCCCCCAGCGAGCCTGGCTCACCGACCTCTGAGCTGAGCGACTTCCCCGCTCTGCCTGACAGCCGGCCCGAGACGCCGCCCGAGCACGAGAGGGCCATGATCCGCGAGCGGCTGTCCGCGAGGCGCCGCAGCGCGTTCGAGACGCCCGTAAAGTCGCCCAGCCAGACTGCTGTGCCGCTGCAGTTCCGCCTGGGCCAGCAGAGATCTGTGCCGCCCTCGCCGGGCGTCATTGGTTCTTCCCCCATGCAGTCGCCCCACGCTCGTGGCCTGGACACGAGCAGCGCGCAGAGGAGGCTGGCGCGGCCTACCTCCTGGGATAGCAGTAGGGAGATCATGCCGCTCTATCTGCTTGAGCATGCGCGCTCGAGCAGCCAGCCGCCGGAGCCGAGCTTGCTGCCTGAGCTGCCTCCCAGCGAGCCTCCTTCAAGAGAGTCGCCTGCTCCGGAGTACGCGACGCCGAGCAGAGGCCTAGGTCTCGATGCTTTTGACTTGCCCGACACTGGGGACAAGCCGTTCTTGCACATCGACACTTCGTTGGCGAATGTCAATCGGGAGTCGGACCAGCTGGGGTCGCAGGAGACTACGCCAAAGGCAGCAGTCCCGCCTCAGCAGCTTCCCGAGTCTCTGGATGTCCACGGATCGAGCGATGCCGAGAATAGCGATGTGTTTGAGGACGCGGCGTCTCAATTCAACCCCTCTGCGACCCAGAGCCCTGCTTTGCAAAAGGCCGAGCTGGAGACCCCTCAGCAGCAGAGCATGATCCTACCTCCTGAGCACGACCTGATGCCTTCTGTCGAAGACGACACATTTCATGACGTGGAGCAGGCCGTCGAGCTCCCCAGCTATGACAACGTTGCCACCCCGCCCAAGGAGGGTGCTGGACAGGAGCCTGAGCCCGTCGAGCCCATGTCCAAGGACCGCAGCTCATATCTCTTGCACGCGACTCCACCATCAACGCAAAAATCTAAAGATGGTGACACGCTGGGAAGATCTCCCAGCGAGAGCCCTAGCCAGAGAGGCGTGCCTAGCGAGATGACCATTCCCGAAGAAAGCGATTCCGCACTGGCGGCGATCGCTGCTCTCGGTGCTGCGGCTGCAGCCGGCGGCCTTGTTGCTGCTGGTCTGGCCCATGGCGACAAGCATGCTGGCGATGTCGAGGCACCACTCTCCCCCACGACCGTGCTGCATGAGGACATCTCGCGGGAGCTGCCAGAGCAAGATCCCTCTGCCGTCGAAGCTCCTGCCCAAGACGTGGACCTCGGTGAAGTCAAGGACGAGCAGCCTGATGAGTGGTCCACGTTCACGCCGACCAAGAAGGGTAAAAAGGGAAAGAAGAACCGCAAAAGCCAGGCTTTCGAGTCCCCCGCCGAGTCGCGTGATGCCACGGAGCCCTCGACGCCTGCCGAGCCCGCAGAGCAACAGGACCAGCCCTCTGAGACGCCGGCTGACGACTTCTTCGAGTCTAAGAAGTCAAAGAAGAACAAGAAGAAGAAGCGTCAATCTCTCGCGTGGGAGCCTGAGTCTGAGGAGAGCCCGGCTGAGTCTCCTGCTCCTGCTACTGCAGACGATGCGGTGACCAGGGATCTTGAGGTGGTCGATGTGTCGACTCCTGCCGAGTCTGCTGAGCTAGCATTGCCAACTGAAGAGACATCCCAGCAACCCTCGGAGCCTCCTGCTGACGACTTCTTCGAGACCATGACGCCTAAGAAGGGCAAGAAGAAGAAGAAGGGGAAGCAGTTCAGTACGTGGGATCCCGATGAGCCCGCAGAGGACGCCAAAGACAAGGAGCTTGAGTCCGCCGCCGCATCTGAGGAGCCGAAAGATGTCGCAGAGCCTCGAGGAGCTGAAGTGGAGCCGCTGGCAGTCGCTGTTGACGAGGAGGCGACGAAGCCCACAGATGATCAGCCCGAGCCACAGCCTGAGCCCGAAGATGTCGCAGCCGAGTTCACGATGACCGGAGGTGGCAAGAAGAAAAAGAAGAAAGGCAAGAAGGCTGCTGCTTGGGACTGGGATGAGCCTACATCTGAGGACAAGGTCACTGAGCCGGTCACTGAAGGCGAGGTCGGTGTTGCCAAGGAAGTCACGGCACCGGAGGCAATTTCAGAGAGTATTGCCCAAGGTGTCCCAGAAGCTGCTCCAGAAGGAACGACTATTCCAGAAGACGCTGCAACCGCTAATATCGAGCAATCAATCTCTGGCGACCTCGAGATACATCCAGAGACCAGTGTGATGACTGGAGACTCCGCTACAGCCCGCCCAGAAGGCGAGAACATACCACTAGACGAGCCTCAGGAGAAACAACTCGAGTCTGAAGACAACTTCGAAGAGTTCACATTACCCGGAAGCAAGAAAAAAAAGAAGAAGGGCAAGAAGGCTGCATCTTGGGATTTCGACGAGCCTACAGTAGACGACAAGATTACGGAGAGTCCAGTTGACCAGAGCACCGACACACCCAAGGACCTTCAGATGTCGGACGAACTAGCTGAGGGTGCGTCCTCCCAGCCAGCGCTCGAGGAAGCACAGGAGCCTGTCCCAGAACCGGAGGAGACTTTCACTGAATTCACCATGCCTGGAAGCAAGAAGAAGAAGAAGAAAGGCAAGAAAGCAGCTACCTGGGAGTTTGACGAACCTGCAGACACCGAAGCTGTGCCAAAGACCGAGATACTTTCTACAGTGCAGACGTCTGAGGAGAGCCATCCTCTAGAGGGCGAACCTTCTCAAGAGCCTCGCGATATCACAGCAACAACTCAGCTTGACGACCAGCCAGGTCACGCACCTACTGGAGAACCTACCTTCCCCGCCGCTACTGAGGACGATTTTGTTGCTCCTGCCAAGAAGGGAAAGAAAAAGAAGGGCAAGAACAAGTTTTCATCGTGGGAACCCGAGCCTGAGCCCGAAGCTACATCAACGCCTGTTGGAGACGAACCTACGGTTGAGACAGTCAGTGCGGCACAACCTGTTGCCGTGATTGAACAAGAAACCCCGACGGAGACCCAAAGGGATGTCGCCGAAGAGATCAACACGGCTGAACTCGGTTCTGAACCCGCGCCTGAAGAGTCAGAGTGGGCACCTGCTTCTGACAAGAAGTCCAGGAAAAAGAAGAAGAGCAAGAAGACTCTATCTTGGGCACTGCAAGATGAGCCTTCTGAGCAATCGACTCCCGTATCTGAGGAGGAGGCTACCCAGATCCCAGAAGACGCCACAGTGCTCCAGACTGTGGCGGCTGCTCCTGAAAACTTGCAAGAGAGCGGTGAGCTTGATCGCGATGCCAAGCCCCAGTCCACTGACATGACCGGAGATGCTTCGGATCTGCCGGCTCAAGAAGCTCCGGTCGAGGCTCCTCTCGTGGAAGCTGACCCCTCGGTTCCTTCCGACTTGCTCGAGACTGCCACGGTCAATCTGGCTGACGACAAAGACCAAGCACCCGAGACATTGCCCGTCAGCAGCCACGCGACAGATGCTGCTGTAAGTCGTCAGGCGCCGGTGGATCTCGGGCTGAGTGGACCCCCGTTGGGCGACCAGGGTCCTCCCGAGCCAAGTGGACCTGGCACCGACATGGATATTTTGCCGGAGGACAAATCAGTGCAGGACACGCTGAGCCTAGATGACACCGCTCTTCGTGTACCTGACGTCGCCGTCGCAGCGCATGAGCCTGCCTCCACAGGAGCTGTTGCTGAGCCCCAGGATGCTCAGACTACACCGCTGGAATTGCAGCCCGAGCCGCCGGCTACCGATGCGGCTGCAGATATCAAGCCAGATCTTGCAACAGAGCCTCCCCAGGATGAAAACGTGGACAAGTCTCGCGATGCACCTGAGACTGTCCCGCCACCAGAGGCGGACGAGACCATGGACTGGGAGCAAGAGTTCGGGAGCGGCAAAAAGAAGGGAAAGAAGGGCAAGAAGAACAAGAATGCCTTTGACACCCCGCCTGAGCCCCAAGCCGTAGAGCGGAGCCTGCCTGAGCAAGATCCTTTGGCCGAGAAGGACGCCGACCTTGCACAGATCACGGAACCTTCTGCTGATATTGCGGAGCTTCGCGACGAGCAACAGCCCGTCGAGCCCAGTCCGGACGACTTCTGGTCGGAACCAGCCTCGGGAAAGAAGTCTAAGAAGAACAAGAAGAAGAACAAGGCTTCTAGTCAGACTTTCTTTGACGATGCCGCGGCTGACACTACCAAGGCGTCGGAGGAGGGATTCGAGGCAACAGTAAGACCTGAGACCACCACGAGCGGTGATGTGACCCAGCTTCCTGAAATCCAAGAGACCGCTCAGGCGCCAGTCGAAGTTGAGGAACCCTTGACTCTGCAAGATGAGGTCGCACCAGCTCAAGAGGTCGAGGCCGATGACTTCTGGTCAATGCCCGCAAAGAAGAGCAAGAAGGGCAAGAAGAAGCGCCAGAGTGTCACTTTCGACGAACCCGAGGCTAGCGAGCCGCCTGTCGACTCTACACGGGACGTCATAGAGACGCCTCCCGAGGAGCCCTCAACCCCTTCTCCCGGCCTCGAGACTGCCGATACCGAGGGGCCCGCCTTGGAGTCAGTGGAGAGCGAGCAGCCCATGGAGAGAGCAAGTCCCGAGGAGCTGTCTGGTATCGACAAGACTGTTGATGCGTCGGACCTTGTCGACAGCCGGTCTGGAGAGGACCTTCCCAAGGATGTTGCGCTCGGCGAGATTGTCTCCACAGGCCCGGCCTCCATGGAACCCGCCCAAGAGCCTGCTGCACAAGCAGAGCCCGAGGAAGCTACAGCCGTGCCTGAGGACGAGTTTCCGGTCGTCGTCAAGAAATCCAAGAAAGACAAAAAGAAGAAGCGCAAGTCCGTGTCTTTTGAAGATGATGTTCTCGAATCCGGTAGTGCGGCGGAGAGCCCAGTTGCGGACTCGCCCTCCGCCGAGCAGAATGATGATGGTTCTCCGCCTGAGGACACGGCCGACAAGGAGCTCGAGCCGACGGAGGTGGCCACGCTGGAGGCAGGAGAGGCTCAGCCAGCTGATGAGTTTCCGGAGACCTTTCTCACGAAAAAGTCCAAGAAGGACAAGAAAAAGAAGAAGGCCATCAGCTGGGAACCAGAACCCGAGATTGCGGACTCTCCCATCGACGACAGTGCTGATGTCAAGTCTGTCGAGGCAACGGCCTCACAGCCGGAACCGATCCAGGAAGAGCCGGCTGTCGAGCCACCACAGGAAGATGATACCGCAGGATTCTTCATGCCCCTCAAGAAAAGCAAAAAGGACAAGAAGAAGAAAAAGGCTGCCATGTTTGAGCCAGAGCCAGAGCCAGAAGTCGAGGCTGAGACTGCACCCGCTGAGCCCGTGTCCGCTGAAGAGAGCGAACCACAACCCTCTCCAGTTCAAGATATCGCAAGCACACCTGCCCAGCCCTCTGGTGAGGCAGCCGACCTATCTGGCCCTGCCGCCGAACCCGTCGCAAGTGACGAGTTTCCCGAGTTCGTGTCTCTCAAGAAAAGCAAGAAAGACAAGAAAAAGAAGAAGGCCGCCATGTTTGATCCCGAACCTGAACCCGAACCTGGAACCCCTCCCGCTTCCCAGCCTGAGACCGAAGAGCTGGGCGATAAGGGGATGACTGATATTGAGTCATCCTCGGCACCTGTGTCAGATGAAGCTGAGCCATCTCTTGTTCCTATGGAAGCCACTGATAGCGAGTTTCCCGAGTTTGTGTCTCTCAAGAAGAGCAAGAAAGACAAGAAGAACAAGAAGGCGGCCATGTTCGAGCCTGAGCCCGAGCCTGAGGTGCCTAGCGAATCACCCGCTGAGGACATCGTGCCTGAGGCGACAGCAGAGGGCGCTGTTCAAGACAAATCTATTCCCCTTTCCGATCTTGAGGCCGCTCCGGCTGTGCTTGATGCCTCCGGCTCTGGTGAAGTCGTTGGAGACGACGAGTTCCCCGAGTTTGTATCCCTCAAGAAGAGCAAGAAGGACAAGAAAAAGAAGCGTCAGAGTCTTTCCTGGGACGAGCCGGAGCCTGATGTTGAGCCTACTCAGTCCACAGGTGACAATGACTTGGAGACACCAATTATATCGGAGACCAAGGAGGTTGCTGAAATTGTCGAGGCCCCGCTTGAGGACACCACTGTGCTGCATAGCGAGTCACAGGCGCGTGAAGTCCTTGCGGACCCAGCCATCCCAGACACACAAGTCCCTCGAGAGCTTTCAATCGCGGAGGTGTCACCGGAAGAAGCTGATACCCCGCCCGTCATTAACAAGGAGGTTGAAGCTCCAGTGTCTGGCACCGAGGAGAACTTGGCTGCTCGCGAAGTCACATCGCTTGATGACCAGGCGACACAAGTAATCCCACAACCAGAGACTATTGAGGCTCTTACGCAGGAGCCGACCTCTCCAGCCCAGGAAACTGCGCCTGAAGCAGATGTCCAACCCGAAGCCGAAATGTCCGAACCTGCTGCCCCTGTGCCCGATCAGCAAGGCGTCGCTGACGACACCGAGTTCTTCGTGACGAAGAAATCCAAGAAGGACAAGAAAAAGAAGAGAGCAAGCCAACTCAGCCAATTCGAGAGCGAGCCAAGCTCTGGTATTGCCACCCCAGCAGAGGAGGTCACTGAAAGTCGCGAGCTGCCCAGTCTGGCCGCAACTGAAGATTCTCAATCCGCGGCCCCAATCGAAGCTACCCCAGCGGCAGCGGACGACGAGTTCCAATGGGCACCGACCAAGAAGTCAAAGAAAGACAAGAAGAAAGCCAAGAAGACGGCGCAATTCTTTGATGAACCCGAGCAGCCAGCCCAAGAGCCGCAGGAAACTGCTGAGGCGGCACAACTCCCTGCTGGCGACGATGAGGTTCGTGATACCGCGTCTGCGCTGGAGGAGGACAAGCTTGTGCAACCCGAAGAACCTGAAGCTCTGCCAATTCAAGAGCCTCCGCCAGAAGAGCCGTTGGAGGCGGGCGAGGACGACTTCGCTCCCATTCCTACCAAGAAGTCAAAGAAGGAGAAACGCAAGGCCAAGAAATTAGCATTCCTCGATGACGAAGCCGAGTATCCTGCTGAGCAGTCCACGGACCCCAACTTGGAAGACACACCTGCCAGTGAACCTATCGTTGATGAAATTGCGGCCGACAAGTCGATTGCGGAGGCAGGGCCTGGCGAAGTGGTACCCAGAGACATTGCTGAGCCAAGCAGCGGATTCGTTGAGCAACCTGAGCAAACGGAGCCGAACGAGGCAGGCGAAGACGAATTCGCATTCATCCCGCCCAAGAAGTCCAAGAAAGACAAGAAGAAGGCAAAGAAGCTAGCACAAGCTATCTCGGCCTTTGAGGATGTGACAGACAGCCCTGTTGAGGTCACCACTGCCTCCGAACCTGCTCCTGAAGAGTCTCTGGAACAGCCACTCGACACAGTTGAGAAGGCTGTCGAGCCCGAGTTCGAACCCAAGGCTGAGATGGCGAGCGAAGATACTAAGCCTGCCGAGGATGAGACCTCTGTGCCTCAGGAAGCAGAAGCAGAGTTTATGCCTATCGCCCGCAAGTTGTCGAAGAAAGAGAAGCGACAAGCCAAGAAAAACGCCTTTGCCTGGGACGAGCCTGAATCTACTCCAAATGACTCTGCAGCACCGCCCGATGTACAAAAGCTGGAGGCCGAAGACACCCCTGTAGAGCAGGCAGGAGCCCCCAAAGAGCTTGAGCCCCTCGAGCCACAAGCACTTCCATCCACGGAGGAAACTATAGAGCCTCCTGTAGCTGAACCAGACCAGCCAGAGGAATTCACATTCTCCAGAAAGCTGTCCAAGAAAGAGAAAAAGCGCAAGTCTAAGCAGTCAACCTCCGAGCCAGCATCGGGCACAGCCACGCCTGCTCAAGAAGAGACACCTATCATCCCAGTGGAAGAGGACATTACCTTGGCGTCCTCTGCAGCCGAGACATCTGGTAGCTTGGAACGCAGCATTGAAGACGAGGACAAAGACGTCAATGCCGCCGACGCCGACGATATCTGGGCCCTCCCGACTAAGAAGTCCAAGAAGGACAAGAAGCGCAAGGGAGGCAAGCAAGCGGATTCTCAGCCGGTATCTGGCACCGCTACTCCCGCCACGGAGGAGCCTTTCTCAACCGAAACCGACACCGACAAGGGCCCTGCCGTATCTGAAGAGAAGGCCGAAGCGGATGAGGCGGCAAATGACTTTGGTGGCTTCAGCGTCAAGAAATCTAAGAAGGACAAGAAGAAACGCAAGTCACTGAAGGCAGCTGAATTTGAAGAGCCGTCCAGCCCTGCCCCGGCCGAACAAAACGAGGCCAGAGGCCTGGGTGACATCGATGATGTTGCTGCTATCGAGGGAACGGACGACTATTTCAAGCCTCAAGAACACGGAGATGCGCAGACGCCTACAGGCGACGGGCCCTTTGAAAAAGTCGAGATCCACCCTGCCGTGTCTTCCATGCTCGATTCGACCCAAAAGACTGGCGAGCGTCCACTGTCAACCACGCCGCCGCCTGCCGCCTGGGGCCTGATGACCAGGCAAGACTCGGACGTATTCGAGAGAGAAGGGCATATCCCCAAGCTCCTTACCAACCAGAGTTACAGCCCCGTCTTCGAGTCTAGCCCCGAGGAGACAAAGACTTCGTTCGAGGGAGCTGCCGCGGACGAGACAAACATCAATCTGACACCGGCTCAGGAGAGCAGCAGCGTTCCTCACGATCCTCCCTTTGAGCAACCCGCTGGTCCCGAGAAGAAAGTGAAGACCAAGGAACTTGAGGGAGACGCAGTCAAGGCTGTGGCTTTCGCCGATGAAGTTGCACAAGGAGAAGCATCTACTGTTAAGCCTGACACATCGGATCTTGGAGAACATGACCAGACCGACAAGCACTTACCTTCTGACGGCAATGGACCAACTGTTGAAGGAGAAGCCCAGCCATCTGCTCGTGAGATTGCCGCTTCGTTCCTTGAGGAACAGAGTCATGCTCAAGATGTTGCATCAGCCGAAGATATCATGGCTGATGCACCACCCGCAGAGGACATCTTCAGAGACAAGAAGCACAAGGAGGAAGAAAAGACTACTGCTCGCGAAATTGCCGCTTCCTTCTTGGAAGACGAAAGCAGCATTCGCCTCCCGGACGAGGGTGCTGACAAGCCCCTTGACAAACCTTCAGCCCGTGACATCGCGGCTTCTTTCCTCGAAGGCTCGTCGAGCAAGAAGTCAGCCGAGAGCAAAGAGGCACCCTCACTTGAGAAAAAGAAGAGTTTCGGCGGCGAAGAGGCAGCCGCAGTGATCAGCGGGGCTGCCGGGGGCGTCGCTCTGCTTGCACAGAAATTCGGTGGCTCTAAGAAGACCAAGAAGGGCGGCAAGAAGAAGATCGTGGACAAGCGGACAAACCAAGGAGATGATCTCTTTGACGATGCCTCGCTGTGGGAGGGAGCGGATCGGAAGCCTGTGGAGGGCTCGAGGATGGATCTGGATTCGGCCGGCTTTTGGGATGCACCTGGCGACGTAGCAGAGGCGGCAGAGGAGAGCATGGAGAAAGCAGGCGGGGTGGAAGGTGAGCGCGTGGTGCCTGAGCCGAGTACAAGCAATCTAACAGATAAGGGGATCGAGTCTTCTGATGAGAATGGGCGACGGGGTGGCACGGCGATTCCCGGGGACGTGTGGGAGGACGACTACTTGGAGAGCCCGGTACTGGGGCGTGATGAGGGGGAGCAGAGAAGACTTGGCAAAGAGTCTCGCGGCAAGATGAGCACGTCGCGGGAGCCGACCCCCAAGGCTGAGGAGCAGGGACAACGAGCAGCGCTGCCTTCCCCTCCGCCATCAAAGGAGGCTTCGGTCCAGCCCGAGGTCATCGAAGAGCCCATGACTACGCGGGCTCTCGACCTGGCGGCTGAAGAGGCTATGGACATCGACAATAACGTGGTGAGGAGCATCGAGCACGATGATGATGTACGGTCACCCAGTTTCAGCAGCACTCGGGGCCTAGAGATGAGCGACTTCCATCGCTCTCTGGGCAGCCCGCTCCCGCCCGTCCTTGAGGAAGTGCACGAGGATGAACACGAGGAGAAACAGTCAAGGGGGAGAGACCGCAGCAGATACTTACAAGCAACGCCGGATGCCAACCGCGACAGCGGGTACATGGCCGAGTCTCCCGAGATGAAGCACCCCAGCCATTTCGACCCGGACAGCTACCGCGACAGCGGCGTCCACCTGCGCGAGTATCCCGACTCGCCTCGGGCGCGCGACTTGCGGCGCTTCAGCCCAGAGCCCTCGCGGCTGTCGCACTCGAGCACAGAGGGCGCGGAGCTGCATGCCACCACGCCCAGCCACCGCTTACACCGGTCCGACGACCGGCGCGCGGTGCGGAGATCGCCCCTCGCGGAGGGCGACTACTTGAGCAGAGACAAGCCAGAGACGCCCAAACTCCGCGAGCCAGCGGCGCTGCCGCACACTCCAGAGCCGCAGAAACTGGACAGGTCGGGCAAGAAGCGATCCAGCTACAAGGAGCTGGGCGGGCTGGCAGCAGCCGCGGGCGCGCCGCTCGCGGGCCACGGGGCGCCTCTCTCATCGGCGGCCTCGTCGTCGGCGCACAGAAGCGTCTCGGACAACATCCGGGAGAAGCGACAGTCTCCGGGCCCGGAAATGCTGGGGCGGCGGTCGGCGTCCAACACGAGCATCTCGCGGCTGCGGACTCCGGAGCCGCTGAATTTGCGGCCTGATTCCCCAGGCAGCATGCGGTCGTGGTCAGGCACTCCGCCGCTGAGGCGGGTGGATAAGCGGGTCAGCGGCGATTTGCGATCGCTGAGCCAACGCAGCGACCTGAGCACCACCACCGCCACCACCCAAAAAGAGGGTGGCGGGGGTGGCCCGCTCCATCCCGGCCGCCCTGTCTCAGCGTCTCCAGCTCCGTCCACAGCGGCTTCAGCCGGCGCCAGTGCTGCTCTTGCCCTGGGTGCGGGAGCTGCTCTGACAGCAGCAGCGCTTTCTTCCTCATCTTCCCCTCCTCACCACCAAAACAGCAGCAGCAATAACAACACACCCACCCCCGTCGCCAATGAGGGCCGTGTCCGCGCCAAGGACATGACCGACGTCTATGTGAGTTTTTTTTACCCTTCTTTTCCTCCTTTTCTCCCATCCCATGCACTTTTCAATCATGCTGATTGGCGGCTGACCGGTGCAAAACAGGACGGCTATGGCGAGGGCCGCATCGGCTCACCGCGCTCACCGACTCGACCGCATAGCATGCGTCGCCGACAGAGCATGCAGGTCCTCGAGCTCGAGTCCAGAGTCGAACAATTGATTGCCGAAAACCGCGCGCTCGCCGACGCCCGCGCCCATGCCGAACACAGCCTCAGCCAGAAGTCGACCAGCGCTCTCGCCGAGCGCGACGACCAGATCGAGGTCCTCAAGCGCTCCCTCGAGCTCCTGCAGAAGGAAGTCGCCCGGTTGACCGAGGTCAACGAGGGCCTGCAGAGCGCCATCAACACCACCGCCGTCCAGCACAACGACCGCTACCGCCGGCTCGAGACGCAGCATGCCGACACCAGCCGCGAGCTGGAACAGATACGCGGCTCGCACGGCCAGCACACCCAGACGCTGCAGGAGAAGGATGCCGAGATCGCCGACCTGCGCGCGCAGCTCGAGGCCACAAAGGACCAGATCCGCGACATGCAGCGGCAGATCCTGGCGTCCAAGTCGGGCGACAGCGCGGCCGACTACCTGACCATCCACGACGTCGACTACTTCGACCACCGGTGCCAGCAGCTGTGCTCGCACGTGCAGCAGTGGGTGCTGCGCTTCTCCAAGTTCTCCGACATGCGCGCGTGCCGCCTGACGAGCGAGATCAACGACGAGAAGATCATCGACCGGCTCGACAACGCCGTGCTCGACGGCTCCGATGTCGACACGTACCTCAACGACCGCGTGCGCCGGCGCGACATCTTCATGTCCATGACCATGACCATGATCTGGGAGTTTGTCTTCACGCGCTACCTCTTCGGCATGGACCGCGAGCAGCGCCAGAAGCTCAAGTCGCTCGAGAAGCTGCTGCTCGAGGTCGGCCCCCCGCACGCCGTGCGCCAGTGGCGCGCCGTGACCCTGACGCTGCTGTCGCGCCGCGACGCCTTCCGCGACCAGCGCGACCAGGACACCGAGGCCGTCGTGCAGGCCGTCTTCCAGACGCTCAGCGTCATCCTGCCGCCGCCCTCGAACCTCGAGGACCAGATCCAGGCGCAGCTGCGCCGCGTCATGCGCGAGGCCGTCGAGCTGTCGGTCGAGATGCGCACCCAGCGCGCCGAGTACATGATGCTGCCGCCCCTGCAGCCCGAGTACGACGCCAACGGCGACCTGGCCGAGCAGGTGGCCTTCAACGCGTCGCTCATGAACGAGCGGTCCTCCTCCGGGGCCGGGGGTGCCGGCGCCGGCGGCGCCGCCACCAACGAGGAGCTCGAGGCGCGCGCGGCCATCGTGCGCGTCGTGCTGTTCCCGCTCGTCGTGCGCAAGGGCGACGACGCCGGCGTCGGCGACGACGAGATCGTCGTGTGTCCCGCGCAGGTCCTCGTCGCCAAGCCGCACACGGCCGGCAAGCGGCCCGCTACCGCTGGGAGCAGTGGCGGCGGCGGTGGCCTGCACGCGTCGTCGGCCGCCGCCGACAAGAGGCTGTTCACGCCGAGCTCCGACGCCGGCGGGGCGAGCCTGTTCCGCTCCTCGGCCGCCAACGCGAGCAACGTGAGCATGGCCGACGCGCCGTCGCCGCAGCCGCTGCCCGAGGCTGCGTACCTCGAGGGCGGGATCTAGGAAAGGAAGTACCTATCGGAGAGAGGCGAGGGGAGAGATTGAAGACGACGAGAAAGAGTTGAAAAACAAAACTTGAGAGAAAGACGGAAGAGAGGAAAAAGAACAGTGGTCGAGGAGAGGAGAGGAGGACCAAAAAAATCAACATATACGTCCCGCCGAATGCGGCTGGAATGTAAAAAGGGACGGGAATGTGGGTGGGGGGGAGGTGGAATCGGCACGGATGGTGGACTTTGCATTTTGATATATTGATATCCTGGGGAGTTCTTTTCTTTTTCTCTTTTTTACTTTGCTCTGCTTAATTTTCTTGTCCAAAGGTGGTTCTGCAATGTATTTTCTGCCAGTTTCATGCCATAATTTCCATTGCCTGCTGTTGAGTGTGGTTTGGTCTTGTGCTTGTCTTGATTTCTTGGGCTGGGTGGGAAAAAGAAGAGGAAAAAGAAGAAGAAAAAGAGCTGTAAAACTACCTAGTAATGACTGAATGAGACACTCTTATCAAACCAGGGCGTATCGTATCTACTTGCATTGCTTGCCAGGTACGTGCATAGTGCAGTCGACTTCACATTGTTGATTCAGGTTTCGATGTTCGATTGTTTCTTTTTTTGCTATGAAAGAAACCAACTGGTCCACTCGAAAACCTGCCTGTCTGTCAGGTTGGACGATGTTTTTTTGGTAGTGCATAGCACTCGAGAGCTCTCTCCATCCACCATTCATTGCTCTATGCTATACTTTTTCAGATGTAAGCACTTTGAAGGAACGAGGGAAAAGGAAAGTATCTTGACCCCCCCTTCTTCGTGCCCGGATTGCTCCGGCATCTAGCACATATAATCCAGGTATAAATGCAAACTCAAGAAGCGGTACCTCCCAGCGAACGCAACAGAATGCCCCCTCTTAGATGCTCCTCTGGACTCAATCTTGTAGCAAGTTGACAAAACACAAGGAAAAAGGCCCTCAGTGTTCATAAACGCACAATTCCGCCGCCATCACAGCAGTCTGTCAACCCATGTCACCATCCCATATCATGCGAAAAAAAGTCATCACATTACGCAAAAGAATGAACCACCCACACGCTTCACAAGAGTATCGCACCTCACATCATCATCGTAGCAGCCCTCAGGGGGAGAGAAAAGTATTCCTCCTCGGGGAATGGACCGACCAGCGGCAGCGGTGGCGACGGTGGCGCCGTGTCGAGCGGCACATCGAGCAGGATGGGGTCCGACTAAGACCACTTCATGCCAAGCGCCGGGTCGGTGAAGCCAGCGATGCCGAGCTCGCCCGTCTGCGGGTCGTAGGGGAAGAGTCCCGAGAGTGTCTCCTGCGATGTAGCCGTCTCGTTAGCATGCTGTGACATGGGGATATAAGCATGAATCAACCGCACATACCCAGTCGATATTGTCCATAATACCTGCCTGCACTTCAGCGCCGATCTGTGGCAGTTCTGGAGGCAGCTGTTCCTGCTGGGGCTGATACTGCTGCTGCGGCGGTGCCTGCATCTGGGGCACACCTTGTTGCTGTCGCATGGCCTGCCTCTCGGGCATATTTCCCTCGTAACCACCCTGGTCTGAATACGTCGAAGGCATGCCTTGTCCTCCAGGCGGCCTGAAACCCCATAGAGGTTCGCCGCGGCTGCTGACGCCACCAAAGACGGCATTAGACGGTGCTCGAGGGGGCATAGGATTTTGGCCTGTCATCTGCATATGGCTCTGCCATTGATCTTCATAATAGAGGCGCTGCTGTTCCGTTGGTGGAGGTGGCACCATGATTCCCTGCATCTGAGGTTGCTGCTGGTGATGCATCTGCATCCTCGGCATGGCACTGCTGCCCGGCTCTACCTTCAGGTTCGGTATGGCCAGGGGTTTGTTCATTGACTGTGCTTGTTGGTAGGCGGCAGGGGCTTGTGGCTGTGCTTGTTCTGCCTGTGATGGGGCCAGATTGCTCGCACCAGCTGTACTACCAAACGGCGGCGTGCCCGCGTCCGATTTGATGGCATCCTTCTCCGGGACCGCCTTAGCGACATCATTCGGCGCCCGCATCTTGCGCCACGTCGAATAGACAGCTGTCTTGCTCATAATCTCGTGCAATATCTGCATGCCTTTCTCTTCCCTCGTCGAACGTCGATCCATGTGGAATACGTAATCGAGGCAGGCCCAAATCCGATCTGCCTCTTTGTTGTTTGGGCGATAATAGACTTCCGTAGCCAACAGCAGTGCGATCTGAAACTGCTGATACGCTCCAAGGTACCACGACCATGCCTTGAATAGAGCATCCGTCTCTAGCTGTATGGAGATTTCAATGATCATGATGCCACTCATGACCAGGACGCTGTTGAGCCGCGGCGGCATTGGGTTCGCTGTGTTGGTATGGTACGGGTGTAGAACCATAGCATGTAGCCGACACAGTAGTAGGTGCATGACAAGCTTGGTATATTTCTGAATGGGAACTTGGTCGTCCAGGAATCGGTTGTACTTGTCCAGCATGCGCTTGCGGAAGTTTTCGACCTTGGCAAGCACGGCTGTCAGCGTGGTTCTGCGGACTTCAAGTCTTCGACGGTCCATCCAGATGATGCGCATCATCTCGTTGATCTCGAAGCGAACGAGCGGCAGCAACGTCGTAGTCCACCTCTCAGCCGGCTGCGGATGTGCGACGGCATGCGTCAATTGGTCTTCCTCGCAGTTGACGGGGAGCTTGGTGTCGTAGTCCTCTCTCCGGATGGCGGGCTTGGGGCCTTGTGCTTCGCATGTGCGGATGTCGAGAAAACACAGTTGATGCCAGATCAGACGACGGACATGGGTCTCGAGTGGAGCAAGATTATATGTCTCTCCGTCTCTGTGTAGTCCCATGCACTCCGCCATCCGAACCGCAGCTCCGACGAGAACTGAGTGGGCTCTCGATACTTCAGCGCGGCAAAGTGGGATCATATACATCACAAAGGCCTGCATGGTATCGACCTTGGTTGTCCGCAAGAAATTGGCCTTGCTCAGGGCCGTCTCTACACCCATCTTCATGTGGTCGACTAGACCCGCCTTGGTACAGCCAAATTCTTGAAGAATGACATCTTCACCCATCGATACCAAGGCACTAAACCACGCAGCAAACATCAATGCTTGTATCGAGGGGCGTGGTTCACGACCAAGAGAAGCATCCTCCCAGAAGGACTGATATTGCTGCTCGAATGATGGGCGATGAACACAGCGAGCCACGGGGTGGACAGCGTCAAAGTATTGTTGCAGAAGTCGATCAGCAGCTGCTCGGTTAGGCAGAAAATGTTCGAGACTAGGTGTGGCCAGTATCTGTCCAAAAAAGAAGCCACCAGTCGGGACCATGTATGCTGGGCTTGGCCGAAGAAAGTCGGGCAGTCCTGCGCCTGGGTCTGGTGCGTTGCCGCTTGGTGGTGAAGGTCTGTTTGGCGGAGCTCCGGCTTGCTGAGACGGAGGAGAGCGGCCTGGGCCTCCGCCCGAAAGGCCAGCCGAAAGCTAGAGAAGCAGTCAGCCAGAGATTTCACTGAGGATCTCGACAAGAACGAGTTGTGTATCTTTTGCGCAAACTCATGGAAATGCACCCAAAGAAAATGCGAAGGGGAAAGGGTCCACAAACCTCTTCTGAGAGTCGAGGACGATTGAGCCCTCCGATGCGCTCCGTAATTCGCATCCGGCCCACCTGGATCCCTAGATCGATAACCTCGTCGGGAATACCCCCCTCCCCGTCATCGTCTTCTTCGTATGTGACATCCAGAGTTACCATGGGGGTGATTTCGAGGTCTCTCTCCTCGTCATCGTCATCGCCGATCTCGTCGGCCAGAAACCGCTGTTGGTAAAAGACACCCTTGCCTGTCGGCCGGCCAGACTTATGAACAACGTCACGCTCCAGCTGGCGCTCGAGAGATCCAACCTTCTCCTTGATTTGTGTCAGTTTGAGCTGGCTGGCTTCGTCTAGCTTAGGGCCTAGATAGTGACATTCCCGGCCAAACTTGAGGCAGTTTGTGCACGGCTGCGACTTGTTGCACTTGAGCTTACGTCGTCGGCACTCAAGGCACGACGTAATCATGCGCATCCTGCGACGGATGGGTTTTGGGGGTGCCGCTGCAGCTGTGGAGGGAGATGCGCTGGGCGAGGTGCCGGGACCGCCAGCGCCAGCCATCCCCGCCGGACTGCCATGGCCGCTGCCAGCACCAAGATCTATACCTGCATCGCCGTGTCTGGCTGCCCCTGAGCTCCCTGGCACAGTGGACGCCGTATTCAGGCCCAATCCTGCACTCGTAACCGGCTGACCTGGCGCCATGTCTGGTGCGCCCTCAGGGACGCCACGGCCGCCGCCAAGGTTGGCAGGCGCATATCCCCCGGAGCTGCTAGCAGACAGGCCCCTGTGATCGTGTGCCGCAACGGCCGTAGAGAGGCCAAGACCTTGTTCCGGGGACCTTGATTGAGCCAGGGGGCGATGGCCCGCGCCGGCTTGGTCACCGCGCTCCATGAGGGAGCCAATGGAACGGCCCGTAGCGCCCGGCAATGTATGCTGCAGGTGGTGGGGGGTGAGCAGGAGAGTGGAGGGGCGTGTGCGTCTCGTCTATCAGAGCGAGCTAACGAGGAGCTCACCCTCGGGTGCGGGTGAGCAGCTGGTGATCCAGGCCAGGCCGGCCCGGGGTGGGGGAGCAGCGCTGAGCTCGTCCCTTCGAGATGGTCGAAGGAACGCACTTTGAGCGGAGCGGGGCATGTCCCCTGGTCCTCCAGGAGCTGGAATGGAGGTGCACAACGGCCCTACCAGCTCTCTGATGGGGGAGAGAGCGCGAGCTGGAGATGCGGGCCGTTAGTGGTGTCGCCCGGACAAGGAGCCCTCGGTTACTCCCAGACTCCTGCACTGCAGGCCAGAAGGACCAGGCCTCGAGATCGGAGAAGGAGGAGGGGGCGTGCAAGGCGAAAAGGCCCAGCAGAACGAGCCTGAGAAACCTCACAAAAGGGGACAGCCAACTCGAGAGGAGGATTGCCCGTGGATTGATGGTGGCGCTGTGGTCGACGTGGTAGGCTCGACGTTGCGTGAAGAGTGGGGGGAGCCTTGCTGATCACGCAGGTACGGCTTGGGGTGTTACGGACGTAACGATCAAGATAAGAGCGTAAGGAGCGGCCGGGCTTGCAGCACCTTTCTTTTTTTTTCTCTTGCGCCTCCCTGCCAGGTCTCGCGCGCGGAATGAGCCAACGGTCTCAAAAGGCCAGGTCTGGCACGAGTTGTGGGTGAAGGAGCTTGGAGAAGACCAATCGCAGCTGGACGGACGAGGTCCAAGTTACTCCCCCATAGTGCGAAAGAAGGAGGAGAAGATAAGGCAAGGACAACTGCTCCACCTCGCAAGCCAAATCGTTTTGGCTCCAGCCGTCATTAGCCCCGGCTTTTAGTGTCACTTACGGTCGAGAAAGAGGATCAGGCAGCGGATATAAATGCGGAGGGAAATCGCTGCAAGGCAGGTAGCCTCGATTACAATTCTAGAACTCCAGGAGCAGAGCGGCGAGCCGAACTGGAGAGGGGGAGAGGGGGAGAGGAGGAGATTGATCTGGCTGGCCCGCGGGGTGGAAGCATCTGGGGTATTACAGAGACGAGGAGACGAGGAGACGAGCAGACCAGGAGACCAGGAGACCAGGAGACGAGAGGAGAGGGATCCCACTCACTCGACAAGTTCGCTTCTTTCTGCGGGAAGAAGCTGGACGACTGGAGGAGTGAGTCTACCGTGCTTTCGGCTCCTACACCACACACCACCACCACTGGTAAAGAAGGAAGAATGTGATCCCACGACTTCTGGGCATGATGTTAACCTGGGAAGTTTGCTTCATTTCGGCCACGACAAACCCTTGCCTGCACACACACACACACACACACACCACGCCTCCCTACTTGACTCATCTCTGTTGGAGCAAGGAGGCAAGTCCACACCCACACCGACAACGCAATTGGGGTACCACCACGATCCCAACATGGGGGGTTTCCCAGCGACCGCCACCAAAACGCCACTCCAGACGGCCCTGGTGTTGCACGATCGGTGCGACCATCCCACAAGGCCCCTGAGGAGACGCATGCCCCGGAGCGACGGGCACACGTACACCTCGCTGACCGCCGTTGCAGGCAACAGACATGGCTCCCAAGCGAGGCAAGCGAGATTCTGTATGCTGGCCAGCCGCGCTGTGTCCCCGTCGCTTTTTTGAGTTTGGCGATCTTCATCTCATGGCATGTGGCCCTCCTTTGTCTGCTATTGTGACCATTAGGGGGACGGGGAGGGGAGGGGAGGGGAGGCCGGCTACCCACCCACCACTGTCCTACCCGCAGACCGTTACGCTCGTGAGATGGCAAGCTGGTTAGCGGCAACGCACCCAGCCGCGTGTCCTATCAAGAACACTTGGTCGTCGCCCCCGAACCCAGTCGTTCGGTTATTCTCGTCACAAGCAGCAGGGATCGCGGCGAGAAACAGCAAACACTCGTCCTACCCAGCTTGCAGGCGTAAATTTCGACCTCTCTTGGTTTGGTCATGATCTCTCGTAAACAATTTCATCGTATGGCTGGAACATGACGGGCAAGCTCCGCCCAGCAGCGAGTGTGGTGCTCATCATGTCGCTCGCCTTTGTCCAGATGGTTGGGCTATCCTAGCAAGCAAACAACCAGCCAGCCTCCAATGCATCGAGCGCCACATATTGGATCTGGCCGGGATCAACAGCAGCCACCGACAGACAGACAAACAGACAGACAGACAGACAGACAGACAGTCAGTCACACAGTAGTGGTGCAAGTAGCCCAGAGACACAGCACATGCACAATGCCTCTCAGATGCGCATGGTGGAAATATCGACCAAGTTATTATGACCTGTTGATCATGGAATATGTAACATACATACAGACCCATCTAACGAAGTCTCTGGGTCTTCTCTTGACGGACTTGCCAGAGTACCCCGTCTCGCCAGCCGTTCAAAAGCTGGCCGCACTGCATCATAAAGCCCTCGCCATAATATCTCTTCACCGTGCCCAGAAACCATCTGAAGCGCTCTATCCTCCCTGGCTGGCCCATGGAAAGGTCCATCGTGATGACATGGAGGATGGCTTTGTGAATCTGGGGAGGCAGTTTATAGCCGTGATATTCGAGCATCCTCTTGCAGTATTCCAGGTAGCGTAGACGCACTCGAGGCGCCAGGTCAGGCTCGAGCGCACAACGTACCGCCAGCCGGTTTAACAAAGCAACCGTGGCCGGGCCTATGCGCCAGTTGTTGAGGCCCAAGCCACCTCCGGGCATATCTCGCCGGTCGCGAGTAAGAGTGGTTTTGTAGATCCCGAGGTCGAGAATTTCAACTAATTGCGTAGTCGCCAGGGAGTCCATCTTCCCTTGCTCCGCGTAACTCTCCCAGAATGAAGGTACCCAGTATTCCCGGAAGCCATTTCGTGCTCTCGCAGTATTGTACAGATCATGCAACTTGATAGCAGCACCAAGATCCCCGCTTGACAGGGCAAGCTCGTGCAGGAACTCGCGCCGAAGCTTGGTTTTCGGCGAGAGCAGGGCCTCGAGGCCGGTAATGAGGTCATTAGTCCGCCCAAAATGATGGACCAGATCCCACATAACCTTGTATACTGGAGCTCGGTTCGGGAGCGTTCGTCGCGCTGAGTAGACTGTCAAGGCTAGCTCACCAAGGCAAGCATGTTGACGTCCTGTGAACAAGATGCCAAAGGTCGGAATTACCATTGAATTTCTCGTGAATCCCAGAGACTTCCAACGCTCCAGGACAAGTTGACACAAGGCATAGTTGGAGATGCTTTGCTTGAACTCGGCAGAGTCGTAGAGTTGCGAGACTGTGTCCAGAAATACGGCTTCGCTAATGCCTTCCATGCGTGACACGCAGGCTAGCCAATAATGTCGCGACTGTTGTGGATCGGCTTCGATAGAGGCAGGCCGGCTCTTGATCCTTGGAATAGCACCTCTCACAACCTTTTCGAGATGTGCCCTCCCAAGACATCCCAATGCCATTGCCACTGAATCAGACCCTCGAGTGGTAGGGGTTGGGTATAAAAGCTCGTGGGCAACATCCAGAACGCGGCTGCACTTGTCAATGAGTAGGCTGGCTTGCTCCATGGCCTCGACAGCCTGAGCCAGCTCACGATCCTCGACAAGTGCATGTGCCCTTTGGAGATAAGATTCCGCTCGTTGACTGAGGTCAACGAAACCACTCGTCCTTTCAAAAAAGTCTTGGGGCACAGGTTGGACACCGGATTCCCAAAGGCTGAACAACCTCTTAAGTAGACGGTGCGTCCCGAGGGGCACCCTCGACCTCGACCCTTTCAGCCTGGCCATATCCACTAGCTGAGGAAATAACTCCAGCATCTTCCGCTGTGATGTTCGCGCAAGTCGATTAATCATCAAACGTAGAAAGCGCAGAGGGAGCTCCCTGGCTAAGGGCAGCTTGCATGATGCAATGCCTCTGACAACAGCTTCTATGAGCGGCGCATAATTGATTATCGGTGCATAGTCGCGCTTTCGGAGATCAGTGCCACTGGCCCGGCCTGACATTATCAAGTCGTTTTCTTGCCGATCTAGCATCTCACAGACCGCGATGAAGTTCGCCTGGACCTCCTCTGCTGTCAAGGAAGCCGAGGCGATACGTCGGCCCAGGTGCTCACAGACAGCGTGATACTTCCTGAAAGTCTTGTTGACGAAGGGCATCGAGGCCATTGGGGTTCTCAGGTCCTCCACCTCCTGAAGTATGAGCGGATCCTTCTGATGTACGGGTTCGGGCTCCGGGCTGATCGTCTCGGCTTGCACGTCTCGGGACTCTTGCTCTTTCTGTGGCGAGCCCACAAGCCACTCCAGGACGGGTACCCGAAGCGAATCTGCATGGGTTGTATTCTGCCCCTGCAGCCGGGTGAAAAGGTCTGTCGGGGGTTGCCATCGCCATTGGCTCAGGTCCGGAGCTGTCGGCAGCGCCCACGGCGGCAAGGAGGGGTGAAGCTGCATGGACTGGAGGTCGGCGATGCGTCGTTTGCCGAGACGTCGACGGCATTCCAGGGGCCCGGGCACATTGCTGACGGAGCGTCTCGAGTTCTGTGAGATGCGGCAGAAGCGCTCAAAGGCGGTTGCTAGCTGGCTGTCCGACACCCATATGCTGTCGCGGGGCGTGGTGATGCGGTGCCGGACAGCGCGGCAGCAGCTCGACGGCTGGGGAGGCATTGGCCGTCGAGCTGGCAGGAGGACACGCAGGGCGTGGCTGGCTCGGGAGCCTCGATCGAGGGAGGGTTATTGTAAACGTGAAGTCATTCAAGAATTAAAGCCTAGTAAGGAAGCCGGTGGATGAAGATAGCCGCCGGATTGGGTCAAATCGGAATGGTCAATGGCGATTGAAACGTCAATGAATGTGTTGTATTTGGACTTTCGGAGACGGCAAGTTGTGAAATTTGGAGATGAAAGCTTGGAGGTGGAGCAGCCCAAGCAAATGCGCGTCCCGCCATTGGCCCACGGCTCTACACTCCCACGCTTGGCCGTTCCTGGCGCCGTCGGGTGAAGTGCGCTTGACACATTGACATCCACATCGGGCAAGTGAACTCACTTTTACTTAAAAAGGTTCACAACCTCGCCGGAGCAGAACCTCGTGGTGGTTGACAGCTTACCTATTTAATCCAACAACGCCCGTGGCAATTGACCAGTCAATATGGCGCACTCTTTCGAGCCTATGAAGAACGACCTGATCATTCGGGCGGCCTGGGGTGAGCAGCAACGTCCCGGCATGTCTCATAGCGAGGACATGTGACTAACGTTCAAACTCAGGCCAGAAGGTCGAGAGACCTCCGATGTGGGTGATGAGGCAAGGTAAGTCACCCACCGCAGATCTCTCATGCCTTCCCTCCTCAAAAGAGCTTGCCCCGACTGAACCCTGTCACAGCTGGCCGGTACCTGCCCGAGTATCACGAGGCCAAGGGCAGCCGGGACTTCTTTGAGTGCTGCCGGGACCCGGAGGTGGCCTCGACCCTCACCCTGCAGCCCGTCGAGCGCTTCGCCGGCCTCATCGACGCCGCCATCATCTTCTCCGACATTCTCGTCATCCCGCAGGCCATGGGCATGGTCGTCGAGATGGTCGACAAGAAGGGCCCCCACTTCCCCAACCCGCTCAGGTCGCCCGACGACGGCCAGTACGCCGAGGTGCTGGCGCGGGACGTCGACGTCTCCAAGGAGCTCAAGTACGTCTATGACGCCATCACGCTGACCCGCAAGAAGCTCCGGGGCCGGGTGCCCCTCATCGGCTTCTGCGGCGCCCCCTGGACCCTCATGTGCTACATGGTCGAGGGCGGCGGCACCAAGCTGTTCATCCAGAGCAAGACCTGGATCTACAAGTACCCCGAGGAGACCAAGAAGATGCTGCAAAAGATCTCCGAGCTCTGTGTCGAGTATCTCGCCCTTCAGGTCCAGGCTGGAGCACAGGTATGTCGTTATCATGAGTGGTAACTCGAGCTGGTAGCTGATCAGTGCACCACTAGCTCATCCAAGTATTCGACTCTTGGGCCAGCGAGCTGTCGCCGGCCTCGTTCAAGGAATTTGCGCAGCCCTACCTCGCATACATCTCTGAGAACCTGCCCAAGCGCCTCAAGGAGCTCGGCCTGGAGCCGGTGCCCATGATTGTCTTCCCCAAAGGTGCCTGGTACGCCTTGGACGCCTGCTGTAGCCTGGGCTACAACGTCGTCGGCATGGACTGGCTCCATGACCCGGCCGAGGCGTCCAAGATTCGGGGCGACAGGCCTATCACCCTGCAGGGCAATGCCGATCCCGGCGTCTTGTACGGCACGAGGGAGTCCATCTCGAAGGTGGTGAAGAACCTGGTGGAGGGCTTCGACTGGCACAACAGGCAGCAGGGTTGGATAGTAAACTTGGGCCACGGTAAGAGCCAGCTGTATAGATTCCTTCAAAGGTTATGTTGACTCTAACACTGTTTCCAGGTATCACGCCGTTTGTCAATCCAGACGATCTAAAGTACTTCTTTGAGGAAGTCCACCGCCAGACCAAGATATGATGGGCTTGATATTGCGAGGACGGTTGACTAATGCAAGATAGAAAGTAAAGGTCTAGATGGGGAAATTTGTCCCATGTATGGTATGGTATATATGATCCAATATTCAAAAGCCATCAATTTGGTCTAGACGGCATCAGACAACGTATCGAGTTCAAACCTCGTCCTATTCATGTTAGCCAGAAAAAATACCCAACTCCATCTTCACTGCATCAACCGTCACTTCTGGTAACCTACCATGAGTTTCTCCAACCAATATAACCTCCCATGCTCTTGCAGACGCCTTGGCTCTGCTTGTTGTCTACGTGCACGTCGGCGGCGCACCAGCCATCGTCGCTGAACGCCGGGTGGTGCTGCCTCATAATCCGCACGGCCAGTGCCTTGGCCAGGCCCTTGCCGCGGTACGGCTCTTCGACATGTAGCGTTGATAGAGTCCCGTCGACACCTATCTGGACATCAGCTAGGGTTCTCACTTTAGAGTCTCAAGGGAACTAGGAAAATTGACGAGGCTGTGACTTGACACGACCTACCCATAAACGCCCAAGCAACCATCGTCCCATCCTTCAGTCGAACAGACATACTCGGCAGCGTCATCAACGTAGCCCTGCAACGCACAATCTCAGTCAGTCGCTCAGTCCTTCCACTTTTTGACTCTCTCTCCTCTGTCCCTCTCCCCTTCTTCCCTCTCCCCTGACTCCAACCTCCCACCACCCCCGCAATCCAACACCACCCAACAACAGCAACCAAACAAACTCAAAAAGGGGGAAACGAAAAAACTCACTCAGACTTGGGGATCCTCGTCCTCGAGATAACAAGCCGGCAGTCCTCCGCACCCTCCACGACCCCCCACCCCATCCCCTCCCGCGCCATCCACTCCCGCACCGCATCCTCCGCCCCGGGCCACGGCAGGTCCCCCAGAGGCAGCAGCCACTTCTCATGGACGTTGGTGTACGACGTCCGCAACCCCCCGCCGCCGCCGCCGCTGCCGCCGCGCAGCAGCACCGCCTCGCGCAGACCCCCGTGCAGCGAGCCGAACATGACCCCCAGGCCCGCACCCTCGGCCCGCGCGATACCGCGCACGCGCCGCATCACGGCGAGGAGCAGGTCCGCGGCCGGGGCCGGGGCCGGTAAGGTGCCCGGGTGGCCGTCCTCGGTGGTGGCGTAGGGGAAGACCTGCGTCTCTGGGTGCCGCGAGAGGTCGACGTAGGCGGCGGCGAAGTCGTCGCCGCCGGCGCTGCTGTTGGTGGTGGTGGTGGTGGTGGTGGTGGTGGTGACCCAGAGTAGGTGTGCCGTGGGCGTGCGGCCGGCGGGGGAGTGCTGCGCGAACTGGAGCCTGCGCAGGACGTGGTGGGAGTACGGGAGGTGCTGGGAGAGGAGGGCGAGGATGTGTGTGCTCTGATCTGGGGGTAAGGGGATGGGGAGGTCCTGGACTGTTATTTGGGGTGGCATTGTGGGCTGGTGGAGTGAGGCTGGGTGTTGAAGGAGGGTATGGAATGATGGGGAGGGGTTACAATAGAGAATGAATATAGTATCGGGGATTTATATGTGGGAGAAGATGTAGATCACTCGTTCAACAAAGTCGTATAAGTGCTGTTGTTGATGCTCGACGTGAGTCAATGAGTTGTGAGACCCGCATATTGGAAGCACCTGCCGCTTCTAGTAACATGCTGTCAGAGAGAGTCTTGTGGTTGTCAACTCGACGTGTAGAAACGGTATCCGTTGTCAACTCCTTGAGGGATTGATTCAATTGATTGAAATAATATGTTTTTGAAACATCTCTACTTTTCTAAACCCTCGTCGGAATCCCGACTTCCAAGAAGTACTAACAATACACCAAAAACGCCCAACTCGAGTCCCCTCCCAGACTGACCAAACATCGGGTATGCAGCGCAGCGCAAAAGCAACCAAAAACAAGCAAAGACACTCCATCGCAGCACGGCGAGGAAGTGCGTCATACATCCACAACAACACCACAGCACATCATGACCTCTTCCCCATGAGCCAGTCCCTGCCCTTCTGCGCCAGCCCGCCATGCCCATCCGCAGCAGCCCTGCCGTCCCTCTCCCTCTCCGCCTCCTTCTCCTTCCCCTTGCCGCTCTCCCTCATCCTCTCTCCCGTCGCGACCCGCCGCAGGTCCTCCGTGTCGACGGCGACGGCGCTCTCGTCCCGCGCCCTGCGCGCCGCCTCCGCGTCCTCGGGCTTGAACACGTTGCCGCCGCCGCCGCGCCCGACGAGCGTGGCCCCGTGGCTGTCGCGCCTCGTCACGGGCCCGACGTCCTGCCGCGCGCGCGTCTCGGCCGGGTCCGTGTTGCGCGCCATGTTGCCCGTGCCGCCGCGGCCCGTGGTCACGACGCTCGTCTTGAGGGTCGGCGTCTCGAGGTCCTTGGGCTGCAGCTTGGGCGACTTGGTGCTGTCGACCATGTTGCCTGCGCCGCCGCGGCCCGAGGACGCCATGTGTCCGCTCATTTTTGGATGTTTGGGTGTGGTAGGTGTGGAAGAATGTGGTTTTTGTTTTGCTTGTTGGGGGGGTATGCGTGGGTTTCCTCGAGAGTCAGAGGGCGAGGCGAGGAAGTGCGTCTGACTATATAGTAGAGCGCAGGAGAAGATAGGTTCTGGTGATTTCGAGTTGTGCGTGTCCGTTCTCCTCGATCTTATTCGGTGAGTGCGTGGGCGCAAAGCGTAGGTCGAGGAGCGAGAATGGTGCCGAGGCGAGAGGGGTAAAGATTGCGACACAGTCTTGGCTTGCGCAACCCGACACAGACAGCTGCCTTGTAAACGGAAGAGGGATTCTTTCCGCTATTTCGGGTCCGAATGGAACAATGGCAGCCTCTTGGTCAAAACAAGATGTTTACTCAAAGAACTGTTTATCAATTCGAGTCCAACAGACAGGAGTTGTGGTCAAGACTTCCAAAACACTTCTTATATGCGCAAGAAAAAGGCAAGAGTCACCCCTTGCGCAAGGCGGGCAAGTCTGGTGGTGCGCAGTGCAAGTGCAGGGCGGGGCGGGGCGGGTCGCACCTGTGCCCCATGAAAAAAAAAGTCCAGCTGATCAGCAGCCCTTTTCTTTTCTTGGCTTTTGGAAGGGACCAGACCAGACCGCAAGTGCCGTTCCCCCCACCGGGCGACTTGAAGAGACGCCTGGTCACTACCTAGGTACCTAGGTAGGTAGTCAAGTTAGCGATAGCCGACTCTGTCAGGTCCTGCTGTACAAGTATCTTCGAAGCTTCGAAGACTTGAGCTGAGGATCCACACCAGCAACCTTGCGGACCAAACTGACAAGGTCAGGGCTTCGCAACTACTTGTACTTGTACTACCCTCCAATCCACATCCTACAGACACACTCCGCCATCCACGAAACAGTCATGTCATTACAAAAATCACACAAGGCAAAATGGTCACAACCTTCTGTCGGGGTAATTTTTTGGTGTTTTTGTTAATATACTTGGATATCTAGATAGGTAATACCATGCATCTCCTCTCAGCGGTCGAGCTCCCCCCAAGTTCGACCGATGCAGTCAGTCCCCCAAGGTGTCGGCTCAGTCAGTCGGCCGAGAGCGTGCCTCTCGATGTCCGTCTCGTATGTCTGTGTTATAGTTATCCGTGTGTGTGTGTGTGCGTTCCCGACGCCCACGGTACTGGGTCTGGCATGATATGCATAATCTCTAGTAGTTTCCCGCCCGCCTGCCCGCCTGCCCGCCTGCCCGCACATCTCTCTTCGCCCGGTTCGGTTCCCAGTGATCAAGTGATCAATCAACCGCACCCGTACGAATACCAAATCTGGCCCTCTAGAATTCCCACCAAAACCCCCCACCTTCGTCAAAAACCGAGGCTGGCAGAGGGCGCAAAGGGCAACCATGGCAGGGGTGGCGGCAGCACGAGGCGGCATTGGCTATGCGCTCTTTAGTCGTCGAAATCATCCCCATCACCACCGTTCTTCGAACTACTGGCTCCTTCTTTCCTAATCGGGATCTTAATTCCCTGAGAGGCAAAACATTTGCTGAGGGGAGTGCTCTCGCAGACCCCAGGGAACTTCTTGGCCGAGTAAACCTGGAATATGTCGCTGAAGCACGACGCCAGCACCGGCGCCTTACCAGTGTTGAGCAGACCACCCTGGTCTGACGACGATCCGTTCGCGTCGCTTGGTTGCGGGCCGACGTTGACAAAGGAAAAGCGTAGTCTTTTGAAGATTGTTCGTTAGTGATGTGCCGTGCCGGGAAAGCAAAGCACTGGCTAGTGGTGAGTGGCTTACCGGAAAGAGCCTTCGGTACGGACGCTGAGGTCCTGCAAGACAAACCAGATGCCGATCTTGTCGTCAGGGTCGGTGAGTCTGAAAGCGCTGGCAGCCAGGCTTCCAATGAGGTTCCTGGTGAACATGCCTTGCGGCTGGTTGGCACCCCCGGGCATGCGTTGTGCCATCTCCATCTGGCTAAGTTCCCATGAGGATCGAGGGACGCCATAGGGTATGGGTGGATGGGGGCCTAGAGGCGACATGCCCGCCGTATCAGTCCTGTATTCTGCAACTTGATGCGGCGGATAGTATTGTGTGGGCGGGGCATAGCCTCCGTTCGGATTTGGCGCGTATGCCGGTCCTGAATAAAGAGAAATCATGGTTAGCTGCGACTGCTCATGCAAGACCGAGACACGATGGGTTATCTACCATGGGCATACGGCCCCGAAGCGCCATAGGGGCTCATGCTTGTTGGGCCGTAGCCCTGACCGGGATACCCAGTGTCGCGGCTGGATGGTAATATATTGGAGGGGTAGGCCGGCAAGTTCTCAACCTGCACGTAGGACGCTGGGGTAGTCGATGATATGGAGGGCGTCGTGGTTGTATGTCGCACAAGGTTGACCTCACCTAGCGCATTTTCGGTCCACAGATCGACGTTCAATACGAACATGCTGTAATCAATATCGCTGCACAGGGCCCGTCAGAGACGGCTCCCCAGTGTTTTTTTCTTGCTTGGGGGAGGAGCGCAAGACTTACTTGCAATCCACCTCCTTGCCCGTCGCCGCGTCAAAGACCCGGAGTTGGACGCATGGCGGCGGCGTTATGGGCCTCCGGTCCTATCCAGTTGCGCGTCAGCCACTTCTGAGACATTCCAGACGGTGCGTCCGCACAGGTGCGAGGTCGAGAATACCTTGTCGCCGAAACCGCACATTCGGGCGCGTTTTGGTTGTTGCACGACGTGGAGCCTGTCACAGTTCTCGGGTCAGCCAGCCGTTCCTGGCAACGTGGTTCGAGCTCCTGGCACCCATCTGCAGGGGAGGAGCGAGGTAAGAGGCTCGCCGCCGCCGCCGCCGCCGCCGCCGCTGGGGCGCGATACACAAGACGCACGCGAGGGAGCGAGTCGGCGCAGCTGCGGCGTGCGTGCGGAGGGGGAGCTCGGCGTGGCAAGGCTGCTTACTCGTATCGCCGGCCATATAGTACCACAGACGAGGGCCGGAGGGCGTCGTTGGTTCGGGTAAGTTCTTCGGCCGAGGGTTGGGCGACGTCCTTGTGAGAGGCCGTCGTGGCCGCGGCGATGGTGGCGGGGTGACCCAGCGGGGGTATCGCACCGTATTGCTCGCCGCCGTATACGTTCAGACGCACACCCACGTTAGCTGGAATAGTGCTCGGCAGGCCGAAAGAGTATGAGGATCCGGACGGGTTCGGTAGTTGTTGATGCATGTCGCCCGGCGTGCCTTGGAGTGGGAGTTGATGCTGGGACGGATGTTGGGGTGGAGGCGGAGGCGGCGGCTGGTGCTGATACTTGGGATTGTGAGAGTTCATTGTCGCATCAGCCGGAGGGGGGAAACGTGGGCGGTGGGAGTGGAAGAACGTATCGGGCTGGAAGAGGAGAAAGTGTTGGCAAAGGTAGCAGGGGAGAGTTGAAGCGAAGAGAAGAGAAGAGGAGTGCTAGTCTCTTGGGTTTATATGCCTTTCTTTGTGGTGTGTCGAGGTCAAGACTGGGAGGAGCGTGAGGGGAGATGTTTAGATGGGGTTTGATGGGGCATTGGCTCCCGGCGAGCAAGTAACTACTTGTAGGGAACTAGGTACGTTAGCTACCTACCTAACTAACCTGGTTCAGCACAAGTCGAAAGAGTGGTTCACTCGCGGTAGCCGTAAACTTAAATGTTAGCAGGTCAAGTAGCTGCTGGGTCTCTGCAAGGCCAACCCACCCCCCCGATGCACACACACACCACACCGTGGAGAACCGCATACAAGTAGTCGCACCACCCATTTTGCGGGGGCAGATACCTGACAGGGGGCTGGTGCTTTTGTGCTCACACCGTACCCAGACGGACCCAGACAACAACCATCTTGCGAGCATTTGAACAAGGCACTAAGAAGTGAAGTGTCAGAGGTTTTCGCGAGATATTTTTTTTGGATGGATGCGTCGTTGCGTCGATTGCGGCAGTGCCCGTGATCTAACTACAAGTACCTTACGCCGAGACCGAAACCAGTCTCCCTGATAAAGAAATCTCTCTCTCTCTCTCTCTCTTCTGTGACATACATGCATCCATCTAGGCATCGAGAAAAAGAAAGATGAGCTCTCTCCACGAGGCGCCACGAGGAAGGCAGCTAGTGCCACAGGTGACAGGGTCCAGAACTACCTCAAAGCTATTTAGATGCTTCCCTTTTTTTTTTTAGCTCAGCCGCAGGACTCCGGAGCTGTGTGGTTTACAGCCCGTACTCCGTACTGACTTGACGTCAGGTACTTTAGCTTAGGTATAGGTAGCGAGCTAGTGCTAGCGCACAGCGGCATGTGGTTCCGTCCTGTTCTCCAGCTCTGCGCCTGGGCACTGGCTCCATCGCTGATCATCGCAGGAGGGGGGAAAAAACGTCTGTGTCCTCCTCACCCGGCACGTCGTCTGATGCTGCACGCGCACTGTCGCCAACCCTTCGTCAAAGCCTTGAATGATGGCCGCTGGGATGCCGGGGTTGTGATACCAGGACAGCCCGGAGCCCGGAACCCCAGTTCTATTTTCTGCAGCACGAGGGAACAATCTAGAAGGGATGTCCGGATTGCGAATTTGATCTCTCTCTCTCTCACCCCAGGCAGGCCCTCTCGCCTCACTCGGCCTGCATGTCTTTCCGGGATCGAGCGAGCCTACGAAGACGGGACGATCTTCTCTCCGGCCGCCCTGTTCAGAGCTACCTAGGTAAGTTGTGCCTCTCGTTGATCTGAAATGAGCTTTGGGCCCATCGGACCACGACCCTTCCTGCAAGCTCTTTTATGAAAGGGTCCCCGCACTGCACATCAAATGCTCTCGACAAACTACTCGGTTCCCCAGCACATCCGCGCACATTCCCCTCGCCCTCGAGGGTTCGGACAGCCTGCAATTCGGCCCGCCGACATTGGGCAACGTCGATGAGCAGCTATTTTGAGCCAGTATTGCTGGTCCTGTGGGAAGCCATGGGACCCAAACCATGAGATTGTAGAGATTACAGGACTGTACCTATCCCCAAGACCGGGTGCTGACGAGATCGCACGGAACTCAGCTCACTCACACGGCCGTCATCTATCACTTTCGAATATAGCTAGCTAGTCCGGGCCAATCTCTTGCTCGCTCGTCAAGGCCCAGTGCCACACCCCGGTTGCGCTTCCTTGGCCCAAGGTATGCATATTCGGCAGGACATATCGAGCACCAGATCACGAGCCTCCCGCGCGGGTGGATACATGGGGGCCGGTCAGGCACAACGCGGCCTTTCTTATATTGCTTAATCAAAGTATCCGGGTGCACGATGTGCTGTGAGAGCCTGTCCCACGCCTGCCACGCCTCGGCCATATCCCAGAAAAGCAGCCAAGGCAACGGGACAGCTCCCTTATTCAGCGCAGCAGCCGGCTCTGGTTTCTCCACAACGGTGACAGCTCAGATGAAGGCACCCACCCACTGAGCCGTGCTGGGACAGATGCCCTGCAGCCCTGTCACCGTGGTGTGTACCGACTGATTCCTGGTACACCGGTGGTGTGGATAGTCTTACCTGGCGCCAGTAACAGAAGGTGCTTGAGACTTGCTTACTTATGACTCTTTCAGTCCGAGCCAAGACTCGCAAGACTGGCCTGGCCATCCTCGTAGGAGAATCCCATCCGAGTGCGGGATTACAACACACTTGTTTCGGACCGAAATGACCGCGAGTATTGGCCTTCATGTGCATCTACAATAGGAAGAAGGCTGAATGCCAGGCGGCTGTACCTCTTCTGACAAGCCTTGCAAAGGATTTGAGAGGTGCTGGCCATCGGCACCAAAGGGGTTATGATGAGGTTGAACGTCGACGGACAGATTCCCCAAGGCACAATGAACGGATGGCTCGTTGGTGTCGCTGCAAGGTAGTTCACTACCCTGTAATAGTGGTGGAGGTGGCATATACTTGTACAGCATGGCCAGGACACAAATGTGATGGATGGTGTGACTAGCCAGAGATGGCAGGCAAGTCGAGCTGTTGTGACACCTTGGATACTGCTGACGGTCGGTCAGGCCGTCAAGCCACCCTACCAAGATGTTGGGATGATGAGCACGCACTCTTAGTCCGGGCAGACAGTCTGTGCATCTCCCTCCAGGATAGGCAATGTCTCGTGGTGGTGGGTGGTACGCAAGGTATTCACGACCTCCATCAAAACACACTATGGGAGAGAACAACAACGAGGAAGGGTGTTGGCGAGCTGCATTAACGAGCTCGCCGTGGTTTGCCTTGGAACCCAAGCTTTCGTGAGAGATGGTTCGGTCTCCGCCTTGCCAGATCTGCACCAGGGACCGCGCGCCGCTGGTTCGCGTATCTTGACAACCCGGGAAGTCCTTGGTTGGCCCCACGACGAGACGAGGCGAGATATCAGATGAGCCAAGTGCATTACCGTTTACTCAAATAGGTGTAAGTGTCAGCCTCAAAATATCTCACTCTGATCCTTTCAAGGGCGCTGGGCGCCACCACCCTTGTCTCTTGGATACCGCATCGATCTTTTTCTCGATTTGTGATCGCCTCGACACACCCCAGATGTCGATCAGAACGTAGTCGTGATGCCAGACTCCCAAAAGAAGAATCCGAAACGTTCCAGAAGCGCCCTAGGTTGCCCATCTGGCAAGATCCTCGTGGGACACCTTCCTATCGAGTCGCCTTCGTCCCGTCTACTTGTGTTGTCATCCGACCGAGCCGAATTTGTCAACCTGCAGGCGCACAGACAGTTCATGGCCGGCGTTCTCTGACCTGCATCGTCTGTTCTTCACTCAGATGCCACGTGGACGAGGCCTTGGGCGCCGCGCGGCCGAGCAGGGAGAGTTCATTACGTCCCTTGGCAGTCGCAAAAGGCTGAGAGTGAGTGTGTGACTGGCCACATACTTCCACTGGACAGCCTCATCTCGACTTCTTATCTGGTAGCCTAGAGCGTTCCGGAAACCAATATGGAATTCTCCTCGAAAGTACCGCAATGGGGTTCTCGGGATAAGTCAGACCTTGCACGAAGAATAGCTGGATCAACAAAGGACCAAGAAGCTTCAAGCCGAGGAACCACTATTTGAGCTTGTTTGTAGCAAGCAGCTTTCGAGGTTGTGATTTCAAGCCGAATGTTGACTCTTCTTGGTCGATCTTGAAGAGTCATGGACGCCTCTTGTCGGCCCTTGATGCCGACAGCGCTTCATGATATTTTGGAACCGACAACGCCAATGCTGAATGGGGCCTCCGACACTTTCTCCAGAACCATCTCATCACATTTTCAAAACTTCGACTGCCTCATTTACTGGAACAGAAGGACCGTGTGCTTGAGGAAAGATACCGAAAGGTTCTCGGATACACGGCTACCAGAGCCAAGCGGACTCACTCGACTGCGTCACAACGCACGACACAATCCTATAAACTATTACCTAGTGATCGTCATTGTGTGCCTTCTTTTTTCTTATTCTTTCGCTAGCGCCCTCATGGCAAAGCAAACCCTCCTGCCGCCAAGCAGGAAACCGCGTACCACGGGTCGACGACCGACGGGCAGCGACAGACTCGGGATGCGACATGGTGAAACAAGCTGCACGAGCAAGGGCACCCTTGACACAGGAATTGTTGGGAATATGCACGTCATGCCTCCCCCCCTCCCAGACGTACATACTTTGGGTCAAGGAAAGAGTACGGAAATAACTCTGCTCGATCATGATAGCTTCTCTTTGGAACCCCCCCCCCCCTTCCTTCTCGAGTCACACAAGGAGGAGCTCCACTACATTACTTTTGTCACGGAGGACTGAGGACTGACCGACTGACTTCCTTGTGCTCGGCAAACACGCTCCATCTGTGCACCCGTGGGTACGAATTCTCTCTCCCTCCCTCTCCCTCGCGCAGCGCGCGCTCTTTCCAAGCCAAACTGGGGCGGACTTCCGGTTTTTTTTTTCTTCTTTACTTTTTCCCTGTGGCGAGCGAGCCCATCATGGTTGCTCAGACCGCTCGAGAAAACATCCATGCCCAATCCGCGCGAGTTATCTCCTCCAGAACCGCCCATGGCAACCTCTTCACTGGAACCGCCGCCCATGGTGAGTCCTTCAAGGGAAAAGGGGGGAAAAAATCGAACCGAGACCTCGTGAAGGATGCTATGCCAGTCAGTAAGCAAGCATGCAAGCTTCACTTCATGTTGCCGCCCTGGAACCACATCTGCCCCAAGTCATGAGTATTCTACACGCACATGTACAGAGAGGAAGCAAAACAGGACAAACTTTCTCTGCTGGACCAAATCCTCTGAATGTTGCCTCTGTTAGCTCCAGACTTCCATCCTATAGTGTACGTGCTACGAGGCACCCGCCCAACCAACACGTAGTTGTCCATCTTCCACATTTGCAGTGATACCGAAAAGACATGCTCGGGCAGCTCCAGGCCCGCTACGGCACAGTAGTCGCTGGCAAGGAAGGAAAAACCCAAGGGTGCCACAGTACACACGCCGCTGCTGTGCTCCGCCTGCTTCTGGCTTCACATTGCTCCCCGGAGTGTCGGTGAGATGTGACAGCTGGGCGGTCGCGGCGAACTCCGGCTGCCCCCCGTGGAAGTTCGAGAAGGGAGCCTGGAGGCATGTTGTAGGGAAAATGTTGTGACGACTTTGTCGAGCCCTACAATAGACTGTCTCCCTCTAGCCGTCCTTTCCAAAGGACGCATGAAGAGCCACCATGTCCATTGAGACCATGAGCGAGCAATAACTCATAGTCACGTCACGTTTGCAGAAAATGTCAGAACCTCATGTTCATATTTGATATCTCGGCTTTGGAATCCGCCTGTCACACTGCGCCCTCAGAAGAAGCAACTCCTCTCCCTTCCCTTCTCCGCCCTTTTTGTCCAGCCAGTCAAAGACAGAAAAATAAGATAGCCCTTCTTGTCTCGTCCTTGCCCTTTACCCATTTACCCCCTTGTCCCTTGGTCAAGTTTCCTTTTTTGGAAAAGTTAAAAGAGAATAAGGTAGTTCACAAAAGAGAAAAAGAAAGAAAAAAAAAACATCGTCCCAGCTTCCCTCTGCAAGAAAACAGGAGAGCAAAGGGCTATGAAGAAGAAAGCCAGATTTTGACTGGCGAGGAAGAGGGTTATGGCACAATTAATTACACATGAAGAAGGGGTGTGTGGTTTGTAGTAGTGGAAGTAGTTTGATGCTTGTATGTCCGGCTGTCATCGCGGGGAGGAAAAGGGAACAAGGATGTGACAGCGCATGCTCGCATGCTCGCTTGCTTGATCATGGGAGGTTCGTGAGGAATGCTGAAGGCCTTTTCGGTGTCGATGCTGCCCCCTCCCCATCAGAGGGATAAGGGTAAAGAAACGGGGGGCTCGTCTCATGGCAGGATAGCGATTTCACGCGCCGGACGCCTCCTAAGTCGTGCGGGAGGGGAAAAACAAAAAGGTAATTCGCTTCGCTTCGCTGGCGGGAGGGACAAAACCCCTCCAGAAGGTTGAAGAAGAGTACACATCATGTAAAGAATAAGAGGAAGGAAAAAAACGCCAAGTCGCCATGTGTATCTCTTCTCATGTATGAGCCCGCCGACCCCCGGTGTCCTCATTCGAGAAGAGTGTGTCTTGTCGTGTCATGTAGCATCATCGTTGTCCTGTGAAGGCCGTCTTTCGCTAGCTCATGCTCTTCTTTTCTAGGGAAAAAATATTTTATGTGCAGTCGTTGGCTAGGGAGCCGGCAGCCCTGTCTTTCGTGAGTTCCTTCATTTCGCTGCTGCTGGTGCTGCCTCTAGTCGTGTTCGTCGACGGTCGTTGTCTGTGCTGCGCCTCTCCACTCTTGTCTAAGAGTCAGCCAGCTTGGCAAAGTGCTTGCTCCAGATCCAGCCGACCTGGTCGTGCGGGTCGTCCTGGTTCTTGGCCAGCCACAGCTCGCCCTTCTCAGCGATCACGTCAAAGATCTCGCCCGCCTGGTAGGTCAGGTAGGGGTATCCGGCCTCGTGCTTCGTCGTCTCGATGTTAAACTCAAACAGCGATGCCGCCAGCCACATGACGTTGTATCCGGCGTTCCGGTCTCCGCCGCGCTCGCGAGACGAGGCACGAGAAGACTTCCTGCTGTCCTCTGCGTCGTCGGGCAACGGCAGCGCCGAGTGGAACAGTCCCGAGAAGCGCCTGCTCTCTTGGCCAGCTGTTGCTGAAGAGTTGGGCGGGTAGTTCGAGTTGTAAGTGGACCCAGAATCTCTCCTGCTCTGCATGCCCGATGGGGGTGCTGGCGGGGGCTGCGTTGGCGGTGCAGGGCCGGACTCGGTGCTCTGGCGGGGAAGAACGCTGGAATCATAGCTGCGGCCGGTGCTAGGGCGCGCCGATCCTCCGGCCACTGAACGCGAGCTTGCGGAGCCTAGCTCCGGGGTGAGAGGCTGTCCACTCTGACCGGCATTGCTGCTGCTGGTGTTGATGCCTGCATAGTAGTCCCTGTAGTAATAGTGGTGTGGACTACTGGGCATCGTGCCACTCGGAGGTCCACCCATGATGTTGCCTGTGGTGATGACGAACTGACCACTGGTGCGTCGGCCAAAGTCAGGTGTGGGAAGTGTAGGCGCTAGATCGCTGTTCTGCGAGAGGCCTCGGCCACGAGGTGACAGATCCGACGGACGGGGTCTCGATCTCCCCACATCTCCATCAGTAGTGGACTGCGACGTCCGCGGCTTGAGCGTGGGGTTGAGAATGCCAAGGCTGTTGATCTGCTCCTCCAACTCCTTGAATTCTCGATGGAACGTAGTGGTGATCTCCGAGAGCTCTGGGACATGCTGGCTGTCGAGTACCACCTTGACTTTCTCCTTCCAGATCGAGAACCAGTTTGTCTGGATATTGACGAAATTGGCGAGGCAGATGTTACCAATCTTCTCGGTGTTGGCCGAGAGCTTGGGCAGCTCCTTCTTGAGAGTCTCATTCAGCGCCTCGTATTGCTCGACAAATTCTGTGAGTTGCTTGTCGACCTTCTTGCCGCCCTTCTTGAGTTGGACAGCCTTTTCGTAGTCCAGACGTCTCTTAGCGCGCTTCTTCATCGCCAGCGAGGGATTGCTGTAGCATTTGATGACCTGTTCGAACGGCTCAATTACCTGCTTCCGAACTTGGGAGAGCTGTCTTCCAGTTAGCAAGTGAAAATCAATAATGGGTCCCGGGTCTCTTACATGTTGCTCTAATGCCACCTTCTGGATATCCCTCATGGAAACGTTGAAACGAGCCCACTTGCTCTCTAGCTCAGGCCAGGGAGAGGGCTGCAGCCGCATGACGAGCTCCATAGCGGACAGGTATTGCAGAAACTCGTGGACGTAGGCCGAGACTTGCCGTGTGTAGAACTCGACATCTCTCAGAACGACCTGGAGACGCAGGTAGTCGTCGCCGAATTTCTCATGCAGCTTCAGATACTCGGGATCTTCTGCAGGCCTGCTGCCAGATGCTTGCAGCTTGTCGACACGTTTGCCAAACGCCCTGGCAAAGCCAGCCCTGACGTCAGACTCCTTGCGTTTCCTGCCAACAATCTGACCGACCAGTTCAAAGTTCTTCTTGGTCTTGTTGATCTCAAGAATGGCATTCTCCAGAGCTGTGCGCGCCTGCATGAGCGAGTCTCGGTCTGGGTGATCGGAAGGCGTATGCTGAAGCAGCTGCGTGATCAGGTTGGGATACTTGGTGATGCGTTGCATGGGCTTGATCAGAAGTGAGTCCAGGTTCCATGCAGCCGTGAGATCCTTGGCCACCTCATTGCATTCGGTGAGCCAGACCTTGACTGTGGGATCCTCCTGAATCTGGATCAGTTTCTTGGCAGCTTGGTCACTAGTCCGCAGGAACCCCTCGTGAGCAGCCCGCATGGCTTCGATATTGGCCATAAACAGAGGGCCCAATGATGTCTGTCTATCTTTAATGTCATCGAGTGCGCCGCTTGCCGCGTTCGAATTGATAGTCATTGAATCAGAGATGACGGAATCCTCGCGACTGTCAACTGGTGGAGGCGATCGCCCTCCTTTGGGCGAGTACACGCTCGAGACACCATCCTTGAGTTGTGCTAAGAAGGACGTGTGGAAAGTGATGATCTCGTCCGTGTTTCTGAAGATCAGCTTGACTGTCTGCGTGTCCAGCTTGGTGCATGCGTCGGCAGTGCCCTTGTAAATCTCTTCGACGATGTTCATGTCTCGGACAAAGACAGCCTCCGTGTCAACTAGTTCCCTGATGACCATCTGTCGCTGGGTGAGACGACTCTTTTCCTTGCTCGGCGGGGCTTGCTTTTCATTGCTGATGCTTTCTCTGCTAGCAGTGGCTTCGTCCTGCATCTTCCGGTCCTGTTCAAACAAAGTGTCGCCGCCAATAGAACGAAGAGATGGCTCGAGTGAAGGTCTCTCGGCAGACAGGGGTGTGGACGCCGCTTGCGAGAAGTCAGGCGTGAAGTCGTGGCTCTCCGGCCTCGAGGGGGCAAACCCGGATGAGCCTTGTTCGCCCGGAATGGAATGCGAATAGGTGCTTGATCGCATCTGCTCATAGTATCCCATGGACGAGCTACGTGCCGTTTCGTGGAGGGATCGCTGAGCTGATGTTGGAATTGGAGGGGGGCTATGATCTGGCAGCATTGGGGCCGATTGAGTCGCTGCGTTATCCGAAAGGTATGGTATCGAGAACCCATCACCAGTGTCGAGCTCTGGGAGCTGATGTTGACTTGCGTATGACACGCGAGGCTGTGACTCGTCCAGAGGTGACAGCTCGGGGCTGTACTGAGGCTCCTGGTAGCCAGGCTCTTCCGAGCCAGACTCAGGGCGTGATCCAGGTGGTCGCACTGGCCGCCGTGTGACGACTACTGACCCGCTGTTGCGACCCGTCGATTCCCTGGCAGAACAGTCCTGTCCATCGCTGCTATCGACAGAAAAGTCGGTCCACCCGGATTGCTGACTCGACCTGTTGGCAGGAGAGGCCAAGGCCGGAACGGTCAGGCTGTGGGACGTTTCCGGTGTTCTCTGATACTCGCCCGAGCTCGGGACTGGCTCGTCTGAGAACTCGGAAGGAGCAAATGCCGAGTCTCGCAGAACAGCGACGTTGTCCCTGAGGGAGGTACCTCCATAGAAGCCTTCGAAATTTTCCAGATGGGCCCTCTTAGCGACGCTCGAGTCGTCTCCAGCGTCCGATCCGCCAACGCCAAAATCGGAATCGCGGCTCACGATGGTGACGGTGGTGTGATGTGAGTCAGGAGAGTACGGCTGGGCCTCGAAGTCTGGCTCTATGTCTGCCGTTTCCAGCATCGGCTCGGGTCCGCCGCCTGGTGCAAATTCGCCGCGCAGCAATTCGCCCAGGTTTGCAGAAGGCGTTATCGTGGGGTAGTCGGACTCAGATTGTCTCTCTACCTCTTCTTCCTCGTATGCTTGGTCGGGCTCCTCAACGTACTGACCCTGATGGTAATCATCTCCCGAGAGCTCTAGCGCAACAGGAACATTGTCGAACTCGACATTGTCCACTGAAGCTTCATGCTCGTCAACAGACTTTTGATGTGGTGAAGGCATTGTATCAAGCGAGATCTGGATAGACGCGCTGTCATCCTGCATACCCGTCTCCTCGAAAGGCGAGCGGTATTCGACCTTGTCATGGGACGGCAAACCAGGCGAAAAAGCCACACCGATTTCTGCAGATCGCGGTGACTCGGTATCTGGAGTGGCCACCTCGAAAGGTGACCGATATGTAGCCCTCTCGTGATGGGTCAGTATAGGCTGCGGCTTGGGCACGCTCGGCTCTGGTTGTGGAGCTTCGAGAGGTTCCTGTACTGGCGGCTCGGTTTGTGTCTCGTTATCAAACTCTGTGATTGCCGACGTAGTGGATATGGCCGATTGTGGGATTTCTTCCTGGTCGGACTTTGGAGAGTTGTAGCTGGGAAAGCTGCCAGGAATGCCGAGTGTCGGGGAGCCTTTGACCGTCTCTTCGAGAGGCGATGTGGCCAACTTCAGACGGCCCAGAATTGGGCTCTCGTCATCAGCCTCTCTCGTGCTGATGGGGGACTCTGTACCGGAGATGATGCCCTTGTCCGGTTTCTCTAGTTGGCGGCTTTTCTCCGCCTCCTCGTTCGCACGTTCAGCCTTCTCCTGGGCGAGCGCTGCGGCCTCGGCATCCGCTTTAGCTTTCGCGACCCTCTCCATGTCCTTCCTCCTTCGCTCGGCCGCCGCTTGCCTGGCCTCCTTGGCGTCTCTCTCACGTATTGACCTGCTGTACGCTAGCCTGATGGTCTCTCGCCGCTGGGCAAAGTCGATAGGGCCGACATCAATCTTCCTCCTCGTTGCTGACTCATCCCGTTTCGCCCTCGCGCGGGCTGGTGCGGGTGACTTGGCCCTATCCACGGCCCTCATTCGCGAGCTGGCTGTGGATGCAGTGGACACTGGTTGGCGAGGTCGCGAGCTTCGCAGGGTCGGGGAGAGTTTGGGCGGCGGTGCAGTGATGTAGGCATTCAACCGATTATTCCCTGAGCTCGTTGCGATCTGGGAAGGAGGCTGCTTCTTGGTCGATGAGGGAGGTCGGCCGCTGGTTGGAGTCTTCGAGCGGGTTGTCGTTGTAGTAGGGGTCGCGGCGCGCCGGACTGGTGTCTTTGCTCTTGATACCGGTGGCGGCTGGTGCCTTGAGGTTTTTACGGACGTGGGTGGGCGTTTTGTAGACGGAGAGCTTGATCGCGTGGAGGCTTCGCTACTGGGATTTGATATGGTGCTCAGCTTCCTCACGGAAACTGGCAGACGCGAGGTCGGCGAGATGGCCTGTGAATCTGACCTCTGTTCCACAGCTAACTGCTGAGATATGTGAATAGGGTGGGCCGTGGTAATCTTTGATCCGACGACATCGCTCTGTGACCTATTGTGAGTTGCACTGCCCTTGTAGGCGCTGTGCTGCTCCGCTTGCGGCCTCGATGACGCGACACCACGGTACCAGTCGGTAGGCGAGTTTGGCTCTGGCTGCGCGTCGGATCTCGATCGTTGGCGAGGCCGTATTGAATCTCGTAGGTTTGATTCGGACGTCCTCCGCTGCCGTGAACCCTCGATGCCGAATCCTGCTGTGTAGGTGTCGTTCTGGTCAGGCAGTATTTCTCCAAAGAGCAAGCCATTTGAATGAGTGGAGGTAGGGGAGGCGATGGTCGGCTTCGGCGAGCTTTTCGGCGAGAGATGGGTCATGGACTTGGACGCTTGGCTATTGGACGATATCGACGTTCGTGGCCTATTTATGCGACTGGCAAACGACTGCGCGTTACTCGATAGCTGATCCTCGGCCGCAAACTTTTGTCGTTGCGTTCCTCGACTCGCTGCCGGTCGAGTCGTGTCTGCGGCAGCTCCCGAACGTAGCGCTTGGTAAGAGGTTTGACTGGTCCCGTATCCCGAAGACCTCGTGGGTATAGAGCTCGAGGATGCATCCCTGGGTGAGCTACGCGAGATGATCTTGCGCTGTGGTATCGCCGAGGAAGGCTGAGGCGTCGTCGCATCGAACCGCTTCTTCAAATCCTTCACATTGGTCTTGGCAAGACCAGAATAGCCATTCGTCAGAGGTGCCCCAGTCCTCGCCGTGCCGGTCAGAGCTTTGTCATCGACTGGACTCGAGGCCGACCTGACTCCGGAGCGGAGACCCTGGCGGCCGGGGGGCACAGGCGGGTGTCTCGGGGTGGTGCCATTGCTGTTGGATCGCAGCGAGGAGTTCTGGCGGCCAGCCGTAGGGCCAGAGGCCATGAGGTCGTCTGGTGAGAATACTAGGCCGGCAGGCTGGGTAGGGGAGGCGCCACGATAGTCGCGATAGAAGTCGTCGGGGTCGGTGGGATCGGCAAAGGCATCGACACCCAAAGCGGCGTTGGCGGCTACAGCGTCGAAGTTGCTGGCGGCATAGGACGCGACGGGGATTTGACCGGGCCTGGAGTCGTAGAGAGAAGGTGACGGCAGGGCCGCTTCATCAGAGTACTGGCGGTGATGCTGTTGGTAGTGATGGTAAGGAGAATGAGCTTCGGGGTGCTCGCGGCGGTGCGGTTGCTCCTGATGCTGTCGCAGGGAGTAGTCGTGGTGGTACTGGTGGTGGACCGGGTCGGCCTGTTGGCGGAGGTTGTGGTGGTGGTGATGATGCTGCTGTTGGTGCTGGTGGATGGAATGCAGATGGGGCGGTTGCAGGTCGGAGAAGGGTATCGATGCGGGCCCCAACCGATCCTCCTCATCTCGATTGCCTCCGTCCATTGTAGCCAGGACATCAGTCAGGCTCGTGGGGCTGGAATGGACGGGGAGGAGGAATTCACTGAAGGTCCCATGCAGACTGTTTGGTGAAGCGTCAGGGCTCAAAGGCGATTGATGTGCTGGCGTGGAGGCTAAGTGGGCGGGCGAGTCTGGTGTGTCTCTGTTCTGTCTGAGTGGGAAGTGAATGGCGCTCGAGTCTCTGGTAGGGCGAGAGTGATGGTCGCGACCGGGGTCAGGTTGGGATATTCACCAGGAATGCGGCCTCCTCTGCCTCTGCCTTTGTGCAGTGGTGCTGCTGTTGATTGACTGACCGTCCTCTCTTTTCCGTCGAGGTGTGGCACAAACTGCAACCCCCTGGTTCAGATGTTGGATTGGGATTTTGGACGGGCTGGTCTGGCTGGCTGGAGAATGGATTGGATGGGGATGTACCTACTCCATCCACCAGGGCGACTGGGGTAGACGTGTTGTGTGTGCTGTTGTTGGCGGGCCCGGCAGGCGGAGCGTTTTACCATGCAGCCAAATCCACAATCCACACACACACCCACACCACACTGCTTCCTACGACTGAGAGCGCCATCCCGTACCAAGGTTAGCCACACAACAATGTTTCTGGGACAGTCCGATGCAATCCCTCATGTACACACGGCGCATCATTTTCCATCATCAGCATCATCGCCGAAACAATATGTACATATTCATGTACGTCGCGCGTAGGTCCTGTAGGTACCTACATCTATCTACAGACGGACATGCACGGGGGGCACACTCCCACGCTCCCACGCTCCCACGCATGCCTTGCCGGGCTGCGACATTGCAAACAAACCGCATGGTCGCCGGCCCCAGCCCAGTGTCCAGTCCCCAGCATCAATATGCCGCCAATGCATCGCCACGTTGGTTTGCGCGGGTGGTTGGATTTCTCTTCCTTGCTTTTGACAAGTCAAAAAGGACCCATGATGGGAACCATAAAGCTGAGAGACAGCCCGTCATCTCATCAATGACACCAAAAGAAACGAATGACAAATGTCGAAAGGGCTCGGGTCAAGCTCAGAGCACTCGATGGGCATACTCCTTCCAGACTGGTGATGACTGATGTAGCTTCTAAACTGTCGGATCCATGGGCCTGCCTACCGCTTACTTACACTCCTTCCTGTAGACACTTTTACTGAGGTACTCCGTAGGACAAGGCATCGGATTGAGCATACCCGATATCTGATCAAAAAAGATCGAGGGATCGACCTGGCCTTGTCGGGGTGGACGAGTCCCCTTTATGAGCTGAGTCGAGCTCGAGGAAATGCCAATGCCCGTCACACACACACACACACACACACACACACACACACACATAATTTCCCGGATTCCCTTAGGCGACAGCAGAAGGATGAGCTTCCTTGACTTTGGGAAAAGTTCGGGAAAAAAAGAAAGAAAGAGGAAAGATACCTCGACGGACGAGGATCGCCTTCCCGCAAGCGAAGCCAGGGATGCTAGGAGCTGATGGGATGGGGGTGGGTTGATGGAGACATCCATCTCGAGTGCAATGAGACAACTACTTGTAACAATATCTGCGCAAGCTACCTCTGCGAGTTTGTACAAGTACGGTGGAGATCGCTGATCGACGCCTAGGACCACCGCGGCTAGTCGGGCGCCGCCCAAACGATTATGCCCCACGATTTCGATGCTCTATCAATGGATTTCGTGTCCATTGGAGCTGATGTCAAATTGGGACCGGTCAAGAAAAAAAAAAAAAAAAAAGAAACGAATCAGTCATCGTGATGAAGAGGGGAGATGCTGTTGGCCATTCGGACAAGCGCCTACGGAGCTCGGGGAGCTACCTATTCGTTGCTCTTACGTGGACAACTAACTCTCACGGATACCCTGTCTCATCTCGAAAGGCCCAAGAGAAACAGAAAAGAATACGAACCAGGGATCCCTGTCCGAAGGCTGAACCATGGAATCGTAATTGCTGGAAAAAATCAGCTTCGCTGTCCCTCCACGTCCAATCGTCCAATCCATCCTGTGCTCTTCGTCTCCCTGCCTCTGCTCGCGATGGCTGCTAGCCAACAGAAATGTCCGGGCGGCATTGTTCAATCGATCTTCGAGTCTTTTCGCCCCCATCCCATCAACCACACACAACCCACAATCCCTAGCCGAGATCGACGGAGAGGAGCTGGCCGAGCCTTTCTCGCATGGGACAAGCTTCAGGGCCGGGGTTGGGCACCAGCGGGATCTGGCGAGGGACTGATATGATTGATGAGACATCGTTTGTAAGCGAGCGTGCCTAACAGGTTCGGTTTCCCTTGACAAGAAGCCCATCGCTCCTATCGGCCAGTTTGGCGGCGTCGAACAAGACTTGCCAAAGCCGATGGGCACCTGGTGGACCTCAAACACTATAAATGGCCACTAGAGGCGCTAAGGAGCCACGCTAGGTAAGAGGCCGAGACGGGCTTGCAGCGAAAGGAAAGGGTGCTTTTCCCAATCTGTCCGTGCCGCCAAGCTCCCGGAAATGCTCCCTATCGGTCCCTCTTGAAGTCTTTGTCCATATCAAACTTGTATCCATGTATCTTGCCCATGGATTTGAATTGTAGGTACATGGAAAGATACTGCAAGTAATTTTGTCAGCCAATGTTAGATCATACCGACAGCCACGCCGTACCTGTTTATTACCTCTTATTGCCATAAAACTCTGGCCAGCTCTATTCGCACATCCTTGGTGGTCAACTTTCTAAGCAGTGTTACCTACTTTAGCTTGAAACCCCGTAATCTTTAGCACGCTCAGGCCACTGCAGCCTTAACATGCAGGGTATTGAGACTTGAGAAGGAATTACATTTACCTGCAAAGGTACCTAGGTGGCACCAAAAGCACCCTATCTGGCTTGAACACGACTAAACGCTTTAGACTCGGCTCTCCGCGAAAAGAAACGCGCTCATCGCCAATCACTAGACGCGTCTCCTAGACGAAGCCTGTTTCTCATATGCACGCCCCAGACAGGTGTCGCTGCCACTCACACACCCGGAACTGAGTTTCGGACTGTGATTTGGCTTCTGACACTTTTCATTGTGCCAATCACGACACCCATAGCCACGATTGCGCCCAAGGCCGTTGCCGGGACCGTGACGAGGTGTGTGGGCACCGAGTGCCCTTCCCCAGATGTCACTCTCCGCGGCATCGTGACCGAAGCACGGGGTGAAGGAATGCAATACTGTGGGGTCAGGTCAGCGAGCCACGTTGCACTTCACGATCTAGTTGTCTTGTTGTCGTCGCTGTCTTCACCGCCCCAATCTTGGTAACTCTTCCCAAGATTGAATTGGCCCGGCCGTTCAGTCTGCAGACCCGCACCATCATGGCTGCCCCACGGAGCCGCAAGCGGAAGCAAGCCCACGGGTCCGGCGCCGACGATCCAGAAACCAGGAATAGACCCCGGAAGCGCCCAAAGGTCTCCGGAATCAAGGATCCTAGCGTGAAGCATATCCTACTAGCTCAGCATTACCCAAGGGTCCAAACGCTGCGCGACTTCCTTCTGGCCAAGTTGCCTACGTCATCCAAGATCCGAAGGAGAAAGATAGCTGCTCTCGGCTCCCATGCTCCCGAAGGAAAGGTTGTGAAGGAGACCGAGGTAGCCATTGGACGCTTCCTCGACTCGACCTTGGTCACCGGAGCAGGCGAGACGCGGCCGAGCGAGCCGGACGATCGTTGGGAGAAGTGGGTGAGCTTCTCACAGAGAGGGGATGAGTCCTATGTTACTCTCTCAGACGGTCCTTCAGGGGCACTTTTCTCCCAGTCCGAGGTGCGATCTCTTGTTGCGTGCAAGCCTGCCCCGTGACTCGGCCTGATAACTAAGGGTGCATCTTTAGATTGTTGACTTTGTCATTTGGCTCCTCTTCGAACGGGAGAAGAAACATGGCAAATGGCCAAAGCACCTACTGTGCGATGGATATCGTAGAACGCTGGCATCCAATGCCCCAAAGGGCTTGCCGCCCGCCGCCAATACAATTCCAGGGCTGTTCTGTGTGCATCCCAATCCACATGTCCAGACTCTCAAGGAAGACCCCTGGCCGCAAGTGCTTCTGCTGCTAGGCCAAGCGGGAGAAAGGGTCATGATTGATCTGTTGTTTGACTGTTCCATCTTTGTTGCCATGGAGTCCGGGCAGGACAACCTTCACCAGTTGAGCGGTACGTCCTCTCAATGCCCCTTCACGTATTGAGAGATGCTGACTGCGAGTAGGCAAGCCCTTGTTTGATCTTGAACCCCTGAGCAAAGGCTCACATCAAGTGAATGCTGGGGAGACCCAAGCAACCAAGTTTGAGAGGAAGCCTACCGAGATGGTCTTCGTCAGAAGCCGTCTGTTCTATGCAAGAGCTGCTCTGAATGCTCGTGGCCTGGTTCACTTTGGTCTTAGACATATCCGTGAGTTTCTTTTCCCCCTTGTGTAAGAGACGACCCTGACTTCAGCAGATGCGCTCAACCGATTTACCTACCGGTCTGCTTCGACGTTTCTCGACCAACCTCCCAAGGATGATGAGGTCAAGAATCTTGAGAGGCGGAATGCGGCTAACACTGTCAAAGTGATGATGTACATCTTTCCGAGGCAATTCGGTCTGCACAACGCCTTCACCTCCATGGTGGATTTCCGCAAGACAGCTCAGAAATTCCAAGACTATACACTGCGTGAAGACGAGGTCTCAAAGCTCTATCCGGACGTCGACGGCAAATCGAAGCACCCTGTACCCAAGAGGCTGTGGGGAGAAGCCAAACGGCTAGTCGAGAGGCTACAAATCCTGCACAACCGATGCTCTTATTCACAACTGCTTCAACATTACTGCCCCGTGAGTACTGCTCCTCTGCTAGCTCAAGGGTGCCCTCGACTAACAGCACATAGTCGGAGGCTCTGGCCAAGGGCTCCAAGAAGGTTCCGTCAGCGGAGAAGACTGCCTCAAGCGGCAAGACGAAGAAGCGGAAGAAGCCACAGGCCAGCACAGCACCTGACGTGACTTTGCAGTATACGTCTCTCGCGGATCTTGCCACTCCAATCGCTCACGTATCAGCATTCTGCCAGGCGGTGCTCAAGAGACTTATCCCGAACGAGTTCTGGGGTACGGGAGATGTGCAGACACACAACAAAGACCTGTTCCTGACAAACGTGGATCGATTTGTCAAGCTCCGACGCTTTGAATCTATGAATCTTCATGATCTGAGGCAGGGCTTCAAGGTATGACATGACCAAGAGTGCCCAGCACCTCGATGACAGCGCTAACATCGATCAGGTCACGGAGATCGAATGGCTTGCTCCTCCCAAGTTAAAGGGCCAGAAGCTCAGCCGCACTGACATGGATAAGCGGAACGAGATTTTCCTCGAATTTCTGTACTATACGATTGATTCTCTTTTGATACCCCTGATTCGCAGCAATTTCTACGTCACAGAGTCGAACGTGCACCGCCACCGACTCTTTTATTTCCGCCATGACATATGGCGCTATGTTGCGGAACCGGCCATGGCGGCCTTGAAAGCAAAGATGTTTGAGGAGGTCAAGCTTGAGGAGGCCCTCCAGATATTGAATTCCCGACAGCTGGGCTTTAGTCAGGTCCGGTTGCTGCCGAAGGATACGACGATGCGGCCGATCACCAATCTGAGGCGGAGGACGGTTCCCATAGGCAATACCAAGATCCTGGGCCCCAGCATCAATGCCATTCTAGGGCCCGTCCATACAGTCCTAACCGCTGAGAAGGTACGTGACCCCTCGTTGCAATTTTGGAAATCTTTCTAGATGCTAAAAAGTATATCAGAACCTCCACCCGGAGCGGCTGGGAGCAACCCTATTCTCTGTTAGCGACATATACAAACGCCTCAAAGGCTTCAAGCAAGGGCTGCCGCAAACGGGGCAGAAGTTCTACTTTGCCAAGGTCGACGTGCAGGCCGCTTTCGACACGATCCCGCAGTCGGCCGTGATCGAGCTGATGAACACCGTCCCGTCGCACAAAAGGTACCAGGTGCTCAAGCACGTCGAGCTCAAGCCGGGCGAGAGCGCCGGCCGCAACGGCGCGACTGCCGCCAAGGCCAGCCGGCGCTGGAGGGCCTCGGCCAAGGCGGCGGGCGACGACACGAGCTTCCTGCAGATCGCGGAGCGGCAGCACGCGCCGAACCGGCGCAACACGGTGTTTGTGGACAACGTCGTGACCAGGCAGCACGACAGCTGGGCCCTGCTGGCGCTCATGTCGGCGCACGTCCGGCAGAACCTGGTCAAGATCGGCAAGAAGTTCTACCGCCAGCGGGACGGCATCCCCCAGGGGTCCGTCCTGTCGTCGCTGCTGTGCAACTACTTCTACGCCGACCTCGAGGCCAAGCACCTGGGCTTCCTCCGGTCGGAGGGCTGCCTGCTGCTGAGGCTCATTGACGATTTCCTGCTCATCACTACGGACGCGGCCAAGGCTTCGAGGTTTGTGGAGGTCATGCACGGCGGGTTCCCCGCGTATGGCGTGACTGTCAGCCCGGGCAAGAGCCTCGTCAACTTTGAGCTGGAGCATAACGGCTCGATGGTCAAGAGGATAAGGGATGGGGAGGGCTTCCCCTATTGTGGAACTTTGCTTGACTGCAGCTCCTTGGAGATCATGAAGGACCGCCTGAACTTCAAGGATCCGGGTTTGTCTCTCCCGTCTCGCATCATTCTGTCACAACAGAGCAATCTTACTAACATGAGCTACAGTGGTTACAAACTCGCTGACCGTCGAGTTCTCGCGCTTCCCAGGCCAGAACTTCAAGCGCAAGGTTCTCAGTAAGTCGCTTTGGGCGGTTATCTTATTCTGCCAAGCCCTTTCAGTGTTACTAACAATGTACACACAAGATGCCTTCAAAATCCAGTCTCACCTCATGTTCTTCGACACGACGCACAACGCCCCGTGCACGGCGCTGCGCAACATCCACGGCGCCTTCTGCGAGACGGCCACCAAGATGTGGGCGTACGCCCGGTGCCTTCCCAAGGGCAAGCAGCCGTCTCCCAGGCTTGTCGTCGGTACGCGATATCTTCCTCTTCTTCTTCTCTTTTTTATAAACTTTTGACTGCCAGGGGGGGAAAGTGTGTCGGGCTAACTAACTAACGCGGATTTATCAGACACCATCAAGGAGCTCATCGATGTGGCGTACATGCTCCTGGCGGGCAAGTCCCGGAGGCAGAGGTACCCGGGGTACAAGTTCGGCGTGCGCAGGGCGCAGGTGGCCTGGTAAGTTTGTGCAATCGTAGTCAGACGCCTCAAGGGGGGTTTCGTCATTCCGGTGCTGACCTTGGACAACTCAATAGGCTTGCTCTGCATGCGTTCCGCCGAGTGCTGGCGCGGAAGCAGTCTCGGTACGGTGCTGTGATCGCCTGGCTGGATGGGCAGATGGAGGACTTGGAGCAGAAAGAGGATGTGCGGATGCCTCAGGGCGCGGTTGCGTGAGTTGGCCTGAGCAGGTGCATCAAGTAGTTGTATGGTCTGTGATGTATGCAAAAAAACCTGGAAGGTTGTCCTCTCCATATCATGAGAAACGAGACACGAACAACTTGTACAATAAATTGTGCTTGGTATTCTGAATAATCATAAGCTACATCAGAGTGGTCTCGTCTTCTTGTCTATGCATAAGGGAGAGAAATAAAGGGTATCAAGATGCAAAAAGCCATCCATCCTCGAAATCAAGAAAATAATGGCCACGCGAAATGGCAAAAAACGCCTCCTTGACACATGTTTGATATGCAGAATCCATGGTATCACGATGATGAAAAAGGAGGAATGATAAAAAAAAAACCAAAAAGACAAAAAAGCTTACCAGGAGTCGAACTCCTGGCTACGAAAAACCCCTTTCGAGATTTTTCATGGGGAGGGGGGAGGTCAGCCACATTGGTTCTGTGGTGGTCCTCCTCCGAAAGGGGGCAGGATGGCGTGCTATTTATTAAATGGGATCCACGTTATCGTGGTCATAAACCATTGCACCATCCCGCCCCCGATGGAAACTAGGCACTGTATTTGGAATGATAAGGGGCTGTTGCTTTCGGTTGTCGAGGTGGGAGGGAGGTGAATCTGAGGTGAAGGTAGGTGATTCATAGGGTGGTGCGTGCGCCAGACCGAGCAGCTCTGCTCCCCTCGCTCTCTCTTTCTCTAGAGGACGGACAGAAACAACAACAACACCACTCCATTCCCTACAACGACTGGCTCTCAGAGCGCAATACCACACTCCCACCACCGCCTGCCCCAGTGCCACCACGGCACGATCTCCGCCTTCCCCCAACGCAGCCAGTGATCGCCAGGCTGCCCGTAGCCCATCGCCCGCAGCGGCGACGCCGGCACAGGCTCAAGCAGCCAGATCCCTCCGCGCGCCAGGTCATCCACGAAGAGGCCCTGCGTGGCCACAAGCCACGCCACCACGAACGCGAGGTTACCCGCGCGCCGCACCCACCTCCGCCGAAACACCACCGGGCCGAGGCCGCTAGCCCGCAGCGCCCGCCCCAGGGCCTCCTGCACGCAGACGCCGAGGAACGCGAGCACGAAAAACGCAAAGGGGCCCCGCGGGTCCGTCTTGTCCCGCCCGGCCGACGTGGCGCTGCCGGCGGCGTGCAGCAGGCCAGAGTGGACGAAGGCGATCAGCGCCGTGGGCCACGGGGACAGGCCCAGCGCGATGGCGGGCGCGGTGAAGGCGGCGCGGAAGGTCTGGTGCCACCAGCGGCCCCAGAAGCCGAGGAGGCCCTTGTCGAGGACCTGGGCGAGGGAGCCGAAGCCCGTGGGGTAGTGCCAGAGGTCGGCGCGGGGCCCGCGGATGATCAGGCCCAGGGGCGCAAGGATGGAGAGGCGGACGAGAGCGTCGAGGGTGAAGACGGCCTGGAGGACGGCGAGGACGCCCGCGAAGGCGAGGAGGGCGCGGTAGGTGTGCAGGACTGGGTAGGGGAGGCGTGCGAGGTGCGGCGGGAGGAGGTGGTGCGGCGCTGTGGAGGACGACGGGACAGGGAGTGGGCCGATGATGAAGTAGGGGTCTTGCATCATGAGGACGGAGCAGGCGTCGAGGACGGCATAGTCAAGCGCCAGGAGGAGGAGCTTGTTGCGGTAGAAGGCTGCGCGGGTGGTGTAGCGCTTTGAGCCCGCGACGCTGACTTGCGGGATGGACTCGATGTTGACGGGCTCGTTGGCGTGGGGGTTCTCCGGCCGCGTGAAGTTTGGGACTGATGGTATGGACCAGTTCCATCCTTAATTGGAGGAGAGGATGAGTTAATTATATGCCACTGCGTGAATGGGGGTTATGAGTCTGGTACGACTTACCGCATCCCCTGAATGCACAAACCAGATCTGTACACCAGCCCAGGCGGGTCATGAACGACGCTTCTGCCGGGTAGCCTTGCCAGTAGTACTCGTACTCGCCCATCTTCCTCGCCACATCCTCGTCTGGCGCCACCGTGAAACGCACCGACTTGCGCCTCCGCACCGTCCCGTCGCTGCGCTTACGCGAATGCACGCCTCCAGCCCCGCCAGCGCCGTTGGGACTGCTGGGAATGATGCACGACGGGCCTGGACTTCCTGGCGCGCTGCCGTTGCCGTGGTTCAGCACGATCGGCCCATCCTGGGCGGCCAGCGAACTCGCGCGGCTGCGAGCTCCCGTGCCGCTCCAGGCGCGGGCGTCGACGCGGGCGAGGTCGTCCTGCGGGCGCATCCACAGCAGCAGGGCGGCGCTCCACATGACACCCCACGCGGCCGACAGGCCGACGGCGTAGGCGAAGGCGATATTGGCGCTCGAGGCCGTGAGCAGCAGATGCGCGTTGATGGCGACAATGGCCGCGAAGACGGCGAAGCGGGCGCGGCGCAGCCAGGGCAGGCGGGCGTGCGGGACGGCCAGGTAGAGGATGGGAATTAGGAAGGTACCGAGCACGGCCTGCGGGAGCAGGAAGGGCCGGATTGAGCCGTCCGCGAGGCCCTGGAGGTACATCTGGCGGAGGGTCTCGCGGCGGTCGGCGGCGAGGGTCGGCAGGATGAGGTGTGCGAGGTCGTCCGGCCCGGGCATTGTGGCGGTCAAGAGTTTTCTTTCTCCCTCTCTTGCCAGGGTCTGTGAGGTTGCGTTGCTTGCGCTATGTGGTGCGCGATGGCAAAAACGCCGTGCGCCTGCTCTCTTGATGTCTTTTCCCCTGGGAGCGATGCTACCGCTGGTGTGCCATGGCGCGCTGTTTTGAGGTCTGAGGTGGTGATGGGTTGGAGGTTACACGGCTCGCCAGCTGAGTCGAGTCATACGCCCTCCGGTTTGGTGGCGTAGGTGCTGAGATGTCAACGACCAGCCTCACACGCCGAGAGCGATGGTCTTGTCAAGGGGTATCCAACCAGGCGTTTGTTTCAAGAGCACGTAAAAATTCCTCTTCAGCACTTTCAGAAAGGATGCTGTTGGGGTAAAAAAAAACCCAGGGTTGAGACTGATGCCAAGACATTAAATAGACTCCAGCGGCTACAGCCGATTGAACTAATGGCTTGCTTGACCCCGAAACCGGTTCTTGATAAAGGAGAAATCCTGGTTCTCTTTGGAGAGCATTGCTTTCACAATCGCATGTACAAGTAGTCCCGTCCTTTATGGTCAATGAGCATCACCATCACAGAGCGCTTCACCTGGGCAGTCACGAAAGGCATCAAGCACTGGGGAAAGAACCTCTGGGCAGCTCTAGTTTCGGACTTTCGGTCCTCTCACCAGCGCAGGAACGATGCGTGCGGGGCCCCACTTGCCCTTTCGAGCTGACCCACCACTTTCATCTCAACTCAAATCAAGATGTTATTCTTAAATCGACTTCCACAAAGCTCTCCAGCTTGTCAGTCATATTCTCTCCTATCTAGGGAATCATCTTTGTCAATACTACTACACACAGAAGATACAACTAAGTGGAGTTATCTCTGGCATTATCAACAAGAAGTAACAGACAGCGCTTCTGATTTTCGATGGAGTACAAGTAATACTCAAGACTGGGATGAAGTCCGGTGGTTTCCTGAATGGCCCCCAATGCCCTCTTGGGTCAGCGAATCCCTGCAAAACCCACTGTAACTGTGCGGCCAGGATGAGAGAGCAACGAATCAGCATGTGGCCAGCATCAGCTGCCCGCAATGTCATTCTTTTCGCGTCTTGCGAAGTAATGTTGCTCGAGCGAGGCAAACCCTTACGATGACATCGGCCCTGATGTGTTCCTTGCGATGCTAGTCTCCAGACTGCCTGCGACACGGTTTGCAGGCGCCAGGCAGCCATCGATCGCCACCAATACTTCTTCAAAATGTTCGCCAGCGATCCAGAGGTTGTTAATTTAACCCATGACAGCCGCGATCAGGCTGAGCGACTCTCGAGGGAGACGAACCATCAAGCCCGCCCGGAACCTACCGATCGTATCAATGGCTCAGCTGCGAAGGATGGGGCTCTCGTGGATGAATTTATCGTCCTCGAGGCTGCTCCTTCTTCAGCTGAGATACCCACACCCAGTGCCTTCAAAGGACGGAGCCTTGGGGTCTTTGGGCCGGAAAATAACATTCGGCGCCAGCTCAGTGATCTCCTGGTGCAACCGTGGGTTGAACCAGTTATCCTCTTGCTTATTGTCGCCCAAGTGGTCCTTCTAGCCGTTGAGGCTGCCCCGGACGTATGGGGGGAGGGCAATGCTCGGCCGAACCGATGGGGAAAGACGCCAATAGATTGGGCCTTGTTCGCCATATTCATCATTTACACCCTCGAGCTCATGGCTAAGATTATCGTGTCGAGGCTCTTCCAGGGTCCGCCCGAGCACAGCGCAGTTGATCGTCAGCGCGAAGATACCCGCGGAACCTTGTTCGACAAGATCCGAACACAACTACTGCTGAACCATTCCACGGCTGACCAGCCACCGCAGACTCAGCCCTACGGGCCGTTCGCCTTTGCTCGCTCCTTCGTACTCACACAAAAACCGCATGTCCCGAAGACTTGGGAGGACAAGATGCGGATGGAAATGACCAGGAAAGCATTTTTGAGACACACCTTTAACCGGTTAGATTTCGTCTGCGTTGTAGCCTTTTGGGTGTCCTTCATCCTTGGCCTGACTGGGGTGGAACACCGCTACCACATCTACATCTTTCGAATGGTGAGCTGTTTGCGAATTGTCAGGCTGATGGCTTTGACTAGAGGCAGTGCTGTATGTCTCCCTCCGTTTGATCTTTGCATTTGATCCTGACGCCAGGAATCAGTCCGTTCTGAGGGCCCTGAAGAAGATCCTTCCCTTGCTGGTCCGAGTTTTTCTGCTCATTACGTTCTTCTGGCTGCTCTTTGCCATTGTCGGCGTACAAAGCTTCAAAGGCAGCCTGAGCCGGCAGTGTGTGTGGCTAGACCCGTCTCAACCGACTGATCTGGCGGCGTCCTTCACCAACCCATCCGGGTTCTGCGGCGGTCATCTACGGAATGATACGGACTCTGCGCCAACCATCCTCCCCTGGGTGTTTATGACGCGGCCTGGAGACTTCACGTCGCTAAGCAACGGCACGGGCAGTGGTCAAGGACACATTTGCCCGCGCGGGTCGATTTGTCTTCAGCAGAGCCGGAAGCTGTACAACGACACTGTTCATTTCGATGATATCGTGCACTCATTGGAGTTGACATTCGTCATCATGAGCACCAGCACATTTTCCGATCTAATGTACTCTACCATGAACTCGGAGGCTGCCCCAGCAGCTTTATTTTTCGCCGCAACGATCATAATCCTGGCGCTCTGGCTTGTCAACTTGTTCATTGCCGTTTTCATATCCTCCTTCCAGATCATCAGAGAGGAACACAAGATGAGTCTCTTCAATGCTGACGAATATAACCCCACGGAGGTCGATCATGAGACGAGATTGCGAAGAAGGTCTACCCTTCAACTACTCTACAACAAGACAGCCTGGATTTGGGTCCTTTTCATCACCTATGACCTCTTCGTTATGGCATCACAGAGCACAGGGATGAACAACCAAAGAGTCCAGCTCGTTTATGTTTCCGAGATCGTGACATCTATTCTTCTGGATATCGAGATTATCATCCGGTGGCTTGCAGACTGGCGCTCTTTCCACCGCGGATACCGAAATATCATTGACCTTTGCCTCGCTGTCGTTACATCAGTTATCCTGATCCCGCCAATATACAAGTCCAGTCAAGTATATGCTTGGCTGACACTATTTCAGATATTGAGGATATACCGCGTTGTTCTCGCCATACCAGTAATAAGACTCATGATCATGATGGTCTGGGGCAAAGGCCTCGGCAACCTTGCGCTTTTTGTGTTTCTCGCCACCTTTTTAATCTCCATTCTTGCAGACCAGCTTTTCCGAGGTGAGATCACAAAGACGGATTATCAGAACAACGATATTTCAATTAACTTCGAGTCCACTTTCAATTCATTCCTTGGAATGTATCAGCTTCTGTCCAACGAAAACTGGGCGGCCATCTTGTATAATGTTACAGCCTTTACTACAGTATACTCGACAGCGTGGATCGGAGCCATTTTCCTGTTTTTATGGTACATCGTCTTGCGCTATGTCCTGATCAATATGTTCATCGCCGTTTTCGCAGAACAATTTGATATCTCAGAAGACCAGAAACGGTTGACCCAAGTCAAAATCTTTCTGCAAAACAAATCGGACCGGACTCCGAGCGGCGACCTCTCTCTAGGAGGCTTCTTTTCTGCGGGACGACAGGGTCAACACGATGACCAGGCATCCTTGGATTTGATGCTCAAGGATGCGGTCGTTCGTGATTACCTCAAGGGACTTAAGGACGACAAAGACGAGTCGCCCCTCGCCAATACCCAACTGGCCAGCCCAGGCTTTCTATCTTCGGTCTGGGGTCGCCTAGTCCACCTCGCTAGTAGCCGAGAGCCCAATCCGTTCCATTCCAGCCTCACTGTTCCAGGTTCCTCCAACTCGGAAATCTTTGATGCCAGAGATCTGGCCCAGCAGGCAGTCGCTTCAGCCGCAGCTCGGCGGAAAGCTCAGCGAGAGTATCTCGCACGCCACCCTACATACAACAACGCCCTATTCATTTTTAGACCGGGAAATCCCCTCCGCCGCTTATGCCAGGCATTAGTTGGACCAGGAAGCGGGAGCGATCGCTTCCAGGGAAGGCGGCCGAACACAACCGCCTGGTATTTGTTGTCCTTGACAATCTACACAGCGATAATCGCGATGATCGTCGTTACCTGCATTGCGGCACCCCTCTATCAAAAAGAATACTTTGATCGGCACACGTTCAGCATTTCGAGGTGGCTTGTGTGGACAGAGGTGCTCTTTCTAATCCTCTTTTCACTCGAGGCTCTCATCAAGATCGTCGCCGACGGCTTTTTCTTTGCGCCCAACGCCTATCTCCGAAGTTCGTGGGCTATTATAGACGTTCTGGCCTTGCTGTCTCTCTGGCTCAATGTGGGTTTCTTGTTCGCAAATGGCGGAACCGTGCCGCGAGTGGTTGGGATTCTGAAAGGTCTGAGAGCCCTCCGCCTCTTGCGCTTCACCGACGCCACCCTTCAGATATTCCGGTCCCACCTTGTCGCCGGAGGATGGAAGAGAATCAGTGTTGCACTCGTCTCAATGTCTTTGCTACTCCCATTCGCCATATACGGAGTGAATTTGTTCCACGGCCAGATGGTCTCCTGCAACGACGAAACTGACAGCATCGTCCGTCTTGAGGACTGTTTTGGCGAGTACAATAGCATTCCATTTCCGGGCCAGAACAATACCTGGAATCTTGTGGCTCCAAGAGTAGCATCCAATCGCTACTTCAGCTTTGATAACTTCGGGGCCAGCCTCTTCACGCTCTTCCAGATCATCACCTCTGGATGGGTGGAAGTGTCCGTCGCAGCTCAGTCGACCACCGGAGCCGGTATGCAACCTCGGTTTGGTGCATCCCGGGGAAATGCCATATTCTTCGTGATCTTCGTTTTCTTGGCACGAGTCTTCATAATCGCGTTGCTCATCTCCATTCTGATACGGAACCGAATAGAGCAGACCGGCGTGGCCTTCCTGACCATGGAGCAGCGATCCTGGCAGAAACAACGGGAAGAGCTTCGACAAATATCTCCGGATAACGGCTGGATTGATATGGAGAATCAGAAGAAGGCGTGGTACCGGAGGAGAGCTATCAAGAGGAGAGGGAAATGGTACAAGACACTTACCTTTGTCCTAGTGCTGCAGCTCATACTGTTGATTGTGGACTATGCCGCGGAACCGGACTGGTGGGCCAAGACGAAAGACTATGTTCTCTTGGCTTTTACAATGCTTTACATGGCCAATATTGCCATCCGCATCAATGGTTTGGGATGGCGCCGATTTCGTCAGAGCGCATGGGATGTGCTCGCGCTGATCGCCGTGCCGGCCGGGTTTGCTTTGTCTATTGCCAACCTCGTCAGGCCCGGCGTGGACGGGCTCGTCCATGTGCAACAGCTCTGCATGGTCATCATCCTGTGTCTCCTCATCCCGCGCAACGAGATGCTTCAGAAGCTTTTCCGCACGGCCTCACTAAGCCTGCTGCCCGCGGCAAGCCTGCTGTGGACTTGGGTGGTCTTCTTCATGGGTTTCGCTATTGCGATGACGCAAGCCTTCGGCCTGACTCGTCTCGGTGGACAGTACAACGGAAACTACCTGAACTTTCGTGCTGTCCCCAACGCCCTCATACTGCTCTTTCGCATGAGCTTTGGGGAGGGCTGGAACCGCATCATGGAGGAATTTGCCAATGTCGCACCTCCCTTTTGTACAGGAGAGGACTGTGGGAGTCCGAAGTGGGCCTATGCCCTTTTCACGATGTGGAACATCATCAGCATGTACTTCTTCGCCAACTTGTTCCTGGTGATCATCTACGAGCGGTCCTCTTATGAGTATCACTGGTCCAGCTCTGTGAACCAGGACGAGATCACCGGGTTCAAGGTTGCTTGGCGCAAAGTGGATCCGGACGGTACGGGCTTCATCGCCAAGGAAGACCTGGTCAGGATTCTCGGGGAGCTCTTCGGGGTCTTCGAGATGCGCATCTACGACCGCGAGGACTCGGTCGCTTCGATACTGGAAGACGTCCGCGGCGGCAACACGGCTGCCCAGCTAGCGCTCCGCTCCGCGGCGGCAAGGCAGAGCGCTGGTATTGACCTACAGAAGCTGAATGCGAGGCTAAACCGGATCAACATTGCAGAAGTGCGGAAGCGGAGGATGCGGCACAATCTCTTCTTCGAGGAGATGATGATGACGGCCGATCCGGACCGCGGACTCTCGTTTACGAACGTCCTCATCGGGTTGGCGCAGTATAACATCGTCAGCGACAGCAAGTGCTTGCGGTAGGATTCCCCTCGTCCCTCAAGCCCTGATCTAACAAACGCGACTATGCAGCGGGGCTAACCATGGACACACAGGTTGGAAGAGTTTTTACGACGCCGTGCCATGCTGCAGCGCGTCGAAGACCAAATTCGCAGGAATACTGCCCTCAGATTCTTTGATACGATGTAAGTCTTGACTAGCCCCATTTACGCATCGTTGCACAGACGCACTGACATTGGGTAAAAATAGGTATTGGTTGAGGAAGTACCGCTACCATCGGGAGATGAAACGCGGCGAGCGGCTGACTTCAGTCCCTCAGTTCCCTGTCCCGGAGATCCTGGTTGATGACGAGGAGGAACGCGCTGCGGGAACACAGGAGTCGCCACCAGCCTTGTCCCGATCAGACTCGCCCGACCTGACCCATGGTGATGAGGTGGAGCCTGACCGCCATCTCATGTCGACTCCTGATGAAGTTCGTGGGCCAGGGGGTAGCCCTATTGGAACAGCATCAGAACGAAGAACACACTCGAAGACATGGTAAGCCCGGGTGGAGGTGCAAGAGATGCTCTATGGTTCTCTTCGAGGTTGAAGAGCCTCGAGCAGAGTGCTATTTGAGAAAGAAAGGCGGCGAGGATATGCAAAAAACAATAGTTTTTTTCAGGTGATTAAACAGAGAGATGTCAGCCCAGGAGTTCATGTACAACAAGATACCCCTAATCTTTTGATTTGTTCAGATGAGTACATATCGACGTGGAACTTTAGTTTTGGACAATATAACCCTGACGATATCATCCGTCAGAGCCTCGGAGCCCATCTCAGAGCCTGCAGGCACGATCATAGCCATGGCGCAAGTGCCAACGATTTCGAAGTAGTCGCCCAACTTGGGTCTCAAGTGGAGGAGTTCATCACACCCTCGAACAGCAACAACACAGTCTCGAGGAAGAAGTCGATCTTCAGGCAGGTATGGGAACCAGTCGTATTTCCCCTGCTTGTTCTGGTCGTACCGGGGAAGGACCCCGACTTTGTATCCCGGCTTGGGGAGATCATAGTAATGAAAGTTCACCCCGCTGCTGCTGGATATGGCACTGCAGGACTGGAACATGGAGCTGTTTAGCACCTCGACCCCAGTTATCACGAGCCCGCCGGACTCGTTGTCAACTCCATAGAAGTCCAAGTCTATATCAGGGAACGATTTGGAAGTATACTGGCGTGGTGCCAAAGTGGCAACAAGGCTTCCCGCCTCGCGTGACCAGAAATAGTGCTTGAGCTGTTCCTCACTCAGCAACTTCTCCGAGGGGTCCATGCAGCTCAGATCGGAAGGCTTTTGGGTCCACGTTGGCACCCAGGAGGGCAGGCTTGCTACGTATTCTCTCGGCCGGATATTCGATAGCTTTAGCATGTAGTCTAGGCCCAGCTCGTTGAGGAGAAAGGCCGCGGTCCCGATGAAAGTCTCCTCCGTCGAGATGGAATAGTCGGCTTGCAGCTGCGTTTCATTTGCATCCTCGCTGCCCTCAAAAAGCCCCAGGAGGCCAAAGATCCTGTCTCGTGGATCTGCGCTCCTGCACTGAGAGGTGGCGAAAAGGATCTTGGGGAAGTCCTTGACATCCCAGGATCGCTCCGCCTTGGGCACCGAAGTAAGGTCCGTCCACGACGGGATGTGTGATTTCTCAACCCCGGCAAGCTTCAACCGCTGGGGCCGAAACTTGGACCAAGGGAGGACGTCGGGCCCGCAGCATACGTGCGCCGACCGCGACAGGGCCACCTCCTGGATGATCCAGATGCGTGAGAAGTAGGGCCGTTGGAAGAAGTGCGGCGCTGCCCACCGGTCGGAGCCGGAGACCTCTGTGGCGATGCTGTACCCCTCGCGGGCCTCTCGGACAAGGGTCATGAACCGGTTGCCATGCACGTCGCGCCCGCAGCTGTGCTCGCCGACGTACATGATGACGGAGCCAGCTCTGGAGTATATGATGCTCATCAGGCCCACCTGGTACGACCTCTCCTGCACGTTGCTCTGGTCAATGCAGATCGAGTCGATCCAGATGCGCCGGGACTTCACCTGCCTATGGCGGAGGCGGCGCAGGGCAGCAGCGCAGTTGATGGTGACGGGGAAGTAGCGCCACTCTGGCCCGAGGAAGATCCCGTGGCTGAGCGCGCGGCTGCCGTGCTCGTCGGCCCAGGTGTACGACAAGGCGTCGTACCGGGGCGACTTGTCGAGGTCGGCCAGTTCCATGACTCCGTGGATCGGGTCATCGTAGCAGCCCGGCGAGAGCTTAAGAACCCGAATCAGCTTACCGCTGGTCAGTTGCGGGTGAGTCGCGGGAGCCGCTGGGGTCTAAGGCATCTCGGGTTCTTAGTGAGAACATGGCCTTCACAAGGGAAGCGAGCGAGGCCACTCACCACTGGGCGCCTTTGACTGAGCCTGTTGGAGCTCTCTGGCGCGGCTGATTGGCTCTCGGCCTCAACGCTGATGAGGTCGGAATAACCAATGGTCCTCGACGCTGCCTTACGGTGCGGCTGCGATGGCGGCTTCGGCGGCAGCTGCAATCCCAAAGAAGTCTGATATTTCACGGATTTCGGCCATTGCAATGGCCCTTGTCTCTCGGGCACTTCGAACACGGGGGCGTTCTCTTCACCGGCGGTGGCCGTATGGTCCGTAAGGAGAAGATCCGGCGTCGGCACAAAATGCCGGTGGCAGCTGCGGCACCGCGGAACTTGGTCCCTGCCGAACTCTACTCTGGGCCGGTCGCAGTTCGGCGCATGCCAGGACGACATCCCGAACTAACGAGTCCAGATGTACGGAATAAACCTAGAGCCCGCTGTCGCATGTATTCCTGAGATATGGAGGGGTTTTCGACAGGGGCCGTGCAGAATCAAAAGAAGGCTGCGATTGACCCCAGACAGGGCCCGGGGAGGACCGTGACAATCGCAGGACAGGGGGAGGCCGAAAAGACCTGTCTATCAGGCATATCCTGACCATTTGGCATGGCGCGCTGCATGTCAGCCATTAATCGACTCGTTGCTGCGTGGATACTTGTCGTTTGGGGGCCAACAACTCGCAGCGAATAGAAGACGCTCTGCTCTCGCCCGGCTTCTGTGCAATGAGGGCAATGTCACCTCAGCCGCAGCCAACTTCCGACCCGCTCGATTTCAGAGCCTAGAATGCTACCTGATCGAGTACTCTCACCTCTGTCGCCGTCTGTCCTTGCTACATCAAGATATGCCTCATCCCGAATCGGCCGGGACAGCGAAGACAGACCAAATGGCTGAGCCTTCAACATGACTGTTCTCAATCCAGATCATTATACAGTGGCATGGATCGCGCCACTCGAAATTGAGGCTCGCGCTGCTCTGGCATTCTTTGATGAAATCCATGATGGCTACTTCCCGGTCGCTCGAGGCCACGACTATGTCTTTACTGCAGGCAAGGCCTGCGGGCACCATGTCATTCTTGCGACTTTGCCTCCAGGCCAGCCGTATGGCACTGGTTCTGCCGGAGCCTTGGCCGGGCAAGTCAAGATGTGCTTCTCGAACCTCTGGTCTGGTCTGTTGGTCGGCGTCGCGGCCGGCCTCCCAGACTTGACGCGATCTCCACCACGCGATATCCGTCTCGGCGACGTCCTCGTTGCTCTTCCCGAAGGTGAGAGCGCCGGACTCATTGCTTATGACCTTGGAAAGGACATTGGGCAAGAACCCCTTCAGCTCTTGCACGGCGGCCATGTGTTGGCCAAAACGGAGACAGTGGTTCGTTCAGCAATCGGCAGCATCAAGCTCAAGGCGCCAAGGGATGCCGAGGCCCTTCTTGTCCATTACCGACAAATCCAGGACGATGACGGCATATTTGTTGACCCCGGGCAAGAGCGAGACATATTGTACGATTACGATCTCGAGATGGCCATCGACCGCCGGCCACGGCCAGACAACAGACGCACACGAGTATGGTACGGACCGATTGGCTCTGGGGAGAAGCTGATGAGGAACGCTGTGAGACGGAACGAGTTGAGAGACCAGCATGGCATCATTGGGCTGGAGATGGAGGCCGCGGGCACTATGAACACCATCCCGGTCGGTGTGATTCGCGGTGTCTGCGATTACGCCGATAGCCACAAGAACCAGGACTGGCAGGCGTATGCGGCGGCCATGGCTGCGGCATACGCCAAAGCTGTGTTGCAGACAATACCGCCCAAGAAAGTTCAGTGTAAGTGGCCCATTTGTAACTAGGTCATCGTCATCAAAGAGGAGTTGCATAGGGCAAGGTTGCAAGCTCTCACAGGAGGGGAGCTAATGAGGTTTCAATAGACTGTCACTTCATGGTCCCTTTTGGCCGGAACAAAGAGTTCGTCGGTCGTGAACATGTCCTGAAGCGGCTTCTACAGCTTGTTCCGCCCAGTCATGAGCGTGATAACTGTCAAAGAACGGTCGTCGAGGGTCTCGGGGGCGTCGGCAAGACACAAATCGCACTCGAGGTTGTGTACCGCATTCGTGACGAGTACCCAGACTGTCACATTTTTTGGGTGCCCGCAGTCAATGCTACTAGCTTTGAGAATGCCTACCGAGATATTGGCCGGAAGCTCGAGGTTCCTGGGATTGATAGCGATCCAGCGGATACCAAGGCACTCGTGAGAGCTGCCATTGACCGCGACCCGAATATGTGGTTGTTGGTAATTGACAACGCTGATGATACGCAATTACTATTTGCCGACAGCGGCCTCAGCGACTACCTGCCTTCAGGGAACAACGGATCCGTCTTGTTCACCACCCGTAACCATGAAGTTGCTGTGAGATTAGATGTTGTCAAGAAGAACATCCTTTCACTGAACGAAATGACCAGGGGAGAGTCGAAGGAAATTCTCGGCAACCTGCTGGAGGAACGACAGATAGAGAACGCGGCTAGCACAAACGACTTGCTCGAATTCTTGACGGACCTGCCACTCGCGATCAAACAGGCCGCAGCATTCATGGCGAAAACTGGACTGTCGACTTCCGAGTACTTCCGTCATTGCCAAAACAAAAGAGACGATCGTCTGATTGAACTCCTAAGCAAGGACTTCAACGATCGAGGCCGTTACAGGACTATTCAAAATCCGGTAGCCGCGACATGGCTGGTCTCGTTCCGGCATATTCTAAGGGATAGCCCTCTGGCTGCCGAACTCCTGGGTTTTCTCTCATGTGTTGCTGAGAAAGACATCCCGAAGCGAATCTTGCCACTAGGCGACAGCGAGATAGAGATGGATGAGGCTATCGGGACGCTGAAAGCTTACGCTTTTATCGCTGAGCGAGCGAGCCAGTCGTACGATATGCACAGACTTGTTGGGCTCGCAATGCGAAATTGGATGATAAAAGAAGGAGGATTCCAGACCTGCGTCACAAATGTCGTGCGAAGGCTCGACCAAATTGTGCCCGATCCAAAAGTCACCTCTGGGAACTGTTGGCTGCAGTACATGGCGCATTTCCTGAGAGCCTTGGATTTTCAAGACCAGGTCACCGAGCAAACTAGCCTCTCAAGCCTTCTACATAAGGCTGGAGTTAGTCAACATGCCATTGGGAAGGAGGATGAGGCGGAGAAGCTTCTACGATCAGCACTCGATTCATACGCTACATACCTGGACAGGAGATCTCCCGCCACCTCGAACTGCATGTTTGACCTAGGGAAAGTTCTAAGTAATCTGGGCAAGTACGACGAGGTAGAAAAGTTAGCTCGGGAGGCCCTTGAATCAAGCCATAGTGGAGCAGTATGGGCCATGCTCCTCCTCGGAAATATACTGGCAGATCAAGGCAAGTTGGGAGAAGCAGAAACAACAAAGCGAGAGCTTGTCAATCTGGCCACAGACTTTGTGGCTGTCGGTGGTATCACAGGCAATGCTATGGAATACCTTGGAAAACCGATAGGGGAGGAAGGAATACTTGGAGAGCCCGAGGTACTTCTTCCACGAGGCTTGCAGTCAGCATTGGACCTCCCTAGCCTCGAGCATTGCAACGTCTTGGAGATTATGGAAGAAGTTGGCTTTTATCTTTTGCAGCGGGACAAGGACGAGGAAGCCGAGAAATTACTTCAACAAGTTTGCCGTTTGAACAAGAGAGTACGGGGCGACAAGCATTTCATCACACTCAAGACTCAACATCATCTCTCCAGAGTGCTTCACAAACAAGGGAAATACCAGGAGGCTGAGACAATGTATCGTCAGGTGTTTCAATTAACACGCGAAGTACTTGGCACCAGACATTCAAGGACTGTCAACTTGATGCATGATCTGGCCGGTTTTCTTGAGGATAAAGGTGATCTAGACGAGGCCGAGGAGATATATCAACAGGAGTTGCAACTGAGGAGCGAGCTCTATGGAACAAGACATGTATACCTTTTTACCACCATGAGCAGTTTAGCCAGACTTCTTGAGACTAAGGGTCGCCTCGACGAGGCCGAGAAGATGTATCGAGAGATGGTTCAGCTCGCAAGGGGAGTTCGAGGTGTGAGCATTCCATTCTTGTCACTCAAGATGCACTCTTTGGCCTGTTTACTCATGGACAAGGGCCACCTGGATGAGGCGGAGGTGCTCTGGCGACAAGCATTCAGGTCGGATAGTCAAGTGCTTGGCGCCAGGCATCCTAACACACTTGCGCATATGAACAATCTAGCCTTGGTATTGGTCAACCAGGGCAAACATGAGGAGGGCGTGAAATGGCTACGGCAATTGTTACAGCTAAGGAGCGAGGTACTTGGAGCCGACCATGTCGACGTCCTCGAATTGAGGGAGCGTATTGAGGCACTCGAACAGCAAGGAAAACTCCAGGAGGCCCAAAACACGTGTCCACCGTCTCCAGAGGGGGCCCAGAATGATATGCTAGGAAGTCTTCGGTGTCTGGGCGTCGATCGAGAGTACGGGCGAGGCACTTACGGAGCCCGACAACGTGGACAACGCGATTGAGGCAGCAGCGGAGGTGAACTTCGTCTGGCTGCCACTATTGTGTGGCTTAGAGTCCGGGCACATCTCCCAAACTGCTGTATCAAGTATCTCGTTATGGTTTTCGAAGTGTTGTATGTTGAGACGACGGGAAAGTGGGAGAATTTCCGAGTGAAAAGCCATTGTCTTATCTTTCTTTTTTTTTCTTTCCAGGGTCGCGGTCTTGCTACGTTCATAGACCGGATAAATTGGAAGCAAATATATTGAAGGAGTACCAAATGTGTCTAGATCCAAGGCAACTCGTTGTGTCACACCTGGAATCGTTCTCTGCATTCCATGCTGCCTATCAAAGCATCTCGACAACAACAGCATCCCCCACCCGAATTGTGGGATGCTGCGCCTCCTTCGTCCTGGCGGCACCGGCGGCCGCCTCCCCCAACCCATTGGGGCTACGAAGCCCCATGTGCGTCCCGAAGAACACCTTGCCGTCGAACCGCCGCGTCTTGGACAGCGTGACGAAGGGCTCCTCGCTCTTCTCGGCCGTCGCCTGGTTGATGCAGATCATGTGGCACCGGCGGCACGACCCGAGCATCGCGAACCGCTGCGCCCCGCCGACGGTGATGCCCGCCCAGCCGTCCTCGGCGTAGGGCTCGTCCGGGCCGCCGCCGTCGGTCGAGTCGATGACCACGTTGGCGCGGAAGACGTCGGCGCTGACCTCCTTCCCGCCGCCGTTGGCCTTGATCTCTTTGTTCAGCGCGCGGACGCTCGCGAGGTTGATGGCCAGTATGGGGCTCTCGTTGGAGAGGAGGATGCGCCGCTGGGCGCTCTCGGTATCCGAGTCTGGTGGCGATGGCGGTGTGGGGAATGCCCCTGGGAGGCTATAAGGGCGAGCACAGGCGGCTAGGTTCTGGTGCTGCTGTATCCGGGCCTTGGAGTGTCTCATCGTCTTGCCTTCCCCGCCGGGTGGGAAGCGGGCGAGGACGCACGGCACCCCTAGCGCGGCGGAGAAGAAGTTGTTCACGGTTGGATCGGTGTAAGTCTGTGCGGAGATCTCGTCTCCGCAGACGCGGGAGGATCTGGCCCGGAAGGTGCCTACTGGGCTGAGCATTGCGGGATTGGCGGACAGAGGGACAGCTATTTCCTTTGATGAGTGGGCAGGCATATCCCCTGCGTACCTCACCCGCAACTCTCCCCGTTCAAAATCAAGTGACGGCCTGAGCAAGGCCATCTTGGGATGCCGCTTCTGTCCCAGGGCTTGGCCAGTGCCACGGTGAAGTAGACACCATTCTCTGTCCCAGGCTAACCCTTCTGGCCTGATCTCCCAGCTTGTGTTCAGAGGAACCGTAAAACCACCACAGCCCTTGATCGGGAATACGTTGAGACGCTGAACCCTGTATCTCGATGCTGGGGTACTGATGCGAGTATTATATTTCTCCTGTGGTGCAGCGGTCTTTCTCTCGGTGTAAAACTCCTCAATGAATGCGATGAACCGATCAACATCCGACAGCGTACTCATTGCGCCCAGGCTTGCACGGATGACACCAGTCGGCTTCCCTCCCGCCACGTCATTATCCGTCCCGCATCGGAAGCCGGCCGAGAAGTTGCGCTTCATCTCCCAGGGCGCCAGACCCAATGCCGAGGCGATGCCACCCGGGTTACACACGCCTCCGGTCCGTATGTGAAAACCCTTGAGACTCGCCAACTTCTCGAACTCCGCAGCACTAATCCACGCACCCAAGTGGTTTCGAAGATTGAATGCCACGATAGGGCCACAGTCTATGGATGTCCCGAGGCAGACTGGGTCTGGAGAATACATCTCGCATACTGGGGTCTCGTTCCCATGCTGAATCCTTTGAAGCCCAGAAAACAGGCGCCGGGATAGATACCGGGTATGAGATGCCACGTCGTGCATCGACCCGTACAACCGTCGCTGCGCATCCATGGCGGTATCCAAGGCAACAATGTTGTGGACCGGAAGTGTGCCGTCCTCTAACCGGCTGTGAAGTGATTCGGTCTTGAACGTATGCCATTCCTCTTTTCCACAGAGAACCATGTCTACAGTGCCTCCGCCGAAGTACTTCCTCGAGTCGAACAAGGGCTCTGCTTGTCGTCTAATAATCAGTCCGCCCAAGTCGGGGAAACCAAAGATCTTGTAAAAGCTGAGAACGGTAAAGTCCGGCGCAGCATCCGAGTCTGACAAGTCAAGTGGACTGGTCGAGGCAAAGGCTGCCGCGTCGAGCAGAGTATAGAGCCTTCGCCCATTGTTTGACTCTATCCGTCGAAGACGATCTGACCACTCTAGAGGATATCGTCGTCCGTCCATATTGGACTGTGCCGGATATGCGAACAGAAGAGCGTCCTCTTCATTGTCTGACAGCAACAACGGTCGATGCTTCTCAAAGAGCCAATCCTCCATGGCTTCGTTATCGAGACAAAGGCTTCTGTTTGCCTCCTCCCTGACACCAACGAGACTGGTGTGGCTCGCAGAATGATATGCATAGGCAAAACTCCCGGGCCTGGCCCTGAAAGCTTCAGCGACGAGCTTGATGCCGGCGGTCGCATTCGCCACGAAGACGAGATCGAATTCGGTCGGGTCGGCATTGAAGAACTGCAGTACCCGCGCGCGAATGTCGTCGATGCGAGACGAGGACAGTTGCGAAGAAGGCGATCCTGAGTGTGGGTTTCCAAACAGGTTGGACGTCATGTCCTTTGCAAAGGCATCAACGGCGGACTTGGGAGGCACAGTCGTCCCCGCGTGGTCGAGGTAGACGGCATCTAACGAATCTTAGCATTGTAACATTGTGATATGAGAAGCGTGACAAGCCGGACCTTTGAGCATGGGATATTCATGTTCCCGAAAGGCTTCGACCGAAGTATTGTAGCCAGTCGCTTGTGCGCCAGCCATTATCACCGCTTTCTATCACCGACTCTAGCGATCCAGATGGCCGATTGCCGTCCTTCGCCTGTACCCTGGAGTTGATGGAAGAGCTGCAATCATGGAGAGAGGTTTGGAGGAGGAACATAGTTGGTCACTGCCCTGCTTATTCAAACGCAGAGACACATCTTTCAACCCCAAAGTCCCCAGACTCTGTTTCTCGCCCCAATCGAGGTCCCGTGGCTCCAGATCCAACGTCACCAGGCCTGTGATAAGCCAATTCGAGGGCGCCGGGCGGGCCAGTGGGCGGTTCTCCCCCGCGCTTTCGGTACGGTAGACGCTAATCCTGACTAAGGTAGCTGGAGATCTGACAGGTGCTGGAATACGCGCGAGCCCGCACAGACCACCTGCAGCACCGGCTGGCCGAGTTTAAGTGGCGCCCCATTTTTGGCGACCACTTTACGCGCTTTTGCGCGTCGAGTCTCACCAGCCACGGGCCCTGCGCGCGTGAACCCGCGTCAAGACCCGCCGGACATCTCCACGCCTCACCACCTGCCACTATTAATCAATGGCCCTGTGCAGACAACTCCTTCCTTCTGCCTTTGAACCTCCCCAGTTTCTTTCCCTGAATAACCTCCAGACTTCATAATTGTTCACATCTTCCTTCCTTCATCACCTCGCCAGTGTGTATAATCCGTAACTTCCCCCTTTGCATATCAGTACAGAATGGCAGCCTCCGCGCTGGGCAAGAGGACTCGGAGGTCGACAGACGCAGGTAGGACCAGACTGGCATCACCATACCTCTTACCTCGCAGTGCATTGACTCATCTCTTGAATTGACAGACCTCGACCTCCCTGCCAAGCGAACGAGGCGGCAGACTCGCAGCTTCGAGATCAACGATGAAAACCAAGACCCCAACGAAGTCTCACCCCCGGAGCTTGACTCTTCCCTCGAGGACTCGCCCTCCAAGCGCCACATCGACAGCGTCAGCCCTGTGAAGTTCCCCATCACACCTACCACGCCTCGCTTCCGGGACGCTCTGGCCAAGAATCCTAGCACACCCCGTCAGCGTGTCACGATCACTGGCAAGTTCTCGAAGCGATTGACACCGCAGTCACCCTTGACTCCGACTTCTTGCCAAACCGTCTACTACCAGGCGCGGCAACTGTTTTCCCGAAGCTCAGACCCGGGCCAATTGATTGGACGCGACGAGGAGCGGGCCAAGCTCCAGACATTTCTCGACCGGTGCTCAACATCACATCCGGGAGGGTGCCTATATGTCAGTGGGCCGCCAGGCACGGGCAAGAGCGCTATGTGCAACGAGATCACGACACGGTTGGCCACAGAGCATGGCTCCGTTCGAAAAGCATATATCAACTGTATGAGTATCAAGTCGTCTACCGATCTGTTCATTACTCTGCTTGACCTCTTGGGAATGGAGACAGCGATGTGTGAGGAGGATGCGGCGTCGTCATTGGAGAAGGTTTTCATCACCAAGAAGAAGTCGGCCGACGTCCACCTCGTCGTCTTGGATGAAGTTGACCACATTATGACTCTGGATCTGGAGAGCCTCTACCGTCTCTTCGAGTGGTCTATGCAAAAGGGCTCGCGGCTCCTCTTGGTTGGCATCGCCAACGCTCTTGATCTGACCGACCGCTTCCTACCTCGCCTCAAGTCTCGAAACCTCAAGCCCGAGCTCCTGCCTTTCCTCCCTTACACTGCTCCTCAGATCAAGAATATCATCACGAACCGACTCAAGTCGTTGCTGCCAGCTGACACGACCACGCCCGACTACACACCGTTCTTCCACCCGGCAGCTATTGAGCTCTGCTCGAGGAAAGTCTCGAGCCAGACCGGAGATCTGCGCAAGGCATTTGAGATTCTACGCCGAGCTATTGATCTGATTGAGTCGGAGACGAAGCAAAAGTACGAGAACGAGGCCAAAGAGGCGGCCCTGCAGATGACGCCATCTAAGAAGCCGTTGGGAGAGAACAACAATTTGGCTTCTTCTCCATCCAAGGCCGACAGGGGTGTGGCAGCCTCGATCCTGGCGTCGCTCAAGAGCTTGACTGTGGAGAGCGCTCCGCGTGTGAGCATTGGCCACCTCAACAAGGTTACCGCGGCAGCCTTCAGCAACGGTGCCAACCAGCGTCTCAAGACACTCAACCTTCAGCAAAAGGCTGCTCTGTGCTCTCTGATGGCTCTGGAGAAGCGAAATCGCGCCTCCATGTCTCAGGTGATCTCGGGCACACCATCAAAGTCCAAGGTCACTGCGCCCACCATCAAGACATTATTCGATACCTACTGCCTGCTGTGCAAGCAGGACGCAATTCTCCACCCCTTGTCGAGCTCCGAGTTCAGAGAAGTGGTGGGAAGTCTCGAGACCTTGTCGCTGGTCACGGCTGTCGACGGCAAGACGGGCTCCTTTGCCGCGCTGCAGACCCCTAGCAAGCGAGGAAGAAAGCCTGCATTTATTAGCGGCAACAGCGACGAGAAGCGCGTTGCGAGCTGCGTTGGCGAGAAGGAGATGGGAAGTGCTCTGGAAGGACCAGGTTCCGACATTTTGAAGAGCATCATGTTTGGCGAAGCATTGGATTAGAGACAGTCTTTTCTGTTTTGTTTCTTGCATATGGCACCGCATCCTGCATTGCGCTGCACGGCATAGTACTGCATCAGCATTTTGTGTTTACACTAGAGAAAAGCATAACACCCGCAGGTCCGAGGAGGCCCACGCGGATCATCAGGAGTTCATGTTTGTATGACTACTGGGAGGGCGGCGCATTGGTACAAAGGAGTTGGAATTGTGGTGCAAGGCCATGGCCTGGCGAATTGGGCATGGACAAGATACCACGCATGACTTTTTTAATATGAACAAAACATTGACTGTACTTGCCGCTTGCGTTCATGTGAAACAGCAACTGTCTGGGGTTGTCATGTTGCCGCATCCTGAATAGGTCCATTCATGACTGTGAGCAATTCAATCAACCTTGATGGAAGCGCCGCGAAAGGATCGGACCGGTGCCTTTCTTACGTGTTTGTTTCACTTCGAGTCCAGGGAGGGTCTCGTGTGCCAAGATTGCCAAGGCAGCCCTACCCAGATTGGCTCTGAGCCCTCGAACCCTACTTGAACGTTTGGTCGTCTTTGCTCGAACAATCAGCACTCGCTGCAGTCATCACTGCGGACATGGACAAACACGAATAGACTGCACTGCTAATTAGAACAAGCTACCTAGTATTGGAGGCTAAGCGATGTGCCGACGAGTCCGCGCCGCTGGCCGGCAGGTGAAAAGCGACACTCCGCTTCTGGGAAGCTGCAGCTAACCCGAACACTCACTAGTCGAATCGAGACCTGGCTCGGGCGCTCGTGACATTGCGCCATTCTTGAATGTGCGCATCGGCGTGGACTGGAAGAGGTGGGTGTTTTCGTGATGCAAACCATCTCGAACCCTCTCGCTGGACCAGTTCACCAAGATCAAATCATTGACGCCTTTTTTATCTTATCACGGATCGCTGCCAAGAGATGAGGCTCGCCTTACCCCGTAGCTGCCGTTCAGCAGTGACGGGAGCCAAGAAATGAAGGAAAAAGTAAGGCCAACGGGCAGACGCAGGGTTCGCCTGGGATCTCTGTGGAACCGCTGATCGGTCGTCTTTTCGGGCTGGTTCCAAGCGTGAGCAAGTAAAATCTCAGCTAGTAACATGCGACCTTGGTTGGGGCCCGAGTCATTGCCTGCAGCCTGAGAGTGTGTACCTGGATGGGATTCGGCGGCCAGCCTTCAAGACTAATTGATGCCGTTCAACCAAGCAGCTGTGTCCCGTGGAAATCTCGAGCTTTTGGCAGCCGTTTGGTGTCCCAAAGAAACGAGGGACAGGGTTGATTGCCACCTAAGCATTTCTGGCATGTTTGGGACAGGAAACGGATGGAGTTGAGTGACCTGTGTCATCGTTCCCTAAAAATTGGAAGTACATGCCGATTTCCGACGCCTTCCCACAGGGTCCAGCGGAGACGCTGCCCTTTCCGTGCTCCGTACGCCCCCCTCGGTTTCATCGAGCTAGGTTCGCTTCGCGGCTGATCTAGTAGGCAGACTAGAGAAATGGACAGTTCAGCATCAGCAGATCACGGAGGTTGTTTGGTGGTGGGTGGTAGTGGTTGATTGTGAAGTACCTTATCATCCTTCTGCTGCTGCTGCTGCTGCCTCCATCCTGAAGAAGATGGTGTCGAGAGGAGGGGGTGTGAGAGAGAGAGAGCATGGATAATGATGATGGAGGGGACATGGTTGGGCTGGCTGCCCAGCGCCAGTGAGGCTGTGCTTGTCCTGCTCTTCCTGTTTTGCGACCGATGAGGATGTATGTACCTTCTGGAGGGAGGTAGAGATGAGAACTACCCGCGCCAAGCCTGCTTTTCAACGTCCCCTCCTCTTCTTCCAACCTCTTGTCTCAATCCACCAATCTGTAGACAAACGCATCGACTCTCGCAAAGGAGGGGGGAGATAGAGAATTTTCAAGGTCGAATACGACTTCATCATCGCGAACCCCGGCTCTGCTTGGGCACGCGCGAAAGCCAGAGAGCATAAAGTCACATAATCTTACGCGAATCTAGGCCCTGTCTCGTTGGGAATCCACCGCTTATCGACCCGATCGAGCACTACTCGACCCTCGCTGGGGCCCCTCGTAACGGACTGAAAATGGTCCCCAAAATCTCCTGGTGGTTTCTATTAGCTGTCTTCCCACGTTATTAGAGATCCCTAGCGGTTTTGCGTCTCTCTAAACCCCCGAGTCCGACCCCGAGGCACCCCTCCTCTTCTCCTGCCCATTAATCCCTTCCCTTCCATATTCTCTCCTCTCTTCCCTTCCCATCTTTCCCCACGAAACCTTTCATCATTGATCTTGGCAGCCAAGCACTCAGCCCTCTTGTCTCGCCTTGGCATATGCAACCAAGCAGACACCACCGCAAACCCTCCCGTCACCCGCGTTTTCCTTGTCGCTGCTCTCTGCTGCTCCCGCTCTGCTGGCCATTGCGTCGCTGTCCTCGCCGGATTCTAGAACCTGAGCAGGGGGGGGCGCCAAAAAGCTTAGGTGCGGTGCCAACCACCACCTGTCCCCAGCACAGGGTTCACACTGCGACAGCTGCTGCGGCGCGCGCCCAATTCGCTTACGCAATCGCTGTGCCCATCCCAGCTTCGCTGCCTCCGAGAGGGTGAATCGCACAAACGTACGAACGAGCGAACGAAACGACCTCGGCACCGTCGCGAGCAAAAAGGGCTGTTGGCATACACCGCTGTGTGCCACTGCCGCGGACGTCGACTGCTACAGATGCGTGTATTGAGCGCCGCCGCCGTCTCCGATCTGGGTGCTTAGGTGCTCGTTCCTGCTCTCCTCCCCTGTCTGCGTGCGTGTTCGTCTGCGTGCCCTTATCTCCACCCGCTCGACTCTTTCCGCCCGCGGCTTCCTCAGTGTACAGCAACCTCTGGAGGTGGGTGGCCTGAGATCACGCAGTCCAAGAGTCCTCTCTCTCTCTCTCTCTGTCGTCAGCGAAGCTCTACGAAACTCGCCCCATGATTTCCCCCTAATTCGGACCGAACTTCGAGGAACACCCTTCTGCAGAGCGCTTTCGTGCCGGGGCCCAGACGCGCCCAAAATTTCCACCGGGGTCTCACGTCTTTCGTCGTCGTCGCCTCTCGCGCATCGACCGGATTGCATAGATGGGCCCTTCCCCGGCGAACAAAAGCAACGCCTCCGCCGCCGTCAAGGACGCCGCTCCCTCCAGACCCTCCTTCTTCTCGCGCCTCTCCCTCCCGATCCTGTCGCGCCAGGCGCGCAACATTGCCGACTTCCACATCCGCCCGGCCGAGCCGCATCGCCAGTACGCCGCTGGCGACCATGTCGCTGGCGCCGTCGTGCTGACGGTGGTCAAGCCCATCCGCATCACCCACCTGACCGTCTCCCTCCACGGCTTCGTCCGCGTCTTCAAGAGCCCCAATGGCGTCAACGAGCCCCCGATCAACCCGGCCGAGATACCCACGTCGACGTCGCGGGCCAAGTTCAGGTATCTCGGGAATGGCTACGCGAGCCTGTTCCAGGATGAGCAGGTCCTCAGCGCAGACGGCAAGCTGGAGCCGAGGAAGTACGAGTTCAACTTTGATCTCATGTTCCCGACCACCAGCTTGCCTACCAGCGTAGACGTACGTTCTCTCATACTGAACTGCATGCAGATTTGCATTGTCATAAACCCCGCAAGTGCCTTGTTGAATGCTAACGCAGCTGTGCCTGCTAGTTTGAGCGTGGAACCATATCGTACATGATCACCGCTACGCTGACGCGCCCGACGACGATATCACCGACCCAAACTTGCGAACGGAGGATTTTCTTGACGGAGAAGCTCGACGTCGGCCTGTTGGATCCGCCGAGGCCCCGTACGATCTCGTTACAGCCCATTTCCAAAAAGTCAAGGAGGAGGAAAACTCTGCCACCGGAGAATGCTTCGCCGCTACCCAACCGAACAGACTCGGCCTTATCTGACCCGGATGCGACGAGAGCGAACGAGAACTCGACGGAGGGCTCGGTAGCGGCTGAGGAGGTACAACAAGATGGCCGACATATTTCGTTTCCAAGGAGTCCCATACACAGCGAGATCATGAGCGAGATCAGCGGCGAAAGCGTGGTCAGCGGCGCCAGTACCGGGCAGAGCGGGCGAGCCCATGACGCGAGTCACACGAGTTCTTCAGGGTCGCAAGGGGCGTCAAACAGGACGCGTACGCCAGAGAAGCGCGTTATCGTCGCGACGATCGAGTCATTGAAAGGAGGGTGCCTACCAGGCGATATCCTGCCCATCAAGATATCAGTACAGCACATCAAGCGGATCAAGAGCCTGCACGGCGTCGTGGTGACGCTGTACAGACAAGGGCGGATAGACTCGGCGCCACCGATACCGGATACCGGGAAGCTCACATCGGAGGACGTGCGTCGTCTCGACAAGGAATACTACTACCCTCGGTCCAAAACAGGTCTCGGCGGACTCTCCCTGAGCTCGGCAGGCTCTTGCAGCGTCTTTCGCAAGGATCTTGTACAGACGTTTCAGCCACTAATTATTGACCCTGGCACGCTCGGTGCCAACGTTACAGCCTACGTTCGGGTGCCGGAGGACTGCTTCCCTACGATCAAAGGTCTCCCGGGGGAGATGATCAGCTTCAAGTATCAGGTCGAAGTTCTGGTCGATCTAGGGGGCAAACTTGCTGGCCAGATCCAGTCAGTGCAATCCAAGGTGACTCCGGTGGGGACCCCCGGAGTTGTGGGAGCAACCACCCGGAGTTCATACGAGCAAGGCGGGGCAGTCTTGACCGGCAGCAACGTAATCGATACGGATCAGCTACGTCGCCATAAGGGGGTGATATCCGTCACGTTCGAGGTGGTCGTCGGGACCGCCAACAGCAATAAGCACCGCAACCGCGGCATTTCGCGGGTGTCGACCTATACGCGACAGATTGACGAGGCGGCGCAGTATCCTGAAAACACGCAGGGCGAATGGCATGGTGAAGGCGAGCCGGAGAGATATCATGAGGAGACCCCGTACCACTACGGGGATGGGTACTTCCCGCCGACGATCGAGGTACATGACCAACACCCGCCGTATCTGCCGCCCGAGCCGAGTAGAGCACCCGTGCCCATCTACATTCCGCTACCAGAGGTGTCCGAAGACAACGGACTGTCAGAAAAGGATCGGATCAGGCGAGCCGAGCAGAGACTGTTGCCCAGCCAGCCCCCGGAAGCACCGGTAGCTAGCTCGTCACGGGCGGCGCCCGCGCAGGATGAGAACATCTACGACGCTGAGGATGAGCCTACGGCTCCCGATGGCGATGCGGCGACCCCGCATGCCGCTATCGAGATACCCGCCGTGGAAGACGGGCCCTCGGCGCCGACATTTGAGGATCTGGACCCGACACCTACCGCGCAGCCTTCCGAAGACAAGCAGGAGCTCGAGCGGCGCAGGCTGATGCAGGAAGCCAGCGCCCCGCCCGAGTGTCCCGAAGACTACGACGCCGGTGTCGGTAGCAGCTCGGCGCCTGCTGCGCCTGCGCCCGCGACCGCACCCGAAGCTGTGGACGAAGAGCCCTCGGCGCCGATGCTCGGCGAGGAGGACCACTACGGACACGACTTTGCTTACGACCAGCTTGCGGCGGGGTCGTCTACGGCGCCTGCTGTCAATGGGGTCGGCGGAGGGCCGCATGAGCCGCTTCCGAAGTACGAGCGGTGATGTGAGAATGGGCTGGGCTGGGCTGTACTGGGCTGTCGAAGCGTGTTCTTGAGATCTGTGTGCTGTTATATGATACCCCTGTGGCGAGGAGGCGTGACCAAAAGTGTGAAGGAGAGGCATTGTATTTATGGGGGACGAGTCGATGACGGGAGTGAAGAACTGGTGGGAAGTTGTGGCTGGAGTATAGGGAGAGACGGCAATCTTGCTATTATGCCAGATGGAGGTTGTAGGCGCCGCGGAGTTTGGGAGGAATATGTCTACTATTATCTATCTATATCATCGCGAATGGGAGGGAAAGTTGAAAGCTGCATGGGATGGAGGTTGAAGTTGTGTTTTTTCTTATAGGACTCTGTTCTGAAGATACCCCCATGCATCATGATTGTTGCATCTGCAAGAGCATGGGAGTTTTTGTCTTTGCATGCGACGAATGGGGAATTCTATCCAATTGCTTTTCAACTTCAAGCCGGCTGCATGATGTACAGTTAACTGTGCGACTTGCTCGATGATGGTTTGCCCTATGGTGGTGATGACAACAGTGAATGAGGCAACTGGGCGCATGTCTTGACCCCACCATGCCTCAAATGTGTAGACTGGTGAACCCAACCCCACCATCAAACTCATTAAACCGACAGCTAGCGACGCGCCAACGCCACGTCCGTCTTTTGTCTTCGTCTTGCCGTGCGCACATGCATCAGACTTTCACCAAACCTTCCAGTACTGACTGCACCTTTTGTGACGATGTTATGACCTCGCCCTGCGACCCAATTACTACCCCCCTTCTTCTCCTTTTCATTCACTTCCGCGTCTCTGCTTTGTTTCCTATATTAGATCCCTAGGTGTGCAGTGCAGGCGCAGTGCAGTACGGCAATGGACATCGACGACATCCTGCGCGAGGTCGACCCGGCCGGCGGTGCGGCGCCGCGGGGCAAGCGCGACCTGCAGGAGCTGACGAGGGCTTGGGTGGCCGAGAGGTCGGCGCCCGAGCTGTTGGAGTATGTTTCTCTCGAGGGGTCTCTCCCATTGTGTGTATGTGTTTGTGGAAAGGAAAAAGGCAAGGCTGACGTCTGCCTGGTTTGTTGCTTCTTTAGGTGGCCGGCCGACGGGCTGTTTGAGCGCATCAACGAGCGCATCAAGACGCAGATCGAGCGCGTCGAGGAGATGACGGGCGACATGGACCCCAAGACCAACTTTGCGCTCATTGTGATCCAGACGGAGCTCGAGCGGTACAAGTTTCTGGTCAGGAGCTATCTACGGGCGCGGATCGCAAAGGTAAATCTGCTACTGCCTCTCTGTTGTCTATCCTGTCTATAGTTGGGCTCGGTTCAGAAAACACTACAATTCTACACACACACACATACACACACACACACACACACAGGATGACTCCAAAAGCAAGGCTAACAGGCATTGCCCCCCGCAACAGATCGACAAGCACACGCTGCACTACCTCTCGACGCCCAGCCTGCGCGCGCGCCTCTCGGGCACGGAGCTCGCCTACGCGACGCGCCACCAGGCGCTGCTGCACGACCACTACCTGTCCTCCTTCCTCGCGAGCTTCCCCGCCGCGCTGCAGAACCTCAACGACGCGGCGGGCAACATCAGCATGGTCGACGCGCCGGACCTCGAGGCCGCGGTCTTCGTGCGCGTGCTGCGGCCGCGGTGCGAGGTCGCGGCCCGGGGCACGGACAGCGACGCAGAGCGGTTCGAGGGGCGGGAGGGGGATGTTTTGATATTGCGGTGGGCTGATGCGAAGGCGCTTGTGGGGAGGGGGGATGTCGAGCTTGTCTGAGGGGGGGGGACATGGGTGGTGGTATATAGATACGTGGGAGTGTGCGTGTGTGGCTTCGACTACGGATCCGTGATGACGGCTTCGGCGTCTGGATTGGAACACGGAGCGGCGGTCGCCGGTGCGAGTGGTCGGGGGACGGCCGCGAAGCCGGGCACGCAAGGCATGATGCTCCGGAGTCGGTCGGCACTCTGGGCCGCTCTACATGCCGATATGCTGCAATATCCTCACGCAGGATGGTATATGCCGAGATACATACAGGGAAGGCTATCCTCGACTTGGCAGGACACGCATCAAGCGCTGGAAAGCGTGTATACGATGCACCAGAGCAGCGGATCACAGACGCGCTGCAAGATCTTGGCCAGTCGTGTGTATGTACACGGCTGCCCGGCACGTAGGTTGCCTCTGGAGGAGAGGCAAGGAGGCGAGTTGGGCAATACCTGCCTAGCTGCGAACAAAAAAGCCCTGTACGAGGCCCAAAACAGGCCCGCGGCCGAGGACATGAAGATAGAATTTGCCACTGCAGTGGAACTAGCATAGGTCAGATGGAGGTTGATAACCGCTGTCGTGCAGCAGCATTACGCAAGCCCGCCCTCGTATTCTGGTCGTGGTGAGTGTCCAAAAAGTGCTGCAAGCATGCGAGCAGGCATGCATGTACGGTCATGCTGGCAGACTCTGCCTGTGCAAGCTGCGGGTTCCCGGCGATCATCGAACGGCATGCAACGTACGTCTTCTCTCCCCTATACAAGAGACATGCCTGTGATACCCAAAATAGGTGTGGATGTTGTCTTTGGATGTACGCTAGATCTAGATCATGACCATGATGGCAGCTCCATGTCTACGCATGGTGTAGCTTGCCGCGGCAGTCAGGGAGAGAGTCCTGGCAATCTCGTCAGCCAAGATTTTTTGTTGCATGAATATTCCGGGGTGACACCCTGGATGCACGTCTGTACAAGCCACGCAAACGCAAAGCCACCGGCAGGGGGTTAGGATATCAAAATGGAAGCTCCGCAGTAGGGACGGATGTCGCATGGTGCCAGGGGGCGGCTGAACTCTCTTTTCTCTGGTGCTGCGAGCATGGAGGGGAGGTCCTTGCTTTTTCCGGCCTAGCGATGGACCAGCTTCTTCGTGTTTTTCGTGGTGTGGTTGTGCTGGCGTGTCTCACCTGCAAATGGTTGACATCTGTTTGTTCCGGACAGCCTGCCTGCCTGCAGGACGGTCCAGCGGATCTTGCCTGTGTAATTAATGTACGTAACTAGGTACATGTGCAAAGCTCTCGATACGATACGACGAGGTGTGAGTTTCACTGCTACGGATACACACGCAAGACCAGACTCGAGGCCCGCTCGACGAGGCAGATCGAGAGAGGGAGAGAGAGAGAGAGAGAGAGAGAGAGAGAGAGAGAGATCCATGACAGAAAACCAAGGCACAGGCAGTCCCACCACCACACCGTGCCTCCAGCTAGGATCGAACACGAGAAAATTGCCAGTTCGGGGCTCTTTGACTCTCTGCCAACAAAATGGATGGATCAATTGGATGAGACGGGGCCTCCGTGCCCACCAGCAGCACCAGTGGCCGGCAAGCTTGGCCCGGAGCCGCCATTGGTGCACTGCAAGGCCAGGGGTCAGGGGTCAAAAAGTACCTTACAAGGACAGAGTGGTCAGGCACAAGGCACAGGGAAAAAAAAGCAGTGCTACACGCCCAACCCCGGATTCGCGCTGCCGGACGAAAAGCAAAAAGCACAAAAGAGGCACCAAATAACAGGCGCCGCAGCCAGTATTTAATTTTAAAAAGGGGGCTCCTCCAATGGCACAGCACGGAAACAGGGGTCTGGGCTACCTAACTTCCCAAAGCTCCACAGCTTGGTGTCCAAGGTTGCCCATCTTTTCCCCCAGCTGATCATTAACCGAACGATGAGCAGCGGGCAGATCGACTCTCATCTGCTCTCGCGTGCCTCGCCAAGAGGCGGGATTGGCGAGGGGGGGCGTGTCGCCCTTGTCCATTGCGTCCTTTGCCGTGACATTGACGCGCTCTCGATCATACGGAGTGCCTACCTAACTATGAGGGAGAAGAGAGGGCGTGCGCGGGCGAGAACAAGTGCCTTCTGAGGAGCTTCTCAAACATGCTCGTCCGGAACCAGACTGAATAGCTCCGTAGTATGAAGCTAGAGCAGCTGTTCGCACTACGTCGACAGCAGAGCTCAACTGAGCCACGGTTAAGCTGGCAAGCTGGTTTGTTGGCCAAGATCAGGCAAAGGCATGTTGGCAAGGGTGGGACGGGAGGGGGGAGTGTCTCGAGCAAAACAAGATCACGGCCTTGTACAAGTATCGGCCGCCATGCTATGATATGACGAGAAATGCAGGCCCGAGAGGAACTTGTGGAGATGGGCTGCACACACACATTGCCTTCTTCCCCATCACACCCCCCCCGGTCGTCTGCTCGAGCGGAGCGGCTTGGCCCTTGGCTCGCGATGGGCAAACCGCGCCGTTGTCTGTCTCTCTTGTCTGTTGTACGTTTTTCATGTTTCCCGTACGTATTTAGACCTCCCGCTCCATCCTGCATTCCAGCTGCTGGTGGCCCCCCCCTTTCGTTCCCCTTTCTGGATTTGCCGACCTTTGTGACTATCCATACCACACTCGCTCGCTTGTTTGGGAACTCATATTTTTAATACCTTCACCACTCTCGTTATAAACAAACAGTAAGAGGAAAGAAACACCAAGTGCTGGTCTTTTTCTTCCGAAGCTTTCTTTGTTGCCAAAGTTCCTTGAATACCGACAACAACAAAACTTAATCACCAAGCCCCCCAACAACAACAACAACCAAGATGCGTTTCACCGCTGTCCTCCTCGGCGCCCTCGCCACCCTCGCCGTCGCCCAGTCCTCGAGCAGCAGCAGCGGCACCGCCACCACCGCCGTCCAGAACACCCAGACGGCCGCCGACCCGGCCCAGAGCTCCGCCTACGAGAAGGTCCTCAAGTGCATCGCCGCCTGCAACCCCGGCGACGTCAACTGCCAGGCCAAGTGCTCGGGTGTATGTCGTGTCCACTCTCCCCCCCCCCCCCCCCTCTCTTCTTCCTCTGCGCACCACCACCGATAGCCCGAAACTGACCTGTTGTGTGTAGAACCCCTTCCCCAACGAGTCCCAGGTCAACGCCACGACCGAGTGCGTCGCCGCCTGCCCCAAGGGCGACGGCAAGGACGTCGCCGCCGACACGGCCGCGTTCGCCGCCTGCCGCGACAAGTGCATCGCCGACCACTACCTGACCAACTCGGCCGCCCCGCAGCCCACCGGCAACTCTGGCTCCGGCTCCGGCTCCGGCAACTCGGGCTCGCAGACGACTGGCGGCGCCGGCGGCGCCCAGACCACGGGCGGCTCCAGCGGCGGCAGCAACACCAGCGGCGGCAGCGGCAGCGGCGGCGGCTCGCAGACGAGCTCGGGCGCTGCGACCAAGCCTACGAACGCGGCTGGCAGCGTGCACGTCAGCGGCGCGGCGGTCGCGGCCGTGGGCTTCCTGGCTGCTGTTGCTGCTTTGTAAGGGGGCGATGAGTTCTGTCGTGGACGGGAAGTGAACGGATAGGGTGGGCGCGCGGGGGTTTTAATGTGTTGGTTGGTTGGTTGGTTGGTTGGTTGGGATGGGTGATGATGTGATGAGGACGGGGACGGATTCTATGGCGCGCCAATCTCAACGGAGAGAGGGGTGATTGTGTCAAAAAGTCATTTCGGCTCCTTTGGGGGAAAATGATCTTTCAGAAAAAAAAAACAATTTCGTACTGGATATAATAATCAGCCCGGCTATCTGTAGATACGAAACCACGAACCACTAATTCAAAACTCCATCCCACCGCGCGTTCTATACTCTGTGTGTCTCTGTGGACCGAGATGGTTTTTTGAAAATGCTCGCATCTTGAAGAAACATACTATGGACAATCTCTGCTGCTGTGACCTACTATGCCCGGGCACTGTTCCTCGGCAGCGTGGGCTTGACGTCGGAGATCCAGGGCAGGCCGAGCTTCTTCATCTCGACGGCCAGCTGGAAGAGGTAGTCCAGACTGCGATCGTCATGTCAGTCAGTACAGTAGTTACATGTAAGCAATATTTAGGCGAAAACTGTTGAAACTTGGTTCAGAGAGAAAGGGAAAACATACCTCTCGCACTGCGTCTTGGCCTTGTGCACGCTCTCCCCCCACACGTACACGCCGTGGCGCCGGACCAGCACCGCGTAGGCGTCCGGGTACCGGTCCATGGCCTCCTCGAGGAACTCGGTCAGGTCCTCCTCGTGCGCCGTGTTCTCGATGACGGGGACGACGAGCGTGTCGTGGTAGCCGAGGTTGCCCTCGGCGAGGCGGTCGGCGCCCCGGCCGAAGCCCTTGATCTGCTCGACGTTGTTGATGCGGAACTCGGAGGAGGACGGCGCGCCGGCGCCGGCGCCGCCGGCCTGCTCCTGCTGCTCGAGCAGGAGGGTCACGAGGACGGCCCACTGGCTGTGCGTGTGGATGCAGCAGCCCGCGCGGCGGCGGGTGAAGGCGGCGAGGAAGAGCGGCGTGCACTGCGAGGGCCTGAGGGAGGGCGGCGAGCGCAGGTAGACGCGCTGGCGCAGGGAGCGGGCCTGCTCCTGTTGCTGCTGTTGGGCGGCGAGGGAGAGGACGTAGATGTCGGCGGGCTTCATGAGCTCCTTTTGCACGCCTGAGGGGGCGATGTAGACGAGGTCGCTGATACCGGGGGGGGGTCGGAGAGAAGGCATGTCAGATATGAAGGTTTGAGATGAGGGCTGTGTGGTGTGGTGTGGTGTGGGATGGTATGAGATTGAGAATGAGATGGGGAGCGTGTGTATGAGTGAAGGGGTGGGTGTAAGAGATGAGTGACCATATGAGATGTGATCCGGCTCTCGAGGATATTACGATCTTGACTTTCTCTCATCTCGAGATACATAGTATGACAATGTGTGCTTACTCTTCACGGATGGAGCACCCACCGCCGGTGCCCGTGACCCATCCCAGCGTCCAGAACTTGGCGCACAGCGAGGGGATCAGGTTGGCCGGGTGGTCAGGGTTGTCCGAGACCACGAGGTGGTCGTTGGTGGCCGGGGCGGAGCTGCCCGCCGGTGCGGCTGCCGAGGCCATCGAGGTTGGTTGCGGACTGAAAGGGGAGAGAACCCGGGAGGATCGGGACGAGTCCCCGGTGCGTGTGCCGCCGGCCGGACCTTTGCGGGGTTGGACTCTCGGAGTGAGGTGGCCACACAGAGCAGCGGGATGAGGCCAAGCTGGCTTCAATGCAGGAGGCCGCAGGTTATAGGGCAGGGGGGGTGTTGGCCGGCAGTTAATACCGTTTTAGCATATAGATCTGTAGCCTCAATGGATGTCGAGCCTGGGATGTAACAGCAGAATACTAGATGCAGGCGGACACTTCTTTTTCTCGATATTGGTGGTGGGATGAAAAAGGCTCGAGGCTAAATTGACATGACCAGATCCGCAGATGGCGGGGCCCATTGTTTCCTGCGTGCGTGCTCTACAAGTAATAGCCGCCAGCCCGGCCGGCACTTTCTTACTCGTGCCTTTTTTTCTTCTCTGTCTCTGGATGCTGGACGGGAAGCTTCCACGTGGTCAATTGCAAGAGCCCCAGAGTCGACGGGGTCAAGCTCCGACGGAAGAGATCGGTCGTGATCGAATTCACGTATGGACAAGTTCGTAGGTAGTCAAAGGAGAGTCCGTCCTATTCCTGTAGATGCTCTCGGACAGCTAGCTACTTGTACAAACCTGGGCTCGCTTGATGGCGCTTCCGGCTTCCTGCAACGGTGTTGTTCCCGTCTGCATGCCGTTGACCGACACTAGCTGCTTGTATGAGATACAGAGCGCAACAGCCCATGAAACTGACCTTGAAGAAAGCCGTTGTATGGTTGTCAATGCCTTTTTCGCTGGTGGTCATGCCGTGGGAAAAGGGAGCTCCCTGATTCGTTCCGAGATGCCATCGAGGGTGGAGCAGACTAGGAGCTCCAACGCTGGGGCTAGCAGAGAGCTCTGTATCTTGAACTGTGTTCTCTTCTTTCTTTGTACTTCGTAACTATCTCTTCAAGACTGCCATCTCCCGTCAGCGTGGTGCCATGGAAGACCAAGGGAGCCCAAGGTACTCCTGAGTCTTGTACAAGTAGTTATCATGTGCATGTCTATTGTCCTTGTGCCTCAATGAAATATTCTGAGACATTGGCCAGGGCCAATGGGTCCCCTCACAAGGGACAGAATGACAGAGCAGCCCAAATAGCATGAAGAAGTGAGGAGAAATGTGGAACATTCGAAGAGCTTCCAAATCGTCCACGGGCGAGGGACCCTGCGAGATTTGGCGCATTGTGGTGCGGCGCACAGGCCATGCCAGCCTCCATTGCTCCAAAACTGGCCTGAGAACAGGCCCGCGGGCGCTGGAACCCTCAAGGCCTCAAGGGAAGTGCCAGCCCCCGCATCCCATTGCGTCCTGTGCTGGTGCGAAAACAGCCACTGACAGCCCCCTGTCACCTCCTCCTTGCCCCACTAGAGCTTTTTTGGCGGGACAGTCGTCTGTCCCCCTCCCCCTGCTGGCCGCTGGATTAACCACCGAGAGACCGCCTATTTTCCTCGTCACCACCCGCCAAAAAGGACACGTTGGACCAAAAGCCTCTCCTCACCAGGTGTCCACTAAACCACCAGCCATCGTCCTTAAATCCCGGCTTGCACGATCTTCTTCACATTCCTCCTCCCATTGTTCCGTCTCCTGGGAATTCTGTCCTGTGTTCTTTCTTCTCACTACATCTCGAGTGTGTGCTGGAAGCAACAGCCTTGTTGTGAACACCTCGCATCCCTCTTGACCTGTCTGGAGCAGTGGTCGCCTCTTTTTCTCCTCCTCACCACCCACACCCAGCTGTCCATTGTGCCGCATCTTGCGCTTGACTGCCCATCATGAGGTTCAACAATGTCGCCGCCGCCATGGGCGCAGCCATGCTCGCCGGAGGTGTCTATGCCGATGACGCCCAGAAGGTTCTCAAGGACGAGAGCTCTTCCACTGCTGCCGAGGCTTCCACCTCGGTCGCGGTCGAGATGCCCACCTTCACGGTAAGCCTCCAATCCACTTTCCCAGCTCTCCCCGAGCTGCACAGCGATGATTCCATGCACGATGTACTCGCTCGCTGCGCAGAGCAGAGCAGAGCCGATCACCTGCGGCTCAGAATTGACTGACATTGCTGGGGCCTGATTTGCTGACACGTGCCTTCCTCTTTACAGCCTACCAAGCTCAAGGCCCCCTTCCTTGAGCAGTTCACCGAGGACTGGGAGCAGCGCTGGAAGCCGTCTCATGCCAAGAAGGACATGAAGGGCAGCAGCAATGAGGAGGAGGAGTGGGCGTACGTCGGCGAGTGGGCTGTCGAGGAGCCTACCGTCTACAAGGGCATGGAGGGCGACAAGGGCCTCGTCATCAAGAATGCCGCTGCCCACCACGCCATCTCGGCCAAGTTCCCCAAGAAGATCGACCCCAAGGGCAAGACCCTGGTCGTCCAGTACGAGGTCAAGCTTCAGAGTGAGTGTTTTGCCTGAGAACCGGATTGCATCTGACAGCTGCTGACAAGCCCGACCACAGACGGCCTCGAGTGCGGTGGCGCTTACATGAAGCTCCTGCGCGACACCAAGGCTCTCCACCAGGACGAGTTCTCCAACACCACGCCGTACGTCATCATGTTCGGCCCCGACAAGTGCGGCCACAACAACAAGGTCCACTTCATCTTCAACCACAAGAACCCCAAGACCAAGGAGTACGAGGAGAAGCACCTGTCGGCGGCCCCTGCCGCCCGCATCGTCAAGACCACCGAGCTCTACACGCTCGTTGTCCACCCCAACAACACCTTCCTCATCCAGCAGAGCGGCGAGACCGTCAAGGAGGGCAGCCTCCTCGAGGACTTCACCCCGGCCGTCAACCCCGAGAAGGAGATTGACGACCCCAAGGACTCCAAGCCCGAGGACTGGGTTGACGAGGCCCGCATTCCCGACCCCGAGGCCAAGAAGCCCGCGGACTGGGACGAGGATGCCCCCTACGAGATTGTCGACGAGGAGGCCACCATGCCCGAGGACTGGCTCGAGAAGGAGCCCCTCACCGTTCCCGACCCCGAGGCCCAGAAGCCCGAGGACTGGGACGACGAGGAGGACGGAGACTGGATCGCCCCGACCATCCCCAACCCCAAGTGCGGCGAGGCGTCTGGCTGTGGCCCCTGGACCAAGCCCATGAAGAAGAACCCCGACTACAAGGGCCCGTGGTCCGCCCCCTACATCGACAACCCTGCCTACAAGGGCGTCTGGGCCCCCCGCAAGATCGCCAACCCCAACTACTTTGAGGACAAGCACCCGGCCAACTTTGAGCCCATGGGCGCCATCGGCTTCGAGATCTGGACCATGCAGAACGACATCCTGTTTGACAACATCTACATTGGCCACTCTGTCGACGAGGCCCGCAAGTTCGCCGACGAGACCTTCTTCCTGAAGCACCCCGTCGAGAAGCAGGCCGCCGATGCCGACAAGCCCAAGGAGCCCGAGAAGCCCAAGTCTCCCTCTGACCTCAAGTTCACCGACGACCCGGTCCACTACATCCGCGAGAAGGTCGACCTGTTCACCACCATCTTCGCCCGCGACCCCGTCGAGGCCTTCAGGTTCGTTCCCGAGGTTCCCATTGCCGTCGGTACCATCCTGGCCACTCTCCTGGTCGGCCTCCTGGGTCTGACCGGCGGTGCGGCTGCCGCGGCTCCTGCGGCCAAGAAGGTTGCCGGCGACGCGTCGGCCAAGGCCAAGGACGCCAAGGACAAGGCCGCCGCCGCCGTTGCGTCGGGTGCCGAGGCCGTCAAGGACGGTGCCAGCAAGCGCACCACCCGGAGCCAGTCGTAAGCAGCAGTAGCGGAGGGGGGTGCATGATATCCAGCAGGGTCGGAAGAGACAGGAGAAGGATGATGGCAAGGGAAAAGCCAGGAAATAATGGCGATGCAAATTCGGAGCGAAGTGATATTTTCTCATTGGCGCAAACAAAAATTTCACAGCTTTTTTCTTACTACCTGAGGCGACTGCGCATGAAAACCAAGCAGGGACATGGCTGAGGGCTTGTGTGTCGTGGCCTCGTGTCTCGCTTCCTTACTACAACGTCATGATTGTTTTTGTATTGCTGTTCAGCTGTCTTCTGTTCGCAAGAGGACAGAAGCTGCCGGGCGAATGCAGGACTGTGCGTGTATTTCTAGATAGGTTAGGTTGCTAGGGACTGAAAAAGAAAGATGACAACACAAGATTGCACATTTCTCGTGCTTATCATGAACCCTTGATCTTGATTGTACTTCTGATGCTCTCTGCGAGTATCGGCGTGATATCGGAGGTCGAGAAGTGGTCGATTCACGGCTGGACCTGCCCAATGGAGTAATAGAAGCTATTTTGACGTTCACGATAGGCAAGGTAGGTAGACTCCGCTCCTCCAAGTGTCCGCCATGGGGTTTGATAATTGATTAGACAGCACGCCGAAACAATAGGTAGACAAGAAATGCGGTGTCGACGGGCTGGCTGGCTGGCTCCTCTTGGAACTTATCTACGGAGCATCTCGAGTGGACATGCCGGATCCGGCTCTAGCGCAGGGCCAGCCACCACCAGCACAGCGACCCGCGTAAGCTTTTCCCACTTTGAACGGCTACTCGGTATTGGGCGGCATTCAGTCTGGGTGGCTCGAGTTGGCGAGTGGGCGGCTTACCCGACGGCTAGAGCTGGGCTTCTGGCGGCGGAGGCAGGGTTCATGCCGGACCATGCTTCATGGATGCCATGGGATTGGATTCGATTCGCCTCCCCCAGGAAATACAAGACACACACACACACAGACACACACACACACACACACACAGACTAGATACCGACCAAGGGGCGCCGCACGCTTTCCCCACCGTGTGGACGAACTTGTGGCCCGGGGAAGTTGACATCCTTGGTCTTGTCTAAGAAAGTAGGTAGATCTGTAGTAGTTTTTGGTTAACCGCTGCCACATCCGAGGAACGGAGAAGAGCTGGGCCATCCGCATCCAGTCCAGTTCCCAAAAGCTAGCTTTCTCCTCATTTAAATGCCCGAAGCCCGCCGCTGGCCCTCCCTTCTGCTATCTTCTCGTTCCCCCCTCTCCCGTTGTGTTGAGCAAAGACAGGTGGCCCTATCTGGGAAATCGATATCGATCACTATCTCTTTTCTTCTTCTTCTTCTTCTTCTCTGCTATCTCACTTGTGATAAAGGAGAAAGATAAAGGAGGAGACCAGCTGTTCACAGAGAGGAGAGAGAGAGATATCGTGTTATCGGCCCCCCTTCTCCAACAGCATCCCCGCATCTTTCTCATTCCCAATCGTGTCGGTCGTATTCTTGGTGAATATCCTCCGACTCAATTGGGATCTGGTCATCAGATATTTCCTCTTGCAGCCCCGTTAAAACACCAGCTTTTCCTCCTACTCCTTCTCTCCCTCCTATCCCATCCACAATGCGCCGTCTCATCACCCGAAGCACGGCCAACGCCGCCGCCCGATCCGCCGCCACCGCCTCCTCCTCCTCCCCCTCCTCCCGCGGCGCGGCCTCCGTCTCCTCCAAGATGGTCCACCAGCCGCAGAGCGCCGTGCGGCGGCTGCACGCCACGGCGCGACAGCTGAACCCGGCCCTGGCCACGACGGCGACGAGCTTCCCGACGACGCACGACAAGGTGGCCAAGGTGGAGGACACGCCCATGTTCGTCGACAACGAGTTCCGCCCGAGCTCGACGTCGCAGTTCATCGACCTGCACGACCCGGCCACCAACAACCTCGTCACGCGCGTGCCGCAGATGACGGCCGAGGAGATGACGGCCGCCGTCGACGCCGCGCAGCGGGCCTTCCCCGGCTGGCGCGCCACGAGCGTCATGGCCCGCCAGCAGATCATGTTCAAGTTCGTGGCGCTCATCCGCGAGAACTGGGACCGCCTGGCCGCGAGCATCACGCTCGAGCAGGGCAAGACGTTCCCCGACGCCAAGGGCGACGTCCACCGCGGGCTGCAGGTCGCCGAGGCGGCGTGCGGCGCGCCGGAGCTGCTCAAGGGCGAGCTGCTCGAGGTGGCGAGGGACATGGAGACGCGGACGTACCGCGAGCCGCTGGGCGTCGTGGCCGCCATCTGCCCGTTCAACTTCCCCGCCATGATCCCGCTGTGGTGCATCCCCATCGCCACCATCACGGGCAACACGCTGGTGCTCAAGCCGTCGGAGCGCGACCCGGGCGCGGCCATGATCCTCGCCGAGCTGGTCAGGGAGGCCGGCTTCCCCGCGGGCGTGGTCAACGTCATCCACGGCGCGCACAAGACGGTCGACTTCATCCTCGATGAGCCGCGCATCAGGGCGGTCAGCTTCGTGGGCGGCAACAAGGCCGGCGAGTACATCTTCTCGCGCGGCTCCGCCAACGGCAAGCGCGTGCAGGCCAACCTCGGCGCCAAGAACCACGCCGCCGTGCTGCCCGACGCCAACAAGAACCACTTCCTCAACAGCGTCGTCGGCGCCGCGTTCGGCGCCGCCGGCCAGCGCTGCATGGCGCTGTCGACGCTCGTCATGGTCGGCGAGACCAAGGAGTGGCTGCCGGAGCTGGCCAGCCTGGCCGCGGGCCTGCAGGTCAACGGCGGGTTCGAGCCCGGCGCCGACCTGGGCCCCGTCATCAGCCCGCACTCCAAGGCGCGCATCGAGGACCTCATCGCCAGCGCCGAGAAGGAAGGCGCCAAGATCCTGCTCGACGGGCGCGGGTTCAAGCCCGAGAAATACCCGGACGGCAACTGGGTCGGCCCGACCATCATCACCGACGTGACGCCCGACATGCGGTGCTACCGCGAGGAGATCTTCGGCCCGGTCCTGGTGTGCCTCAACGTCGCGACGCTCGACGAGGCCGTCGAGCTGATCAACCGCAACGAGTACGGCAACGGCACGGCCATCTTCACGCGCTCGGGCCCCACGGCCGAGACCTTCCGGCGCAACATCGAGGCCGGGCAGGTCGGCGTCAACGTGCCCATCCCCGTGCCCCTGCCCATGTTCTCGTTTACGGGCAACAAGGCCTCGGTCGCGGGCGGCGGGGCCAACACCTTCTACGGCCGCCCCGGCATCAACTTTTACACGCAGCTCAAGACGGTGACGGCGCTTTGGCAGAGCGCCGACGCCATCTCGCAGAAGGCGGACGTGAGCATGCCTACTATGCACTGAGTTTTTGAGGGGGGGGGGAATCAAGATTGAGATGAAAGAGACAAAAATTTTGTTCATGGACTGGACGTGGGGCTGCGGTGATGGTGGATTGTGCGTGTTGCATGTGCATGTAGTTATGTGCATATGACTGCGGGAACTTGGGCAGTTGGGGTTTACCAACTATGTAGATGCTGAAATTGATTGTTAGACGGTCAGATTTTGTCCGAGTCGAGTCACCTTGATGAGTTTTTTGGGAGGTAATCATATGCCATGTGAGATCTTGTACGGCGTTGTGGGAACAGAGATGCTCCCTGCAGTCCGTGCCAGTCATAGGAAAACAGCTCAAGGTGAGATTTGTACTCCTGAACATGAATTCTTCCTGGAGTTTGATAGACTGGGGTTTCAAAGGAGGGTATGCTCGTGGTTGTTGATATTAATCTCGAGTCTACAGTGCCTCAGGAGTCTGCACCATGTAAGCCACGCCGAGGCCCGCATTTACTGCTCTGGGAATCTGTCGAGAGATTTTTTACAGCTTGACAGACCATACTTCGCGGAAGTTCTTGGAGGAGGTTCCCCGACTGCCCACCCATGAAGACCAGGATTGGTAAGGTTGAACCTGTAGGATGGAGCTCCAAGATGGCTCCCAAGTAGTTCACGAGCCTACAGATACAAAGTACTGCTACGCCTTGACTGCCTCATGGAGCAGCGTCTTCTCATCCCTCTCCCAAGACAAAGGCCAGCGCCGCGGCCGCAGGGCCCAGCAGCACCGTATACATCGCCGGTGCCTGTCTTGGGGTAGGCCATCTTGGGAAGAGACAGACTGGAGGAGGGGTTCGGGCGACGATCATGTTGTAGAGTCGGGGACCTCTGGTGTCCTGCCTGTTTTCTTCCATGAGAGAGAGAGAGAGAGAGAGGGAGAGAGCAATGGCAGATGGAAAAGAAAGTGAGAGGTGTGTTTGAAATGTCTATCGTCCAAATTTTCACTTGGCTCAGGAACAATCACAATGTGTCCTGCCAGGCCCCTGAAGTGAGGATGTCGAGGCAAGCGTGAAGAAGCTTTGTGAACGTCCACGGGCGGTGACAGAGGGGAGGTCTGTCTGATAAGTGTGTAAGTGTGTAATTGTGTGCCTTCTTCGACGATAGTGCATTGCTCGTACTCTGTCGCCTTGGATGTTTTCAACTCTAGTCCTCCTTCCATCACTCCTCACGGGGTCAGAGTTAGGGTTAGGGTTAATAACAAAGCTGGGACTCTATGTTTGGCGGCACGATCTGTGTTCAACCCCCCAAGCAGAAGCATTTTGCTCCTCCTTGTTCTTGTTCAGGGAGCAATGGGCAAATGGTAGTTGATGCGATGCCACGATGTCACAAGCTTCCTCCAAGTCTGAAGGGAGATAGATGGGTGGCCGGCCCCGGTTGGTGGACTTGTCCTAGCTGGGAAAGAATACGAGAGGTTTTTACGACAGCAAATGCCCCGATGGGTCATTCCCCGCTACCGGGACAGGCCGGCGGACCCCCGGCCCGCGCATTTGGCGCCGAATCTGCCCCGCGAGGCTGACTGTCGAACGGCTTCAGTTGTCCTTGTCATGAATAAGGAGTTTCGCTTGTCGTTGGGTGTGTGGGTATCTCGTCTTGATGATGGTATAAAAGGGAAGGAAGAGGCCTCCTTGGGATGCTATGTTGCCCTGTTTGATTGCGCACTGTCTCTCTGTCGTCGTCTAATACGTTTCTAAAACATCGGTTCTGCCCCTCGTCCGAGATGCCACTGTAGCCTCTGACAACGCCTTCCTTTCGTCACTCCAATTTGACCACACCGGGTGTTTAAGGCACCCGCTTCGGAACAACCAGCAGAAAGTCTGAATACTAATTATCATTCGTTTCAAATACTTCATCGCCTCAATTGGTACCCCCTCACTAGCTACCACAAGAGGCCAAACGGGGTGCGGTGCGGTGCTGGACCACCCACTCTTCATATCACCGAACCCACATCCTCCCCAGAATCACCACCCCATCACAGACCACCACACACACACACCCGACACACAATGGACCTCCCGGACCTGCCCAGCGAGATCTTCCTCCTCGTCGCCGCCCGCCTGTCCCCGCGCGACCTCGTCCGCTGCCGCCGCGTCTCCCGCGCCTGGCGCCAGGCCTTCACCCGCCCGGACTTTAGCGCCGAGTGCCTGCGCCGCCACTTCCCCCGCTGCCGCGAGATGCGCCTCCAGCAGCAGCAGCAGCGGTCCGGGACAGAGACAGAGACAGGGACGGCAGACTGGCCCGCGCTGTTCGCCCTCGTCGCCCGCCGGTACGACGGCCTGCGCCGCGCCCAGCCCCGCGCCACGCGGAAAGTCGAGCTCGCCGTCTCCGGCCCGGCCCAGGACGACGCGTCCGCAGGGCGGGACCACTACCATCACCACCCCGTGTACCGGTTCTACCGCGTCGCGCCCTGGGACCGGTGCCTCGAGCTCGACGGCCGGGTCGCGAAGCTGCACTACCCGGAGCCCGAGTGGGCCTTTGACGGCGGCCTGCTGGTCTACCCCGCGCCGCCGGCGCCGGCCGCGGCGGCGGCGGACCCGGAGTCCGACGCGGTCCGGCGGCCCTACCGCGTCCTCGACGTGAGCACCGCGGCCGAGCCCGCCGTGGTGCCCTTCGACGCGGCGGGCAGGATCGTCCGGCGGGTGCGCCTCGCGCACGCGGTCCTGGCGATCGAGTGGGCCGAGGCCGAGCCGTACCACAGCCTCAACGAGCGCACCTCGGTGCACAGGCACTTTGTCTCGCTGTTCGACGTCGCCGGCGGCGGCGGCGGCGGCGGCGGCGGTTCGGCAGTGGCGGTCGCCCACCGCGCCGACTTCAAGATGCACTTCCTCGGCCTGCCGCTCACGCCCGTCGACCGCTTCCTCTCGGCGCACGACGCGCGCCACTACGCCGTCTACGTCTGGCAGCCGAACCGCTCGCCCTACGGCGAGAACGCGCCCATCGAGTCGGTCGTCGTGTGGTCCATCGCCGACGAGGCGGGCGGCAGCAGCGGAGGAGGAGGAGGAGGAGGAGGAGGCAAGGGGCGGAGGAGGAGCAGCAGCGAGCCCAGGGTGGTCCGCCGCCTGACCTTCCGCGAGCTCGAGGCCCTGGGCGTGCGCCAGCGGCAGACGCCGCACCTGCGCGAGCTGCGGCTGCGCGACGGCACGCTGTACCTCCACGAGGAGGACCACCGGTGGGCCTCGGGCCCGCAGAGCAGCCCCGCCCCGCCGCGGTTCCACCGGGTCTGGGTCACCGGCGTCCCGGTCGCGCCTCCTCCTGCTGTTACCTCCTCTTCCTCCCCGTCCGCGACCGCAGAAGCAGAAGCGGGACCAGAATCGGACGACGACGACGATGACGCACACCCCTTCCACGGCCCGCACTGGCGCGACGAGTGCGGCGCAGACTCGGACGCCGAGATGTCCTTCTGCCGGCAGGCCACCGCTTCCACCTCCGCCTCCGCCTCCGCGGGTCAACAACCCGCCACCGCCGCCGCCGCCGACGACGACGACGACGCCCCGCACCGCCCGGCCTGCTGGCGCCACCGCGACTTCCCCTTCTTCGGCGTCGCGCGGGCCGCCGACGGCCCCGCGGGCGTGCGCTTCGCCGCGCGGCACTGCTTCATGCTCGAGACGGTGAGCGCGCACGTCCGGCCCTTCGCCGTCGTGCTGCGCTCTTGCTCGGTGCCGGTCCCGCCGGCGCTCGACAGAGTCCGCGGGCGGAGGCGGTGGGGGGTCCGGAGCCTCATGCCCGCTATGCTCCGGCTCGAGGGGCACGACGTGCCGCCCGAGTGGGAGGAGGAGGAGGAGGGACAGGAAGATAGGGATGACGACGGCTACGATGAGGGTGATGGCGGGAGGAGTGGTGAGAAGGTCGTCGAGGAGGTGCAGTTTGACGACGGGGTCTGGGGGGAGCTGCTGGGCAAGGGGTGCATGTTTGGGGAGGAGCGGTGGGTTGTCGGGGAGGATGGGGAGGGCAGGGTGACTGTTTTGTTGTTTTGAAGGGGGTTAGGGTAGGAGAGCGAGAAGGAGACGGGAATGGAAATAGAGACAGAAAGGAGGTGGTGTGTTGCATCAGAATAAGAGGTGGTTTACGGGATAGAGCAGAGCGGTTGATCAGAGGGAGAGAGAGAGAGAGGGAGTAATGACACCGTCACGAGAGACGACAACATTATCAGCATTAGCACCTAGACACTCTTAATACATATATATCATCAATCGAAAAACACAGTACATCAGTACAGCCTTCATCACATTAGGGCTCCTCGCTATCTGCTCTTGCCACGACGCATAAAGTACATACAGATAGATTCCACCCCAGCAGGCCCAACAACGCCATGAATCTTTCCTTTTCAACAACAGTGTAGAGAAATCCGCCCTCCCTCCGTGGCTGTGATGATGAATAAACAAATTCTTCCTTCCCTCTCAGATGTCTCCGGACGAGACGTGCTTCCCACGAGGCCGGGAATGCCCCTTTCTCTCCTCCTCCACCACCAACCCTCCCCAAAAAAACGGAATGATTCGCAGGAGCAGCACCGCTCTGCTTTCGTATGCCCCGCTGATATGCATGATAGGGCCCGGTCTTGTACATCACGGGTCCCCCCTTTCTTTCTCTAGACCACCGGATCCCGATTCTTGACGTCTTCCCACATCTCTTGTGTGTCGCAGCCCCGCGTGTGGTTTGCTGCTGCAAGTACACTTTCTCACACACACACACACACAAAGCATATGTACGGAGTCTTTTGTTTTACAAGACGCACGTCTAGAAAAAGCGCTCCAAACTCCCACAGCCATGCCTTCCCCCGTTCTCTCTCTCTCTCTCTCACGACTCCATCTCCCCGGACTCACGCGGCGGCGTCACCACGGGCGGGGTCCCGAGCCCCGGCGGAACCTGCATGAACCGGTCGTAGTACGTGTCGAGCCACCTCGCCGCCGCCTCGCCAGAGTCGTCGACGCTCGAGTCCCACCGGCCGATCGAGCCGACGTAGCCGTCGGGACGCACGTTGACGATGGCCACCTCGCCGGGGCCGAGGCTGCCGAGCCACTTGTTGGTGCACAGGGAGCCGCGGGTGTCGAGCTCAGGGCAGTCGTCCAGGTAGAACGTCCACTTGCTGTCCTGTAGCAGGGGCGGCAGGTCCTGGATCTCGATCTCGCTCTTGGGCATCGTGGCTGTGTGATGTCGGGGTCAGTCATCAACTCACTGCAACAAGTGTTTTGAACGGCAAGAACTCACTGATAAGTCCAAAGGTGAACAGGTGGCTGACCGCCGTATACCTCTCGGGCCGGATGTAGATGTCCTCGGGCGCAGGCAGCCTCGGCTGCACGGCATACGACGCCGCCGCCGCCCGCGACAGCTGGCTCACCAGCGACTTGCGGGAGGCCATGGCGTTGCAGAAGGTCTCGAGGAAGACGCGCGACTGGTGCACGTCCCACATGAGCAGGTATATCCGGAACTGGCCGAGCATGGGGATGTCGAGCTGCACGTCGACCGGGTTGGAGTCGAGGTACCGCGTCACCTTGGCCGGCGGCAGGAGGCAGCCGGGCTTGGCGTCGCCCATGACCCAGCTCTGCGTCTCGGTCATGTTGATGGGGTTCTCGCCGTACTCGGCGCCGATGCCCGAGATGAAGCGCACGTTGGTCTTGAAGTTCTCGGCGAGGGCGACGGCGTCACCGCCGGCGATCTGGTTGGCGTGCTCGTAGTCAAAGTTGACCAGGTCCAGGGCGATCTTCCTCCGCTCGTGCTCGTACGTCTCCATCAGGACGGGCTTGGCCAAGCCACGCACGGAAAAGTTGAGCTTCCAGGCAATGTTCCAGCCGTCGTGCATCGACGTGTTCATGCCCTGCGCGGCCTTGGGCGAGTGCGTATGGCTGGCATCGCCGGCCAGGAACGCCCTCGTATGCGCGTCGCAGAAGCGGCTGGCGACGCGCTGTCCGATCTGGTACCGTCCGAACCACTCGATGTACTTCCAGTTCACCGTGAAGGGGGCCATGATCTGCTTGGCTCTCGCCATGACAAAGTCCTGGCCCAGCTCCCTCGCGGCGCGCTCGGCGTTCTTGACGCCGCTCTTCAGCTCAATGTAGAAACGGGTCATGTTTCGCTCTCTCGGTACAATCAGGATGGAGCCGTGTTCTTGGGAGTAAACGAGGGTCTTGGACCAGATGTCGGGGAAATCCGTGTCTAGTTCGCCGTCGAGGACACCCCAGACGGTGGCCTGGGACATGCCCACCGGCTTCGCCTCGGGAATGCTCTTTCGTACTTTTGAGTGGGCGCCATCACCTAGACAAGAATTTGTTAGCCAATGCGTCTGGTTGCAAGAGTGGCACAGCGCATCACCACTCACATCCAACCAGATACTGAGCCAGCAGTGTCCGCTTGTCCTGTGTGACATTGGTCCGGCAGTGGATCTGCAGAGGTCCCGTCTTGTTGTCGCAAACGCTGTAGTTCTCGAAAGCCGTGTTTCTCCGGACCTCGACCCCGCGCTTCTTGAGGTCTTCGATGAACAGCGCTTCTACCACACCCTGGTGCACCAGCAGGATGTAGGGGTCGAGGACGTCGATGACGGGAGGGTAGTGAATCTCGCGGCCCAGACGGTGCAGTGGCTCGTCCGATGTCGATCGCCAGAAGGCAATGTCGTAGACGCGCACTCCTCGCTGTATCAGAGGGTCGGCGAGTCGCATCTGTCGGAATGTCTCGATCGTCTTGGGCTGAAGTCCATCTGCTCTACAGGGGATGTCAGTTCTTTCGTCCCTCTCTGGCTTCCGTATTTCTCAGTGCATTGGGTACTCACCTTCCCACGGGTGTCTGATCTGCCCGGTCGTCGATGACCTGCACTTTTATGCCAAACCGCGCCAGGTTGGAGGCCAGCATCAGGCCAGCAGGACCGGCGCCGACCACGCAGACCTGTGTCTCGACCGGGGCTACTGGCATGCTCCGGAGCATGGTGAGCTGGTCAACACAGGCATTGGCGTGCTCGGCCTCGATGGCGCGGCCATCGCTGTTCTGGTCGTCCATTGATCCTTCAAGAATGGCAGGCGCCATGTTCACGTCCCAGGCTCTGGGGGAGGAAGGCGATTCCGAATCGGCAAGGGACGCAGCAACCAAGCCCTCGCCGTTTTTGTAAGCTGGCCCAGAAGGATTGTCTTGTGTGTTACACTGGTTTCGGCTTTGGGGTTGCGCCGTTATGTGTCAAGAAGGCTAGAACACGGCTCTTCGAGACTGTTCTCGGGCCGCTTTTACACCAGCAGTAGAAGAGGGCTTGTATGCTGGATATGGTGCCACCAGAGGAGAAGCGGCGCAGAGTCTATGGCAAGGCGGCCAATTCGATAGAGGGAGGGAGGCTTGTGTCAGCGGGCAGCGAGGAAACTATCCAGACAGGCTGGGCAGGGCGGCAGATGTCACGATATCTGGGATCGTCTGTGGGTGTGCGACTCGCGTGCAATTGGAGATCTGTGACACAGGCCAAAAGCAGGCGGCCTGGCTGGTTCAGACAGGACGGACCGTAGATGACGGAGCCAAGTGGGTTTTTGGGGGGAAGGGCGGCGGGTGTGTAGCGAAGAAAAAAAGAAGGAAAAGAAGAGCTCGGGAAAGAAGAAACCCAAGATCCAGATGCTTGGAGTCCGGTGGGAACGGGGAGGAATGTGAGGGAGAGAGAGAGAGGTGTGAGGATGCGTTTTGGTGTAAGAGAGGCAGACCAGACCAGACAGACACCAGCCAGGCACGACCGACTATCTACTTGTTGGTATTAGTGGTAGTGGTAGTGGTAGCAGTAGTGTGTGTATTTAACGCCTGGGAGATCTGCTAGGATATAGGGCGTGTGGTAGCAGTAGTGTCCTAGTGTCTCTGTTTATTAGTACTCAGGTAAGGTACCTAGGTAGGTAGTTATGTGCCAGTGCCAATTCTGTTACAAGGAGGAGACGCAAGCGACGACGACAAGTCCAGCCAATCTGGGAATCTGGAGCACCCTTCGCAATCAAACAGGCCCAACAGGCCAATCGATCTTCATCCTCCTGGCCCGTTTCGGACCTTGATCGGTAAGAAAACTACCCATCTATTTCGCTATTTGACCGCGCTATCGAATCACTTTGAAGCCTGCAAAGTACCGTCCGGCCGGCGGCGTGCGGGAGAGCAACTTCGCGACCTCGCGGCGGGCTGCGGGCACGACCAAGTCAGAAAAGCAGCCAGGGAAAAAAAAAGGCACGAGGATCGGCTGATGTGGTCTGATTCTGGAGAACTCTGGCCGCCTTTGCGACATCAGTCGATATGGTCCCAGCCTCGGCGGGCCCTCTGATTGGCCAGCCGCGGCCAAGTTTAGCCCCATGGCGGGGTTTCCAACTGTACGGAAGGCCAGGGAACACAGGGAACACTGAACACAGGGGGGACAGGGGGGGTTTTGTCTGGTGGTGGTGTGGGAGTGTGGGTGTGGGTGCCCGAGTTTGGGTTACTAATAAGGATTTTAAGGGCCTGTAGGCACCCCCAAGCACCCGTGGACACAACCTGGAGGGCACGGCAGGCAAGGCACGCTAGCATCTCCATTGTTCCTCGAGGGCTGTCAGGAGGGCCTGTGCAGGGCCTGTGCAGGGCCTAGAACAGCTGAGCGCCCTTCCTGCCATCTGCTCCATCTGCCACACCCCCCCCTCACCGGATGGGCAGCTGTGAACTGTCAGGTCAGGCCATTCTCCAATCGCCGCCCCACACCAACGGGCACTAACATCTGCTTTTTTCTGCATTCTGCATCAGCCCTTCTTCCACTGACCTACCGAGTATCTGCATATGCACACCCACACACACACACTCTCTCTCTCTCAGTCATAGCCAAATGCCCGGGTCGCGTTTCTGAAACGAACAACGCTCTACCTCTGCCGGCCACCTGCTGCCGGCAAGTTCAGAGGTACCACCTACCTTAGGCATCTCAACTACCTAACCTAACCTAGGTACGGAGTAGGTCGTCGCCGTATCTCCCACGGGACTGGGTGGGAAGGCGGTGAGAGGTGAGTGGGCAAGCCATCCTCACGACGACACGACCTTGTTACTCCATAGCACGACAACAACACACACCTACGCATGCATACATTCGTGCGAGCTGCGGCTACGGAGCCGCAGCAGCAGTCGTCATCATCATTCGTCACAGTCAGCAATATCAAGACACTCGGGTCACACGGATCTGTGGGCATCCAAGATGCAAGTGGTGGCTACCTAGTTGATGTTTCTGTCTGCCTGGCTGCCGGTGAGATAGGGAGAAAAAAAGAACCGAAGGAGACGGACAATACCAGTTGGTCTGATAAGCGAATGACATTCCCAGCCTAGTCCCGGGTGTGGAAAGTGTTGTTGAGGCCGCCATGGTTGACACCAACCTGGCTGCCCCTGTTGTGGTCTCCGAACCGGACCTTGGCTCCTGCTTGAGCGCTCTGCGCACTAGAAGCTGCACTCTGTATCCCCGAAAGCAGATACCTGAGCAGTTCGTGAGATCCGTTCAGAGCACGCTGCTCCAATAGGGCCTGCTCAACTGCCTCGGTCCGGTCGGCCTCCGACTCGTGCTGCCGCCGTCGAACTGCATACAGTTCCAGCTTGGCGTTCATATCAGTCATCTGCCTCTCTAGCAGGGCTATCGCGTCTGTGACTTCGTTTTCCTTGGCTGATACTGTTGCTATAATCTCCGACGAGACATCCTTTTGCTGCAACGAGCTGTGTCTGGGTTCGGTCAGTGCCAGACCAGACCGGTGAGAGAGACACTCCACTTACAGAGACGCAATGGTCACAACCGTGATAAGATTGCTCCTGCAGTTGTGCAGCTGCTCAGACATGGACTTCATCTGGCCCTGCTTGAACAACCCCAGCACGGCCTGGTCCCTCCACGACAGGCCGCCGTCGCTGCTGTTCCTGGTCCAGCGACCCAGTGCTGCCCTGAACTTCTTGCACGACTGGCCGCAGAGCTCCAGTGTAAACTTGGACTGGCTGACGACATGGCTCCCTAAGGACTGTAACTGGGGGTCCGGTAAGGCTTGGAAAGACTCTAGAGCCTGCGTCACGGTAGTGAGGTCGTCTTGGAGCGACCTGATGGCGTCGGGAGCACCCCGGATCCTGCCAATGTCATCTCTCAGGTGCTGAACGCCACGCAGCGTGGGCGAGACGATGCTGAGCACATCAGCCGCGGCGCCTAGAGACTCCATGATGAAATGCAGGCGATGACTGAACTGTCGGTCTCCAGGAATGTAGCGTCGACCAGGCTGTCTTTTTATTCTCTCCCTGGGCAGTTTCACAGAGTTCATCACGTGTGCGGCCTGGATACACAAAAGAGCCGTGTCCAATGTCACCAGGCTGCAAGGCGTAAAGGGAGTCGGTGGCTTTTGTCCCAGGGTGATGTCTTGTCACTGCACCTCTGATCAATCTCGCACAAGATGGAGGACCGGCTTGCACGTCTTCACTTTGGGGACCATAACTGGGGATCCCAGGTTGGCATAAGCAACGGCCCCATCAGTAACGTATTCCACCTTCCGCAAGAGCAACCGGAAGTGGCGCCGGAGCCGTTTGCCCTGATACCCTTTTGTCGTGACCCGGATTTCGTCCGTCGCGGAGACAGCCTCGAGCAGATCGCGCGACGGTGCTCCCAGCCTCCCTATCGCGCAGCCCTCGTCGGCTTGGGCGGCGTGGGCAAGTCACAGCTCGCTATAGAATACGCCTACCAGACCGCCTCGAACACGGATCGGACGTGGGTGTTCTGGCTCCACGCGGGCACGCTCGCCCGTATGCAGGAAGGCTTTCGCGCGATTGCCAACACCCTCAAGCTCGCGGGGCGGAAGGACCCCGAGGCCGACGTTCCACAGCTCGTCTGCAGCTGGCTGTCGTCTGCAGCAAACGGGAGATGGCTCGTCGTTCTCGACAATGCCGACGACGGCGATGTCTTCTATGAGAAGAGTGACGAGTCAGCAACCCGGGTGCTCGCGGACTACTTCCCCCAGAGCTCGCACGGGTCGATCCTCGTCACGACGCGCAGCAAGGACCTGGCCCGGAGGCTGGTTGGTAACATGAACCTCGTAGAGGTCACAACGATGCAGGAAGCAGAGAGCCTGTCACTCCTGGAGAAGAAAGCGGGAGCCATCGCAGAGTCGGATACAGACACGGCTGTGGAGCTGGTGCGTGCTTTGGAGTGCTTCCCGCTGGCCATCACCCAAGCAGCTGGGTTTCTCCTGGCAAGAGCATCGCGCACCTCGCTCAAGAAGTACCTCGACGATTTCAAGAAGAGCAGGCGCGGGAGGACCAGGCTCCTGGAGCAAGACTTTGGGGACCTGCGGCGTGACGGGAGCGCGTCCAACACCGTCCTGGTCACCTGGCAGCTGTCTTTCGAGTACATCAGCGCCAAAAGGCAGTCTGCCGCGGACCTCTTGTCTGTCATGAGCTTCTTCAACTGCCAGGGGATTCCCGAGTCTCTGCTCCAGCAGACGAGCCAGTTCGACTTTAGCAGGAGCGACTGGTTCGAGAAGATTCCGGCTGCCGGCTGCGAAGAGGCAGAGAGTGATTGCTCCGAGGAGGGAGAAGGCTCCGAGTTCAGTAGCAATGCCGAGCGCTTCGAGCAAGATGTGGCCATGCTGAAGGACTTCTGCCTCATCACCGAGAGAGTGGGCCAGCATGCAGACGAGGACGAAGCCCGACTCGGACACGACTTTGAGATGCACGAGCTCGTGCAGCTGTCCATGAGGAAATGGCTTCAGCTCCAAGAGCGCCAGGAACTGTTCCGGCAGTCTTGCATCGAACGCCTCTTCGCTTCCCTTCCCGATGAAACTTTTGAGAAACCTTTTGAGAACCGGGCCACATATCGAAGGCTGCTGCCACACGTCGAGATGGTCGTCAACGACAGACCGGCAGACAGCCGCCGTGGGAGGCCCTGGGGGTTCATCCTGGTTGCTACCGGCGGCTATTGCCTAGAGCAAGGACTATACACCGTGGCAGACCGCATGCTCCGCAGGGCGCGAGAGTTCTTCCAGCTTCCAAGGGAGGCCAAGGAGATGAAGGTTTACAGCGCATATTCGTATGCGGCGGTGCTATGCCAAAGGGGGCGCTGGGCAGATGCAGAGGGGCTTGTTCTGCAGGTTCTGGAACTGTGCAAGGAAAGCTTTGGGGAGGATCACGGCCTGACGCTGAGTGTAGAGTGCGCTCTTGCGTCGGTGTATGAGAACGCGGCGTGCTACGGCAAAGCTGAAGAGTTGGGCGCACAGGTGATTGAGGCCCAGAAGAAGGTACTTGGAGTTGATCACCGTGGTACGTTGGCGAGCATGAACAATCTTGCCCAAGTATATTATAAGAAGGGCCGCTTTACTGAGGCTGAAGTGCTGGGAGGGCAGGTTTTGGAGGCTCGGAAGAGGGTGCTCGAGGATGATCATCCTTTGACCCTGGACAGTATGGGCAATCTTGTACTAGTGCACAAGGCACAGGGCCTCTTCACCAAGGCAGAACAACTCGCAGCACAGGTGGTGGAGGCTAAAAAGAGGGTGTGGGGAGTTGATCACCCTAATACACTGACGAGCATGAGCAATCTTGCACTCATCTTTCGGGAGCAGGGCGCCTTCTCCAAGTCTGAAGAACTGGGAGCACAGATACTGCAGGCCCGGCGGGAAAAGCTTGGAGCTGAGCATCCCGACACGCTAGGCTCCATGGTCAATCTTGCAGTTATCTATCAGGAGCTGGGCCGTCTTGACGATGCTGAGGCCTTGGGAGTGCAGCTTGTGGAGACGCAGAAGAGGCTGCTCGGGCCTACTCATTCCGATACGTTGATGAGCATGGCCAATCTCGCCGGTGTCTACGTGAACCAGGGACAGTTGTCCAAGGCCAAGGAGCTGGCAGAAGAAGCTCTGGTCGCTCGGCGGGAGACCCTTGGAGATGACCACCCCGACACCCTGATCAGCATGTTGAGTCTTGGAGTTGTATATCGAGCCCTAGGCCGGCTGGCCGACGGCGCAGAACTCCTTGCCTGCGGGGTCCAGGGAATGAAGCGGAATATCGGTGGTGATCACCCCCAGACCCTGGTCGGCATTTCGTACCTCGGGCTGTTAAACATGGACATGGGCCGGTGGGATGCGGCCGAGGAATTGATAACCCATGTCGTGGAGGTGCAACGAAGGAGCCTGGGAGATGCCCATTCTCACACATTGATTGCCGAATCCAATCTCGCTCAGATCTGGAGGAAGCAGGGCCGGCGAGCAGAGGCTCTGGCGTTGATGAGGAGGTGTGTCGAGAGTATGCAACGCGTTCTCGGCAGGGCCCATCCGAATTGCATCATGGCGATACAGACTCTGGAGGAATGGCGCCGTGAAGAAGAAGGTGTAGTGTGATTGAGAGGTGCTTGTGGGAGCGAGAGCCGCCATCTTGAGCTTCTTCGGTTCTTACTCGCTGTCCTGACCTTGGTCCGGATTTCAACTAACTGCTTGTGTGTTCGAGACTTGAGCCGAAAATCATATGAATTGACATGTAGTCTCTGACTGGGCCAGCTTGACCCACGGTTTCTCTTCTACATGTCCTTGATGCTGGGTTGACGTCTCGTCGATGAGCGTCGGCCGGCCCATCATCACCCCCGAGTCTTTGATGTCGCTCATGAGAAGTGGAATTGACATACAGCAAGGGGGAACGATGTTTCTCAGCTTGCAACTATCGCAATATGAACATCACACACCCCAAATCAAACGCCTAATGAACTATACTACTTTCAAACACAATGGCACAAGCAACAACTGGGACGGTATTGGCTGCCTCAATCAACAAGTCCTCCTCGCAACCTTGACCGAGCCTACCCCTACTCCGGCACAAGCACCGCACTCTCCTCAGCCCCCGCACCGCCCTTCTCCCCCTCGCGCCCCTTGTAGAACCCATCCAGGTCCTCCACGACCTGCCGCCCGGCGAAATTCGTCATGAGCTTCTCGCACGCGTTCCGCAGCCCGATCTGCATCCAGGCGGGCCACCCGCCCATGCCGGCCAGCAGGTTGCCGAACCCGGGCACGATGACCTGCCCGCCGCGGCCCGTGAGCACCTGCGCCACGACGGCCTCGGCCACGGTCTCGGGCTCGAGGCTCGGCAGCACGAAGCGCCCGCCCTCGGCGTAGCCCGCGAACAGCGCCGTGCGCGTGTGGCCCTGCGCGACGAGCACGGTGCGCACGCGCGGCGCGGCGTACCGCGTCCGCAGCTCGGCGGCGAGGCACTCGTGCAGGGAGCGCGCGCCGGCCTTGGAGGCCGCGTAGTCGCCCATCTCGGGCACGGACAGCCAGGCCGCCCACGAGGCGACGGTGACGACCATGCCGTGGTCCGCGGCGACCATGGCCGGCAGGAACTCGCGCGCCGTCCAGGCGTGGGCGAGGCAGTTGACGTCGAGGGTGAAGCGGATGTCGCGCTCCGAGGCGCCGAGGAGGGTCTTGCCGCGGGCGACGCCGGCGTTGTTGATGAGCACCGTCGGCGTGCCGACGTCCTGCCTGATGAGGGCGGCTGCGGCGGCGATGGCGCTCGGGGAGGTGATGTCGCACTTGTAGTAGTGGACGTGGGGAGCTTTTTCCCGGTTTGCATGGGTCAGTTTATATCCTCCCACGGTCAGCATTCGGGGGCTTGGCTGCTCACGGGCGTCATAACTCAGCGGCTGGATGTCCAACACCACGACCTTGACCCCTCTCTCCGCCAGCAGGCGCACGATGTGCCCGCCGATGCCTCCCGCGCCGCCAGTCACCACGACGATCTCGCGGCGCACCCAGTCGTAGGTGTCGTCGCGGACCCAGTTGTTCTCTGCGCCGCGGGACCAGTAGGCGTTTAGCCAGCGGGCGACGCCGAGGAAGAAGAGCAGGCGGGTGCGCGAGTAGGCCTGCGGGTGCAGGATGGACAGGTCCTCGCCGCGCTTGGTCAGGCGGGCGAGCAGGAGCAGAGGCGCGAGGAACAGCGGGTTCAGCGCCGTGCGGCCGATGAGCCGGGCGACCACGTCGACTGTGAAGCCCTCACGGGGCAGCCAGCCTTTGTGCATGGGCATTGTGCGGGATCGTGGGGTATGCGTTCTGCTGTCACGGATTCAGGATGTTCATCGAAGAAAGGAGATGTATGGGCCTCAGCTTCAAGATACACTGGTCTCTCAAGCAGAGCAATTCAATAATAATCAAGGAGAATATCGATGTGAAACTGCCCATGACACACCCATATCGACCCCCGCATATCCCACGAGACGACGACGACCTTCGTCATTATATGAGCAAGCAAAGCAGCCGAGGCATTCTGGGCGTGCGGAGAAAAGCAAAGCATAAGGAGCCAGGGGGTTCAATGGCACCACCCATGGGCCATCACCCACCACCACCATGTGTCAAGGCCCAAAAGTTAAAACCCTTGGATGTGTAGGGGAAGGATGTGCAGATAAATGCATTTACAGCTTAGCTTCCAACTCGTCGCCGAGGGGGTCGGCACCTTGAAATGCGGGGAAGCCCTTCAGAAGAAGCGAAGGACGAGCTGGCTGCCCTTCCTGGAAAGCCCTAGGCCCGATCCGGTAATTTACAGAATTACAAGAGGATGAAGGCCTCTCTCTGCTGCTTGGAGAGCTGGCATCAGTTCCTCTAGAATGGATCAAGTATCCGTACACATTCCATAGTCTAGAGCCTCCTTGGGCTCCTGGGCCTGCATCTACTGGAAAGCCTTGCGGAGCCTGGACAAGACTTGAAGTATCATAACATACAGCGCGCCCTTTGCTGGAGGCACCAGGTATCAAGCTAATATCCTCCTCAGGTTATGGATTACCTCCCTCTAAGAAGACTCACTTCCCGCCGATGTTGCTGAATGTCGTCCCGAAGCTTGGTAATTGCCGATGCCAACGGCCGCACCTCCATCTCATCTTGCGCAAACGTGGCTAGATACTCGGCCATGTTGTTGAACAGGAGCACGTCGTTCTCCGTCTCGAATAGCTCGGTGGACGCCATCAACGAGCGCGCCAAGTACTGATAGGCGACGTCCATCTGCAACGAGTCGAAGAAGATGGAGATGAGGATGATGTGGAAGAGAGGCGACGCCAGGCGCTGGACTATCTTGACGGCCTCGCGGCTAGCCTTCTGCGCCAGCGGTAAACGCGCCACCTCGGCGTCGACGAGCTCAAGCTGGTCGACTTTCTTTATCTTAGCCTTGACCCGCCGGAGCATGAAGATGATGCTCAAGTGGCCAAAGACGGCTACTTCGGACATGATGTATAGCTTCGCCGAGTCTAGCTCCGACTCGTCTAGCCATTGCACCTAGAGTCAGGGCAGTCAGCATGCCTCGCCTCCTTTGAGACCTTGAGTAGGTTTAAGTGTTCCTGTACACTTCACTTACCACTCTCCATTCATCGTAGAGATCCTCGATCTGCCGGCAAATAGCCTCTGTCTTCGACAGCAGCTCATCATCGCCGATTTCGGCGCTGTCCTCAAAGTTGTGGAAGAATTCTGCGACCGCAAAGGTGATTCGGGACTGAACAATGTAGTAGGTGGACCGAAAACCATCGGTGTCGTGGTCGGTATCGGCTCTCAGTCCAGGCAGATCGACCGTCCACGAGCCCGCGTCTGCTGTGATTGTGCGTGGCTTGTCGTGTATCAGGCGGAACAGATAGTCGAGCTGGACCAGTTTCCAGAAGCTGGCACGACTCTCCTCCAAGTCAGGGACATTGAGCCCGATGGGGGGAGATCTGTCTCCTCTGTCAATCTCATGTAGCCGCAGCTTCTGCGCATACTCGCAAGCCAGCTTGTGCAGCTGCCAGCTGAGCTCTTGATCAAAGTTGTCAGTCGCGGCAATGGACTAGGAGAAAGGTGTTAGACACATATAGGACGCACCAAGGGAGCAGAGACATCAAAGGGTACTCGATTCTTACCAGCATGATAGCCGCAATGAAGTCCGAGGCAGTGCCGGTCGCCTCCCGCCGCCACGCAGGCATGGCACGCAAAGCGCACTGGTACAAGCTCCGCGGCCGCTTTATCATCGCGAGTGCGTCCTCCTCGGTGGCGTGGAGGAACTCCAGGCACGCGCCGTTATAGAGCACACAGTAATAGATGACCACCATGACCGGGTCTACATGAATATGAGGCAAGTGCAGCACGTCAGGCAGATGAGCCACGACATCTCCAGGAAAGAGATTGGCGTACAAGATAAAAGGGGTTTCGTTGACATAGTCTAGTCATGGCCACACGTGTCAGAGTCGCGATAACTGAGAGACCAAAAGTCAAGGAATGAAGCCAAAACGTACGCTTTGTCCAGTGCTTGGCAAGATCCCTGGGAGGTTCAACATCTTGAAAGAGGATGCTTAAAGCCGAATGGCTGCTGCTTGCATTCTTCCGGATCTGAAGCACGGCGCTCCTCATGCACTGGAACGAGTCACCCACCCCGATGACGGTGCTGGGAGTATGCGGCAGAGGACTGGCGGGATCGCATGGCTTCTGGCCCCTGGGCAGCCACCAGTCGCGCGGACTTGACTGAGACGCGGGTGTGCCTGTGTCGTAGCCGTTATGACGCGGCTTAGATATCGAACGCGACGACAGCGAGGTACCGAGAGGTTCTGAAGGCGATGCCGAGTCGGCCTGTAAAGGCTTTTGATGTAGCTGAGCGCATGTCTGCTCTACATCACGAAGGCGATCAAGGACGGAGGACACTCTATAAGCAGTGACAAAGAAAATCCACTGTGAGTTGAAGGTATGTGACTGAAGGTGAGAAGGGGTTTAGAGGCTTCACGTACATGGGATCGAGCTGCGATTCTATCTTCCGGGGCCTGGGTTTCCTCTTTACTCGCTCCGGGTAGCTGCACTCAATATCAAAGTCGATGCATTTATTGCACCGGGGCTTCTCCCGATTACATCGGATCTGCTCGTGGCTGAGGTGTCAGTTTCAGGGCAGGCCAAGAGAACAATGGGACAGACAACCCAACCTTTTTCCCTTTACAGGAGACACACTGTTGAGGTTTGAGACAGCATTAGACCAGAGCTTCAGGTTATGTCGGCGCGAATGCATTTCTTTCCGGACTCCGGCAAGGTGCGACTGAGAGTGCTTACCGCAAGAGGATGGACTGTACTTGTACTCATGATGATCAACAAGCAAGGGAACTCGCGGATGCTTCCTTCGGAGCTGTCGATTGCCTATTCGGGCCGGCCGGGGTGTTCGGGTCTAAATGAGGAGTGGAACTTTGAGCCGACACAGGCCTCCGGGACTGGGAGCTGAGAGCGTCACTCCGATGGAAGCTCCCCGGGTTGCCTTTGGCCTGAACTACTTGTAGAAAGAAACCTGGAACACCAATTGAGTGCCCTGTAGCTCTTGTTAGTTCAGGATCCCTGATGTTAACGGGCGCCGCGGGAACCGGGTCCAGTGGACAGTCACTGGGGGAGGTGGAGTCGTCGTGGAGGCGCTGTCCGCTTGACTCAGCTTCTCCCAAAATGCCGCCGGACTTTCACGGGCCTTGGCAAAGTGCGAAATCCCCATACCGACGGGGAAATTTAGTCTCGTCAACGGAGCCACCACACCACCTCTGTCTCTCCCTGTTGGCTGAGATGCTTGGACCAGCGGGGGCCCCTCAGACTGGCGTTTCCTTACGAGGTAGGTCTTGCCCAGCCCGGAGCAGGAACCGTCATTGTTTCAATTAGCTTCTCTTGGAAGTCCGTCAGCCTGGGCATGCACACGGCCAAGGGACCCATGAGCGTCTCGGGCCCTCACGGGCACCGACTGCGTGGAAGAGGGGTCCCGTGTGAATATAAAGTAGATTTGCCGCCGCACAGGACTTTCCTCGAAGGCTACAGCTTGAATCATACATCTTTCTCTTGGTCAACTTGGTCCCCAGCAGCTTGCTCCAACCCGCCGGTCAATCAGTCGACTTGGCTCTGCTCGCGATCAGTTGACCTCACGGTTCTGTGTTCGAAGTGAATCATCTTGGTTCTTGCCCTGGGCTTTGCCCGTGAAATGTAATCAACAATATGGCGGCCGAAACGAGACAAAAACAAGATGATGCTCATCACGTTGAGCGGAGTCCCAGCTCCGACTCTAGCAGTACTACGCAAGCAGATGAGCATAGCAGGATGTCGCTTGACACAGACGAAGGAGAACACCAACGAGCGGCCGAGTTGCATGCACTGGCCAGGATATCAACACAAGGGTCGATAAGTGGTCACACGCCTCTCTTCCCCGTCCGACCTGGAACCATCCTCGATCCCAACAGCCCTGACTTCGATGCCCGCGCTTGGGCCAAAGCCTACTACAAGGCTCGTGCCGCCGCCTCTGACCAGGTCAGGCCTAGGACCTCTGGGCTGGCCTTCAAGAACCTCGACGCCTATGGCTACAGCACGGGCGTCGACGCTCAGAGGACAGTGCCGTATATGTTCCTCAATATCGGCGAGTACATGGCCCGCTTGATGGGCCGCAGCAAAAAGCAAAAGGTCGAGATCCTTCGCGACTTCGAAGGGATTGTCCGCAAGGGAGAGATGCTCTGTGTGCTTGGTCCGCCGGGCTCTGGCTGTTCCACCTTGCTCCGCACGATCGCAGGCGATACGTATGGCTTCCACATTGGTAAAAACGCCTACCTCAACTACCAGGGAATCAAGGCGGAGCAGATGAACACGGCCTACAGGGGAGAGGCCATCTATACGGCTGAGACTGACCACCACTTTCCTCACCTGACCGTGGGCGAGACTCTCTACTTTGCTGCGCTGGCAAGGTGCCCCAAGAACATGACCACGAAGGCCTCTCGCCACGAGTATGCCGAGCATATACGAGACGTCACCATGGCCATGTTTGGTATCTCTCACACGAAGGATACCCGTGTTGGAAACGACTTTATCCGGGGCGTGAGTGGCGGTGAGAGGAAGCGGGTTACGATATCTGAGGCCGCCCTGGGTTACTCGCCACTACAGTGCTGGGATAACAGCACCCGTGGCCTTGATAGTGCCAACGCTGTCGAGTTTTGTCGGACGCTGCGAACCCAGGCCGACACTATGGGCTGCACCTCCTGCGTATCTCTCTACCAAGCCCCTCAAGCTGCCTACGAGGTTTTCGACAAGGTCATTGTTCTCTACGAGGGGCGCCAGATCTTCTTTGGAAAGGCGGACGAAGCAAGGGCCTACTTTGAGGATCTCGGCTTCATCTGCCCGGGTCAGCAGACTACGCCGGATTTCCTTACCTCGATGACAAGCCCCACCGAGCGGGTGATCCGTCCCGGCATGGAGGGGAAGACTCCTCGCACGCCTGATGAATTCGCAGAGGCTTGGAAGAAGAGCGCTTGCCGGGCGAGTTTGATGGACGAAATCGAAAGATATGCAGGCGAGCACCCCTTCGACGGCCAGGACCACGAGGAGTTCCTCATGTCGCGCAGAAGCGATCAGTCCAGCGCGCAGCGAAAGAAGTCCCCCTTCAACCTCTCCGTCTGGCAGCAGATTCAAATTACCCTCTGGCGATCTTGGGTCCTCCTACTGAGGGATCCGTCCACCACCCTGACCATGCTCGTCTGCAATTTCTTCGAGGCCATCGTCATCGCGAGCATCTTCTATAATCTCCCGGCCAACACGACCAGCTTCTTCCGCCGTACCACGCTCTTATTCTTCGTGGTCTTGATGAACGCTCTCGGCGGTATGCTCGAGATCATCCTGCTCTACGCCAAGAGAAAGGTCGTCGAGAAGCACTGGCGCTACGCATTCTACCATCCCAGCACTGAGGCAATCGCTAGTATGATTGTCGATCTGCCTTACAAGTTCGCGAACACGCTCCTCGTCAACCTTACGATCTACTTCATGTGCAACTTGCGGCGGGAACCCGGCCCCTTCTTTTTCTTCTATTTGGTGTCTTTCCTCCTCGTCATGGTCATGTCTATGCTCTTCAGGCTGATGGGTTCGCTCACCAAGACCCTCGAGCAAGCCATGGCCCCTTCCTCTCTGGTGCTCCTGGCCCTGGTCCTCTACTGTGGCTTCTCCATCCCTCCCAACTACATGCAGGTCTGGCTGGGCTGGCTGCGGTGGATCAACCCCGTGTTTTACGGTCTTGAAAGCGTCTTCCTCAACGAGTTTGTGGGCCGAAATTTCACCTGCAGCTCGTTTGCTCCCCAGGGTCCCGGCTATACCTCTACAGAGCCGACCTGGAGAGTGTGCACGGAGCCTGGTTCCGTAGCCGGTCAGAGCTGGGTCGAAGGCGGCGCCTATCTGGAAGCTTCCTTTGGCTTTGTGAATTCGCATCGCTGGAGGAATATCGGTATCATTATTGCTCTGACGCTGTTCTTCCTCGCCCTTCACCTACTGGCGACTGAGTACATCTCATCTGAGCACACCAAGGGCGAAGTGCTCATCTTCACCCGCAAGGCGCTCAAGAAACAGCGGAAGCAAGCCCGGCCGGACACCGAGTCCGGTACTGTTACTCTGGCGTCCGACATCAGAGCAGCTGGAGATAGCAGTGGTGAGGGCAAGACCGAGATTGCCAGGCAGACCTCGGTCTTCCACTGGAAGGATGTTTGTTACGACATCAAGGTCAAGGACGGTACGCGTCGGATTCTGGACCGGGTCGACGGCTGGGTGAAGCCCGGCACATTGACTGCGCTCATGGGCGTCTCGGGAGCTGGAAAGACGACCCTCCTCGACGTTCTCGCCAGCCGAGTCACCATGGGTGTGGTCACTGGGGAGATGCTCGTCGACGGCTACCAGCGCGATGCAAGCTTCCAGCGCCAGACCGGCTATGTCCAACAGCAGGACCTCCACGGCGTCACTTCTACAGTCCGCGAGGCGCTCGAGTTTAGTGCTCGTCTCCGTCAGCCGTCCAAGTACACGGAAGAGGAGAAGATCGCCTATGTGGACACGGTCATTGATCTCCTGGATATGGGTGCCTACGCAGACGCCATCGTCGGCCAGCCCGGCGAAGGCCTCAACGTCGAGCAGAGAAAACGACTTACCATTGGTGTCGAACTCGCAGCCCGACCGCAGTTGCTCCTTTTCCTGGACGAGCCCACGTCAGGTCTCGACAGCCAGACTTCTTGGTCCATCTGCAACCTGATGGAGAAGCTCACCAAGAACGGACAGGCCATTCTCTGTACCGTTCACCAACCTTCTGCTATGCTCTTCCAGCGCTTCGACCGTCTGCTGTTGCTTGCCAAGGGTGGTAAAACAGTCTACTTTGGCCCCATTGGCAAAGACTCCGTTACGCTGATGGACTACTTCACCCGCAACGGCGGCCCTCCGTGTCCCGATGGAGCCAACCCGGCCGAGCATATGCTGGAGGTCATTGGTGCCGCGCCTAGGTCGCATACCGAGATCGACTGGCCCCAGGTGTGGCGCGACTCGCCCGAGTACCAGGGGATCCAGGAGGAACTCACCAGTCTGAGCACTTCTCGCCTGGAAAAGACTCGCTCGGCCATCGAAAGAGATCGGACACAAAAAGCCGAGATGGGGGAGTTTGCTGCCCCGTTTAGCCATCAGCTGCGGGTTGTCACGTCGCGTCTGTTCAAGCACTACTGGCGCAGCCCTGGCTACATCTGGTCCAAGATGGTCTTGACGGCTGGTGCGGTAAGTTTGACATAATCATTCAGTGCTTTCTATATGTACAAAAGAGCTGACTTAGATTGCATAATAGGCCCTGTTCATCGGCCTGTCACTGATCAATAGCGACAACACTCGTCGAGGCCTGCAGAACCAGATGTTCAGCATCTTCATCTTCATGACCGTCTTTGCCCAGATCGCCAACCAGATCGCGCCTTTCTTCTGTGACTCGCGCACCCTCTACGAAGCCCGTGAGAGGCCTTCCAAGGCTTACTCGTGGAAGGCGTTTATGGCCTCCAACTTTGTTGTCGAGTTGGCATGGAACTCTGTAAGTGCACAACTCAAAAAGTCTTTTGACCCTTCGGCCAGCGCTGATCATATCGTGCCTGTATAGCTCGCCGCCGTATTCGCCTTCCTCCTGTGGTACTTCCCCGTGGGCCTCTACCGCAACGCCGAGTGGACGGACCGCGTCAACGAGCGGGGTATCACGACCCTGCTCATCGTCTGGGTCTTCTTCATGATGGCGGGCTCCTTCGAGCAGATGCTCATCGCGGGCCTGCCCAGCCCGGAGCTCGCGGGCGGCGTCTTCAACCTCTTCTTCATCCTCATGTTCGCCTTCTGCGGCGTCCTCGCGGGGGCCGACCAGCTGCCGGGCTTCTGGATCTTCATGCTGCGCGTCAACCCGCTGACCTACGCGGTCGAGGGCCTGCTGGGCACCACGCTGGCCGACGCGCCGGTGCAGTGCGCGGCCAACGAGATCGTGCGCATGGCGCCCGCCGGCGGCGCCACCTGCGCCGAGTACCTGGCCGGGTTCCTGCAGGCGGCGGGCGGGTACATCGCCGGCGGCACGGCCAACAGCACGCAGGAGTGCCAGTACTGCGGGCTGGCCGACACCAACGCCTTCCTCGCGGGCATCAACATGAACTTTGGCAACCGCTGGAGGGACTTTGGGTTCCTGTGGGCGTACATCATCTTCAACCTCTCCGCTGCGCTGTTCTTCTACTGGCTGGTGCGCGTGCCCAAGGCCAGTAAGAAGGCGAAGAAGGAGTGAAGAGGTGAGAACACGTTCTGCAAGAAAAAGAGGCTTTTCTTTCCTCTTACATCATCTCAATCTTGAGAGAATACTGGTCAGACACATCGCATCCATTCTCGGGTTTTTGGAAAGCATAATAGACTTATAGAAACATATATTAATAGACTATCTGTGAGCGATCTGGAGGAAAAGGATCAGCTCACGTAATAATGACAAAGACGTTACCCAGTCCCAAGCTACCCCGTCACCGAGGATAACGTTCAGGAGATATTACAGAAGTATTACGTGTATGAGAGAAAGGAGGCCCACGGCCTCATATGGGTATCACGGAGACCAACCACACATTCAAGCAACTTCTCCCCCCTCCCCCCTCCTTTCCCCTCACACCAGAAACGCAGCCACAGCACCCGCCAGACCCATCCACACAGTAGCAGCAGTACTGGCCTTGACCGCGCCCGCGCCGCTGCCCAGCCCCTTGACGTCCTTGCCGTCCTTGCTGTCCTTGCCGTTGGCGCCCTTGGCCTCGACCTGCGTGGCGTCGCCGGGCGCGAACATGATGCCGGCGGCGTTGGCGGCGGGGGCGTCGATCTGCTCGGGCGTCATCATGGGGTTGGCCAGCTCGTCGCACGAGGGGCGGAAGAGGCCCGCGCGGATCTCGTTGGTGACGGAGATGGGCACGTCGAAGACCGTGTAGTGGTCCCGGCCGTTGAGGCGGAAGTTTTGCCGGATGGAGATCTGTTTTTTTATTTTAGGACACCAGAGTGCTTTTGTTGAGTACATACATATGACTACGCAACGCGGGACAGGAGAAAAAAATAGAAGACGCAGAGAGAGAGAGAGAGAGAGAGAGAGAGACAGGGAAAGGGGGGCCTTACGTTGTACACGCCCCGGTCGCTGCCGGCGTCCTTGGGCTGGCCGTTGCCCACGAGGCAGCCCGGCCACTGCCAGTTGATGTGCTTGACCGTGCTGCCGGGCTCCTGGCGCATGATGTCGCCGACGGTGGCGTTGAACTTGGGGTCGAGGCTCGGCGCCGCGACGGTGCCGTTGCTGATGGTCAGGTTCTTGCCCGTCTGGTAGCTGTAGAGGAACATGGTGATGTTCCAGATGCGGCTCGGGCTGTCCGGCGCCAGCTGCTCCGGCAGCGGCAGCTTGCCGTTGGCCGAGACGTCGAGGGCTACGTGCAGAGTGTCTTTTTTTGTGCGGTCCGGGTCAGCCCTTGCACGCCGCTATCTTCACGAAATAGAAAGAGACCGGGTATCGGGAAAGAAGGAAAACGACATACCTCCGCCCATCGGCGTACCCGGTTGCGGGGCATCGAGGACGGCAGGGCCGGGTGTGAATATCTGGCCGTTGGAGATGGTAAAGTTGAGGGCCCGCGCCTGCGAAACCAGCAGCGGCAGGCCGACGCTCAGGAGTTGTGACGTTCTCATTTAGACGGACTGGTGGGAATGTCTCGCGATGGAGGCGAAACAGGCGGGAGAAATGGTTACAAGGAGACAGGCAGGCAGGCAAGCAAACAAACACGCGGACAACGAGCAGTAGGGATTGTCGAGAAGAGAAGAAATATGTCAATACAAGAAGAGAAACTTCAAGTATTGATCCAATGTGATAGAAATGGCATCATAGGTTGGGATCGACTGGTGCCAGACACATACATGGCTTTCCATGATCACGGACATACGACGTATAATAAGCACCAACAATCCCGGAAACTGGATTTGCCTCATTTGGGAATTGGGGGGGCTGCCGGGACCCCGGGCCATCACTGCAGACTGGACTGACCAGGTTTGCAAGGTTGGATCTTTGGAAACCAGCATAACTGACTACAGGGGTGCATCTCTGCGATGGGCAGCGGAGCCTCTACACCTTGGCCAAGATCTCGAGGAAGGTGATGCATTTCGCTTTCGGATGGCCCGTGGCCGAAGGTCCATTGTCGGTCAGTAGGCGTTGAAGCTGTAACTACGTACTGTACAAGTGCAAGTAGAGAGAAGGGATCTGATCCGTCAAGTCAAGCGTCACATCGTTGCCGTGACCCCGCGATGGGAAACCCCGGTCATAGTCGCAAGTGATAAGTTTCGCTGACGTGCGGTTCTCAATGCGTTGGAAGCAAAACCTTGGAAACACCCAATCGCCATCATTGCTCGGGACTGGCAGTTGAAATGGCTGCCCTCCCGTCTCCCTTTCGCAAGACCAGACAAACCCGTCGTCGGATAGTGAACTTAGGTACCATGAGTAAGAGATGTCTCTGGCTCCCATGGATATTCTCGACTGGTTAGATTTGTTTGTTACGAAGTAGAATTGCCCTTCACCTTTAGTTTGGGCTTGGTGTGAGGCAAGCGAAGTTTCAGGGGCGAAGCCGTTGAGACACTTGCAGCTCATGCGAAATGGCCCGTGGGTTCAGTGGGATTAGTGGGGGGCTGTCGCCCATTCTCACGGGTCTCTCGGCTGACTTTGCCGGAGGTCGCCTCCGCTACAGGGGGCTCCTCTCGGTTGTTGGAACCTCCACTGGAATGGATTGTATGCTTTGCTTCTCAGCCTGACCCCGATAAGGCTCCACTGATAGGTAGCTTGCTGTTGATTGTCAAGATAGACTCGGATATCGAGATAGCCAAACAAGGGTCAACTATCATCCAACCCATCCTATCCTCCCTGATTAGCACAGCTAAACTTGAGCCATCGCAAAGCCCGTCGCACTCTAGCCCGCAGCTCTGGAGGATGATCACCAGCCTGTCTACCAATCCGGAAACAGATACCCACCCCCGCAAATCCCTAGCCCAATCATCAGTTCCTCTCCTTTCCACATCCAGCTGTCCGCGTCGGAAAAGATCCGACCCCCTCAACTTCGCTCTACGCATATAAAGGTTTGACAGACACGTATAAACACGCGAAGTCAGGTGAGTTTGCTCCAGTGTCACCGTGTGGGTTGAAGAGGCAGGCACGGGCTTTATGTCACACGTGTGAGAGTTGCATTCAAAATGAGGAGCTTCAAACCATCCCGGCTCGCCAGCCAGGGCCTGCTCTCATCAGTGCGTCCTGCCAGAGCTGCGATATCGCTGTGCCAGAGAAGTACATCTGGTCCGTGGTCGGCCTCTCGCACAAGGTTCGAGACGGATCAGCGCCGCTCCCTCAGCTCCCACCCGTCCGCCCTCAAGGAGCTGGTGACCGTGTCGGAAGAGGTCAAGGATGCGGTCGCTACCAACAAGCCGGTCGTCGCCCTCGAGTCTACCATCTACACCCATGGCGCGCTGGGCGAGGACCTGCTCCTGGAAGACATCATCCGCGAGCATGGCGGTGTCCCCGCCGTCTGTGGCGTGCTGGACGGCGTGCCCTCTGTCGGTCTGTCCAAGGCTGATGTGCAGCGCATGATCGACGAGGGCGCCAGCAAGATCTCCAGGAGGGACTTTGCATACGTTGTTGGCAAGGTAAGTTCGCTCTCCCCTTGGAACTAACTTGGTTCGCGGTGACCCTGGGACTTCGCTGACTGCGCTATGCAGGGACTCGCTGGGCGCCGCTCTCATGGAGGCACTACCATCTCGGGCACCATGGTGCTCGCCCGCCTAGCCGGCATCCGCGTGTTTGGAACCGGTGGTCTTGGTGGTGTCCACCGTGGCTGGGAGAGCACCCTGGACATCTCGGCCGATCTGACCGAGCTGGGCAGGACCAGGGTCGCCGTCGTCAGCAGCGGCTGCAAAGGCTTCCTCGATATCAAGGCTACCCTCGAGTTTCTCGAGACGCACGGCGCCTTCGTCTCGACCTTTGCCGATGGCCGCACGGGCCAGGTCGACTTTCCCGCCTTCTGGGCCCGCGAGAGCGGCATCAAGAGTCCCGCGGTCGTCCAGGACGAGGCCGAGGCCGCGGCCATCATCTACGCGCAGGAGAGCATGGGGATCGAGTCGGGCTTCCTGTTCGCCAACCCGATTCCGGAGAAGGACGGCGTGCCCCGCAAGGAGATGGAGGCTGCCATTGACCAGGCCGTTCGCGAAGCCCAGGAGCAGGGCTTCACCGGCAGCACCAATACGCCTTTCGTTCTGAAGAGGATCAGGGAGCTCACGCAGGAGAAGAGTACCGTGGCCAATATCGCCTTGGTCCGCTCCAACGCGGCCAGAGCTACCAAGATAGCCAATGAGCTTTCGGCGCTTCTCATCAACGGACCGTCGAATGCTTCTTCGTGAGTCTCGATCCGTCTGTCGATGAAGCCTGTTTGTGTGGATGAGGTCTCATTAGACATATAGCAAATCGTATTCTTCCCTTCCAAGCCGTAGTGCCTCGCCGAGACCCACGCCACGTACTTCTGATGTCAAGCCCCAGCAGGTAAGTTAATTGCAGTAAATTCGGGCCTGATTTGTGTTGACCGAGGACTGGCTCTTTTCTCGTCCAGACTTGCTCATAGGTGATTGTTGATCACATGCTAACGGCTTCAGACCACTTCACAGGCTGATATTCTCGTTGCCGGCGCTGTGGCCCTGGATCTGAGCTGTGACTACGCGGGCGGCTCTGGAGGGGCAGTCTCTCCCAAGCTTCACACGTCCAACCCTGCCACGATAGGCCAGTCAATAGGGGGCGTGGGCCACAACGTGGCTCTGGCAGCTCATCGAGCTAGCCGCAGCAGTAAAGTCAAACTCTGCAGCATGGTCGGTGATGATATGTGAGTAAAGTGGTAAGCCCATAGGGGGGTTATCTATGCCGACTGACTTGCTTGCCAGTGCCGGCGCCACTATCATGTCGACCCTCGAGCGCTCTGGCCTAGACACCTCGTGTATCCGGCAATTAGGTGCCGAGTACCACGCTGCCAGGACAGCCCAATACGTCGCCGTCAACGACGCCGAGAAGAACCTTATGGTCGCCATGGCGGATATGGGCATCTTCACATCCCACTCCTTCCCCTCCTACTGGGCCTCCACCGTCGCAGCAGCGAAGCCAAAGTGGGTCGTCGTCGACGGCAACTGGAGCGAGCAGGACATCCGTGCCTGGGTCAAGGCCGCCCGCCAGCACGGTGCCAAGCTCGCCTTCGAGCCCGTCTCGACCGTCAAGTCGATGCGCCTGTTCTCGCCGCTCAAGGAGCACATCAGTGCCGGCGTGTTCCCGGACCCGGTCGTCGACATCGCGACGCCGAACCAGCACGAGCTGGCGGCCATGCACGCCGCCGCCAAGGACAACGGCTACTTTGACGACATGAAGTGGTTCGAGGTCATCGACGCCTTTGGCCTCACCGGCGGCGCCAGGGACCGGTTCGTGCGCCTGACGTCGGCCGAGATGGCCGACGCGGGCATCCCCGTGCAGACGATCCAGCTGCTGCCCTACATCCCGACCATCGTCACCAAGATGGGCGCCAACGGCGCGCTGCTCGTCAGCGTGCTGGGCAAGGACGACCCGCGGCTGTACGACCGCGCGTCGGAGCCGTTCATCCTGACGAGGGCGACGAATGACCACCCCAGCGTGGGTGGCGTGTACATGCGGTACTTCCCGCCGGTCGCAAGGGTCAAGGACGTGGTTTCTGTCAATGGTGTTGGTGATACGTTCCTCGGCACGCTGGTGGCGGGGTTGGCTCAGGGGGGAAGGGCGGAGGATCTGATGGATGTTGCGCAGAAGGCGGCGGTCATGACGCTGAGAAGTCATGAGTCGGTCAGCCCTGAGCTTTCGAGGTTGGAGGAGGAGCTGCTTTTTGCGGCGAAGCAAAGAGGGTGAGAGTTGGAAATAGATCAGGGGAGAGAATGAGGGGGCACGTGGAAGAAAGGGGGTTGACCTGGAGTCACTTTATTTCGTGACGCGATTTAGCATAACATGTGCGAGGCGGAATGGGAGCGCAATGTAGGGGTGGCCCAGTGTAGACCAAGAAGCCTTATAGGAGATAATAGGTTGGATCTCTGCCACGATGAAGTGACATCTTGGTCGAGCGGTTGCATGGGGGCTGTGAAGTCAGAGGGACCTCTGAATTGATCAGCCGCTAACGCGCTCCTCGGCGACATGTTGTCATGGAGGGTTGTAAAGGGTCGACAACCGGGCTTGACATTTGTCCTCGGCCTGGGTGTTCAGACCCTTTACTTCTTGTCATTCGGGCTCATTTGTTTTTTTTTCCCTTACAATAGAGTGCAAATATTTTAATCTGTCACCATTTCTTTTCTCGCATCCCTTCAATGCGGTTTTTCTTGTTTAAAAAAGGTTCTTCGTGATCTTATTCGAACTGATGTTACCTCCGCTACAAATAAGGCTGAGCCCCGGATTAGTGGGGCACCTCGCGGCCCCGCCATGCCGGAGACACTGAACCAATGGAGTTCGCCCGATAATTGACACTGATTGCAAGGCTGTTTTCGCGATAACAAAAAAAATCTGGAACACGACTACAGTACCTATCAATTCACACAATTTCACACTGGTGTCTCCAGTCCAAAAGTTCACTCACCTAACGTCGGTCAAGATGTCCTCCAAAAAGATGGCCGCACTGGCCAATGACGACTCTTCCGACTATGAGTCTGAGAATTCCGACATTGAGATCTCCTACGAGCCCGAGCGCCCCAAACAACATGTCGAGATCGCCGAGAAGGATGAGGACGAAGAGGAGCTCGAGCGCCTCGTCCTAGGAGGCAAGGCAAGCTTTCGGGAGCACCTGTTCAAGAGCCTCGATGAGACGGGTGAGGGCTCTCTCGAGCTCCTGCGTCTCGACGAGGGGGCATTGGAGGCGGAGACTGGCCACGAGGATGCAGACGACGCGGGGTTGTTCTTCTACGACAGCACAGCGGCGCCCGGCAAGGACTTGCAGATTGCTAAGGCCGTGGGAGCTGCTGGTGAAGCGGCCAAAGATGGAGACGCACCGGCATGGGAAGACAGTGACGACGAGAGGTTGTCCGTGTCGCTTGCGGGAGTGAGCAGGCTGCGGAAGCTGAGATTGACCGAGGGCGAAGACATTGTCAGCGGAACGGAATACACACGGAGGCTACGGCAGCAATTCTTGCGGTTGAGCCCCCTCCCAGCATGGGCTACAGAGGCCAAGAAGCGGCGCACAAAGAGGAGGCGCAGGTCATCCGCGGCGTCGGATCTGTCAGACAGCGACGTCGAGGGCAGCGGAGACGAGGTCGACTCGGCGCTACCGCTCGATAAGTTCCTGCGGAGTGCCAGCGCGCTCAATGCCGGAGCGACGAGAAAGAAGCGCAAGCTGCGGCCAGAGGTTATCGACATCCAGAAGACGAGAGACATCCCCGACTCGCACAAGGGCCCCGTCGGCACCCTCGCTTTCCACCCCCAACACCCCGTCCTCCTCTCCTCGAGCACCTCCTCCATCATCAACCTCCACCACGTCGCGCCCACCGCGCACCCGACACCCAACCCGCTCCTCACCTCGGTCCAGATCAAGCAGACTCCCATCAGGAGGTCAGAGTTCCTGCACCCAGACGGTAGCCAGATCGTCTTCGCAGGCCGCCGGCGCTTCTTCCACAGCTGGGACCTCTCGACGGGCCAGGTCAGGAAGATCAGCAAGGTTGCGGGCCACCGGCTGGAGCAGAAGACGATGGAGCGGTTCCGGACCAGCCCCTGCGGGCGGTACATGGCGCTGATCGCGACGGACCGCAAAGGCGGCGGCGCGCTCAACGTGCTGGCCGTCGACACGATGCAGTGGATCGCGCAGGCGCGGCTCGACGGCCGCGGCGGCATCGCCGACTTTGCGTGGTGGAGGACGGGGGAGGGCATCACGATCCTGGGCCGGGACGGGCAGGTTGGCGAGTGGAGCGTCGAGAGCAGGCGGTTCCTGGGCGTGTGGCGCGACGAGGGCTCCGTCGGCGGCACGGTCATCGCGCTGGGCGGGCACTACGGCCCCGCGGCGCTGGGCGGCGACAAGTGGGTCGCCGTCGGCTCGACGACGGGCATCGTCAACATCTACGACCGGCACGATCTGCTGGCGACGGCGGCGGCGGCGGCGACGGCGACAGAGCAGGAAGAGGCGCAGACGGTCAAGCCGCAGCCGCAGCCGAGGCGCGCGTTCGAGCAGCTGACGACGCCCGTCACGGTGGTCGCGTTCACGCCTGACGGGCAGCTGCTGGCGTTCGCCAGCAAGCACAAGAAGGACGCGCTGCGGCTGGCGCACCTGCCGAGCTGCACCGTGTACCGCAACTGGCCGACGGAGCAGACGCCGCTGGGCCGCATCTCGGCCGTGGCGTTTGGCAGCGGGAGCGACGTCCTGGCGGTGGGGAACGACAGTGGCAAGATCAGGCTTTGGGAGATACGGGCTTGAAACTAAATTCAGTTGGGGAGGGGGGGTACGGGGAGATAGAGCTATCAAATTGTGGTGTGGTGTTAATGCTAAAGGACGAGACGTCTGTGATGATCTATCTGTCTACTCTCTGTCTAATGCGTTCCATCTTTGCCAATCTACCCATTTGCAGTACACGGAAAAGGAAAACCGAGCCCAACCAAAGCGAATATCACAAAATCTTGGCCCTCAGGGCGGCCAGCGGAGAACCCTTCTCGATAAATCTCTTCGGAAAGATTTTGCTCTCATTGACCGTATACTGGGCTAGCTTGTGCTGGTTCGGAAAGAACTGGACTGGGCTGCCATTGTCAACGGCGTCGAGGAAGTCGTAGATGTTGACCCAGACTCTGATGAGTGCCTGTGCTCGCTCAAAGGTCAGTTACCGAAAATCTTGGGCCTTTCTCTCAGAGGGGAGGGAAGATCAGGTCCTTTGCTCACCTTTCTGCACTGGGCCTTGCTGCGGAAGTCGCCCGAGATGCCCAGGTCCTGCATGAGGCGCTGCCAGTCGGCCAGGTCGCCTTTGCCGTGGTAGGTCTGCCAGCGGGAGACGATTTCGGGGCGCTTGGACTTCTTGCGGCCCATGATAGTTGGAGTTCCTGTTCGGGCTGGTTGAATGGCGATGTAGTTGCGGTTTCAGAGGTTCTTCCCAAAACCTCTCTAGGTGTTGATTCTTGGGATGTCTTGAGAGCTCAGACTGATAGAGAGGATGGAAGTTTGCTTCCCACTCTGCTCCTAGCCCGGGGACTCATGACCTTCTTATAAAGCGTTCTAGAAGCAAAGAGGGTTCCAGCATTCTTGGAGAGGCTTGCAAGGGCCTCAAAGAGAGATGCATGCCTGGCCAAATTAGGAGTGTGTTGGCGATGTTTTTGAGACGCAGTGGCTTGTTCACATCCAGTAGATTTGTTCTGTTTGGCAGGGGTCTGGGCAAACACTTATCGTTGGAAACCCGCATGAGAAGTTGTAGGTAGCCATTTGGCAATGTCGCAGCGAAGTTGTGCACTTCCGGCAGCAGAGAGGTATTTGATTTGTTGACGCACTTTAGGATCGAGCTTCACTTTTAGAAAGGAGACTATTGGAGGAGAATCCTGGGCATTGAGAAAGACCATCTTTTCACGACAAGAACCTAGCGGGCAGCAAATATGTGTCCAAACCAGACTCTCAGTCACAAGATCTTAATTACATGGATATGCCAAAGAAAAAGAAAAAAAGCAAATACTCAAATTCAGTCCAACTTCTCAGCTTCCCCAGTCCTGGCTAGCCTCCCAGACCTTGGGAGCGGTCCCATCCACGACGGCCTGGACATAGTCTTTGAACTTCCGCGGCTTGAGGTCCGGGTACAGCTCCTTCGCATCGAGATATCCCAAATATTTGGCATGCTCGAGCGTGTTGTCCCCCCGGATACCCCACGAGTACTGGTACTGCCCGCCGAACAGCTGCAGCTGCGTAGCAAAGTCGGTTGTGCCCTGTGCCATCTTCTCCTTGGCTTGGTTGATGGTGGCGCTGATCTCCTCGCCAGATGTCTACATCTCTCAAACATGCTGAGCACCCGCGGCTCGTCGTGCCCATATCTACATGAATGGCAAGAAACTCACGTATTTTCAAGGGATTTCCTCCCCGGAGACCTCCTCCAGAAGCTCCTGGGTCCGCTCCTCGCCGTGCGCAAAGACGCTTTTGTTCAGCGTCCGCGGGCGCGATGACCGGCACCACGAAGCGCCCGACGTCACGCATGTCGGTCAGCGCCAGGGGCGTCCGGCCGTCGCCGACCATGGCCTCGGACCGGACGGCCAGGGAGCCGTCGATGCGGCCCGAGGGCAGGTGCGGCAGGATCAGCTGGTACCACCAGCCGATGTCGAGGGCGGTGTAGGGCAAACACAGCCGCTTGACGTGGTCGAGAAGGTCCTCTTTCTGCGTGGCGTGTAGCTCATCAGTTCACGAACTGTGTTTGGTGAGAATGGGGAAAGGCGGACAGCTGTATGTGTGTGTGTGTGTGGAAGTGAAACCGGCTCATTGGAACTCCGTACCTGCTCACGCAAGGTCTGCACGCCTCGGGCTGGCATGACGGGGCCGAAGAAGCTGGGGACGAGGCGCTGCACGCCGGCCTCCTTGGCCGCGGTGGTTAGGGCTAGCTGCTCTGTCATGACGTGCGCCAGGACGCAGGAGATGACGACGTCTGTGCCGCGCAGGAGGTCGACGATCTCGCGGTGCGGAGCGGTGGCGAGGTCGATGCTGACGATGCGGACCCCGCGAGACTTGAGGGTGGCTACCTCCTTGTCGAGGGAGGGGGGATGGATGAGGGCGGTAAGCTCCTAGAAGGGGGTGCCATGAGTAGGCTGGGGAGTGATCCTACATGGGAGCTACCTACGAACTGCTCGGAGTCATCGAGTAAGGCGTTTGCAACCGATCGGCCGGTCTCGCCGGTGGCTCCGAGGATGGTGACTCCCATGTTGGCTGGAGGGTTGGGTATGCTGAGGAAGAGCGATGATCATGGTCTGTCGTCTTCTGTAGTCTGCACAGTGAGATGAGGGGCATTTTATATAGCCATGTAATTTCAATGTCAATTTCATTATTCCTCATGCTATTTTATTGACGATTCCGATTGTGAAAGGGCGGAACACCTCTTCCAAAACCTGTTTGGCTGCAGTTGGCAACTAAGAAACCAAGGGGACCTCGCTCAGGAAGCGTCAAGTCAAATATGACCTAATGGGTTTATCCAACGAGTCGGCGCTGGGCGGACTCATCGTGCAAAAGTGGCTTCCGAGTTGACGATCCCGAGTTCAAGACCTCCAGGCTCCGTGGTGAAGACCTGTTATTGGTGGTGGAACTCCGCCAGAGTTTTGGTAACGACCTGTGCAATGCTTTTCGTTCGAACAGAGCTATCAAGCCTCTACAAAATACGTTCAAGCTTACCGAGTCCCAATCTAAACCCACAGTCGCAGCTTGAGGCCATCGTTGCGCACGGTAACTACCCAGCTGCTTCGATCAGGGACCCCGTACTCCGTTGTGCTGCCGTCCGGGGATTTGTCGGGTGCCCGACCCACTAAAAACAACACACTCCGGGCCGGACCTGTTACACCCGGTGTTGGCTTGTCTACTTCACCGAAAGGGAGCAGCCTAAGGCGACTTGGTTTGCCCTTTGCTCTCCCGGTGGTACACAGAGCTGCTACGGATATCCCCCACAGCCACAAAGCATTCTGCTGGAGAAAGCCCTTCGCTGCATTTCTCTGTGCTATCGGTCAATTAGACTTGTCGATTCCAAGTCGTTCGTACCTCTTGTTTACACGCCAACGAGCCGAGATCTATGTTTCTAAACATCGGCCACAGGAGATTCAGGCACCTCCACCAGTCCTACGATCTGGGACAACGGTCATGGGAGTCAAGCGAGAATGGTACTCGCGTATCGGAAGAGATGGTTTGGCATGCACTGGATATGGAGGAAATCTGCAGCATGTGTGATTAGAGGTTGATGATCGGTGTGGTCTGGAGACAGAGATCTCAAATCTCATCGAAATCTACCATATACAGTTGCTCTTGTTGTTGACGTGCAGAGGAGTACACTGTCCCCGTTGTACCCAAAGATCGATCGACCCTGGCAACCGAACACCCGAGCCAGGTTGCCGGACCCGCTGAAGGTAAGCCAAACCTTGGCGGATCTTGGGGCTAAACCAGGATTCCGCTGTGCCCTAGACATCGATCCACGGATGCCGGTGTCAGGCCAGAAACGCTCAAACCGTTCTCGTCAGGGATTTGTCGGATGCAGGCTCCAGACAAACTCTTTCGATAATCTGCTTATTAGGATCATGTAGATCACTCAGCCTCCTCTTTCTCGAGAGCATCTTTTCCTGGCATCGGAAACCTCAAAAGACAGACAGATCATGGCCTGCTGATACAGTACCCAAGAGATTGACGGCCATTGAAGACCGTCTCGCTCTTGTTTACTCGTTGCTCTGGCACCTGGACACACAAACACACACACACCTTCACCGAAAAGCAAATGGGGGAAAACAACACATCACTACCGCCCAGCTAGATCGAAGCCAGCCCGCCTAGCCGACCAGGGATTCCCCGTCCGTGTTGGCCCGGCTCGATGCGTGGCGCCGGCACCACCAATAGTCAGGCCACCGTCGACCGGTCTTTTCGTGGTGCATGCGTGGTCCCACTGCCCAATTCCCTTTTCCACCCCTCCATCTCTTCCTCTTCTGACCAAGGTCTTGCTTCCGTGATTCCCTAGCAAAATGCATGACGGCGGCCCATCGAGATAGGTATGAAGTAGGTAGGCAATAGATGGGGCCGCCCTCTGCAGCCGCTGGGCAAACGGACCCATCATCTCTGACGTTATGTACTCTGTTGGCGGCTACGGGCCCTCCAGGGAAGCTGAGACGACAGCCCATCCATGTCATCATACCATGCCACCGCCCATTGGTTCTCGGGCAGAAACCGTACCACCAACCGCGGGGCTGACTTTGCTGTCTGATGTTTACAATTTTCCTGTATTGTTCTTTTTTCGTCAGTCCTCTCTCTTATAAGCCGTCTTATTACGTGCCTTATTCCGGCAAGGACCCAGAAACCTGAAACTCTTGCCATCTCGACCCAATTCACCAGTTAGGCGCGCATAGAGTGGTCGCCACATACCCAGCCCGGATTCCCTGATGGTTTCAAAATCGAGTTTATGCAGGGTCTGTACCTGATTCCGATTATGGTCTCTGCCCTTCCCCTCTTCTCTTTCTTTTGTGGTAGATACACACACACACATACAGCTCCCCGCATTTCGCCTTACGACGGTTAGCAACCAAGTCTCGCTCAAGATGGGTTGGCACTTTAGCTTCAGGAGACGCAGGAACAAGAATAAGGGTTCCTCCAGTAATGGCAAGTCTACACCTGCACAAGCGGCACCGGTTGCATCTCCGGTCACGGCGCCGCCGCAACACCAGCAGCAAGAGCTGCTGCAGCGGTCGCGAAGCAATACCAAGGAAACATCAAGTACACCACTTCAAGTGACCAAAGACAATGCACCACCGCAAACATGCCCCTTGGTCGTCACAGCTTCGATACGGTTCCCGGACTCGGGTGTAGGATCTCTCTACAGCCGCGAGTATAGGAGTTCGCCAGACTTTGACCCTACCGAGCGGATATGTCGAGGACTGCTGAGGAGGATCGAGTACGGCAGCGAAGAGCTGATCACCCGCAAGGACTCCAGTGCCCTCGACCCCAATGGCCAGCACAGCTCCAAACCGCTACGGTATGAGATGCACTTCAAGATCGTTCGACACGGTGATGATGTGTGGGCCGAGCGGACCTTCAAGTCGTACCAGAAACACCCGGTCTTTTACCACGCAGCAACGGAGCTCGCTGCTGCCACCCACCGCCTGATCGGTCTGTACCTACACGAGCACGACACCGGCTTCAAGTGGACTGGTGATCCGCTGCGAGACTACTTGGACGAGCCCGAAGTTTCGAAACCGTCGTTCGAGGGGCCGCTCTCACTCAACAGTGTACCACGCGCCCGGTTCCTGGAATCGACACAATCTTTCGAGTTCGTTCCCGGTTTCACCATCGAGATCGCCTTCAGGAGTCGGAGTCAGCAGAGAGCGCAGCAAGACTGGAAGAGGACCTCCAGGCTCAGCAGCAAGCAAGGTACCCCTCTCAACCTGGGCTGTGCAGAAGACCTCTTGTACCGAGGCTCCAAAGCGGTGAACGAGGAGTATGAGAAGATCAAGCAGGCGTTTGATGCAAGACACAAAGACTGCGAGATGCTGGAAGGAGCTGTGGGCTGCCACCACTTTGAGCAGGACGCTCTCGAGATCGACCTCCGGATTTTCAACAACCTCGGTCCGGACTTTGATCACCTCCGCCGGTCCATCCGCACGAGGTTGGCCCTGTTCTGCGACGAAGACGGTGCCGACTGCGAGCGCTTCCTCCGGGCACTCCAAGCTCGCTTGTCCGAGTCCCGAGATCGGGCGGACGAGCAGTTGTCCCAGATGGAGGACTTTGACTTTCGGATATTGAAGCTGAGCGGCCACAGCTGGCAGGCAAAGAACGCTGCCCGTTTCACGTTCGATTCGTCGGTCTCGCGTTCCCGTCGGACTATCGAGGCTACCCTCGACCGCGTCCAGACCGGCGTGATCGATGTGCTTCGTGGTAACAACGTCGCAGCCCATCTCGGAGCCTACAAGCGCGGGCACCACATCCTAGACAAGGCGCTGATAGCTCGGTCTTCCGCGGATGCGCCTAGTACGGAAACCGACGAGGATCCCGAGGCCCAGAAGGTGGAGCTGATCTCGAGGCTGGAGGCTCGGATCCAAGAGGACCTGGAAATGATCTGTAAGGATACCTGCTCGCTGGCGGATATCCCCGACGACAAGCCGCTCAGGGATGAGGTCAGCAAAGAAATGAGTGAAGACGTACCGGATGTCGTCGAGGTCCCCGTCACCGAGCTCTCGGCCGTGGAGTCGCCCGCGGAGCCCGTCGCGGAGATGCCCACGCCGCCCGCGACCCCGCCTACTGAGCCGCGTTCGTTTCCTCTCGTTCCTCTAAAGTACCGCCCCGAGATACCGGTGCGCACTAGCAGTGCCTCGTCCCACTTCAGCGGGATCCTCGGGGTCCCGGGGACTGTCCAAGCTTCTCGCGAAGGCGAAGGCTTGGCGGCTCCCGAGTCCCCCGTGGACCCCGACTTTACCTGGGGCCCAGGCCAGAAGCCCGACGGAGCTCCGGTCTTGACCAGGGACTTTGGCGCGGACAACTCGGGCCTCGATGCTGACGGGCAGGTTCTCCGCCGTAAGAGTTCCATCCCAGACTTGAAGGCTGGGGTTGAGGGCTCTGGACAAGGTGAGAATCTGGTGGATGCTGCTCAGGAGCGACGCGATGTTGAACCGTCTGCTGGACCTTCCGTGCCAGCCGGTACCCAAGAGATTAGCGAAACTCAGCCAGCAGAGAGCGCAGCTGTAGACGTGGCTAGGGAGTCTAGCCCATCCGCCATCGTCTCGCCATCATCAGACACCGATGAAAGGCAGACGGATGAGCATCTCGCAGAAGAGACTGCCCAGGATGCACAGGTCAACTCACAAAGCCCAGCGCTGTCTGAGTTGACAGCAGAGGTTCCTCAAGAGAGCAACACCGAAACCCCTACACCAGAGCTCGAGCCGCCGACGACCGAGCCGGTTGTGGCTGTTGAACACGAGACTGCCGCCCCTGAAGATCTACGCGAAGTTACGCAAGAGACAGCGGGGACTGAGCAAAAGTCTCCGCTGGAGGCGGATCTATCAGGCAACGGAAATCCCGACTCTGCCAACAAGATTATCATCGGTCAAGAAGAAGTCCCCGAAGGGGATGGTACCGCTCAGACAGCTGTCACTGAAGCCACCACGGAAGCACCCGTGGTGGAGCAAGCTATACCCGCCGTCGAGGAACTGGAGTCAGCAGAGCCTCCTGTGGAACCTAAGGAGCTGCCCTTGGCCGATGGACCAGGAGAGTCCACGCACAACGGCGAACTCGACAACGCCGACGGTGCCGACACTCTGCATGCTGAGGCAGATGTCCCGGCCGCAGATCCCGCTGATATTTCTCCGTTGCCATTATTGGAGTCGGTGAATGGGCCATCTCCGTCAGCCGAACCAGTCACGGTTGAGCAGGCGGGCACCAAGGATGATGCTGACTCCGAGGAGTCTAAGGATGTCGATTCATCGCTTTCAAAGCAAGAAATTGAGGACAAGAAGCCAGCTACCAAAAGTGCCGAAGAGTCCGGTGAGGTGGAGTGTCCTCAGGCTAAGATAGACAACGAGGTCGCTCTTCTCGCAATGCCCGAGGAAGCCGAGTCACCTCCGCAACCTGACCTGCCCGTCTCCAACGAGGCTGCTTCGGCATTCGACGACTCCTCAGATGACCGCGACAGACCTCAGACCCCGCCGGATATCCGGGAGACGGACACTACTGAGGATCCAACGACGCCGTTGTCGAAAGAAGCCGACAACGAGTCCCTGGCGCCCTCTACGCCCGGTCTCAGCTGTGGGGACGATATGTCGCCAGAGGCCAGCTTCCTCGCGACCCCTGTTCTGCACAGGAGTGCCATCATCCAGGGAATGCCCGCGCTTGTAGATCAGAGGCTATTCGATGATGGACATGCAGAAAAGCATGAGCCTGAGTCAGCGGCAAAGTCTATCACGGACGTGCAAACCCCGGAACTTGACAAGGGTCTGCTCGACCAATTCCCCTCTCCCGGGCCATTCTCGGCAACCGAGCAGGTCCATTTCGTATCAGGAGTTCAAGAACCCGAATTTCCGCCAGCAGCCCCATCGGCATCTGCTGAGAAGCGCTCGGTCAAGCTGTGGAGGCCCGAGGACGTCTGCGAGCCCGTCTTTGAGGACGACTTCTCCCGGACAAAGTCGGATTATGCATTCGACCACGATGCCGATTTGTTCTCCCCCTCCGATGACGAAGAGAGCACGGCGCAAAACGAAGTGCTTCCTGGTCGCGGAGATTCTGCAGCGTCGGACGCGAAGGACGAGGTTCATGTCCGAGATGGGCGCCACTCAGCGACACCGGAGCCGCCAGCGCGCCGGATGTCCGACGCTGAGGCTGCATGTCACACCGACGGTGCCGAAGGAGTTGAATCGCACGAGTGCGACGTGAAAATGTCCGATTCATCCGCAGATGATAAGATAACTCCGATACTCGTGCACGAGAATGCTGACCTGTCGCAACTCGACGTTGTTGATGAAGCACCCCCCATCAGCGAGCCGGCGGAACCGGATACGAGCGAGGACCCCGTTGACGCCGCTGCTGACGAAGAGCTCAGCCAATTACCAATCCCCGAGATCGCCGAGGAGGTAATTGAGCTTGAAGTGAAGCAGCAGCAGTCCCCAGCCAATTTACCCGCGGACGTACCGGCGGCTACCTCCCCAACCCCGTCGGACCCGGAGCTCCCGGAGTCTACCGTTGCCGATCCCTCCGGGCCCGACAACAACAACAACAACACCACAACCAGCACCGATCCAACCGACGTCCCAATCTCATTCCCCGTTCAAGACCAAGCACCACCCACCCCAGCAGAGCTGGTGACCCGCACCCTCACCGCAAAGAGCAGCGCCTCCTCAGGCTGGGAGGACTGCTCCTCCGCCTACACCGCACCCACCCACCCCCGCGACTCCGTCGACAGCGTCGACCCGCTCGACGACGCAGACGCAGACGCAGACGAGGCAGAGGACTCCCTGCCCCCGCTGCACGCGACGACGGGCTACGTCGGCCTGCACGAGGGCCGGCTCGTCGAGTTCGGCCTGCGCGGCGCGCTGACGGGCTCGCGCCGCTTCGACGCCGCCCTGCGCCCCAGCACGGCGCCCTCGCTGACCGCCGCCGCCCGGGAGGAGGAGGAGGGGGCGGCGTCTTCTACTGCCGGGTCGTCCCGCACGCTGAGGCTGCGGCGGCGGGCGCGCAGTGTGGCGGCGGTGGCGGGCGTGAAGCACGGGAAGCGCGGCAACGGCAACGGCAGCGGCAACAACGCCAGACGTGCCGGTACCACCGCAGCGGACAAGGCGAATGGGGAGCGGGACGGACGGGCCCGGCGGTCCGCCTCGTTGCCGCCGGCTGCTACGACGGCTGACGACGAGACGAGAGAAGTCCAGGCCGAGGAGGCCGTGCTGCCGCGGGTGATGAGGATGTTTTCTGGGTTCAGGGGTCGGCGGTGATCTATATCGGCCTTACTTGCTACGAGGAGGCTAGTCGAGACGAGACGAGACTCATTTTTCCTTTTGTTGTTCATTCCGTTATTATGGGATCCATGGCGATGGCGTTTTTCTTCACTTTTTTTTTATAGCATATCCTGGGTATTCGGGAGGATGGTTGCATCTGCATATATCAGGCATGGTGCCGTTAGAGAGCATATCTAGAGAGGGAGAAAACAGAAGCTGCTCTGGGTTGGATACTGCCCGGAGCTGGAATATATTAAGCCATTGAATCATTTGAGAGAGATACTTCATGTGACGATTTGTGCATTGTGACTGTCCATCGATATGCTCCGCCATCAGTCCGTGACCGTTTGATATCAAAGCCCGCTACCGCAACTTCAAGTTCTACCAAGTCTGGATATTTGCAGGTAGACACTTAATATTCTCCTGGATTATCATCATCCTTATGGTATAAGTAATGTATGATATCGATATATGCAATTCTCTCTTTACTCTTACTGTCAACGAACACCCTCCCAGGACACAAATCTACAGCTCATCCTTCCCCTTACTACCTTCTCCAGCAGCACCCCTAGCCTTTGCAGCCTCCTTGTCCTCCTCCCACATCCTCTTCATGGGGTTCCCTCCCTGTTGCTGTTGCTCACCCTCGTCCTGCTGCTGCTGCTCCTGCTCTTTCCCCTCCTCCCAAACCCTCTTCTTCGGGTTCCCGCCCTCATCCTCCCCATCCACAACCCTCCCGACCTTGTCAACCATCGCCTCCTCCTCCCCTTCCCTCGTGCTGCTACTGCCGCCGCCCCTCTGGCCAGCCCCGCCCGCAACACCAACGGTCGGCACGCTCCCCTCGCTCAACATACCGACGACCCTCGTGCTCCCCCCATCGACGACAACCATGCTCGGCTGCGGCTCGCCGCCGGCACCACCGCCGACCATCCCGACGGCACCCCCAAGAACCCTCCACCCCGTCCGCACAGGCCACCACACGAGCAGCCACAGCGGTCCGTAGAGCAGCCGCCGGAACAGGATCCACCCGGCCGTGGCGCACAGCACCCACAGCGCCGCCTCGAGGAACCAGGTGTCGCTCTTGGCCCCGCCGAGCAGCCTGCCGACCATGGCCCTGCTGGCCGCCAGCGCGCCGCCGAGCGCCCCGTACCGCTCGCCGAGCTCGCCGAGCGCGGCGCTGCTGTCGGCGAGCGCCTGCTGCGCGAACTCGGAGCGCGCGACCTCGGTCGCCGCCAGGGCGTGCATCTGGCGCAGGGCGGCCGTCACGCTCGCCGACGCCGACGTCTCGGCCGAGGAGTGGTGTTGTTCGTCCTTGTGGTGGTGGTGGTGTCTGTGCTGCTGCTGCCGGCGGCGGTGGAGCGATGGCGCGGGCGAGGAGGCGGCCGAGCGGGCGGTCGTCGGGCTGCCTGCGCCGCCGGCGGAGGAGGGAGGGCCGGCGGCGTACGAGGCCACGAGGAGGGCGCGTTCTTGCTTCTGGGCCTGCTGGAGGGACTGGCGGGCCGAGAGCTGGGCCTTGCGGAAGAGCAGGTGGCAGCTACAGGACAGTAATTAGTACAACATATCAAATCGAAGATGCCATGTCTGTGTGTCGAAACAGGGCCACAGGGAAACTGACCTCTTCAACTCCCCCTCCACCCTCCTAACCCCGTCCTCCAGCCTCCCCTTCACCCTCTCCACCTCGCTCCCGCCAGGGCTATCGTGCAAGCTGACCCTCTTGCGCCCGCCAACGCCGCCGCCGTCTTCGCCGGGCGCGCCCCTCCGGGGGACCCTCACGGCCGCGACGTCCTCCCTCAGCAGCTCGAGGTCGTCCTCCCCGTCGCGCACGGCCTGCGCTATCTCGGCGACCAGCTCGGCGGCCGCGTTCTGCCCTTCCTCAGCGGTTGTAATGCTAACATCTGAGGCGAGGGAGGCGACTGAGGCGTCGAGGGGCACGGAGCCCGGCTGGAAGCGCAGGGTCGCGAGGCGGTCGATGAGGTCCTTGAGCTGGGCCGTCGTCTCCTGGAGCTGCGCGAGGCGCTCCTGGAGGGAGTCGAGGGTCATGATGGGGGGTGGGTGGTGGTGTCGTTGCGTGGTCTATCTGATTTGAAGGTGGTATGGTATTGTCTTTCAGGGTCTGGTGTGATGCCTGCTTCTCGAATGTCTGTATAACTCGAAAGGAAAGAGGAAGCCGTCTGGCATAGATTAGGGTCCGTATTCGAACGCCGCAATGTAATATGGCCGCGTGTACAACAAAAGCAGGTTTCAAACTGTCGTCCTCGCCTCTCGTGTCGTTAATCCGTCCATTCGCCAGCAACGATGTCATTGAAAGCTGGCCTGAGCTAAACCCCAAAAGCTTCCAGCGTTTTTAGCGGCCGCCTTCCCGCTGTAAATACCATTTGATCCAATCTTCCCAGGGCAGACACCAGCCCGCCACGTGTTACCAGCTGGCAGCCGGCAATCCGACGACCGACCAGCTCCCCAATTTTTCGGTACCTCTCCAACAACGCACGTAGACCTCATGCGACGATCCTCCGCGATAGCCTCACACCTCACCTCAACTCACCTCACCTCACTCACAAATCCTCCCCGCCAGCAGAGCCCCAGAGCCCGCTCCCCGCCGCCGCCGCCGCCGCCCAAGATGATCACCCGCTTCATAACCGACGTGACCACCAAGTTCAACCCCTTCTCCCCGCGGGCCAAGCCGGCGCGCCTCTTCCTCTCCTTCCTGCCCCCCAACGCCCGCGCCTCGGGCATGAGCATCACGACCCAGCTGCTGGCCAAGAGCTCGGCCGAGCCCGCGTCCCTGACGGTCAAGTTCAGTACGTTTTTTCTCCACACACACAAAAATAGAACCATACGGCAAGAAAGTCTTCTTTTCTCCTCTTTCCGTCTTGCTAACCCGGATACCCTTCGTCAACAGAGGACGGCAAGGAGATGAAGCTCGACTGCGACAAGCTGGGTATCAAGGGCCTGATCGAGGAGGTCGACCGGCATTCCCGCGCCCTGCAGAAGCAGGCCGACCTGGCCAGTGGTTAAAGCGACTGCTTTACAAAAAGGAGGAAGGCGGTTGGTTGCAAGACTACGTGTAAACTATACATATATCCTGTACATTTCAGCATTAGACGGCGTTTGGGAAATGTTGGTCAAGCCATGGCCAATGTAGAGATATTCAGGTTACGACAAAACCAATCACAAGCTATGCAAAGACATAGATATCCGGGGACACCATATCCATACAAAGACCTTTCTTTTTCAGTGCTGGTATTATTTTATGTTTATGTCGACGGAGCCAAGACGGCTCTTCATGGTCAAGATATCACTAGACTTGTGTGTACTTTTCTTTCAGACAAGGTCCTTTTTGGGAGACTACTTTTTTCTTTCTTTGCTTCCACCGCAACTTTTCTCGTCGATTTCCCGCCATTAAATCTATAGGTGAGGACCAGAAGAGAGTCATGCCGAGGCGCCGCTGATGAAGAACCACTTGTCGATGGAGGCATCAATCTTGGCAGGAGCCAGCTCCTCGTTGGCCGGCAGGGGAGGCAGCTGGTCGGGGTTGACACGGCTGGGCGAGTGGGCCACAGTCAGGTTGGTGCTGTAATCATGTTAGCCGCGCGAGGTCGTTTGAGACGGGATGTTCGCTGTTGTACTTACGTCGAGATGCTGCCAGGCTGGGTCTTGCCAGTGATGAGCCTCTCCCAGGCCTCAGCACACTCGCGGATGACGTCCATGGCGTACCTAGCGTTCCGCGTTAGCATCGCACCTCCCCAGACAGATTTGTATGGCCACGTACTTCTTGTTCTTGCACTCGCCAGTGAAAGCGAACTGGTTCTCGGGCTTTCCATCCGGGATCTTGTAGATACGGAACCACTCGTTGGTGGCGCGCAGCAGACCGGGCAGGTGGCGCTCGACATCCTCAACGTCGTTGAGCTTGGGGGCCAGGGGGTCGTTCACGTCAATGACAATGACCTTCCAGTCGGTCTCCTCCTCGTCAAGGAGAGCCATGACGCCGAGGACCTTGACCTGCTTGACCTGGCCGGTGTAGCCGACGAGCTCACCAATCTCGCAGACATCGAGCGGGTCGTTGTCGCCCTTGGCCTTGGTCTCGGGGTGGATGGCGTTGGGGTCCTCCCAGGTCTGTCGCGGGGTGTCAATGGCTTGGGGTTCATGTGGTTATCGGGGATCGGCATCGCATACCTGAGGGAAGGCACCGTAGTTCCACAGGTAGCCCTTGTGGGGGAAGCAGTTGCGGACGTAGCGGAGCTTGCCCTTCTTGATGTCCTGCTTGATGGGGTTGAGGAGCTCATCCTTGGAGATCTGGTAGACGGCATGTCTCGGTTAGCTTGGGTTTCAATGGATCGAGTTTGGGTACCAAAAATTCTTGGAGCGAGACGGGGGGGGAAAAAAAGCCTCGCTGATCTGTAAAACCGCCACGCTGTAACATTGCGGGGGCAAGATGACGCCGCAACGCTCAGACAGACAGTCCAATGGCTCATTGACTCATTGCACCTTGTCATGATGGCTCGGGAGAACGATTGGGCTCGAGGCAAAAAGGACAATGGAAGGACTTGGGACTGACCTCGAGCTTGGCGTTGGTCCAGCGGGGGATCTCGACGACCATGTTCAGGATGGTCTGCTCCTGGTTGGCGTAGAGGGGGATGTCGTGGAAGGGAGAGACGGGGACGCCATCCTTCTCGATGTAGACGCGGTGCTCGAGGGTGTTGGGCGCAGCGACCTTGCGCACCTTGTAGGCGGAGGAGGCCATCGTGTCCTTTGACTTTTCGAGCGACGGGATGTACTCGGAGGCTGGAGCGGCTGGAGGGGAAGACGACGGGGAGAGAGAAGAGCTCGACTGGGAAAAGTGACGAGCTATCTGAGCAGTGCGCTGGAGTGATGAGACAGACTTCCTTTGCGAAGAGATGTTTGTCAATAGGGACGAGGAAGAGATTGAAGCGGGTGGAAAGGCAGAGGCCCTGCTGGCGGTGGCACTATTTGCGCCGGCGGTGTCGACGTTTCTCTTAGTAGCTTCGGAAGAAAAAGGAGGGGGAGGGGCAATTGCTGTTATCGCTGCACCCACTGTGGTGGGTTGCTGCCCAGACCCAGACCCAGGCCCAGGCCGCCTCGCCATGGTCCCTGTAGTCCCTATCTGCTTCTGGGGCTCCAGCTGTTTCTGCTGCTGTGGCGCCAGGGTGACGACACCCCCAAAGCCGCTTGCGTGATTGGCGACCCGCCCGCGCCAGTTGTGCACCGATCGCCGCTGCAGCTGGCAGTGGTCCAACGGCACTTGGAGAACCGCCCTCTGCCTCTGGTGTGTTCGTGCCGGGGCCAGCAGTTTTGGTAAGTGGAGGCGTGCTCGCTGTGCTGTCTGCGGTAGCGGCAACAGCATTGTACTGGGGGGAGGGAGGGAAAGGGGGAGAGAGGAAGCCAGCAGCCGGTTGTCCGGGACTCAGCGGCCCTTTTAGGCGTCCCAGCCTCGTGGCTCGTCGCTGAACCTTGGCTATTCGGCCCACCACTACGGAAGGCGCTGTGCTTGAGCCTAGGAACTTTGCTGCACGCCGCTGGCAGAAGCAAGATGGTCGCAACCCCTTTTCCCGAGAGATTCTCGGATTCACAGCGTGGTGCTGCAGAACTTCCTGGCGTGCACAGAATATTGTGTCGGTCAACGGCTGGCCTTGATCACAAGCGACGGGTTAGTTCCCAGGGGCGCATTGGTCTTTCGGCGTGCAGCTTGCTTGTCCTGATTGATTGATGCGGGTAGTTCGTCGGCAGACCGCTCGGCAGAGGATCGGCTCTCGTTTTCACACGGCGGAGTGGAAAAACAGAGTGTGAATGCGCACAGCGCGATGTCTAACGGGAAGAAGCGGATTGGGTGTGGCCTGCCTGGGGCCGCTGCAGGTATCCCAGGCGGGCCCATGCTTTACCGCATCTGGCGCTGGGTGGTGATCCCCGGTAACGGTAACAAGCCTCCTTGGCCCCGGGTACCTTGGGAATAGGATTCATCCAGTCCGTGTTTGTACTTCAGGTAGGTGCCCTTCGCTTACACACGACAATTTCCAGATCAGGTAATGCTGCCATCAGAGCAATAACTAGTAGGTCTGATGTACGGAGTAAAGTAGATCAATATAAAGTCGCTAATTACCTACTGTCTTGTTCCTCTTCCCGCTCAAGGGTATCTACTACTGACCGACGAACGAGACTGTGCACCACAAACTACCAACCATAACAGAAACGACGAAAGAAAGAAAACAAGCCATCCCAGCGAATCGAAACCAATCTAGATTAATGTGTGTGCGTGCGTGTGTGCCCTCGTTGGGAACATCGTCATCTCAAGAACCCATAAACAGCCATCATCAATCATCATTCATCGCTCCAGGCTCCCCCCATCCTCTCCCACCCTCACCGTCTCGGCATCCCCCCCTTGGCATACAACGCGCCCCCAAACGGCGCAGGCGACCCACTCCCGCCGGCGCCCCCGCCGGCCCTCCCCTGCGTGACGCTCTGCCTCACAATCATCGCCGCGGCAGCGTGCGCCGCCATCCTCTCCTTCTGCCGGTGCCGCTCGCGCAGGTACCCCGCGGCCTCGGGCCGCATGCGCAGGATCCGCAGGATCATGTCGTCCGAGGGGTCCGCCTGCGCCTCGCGCCGCTTCTCCTCCTTGGCCTTGCGCATCGTGCCCAGGTTGCGGCTCATCATGATGCTCTTGCCCCGGCGGATCGTGCCCATGCTCGCGAACGCCGCGGCGCCCAGCCCGCCCGCGGCGCCGCCGAGCGCCGCCGGCGCCGACAGGAGGCGCTGGTGGCCCTGCGCCGAGATGTTGTTCGCCGCCTGGAGCTGCTGCTGCGCGCGCTGCGCCGTCGCCGCCGCCATGCGCTCCGACGTGCGGATCAGGTTGTCCGTGCTGTCAAAGTAGAAGAAGTTGAGCGACGCCAGCTCGTGCCACTTAGGCGACTTGAGCACGTCGGCCGGCACGCCCAGCACCTCGCCGCTGCTGTCGTCCTTGGCGTTGAAGAACTCGAACAGCAGCTGCAGCCAGCGGTACACGACGTCCATCTCCGACTGCGTCAGCGGCTTCTGCGTCGACGGCTTCTCCGACAGCGGCGGCACGAGCAGGTTCTCGATCGCCATGAGCACCTCCTTCCAGAGGCGCGTCATGACGGCCAGCATCGTCGCGTCCGTGAGCGTCTGCTTCATGATGGCGAAGTTCTCGTCAAAGTAGGTGAACAGCGACTGGAGCGCGTTCTCAATGTCCGCTTGCGTGATGGCCGGGGCCTTGGACGTCCGCTTCTGCCACAGCGCCGCCATGGAGCCCGCGATGCCTCGGCTCAGCAAGTTTCGCAGCGCCTCGTGGGACAGAGAAGCGTTGATGTGAGTGACCAACTAAACCAATCATCCAGTATCAGTAACCGCAAGCTTTTTGAAGGCAAAAGAGCAGAAACACGAACCTTATCAGTGACCTTCCGGACCATGTCCCTCTCGGTCCTCTTCAGATGCCTAAAGGCCTTGCCAAAGTGGAATTGTATGTCATCACGCTCCCCCTCCATGCTCACACGAAGCAGCAACCTGCCCTGCGTATCGAGATCCAGCCAGAACTCGCGAGGTAGGTAGTCACTGAAGTGGATAGGGTCCAGCTTGAGCGAGGTGCGGCCCACAAAGTCGTGATCGCCAAAGGTATCATAATCCCAGATCGTGGCGATGATGTTCAGCGGGCCGGTCACGGTGATGTCAACGGACTCGTCCCACCGCGGGTTCAGGTTCCTCATGATGATGCGCGTCTTGGCCAGACGCTTCTGGTACTCATCCACCAGCACGACATAGGGGTCACTAAAGCCATTCGGGTCGCAGGCCTTCAGGTCCTCGGCCTCTACGATCTTGATGGTGAAGACGTATTTAGCGTTCCGCCGGTCGATGGGCTTGGGAGGTCCATCGACCTGGCGGATCACGTCAGCACAGCCATCGACATTGACTGTCTTTTCGAGCTTGTCGAGAGCCTGCATGGCATATTCGATGTTGTTGAGTTTGACAAATGACTACAGTGTGTGTACTATAGTCAGCATTGCGACATTACTGAAAGAGGGTCGGTCCATAAGGCACTACAACATACCTCTGGCAAGAACTGGTAAGGCTCAACCTTTTCCTTGGTGCTCAACGCATCCTTGGCATACTGCATGAACCGTTCCTGGGTGGTCTTGCTCGCCGAAGCCAGCTCCTGCGCCGACGGCCTGTCCATCTCTCTTGCAAATTGCTGCTCGACGATCTCGCAGTACCGGCCGATGCCTGAAGCAAAGGCCTTGGAGAGCGCGGTCATGAATCTCGCGTGGTGGACCTCGTCGTTCCACTCCAGCTGGTATACCTGGTCCACCGTCTGGTTGAACAGCTGGAACATGTCGATGATGGAGACGCTGTGCCGCTCTGCATCCAGCGGTATCCCCTCCGGGCTATTTGCACGGACTTGAAAGTTATCCTGCTTGATAGCCTCGTCGACAAAGTCCCGCATCCGGGTTTCTGCCCCCCTGATCCACCGCCACACGAACTCGTCCAGCACATTCTCGATGTGGAAGGCGAACGGCTTCTGGGGCAGGGCTGCCACGTGGAGTTTGCGTATCTCGACCAGCTCCTTGTACAGATCGAACCCATCCTGAAGGTTGACCTCTAATCCGCGGTCCTTAGCCACTTCAATGACACGCTGGATGATGGCGTGCGCATCCTCCTCAAAGTTGGGGAAGATGCTGGTCGCGAGAACCTTGAAGGGGCTGACGCCCATGATCTCGGGGTTCTTCCTATATCTCTTCCTGATCCTCTCGCAGAGGCCGACGACAGCTTTGCCAAGCTTGACGACGTGGCTAAAGTCCCACTCTTCCTGACTCTGCGGGATGTGAGAGTCCAAAAACTCTCGGTACACAGCAGCAGCCTTCTCGATGAGAGCATTACGTAGATGCTCCGTCACCTGCTCGGTGTCGCCCGGGCGGGGTGAGAATGCCTCATCACTGCGAATGTGATTCATGATGAACATCAGTACAGGTCCGACCGACGGGGCCTTTGGCTCGAAACACCTCGAAGCCACTTCGAGCAGGTCTCTTAACAATGCTTGGTGCAGGTTGCTAAGTATCTGCTGAAACGCCGCAAAGTCTTGCATCGTCCACCTGGATCTGGGAATTTGATCCAGAGGGAGGCCATAGTGCTGGATGAAAGGCGGTTTCTTTGGTTCCGGGATGGGGACTTCCTTGATGACATCAAATATGCCATAGAGCTCCTCTACCGTGAGCTCCTGGTCGAGAAACTTTTGCGCTGCAACCTCTGCCATCGACACATCTCGCGTGAACTGGGGCAGGCGCCAATACACGGCCAGCTGGACCAACAGCTCTGTAGATTGCCTAGACAGTGGTTCTCCCGGGGCAGGCTCGTCGGGGTGCAGCTGGTCATAAGACATGGCGTGCTTGAGCACGAACTTGTAGAAAGCGCGTGGGTCAGGGGGGATGAACGTGTAGCTAGCCTCGTCGACGCTGGCATTTTCGTCTATCGACAGGGAGCTCATGCTAAGAGAGGGATCGAATTGCACGTCCGGGTTTGTCACCATCTTGCTCAAGTCGCTGTAGGCCTGGTCCTCGCTATACATCGACTGGGGGCGCAGCGGCAGAGGTTTCTCGAAATTGCCCGTCGACATCCTCGCCAGCTCGGGCTTGACACTCAGGATCTCAAGCATCATCTGCGACAGATACGGGCCCTCGGCCTTCTTCCACTCGTCAAACGCCTCGTCGACGTCAAAGTCCTGTCGTCTCAATGCCCCTGCCATATTAGAGTTGAGCCGGTGCTGGTACGCCTTGAGGTCCTTGAGGGCAGCCTCTTCGGTCCATTCCGCGATGTTCGGCTCGAGATCCGCCTGCGCCTGCGAAAGCGTCCGTCCGAAGATCTTTGCCACGATCTGAACCATGTGCATGTCCTTGACTTCGTAGCTCAGGGGTATCTCGACCTCGATCGTCTTGTGCTCCCCGTCCTGGCCAGTGTCGATGTAGAGGTCCTGGTCGTTTGTCAGGAGCTTCTTCTCCAGGGTATTCAGCCTCGCCAGCAGCTCCGCGCGCCCGTCGCCGCCGTGGTCGCGAATAATATTCGTGACGAGCCGCACAAACAGCGCCAGGTGCCTGTCGACCATGGGCTTCCATGAGTGGTCATCGTGCGCCTTGCCCCTCCCCAGCGCCTTGGTCGCGGAGGTGTAGAAGATGAGGATGAGCGGCTCGATCTTGCGGTCCTTGTCGATCGCCTTCCGGAAGTCGCCCGCGGTAAATGCCGTGTATGCCTCTCCAAACGTCCGCTTCACGGCGGGGTCGTTGTATCCGGGCAGCCTCTCGATGCCCCTGACGACGCCCTCCATGCGCTTCTCCAGAGCAGTCCGGAAGCTGTGCGGCAGCTTGAGGTTGGTCGAGCTGGAGCCGGTGGGCATAAAGTCCTTCATGAGGTCGCCGATGCCGGTGTGCGCGCGCTGCGGCTGCTTGGGCACGGCGACGTACTCCTTCCGCTTCTTCTTGGGCTGCAAGAGGTAGTGGAGGAAGGCGACGCGGAGGGCAAAGGTGTAGCCATCTTCGAAGGGCACCGAGATCTGGGAGGACCGCGAACCGGCGCGGGCCCTGCGCTCCGCGTTCTGGAGACTGGCGACACGCCTGTTGGGCGCCCACGACTGTCTCGACGTTGTCGACATGGTGTCGTGTTGCAGCCCAGAGGCCAGAGGGGGCCAAAGTGGGGGTTTTGGCACCAGGCTCGCTCGGCGGGCAAGCTATGTCAATGTTGTCTCAGCGCGCAAGCTCATAGCTTGGAGAGAGTGCGAAGTCTTGGGCGCAATTTGGGGCTCCCGGAATACGGTATCGTCAGATCGTTGGTTTTTCGTTGCGTCGTAAAGGTGGAGAGGGCAGGGTCACAAGGGAGTGAGTGGTGGAAGGATTGCGGTCCAAGTACCGACCGCTCTGCTGCGGGTGGTGCGCCGAGCTGGTGGTGATCAACGTCATATGAGCCACCACAGACCCCCAAACATTGCCTATAGTGGCTGTCACCCAGCGAAGGGTGGCCACTTGGTGGTACGCTCTGCTTCTCCCTTACGGCTAGTGACATCGATTGCTTAGGCGGCATCCCTAGCGCACGGTTCTATTGTTAGTTGTTTCAAACCCCCCTGGAAACACAGACCGATCATCCATTGGACGCCGCACGACTGGTACTTTGGCGGTTAGACATCTCCAACCTCACCCTGCATCTAGGACAGCCAACCTGAAAACGCATGCAGCCTAATAATAGCTTCAGTATGTAAAATACCATTCTGTTCTCAAGAACTGCTTTAGCAGTGTTTCTATCGTGCGCAGATCTAGGTGAGCTTGGGTCACTCTTGCATCTCGATACAAGTAGCTACTGTAGCACAGCAGGTCTAAGACCAACCACGAAGCGGACGCCGTAATCGGATGGTCCATGGCAAATCACGACGTACGGCAAGGATGAGCTGGCTATCCATGTGCATAGGAATGGTCTTGTATAGCAACTGTAGCGAGTTGACTTGTGTAATACAACCTTGATGTAATTGACAGTAATAAACGAGATTTGAAACAAGCTGGCTAAACTCCGTCGTCATAAGCAAGCCCTTCACCTCATAGTGAATCCCATCGTTCAGAGAGAGAAACCATACCGAATCCTTAACAAAACGCCATGCAATGCTCGCTCTCGTCAAGGCCAAATGCCTGGGTGAAGAAAAAGCTCAAATCATACACACACGCTAAAGCAACAGTTACTGTGAGTTCTGGAAATGTTTCATGAACTGGATGGCCTGCTCCATGGGATACCCAATGAAGACTGGCCCATTAAAGACCATTTGCGGTGGGTTGGTGCTCTCCCGCTTGATGGCATCGGGGCCGAGAAAGGTCGGTCGCGGGGCTCCTCCTGGCTGGTACGTCTGGTTCGTGGGCGCGAAGGATTGTTCGAGCCCTTGGCCTGTGGGCTTAGTGCTCGGGGGAGCCTCCTCGACCTTGGGTAGAGGCGAGGGAGCCATGCCCATGCCTCGAGCGAACTTTGTGTGATCAAATGGACATTTCGACGGCCTGCCAGTAGCTGGCTTGGGCGTCTCTGCGGCGACAGGGCTGGGCATCTGCACAGGTACAGGCGGCGGGGAGACGGGGATCTCTTCAGCTTGAGGGGCCAGGACCGGTTCATCGTAGATGGGAACAGAGATACCCCACGGTCGACTGGGAGACTCTCCAACCCTGACTTCCTTCAAGGGTCGATCAAAGTGGCTCTCGCGAGTCGACTCCGGCTCATCCTCTTCCATATTGCGGGCCTCCGGGGGAGTCTCTGGGTCTTCAGGCGGGTTGGTGCTAACTCCCTGAGCCCAATTCTCGACTCTTTCAAGAGACGCACGGCCACCGTCTCCATGCTGCGCTGGATCTGCGCCTTCGGGAAGTAGTGGTTTGTGCAGCTGGCTGAGGTCCTGGATCATGTTCACAATGTTGCCATATTTGGCATCCAGTTTCCTGATCTGGGCCTCGTTCTTCTGATACCGCTGGATACAGACCTCATGACTGCGGGGGATCTGATGTTTGTGGTTCTCGACATAGGTGGCTATCTCCTCTGGAGAATGCTTGTCCATGTAGCGGATGGGGCACTTGGAGGCCGAAGCGGGCTGGGGCTGAGAAGTTGCTTCCTCAAACATGGCAGCACAGATCGGGTCCCCAGACTTGTGAGGGGTGGGATCGGCTCCATGGGAGTGACCCGCGGCGTTTGGCCCCGACTCGTCCTGCTCCTTGATGACAGAGAAAGGGCACTGCAGGTTGCCTTTCTTGCCCTCTACCGTAAAGTCCTGCTCCATCATGGTCGTGATAGAGGTCGCGGTGAGGCGCGATGAGGTTTCTTTGCTCGAGCTATCCTTGTTGCTGGCATCGGCGAGGGTCATGAGCTGCTGGGCTGCCCGTCGGCCTTCTCTGATGAAGAGGGCAATCTGATGCTGGCTGTTCTCGGCCTGGCCGCGCTTGGGCAAGGGGATTGTGTTCGCGTTGATCAAGACCGGGTGGTGGAGCTCAGGCGGGAGTTGCAGCTGAGCCAGGGTCTCCGAGATTTCGGGAGCGGTCGGTGCATACTTGTCGGCAAGAATTTGGTACTGGTTTGCGTGCCTTGTTAGCCAGGCCACAGCTGGGAAAGCAACGGACAGCAGAAATGAAACAACAAAAGGATAGCAAGCCGTGATTGTCAGAGGTTAAGATATGTCGTCTATCAATGCCGCGATTGCAGCTCCAGATCTAGAGCTAAGTAATCTACTCATCATGCTATGGCCGGCGGGGTGTGGTGAGATCGGAAGGAGAGGCAGAAACAGAACCGTAGAGAAGCGCCATCAAACCGATGTCTACATACCTGCTCGTGGGCAAAGCGCAGCTTGTGTTCGAGGATGGTCTTGCGGTCGATCAGGCTCTGCACCTCGTCGGCGAGAGCGCTGAATGACTCGGCCAGAGTCTGTGCGAGGTCTTGTTGGCTCATCCCATTTGATTATGGGCAGAGAGGCGGGTTACATCTCAGCGAGGGCGACCTTGAGGCTGGTCCTTCGGGATCGGCGATGATGGCCGGCGATGGGTGATGCAGAACGCAAGTGAGGATGGGAAGACTGGAAGGATTGGTGAAGAAATGGACGCAGGTGATTCTTTTGGGAAGGGAAGGGCTAGCTAGTAGTGGGTGGGTCCAGTGCTCCTCTCAATTCCTGCGCCGATGTTCATCCGAGCGCCGAGCAATGTCGGACCCGATCTTGAAAGACGGTCGAACTGAAAGGGCATCAGGACTTTGGGAATCCGATGAGAAAGCCATGTCAGCGGTGAATTTGGCAATGCTCGTGGGAATTCACCATAAAAAGCCCCAGCTTGCTAGAGGAGCGTCGTGGCAATGGCGCCCCGCCTGAGAACGCAAAGAATGTCACTCTTAAGCCGAGTTTCGACAGCTCAATCGGGAGCACTGCCGTTGCTTTCTGGTCTCCATCATACTCTAGCTTGTTAGCGTCTCGAGCTGCGCCTGTCGCTACGGATTCAATCCATCGCCGTCGCCAACCGCCCGTGAGCGGTGGACCGGGACCCTTCCCGGTCTCGATTGAACCCCGCCTCGTCCGGGGTGAGCAAGAGCTCAACTTCCCTCTGAGACTCCGTCTACCTCCATCGAGACTTCTAGCTTCTGTATGGATGCTTTCTGTTTCTGTTCAGCAAAGAGTCCAAGAATGGTCAGGGACTCCGTGTCAGTCTAAGCCAGGAACCAAGATCGCCGGTACAGCTCACCCAGGTATGGAACCTTCTTCCAAACCAAAAGTTGTCATGCGCCGGAACTCCGTGTTAGTTGCGAGAAGCTGTCCGGTGCCGGCGGCCAAGGACGGTGGAACAGGAACGAGATGTGCATTAAAACTCGCATGATTCCAAGCACGGTTGTTTCTGTTCATTCCAGGCTGACCGCCCAAAGACATCACATAACCGCTCAAAATGACAACGGCACGCATGACCAGCAGCCGGGTGCACCAGCTCCCAGGTCTGTTCCCACCCCCTTCGACCACAGGTAGACCAACCCTGCACTCACTAACACTCGCCATAATAAGGCAAACTCCTCGTCGCGGAGCTCTTCTTCGAAGTGCCCCTCGACTACGCCGACCCGACCGGCCCCAAGATCCAGCTCTTCGCCCGCGCCGCCACCCGCTACGAGCGGCCCATCGTCCCGGCCTACGCGGGCACCCCCGCCGAGGCCGGCTTCGCCAGGGTCTTCGACGGCAAGCGGCCCTGGCTGGCCTACCTCGAGGGCGGGCCGGGCGTCGGCCACCGCGAGCCGCAGGACCACCCGCTGACGAACCCGCTCCTGGACCGCGGCTACGACGTCCTCTATCTCGACTACCGCGGCACGGGCATGTCGACGCCCATCAGCGCCGCCAGCCTGCGCCGCGTCGCCGCCGCGGCCCAGGCCCAGGCCGACTACGTCAAGCACTTCCGCGCCGACAACAACGTGCGCGACTGCGAGGCCGTCCGCCGCTGCCTGACCGCCGACCTGGCGGCGCCCAGGGGCGACGGCGACGGCGAGGACCGCAGGAAGTGGTCCACCTTCGGCCAGTCCTACGGCGGCTTCGTCACGCTGACCTACCTGTCCCTCGCGCCCGAGGGCCTGCGCGAGTGCTTCATGACCGGCGGGCTCGCCCCGCTCGGCAGGACGGCCGAGCAGGTCTACGCCCAGACCTACGGGCGCGTCGACGAGCGCAACGCGGCCTACTTCTCCAAGTACCCGGAGGACGTCGACACCCTGAGCAGGCTGTCGTCGCACATCCTGCGCGAGCACGGCGGGGCCATCCCCCTGCCCGCGGGCGGCCGGCTCACGGTCCGGCGCCTCTTCACGCTGGGCCAGACCTTCGGCGCCCACGGCGGCCTCGACGCCGTGCACGCCCTGCTGCTGCGCATGCGTGCCGACCTCGACCAGCACGGCCTCATCGCCCGGCCCGCGCTGTCCGCCTTCGAGCGCTTCCTCGCCTACGACGACTGCCCCTTCTACGCCTTCATGCAGGAGGTCATCTACTGCTACGGCCCCGGCGTGTCCTCCGACTGGGCCGCCGACCGCGTCGGCCGCACCCTCGACCGCTACCGCTGGCTCTCGGACCCGGCGGCGGCGGCGGACCCGGCGCAGTACCCGCTGCACTTCGCCGGCGAGATGATGTACCCCTTCATGTTCGACGACTACCCGGAGCTGCGCGAGCTGCGCGAGGTGGCCGACATCCTCGCCCGGCACGACGGCTGGCCCCGGCTGTACGACGAGGCGCGGCTCGCGCGCAACGAGGTGCCCGTGTACGCCGCCAGCTTCGACGACATGTACGTCGACATGGAGTTTGCGCGCGAGGTCGCCCGCAAGGTGAAGGGCATCCGCGTGCTCGAGACCAACGTCATGTACCACAACGCGCTGCGGTCCAAGACCGACGAGCTGCTGGCGCAGATCTTCAAGCTGCGTGACGACGTGATTGATTAGCATTGCTGGCCCATGGTCGGTACATTGAGAGGCTTATGAGTGAATCTCTCGGGTCCAGGCTGAGGAACACGTTTGTAAAGCTCGACGCGGAAAAGGAGAAGGAGAAGGGGCACTCATTGGGAATCATGTTTAGACAGGAGTGCCTGATTAGAATAATGAGTCAAATACCTTCGCCCGTTCATTGTTGGCAGCGCGCCCGCATATCGCTACGTAGCTATAGCTATGTAATGCTGTTAAGCTGATCTGAACCCTAATGAAGAAATCATTCCATGCACTCCTGGTTTCATAAAGGAGCCGCTCCGTTCAGACGCCGCCCTCGTGTCCATGACGACAAGAAAGTGAACCGTTGCAGTCCCTCCCTCGAGGACCAGTCCTTCCCGCCCCCCGGCCCATCCGACCATAAGCTCAATCAAATCCACTCTCAGTTCCCGGCGCCGCGAAGGCCTCAATCACGCCCCCCAGGCCAACCTGAAGCCAACCAACTCCCCATGCTACTCCCTCGGCCCCGCACCCACAAGCCGCGAAGCAGCCGCTCGGCCCTGCGCCGATCCTAGAACCGCGCCCCCCTGAGGTTATGGCGCGTCTGTACGCCGTACGCATCCCACATAGTGCCATGCAGGTGGGCGTGGTGCGGCAGGGGCTGCTGCCAGGCGGCTCCCATCGGCGGCGGCATCGGCCGGTGCATGCTGGGCAGCGTCCGGCCGCTCGGCTCGTCCTCGCGCCGCGCCGCCATCTCGCGCAGCATCAGCGCCGCCACGTCCGGGTTCGCCATCAGGAACTCGTTGGTCTCCTCCGCGAAGCGGCTCCAGAGGAGCGACTGCAGGAAGCCGGCCCGCGCGAGCACCATCCGCGACAGGCAGTCCGCCTCGCCCACGTTGTGGACCAGCCGGGCGCACGACTGCAGGACCCGCGGCTGCGCGGCGTCCGAGCCCGCCGTCTCGAGCATGTCGATCGTCCGCCGCGACACCTCGGCCTTGAACTCCTCCATCAGGTACGTGTCGGCGCAGATGTACACCTCGATGCAGAGTTCGTAGGCGAGCAGCCAGGTCTGCAGGTCCTCGCCCTTGATGCGACCGCCGCCGTACGGGTCGGGCGGCTCCACGGGTCCAGGGCCATTATTACCGCCGCCGCCGATACCGCGGGCTCCGTTGGCGGCTCGCTGCTCCTGCGCACCTTGACGATTTCGTCTAGGCAGAGCACGCCAGTTGTCCGCAGGTCTATACCCAGGCGAAACCACACTGGGCGGCGCTCGCCCAGCACCGCAAGCCCAGCAAGGGGGGCCGCCGCTGATAATGCACTGTTGGCAATTACACTCAGGCCGGTGTTGACCTGGGTGCTTTTCGCGCAAGCGCTCGATCTGGCGTTCTGCTCTCCGCCGCCTTCGCTCCCTACGCTGCTGGGAGCGTGCACTAGTATCGCTTCCCAAGCTCGTAGCAGAGTCTTCGTCTGACGCTTGCTCTTCGAGGCCCGTGTCCCTGCCTTTGCCTTTATCGTTGTCGGGGACTAGGTTAGTAGGCAGTGTCAGCCTTCAACTCCGGACTGTCCTCGAACTCAGTCTATGAACATACCAAGGGCACTGGCAATGGGTTGGAGGGGGTCAAATTGTCCCTCGTACAGAAATGCCACTAAGAAGTGAAAAATTGCTGGGTCCTGCTTGGGGAGGTCCAAGGCTTGATCAGCACTCTCCTTGAAGTTGCCAGACAATGCTGCTTTGAACCAGTCATGTGCCACCAATATGTCTCGGTGCACCTGTATGCAGCAGTATGGTCAGCGGCCATCGCACGATTCGTAAAAGACGCTTCTCAGGGGCTCAAGCGAGACTCACGTAGAAGGTCTGAATATCAGGAAGCTCCCCGACGCGTATGGGGATAATTGGCGAAGTATAGCGACTACAAGTCGTGTTTGGTTAGCCATGAGATCGTACTGCAAAAGATACAACAAACTCCTTTGTCATTGCCGTGCGTAGACTGATATGTGACAGAGTCGTCCTTCGGCCAACACCCGTACTGCTCAAGGACTCTTTGACAGGAGAAAAGAATGCGTAGTGGCTGTAGTTTCATCCCGGTGCGCTGGGCATCCAGTATCACCTACATTGGTAGGACTACTACTGCTAACAAAGGATTTAAACACTTACTCGTCAGCTGTAGAAAGCCACAGGTCTTCCTTGGGGTTCAGGGCCGGCTTTTGCTCCACAAGCGAGGGCATCTGCCTGAGCACGACCGGAGACGGCGGCCTGGTGGAAGGTCTTCGCATGATCTCGACTAGAGACTGCAGCCGTGGCCCGTCAACAGAATGCTGAACGCCGACAGACCGGCTGCTGCCTTCTCCATTGCCCGTGGTCCTTGCGGTAGAGGGTCCAGGATCAGTGTTGCCACTGCCCGTGCCGCCGCCACTGCCGCCACCTCGGCCAGCAATCAATGCGTCCGTCATCTCAGAGGAGCGAATAGTTCAAGTAGAAACAAGGAGTGAACAGAGAGTGAGAATGTGCTGGTTCTGTGCTTTGCGCTGCATCAAGGTAATGTCAGGCTCGGGGTAGATGCAAAGTGTACTTCGGTCTGCAAGTGTCCCGATCCAGTAAGTGCGCTCAGGTGTCTGTGAGGCCAATACGTCAAAACGCGTCGGTTCCCTGTAAGTGCCGCAAGAAAGGAGGAGACAAGATACTTAATAGAGAAATTGGGTACTTGGAAGTAAGAGTGAGGTGATAAGGTCAAGTATTGATCGCTGCTCCACCCCCGGACGGGCAGACGAGGATGAATGGAGGCTGAACCAAGAAGAAAGAGATGTTGGTCCTTCTTTTCTTTTCCCCCCGGTCAGTCCCAACCAGAAAGAAGAGGCAGCCGCCCAGCTACATACGGAGTAGGTGAGTTGACTGGGTCGTCAAACTTGGGTGCTGTGCTTGCGGCGTGGTTGGGTGGTTGAACCAAGGCAAGCAGGCAGCCACACCTCCGGCTTGGACCCGACGAATGACAAGCTGCGCAGTTGGAGAGGAGCACTGCTAGAGGATGGTGCGGCAGATGCAAGTCCTGAATGGTGCAGCAGAAGGTCTGGTGGTGACAGGTATCTTCCCTTTCCCTCATCCCCCATTTGCCTTGGGGAGGGTCGACGCTTTTTCGGTTGGCCAAGTCACGTTGGTTCAATCTCGACGGAAAAGTGAAGTTTCACCTCGGATCAGACGATTTGCCCCCTCTCTCACTTACTGCTGGATCTCTTTTTTACTGCATTTCTGGTAGAGAAGAAAATTTCCGGTATGTGTAGGTAAAATAGTGGGATACTCCTCCTTGTATTCAAAAGAAGAGAACATAAAGCTGAGGTCGATGGTCCTGCACTTCCGCTTCCTGAAACTTCGACAAGTGCGACGCTGTACGCAGACCTTTCCGCGGGGTTCGGCTCGGAGCGAGAGTTTGGAATACCAGGTTTTGACCGGAGCTGAATGCTGTACGTGAACAAGGTGTTGCACCGGAAGCCCTGTAAGACAAGAAATCTGGTACGATCATAACCGTCGTCGTTTGACGATGGAGATAGCACGCCAGCTGTCAGTACAACAGCGGCTATCGGGTGCTCCCTGCTCCCTGCTCCATGAACCATATTGCCATGAAATTGTTTCTACCTACCTAGATACCATGCAGGTAGGCTGTAGTAATATCTTTGTGTCTGGTCAGCCCATATTCTCCCCTAGGCGCTGCAATTCATTTGCCTGCACCATATGGCCGTCATTGCCAGGCCTCATGAACCGGCGACTTCAGGGGCGGGCAGACGGAGAAGAAAAAGGCAGTCCAGTCTCTACGGATGGCATTCGTCGTACCAGTCCGACCAACACCCCTAGTCTGTCTGGTTGGTTCGCCAGGTTACATGCCTTCGGAAGGCACAGCAACCTGTCCACACCACTGAGCCACAGTCGACCAACAACCGCCGAGGCCAAAATAGCCAGACCAGATCCAGGTCTGACGTGCATGTCCACTGTCCCTGCGTTTGGGTGCGACTTGTTTTGCAGCCCACCTGATCTTGCTAGGTGTCTCAAGACGTACCGTACCGTCCTCATGTCCGCTCTGGTCCATGGTAGAGGGTTCTTCTCATATCTTTTCCACCATCTCCGGGACAACCAAAAGGCATACTTTCCGGAGATATGTCATTAAAAGCGCACGATCAAACCGCCGGCCGGGGCCCAAGACCAATGTGTTCATTTTTATGGTAAGCTACTTGACTACCCTTCACTAGGTAGGATATCCTCATTATTCGTACGGTATTTCCCTCGACCATCTGGCGGCTCGGCCCGCCAGCGGTAGAAACTGGTGTTTGCGCATGTCCAATATGCCATTTGCTGGAGCGCACCTCACGCTCGTGTTCCCATAATCCAATGATGACTGACGGTGTGGGAAGTTGCACATCGACACAGCCCATGTGAAGCCCGACACCCGCTCATGGCCGCATTGAACCAAAGTACAGACCACTGTACAGGCCAACATGCAAGTATGCGATGCCATTCGACGTGCAAAGCTCAAAGCAGTAGCTCCGGGATGCCGCATGCACACGTGCGTGGCAGTCGCCATGGATTTGCCGGTTCCCGCAAGACGTAATCATCTGCCGGGACAGCAGATTGTCACACCAATGCCACTGCCTCTCGCGTTTCGGATGCTAATGGCGGTGGCCGAGCTGCACGGAAGGTTTGGGTGAAGAGCCAGAAAGTGATTCGCATATACGTCCAATGAAACCGCCGTCAAACCTTCTCGCAAAGCGAGATCAAGCCTAGACCGCGAAGCTAGTATGACTGGCATACTCTTCACCGCTTGCCGCCGTACTGATACCAGGAGTTGACGTTGTACCTTGCGGACACATAAGATTTCCGCCACAATATGGAATGGCGGCTGTCTCTCTATCTCCTGACCGCCTTGACAGGCACCCATCTTGCACAGATCTCCCATACATCTGGTGTGGCTTGAAACCCTGCATGCAAGTCACTCCTCCTCGATCTCGAGTTGCATCTCGATCTGCCAAAGCCTGTTTGCCGAGTCGGTGATGACCTGGGCCTTGGCGAGCAGCTTCTCCGCATACTTGGTCTCGTCCTTTGACTGCAGCCGTAGTTTGTTGGGCTGCGCCTGCATCAGGATCGGCACGAGCTCCTGGGGGTCCGCGTTGGCCACCGCCGCGACCGTCTTGAAGCCATTGTCCCAGAAGACACGCGCAGTCCGGCTCTTGATGAACGTGATCTTGGCCAGCGCCAGTAGATCGTCCTTGGCGCCGGCCTTCAGGCGGTCCGAGAAATGGTCGAGGGTGGCCGCCATGGCGCCCCATCCCATCTGCTGGCAGAACTTGATCATGCCGGCGGCGAAGCCTTGGCAGGTCTGGGCGAGATTCTGCACCGCTCCCCGGGGAACGTCGTACTTCTTTGCGACTCGATGGATCGGCATCTCGTTGCAGAGGTCGCGCAGTTGCAGCGCCAGGTAGAAGCGGCGATAGATGCGAGCGACCTCCTTCTCCTCCGGGGTCGACTCCTTGAAGGTGCCCCCATGTACCATCCTGCTGATCACAGACGGCTTCAGGCCGACGAAACTCAGGACCCGTAGCCCGCTCTCGTCTAGGTTCTCCATCTCGTTCCAGAAGATGCGCCAGTTGATGTTGACCGACGTGTCGTTGACTGGTGTAAAAGTGTAAAGGACGTGGAGCTCTCCGTCCATCACAAAGGCCTTGAGGGCCCTCCGGAGTTCCTTGTGGATGAACACGCCATCTTCTGGATCTAGCGCAGAGGCGACGATGGCATGTCCCAGCTGGGTGGCTTGGAAGGTAGCCGCGTCTTCATCCCTGGTGATGAATCCCAAGCGTTGCAATTCATCGAGACTCTCTGCAATCATGGTTCGAAGCTCGGAGCGGTCTGCTGTCTGGTACAGCAACGTTTTGATGATGTAGTCATTGAGGGACTCGTGGCTTGTTGCCAGCCGGATCGCTATGATCTCCAGGACAGCTCTTTGGATTTTTCGTTGATCGGTCGAGAGGCAGCTCGAGATCTCCGGCAGATCAGAGTGTATGAGCTCGACGACTCCGTCCAGATCTCCTGGACGGCAGCACAGGTATGTCTCGCCCACTTCGTCCTTGCCCTTCCTCCCTGCCCGGCCGCGCATCTGCCGGAGCATGGAAGGGCCGACGAGGTCACGTCCCATGCGGGCGCTGTGGAGGATGACACGTCTTGCAGGGAGGTTGATGCCGGCTGCCAGGCTGCACGTGGCAACACACACCTTTAGGACGCCGGCGTCGTAGGCGTTTGCCACCAGATCTCGCTCCTCGGTGGTCATGCCTGCATGGTGGAAAGCGACGCCGTACGGGATCGTCTTTTCCAAGTTCGCATCTAGCCCGGTGTTCAGGCTACGAAGGTCTCCTAACAGGTCCAGCCTCCTGTCCAGAGTGAGCGGGTCGAGTTCATCCTGGCTGGGCAGCACACGGCTGATCAGCAAGGCGTCGGACTCGCACATAGCCCGGCTGCTGGAGAATACAAGAGCGCCAAAGCCGGCGCGCACTGTTTCGTTGGCAAGCGCGACCACCGCATTGACAACAGATTCTTGGAGTTCCTTGTGATCTGATCGGTCTATCAGCCTCAAAGGATCCGCATCGACTTGAATGGTCGTCTTGTCCTTTGACTGTGTCGATGGGGCCAGTCTGCTCAACTTTCTCGCAGTCGCAGCAGCGTAGATTTTCCCATCATAGGCAAGGTGCTCTTCTATGGGGATAGGCCGGTAGTGCGTCTCGTAGGAGTGCGCGTGGAGCCACCGAGCAAGGAGGTTGATGTTGGTCAGGGTCGCGCTCATGCCGACGATCTGCACGGCTTGATCCAGACAGAGAAGCTTTGTGGCCATGAGCTCAAGGAGATAGCCCCGGTGATCATCGTCAACCATATGCAGCTCGTCGAGGACGACCGTCTTGAGGCTCGAGATCGAACAGTCTTCTATTGCAGTGTTCACTAGCGAGTTGGCCTTCTCTATGGTGCAAACTCCAATGTCAAAGTCTTGCCAGGTCGACCTGATTTTACTGCCGCCGAAGAAGCCCACGACACGGATAGTATCCTCATCTGCCCGTTTGCGCCACAACTTGTTTTCGGACTCGCCACTTTGGCCGTGGATTGCAGCCAGGGAGATACCTTGGACCACGTTGCGAAGCCACCGTACCTTCTCCTGGACGAGGGCAACATAAGGCAGAACGAGCAACGCTTTGGCACCTCTATCAGCAAGAACCCCCTTGAGCATAAGGATGTCGGCGACAAGGGACTTGCCACCTCCGGTTGGAGCACTGTAGACAAGGTTCTTGTCTCCTTGGAGGAGCCCAGGGCCGAGGAGACATTGTTTCTGCCAGGGGTAGATCGTCTTGATACCGAGAGAAGCAAGGTTATGCACAAGAACAGGAGGCAAGCCGTAAAGCCGGTGAGAAAGAGAAAGGAGAGGATCGACGGTGGAGGTTGGCGTCGCACTGATAGCCTGGCGCTGCGTGTAGTCGCCAGGTTCACTCCAGCTAGCACCGTCCACCACCCTGATGGTACTTGCCGTCAGCCTACTAGGTTCTTTTGACAGCGATGAAGCTCGCTCAAAATGAGATGAGGTTCTCAATGATGGGGTAGCGCCGCCAGCTGGCTGTTTCCACGTGCCGTCGCTGGCCCTCTTGAGCCCGGCTAGATTCGCCGTCTGGTAGGTTTGCTGCTGTTCTCTTGCAGCTTCTACAGTCGTCTTATGCCACACCCCATGATGGGTGGCCATGGCTGTAAGGGAGAGCAAGTTGCCAGCCAGGATCTGGATGCGGAGCTCTGCCTTCAAGCGCGAGGTGTGGCGGCACCCAAGGGCTAGCTTGGCAGGCAATTCCGCCGTCAAGAGAAAAGCCCGGTGTGCAGTCAATCATCGGATCGCCACACGCCTGTTGGCCCCCAAGAGGAAGGAAGTCTGCGCGTGACAATGCGATGCTGATGGTGGTGAATGAGAGCTGCAGCAAGCCGGGCTGAATTGTGAGTTGGCATGGAGAGGCGCGTTTTGCCTTCCTGGCGATGTACCTTTGACCACAATGCTAAGCACGCGCCGTGACATGCGTCTGCACGTGTACTACGCCTAATATTCAATGGTGGGCGGGCCTGCAGGAACACGGCTCCACGTTGCTAAGCGGGTCGTCCCTGCCACTCTGCCACTCTGCCACTCTGCCACTCGCCACCCTTCCTAAATAAACGTCACCCCTAAAATTGCCGGGAGCGACGGCTATCAGAACGACACCGCGCCGCCGGCCAGACCAAACTTGACAGCACGATCTCCAGCGAGCGCATATCCTGTTTTCCCTTGAGAGGAGCAATCCGGAATCACCGGTGGGGAGATCGATTAAATGCTCATTACAAGTAGTGGCTAGCGTTGGTGCATGTATACACCCCGCGCGTCCGGTGAAGTGAGTAATGTTCGGGAATTGGCAACCATGTGTGTGCCAATCCGGTATCATTGCTTGGGCGATGAGAGCCACTTAGCCCTTTTCAATGACCAGGATGTCAAGGTAAATTTGACAGTGCTGAAGACAGATTGAGGATGGCCTCGTCCATCCCGTATGTATTCAGCCAGCCTCTACAACCAGGCAAACCTTAAAATGACGAGAGGAATCCCAGCCCTCTATGGTGATTCTGTAGGGGAGGAAAAGCTGCATTGTTTATTCCGTCAAACTCGTTGAGCAATATACAAACAAGTATTTGTATCCATTCGTCTGATTCAAGCGCGTTGCTGGGCGTTACTCATGCACCTGTAGTGAAGGTTTGGGTGGCCAGCCAGTGCACCATGGGTCCCTCCAATCTGGGCTGGAACGTTTCCCACCACATACAAAGTCCGCTCAGGCGTGCGACGGCAAAGAGATGAAACTACTCAAAGGAGGCCGAAATACTATAGTTTGAGCCCCAGGGAAACAAGACAAGATTTCAAAGTGTTTCGACATAGGCATAATGATCGCCGACAAGCTCGACCTGAGCGAAAGCAAGTGTGTGCTTGCCATGTCACTTATTCACGCCTGGCCGGTGTGTCCCGTTCGGACTGGGTCGTGGGCCCGGATGACATGAAGGGTCCGGCCATGGATCCGCACGGTCCGAAAATGTGCCTTTCTCAGGTGGGAAAACCAGAAAAGAGAAAGGGGAGAAAATGCGTAGACCAAAGCGATTGCCTCTGGACGGCAAAATGCAGTCATGTCCTTTCTTGAGGAAGCCTACCTAGGTAGATGGTAGATGATGTTGCGAGGAGAATAGGTAACTAACTACTGTACCTAGCGTGTGGGTGAGGCGCCATCGTGATGACACCCTGGGAATGAGCAGACTTTGCCGGGGTGGGCGTACCAAAAGCCCCAAAAAGCATAAGCCTTGACAACGCCCCACCGCATGCAGGTCACCCCATCACCTCCTCGCCCGCAGGGTCAGACAAAGACCTCTACCGAAACCTGGCCGGTCCAGGTCCCCGACGTCCACCGGCAAAGCAATCGCGAACGGAGACGAGATGCGAATGGACGAGTCGCCTGCTGTTCTTTGTATTGCTCCACAGATACTTCCTTTTCCCTCCTCGTCTGCTTCCGCCGCCCTCTTTAGTTGGCATATTCGATTGTCGATGTAGTCAAACAAAGGGTTCAGTGATCGACATGCATGGACAAGTTCGTTTTGGCCCGGATTTGCGTCATGGCTGGCCGCTCCCGCCAGCATGACAGCACACTTGGTTAGGCTGCCAGTCGTCGCATTTCCCAATGCAGCAGAATTCCTGTGTCCCTGTTTGAAGATCCGACCAGCTATGAATTTCGAAACATCAATCGCATTGTTTCGTCGGCTAGACACCGTGACACCCCCTGAGGGGACGAGAAGCGAAGCACACTGCCCAGGTGGTTTGTCGTCGAGATCCGGATCGCTCCCCTTTGAGCCCTTGTGAGCGGACGTCTGGTCCCCACACGCTTGCTCAGCATCCCGACCCTACTCTGTACGCACAAAGTACGTACATTGCTACCTACAAGTACGAGTACGTGCCTACTTGGTCGAGACCGTCCCATGACCACCATATCGTCTGTGGTGGCGTTGTCCTCTCCCTCGATCGCTGTAAACTCAGTGAGGTGAGGCAACCTGGCATGCGAACCCCAGCACCAGCGGCCTTCGCTGCCATGAGTGAAATAATACTTGCAGGATCTTGCAAGCACTATCGGGCGCTTCCGATACTTGTTTACTCTTCGATATTCGTGTCTTTTTGTCTTCATCCCTTCTTTCTTTCTCACGCTGGGATATCTGGCTGGTCGTTGGATGAGGTGAAAACATGAGCACAGAAAATAGATGGGGCGGGGCTTTCCCTCCACTGGTGGTTAGACAAGTACCTCGACCTCTCCCTCCTCGACCAACAAGCGTTGTGTCCACCCACATTTGCGTTTTGGTACCTGCCCCGAGGAAATAATTCCCCACTCAAATGGTGTGGGACGGCGTCGAATACCCACGCCCAACCCGTCACAATTGGAAAAAGAGCTTCCCTTGTCATTGATTCATGAACAAATACCTCTGCCTCTGTGCGAGATGATGCCCGGACGCCAAGACACACCTCACCCAGCAGGCATACTTACCTAAATTATCCCCCATCCCGCCAGACTCCCCAGAGGAAGATGAAAGACCAAAAGCAAAGAACCAGCCCGGCAATAGACAGGTATTCAGTATGCTGCTGCCAAAGGACCGATACATTCATTCCAAACGGCGGAATGGCGAATCGCAAGAAGCGCCGCACTGGGGTTGCATCAGAGGAGTACCTACCAGCTAAGCACGGCAATTAATAGAACGAGCAAAGTCAACGGGACAGGGAGTGTGTGGAGTGCGAGTAAAACACAGAGTGAACCAAGCTGCCCATCACTAGAGCAAGAGTATCCGCCTCACAATGGGTACTTGTACACCACATCTTTGACTGCAAATCCCATATCGCATCGCATCGCATTGCATCGCAGCAAGACAAAGCAATGTCTGCACGAGTGAGCAATCATCGGTGAAGAACCGACCTCAGCTCCAAACACAGGAGCAGGGGCTACAGGCTGAACAGAGTGAATAGAGGACCGTCGTAGACGGGGTGCGAGAAGGGATTGTCGTCGGCCACCCGGCCGGTGACGTGTAGTGTAGTAGTGTCTGTTTCCGAGGTAGGTATCGCGACTAGATTTTCCAGATGCAAAAAGCGGAAGTCCATGGGATCCCAACACACCAAGGCGCAGGTTGTATCCACCACCCCTTTGGGGGACATTTGATATCGCTAAGCTTACATACGTTACCGAGCCGGTGGGCGCAGGACTGACTGCTCTCTCTCGTGGGAACAATGCGCGACAAGGCTCGGAGCGTCGCGCGGCAAAGCGACGGCCTCCTGTCCATCGTATTGGGGCCGAGTCTGCGACCGTGGGGTGCAGTCGTCGGAATCGTGATGAATTTGAAGCCATGTCTAGAATAAGATGGGTTCGTCTGGGTGGCCGACCCTGATGCCAAGTGTGGTGTGTCGTCGAGGATCGGAGAGGGTGGATGGACACGCCCATGTCACCAGGGGTATCGTAGGCCTCGAGCAGAGGTATCGCCCAAGTAGCAGCGCGGTTTGGCGAAGCATGGCCCGTTGGGCTGCCTGTCTTGCCTGTGAGCCCTGCCACGCCCCGCCGCGCCTCCATCGCCGAAGAGCTCGAGAGGCCAGCAGCGCAGGGCGGCAGGTCTGGAGCCTCCCCGCAGACCCCTGCAAGTACTCGGCCGGTACCCGGTCTGCTTAGCGCGTCTACCTGTTCCCAAGAGCCACTGATGGCTGCAGATTGTGGAGGATGAAAATGGCCGCCGCCCTGGGCTCCCATGCCAGATGCCAGACGGCGCGCGCCATCGACCACCTCTACCGCTACCGCTACCGCTTCCCTGACCTTGGCTCCATTGACCACACATCCCATCCGGTGCTCTCGCTCTCTCTCACATCTGTGCTTGCGGACCTCTTGTCTCTCTCTCTCCCTCTCTGCCTGGGACCTGGCACAACGGGGACGGACCCCTACCTTGCTACCTTTCCTTGTTAGTCCATCTGCTGCTTTTACATACACACACACCTCGAATCTCGTTCTCCATTCTCTTCACTCGCCCTTCTTCCTCTCTTTACTTACTTTCAACCACACCCACGCGCACACCAAGCCAATCCTTTCTGGCTTTCCTCATCCGTCCCCATCATCTGAAGTCTTTCTCCCTCTCGTGATTTTCCCCCGTCATATCCAGCCAACGACCACCCCCCCGATATCACATTTCCATTATCACGGTCGAGTGTCTGGACCCTGAACCTCGAGTCACCTCTTTTCCCCCGTACCCTCTCGCTCACGACTTGCTTTTATATGACCCCCATTCCTCACCACTGGATGCTTTTCACTTAGACCTTCCCAAACACGAGCTCCTGGACAATCCGTCTCTTCCCTCACAACCTCTGGGCTTGCCTTCCATCTCGGTATTTTCGTGTACTTCGATATCTTGGATTACAGCCTGGACCCGAGTTTTTTGTAATTAAGATTCGGCCACGGCGCGCATGGCTCGAAGCACTTGACTCTCACCCAGCTCAGCTTGCAGCGCTGCCATCCTCGTGTAGGATCACGATTCCAGCCGTTCTTCGCACTGGGATCTTGGTCTCGTCCACTCGAGGCTCACGGTTTCGCTGCTCACCTCTGGCAGCATGCCACCCAAAGCACAAAACTCGAACGGGTCGGACGGCCCCTCGAACAGCCGCTCATCAATCAGCGAAGGAGCCACGGAGGCTTCCACGTCACAATCTCAACCGGGCGCCAACTCGGTGGCTTCCACCACTGTCCTCCCCAAGATGTCGGATGCCAACGCAATCAGTCCAAGCCCTGCAGTATCACAGCCCATGTCCAAGTCAAATTCGGCCGGCTCAAACCCGTCCTCCAAGGATGCAGGCGCCGAAAAGGCATCGCCTTATGGCACGCGCTCGCGTAACAGGACAGGCACCTCGCGCCCCAACTACGCAGAGGACAAGGACATCGACATGGAGCTTTTTGAGATGTATCCCGAGAGGCGCGAAGATGAAACCAAAAAGTCTACCCGTCTCGCCAACTCGTCAACAAATGGGTCGCAGGATGCCCCGCCGCGCTCGACCGGCGGCACCTCACGCAGACCACTCCCGACTGACGGGAGGCAATCATCCTCGCAGATGCATTCCAAAGACCAGAACTCGACCCCGAGTGCAGCTGCGACACCGGCTTCAAATTCTACGGCTACCTCGCAGCCCTCCAAAAAGCGCAAGGCCGCTTCCCAGGCTGCCACGTCGGGCGGCCACTCCCACGCCGGCTCCCATTCGCATGCACCTGCCTCCAGCACCACGAGGAAATCGGCAGCCGCCGCAGCGAGCCAGAATGGCCTGGGCTACTCCGAGACGAACCTGCTCACGTTTGACGATTGCAAGGGACGACCAGTAGACGGAAAACTGGTCGCCGATGACGGCACGGTCCTCGAGGTGAACGGTGAGGCTCTCCCCCGATTTTCATTTCTCTTTCCTCCTCCTCTTCTATCCTAAAAAAAAATGATGCATATCGAACTGTATTCCTCTGACCCGATTTGACAGATCATGTGTACCTCGTGTGCGAGCCGCCAGGCGAGCCGTACTATATCGGCCGAGTCATGGAGTTCTTGCATGCAAAGAATGACCCGTCCAAGCCCATCGATGCGCTTCGCGTCAATTGGTATTATAGGCCAAGGGATATCGGTCGCAAGGTGCAGGACACACGGGCAGTTTTTGCCACCATGCACTCAGACACGTCCCCGCTGACGGCGCTGCGTGGGAAATGTCAAATCAAACACAAAGCGGAGATCGCCAATCTGGACGAATACCGCAAGACGCCGGACTGCTTCTGGTTTGAGAAGCTGTACGATCGCTACATCCAGAAGAACTACGAGGTCATCCCTACCTTCCAGATCGTCAACGTGCCCGAGCGGGTCAAGAAGGTGCTCGACGAGCGCTGGAAGTACATCCTCGTCGAGCAAGGGCGAGGAAAGGAGTTGACGAGCGCTGTAAAGCTGTGCAAGCGCTGCAGTGGCTACTGTGCAAGGTACGTGTTGCTCGAATTTGCTTTTTCCACACTTTGCCCTGATTGGGGCAGGGGTGGGCGGACTGGCAATGCGCTAGCCTTTCTTCCGGCATGGTCGCTGACAGGGGTGGTGTAGCAACGACTCGGTCGACTGTGCCGTGTGCAAGAACACCTACCACATGAACTGCGTGCGCCCGCCGCTGCTCAAGAAGCCCTCGCGTGGCTTTGCGTGGTCCTGTGCCGCCTGCAGTCGCGCCCAGGAGAGGAAGCTCGAGGCCCGCAACACCCCAAACCTCGCCGACCCGCACCTGGACGCCGAGGAGGAGGAGCTGCTCGACGAGGAGGAAGAGGAGGCCTGCGCCGCAGCTGGCACCGGTCGCACTAGCCCCTCGGATGGTGCAGAGGAGTCTCATCCACCCGCCACCGCCGAACAGATCTACCACGCAAGCCTCTGGCCCTACCGCTACCTGGGAATCCACTGCAAGGTGGAAGATGCGCTGGATTACGATGACCGCATTTACCCTCGCGCCGCCACCCGGATCGGGCCTCGCTACCAGGCCGTCGTCCAGGATTGGCCCGGCAGGCCCGTCAAGTACGAGAAGCCTGCCGAGATCAAGAAGGGCAATCGCCGGGACAAGACGGTGCAGGCGGCACTCGAGGCCGAGAAGATCCGCCGGGCTAAGCGTCCCAAGTGGGTGCAAGACGAGCCTGCTGGGTACGTGCATCGCGGCGAGGATCTCGATAATGGTGATCCGAACTGCACATCAACATTGCTCTACAAGACGCCGGAAGGCGTATCGCACCGCGAGATAGATCGCTATATGGACAAAGCGCGGGCCCTGACCGCGACTCTCGGTCTCCCCGAACGCTCCACCAATCTGGAGGATGTCGCCATGAACACCCTGTTCAAGAACAATTTCGACTTTGAAAAGGCTCTCAAGGAAATCCCCAAGGTGGATCGCAGCGCATTCAAGGAACCCGAGCTCAGCCCCACCGAGCTGAAGCGGTTCGAAGAGGGTGTGTCCAAGTATGGCTCGGAGTTGTATGCTGTCATGAAGCATATCAAGTCTGTCAAGACGCCAACGGTCGTGCGGCATTACTATACGTGGAAGAAGACCGAGCGTGGAAAGCAGATCTGGGGTAGCTATTCCGGCAGAAAGGGCAAGAAGGACAACAAGGAGGCCAAGAAGGCCGAGCACAAAGTCACAGACGATGTTGCAGACGACCAAGATGATTCGGCCTTTGATACCGGTAAGGCGGTTGATAAGAAACGGCAATTTACTTGCAAGTTCTGCAACACCAAGTCTTCGAGACAATGGAGGCGCGCCCCGAATGTCGCGACCCCTATCGTCACCGAAGGGGCCACAGGCAAGAATGGCAAAGGCGACAAGGGCTCTCAGTACGTTGTCGCCCTCTGCCGCCGATGCGCCGAGCTCTGGCGCCGGTATGCCGTGCAGTGGGAAGACATCGAGGCACTCGCTCAGAAGGTTGCTACGACCGGCGGCCGAGTTCTGAAGAGGAAGGTCGATGAGGAGCTAGTCAAAGAGCTCATGGCTGCCGACGATAGAATGCGGGCCACAGTTTACAGCACCCCCGACCCCTACGAGGCGACTGCCACTCCTCCACGACAGTCCGGAAGCGAGCCGCCCCGCAAGAAGCTCAAGGGCCATCCCGATCGGGACACCGAGACGAATGCCTCAGACTCGGGCGTGTCGGTGGCTCCGGCTCGGAAACGAGAAAAGGCCGAGAAGGCAGCGCCACCGCCAGCTCCGGAAATGCCCAAGCCGAAAACCCTGCCGTGTGCCATATGTCGCCAGATGGAGCCTCTTGGAGACCAGCACCTGTCGTGCAGAGAGTGCCGTCTTACAGTGCATCGCAATTGCTACGGGGTCCTTGATAACCGCAACCCCGGCAAGTGGATCTGCGACATGTGCGCCAATGACAAGGCACCTCAGATCTCTATCGATTACCGATGCGTGCTGTGCCCGGTGGAGCATACCGAGCACGACTTTGTCGACATGCCGCCCAAGTCGAACAGCAAAAAGAAGACGGACAAAGAGAAGGAGAAAGAGAAGCAGGAGCGCGAGACAGCTCAGAAGGCAGCAGAGTTCTACCGGAAACGACAAGAAGACTTGCACCGTCCGGTCAATCCTCGAGAGCCGCTGAAGCGCACCGCAGATAACAACTGGGTGCACGTCACCTGCGCCGTCTGGACGCCTGAGGTCAAGTTCGGCAAGGCTAAAGCTCTCGAGCCCAGCGAGGGCATTCCGCTGATTCCCCGGGCCAAGTATGCCGAGGTTTGCAAGGCCTGCGGACACGCAGGTGGAGCTTGTGTGGCCTGCCACCAGTGCCGCGCTCCAGTTCACGTCGAGTGCGCCCACCGCGAGGGCTACGTCTTGGGCTTCGACATTACCCCGGTGAAGGGCTCGCGTCGTGATCAGGTCAACATTGTCAGCCTCAATGGCGAGAGCGGTGCTATGACTGCTGCTGTATGGTGCAAGGACCACGTGCCTCAGAAGTCTATCGTCCATCGTATGGACGAACCGGTCGATGACACTGGCATGAATGCTCTGCAGCTCTACGTCCAGAACTACAAGCAGGCAGACCTGACGCTGACGGGTTGCGCGCGGAAGGCGAATCTCATCACGCTGGGCTCCGGCTCCCGAGCGACGAACACAGCCCAGCTTACGGCCGCAAACCGACGGGCTTCCACGACGACAGTGCCGGCCAACGGGGCATCGACCCAATCGAGCGAGCGACAGAGTGAGGAGGGAGCCGATCCTCTTCAGCCAGGTGGCAAGATCTGCTTGACATGCGGTGTTGATTCCAGTCCCAAGTGGTATCCCATCGACAAGGAGCGCGAGCGCGAACTGGTAAACGGCTATCACGGCAGCCTCGGCGTTGAAGCCCAGAAATTCGTCGCGCAGAGGAACTTCCAATGCCACAAGTGCAAGAAGCTCAACCGCAAGCCCAAGTCGACGCCGACGCCGACTCCGAAGAAAGAGCCATCCCCGCCGCTGGTATTCGAGCCTCTCCGGCCGCTTCCGCAGACGGCTATGCATGCGACGAGCCCGCAGGTGACGGCAAGCGAGTCGAGATCTCTGGCCCGTTCGTCCTATTCATCATGGACCACCGGAGCAGCTCAGCCAACCCAGCCCCCACTGGCAGCACCTCTGCAGGCTGCTGGCCCGGGACCGGCACCGGGACCACCGGCTCCTGCGCAGCCTCCGGCCTTGGCACCCTCCATCGCGCCACGAGCACCTCCGCCGCCCTCTCATGGCTATCCTCCACCGTCGAGAGAGCCGTTCAGCGACTGGCACCGGCCACCGGCACATCACAGCCAGACGCAGCATACTCACATAAACGGAGGCCCACCTCCGGCAATGGCCCCGAGCGTGATCCCGCCGCTGGCACCTCCGAACCACCTCCGGCCTCCGCCGATCTCGAGCCTGAACCACGGTCCTCCACCCCCTCCTCCCCAGGCCTCGATGCCCAACGGCCATTTGTCCCAGCCGCACATGAACGGCGTGCCGCCGTCGCCGAGGCGCATGAGCGGCCCGCCGCCGCCGCCGCCCCCGATGTCCAACGGAGGCGCGTACATGCACACGTACCACCACCAGGTGCCGCACCCGCCGCACGCCCTGACTAATGGGGGGCCGCCGCCGCGCCCGCCAGAGCGGCCGTACACGCAGACCTTCCAGCCCGCGCAGCAGCCGCAGCGCTCGCCGTTCACGACGCCGCATGGCAGCCCGCCGATGCCGATGCGGGACGCGCTCACGTCGCTGCGCGAGCCGAGTAACCCCCCTCCGCCAAGGGGGGGCGACGGCCGGCCTGCGAGCGGGGCGAGTGCCAGTCCTTCTCTGGCGAACCTGCTGTCGTGAGACACTTCTGGATCTTATGTGCGAGAGCTTTCTGAGCGGGACAGAGAAGGAAGGAATTGTATAATTATTTTGTATCAGATGTACTACGAGCAAAAGAACGGACATGGGAGATGTCTGTGGAATCAGGAGAGATGGAGTGAGCGTTGTACTTTTTTTTTCTTATGGAAAGAGGGGAGATGCACGAGATGAGCATCAGGATTCCTTGCGAGAATCATGGAGACAGATCAAGACATTACGAAGTTCAGGCGTTGTCGCTTTGTTAGAGCGATATCTGGCGGTGATCTCTTCCAGGGATCAGAGGCGTTTTTTTGTCCTTTAGAGCACAGATGGATGATGGCCTGGTACATGGTCGGCCTACAGGGCTGGAAGAAGAGACAGAGAGTCGAGAAGAGATTCACTCGGGTACAAATTCACATCCCGGGAATAGAAAGATTACCTATCTGAAGATGCGGCAGCCACTTCTCCCAGACACGCAGTACAGATGTTCATGTGAGCCAGCAGATTCATAGCAGTGCAAGTCAGCATATTTCACACAAGTGAGATCTTGTGTTGTTTTGTCACAAGCGGAAAGCCTTTTCCAGGCCCCGCATCTCTCAAAGATGAATCCATGGCCGAAAACGGCAATTTGTCAATAAAAAATGACGACGATAAGCATCGTTGAACCTCCAATGGACTCTCGCCCGATTCGGTAAGCTAAGCCTAAGGCCCCGGCGCTCGTAATGGCAAGGTACGTACCTCCTCCCCTTGCATCCTTTGGTAAGACTTGGAGAAGCCCGAGGAAGATCGCCTTGTTTGAAGCCTCGGCGCCAACACAGCTGGGCAAGATAGAGAGGTACTCCTGGGTAAGGGGAATTGAGACAATTAGCATGGATGCATGAAAGTGACGCTGGGGCCGAGTGCAAGGGGTGAGCCGTTGCACAAAGGACATGCTCCCCACCTGCATGAAGATAGAATCTCGAAGTAGCGCACTAACAGATCCAGGAAATTCCATGGCTTTCCATCAGCGGGGCGGTAACGCGGGTCTGGGCTGGCGCCGGCTGCATCGACCCAACTAGAATCCTCCAAATCTCAGCCTCCTGGCTGCTGGCGTCGGTGCGGAGCTGTAGGCTATCCATACAGGCAGAAAGAGAGACGAGGTACAGGAAGGAAAAAAAAAAAAAAAAAAAGGCCTGCGACTCGAGTGAATGGGACAGCGTGCTGGAAGTAACTATAGGTACCTTATTCTGGCGCCTGGAGAGTGTATCACTTTGACACTGTAATTAGTGCGCCTACCACTGCAGCCACAGGGTCCCAAGCCTACAGAGAGTCCTCCACCAAGGCAACAATCACAGACCTCGTCCATTCACTTGCACCTAAATAGTACAACCACCAACCAAACCATCCACCCATTTCCATCCTCTCCCACCGCAGCCGTCCGCCCACCAGTGCGCACCCCCATAGAAGATTCTGTCACTGTACAAATCCGGAGCGACCCTCTTCCTCCTTCTGCAGCGTGGCGTATCTGACTAAATCAAGAAATACTCTTGATCCGCCTCCCCTTGTCTCTTCTTTCCCTGCCTCTGAAGCAGACCTTCATTTATCTCTCTTCCCTCAGACCCAGTGACAACCATATCGCAGTGTTGAACAGAAAGTCGACGACTGCAAGCCCGCTCAAGTGAATCCCTAGGTACCTAGGTTTGTTCCCATCAACACCACAGCCTTCCAACTCACACACGCCCCAACCCCTCCTCACCAAACATTCTTCGAGACATTTCCAGCTGCACGGATGCATCTGTCGTCTGGTGTCGCTATTTCCCTTCCCGACCCTACCCTTGTCACCCACGCTGCCTGCCTGCCTCTCTCTCAGTCTAGCAATCTAGCCGGCATCTCACCCTCAACTCAGGCTAACCATACCTTCCCACTCCAGTTCTCTCAACTTCTGCCTCGACTCGGAACTCTTCTGCGATCGAGATAAGCACGGCTCTTCTGTGCTAGTTTCAGCAGTTCCCCCACCCACTCCGACACTCTCCGCTCTACCTCTTCCTCTTATCGCCCATCATGGTTCGCGAAACCAAGTTCTACGATGTCCTCGGCGTATGTCCTCCACAATGCCTTGTCTCTGCAACATGCTCGAGTGCAGACGGTTCAGCTGGCGTGTTGGCTGTCGTACCGTGGGTACCATAAGCCATCTCGACCTCGGCCGTCCTTTGCGCCCCCGCTGCTGCTCCGTTGATCTGCAAATGATTACTGACAACTCCAAACAGGTCGCGCCGTCAGCTACCGAGCAGGAGCTGAAGAAGGCCTACAAGGTCAATGCTCTCAAGTACCATCCTGGTATGTAGCAACACTTGGGCAGCATCTTGATCCTAGGACACCATTCTAACCAAAACCACAGACAAGAATGCGCATAACCCCGCAGCCGAGGAGAAGTTCAAGGAGATCTCACATGCATATGAGATCCTTTCCGACTCCAACAAGCGACAGGTGTACGATCAATATGGCGAGGCTGGCCTCGAGGGCGGTGCCGGCGGCGGCGGCATGGCTGCCGAGGACCTCTTCGCCCAGTTCTTCGGCGGCGGTGGCGGTTTCGGCGGCGGCCTCGGCGGTATGTTTGGTGGCATGCAGAACCGCGGCCCCCCGAAGGCCAGGACCATTCACCACACCCACAAAGTCTCCCTCGAGGACATCTACCGTGGCAAGATCTCCAAGCTTGCCCTGCAGCGCTCCATCATCTGCCCCCGCTGCGAGGGCCGTGGTGGTAAGGAGGGTGCTGTTCGCCGCTGCCCCGGCTGTGACGGTCACGGCATGAAGACCATGATGCGCCAGATGGGCCCTATGATCCAGCGTTTCCAGACTGCCTGCCCCGACTGCAACGGAGAGGGAGAGATCATCAAAGACAAGGACCGCTGCAAGCAGTGCAACGGCAAGAAGACCATCGTCGACCGGAAGGTCCTCCACGTCCACGTCGACAAGGGCGTTAAGAGCGGTACCCGCGTCGAGTTCCGCGGAGAGGGTGACCAGGCCCCTGGCATCCAGGCTGGTGATGTTGTCTTTGAGATCGAGCAGAAGCCCCACCCGCGCTTCACCCGCAAGGATGACGACCTCCTCTACCAGTGCGAGATCGAGCTCGTCACCGCGCTGGCCGGTGGCACCATCTACGTCGAGCACCTCGACGACCGGTGGCTCAGCATCGACATCCTGCCCGGCGAGGCGATTGCGCCGAGTAAGTTTCAAACGTGTTCCTGGAGCTTTGGTGGTTTCGACACTAACACTTTTTATAGACGCTGTCAAGATGGTCCGAGGCCAAGGTATGCCCTCCTACCGCCACCACGACCATGGCAACCTGTACATTCAATTCAACGTCAAGTTCCCCGAGAAGGGCTGGACCCAGGATGCCGAGGCTTTCGAGTCGCTGCGCAAGATTCTCCCCGGCCCGTCCGTGCTGAGCGTCCCGCCTGCGGAGGCTATGACCGAGCCGGCCGATCTCGAGGACGCCGAGGGCGCGGCCGGTGCCCAGGCGTTCAACGGCAACGCTATGGACGAGGACGACGAGGACGGCCACCCGCAAGCCGAGCGTGTCCAGTGCGCGTCGCAGTAAAAGCAGGCGCCTGGACGGACGTAGTTGTGCGATGAGGCACGAACGAACACTTTGATGGCTTGGCCTGCAGCACGGCGCTCGACCTACATATACCCGCTTCCTAGCCGTAGCAAGGGTGGAACTCGATTAGTAGGCACCCTGATGAGCGCCGTCGGAACATGACCGCCAGAAGATAATGACCCAAAAAGTTCTTCAACTTAACGGCGAGACGGGGGCAGGCACGGAGTGAGACGAGGATAGATGATTATAATCGGCATTGCATCGTTGCGGGACCTTGTTGTGTTTTTCCCCTGCCCCTTATCCCGGGTATTTTTGTCCGTTTTTTTCTTAACCCCCCATTTTCTTGCTTATGTGGTCCTTTCTTGGTGCTTTTTATGTTTTGATCGCCAGTGGTGCTTCTCGTTCATGCGTGGGAGATCTGCGTAGAACACACGAGCATGTAGCGTGCGCACATACACACGATAACGCACACCTGGGACTGCTTATCATCTTGGCGTTCAAGAGAGAGGAAATAGAGATGGCATTATTTATCCGTGGGATGTCCTTAGCAATTGATTTCCTCGAGCCTGCTTGCTGCTCTATCTCATGAAGTGATTTGATATATTGTGTGTGTGTAGTTTGTGATGTCTGGCCAGCGTGTGTTGGGGGTGATGCGTGGGATCATGCCATTTTGGAACTAACTGTGGTGACTTTGCTTCAGCTGCTCTACATTGGGTCATGGCCACTATGCTGCCTCATTGTTTTCGAGACGGGTCTACTCTACCAATGATTATTGCTGCTCGGCCTCGCCATCGGCAGCACCGGCAGCGCCCGGGCCTTTGCCGCCGAACTCGTCACCCTCCTCCATGTCGGACTTGCGCAGCGTCTCGGTGGTGTACAGGAGCTTCTGCAGCTCTTCGGCCGTGAGGTCCGCCGCGCCTTCTCCCTCCCCTTCTCCCTCGACCTCCTGCTCCTGCAGCGCAAAGGCGGACGCCGTCCAGGTCTTGTCGTCGCTGCCGGCTTGGAGCTGTATGATACCGCTGGGCGCGCTGCCGTCGCTGCTGCTGCTGTCTATCGAGACCAGGAGCCGGGCGTCCGGGGTGCCCTGGCCGAGCACGACGGCGTCGAGGGGCAGGCCGGGTAGCGGCGTGGTGTGTGTGTGGACTAGGGTGTTTGATGGGGAGAGGGCGAAGGCGAATGCTGCTTGTATCCTGTTGTTTTGGAGATCGTGGTCAGTATGTGTGTGAAGCCACGTACGTTGCAAAGCTTGATGGCACTTTCAGGGACCACTTACCGCTCGCAAAAGGCAAAGATGGTGACATCTTGGCCGTCGGCCCCGCGGGACAGGGCGTGCAGGCCCGTCACGGCGATCTTGGCGGCCGCGCCGTCCACGCGCCGCACGTGGCTCAGCAGGTCGGCCGTGCCGCACAGCGCCCCCTCCTCCCAGCGCCAGACGTACAGCGCGTCGTCGCCGCCGGCCGAGACGAGCACGTCCGGCCGCCCCGCGGACCGGGCCACGCACAGGCTGCTGACGAAGGACCCGTGGCCGAGGCAGAAGGTCTCGATGACGTGGGCGTGCGGCGGGGCGCGGGACACGCGGACGTGCTCGTCGCGGTCGGCGGTGATGATGTAGTCCCTCTTCTGCGAAGAGGCGAGGGCCATGCCCGTCAGCATGGAGACGTGGCCCAGCAGCAGGGTGTGCTCGAAGGCCGGGCCCTCGGCGCGCTTCTGGTAGGTGCTGCCGTAGAGGGCCTGGTGGCGCAGGGCGCGGAGGTTGCGCTTCGTGTGGACCGTTGAGGGGTCGGCCGAGGACTTGAAGTGGCCTGTGGCGTCTGTGGCGGTGGTGGTGGTGGTGAGGGTGGTGCCTGAGGGGGAAGACGGCTGGGGGGTGGCCGGGGTGTCGCTGGTGGGCTCCGGGGTGGGCGTGTCTGTTTGTGCTGACGGTGCTGGGGGGTGGTCTGCTGCTGGGGAGGGGATGAGGGGGAGGGAGTAGACGTCGCCAAACTTGTCGGCCGAGAAGATGGTCTTGTCGTCCGGGGAGACGGCGATGGCGCAGGGGCGCTTGGGCATGGGTCTGTTTTGTGGGTGTGAGTATGAACCCGGTAGAATCATATGCCCAAGGAGGAAAGGGACATACCTTGAGCTCAGCTCCCTGAGGTTTCCCTTGCCGTCGTGCTCCAGGACCCAGAGGTTCTTGTCCGGACTCGTGACTGCTACTATATGGCTGCCGTTCTTGGTTGCGGCCAAGAGGGTGACGAACGGCGTCTCCGGGATGGCAGACTTGATCCTCGCCGGCGTCTGGCCCTTCCCGGCCTTCTTGCCGTTCTGACCCTGGCCGTTCTGCTTCTCAGCGGTCACGTCCTGGGCCTCGACCTCCATCGCTTGGGCTTCCCCAGACTCGTCGACCTTTCTGCGCTTCGTCGGTGGGCCCTGTTCGACCTCCTCGCCGGCAGCTGGAGCACTTGATCCGTCCCCGGGCTTGGCCTCCTCCGTCTCTGCAGCCGTGGCAGTCTTGCTTCCCGAGGGACGCGCCCATGTCCCTAACCGAGACCCATCTTGTACGTTGAACAGGTTGATCCTGGCGCCTCGGGCGGCGACCAAGATATCGCCGCACAGGTGGAGGCGTTGGCAGGGAAACTTCATGGTGACACTCCTGTGACCAACAGATCCAATCCCAGACTTCAATTGGCGAATTTCAGCGTTTCGTCTGCATCACAACTCCCGGTTTGAGTAGCACCTCTTGTTGAGAATAATTTGATATCACGTGCGATCCGCCTGATCTTATCGTGACTGCAAAAAAGGCAGGCCCCACCTGAGAGGACGTTCTGCTCAGGTTCGCCGCCTTGCCTCTTCGGGCTAGCTCGCACTAACCCTACAGTCAATCGCACAGGAACGCAACGAATTTTGATGTCCAAATTGGGGAGGGGACCTTTTTTTTTCTCTGTTGCAACACCATCCAACTATCCTTCGCGATACCCCCCAAAACCCATTTCATTCTCAAAATACCCCTTGCCCTTAAACATCCTGCCTTCATAAACTAAGAAGATATGGGGGGCAAGTCTGCTAACAAGGCTGGTTACTTCGACAAGCTCAAGGGCTTGCTCGAGGAGTACCAGTCCATCTTCATCGTCTCGGTCGACAATGTCTCGTCCCAGCAGATGCACGAGATTCGCCAGTCGCTCCGCGGCGAGGGTGTCGTGCTGATGGGCAAGAACACCATGGTACGTTTTCATTTGATTGATATCTGGGTCAGGTCTTGGCGGGAAGCGACTCTGGGATAGGGAGGGAGGAATCGCGACAGGATTCAGGACATCAGAGACGGGATCGGAATCACTGCAGAATGCTTGCTAACAAAGCCCGCCCTGTAGGTTCGCCGTGCCCTCAAGACCTTCATTAACGACTCCCCCGAGTATGAGCGCCTCCTGCCTTACGTCAAGGGCAACGTCGGTTTCGTCTTCACCAACGCCGACCTGAAGACCATCCGTGACAAGGTCCTCGAGAACAAGGTCGCCGCCCCTGCCCGTGCCGGTGCCATCGCTCCCCTCGATGTCTGGATTCCCGCTGGCAACACCGGTATGGAGCCTGGTAAGACCTCTTTCTTCCAGGCTCTCGGTGTCCCCACCAAGATTGCCCGTGGTACCATTGAGATCACCACCGACCTGAAGCTCGTTGAGACTGGCTCCAAGGTCGGCCCCTCCGAGGCCACCCTGCTCAACATGCTCAACATCTCTCCCTTCACCTACGGTATGGGCGTTACCTGCGTCTACGACCAGGGCAACACCTTCCCCCCCGAGGTTCTCGACATTGGTGAGGATCAGCTCCTCGGTGCCTTCTCCAAGGCCGTCACCACCATCGCCTGCCTCTCGCTGGCCCTCAACTTCCCCACCGTCCCCTCGGTCATGCACTCCGTTGTCAACGCCTACAAGAAGATCCTTGCCGTTGCCATCGAGACCGAGATCACCTGGCCCGAGATTGAGGAGCTCAAGGACCGCATTGCCAACCCCGAGGCGTACGCCGCTGCCGCCCCGGCCGCTGCCGAGGCCAGCTCCGGTGGCGCTGCTGCTGCTGAGGAGACCAAGAAGGACGAGTCTGAGGAGGAGTCTGAGGACGAGGGTGGCTTCGGCGATCTCTTGTGCGTATTACCCATTGCTACCGATGATGAAGTGGTGACTAACGATGATAACTTTACAGCGGTTAAATCTAATGACCTGATGACGGTGTATGTGGTATTCCGGCAGCATGGGTTCTGGATGGGAATGGACTTTATAGATTTCGGTCCCCGAAGACATAGGATGTCTGCTGGTCAATCAAAAAATTCATCGTTTTTGGCCAACCCCCCTTTCTCGTGGGCTGCTTTGCGAACGAAGTTGTGAGATCATGGCGAGGATCGCTCTTATTCGGATCAGCAAAAGGTAAGCTTGATCTTCTTGATTCATTCCCTCCAATCCTCCATCTCCCGCGAGGATCCAACATGTGTCGAAGATTATAAAACATACACAAGAGCTTTTTAACCCTGAATCTTCATTGATGACAACCCATCACCACCCTATGAGACACATTCCATTACACACATTTTTTATTGTGATGCAGATATTGTACAGAGGACATCTTTAGCTAACTCGTACAAGTTGCAGGCCAGAGATTTCCTGGGAACCGCATTTTCTCCCCTACGCGATTGATCGCCCTGCGGTGACGATGTATTATACACTCCTTGCGTTGACATGTGTTGTAAACTTCCCATCGAGGACCTGCTTGGCGATCTTGATGGCGGGTTCGGGCAGTCCTGCCAACCTCGCGACCTTCAGCGCGTGACTCTGCCGGTTGATGCCCTTGCGTAGACGGTGGTCGTAGTAGAACCCTCCCTGCCCATCCTCCTTGACGTCGGTGCAGTACATCTCGACCGTGCCTGCTCCTCCATCCTGTCCATCGCCCTCGCCCTCGCCCTCGCCCTCGCCCTCGCCCTCGCCCTCGCCCTCGCCCTCGCCATGAACCGAGCCACCGCCGCCGCTACCCACGCGCATGCCGCTCGCCTCGACCATGTCGGCCAGCGAATGGAAGTGCGTCGCAAACAGGGTGCGGCACCGGTTGACGGTGACGAGGTGGTGCAGCGCCGCAAAGGCGACGGCGGCGCCGTCCTCGGGCGTGGTGCCGCGGCCGATCTCGTCCATGATGACGAAGCTGCGCGGGGTCGCGCGGCGCAGGATCTCGGCCGTCTCGAGCATCTCGACCATGAAGGTGCTGCGGTCGCGGTAGAGGTCGTCGGCGGACCCGACGCGGCTGAAGACGGCGTCGACGAGGCCGAGCTCGGCGTGGGCGGCAGGCACGTAGCTGCCGCACTGGGCGAGGATGGTGACGAGGGCGTTTTGTCGCAAAAAGGTCGACTTGCCGGCCATGTTGGGCCCCGTGATGAGCCAGAGGCGGCCGTGGCCCGGGGCGCCGACGAGGCAGTCATTTGGGACGAAGGTGCGCGTCGGGATCGGGATGGGGGCCGTGGATGATGGAGAAGTGCTGCTGCTGCTGCTGTCGACGTGGTGCAGCTCCGCGAGGCCGCCCTCGACGGTGGGGTGGCGGCCCGCGACGACGCGGTGGGCTGTGCCGGCGTCGAGCAAGGGCCGCACGAGGCCGCGCTCGAGGGCGAGGCGGGCGAAGGACGAGGTGACGTCGAGCTCGTCGAGGACGGCGGCGTTGCGGCGCAGGCGCACGAGGTTGCGCACGACGGCCGTGCGCAGCGCCGCGAAGACGCGCTGCTCCTCGGCGCGGATCTGCAGGCGGGCCTGGTCGAGGCGCTGCCCGAGGGAGGACCACTGCGGGTGGTGGAAGGAGCGGGTCGAGCGGCTCGAGGAGAGGGTGCGGAGAGTAGGAGGAGTGGTGCCGCTGCCGCTGCCGGTGTCGGCGCCAGGGGAAGGGGGAGAAGAAGAGAGGTTGCGCGCGTCTTTGCCCTTGACGTGGCAGATGTGGCCCAGCCCTGGTGTCCATTTCAGGGTCAGGGACGGGGCGGACAGCTCGGCCTGGAGGCGTGCTGCCAGGGCGGCCTTTTCGTCGACGAGCGCCGCCAGGTCTGCGTGGAGGCGGGCTAAGGTAGGTGAGGCCTGGGGTCGCATGACCCAGGCCTCGTTGTCCTCGCCGTAGTACTCGCGGAGGGACGTCGTGGATGTGGAGGAGCGCTTGCGTGGAGCGGACGCGCTCGTGCTGGTGCTCGGCGCGATCTTCTTGGAGAGGCCCGAGGTGTCGTCGGCGGTCGTCCCTTCGGAAGAGACGATCTCCTGCGCAAGGGCGATGATCTCCCCCGCCTCGCTGTCCTCGAGCTGGTGCTTCTGCACGAGACCCTCCTCGTCGACTGATTCCCTGATGCGCCTGGCGAGTTCGAGAGGTTTGTCGAGGCTGATGCGATCTATCATCGTGGCGAGGCAGTCTTGTTTATCGGCCTGCGGCGGGGAGGAAGACGGGTCGGAGTGGCCCACGGCGCTGCGAAGCAGGGAGACGATGTCGTCGGTCGCCTTGATCGTCTTGGCCAGATCGAGCAGGTCGTCCGGGTCGCCGCGGCCGAGCGCGAACTTTTGCACGAGGCGCTGCGAGTCGTAGCTCGTGCGCAGGAGGAGGATGGTGTTCTCGCGTAGGTTCTCGTCAGCGATGAAGCGGGCGACGAGGTCGTGGCGGAAGTTGATGACCTCGAGGGAGGTGGAGGGCGCGCCTGGGGAGAGAGACAGATATTTAGCTCGAGACTTTGAGATAGACCAAGGCTTCATCAATGTTTCTTACTTAGCCATTCGTTCAAGAGTCTGGCTCCGCTCTTCGTGACTGTCCGCCGGATGGCATGCAAGAGGCTTCCGCGGAAGGTACTGTCCCTGATCGTCTGCTTGATCTCGAGGGCCCTCATGCTGTTCTTGTCAATGGTCATGACCTCGATACCGTCGTATCGCTGCGGCGGCTGGAGCTTCATGTTCGCCCCTTGCAGTCTGTCTCTGACGTAGTGTAAGAGGAGACTCCCGGCCTTGATCTCATCATGGGTGAAAGATGCTACTGCTTGAGCGGGAATCTCGGACTCTAGCATGGGCGTCCAATCACCCAAACCTTCTAGCTTGCTCTGTGGTGCGTAGGTAAGGAGGTACCTATCTTCGGCCAGGACAGAAAAGATGTCATGGCTCTTTTGCGACTCCAAGTCTTCGTCAAGAATCACTTCACGAGGGGATATCCGCGACAAGGCAGAGCCAAGCGAAGACATACATATAGCCTGGGTAAAGAAGTGGCCCGTGGAGAGGTCGAGCCACGCCAATCCCAGAGGCAAGTCGGGATCTACCTCTGCTTCCACTTCGTCTGTTGGCGGCAGGTGCACAGCGAGCACATAATTACTTGCATATGGGTCCATGAAGTTCTCATCAATCAGCGTGCCAGGAGTGATGATGCGAGCGACCTTGCGGTCGTGCATGAGCCCGCCAGACTTGACCTTTTCCGAGGCATTGTTTGGGAACTCCTCTGCTATGGCGACGTAGCGGTTGAGGTCCTGAACTAGGATCTTGAGGAAGCGGTCCAGCTGGAAGAACGGGAATCCTGCCTACAAATCACATCAGAATGAGAGATACAGGAATGGGATGGATACACACAAGTCACACACAATGCAAACACACGTGGGACGAAGAGAGTAAAGAAGAGGCCGACCTACCATTGGCACGGTACCCGCGTTGGTCCGCTTCACAGCGACCTTGAGGTTGAGGAGGGGCCCGTACTCCTGGGCATGCTCAAAGTACAGCTCGTAGAAGCCCCCAACACGTGTCAGCAGGACGCAGTTGGCAAACTTTTGCATGTTGCGCTGGGCCTGCAGGACCACGGTCGGATAGGCTGGCAGGCTCTCCTCGACTGGCAGCGGCTCCGCGTCAATGGGCCCCTGGGGCAGGTCCTCGAGCTTGACGACCGTCTTGGTCTTCTTGCCGCGGACCTGCGTCGTCCAGGTCGTCGTCGTCGGCGGCGCGGGGGGCCAGCATTGCGCCGACCAGGGCGAGGCAGCGCCGAGGAGGCGTGAGGGGTGGGCTGCTGCCGTTGCACCCCGGGCCACTAAACACGACGCGAGGGTGGCGTTAGGATAGGGCCGACATGGAGACGCTGGCGGGCAACGGACGACTCGCGGGGTTGCGACGGCTGGCACACGCAAGGGTGGCATCAAGAATGACCTGTTTCTGCGACCCCTCCCCCAGACACCGGCGCCCGATCGGACGATGACGTTGGCGTATTAGGCTTCTGTCACGGGACAGCCACGGGACCACGGGACAGCAAGCTCCTAGCCAGCGGTTCTCCTCTCCCGCTCGACGGTTGCCAGCTCCAGGCCAAGCCAGCATGGAGGAGCTTCACACGCGATCGTGGAGCTGAGTTGAAGCACCAGCGGGAAGGGCAGAGATCTCTCATCTACCGGCTCATCGGTGAGGAGGGGGGACGGGCAGTGGAGCAAGGAATGAGCAGTTAGAGTGACGGAAGCGACTGTTGGCTGGGCAGAGAATAAACTGTGATGAACATATTTCAGGGCCGGATCTGGTGATAATCTAGACCTGCATGCTGGATGGTTGGATGTTTCCGAGCTGGCCCAAGCTTCCTTCTGGCTTGCCTGTCCCCCTGAGGCGGCTCAAGCTGTGGCGAAAAAAGAACCTTGGAAGGGAAACGGCACCAGAAAAAGTTCCTGATTCGGCCGAGTGCCAGCCCTGGAGGCGCGCCAGGGTGACGCCGCGCCCGTAAACTCCCTAAAGACCACGCGGGCAACGCCTAGCGAGTCCACTGTATCTGCCAGACTGGGTGCTATAAGTGAGGGCTGGATCACACCATCAGAGAACGACTCAGGTACGCGCTTTCAAGCCACAGGTCTTGGGATCCCAGCTGCCGGGAAATTCCTTCTTCCAATTTTGACAGCTCTGGGCTGTTGTAGATGCCATGGCCTGATTCGGGCAAGGAGGGAAATGGAGAAAATGGACTATACTCCTTCGTACATTCATGGATGTTTGTTTCTCTCCAGATTTGTCACGCACAGTACCGTACCACTCATCGCAGGATCAATGCAACTCCAGAGCTCGTGCACAGAGTCCATCGAGATCGATGTTGGGCTTCGTCCACCTGGATCGGCTCATTCTCAAGTAAAGAGGACGGTACTAAAGTAGGAACGGACGGGTAGCACCAGGACGTTGCGGTGCCTGAGAGAGGAAGGAGACTTGCGAAATTACCTGTTATGCAATGTCTTGTGATTTTCATAAACGGGAAATTTCCCAGGGGAGTGGGAGAAGGGACAAAAACGTTCCACCGCCAGGGCATGGCCAGATCTGGTCGCTTATTTACCTGGCCGTCGATCTGTCAATCTGCTCAATCCGGCAAGGCAAAAGCTGGGGGAGCAAAACAAGCGACAGGCTGTAGGTAGCACGGGGAGCGGACAGCGGCAGGCTGGAGCACGCATGCGTGTCTGTGTATGTGGATGTGTACGCTTGCGCATGTGCATGAGAAGCATCAACTCGACTACTTTATGTGATGTCTAAACCGGGGTCATGTCGGACGACAGAACGTGAGACAAACGGGCTGACAATGACGCTGCGAGGAGTAGCTGAGAAGCCTGCTGGCACCGGAATGGGATGGTTCCAGGCACGCATATCCTGGTTGTATGTAAGTTCATGGAAGCTTATTGATATTAGGTAGTTATTATCATATCTCGTTATTGCTACTGGGCGGCCAGTAGGTATGCCGACTTCGTACCTATGTCCGGAGCACCTATGTGCCGTGGCCAGTCTGACCGAATCGTTCCCTGAATTAAGAATACAATCACCGTCCAATACACAAGGGCCCGCGAGACGGGATGGACCTTGCAAGGATCAAGAATAGACTTCGACTGGTTCTGCAGTTCTGGGCCGCCCCGAGAGCAGGGAATCTAGCTGAAGGTAGGCAACCAGGGGCGGCAGCAGGGCAGAATGTGAGATCGAGTAATCAGTGAACAAGGAATTAAAGTACCTAACGGAGTAAAGTACAGATGGGAAAGGGCTGGAACGTTTGGTACTCGTCACGGATATGGAGATGCGGGCCAGACCGGCGGTATCTTATCAGCGAGACGAGCGCCTGGGACGGCGGGCGGGACAACGCCCTGGGTTTTCTGTTTTTGGGCGATGATGGGCGACATGGTATGACCCAATTGTGGTCCCATCAGCAGCATCCCCACTGCGCCGCGCCCTGCCATTCGCCGGACACGCCTCCAAGTGCATCTGGGACATTCGGTATCGACCGATTTGTACCTTTTCTGCTGCCACACCTCGAACCACTTCTGTCAGCTCCGCCCTCGAGGAGCCGCTTGACCACACAACCGTCCGCCGTGTCGTCGACTCGTCCCCCCATTCCCGGCTCGCTGCCTCCAACAAGTGTTGGCTGGCACGCAGTGCTTGCTTGACCGGCTACTTGTGCACTTCTGCTGGCGCCGGTGCTGCTGACGGAGATAGGGCTTGCGGTGACCTGCTGCAGGTACCTCTTCTCGGCCCAGCGTGCTCCGCCCAAGAAGCAAGAGACACGCTCCCCTACCTAGTTCCCTCTGCTGCTCCTCTGACGGGCCCAGCACCATCCGTGGTGCCATGGGTTGAGGGCTCATCTGAGAATCCCTGACTCTGCCAGCCATGGCTGGCCGTTGCCCTCCTCATCCCACGCAATAAACGTTCGATGGGCTCCGCCCTTCCACAACTGACAGGTGGTATATATCCTGTCTCCCTCTTGAACCCCCCCGCTCTGTGTGCGCCTGCTGTAACAGTCTTGTTCTCCCTCTATTCTACTCTCCATCCCGAAAGTGATCCATCCGGACACCATATAACCCAGCTTCGATTTGTGTTGCATCTGAACTCGTGTGTACGCGGATCTTCTACTACCCAGCGTGTTTCAAGATACCTCGTCACACACAACAACACACACAACACAACACACATAGGCATCCAAACGAGCCTAGCCCAAGAAGAGTAGGCTCTCCGATCAGTGCAGGGAGGAACAAGTGTTGTTCTCGTAGAGAGACACCATACAGCCTGCAATCACAACAGCAACAACAACAACGGCCACAACCACTACAACACGTTCTGATATGGCCACATCTTTACCATACCCGTTCAACACGCAGATTCCGGTTACCCCCCCACCGGACAACCTCCACTTCCCGTCCATCCATCCTGTTGCCGACCAACCCTTCGCCCAGTTTCTGAAGCCCTTCGGCATCGATGTGTACGGGCAGAAGAAGGCGATGGACACAAAGCCACAGACTCTAGCCAAACAAGCCGAGACCCAGCCCAAGCAGACACAGCCCGAGATCAAGGTGAAGGAGGAGCTCCCGGCTCTGGAGAGCGCCGGTGTGACTCTTGACCCCAGATATCTCGCCATGGTGTCACGCATCGCCGCCTACTACCAGCAGAGATGCCAGGCAGTAGCCAACTTCCAGCAGCAGAGGTGCCAGGCGTGGGCCAACATGCACCGCCAAAAGTGCCAGGAGATGATGCAGGCCTCGATGCTGGTGGTGGCCTGGTACATCCGCGACCGCATCAACCGCCGGAGGAAGCGGTCAAAGCGCACCTTCCGCCGAGGCCTGTCCGAGAGGTGCACCCGGAGCAAGATCACAAAGGGCGAGGCCGTGAGGCGGTGGGTCACGCAGATCCCCGAGGGCACCATGTCGCCCAACAACCCCATCCGAGAGAAGCTGGCCGACCCGGAAGAGGACAACTGGAGCATGGACAGAGAATCAGCGCCCGACAAGGAGGCCAAGCTGTTCTGCGTCGCGGACAACCTCATCAAGAGCCAACTGTCCAAGATCGACGTCCCTCTCATGGGCGCTCTCTCCTTCGACGAGAGCGACAGCGAGAGCGAGGACGAAGATATGGAAGAGGAAGAGGAAGAGGACGAGATTGAGGACGACGAGGAGCTGTACGATGACGAGTATGTGGAGGACGGCGTGGAGTGCTATGACGATGACGAGGATGACGCATCGGACATTGTGCACCACGGCACAGGCAAGGGCAGCCACGAGAGGACGGGCACGACTTTGACATGATGACGACGACGACGCGGATAGGCTTGAGACACACAACTTCTTCAATCATTGTGATCTTCTTTGGGCGGTGGCGTTTTACTCGGGGTTGCGGCTCTTGTGCGGGACATGACGGGCATCATGGTATGTATGGCATTTGATGAGGTTAATTGGCTTCTCTACTTTGGATTCATCGGAAACATGGGATTAAGCATGACACCCCCAGGCAGCAAGCGGCATTGTTTTAGCAAGTCCGACCCTAGGCAACAAGGAGTTACGGACGACTTCGGAAATAAACAATATTCCAAATCACTTGACAGGATGGATACTCGATGGGTTCGTTCTCCATGTGCTCGTGACATTTGATGACTGCCTTTTGTCCATTGTGACTTATATGTCTGCCTCCGAGTTAGGTATCCAATGAGTAGGCACAATGCGTCCTTCCCTTTCAGGTAATGAAAGACCTCTGCAATCCCATACCCAGTCCTCGCCATGGACAGATTTATAAGTATGTAGCTGGCTCTACTTCTGGCAGCCGCCCGCTCGAGTTGTTGACTTGCTCCATGTGCATGAAGCAAGGTAGTAACTACTCTCTTGTTGCAGCAGCAAGAACAGCTAACATCAACTACATATGGTGAGATACTAGGTTGGATTGCATCTACTCTATTAAGTTGTCAGTGCTTTCATTTGACCTGTCATGTGAGTTTCGTGACTCTTTGTCTGGTGCACATGGCTCGGCAAGGCTCTGGCATGTCCGGACTTGTGAAAGACACTGTGACCCATGTCCATTATCTTACCTCAAGGACACTTGAAGAGTCACACTGCTTGATCTGGCTGTTGTCACAGGCCCGGACCCGCTTGTCGTGGTTCTGCCGTCGGCTTTCGCTTCCGCTTAGTCGTCAACACCAAAGCCCCAGCCGCATTGCGGCTTCACGATGCACACTCCAGCCGCATGGGCGAGGGGTATTTTAACAGCCCTAAGGCTCTCCCCTCTTCCACAAATCTTCTCCTCCTTCATCTTTGTTTTTCTCGAGATCGCCTCGCCGCGCCTCGAAGCAAAGACTGACTCGCGATCATCATCACCAACCAAGTCCGCATCAAGGGAAGGCGTCTTCGACTTGCCTAACCGACCGTGCGATCCCAAGCTCTTTCCTCCTCCCCCTTTTTTTTTTCCCCACCGACTCCTTCCTGCCTTGCTGCAGAGTTGAGAGCCGTTGCCACGGTCGCGTGGAGCCCTCGCTCAGTTTTCAGTAACCTCAGCACGCCGCGTGGGTGTTGAGTGACCACACATCGCCAACTCTTTTCCGCCTTCATCATCATGGTGTACATATAACCCCTTCCCCTCATGCTTTTTGGTCTTTTTCGATTTTCATCATTCTAGCCGTCTTACTTTTATCACTCCGCTTCAAGTCCCCTGCTCTCCAGACTGCCCAGTTTCGCTGACCAGTTGCAAGGATGCCGCGACGCCGCCGGTCTCTGGGCCGCGGAGGCCACAAGCGCAGCAGGTCTGCTACTTTGAGGTATGTAACAGACTGGATTTATTTGTTTCTGTTTTTTCAAGCCTGTTTTTATTGCGTTGAGAGTTGAGTTGCTCCGGATCCCCCTGCTTCCATCTGGCTGGCCTGTGAGAGAGTCATGAACCCTCTCCTGTTTCAGTCTCGTCTTTTTCTCGAAAGCCCTGCTGTCCTCCATGGATCTTGCTCTAGGGCTTTCGCGAGTCTTTTCCCCGTGTTTTCAGACCTTTTCTTTGATTTGCCTCGAAGACCCATGGATACGAAGAGTGTGGTTGGCTGTCGTTGGTTGCAGTTTGCACAACCACACAACATGGACACACGCACTTCGGGATCAGCCATGCATTCAGTGCTACCCCTGCATTCCTCCGCTCACACGCCCCCGTCCAACCCCGCAAAAAGGGGATCCACAGTGCGACGACTCGTCCGGGCAGGCCAAGGCCAAGCGCCACAGTTGGGCGGGCGAAACTGTGTGGTGCTCCAATGTGTGTAAGGTGACGTTGGCCGGATCCGTGGATCAGGCGGGTCACTGGAAGCTCGGGAGCTTCCTACTTGAGCAAGTTCTCAGTCGGCCGAGCATCGTGTTCACCATCCTCGTTCGCCTCTTTTGCTTTCTTGGAATTCCCTCCCCTTCATTCCCTCGACGTGCTTTTGCTAAGTCTACCTATTCTTCCACAGCTCTCGAGCCACCCCCGGTCCGTCAGGCCAATTGTCTCAGACCACCGTAGAGGCGTTTGAGACTGAAAACAACGCCTCGGAGCAGCCAATAGAGTCGCTGAGCGACACCGAGGCCGTTGACACCGCCAAACATCTCGCGGAAGCCGAGATCGAGGCTGGGTCGTACGTCCTGCTCCCCATCAAATTCCACAACTCCACCGCCGTCGTCAACTTCGACTTCGAGAACATGGGAGGCGGCCACAAGCTTCCGCCGGGCGCTGTCGAGGCCCGCTATCCCCTCCGGCCCACCAAGCCGAAGGGCAAGCTCATCCCCAAGATCTACAAGGATCGCATCGAGAGCTTCTACAAGGAAGGCCAGTATGAGAAGTACAATCTTCGCGCGTAAGTTCAAAACTGATCGTTTTCCTCTATTTCTCTAACACGTCCGCTCTAGGATGATGTTTGAGGGCGCGGCTGTCGGTGAGAAGTATGTCCAGCTGAGCTCGTGGGCTGCGCCCGACCTCACTCGGCCCAAGTTCAAAGAGGCCACATCGCACAAGTTCGAGCCCGCCAAGGTGGGCGACTGGTTCGGCCCGTCTTGGGCCACTCACTGGTTCAAGATCGAGGTGACCGTTCCCTCGGAGCTCCGCGACAAGGAGCGCCTCGAGTTCCACTGGGACGCAGACACCGAGGGCATGGTCTGGTCCCAGGGCGGTGATCCATTGCAGGGCCTGACCGGAGGCGGCGAGCGTGTCGAGTGGATCCTGCCCGACTCGTTCCGCGATGGCAAGTCCCATACCTTCTACATCGAGATGGCCTGCAATGGCATGTTCGGCACCGGAGAGGGCATCCAGCCCCCGGACCCCAACAAGCAGTTCAAGCTCAAGACGGCCGACATCGTCGCCGTCAACTTGCAGGCGCGTGGTCTCTTCATCGACTCCTGGATCATCGGAGATGCTGCCAGAGAGTTTCCTGAGAACTCCCGTCAGCAGCACCAAGCATTGGTTGTCATTAACCGTATCGTCGATACTTTTGAGCTGGGCAATAAGGACTCCATCATTGAGTGTCGCAAGATCGCTCAAGAGTACATCGGAAAGCATGTCGACTCTGCGAAAGTCTACCAGAGCGGCACCACTCCCGAGGTCTTCGGCGTCGGCCATTGCCACATCGACACCTGCTGGCTCTGGCCGTGGGCCGAGACTCGCCGCAAGACCGCCCGCTCCTGGACCAACCAGTGCAACCTCATGGACCAGTACCCTGAGCTCAACTTTGTCGTCTCTCAGGCCCAGCAGTACAAGTGGCTCAAGGAGGACTACCCCTACGTCTACGAGCGCCTCTCAAAGAAGGTCAAAGAGGGCCAGTTCCACCCCATCGGTGGCAGCTGGGTCGAGCACGACACCAACATGCCCAGCGGCGAGTCTCTCGTCCGCCAATTCCTCTACGGCCAGAGGTTCTTTGAGGGCCACTTTGGAAAGCGCTGCGAGACCTTTTGGCTTCCAGACACGTTTGGATACTCGAGCCAGCTCCCTCAGCTGTGCCGCCTCGCTGGCATGGGCCGCTTCCTGACCCAGAAGCTCAGCTGGAACAACATCAACAACTTCCCGCACACGAGCTTCAACTGGGTCGCCTTGGACGGCACCCAGGTGCTCTGCCACATGCCGCCTTCGGAGACTTACACTGCCGATGCGCACTTTGGCGATGTCAAGCGAAGCATCGAGAATCACAAGTCTATGGACGCTGATCACACCTCACTCCTCGTCTTTGGCAAGGGAGATGGCGGTGGTGGTCCGACCTGGGAGCACCTCGAGAAGCTTCGTCGTTGCCGCGGCATGGCCGACACTGTTGGCCTGTTGCCGACTGTGCACATGGGCAACACTGTGGACGATTTCTTTGCTCAGCTTGAGACCAAGGCTGACAAGCTCCCCACCTGGAACGGCGAGCTCTACTTTGAGCTCCACCGTGGCACTTACACCACCCAGGCTAACAATAAGCTGAACAACCGCAAGGGAGAGTTTATCCTCCGCGATATCGAGATGCTGGCCACTTTTGCGTCTCTCAAGGACAGCTCGTTCAAGTATCCCAAGAAGGAGATCGACTTCATGTGGGAGGCCGTCCTGCTCTGCCAGTTCCACGACTGCCTGCCCGGCAGCTCCATCGAGATGTGCTACGACGACTCGGACGAGCTGTACGCCGAGGTCTTCAAGACCGCCAAGCGCGTTCTCAACGACATCTACAAGGCCCTGGGCGTCTCCGACCAGCCCGCCATTGCCGGAGCCACGGAGGTCGCGCTCAACACTCTGCCCTGGCACCGTCGCGAGGTCGTCGACACCGCCGACGGCAAGGGCGCCATCGCCTCTGGCGCCGGAAACCTGCTGACACTCGAGCCCATCCAGGCTGCTGGTGAGCCTGCCGTCAGCATCAATGAAGTCAACAAGGGTGTCTTCGTCATGCAGAACGATCAGCTCCGCGTTCAGATCGAGGACGGCGTCATCACGTCGCTGTTCGACCGCAAGGCCGACCGCGAGGTCCTGGCCAAGGGGGGCAAGGCCAACCAGTATGTCATCTTTGACGACAAGCCGCTCTACTGGCAGGCGTGGGACGTCGAGGTCTTCCACCTCGAGTCGCGCAAGGAGCTCGCCAGCGGCCCTTCGGAGATCAGCGAGGACAAGGGCCACCGCGTCAGCGTCGTCACCAAGACCAAGATCAGCGAGCTGAGCTCCCTGGTCACCACCATCAGCCTCTCGGCCGCCATCGAGGGCGAGCTGTCGTCGGTCGAGGTCACCTGCGACGTCGACTGGCACGAGTCGATGAAGTTCCTCAAGGTCGAGTTCCCCGTCGACATCACCAACGACGAGGCCTCGTACGAGACGCAGTACGGTCTCGTCCGCCGGCCCACGCACTACAACACCACCTGGGACATGGCCAAGTTCGAGGTCTGCTGCCACAAGTTTGCCGACCTGTCGGAGCACGGCTACGGCGTGTCGGTCCTCAACGACAGCAAGTACGGCTTCGCGACCAGCGGCAACGTCATGCGGCTGTCGCTGCTGCGCTCGCCCAAGGCTCCCGACGCCCACGCCGACATGGGCGCGCACCACATCCGCTGGGCCATCCTGCCGCACGCGGGCCGCCTCGGCGCGGCCACGGTCCGCAAGGGCTACGAGTTCAACAACAAGCTCAAGGTGCTCTCGGCGCCCGACCCGCAGGCCGTCGCCGCCACGGGCCTCGTCGGCAGGTGCCCCGTCCGCCTGGCGGGCGACGCGAGCCTCGTGCTCGACTGCGTCAAGCGCGGCGAGGACGACGAGGACGTCGGCCGCGACGAGGGCATCCCGCGCCGCAAGGGCCGCAGCGTCGTGCTGCGCTTGTACGACAGCCTCGGCGGCAGGAGCCGCGGCGTCGTCGAGACGAGCTACGACGTGCGCAAGGTGTTCAAGACGAACGTGCTCGAGGACGACCTCGAGGAGGTCCCCGTCGACGAGCACGGCCGGTTCGCGATCGAGCTCCATGCTTTCGAGGTTGCGACTTATCGTCTGCAACTTTGAAGGGGGGATGTGAGAAGGTGTTTTGAGGGGTTCGAGGAGGTTTGATTGACGTGACTTGACTTGACATTGCAAAGGACACAGATAAGGATCACATTGTTTGCGTTGATTTTTTTCTTTCCTGCTGGTTGTTTGAAGTTTTACGTTCAATCCTGAGAGGAAGGGTTGCTTTTGAGATTTCATAGGGCTGTACCTACCTACATCTATCTCAGCCTCGGTCCAGAGCTACAGGGTTGTCATCATGAGCAACACACTGGTCATGCTTGCTGTGGAGAAAAGGGTTGAGTTTGTTTTTTTGCTCGTGGTTTGAGTTCTTACGTACATACTGAGAGACAGGGAGATCGATAGGGCTGTGTCATATCGCAGCCTCACTTCAGAGATACAGAGTTTCTCTCTGGAGAAAGAAAGGTCCCTCAGTCCGTCCGTCCGCCAGTCAGTCAGTCAGTCAGTCAGTCAGTCAGTCATAGTCACATCGAGAGCAAGAGGTTAGCTACAGTAGTCACAGGCACGATGCACAACACATGTGCATCATCGGTATGAAAATGCGAAGATATTTGCTCATGGGAACCAAACATCGTGATATTCTAGGCCATGCATGCCTTTTCAGCCCGTGACTCTGCATCATATGAACTTGTAGAAAGAAGAAGCTATGATTTGACCCAGGTTTCCTCGTCCTTGAACTGACATGAACAAATGTAGACGCTTCGTTGTTCTTTTGTGTTTTTCAAACAAACCCAGCTCGAAGACGTAGTAATACACCGAAGGAAGGGAGAGAGACACCTGTCCTGCATGTCTGCTCTGTTATATACCTGCCACTCTCACCCATCACCGAACCGAAAGGAAACCTCACGCCCCGTCCTCAGGCAGCTCCTCGACGACCCTCTCCACCATCCCAATCAGCTCGTCGATATCAGGCCGCTCGGCCGGCTCGACGGCAAGACACCTCCTCACGACATCGCGGATAGAGTCCGAAATCACCGTCTCTCCCACCGCACCAGCCGCCGCCGCCGCCGCAGCGCCGCCGCTCTCGCCCAACCCCGTCCCGACGCGCGCCTTGCCCTTGCCGCCGCCGCCGCCGCCGGGCTTCTCGTCCGGGAAGCGCCAGTCGCCGCCGAGCACGCAGATGCTCAGCGACCCGCCCGTCTCGTCGCTGCGCATCTCGAAGGGGGACTTGCCGACGAGGCAGGCGTAGAGGGTGCAGCCGAGGGACCAGATGTCGACCTTGGTGTCGATGACGGCGCCCGTCTTGACGTCGAAGAGCTCCGGGGCGCGGTAGGGCATGGTGCTGTGCTCGGCGGCCGTGTCCTGCGTCGCGATGGCGAGGGACCGCGACGTTATGGCTAAGGGGGAGGCGGCGATGGAGCCGAGGTCCATTAGGATTGGGGTTGTGCCGTCGTCGGAGATCATGATGTTTCCTGTATAAAGTGGATGTGCGTGTTAGCCAAACCTTGTTCCCTGTTTTCTTTCGGCGCTTGTGTGTAGCACTAGCAGAGGGCCAGGAGGGGAGAGACAAACCAGGCTTGATGTCCCTGTGCGCATAACTCCTGACCTCACCGGCCGGCACCCCCTCGTCGTCCCCGCCCACCATCAGCGGCCGCTGCTGCTCCGTCTCGTCGTCCTCGTCGGCGCCCGCCGGCGCGGCGCTCGGCGCCACCCTCCGCCCGCCCTTCTTGTGCTGCTTGGACCCTTTCGCCCCCTCGACGTCGGGGTCGACGCCGTTGGTGCGCATCTCCATGCGTTCGGGGCCCTGGGGCCGGTAGCGGTGCATGTCGCGCAGGGCGCGGCACACGCCGAGGAAGAGCTGCATGAGCCGCCGCTCGGGGAAGGACGTGTGGTTGACGAGGTTGGCGTTGATCATGTCCTGCAGGTTGCCCCTCCGGTAGTAGGGCAGCAGCACGTAGACCGTCTTGGCGGCGTCGTCGCGGCCGCTGGTCCCTCCGCCCGAGGTGAAGCCGCCGCCGCCGCCGCCGCGGTCCGTGGCGATGCTATAGTCGACGCTGTGGATGATGCCGGGGCTGCCGGAGAAGAGCTTGTAGGCATCGACCTCCTTCATGGCCTGGGCGACCGACTCGGCGCCGAAGGGGCAGCGGATCTTTTTCAGGGCGAGCAGCTCTGATGTGCTGGTGTCTTGGACGAGGTAGACGTAGGAGAAGCCGCCCTAGAGAAGAGTGTCAGTTAGACTGTCGCTCGTCGTGCGCCCCAAAGGGGTAGGCCCATGCGCAGGGGAATGTCTTTACCTCGCCGAGTAGGCGCAGGATCTTGAAGCTCCGGCCATTGATCTTGAGAGTCGGCGACCCGGGGAAGCAGTTGAGGCAGTTGCCAAAGGAGTAGACGAGATCAAGCAGCACTTGCGCCATCTTGGTTATGGGGTGCCTCGCCAGTGAGTGGACAGAGCTGAGGCTATGCGCAATTGAAAGTCGTCGAGATCGAGAGGTACTTCGGGTGCTGCGGTGCAGCAATGTCTGGCTCGGTTGGAGCTGGTGATCTTATCAAGACGGAAGCTCGGGATCGACACGAGTCTCGCAATGCATCCAGTCAGCGACGAGGACGCTAGCAATGTGCTGCCGAATGATGGCTCCTCCCAATCGCCTGTCTATCTTGAACAGGTACTTCTCGAGTCGGTGTATTGAGTCCTGCGTGGCTCTTGATTGTGCGATTGAGGAATTGAAGCTTTAACGGACATCAGACAGGATGACAGAAGGCCAGCTTCACGATTCGTGGTCCAATTGGATCAACGTCACGGGCGTGGATCCTCCACCTCTCAGCGGAAGCACGGTCCTCCACAGCGGGCTGTGCGGGCTGCCGGGTCCCTGCAGCGTCCCAAAATAGGCGGGCCTCAAGTGGCATCTCCACTGACCGGAGAGCTAATGAGCCACATCACTGACGCCAGCAAGATATCGAACTGTATCTCACCACGGAAGACAAAACACATTCATAAAATAAAAAAAAACTCTTTTTCTCTCTCTCTTGCCTTCTCGTAAGAACAATATCACCGTCATCATCGAGGCTACTTTAGTGCCAGGCAGTGTTACGCAAATCCTGTATGGAGTAACGATGTACCCCCGGAGATGAGGGCAAGTTCAATTCAATGTAGTTATGCATCGACCTAGGTAACTATCGGCTCTGAGACTCTCTTCCAAAACCCAGCCCCGATATCGTCTCTGTCCCAAGAATATTTGTCCATAGATGACCTAGTTTCTCCTCTCCACTGCTCTACTCGTTGTTACCTGGGTTGCCGGAACCTCGAGAAAGTTGATTCCCCTTGGCTTGAATAACGACTTTGGAGCCTGGCCCATAAGACGGAACTAGGCCACTTATCTCAAGGAGGGATCGTTGGCGCAGTGGTAGGGCATGGGATTGCGGATATCATGGTTGTGGCCTTTTCTTTTTTGCATCTCCCCTTCCTTGTTGGGTTTTCCTGTCTTTGCATTGTCATTCTTCCACCTCTTTTTTCTGTGTTTTCAAAAGCATCCAGAGGCTGGAGATGTCTCGACAATGGCTAGGGTTGACAAGCCTGCGGTGGTGACGTTCCAGGATTGTGCATTCGAGAGAAAGGCATGTCTTGCCTGCATACGACCGGGCCTCAAGGGGACCGAGGGTCAACCAGGACGATGTTAACCTCTGGTATTTCACTTCCGTGCGACGACCCGCCCCTTCTTGCTCTCCTCTCCCTTCGAAACCCCAGGAGTTCCACCTGGATCTCGTATCTCTGAGGACCTAACTCATTGAGGGATCTTGCCAGTTCATCGACCATGACCTCTTCACCGTACGTGAGCTCATGGTGCTCGTAGCCCACTGGCCGCACGGTGACATGGACGTACGGCACAAAGTTTCTATTCAGAGAGCCGCTCTGGGCGTCAGCGAAACATACCTGCTGGGGTCCCTATTACGGGACAGTTCATGGCTGGAGCTTGGGAGGAATCTTGACTTGGTCTTGTCACGTACCTATGTCTCTGGGCTTCCAAGGCCAAAATGCTGCAGAGAATGACGATAATAGGATGATGCCCGGGCGGGCGGGACCCGACGCCGCGCCAGATGATCTGCCGTTGGAGCTCTTCGTATCGTCGTGAGAAGGACATGGCTGAACGGGTCTATAGTTTGACTTGTGTGTTGATATAGTTCTGGTTGATTGGAGCCACCGGGACACTGATGCTGTGACAAGGACGAGGTTGAGCAGGCGGCAGGAACAGATACTTCGAGTTCAATGAAGAGTAGATAGATCATTTCCTGATCCAAGAGGACGCCCTTGTGCCTTTATACTTGATGCTGGGATAGTTGGGGGCAATGCTCGCTGAAATCAGCTCAAAAGGAGGTGTTCTGGCTCGTTGGCATCTGAACTTTCTCACGAACCCCATGGACCTTCTTCGTGGGGAGCCGGCCGGTAGATAACAACCATGGATGCGAGGCAGTTGAGAACCATGGAATGGGCTTCCGGACGGATTGACTGGCCCCGTGACTCTGCTTCATCGTGTCCAGAGCACATATGAGGCGGTTTGGCTCGGATGGGACGAAGGCTGCAGTTCCATTGTAGGATAAGACGGCATGCCTCAGAACAACACTCCGTCAGGATGTCAAGTTGATGAACCCTAAAAACAAACAGCATGGAAAATAATGCGGAATAGGTATAATTCAAAGGAGTTTCAATATTTGTTGGAGCACAAACTTCAAAGTCAAAGGGGCCAAGTTGTTGTGTCCACCATCGTCCGAAACAGACCAGGAACGAGAGAAACAGGTGTCTTTGGAACACACCTTAAACCCACACACATTACAGACATTATATTAAGACATGTGGGAATATACATAGTCGTTAGGCCTCTAGAAGTAAAGAAGCAACCCGAGCCAGCCCACACCCACCCAACCGCAGTCCATGTCCCTTCTTCCATCGTGATCAAATCAACACTAACAAAAGAAACCGAAGAGAAGGGGGAAAAAGAGGTCCCAAAACAAATGAATAAGCCAGGGTGGTATCATCGCTAAACAATGCCCGCCATCGTCATGCAACCACAATAGCACGTCGTCAGGTCTATCCGCCCTTTCATCACACACACACAGAGAGAGAGAAAGCCCTCGCATCTCCTCAAACGTCGTACAGCCCCGAAAAAAAAAGGCAATTCTCCCCTTTCCCTTAAAAGGCATCCTCAAAAGGACAGTCAACACTGTCGTGCCCGTCCCGCTCGCACAGAGCGCACCACTTGTCCGCGTCCACCACGCCGCTCTCCTTGCCCGCCACGGGGCCCGAGTCCATGGGGTTGGGCAGGATCCTGACCTCGGCGGGCACAGCCGGCGCCGGGCTCGCCTGCTGTTGCTTCGGCGGCGTCGCCACCACCCTCGGCTTGATGGGCGACAGCGGCGGCACCGCAGCCGACCCCTGCCGCACGTGCGCCGACAGGCCCTTGAGCCCCTCCCGCACGACGTCCTTGCCCGTCCTCGCGGGGTCACCGCCGCCCTCGTGGCCGTTGGCGTCCTGGCCAAACATGTTGGTGCACGTCAGGATGTCGTGGCCCGACGTCTCGCAGATCTCGCACCAGAGGGTACTAGTCTCGGTGACGGACGAGTAGGCGTCGCTCTCGGGCATCGTGTCGAGCGTCAGGCCGCGCGAGTGCGTCTTGTGGTGGTGGTTATTGTGATGGTGAGCCTCGGGGGAGCGCGCCTCGTAGTCGCGGGCGAGCACGACGGTGCCGCGCGAATCCCGCAGCGACGAGCGGTTGTTGTTGTTGTTGCTGCTGCCCAGGGTCATGGAGCTATCGCGCTGGGCCTTCGAGCCGCCCCTCCTAAGCTGGTCGAGCTCGCGCTCCATCTCCTCCTCGCGGTTGTTCTTATTATCCAGCAGAGCTCTGAGGTCGGCGACTTCCCGCTCCAGCTTCTCCCGCATCATGCGGTCGCCCAGGGACTCGTTGCGGCGGTGTGCTTTCCACGGTCCCTGTCGCGGTTGTGGTGTCTTCTCTGGGGAGTCCTGGGGGACGGAATCCCGACTCAAAGAGTGAATGATTGCCTTCAGACCTCTAATCTCATCCTCCTTCTGCTCCAGCTCTTTGGATATCGACGATCGATCTCCGTTCATATGACCTCCTCCCTTCATGCTCTCTTGTGCCTTCTCGCGTTCTCGTCGCAGTTCGGAGCGTGTCCTCTCGACCTCGCCCCTCAAGAACTCGACTTCACCTCGTGCTTCAGCTTCTCCTCGCCGAGCATCTTCGAGGCCCTCTTCTAACTCCTGGACTAAGCTTTCCAGCTGCTTAAGCTGCTGAGCTACCGTCGCGACATCGGAAGTGCGTTCCTGGGCCTCGTTAAGCTCCTGCATCAGCTCCTCGATGCGCTTCTCGTACACTCGTTCCGTCTCCGTGCTGGCCATCTCGAGCGTGTCGATCGTACTCCTGAAATCGGCGCGGTGGGCGTCGAATTCGGCGGTAAGCATCGCAATCTTTTCATTCTTTTCCCGGACCATGGCGCGCAGCTCTGTCGCGCCTTTGTCGTCGATACTTCCTCGACGGAAAGCGGGACCTTCGGGGTTCTCAATCAGAGTCTGCAGCTCCGTCAGACTGCTCTCCATCTCGGACAGTGTCGCCGCTTGTTCCTTGAGCTGCTTGTCGCGATCTTCGAGCTGCGTCCTGAGCCGCTCGACTTCGTCGTCATTATGGTTGTGGGCGCGAGAAGCCGTGCGCGAAGGAGGGCGGATCTTGTTGTTGAATGACGAGACCGAGCCAAAACTACCATTCGTCTTGGTCCTGTTGACTCCAACGGGCGTGGTCTCATCGTCGGTAGCGTTCGACGAGTTCCCGAGCGCGGACGCGCTTCGCGGGCCAAGGCTGCCCTTGCGCTCCGGTCCCAGTCCCCTCTTGCTTGGATCGCCAGCCGTGCCACGGACACTCTGAGAAAACTTGTTGGCTGTAGGGCTCCCGAAGCGGGACGGCACTTTAGATGCCGGGGTCGGTATGGACGGCTTCGGTCCTGGCGTCATTTGCAACCTGCGCACGGGCGAGTCTGGCCGTGGCAGAGACGTCCTAGGCCTCTTGCCCGAAGGGCTGGGCGCGCGTCCGGGGCCAAGCGACTGGCTGAACTTGGGAAGTGAGGGCGTGGGCGGAGTGAAGTTGGTCGAGTTTTGGCTCGCGACCTTCAGGCCAGAGCTCGCAGGCGTGTGAGGAAATGAACCTCCAGCCATGGGAGAAGCGTCGCGCTTAGCGGCTTTCGAGAGAGGCAGGAAAATGCCAGCGCCTGGTTTGGAGGTCGTAAAGTAGTAAATCCTATGCGCAAGAAAGACCTAGTCAGCCCCCGAAACATTTCAAGTAATAGAGAGCGCGGATCTCATGCGTACCCGTCGACATCACCACTGTTCTTTCCCCGCGACGCAAAGTCCGCGCTCAGTTCCACACCAGCAAAGGTACCTTTCCGTCCCTGCACGGAGCCGATGAAACGGACGGTGCCATGCATGTTACCCGGGACGTCCACGGCGTCGCCCACAACAATGTCGTCGCCGCGTCCGCCAGCGGCGGTGGCTCTGCCCGGGGTGAGGGGCGGCATGGCTGTCCTAGAGTTGCTGCTGCCTTCGGGGTTCTCGTGCAACGTGTTCAGGGCGTATGTCTCGGAGGCATCTGGGATGGAGGCTAGCGAATTCTGGGTCAGGGCCGCAAGAGAGCCCTTGCGCGCGAGAGACGGTGGTGCAAGGCGGCTGGTGGAGGCAGAGTGCGCGCTGTAGAGAGAGTTGAGGTTTGGAGTCGAGGCGGGTTGAGACAGGCCGGAAGGGCGAGGACGGCCAGGAGTGCGCGGGAGGGTGCGTGTTGATGTTGTTATGGTCGAAGTCATGGTGGTGACACGGCCTCGGCACTAGAGGCGCACCAGCAACGCCCTATTTCCTCTGCCAAAAACCTGCTAACACCTTCTTAGCGACCACCAATCCGGGCACTAGTAAACGTCTTTTTTTTTTTTACTGGGACGACAGCCATGGCCTGTGGGGGGGTCACCTTCAGGGAGTGGAGGGGGATCAATAGGGATGGATGTGCGGATCCCAGTTCCAGAAGACCCGTGAACCTAGCAATCCTAGCGAGCTGGATGATGGATGCACTGGCGGGACCAGAGAGGAGCCTTTGGCGGTACCTCTCCCATCCAAACGGGCCAAAAAGCGAACCAAAGGAGAGGAGTTCGACCGGCCGCTAGGTATGTAGGTATGTGGTCATCAGGCATGTGGAATAAGGATGTGCCCGCCACAATGTCTCATTTGTTTACTCGCGCCAACCGTGTGGGCGAATAACACGCTGAGCTGTGTCTCGATGCGCGCGTGGTGTGGTGTGGTGGTGCTCATGTCCCGGTGTGTGTGTGTGGGGGTGAGTTGAGAGGGAAAAGCAGCACTGACCTTGAATTCTTCTAGTCTCTCTCTTTCTCTCCTGGTTGGCTCAGGGCCGTCTTTGGCGACCAGAAATCGGGAGCTGAAGGGCTTGTTCAGGTGGCCAAGGCTTGCACCATAGGATCTTTGTGCTTGTTAAGATCGAGATGTCGAGTCTTGATTAAGATTTGGGGCGGTATAAATGATATTTGTGCACAGGGGTGCCAGGCAAAGAAGCAAAAAAACGCGATATTGAAGAGCCAGGGGAAAGGGGTCGGATGCCGTTGCCGGAGGACCGTGCTTCGCCAACGATCAAATTCACTTTTCTAATCCAGGGGGGTTCCGCCCATTCGGGAGTATGATGGACGTGCCTGGGGGGCGAGCAATAGGGAGAGATAGAGAGGAGGGAAAATAGCAGGCTCAAATAAGGCTATGGGTTGAGATGGATACTTTGTTAGAAAGACGTTTGGGAAGAAAGCAACCGCCTCTGGGATCTTTAAGAGGAGACGAGAGAAAGAGAGTGAAAACCCTCCGCCTCCTCCTCTCTCCGAGATTACGTCTTCCACAAAAAGAGCCATCCCAAAGAAAAACAATGCAACATCGGGTGCTCTCCATTGGGCAGCATCGCGACACCGCAACATCGCCAGAGCACCCGTGGCTGACAATCCCATCCATCTCCTTCCGGCCCGGCGCCATTGGTCGACAGAGGACCAGGGAGCGGGTCGGCTACCTTACCGCTCTGGGAGCTGAGAGGCGCTGTTCGCGGAAATGATCATAGTTAGCAGACCGCCTGATGCGATGCATGTGCACTTGTTCCATTGAAGCTTGCAAGGCCCTGCCCTCAGACTCCTTCGAGAACCGAGGCCGAGCAAAGTATTACCCTTCCGGGGTCTCTTCCTCTTCTTCTTCTCAATCCACTTAGCCAAAAGTCGTGTAGCTACCTACCTACCTTGGTACTCCGTACTAGTATGTACTTGTAGTCAGATCCCAGAGAAACGGACATGGGACTTCCGAAATAGGTAATGTACTCAAGCAATACCCGGACAAAACGTCCATGGCTGCATGTCCCATAAACCTTAATCATTGTGTTCTGAATGTACTTTTCTTTTCTTTGGGTATCAATACGTCTTCGCTGGTTAATTGCTGCCACAAGAGATCATACCATGAGCCTCGTGTCTACTCATGCTCTCGCTCAAAGATGTCTTCTCGACCAAACGGCCGACTCCCATCGTTCAATACCATAGCTTCCCGATGTTGCCGCCTAAGCCGCTGTTCTTCGACGCTCTGCTCCATAGGTCGTGGCTGATGGCCCTCCGCCTGTATCGTCACCTCCTGATCCTCGCCAAGTTCGTTCATACTAATAGACAAGACAACACTGATGCGATTATTAGGCACAGGCATGCTTCTTCCCTTGGGAATGAGTTTGGCCTTCTCCAGCGCATCGATGCCCAAGCGCGTCGCCTGTATACGCGCATAGAGCTCCGTGATCCTATTTTGATGGTGATGCATATATTGGTCGAAGTTCTTCTGCCTCTCCTCATCCGAGTCGCCCCAGTTCTGTTTGGCGAGCCATTTCTCGATAAATTTGGCCCTTACGAGGTCCTGAGGATCGTACTTATTGATGAGCTGCAGGAGAAACATGAGGAGCATCTTCTCGGACATGTCGCGTAGGATGTAGTCGTCGAAAGTGTTGTCGTCTAGCCTCGAGTAATCCGCCTCCTGGGCACATAGTTCCAGCGACCGGACAAACGCCAGATACGCCTTTCGGTTGTTGAGCAAATGTAGACTGTCTATGGTTGTGTCAGCACGCCATCCATCTGACTTCCTTTGCTTGCTGCCCATCTACCCACGTTGGTCTGTGATCATAGCCAGAGCACGCAGATTCTTCATTCTCTCGTCGTAGTTCGGGCGAGTAATTCCCCAAAGCAGATTGTTCACAGTGACGCCGTCGTTGACTGATCTATCGCAAACGATCTTGGCTGCTGTATCTCGGATCGCATAGTTGTAGTGGCCGAGGAGAGTCTCCAAGGTTCCCAGTTTGAGGGAATCCTCGGTGTCCTGCGTAATGTACTGTGTCTTGGGCTGCACCGGTTTGATCACGGCCGAGTCGCGATACTGTATGAGTAGGAATCGCATCATCGCGATGGTCGACAAGGTGACTGCGCCGAGGCTGGCGAGGATGAAGCGCTCATCCCGAGCGAAAGAGAACCAGCCCATCGTGTCACATTGTATGGATCCCAAGTAGTTACGAAACAAGAATGCTCCCAGTGAGATGGATGTCCGCCTCGACAGATGCACCTGTCCGAGCTTCGTTGATGATATTAATCGCCGTCGTGTCTTTAGGTTCAGGTACCGACCTACCTACCATAGCTAAGAAATGTACCTAATTATGCCAGGACGTTGACCACCTGCACTTAATGCGGGACTCGCGATAAGATAACAACCAAAAAAAATCCAACGATAAGCAACCCCATCTTCACATTCTCAGAGCCTAAAAAAAAGTCGCCCAGGTTCTCGATATACATTTTTCTCGGCCAAAGACCAGCTTACAACATGGCCGGGTCGCAATTGAAGAGGCTGAAAGCCTCTCTACGGGAACAAGGTATTATCGGCCCTCAGCAGTCAAAGAAACAGAAGAAGAAGAATGCGCAAGATGCCCAGGCGCGCAATGACAAGCGAGTCCAGCGGACCGCCGCCCTCGAGGGCATCCGCGAGCAGTTCAACCCTTTCCAGTTCAAGATGAACGCCCGTGGTCCCAAGTTCGAAGTTACTCGGGATAGACCACAGACAAAGGAGGCCGCTCGGGGCATTAAAGGACGGCCCGGCGTGGCCAACTCTGTTGCAGAAGAACGGGTAAGTTTTACTTTGGGCGATGATCCTGCGAATTTTATGCTGACCCAGAGAAACAGCGCCGTCAAACTCTACTGGTCGATATGCAGCGGCGGAACAAAGTCGGTGGTATCATCGATCGCCGTTTCGGCGAGGACGACCCGACAATGACACCCGAGGAGAGGGCGCTCGAACGATTCGCCCGGGAGAAGCAGCGAAGCCACAAGAAGAGCTCCATGTTTGACCTAGAAGATGACGAGCCCAGCTTTGGTCTCACTCACATGGGTAAATCCCTGACCTTCGACGAGGACGACGCTATGCGGGACGACTTTGACGAGAAAGACCTACCTTTCGACGAGGAAGACTTTGCGGGCATGGATCGCAAGCGCCTTAAGCGACTGAGAGGAGAAGACGACGCGGATGATGACGAAGCAGGAGAACAGGTGCCCGAGCGGAAGAAGAGCAAACAAGAGGTCATGAAGGAGGTTATCGCCAAGTCGAAGCTGCACAAGTACGAACGCCAGGCTGCAAAGGAGGAGGACGAGGACCTCCGAGCAGAGCTGGACAAGGAGCTTCCTGATCTGCAAGCTCTTCTCTTTGCAAGGAGAAGCAAGCAGCAGGGCCTCGCGACAGCGAACGGGGAGGCCGGCAAGGCTACAGCGATTGGCGGCGTTGACAAAGACGAGTTTGAGAAAGCATATGATACCCGTGTCAGGCAGATGATACAAGACCGAAGGGCGGCACCGACGGAAAGAACAAAGACTGAAGAGGAGAAGGCTGAAGAAGAATCGAAGCGCCTGAAAGAGCTGGAGGAGAAGCGGATGAAGCGGATGCGCGGAGAGGAGGTCAGCGATGAAGAGGAGGAAGAAGAGGACGAAGAAGAGGAGCAGTCCGAGGAGGGTGGTGCCAGTGACGAGGAGGCTGAAGCCGATGAGTTCGGCCTGGGCAAGGGTATCAAGCTCCGCCCTACAGCAACCGAACTTGGCTTCGAGGACGAGGATGATTTTATCATCGATGATGATCTCGTCGCGAGCGGCTCAGAGATCGACGTGGATGAAGATGACCTTTCCAGCGACAACGACGAATCCGAATCTGATGGGGTTGAAGATGACGAGGAAGATGAGTTTACGAAAGGTCTTCTCACCGAGCAAGAGAGCAAGGACCCTATGTTCAGCGAGGTTGTCAAGACGAATGGAGACGCCAAAGACGATGATGATGGAGTCCCTTATACCTTCCCCTGCCCTCAGTCTCATGATGAGCTGCTTGATGTCCTCAAGCCGATACCCAGCAGTAAGCTCATTGTGGTAATCCAGAGGATACGCGCTCTCCATCACCCCAAGCTGGACAGTGGAAACAAGGAGAAGTTGGGACGTTTTGCTCGAGTGCTTGTTGAGCACATCGCCTACCTCGGCAACCACTACGGCCAAAGCACATCTCCTGCCCTCGAAGGCCTCATCCGCCACGTCCACTCTCTGACCAAGATGTTCCCCGTCGAAGTCGCCAAGCAGTTCCGTGAGCACATCAGCGAGATGGAGTCCGAGCGGCCCCTGGCCCTCGAGGCTGGGGACCTCGTTCTGTTCACAGCGATCAGCACGATCTTCCCAACCTCTGATCATTTTCATCAGGTTGTCACGCCTGCCATGTTGGCGATGGCGAGGTTTCTCGGACAAAAGATACCCAAGACACTGTCCGATTACGCCACAGGTGCATATATCTCCCTCCTCTTCATCCAGTATCAGCAGTTGTCGAAGCGGTACGTGCCGGAGGTGATGAACTTTAGCATCAACACTCTTTGCGCTCTCGCCCCTGTTGAGGTGAAGGATTCTCCCGGGTTCGTCCCCATCCATCGACCGAACTCGGAGACTCGAGCGAAGAGTGCGCAAAAAATTCAGGTCCGCAAGTTGAAACTCAGTGACTGCACAGGCTCTGAGTCCGCGAGCCCAAAAGAGGATGAAAGCCTCAAGATTGCGATCCTCTGCACGACCACCGCCCTGCTCGTCGCCGCTGCCGAGATCTGGAGCGGCAAGCCGGCGTTTTTCGAGACCTTTGACCCCGCCCTCAAGGCGCTCAAGCACCTCGGCAGCAAGGCCTGCAAGGCGCAGCTGCCCGCCGCCCTGAGCCAGGAGCTCGAGCGCGCCGCCGCCACGCTCGAGCGCATGCAGCAGGTGGCGCGCCTCTCGCGGCGCCCGCTGGAGCTGCACCACCACAAGCCGCTGGCCATCAAGACGTACGTGCCCAAGTTCGAGGAGACCTTCGACCCCAACAAGCACTACGACCCGAACCGCGAGCGCGCCGAGGCGGCCAAGCTCAAGGCCGAGCACAAGAAGGAGCGCAAGGCGGCGATGCGCGAGCTGCGCAAGGACGCGCACTTTATGGCGCGCGAGACGCTGCGCGTCAAGAAGGCCAAGGACGAGGCGTACGAGAAGAAGTACAAGCGCCTCGTGGCCGAGATCCAGGGCGAGGAGGGCCGCGAGGCCAACGCCTACGAGCGCGAGAGGCAGGCGAGGAAGAGGTCGAGGAACAAGTAGACCGACGGGGCGACTCCTTGCCGTTGGGAGTGGGGGTTGGTAGAGGGGGAGGGTGGGTGGTGGCGATGCACACTGGCGTTTCTGGGGCCTTGCTCCGTTGTGAAGCATGGGCAAATAAAAAGGATTTACTGCCGAAATTATACCTTTGTCGTTCTGGTCAGATCTCCTCGTGCTGCTGTTGTCAACCGTGGTCGAAGCCATCTCTTGTGAGTTCCAATGCAAGTTCTATGTTGTCCACATTTACTGCTAGTAGATAGATGATTATTTCACTACGAGATAGGTAGTCACAGCTATCTTTACCTCTAAACTTAGGCAGTGAGATACTCACATTATAACCGCCTCAGATAATGGGAGAACAACATTGCTCAAGAGACAGGTTGCCTCTGGCATAGAGGCCGGTGAACGCAGGGCCGTGCGGGCCGCTGACATTGCAGGCAAAGCTTGAGGAAACGCACCGAGAGAGGACCTGCTCGATTGAAGCTTGAACCTGTTTCCTGCGGGCTTCTTGGGCTTGGGTGGTGGTGGAGGCGACATGACGGAGGGGATTCCTCGATCAGTGCTGGAGGTAAAGCTGCCAGGGCTACGAGCAGTAGGGGCAAAGGACCTGTTTCCAGAAGCAGCCGCGGCACAGCCCTTGAAGTTCAGTGTCAGACATGGTGTCTGTCTGACACACTCAACCCTCCATATGGTTGGCTTTTGCTCGTTCAACTAATGGGCGGTTAGTATGGCTCGAAGCTCTGTCTCATCATCACTCACTTGTCTGGTTCTCACACTCTTATATTCACAAAGGAACCCTTTGTAAACGTGGAAGCTTCTTCAACATTAGTCAGTGGGATAATCAACATTTTAGGGAGTAAAGACCTTGTGGAAGCTATTTCATCCCCTTCAATATTAGGCAGTGGGATAACCCAACATTCTAAGAGTCAAGATCTTTCATTTTTCCTGAGGAGTTGTAAGGTATAGAACTAGAAAACTCCAGGGCAGAAGCTCTTGAAAGCTCGCCTTGGACAACCAATGTTGTCGTGCAGCAGCCCACTGATATCAACCAGGCAGGGTTTTCCTCCATCGTCCATCACGAGGCCAAAACAAGTAGAGAAACTCTCAGATGAACGGAAAGAAACGACGCAAGAAAATGAAAAAGAACAACACCCCAGCAAAATAGAACTCCGTTGGTCAAAGATCCATGAAACCCTAAAAACAAGAGACACCAAGTTTCTCCAGCTTTTTGAAGATTTGCTCATCTTCCTTTATAAATGGTTGCGGATATATCTATGGGGGAAATATTTGTTTACAACGGCTTGCCGCCGAGGAAGTCGGACCACCGACGGACCTCAGTGGGGATACCCTCCTTGCGCGGCAGCTTCTCGCTCATGCACTGGGCAAAGAGCATGGCGGTCTGTGCAGGCACCAAGTGTTAGTGAACCACGTCTTTAGGTCAGGCATTGGTACCAGACTCACCTGCGGCTCCATGAACAACGGGACGCCAAAGTCGACGGCGTTGCGGCGCATAACGTAATCGACATCCATGATGGTCTTGCCACGGGCCTGGGCCAGGTTGAAGACGCCCTTGATGTCATACTTCTTGAAGACCTCGCGGAGAGCACGCTTGTCCTCCTTGGGGAACTCAATGACCTCCACATTGATGTTGTCCTTGGCAGTCGACTCGAGGAACTCCTTGACCTCCTTGTCGGCAGCGAAGAGCTTGTAGCCCATGGGCGACAGATAGTCGACAATCGTGGTGAGCCAGGGCTTGGACAGCTCGCCGCCGAAGAGGATACCCTCACCGGGCTCAGGAACGCGGAAGTTCATGGCGGACTGAAGGGAGGTCCAGTAGGCCTCGACGAGGTCTTTTCCGAAACAGGCCATCTCACCAGTACTGGCCATCTCGACACCAAGGAAGGGGTCGGCACCAGCAAGTCGAGTCCAGGAGAACTGGGGTACCTTCGTGGCAAGGTAGTCGCGCTTGACCTTCATCAGGTCCATGGGCTCAGGGACGTCCTTACCAACAAGAGCCTTGGTAGCGATATCAATGAAGTTGGTACCCAGAACCTTGCTCACGAAGGGGAAAGAACGAGAGGCACGGAGGTTGCACTCAATAACCTTGAGCGCAGGAAGGTGCCCCTCGGGATCGTCCGCCTTGATGATTTGCATGTTGAAGGGGCCAGTGATCTTCCACGCCTTGGCAACCTTCTCAGCAATCTCCTTGACGCGCTCCATAGTGACCTCGTCAAGGTTGGCTGGGGGAAGCACCAGAGTGGCATCACCAGAGTGGACGCCAGCTTGCTCGACGTGCTCACTGACAGCATGGACAATGAGCTTGCCCTGGGAAGCGACACCATCCACATCGATTTCTTGAGCTCCCTTGATGAACTTGGTGATAACGACTGGGTGGTCGGGTGAGACGTCTGCGGCAGCCTCAAGCTTGTCCTTGAGTTCATCTCGGCTGCGAATGACCGTCATGGCAGCGCCAGACAGGACATAGGAAGGTCGGACCAGGACAGGGTAGCCAACTTCCTCTGCGAACTTCTCGGCCTCCGCAACAGAGGTTAGCTCCTTCCACGCAGGTTGGTCGACACCGATGCTGTCAAGAATTTCGGAGAATTTTTGACGATCCTCAGCCTTATCGATATCGCGGGGGTCAGTGCCGAGGACGTTCAGGCCGCCAGTCTCCTGAAGTCGAAGGGCAATGTTCTGGGGCAATTGCCCGCCGACAGACACAACAACGCCCGACGCAGACTCCAACTCCGCGATATCGGTCACACGTTCATAACTCAACTCCTCAAAGTAGAGCCTATCGGCAGTGTCGAAATCTGTGCTATAGGTCTCTGGGTTGTAGTTGATCATAATCGTTTTCTCTCCGAGTTGGCGAAGGGCAGCCGTGGCACCGACAGCACACCAATCGAACTCGACGGAGCTACCAATCCGGTAGACACCACTGCCCAGGATGATCTTTCCGTTATCGTTGAACTCAACGTCATGAGTCGAGGCATTGTAGGTGGTGTAGAGGTAGTTGGTATCGGCAGGGAACTCGGCAGCCAGGGTATCGATCTTCTTCACCCAGGGTCGGATGCCAAAGTCGAGACGAGCAGCACGGACCTTATCTTCAGTGCTGCCGACGGCCATGGCGATCTGCCTATCAGAGAAACCCAGCTTCTTGGCCTTGAGGATGTGATCCTTCTTGAGACCTTGGAGGCTGCCCACATGCTGGAGCTCACGGGTGCAGTCGACAATGTTCTGCAGCTTGTACAGGAACCACTTGTCGATCTTGGTCAGCTCATGAACCTTCTCGACCGAGTAGTTCTCGTGGAGCATGGCCTGTCCAACGGCGAGCCATCGGCGGTCGGTAGGGTTCTGAAGCTCGAAGTCGAGGTCGGCGAACTTGTCGCCTTGGAAGCCAACAAACTTGGGGTCGACCTGGCGGATGGCCTTCTGGAACGACTCCTCAAATGTTCGGCCGATAGCCATAACCTCACCAACAGACTTCATAGCACTACCAATGTCGCGCTTGACATGCTGGAACTTGGAAAGATCCCATCGAGGAATCTTGGTGACAATGTAGTCCAAAGAAGGCTCGAAGTTAGCCGTAGTGGTCTTGGTAACGGCGTTGGGGAGCTCAGGCAGGCTGTGTCCGAGACCAATCTTGGCAGCCGTGTAAGCCAGGGGGTATCCAGTAGCCTTGGATGCCAAAGCGGACGATCGCGAAAGACGAGCGTTGACCTCGATGACACGGTAGTCAAGTCCATCCGGCTGCAGAGCATACTGAACATTGCACTCTCCAACGACACCTAGATGCCGAACGATCTTGATAGCTGCAGACCGGAGCATGTGGTACTCTTCGTCACTCAGAGTCTGACTGGGTGCGACAACGATCGAGTCACCGGTATGGATACCAAGAGGGTCGAAGTTCTCCATGTTGCAGACAGTGATGCAGTTGTTGTTGGCATCACGGACGACCTCGTACTCGACCTCCTTCCAGCCCTTGAGGGACTTCTCGACCAGAATTTGCGGCGAGAGGGTCAGCGACCGAGCGGACATATTCCTCAGCTCCTCCTCGTTGTTGGCAAAACCGGAACCGAGACCACCCAAAGCATAGGCGGCACGAACGATGATAGGGTAGCCAATCTTCTTGGCAGCGTCGAGCGCTTCATCAACAGTGCTGACAGCAATGGACTTGGCAATAGGGATGTTGATCTCGTCGAGTGCCTTTGCGAAAAGGTCACGGTCCTCACTGACTTCGAGAGTGCGGACGCTGGTACCCAAGACACGGACACCGTACTTCTCGAAAAGACCCATCCGCTGCATCTGAACACCGAGGTTCAGGGCGGTCTGGCCACCGAAAGACAGGAAGATACCATCGGGACGCTCCTTCTCGATAACGTAGGTGACATACTCAGGGGTGACGGGGAGGTAGTAGACCTCGTCGGCGAGGCTGTGGTTCGTCTGGATAGTAGCAATGTTGGGGTTGATAAGGACAGAGGCGACACCAGCCTCCTTGAGAGCCTTGAGAGCTTGCGATCCTATTGATTTCGAGAGATTCTATCAGCATGGTTGTTTGTGGTACAGGACGTGTGACTCATTGCGAGCTTCACCGCATCCTCGGTCCGGAGGTTTAAGGGGCACCAACCCGAGTAATCGAACTCTCCGGCTTGACCAATGGCAAGACCACCACTTCCAATAACCAGGACCTTCTTGACGTCGACGTGCTCATGGGGCTTTATGACTCCACTGTCGAGGTAGGCCTTCGCATCGGGAGCAGGCTGGGCAGCTGCAGTGCTCGCCCTGATAGCAGTCCGAGTGAACGAACGCTTCTGGGTGTACCTCTGATTCCTGATCTGGGTCTGAGCTTGCGCGAATGCGTTCAGACCTCCCAAGGTGAACGTCCTGGCCGAGGCGGACGTGGGAATGGGGACTCGTCGACCATGTCGGAGCAGAGCAGGAGCTCTGCCGGCAAGGCCCACGGTCGACGGCATGATATCGAGGTGCTGTCTGTGAAGGGAGAGGCGCAAAGAGGCTGTATTCCTTGGCTTCGGGATGGAGGAACGCAGCCTTTGCCTCAGCGCAAGCCAATTGGCAAAGATTGAAAGGTCAATTGGCGGTATCGAGTTGTTGAGGTTGTTAGTCACCGGAGCAGGGCGAGCACAAGGGTAGAAGAATATTTTGGCGGGGTCCCGATAAGATATCGCAGCTTTTGCACTCCCCGGTGCAATTTTTTTCTCTCCTGGTCCAGATTGGTCAAGCTTCCAGGATTTCACGCATACTCCGTAGTGGTGGATTGGCCTGAAGCCGGGTTGGGTTAGCGAGGTGTAGGGGCCGTTCTTAGCGCGCTCCCACTGTCGTCACTCTCCAGCTGTAGCTGCTCAAGCCAATACGTGCGGGCAATCTCGTGAGTGCTTTCCTTTCCTGGAGCTGAAGAAAACCGCCTAACGGGCCATTGAAGTCGGCCAAAGACTTTATTTTTTGAGGCTGATAGGATGGTCCAAAAGGAACACAACAAAGAAGCTTGATCGTTCTAACAGCCTACCTGTTTCTGGCCGTTTGTTCATGGTTGGTAAAGGTGCTGGAGGCTCGAGTTCCCCCAAGATAACCCCGTTCCAGCTGATTGGATCCTCTCAACGTTTTCCCCTTGAAGACCAGCGAGACCGGATGAAGCTAAAAACCACACCGCCGCGCCGACTCATACCAAAAGAGACAAAGACCTGAATTAGCACAAATTGTGCGAATTCAAGGGGAAATGCTGGGATGGACAGAAGATGAAATTGAAGAACAGAAAAACAGGAAGAGAAGATTAGAAAGAAAAAGAAAACCGGCATCATCCATGGGATGGATTATCCCACTACCTAAAGAACGATTCCAGTGGAATTGCCCGAGATGGTCTCTGAATCGACCCGGTGATCACCAGGTAAGGCCAGTTACACACAAAGACAAGGCGGGTGAGCCGTCCCTCTGGTAGTTCAATGGTGTGTTACAGTAACAACATAGTGAAGGGCCGCGAAAATGTTCAATGGCTTGAGTGGAATATAGACATTTGAGAGCATTAAAGTAATGTTCGATGCAGGAATAACACATTTCAAAGCTTCCCTGATTTTAGACAGATCGATCAATTCTTACGAGGGTCTGCAAGGTAGGTATGGAATTCTTGACCTCTGCTCAATGTGGATGGGGAGCATGGGGACGTGTGCAGCGGAAAGTCAAAGTAAGCACCAGGCATGACACATCCCTGTCATCGAGCCGCCCGCCTGGCTTGGAGCTCCACGCAATTACAGAGGGTACCTGACAAACCACAATGCAACACCGCATGCAGCCGACCTCCATCATCAGACAGTCCCAGCGCCGCCGAACCTCGAGCCACCTTTCCCTCCCAAAGAAGCCTGTCCGATTGTATATTGCCTGTGCCATCCACAGGACTACCACGAGGGCGGCAGTCACTCATGATGTGCAGGACGTAAAGCGACCGCGCCGACTATTCGAACCGAGACGCCTGTTCGGAGCACCACCCCTCGATGCAGCAGAGCTATGAACGATGATCCTATCCCGAGCGCCGCCGCCGCCTCGGGCAGTGAGCCCACCCACAACGACAGACCCGACGGTACCGCTGAGAATGCACCCGAAGGCAGCCGTTCCGGTGGTTCTCGCAAGCGATCGAGGTCGGCGGCGCGCAGGGCAAAGGCCGGCCTGGCCAAGAAGCTCGAGTTCACCACACATCTCATGACCAGCCTGGACATGGTTGTCTTCGCAGAGCTCTGTGCCTTGTACTATCTAGAGTAAGTCCATTTCAAAGGCATTTGTCCGAGACGTGGTCTGAGTCGCTGACGAGTGCGCGCGTCGTGTAGCTGCTCCTTCTTTCGTTTACTAATCCGCATGGGCACGCATTCCATGTTCCTGAGCCCCAAGTCCGAAGAATACCTAGCATTGGTCCCGGCGCACCGTCCCCATGTCTTTGCTGTCTTCGGCCCAAACGCCATCTGCATGCTGTTGCACATCTTCTCGTCTCTTCCCACAGCGAGCGAAGCGATGCACGGATATCTACATGGGGGTGTCATAATCGACTTTGTCGGCCAGAAGGCCCCCACGTCGAGGCTGGGCTTGCTCCTTCTCGACCTTGTCATACTAGCGATACAGTGTTTTATGTTGGCGGTGCACGCAGAGCGACAGAGGCTGAGGAAAATTGTCCTACCCTTGAGAGCTACGCAAGGGAGCTCGGCAGAGACCAGTGCCGCCCCTGCGGCGGAGACGGCTACGGTGCCGGTAGCACCCAGCCAGGATCACGACTCGGAGGAACGCGGGGTGTTAAGCAACGAGGCTGCCACTGTGGACGAAACCAATGATGTCGAGCTGAGGCAGCTCGATGGTCAGGGATCGCAAGTAGCGGCGGAAGAGGACGGGGAGAGCAGCCGCCTCATAGCTGAGTCGTCGAGGCGGCGACTCCCAGAGCTGATGGATACCTTGCGGTCTGGAAACGCGATTCTCAACGACTTTCACGTCATCCAAGCTATTAGGACCGCCGGCAATGACTACCAGGGCGCGGCGGCTTACTCTCTCCAGACATTGGGCTATACGGCCACATTAGCCAGGCTGGCTGCGGAACGTCGAGCCCGGTTGGAGATCCGCCGACGAAGGCAGCAGCAGCAGCAGACGTAGTGCAATATGATTTCTCAGCGCATTCACACGAGACCCGAATGTCACAGATATGGGTGCTGTTTGACGGTTCTATTGGGTATCATTTCAAAGATTCACGCCACCTTGCGGCCAACATTACCAACGCCTGAGCCCTTGACTGAGACGAGCACATCCGCGCCCTCGTCATCTTCCGCCTCTCGTAGACCCCAACTACTGGCCCCAAACGTCTTGAGGTCCCTGGCTAGGCCGACCACCTCCTCTGTGCCTATGACAGCTTTACTCAACCGTAACCGACCAACATCTTCTGAACCCATCGCCATCAATGTCAATACAGTCTTCGCAGCCGCCCAGCTTACACAGCCACCTTGGTCAATTGCTTCCAGTAGCTGGTAGGCACACCTCGTACCAAGATCCTCTGGTAAGACACCACCCTCGGAGGGAGCAACAACATCCGCAGAATAGATGACACCAGGAACACTGGATTCAGCCACGAGGCTCATCCCGAAACCTATGCCGACATTATTCCTCGCATCATCGCGGCCAGGCGGTGCCTCCGCAATCTTGATGTCGCTCGATAATGCATTCAGGACGCCTCGAGCGGCGTGGATCATGCGCTTGTTGTTCGAAGCTGAGACACCACTGCAGTATGCGACTCCGCCTATCTTCTTCACCCTTCCCGAGCTGCGGTTCATGTGCAGCGTCTTCGGCAGGCGGACTTGGCTGGCGAACCGGAGCTCAACGATGCCATTGCCCTTCCTGTCGCCGCGGCCGGGGCACGATCGCTGCTTGATGGACAAGTCTATTCGTGCAGGTGGAATGCCGAAGAGACCGTAGAGAGGGAGGATCGCCAGTCGGAAAGAATCGATTGACATGTCTCCGCTCTCGGTCGCGGAAGTGATGACACCAGGCCCGGAAAAGCGGACATTCATGTGTGCTTTTGAAAACGGTGCCAATAACGCCAGAGGAATGAGGAAGTAGGAGATGCCGCGAGTGCAATTGGAGGGGATGTTGTGCTCGATGATGTCGCCCTCGACCGCGCCGGCGCCGGCAATCGCACCGGTGATGAGGCCGGGATGGTACGTTATCGTCGTACCGGTGTATGAAATCTGGAAGGAGCTACCGTTTGTGACGGCCTCGAGCAGCCGGAGGAAGGAGATCTCATGCGGGGCAAGACCGGGCGCAGTGGGCGAAGAACTGCGGATGCCCGAGATGTGGATAGGTCGGCCGGTCAGTGTTGACAGCACAAGGCGTTGCGCGAAGGCCTTGTGGCCTGTGAACCGTAAGAACGCCGGGTTGGGGTTCGACATCTTGACGTTTTGAATCCTGCGGTCGAGAGATTCTGCCAGAGAGCTGTATCGTCCCAGATAAATCCTGTCGCCAGTACGGGTCCATTGGAGGAATGAATTTATTCTGCCCGGGCGGTCAACATATTTTTTTCTAGCATGCGCTTATCGTGCCCGGCCCACATCGATAACGCGCGGCGATAAGCCAAATTTCTTAGTACGTTCAGGAGCACCGATAGTGAAGGTGACGATTTTCCATACAGGCAACCTTACGCAGACTGTCGTGATGGTCCTAAGAACGAATCTTCCTGCAGTTCCCCATGCCTCCTAAAATACCTCTAGCCGAGCTGGGGACTCGGAACAACTTTATATGTCGATCTTGTTTGGGGCAGCTTCAGAAACCCCAAGCCCAATCATGGCAGCCCCGGTCATTCTTTACATCAGCTGTCGCGACAGCTCGAAAACAGTCTCCGAGAACTAAGGCGGCACCGGCTAAAGCCCCAGTTGAAGATGAGTCGGCAACTGTTCGATTCTTTCAGCAAGATGAGAGTGGAAAGCTGCGGCAGTTCAGGGATCAGGAGGATTTCTCGAAAGCTATGAACCACGATGTCGAACTGCAACTTCAAGAATTGGAGGGAAAGCTGAAGGAGGCAGGTCGCCTGATGAAGATGATCCAGGGCAACGGCGCAAAGTCCCAGACGGAGAGACTCAAGAGACAATACCGCAGGCATATGGAACAGCTAAAAGATGCCGACGACTTTAGCGTCTCGAAGCTCACGCCCGTCAAGACCACGAACCTGACCCCGACCCAGACAAAACACGTAGACAAATTGAACACACTACTACGGCGCGCGGACAAGGAATACAACAGGGGCGAGATCAAATCGAGGACGATAGCAGCAGCTTGGAACGCATATGCCCTGGCTCGAGTAGGACTCGCGAAATCATGGGACAACGTACCCGCGGACGTTTGGGAGTCCATGTGGAACATCTTTGCGGCGGATCTTGAAGACAACAACAATCGAATGGCCCATATATACATCCTCTCCAAGGATATGAACGCAGCTCGAATCCCATTGGGCGACCCCCAGCAGCTGTTGACGATCGAGGCCATGTTTGTTGAGGGCTGGGAGAAGGAGGCGATAGAAAATTGGAAGAGGGCATCTTCTGTTCTTGGTGCCAAAGCGGAGACGTTGAATGAGTACTGGGAGTTGGGCATCCGGATGTGCTCGTTGAATGGAGATCTGGACCGAGCAGAGCGAGCGTTCAAAGCCTTGAGCGCTGCTTCGTCAGACTTCAATCCGCGCATCCTTGTACCATTCATCAGGGCCTGCGCCTCGAGAGATGTCAACCATGAGAGGGGATGGGAAGCTTATCGTCGGCTCCGAGATCTCCTGGGCGACTCAATGGCTATCGAGGATTACGACGAGGTTATATCGTGCTTCCTCTCTTCGAGCCAGACAGACTATGCGCTTCACGTGTTCGTGGACATGATGTTCTCAGGGGCTATCGACGTCCATGGCAAGACCAAGCTTCCCTCAGCTGTCAGCAACCAGTTTTTCCTTGGGAAGTGGCTGAAGCGGCTGATCGGGGCTGGGGATCTTGACGGCGCTCAGAAGGTCCTGCAATTCATGCAGAGCAAGGGCATTATGGCGGCATCAGTCCAGGTCAATGGTCTCATTGGTGCGTGGCTGAGGTCCGGCACGGCAGAGAATCAGGAAAAGGCAGACGACCTGGCTTGGGCAATGATCCGCTCTCGCCATGTCTTTGTTGAGCTACGGCAGCGCGAGGCCGCGCTCGAGTGGCCTCTGCGATTATGGCAGAGCGGCAAGGTGAAGGAGAACGTTGCAGGCCTGGTTTTCGTCCCCAGGGCTACACTCGAAACCTTCTCTCTGATGGCCGAAAACTATCGGAGCCGAGGGCTGCATGGCCGGCTGGAGCAGCTATGGGTTGCGTTCAAGGAGGCCGACATCTCGACTGATGCCTTCATGATGAACCAGCTGCTCGAGTCGTACGTGCAGAACGGGAAAGGGCCGGACGCGTTGCAGATGTATCGCACCATGACCCGGGATCACGACCTTTTGCCCGACCACTACACGTTCTTGACGCTTTACAAATCGCTGCCTATCAACCGAATGCTGTGGCTGTCGGTGTCAGAGGAGCAGAAGGAGGCCGATGCTGTCGTATGCCGCGAGCTCTTCCGGGACATGGTGGGCTCTTTCTGGGTGTTTGAAGATGACAATGCCCATGAGCAGCTCGCGCGGCTCATTCTCCACTCTTTCCGCAAGGTTGAGGATTATGTTGGCTTCATTGTGGCATTCAGAACGCTCAGGGAGCTGTTCAAGTTCGCTCCGACGGATGTGCTCACCGTCGAGATGGTGGCGGAGACGCCGGATCTGCACAGGGACACGCCCCGCACTCGCAAGAGGATCGTAGAGGCTACGATGAAGATTCAGTCGATGCTGGCTGCTCAGCCGATGGCGGGGGCGGAGGACCTCGAGAACATCACGCCTGAACGGAAAAGAGACGAGCTGGCAGCTGTCATCGAGCAGTACTATAGAAGCAAGATACCCGCGACGGAGGACGAGTTCGAGGAGATGTATGATGCGGCCGCTCAGGACCTGGGCGTGTACGATACCTTGACGCCGAGCGGTACATAATCAATGTAGATCAGTGTATTTATAAATAGAGACTCGGCTCTGATGACTATCATAGCAAGTATATGATACTAAGATTTATTTTTAATCTTGAAAGTGTATTCTGGCACCTCTAGCCTCGGATCTCGAGGGACCAAACCCATACATACACGCATTGCACGAGGAAACAAAGTTGCGGCAAGCCTGCTGTACAATGACTCTTGAACATATCAAGAGGCATACGGGGTATCTTGTGGGTTCTATCCTGGTTCTATTGTCTCTAGTCGTGATCGTCCTCTGTAAGACCTGGACATCCCTCCATCGTCTCATCCGGATATGTGAACTTGCACCAGAAGCAGTAATGAAACTCCTTCCTCATGAACTCGACCAGCCTCTGCAGCTTTTCGTCCGGCTCAAGCGTATTGAACTCGTCTAACTCTGGGTCTTCTTCATCGAGGTCCTCGGCGGTAGCGTAGACGACAGTCTTGGACGTGCCCATGGCTACTTTGTCATCCTCGTCGTCCAGGTCGTCCTCATACGTAGGAAGCCGCGAAAGGCTCTGTTCCAGGTCGTACCGCATCCTCCGGTCGCGCTCAGCCTCTTCGCGTGCTCGCACCAGTCCTCTCCACAGGACATTGATCGACTTGAGTGGGCGAGAAGACATCCCACCCTTCGTCTTCTTTTGGCGCTTCCTCCTATCCTGTGCCTCATCGCCGCTGACTTCATCATCGCTCCGCTCCGTCTCTCTCCCATCCTCACCCCGCTCCTTCTGCTCGGCCATGCCCTCCGCCACCTTCTGCGCGGCGTGTACCTGCCTCTCCTTCCTCGCCGCGTCCCGCTCCCTCGCGACCCGATCCCGGAACTCGGCGGGGTCCAGGTCCTCGATGCGCATCTTCTTCTTCCGCCTCTCGGCCTCCTCGAGCGCCTCCTCGCCGACCTCCTCGCGGAACTTGCGCCGCCGCTCCTCCTCGGCGCCCACGCCGCCCCGGTCCTCCTTGACCGCCAGCCGCAGGGGCTCCGCGCGCGCGTCGGCGTTGCCCGGCGCGCCCAGCGCGGAGCCGGGCGCGAACCCCATGCGCGCCATCATGGCCAGCCCCTTGGACTTGGTGGCCTGCGGCGCGGAGAGCAGGCTGCGCGACAGGGCGGACTCGCGGCGCGCGGCCTCGTCGGCGGCCAGCTCGGCCTTGGACTTGGGCCGGGAGCGCGCCTCGGCCTCGCGGCGCTCGCGCTGGCGGCGCTGCAGCGAGGTCTCGGGCTTCTTGGCGGAGCCGCCGTCGTCGCCAAAGGTCATGGTCATGTAGTCGTCTTCCTCGTCGTCTGCGCCCGCAGCTGATGCGCCGCCAGGCGGGTTTTTCGTGGCGCTCATGTTGTTGCGCCTTGCTCTGGGCAGTCTGGGGGTTGGAGTAAAGGGAGACTGTTTTCAATCCGGCTGGGTAAACGCAAGGGAAAAGTGGAGGGTTTCGCTATGACTCGGTGTAGATGCAGTTTTCTTTTTTTTCTTCAGATTCTTGATGGGGCTTGAACGTTCAAGTGAAGCTCCAAGTAGTTCATACGAAGTTGTGGTGCAAGTAACAACATTTACTCCACATCACATCACAGAGTGAGAGAAAGCTCTGGTAGCAAGCAGGGGAAAGCACATATATCAATACAAAGAAATCAAAGTTACTTTGACAAATCTTTATTGCTAATAAGCACTTAATATAATATCTGGGTAAGTAAAAATCTTCAAGGCTGTCAGTATTGCACCTTGACTCGAGAGCGAGAATGAAGGAAGTTACCATACCATCTCTTTGATGAGTGTGAAATTGGTGGCTCGTGCATCGATCCCTGTTAACCCTGCAATCGCGCCTGCGCCAACGCTTAACGCGTCCTCCCTTTTCACACTCAATCAGTTTCTAAGACTGGACACAGAGTACCTAGGTAAGGATCATATAAGAAACCAAAAATGGCCATCGCAGAAGGAGAAGCCATGGGTTTTGAAGAAGACGATCATCAGGTAAGTCATTGTTTCTCGGCACACCTGTTTCGCTTCTCAATGACTGACGGACACCAGGCCGCCTACATCTTCAACCCCATAGAAGATGCCGAGCATGGCTCGCGGCCATCTAAAAGGCGGAGGGTATCTGGCACAGCGGAACCTGCCGGCACGACCCCCGATGATGTCTCCTCGGGCTTCGAACCCTTATTCAAAGGTGCCGAGAAAGCAGAGTGTGTGCGCCGACGCAAGGAGCTGTTCGAGACTTCGTGGGCCCCTATTGAAGATCGCATCCAGGTACGGAGAAGGCGCCCCGTCCGGGGTCCGGTTCGTCAGAATATTGCTCACACATCACCACACAGCGAGTTTTGAGAGAGGCGAATCAGAGCACGCTAGAGGAGGTCAGCGCTTTCGTCCGCCATACAGTCGACCAGACGTGAGTCCATGCACTGGCCCTGTTGACCCGACGCCCAACCTGTGCTGATTTGTACCATTCATGATAGCGAGAAGATTCCAACAGCCTTCATAGTTGCGGGGCCCAATGTTGCTTCTCAAAGTCTGCTGTTTGAGCAGCTCTCGGAGACGCTGCACGACGTTTGCCAAGGCCGATTCGTCCGCATCCGCTCCGTCGAGGCACCTAACCTCAAGGGCACGCTGAAGAAGATCATCAGGGATGCCACGAGGAGGACATCAATCGACGATGATGATGCCGAAGTTATGGTCGGCCAAGACGTTAGTCTTCAGTAATCCATTATGATACTGTGTTCTGTGGGCACAATCGGGTCTAACGCTGACGACCGGAACAGGGTAGGAAATTCTTAGACTACGACCTGGAGGCTTTGCACGCCTTTGTCAAATCGAACCCTTTACGGAGGGTCATTGTTACCTTCGAGGACAGTGAGGCTTTCGACAGTGGGCTACTCTCGGACCTTATAACCCTCTTCAAGTGAGCCAAGCCCTGTTCCTCCGCCTTACAAGTCAGACTTATTCATCGTGCTGTCTAGTTCTTGGCGTGGCCGTATTCAGTGGACGCTGCTATTTGGGGTAGCAACATCGGTAGAGCTGTTCCAGGCACGGCTCCTCAAGTCAACATGTCGCCACCTTTACGGAGGCCAGTTCGATGTAGTCCAGACAGCAGCCATCCTCGACAGCATCGTCAAGAGGGCTGTCGCTGCTGTGGATACGAGTCTTAGTGTCGGCCCCTCCCTTCTCGGATCTTTGGTTGAGAGACAAAGCGACCACGTTGCAGGGCTGCCCGTCTTTGTCGGTTCGCTCAAGGTGTGCCTTCCCGCCTTTGTCTACTCTCTCACAGCACGAACTAACAATAACTTAGTATGCTTATATGTGCCACTTCTACGCGAATCCTTTGAGTGTATTTACCACTGAAGAAGGGGCCGTCGGGCGGGGTTCTATTCAGCCGGAGCATCTGGAATCTGTCCGTTCATTGCCGTCCTTTCGCCGGCGGGTGGAAGCACTAGTCGATGCCCAAGACACCAAGACTGCCCGGTTGCTATTAGACGACGATGAATACCTTGCCGAGCAGATACAGGGATCTGTCCAAGATCGAAAAGCCTGGCTCAGTAAAGTCGCGCGGTGCCTCCACTTGCTATACGCCGCCGACATCTGGTCGGAAGGCTTTGCAAAACATTATATCGATGCCCTGTCTGACGGGATTGACCTCTCTGCTGAAGGTTCAATTCTTGCTGACCCTGTGCGGCGAATGGGGCCTGATGAAGTCCTGACCATGATCCAGCAAGTTCTCGAGGCCTACCGGAACGGTGACCCGGACTTGGCCCTAGGCGCCGAGGATAAAGAATCAGCGCTGGGGAGGTCACTACACGACATAGAGCAAGCGGTCAAAGCATTACAGGACAAAGCAGGCGCGAGCGGAGCTCAGCTGCGCAGCAAATACAGCGCGCACAGCAAGGTCCTCCGCACGACCGTCATCGCACAAAAGGTGCAGCTCAGCCGTGACACGTCGGCGCTGACTCAGGAGGACAAAGAGTTCACTGCCCTCGTAGACCGCCTGACGGATTGTCTGTCTAAGGAGTTGTCTTGCGAGGGCGCAGAAAGCGTCTTTCTCCACGAGCTCTGGCTCTACGACTCCAAGCTGCCGCACCGGGACGTCTTTGCGCCGCGCCCGGGCTCCGTGTTCCAGCGTGCTTTGACGCGACCGCACGACTACCTTGCCTGCTCGTGCTGCGCCGGCAAGGGACAAGTGCTGGCGGCCACGGAGCCGGCCACGGCCGTGCTATATCGACTGTACCTGGAGACGGGCTCGCTCGTCAACGTGGCGGATCTATGGACTGCGTTTTACGGAGTCGTCGGCAAGGACGATGCTGACGGGGATGAGGACGCTGAAAAGGACGACGGTGGCGAGGATGATGACCGCTACGACGAGAGGACGGCGCTGGTTCTCTTTTACCGTGCACTGGCCGAACTGAAAGCCATGGGATATGTCAAGGCAAGCAGGAAGAAGGCCGACCATGTTGCGAAGCTCAAGTGGCTGTGACGGAGATGTTGATTGTGGTCGTCGCGAGATTGACATGTCGAATGGCCTGGCTTTGTTGTGTCAGTCGAAACAATGCAACAGAAGAGTGACTGGCTGTCACAGCGCGTTTGGTGAATCCCTTACCGCTTCCATCCCAAAAATAGAGTTGGTGAACAAAGAAGTCACTCACTCTTTCTGTCTTTGCCGCCCGTTGACTTGTTTCATAGGCGATCTGGGAACAAAGTCAGCATGATATTATATATTCTACACCTTGCTCTCCGTAAATTTGTCTCCCAATTTGACATGAAGTTGTCTATCAGAACATTGTCTACCGTGGCTTGGAGGTGCTACCGGTGTACGCCGATCACCAGCTCTCATTTCCTCATGTAGCCTTTCTTTACATCATTCCGTTTATACCAGAAGAGGGCATTCTCAATCCCGGATTGCGGACAGCAAGCGGCAATAGCAAAGAAAGTACACCCAGTAGCGGAGCACCTCTCGTCGAGAGCAAATGACCAAGAAGATGTCTCGACGCCAGTCCAATCGCCACCACCCTTACCAATCTAAATCGAGCACATCGTCCTCGGCCCCTTCCTCACCCGTCTCTCCCACGCTGTCCGACGTGCCCTCCTGCTGGTCAGGCACAACCCTCGCCCCAGACACCGATGGCGAGGAGGACCCCCAACAGCACTGGGGAGACGAATTCCACTATCCTACGCAGCAGCAGCGGTACTACGGGCGGCCCGGCCGCTCGCCCGCCTTCGCCGCCAAGCTCCGCCAGATGGCCGGCGCCCTGATGCCCCTCGTGCAGGTCACGACGGGCCTCGTGTGCCCCGAGTTCCCCCGGACGCTGCTGCACTACTGGCTGCTCACGGGGCCGCAGCTCGACGAGCTCGCGCGCTTCTACCACCAGAGCGGCGAGCGCGGCCGCCGGTCCGACATGGCGGCGCTGTATCCCTGCCCCGTGGCGTGGGCGGCGGACCTACCGCTCGAGGAGAAGAGGCGGCGCATGGGCTACTTTATCGGGCTCAAGGTCGATCGGCGGCCGTACGTCGGGTCGCCTCGTTGGCAGCGGCAGGAGGAGGAGTGGGAGGAGGTTGGGAAGGAAGGAGACGGGGGTGAGTTCATGGATGTAGACCCCCGCGTGCCGACGGAGGACGAGATCCTGGAGAATGTCAGGAGGGCTCGGTTGGCCGAGGAGGCGAGCGAGGAGGCGCTGAGGAGGAAACTGGGGTATTATTCTTGACTTTGTTTTGTTTCTGTCTGGGCATTCCTTTCTTTTCTCTCTTTCTTGCCTTCCTTCTTCTTCACTTGTTACGTTAGGAGGAGAGAAGCAAGAAGAGAGGATATAAACAGGAGCAGCGACGCATCCCTTTTGGCGAGCGATGATAATATTTGGTATAGCATTCAATCAAGGAGAGCGTTCCCTCTTTCTACGCTTTTCATGCCATAATATGAGTCCATAACGCCGTGCATCCACAGAATGCAATATGGTATCGCTATCGCCTGGTCTCTCCTGAGAAGTAGCGAATACTAGTTATACACCGGCCATTCTTGCTGCCTAGCCATGGCTCCTCGCCATTCTCCGTCTCCTGCCAGATCCGGGAGACCTCTATTTCTTGCCCTTCTTCTTCTTGGATGCGGATGATGGGGTGGTTGCAGGAGTGCTGGACTCGACTAGGACTGCCTCGTCGTCGCTGCCCACTGTCGCTGCCTTTCCGGAAGAGGCAGTATTCTTGGCTGACTCGTCCTCGTCGAGCTCCTTCATGAAGTCTTGCGAGATGCTGGCGCGGCGCTTCTCCCACCACTCCTTCTCGGCGTCGGCTTGGGCCTGGATCTCGTCGAGCCGTGTGCGCAACATGGCATTGGCGGCGATCTCGTTGGCAGACTGGAAGATGGTCTGGCCCCAGTTGGGTGCAAGCGCATTGGCCTGAGTGGGACGATCAGCATTGGTCAAAGGACGTCAATCAAAATTGGGAACTTGGGAACTTGGGGGCATACCTCCATAACGACGTCCCTCAGCTCAGCCTCCATCTCCTGTTCAGCACGAGTGAAGCGCTGGAACAGATCATCGCCGACACTCCCTCGTTGTAGCAGCGATGCGCATGCCTGTTTTCCAGTCCGAATTTGAACGAGGCGGTGAATATCCTCTACAGCGCGGCGGAGAAGTGCTGCGCGCAGGACGCTATCGGGAACCTTGGGCGTCTTTTCGGAACTGCCCTCCTCGGGCTCGAGGTGCAGCAGGGACAGATAGACATTTCGTTGGAGGTGCGGAGGGAACCAGGGAGCGAGGTTAGCGCTCTGGGCTGTAGAAAGAAATACGGTGTTAGCATACACAACGAAACGAGCGTGCGACTGTGATGCTGCGACATACCAGCCTTCCGTTGCCTGTAGACCGTAGAGAAGGTTACGAACGTGCCGCCGAGGACGAGGACATAAGCCAAGGGAAGGATAAGACCCTTCCAGTCTACTTCAAACATTGTATATTAAGGAGTGTGGTTTGCCAGGCGGAGATTGTGTGTCAAGGAATTGTCGCTGGGACTGCCACGATATCTCCAAAAAGGCAAAAGAGGTCTGTGGAGGACAAGTATGTGTGGTCTGGCGTTTTGTCGATCTTGCCGTGGTCCATTACTTTGAGCTTAAGTGCTTAGTGGGCGGTTTGAAGATGACAGCTTTACCACCTGCCCTGGCTGTTTGCGGGTTTGAGGTGTCAATGTGGCAGGTACCTTCGCTAAGGAAAAACTGCTGAGTGGTACTTTCGAAGGGGGCCAATCAGCTGTGCAGCGCGTCTATTTAGGGTGGCATCCACCGGCAGGCGGCGCTTGAGACCTCCGTACCTTCCCCCACCTTCTGTCGGGCAAGTGATGGTAACAGAAGTACCTACTTCTTGACAATTCATAAAACTCACGTAATTTTTGGTAATGGGATAATCTACCTAAGGTAGGTATCTAGAGCTCACGGATCATATGCATGTTAGCATTCAAGTAAGGCCACTGGTAGCTCTTGATGAACTGTTGATATTCATTGGCTCGCACAACCAGCACGGGCCGTTACTCAGGTACCTGCACCCCGTCTCAGCACTGAAGGAGGTACCTACCAACGGGCTTTAGTGGCGTCAGGCAGGTACCTCCCTCCTCCATCCGTCGCTGCTAGGCACGAAGCAATGACGATTGCTGATCAAGCTCTCACTGATGCACCTCTCACGCAACCTCGCTCTTTGCGTGATTCACTGCTACACGCGCCCACCTCCAACACCTCTTTCGTAGCCTGGTCAGCCTGGTGGCGATTCCTTCTTCATATCAAATCAACATTACAAACCGGGTTTTCAATATCTGGTGTTCTCGAGAAAGCAGCTGGACCCTGTACACATACGCATAACCCTCCCCAGCTCTCGCGCATTCCGGGCAACATCGCCCCCAACTCGTCAAGATGTTGCTCCGGCTTCGAGGACCAGACGGCCAGATCCGTCTCGAGGTCAACAATAATGAGACCTTTGGTCAGCTTGGCGAGAAGGTATACGATCCGAACGAGAGTCTTGTCCATCCCACGCAAACAACGATGCTAACGTTTCGATAGCTGCTACCCAAATTGCCCCCAACCGTGGACCCCAACACCATCACCTTGTCCAATGCTCCCGGATCGCAGGGAGATAAGAAGTATCTCCGCGATATCGCCCAGTTCGAGCTTGGGAGGATAGGTCTGAGGTTAGCGTGCGCGCATTCTAGCTTCTGTATAGCATCATTCACTAACTTGAAACAGTCATGGCGACATGATCTTTCTCGAGTACCAGTCCAGAGACCCAAACGAGAGCAACGGACAGACCACGCAGCCGATTTCTTCGGCAAACAGGCTGAACGGCAAGCCGATACTCCCGACTGAAGATCTTCCCATCGACCCTCCGTCGATTGCTTCTCCGTCAGAGAAGATCAAGAACCCTTGGGAAGTGGTCAGACAGTCCAAACTCGACGACCAACTCGACAAGAAGGATGGAAAGATCCCGCGCAAGCTGGATACCAAGATGTGCAGGCACGGCCCCAAGGGCATGTGCGACTACTGCCAGCCGCTGGATCCCTTCAATGCCGAGTACCTTGCTGAGAAGAAGATCAAGTACCTGTCGCTGCACTCGCACTTGCGCAAGGTCAACTCGGCGACGAACAAGCCAGAACTGGGAGCATCGTTCATCCCTCCCCTTGTTGAGCCCTATTACCGTGTCAAGCGTGACTGCCCTTCGGGACATCCTCAGTGGCCCGAGGGAATCTGTACCAAATGCCAGCCAAGTGCCATCACTTTACAACCGCAGCCGTTCCGTATGGTTGACCATGTCGAGTTTGCGGACAGCAACATCATCAACGAGTTCCTCAACGCGTGGCGAGAGACGGGTGCCCAGCGCATCGGCTACCTCTACGGCAAGTACGCAGAGTATGACGTCGTGCCGCTGGGAATCAAGGCTGTCGTCGAGGCTATCTACGAGCCACCGCAGGTAGACGAGGTTGACGGCGTCTCCTTGAACCCCTGGGAGAACGAGCAGGATGTCAATGCCGTGGCCAAGCTCTGTGGACTCGAGCAGGTTGGTGTCATCTGGACCGATCTTCTACCGCCTGCGCCTGGCGAGGAAGGTCAGGCTGTCTGTAAGCGCCACGCCGATTCGTATTTCCTATCGTCGCAGGAGATCTGTTTCGCCGCTCGCCTGCAGGCGCAGCATCCGAAGCCGACCAAGTGGAGTGACACGGGCCGCTTTGGTTCAAATTTCGTAACCTGTGTTATTTCTGGAGATGAGAACAACGACATTGCCATCTCTGCTTATCAGATGTCAAACGCGGCCGTCGAGATGGTGCGGGCAGACATTATCGAGCCATCTGCAGATCCTGGCGTGATGCTCGTCCGCGAAGAGGAAGAAGATGACGGATCTGTCAGCCGTACGCGATATATCCCCGAGGTGTTCTACCGCAGAGTCAACGAGTACGGCGCCAACGTCCAGGAGAATGCCAAACCGTCCTTCCCGGTCGAGTACCTCTTTGTGACGCTCACGCACGGCTTCCCTCAAGACCCAAAGCCATACTTTACAGACTCTGGTTTCCCCATCGCAAACCGCGAGTACATTGGCCAGAGCCAGGAGGTGTCTACCGTCTCTAAGATGCTCAAGATCAACCAAGCGCCCGACTCGAAGGGTCTTAACGTGTCCAACTTCCACTTGCTCTGCTTCCTCCACCAGATGGGCGTTCTATCAAAGGCAAGTCTTCCAATTGTTCCCGTATTTGTCAATGTTCGATCCAGCTAATCATTGGGTTTCCTTTCCCTTTCTCTACAGGACGAGGAGAACCTCTTGTGCCGTGTGGCCACTGGTCACGACCTCGCAGACGCCTTCCAGCTGCGTTCGACGCCGGGCTGGCAGACCCTGATCACTATTTTGCAAACTACCGGTGAGCGAATACCCAAACGTCCTCGCGACACCGCTGCGGCGGCGGCAGAGGCGGCGCCCGACGGGAGAAACTCTGGTGCCCGATCGGCCGGCTCGTCTGGCTCTTCTGCTCGCGCGCCCGCCGCCACTAATGATGGGGAACGTCTTGCTAAGCGATTTGCTGCGGTTAGGCTGAGCGAGGACCGGGAGAGGCCTTTTCTCCCGCGGTAGTCTGCTGGACTGGACTCTGAGCCACGAAGACCAATTCACGGATGGGAGAGGGCGTTTATGGCTTGGAGGGGCCAAAAGAAAACGGGCACCGTGCCTTGTGGGAACATATGAGAGACGCTGAGGCTCTTCGACTGGACTCTGGACGTCTCGTCCCGCCTGAGCTGTGGTGTTTGCGCGTGGGAGTGGTCTACCTAGATATCCATCGTTGGTGATCCTGTTGCATTATAAGGAGGCCAGCCATGAGCACAGTAAAATTCTAGAGAGAATCGAGACATGAAGAACCATTTTCTAACGTTCTTCTTTGTGACTAAGTGCCGCCAGAAAATCTTACATTGGCGACGAACGCCGACTTGCTGTACCATTCTGGCGAAGTCTCTCCCCCCTCCCGGCCAAATAAGAACTGGAGATTGAAGAACAGAGGCACCGAAAGCTCGAGAATATCGAAAGAGACAAGACGCCCATGTGAGACAGCACATGGTAATACAGAGAACGGCTGCGGAGGCATGCAATCAATCCATCCCACTCCCAGATGATCAACGTCTATTCCTCGATCTTGTGCGAGGTGACTCCCGTCTCCCACGAGCCCACGTACAACGCCGATATAGAGATGATCGCAATTTATTTCGCTATCTGGTATACTCTCGCTCTCTTTACACCCCCCTCCCCCGCTGTAAGAAGAAGCTGTTTCTACCTCCCTCTTTCGCTGGAAAAGGTTCCTCCTTTACCTCATAGCAGGGTGATAAAAAGAAGCTACCAGAAAATAGACCCTCCAACCCCCCTGATGCCTCCCATTTTGCCCTGCAAACGTAGCCCGATTTTTGCACTTTGTACATTTCACACAGCCTGCCAGAGAGAGAGAATTTTTCGCAAGAAGAGAGAAGAAGAAGAGCGAGAGACAGGAACAAACAAGAAAGACAAGGAGAGAAAGAAAAATCCCAGATCGCGTAAACCAAGTCATGAATGGTGAATGAAAGTCTCTTTATGGAACCAGAACACCACCCTCCCGTTTCCCCTCCTTCCATTTTTTGTTTCGCGGAAAAGATGTGAAAACCAATCAAGTAATAATAGAATAGTAGTCTTACAAAAGGTCCAGGTCAGGGCCCATTTGCGGGCACCCTGGCAACAAGGTGCTTCTCATGTCAAAATAGAAAACTTATGGCATATCTTGCTGAAAGATGTGATCTCAACAAGGAGACAAAACTCATCTTCACAAAGGGCCTGTCGAAACCTTGGGTGGTATTTATAGGGAGCTTGTTCCCTTGCATCAAGCAGAGGTGACTTTAAGCAGCCGCCTCGGCAGTGGCAGACTCCTTTGCAGGCTGGAAATGCATGTTAGCAAAGACCGGATGACATCACGGGACAACCAATAGTTCTCACCTCTGCCGCAGCACTCTCCTCCGCCTTCGTCTCAGTCGCTGTAGCAGGCGTGTCTGCCTTGGCAACGTCCTTCTTCTCCTCGGGCTTAGGAGGCTGCTCGTCCTTCACGCCATTTGTCTCCTTGGCCTTGTCGGCCTTGGGAGTAGACTCCTTGGCAGCCGCTGACGATCCATTCACGCCGTTCGCAGGGGCAGCAGCCGCAGGGGCTCCGTCGACTGCTGCGAGCAGCTTATTCCACTTATCGAGCAGCACCTGAGAGCGGGGCTTGAACTGGAATTCGTCCTCCTTGGGGATGGAGTCAAGCTTGAGAATGGCCTTCAGGACCTTGTTGATCTTTGTCGCCCTAATGATGCTGACCTCCAGGTCAGGATAGCCCTCGAGCTTGGTCACGTAATCGGACATGGTCTTCATCTCCTCCTCCTTGGGCTCCTGATCCCGGGTGAGCAGACCCTTCTGGAGCTTGTGGCGCAGGAACAAGACCTCTTTCTGCACTGGATGTTAGTGCTGGACCCTTTGATAGACGTTAAAACGTTATGGCACTGACCTCCTTGCGCTGGTGCTTCTCCTCGGCAGATAGCTCGGGCTCCTTGGGAGTCTCCTTCTTGTCCTCTGCCTTCTTGGCCTTGGGCTTCGACGTCTTCGAATCTGTAGCCTTGCCGCTCTTGGGTGTCGACGTGCCGTTGGCTCCCTTGGGAGTCGATGAAGAGGTCAGCTTGATCTTGGGCTTCTTGACTGAGTCAGATCGCTGCGGTGTCTGTCCAACAATGTTAGTCTGGGTGGCATATTCCTGGGGAGGACGCGAAAATTATGGACCAACCTCAGCGTCGCCTTCAGCCTTGCGCTTCTTGGCCTTCTTGTCCTTGGCAGCACCGTTGTCGTCGGCATCGGCCATCTCGACATCCTCATCGTCAGCGGGACCCTTGCTCTTTCGTGACTTCTTGGCAGGTGCAGGTGGGAGCTCCTGAGCCTTTTGCAGGGCATCGAGCTCGTCCTGGAACTGCTGCAGGAGGTCCTTGTAGTGGTCGAGAGAGTGGTGCTCCGAGGCAAGCTCGTGAGCGCGCGCCAGATCCTTGCGCATCTTGTCGTTAACATTGTCCATGACCTTCTCGGGGTCGAGGTCGTGGAGGTCGCCGTTTGGCACCCAGCCACTGTGGGAGAAACTTGTCGTTAGCCCGCATCATGATGAGAGAGCACGCGACATTGACTTACAATTCGTTGGTGTGGAGGTACATAACCGGGAAGGTACGATCAGCCGCGCGCTTGCCACCGTCGGCGTAATCCTCACGGTACGTGCCATCCTGACGAGCAGCGCTGACAGGGCGGCTCTTGATCAGGGTCTGCGGCAGCATAGCCTCGTCACAAACGATAGCGGGCCACTGGGGGTAGCCCTTGAGCTTGACGAAATAGTGATCGCCAGGCTTCGCATCGAGATGTAGTATCCGGGCACGAGAGCCCTTCTTGTTCAGCTTTTTGCCCTTGGACTCGCCGGCTCCAGCAGACTTCCGCCTCGACTTGTTGGCCTTGTCAGCAGCGGTCGCGTCTCCCTCCTTGGCGGCATCAGCGCCCGCGGCTGGAGCTTCCTCTGCCTTCTTCTCTGCGGCATCCGCTGGCGCGGCGTCGGCACTAGGGGCAGCAGCTGTGGCTGGGGCAGCTTCGGTAGCAGCTTCGGGGGCAGCCTCCTTCATCTCAACGTCGGCCTTGTCGGCACTAGTCGTCGCGGGTTCTGGGGCAGCGGTGTCTGCGAGCGAGGCAATTAGCTCTAGTCGCTCGGCGCATTGTTAATTGGGGTAGGGGAGCAGCATACCTGGGGCGGGTTTGGCTTCCTCGGCGGGTTTGTTTGCCTCCTCAGCGGGCTTCGCGTCAGCTCCAGCATCGGCGCTAGCCACGTTGACATCAGCGGGAGCTTCGTCCTTCTTGGGAGCTTCGACGGCAGGCGCAGCAGCCTCGGGGGCGGCCGCGGGTGGTTGCGCGTTCGAATCAGACATGGTGCGCAGGAAGCCGAGGCCAATGTGGTGTTGATGTCAGGGTGGTGGTGATGCAGCTCCAAGCTCTGACCTCGAGGCCTGATTGGACGCGGGCGGGGACAAAAGTGCGCGCGCGACACTGGCTGGGATGCGGGTCAGGAAATAGGCAGGAAAGGCGACAGACGCGATTGATCGCGTTGATGGCTGATGGTGGATGTGATGGAATCCTGGATGGCTGGAGGGCTGGTCGCGATGACTGCCTCAATCAAAACGTGGGGATGGGAGAAGGTGGGAAATTTGGTGGTTGATCGAGGCCGGGTCGGTCAAGGACTTGCGAGAGAGGGAGAGGAGAGAAAGGGAAAAAAGGTTGGTGTGTGTATGCGTCGAGTGCGCCTCTCTCGCTCCCCAATGAGCAAAAGAAAAAAAGGCCCAGGCAGGAGGAGTTGTGAGACTTGATGTGGTCCGTGCACGGCGTTTAAGCCATCCAGGCCATCCAAGCCATCCGTCCTATCATCCATCCATCATCCACCCATGGAGATCCATCAATGGGCCGGCCTCCTCTCTGCCTGACGTAGCCGTAACTAGGCACTTTGGCACTCTCTCGGCTCTCAAATCTCGATCTCCTTGTGTGGCGCCGTATCTCCACATTCGAGGTTCTCCCACGCTCTTCGAAACCAGGGACAGAAATTGCGATGAACCATTCACATTCGTGATTATATCAAGACGCCATTTTGTCAATCAGTACAGTACAAAGCCAAAGCTCCCCGTCGATCATATGATACAACACTCTGCTCCAGAGAGGTGTCCGAGAAGATCATCCGAAAAAAAACAAACGCCATCCCCGGTTCCCCGGCCACTTTACTCGCTCTCCTCCTCTGACTCGTCCTCGTCCATGCCCTCTGCCACCTTGACCGAGAAGGTCGGCTCCTGGTCCACTCCGACGTAGCTGTCGCTCATGAGGAAGAGCTTCAACTCGTGTTCTCCTGGCGTAGGCACCGTAAACTCGAGCCGCACGTTCAGGTTGCGGCCGACCGTCACTCTCTTGATCGCCAGAAGCGATTTAGTGGCCTCGTCACCAACGACAAGCCACCAGTTCTCCATCTTCTTCACCGGGTAGAACGGCGCGTGCACTGTAGGGTCGAACTCTTCATCCTCATCCACCTCCCGCTCGATCTTGATCTTGAGGTACGATGGTTCACCCGCGGTGATGCTGTCCTCGTCCTCAACCTCGAACTCCAGAGAGATGTCGGGGTACTTGCTGTTTGTGAAGTTTGCAGCCTGTGCCAATTGTCCCTGAGATAGGTTGAGTCCCTTGACGAGAGCACCGTACTGCGGGTTCTCCTCGGGGTTCATGGCCTCCATGAAATCGAAGATATCCTTGATTCTGTAAACCATATCGTTAGTAGCTGCGAGATCAAAATTGGTGAAAGGTACGTACCCAAAGTCGTTCGCCACCTTGACAACCTCGGGCGAGAAATGAGGAATCTGCTTCAAGGGGCTATCGCGATCCCACATGGCCTGGACAACCATCTGCGACATCTCCATGGCATTCATAGCGTTCAGGTGGCCATCGGAGGACAGAATGTCGACCGTAGCACTGAGAAGGCTCAAGATCTTGGACAGAATGATTTCTTGATCCTTTGCCAGATCAATAGGCAGCTGCATCCTCGAGAAATGAGCCTGGAGGAGCACAAAAGCCTTGAAGTGGGGCGAGTCGTAGACAGGCTGGGCCATCTTCACAGGCACTCTGTCGTAGATGCGGCGAAGAAGACCCTCCTCGTGGCGGCGAATCTGAATCGATTCGAATTCGGTGGCCGAGGTAGCAATCTCGAGGATGCCCTTGAGCTTCGTGCGGGCGCTGAGCGAGAGGAGGAAGGTCTGCATCGTGATGTAAGAGATGTTATAGTACGCGGCAATCATGGCAGCGTTCTGTGGCGCAACGCTGCCATCCTCCTCATCGAACTCGATAATCTTCGCTTCTCCGAGCTCCGTCAGTGTGTCTTCAACCATGTCCGACAGGTACTTGCTCAGACTCTCGTCGGACCGGTCAGGCAAGCTGTAGTAGCTTGGGTTGGCAAGGAGTCGGCGGTAGAAGTACGTGAAGGTCGTCCAGTTCAGAGCATCCTCGCCAGACTCAATCATCCTGGTGCTGATCTCTGTGACAAAGGCATCGTGGAGGTAATTATGCAGGTGAGACTCAACAGGGAGAGCCTCATTCATAAACTTCTTGTAATACTCCCGCTTAACAGCAGGCAGCATGAGCACACCACGCCCCCGTCCGTCCTTTGAGGGGCGAAGGGCTTTACCAAATATCTGAAGTACTTCGCTAAGAGGGTAGTCGACATAGCGATGCTCGCGCCCTTCAAAGTATTGGGTGCCCATCACCACAACGAGGTGGGCAGTGCAGTCGAGCTCCCAGCAGACATCGCGAGAAGCAATCAGGACCTGGATCGCACCATTGTCGTACAGGTGCTTAACAATGCGCCTATCCGTCAGGCTGAGTGCTTCGTGGTAGTAACCGACACCATGAGAGAGGGACTCTTTCAGGGCGTCCTCCTGGACTTTCTCGAGAAGAGGCTTCATCTGCTCCACCTCGACGTGGAGGAAGCGATCTTCGTCATCGTCTGCTAAGCAGGCTGTAAGGAGGTCGCGGGCGGTGGCTCGAGTCTGCTTTCTGCTCGGCACGAAAATCAGAGCTGGCTGATTGGCCGACATCTGCGTAATGGCAAGGTATGTTGGCTTTGCCATAGCAAGCATGAGCGACGGGAAGTGCGGGATCGTGTAGGACTGAATATGCAGCTCAAGAGGTACCGGACGAACGTGGGGGCTGAAGTTGTAGATCTCATGTTTCTTTGCGTCGATCCATTCTCCCATGTCGCGAGCGTTAGCCAGAGGCACACTCAGCCCAATGATTCGCATTGGGAGCTCTGTTGCGGACCGGATGGAGTGCATGCGCGAGACAATGATCTCATAAATGTGCCCTTGCTGGCCGCCTAGCATGTGCATCTCATCGGCGATAAAGAGCTCGACAGTCTGGACATTCTTGCGTCTCTTCCATTGCCTAGAGAGCACATCCCATTGTGTCGGGGTGGCCAGCACCAGGTCACCCTGCTCTAGCAGCTTGAGATCCGTCGCGGTTTCTCCAGTGAGCTTGACGATATCCTTGCCGCCTCTCAGCTCGGAGAACCTCTTCTGCCAATGCTGGAAGCGAGCATCGACTAGTTCCTGAAACGGAGCGATGTACACGGCGCGGCCTGGCTCCTTTTGTGCCCAGTGTCGCAACAAGGCAAACTCAGCGCACACGGTCTTCCCGCTGCCAGTCGGAGCACCGACAAATACGTTCTGGTCGGTGGTATACAGCGAGTTGAAAGTCTGTGTCTGGATCTTGTTGAAATGCTGCCACTCAGGAAAGAGGGCAATATAGTCCTTGGCCTTCAGAGCGGACACGGGCAGAGGCTGAAGGTCGAGAAGCTCTGTGTGAGGGGGGAACTTGTCCGGGAGTAGAAGCTTTTGAAAAGAGACGGCCAGGCGAGTCTCCGAGTGCATCCATCGATCTGATATTACTGAGATGAAGTAATTGGGAGGCATAGGGTCCGTAATGGGAACGGTGAACTCAACCAGGTGCTCATTGGACTCGGAATTGGCGTAGTCCTTGCGCAGGATGAACTGGTCGTGGAAGAGAATCTCCTCGCCGTCAGAATCCTCGACCACCACCCAGAAGCTCTCAGCAATGCCATGAACCTCATCATCCCATTCGAAATTGGGCGTGACGGTGAGCTCAACACGAAGCATTGACCTTGTCATGGGCTGGACCTGCGCTTGAATCTCGACACGGGGGAATTTCGCCACTAGGCTGCACACTGTCTTGCCGGCTTTAGGCATGCCCAACAGCTCCCCCATTCGAGGCGGGTCGAGGTCAAAGTAGCTAGACCAAGGCACATCGATTCGCTCAGACTTTTGAATGATCTCGCGAGGGCACGTAGGAAACTGTCGCAATGGCGACATGGTTGGCCACATGCGCTTCTCGGCCATTTTACAGAGATCGAGGGCGGTCTTGGCAACTGACGCCCAGCCCTTCTTGAGCGCGATCTCAAACACTGCCCGAAGAATACGACCCGCAGATTGGGTGACGTAGACCATATCGGCCATCAGCGCCAGTCCCTCGAGCTTCAGACGTGAGATATATGCCTGCAGAAGGACATTGATCTTTGCATGTGGCTCCTCGATACTCTCCTTGACCGGGATAGGGACCCTACCGAGAAGCTTGGCAAGCTCAAGCTTCTCCTCTTGTCGCACTGGGATATACTTAAACTCCGCGCTCAATGAGAACACGCGGAACAGCTCGATGGTCGTAATCGATGGCTGGATGAGGTTATTGTAGGTGTCCATCGAGCCATGCGTGATGTAGTAGTGCGATGCAATACGACCGAGCTCGGTGGCCTGAAGCTTGCCAGTTTTCTCGTCATACTTGACAAGGTTTGTCTTTCTCAGAACCATGGCGGCGGAATGAATCAAGTCGACACGCTTCTGTTCAAGAGCTTCATCGTCCTCATACTCGGCGCCAACCTGGTACAGACCAGGTGAGCGAAGCATTCGAACAAACAAATACGTGTAACCTAGCCACTCGACACCTTCGTCCCGGGAGCGAACATTGCCGAGGACAACCTCTGCGTTCAAGTTGTCCACTAGGCGACTGACGAATTGACTCTCAATCGGTAGTTGCTGATTCAACAAGGAGAGGTAGTACTGTATCTCTCCCTGGGTTGTGATGATGATGCCTTCACCATATGTATCGAACTGAGGCCGTCCGGCACGACCAAGCATTTGCAACACGTCTTGAGGGCTGAGCTCGACCCAGCTACCCTTCTCGGGAGAGTAAACTTGAGTGCCCTTGATGATTACCGTGTGCGCAGGAAGGTTGACACCCCAAGCTAGAGTTGCTGTGCAGCAGAGGACTTGGATAGCGCCTTGTGCGAACAGTTCTTCGACATCCGTACGGTCGGCTCGGCTCATACCAGCATGATGGATTCCGAAACCATATGGCAAGAGGTCTTTGAGTTCCTTGTCCGTCGCCTGATCAGCAGCCTCCTTGAGAACCTCGCGGCTGCCAGCATCATGCTTCAGGATCTGATTGATGGTCTCCATCTCGAGAGCCTTGTCCCGGACGTATCGGGCAGTCTTGGCCGTCTCCTTTCTGGAGTGAACGAAGATCAACATCTGATTCCTGTTCTTGCCAACATGCTCGAGCACTTTGGTGTACGTAATATCGTTCATAGTCTTGAGCTGCTTGATGGCCCGCTTGTCGGTGACACCAATGAACTCCTGGCGAAGAGGACAGGGGCGGAAGGTACCATCAAAGTGGTACAGCCCATTATTAGGATCTACCCGTAGGAAGCTTGCGACATCGCGATAGTTTGGCAGTGTTGCGGATAGACCAACAAGCCGGACAGGCTCACCGGTCTGCTCCGTCTTCCTGATAGTTCGGCTGACGATGCTTTCAAGCACAGGGCCACGGTCATCGTGAAGCAAATGAATCTCGTCAATGATGATGAGACGCACAAGGTTGGTATAGGAAATGTCAGTCGCCTTTCTTGTGATGACATCCCACTTCTCGGGAGTGGTAACGATGATCTGTGTCTCTGAGATCTGCTGCTTGGTGAGCTGCCGGTCGCCAGTCAACTCAGAGACCTTGATCCCGTACGGTTCTAGACGTTTGCCAAAGTTCCCGACTTGCTCTTGTACAAGTGCTTTGAGTGGCGCGATGTAGACGATCTTGAAAGCATCCAGGTCGATCTCTCCAGTCTCGGGGTCCCTGTTCTTCCCAATCTCCCGAAGAATGGTCAACATTGAGACGTTGGTCTTGCCACTGCCAGTCGGGGCACAGACGAGCATGTTGCCGTCGTCATTGAATGCGGAAGGATAGCATTGCGACTGGATTTTGTTCAGCGATTTGGTGGTACTGAATGGAATTCTCGCCCACTCCGGCATGTCGGTGATAGGAACATTGACGTCGCTCGGATCGTTGCGCTTCTTCGGAGGCGGGACGTGGATCTCCTCATATCCCTTGAAAGTGCGCTTCGTCGAGCCTTCAGGCAGTCTCACTTTCGGATTGGTCATGAGGTGGTTGCCTTGATCGAAAATGAGGTTCTCCAGATTGATGAGCTTCCGAGGCTGCAGTCCGCCGACCAGTTGGCCTTCAGCGCGCTCAGCTTTTGCGGGCGCCCCCTCTGCGAATGCCGGCCCATCGACGTCCATCTTGATTTCCATCTTGCCCTTGCCGCTGGCATCGACTGTCTTGCCTTGCAACTCGTCCAAGATCCATCGCAGACCTTCGGAGACCATCTCGCGCTGGATTGACTCTCGCTCTTCCTTGTGCTCGGCGCGGGCCAGCTTCGTAAGCCAAACTACCTTCTCTCGGTTCTCCATGAGCTGCTGCACAACTTCGTGGTGCTCATAATCGAACAGTTCCATCAGGTCATTCTCGATCTCGCGAAGTTGTTTCTCTTCGCCACCTTCTTCATCGGGTTCGCCGGACAGAATTCGCAGAGCTTGATGTGTCTTGTCATGTTGGATGTGGGCGTCGGGATAGAGTCGTCCGATTTGACGCTGTAGCCAGTACGCATCAATATCACGCGCCGAGACGAAATTCTCGTTCTGGGTCTTCTCTTGTCGCTTGCTGGCAGCCGGTGCCGAATCGATTATCATCGCTTCTCCATCGATCAAGCCCGCAGTTTCATCAGACCGATCTTCACCTGCGCCTCCTGCGGCAGCATCTTCCTCTACTTCGGGGCGATCCTCCTCGTCCGCGTCCTCATCTTCAGAGGATTCGTCGCGCACCTCGTCCACGAACCCTTCACCGTCATCGTCGTCTTCCTCGAAATCGACGGCAACACCCTGGCGGTCGTCAATCTCCTCGTCGTCTTTGCCCGCATCGCCCATCTCCTCGTCGTCGTCTTGCGCGTCGTAGTCGGTGATCTTCTTGCCAAGGTTGACAAGTTCGTTGAACTCCTTGGGGGACATGCTGACGCCCAGGATATCGTCTATCTCCTTCTTCTTGTCGAAATCCTTGAGGTCATCGTCCTTCAGGTATTCGAGGGCGGCGTCCGCGGCACTGCGGACAACTTCATGGGGTACATCGCCCAGACTCCTCGCGACAATTGACAATATTAGCTCGAATGTCGCTCGTGTTGCTTGTGTACGCGGCCGATAGCGGAGCCCCTCCACGAGAAGGTCAGCGCCCGCGAGAATACCTGCCCCTCTAGGGGCGGCTTGGCCCTGCCGTTTCCTCTGCTCGCGTTGTAGGATATCTTCGCCATCCCTGAAACTTCCTCGCTCGACATCAGGCATGGCCGTCTTCTTTTGTTTCGGAACCACATCCCTCAAGTTCCGCGATCCCATATCGCGGATGGATAATCGGCCGGCCAGTGATTCTGGGTCGCCCGTGGCCTCATCGGTTCGTCTTGTAACAAACCGACGGTCCGCCTGGAGAACCAGGTTGGACATGGCCGAGTATTTGTACTGCGACACATCTCGCTGATGGTCGGTCATCTTGTCGGCTGCTGGTCGCGCGAGAAGGGTCGGAAGACTCGAAAGGCGAGATCAAATGCGCCGAAATTTTCAATCCAGGCTCTACTTCATGGATGGGGTCGCGGGTGGCAAGAGCGCCAACGCCGACGATGCACTGAGGTGAATCTCTCCGATTGTAAATGTCTAGAACGAATGACCGTCAGGCGGGTTGGAAACGCAGTTCTCGGTTGAATGTGTACCGCAAGGGAGTGGTCGCTGCAGATTTTGTAGGTTGTCGCGAGCCTCAACCTGCCTAGTCGAGATATGTCAAGTCAAGTGGATATTTTCCCAAGGCGCCCCGCCAAAATTCTACGGAGCTCTGTGATTGGTCGCCGGTCGCCATAGTAAACAGCGACGGACAAGCAGGTGTCCCAGGTGCTCGCGTACAGGAGCTGATTTCATGAGGCGGTTGCGGTGTGAGGAACACGCAGCCCCTTCACACGACGCGCCTCTATCGACATAAATCGAGCATGCAGCGAGTTCAATCAATGCCATGAGCATTTCATCCTCATCGCGTCTTTGACTTTGTACGGATTCGAGGGCACCTGCCACGCCAAACATGAGCCCTTCACCAGAAACGGTGGATGCAATCAAGACTTCACTCGAACCCTACATCAGACCAAGGGACGAGGTCTTGCGCATCCGGCGCATCCTTGCTGCGCAATTGAACGCGTGCCGTGGAACGCGAAACGATGCCGCCCCCCTAGCTTTGAATGACCCAACTTGCAGAGTAACATCCAATATTGAAGCGAGAGGTCTACAGAGAGCATATCTCAAGGCTGTCGATGCCAATGTCAAGGCTCAGAAGGATTATCAAGCGCTTCAAATACAGAACCATCGGACCACATCTCGCCAAACAGAGCGTACGCTCTCCAAGAAGGGGGCGAACTTCTTGGATGAGAAACTAGCCACTGTCAAGCTACAAAAGAAGCAACAACGGTTGCAGGCAATCGATCAGTGTCTCCGCTCTTTAGGCCAGAAGCCAGCTGCGTCTCAGGACTTTCTGGACCCCAAGGAAATATTTCGGGACTCCACGGCTCTGCCGTCGGTACCGAAGGAAGTCGTCGATGGCTTTGCCATCGATGCCGAAGCCGGCCATGCAGACCTCAAAGTTCTTATCAGCCAGCTGGAGAAATCTGTGTTTCGCGCCAAGTTGCTTCTGAAGAAGGAGGAGCAGTTTCTGAAGGATGTTCGAGCAAAAGCTTCAGATTTGCCCTCCAAGATCCCGGACGGAGCCAAGTTGAAAGCGCTGAGCAGCACGCGTGACGAGCTCATATCTTGGATCGAGACAGAGCTTGCGAACGCGCCAACGGACGAACCAGATGAAGCAGACTTGTCACCAGCTAAAATCAAGCAAAACTCGTCAGATCAAGCGCACATTGATGAGCAGCTTGTCAGCATCAAGGAGTCATATGAGGAGTACTTAAAGATACGCAAAATCATCATAGAAGCCACCACTCAGAGACCTCAGCCTGCCATCCTACCGCAGAGGCATTGTTCGGAGTTGACGAACTCGCCAAGTGTTGGTCATACGGTTCCGACAGCACATCTACTCACACCTTATCTTGAGAGGCTTCTGAGCCTGGCTCACCAACAGAAGGGGTATATTGCCCAAAAATCTCATCTTAACGTAACGCTCGCGAAACAGCTCAAAGAGACTTGTCAGACACTGGATCACCTGGCAGACGAGAGTCAGCTTCTGCCCAGCTTCCCTCAACCCTCGGTTGCCAGGAGGCAAGGTCTTGGAGATGGGCTGGCGCCCAGGGAAAATGCTGGGGCATCCAGCCGAGCAAACGCATGGGTATACGCCGCAGACTCAGCCAAGATCGCTACCCTAGAGGTTGTTGCTGAAAAGATTGAAGAGGGACAGCTTGCTTTGGAGGGTTCTATGAAGACTCTTAGCGAGCTGGACCAACTATTGGGAATCGAAGCGAGAGAAGCGCTGGCCATTGAAGCAGAGACGACTGACGATGATATATGGCTGGCTCAGACCAAGACCGACCAGGTCCAGCGAAAACATGTAGATGCACAGTCTGGCAAGACAGGCAACGAGAAGGATGTCTGGTCATCTTTAGAAGGGAATCTTGGCCTCATTGGCCCCGATGATGATGTCGCCTAAATTAACGCTATGAGTAGCCATGGAATAGCATTTTTCTTTTCGTGCCATGATGCCTAACGCCCCATCCATCCCTGCAGACGCCTTGTGCCACACATGCCTTCCCCAGACGAACTGACTACAACTGAAATGCAAGTGTCCATCCATCACCTCTCGGACATGATCGCAGAGATGCGCAAAGCTAGATCGAGAATCGACAGATGCTCGTCTGCACCATCTACCAGACGCTTGTCGACTTCGGAAAAAATCATGACGATCTTATTCTTCTGAACATCAGGGATCGTCTCATCGTACACCAGGGCTTGGTAGAGCTAGTGGGCTGTTAGTAAATCAAGGGGGAGCTGTGGGCGAGCTGTGCGAGAGTGCTTGCCTACCTGGCTCACAACCTGGCCGGCGCTCCATCCATCGGCAACCATATCTTCAACCACTCTGGCAATCGACTGATACGTCTCGCCCGTGCTCGTAGGGCGTATAGCCTTGACCAACGTATCCACTGTCGGATCAGGAATAACACCAGCGATATCTTCGATGATCTTCACAGTGATGGCCTTCTTATCGACCTCCATCTCGTCACCACCATTCCCTTGAGCGGTGGCGCTCGCACCGACTAGTCGGGCCGCACTCTGTAGGAATGTGATGGCCTTTCTCAAATCTCCCTCGCTGCACTTGATCAGAGCTTCAACAGCACCCTCCTCGAGTGGAACGCCTTCCTTCTCTGCAATCTCCTCGAGCCGCTTCTTGGCATTGCCCTGGTCCAAGCTCTTGAAGCGGAACTTGCTGCAACGACTTGCCAGCGGGTCGATGATCCTCGTGACATAGTTGCAAATCAGGCAGAACCGTGTGATTCTGCTGTACGTCTCCATGGTCCTTCGCAAAGCGCTCTGCGCATCTTGCGTCATTGAGTCGGCCTCATCTAAGATGATGATCTTGAAAGGAGGGCATGGGTATTTGTCCTTGTATCCAGGCGCGGGATTTGTGAGTTGCATACGCGCAAAGTCTTTGACCTTCTCGCGCACAATGGAGATACCACGCTCATCGGAAGCGTTCAGCTCGAGGACCCGGGACTTCATGAACTCGGGTCCATACAGCTCCTTCGCCAGCGCGAGGATTGTCGACGTCTTGCCAGTTCCGGGAGGGCCATAGAAGAGCATGTGAGGGAGCTGCACCGGTGGTCAGTCACGGAGTCCGACTGAAGGACAAGCTTCCATCTTTGATCTTACGTTGGAGGCCTGTAGGGTTCGCTGCAAGACTGTGATTGTGTGGTCTTGTGCGGTGACATCGTCGAGGGACTTGGGGCGGCTGTCATCCAGATATGTTAGAACCTTTCTTTTGCTTGGATGTTGCACACGAGGACTCTTGAAGGGATCCCTCCTACTATTTCTCCACCCAAGGTTGCGCTCTGGGGGTCTCGTTGGTCTGCTTCTCCTGCTTGCTGGAGCCCGCGCCATTGGCTGCCGCTTGCTTGCGGGCTTTGAGATCGAAGAAGTTTGACATGCTGGATCTGCCACTGCAAACAGCGATGCCGCGCGTCTGTCAATCGGAGGCTATGTTTTGTGGTTAAACACCTTGTGACGTCGCAGCAGGCGGTTGTCACGATTGGAGACCAAAAATCAATTAACGCGTTGAGACGCGTTTGACCAGAAGCGATGAGGGGTCTAAGCTTGTGCACTACAGCGAGCCGAAGTACTCCCGGCTACTTGAAGTGGGGTATTGATTTATCAAGGCCGACTGTAGCTTGAAGTACCCCTCCGACTTTATCAAACGCCACAAATCACTCTCTCTTCCTTACCCCCTCCACCGTACCCATCCACACGCAGCCTGCAGTGGATTATCCCCAACACCCAAACACCAAGCAGCCGGAGGTGGTTGTCATAAGGTATTTAGCTGCTCCAATCCTTGTAGTGGCGGCCTAATTTCAGCGCAACCCGCTTCCATTCCGCGCGCTAGTCATCAAAAACACCACATTCCGCTCAACTTCCATAGCGGCCTCCCCTCACAATTCCCCCACCACATCCGCAAGACCTAGGCTTTGCGGAACTCACTCTTCGGTTCAGCTTGACAACGTCTACCCACTCAACCTCTTTCCTGACATCTTTGGTCACACATTCCCATGGTTATTGCGCGAGTCCGTAGTGGATTCCCTTCAAGCGCCTGGTAGCCATGGCAGACCAGTCCATCATCCGCATTACCAAGGTTCGTACCTGAGACCGATATCAGGGCGGGGTGCCCAGGCTGCGATACATCAAGATGCTGACTTGGACCCTCTTCCTTCACCAGGAGCTCAGCGAGATTCAGAAGACTACTGATCTCTGTACGATTTCTCCCTACGCTCTATCTTGGAGCTCACTCTTGCCGCTTCTGATTGCTGACTTTTTGTGTAGCTCTCGCTGTCGCTTGCCGCGATGTGGATGTTCGCAACGTGAAAGCGCTCATTATCGGACCGCATGACACCCCATACGAGTTCGGATTCTTCGAGGTAGGCTGCTCGCACATACTCAGAGACGATCAATACTAATCAGGTTCAGTTTGCCGTCAAATTCAACAAGGGTATGCATACCAAAGCAACAACATTGGCAATGTTCCTCTTGGCTGCAGATACTGACAGATAATCCGCGTTTGCAGAATATCCCCGAAAGCACCCCCAAGTAACTGCCACCACCACCAACGGCGGCCGCTGCCGCTTCAACCCCAACATCTATGCCACTGGCAGAGTCTGTCTGTGAGTAACCTGTCATTTCCATCGTCCTCTGGCTAGACCAACCTCGACTGACTCTCCAACGATAGCTCTATTCTAGGGTGCGAGCCTCCTCTTCGAAGCGCACAGCTGTTAGCACGAACTGACACATCGATAGAACATGGCGCGGTGAGCGAGGAGAGGAATGGTCCGCTGCGCAAGGACTGGAGTCGATCCTGCTGTCGATCCAGAGCTTGATGTCTTCCAATCCTTATGAGAACGAACCGGGCTTCGAGGAGGCGAACGAGCCCTCAGACAAGAGAAACCAAAAGGACTATGCTGACAAGGTGAAAAATGGACGACCAGCGAAGGGCGCCAAATTCAATTGACTGACCATTTTCTCTATAGATCCGGCATGAAACTCTACGAATTTCGGTTGTCCAGCGACTGGAGGAGTACCTTCACATGGGTGTCGATGGCGCGGCTTCGCCAAAGCCAGCAACACTCGCGGACTTGGACGATATGGACATGGAAGGCATGGATGACTCCAACATCCCTTTCGAACCCTTCAAGGACCTCTGCAAGCGACGCTTTCTCTGGTACTACGATTCGTATCTGGCAGCTGTCGAGAAAGCGAAGAAGGATGTTAAGGACAACCAGGCTTTCGTTCGAATGCCGTTTGAGGGATCTACTAACTCCATGGACGGAAAGTTCAACTACACGGAGCTGGAGAAGCGTATCCGGAACATCAAGAAGGCGCTTGACGCTGAGACCGCCAGCTGGGCGGTGGAGGGCCTGGAGCTGAAGCGCAAGGATGCAACACTTGCTGTCAACCTACAGCGGCAATTCGAGCAGGTTGTCGAGACCTTCAAGAGGAATGGCGCCCCGCACAACGTTGAACTTGAGGACAACAACCCTTTCATCTGGACGGTGACCTACATTGGAAAACCCATGACGAACCTCGATGGTGGTCTATTCCGCTTCAAGATCTTCCTCAGCCCACACTTCCCCGAGGAGCAACCACGAGTCAAGTTTGAGACGCGCGTATTCCATCACCGCATTGCCGCAGACGGCACTCCGTGCTACTCGGCTAGCCCGTCGCGTCGTGAGGATGTTAAGACTCACATCGACTCGGTCATCGATGCTCTAGAGGAGGAGCATCCCCCTTACGATCCACGTACCCTCGTGAACCCGGAGGCTCATAAGCTGTACTGGGGCTCTCCCGAGGATCGGAAGCTGTACAACAGGCGCCTCCGCCGAACTGTGCAGCAGTCCATGGAGTGAGTTGTCGATGCTATCATTGATCTATCGAGTTACTTGGCTGACCGGACTTTCTCTAGGGATCTCTAGGATGGACTTGACCAGGTCCTGATGGATTTGATGACGTTACGTATTGTGTTAATATCCCCTATTTGTGGACGGCGTTCGGAAAAGGTCAGGGAGGCCGGCATCATCATATCCTTAGTAGCTCAATGTCCGATCATCGGACTATCAGCGTGTATGTTACTTGTTGAGCGAAACTTGTCGATAAGACGAGGATAACCATTAGGCAAATAGCACTCTGTTTATTTCTACGTCATGCCCTATGCCGATATCAATGAAGGGCAGCATTCTCAGAAGGAAGGAGTGACCTTTTCTCCAACCACTTCTTGATCGTGCTAGTGATTGTTGAGCAATTTCCAGAGACAAACGGCACATGTCATGCGAACCAAGATTAACCAATTCATCGATTATCGTAAAATAAGTAGAATTTCCATTCGTAGCCCATCAGAATGCTACCCAAAATGCCGAACTCCTTTGCATGCGATCATTATACCAGTTCCAGGCCGACACTTTGAGCGTCACGCCACAGTAACCCTCTTCTATAGCCGGCGAATTCGTCAAGGCAACGGTACATGTAACGCCATGAGATGGCTTCTCCTGATCTTCCTAGGCCAGCTCTTATAAGTCGAAGCTTCCAGAGCCCTTCACCGATGAGGAAGGCCTAGCCTATCTCACGCCGTGGCTAATGTAGCACGATGCTTTCGTCCCTAACGTTTTGTCCCCTTGGATTTCTTCTCAAGCTTGTCCCGTGAAGGGTTATACGGCGCAGCGATGCCGACGAGCTTCTTCGACTCGGCCTGGGGCTGCTCCCCGCCGCTCTTGAACTCGTACGTGCCGTTGGGGCCGATGACGGCCGGTGCCCCGGGCGTCGGCCGAGACAGCTGCTCGTTGTGCAGCTTGTCCAGCGACTCGCCGACGACGGCGTACTTGGACCAGTTCACGGGCGGCATGCGCACCACATTCTGCGGCTGGGGCAGCTCCCTCCACAGCGCGTCCTTGGCACCGCCGCTTTTCCTGCTGGCGACACCGTCCGTAGCGTCCTGCATCTCCTCATCATCATCATCATCGTCGTCGTCATCATCATCTTGCGCCGGCGCCGAGGGGAAGAGCGCATCCCCCTGCTTATGCACTTTACCCTCTGCCAGGTCCCGCGCAAAACCCTCCGGGTCCGCCATGGCGGCCTCCTTTGCGCGCTGCAGGGCCACGACGTCGGCCTCGGCCTTCCTCTTCTGCAGCTGCAGGATGGTCACGGCGCTGCGCAGCGCGAGCACGTCCGGGTTGGACTCGAGGTCTATCGGGATTGGCCTCGGCGCAGGGATAGCCGTCGCGTCCGAGTCCGGGTGCACCAGGGTGGTGGGCGAGCTGAAGGTAAAGGACTGCCGGCCCTCGGAGAAGTTGGGCAGGTAGTGCGTGCCGGAGCCGGTGGAGGCGCCGTCCAGGTATGCGGGCTTGGTGATGGGGGATATGGGTTCCACCGTGGGCGGAGTTGGCGACGGTGGCCGTTGCGATGCGGTTGTTGAGGTTCCTGCTGGCGCTCTCTGATGCTGCTGTGGCGGCTGAATCTGCGTGATGCGACCGGCCTGTGTGCCGGCGCTGTTACTACTGCTGCTCGATGAGCTGGCACCTGCGGGCTTGGTGCCCGGTGGTATGGTGACGCCGGGCATGGCGGAGTTGTGGTCAGACCTGGTCAGCGAGAGTGTGCATGTGGGTGGTTGTCAAGGCGAAGAAACTACAAGTAGGAGGATGGGCTTCTCGTAATCAGATGCGCTATGGTGCCGAAGCGCAGATTCACGGCGGTTCCAAGGTTGACTGACTTGCATGTGCGGCGCTGGCGGGGTTGCTGCTTTTGGGTGGTCGATCGCCACCCAACAAGGGAAAGTGGAACCCACACGCGCGGAAGGGACCCACTGGCGGAGATTCGTCCCCACGCAACTTGCAGGGAAGCCGCGGAACCTGCCTGGACAGCCTTCAGCTTGGCTAAGAAATTGCTCCTGTGGCTTCTTGAGACTGAAAACCAACCTTGAACTGAAAGCCGTGCTCGCTGGGATGTTGGCTGACGGCAGTCATAGGCAACATCCATGGATATCTTCGAAGAGGCCACCCTGTTGGATGCCTATCGGATGAGTCAAGATCCCTATCATTGGTGAGCAGAACAATGTCCTCCTTCAGTTTGCTAGTTGTGGCCTCGACTCTTCTCCAAGACTCGGTGATCGGCAGTGTCGTGGGTTTGAGACATCCCTGTATGTATCAAGACCGTCTTGTCAGTCGCATCTATGGATCTCTTTCTTCAAGGACAAGATTGCAAGATAACTACTCGCACTATCAAGATATGCCCGCAGAGAAACCGAGCCTGGTAGGACCAAAGTCGAGATCCGTTATGGTCCATCCGGCCGCTTCTGCTTAAAGGCGAGTTTGCAAACCAGTTTGTGGCAGCAAAATGACCGTTGGCCAGCTCAGCTCCTCGCCAACAACAACGCTATGAGAAAGCCACAGCAGGCGGCGCGGTGACACATATCCTCCCTGTGCTTGCCTGCGTTTCACAACTTCTCGTCTCGTCTGTCACCATGCCCTACTCGCATGCATGCTCAACTGCATCCAGCCAACCGAAGTCCTCATCCTAAATTGTGTCTAGTACGAAAGATCGGCAGTGGAATCGTTGGAAGCGACGCGCCGTTAACTGCAAGGGATGTTATTGCCAGCAAACGTCTCGCTAATACGGTGTCTAGCGCCGCGCCAAGTCCTTTTGCCATTCTCGAGTTGGAGGCAATATTGGAATGACGCACTGTCATACCTACCTCCCCATCCGTCGACACAAACTTCAGGTCGCCGGCGTGACAAAAGCGCAGCCGAGAGCAAGAATGGGGTCGAGCTGAAGGAATAGGCGTGCAACAGTGCACAGCCGAATCCATGCGGGCAAGCAACGATGGGAAGAACCTGTGGAAAATTGTGCTACAACCAAGATGATAATGTGTGCCAAGTGCACACAACTCTTGACGAGCTGATGCAGTAGCGCCAACCATTCCGCCACTACTGAGTTCCCATTATCATCATTGGGGACACATGTGTTCAGAGATGATGGCGGGAGATGGACACCATCTTGCTGCCTTTCCCCACTCTCACGCAAACTACACATCGACTATCAGCTCTCACATTACTCCTGCTCGCGACGTTGCGCTCCAACGACTCAGCCGAGATCCGACCAATAACTCTTCCCCAGCTGCACCAAGAGCAGAAGAGGTGGGTGAATATCACACACTCCCTCTCCACGCGAGGCACCTTAGCCAGCCACCAGCGGTTGGTCCGAGCCTGTAGCTTGTTCCTAGACATATGCGTGATGGTTGGACTTGTACCAAGATGTGTAGTAGGAATGCTCGGTCACAGTCCACCACATAGTTTACCACGCTTTATTATCTCCGGCACTTGTGGCAACTGCATTCCCCGTGACCTCCTCAACCTCCTCTACTTTTTGTAGAATATCTCACCGTGGACTTCAGAGTTATCTGTTCTGCGTTTGCATAGCAAGTATCGTCCTCATCAGATGCCTCTTGCGAGAAATATCAGTGGCTTCTCTCTTGTTGAACCCGCTGTGATGTCTACTATATGACCATCGGCCTCTAAACGAGCGGCGCTACAGTCAGCTTCGGCCGCCCTCAGGCAATACATTAGTCACCAGGTCGGCCCCAAAGAAGATATCGGAAGACGACTTTCAGCATCAAAGGGCTGACTGCCTTGGACCCGAGCAAAAGAACGCGACTGCCTAGAGAGGCACAACAGAGCGGCGTGATGACTTCTTTCCGCCGCCGCTCAGTTCGATCCAACTCGAGCTCAGACACCTGTCGGAGCTCAACCAGTGAATCCTCGAGCTCGGCTGCATCACAGAACCAGTCTCTGTCAAAGCGGAAAGAATCAAAGTCACGGTTTTTGTCCTCCTTCAAGGACTGGATGTCCACAAGCGAGCCGTCAACGCAGGCTCTTAAGCAGCACAAGCTGGATACATATAGAAAGGCCGGCGTCGCCCTGGACGACCCCCAGGCCAACGCCAAGCTGCACATACCCCTCTGCCGCATACCAGAGGAAGCCATCAAACCGTGCGGCCGCGGTGTCGAGCCGGAGGAGGCCATCGTGCGCCGCATGGCGGAGAAGCGCAAGGCCCGGAACTCGTGTTCCGGATCGCGCAGCTCGGGTTCCTACTCGTCGCATTCGTCTCGTGGGATAAGCAGCAAGGTGGCGCCCTTTGATTTCGACCGGCCTGACCCGTTCGGTCCTTCGAGATAGGGATCCACGGGATATGAAGGAGGCCATGCGAGGGAGAAATTTGGCAGGAATGGCTGTGTTCTATCTACCACATCACGGAGTTATGAGAGCCGTGAACAGAGCGATTGTATAAGGCGAGATCATGTCACACATTTCACGCTTGGCGGGTTGTTGGCTGGCACCGAAACCTCTTTGTCACAGTCACAATCACAGAGCGCAAATCAGAACATCTAGACGTCTAAAATAGCAAGTCCAAAACTTGTTCCCTTCAAATATACAAAAATGTCTTACGCCTTCCGTGATCCCAGGATTGGACGGCTAGAACCCCCATTGCCGGCACCAATTCTTCATAAGTTCCGGTGTAATAGCCTGCAGACCCCTTGCTGTCTCGCTGTGTCTCTTGGTCCTCTCCATGTCCAGCAGCACCTGCTTCACCTTATCCTCAGTGGCCTTCTGCTGCGCCTCGTACATGTCCAGCAACTTGACTCCAGGGTTCTTGTTGGCGTCCTTCGTCCCAGCCGCGCTCTCCCGCAGCATGCTCACCCACTCCTCAAAGGTGACTAGATTCGCGATTCGCGCCCCATATGCCTCTTTCACGGCATCTGCCAATTTGTCCCACGTCGTCAGGGAGGGGTTGCCGCAGTGGAAGTAGCCATCGATAGACTCCGTCGTGCCCTGCAGGGCAATATCCAGCACGAGGCCAGCGACATCCTCGATGGGGACCCAGTCCACGGTGGACAGGCGTCCCAGGTCCCGCGGCAAGACGCCCAGATACAGCGACGAGGCCACGATGGTCGGGAGCCACTCCTGCCGGTTCCACGCGCCCGCCGCGGCCCGGGGCCCCGCGATCTGCCCGACGCGGATGCTGGCCGTCGGCACGCCAGAGACCCGCGCCGCCTCGTCCAGGATCAGGCTGGAGACGTGCTTGGACTGGCCGTAGCCCATGGCCGCGAGGCCGCACTCGGGGATCGGCACCTCGGGCACGAGCCCGTCCTTGACGTGCGTCCAGGCGTCGACGGTGCTGATGCTCGAGATGAAGACGACGGGCGCCCGGCGCGGCGACCGGGCGCTCAGGTCCACGAGGTGCCGCACGCCGCGGATGTGCGGCTCGAAAGACGACAGGGCGATGTTGAAGTTGACGGGCCAGGCGTTGTGGATGACGCGGTCGATGCCGTCGGCGACGATGCGGGCGTAGACGTGCTCCTCGAGGCCGAGGACGGGGAGGGACAGGTCCGCGCGCAGGAACTCGCACTTGGCGAAGTCGGCGGTGAGTCCCCGCTCCGAGCACGCCGCCGCCTGCCGCTGGCGGCCGTCGGCGGAGCGGTTGAGGCAGATGACCTTGCTGACGCTGGGGTTCGAGACGAGCGAGTGCAGGAGGTACGAGCCCAGGGCGCCGGTGCTGCCGGTCAGGAGGACCGTCTGGCCCTCGCTCCTGGGCCCGGACTTGGACCTGATGGTCTCGGCCGGGGGCAGGTTCTGGGTGTATTTCTCCACCATGTCCCGCATCTCCTGTTCCTGCGCGGCTGCGTCGCCGTCGGCATTGGGTTCCGTCGACTGCACCAGCTTGAAGAGGTAGGCCGCGAGGCGGCTGTAGTTGGGATTGGAGTAGATGACGCGAGGCGGCAGGAAGCCCTCGAGATCTGCACCTGCAGCTTTCAAGCCAGCAGAGAGCAAGCGGCATGCCGTAATGACTTGCAGGGAGTCCATTCCGGCCGTGAAGAAATCTGTCTCGGGACTTAGTTTTGGGAGATCGAACCTTGTGGTGAACAGTTGCTCCGTGGATTTCAGCAGCAAGTCTTCCGAGCTGATATCTAGTTCCGGGGCGTCGCCTTCCTGTCTGTGAGCGACAGTCTCGTAGAGTCGATCTATCTCCTCCTGGTACAATGCAACCGCCATCGGCCTCTGGATGGTGCCCTTTCCGGCACGGGGAAATGGCTTGTCAGGGTGGGCCAACATGACCATGTCTTGCTGGATGCGGCCGTGGGCAACCGTATCTCGGTTGGCCTCTTGGATGAGCGGCCAGACGCTTTGTATCAAGGCATGCTCTTCGGCCTCGTCTTGTGGGGGGTTCACAGGCTCGATAATGAGGGCCGGCTCCAGGCGGTTCGTTCCAACCACCAGCGTGCCCTTTATTTGCGGATGCGACAGAATATGCGCCTCCATCGACGTGGGATTGAGCTTTTCGCCGTTGGAAAACACGATGATGCTGTCGGCTCGCCCATAGTAAATCCAATGGTCTGGAAGTTCAGGATGTGGCCGGTACAAATCCTGGGTGTCGAATTCGTCCTGGTCCTCGAACGTCCAGAATATTCCTTGTAGGCCGGGCTCCTTGTTTTGTCGCACGTAGACGTGCCGGTAGATTTCTTCATCGCCGTCCAGCTTCCGGAACTCGTTGCCACCAAAGGGGTTGTCGAAGATGAAGTATTGCCAGAGCGCAGTATTGGCCTGGAAGTAGAATGGGGAGGGTCCAGCCCTGTTGAGCATTTTGAGTCAGAATTGTATTTAAGAGTATCAGAAATACGATCATTAAAGGGACATACTCGGTGGAAGACGTGAGATTGCACAGCTGGACCTTGTTTTCTACCAGACGTGCTCCGCCCTGTGGCGTTAATGAACCTACAGGATAGTTAATACATAGAGCCTGAAGGGATAGGGAAAGAGCAAGAAAAGGTAATAAAACTCACCTCCACCCCATGCAACAAACTTGAGTTCCTTGAAAGCCTCGAGATACTCCGGAACTGAAGACATGTCATCTACAATCGAGGGTGGCAGAAACACAGCATCGACGCCGGAGTGCTTGATGCACTGGTACATCAAATCTGTAGAGATCGGCCTGGAACCTATACCCAGTGAGACATGCTCGTAAAATGTGCTGAAGAAGCACGAGACAAAGAGGCCAGAGATATGGAAGAATGGCACTGTATTCAAGGGGGGTCAGTCTCGACCTTCGTGTGTGTGGTCAAAACGGGCACAACTCACTCGGAACCAGCAGTCTATTCGCTCGTTTCGCCATCTCGGCGACCCACGGCAAAGTCCCATACTTAGTAGGTAAGGTCCGAAATCCGTCTGCAACGGCCATGAGACCATTTCTGAGCACAATGGGCTTGGGGAAGCCGGAAGAACCGCTGGTGTGGAGAACCACCAACGGTTCCCACTGCGCCTGCGCAAAGTCCTTTTCGTAAGGGGTGTGAGGTACGTCGACCGACTCATTCAACAGCAGCTCTTTCTCTTCTGGCAAGACAAAAACCTTCATTGCCCGTTGTTGAGCCCACGATTGGACAGCCGGTTCAAACTCGGCCGAGGAAGCCACAACATGGCAGTCAGTGGCTTGGAACAAACGTAGCTGTCCCTCAACAGAGTTGCGAGGAGACACGAATAGTGCCTGTGGCGTCAAAGTCAGCATTCTTGCTATGACCTTTGAATGGGGGAAACGATGTACGAAAGAGACGTGCCTTGTAACCAGCCTTCACGGCGCCAAACATAAACGCGAGGTATCGGGAGTCATTAAGACCGAGGTAAGCAATGGTCGGAAACTCTCCGGGGACACCCCTTCCTGCGGCCTCGACGATGAGGTGCTCGCAGCGATCAATGGCCCTAGATGCCTGCCGATAGGTGATCTTTTGCCATCCATCGGCAGGCTCTGCGGAACGCGGGATCGACAGCCATTCACGCTCTGGCTCTTTCTGGGCTCGCTCTTCGATGATACGAAGGGGCAATCTTCGCCCATACCTGGGAGGACTGTCGTCGATGTGGCCGTTCATGGTGACACCTGCTCAATGGGCAGACACGCAAGATCTGAACACTTTGAAAGGTAACCACATTCATTCGAGTTGAGGGGTCGTCATTGTCTATTTAAACATCATTGCTGTAAGCAGAACAGCATGCCCGAGGTCTTCTCGGGCTAGCCGATGGAGGCCGGGATTCATGGCCACGGCTGAGGAGAGCTCTGAGGCCGTGAAGCGCGTCAGCTCTGTCCCTTTTGAAAGGACCGTTCCAATCGAGGTTCATCAGCTATGCTGCTTCCAGTTCGGACTGACAATCATGGCCAAATTAGGCGTCTGACAGGAAAGCTGGGGCCCCACCGGTGCCTCCGTGCCGGGCTGCAAGGGGTCTCCGCAAAGGCGCTACAAAAGGACAATGCCTCTCCAGCTCTCAGCCTAGACGCCATAACTTTCCGTTTTCGGTTGAGGGTCCAGCACGCATGAGAACTTTGTGTGTGCTTGAAAGGTAAAGTTTCCCCTAGTTGACGGCCGGAACAACAGGCATTGCCTTCTTTGGTAAAACGGCCCCTGCAAAAGTACCACCCGTTCCAGATTCTTGCTAAGAAAGACATCCCGTATTTTGGGGGTGATGTCTGTTGGTCGGAGAAGATATAAAAAGGAGGGAGGAGGGAGGAGGGATCAGATCAGATTAGATCTTGGTAGTCGGCATCAGCAGGACATCCGGAAGTCTAAGTGAGTAGGCAAGAAGGAGCCGGGGGACAAGAGCAGTCCCGGACGTGTGGAGGCGGGGAACCGCCGTGTACTCCAGCAAGCGCGGATCCCGGCCGGGCCGGGCCAAACCACGGGACCGGGTGTTAAGACAAACAAGAGATCTCACAACTGATTGCTGCCGGTGATGTTTCTGCACAAAACCCCAGAAAGAAAGAAATCAAGATCCATCGCCCATAGTGCCGGCACGTGCCTTGTCTGAGCATCGAGGATCTCGCTGTCGTGTACCAAGAGCAGCCAATCACAGGCTTCTCCACCGTGCGCCCGCACGCCATCTTTCGATCACCAGGCCTACATAACGTCATCGATAGCGAAGCTCGACGGCTCGAGCTGTCTGGACGAGTCAAATCCACAGCTTTTCCCACAGCTGGACCCTTTGTCGGAGGAAATGCCCCTAAAACACGATACCATTCTTGGCATCTGTGTTGGGTGGCTTTTTGGATCGGGATCTAGAGTCATGTACGACTAATAAATAGTTCAATAGGGACCATATTCACTAAATAAGGTATGATTTCATTGCCTGTCTCTCTCACTATCGTGACAAGCTTCATCACTTGGATCCTACATCTCTCTCCTTCTACCCCAGCGATTTCAATTCACCAACACACTCTGAAGAGTCGAACCATACTCTCCGATAAGTCCAAGGCAATGAAGAAATTCTTTGGAGCCCGCCAGGACGACAACGGCGGTGGCTCTGCCGGTGCGCAAGGCCCCGACAATGCCGAGAGCTACGACGACCGCCCTCCACCCCCGGACGAGCACACGCGCCTGCTCCCGAACCGCCTCGACAGCGATGTACCCCCCTATTTGAGCCCAGACGACCCGGCTGTCTCGCCATACAACTTGTGGACAGTGCGGCTCGCGAGATACTTTACAATTCTACTCACGGCCCTCACTTTTCTGTGGTGGATCCTGATCCTGGTATCGCTCTTTGTGACACCACCCGGACTGCACTCCCGCGGGTCGGGCTTCTATGCCTTTAGCTATGCCAGCGTGGCCATGACTACCTTGGTCGTGAGCCTGTTGTTCTTTGCGGCACCCTCCAGGTTGTCCAGGATTCTCGCAGCCATCAGCGCCGGTCTCTTACTGCTGAACATGATTATTATGCTCGCTGTGGAGAAGACAAGACACGAAGAAGCCTGGGTTGGTATCGCTAGTGTAGTGTGTAGGTTACCACTCCCTCTTCCATGCCTGCTCTGCAAACAAACAAACAAACAAAATCCCTGACACGTTGGAACCGCAGGGGCGCTTGTCATGTCCATCTGGACCATCGTCGCAGACCGCATTGTGCAATGGGGCAAGACAGAGGAGGAGGAGAGACTTACGGGACGGCCAGAGTCTCGGCGGACTCTGCTCGAGTGGAGTGAAGTGGCCGTGTCGAGCATTGCTCTGCTTATTCTCTGTATTGTCTCTGTTCTTCTCACATGCACGCTTATCATACGAGCTTTGGACGCCGGACTGGCGCCGCCTGGGCAGCTGTACTGGGTCGACGCCGACAAGTACCAGATCCACGTATACTGCCATGGTAACCGCAGCCACGATGAGCCTACTGTGCTGTTTGAGGGTGGCGAGGATGCGGTCGAGCGTGGGTTGTGGAAGTTTGCCGAAGATGCAGTGAACAACGGCTCTATCAGCAGATACTGCTTTGCTGACCGACCGGGGATGGCCTGGGTGAGTGACGATCGGATACCATCTACTTCCCCATGGCTTTTACTAACAGGTCTCCCAGAGCGACACTGCTCCATCTCCCTTTTCAGCAGGCCAAGCCACCGAAGCCCTGAGCGAGGCGCTGGCGCGCGCTGGCGAGGACGGTCCGTGGGTGCTGGCAAGTGCCGGTGTCGGCTCTCTCTACTCGCGGATCTTCTCGTCCAGGCACGGTAAAGAAATCAAGGGCATCCTGATGGTCGATCCCCTCCACGAGGACCTGCTGCATCGCATTGGCAAGCCCGGACGTGGGTTTCTCCTTTGGTTGCGGGGTGTCCTCTCCCCTCTCGGCCTAGACCGGATTCCGGGAGCCTTGCTGAGAGGCAGAACCAAGGAGGACCGCGTGTGGGGGAGAGCGGCGTACCAGAACGGCAAGACCATATTTGCAAAGCTGCAGGAGAGCCTCGTGGCTGAGTCGCTCACCAAGAGAGATGTTGTCGCTAGCAGGGCCATACAGTTGCCCGATACGCCGGTGACAGTCATTACTTCCGGCATCGAGATGCGGCGGGACAGCGAGTGGGAGAGTAAACAACGCGATCTCACTCACTTGACCCAGAATCTCGTGGATTGGGACATCGTTGCCAAGGCGCCGCACCAGGTCTGGAGGACGCTGGAGGGTCGGGAAATGATTGAGAGGCGACTCAAAAAACTGGTCCGTGGTTGAGGCACCGGGACGGACTCGGGCAATGGGATGGGTTGGGAGAGGTTGTTCGGATTGTTTTCTATAGCATGGCAGACTGCATGAGCAATATTGAGCACACAGCGGAGGACTAGATAGGTCAGAAGAGCGTAGGTATTGTAATGTAATCATAATTGTAATTGGACTTGATGACTGCTGATTCAGCCTATCGCTGGCGATCAATCAAGATGAAGGACTGTGTCTGTTGTTTCGCCAAGCTTAAAACCACCTCGAAGTGATGCACATCCCCTGAAGCCGACCACTAAGGCCAAAGCAGACTAGCGCAACAGCTTCTCCCTCGAGTCTTGAGTGAGAGCACGGATAGAGATAACCCACGACCTCAACTTCTCCCTGCAAGAGGTAACGCAAGAACAAGAATCTGACCTGGTAGCAGTGTAGCACGGGGTTAGGTGCTTTGAGCGGTTGGCTTCATTGTTGATATGGCTATATGGACGGATCAAATGCAGGGTTGAGAGCATTTGACAGCTTTCCCATTATTGCTACCTAGGTAACTATTTAGCGGTAGACCCGCCTCTCGTCATTACTTGGTGCGAGGACCTGCCAGTCAGTGTCCGAGTCTCGGTCTGCCGTTCAAACAATCCAATTCACCCATTCCCGCTCGGAAAACGCGTCTCAGAATGGGTGTCTGCATCCGTACATACAAGCAGCTTATCGTAGCTACGGCAGAGCCGTTGCTGAGGGAGCTTCCATCACGCATAAAGTAGGTACCTACAAGCAGGCAGCTTGTTGCAGAGTCGCTCGACTGTACTTAAAGTTACTGTACTTCCAGTCTGAAAGTCGGGCGTCTTCTTCATCAATCAACCACCTAGCTGTATTGCAGTGCGGTGCAGTGGAGGAGTGTTCCTTGTTTGTGCACCGCACCGCCGCACTCACAACGCATCCATTGGAAATTGCACTCCGCTGCGGCGGGGAACTCGTCGATCGTTGCTGTCTGACCAACACCACCCTCTCTCTCCAGGGCTGCCTTTGACACACACTCCCTCCAGTCCCAGTCCAGTGCCTCCCTAATACCAAGCCTCCATACCAAATAGTCCAACCTCGACCCTCTCTTTTTTCCTGCAAGCCTTCCACCCTTCTCCCTCTCCAACGGTCAGCACTTTTACGTACGGCTGCTGTCCCTTTTTGTCTTGTTTCTTTTCTCGGAACTGCAGACGACCAAAAAGAGACAGATCCCCCCCCCCCCCACCCGCGACCGTTTATTTTTTACCGCCTGTGGCCACTGTCAAGCCAAAGCAGGCACGGTTGGCCAGATCCGACGCCCACTCACTCGCGCATCCCCGCCCTCCCCTTGCTAAACCTGATACGGCCAATCTCTCTCAGCCCAAGCCTCAAGCCAACCGCCCACGATCCATCTACCCAACTTTGGCGGTCACGCGAATCCACTTGTCGCTCTCCGCATCTTCAACACCACTCCTCGAGCCTTCCGATTCACACGGTCTCGTCCTCTGTCGATTGCCGAGCACCCCTGGCCCTCGATTTTATGTGCACGGCAGGCCTCAAGAAACCCCGAGTTCGCGCTCGACCCGATCGAGATCGACTGCATTCCATGCCGCTGTGGAATTGACAGCAGAGATAGCTCAGCCGCCCGCCCTCTCTCGGTCCACCCTGTCCTCACTGGAGCTCGATAGCAGGTCGCCGCGATGGGGCCTGGCTACGATGGAGCTCCTTTTGGAGACCCTGTCCATGGTCGCCCATCTGGAGAAGACCTGAACCCTCAGATGGACCGGGACCTGGGGAACAGAAGCCCGGGTCTGCCACGGCCCAACGGTGGAGGATACGGAGGCATGCCTGGCAACAGGCCGCCTGCGTCGCCAGCTTTGAGTATGGACGGTCGAGACCGCGATGCCGACCTGAGACGGAGCGAAGAACGAAATCGATCTCGCCAGAGGGCCCCGCGAACAGCCAGCGGCCAGCTCCGAACCTGCAAGAAATGTGGCGAACCCTTGACGGGACAGTTCGTTCGTGCACTTGACGGCACGTTCCATTTGGACTGCTTTCGATGTCGGGTAGGTACTTTGTCGTGCGGCGGATCTTCTCTGCTACCCCAGGCATCTGTTGGAGCAGCCCGCGCTAACGTGCAACGCTCTCTCCTCTAGGACTGTGGCCAAATCGTAGCATCAAAGTTCTTCCCTGCGGATGACGAGAACGGCGAGGGGCAGTATCCCCTCTGCGAAACCGACTATTTCCGGCGCCTGGGACTGCTCTGCTACCAGTGTGGCGGAGCCCTGCGAGGGTCTTATATCACAGCTCTCGAGCGCAAGTATCACGTTGACCACTTCACCTGCTCCCTCTGTCCCACCGTCTTTGGCGCTCAGGACAGCTATTACGAACACGACGGCAATGTCTACTGCCACTACCACTACTCCACTCAGTTCGCGCAGCGCTGCAACGGCTGCCAAACGGCAATCTTAAAGCAGTTCGTTGAGATTTTCCGCAACGGTCAGAATCAACACTGGCATCCCGAATGCTACATGATACACAAATTCTGGAACGTCCGCTTAACACAGCCAGACGAAACTCCGAAGCGGTCCATCGAGCAGGACGATGAGCAGGGACGGGATAATGTGCGTCTGGAAGAGGAGAGAATGGAAGAGAAGGTCTACCGGATATGGAGTGTGCTCTCTACATTTGAGGAGTCGTCCGCAGCCTGCATTTCTGATATGCTCCTGCACGTCAGCAATGGATCGTATATCGATGGAGTAATGGTCGCACAAAGGTTCATCTGGCATGTCGACATTCTCTTTCGCAGCGCCGATAGACTGGATGCTACCATGGCCCAGCTAGACATGAAAGGTGAGAGTTTTGAAATGAGAGCTCGCTTGGACATTCACTGAACATCTCTTCTAGGCCTCTCATATAGCCGCGAGGCAAAGCTTCTTTGCAAGAAAATCGTCGCTTTCTTTTCGCTCCTGTCTAAGACACAGGACAATGGTTCCCGCAAGCTCGGGGTGACACAAGAACTGCTGTCTTTGGTCACCGGACTTGCACATTACCTCAAACTCCTCATCCGGATCTGTCTGCAGGGAGCTCTGCGGATCGAGAAGGAGCGCAATACTTCCGAGGGTCTCTATCAGTTCCTCGATAATCTCGGTGATCTTGAAACCCTCAAGAACGACAATGGCCAGTTCCCGACTGGCATGTCTCGCCTTTCGGCCAACGATTCGGACCAATGCACGCTCTGTCGCAAGCCGATTGAGGACAGCTGTGCTAAGAACGGGGATAGGAGGTGGCATCTGTCTTGCTTGGGTTGTGCACGTTGCGGGAAAGATTTGAGCCAAAATGTTCAAGATGCCCGGCTGAACACATACGATCTAAAGGTGCTTTGCAACAGCTGCCAGCCCTACAGCCCCGACAATGCCCCGCCTTTCGAACGCATCACGAAACTTCAACAGTATGTCTTCCTGCTCAGGGTAGCACTGGCGAGGCTTCTTGAGATTCTCCGCAACAGCGGCATGCTGCCTCTCGCGTCTGACGACCCGAACTTTAATGTTAATGATGCTACCGACGGCCAACGAGGCCTGGGAGATGCGCCGCACCTTACGAGCGAGGCTCGATCCAAGTCCTATGCAGGGGAGAAGGATCATCATCGTGAATCATCTTATGAGAGCACTTTGAACGATGTGCGGAGACTTCGAAGTACACGCTTGGACAAGCACCTGTCATCCAGCTTTAGGAAAGCTAGGACCTCACGAATCATGGATGGACCAGAGGGCTCGACCGCACGACCTGGTTCCGCTGGTGGCGATGGTACGGGCCTCAACAAACCCGGCATGCAGATCGTGGAAGACCGGGGGCCAAACGACGAGGGGACCACGGATATGATGTTTGGTAACGAGAATGCGTTGACTCTGGATGATATCCCACGCATTGTGGCTGCAGAGCAGGCACGGGAGAAGCGACCAGCTGCGCGCCAAGAGCTCTTCCGGTCTCCTGCGACGGAGCCTTATGTGGGCCCGACTGCAGACAAGTCGTACGCCCCGAGAGACATGGACCCTCGCATGGTTGGGGAACCGTCACCTCAGAGAGGCGGGCGCAAGTACTTCTCTGAGCTGTCCGGCTTGGAGTACTTCATTGTTCGCCATCTATCAGTCCTGACGATGCAGCCTACGATCGAATCGGAGTTCTCTCTGGAGGAGCTTCTCAGCTTCATCGAATCGCGCAAACCCGTTACGTTCTGGAACAAGTTCGGCAAAGCCTTCAAGAATGATGGGAAGAAGGGCACAAAGAAGAAAGGCATCTTCGGGGTTCCCCTGGAGATCATTATTGAGCGGGATGGTGCGGACTCTACGGATGGTGTCGGACCAGGCACCCTACGCATCCCGGCCATCATCGATGATGTGGTCGCTACGATGCGCGGCATGGACCTGTCTGTCGAAGGTGTATTCCGAAAGAACGGTAACATCAAGAAGCTGACGGAGCTTTGCGAGAAGATAGACCGGGAGGGCATGGAGAATGTCAACCTGGGCACCCAAAACGTTGTTCAAGTGGCAGCCTTGCTCAAACGCTACCTGCGCGACCTACCGGATCCCCTGATGACACACAAGCTCTACCGACTCTGGATAGCGGCCGCTAAGATCCAGGACGAGGAGAAGAGGCGGCAGACGCTCCACCTGACATGCTGTCTCCTGCCGAAGTGTCATCGCGACTGCCTGGAGATCCTGTTCTGCTTCCTGAAATGGGCTGGCTCCTTCCACCAGGTCGACGACGAAGCCGGTTCCAAGATGGACATCAAGAATCTGGCGACGGTGATTGCGCCCAACATCCTTTACCAGGCTACCAAGACCGTAGCACTGGATTCTGACCCGATGTTTGCGATTGTGGCTGTTGAGACACTGATAAACCATATCGAGGAGATGTGCCTGGTAAGTGTGACAGATCCCCTTTATAACAACCACTATGGTGACTAACGGGCGGTTTAGGTTCCTGATGACCTCGTCGATGTCCTGAATGACCCCACGCTCTTCAGCAATAATGGTGAGATCACGACCAAGGAAATCCTCAAGCGCTTCGGTGACCGATCCGCGAACGGAGGACGGTCGTACGGCGATGTAGCCGAAATCGTCAACAGACATGATCAGGCAAGCCGTCCCCACGCTAGGAGAGTGGAAACGGACCCGTCGGTCTGGCAAGACGAGCGCACTGTCCGGACGGTGCAGGAGCCACCCGCGCCATATGCGCAACAAGGCCCGGGAACCCCGCCTCCTAGATGGAGGAACCCGGATGAAGGCCAGCACTCGCCATATCAGCAGGATTACGAGATGACGGGCCAGCCGCCGAACGGGCCTCCTGACGGGAACCAGAGACGAGAGTGGAGGAATTCTGGTTGGGGCAGGCAAGGTTCCGTCGGCGTCGGTGGGACTTGAAATCGATCTCTCGATGTGTGCAACGGTGTGCATGCCATTGGGAGGGTCGAGATGCAGCTACACCAAGCGAGACGATCCTTCCCATTTTCAACTTCTACGTCTACCACCACTGCAAGCAGGGTGCCCGATGAACCCGCTCCAGGAAAGATGCGTGATTACCTACCGTTAATGGAAACTGCACTCGACTTGGGGGCGCTTTTGTTCTGATAAAGTCAGACTTGGACCCTTTTAGATCATTCCACAACTATCAAAAGAAGAGGAGTTTTTGGGCAGGGCGATGCCAAGGCCATATTTGTTTGATTCCTTCACCTGACGACGTTACGAGCAGAACAGCAGCAGCAGCAAGAGCAGCACGGAGATGCAAGGAGCGTGTTCATTATATTTCTTATGCACCGCGGAGGAGAATGAAGACAGCCGACGGGGAGGGGAGTCTCGAGGGCTGTGGTGAGGTGTACGTACGTGCGTGTGTTGGGGTCTGTCTCATTCCGGCCACAAGTGCAAATGGGTAGGGATCTTTCTATAACTTGCAAAACGAAACCTCTCCAAGGGGAGGGAATATAAAGTTTTTCTTTGCCCAGGCAATCGAGACGTCATGACATGCTTGCGATAGGTCCGTCTTGGATGAGTTTTACCGTGTGCCAGGGGATGCTGTCATCGAACAAGCTCAGCAAATCCCTTCGGAAGATCTATGTTGTTTACCCCGGATTATTTAGCTCTGCACATATCCGGGAAGCGGGATGGCTTTCGCATCAACATCCCAGTAAGCTGGTCTCTCCCGCGCAGACACAAATGCTGTAGGGTTCTTGTAGATATCAAAAGAGCTACGGCTCCGAGGTATAATTACAAAAAATGTAGACGATGCCATGGCCATGCGGCAGGCACGTGGCGGCTGCCCCCAAGACTCATCCCTATATATCCATATACGACCACTGTTCTCCTTCCCCGACATTGAGAACAATCTCCTCGACATCAAGCCTTGGCAGCCTCCTGCCTGTGCTGCTCCATCGCCCACGCGACGCCCCTCCTGACGCCCTCCTCGAGGCTGACCTGGGGCACGTAGCCTAACCTCTTCTTGGCCTTGGTGATGTCAAAGTAGCGCGTCATGCAGGCGAAGACGCAGCGCTGGTAGGTGAAGGTCGGGTTCTTGCGCGCGAGCCAGGCGCCCCACTCGGCGAGGGAGCCAAGCAGCAGGCCGACGTCGCGGCCCAGGTGCCAGACGGAGCCCATGTCGGCGCCGTCCCAGCCGGCGGCGCGCCAGATGGCGCGGTTGAAGTCCCAGAAGTAGATGGGGCTGTCGTTGGTGATGATGAAGACCTCGCCGTCGACGCGCTCGTCGGCGGACAGGGGCTCGGGCAGGGCCCAGGTCGCGAGCAGGGCGTGCACGGCGAGCAGGTGGCCGTGGACGACGTTCTCGACGTAGGTGTAGTCGCAGAGGTTGTCGTTGGCGCCGACCTGCCAGCGGTGCTTGCGCTCGAGGTAGACCTTGAGGATGCCGACGATGGCCTGGCGGTCGCCCTCGCCGAAGATGCCCGAGGGCCGGATGGCGCAGGTCAGCAGCTTGCCGGGTTCGTTGGCCTTGAGGACCATCTCTTCTGCTTCGGCCTGTTTTTTGGGTTGAGGGAACAGTCAGCAAAGTCAATTCCTTCCTCTTTCTTCCTCATTGGAGCCTTGGGGAGAAACAAAACGCACCTTGGTCTCCGAGTAGTACTGCGTCTGCTCCTTGCCCCGGATCACGGGCCACCTCTCGTCGGCGTTGATCAGGTCGTTGTAGTTGTCGCTAACGACGCTGGCGGAGCTCGTGTAGACGAGGACCTTGACGCCCGTCTTGCAGCAGGCTTCGATGACGGCGGCGGTGCCGTCGACGTTGACCTTCTTGAAGAGGGCGTGGGCGGTCTTGGTCTCGCCCTGGGCGAGGGGGCTGGCCGTGTGGATGACGACGTCTGGGCGGGCCTCGTCAAAGACGGACACGAGGCTGACGAGGTCGGTGATGTCGGCGTCGTAGTAGCGCACGCCGTCCGAGTCGGGCCGGCGGTAGCGCGTGCAGACGAGGTCGACGACCGAGACGGCGGCGCAGGCGTAGTCGCGCAGCAGCACGTTGACGACGTGGTGGCCCAGGAAGCCGCAGCCGCCAATCACGAGCACGTGGCCGAGGTTCTTCTTCTTGCCCGCCGCCGTCGCGGACGGGGCCGTGGTCTTCTTTGCGCCGGCCATTGTGTTTTCGGTCTTGTCTTTGTCGTTTTTCCCGTGGACGTGGACAGACAGAAGATCAATTGGGCGGAGGGTTTTCTCGAGGGAGGGGGGGAAACGTGGGAAAAAGGAGGCGGCGTGCGTTGGTTGAGGTTGGAGATCAAATCAACCTTAATGTGTGGAGGGTGCCATGGGAGCACTGATTGGCGATGGCAAAATGCGCTGTAGGCTATTTCTTTACCCCTGCTAGTAGCTCCCTCCTGTCGGATCTCAGGGCCGTAAATGGTGGAATTGGGGGCGAAAAAAGCTGCCCTGGTGGAGCCAACACGCTAAAGGATCGAGCTACACCGAGAATGGTGTTCTCCCATCCATTGCAAGTGTGGGGAGATCTTTCAACCTTAAGCTTCACATTCATTCATTGATCCCATGAATCAAGTCCAGGCACCAACAGCCAGCATATCCACAAACGATTCATGAACTCAACTTTGCTGCTTGCTTGACACCATCTATTACCTTTGTCGTTTTGGGCAAACTTCACTTTCCACGACCTAGCCACCCTAAGTAAAGCAAAGGACCATCCTTGTTCTTGCTCGGAGACTGTCTGTCCATTCACCAGTCGATATATTCACCAGCTTCATTTTCTATTCTTGCACTCATGCTCTTCTCACCCTAAAACATGTCTGCGGCACTTGTCACTACAGGGCAGTATGGGTCAGCAGGAGGCAGAGATCCTTATTCACGTTGCTGCCCCAAGCAGGGCTTCAGACGACTTGCTATATAGAGCACTGGCTCAAGCCTATCTGGACTTCGAGCCGGTCAACACCATCGAGATATCAAAAACAAGGATACAGAGTGTGCAGCCGCCAAAGCAGAGATCCTGCCAACTGCACAGCTTCATCCGATCACCCAACCTATCATTCCAAGGCGTGCAAGACAACAAGTCTTCCCCAGGCTTGCGCACTCATACACTTATGCAACCCGAGTCAAGGCACGATGAGCCCTCACAGAACTCATCATGGGTTGCACCACCCAGTGTCGTCGCAGATTCGCAACCAGACAACAATATGTGTATGGCCACATTTTGTTCCCAGCCCCGTCTGTTCCTTCATCTTCAGAGGGTAAACAGCTCATCAGAATTTGCTCGACCAGCCTTCCATGATGGAGACTCGTCAAAGACAGATGAGTCCGTTGCTTTGCGCCAAGCTGCTACAGCTGCTACAACTATTGAAAGCGACCAAGTCGGTGATGAGTCTCGCATTTCGGAAACCATACTCATCAGCGACCCGACTACTTCACAGGATTCAAATGTCCAGCCGCAACATGACCGGCATCTAAGGTCCTCACGGTCAAGAGACAACCCAGCAGCTGAGGAAACTGGCCCAGAAGAATATGGCGGCCAGATCAACCCATCAGAAAACAGGGCTGAGCAAGCAATACATGAGGCACTATCCCAGAGCAGCCCAGTGAACGTTATACCGGCTACCAGGGCTGATTCGGCACCGCCTACAAACAAACGCCGGAAGGTTGCTGACGGATCTGATTTGACTGGGCTGATCAGGAGCTCTAGTGACGGTCTTGTCGCCCAGACACTGCACAGATCGGCCGCCACAGTCGTTCCCTTCCCGGGAGATAACAATTTGGATATATACTCGCCAGACCCTCTTACTTCCTGTGATACGGTGGATCCCTCAACACTGGTCACACCCAAGCTCCTCAAACTGGCCTCGGACTTGGATATGAACAAGAGGTACAAGCCATCTGAGCAGTTGCGACAGCTTGAGCCGTTTGAGAGAGGGTACTGGTTGCTTGACACCTCAGACTGGGACGACGAACTGCTCAGCTTGTCATGGACCTTTCTGACGAACTACGTCGGCTGCGGAGATGCGGGATGGGGCGTATGGTGCAAGCGGGACGAGTCGCGGACTTGGATACGGTTGTACTGTTTTGGAAAGGTCGTTGGACATGCTTACCTCCTTCTTTACCTTGCTTCCCAGAGGCGGGTGCTCTCCACCGGGTGTGAATGGCACGGTGGGGATGGTAAGACTCTGGTCAGAGTTGCACCTAGGAAGAAGAGATAGCTTGGTCTAGCATAGCATGGTGTTGGCAGAGTCGATCTTGGGGAGTATGTTCGGTTTCCTTCGGTATCATCATAAGACTCGCATACAGCAATCTATTGCGGAAATGCCATTTGCTAACCATTTGTGACCCTCGACTCAGATACATTATTGCCATGCTCACCCATGCCGGGTCGATGTTGAAATCTTTGGCTCTAGGCACTCTGGCGCCGAGGACGCTGCCGCCATGGAACGCTTCAACGACCCAGACTCTTGTGTCTGAGGTCTTCGTCACAGTCATGGTGCTGAGCAGCGCAGTCATCAACCTACACCTCGCTCACCAGAGCAAATATTTACCCTCTATTATATGACCGGGGGCCGACACCTTATCACGGTGGCGCCTCGTCAGAATAGCCAACTCCACAAACGGCACTTCACCAACTTCAGGCTCCGCAATGGGATCATATGCGAATTCCCATACAACCAGGCCATGCTCTAGCAGACGATCGGCCGCTTATTCTGGATTGGTCAAGAACACCGAGGTCGTATGGGCCATCATGAAGACTCGAAACACCTTTGATGATGCTCAAGAGGAGAAGGCAAACCTAAAACAGGCACACTTCGATGCCGCGGCGCGCGTGGTTCCTCAGCACCTCACCGGGAACCTGAGGCGGTTCCAGCCTCACTGACACCAGCAGCTGGGGGTGCAGACAATTCCGCCTACCGTGCGTGGTCGATGGCCTATCATGGAAAAGCTAGAGTTCGGCCTGTCTAAGAGGCCATGGCACATTACATGACACTCACCCGGTCCTCCTGCATCCTCTTCTCTCCACTCTCCACAACAACAAATATTCCTCTTTCTCCAAACTTGCCCGGAACTCTTCTCGCAATCAAACAATATGCCCACTGGCCATGGCCCCCGGCGGCACAGGAGAGAAAAAGTCCACTGAAGATGTTTAAGCGGATAGACGAGCTGGCCAGCCACTTCAAGGAGCGCCGGCGTCTGGCGCAAGCTAGACATCATGGCCGTCAACCCAAACACGTTCAGGCTCCTCAACTTATACATGGCCTGGCCCGATGAAGATGCCCTCACGACATTCTACTCCGGCCACGAGGATGAGCCTCGGACCTTCTTGGCGGGCCGGCTAGAGAGGACTGTGTTTGCGCCTGTCTGTGTGTGCTCACAGCGATCATATGGACGATTGCAACGTCCATGCAGAGCTGGCAGGCCGTTGAGGGCTTGTATGATCTTTCTACTATATATATTCATTCCCACTATTACGAAGCCCATTTCATCTGCAATATCGCACAATACTCTGGCATGGATACTTTCGGGATGTCTGCCTCCCTTTCTACCATGTTTCCCCTGAAGGGTGGCATGGAACAGCCCCAGCAGACATCTACCCCTCTCTGGTCGCCTGGCGCCACTGGAGCTCATCAAGATGATCGGAATACTCGACAAGGCCTGCGAAGTCTGCATGGAGAACTCAATCAACCACGCCATAACCTGTTGAATGAAAGCCCCCGCCGGTTCATTCTTTGTAGACAGCAATTCGTCCAGCGACTGGCACCACACCCTGCTACAATGGCAGCAATACAACCGTGCCCGCAACATGTCGGGTAAGGGCAAATACCAATTCACGCTTCCTGACAAGGACTACCGGGCCTTGTCCGATACCCTGCCCTGGGCTGCTCCAGCTGGCTCGCTGAGCGAGGAAGAGCACCAGATCGAGCAGAATACCGACAAACCCGCGGTCCCGGATTGGAGTTGGCATCTTGCGGCATGCAGGAGTCAGCCGTCTTACACATGCCAGTGTGTATTAGAAGCTGATTGACCGCCAGGGCCTATCTTCGTGGCCCGGCCCCAACAATGATGACAAAGAGCAGGATAGCACCGGCATAACGTAAAGTTTCAGGTTCGGCCTCGTCAGCGTGGACGAGGCAAACTCCGTGATGACGAGGCACACTTCCTCAAGAACGCAACCTCTGTCACGCACCAGCTCGTCCGGGCCATCAACAAGGAAGCCCTCTTGCTCAGCACCGTCACACCGATGCTGAACCACCCGAAGGACACGCTCAGCTAGCTTTCGCCATCAGAGGTCGTCGGAACGATCCTGGACACCCTTGGAAAGGCTGAAGTAACTCACAAGCCAGTCAAGGTGCAGACTTTGAAAAAGACGAATCCTGGATCATCCAGTGGGCTGGTCTCGACGCGGCAACTGAGATTGCGGAGGCAAATATTGTTCACAAGTGCGTTAAAAAGATAGGACGCATGTCTGCGTACTATACGTCGAGCCCCGACAATTTTTGCTGTGCTGTCTCTGGGCCGTTGCAGCCGGTTGAGGTGCCACAGTGCCTCAGCAAGCTCCTTGGTAATACCAGTGATAAGGTAAAGAAGAAATTTATCGACCTGCGAAGGCTCGTGAGGCCGGCACTAAAGCCGATGAGTCTGCCAAGACGCTCAAGGAGATCAAGGCTGAGAGGGTGCGCAAGAGCACTGTATGTATCCCCCAACCCACGGCAGCACGCGCAAGCAGGATCTAACACTTCTCAGTCGATCATCCAGGACGAGATGGACAAGGTTGTCAAGGCCTTGGGCATGAGCGAGCTTGAGATTGCTGAGTACCTCTAGGGTGGTATGTTTGTTCATGTTATTTTCCTGTCTACTCTCTTTTTTCTGTGTCTGACTCTGTGTTTCTAGGTGATGAGGATGACGACACCCACGATTCTGTCGATGGCGACAAGGAAGACCAGCAGGAGGCGGACGATAACGACTATAACGATGACGAAGATTCGCCGAGCTCCATCAGCTGTGATGATGAGGTTACCGTCCAGGTTAAGCAGGGAAAGAAGGGCAAGGAGTTTGCCACGTGGAGGCGGCCGAGAACCGATACGTCCCCACCGAAATCGGCGAGGAGGACCAGGTCTTGGACCAAGACATGGAGGTGCGATCCCTGGAAGACGAGTCCGAGGTAGCCAAAGAGCGCGCAAAGCAGAGCAAGAACGATTACGGTCAGGAATCCGAACACTCCGAACAGTCCCAGCGGAAACCGGAATACACGGACATCACCAGGCTCATCTCTGAGGGCAGCCCGTTCAAGTACACGTCGATCAATGATGCAATGGAGCTCCTGGATATCCCGTCTCTCGAATATACTGTAGGCGTGGATGCTTTCCAGCCACTCTTTGCGCTCATCAAGCAGCATAAAAACGACAATACCGCCGGTAAGGCTCTCGCTTTCTCTGTTGTCTCCAAAACGGAGAACATTGCAGAGCTGGAGAAGCCTGAGAAGGCCAAATACCTCACCGCCATACGCACCGGGGTCGTCCCTTCCGATATCGAGGGAGAGGTGAACAATGATATATGGTCACTTATCACATCACTCAGGCGCCTGGTTAAGGCAGATCCAGCTCGGTTCACAGAGGCGCCTGACAACTGCTATCCCGGCAGTTTCTTCATTGGCGGTATGTCATCCAGGGACTGGCACCAGCTCAGCCTACATACGCGCCCCATTCCGGTCCTTAATAAGGACTTTAATAGAACCTTATCAAACTTCCTCCTTACCGGAAAGCTGTCGGCCATTCTGACCTGTGAGGTACTCCTACCGATGTCACTAAGTGAGAAGGATACATTATAGATGAAGCTATAGGGCTGGTATCAGGCTGGCATTACATTCCTGCAGCAGAAGACTGGCGACTATAACAAGCATGTACCACCAACATCATATGCCCTGGTCTCCTTTAAGACCGTGTTGAAATCATACGTCCTTGGAGGGCTTTGTGAGGACGACCTTGATAACGATGCGGCATATAACATCACGGGCATTCTTGTTCTGGTACGAGATGGCAGCATACTCGGCGGCCGATCTGCCCTGCACGGCCATCATGGTCGCCTGTACAAGACCAGGGCGGCCATCAAGCTGATCATGAACAAGTCCAATAGGCGGACACAGCAAATACAACGAGAAGCACAACAAGGGCGAGCTCAAGGATACGTAGACATTCCTGTCTGTTGTCAAGATGGCACTGGTGCATCTCCTCGGCATAAAGAGCAATAAGCTTGTCATAGAGCTCAAGAAATGCTCCCTTGATCTACCTTACTAGACTTTGCATTTCGTGTACGTTTGGATCACACACATACTACTGGAAATTTGATTTAAATGCACTTGCCTCTCCGCTCTAGGAAGCAGGATAACCCACCAGAGATAACAGTAATTGGAAAGGGAATCAGAGGCCATGCTTACAGTGTCCATGCATGGGAAGACAATTGCCGTTGACTCGAGATAGAAATGTGCATTACATCGGCCTATCATACACAAACTCCATAGCACCTTCAGATTCTCAAACTCAAAACATTCCAGGAACAACATGCCCTCCTGCCGGAACCTGGAACACACAAAGGGGATCGAGAGCCACAAACATGCTGGCTGTTCTTTTTACTCTTGAGAGTGCCTCAGCAAGGTCTATTAGAATCCCTTGGACGGCTGACCCACACTGAGATCATCATCTTGCCAGGGCCGGCCAACATAGGAGCCGATTTAGATTGAGCTGCATCAAGGACTTGGCGACCTAGCGATTTCTCGGTTCAGGACCGTCTTGACCTCATTCTCGTATCTGGCGAGGTCGGCCTTGGCCTCCTGTTCGTAGCCCTAAGATACTGTTAGTACGGTGGACGCGGTAGGCAAGGTCGCTCGGAACTGTGAACTTACCTGGCGCTCGGAACCAGATAGCCCCTTCCACTCGGAAGCGATGGCCTTGGCGACCTCGGGGGCCGGGGTGCCGGTGTAGTCGTTGGAAGCCCATTTGGCCTTGACGAAACAGAGATAGGCGCTGACGGGCCGCTTGGGCTGGCGCTCGTCAGCGATGCGGCTGTGGGATTTGTTGGTAAGCTTGGCGAGGCGGTTTCGGGCATTGTTGGCTGCAGCGATCTCCTCGGGGGTATGGCTCTCAACCCAGGCCTTGTAGGCGGCAAGGTTGGCCAGGCGGTTCTGCTCGGCGGTGGCTTGGAGTTGCTGGTTGTGTGTGAGTAAAACAGAGAACGGAGTCCACATTGTATACTATCCCATTCCACAGTGGACGACGTACCTGGCGCTCGAGCGAGGAGATGTCCTTAAAGGAGCGGCTCAGTGCGGCAGACGTAGCGCCAATGCCCTCGTTGCCGACCTTGCTGCCCTTGGTGCTCTGCGACACATAGACGGTCCAGACATTGTCCGGCAGGCGGGCGGGCTGCTTGAGCAGGGCGGCCTTCCTCGCCTCCCGGATCTGCAGTTTGACCTTCTCCTCGGGCGTAAGCACCTTGCGCGGGCGCGCGGCCGGCTTCTTCTTCTTGGCGGCGACCTTCTTCTTGGGCTTCTTGGCCGCAGGCTTCTTGGCGGGCTTCTTCTTCGCCGCCGTGGTCTTCTTCTTGGGCGCGCCGGCGGTGGCGAGGCCGCGGTGGTGCTGGTGGCTGACGCGCAGGGCGGGGCGGGCGGCGACGATGACGGTCTTGGGCCGGACGACGAGGCGGGCAAGGGGGAGAGCTCGGCTCGCGTGCCGCGCAGCTGTGGCCGCGGCCGGGCCGATGGCTGTCCACATTGTAGTGCGGGTGTGGCGGGAGTGTTGTTGCTGGGTAAAGATGTTGTTTGCGAAAACTGCGCAATTGGAGCTGCCGCGTCGCTTCGAGGAGAAAAGAGTGATGGATTGTGGCCTGTCCCCTCAGAATGTGTCAATCAAGGGATTCAGCAATGCCCTGACGATGGTCTCCCTGCCACCCGTGTTTTGGCTTGATGACGGTCGAGCTCCTCGCGCGACTGGTAGCTAGTACGTGTGTTTGTAGACAGAAGAGAGCCGAAAATAGGTACTGGATACTAAGAGCCTGCCCAAGCCATATCAGAGTTGACGCTAAATTGGCGTCTCGTCCAGGGGCCGCATCGGGTCTGGTCCAAGCTTCTGGGCCTCCACTCGGTGCCATAATCCTCCGTTTTCTCACTGGCTGGGAGCTTTTATGGTACAAGTACAAGTAAAGTAATTTCAGGTTAATAGCAGGAGAGAACCATTTCCACATGCTCAGCCTGACGCAAGGTACTTCAGCTTGAGTTTATGGAATCCTACCCCAAACCATGCAATGCACGCAAAGCTGCTGAAATCAGTGAGCAGATAAAGCGCATGCCTTCTTGCCATCCCTCTTCTCGGCTCAGTCTGCCTTTCTTCACAGCGCCATGTGCACGCACCAGACACTCCAAGTGTGAGCTAAGTAACAAGGCCTTGTTCCGCACCATTGCATGTTCCAAGTTTTGCTTGGCATGAGGTCTTTATGTCTGCCTATAAGAGAACCTGTCTGCCCAGTGATGGCAAATGAAGCATATTTGAAATGATTTTACTTTGACTCATCAAAGCTGATCTTTGTGTTTCTTCTCTCGTTCGGCAGGCAGCCAGAGAGCAGCTTGGCAGACCGGCGACTGCCTGCATGGTCTGTGCGCCCAGGTGGAGTTGGGCCATAGAAACACCCCAGATAAAAGTCCGTAGCTTCTGCCGATAGTCTAAATCTGCCTGCCGTTTGCCATCACACAACGAAAATGGGCCGACGGGACGACTACCGTCGTTCGCGGAGTCCGCCGCGGCGAGACCGGGATCGCGACCGCGACCGCGACTCTTATTACCGTCGAGACCGCTCACGCAGTCGCCGCCGGGACGATAGAGACCGCCGCAGATCACGCGACAGAGGCGATCGAGACAGGTCGCCTGCTCGCAGACGGCCCAGGAGCAGGGACCGGGGAGACAGAGATAGGGACAGAGACCGAGACCGAGAGAGGGATCGAGACAGGGACCGCGACCGCGACCACAGGAGGAGGGATGACTCCAACGACCGAGCCCGAGGCCGGCGCGAGGGCACCGCCGACTCCAGCGCTCGCAGAGGCGACGATGCCCGCCCCCGAAGTCAGCGAGGCTCGGATGCTCCCAAGTCCAGGGAAACAGAGTCGAAGCCTGCCCTGACACCGGCGCAACTCGACGAGCAGAAGAAGGCCGAGCGACTTGCGAAGCTCGAAGCCTGGAAGAAGAAGCATGAGCAACGCAAGGAGCAGGAGGCGAGTGCGGGCAGCACGAGGAAACTCCTCGCCGAGATGGACGAGAAGGCAAGCGGTACGCCTATCTCACTAGCCTCACCGTCTGTCGCTGCTTCTGGAGCCGTCTCGCCGGCCACGCCGCAGGACAGCGGCGCTGCATCACCAGCATACGGAGGCAAATTCGACCCAAAAGCCATCGCCAAGAAAGCTGCTCCACGACATCATTCTCCATCCCTGCTGGGCTCCATCAAAGGCTATCCCGCCGAGAAGGTACCAGCTACGACCACCCCGGCCAAAGCGCCTACAGCATCTGCGTTACCCACCGGAAAGCCCATCAGCGGTTTCGGCTTCCACAAGACGGGCGGCGAGAATGACAAAGCTCCTTCAAAGCGGAAGCTGGATCTGGATGACGAGGAGACCTCGAAAAGAAAACTGACCAAACTCCCGGATATGTCCCTCGAGGCCACCGACGACACTCCCTACGTGAACCAGGACGAAGACGACGAGTCGGAAGGCGACGAGTTTGCCGGGACGGAGGAAGAGGCATTGGCAGCAGCTCGCGCCGCGCACGAGCGCCGCGAGGAACGCATGCTTGAGCAGAGTATGGCTATGGACACCGATGAGGCCGACCAACCACAATCAGAAAAACAAGTCCAAGAACCTGCGCCTGTGCAAAATGGTACAGATAGCCTTGTCACGTCTGCTCCTGCACCCGCGGCCGCCGCGCCTGCTCCTGCGGCGGAGCCCGAGGCGATGGAAGTTGACCAAGAAGACGACGTGGATCCCCTTGATGCTTTCATGGCCGGGCTCGAGGATACTGGTGCTGTAGGTCTCGGTGAGCTTCCGAAGAAGGCGAACGGCAAGAAGGCACCCGAGCCTGAAGCATACTTCAGCGACGATGACGATTTCTTCTCGTCCAAGGCTAAAGACGATACGAATCCCAACTCTATCCTCGCTCTGGCCGCCAAGCGGAAGAAGAAGGATATCCCGACGATCGACTACAGCAAATTGGACCTGCAGCCTGTCCGCAAGAATTTCTGGGTCGAGCCATATGAGTTGAGCCAACTGACCGAGGCCGACGTCGCAGAGCTCCGCCTCGAGCTGGACGGCATCAAAGTGTCGGGCAAGGACATCCCCAAACCTGTTCAGAAGTGGTCACAATGCGGTCTGACGCGCCCAATCTTGGAGACGATCGACACGTTGGGCTACGAGAAGCCCACCCCGATTCAAATGCAGGCTCTACCAGTCATCATGTCAGGTCGCGATGTCATTGGCGTTGCGAAGACAGGATCGGGGAAGACGATGGCATTTCTCCTGCCCATGTTCCGTCACATCAAGGATCAAGATCCCGTCAGGGATACAGAAGGCCCCATAGGGCTGATTCTGACCCCTACGCGAGAGCTTGCCGTTCAGATCCACCGTGATTGCAAGCCGTTCCTCAAGGCTCTGGGTCTGCGCTCCGTCTGTGCATATGGCGGACCGCCTATCAAAGACCAGATTGCCGAGCTCAAAAGAGGCGCGGAAATTGTCGTTGCGACAACTGGTCGCATGATTGATCTCCTTGCAGCGAATCAAGGCCGCGTGGTCAACCTGAAGCGTACGAGTTACATCGTCCTCGACGAAGCCGATCGTATGTTTGACATGGGCTTCGAGCCCCAGGTCATGAAGATCTTTGCCAATATCAGGCCCGACAAGCAGACCGTGCTTTTCTCTGCTACCATGCCTCGCATCATAGACGCGCTCGTCAAAAAGGTGCTCAAGAATCCTGTCGAGATCATTGTTGGCGGCAAGAGTGTGGTCGCACCCGAGATTACGCAGATTGTGGAGATCCGGGAAGAGAAGGACAAGTTTATTCGGCTGTTGGAGCTTTTGGGTGAGCTATATAAAGACGATGACGATGTCCGAGCTCTCATATTCGTTGAGCGTCAGGAGAAGGCCGATGACCTACTGCGAGAACTCCTGCGGAAGGGCTACGGCTGTATGTCGTTGCATGGAGGCAAGGACCAGGTCGATCGCGACTCCACCATCACTGACTTCAAGAGTGGCGTGTGTCCCGTTCTGATTGCGACATCAGTGGCGGCGCGTGGACTTGATGTCAAACAACTAAAGCTGGTTGTCAATTACGATGCGCCCAACCATCTGGAGGACTACGTCCACCGTGCCGGACGAACGGGACGTGCTGGCAACACTGGCACTGCCGTGACTTTCATTACGGAAGAGCAGGAGAATTGCGCACCCGGCATCGCCAAGGCTCTGGAACAGAGCGGCCAGCCCGTCCCCGAGCGCCTGAACGACATGCGCAAGGCGTGGAGAGAGAAGGTCAAGAGCGGCAAGGCCAAGGACCAGTCCGGATTCGGTGGCAAAGGTCTCGAGAAGCTCGACAAAGACCGGGAGGCGGCGCGCCTGCGGGAGCGCAAGACCCACAAGGCCGAGGGAGAGGAGGACGACGAGAAGGAGGAGAAGGGCGAGGAGGACGACAAAAAGAAGAAGGCCGCCGCGAGCGCGATCCAGTCGGCGGTCTCGGCCATCGTCTCGCGAGACGCCCAGAAGCAAGAGACGCCAGAAGGCAAGGCGACGCCGGCGGCGGCAGCAGCAGCGGCCACGCCGGTGCTGTCGAGCGCCGCCAAGGGCGCCCTGGACAAGGCCGCGTCGGCCGTCAGCGAGATCAACGCCCGCCTTGCGCGCGCGGGCCAGCTGCGGCCGGGTCAGCCGATCGACAACAAGGGCCCCGACGCCGGGGCCTTCCACGCGACGCTCGAGATCAACGACTTCCCGCAGAAGGCGCGGTGGGCCGTCACGAACCGCACCAACGTGGCCAAGATCCTCGAGGCGACGGGCACGTCGATCACGACAAAGGGCAACTACTACCCGCCCGGCAAGGACCCGCCCTCGGGCGCCGAGCCCAAGCTGTACATCCTCATCGAGGGCGACACCGAGGTCGTCGTCGGCAACGCGCTGTCGGAGCTCACGCGCCTGCTCAAGGAGGGTACTGTGGCGGCGGCGGATGCGGAGAGCAGGGCGCCTGCGAGCGGGAGATATACCATTACTTAGACGAGGGTGGGGAGTTTGGTCTATGTACAGTAATGTCATTGCCGGCAGGAGTTTGTTCTTTCTTTTTTCCCCCTTGGCCGTATCGGGTTGGGAGACCATGGATACAGTTGGTCTGGTGTTATCAGGGGGCCGGGGAACAAGAGGCTTCAAGAGATTGATAGAATAAATCATATATTCTAAATAAAAGGAGGCATTGAAAGACAAGGCTTTTGCGACTGGAGGAATCGAATCTTGGGTTCACCTGTCTAACCACTCGTGTGATGAAGACCCATGACTTTAAGTGTGTGTTCGTCAACAACCTGAGAAAAGAATAGTCTGAAATAAATGAATCCAACGAGAACAGTAACGGAACATGCATACCTGATAACAAGAAGAACAAGACGCCGTAACAATGCCACGATACCTCACCAAGCCTCCGTTTGGGAAAAGAAGCCTCCGGACAACTCTAGTCTACCAAAAGGTCATGACGCCCATCCACGCTCACCCGACCGCCTGGTCCTCCTCTGCCACGAAACCCTCTAATTATGCGCCCTAGCCTCCTCGGCGGCATCCATCTCCCGCCGCCGCCTCTCCTCGGCGCTCGCGTCCTTGAGCGTGTCGCTCATCGTCCGCTTCCGCTGCTCCGCCAGCTGCTCGCCCAGCTTGCCGACCGGTCGCCCGCCCTTTGCTCGCGCCTACAGCGAACGACGTTTCATTAGCTCTTTCTCTCCCTTGGAGGATGAGGAGGACGGGCGCATCATACCTCGGCGGCCTCGGCAGCCTTCCGCCGCGCGTCCTCTGCAGTGCCGCCACCACCACCGCCGGCGGCGCTCCCGTCGCCTCCGCCCAGCGTGCGCGGCGGGCCGCCGACCTTGGTGGCCTTGGCCGGCACGCGCGCCGTGTCGCCCGCCTGGGCCGGGGGCGGCGCGCTGCCCAGGACGCGCCCGGGGGACTGGAAGTTGTCGTCGCCGGAGCTCGACTTGCCGCAGCAGTTCCCCATTGTTGCCTTGCCTTTCCGCTCCGATGGGGTTTTGGTGGGACAGGCACCGCGTTCGCGCAGGAAGCTGCTGTTCCGTTATCCTTTCTCCCTCGAGCCCGGAAGTGGTTCTTCGAAGGAGGCAGATAACGGTGTGGATGTGGACGGGGAGTACGGTGTGCTCCGGTGCGGGGACTGGAGTGTTGAGCGAGATAACCTTCTCTGGACCCGGGAATGAGGGAAGGTGTATGCAATTGACAGCCAGAAAAGGTAATCGCAGTCAAGGAGGACAATGGCAACCTGGAACCCTTCAACAATGTAGATATGTAAGATTGAAAGAGCGGGGTTTGGCGCCGGGAGGCATATAAATTCAATGTGCCGCTCTGCAGCGCCAAGAGGCAATTGAGCTTCGTGTGGAATCAACCGAGAGAACGGGAGTCTAGGCGAACCCCGCCACTTCGCAATTGCTCGGTTTGAAAATGACTTGCAAAACACGAAAGCCGGACAGGAACTACGCACGTCTAAATCTGAAGCAGCACAGTGGTTGGGTTACATTTTGTATTCAGCATAGTTGGTGTCCGTACGTGGCTCACGATATGTCGGGAAGCGCACAAGAGCGTGACACCAGGCCTCATCGTTGAATAGACCATTTGCAGCTGTCTTCGATCTTTCCTAGACTCTAGTTAAGTAGGCCTAGCTACTATGATGCATCTGTCTTCCCGGCCTTTTCCCTTTTCCCTTCCCTTGCCTTATCCTTTTTCCATCCTGTGCAACATTAAAACGGGTATCTCATATCACTCATGCATCCACTCAACACGACTTAATGGTGGAAGAGCCGAACGTTCTGCTCGACAAAGGTGATGCCAAGCTTCTCGGCCGTGTCGAAGACGGGCTGATCGTTCTGGCTGCCGCCAGGCGCAGCAATGTACTTGACTCCTGAGCGGGCGACACGGAAGACGTTGTCGACGAAAGGGAACTGTTCTCACATTAGTACTCGACGCTCTCCAACCTTGGTAAAGACGAAGAGACTTACGAAAGCGTCACTTGATACGGCGACATTGGTAAGCTTGCTCAGCCACTCCTCCTTCTCAGCCTCGGTGAAGGCGGGGGGCACCTCCTCGAACATGCCCTCGAAGAGCTCACGCTCGTAGCCCGACTTGGGGAGCTGGCCGCTCACCAGCAGGTCGATAGCGTTGCTCTTGTCGGGGCGCTTGGTGCCCTTCTTCCACTTGATGCCGAGAACGCGCGGGTGGAAGCGGAGCCACCAGTTGTCGGCCTTGTCACCAGCCAGGCGTGTGCAGTGGATGCGGGACTGCTGGCCAGCGCCGAGACCAACAACCTGGCCGTTGTAAGCGTAGCAGACCGAGTTGCTCTGGGTATACTTGAGGGCAATAGTCGCCACAGTCAGATCGCGGAGAGCAGTCTCGGGCAGCGGGCCAGCATCCTTGGGAGTGATGACGGTGCTGAAGGACTTGGGCGAAATCTCGACGTCGTTTCGGTGCTGCGACAGGCTAATGCCGTACACGGTCCGGGTCTCCTTCTTGGGAGGCTCGTACTCGGGGTCGATCTGAAGAATGAGGTAGCGGCCGCCCTTCTTCTTCTTGAGGATCTCGAGCGCAGCATCCTCGTAGCCAGGAGCGATCACACCGTCCGAAACCTCCTTGGAGATGATGCTAGCAGTCGGGACATCGACAACGTCACTGAGGGCAATCATGTCGCCGAAGCTGCTCATGCGGTCGGCACCACGGGCACGAGCATAGGCCTGAGCAAGCGCAGACATCTCAATGCCAGGAATGTCGTCAACCATGTACACCTTGCGCTCATCGGCGCTGAGGGGGGTACCGATGGCAGCACCGGCGGGCGAGACGTGCTTGAAGCTGGCCGCGGCAGGCTTTCCGAGGGCGGCCTTGAGCTCCTTGACGAGCGGCCAGCTGTTCAGGGCATCGAGGAGGTTGATGTAGCCGGCAGATCCGCACAGGGTCTTGAACGGCAGCTTGCCCTCCTTGACGTAGGCCGAAGCAGGCTTCTGGTGGGGGTTGGCGCCATATCGAAGGGCCAGGAACTGGTTGCCATCGGCGGCGTACTGTTTCCTGAAGAAGTCGGAGATGGCGGCATCATAATCAGCAGTGTGCTCAAAGGCCTTGAGGGCGTAGAGCTTGCGGCTAGACTCCTTGACCTCGCCGGCATCAAGCTCCTTGAGGAACTCGGCGTAGTCGGCGGGGTCGCTGAGGATGGTGACACGGGCGTGGTTCTTGGCGGCAGCCCGGATCAGGGTAACGCCACCAATATCGATCTCCTCGACAGCTTCTGGGACAGTGACGTTGATCTTGGCGACAGTGTCCTTGAAGGGGTAGAGGTTGCAGATGACGTAGTCGACCTTGTCGATGTTCTGCTCGGACAGGTCCTTCTCGTCGGACTCGAGGTTTCGGGCGAGAATGCCTGCGTGGACGGCCGGGTGCAGAGTCTTGACCCGGCCGGCAAGCATCTCGGGTGCCTTGGTGATAGCCGAGATGTCCCTGCAGAAGAAAAGACTCAATTAGCTACACACGCTCTTCGGAAGTCAAGAAAGGCAGAGAGAGGCCCGCTTACTCGACAGGAAACCCGGACTCGCGGATCATCTTGGCGGTGCCGCCCGAAGCCAGGATGCGGACATTGTGCTGGATGAGGCCCTTGGCGAGATCGAGCAGTCCCGTCTTATCGTAGACAGAGACGATGGCAATTCTCTGAGAAGCAGCCATTGTGACCGAGATAACAGGTGCTCACGACCTGGGATCACGACAGAGGAAGCAAAGAGGAAGATGGAAGAGTTGCTCTGAGGCTTGCAATGTTCAAGTTCCAGGTGAAGAGATCAGGGAGCCGAGAGGTACAAAATTTGTCTAGCTGTGTCGTGCTTGAAAACTAAGACGGCTACCAGAGCCCCTCGTGTGCCACTGGCAGCGTAATAATTCGGAACCCCAAGCTAGGTACATTTTGTCCCACCTGGGTACATTTTTCTTCGTTTTGGCGGGGTAGTTTTTGAGGGACAGGGGACCAAGGCTATCGCAATTTATCGTTATCGGAGGCGTGCTATCAAAGGAAGTACCTTTCTGCTGGCGGTTGGGTATTGGAGGTACTTTGTAGTAAACGGCGTGAGGTCATTGGACGTAGCCCGCAGCCCATTAGAGGGCACCGTCCGCCCGGGAAACGGGGGACAACTTTCAGCTTGGGTGTACCTAGTTTATGTCTTGCGCCCGGTGCTCCCACCCGTCCGGCGCCTGGGCGCATCGACGGCGTTATCATTATGAGACCCCTCAGGGCTTCAAAAACTCGAGAGCGGAATACAAGGCCATTATGCGACTCCGAGGTGCCCAGGTGGACAAGATGTTACGAAGTGATCCCTGACGTAACCCGGTACCTGGCCAGGAACCGCACGCGGGGGTCCTTATGCCAAACCCAGTCAGCAGGAGACGAGAGGACGGACACTGCAGCGGCATAAGACAAAGAAGAAGGCAGCAATACTAGCGGATTAAGCTGCAAGTTTATTCTCAATCTTCGTTTTTAATAATGTAGATAGCAGTCTGCTCGGGTTCAAAGGTGGAAGGCCAGGCGGCAGCATCCATCATCACTCCTAGTATTATTGTACAGAGGTCGTGGACATCACGTAATCGCAATGGCTTGGCCATTTGGTGGCAACACACACCTCTCAAATCGGACTCTGACTCCTTCCGCCTTCATCCAGATTGTTCCTCAGCGGTCCTTGAGGAAAACCACAAGAATATTGTTCAGTAGGCTTTTTTTCCTTTCTTTCAGCGAGAGTTGGTGTTGGACCCGCCTGCCGTCGCCGACTCGCGACAAGAGTTGGAAAAAAAAAGCCAAGGACAGCCAATCCCGCACGCAGGCCCGGCCCTTCGGCCATCAAGGTTCTCACCTCACTCCCATGCCCGGCCACGACCACGGCCACCACCGCTTCCACCAACGCCCACGCCCGCGCGCCGCAACCTCCCTGCGACGGCCCAGTCTGCCGTCTGTGAGGCTCTTTTCGCACAAACCCCGCCGACTGTCTCTCTTCCATTCTTTGTCGTCATGTTAAGCCCTGTCATTGTCCCGGTTCCTGGACGTTTCACTTTGACTCGTTGACCCTGACACTGCCAGCCAACTCGTCACATCTGGGGCCAATCTCTGATACTCAGACTATTCCTTGCACTTCCTGCCTCATCCTGGCCCTTCTCCATCCATACGTCAGCAGAGGATATCCTCGCCATCGAATGAAGGGCCTCTGCAGTCTATCAACTCACCAGACAGAGTCCTCGAGGCTCTCTAACATTCCAGGAGAGACTCGGGTATTCGCATTCAAGCACTCATCATGGACGGATCTGGCTCTTACCGGCGTCATGCCGCTTCCATGAGCTCTTCCACTCTTCCAAGATTCGGCGACCCCGCTCCACAGGACCTCGACAGTCTGTGGTTTGTCGACAGCCAGGTATTTCAGGGTTCTGAAGTAGCTGCTTCCAGTTTCGATCCGTACCGCTCAGCCCACGATGACCTCTGCATCGAAGATCCGAAGTGTCCCGGGATGCTGCCTCATGGCGATCCCAGTGCGGCTTTTCATCGAACGGATTTTTCTCACCCTGGATCCCACTCTCGCCAGGGCTTCTCGACGGAAAGCCTCCCTAACGTTCCCAACTGGCTTCAATTTGGCGACCCCTTCACCCCGGATCTTCCAAAATATCTTCATAACCAAGACCTGTCCATTTCCCAGCCATTCCTCTTCAATTCCTGTTCTCTAGAGGACCCTATCTCAAAAACCCACGCCCCTACCACCACCCGCGACCCTGACCAGAGCTCAGTATGCAATAGCATATGTGATAGCAATTGCGGTGACGGAGATAAATGCCACGGCACAAGCTGCGCGGATGCTCAATCAGTTTGCAGCGATGAAAATTGCCCTGGCGTTGCTCTGTCATGCACAGAACCAGACTGCGTTGTGGCGTGCACCGAGGCCAACTGCCCCGATGCAAAGGCGGCTGTAGCCTTGACCACATTTGGAGAGCTGGGCACACAGCATGACTTTGGCGACCTATCTCAAGCTGGTAAGTCTTTTCTCATCTCCGAGCAACATGAACTCATGTCTTCAAATGCCTTTGTGTAGCCTTGACTAACACGATCCATAGATATCTCAGGCCAACCGATGCATGACACTCGGCCAGGCTCGTACTTGAGCTCCGAGTTCATGATGAAATACCAACACATCTTCGAAGCACACAATCCCCACTCACCAACCTGCACATCTGCTTGCCCTATCAACGACCCTAGCTTCTACCAAAGATGTCATCTACCTCACTCACATATGGGCCAAAGCGGCCACCATGACCACAACGAGTTTAATCTCTGGAACATGGGCTGTGGTGCAGAGCTGCCGAACGGTGAAGCGATGATTGAGCACTGTTGGGAACAACACGGGCTGTTGCTCGATGTTCCGCCAATGACCCCATCCATACCAGACCCAAGTCAGGTCCTATCTACAATATCCTCTGCCCGGGCATCACCGATGACTCTGGACACAACTCCCATATCACATCACGGCTTCCCCTCCCCACTAACACCCATACCAAATGCCTTTGACGCACAACCAAAGGTGCTGGATATGCCCAATGTCCATGGCCAGATGGACATTGTCCTCCCTTCTCGGCCCTCTAGTGCATGTAGCGCCAAGGTCCTTCTCCGAGAAGACGAGCAGACCAAATGCTTCTGGTGTGACGGCTTGAACGGCACAGCTTGTGGCCAGACCTTTGCCACCCCCGAGGACTTGCATGAGCATGTCAAGGAGGCACACATCAAGAATCTCAAGAAGGGCCCAGATGGCTTCGTCTGCGGCTGGCAGACGTGTGATCGCCGGCACGGCGAAGGCCAGAAGGCGTTTACTCAGAAGAGCAAGATTGAACGCCACATGCAGACTCATACCGGCGGTAAGTTTTGTTTGTGCTTTACTCTCGAGAGCGTCAAGTCACTGACAGCAACGACTAGTCAAACCCTTCAAGTGCAAGGTGTGCGGAGATGCCTTCTCCGCCAAGCAAGCTCTGCGACAGCACGAGCTTATCCACACGGGAGAGACACCGCTGCAATGCCCCTTTGAAGGATGCTCACGTTCCTTCCGCCAGCAAAGTGCCCTGAGTAAGTTTCCCGTTCACCTTTGCTCCTTTCTCCTGAAATCCCGGATCTAACTTTTCCTGCCTGGTATAGCAATGCATATCCGCACGCACACGGGCGACAAGCCGCTCAAGTGCGAGATCTGCGGCAAGGCCTTCAGCGAGTCGTCCAACCTGTCCAAGCACAGGCGCACGCACCAGGCCAAGGGCTCCTACGTCTGCTCCTTCGAGGGCTGCGGCAAGGACTTCAACCGCCTCGACCAGCTGCGACGCCACTGGAAGCAGCACGGCGCCGAGCCGCCCAGGCAGCTCAGCGCGATACACAGGGACTTTGGCGGCGTCAAAAAGCGCAGCAAGTGAATCTTGCCAAGGGGTTCGGTGTTACTGAGAAAGGGTTGGGATGAATGGTGGAGGGCGACAATGAGAATAGGGATGATGGTGATGTTTTTTTTTTTTGATACCCAAAACTCAAAAGCATGATAACAGAAGGGTCTTCTGATACGTTTTCCTCTCATTTCTTGTCTGAGAATCAAAAATAGACCATGGGCCTTGACTGTAGAGGACACGAGGATTGGGGACGGTTGAGTCGTGTATATAATATATAAATCCCATAAGGGCCCAACCAAAGGAGTATTGACTTGACTACACGAAGAGCCAAGCCGAAGAACAGTGTATAGAGACTTGATGAATGCGAAAGGGTCGTAGAAGAATTAACACCGCTGATGAGATATATAGACAAATGTCACTGGGAAGGCCGAACTGAGCGACTGGACAGAGCAAGACTTGTCTCTAATTCAGCAAGTGGCTCGAACCGTAGAAGTTCGCCCCCTTTCATGCCATGGACAGAACTTACGATCTGCAAGCAGACAATCTCCGAGGGAGAAGTACCAGAAGCTCGAAGGAGCCAAGAGTCGCTGTGGAAAGCAAAGAGCTTGTATCAATCACTCACTAGACTACCAGTTTAGATTAGCAATACCTCATTCCCCGGTCACATTAGCAGACAAGTCGTTCACAAAGAGAAGATGAAGCCCGAAGAGGTCAATTGGTCAGTTAAGGGTTTTCATTTTTGGCAGCTAAACCTCTGCCAGCGTTGGGTTCGTGTGACCTCGTAATAACACCCTAAACCGTTGCGAAAACAGATTCCCTTGGATGCCATGCAAGTATGAGAAAGTCTTTTGATAACCACGCCCCGTCCGTAGACCAGATACACGTCCCTCCAAGCAAGTGAAATTTCTTTTCCTTCCCTCTCCCTACGTCACCTTAAGCGGCCTATAAACGAACAAAAGTCAGTCAACCCGTTCCACATTTCCTAGTCAAAAAAAAAAAAAAAAAGGATGAGACGGGTCGTGTCCTACCTTGACGGCGAAGGTGCGCTGGGGGAAGTGCTGCTGTCGCTTCTTGGTCTTCTCCAGAACTCTTGAGGCATCCTGAGGGGACAGGCGGCGGCGGATGGCACGGGTCTGCTTCGCCCTGAGGTCGAGGGGAAGGTACTTCTTGTTCTTGTAGAAGAGGCGGAGCTGAGAGCGTTGCTTGGCGTTGATGACGGTCAAGACGCGAGCGATCGACTTGCGGATGTCGTGGCTGTAGATTGTGAAACATCATGTCAGCAAAAACTGTCCATTCCTCGACAAACAGCATATTTCCTTCCAATCGGCGTTCCATAACACGGTGCGGACCACAGGAGACTCGATCGATCGGAAATTCAGACTGGGGAGATCGTACATTCTGTTGAGCTTGGAGCCGGAGGAAGTGATCTTCTGGATCCTGAGCTGGCCGAGCTCCGTCTTCAGCTCACCGAGCTGCTTGACCAGATCCTCCTTGTTCTTCGACCAAAGCTGGCCGGCCTTAACCTTGCTGGTAGACTGCGATGAGTTAGCCCAACTCGTTCAGAGAATGTTTGGCGGGGTTCGCCGCCCGGGATGGGTAGTGGCGGTGGTGATTTCGACATCGTGATGGGATTTCGACGGAGAGGTGCAGTGACGGGGAGCAAAACAGTCGTTCGAAGAGCACTTCGACATGCGATCGCCGAAGGAACATTTCTGGAGATTGACCACGTACCATTGCTGCGGCTGTTAGTGACGTCCGTGGGTTGATCGGATCTTTGGGTGAAGGCGGCGACGACGTCTCGTGGAGGTGAGGGCTTCAGAAAATGTTCGCCTGCAAAGTTGGATGCAGGGCCCGAAGAAATTAGGGTCGGTAAACCCTACTGGTACGTACCCAAATTTTGCTCGGTTTTGTTAGCGCGGGAAGCGGAGGGTCAGAGAGGAAAGGCGCTCAAATTGAGAGTTTTAGTGCACGTGCCACTAATTACATAATCGAAGTGGAGCATCTGGGAGAAAAAGATCCGGCAGGGAATAACGAATGATCCGCCCCCATCGTCTCAGCTCGCGCCCCGGTTTTCTGTCCTCAGCGGGTCTCGGGCTTGACAGGGGGTAGACAGCCTGTGTGGCGCTCCAGAGGATTGGGCGACGACTCGAACGATGTCACAGGAGAGAGCTGATGGCGCCGTGGAGACAGGCACAGTAACCAACAATCCTCAACAACCATGGCGGCTGCATCTGGAAACACGGGCTGGGCCCAGTTGCGGCAGCAAGCACGCTCCCTAGAGACTCAGGTGAGATTCAAGATTCGCCAGATGCTGTAGACTTGAACACTGACCATCCGCAAAAGACCGAGACGCTCTTTCACACGTATTCCCAGTTCTCAACGGCCCCGAACATTCCGCCAAAGCCCACAGACCAGGAGAGGGAAACCGAGGCGAAACTGCAGGATACCCTCGAAAAGGTTGGTAGCCTGCGCTCTCTGCGCTTCTCTTTCTGCAAGTACTGACATGTTTTCTTTAAATCCAGAGAGAAAACGTCATCGGCCAGCTGTCCCGCCTGCTCGACTCCGAAGCTACCCTGACGTCCTCGGCGCTCAAGCAGAACAATCTGTCGCTCCTCCGCGAGAAGCTCTCGGAGCACCGCAAGGACCTGTCGAGGCTGAGATCGAAGCTCCAAGAAGCGAGGGACCGAGCGAACCTGCTATCCAACGTGCGCGACGACATCGATGCGTACCGCGCCAATAACCCCGAGACCGCCGAGGCCGAGTACATGCTTGACGAGCGCAACCGCATCGACAACAGCCACAACATGACGGACAGCGTTCTGAGTCAGGCCTACGCCGTCCAGGACAGCTTCCGCGTGCAGCGCGAGACTTTGGCCAGCATCAACCGGAGAATCACCCTCGCTGCGAGCCAGGTGCCCGGCATCAACTCCCTGATTAGCAGGATCTCTGCCAAGAAGCGGAGAGACGGCATCATCATGGGCAGCTTCATTGCCATCTGTTTCTTCATCTTCTGGATGTTTTTGTAAGCGATACCGAGCTTGTTTTTGGAACTATGGCGAAAGCATGTCAGCAGCGGCGTTCAGGTTGGAATACAGTTCATTATACATGTTCTAGGCATGGATGGTATTGTACATTATTCTTTTCTATGGTACAGGGTATCTTGGTTGCTGTGATTGTAACGTCGCTCTCAATGAAGGGATAGCCACATCACATCATCTATAACGAGCTCTCCGTTTCGGAGCCAGCTGATGCCTGCCCCTGACCCGTCTGTGCCTGCGCAGCTTCCTTCTTCATCTCGTCAAGTAGTCGCTGCAGTCCTTTGACGAGGCCATCCCTCTCGTCAGGCTCACTCGGCCCGCTACCTGCCCACCGGATCCTGCAGTTGTGATCGACGAGATAGATGTAGCCGACCTTGCTATTTAGCACGCCGATCGATTCACAAATCTCGTCAGTAAGGCCCTTGCGGACAATGAAATACTTGTCCCAGTTGGCCTCGCCGATCCGTTTCCGGAGTGAGCCCATAAAGAGCTGGATCAGAGCTGCCTTGAGCGAGTTCTCCTCCACGTTGATCTGCACAAGCTGGGCTTTACCACCGCTCGCCGCAAGCACCTCGTGTAGAGCCGGGTTCGCTTCCTTGGAGACAAAAGTTCCGGCCTGGTTCTCTGCCCACATGCTGCTGAACATGCTCACGACAGTGGCCCTGCCGGCCAGGGTCGGCGTCGTATCTTGCGGGGTCCTTATCTCCTTGGAGAGCGTCTGGCCGACCAGATTGGGGAAGTACAGGGACAGGTCCCCCTTGAAGGGCCGTGGCGGCGCGAGGAAGGTCTTGCCCTTGTGGAACTGCATGTTGGTCCACTCGCGGAAGTAAGGCTTGGCCATCTTCTGCTTGAGCTGCTCCCGCCTCTTGAGATGCTTCTCGTAGTTGACAAAGTCGTCCCTCCGCTGCTGCAGGGAGCGGAAGTCGACGCCGCTGTTCTCGCCGATCTGCGGGGGCTGCGACACGCCGATGGGCCGGGAGAGCGGCCTCGGGGTGAACTCGTCGGTGCGCTTGCCGTATGCTCTGGGCACGTCGGCGAATTGACTCGTCGGGCCATCCTCATCGGCTGCGGGGGCGGCAGGTGTAGCAGGAGGAGGCGGGGGAGGCTTCTGGTCGGCGAGGCGTTGTGGTGATGATGTGGATAATGCGCGCCATTGACAGGAGAGGCAGGACAAGGAGGGATTGGCCCTCCGAGCCAGGGCCGGCCTCCACACGTTCGCGGCCATTGCTATCGTCTAGTTCGGCGTCCGGGCCAGCTCGGGCATGCAAGGTAAGAAAAAGAAAAGCCAGGCCGAGACTGGGGTAGTATGGGGTGACAAGTCTGGAGAAGACAACATCCACCCAACCAAGGCACTTCGTGGGGACAAATTTTTGACGCTGCAAAGCTCCAGGTCGAGCTCGCTAATCTCTTATCCGCGGGCGGGTTGCGGGTGCCTGTAGCTATCTCGGCTACGCGCGGCGTTCAGGCGGCTTAAAACGTCATGACAGCGCCGGGCCGCTGGTAGCCATCCTGTGCCGGCTTACAATTGGGGGACCAGGCGCACCGCACATTCCCCTTTGGACTTCCCTTCTCGAGATGTAACAGGCCTTTTCTTATGATTTTGGTTTTTTTTTGGGGGTTCCTTTTATATAATACCTATAGAAGCGTAGAATCATGTTTCTCTCGAGAGGATCGCGGGCCCTGCGTACCCAATTCCAGATATGCAAGGGCATGAGCAGAGTCGCCGTCGCGGCGGCAGCATCCGGACGCTACCCCGCAAGGGCGTTCCATATGACCCGGAACCTCCAGGTCATCAAGCCCGTGTTGCTCGCTGACATTGGCGAAGGTGAGAGAGCCCGGAAGCCCAATACTTAAACCCTCCTCCATTTCTGACCGATTGAACCAGGCATTGTCGAGTGCGAGATCATCCAATGGTTCGTAGAACCCGGGGCGCGCGTGGAGGAGTTCTCCCCGCTGTGCGAGGTGCAGAGCGACAAGGCCTCCGTGGAGATCACCAGCCGCTTCGCGGGCGTGGTCAAGAAGCTGCACTACGAGGCTGGGGAGATGGCCAAGGTGGGCAAGCCGTTTGTGGACATCGACATCCAGGGCGACGCGAAGAAGGAGGACCTCGAGGCCCTCACCCCTTCCGAGCCAGCCGCGGAACCCTCTGCCAGCACGTCGGCAGAGCAGCCAACGGTCACGCAAGAAATCCAACAAGCTGAGGGCAAGGCCGCTCCCCCGAGCACTTCAGCCCCTTCGGCTACGACACCAGAAAAGAAGGGCAAGCATGCCGGCCTGGCCACGCCAGCCGTCCGGCACCTCTCCAAGGAGAAGAACATCGACATCACACAGATAAATGGCACCGGCAAAGACGGACGGGTTCTCAAGGAAGATATCTTCAAGTTTATAGAGAGCAGGGACTCTGGCGCGTCGGCAGAGCAGTCCTCGCCGAGCCCATTCGCGCCCCCACCCGCCGCCAGCGGAGTCCAGGAGGAAACGCCGGTGCCGCTCACCAACACGCAGCTCATGATGTTCAAGACCATGACCCGCTCCCTCTCCATCCCTCACTTCCTCTACTCGGACGAGATCGACATCACGAGCCTGAGCGAGCTGCGCGCGCGGCTCAACAAGGTCCTCGCGCAGCAGTCCGGCCCCGAGACCGGCGACGTCCGCAAGCTCTCGTACCTGCCCTTCATCATCAAGGCCGTCTCGCTGGCGCTGTACCGGTACCCGGTCCTCAACGCCCGCGTGGACTCGGAGCCCGAAGGCCCCGGGTCCAAGCCGCGCCTCGTCCACCGCAGCCAGCACAACATCGGCGTGGCCATGGACACTCCCCAGGGCCTGCTGGTGCCCATGGTCCGGGACGTCGGCGCCCGCAACGTGCTCTCCATCGCGTCGGAGCTGCAGCGCCTGCAGGCCCTGGCGCAGGCCGGGCGGCTGTCGCCGCAGGACCTGTCGGGCGGGACCATCACCGTGTCCAACATCGGCACCATTGGCGGCACCTACCTGAGCCCCGTCATCGTGGAGAAGGAGGTCGCCATCGTCGGCGTGGGCCGCGTGCGCACGGTGCCGGCCTTTGACGGCGACAGCGACCGCGTCGTCCGGCGCCAGGTGTGCAACTTCAGCTGGAGCGCCGACCACCGCGTCGTCGACGGCGCGACCATGGCGCGCGCGGCCGGCGTCGTCAGGCAGGTCGTCGAGGAGCCGGACGTCATGGTCATGCACCTGAGGTAAAATTGGCAACAAAGCTGCGCAAAGAAAAGAGAGGAGCGGACGAAAAGGTGTCGTGTTCTGTCGTAAAGCATGCATGAAAGATACGCCGCAGACAAGAGGGGGCGGGGGGGCGGAGTGCATGGTACATGCACACTTTTGGTCTGGCACCCTACATGTAAAGACCGGAGCAAGCCTCGCCGGGCCGGTCTGTCTTTTGTTACAAGGAGTTGAATGGCGCGAGTCGTTTTCGTGGTGGGCCTCCCGCATGTAGCAGTCGAGGTATTAGACGAGGTCGTCGGGTGTTGCTGGGGATCTGCATGACCCCCGGGGTCAAGGGCAGCGTTCCCGGCAAGCCAATCTGACCGGCCGGGCAGACCGGTGAGAGGACTGGAAATATGCTGTATGCAGGCAGACCTACGGTGCGTGAGGGGGGCTGCATATCATTCTACCCTTGACTGCATGATGCAGAATCGAAGCAGCAGGTGGGAGTGGAGCGCCTCTTGAGAGCATCGAGGACAGGATGATGTTGGTGGGATAATCCGCCGTCGGCTACGTTACTTAGACATCCAGGGCTGCAAAAGGAGTCCGGATCAAGCATTTTCAAATCGAGTTTCTCATATTGTCCAGCTCCTTCCACGGTTATTCATCTCCCTTGCCGGCCGGCGACTGCAGACGAGGCATTTAGTGATTGGTGCCCAATCCTCTTCCCGTGTCGTGCAGGTCCTGTAGCAAGCGAGACAGACATGGGACATCTGCAATACCTCGTTGTCACCCCTCTCCCTGTGCAGGCTGCAGCAGTGAGATGCGTACCTTTCACGTCGACGCCCACCCCGCATGTCATCCGGGTCATTTAAATGCATTTGTGTGTATTTCGGCCAAAAACCTGAATGTCGCTCTCTGTCTCTCTATGAGGTGACAAGGGTGGAGGTGGTAATGTGTGTGTGTGTAGGTTGTGTCAGGTGGTGTGGTATCGTGGCTCGTCCTGTCTTGTTTCCCAAAAACGCCGCCTACTCGTATCCAGCAATAACTTACTTAGGTATTGTAACTGCCAGTCGGATCCCAAAAATAAAACAACAGAAAGTAGGCATGCAGACAAAGGAATCGTCCTGCACCAGCTAGAGATAAGAGTCCAGCCAGTCCAATAAATGCTGGCTTTTTGTATATCCAACACCATTTCTTTCCCTCATACGCCGGTGTTCAAAGAAGAAGCCCGTGCCAATGCGGGCGAGGAAAGAGAGAGAGAGAGAGAGAGAGAGAGAGAGAGAGAGAGAGAGAATCGATCATGTCCGTGTCCTCCGCAAGTGTGTCCCCCGTCTTCTCCAGACCGTAGGCGATAGGATCGCTTCTCCACCACCTGCAAGCCAATGATGACAAGGGCGTTTTAGCGCAAAATGTGATGTTGCCTCACTCCTGCACCTCGCCATGGCCGACTACCTGCGCGCCTCACTCATCTGACTCCATCGTCTGCTGCACCTGTGCCAGCACATCGTCCATGACCTCTTGCGGGGTGCGGCTGACGTCGATGCTGATCACGTCGGTCTCGTCTTCCATGGGAGGCTCCAGGATGCTGAACTGGCTGTGCACCATGTTGGCACCCATGTAGTGCCCCTGGCGAGCGCCGACCCGCTTCAGAAGGACCTCCTCGGGGGCGTGCAGGTAGATGAAGTGCAGGAAGACGCCCGGTGCGAAGTAGGGAGCTACTCGGATGACGTCTCTGTACTTGCGCTTCAGAGCGGAGCAGGTCAGGACCACGCCGTGGTTGCCGGCGTCGATGTGGCGAACGGATTCTTGGCGGAGCGCGGTGAGCCAGTCCCAGCGGTCGGCGTCCGTAAGCGGGATGCCGTTGCTCATCTTCTCGATGTTCGCGGGTGGGTGGAACTACAGGTTGTGTTAGAGGACCATTGGGACGCCAACAAAAGCATTGGGCAAGGGAGGAGGGATATCCTACCTCGTCACCCTCGATATAGGGCATGTTCAGGTGAGTCGCCAGCGCTTTGGCGACAGTAGACTTTCCACATCCTGCCGGCCCAGTGACCAGCCAAATGTGCTTGTGCTTGGTCTCGGCTCCGTCCTGGACGGCGGTCCCCGTGCTGGTCACGCCATTGGGGACAGCCGCAGGCGCTGGCTGCACCGTATTGGACGAGGTAGGAATTCCGTTAGGAAGCGATTTTGGAGGCGCCATGTTGGTATTTGCTGAAGCTTTCTGCCCATTCACGGCGACCGGGGTATCGTACGAAAGCATGTTGCTTTTTATACAAGAGGAAAAAGGGAAAGAGAAGCCCTTGACTCAAAGAGCCGCGACGAGAGACAAACAGGCGATCTAGGCAGACAATACGTCTGTGTTTCGTGGCACTGGTGAGCTGCGCCTGAGTCGCTACCTCATAACGTGGGGTGCGATGTACTCCAGCTAAATCCGTTTCTGGCGTATAAGTGTGACGAGTCGTGGGTGCGCCGTGCGAGGTCGGACGAGATAATAGATACAACCAAGGACCAAACAAATCGCGGAGTATCAAAGGTTTGCTTTTACAAGGATACTTGTGAAATGACGAGAAGAAGAGACAGGCAGGTCGTATTAGAATTGAGTCGGGGGAAAGAGGAGGAGAAAGAAAGGTGGCCGAGTCGAGTGTGTAGGCAAGACACACACAGAAGTGCTGGGGGAGCGAGGGAGTGAGAGGGAGTTAAGAGAGCACAAGAGATGACGATCACCCAACAGACTGGCGACAAAGGTTGCAGAGAGTGCAAAAGGTCAAACAGAAAAACAGGTCTGTTGAGAATGGGGGACCGGACCGGATCGAGCTACGGGCCCCCCTCAGTCTACTATTATATATTTCCCGTGCCGCCACTCTGTCGTCCCCTCCAGAGAGGCCAGAGGGCGCGGTTCCCAGGACTGCGTCACGAACGGGTGGACATTGTGTGGGATGGGATGGGATGGGATGGGGACCTCGAGGAGGCCGGTTCAATGATGGGCGGGGGCAAAGGACCCAGACAAGGACCCAGACAGATGAGGTAAAATTTCTTGCAACCGGGAGAAATCCGACGGCACCTAGAAACGCTAGAAAGCCGGGCGGATTCCTGTACCTTTTTCCACATCGACGTAACCTCCACACCCAACTGGGAAAAATGGTTCATTAATGATTGGCCCAGGCTGGCCGCATGCAAGCCCGATCCCCCCGAGAAGAGGAGACAAGACAACCCAAGACAACCCTTGATCCATCTCTTCTCCACTTTCCGATGGTCTTTGTTCTGCCCGGTCTCGTTGCTTTTTGGTTCCCTCGCAGCACGCAGGCCTGTGCCTGGGTACCTAATCTACGGTAGGTAGGTAGGTATTGAAGGGAGGACCATTCGACTGGTGGTGGGCTGGACATCCCATTCTTACGACATTCTCAATCGAGCGAATCGTGGGCCAGAGGTCTCGTCCTGGCCCTCGTCCTCGTCCTTGTTCACGATTCGATCGTTTCATGACTTTCATTTCATCTTTCCCACTGATAAGCAATGTCGAATTCACCTGGTTCATATGAATCCACAGCGGTCTCCACGTCGGAGCCAACCCATAGACAGGCGGAGTTTGGCAAACCTCGATTCCTCTGTGGCATTCACTCGACCACAACCCAGCTACAGTCATCCAGAACCGCTTGCATCGACAATTGCATTGAATGTCCATCTGCTGCCAGGGCCAGGAGGGTCAGGCAGCGTGAGATTCGGGTCTTGGGGGCCGCTTTGAACGGCCAACTCGGCAAGCATACACTGATGCACTGCAGCCCTGACCTACGGAGTGCCCGTGCCTACTACTTGTCTTGTACCTGAGCCTGGAGCGGATCTCCCTGAACCGTCGGGTGGGCTTTCTCCACTGGAGGCGGTGAGATGCGCTTCAGTTGACGTCTGGTGGGGTGCAGCAGCGAGTTCCTGATGCTTGGGTGCGGTGGCTTGGGTGGGATGTTCACCTGAAGTCAACTGGAAGCTTCCAATGCTGGTGGTACTGAGTAAGGCACTGCTTTCCCGTTCCCCCTCCCTCTCCGGCACTTGCTCTATTCGATGCTTGTGATGATATGCCGGACCAGAGCTCGTGCAGACAGTCGGTCTCTTGTCTTTCCTCAGACCTCGAGAGAAGGCCCAGGCCTTGCGAGTTGAGTTTCTTTCCAAGGCTGAGAGGGAACAAACTTGCAGGCTGTGGGTAAAGAGGTACAAGTACTCCGTACAAGTACCTACCAAACTTAAAGTGGTACCCCCTAGTGTGGGTTTTAGCTCATCAAGTTGGGGGTTTGGGCGTATCCTAGCATCCAAGATGTCCTTAGCTCGCACACGGCGTGGGGGTACACGAGGAGTCTCAGTGCCGTAAACCCCCAAAAAAAGGCACGAGGACTAGCTAGGTATCTTCCCAGGCAGCCCTCATGGTGAGGTTCCGAAGGAAAAGACCATCAGGTTGACCTCCGAGGCTACAAACTCAATTGAATGGCAATGCGAGGACAAGAGTCTGCGTCCCATTCTGCGTCTCCCTCTTACAGAAACCTGCATTTTGTGAGTTGTCTGGGGTTGTCACGAGAGCATGCACGGGCATATTCTAGGCATGCACAAGGCCCCGCGCCCCCTAGCAATCTGGTACCGGCAGGTGACCTCTCGTCCCCGTCTCCCCGGCTTCCTGCATGCCCCGATGCACTCTACCTCGTAAAGAGTAAGGTGCCAACCCTCCCAGGTAAGACGGACACTACTGCGTACCAAGGTGGTACTTGTTGGGTCCGTGAATCGACCATATCAAGAGATAGGGCTGCCTGTTGGTGATGCATGGATGGGACAATTGTGTCCCGTCCATGTCCGGACCTGTTCTTGGCCCCAACCAAGTCCCATCACACTTGGCACTGCATGCATTCTGGTGAGGAGGGAGCCAGTAGCCAACATGGTGGTAACCCATGTGGATAAGCCGGCAGGCTTCCGGAAGGCTGTCCCGTTAGTGTGGCTGACATCCTGGCACCTGCAGAACTGCACTGTGGAGTCACACCGCCGCCGGGAACAGCAAAAAGGCTCAGCTACACGAGAAGAGACTCTCCCGTCGGTGAGTATCTCATAAGGCTGCTGATGTTGGAGCTGGTCGGGGTAACCGCAAGAGAGTCCTTGCAAAGGACTTGTCATTATGAGAGACGACAGACCGTCTTGGCACGAATGAAAACCCAAGCTTGCAGCCTCTCATTGTGACAACAAATCGGCCACAACTCACTACACACGCAAGCTCATCTACTCGCAGAAAGGGACCGGCGATCTCGATTCGATCAAGTATTGTCTCTACCTCTTTTTTTGTCCTGTTCGCTGGACATGCTGTCCAAGTGGACGCACCAAAAACCTGACAAATCAGACCTCACGGTCCGCCCAGCTCTGAATCATACCCTCAAGTGTCGGCTCGTACTCCTTGCAGGTGACTTCACCAGTTGCCTCATCGAGATACGTGTTGGCCTGCACGAAGACCTTCCTGGGCTGCTTGTTCTTGAGCACCACGTCTCGGACTGTAGTTCCCCAGTATTCGAGCCCAACCTTGGACATCTTGTCAGCGAAGAAGGCAGTGCCAGCCTCGACGTCGGCGGTCGACTTGTAGATGTGCAGCTTCTGCAGGAAATCACCGACAGCTGTTATGTGCTTGTTAGCATAGTGATTCAAACCAGATCGAATGCGAAGCTAGCTTACCCTTGCGACCCGTAGTCAGGATCTTTGAGCGGTCCAAGTGAATGGTCAGGTCTGATAAGTCATCGTTCTTGTACACAAGCTTGCAAAAGTCGTCACCTGCTTCCAGGAAGCATCTAAGGATGGCGAATCTAGCCTGGCAATGGGGCTGTCCCCATTTTTGGCCCTTGGGATCCCAGAACTCGACCGACGTCAGGCCAGCCCGCGCCATGCTCAGGTAGGAGGCGTAAAGGACATCACCAGCCTCGCCATCCATGTCCACATTGCCGTCGCCGTAACCAAAGATCTTCAGAGCCGAAAACTCGCAGCTCAGGAACATGGCTACCAGTTCAGCGCGGCACTCTTCATACGCACCAGCCAAGCCTCCGAAGACGGATCCCCAGGTCTGACCCGGCTTGTACCAGGTGGTCACTGGCTTGTTCGTCAGAGGGCTGATAGGAGGGTGGTCCTTGTCAAAGTTGAACTGCCCCGGAGAGGTCTCCTGGAGAAGCTTGCCGCATCCGTGTCCAGTGAGCTCGTGTAGACCGACCTGCACCTCAAACGATGCGTCGCGGTATTTCTGATACAGCTCCAGGTCGCTGTCCCGAATGAACGGGATCTTCTCGTTCGGAGCCTTGGCACTGAGTACATTGCCTAGGGAAACGTTCTTGAAGCCCTCGGTTTGCCGGATGTCATCGTAATTGGGAATGTTGATGCCAGCCGGGATTCCGGACCCGCAGAATGTGAGAACCTCGAGCGAAGTAAAGTCTGGGGAAAGGAATTTGTCCTTCTCAAAATCCTTTGACCAGGGAAGGATGGGAATAAGGCCAGGGGCAGCTGCAACGAGCCCTGCGAAAGCCTTCGTTCGCTCCTGGTTCACAATGGCAGCGAAGCCCTCCCATTCGCCCCTGGTTCCCGCAGGATCCCTGTAGGTCTCTATGAATCCAATGTTACACTCAACCATTGGGCCCTTGTCGCGAATCCAGTATCTCTGGCTGTCCTTGAAGGCCAGCAAGGAGCCTTCATCGAATGACTTTGCATAGGCCGTGTGCATATCCTTCTCCGTGTCATTGTCGGCATTGTCGCCGGCCTTGGAGATGTTTTTGGCGATCTCTGCCATTTCCTTGGAGTAGTCGCCGTAGACCAGCTTCACGGTCTTTCCATTCAGCGGACCATCCTCAATCTGGAACTCGGTGTCTTTGCCAATATCACCGCCGTTCTGCGGGACATTGGTCTGGCCGGATGCAATCAGAAGCTCGAAAACACCACTGGTACCTTTCTGTAAGCGGGTGTTCTCCGGCAGGAGGCCTTTGGATTCCATCCATTTGGAGATTGCGGATATCTCGTCCCTGGTGATATCTGGGGAGTTGGGATAGTAGGTTGTCAGATGCCCGTCATCGGGGAAGCCTAGGTGAAGTAGGCCCGGCTTGTCCGTAGAAAATATTGCGCCGTTGGTGGCCTTGTAGTGGCGTTCCGCATCGGGAGAGGTGGCTGCCAGAGCAGCTACATCGCTCTCCTTGCATCGTGGGATGAATTTGGAATCGCCGAAGCTCTTGTAGTTACCGCTGTTCCCCAGGAACTGGACTGCGTATTCAAGGAAAGACGTGACGTCGGCCTCAGAGACACCCGCCTTCTGTCCAAGAGCTTTCCAGTCCCCGTCGGTGCTCTTGTGAAGGGCAATGATGAAATCATAGATGGACTCAGCCTCTGGCGAGACCTGTCTGAGAACTATACGCCTGCCAGCGAAAGAGGCCCTAGGGTCGTTATTTAGCAAATACACCAGTGTCTCAAGGCGCGGGCTTTCCTACTGGCTGATGAAGTGTGCATAGCGCTTCTGCTTGGCGGACAAGGCGTCGAAGTGCTTCTTGATCTCAAGTCTCACGACGCTAGGAGGGGCATCAGCCAAGTAGTTGCTTAGCTCCTGGGCTGTTAGAGTCATGCTTGCATGAAATGTTCGGCGGCTGGTGGAATGTAGGACACGATGGCACAAAGTGAGTGTAGGGCGTCTTGAAAACAAGTAGGACGAAGAAAGTCTCGGCGCTTGAAGGCAGCGACGACTGAGGGGTGAGAGAGGGACACACATTGAAGGAGCGGGGGAGTCGAGGGAAGGCTGCAGGAGAGCTCCGACGAATGAGCGGCGCTTGAACGACCGCCTCAAAGGATGTACTGAGGAAGGTGCGGGTAGCAAAGGTTCCAGAGGGTTACTGCCGGGTTGATGTCTCAAGATTGGAGAATTTCACAGGAAACGCCGCTATAATCAGGGCACTGCTGGCGCCCCTTGCCGTTTGGGCCACAGGCTGGAGCACAGAGCACACGCCATACATTCAGTCTCTCGAGACTGGGTCCCAAAATGCTTGCTCCAGATGGAAATTGTTAAGTATTTTCTCCTGTTACGAATACATTTAACGACATAGAGGGTGGGCGACGTGTGGGTTCCAGAATGGGTTATCTCACCGCAAGCACCCATGTTCCTACACAAGCAGTAAAGTGCATGATCAAGCCTGGGACGAGAAATGCCGAGGACTAACCAAGGCAACGAACGAAGAAAGACTCAGATTACTGAACCGGAGAGTCTCGTTAATCGTGCTGTTACTTGGCGATATTACTTGTGATATGCCGAAATCGCAACTGATACTCTGCCAAGTATCTGCAAGTATCATCGAACATGCCAGTCACTGTCAAAAGCCCAAACCATTGTACAGGAAATGATTTTGGTTTTGTGTGATTTCTTCCTTTGAGGCTCTAGCCCATGGGAACCCGGATTTTATGATCTTTGTTGACTGTAAAAAACCTCATTACAGACGCCAGAATGGACCGTAACCTTTCAACGTCCTAATGCAATGGCCAAGCCCAAGTCAAAACCAGCCCACGCACAACCGTCCAGTCAAATGCTATTCGCATAACCCCCAATTTCGTCCCCCCGATCGTCTACCACTTCATCTCGTGGGGCTTGTCACCCTTGCGCAAGCTGAAGGAAGAGGCGAGGTAGCTCGCGAGCATGTCCACCTTCTTGATGTTGGCCAGGAGGGCCTTGTCGATGGCCTTCTGGTCCGCCGCCCGGCTGCTGCTGATCTGCTTCTTCTGCTCGGCTGTCAGTCCTCGCTCCCTTGCAACGCTGTGTGCGGAAATGGGCATGGGTGCTCGTACCTGGGGCTTCTCTCCCTGCTTGAAGAAAGCCTCCTCACCGGCCTTCTCCTTGGTCTTCTCAGCGGTGAAGTACTTGGGCTGAGCGATCTCCTCAATCTTCTTCTGGTCGACACCGGCCAGGTCAACCTTCTGCGATGTGGCGATCACATAGCGGGCGTTGACTCTCCGCAGGGGAACACCGTTGATCTTGAAGGGTCCGGTGACAAGGAGAACACCCTGGTCGAGGGTCTTGAGGAGGACAACGCGCTTGCCTCGGAATCGGCCAGCGAGGAGGATCAGGACGGTACCCGGCTGGAGGGTCTTGCGAGGAGCCCAAGCGCGGATGGCCTTGCGAGTCTGTTCGGCGCGAATTAGCAATCTGAATCAAAGGTTCACCTGGGCCACATATTCCTAGCAAGCTAGCTCTGGTCGATTGTCCTGCTGTCTGCTCACAGCAGTGATTCGAAAACAGTCGAACCCTGCTTTTGTGCCCGGCTCCCCATGTATGCCTCTCAGTCATGTTCTCGGCAGCGCAACGGCGCAGCCTCCAGAATCGCCTCCCGCGAGCAGACAATCAGAGCATGTCCATCGCCAGCTTGCCGAGTGTAGAGCCTGGCACTCTTGGAATTTTGCATCCCGAAACGTACCGTCTTCTTCTCGGAGTCATCCTCGGCAGGGTACCACTTCTGGGCCTTCTGGGAGTGGTGAGGGACCGCGCGGGTCGAAGAACCGAACTTCTTGCTCGTGGGCTCTGTCTTCGCCGACATGGTGACTGACTTGGGTGGTTGTTGGGAGAACGAAGAAAAGTCGTCGATTGTCGAATTGCTGGCTTCCCGATTTTCGAGAAATTTCGTGTGGGCGCCGTGGGTTGGAGATTTGGCATTAGGTCGCTTAAAGCCCTCCCGAACTAGCCCCGATCTGGGAAGGTGCAGAGTCTTTAATCACGTGATGTAATGAGATGAATTCTCGGAAATCTAGTCACGAGTGTGCGGCAGCTGGCATCGGTCCGGCCATCGACTTGTCTGGCCACTCCAGAAAAGCAGACGTCAGAAAGCTGGGGCCTGAGCTGGTTCCCAAAGCTAAACCATTTTGAGACAAGCAGATCCTGGGTCAGGTCTGAGAGCTTCCATCTCGTACCTATCTCGACAATCACAAGGCTGAGCATCCTCAACCTATCCGAACCCTCCTGTGCAGAAAAGCTTCCAGCATCTGCACTCCGCTTCTCCATTTACCCGACCTTCCCTGAGACCACCAACATGTCGATAACCCCCATAATCACGTTCAAGGCCGGCCAATGTCAGGTTGACGTCAGTAGAAACGCGATCCGTCCGCCATTCACACGTCCTGATAGCTGACAAACATTCCAGGAGACGAGCAGGCCATACAAGGTGAAGCCAGAGGCCGAGCCAGGCTATATCTACCTCTACAGCGAGGATGGTACGTATGCTCGTCACATCGTCAAACAACTTTTTACTGACCGACTTCCCACTAGACCTGATTCACTTCTGCTGGCGCTCAAGGAGCAAGCCTCTGGACGACCCCGACCTGGATCTCGTCATCGTTCCTCCGGACTGCAGCTTCGTTCCCTACGAGTCCAAGGCCATCAACCAACCAACTGCTAAGACCAATGGCCGAATCTTCGTCCTGAAGTTCGCCGGCTCCTCACAGCGACATCTCTTCTGGCTGCAGTCGAAGCCCCAAGGCCGAAGCGGCGACCCCGCTTGGCTGAGCCCTCGCGACAGGAAGATCGGCGAGATTGTCAACAAGCTTCTGCAGGGCGAGGAGGTTGATGTCAACAGAGAGCTTGCCCAAGTCATCAATAACACCGATGACAGCAGACGCGACGACGATGATGACGAGACTATGGAGGACGTCGAAGGCCGTGGCAACCCCAACGAGCATCATGAGGGCAGCATTGGAGGAGCCGGTCCCGATGCTACTGGTGGAGATATCCGCCAAGAGGGAGAAGATTCTCGAGAGGGAGGAGCAGACGGCGCGAGAGCGTAGGTGTTTTTCCATTGCATCGAGTTTGTGGAGCATTGCATCTTTCTTGATCAGGCAGCTCGTGGACCGTCACCCTCAGACGAGAATTATCCAGGCAAGGGCCGGTTACAGAAAAGCATTGGGTCAAACCCTACCTATGTATTTCTAGACATGGCGTATGACATACAACAGAGTTTTTGCTTTCTGACGATCGATGCTTTTCTCTCAATATGACCCGTCTTCAGAACGATGATGCTAATCTGCCACTAGGGTAAGCTCAACCACTCCTGATGCCGCTGCGGTAGTAAGGAACCTGCTCGCCTCGCTCCAGGGCCAGTCAAATCTGGGTGGTGGTCAGCAGGCAGAGTCAAAGGGGTTTCCAATCCTGAGCGATCTCCTAGACACCTCTGTGACTGTCCCGATCATTGAGAGCGCTTCTGATGATGTTGTCAACGGACTCGTTGAGGCCTTGCCAGAGCAGTTTGTGGTCTTGTTCAAGCAGACAATCGATATCGAGAATGGCCAGGCCATCCAGCAGGGAGAGCAGGTCTCCGATGCAAGGGCATCACTGAATCTAGACCAAAAGAAGCGACTGTTGAAGAGGGTACTACGAAGCCCACAATTCCATCAGAGCCTTGGCACGCTCACTATGGCTCTTCGAGATGGAGGATTGCCTGCTGTGGCGAGCGCGCTGGGTATCCAGGTCGAAAACAACGGCTTCATCAGGGGAGGCACTATGCCACTAGGAGGCAGTGATGCCGTCAAAGCCTTCGTTGAAGGGGTGAAGAAGACTGTGCAAGAGAAGTGATCCTGGAGATACACCTTGGGGAAGAAGAAATAGACCTGGGCTGAGTAATTAGCACTTTCATACCGAGGCTCTTTCAATAACATCGATAGAAACAGTCAAAATAGACTACTTAATGGCATTAACCATTGCATTATTGTTTACTGTTAAAAAGTGGTCCTGTGTCCTATCTTGGATCTGCAGATACTTGCCAGGCTAATGAGGATCTTGGTATCAAGATATAGGTACTTCAAAGTCAACAGACATCCAGATGCTCACCATGGGTTTAACGCTGAGGACATACCGTGTGTGCGCTAACGGACACCGTGCGGTCCTCTAACCCCACCACAAGCCAAGCTCCAATTAGTTGCCCTCCACTGTAATCCTTCCAATCCTTGCGCAGCTTTAGCGTCTTTCAGCTGTCAATCCAGCAGCCCAGAGCTTCACCCATCCGCGGTTTCAAGGTACCAATTGATGTGAGCAAAGTCGTTGCAAATATCTCAACAAGGCGATTTCCTCTCTTCTGCACCAAGACTTCATACCATATATTGTTTGTGTCTTACGGCAATGGCGGACTCTACCGCGCCGACAGAGCCGGTCGCAGAAGTCTGGTCCTTCCCGACCGATATCTCAGAATTCGATCACGATGAGCGCATCTCCTTCTCACGCCTGGAGAACAAGTACATTGCAGTCCAGGACGACGGCACAGAGTACGAGTTTGACACGGGACTCCGCCGCTGGATCCCCATCATAGACGATGACCTCATAGAGGCGCAGCAAGCAGCCTACGCCGCGGCGCATAGTGCTGGCTACGACGAGGACGACGACAACCGGGCGGGAGGCGGTAACAGCAACGGTCGCAAAAGGAAGCAGGACGGCGGCGGCAATGGATACGACGAGGCAAACGGCAGGCAACGTGGCGGCAAGCGTCAACAGCGCGCGCCGCCCGCCCCCAAGCAGAACACGGCCATCTACGTGACGGGCCTGCCGGCCGATGCGACGGTCGACGAGGTCGCGGAGCTCTTCTCGCGCAAGTGCGGCGTCATCGCCGAGGAGATCGACTCGGGCAGGCCGCGGGTCAAGCTGTACACGGACGCCGAGGGCAACTTCAAGGGCGACGCGCTCATCGTCTTCTTCAAGCCGCAGTCGGTCGAGATGGCCATCATGCTGCTCGACGACACGGACTTTCGGTTCTCGCCGACGGGCCAGAGCAGCGGGCGCATGAAGGTGCAAGCGGCGGACTCGAGCTACAAGAAGACGAACTATGACCAGGGCGGCGGCGAAGGCCAGGGCGAGGGCGCGGCGGGCGGCGGCGGAGACAACGGCGGCGGCAAGGGCAAAAATGGCGGCGGCGCACGGCGTGGAGACCATGCTGACAAGCAAAAGATCATCAAGAAGACCCAGAAACTTGACGCCAAGCTGGCAGACTGGAGCGATGACGAGCCGTCCACGATACACCAGGAGAGCCGAAGCTCCAAGTGGGACAAGGTGGTCATCTTGAAGCACATGTTCACGCTCCAGGAGCTCGACGAGGATCCGGCAGCACTGCTGGAGATCAAGGAGGACATCCGAGAAGAGTGTGCCAAGCTGGGTGACGTGACCAACGTTATTCTCTACGACCAAGAGGAGGAGGGTGTAGTGAGCGTCAAGTTCAAAAAGACCGAGGCCGCGGAGGCCTGTATCCGGTTGATGGACGGCCGGAACTTTGATGGAAGAGTGGTGGAGGCTTCATTGGCCACGGGCAAAGAGAAGTATCAGAAGTCCAAAATGAATGACGACCATGGAGAGGATCACGATTAGGTTTTGTGTGTGTTTGTGTTCTGGTTGAGATTGAAGCTGCCAAGACGAGCAGTTGGTAGAGATACAGTCAGCGCTGCAAGGCATCTGGGTCCATGGTCAGACACCAGAAACATCATATGCTGTATCGTTAATTGTTGTACATCAGTCACAGTACCAGGATTGAGTCCAAGATACTCAAGAGAGTTGATCTTGACTGATCACAAGAGCGTATTAGAGCTCCAGAGAGGTGGATGACAAGTCCATAATCCATGTAGATTACTATAAATGAATGCAACTAATGCAAACCCTCTAGACGCCTCATTCGACACAGTCTCGTTAATCTTGCAAACCCAAACTCCTCGCTTGGCATAAGTTTTCAAATTAGAAACGTAATTTATGATTTTGTTCTGTCATCATTGTCTTGTAGAAAGAGTGTTAGTCCGTCTCGAGGATCAGGCCTTCACAGGCAACTCGATTTCGACTTTCTGGTTCATAGTGTACCAGATTGCCGCTTCGATGATCTGGCAGATGATATTGAGGTCGGATTCATCTATGTGTCCATTAGCATCATATCCCTAGCAAATAAAGGAGTCATTCTTATCTGTGCGTACCTCTGGGGGCATAGATCAAGACAAATGTATTCGGCAGAGGACTGGTCACCCATTTCGTCACAGCGAGCGGATGCCGCTGGCCCCAACCCTTTAGAAGTACCTCTTTGATATCGTCGGGGTGAAGGCTCATGTGCATCGAGCGATCAACATCGTGAATGTGACAGACCTCGCCATTGCCAAAAGCGTTGACAGGATGCCGGGCAAAGAGTCCGAAGCCATGCTTCTCGACGCACGACGTTGCGGTGCCCAGCTTCTGAGGATGATGGCGTGTGACAGTCTGGATTGCTGCCTTGAGCTTCCGGGAACAATCCATGGGGGCGTGTTGGTCAAGCTGGCGCTGCGGAGCCAGACCAGCGACCGTCGGACGAGGGCCAGGCCGGTAGGGGAGGTTCTTGAGGATGCCGGATTGAGGCGACCGCGAAGGGTCGGGGGCAGGAGGACTGAAAGGATCCCGTAGTGCGAACAGACGGAACCACGCCAGTCGTAGATATCCCGCAAATGTTGGAGGAGTGCCGCCCGGGCCAAGCTTGAGGAAGTTTAGGTAGTCGTTGCGCACGAGGAGGATGATGGGGACGAGCAAAAGAAGACACTCGAACAACGTCCTTTGTAGATAATGCATGCCCAGAACCACTCCTAGGGCAAGTGCCACCACGGCCGAGCCATCGAGGGTGATTGAGAAGGGGTCCTGGCGGATGACCATGTTGAGGCCGATGCCGTCGGTGTTGGCAGAGACGACTGTCATCTTGCTCGACTCGAAGTCAGGCTCCTCGACTTGGGTCTCGACACTCAGTGCCGACGAAGACATATCGGCGGTGTGCATATAATTTGTAACAAATACTGAATGAAATTTGGATTATGCAGGCATAGATATGACAGGAGTTGGAGGTGGACTTCCAGGTGCAGGTAGGAGAGAGATGGAGGACAGCAACTTATATGAGAGCTAAGGCGAATGTGTTGTATCGGGAGGCAGGCCACCAACTCTGACAGCCCAACGGCCGGGATGGGGCATGTACCGATGGCGGCGTGTAGGCTCACAGCAGCCGCCTTGGATGGATGAAGGAGAGAAGTAGCAACCCAGGCACGGTGAGGATCAAGAGGCGCTCTTGGCTGCACAGCTCATGCGTAACAATGTCACCCGGCGGGTGCGGCCATGCAGGCAAGCAAGCAACTTCAGTCAGGATTGACGTAGCCCCCGGCCGCTGGTGAGAACGGCCAGGCGTGTAGACCAGAGGCTGCAGGTCGAGAACCCACCGTGCTCACTGTGCTGATACACCCCTGCCACCCGGTGATGATGCTTGGCAAGGGTCCGTTTGGTGGCACCGTGTAAGTCTGGGTGTTGCCCGCAAACGAAGAAGGGTCCTTGGGTTGGACGATCAGACGAGTGGCCGGTGGGCAAACAGAGCATCGAAGAGGAGGTCAGAGTGCAACATAGCCCCCAGGACGGACAATTACGAAGGGTGTCATCTATCTGCACCCGGGAGGGGAGTCGGTCAAGGTGGGCGGGACGTGGGCGGGTGCCACGTGAAGGCAGAGTTATCACATTGTCCCTCTCCTAGCGCCTCAATCCGCGTTGCATGTCTCGTCAGGACGTCGTAAAAGGTGGGGATGCAAGCTTCAGGGCTGGATTTGTCTGGCGGCTTCTGGATGGTGGAGATAATGTCAGCAGACTATGAAGCCGTGTGGTTGGTTGGGCGGCACCTCGCGTCAATGTGACGATGTTCCGGTCTGCAGCCGAGAGCGGCGCCCTCGACACGCTCTCACCTACAGTTAGGTACCTCAATTTTGCTAGCACTAGGCAAAGTACCTAAAGTAGGTAACTATCTACCCTGCTTGATGTTTTGTCCCCGACCCGTTTGGACAGAGACGGAAAAGGTATTGGCAGTTTCTCATCTTGCACAGCTACTGACATCTCTTGCTTCTCTTGCATACCTCCTTACCTTGTTGCTTGCGAGGCTTAAATGTGTAGAACATATCGAGTATTCCAGCCATCTGCTAGGCACGTAAACCATACCATGCTTGAAGGTAAACCGATCAACAAAGCATAGCCATTCGTTTCTGATTTTAGAATACAAGCAATGTGCATCCGGCGAGATACCTCTCATTACCCTTTTGGTACATGATCTGTCTGTGATGTGGTCCCTCCCGTAGGGCCAAAACGGCCCATCCGAACAGGAAAAAGTGTGTTGCAGCGATGCAACTTGGCAACCCTACTGGGATTAAGGTTGGTATTCCTCCGCAATATTGGGAACAGCATGATACGCTCCGTAAGCGCTACTGGCGCAACTGAGCGATGGTGTCTTGTGGCCTGGCAGGTACTCAGCCTCATTCGCTCACACTCGCTTCTTGCTTGGGCTTTGATCTGACGCAGCTTGGAAGGAGTGCCGATCCCAGTGAAAATGACGTCGGTGTCCCTCATAGTCCCCCGAAGCTCAACGACCAAGCCAAAGTTCCCGCTTCTAAACAGTGCATAGGGCACGGCTATCATACAAGCCCGTATTACGTGACAGTAGCTGAGCACGTCTGGGTTTCGCACGCAGCCGTCTGAGGGGCGCCACGATGAATCTCAGAGCATTAGATTCTTTGAGCTGGCACATTTAACCTGACCTTTCTGGAGTTACTGTAGGCGGGGTCCGGAAGTGGCCTCCCCGCATCCGGTGCTGGAAATGCCCCACAATACGGAGTGCTGCTGGGCCAATCAGCAACCATAAAATACCCACTGGGCGCGTTGCTGTAGTAACATCTCAGAATCCTCTGTACGGAGTAATCACTGTCAACATGCGAGAGCTGGCTACCTGCTCTCCGTTCGATTGAGTGGATGCTGAGATTCTTGAAGCGGTGGATATCACCAAACGATATTGAGTTGGAACTATTTTCCTTTCGAGTGCACTTAACGTCGACTGAATCAATCTAAATCTCCTCCCCACTCTGTTTGTTGTCTCACGAGGCCAGACACGACCTTTCTAGACGAACAGCCAAGTTAGGTATGTAAGGTAGGAGTTCGCGGTTCCACTGCGACCTTCATTTTTTCCCCCGAGCATACCAAGCATGTCCAGAACTTACCGCTGACGAGAACACCACGAGGCAGGCTGTAGGAGACTCGAAGCCATGGGGCTTCTCTCCACCAACATGTTCCGACGTAAAGCCAAAGAATCGCAACTACCGGTGTATGAGAAATTACAGTCACCGAATACGGAGACGGGTAACTACTCGAACGAGGATGACCTCTCCGACATTAGTGACGACAGCTACGACGATGAGTCGGATTACTCTTCATCGTCATCACCGAGCACCAACCACTCGAGGCAGACTTCATCGTCGCACTCTTCTACCGCGATCATGCTGCCCAAAAGAAGGGCATTCGAGGCTCGCCCACGGCGACCAGGCCGCCCGTATTTCTATCGTTTGCCCAACAAAGTGATTCGCTATCTCTGCCTCGGCATGATGACCACCATCATCATCTTCATAGTCAGCCTCGTTCGGGCGAGCCAGCTTGAGAACAGGAGGATAGCCAACGGAGACATAGACAGAGCTAAGGCTCCTGCACCGCCCGCTCCATGGGAGTCGTTCGAGTTCCTGACAAGATACTACGGTGGCGTCAAAAGCCTCTTGCCTCTGTCAGAAAATGTTCCGCAGTATCCGCGGGATCAAGACGAGCAACCTTACATGGCCAATGACACCGGGAACCCACAAGTTGCTGCGTCTGATGTCAACATCCAAACACACACGGTTAAGGACGGGCCATTCCCCAACAGCAAGCCTTTCAGTAGCTATCCTGGCTCCGTGCTCGTGCAAGATAAGGCCGAAATCGTCGAGTGCTTCCTGGATGCACAAGGCACCGTCAGGGTCCCCTCCCTTCAGTACTTTGAAGGCCGGCCCGACGGCTTCCCGCAGCACGTCATGGGCTCCTACGACTTGCTGTCCCTTCCCGAAGACGTCTGCTTTGAGCGCTTTGGCAAATTTGGGCCGTACGGCTTTGGCTACTCTGTCAGCAGTGGTGGTCTTGGTGTTGGGGAGCATGGTGAGAGGGAAGGTGTCGAGGCTGTCTGGCAAGATATCCGGCAGGTTGACTACCGCACCGTCGACTGGGCTGATGCTCAACAGCGTTGCTTCCAAGCCAACGCCAAACGTTTCAAACCCCTCACCTCACGGTTCGAGCCGTCACGCGGATTTTACATTCACGGGGAAGCAACGGAGGCCAAGAACTCCAGTATCCATCCTCGAGACTCGAAGGTTGCCGCCGAGCAGCGGAAAGGTGACAAAGGGCTCTCGCAGTCGGATGAGCCACCAGCAACCCAGAGCCAAGATCTTCCCAGAACTGCTGTTGTAGTCCGGTGCTGGGACGAATACCCGTGGACGGCCGAGGATATTGCAAACTTACGCTCTCTCATCTCTGAGCTATCCCTTGCTTCGGGTGCTCGCTATGATGTCCACCTGCTGGTGCAAGTCCGAAATGATGCCAAACATCCAGTCTGGGCTGACGACGAGACATACCGACAGCGGATCAAGGACACAATCCCTCAAGAATTCCAAGGCTTGGTTACTCTCTGGACCGAGACGCAGATGTTGTCCTTGTACCAAGGTATCCATGATCTCTTCAGCCGAGGTCCTGATTTACCACTTCATGGAGTGTATAGGGGTCTGCAGATGGCCATGCAATTCTTCGCGTACAACCACCCCGAGTATGACTACTTCTGGCAATGGGAGATGGATATGCGCTATACCGGCCACTACCTCGATCTCCTGACCAAGATGGAGCGATGGGCCCAGGAGCAGCCTCGAAAAGGCCTCTGGGAGAGGAGCGCTCGGTTCTACCTGCCAGAGGTCCACGGAAGCTGGGAGGATTTCAGGCAGATGGCTCGCGTCCAAACAGAAATGGGCACGACCAGCGCGGACAATATGTGGAAAGGTCTTCCTGGCAAGGAGAAGGCCCCGAGTGAGGTGACCAAGGGCGAGCAAACCATCTGGGGACCTGTCCGTCCGGCCGATCCCAACGACTGGTTTGAGCATGAGGATGATCCTGAGCCGCCGACCGTATATGAGAAGGACAAGTACACATGGGGCGTTGGCGAAGAGGCCGACCTCATCACCCTCAACCCCCTATTCGATCCGGAGGGTACCACTTGGCTTCTGGCCAATGACATCACCGGCTACAACGAATCAGCCGGCAACGGCAAACCCCCACGGAGAGCCCAGATCATCACGGCCTCCCGGATGTCCAAGCGGATGCTCCTCAAGATGCACCGCGAGACTGCCTTCAAGAAGCACCATGCGTTCCCCGAGATGTGGCCCGCCACCATCGCGCTGCACCACGGCTACAAGGCTGTCTTCGTCCCGCACCCGGTCTACGTCGACCGCGAGTGGCCGGTCGAGTACCTCGCGCAGAACCTCAACGCCGGCAAGAACGGGGCCACGGGTGGCTCGCGCATGTCGGTCTTTGGCCAGCGCGAGCACAACCTGCGCGGCCTGTCGTGGTTCTACAACTCGGGCTTCGCGCACAACCTGTACCGCAGGTGGCTCGGCCTCAAGGTCAACAACGACGGTGGCGAGCAGTTCGAGATGACGGCTGATGAGAGCAAGAGCGACACGACTGTGCCCGATATGCGAGGCGGCGAGGGCCGCATGTGCCTGCCTCCGATGCTGCTTCATCCAGTCAAGGAGATCATCCTGCCCGTCGAGGAGGAAATTGTGGAGGGCGTTGAGGCCGGCGAGGTCTTGGATGCTGCGGCTTGAGCAAGCCTGCCAGCGACGTGTGCATTTGGGCTGCTTGCATGATAACGGCTCGCAGGGAAGAGAATGATGACTTGCGTTTGTTTTGCGATGGATACACCCGCGTCGTTTTATGTTTGAGCTACCTAGGGAGACTGGAATGCATCTGGGCGTTTATAGGGTTGACGGAGAAACGATATGCGCAAACAATGGACTTTTTACGGCTACGATAATAGATTGATTGGAATGGACTTGAAATTGTTTCGACCGCAAGAATACATACTCAGCACATCTCTCAAATGTTTCATGGATCTTAACCGGCCCGGACTGTCTTAAAGTCAGTGCATCGGGGTTTCGTGATGTGTTTCTCTCAAACTGAAGCAAGTCTTCTGTTGGTTCAAACATCTTCCGGTATGCACCATCGAGACGATCGCCGAATCCCATCGCAGGAACACCAAACTATACATAATTCGTAGCATTTCTAATCTCTTGTGTCAGGCAAATTGTATGCCCCGTTCGACCTTGATCTACAACCATAGTAAGAGCTTCGGCGGGTCTGCCTTTTCCCTCCATGTTGTCCATTTGGTCCCCTGATACGCCGACGATCATGATCCCATATTATAAGAGTGTTGTTATATAGCTTGACAGAATGCTGCAGACAAAGCGCTTTTTGTATTGACGGATAAGTCTGGCGGTCTCAAACCACCCTCTTGACCTCAAAGAACCTCCGCAGCCACCAGACCTGGAAGACAGACTCGCCAATGACGATGCCAATGACGAACAAGTTCCACCACTTGACGCGGGCGTTGGTGCTCTCGGCAGTGTTGCGGTGAGTGCGCTCACGGACGATGATGTAGGACTGCTCGTCCTTGACCTGTGCGACGAGCTCAGACAGCTTGCGGACCTCGGTCTCGAGAGGGTCCTGGGGTGCATCCGACTCGGAAACATAGACGATGCCGTGCACGTTGAAGGAGACCTCCTTCGAGGTGGCGCCCCAGTGCTCGTTGCCGAAGCAGTAGGTGTACTTGCCGTCCATGGTAGCGTCGAAGGAGTAGTCGCCGTTGGACGTGGACTTTTGGTAGGTCTCGTACTGACCGTTGGGGTTGGTGATCTGGAGCAATGAAAGGGTCAAGGTCAGCTTCATCCATACGGGTTCAATCGGAGCCAGGCAGATGTCAAGCATACCCAGAAGTCGATGTCGAGGTTACCGGCACTGCCGAACTCGCGGTCGCCGACCTGGAAGGTGACCGTCATCTTGTCCTCCCGGTGGAGGTTCTCGTGGAAGCACTCGCGGCCATGGGCAGGGAGCTGGATGTTGTGAGCAGAGGCGGCGCCCAGCAGCACGCCGGCCACGAGCAGCAGCTTTGGTATTGAGAGGAAATGCATGGCGATCGAATTGACGATGGCCTTGTATTCCGCGATAGGTGGCGGATGGAGTTTACGAGTGTCGTGGAGAAGACGGACGGTGGTGTCGTGTGTCTGCCCGTCCTGTACGTTTGGCGCACGGTGGATCGAATTCCCCCTTGGCGCGAGAAAATCACAAGCTGGCAACTTGCTGCTTGGACCAGGCGGCACGCCCAAATTGCTACAAGTAGTTGCGGCTGATGACGGATTTGGGCTCTGAGCTTGCGGCTGGGAAAGCTTCGGAGCCAGGTACCTCTGCCACCAGTATTCGGTAGGGAAGGTACATGGAAGCCAAGGCAAGGGCGCGTGGATGTTAGCGGGTTTCCACAGGTGGGCATTTCAGGGGGTGAGATAGGGAAGTGGACGAAGTGGACACGCGTTACAGTTGCAGAGGGGACACGGTCCCAACTCCCCACGCACGCCTCTCTCTCCCTTTCTTGCTGCTCTGCGCGACAGCCTATCAGGACGCATCACGAGCAACACCAGTGGCTGAGCGCACAACTTTTCAGTGATTTTTCGGACTCCACTTTCCCAAGAGAGGAGCAGATCTGATCTGAGAGGTCTCTGCTGGCTCACACTCAATCTGTCCAAAACCTGAGGGGACAAGGCCAAAAAAATTCAAGCGCCACCCAGCCCAGCCAGCCCAAGAGGAAAAAAAGTGCAGCCTGGCTCTGGAGAGAAGGGAGCACAAAGGCAGAGAGACCCATCCAAGGTACCTAAAAGTCCCTTTTTGCCTGTCCCCTACCACCTTATTAGCGCTGCTTGCTGTTGTCGCTACCACTACCGCCTATCTATCCTTACATTTCATCCTCTTCCACACCGACAATCCCACCCCATCATCTCTCTCACAAACGGTCACCTTTAATCAACCATCACCGTTTGTCCCATTCTCCATCTCACGACCGACGAGGCATTGAGAACAGGTGAGCCCTCGCTTTCCCTTGGTATTTCTGCATCCAGTGCCATCTTCCTCTTGCTCTGGCCCCTCGCGGCCGTCGCCTCCTCGCCTGCTTGGTCCCTTCCTCCCTCTTGGGGATTTGCAAGCGCGTGTCCTCAGGCGGCCCCCTCACCCAAAAAAATAACAGACTGCGAAAGCACCCCCCCTTTCCGCTACCCCATCCTCGCCCGGTGACTGGTTACTATCTCGGCAGCCTGGAGATAGCCGCAGAGGTCAGGGACGAGGTCGGCATCACCAACCTCAATCTGTCCTCTTGCCGTCCTGCGCATATATGCTCGGGGCTTCGCGGAAGGGGCACCATCGCCGCTGTCACGAGCATCATCACGACCTCGGGAACAAAGGGGCCAAGAGACCAAAACATCGCAACGCCTCATCATCGATCTGCTGCTTACTCTACTATTGCTCCACAGGACCATTAACGACCCGTCTATCGACCTCGCGCCCTTTGACGATTAATCTCTCTTCACTTCTCTTCCATTCTTAATCACAAACCGCAACCATGGGTCTCACATTCAGCAAGCTGTTCGACCGGCTCTGGGGAAAGAAGGAGATGCGTATTCTGATGGTCGGCCTCGATGCCGCCGGAAAGACCACCATTCTGTACAAGCTGAAGCTCGGTGAAATCGTCACCACCATCCCTACCATTGGTATGACTTGCCACCTCCCTTCCCCGAACACAATAGCCTTACTTCTCGTCGATGTCGCCATACGCCTCCACCGGCTCGGGTGCTGGCATTGGTCGAGTCCGAGTCTGACTTACAGGCTCCCCTCGCTATCCAAAGTAAATTCAATGCTAATGACGTATCCACACAGGCTTCAACGTCGAGACTGTCGAGTACAAGAACATCCAGTTCACTGTTTGGGATGTCGGTGGTCAGGACAAGATCCGTCCCCTGTGGAGACATTACTTCCAGAACACCCAGGGTATCATCTTCGTCGTCGACTCCAACGATCGCGACCGTATCGTCGAGGCCCGTGAGGAGCTGCAGCGCATGCTGAACGAGGACGAGCTGCGGGATGCTATCCTCCTGGTCTTCGCCAACAAGCAGGATCTGCCTGTATGTCCCACCTTCCAACCCAAACTCCACGCGAATAAATTCAGACTTCTGACCTTGCCATAGAATGCCATGAACGCTGCCGAGATCACCGACAAGCTCGGTCTCCACAGCCTGCGACAACGGGCCTGGGTAAGTCACATATGCTGCTTTTCCATATCTGCCCAACCGCTTGTGCTAACATGCCACTCAGTACATCCAATCTACTTGCGCTACTTCTGGTGATGGTCTGTACGAGGGTCTTGAGTGGCTCGCCACCACCCTGCGCAAGGCCGGCCACCAGTAAACGGTCTGGTCTGCGCATTGGGTCACTTTTCTGCACATCATCTCTCTCCGTCACCCATCTTCGGTTGTAATTCGCAAAGTATCCCTGAGCAATCGAAATCAGTCCAACCATATTCGCATCTCGTCTGGCCGGTCGACTCCTCCCCCACCCGTACAGTGACCTGCTGCTATGCCTAATAGACGCAGTTCGCAAAAATCTTTTGCACTCTCTGTGGTCAAAGAAGAAACGTCGTGTGTTTGTGTTTCCGCGGAAAGAAAAGGGGCGCAACTGGGTTGGGATCTTTGTACAATTTGAAATAGGGGTATGAATGCGGCTTCGTCGAGAGTCCCTTTTTACCGCTCTTTCCTATGCCGAGGAACCATCTTATATCTCTGTTATAGCGGTGGGAACTATAGGAAGAGAGACAAGTTATTACGAGGCGGGCCCAGACTTATGACAAATTGTTCTTTCTCTTTCCCTTATAGAGCATCCTTTCCTTGATTCCTGTCACTTTGTGTTGTATGAGGCTTCCGATGCTGTGTGTGTGTGCTCTGGTCATCCCAGAGGTGTTCAGATTGTTCAAACTTGACTCAAGTACTCTGGTGTGTTCGTCATTGCTGAATACTGCTTCTGCTTTTTGTGAGTTCACCTTGAGGTGATGTTGCTCGTGCCTGCATCCAGTAACTGGTCTTTGAAAGACAGCCCAGACTCTTGCCACAAGAGGCCAGGAGGGAGAGAAGCTCACCGACCGACTGTGCAGTCGTGAAACTAGATTAAGTCTATGACAAAGTATAAGAAGAAAACTGTGAGGCAATACGAATACTGCTTAAATTGAGCATTCGGCCCAACCCGGACCAATATCATCCTGATGTTCCAATGCAACAATGGACTTGAGGTTCATTGAGTTCAATACAATGGTTTAAATAACTTAAGAGAGAGGAGGATATCTCTACGTACATTAGGTACATATACATCTTGCTTTGCCTGAATCAAAACTTCCCTAAAACTTCCATGCAGACCCAACCATATACACAGAGATATACCCATACTGTTGATACATTTTAAACATTTGTCCATTTCCTGCCATTGGGAATCAGAGAACGCCTTCCCAGCTGCCCAAATGCCTGATTCAAAGGTCAAAAGTCAAGAGGCCGCCCGGCCGCTCTAGGAGGAAGAGGCAGCGTCGCCCTCCGCCTCACCAGCGACCGGCGTTGCCGAGGCGGGTGTAGTCGCCGTGATCTCGAGCCCAGACTTGTCCTCCTTGATGGACACGGTCGCCACGTCGCCCATCTTGATCTGGCCGCGGATGATCCTGTCGGCCAGCCCGTTGCCGATCTCGGTCGTGATGAGGCGGTTCAGCGGGCGCGCGCCAAACTTGGGGTCGTAGCCGCGCTCGGCGAGCCAGTCGCGCACCTCGCCGGGGACCTCGAGCGCGATGCGCCGATCATCGAGCCGCGCCTGCAGCTCGCGCAGGCGGATGTCGACAATGTCGCGCAGGGCGCTCAGGGCGAGGCGCTTGAAGATGATGAACGAGTCGATGCGGTTGAGGAACTCGGGCGGGTACGCGGCGGCCACGACGTCCATGACGGCCTTCTTGACCGACGGGTCGATCTCGCCGTCGGGCGTCTCCTTGTACGGGTGGAGGTGGTCGTTGCCGACGAGGATGTCGGCGCCCAGGTTGGACGTCAGCACGATGATGGTGTTCTTGAAGTCGACCTTGTGGCCCTGCGCGTCGGTGAGGTACCCCTCGTCCAGGACCTGCAGGAGCAGGGCCGAGATGTCGCGATGCGCCTTTTCGAACTCGTCAAAGAGCAGCACGGCGTAGGGCTTGCGCCGCACGGCCTCGGTCAGCTGGCCGGCGTCCTCGTAGCCCACGTATCCTGAGGGGGCGCCGATGAGGCGCGAGATGGTGTGCTTCTCTTGGAACTCAGACATGTCGAAGCGGACGACGGCAGACTCGGTGGAGAAGAGGAAGCCGGCAAGCTTCTTGCAGAGCTCCGTCTTGCCCACGCCTGTGGGGCCGAGGAAGAAGAAGGAGGCGAGGGGCCGGTTTTCGCCAGAGAGGCCGGCGCGCTGCATCCTCACGGCGTCGGCTACAGCCTTGAGGGCCTCGTCTTGGCCGCGAACAGACTGCCGCAGGGTGTCCTCCATGTGCACCAGCTTCTCGATGTGACCGGACGTCAGCTTCGAGACCGGAATGCCGGTGATGCGCGAGACGACGGTGGCAATGTCGTCTGCCGTCACCGAGTCGTGGATCAGGCTGTCATCGGAGGCTCTCTTCTCCTCGCCCTCTTTCGGAAGCTTCTTCTCCAGAGATGGGATAATGCCGAATCGCAGCTCGGAAGCACGCCCAAACTTTCCAGTTCTCTGCGCTTGGTCGAGCTCGATCCTCGCCTTGTCCAGCTCTTCCTGCGTCTTCTTGATGGAGTCGATTTCGCCTCGCTCCTTCTCCCACCTTTCAGTAAGTAACCTGACCTCCTTTTGGTATTTTCTGAGGTCATCCTCCAACTTGCTGCGCCTCTCCTTACTAGCCACATCTTTTTCTTTCCTCAAACTCTCGAGCTCGATTTGTATCGTCATAATCTTTTGGTCGAGGCGCATGATGTCTTCTGGTTTGGATTCTTGTTGCAGTCGGAGGGAGCTGGCAGCCTCGTCCATCAGGTCGATGGCTTTGTCAGGCAAGAATCGGTCGGTAATGTAGCGGTTCGAATAGGTCGCAGCGGCAACAAGGGCACCGTCCGTAATCCTTACACCATGGTGCACCTCATACTTGTCCTTGATTCCGCGAAGGATGCTGATGGTATCCTCCACGGTTGGTTCGTTCACCACGATTGGCTGGAAACGCCTTGCGAGTGCCACATCTTTCTCGATCAGACGATACTCGTTCAGTGTTGTTGCACCGCAGCATTGCAGCTCGCCTCTTGAAAGTGCAGGCTTCAGGAGATTCGAAGCGTCGATGGAACCTTCAGCCTTTCCAAGACCCAAAAGGGTGTGTAGCTCATCGATGAAGAGTATGACTTCGCCATGGGCTTGTTCCACCTCCGTCAGCACCTTCTTCAACCGCTCCTCAAAGTCACCTCGGAACTTGGCTCCTGCGATGAGCGACCCAAGGTCAAGACTGATGACCCTCTTCTTCTTGATGCTCTCGGGCACATCGCCTCGCACTATCCTCAAGGCCAGCCCTTCCAGAATTGCCGTCTTTCCCGTTCCCGCATTGCCGATGAGGACGGGGTTGTTCTTTGTTCTCCGGGAGAGGACTTGGATTGTGCGCTGAATTTCTGCATCTCTGCCAATGACAGGGTCCAACTTTCCATCTTTCGCCTTGGCAGTCAAGTCGATTCCGTATTGTTCGAGTGCCGGTTTCTCCTCCTCGCCGCCGCCCATGTTCATGCGGTGGGTTCCGCCGGGGGGGTGTGGCCTTCCGTTCGCATAGTGGCGGATGTTAGTGAGAGGTAGTCGAGATACTGGGTAGGTCGTGAGAGCTGGAACAAGATATGGGCTGTGGAGGAGGCTCGGCGAAGTTCTCGCGGTTCTCAGAGCAGTTCGTGACGCATCTCCAGATGCGACACGGCGGGTTGTTGCGAGGAATTGTCGTCGAAGCAACATGTTGGCATTAATTCGAGTGGCATGTGCAGTTATTCCGAGTTTAGAAGAAACCAGGGGAGGGCTTGGTCTGTAATATGCACTGCCGAGGAGGCGAATGGGCAGTGCGAGGTGGGCAGAAGAGTGTCGTGATGTCAGGCGCATTCGAGCATCTTCTGCAGCTATTCCGAGCTCCACCCGATACTTTTCTTATCTTAGCCCCAAAGCTTAACCGCCATGGGCTATCAGAGAGAATGTTCAACGCTGTGGCTATCCCTTTTCGGGGGAAGCTCCAGCTGTACAGTGGCCTGTGCGGCGAACTTCAAAAGGCGCCTTGGATTTTTTTTTCGCTCTGGATTCTTTCCTGCATATTCTTTGTCTGTTTCCCTTTTCACTCCTCGCAGCGCTCGTGATGGTGCAGCGGAGTAAGATGGGCTTTCGGAATCCGTGCATTGTACTGGATGGCTGCTGTTCCAGTAGTGATGCGAGCACCCAGGCGACATTTGACCTCGGTGCTGTCTCGCCATGACATAAGTGTCTTGAGCAGTCCTTGACAACTCGCAGATGCATATTCGCGAACCTGCTCATCATGTCTGGTGAGCTTGCAGCCAAGTCGGCGAATTTCTTTTCCTTTTTGGCGGAGCAGGCCGAGTGCCCGTCTCTGCTTCGATCTGTTGCTCCTTTTCTTTGTTTTATCCCGGATATGCAATTACTATGATGAGAAACATTGGTCCGTGTTACTGAGCAGACTCAAGACCTGCACATGACGAGACAACAAGCACTAAGTGCAACTCTGATCCTGCATACCCCATTTCCTTCGATTTGTCTTCCTCAGTAGCTGAGAGAAGATATGGCGTGCTCTCGTCAGGTTAACCAGACCGGCATTCAACCAACATGTAAGGTTCCTTGCGAGACCTGATGAGTGGCAGCCGTGTATGGGATTGATCCATACGACGAAGATTCGTCAAGAGTGTACTCACGAGCGACATAATTTGAATAATGAAATGAACCACCTGCATGTAGAGAGCTACATGGACATGCTCAGGATGGACATGGCCAGGCCTCACCATGCCTTTCAGGAAGGGGGCAAGCCACTCTCGGCTCGGCACCATCCGTAATTCACATATCCTCAAGATGCCTGCCTGATGTGTGTAACAGAATGCTGTTGAGAAACGGCGCGAACAAATCCGCAATCCCGACAGGACGAGACAAGCGGGTTGCATCTGCAAGGGCCCGCGACAACCAGCCAATAACCCAGCCCTGTCGACGGGGTGGTTACGGCAGGCCAATCAACGGCCGGCGTTGGCCATTCACGGCGCCTATTCCACACAGTCTCCAGCTTGGTCGGCGCCAGACACAACGTCTTCTCTGCTTTTCACTGGCTGCAAGTGACAGCAGACCATCGACCAGCAGGACATCCAGGCATCATGATTCGCAGAGGTAAGGCCTGCCCGCGGGCTGGCGAGATTCGAAAAGCAGTGGCGTGGGTCAGCCGTCTCGATGAGCAGATGGTCGAACGCATCATGCGTGCCGTATCGCCCTGCTCGTCATTGACCGGTCGGTTTGGAAATTGGCGTCCTCGCGTCCATTGACGTGTCAAGTGAGAGGGCCTGGTTGAGTCAAGAAAGCTGCCTGATGTATATCGCCCTATTCACCAACCACTCCCTCCGGCCATTTCTCTTCCTTTGTCTTCGTATTGTGCGTCACTCTTGGAGGCTATTGACCACTCCAAACACCGTTCCCCCTTCTTGGTGACTGTTTCACCTTTCTTTTGTCTTTGCAGTCTCTCTTTTGTCGACTTCGATGCCTGCTTTCTTCGCCAAGAGCACTTGACCTTCCTTACCGAGCCTGGTAGTGAATGCCTTGAGCCTTTGCCCTTTGACAAAAGCGGCATCCGTCCGTCATTCATATTTCGAATGTCTACCCCTTCGACTTCTATGGCTTTCTAATCATCCTCTTTTCCTTTTCATCCTACGCTACCTTTAACACTTTCACCGCAATTTATCAAAGCGTCCAACTTCAACGATAACCGACTTGATATACCTCGCACCCTCGCATACAATGAACAGCACCAAACCGCTCGCTCGTCGCGACGCCTTGCCATCGCCGTCAGATGGCCCGGAGGACTGGGAGGACTGGGAAGAGGATGGCCAAACAAGTCCAATCGGCAGCGACAAAGGCCGGCTTCTAGTTCCTTCGGCCACCGCCCAAGGCACCTCACGCCTTAAAATTGCGCCCCCAGGATATTCAGAAGCTCGCCAGGGAGCAGTTCGCAACTCGGTCCACAAACCAAAGAGGCTTTTCTCCCGGGGCCGACAGAAGGCCCAGAATGCCAAGGCCGGGATCAAGCTTGTGACGGACATGTCCAAATTCCGCAAGCAGCAGCATATTGCTTACCAGCTGAGATCGGCCGCCGAAGCCGACTCGAGGACGGGCAAATTTGTGGACGCGGCCGCTCTGAGAGCCCTCGAGGGAACGCCGACATCTGCGTCCGTGGGCAGCTTTTCCTGGCTGAGGCGAAAGCAAGCATTTGCAGGTGAGGTCAACTCGCCGCACCAACCTCACAGCGGGCTCTCCCCTGCCGACCGTCCGATCATGATAGGAATCGCTTTGCCAGAGGACGATGCGGCGGCCCGGGTAATCAGTCCGCAAACAGCTATCATTGAGACCCCGTTGGACTTGCGGAGACATTTTCCTGCATCCCAGCCCAACGCCTCCAAGACACCTGAAGCACAAGAACCCCATTCGGTCTGGTCACCTGATACGGATGATGGATCGTCTCTTCCCGCATCTCGTGTAGCCTCAAGCGTCTACTCCCAACCAGGCCGGCCCAGCTCACAGAGCGATGTGCCACCAGTGCCGATGCTTCCATCTGCCTATGCGAATCCGTCTCACAGAGGCGACCATCGTGTGGAAGAAGATGATGACGACGCTTTCACACCCGTCACTCTTTTCGAGGAGGACGGCAGCCCTGTGGAGACCAGGAAGAGAGCCAAGTCTGTACGATCCAAAGGTCACACTCGATCACCAGCCACAATAGCAACGTTGTCCGGCTGGTGGGATCATGTTCAAACTCCTTTCAAGGAGACCCACAGCCCACTCACTCCTAAGCCCAAGAGCGAAGCTACTGATGACGGCAAAAGCACGGCTGGATGGTGGACAAGAACCAACGAGAAGCAGCATGTATCGCCTGTGGCTATGAATCAAAACACTCCATCTGTGGCATCTGTGGGAGGAAACATCCAAACTGAACACACCTCAGCGATGCCCCTTGCCATAGCCTCCTCCTCGAGAGCACCACCGGTCAGTCCCGTGCAAGGATCTGGATCTCAGCAAACCCAGCCAAGTCAAGCTGGAAAGGTACATCATCTGGTCCTCGATGAGGACATTCCTACCGAGCAGCCACCGCCATATGAACCGCCATCCAAGCAGGTACACTACAGGGCCGTTTTCCCTCCTGGACACCCGCTTCGCGCTCGCTTCCCAGCCTCTCCCGGCCCATCATCCCCCGGTTTGGCCAATACCATGACGTCGCAGGGCGCAATCAGCATGACAGATGTACCGTTGACACCAGCCGCGAATCGATCCAATCCAAGCCTGCCGGCTGAGCAGCGTCTTCCTGATCGAGCCATTGGTACTTTCGTGCCCACTGAGCATTTTCTAAGCTCGGTGGGCAACTCCCCAGCAGCCAAGGTTGAGCGTCAACGACGGCGCCACGAGAAAGAGGACTTCGTGGCTCGGAAATTTGAGGGGTTCTGGAAAGGCAGGGGTTACCTGCCGCAGAGTGGCTGTTATGGCCGTCGTGGCCGTGAGGGCCGTAAGCGGAGGCGTGTTTGTCTCGGTATCCTAGCTGGTTTTCTAGCTGCCATCATCCTCATAGTCGTCCTGGCTGTCACGTTGACGCGGAACAAGAAGCCACAGGCCAGCCCATATTCTCCGTTTCTCAACCTCACCAACTTTCCCCCGATCCCGACTGGGGTGCTCTCGGTGGTGGGAACGGCCTCGGACGGAATGAGCGACTGCGTGCAGCCTGCTACGCTTTGGAGCTGCGCCCTTCCCAAGGAGCAGCAGGAGAAGAACAAACCCTTTTCCGCCAACCAGCCCAGCTTTGTTATTCAAATCCAATTTGACAACAACACTCGCCAGCTTTGGGACGTGCCAGATGGGCCGATTCCGACCCCTGTTACTAAGGTAAGCAGTCAAATTATGAGCTCGAAGCTCAAGACGAGCCTTGCTAATGGTCAGAATCAGGGCTCGACACGGCGGGGAGCTGCCAGTATCTTGCAGTATTTGAGGAGGAGGAGGCGGGAACGCAGGCAGGCCCAGATGATCGACCCCGGTTTCACGCCGTCTCCAGCTCCTCCATCGTTCCAGGAGATGTACTTCCTCGGCAACACTTCGGACAATATTGTTTCATCGCGCAAGGCAGGGGAGCCCACCCCATTCTACATCACTTTTCTACACTCGATCAATGAGACCGCCGGCCCCAATGTGCTTTCACGGCGGGGCATCGGGAACGGCATCGAGGTCGGCGCCAACGGCAACATTACTACAGTCCTCGACCCTGTCGAGAAAAACCCAGACGGCACAGGGGTGCCGGCAAAGATGCTGACATTTCCCGTGCAGCAACCGTTGCGCTTGTTTGACCGAGGGCTCCCTACAGAGCACTACGGTTTCTACAATTTCTTCGACAAGACAGTCTACCTCAAGTCTATCACCCCGCTCACCAACGGTACCTCTCGCTCGGGGGATGTCCCCACCGACGAGAAAGGCGGATCTCTCGAGACGGAGGCCAAGTTCTTTGTCTTGTGGGCGCAGACCAGGTTCCACGTGCAGATCTGGACTCGTACGGATAACACGACGAGTCTGCTTGGGTCGAGGATCGACGCATCCGGCAACGCAGTCCCGATCAGCAACAGCACACAGCCGGGGACCTTTCCTTACCCGATTACGATCGGGGAGGATCTGCACGGCGGGAACCACGACAAGAAGGGGACGCTGGCCTACCCTGTGGATGACAGGCAGAAAATCGTGGAGACGGACCCCAAGACGGTGCTGGTGGACTATGGCTTCCTGGGGACGAGCGTGAACCACGAGGCGGATCCGAGCTGGGGTGGCATCGACGGGGGCACGGGCGGGTGCCGGTGTGCATGGACTAACTTCCGGAAGACTAGGCCGGTGTAAGGCAAGCCTGGGTGCTGGAGTTCTTTCTACTTTTGCAAAAGTTCTCGGTAGGCGTCCGTCTGTATCATAGGTTTTCAGTCATATTCGCATAGCATGGTGGTGGACAGGATGCATCATAAAGCTTATTTGGTAATTCAAAATTGAAACAACGTCACGATAGGTCTTTGATACTGCAAAGGTGTTCGTATTCGTGATGGCATGCGATTGTAGTATCTGCCTAGCCATGGTGATGAGGCAAGTCGTTCTTCATGCTTGCTTGGCATAGGCGCATGGACTCGCTCCTTTGTGTCACTCCCTGCCACCTTCACCCAAAGAGCAAAAAAAAGAGAAAAGAAAAGACAAAAACAATAGCAACAATGGTCTCATCGGGGATCGAGCGCATCCCAGTTGCACCCGCTTGAAGATGTTTGGCTGTGATTCGGGAGACATCAATATCTCAAGGACCCGCTCCCAAGTAAAGTCTCAATGGCAGGACTCGCAATAGCAAATATCTCCGGAGTATGTACGAGTACTAGGGCAGCAACTTTGTTTCTGGGCTTTGCCATCTTTTGTGGCAAGGACGCCGGATTCCTGTATGAGATGCCAACTGCGATCTGAGTGGGTGTGAATGGTTGAACTGGGGAGTTGGCCTGCATTGCTGATTGGCCGATCTTGACATTTGCGGAGCATTCCCTGCACGGGACGATGCGTATTCGCATTTCGTCTTCGAGAAGCCCATCCATCAATCAAAGTAGTACAAGTACCTAGGTACTCAAGACACTCTAACGGTATCACTGAATACGGCAAAGTTCCAAAGTTGGTAACTACTTGTAAACAGCATACCCGCCGCCCATCATCATCACACGATAGGGCCCAGCAAACAAAATAAGATACTCGTAGCCAGAGACCCTGGATTGCCCGTCGTGTGGAGATCGAGCCTGTGAGACTGCGCCGATTTCAAAATACACAACGTACGGTAAGGAAGACTGGGGCTTCTAGCGGGCAGCATGTGGCATGATGTCGCTCAGGGGCTCCCGCGGAATGACCTGAGCCAGACGCCAGTCCAGCGACTCCGTCGGCGATGCTGAGGTACCTCGGATTGGGAAACCAGCATATCTCAACCCGAATACGACAACGCGCCCTCATTGGCCAATTGACCTCCCGTCCGCCCTGGTGGCCAAGGCAGAAGAGTGGGGACCACAGGTCACTGAGGCCCGTGAGTGGTGTACCTGGCTACGACGCTCCCGCTGAAAGAACTGCCAGACCGCCCGCCGCGTTGCGCCCCTCTCGCCCCCCTGGCGCATTTTTTCGCCATGGCAATTTGCATCCATGGATCTTTTTTGCCCGCCAACGCCAGACTAATAAATAAGAAGGGGCACGCTGCAGCCTCCCATATCTTGACCGTCCTGCTCCTCTCCTCCATCGCCGGTGTCCCTACGACTGTCTCTTGAGAGCTGTCGCCTTTCTCTGCTTGGTGCTTTTATTTTCTCTCTCTTCCTCCTCGGTCGCTGCTCGGGCTCATATCGTGTTGAGACGCGTTTCGTTGTGTGCCCATTCCGAATCCCTTGACCGGCCTCGTCGAGATGGGTGTTTTCCAGGACGTGGCGGGCCCTGCCCTGCAGCAGTATCAGCAGCTTGGCTTTGGCTCCCAGATCGGTGTCGCGGTTGTCGGATCTCTGGTGCTCATTGTCGTGCTCAATGTTCTCAACCAGATCCTTTTCCAGAACCCCAATGAGCCGCCCATGGTCTTCCACTGGTTCCCCCTCGTCGGCAGCACCATCACGTACGGCATGGACCCGCCCAAGTTCTTCAAGGACAATCGCAAGAAGGTATGCGCTCTCGGGCCCGAGCTTCGCTCTCCAGTACAAGGCTAACAGGCCACATCCAGTACGGCGATGTGTTCACCTTCGTTCTCCTCGGCAAGAAGACCACTGTCGCCCTCGGCACCCAGGGCAACGACTTCATCCTCAACGGCAAGATCCGCGACGTCAACGCCGAGGACATCTACAACAAGTTGACTGGTCCCGTCTTCGGCAGCGATGTCGTGTACGACTGCCCCAACGCCAAGCTCATGGAGCAGAAGAAGGTAAGAAATGATGCGGTCTCTTCACTCGCCCTCGTTAGCGTCGCTTCCAAGTCGCTGACCGATATTCCCTTGGCCCTTCGCAGTTCATGAAAGTTGCTCTGACTACTGAGGCCTTCCGCTCCTACGTCCCCATCATCTCGGACGAGGTTACCTCGTACATCAAGCGCTGCCCCGACTTCAAGGGAGAGTCGGGCATCGTCGACATCCCCGCCAAGATGGCCGAGATCACCATTTTCACCGCCTCGCACGCTCTGCAGGGCAAGGATATCCGAGACAAGTTTGACGAGACTCTGGCCGATCTGTACCACGACCTCGACATGGGCTTCAGCGCCATCAACTTCCAGCTGCACTGGGCCCCTCTCCCGTGGAACAACAGGCGAGACCACGCCCAGAGGACCGTTGCCAAGATTTACATGGACACCATGGCTGAGCGCCGCGCTCGTGGCGACACTGGCAAGCAGGACATGATGACTCACCTCATGAACGCCCAGTACAAGGACGGCAGACCTGTTCCCGACCACGAAATTGCCCACATGATGATTGCGCTGCTCATGGCCGGCCAACACTCGTCCTCGTCAACCAGCGCCTGGATCATGCTGCGCCTGGCCTCGAGGCCTGACATCATGGAGATGCTCTACCGGGAGCAGGTCGAGGCCCTCGGCGCCGACCTGCCGCCGCTGACCTATGAGGATCTTGCCAAGCTCCCCCTGAACCAGGCCATCATCAAGGAGACTCTCCGTCTTCACGCTCCTATCCACTCGATCATGCGCGCCGTCAAGCAGCCGATGCCCGTCCCTGGCACCAAATATGTCGTCCCCACCAACCACATCCTCCTGTCCGCCCCGGGTGTGACCGCCAGCGACGAGCAGTACTTCCCTGAGCCTGACCTGTGGGATCCTCGCCGCTGGGACAAGGAGTCGCCTCTTGCCCCGACTATTGTGCGCAACGAGATCATCGAGGACGATGAGAAGATCGACTACGGCTACGGACTGGTGAGCAAGGGCTCGACCTCGCCATACCTGCCTTTTGGTGCCGGCAGGCATCGTTGCATTGGCGAGCACTTTGCCAATGCCCAGCTGCAAGTCATTACCGCTGAGATTGTACGGCAGTTCAAGTTTAGCAACGTCGACGGCAGCAACTCTGTCATCGGCACCGACTATGCTTCGCTCTTCTCTCGTCCTCTGTCACCTGCCAACATCCGCTGGGAGAAGAGGTGAACAACAGGTCTGGCGGGACGATGAAGAGACGGACGTGAAAGAAAACATAATTCTTCTGTACATATTCATGCCGCGTCGTCGCGACGGCACAGCCACAGCGGGCGAAAGCGACCCGAGGAAGAAAGCGGCTGCAGCGGCCTGGTTAGATCTGCTTTGAGCGCGTGATAGAAATAATATTTAATCGACGAATTACGTTCATATCAGAGAGGCGTTCACCTTCGCAACTTGACGATGCATGCCGGTGTGTGTGTGGCTGTCTGGATCTGCGCCTGAGTGTCAGTTGGGTGTTGCAGGCCGATCAGGGACACTGCCCTTCCAAGTTAATTGGCAGCGGCATGAATGACGCAGCCATCCCGGCAAGCGCTGAAACAGGGATGCAGAGCTGGCAGCCCTTCCCTGCAGCCAGCTCGGACAGCGGCGAGGAGTAGACATTTTGATCCGGGAGATTAAGGCTTCTGCGGAGGCGGAGCTGAAGCAGACTTACGGAGTACTTGCACAGGGCGCACGCGTCTGTAGGCGACATCCACAGATGCCAACAAGAGGTTGCGTAGACACCATCCATGTTCCTCATCATCGTGTCGCTTCGCCTCGCCTCACCACTGCAGCCGATTGACCCGGAACAGCGGGCGCCTGGACTTACACCTACACCAGATCAGACACGTCTGTAAGAGCTCCAGCTAGCGCCAAGACCATCCATATGAACCGCTATCCCTCGCCAGGTTCATCTTCTCTCTCTCTTCTCTGCATCGCTACATAACTTATTTGGCCTCGTCTACGACACCTCAAGAATAAAAATTTGTTGAGGATCTCGAGGCATCGTTTGCCGTTTGAGATTGTAGATCGCTCTCTCTCTCTCTCTCTCTCTCTCTTTCTACCCAATTGCTGTGTTCGAAGACACAAGCCGCTGCCAAGAAGCGCACTACGAAACCAGCCAGCCGCTATCATGACCGAACGAATCGGGCCTATGCTGCGGCTCTGGGGCCTGCAGACCGACCAGCTGCCCAAGCCAGACGCCTCACCGGCCGAGCTGGCACCGTTCCTCATCTCCCTCCTGCAGGAAGCCGTGCCCTTCATCGACGCCGTGGCGCCCAAGTCCGGGTCGCCGGCCTCCGCCGGTGCCAAGCCCGCCGCCGCCGCCGCCTCCGTGTGGAAGCCCAAGGGCCGCAAGACGTACCGCGACTCGGACGCCCCCGTCGACCTCTACGAGCGCGTCATCCCCGTCACCCGGCTGCAGGTCACGGCCACGCGCAACGAGAAGGCGCCCGGCACGGCGCCCCGCGCCACCAAGCCCGAGACGTGGGTGTGCCGGCGGTCGGTGCACCGCGACGCCGCGGCCGCGGGCACGGCCTCGTGGGCCGAGTTCCGCGCGCGCCTCAAGGACCGCCACGCCGAGTCCGAGGACGCCTTCACGCCCACCGTCGTCGGCGCCCGCGAGGCCATGGTCTGGCGCTCCGGCTGCGCCGGCGTCGAGGCCGCCCTCGCCGACGAGGCCCGCGGCGGGCAGCAGCAGGCCTGGGGCGACTTCACCCTCAAGGTGGAGGAAATGCGCCACCGCATCGGCCGCCCCTTGCTCAAGGACCGCACCTTCCCCGTCCTGCAGATGACCTGCGCCGCCGTGCGCCCGCCCCGCGACGAGTTCCTCGTCGTCAGCGTCACCCTCGACCCGGGCTTCCGCGGCGCGCCCCAGGCCCAGCTCAGCCGGGACAAGGGCACCGTCATCGCCGCGTACGTGAGCGTCGAGCGCATCCGGCGGATGGATAGCGCCGGCGGCGACGAGATCGAGTGGCTGATGGCGACGGCCAGCGACGCCCGCGGCGTCCTGCCGCAGTGGCTGCAGGTTCTCGCCGTCCCGGGCCAGATCGCAAAGGACGTGCCCCTCTTCCTCGGCTGGATGGCGCGCGAGCGCCGCGGCGAGGCGCACCCTCCCGCGGCCGAGCTCGCCACAGAGGCTTCCACCACCAGAAGCAGCGGCGCGGAGTCTCGCGGCGAGGGTGGCGCCCGGGTCCGCGGTCAAAACGGGCAACCTCATGAGACCTCGACGGCGGCGGCAGGCGCTGGACCCGGTGAAGCCAGGACTGGGATGATATAACGAGGAGAAAGTCCCACCATTTTTGGGCACGATGAAGCAGACCATCTTGTAATTGTTTGCGAGCATCCTACCTTTTGAACGCTGGCGACCTACTCGTAGACAGTTGTTCCGCGAAGATGAAGTTGCGACTCGCGAGGATGTCAGTGAACACTGATTTGAACCGAGAAAAGGACAGTCCCAGAAAGAAATCAGATGGATATATCACTTTGGGCTAAGTAGCGGATTAAGCCTTTCTTTACACCCTCTCTTGAATTGTATGTAGTCAGTATTCGTACCCTCTTTCATTCATGTACCATAGCGAGCATGACCATTCGACGCACACATGTATGATACTTTTTGAATTGGTTGTATTTTTCCATAACAAACGAAACTCGTCCAATGCTGTCGACTTGAAATACACCTCCCATGTACACAGATTCGCCTATGGAGCCTTAAAAGTTACAGACACCCGCACGCTGTAAAAAGCCGGGACAAGTGTGGCTAATTCCTCCCGCCGCTCACAGACACCAAGCGCAGAGTATCGCACAGCCTCCCTCCTCATCCACTTCGGCTTCATTGCATCCCCGCTTTCCAGACGTCCGTTATCTATATGGTATGATTCGCTGAAGCACCTCTCTTTTAGTACACGCGCTTGAAGGGGGGGACAGCCTTGCACTCGTTCTCGTCCAGGGTGTGGCCAATAACCCTCCTGTACGAGAGATCGACCTTGCCGTGAGGCTTCTTCTGCCAGCTCAGAGTGTGCTTCATCCAGTTCTCGTCGTCACGGTCGGGATAATCCTCTCTTGCGTGGGCACCGCGAGACTCCTTCCGGGTGGCGGCAGCGGTGGCGGTTTGGGTACTGGTGGCAAGCAATCAGCATTGATGGCATACAGATAGAAAAATTTGTCAACTTACGCGCAGGTCAGCAGATTCCTCAGCTCCAGAGTCTCAACGAGGTCGGAGTTCCAGATCATGCTACGGTCCTTGATACCGACCTGGGAGAAGGTACCATCGACCTCGGCGATCTTGCGGACACCCTCGTCCAAGCTCTCCTGGGTCCTGAAGACGCTGACATCGGTCTGCATGGTCTTCTGCATGGCAAGACGGATCTCTGCGGTGCTCTTGGGGCCGTCAGATGTCCTGATCTGATCGAGCACCTCGATAGAATCAGCACCGGCATCAGCACTGACGGGCTTCTGCTTCTGGCCGGGGGTGAAGTTGTCGCGGATGGTGTGGGAAACGGCACGGCCGAAGACAACGAGATCAAGCAGCGAGTTGGCTCCGAGACGGTTGGCACCGTGGACAGACACGCAGGCAGCCTCACCGCAAGCGAACAGACCAGGAACCACCTTGTCGTTGCCGCTCTCATCGACGGTCAGGACTTCACCGGTGTACTTGGTGGGGATACCACCCATGTTGTAGTGGACAGTGGGCAGGACAGGGATGGGCTGCTTGGTGACATCAACGCCAGCAAAAATACCGGCAGTCTCAGAGATACCAGGCAGACGCTCGTGCAGAATCTCGGCGGGAAGATGGCTCAGCTGCAAATAGATATGGTCCTTGTCGGGACCAACGCCACGACCGTCACGGATCTCCATGGTCATGGACCGAGAGACGACATCACGACTGGCCAGATCCTTGGCAGTAGGAGCGTAACGCTCCATGAACCGCTCACCCTCGGAGTTGAGCAGGTAACCACCCTCACCGCGAGCACCCTCGGTGATCAGGCAGCCGGCTCCGTAGATACCGGTGGGGTGGAACTGAACGAACTCGAGATCCTGGTTGGGAAGACCAGCACGAGCGACCATAGCCATTCCGTCACCAGTGCAGGTATGGGCCGAAGTGCAGCTGAAGTAGGCACGGCCGTAACCGCCAGTAGCCAGGACGGTGTTGGTCGAGAGGAAACGGTGCAGGGTACCGTCCTCCTGGTTGTAAGCCAGAACACCACGGCACTCGCCATCCTCCATGATCAGGTCGAGGGCGAAGTACTCGATGAAGTAGTTCGTGTTGTGCCTGAGGGATTGGCCGTAGAGGGTGTGCAGGAGGGCGTGGCCGGTTCGATCAGCGGCGGCACAGCACCGGTACGCCTGACCACCCTTACCGAACTTTTGCGACTGGCCGCCAAATGCTCGCTGGTAACTGTGTTGAGAGTAACGTTAGCGGGCGTGTCATGGCGTGGCTTGGAGCATAATTGTCCACCTACATCTTGCCGTCCTCTGTTCTGGAGAAGGGGCAGCCGTAATTCTCGAGCTCGACAATCGAAGCCGGAGCCTCGCGGGTCATATAGTGAATGGCATCCTGATCACCGAGCCAGTCGGAGCCCTTGACGGTATCGTACATATGCCATCTCCAGTCGTCCTCGTGCATGTTTCCGAGGGCAGCATTGATACCACCCTGTGCGGCGACAGTGTGACTTCGGGTAGGGAACAGCTTGGAGATGCAGGCGGTGTTGAACCCGGCCTCGGCCAGACCGAAGGCGGCACGAAGACCCGAACCACCCGCTCCGACTACAACGGCATCGTACTCGTGATCCTGGTGGGCGGACGCAAGTCAGCTCATTGATTCCTCGATCCCGAGCACAAGTCGCAAGGATTTTGTAAGAATGACTCGCAAGAAAGAGGGTACTCACAATGACGGGGTACTTTGTGCTGACAAAAGGAGATGCCTCCTTCGCTCGCAGAGGCGCGTTGGCAATGATCCGGGCTGTTTGTTTGAGAACATCCTTGTCAGTGGCTATTCCGAAGAGCAAACATGTGATGCGCGAGCATGCTTGGGCTGGGGGACGAACCGGCAGGGCGGGTGGTAGAGAAAGTCCTCGCTTGACTTCTCGAGACGCGAGAGAGCTGTGGAATGGTATTGTGTTAGCACACGAGCTGCTCCTGAGCAATTGACATTCGTTCTCTGCAGCAGCAGCATCGGGGATGTCGGGGAAAAACACGTACTGATGGTGCCGAAGCAAGCCTTCTCCAGGCCATTGAGGATGCCATTGTGGGTGATGGCGCGATTGACTCGGCTGTGTCGCTGGTATGACCACGAGAAGGCTGTGATTGAAGGTCAGGGTCTCCGGGTCTTCTTGTCCTGCAAGACACTTCACAAAGGGAGAGCGATGGTAAGGGTGGATGATGATTCCTAGACTTGGAGATGCTTCCGTACAGAACTCGAGCGCCATCGTGCACGGGCCACAAATCGGGTCGGTACACCTCGGCTAATCAGTAATTGTGTCGTCGGGATTGGTCCGTTGTTGCGTCCTTCCGACCTGACTAAGCCAGACATGTTTACTCGTGGGGACCTGGTGATGGACCATATAATAAAGATGTGCTGTGCCATGTTAGCCCAGTGTTACCAGTGGATTTCTCCGGATGAACTTCCGTCAACCATTCTGATCATTGCTTCTTGGTACTTCGGGCGTTAGGTACCTTCTACGTCTAAGTGATAAGAGGCTACAAAGTTTCCCCATGTTCAATAAATGACGATACAGCGAGCATGTGCAAACCGTTCTGAGGTCAACTTCTGTTCTCATCATTTCAAGCCTCACCCAAAATGTGTGCAACTCTTCTTCGCTCCGGGCCACCGGGGTTCTCATAATAAATCAATTGGTGATGGTGAATGCATGCATTTTTCTTACTGGTCTGCTTGAAAGCAGTGCAGTATCTACCTAATACCCTGGCCGACACACACAACCTGCTGTTTTGATGCGCTAATCACAAAGAATATTCTATTTAACATCTCTACATCCTCCCATTTACCCATTTACTCCAAAGCCACTCGATGCTATATCAGGGGCTATATACGCAGAGCCAGCCTGGCCAAGGCTGGCAGTATGCAGGCGGGCAGTTCCCTGACTCCAATCACGAGCCTACTCAGCCAGTACCATCCGAAGCATGATCAAGAAATTCTCCTTGAGTTTGTGAACCTCTGTGATGCTCGGCTTGACCGGCTCGCCCGCTGTTCTACGCAATCGATCCTGCTGCTTTGCCCTCCTGCGCCTTTCAGCCTCGATGGGATCAAGCTCGTCCTCTTCCTCCTCATCTGCCTCCTCTTCCGAGTCGTCGTCAAAAGCCATGTCCTCGAGATCAACCTCATTGAGCCCAAAGTCGCTCGACTTGAACCCAACGGGCACCGTCGTCAAGCCGTCACCACTCTCAGCTGCCATCTTCTGTCGCGTCTTGTCATGATGCCACTTTTTCCGTGCTTCTTGCCAGGCAATCAGCTCGTTCACTTCCGCGATGGCCTTCGCCTTATCTAGAGTTCCACTGCTCGTGGCGCCCTCGAACAAAGCGTTGATGTCAAGCGTGCCGCTCTTCGGACCGTGTCGTAGGAAGTCCAGGATGCTCTCAATCCAGCCCATCAGCTGCGCGAACAACCCGTTGTCATGAGTGTGAACCTCGTGGACGAATTTATAGAAGTTGTGTTCGTGGCGTTGGCAAAGATCGATGAAAGCCTGCACAGTCTGATTCGGATCTGCCGACGCATCTTCTTCTCGGCACTTATCGACAACCTGGTAATCGAAGTTAGGGTTTTTCATCGCATCTTGAATTTGATAGGTAGCATCAGAGCTGTAGCTTGATCACACGTACTTGTATCATGTCGTCAAAGAACACAGCGAAATCGGTGACGCTGCTGTAGACGTTGGCCGATTTGTAGACTCGTACCAGTGGTTCGTAGAAGATGGTGAAGAGATCCCTGAACAACTGCAATGTAACCGGTTCTTCGATCAGATTCAGCATCATGAGTTTATCGCGCTGCCTCAAGTAGAGCTTCATCAGCTGCTTCAGGTACGAGAACAGCTGTGCTCCTTGCTTCAACTCTTCGTCCACATTCTCCACGGCACTGTTGAAGGCCACGTAGGCGTTGTACAGCCTTCCGATCTGCTCTGGGCTCAAAGGCGGCTCAATGAGGTCCGATCGGAGAATAGCAACAATAATATCGATATCCTCGCTCTCGGCTTCCTCCCGCATAGCAATTTTGATGTGCTCCTCACATTCGGTGTACAGCTTGAGCTTTTCAACGAACACGGGATCACCAATCTTCACTGCCAGCGCATCAATGGACTTCTGAAAGCTCCGAATCCCGTCGTTGAGCGTGACCGAGAAAATCCGCTGCATAAGGGATCGGGCACCGAAGGGCTGTGCCAGAAAGATGTCCAGAATCCCGGACATGACAGCTGCAGGGTTCGCTACCCTGATGACGTTCTTGATGAGCGTGTAAGGGATGAGCGAGTGTATTCTCCGGGCTTGGGCAAACAGTTCGGGCGAGTTGTCCTCGGCCAGGAACAGGTGGTAAATCGTCGCTGCGACTTCGATTCGGAGCCACTCTGCGAACTTTTGATACTGTAGACTCAGATCTTGTATCGTGTTCTTCTCCTTGATCTCCTTGAACAACATCGTCAAGCCGTTGTGCTCTACAATATCTTGGCGGAACCTGTCGAGGGATTAGCTTGCTTCTCCTAATCCGGACGATCTCAGCACATACTGCTCCATGTAGACATCGAGCTCCGCAGCTCGCTTGCGGGCAATCTCGTAAAATTTCTTCTGCTCCTCCATACGTTTCTCGTCGACTGCCTTCCGGCGGACGATATCTTCCACATCCTCATCCTTGGGCGTTAGTGGATCCCGGGTGAGGAAGTCCTGGATAGCCTTGGTTCGGGCAATTTGGGGATTGTGCAAGAGCGTTCGCAAGAACGCTCGAAGCGAGATTCTCTGGTTCTCACGCCACAAGATGATGTTCTACACGTACATGAGCACTCTGACCTGCAAGTTGCTGTTTGACTCAAAGGGTCAGTTACTCACCTCATCGCTACTACCGTCATTCTTGACACCGCTCAAGGGTGTTGGCGCTCGTGAGTCAGTCGACGGTCGTGGTGATGCTCTATTTGACGTAGTAGACCCGGCTCTCCTGTGTTCTGCTGGCCATCAATACTGGAAATTTTGCCATGCATTGTCCCTGCACTTACCTCTTACTGAAAGCGTCTTCATAGACTCGCCTAGAGCATTCCCATTGCCTGGTAGAACGACTTGTGTGGAGACAGAGGAGATAGATGAAGCATCAGAGTCGTTGCCACCCATGAAACCGCTCAACATACTAGGAGCTGTTGTGTTGGTCTTGTTCTTCTTGGGGAGTGGTGGAAGTACTTTGCCAGGCAATTCGGTGCGTAAAGCTTTGTGCAAGCGGCTGAAGTCACCGTACCGCCGGCCGACGAAGAATTCGAGCTCTCCTTTTCTTTTCACTCGCAAGATGAATTCCTTGTGAGGCGTTTAGCGGTGGATGCAAGGGGGGATCTTCAGCAGGAGAGCCAGCTTACAGCATGTTTGTGAGATCGAATGGTCCTTTTGATGGACGTTATCCGTACTCCAGCCACGTTCACATCCCAGCTGTTGATATAGTTCCCTTCAGGCAACGTGGAGAGCACACCAGTCTCGATAGCATCTCGGTCGACGATTTCCATCTCGGTGAACCTTATTCGTTCCTCGAAACCAGAAGACGTGCGGACACCGGACACCATCATCAACTCCGTGAGTTTCTGTGCTTTCAATGCCAATTTCCTTCGCTTCGTCTCTTCTAGCCTATCTTCCGAGGACGAGATATTCTTGCTCGCAAAGGACTCCAGGAACTAAAGCAAGCATACGACAAGTAGTTAGCAACCATTCCATGGCAAGGGAAGCTCGGTCAAAGCTTAGAAAGTCGACATACTGTCTGCAGCTTGTCCTGCCAGAACTCCTTCTCCTTCGCCTTGTCGAGAAAGGGAAATTCGCGGACATGGTGCACAAAGATGTATCGAAGGATTGGAAGCTCCGAATCAAGCGGCGACACCTCGCCAAAGTCCGACTTGAAGGGCGCGCCGAATCTGCGAAGGGCAGTAGGCGAGTTGAGCTCCGCAATTTCCCACCTCACTTGCTCCGCGATGAGCTCGCGCTTGAGGTCTGGAGTCCCAGTATCTGATTAGCCACTGCATTGCATGATGTATGGATAGAAGAGGAAGGTAAACACACAATGCTCTTGTTTCCCTGTAAGTGTCTGCGTTGGTGGTGCGGCCGAGCTGTCAAGGCCTTGTTGGCGGGGTCCTCGCTCAGCGTTGGTGACGTCTTCGGCGGCTCCCACTGCTGTGCCATCGGGGTTGCCCTTGGCTGTATTTAGCGCATCTCGAGACATGTCGAATCGAGAGTCGTGAAAGATTGGTATCTAACAGTATGCTCAACAACGACGGAACTGCAAAAAACAACCAAAGGGAGAAGAAATGACAGAGAACAGAAAATCGCGACCAGCTCGCAAAGCAAGGAACACTGGCTACTTTAGGTAGGTAAGGCCAAAAAGTAGGTACTAAGGTAGTGGAGGTTGGAGGTGATGACGAGCGGAAGTACGGCCGGCGGCACTACTTAGACGCCCTCCTAGTGGATGGCGCGTAAACTTCCAACCTGGAAATTGGTGGGTATGTGATTTCTAGGCGCTGCATGGTGATGCGCCAGGGAGATGCGCCAGGGACTCACGAGGGCAGAGCTAAGCCCCAGGTCTCCGTAATACTGCGCGGGCTCGCCGAGAAATTACGGCGACAGTCATTCTCGTGGTCAACGACGATCTAATTACTGAGGTAGGTAGCTATGCTGTACGTTTGTCTTGAAATAAAGGTGACGAGAACAGACTACCTTGGCAGCTACCTACGAGTAGGTAATGAGTGATATAGCGATCACCGAAATCATCCACGGGATCCGTGGGCATGCTCCGGTTGACAGCACTTTGCTCAACACAAACTCAGCAGGTCATTCAGATTAGATTAGGTCTAGTACTCCGTAAGTATCGCAGTGCAATCCTCGCTCCTTCGAGCTGAACAAGAAGTTACATCATACCGCGCGGTGTGACGCGTCCCCGACCTTTTATCAGCTCGGATCTCACATGCCTGAATGGGACATCTGGGACCACGGCGTCAAGTCTGAGTGATCAACAGGAACGACCAACCGATGATCCCTCCTTGCACAGGCCACAATCCAAATGGAACGCTTTGGTAGCTTGACCAGGCGGTACTGGAAGACGACAAGATTGCTGAAGACCTAGCAATTTACTCACCTCGTAGCAGCGTGGCCATCAAGGTTGAACGGGTGGGAGGTGTCTGCATAACGTAACGATGCGAGCTTTCAAGCCGTTTAATCATGCTAGTACGGGGGGATATAATCTAGAGTTCATCAAAGACGTGCATCCAACGACCATTGCTCTGCGTTGATGCATTCGTCTTGCCAAGTAGTCTATCGAGTCGTTCACTCACATCGCCAGAATTTCGATTGCTCTCTGTCATTTCTCTGCCCATGTCGCGAAGCTTCGAAATGCTTTGGTTTGTGAAGCGAACGGTCGCTGTGTCGAGTCCACCCGGTATGTACTGGGCGCTGACAAGGAGAGCGATCAAGAGACATATCAGGACGGACATGACAAGCCAGATCATCCTGAGCCTCTTGCGCGTCCTCTCTTGCCACTCCCTGTCGGCTCTCTCCCAGCCTTCCACCCGCTCGCGGACTACATCAACCCTTTCGCTCAGCCGCTGAATCTTCTCGCGGCCATCGTGAATTCGACTCTGCAACATCTGTATCCTCTTTTCTTGTTCGTCAAAGTTTCCAAATGCATCAAGTTGTGACTCCACATCCTTAACCAACTCTTCGGCATCGTCATCGAAACTTGCGTTCAGCTCTTGAGACATTGCAGCAAGCTCTTTCATGGCCATCACCGTACCCTGCAGAGCACCAAGTTTCTCGAGCACCGAATAGTAAGTATCATCGAGACGGCGTGTTGTCAGGGTGGAGAAAGCATTAAGCTCTACCAAAGCTTGCTTCAATCCACTGTAGTCGTTGTCAGTTTTGCTGCTGAGCATAGTCCGTTCGCAGGAGCAGGACTTCCAGCACATACCTAGTCCTCTCCGCCGTCCTTTCTTTTTCCATCCTCAATTCATCCTCCATATTCCTCTGTTGTGATAACTGCGTTACTTCGGAAGCCGTTAGGAGGCTTGCCCTCCTGCTCGGATTGGGAGTGATACTGGGTGTCGCCGTGTCGGCTCTCGGATTGTCAAGAGATGATCGAGTATGGAGCGCTGGTGCCGCCGAATGGGGGACAGAAAGTTTGTCGTCGCGAAGTTTCTGCCCATTCTGCTGGTGCTGGTGATTATGTCGATGTAATCGAATGGGTGATGAAAGTGACGAGAGTTCCGTGATTGAACGGGTTATCTGATGGCGCGGTCGAGTATGGGACGCATACTTGGAGCTTTCTCCCGCATTATTAGGCATTGCAAAGCGCGCAAGCCACCTGAGCCAACGCTCAGCGCACTGGAGTGTAGGTAGTACTCTGGAACTCCAAGATGAGGATGGAAAGGCGCTCTCTCCAAGTACCAGTACGGAATCAAGGCTGAGGAAGCTAAACCCTGCCGCCGTTGAACCTTACGTAGTAGTGGGGCGGAGCACCACGTGCACGTCAGGCCTTTCACATGCTTCAGCTTGAAGTGTCCACGGATGCTGTGCTATCCTCGCAAATGGTAGTCAGATTAGTTGACGGACTGCTAGCAGCAAAAGTCCTTGACTATCCATAGTCCATCAATCCCATCGGTTTCAGGTAGTGGGATAGCCCTTCCGAGTCCCAGGGCAAGGATATGACAAGTATATTGGTTGTTACCATCGAGGTAGCTCCTGATGAACTTCCATCAATCAACTATTCTGACGCCCGCTTGCCTCGATACCGGTAAATCGTTCTAGAGCCAGCATTATCAACATATTTCCTCTCGTGTGATGTACACATGTTGAAACTTCAAGTAAGAATGTCAATTCTTGTACTGCCGATGTTGTTTATTGGAAGTGTCTGCCTTGGAGAGATGGCTATTTGTTCTTTTCAAGCACACTCCCGTCCCCCACTCCATAAGTATGCCATAATGCTGCCACCCAACAACACACAATCTTTCAGAAAAACCGAAAGGACAGGTTCTGCGGGGAGAGGGGAACGCGAGATGACCTTCGGGCGGGATTTGAGCCCTTCACAGCCGGAAGAGCCCTGTGCACTGCGATACGGAGGCTCTGATGCCCGTATGATGCTAGTATCGAGAAGTGCCAGAGCTGAGGAGCGAGGTTTCTCTCTGAGTACCTAAGACGGTGGGTGAACGCCCACGACGAACACCTGGAGCACTAGAAATGCCACCGAGGTGTGTTCCCATGCATCCTGTTTCGCCTACTCAAGAGTTGAGCGCTTTGTTCCTCTTCTCTTTGCGTTTGAGGCGCTCAACCCGCTTCTTATGCATCTTCTCTGCCATTTTTTCGTACCGCTCCTTCTCTTCCTTGGCCGCCCGCCTGTCACGGATCGTTTGTATCCGTCTCTGCAGTCAATCATTAGCAGAGCCAAGAGGTACACGGAACGGTGCGACAAACCTGGCGCTCTGCTTCTTTCTCGTCCTTCAGTTCCTTCTCCTTCGCCTTCATTGCAGCGGTAGCTAACCGCTCTTTCGCTCGTTTCTCGTAGGACGTCAGACCCGACCCCGGACGGAAGGCCTTTTTTGGCGGATGCCATTGTTTGCCTGCCCTATTTGTCAGCCTCTGCGAAACAGTCTGTGGTGAAGTAATGCCGGAAAAACCAACCATTTCTCCTCATTCCAAGAGCCTTGGTGGATGTGGAAGCAACCGCAGCGGTCGATGATGACGTCTCAGAGATGGTGTTGGACATTATGGGTCTGTCCTATCAGTCATCAAACCAGAGATGCTATGTCTAGTCTGTGAAGTGATCGAGCGTGCGTAATACACTGACGCTCAGCGTAGACTCTAGATCACTGATTGTCGGCGGAGAGTTTTTGGAACATTTCGGTGGGGCTATTATTTTGCCTCACTTGACCGCCTCGTCGGCTGATAAGATAGTGCATGCATCTCTGGAGAGAAATTAACTGTCTTGTCTTCTGCTCGAGGTTAGAAATAGGTATCCTTGAACCAGATTTTATCTGCCGAGGTATCTCATAAAGATCGATCATGCTGGTAAGTATTGTACTTTAGGTAGCTCTTGGGGTTGTCAGAACTCGATCCTGCGACTACAGTACGTACACTTCCAAAGTTGAACACTGAATCAAGTTTCATTACTCTCCAAACATGTCCTCTTCCACCTACCTACCTTAGGTTCTTGCCAGTAGGTGCTTAAGCAGGCATTCAAGCAAGTACAAAGGCTGGAGTGTAAAATCTTTATTTCCATAAACTGGGGCAGATCCCACTCTTCGCAAGGGTGAGCCTTTCTGACCACGGCAAGGCCGGGCGTCATGTCGCGAGTGCCAAGCGCTGAACCCGGGTCGCCTTGGCTTATTTTCAGGGTCCGACTCCAGCATTGTCGATCCAAATTCCCACAGTAAGTTGATCAACCTGGCAAACTACTTCGTAGGCAACAAACTGAACAATTCAAGTACAGCGCCGTCACTTTGACATCTACAAAAAGGCAACAGAATACCTATATTGCTAGCTAGTCAGGCTTTGTGTATATTTCGAGTTCCATCTGAAGTAGATTCTCGCCATTAGAGGCAGCTACTGTTCGACGGGGAAAGCTGAGTGTAATTAGTGGGAAATGAGACGCTGAGATGAGATTGCGAGTCTACGCACACTCCGCCTTGAGGTCCCATAAAGTCAGGTATTATCATTATCGGGCCCAGCTAAAAGCAAGGTCTAAGAGATATTCTTAGATCGCTGAATCTCCACTGCCTCGGATCAATCTCTTGAGAATGACGTGTACAGAATCAGACAAACAGGGCAGGTAGCCATGTGCGACAAGAGTCCGGTGCAGAAACCATCTTCAACGATAATAAGATATGTCTCGATTCCTCGACTATTGCAAGTACACTATCCGCTCTAGCAAGGCTAGGAAGTAGACCTTGCTTGCACAGATAACATGAAGCAACTAAGAAAGGAGGCACTAATCTTCATGACAGGTAGCCGGCCATATTAATCGACTGCTACCCTCTGGAGGAGGGAGGATACGAACTCAGAAATGTCCCAACTTACTTGCCTACGTACTCCGTAGATCTACGTAGCCCAAAGCTCACGAGAGCAGGCCTTGATGTGGACCCTTGGACAACCTACGGTAACTTACAGAGAGGAGTGTTGACCGATAAGGCTGGCTCCAATGTCTGTTTCCAGCAATCTTGTTCACATGTGCAGATTACCTCGGTGGGTATGTACACATCCATCTTTGTGCAACAAAAAAGTCGCAAACCTCTAGGCTCTCAGTCCTTTTTACAGCACTCGTAGTAGCTGCATGGTCTTAGGTATCATGCAAGCACACGGAGTGCGCGCTGGTGTGAGGCAGTCTCTCAGGGGAGAGAGGCAATGGAACCTGGACAATGCGCGGAACCCTGCTGCTGCATCATTGCTCGATTGGGATCGCTTGGCTCAAAAGGTCAACCTGCAGAAGTGGTTCAGGGGCAGCACGCACCAGGAACCACTCTCAGCTGGCCATTCGTCCCCCGGTGCAGTCCCCAAGTGGGGGCCAAACCCGAACTGTAACCTCCGCGAATCTACTTGTACGACTATTTCGCATGCGGGTAATTGTGGTGGGGAGAACCAGATCCTCTGAGGGACGGAGCCTGGACACACTGGGAATCCGTGGCTGGTTGTGCGTATCTACTTGTAAACTCCTCAGGACGAGTTGTGGCTACTGCTGAGGCTCGAGAACAAACAATAGAAAGCCTCCAGTGCGACGAGCAGGCCAGCCTGTGCCACTGTGTTTCGACGTCAGCGACACGGCCATCAAAGTCACTCCTCAAGGCATCTAGACCAGTAATACTGTAGGCATGCATACGGAGAGTCGGCCAACCTTCATATTGCGAGAGCCATGATCTCCAGTCGCTCGCGCACGCTTGCTCGTCGTTGTGGCAAACCACGCGAGGCCGGCCTCAAGCCTGCTCTTCACTTTGTGCGCCTTATTAAGGTCTCGTGGGTCTCTATCATCGCAGTTTGAGATTCGCCTTTTTAACTCCGGAGATCTACTGACAATCCTTTCGGGAGAGAACTGAATTAAGGAAGTGGATTCGTCAAAGTCAAACAAAGAAAAGCGTTTCTGTCTTGAGCCGGCAAACCAGGTACATACCTACCGTATGGCAGGTCAAGGAATGGAGGAAGGCTCCGTCTCCCGTGCCGCATCATCCATCTACAAGTACAGACCCCCCATGTCGCCCAGGTACGGAGTAGCAGAGATGAAGCCCCTGCCCCGGTCGATAGAGCGATTCGGGCCTCCTGAATGGCTAAAGTTGAGCGCCCATCCATTAAAAGTCGCAGTAGAGCGTGCCGTGCCAATGCCACCAAATACGGCCCAGGCCCACACACACACACCACCTTTCACTTCTCCATGTCCCATTTCCCGCCCACGCCACCGACTTAGTGCTTTTTGGGCTGACGGAACAGGCGTGTGTCCATTGAGCCCAGCAATTAGACCGCATTTTCACGAACGAGATGGGACACTAGCAAACCTTGAAGTGGCTTTCACCTGAATGTCCTCTTGTTGCTTGACTCGACCGCTGCCTATTCCGTTTAGAGTGGCCCTAAGGCGTCGGACGGAGGTGCGGCTTCAGAAGAGGGCTGAATTGCTCCTCCACACCAGTCATTACGGATATGGGTCTTGACCAAACGTGTTTACCAGGAAAGGGAAAAAAAGGACAACGGGAATTGGAAGTTTATCATGGCCTTGAGAAGTCAAATCTCGTAGAGTCCAGTCAAGCAGGTGGTAACATTAGGGACCACTTGATCCAACAAACAACGCCTTGACTTCGATACCCACTCGCTGTCTCGGCCCTCGCACCTCCCTGTCCTTAGCCGGGGGTGGTCCTCAGTCTCTCCCCCCCCCACTCAATTCTGCTGGCTGCCTGCACTGCAACAACCCCCCCCCCCCCCCCCCCGAGCACATGGTCGCCCGCAGTCTCTCTAACGCTAGTAAGCTGGGACTCTGTGTGAACTTTCGTTTCTCCCTCCTGGTCTGCGCTTCTGTCCGTCCACCTCCAACAAAACATCTCCATAGCTCACCGTCCGCCCTCACCTCTCGCCTCTTCACGACGGCATTCTCTTCCACTGGGCCAATTCCAGCACGCAGATTCTAATATCTTGCGCTGGTCTTGCCCGTCCACTCCTTTTTCTTTTCGATACATTGCATCCTCTCCGTTCAAAAGCCCAGATTTCAGTCTTGATTATTCTAGCATTGCATCTTGATTTCTCCACTGCCTGCAATTCTTACGATTCCCTAGTGACGACAGATTGACTTTGAAGTAAGCAGTCTAGACTTGTGTGTTCATTTCACTTTCTTTGTCACCGCCTTGTCATTGTCGTTGCAATCGCCATCGTCAGCATTATCCTAACACCATAATCAACAGACCTCGCGGCGGCCTCGACGCCCGAACGCCACGCCCGACATCTCAGGGGGAATATAATCAAGCATTTTCAGAGCTGGCACGCACTCGATCGGTCCCTTGACGGAATACCTTCTCCTTTACCTCGATGTTGTCCTTGATATTCTAGCTGCTCGTCCAGTTCGTTGCGGCGCCACCGTGGCAGTCATGGCGACGACTGTAGCCCGCGACTTGCCTTCTCAGGCCGCAGCGGCTTGTCCTGATTTCAACCCCCCCTCGATGGCTCCCGGCTTGTCCCATGCCGATGCTCAAGACTTGAACGATGTCGAGATTGGTCAATCGACTTTCGCCCAACAGCACTCGTCGCCTCGTGCTCAGCCTCCCCCACCGAACCCTCATTTTGTCTTTCCCGCCCGACATTCGACCTCGTCAGCGCCCTCGTCCTTGTCTAGAGCGACGGGAAGAAGATCGAGATCGACTCTAGACACAGAGGATCTTGCCTTCGCCATGGCCCCCAAGCACGAAAAGCGGCCATCAAGATCAGAGGCTCTGCCCAATTTCAACTTCAACCCTGGAGCGACTATGGACGGTGCTCCTTCTCCGGAACATGCACTGCTTAGCCCTCCACAATCGCCGCAGTCACCGCATGCCATTCCGATTAGGCCATCTGGCGCAGGCCACAGGAGAGGAGGGAGCGAGTTTGTTGGCGGCAAATTACGGGCTGGAGAGTCGATCACGCTGATGAGCACAAGTCCGACGAAATCAGAGAGTGGCATGATGTCGCCGAACCTCGCCCCAGTGAAGCCCTCCGGACGCCGTGGCCATGCTCATAGACGGTCCGCAGCTATATCAAGCCATGATCTATCAATGATCCTGAAACCAAACAGCCCTTCAAGCCCAGCCCTTCGAGGGAGCAGCGCGCCTTCCAGTCCTGCCGACTTCGGTGGCCGGGCGAGTTACGCGTTCCCCGAGATACCGCCCTTGCCTACGCGGTCCGAGCCCGAGTTGAGGCAGTATTTGAGTTCAACGCAGACCGCCGCGGAGAACGCGAGTTTACGGACGGAGACGAAACCGGCAAGCGTCCCACCGACGCCATCGTCGAAACCCGCGGCCCGCGCTCGAGTTGGCTTTTCAGACACCTTGGAGTTCATTCCGAGGCCATTGTCGTTGGTCTCTAGTGATACTTCCAGCACGGTGACTGCGCGTATGGGCCATTCTGTCTCGGGTAGCATCTCATCCATAATCTCGTTGAGTAATTCGACAATTGCAGACAGGGAACCGGCGGCCTCCCATAGTCGGAACGCTTCCCGCACTACAGACTCGCGCCCAAGTACTGCTGGCGCTGTTCTTGAGCGTGTCCCTACGCTGAATGATGACGAAGTCAGCAGCACATGCCCCCGACGACGCAACTCAATACCGAATTTGGCACCCCTTGCTCTGCCGGACCTCACCAACCCACCCACCCCAAGCCCCTCGAAAACGCCGAAGCGATGGTCTTTCTTCAGCCTGGACCCTTTTGTTGGAGCTAGCTCTCCGACGCGTTTGCGTCCCATCAGTCCCAGCTCCTCGGATACGGAAGTGCAACTGCCAGAAACGACTCCACTGTCGCCTGAGCACGAACCCGTGGCCATTCAAGCAACGCGCGACCAGAACGCTTCGCCGGATAAAGCTGCGGGAAGGAAGGCGAGCAAGAAGAAGAAGAAGAAGGTTAGGACATGGGCTGGCTCCATTCTAACCCGCAAATCCAAACCCCGGCGTAAGAACCGTAGGGCGCCAACTCCGCCGCCTCCGCGAACCATGGACCTCAACGATGAGTTTGAGATCATTGACACGCCAAGCGTTCTTGTCACACCGACAGTTCTTGTCACAGATTCGCAGGGTGGTGCCACTGTGGACACCTCTTGGAGACCTCGACCGAGCGCGGAGCCAGATGACGATGCCTCGTTCCCCATGATTGATCTAGATGCAGCACTGGGGCCTTTTAACACCCCGCTACCTCGCAACGCTGAATGGGAGGCTGCTCAACGGTCTGGTGGCAGTTCACGCCGTCAAATGCATAGCGCGGCAGGCATGAGTCGCTTTACAGGCCCTGGCATGCACTATTCGCATAGACGCGCAGAGAGTGCCCCAGAGATGCCGCCCTTTAACCGAGCAGGACTTCCTCGTTTCAGCAGCAATTCAACTATGGCGGACGTTTTTGAAGAGGATGAGGAGAACGAGGTGGAGGAAGAAGAAGGTGGAGAGACCGATCTCGAAACCTCAAGCCCGGAGATGTCTCCACAACAAAATACTGAACTGGCACCGGAAGAGAAGCCTGCCAGCATCGATATCAGGGTGACCGACCAGTCAGACAAGCAGATGGACAAGGCTTCAGACTTGGTAGACGACTCTCGCTCATCCATGGGTCTCAGTCGGCGCGGCAGTAACCTTAGTGGAATCAGCGATGATGACAGGACACAACCCAGCGTTGCTCTCAAGTCCGAGTACTCCGCTAGCTCTCTCCACGAGGAGGTTATTGAAGAAGAAGCCATGGATTTCACCTTCGAGGACAGGGCCAGTGCTTGTGATATCGCGGAGTCCTCGACTTCGACAACCCCTTCGCCCCGACGTGTGCTTCGAGGCCGAGATCTGGCACCGGTGGAGATCAGCCCGCTCCATCTGCCGACACAGTCCTTGGCGCCTGTCAGCCCATACACAATGTCTCATTCGTCGGCCTTTCCATCTCCGCGTTCGCCAATATCCTATGATACGAACAGAATGTCGACGGCACCTTCATCAGTAACTGATGACAACCTCCAGTCTCTCCTTATGGGAGAACCAGGCCCAGAGGTCCGACTTTCAAGCGACATGCCATCCCTGACCAGCAGCAATTCGACCATGACCAGGGATAGTGCTTTTGTCCAGCCTCGGCCGCAGCCAGCATTTCGCGGTGAGCGGCCAGCCTCTTTCACTTCGACAGCCTTTGGTCGGCGTCGATCAAGCTTGGCTAGTCTGCACCGGCTCATTAGTACGTCTCATGGGGAGCGAAGCAAGCTTTCCATGGAAGTCTCCTTCCCTAGCGAACCAGAAAAGAAGGCAAAGGTGGTGAGCAAAACGAAACGTCTCAGCCGTATGATGCAGTTTTGGAAGGCCAAGGAGAACTCAGCCCCTTGAGAAATTCCACATTGGCTGGTCGCTGGCCACTGTCTTATGGCCGTCCGTATGCACTCGTTTTGGAGTCGTTCGAAGGATACTTGGTGTTGATCAACATTTGCGGAAATGTGTGGCTGAAGCCGCCACGCACTGTTCCACCGAACATCTGTATGACCCTCGGAGTATCGCGACGAGTTGACGATCAGATGCACATCTCTTGTCGGCTAGTCACTACGACTGTCTCATCTTGCTTAGGCATGTTTGATGCTGTGACGCAGATGCAGGCAGAGTACGTGGCTGAAGATATGATCAACCCACTACCTCCTCCATTTTGCACTGGCTTTACTGTTCCGGTTGGGTGTCGAGCTTTCGACGGGATTGAATCGGTATTGATGATGGCAATGAACATATACTTACACGCTGACACTCAATGGTTTACGGGGCATCTTGCCCTAGTATGCCGAGTAAGCCGGCGGCACGATGGAAAGACATTTTCTTTGCATTTTGATGATGATTACTTGTAACTACTTTCTTTCACGGATGAACATAATTTTCCTACAGGGCTGTGTCATGGAAGGTCTTCCTCGATGACTGGAAGGCCGCCAAAGCTGTCTCTAAATTACATTAGACGAGGTCTATGGAAACCCATAAAAAATACAATCTCAATAGACTCTTCAGTAGTACAGTCTTCGAACCTTGTTTGCTGTGGTTGATCATGCCTACCTTCTTGAGTGTCCTTTACAAGGAGTCAAGTGGGTGTCTGAATAGTTGACGGAAGTTCATCAGGAGCTACCTCGATCTTAACAATCAATATCCTTGTCACATCCTTGCCCTAGAACTCAGAAGGGCTATCCCACTACCTAAATCCGATGGGCTTGATGGATAGTCAAGTACTTCTGTTAGCAGTCCGTCAACTAATCTGACCATCACTTGGGAGTGTAGAGTCCAAGGGAAGGAAGATGGTGTGGAATACGCTAGTTCGGGGGTCTTCCCAGCCTACCGAGGTATCGAATCATTGGCTCGACTCAGCTCGCCTCTGTGCCTTTCAGTTCTCCAGCTCTCCAGCTCACAAACCTCCAACGCCAGTGATTGCCTGGGGTACGGACACTTGTAATCACGTTCTGGGATCGAACAGCTCGATCATGTCTAATATATGATCCCTAAGCGAGAACACCTCAGTTTTGGCTTCTGTGGACTCGGTCGTCGAGACCTATACTAGCATCCACGACAGACAACATGGCCTCGGCGCGCAGTGCAACCAAGCGTCTGATCAAGGAGCTCGACACGTGGAATACTGAGAAAGTCGAAGAGAAGGGTATCGAGCGCCTAGGTCCGGTCAGCGAAGGCGAGCTCTTGACTTGGGAGGCGGTTGTCAACGGGAAGGACATTGGATCCGGATACGACGGTGCGTCTCCTACCGCAGCATGACCTGGGGCGAGCCGTTCTTTATGTTCGCCTCCTGTTTCATTCTTGCGAGCCAAAGAACGGGTTCGCGTGCACGCACGATGTGTCTTTACTAACAGCTTGTCTCTCCGCTCTCCAGATGGCCGTTGGCTCCTCAGCATAGTCATCCCGCCGACCTACCCCCTCCAGCCGCCGCAGATCCGCTTCGTCACCCCCGTCGTGCACGCCAACGTCGCGCCCACGACCGGCGAGATATGCCTCGACCTGCTCAAGGACGCCTGGACCCCCGCGTACAGCATCCTCGAATGCGTCCGCGCCGTGCGCATGCTGCTCAGCTGCCCCGAGACCGACAGCCCGCTCAACGTCGACGTCGCTGCCCTGCTGCGCGGCGGCGATGTCGTGGGCACGCGGAGGCTGGTGGAGTTTGCCTGCCAGGACGACCGGTACGACGGCGAGTAAGGGTCAGGATATCACCGTGCTGCCTTGGAACCGGGTTGCACTATCACCGGGTACGGATTTTCGACCAGATGGTACAATATGGTGTCACTTGCGCCACAACAACTGAAAGTCGGGGTTCCATACCATACGTCACACCGCGCGCTGTTCTGAATTTTCTCGGACTTGGACAGATGAGGCATGATAGATACCACATGTTTGCGAGCTTGTTCTTGTACTTGAACTGCATCATTGCATCATTCATACCATAGACAGATAGAAACATGATTTTGTTATTCCATCGCGATTCACGCGGATGCTTGGTATGCCCTCGTTATACATTCGAGTCAATGCGCCCCGTGAGACCTAGGCTGTGTTTCCCCTGACGCCAGTCCGTATCGTACAGATAACAAGGGAGTCCAATAGCCTGGATCGAATCTATGCCCATAACGCTTCATCATTTCCCCGCCATGCTGGCCTTTAGAGCATAGCCTCTATCATCTCTTGAAAAAAAGCATTTCGGACAATGGAAATATCTTATTCGTTGTAATGGTATATCTAGTGCGACGAGGTCAGGCCACATAAGTCGCGCCAGGAGCAGTGACATGGTAGGACGTGTGACATACCTTGTAGTTTGGCAAGCCAAAGGCCTGCCAGCCTAACCTTTTCGCCATCTTGGTGAATCCTTCTGTTTCTATGAGATGGTAGAAAGCGAAAGGCGGGAACATGGCTCCGTCGCGGTGGACATCAGCCTTGACAAGCAGTGCGGTGCCACCAACACCGTCTAAAGCTACGGTCTCGTCGATGCTGGTGGTCTCCGGTTCCATATAAGCCATGAGGGCACGGTAAGTTGCCATTTCTGCGTAGCCCTCGAGAAGGATATCGTCAGGGCCCATCTTGGCCGCGAGCTCCTGGGCAGTAGGGCTGTCCTGCCAGTTGTTAAAGTCGTAAGGTCGCGCGTCCATCTGCTTGGTGTCGGTGTTGTAGTATCGCTGGTAGCAGTTGGGGACGATGATTGGCTTGTCGTGCTTGGCCAGGTCTTGGATCAGGGTGGACGGAGTCTCGATGATGTCGGAATCCAGCCAGAGGACCCAAGAAGTAGCTGGACCAAGAGTGGTGAAGAGCAACGAGTTCCTGGCCTTGGCCATAGCCGCCCGACGGACCTTTTGGTTTTGCATCTTGTGCCTTTCGCTCTCATCTTGGGAGAGAAGAGGGGGGTCGAAATCTTGACGGAGGATAACGATACTCTTGAAGCGGTCCTTCTCAGCACCATACTTTTGGGTCTTCGTTATTTGGTCCTGAAGTGCCGCCGTCGCAGCATTGCCCTCCTTGTTCTTAGGGATGATGAAGCCAATCGTGATGAGATCGTGAGGGTAGGAGAGCTTGAGCAAGTTGTTCCAGTACTCCGGGTAGAACCGAGCAAGCGGGGTGAGGATGAGGATGCTCTCTCTGTTGCCAATGGGGTCGCTCGTGATGGTCACATTGTTCAGGTTGTAGCGAGCAACTGGTGGCGGAGCTACCTTGCCATTGGATTTGGCCGGTGTTTTGCGAAAGGGAGAGGTTGGAGGCGATAGGGGGTGGGACGCGGCCTTGGGTTTCGTCGCGGAGGTCGAGGGAGACCCAGAGGGGCCGACGAGGAAGTAGACGATGAATATACACAAGGCGGCCCCCAACACAAGAGTGAGAGGGTTCGCCTTCTTGAGGCGGACTGGTCCAAGAGGTCGTGCCATGGGGTCCGGCGATATGGGGGAGGAGGGTTCGTAGAGTGTCGAGATCGACAGCGGTTCGTGGATATCACGAAGAAAAAGAGGACGAGGAGGCGCGGTTGCTCCTGAGAGTGGGCTGTCCTTAATGCATCAAGGGAGCAGGCGTGTGAGGAGCGCAATTAAAACATCGAGACGAAGGAAGAAAGCCGAATTGAAAGCCGCCAGAAGGACTCGCCCAGAAGAAGCACACAGCTGTGTGCTCTGCTGACAATCAAATGGCAACTCAAGAAGAAGAATGAAGGAAAATGGCTGCGTGGACGGGGGTCAGAATCATTATCCAGACGCCAAAATTTACTTGGGGAGGCTGCTCTTTACGAAGGAGGACACTTACCTCGTTAGCTAGCGCTTGAGGCTGCTTTGCTAGCGCGATGGCGGTATTCGATTACGGAGTATGAGCTGGCATTCGTGGACTTGAAATCGACGGAGTGATTGGATATGACCCGTGGGCCGTAACTAATTGCACAGTGATATGAGCGGTCCCTGTGCGGTCGCCCCCTTTGATCGCTGGAGGGTCCCCCTGAAACCATTCCAATAGTTGTTTTTTGGCCGTGGCCCAGTCTTATCTCACCGTACCAACCTACCTACCTACCTTATCTCTGCTTACATTAGGTACCTAACTTTAGGTACCTATCTCAGGGAAGAGGGACAGTTGAGGGACGGGTGGCACCAACTGGCAGCCGCGATATGGGCTAATGGAGCCAGGTAATGCAAGGTACCAACCAGCACGAATCGCCTTACCTAATCGAGCACCAGGTCCCACCCCAAGCTGTCAACGCGTGCTTGGAGCTGCCTACGACCAGACAAGCTTGCTTCAGCCTTGGGTCGTCACCACTCTCACCCATCGTTATCCTCATCCACCACTCATCATCACAACGACGACGATATCTCCTGGCCGTTCGATCCTCCATTCTGACTAGGCGCCTCCCAACACGGCCATCATCGCCATTCTTTTTGACGGACGACCCTCTCTCAACATTACCACCCCGGGCTCCATCACGGTAGCCACCCAAAGACAGCCACCATGGACACTCTCGTGGCTCAGTACAGCCGCCCGGCTTTCCAACGCAACGAACCCTTCTCAGATCAGGATGAGCTCGATGCCATCGATTCTGTTCCTTCTCTCTCTCTCAAGTTTGCCATGCCGCCTGTAGCACACGTAAGTCGATCTTGTCGAGGGAAGGCCGTCCGTACATGCGTGTTCGGCCTGTCTGCTCCCGCCTTGACACTGACAGAGAACTTCGCAGCCTTCATCCTGGCTTCGCGCTGCCACAGACGACCGATCCAACCCCGACTGCCCTATCAAGATTGCCCACGGAACGACTACCCTCGCCTTCCGATTCCAAGGTGGTATCATCGTCGCGACCGATTCACGTGCGACTGCAGGCAACTGGATCGCCTCTCAGACTGTCAAGAAGGTCATCGAGATCAACTCTTGTTTGCTGGGCACCATGGCTGGTGGTGCTGCCGACTGCCAGTACTGGCTTGCGTGGTTGGGCATGCAGTGCCGCCTGCACGAGCTCCGACACAAGCGTCGCATTTCAGTCGCGGCTGCCAGCAAGATCCTCGCCAACCTGGTCTACCAGTACAAGGGCATGGGACTGAGCATGGGCACCATGTGCGCTGGCGTGACCAAGGAGGAGGGGCCTGCACTGTACTACATCGATTCCGACGGCACAAGGCTGGCAGGCAACCTGTTCTGTGTCGGCTCCGGTCAGACATTCGCCTACGGTGTTCTTGATGCCGAGTACAACTATGATCTGAGCGTGGAGGATGCCCTTGAGCTGGGTCGCCGAAGCATACTTGCGGCGACGCACCGAGACGCCTATTCTGGTGGCTTCATCAACCTTTATCACGTCAAGGAGGAGGGATGGGTCAAGCACGGTTTCAGTGACACGAACCCCATCTTCTGGAAGACGAAGCTCGAGAAGGGCGAGTTCACCAACGTGACAAGCGAGCTGGACTGAGGAATTGAGATGGTGCCGAAGACGGCTTGTAATATTGGAGATTGTCAACATAGTCAGCACGGCGACATGCTTTTCAGAACATGACTCTGTAAGTTGCTGTGTAAGGTAGACTGTACCATAGCTAAATCAACCACGGGATTCAAAGTACGCTGCATCGGGTATTTCCATTCCTCTTTATCTGCTATTCTGGGTATCCTACATATTCTATATTACAATGGTTAAGACACATTCAGAAGGACTTACATAGTCTGGGCCCTTTCGTTGATGTTGATCCAGCCATCAGTGCCCAGTATTCCTCCCTCTTGCGACGTGTCTATCGGCCACTTCCGTTTGGCCAGGACTGAGAGATCGGTTCTATAGCCCGCCTCGAACATCTCCATTCCTGTCCAGGCGATCATGGCGGCGTTGTCAGTACACAGCGCCGGAGGAGGCGCGATGATATCGATCTCTCCGAAACCTCTTGCAACCAATATCGAGCGAAGCACGTGCATCAGAAAGCGATTGCTCGCCACTCCTCCCGAAACAACCAAGGTCTTCACGGCCTGCGTGACGTCGTTGTTGCTCAGGAAGAAGCACAACCTGCTAGCTAGATGCTCAAAAGCAAGCTTCATTGTCGCCCGCGCCAGGAGTTGCCTTTCGGAAACCTCCATGGTTTCTCGTCCAGCAATCCGCATGACGGCACCATTCAGGCTCGAGAAATTGTATTCCATAGCTCGAGATCCCGCCAAGGGAGGGTCGAGAGACCAGCCATGACCCGACTCAAAAGGCTCGATCTCATCCCTCCTCCTCTTGGGGGCTGTGTACGCGTAGTCCATCTCGCCATTGGGAAAAGCAAAGCTTTCCAGTAAAGGCCCGTACATGACATTTTCCTGCGCGGCAACGAGGTCTGGAGGGAGGATGGCGCGTGCACATTTGTCTATCAGATCCCCAATAGCAATATTCGACGCTTGAGCCAGTATTTGGTGGTCGCAGAGAGAAAGGCTGTGAACAAGAAGAGTGTGTCCTCCCGAGACGAGAAGAGTGAGAAAGGGAAACGCGGGTTCAGGGGGAACGTCTACCCCCTCCGGACCGAGCGCCCTTACCAGTCTCGGAGTAAGGGCATGTGCCTGCATGTGATTCACCCCGAGAAACGGGATCTGCCAGGCGACTGACAGACCTTTAGCTGTGTTCAGTCCAGTGGACAGGCTGGGTGTCATGCCAGGCCCTCGCGTCACCGTGACAAAGTCCGGGCGCACTCTATAGCTCACCCCTCCATCGGTCACTGGGATAGAGAGAACATCTGGGGAGGGTGGCAGATGCTCAGGCCGCGTTGCCGCGGGCAGTGAACCAAGCGACTCCTGAACCAGGTTGGCCAAGCAAGCAGTGTGGGATGCCACGGCCACGCTGGGGTGAATACCGCCGAACTGGCGATTGTCAGAAGTGATTTTCTTGTGAAAGTGCAACTTTGCTGATTGGCCCTTCTTCTCGAGAATGGCCACGCAGGTATCATCACACGAAGACTCAATGGCAAGCGTGAGAAGCTGCCGGCGCTGAGTGGTGGCAGGAGCAGTCGTGGCTCTCAGAGCCCTGGTTACCGACTGCCATAGCTTCATCGATAAAAGCAGTTCGGGGTCAAGGCTTAATTCATTTCCAGACAGCGAGGAGAAGAGTTCAAACTAAGCACGCAACTATTCAAATAGTGAGTGTTGTTCTCCGCTCACCATCGTCACTCCTTACACCGTCTCTACCGATAAATTAAGGCGGTGTAGATTCTGCCGCTCTTTTGCCGTCACCACAATCCTCTAACCACAAGCCCAGACTCCAGCCTGGAACCTCAACCATCTTGGAGACGTCCAAGCAACAGGTCGCGCACCCAGATATTTTGATATCATGCACGATGGACCCGGAAGTCCGGCCCCTGGTTCCTTCGGGGAGGGCTGGCTATCCGACGGCCAATGCTCCTACATTGCCCGTGGATGAATGCGCTCCCCCGCTGCCAGCAGACCACCGTCTGTCCTTCAGTCTCTACTCAACCCTCGACGAGTTAATGACAGAGTTGAACGCCTGGGCCAAGACCCAGGGACTGGGATTTGTTAAGAGGCGATCATCCAACCACGTTAACGGGAAACCAACCCGTGTCGACCTGATCTGCGACCGGGGCAACCTGCGACCATCTACCGCCAATGTGCGCAAAGTGACAACAAGCAAGGGGGCAGACTGCCCATGGAAGGCTGTCGCGAGAGCGTTGCGACAGAATAACAGACTTTGGACTCTCGAGGTTACCGAGCCGAACCATAACCATCCCGCCTCCGACTCGCTGGCAGCCCATACCGTCCACCGCAAACTCACGCCGGAGCTTCAAAACCTGATCAGGGCCATGTCCAGGGCGACGAGCCTCAAGCCGCGCGAGATCTACAGCGTGCTCAGGCTTGCCTACCCGCATGCAGTCTTCACCCTAAGAGACATTGAAAATTATCGGAACCGCTTGTTCGGAACCCCTCAGCCGACGACAAAGCGGCAGAAGCAGACGGGTCGCAGTGCTGCTAACAGCAAAGGGGCGGGCACTTCCACGTCCGTCGGCTCTGACCTGGACCTCTCGAATACGCAGCAAGGGTCTCTCGCAACTACTGGGACCTCGATCGTGGGGGCCGAGATGTCGGGTCTGCAAGATTCTGATAACTTGGCCGTTCTTGTCGGGTCATCGGACCTAACACAAATTTGAGAGCTTTCATTGTGGGCGGGCCACGATCGATATGTGGTGCGAAACTTACGAGCATGTTGACCTGTAATCTTCACCCTGGACACCTGGGCGGTGTATGTTAACCTCACCTGTTTCGCAGTTCGTATAGCAAATCTGCACCACCAGGGGACTGGAGCAATGACCATAGAGAGATCAAATACTCACTCAGCTGCAGGGGGTAATACGCAGTCGTTCGCCAGAGCAACGTGAGAGCCAGGAGCACATTGCACAGCATGAATGGAAAGGCACTGGTGTTTCACTCTGATGGGATCGTTTAGCAATTGATGTAGAACGATTACCTGAAAGCGGTTCAGAAAGCGAACGCCAGTGGAACATGTTACGGTTCAATATTTCTCACCGATGTCGTCTGCTTTGAGTGTTGCTTTTCGATAACTTCCTATCTCAGTCAAAGGATACAAGGACGGAAGACACACGCCTGGTATTCGATGACCCTCGACAAATGGGTCATATCCTGCCTGAAGTTGAAGAGCAAGTTGGAGCAGAGAGTGTCCGTTTCATCTCAGTCACTGTTGTGCAGGCACTTCGAGCATTAATTGAATCGCATTGTATAAGTATCAACAGAATATGAAATTATGAGTCGCTAACTCGTAGTCTGTGTTGGTCCGTCCTGTAAGACGGCCACCTGGTATCACATGTGCAACATTCTCAGTTGCTGCACCTAATACATCTGTGCAAATGCAAACGCCAAAACCCAATGCTGTCCACCCTTCTTCGCCAATAGATAGATGCACTCATCAAGAGGTATCAGTCCTGTGAGCAGAGGATGCGATGAGTGCCTTCAAGGCACTGATTAAAGACTTGTAGGTACCGGAAACGAATGTTGAGAAGAGAAGGATGTTTTCATGCATGCCAGAGATCATTCTCAAGATATCGGTAGGATCGACCAGCCGTACTCCCCGTCGATATTTATCCACCTTTGCTGGTCAAAAGCTCTCTCCTGGCCAAGCATAACGGCAAGCAGTCGACAACCCATGGCGCTGACAGTACACACGACCGAATCACTAGCCTGGGAGAGCACAGCAAGGTCCATCATGTATGCCCTTCCCACCAAGCTTCGTAGCCTGACGGTCTCTGCTGAGGGCTTGGACCGAGCCTCGGCGGCTTTGGGCGCGTTGGCAGCGGTAAGCGTCGATAGTCCAAGGTTCCAGAACATGGCCGCGAAGAATCCACCCTCCCATCCGAAGGCTTCATCAACAAACTTGTGCATGACGCGCCTGTCGGGGTTGCCTGCCTCGACGTTGACCTTGCCCGCCAGCCGTATCCGCTCCTGGGCGCGTGCTGCGCCTTTGAACTCATCGATCTCGTACACCGTTGGGTCGTCGGAGGCAATAATAAAGACAGAGTTCGTCTTGGCAAGCTCGTCCACCTCCCGGCCCGAGTTCAATGCGGCGTTCACGGAGGTCAAGGCCCGTTCTGTATACATGCTCGGCGGGATGTATGACCCTCGGTACTGAAAATCAAACGGGTGTCGGTCGCCACGTCGGACGTGCAATCCAACAATGACTCCATCGGGTGCACCTCTTGCCTCTGCACGGGTCTGGCCTTTCAAGTCCTTCACTCTCGTCGAGACGTAGTCTGCATCCTCGCGGTTCAGGAGAAACAGATCTTCAAAACCTGTTCGAGCTAGTTGGAAGTGCTTGCTGCGCAATGCTCTGTCGGATGTCTCCGGGGGAATACTCTCAACAAAGCCCTTTGTAGTAGCGCTGCTGACAACAAGATGCCGAGCATGTCTAGGGCAAGGGACAATTTCGTGACGTAGAGGCGGGCGGCAACCAGGATGCGGAGGTGCCTCGAAAATGTCAACATAACGCCCGTACGCCCATCTCGTGTCATCGATGAAGAAGGCTCTGCCCTCTCTCTTAGCGATCGCGTATGCGATCCAGAGCATCATAACCGTTTGCCCTAGTCCGGCATCTTCGGACTCCAACACAAAAGTCAGAGACATGCTGCAGACGGGTTGATCGAGCAAGCCGTCCTGATTAGCGCCAACCAGCCCTCCGCTCTGCTCTTGCTGACTCAGGAGGGCAGACACGGAAACAGTTCCAGGTAGTACGCCTGCGGTCTCGGCTTCTGCAACATCAACAAAGTGCTTTCTCGCACTGCTGTGACCGAGATGAAATGGTCCCGCGCTCTGCAGGCTGCTCTGAAGAGCCTCAACCTTGCTAGCTACCTCGCGGCACTTTGAGCATATAGCAGAGTACTCTCGTACGGGGAGCGGAAAGCCGTGGCTCGGTGGAATGTAGATTGTCCACTTCGCGTTGCCTCCCCTGTCCGTCACGATGACTGGCGTTGGAAAGTCGGGCAATGTATCGCGGGCGACCATCTCATAGTCGCCCTTCACCTGCTGTGGCCATTGGAAAAGGGGGCTCAGTTCGGGTCTGCGGACCGAAGACACTGCCAGATACACAAGAGAGACGATGCCCGTCATCCATAGAAGAGCCCGGAAAACTCGGCTGGGACGAGGCGTGTGAGAGGGTTTGCGTGGCCTTGGGACCAGCTGCGGTAGCCCTGGCGAGGGCGGAGGCGAGGAGAGTAACAAGTGGTTAAAACTGAATCTCGATGAAGTCGAAGACAGAGGGCCCTTGTCGTGTCCCGTGTAGGAGGTGGCTCGCCTCAGGTTGATTCGTGGCGGTGACACGATCATCTTGGACCGGCTCAAGTCCAACGTGGGCGGCATGGTGGGTGATGGAGAATTCGAAGTGTATTCGAATTGGGAGAAGAAAGGAGGAGTAAAGATCGTCTCAGTTTGAAAAGATGTGAGAAGCGAAGGTATGAGCGAGGGAGGCCGACCCAGTACGTATGAAGGCAAACAGCATCACCGTCTCTGGTGAGATGATGATGTGCCTTAGATACTCAAGATAGTTGTTTGTTTGGCAAGACGCAGCCATGAAGGTAAGACTTTGGAATAATGATCCCGGGAGAAGGGTTGCAAAAGATGAAGTAAAGCGCCGTTGGAGCAATCCTCTCAGAGCTCAATATGGGGGAGATCTACTCCCTATCATGTACAAGGACTTTTTGCAGTGCAGACTTGCTGGTCGTCAAAGGGAGAGAGTGAGGGGCTGCTCACACAGCTGGGGACGAGCCGAGGAGGCTAGTGAAGATCATGCTGAATAGGAAGAGGAAGATGGGAATCAGGCCTGATCAAGAAGGATAGGCACACTTGATCAAGCGTCTCTGCGCATCCCAATCACAGGATTGGGGATCTATCAATGCCAGCTGGGCGGGACCAGACGGATTTTGCGTAGATGAGAGCGGATAGCGACGTCATTGACAACGAGGGCCGACCCAGAAGTTGACAGGGTTTGGGTCCCTTGCGCCACCTTGACAAGAGTGCAATGTCAAGTGCGGGAAAAAGACAATGAAACGGCGCTGACAGATGAGAGCAAACAGCAGAACAGATGTTTACAAAATGGGGACTCACACACGGGTGAATCCAGGGCAATACCTGGTGTACCTACACGAGACGAGCCCAGTCTCGGCCGATCTGAGCCCATTGGAGGAAAGACAAGGAACGCCATGGAGGGTCAGTTTCGGAATCACTCTGTGCATGTGCAGAAGGAGGAGGCAAGAGGTCAGACGGGCAAGCCAGACTTGCCAGTGAGCCACCCAACCACCCAACCAGTGCGGCCGTCTTTGAAGTACCAAACTAGGATGGTGACGATCCGCATTTGGGGGTGCCCTGAGATGCCCTCCAGGGGCATTTAGGAGTGACGATCGTGGGGCATGAATAACACCAAAGCAGTGGGGATTGTCGGGGGTTGTTGTCCTTGTATGTCGGCTCAACTCGCACAAGTCCCATGGCACAAGGAGTTGCCTCGGCCGCAATTCCTGATCATTGCACATGTCAGACTGGCAAATGTGTGTTGCTTTCTCTCCGTCGTCTTCAGAGCAGCTTTTCGCGAGCCGTGCAGAAAAGTGTCGCGGAAAGGGCGGTGGCGGGAGAAGATCATTGAGAACCGGGTAATGAACAAGCCTTGAGGGGACCAGGGGGGGGGGGGGGGGGGGGGGGGGAA